TTATATTAATATATTAGTTAGAATACTACTTATATAAAAAAAAAATTAATTAAAAAAATTTAAATAACTTAATTTAATATTTTAAGATTTCTAATATTTATAATAACTTAAGTTATTTAAATCCCCTCTTTTTAATACTCTATATAGCTAGTATCTATACTAACTTAATATAATATAATAACTTTTAAAATTAAAGGTTATATTAAGCTTTAATAATATTCTAAAGAAAAACTTAACCTCTTAAATTAGAATTATTAATATTTTTTAGCTAAGTTATAAAATATAGCTATTTTTATTTAAATATATAAAATAAAATTATAAATAAGAATTTAATTTCTTTATCTATTAATTTTAATTTTATTATTAAAAAGTAAATAATATCTAAAAATAGCTAATATAATTTATTAATTTTTATTTAGATATTATAAATAGTATAGTAATAGCTTAAATAGATTTTCTTTTTTAAGAAAGTTTAAGAGGAAGTTTAACTTTTATTTTTTTAATTTATTTTTTAAATTCTAAGAGAATTTAAAATTATATTAAAGTTAGAATTTATAATATAAATATAATAGGGTATTTTTTAAAAAGAGCTACTTAAGTAAAATTTACTATATTAAAAATTAATTATAATAGAATAAGTATAATAATTAAATTTAACTTAAGAATATAAAATAAGTTTGAGATATAAAGTATATAATTAAGTAAATTAAAATATTATAATAAGTAATATAAGTTACAGTCTAGTAATAGTAGAATAATAAATTTAATATAATTAAGTATATTAATAACTAGTAAGGTTATCTATTTATAAAAGTACTAAATAAGTATCTATATATTAATAATACTTATATAGGCTTACTAGGTAAAAGTAAGTTTAATTTTATAGCTTATCTTAGGGAAGTAAGTTATATATTTAAACTTACTTATATAGGATAAGTTTGGGATTTATATTAGGTAAAAAAGTAAGTATATTATAGTTCTACTAGTTATAATTACTTAGTTTTAACTTAGGCTGTAATAATTAATATATATAACTTTTATAATTTTATAAAACTTTAATAGTAATTTTATAATAAAATTAGCTAGTATTTAAGTAAAAGAAATAAATATATTAAAAATAGAAATTTCTCTATTTAATACTTTTATATTACTTAAAAAATAAATTTATTTATATAAATTAAGTTAAATTTTAAATAATTTAATTATAATTATATAATTATAAAATAACTCTTAATAAGAAAACTTAGTATTTAAATTTACTATATTTTTATTATATATATATTATAATTACTAAAGCTTAAGTTTTAAATTTTAAGCTGCTTTTTCTTTCTATTAAAATTCTATTTAACTTTTTTAACTTTAATCTTAATAAATATATTAAAAACTTCTATAACTTAATTTAAGATAATATAACAGCTTTTAAAATTAGAAGTTATATTAAGCTCTATTAATATTTTTAAAAAAAACTTAACTTCTTAAATTAAAATTATTAAAATTTTTAACTAAATTATAAAATATAGCTATTTCTATTTAAATATATAAAATAAAATTATAAATAAGAATTTAATTTTCTTATTTATTAATTTTAATTTTATTATTAAAAAGTAAATAATATCTAAAAATAGCTAATATAATCTATTAGCTTCTATTTAAATATTATAAATAATATAGTAATAACTTAAATAGATTTTCTTTTTTAAGAAAGCTTAAAAGAAAATTTAACTTCTATCTTTTTAATTTATCCTTTAAATTCTAAGAAAATTTAAGATTATATTAAAATTAGAATTTATAATATAAATATAATAAGTTATTCCTAAAAAAAGCTACTTAAGTAAAATTTACTATATTAAAAATTAGTTATAATAGGATAAATATTAAAAGAAAAGTTAGTCTTTTAATAATAGAAGATATTAATTTCTCTTATATTCTATAACTTAGAATAAGATTACTATTTTAAGGTTGTTAACTATAAATAGTAAGATTAAAGTTAGAGAAGTTAAATAAAAGCTTTAAATAGAGATTAATAAGTAATAATTTTATTATTTAGCTACTATTTCTTTTAATATTAAATATACTACTTATTATTTATTTCTATTATTTAAAATTACTATATAGCTTTAATTTATTTAATAATATTAAGTAAAGTTAAAAAAACTAAATATATTTAAAATATATATAATTATTATTAATATTATAATATAAAATTTTAATATTAACTTTTTTTAAATAAAAATTTATTTTAATTTTTTTATAAATTATCTATTTAATATTTTATATTTAATAAATTAAAATAGCTAATTATAATAATTTTATAAATATTATAATATAAATATATCTAATTAATAGCTTATTAAAATATTAAATTAATAATATTTAATTTAAGTAATATTAAAATTAATTTTAAAAAGATATTATAATTAAATATTATTATTAATATTTTTTTTATATAATTAAGATAAATAGAATATAATATACTAAATTATATATATAGGTATTTTAATTATAAGTTATACTCTTATTAATATCTTATTTAGCTAATAACTTTAAGTTATACCTATTATAGTAGAAGCTATAGCTAATTATAGTAGCTAGCTATTATTCTAGTAGCTTAATACCACTATAATAGCCATTTTACTTATAGCAATTATCTTTAGCTTTCCCAAGACCAAGTTCAGCTGCATAGAGGCATCTAAAGCCCAGCCCGCTGCAGTTGAGACATCGCTAAAAGCCATCAAAGTCCAGCACGAAGAGCAGTCTACCAGCGAAAAGAATACAGCTTCGGATGATAATCAGTCTAACGTGAACGCAGAGAGAGATCCCCGAAGCCAAGGAGCTCTATGTTCCACAGATGGACAGAATCTACGGCCAGGCTTTATTAACCGTCGTCGCCGTGGCTGGATCCGACGCCAACTGTGCACTCCCTGGTGTTGTCGCCGGATCTCGCGTCATGTCACAGTCACCTGTACAGCTAGGATCCCTGATGTTGTTTGCCGAACCGCGAAACCTCGCGACTACAGTGGAATCGTCTACATGGCGAAGCCGAGCTTGGACATTCCAGGAAGGAAAACTCGCCAGGAAACGTTTATATTTCTCCGACTCTCAAGTTTACTGGCAATGCTCTGAGTCGCATCACTCAGAGGATGGCGGTGAAGAAACGGGGGCCGGAGAGCCGTCATCCTGGAGCATGAACGTGCTAGAGCGGCAGGTTAGCAACGACCCTAGACTGAGGTTCAACGTCTACGACTCATTGGTCAAACAGTACAGTCGCCGGGCGCTGACATATCCGTCCGATTCTCTAAATGCATTCGTTGGCATCCTCTCCGCAATCAGGGAATCGTTTGGATGGCAGTTTGCGAGCGCTTTACCGGAAAGCCTTTTCGATTTTGCTCTCCTCTGGTCACCGATGGTGCACAGCCAACTACGGCCAAGGGAGTCGCTAGGCTCAGCTTGCAAGTCACCGACCTGGTGCTGGACGGCTTGGGAGGATGACATTTACTGGGATCCTTGGCGGCTTGATTCTTACGTCGGAAAGCGTGTGACGCTCAAGGCGGAAGTGAGGGATTTCATGATCACGGATAAGGTTGGAGTGCGCAAGATTATCCAAGACGATCCCAATCTCAGAGAAACTCGCACCAATTGTTCGCCAGCACTTTCCGAGGCATTGGAACTTGTGGGCTTGAATGAGAGCTCTGCTAATTATGCACTGGTCTTTGAAGCCCTTAGTCTAGGGGTCGAGATGTACACAATCTCATCGCCTCGGCCAGAATTGTCCAGGACATTGTCGCGCCCCTTCTCAGACTCTTTTACCAACAGTTTACGCGGCCAACTTTGGATCTATGATGCAGCAGGACATCATTGTGGAACGCTTAGGGGATTTAATTCATGGAAGCCTGGCCCAGATGCTATTTATGAGTTTGTTCTACTCTCACGCAGTGACCAAGACAAAGTCATTCAAGCAGATGTTGACGGCTATCGTGACCACCTGCCCCTGGAGTACCCCTCGGCTGACGAATACTACGAAGAGGTCTTTGATGCGAGTATTTACCAGCACAAACGCTGGTGGGCTCTGAATATCTTGCTGGTGGAGAGAAAGGGAGATCTATCGCAGCGGCTGGCTGTTGGGCAGTTGCATGCTGATGCTTGGCACGGAACTAGCCTAAAGATGAAGACTTTCGTTCTTATCTAGGAAAGCCGGAAATGAGGTCAAACTCTTGCATGCCTCCATCCACCGTTCTTCGCCCTGTGCTTGCGTACGCATTCATCGGGCTCGGCGCAGGCTTTAAGAATTCATCATGGAACTGTTTCATCAGCGGGCTGGATGATGCATGGTTTCTATGGCGTAGGCGCACCTTAGTTGCCGCTGTTGGCCAGCTTCTTTTCAATAACGGTTGGCAGTGGTTCATTCGGTATTAAGTTATGGACCGACGCACTAGCTACCATTGATCCGGTTCTATCTACCTATGTGTTTAGGAAGGATGACGGTACTGCATATCGAAATGTTGCTACTCCGGCAGGCCACCTGACGTTTGAGCTTACATCTACCTGTGAAACGGCGCCAGAAACCCAAACGAAAACCTCCAAAGGCATGAGACTCAATGGGCTCAGCCTCACTACCAAGTGTTTAAAATAGAAGGTCGTTCTCTTTTGCAGTCTATACCTACTTTTCTACGTCGGTTCCGAAGTAGCATGAGGGAGTTGGCTTACAACATTCATGAAATGTCCGCCACAGTTCTATGCTCTCATTCGGCATTACGACCAGTGGCTTCTCGAAATCACGATTGGACGAATCTGCATTGGCTTGGTCACTGGGTGTATTTTCAAGTGGGAGGGAATTGCTGCATTGTACTACATCGCCGCAACTATTGCGCTGGAGTTGAAGCCTTACAGCCCATTACCCTTGCGTGCTTGGTTGTTTGTCTGCTTTTATGGTTAGGTAATCATATCACAACTGCTAGCTAGAGATCAAATTGGGGTTTGGAGAGCGAGGAAGTGCCAAGTGTCCTTCCTAATTGTATGGCCTACATCAACATGCTCAATAAATGGCCATAAATCATAAATTGAATGCCTCTAACTTTTATATAAAAATTGCATAGTCTAGCTGTACTTTGTCGCAGTCTTCACAAGTCTTATTTGTGAGTCTCCAGCACCATCCTCAAGGATTCCAGCTAAAGCTTGTCTTTGCTCTTGTTTGGCATCCCCCACAATCAACTGTATCTGCCTCTTGTCACCAACTTCTCGTACCACTATCCGCTTTTTCCATGTATGAGAACTTGAAACTCCTCCTCCCACGTTTTCTAGCTCATCCGAGGCCCTGGACTGCAATGCAAGAACTAATAATTTCCCAAAGCTGTCCCAGCTTGAGCCGTGCCATGACTGTCGAGAAAAGATGATTGATCCCATGTGCAGTAGCGAAATAAAAACATGAAGAAGCAGTGCGACGAATGCCAAGGTAATAGCAGTACTATTCTGAAAGGCGTAAGCATACGCAGATGCATAATACGTGTGGTGGATGACTGTGTCTTGTTGGCCGGGTGGGTTGTTCCAGTTGTTCACATACAACTGTAAATCTGCCGACTGTGCCAACGCATCTGCCACATGTAGGGCAAGAAAGATTGAACGACAAGAATTGTCCAGTTGAGGAAATTTCGTGAGACAAAACTGCGATGCTTCTGAATATGCAGATTGCAACTCCATGTTGTTCGCGTTAACACGGGGAACACCTATGCCTTCCAGCCAACCAGTACTCGTCTTGATAAGGTGGTCGGCGTTGGAAGTCTTGTGCAAATATTGCACCAAATCTTCAGTTGAAATTCCAAAATTGCTTTGAGTGGCGCCAGAGCTTTGCCGGTCCAGCCATACCTCCGCCTCAGCCCAGCGAGCCGAGATGAGACAAAGCTCAATGCTGATATTATTGTACCCCAACTCGTCTGAAAATAAGATTGCTCCACTGATCAAGGAGCTATTTATGTGCTGCGGCTTCAAAGGACCAAAATAATCGTGCTGATCCTCGTCATCTGTCAGGAGGTAATTTTTCACACTCTCTGAATCGAGTTCCACGTCGAGTTTATCGAATAAACCATTGACAAAGCTGAAATTGGCCCCTCTATCAGCATAAGGCGTTCTGGAGCATTGCACTCCAACTACAGGTTGTTTCCAATTATGTATTCCGGAAGCAGTCTTTTGCTGGGATTTAACGAGCAAATCGTCATCTGGAGTCTCTCGTATCCTCGCGTGATCCCAGTTGAATGCATCGGATATGCATAACATTGGACATGTCGCAATAGCGATGTCGATATTTCCGCCTGCCTTAGAGACAGAAATGGGTCGCTCCTTTTTTGGAGCACCGTAAAGGGTATAAGTGACGTTTTCTTGTCGTGGGATGATGAGCGGGTCGAGGACAACAGACTCGAGACTTCGCACCATAGCCTCAAGGTTCAAATCCCAGCAACTGACGTTCCGTGATGACTGTAGACTGCACCAGTTCTTTAGGCCCCGAAAAACGTCCTTGGCGTCGAAATTCATTCTGAAAGGGTTTCCCCGGATGTAATAAGTTCCTCTGTGCTCTATCGATAGACGTTCACTTCCTGCATCCAACCACCACCCTTGGCGAGGAATCATTGCTGTGGCCGAGAACGGGCTGGCTGCGATTCCCAACAAGGAAATAAAGACAATCACGCCGCCCGTAATGCCATGAAATTTGCGGTTCGCGGTGGGATTCAGCAGTGCGGCCCAAAACTCCCAGCTCATCAAGTATTGTACTGGAGAACCCATGTTGAAGACAGAAGAAAGAAAGCCAAGGGAGACACCGTCATCGAGAATGAGGCCGTAGCAGATTCTATGTAACAGTATGTCGGTGAGAGACATCAGTATAAGAGACTCGTGTGCCTTTGCGGCAAACTGAAGAGCACTTAGTTCGTCGGCAGTGGGGTGTGGAGGCACCCAACGCAGGTGTCCCAAATAAAAGCCAATGAGTGATAGCGTGATCGATATCGCCGGAAGGTGAAAAAAGGCAAAATGGCGCACGGCTGATAGTTTACTGTTGCTGCAGACCTGTTTTGAATGCTCCCTGTCGTTGAAAGTCTTGAAGTATCTCCTCAGGCTCCAGGCACCCACAGCCACCTGAATTTGTCGTATGATAGAGTATTGCCTCGGCGGCGATGGCTGAGATCTAATAGAGTCTCTATCCGACGCGTCAATACCCTCGGGGGCACATGTGGTTGAATTTTGTGACAATCGGTCAGGAATTGAGCGACTTTCCAGTGGATGTTCGTTGATTGTCCTTCTCGCGTGGGTCCCTTCAGAGATGGCATCATTTACTGGCGATTCTACTCGTATGGAGGTCATGGTCTCTTGGGACTCGGTAGATCCAGTATTCTGAGTATAATTAGAGACGAGAACCATATAATCATGGATCGACACACCTCTTGTGACCGTGAATCTGGGCGGGGCCGTAGCCTTTGCATCTCATGGTCGTTGTTGGTGAGAAACATGCTGAAATCCTAGCTCAGGTGAGATCAATAGTGATGTTGAATGAATTACAAAGAGTAGGTCACTAGGTTTCCCACAAAGGGCCACAACGGCATTTAATTTCCATTAGGCTATCATATTGTGATTGTGGCGCCACAGATCAGGCTGGGCCGCTTCGGTTTGTGAGGAGGGGCTTGCAGCCCACAGCCGCAAATTCCTCCAGTCACATATGCTACACTTTGGATATTCAGCCTAGACTTGGCTAAAATCTATCCTCATCCGAAACCAAATGTGCATCCGATGTGGTGGCTACACGTTGCTCAACCAGTCAGTGTTGAGGCTATGTGCGAAACAAACTGCTAGAAGTGATACGCACAACTATTTTAGGTACTACGTTGGTGTGTCACAGTACACGTAGTCTACATCGAAAGTCTGCCTTGGCTAAGTAGCTGCTGTTGAATATTCCTCTGCTGTTGAATATTCCTCTGCTGTTGAATATTCCTCTGCTGTTGAATATTCCTCTGCTGTTGAATATTCCTCTGCTGTTGGCCAGACCATGTCTCACGGGCAGCACAGGGCAGGATTCATCAGCCGTAGTTTCGTATCCGACGCCACAAGACATGTGCAAGAAATCAACCGTGTATTATAGGTGTGTAAGCAACATTTGTGCTGCGCTGTCGCGATGTTACTGGTAGATAACAGGCCCCCTGCATCCTCCATCCCGCGCCACATTGCCTAGAACCAAGGGGGCGCAATGTCATCGGGCGCCAATCATCTGTAAGGAGATGTAAGACCTCTCCTGCACCTTCACCGCTAACTTGCGGTAGTTTGATGAGGTCACGATCCATCTGGAACTAACACTGTTGCCCAAGAGCTTTGTAATGCCAATGAAGCTATGAGTTTCTTCAGGTCAACCATGTAGGAACCAGCTAGGCATCGATCTTCAAGCCTGGTTGCGAGTCCAGAATCCCAATGTTTTCAACAAAAATCAGAAAAAACAATGCCAAAATTGAGTCCATTAGAATCTTTAAGAGAAGTTGAACGGCCGGCCAAAGCAACCCCCTAAAGGATAAAGAGTTTATCCACAATCTAATCCGCGTCAATTCATAGCGAAATCTATTAACATACATGATGTAGCGACTTAGTCGTATATAAGACTCCAGTATTGAGAAATAAGAGCAGATTTGCTAAGATGTAGGCGTTCATATACTTGGTTCTGATTTTTGACCTCTCCACCCAAGCCAAGCGAATGCAATCCCTAGTTTGATAAACCCAGCTATCCATAGACACCCAGCCATGCCAGCTCGACTTCGTTGGAGCCAGCCTCCGGAGATACCGCCGACCAGTAGCGAAACCACAGCCACCACACGCCGGTTGCGCTTGACATTAGCTGTTAGGGGTGCAAAGAGATTATGATCTGACAGCAAATCACAGTACAATGAAGTGACCACATTGGTGGGGATTTCGTTGAAGCCCAGTACGCGACTGAGCACAATTTGACCGCTGGACTGGAATGCCAGGAGAGCCACAACGATGAGGTCAATCCCGAGCCCAACCCCCTTTCTCTCACCGGCCTGCTCTTCCGTGGCCAGTTGATGAGAGTTCGACTCAAGAAGTGAGTAGCTGAAGGCTGGGGCCATGCCCATTTGCCCCAACAGTGCCGCAATGAATATGAGGATTGCCTGCAATAAGAAGCAGATTGAGAGGGTTATTTTCCGTCGAGGATAGAAGTATCGGCTACTAGAAAAGAAGCAACAACCTAGCCAAAAGGCGCAGAGAGAGACGAGAGCGCCCACCCACATAAGCGACTCTCCTGATGGAAGGTGGGCGGCACCGAGGGCAAGGAAGATGGTGTTTCCTGAGGTAATAATAACGTTAGTAGATAAAAGTGCGTGGCCGCGAATGAACAAGTACCTGTTTGCATGGATACGAAGACTGATGTAGCATTGAAAGCTACGCTGTCGATGAGGCCGGACATGTAACTGCAAGCCAACATGGGAATGTCTGCCCAAGACAAGTTGACGTCATCACGTAGGCGAGAAAGAAATCCATGCCGCCAATGATTCATTGCATTTCGTTTTGCGGCGTGTGATTGATGCTGTGATAAAGAGACCGGGAAAGTTGTTGGTGCTGATAGCCTTTCACTCTTGCCCAGAGCTTCCATAGCGACAGATAGCATCTAGTTAGCAAGCCCCTTATAATCACAGCCGTGCATACTACATAGTAGCTATATGAGTGTCTGTTACAGGTGCCTGGCTGATTAATACACTGCATCTTGACCTACAGGCGTGCAAGGGACGAGATAACCTGTCAGATTAGCGCTGCAACACGTCGAGACTACTGTAGCAATAGTGGATTCCGGCAGCATATCTACAGTGCACGCTAAGTCTACCGACGATCTCGGCGCCTCGGACCGCGCACCTCGGTGTCAATTGTTGCTCGGCTCACGCTTGGGTCTCGGATCGAGCACTTACCGGGACTTACACCTGATACTGGCAGCCGAGATGACCATTTTGGATCTGGCTCTCCGATGCGAACAGCAGCCGAGATGACCATTTTGGATCTGGCTCTCCGATGCGAACAGCAGCCGGCAATTGGCGCCGCAAGTGCCTCGAGCTTCATATCTATATTTACTTGGTTATTTACTTGGGCACTTCAATCCCAGATAACCATTCAACCAGCCATCTAGCGCACCGATATCGATCCCAATCATCCACACCTGCATCCTTCACTCTCCACCTGTCCTGCAAGAGCTTATCAGCATGGCCGACGTCAAGCCCCCCGTGCCAGCCATCTCCCTCAAGAGTAGGACCCTTCTAAGGATCCTTGCTGTATCCAAAATGCTCATCGTTGTGCAGATTTCGAGTCCCGGAGGGATGAAATCATCAAAGAATTACTCGCGGCAGCCGAGACGGCCGGATTCTTCACTCTCGTAGACCACGGCATTAGCATCGAGGAAATCAATGCTCAATTTGCGCTTTCGCGCGAGTATTTCAACTTGCCGCAAGAGGTCAAAGGTAGGATTCCCCACGACATCAAGACCAACAATGGATGGGAGTACAAGGTAAGAAATATTCCGGGGCAAGGTCTCGACAAGGACATTTGCCTGCTTCTGACCAAGCTTGGAGCTCCCAAAATTAATGTCAATTTCTAGTCGCAAATCCGCCCGAGCACTGGTCTCCCTGACCAGAAGGAGTCGTTTTGGCTACAGCGCAACTCAAAATGGCCAAGCGATGAGGAGCTGCCCAACTTCAAGGCCACTACCAAGAAATTCATGTCCAAGTGTGAAGCCATCTCCGAGAAAGTTTGTGCGTTTCCCCAGATCTGACAACAATAATTTCGTCAATCTTATATGGCCCCGACCTTTAGTGACCTGCTTCTCCATCGGTCTTGGATTCCCGGAAGATCACTTTATCAAGGCAATGGACGTCACCGCGCCTGACAATCTCACCCAACTGCGCATGATTCACTACATGGCGTCCGAAAATGCGGCCGGGACGTGGAGAGCTGGTAACCACACCGACGTTGGATGTCTTACACTACTCTTCCAGCGGGATGGAGAAGATGGGCTAGAGATCTGTCCTGGTCGAGAGAGTCATAACGACCATGCGATTGGGGATGTGTTCACGCCTCTGCCCGCCAAGACAGGGCCTATCGTGGTCAATATCGGCGATATGCTTAGTGAGCCAAGAAATTCCAACTTTTACGAGTGATGACATTGACATGAATTTGCAGTGGCTTGGTCCGACGACCGCCTCAAAGCTAACTTCCATCGCGTTCGTGCGAAGGATACGGGGAAGAGTCCTGACCGATATTCCATTGCCTATTTCAACACGGGCAGGAAGAACGTTGTGATGCAGGGTCCATTGAAGAAGTAGTACGTTTCTGCTGACCTTCTTGGATTCGATTAATCCCAACTAACTTCTTTTGCGCAGCCCCCCCGTCACCTGTGGCGATTATTTCCTCGGAAAGACTGAATCGCAGTTCGGGTAAGGCCTTGCATCGGTCTTGACTTGGTTCATCCCATCTAACCGAGCTTATAGGCATAACTTCAAAAAGGATCAAGCAAGCGCTACCGTGGGAACCGTCTAAAGAACAATAGTGGACCGAATTGGTGTATTAGGGCTCGAGGCTACGACCGGCCCTCGAGATGCACTGCGAGCAGACCAATGGCCTGAAGAAGTAGGGTAGCAATTGACGTTATGTAGAAAAATATTCTCCAGGTCTCATAAATTGAATCCCTGGAATTTGATTCCTGGGAATTTGATTCCTGGTCTCTATCATTCTGCTTATGAATTACCATAGGGCAACCCCATTGGCGAACGTGAACATGGTCGGCAAGCACGGCTTCATCGTCAGCAGCACGTCATCTTCACAAGTTTCCGTCATCGTCAGAGTGGATAAGGTGACATTTAGTGGCTGGCCCCCCAGCGCCTGTGGCAAATTTCATGGTAATCTCTTTTTACTGGAGTGGCTTTGGCAACCTTGGTACCAATAATGGCGTGTGTCGGAACTTAATCATGCAGACGGGCTCACCACAGCAGGTGTCAGCCCTAGACCCAGACAGGAATTTGCTCGTTGATACACGCACATTCTAATTGGTCAGTACGTCGTTTGAAAGCAGGGATGTCTCAGCAGGTCAGCAGGCGTTGTGAGTGCCGGTTATCCCTTCGCCTCAGCGGTAAGATACAGACCTTCGGATTAGATATCAAAATACACAAATATTAGTTACAGGATTAGTGCTTTGATATCAATACAATAAATTCTCAATCGGGAATTTGCTCAAAGAATAGAGTCCGAGGATAATTGGCGAATCGTCATTTCATGTTTATAATACAAGTTGATGTTGATGGGTGCAACCCGCCACTCAGCAGACTTCGAGTATAAAATAAAGTAAAAGCATTGCTCTGTAAACGAAAACTTGTTATTCTCCAGAGAACCCATTCCTGAATCATCAACTCAATTTCTATTTCACACACAAAACCTACTACCATGGCCGACAACAATACCGCTATCCCCAAGGGCTCATGGGTCCTGGTGACCGCTGCAAACGGCTACACGGGGAGCCACGTCGTCATGGAGCTGCTGAAGCGAGGTTTCAAGGTGCGCGGAACTGTGCGCGATCTATCCTCTGGCCAGTGGCTCCTGGATGATGACTTCGTTGCACCGTACGCGAAACGCGGCGACGTTGAGCTCGTCGTGGCCGACACGAGCATCCCCAACGCCTTCGACAATGCCGTCAAGGGCGTTTCCGCGGTGATCCACGTCGCGATCATCACCGACTTGGTGGCAGATCCCAACGTCGGAATCCCTGCGACCGTCGAGGCGGCTCTGACCGTGTGCCGATCTGCAGCGCGCGAGCCCTCTGTAAAGCGGTTCGTCTTTACCTCCACCTTCTTCGCCGCAGCGATCCCGACGCCAGACGTCACGGAGACCATCACGAATCTCGACACGTGGAACGAGGCGGCTTTGCAGGCTGCTTGGGCTCCGCCGCCATACGAAGCTGACCGAATCATCCCCGTGTACTGCGCTTCCAAGGTCGAAGCAGAGAAGGCAGTGTGGAAGTTCGTCAAGGACGAGAAGCTACCCTGGGTTGTCAACTCGGTCAGCCCTTGCTCCATCTTGGGAGACATTCGGATCGATAAACACCTCCGGTCTATCCCGCCTCAGCTGCTGGAACAGCTGTACCTTGGCAACACAGCGGCGTTGCAAGGAACCCCCGCGCGTGAGTTGCCCCATTTTGAGCGTCCCCTCGTGAGAGCCCGAGCCGTGCAGTGAGGGCAAATGAAGCAAGACAAAGAACTGGCTAACGATTTTCTGTTCAATGTAGTCTACTATTCGCACGTCACCGACGTAGCTGTGATGCATGTTGCCGCCGCACTCGATCCAAATGTCAAAGGCCGACGCATCCAGGTGCTTGCGAAGTCGTTCAATTGGAATGACTGTCTCAAGATCTTGCGCAAGGCCTATCCGAACCGCAAGTTTGTTGACAACTTTCTGACGGGCGATCCCACCTTGGTATACAAGATCGAGAACGACATTGCTCCTAGCTTGATGCAGAAGTGGGCTGGCCGTGACTGGATCAGCTTGGAAACCACGATTGAAGAGACGATGGATTTCATCGTGAAGCATAAGAAGTTGCAGTGACGAAATGGCGGATGCATGGTACCGGGCGCAGGAGAGATGGATATTATTCGGCCTCTGGGCAAGCTTGTAAATTCATCCAACAGGGCATACCAGGGCATCGATCAGCGCCCTGATATCAACCACTCTGTATTTAATGCACTACGACAAAGTTCATTTCGTTTTCCTTCTCGACCAATAGTTTCAGCGTCATGGGAGGGTTGCAAGCTGAGTCAGATTGCCTGCAAGCGCCAATTTGGCCTCGCTCGGGGCATTTTGTATTTAATTAGCACGTCGCCCTTCATTTCAACCACCACTTTTTTGTCTTCTCGCCCCGACCAAATTCACCTGCACACCAGAAGAGCCGGAAGTATACCTTTTACGTACTTAAATTCTACTATTGACATTCATCAATCAAACTTCAAATGGCGAGCACCGAAGAAACCCCGTCGTTGGAAACGCAGCAAACGACGGTGGTTGGGAAGAAGCAGCGCGGTAGGCAATCCAGCCGTCGATCTACCAACAAGCAACATCGGCCGCAGCCCGGAAAGATCCAGTTCATCAACACCATACATCCAGATGAGAGCACCAGCAAACACAGTCTCACAATTATCAGATCCCATGTTGCAAGGCATTCCCGGGCTCTACAACGGGAACGAAAGCAACACCACAATCAGCAATCCAGATCTCTTCCCAAAATCTACTCGGCGAGTCAGCCCATCTGTTCTCGAGCGCAGATCAGACAACATCACGAGGAGGAGGAAGAAGATGAGGATACACACGATATTCTAACACCATGGAATGCTCATAAACGTTTCGTGATGAAGACTGGCGATCGTGCGCTTGCTCCAAAGCCAAAAGAATTGGGATTGCTTCCAAGATCCACCAGCTGGCGGAATACTGATGATTCCAATCCAATACAAATGATCGGTGGCAGTCGCAAAGACTGCTATCAGGGATTCGCAAGGCCACTCTCCGACGAAGAGGATTACCTTTTTGACTTTTGTACGTGAACCCTCATCCTCTCTGCCCGTCTAATTCCCGTGGCATCTCCCCTACCCTGTCCGTTCAGAAGCTCATTCTCTTGACCCTCTACAAAGACATGAACTACGTTATCCTGAATGGCTACAAGGCATGCCATCACAAAGAAGACGACGCCGTATTCACAGCCTCGATGAGAGAAATTTGGGTGCCATTCATGATGACCCAGCCCTGCCTGATGGCGGCCGCCTTCCACGTTGCTTGCCGCAATTACGCCGCCAACACGAGCAACGATAACACAAGGAAGTTTTCCATAAAGAAGCTACAGTATCGGCTCACTTGCCTAAGCATGGCGAAAGATGCGATTGCAACACAGGCCGTGGCGAATGATGCAACCATCGCCCTTGCCTTGATCATGGCGTCCGAATCGGTTTGTGATGCTCTCACTTCCTCCCCGAGATGCGGATCAGGAAAACTAAGGAGACAACAATAGTATTTTGAAGGGGACATGGACGCATATGTCACTCACAGCATTGGGATTATTAGGATGGTTACAGCCCGAGGCGGCCTTGAGACGTTAGGTGTATCAGGCTTCCTCTCCAAAATTGTAGGATGGTCTATATATGACCCGAGACATTTATTGCTGTCGGGTCCAGTGGAGGCGCAATGAAATTGTCACACTGAATGGATAGGATCACACTGATGATGATGAAAGCTCTTGATTTCTAGCTAAGGGACGGGCCTAGAGCCCGTCTTTTATACATAATGAAGACGGCTGCTGCCGGAGGCGGCAGTCCGTCGCCGCCGCACAGGGGCCGGGGCCCTGTGGGTCCCGGGGCCCGGGATCGTGGTCATAGGGCCGGCGATGTGGTCTGAGGAAGAAGGGAAAGTCGCGTTATCTAGGAAATAACCCCAAAATGTAACATACCCCCCCAGCTTGAAGGTATTTAAGCTGTTATCCTAAAAGGAATCCCTATTAGAGGGATAGCTAAGATAGCTAAATTTTGCCCTGTTGAGAGGGACTGTTAGATAGCTTTAGATAGTAGGAAACTACAATAGAAAATAGAAGAAAACAGAGGAATAGCTAGTCTTCGGTATCTGAATCAATCTGTGAGTCGATTACAGCCCTGATGTCAACAAGACCTAGCTGCCGGACGAAGTCTTCGAATTTCTAGCCCGGCAAGGCTTTGGTCAGCCCGTCAGCTAGCATTTGAGCTGTCGGTATGTATTTAATCTTGAAGAGCCGCTTTAGATATCCCTATCTAGCCCAGCAGCTGTGGATGTCAACATGCCTAAGGGCGGTCTTGATCCTAGGGGTCTCGAGGGTCACGAGCCGGATCGTCTGTTGGTTATCACACTCAATTTCCAGCTGCTGGTCTAGCTGAAGTCCTAGCTGTTGGAACAGCCGTTGGGTAGCTAGGGCTTCCTTAGCCGTATGTGTGAAGGCAAGAAGCTCAGCTTCCGTTGAGGAGGTTGTGACTGTATCCTGTTTCCCGGCTTTCCAGCTGATAGGTCCGCCAAAGAGGGATAAAATTGATCCCTGGGATGATTTCCGGCTTATCCGATCATCCGCAAAGCTTGCGTCTGATGCGATTCGAAGGTCGCTGCTGATTTGGGCCGTAACCGTTATCTTAGAAGAACTAGGAAAGTTAGGGTCGCTAGGAAGGTCCGGGTCCCTAGGGCTAGGGTCCCTGCCGTCAAATTGGATCGCCAGATATTGCGTTGCGTAGAGGTAACTGATAACACCGGCTGCAATCCGTTGGTAATAGTCTGAGGGGTTGTTCAGATACTCAGCCAGCTTTGAGGCAGCTTTTGCTATGTCGGGCCTAGTGATGACCGCGATATAGTTAATAGAGCCAACCTTTTGCTAGAAGAAGAGGATTTGGGCTAGTGTAGCCTGAATCGGGCTTGCGGATAGGTTGTTAGTCGGCAGAGGATTTCCCTTAAAGCTTTCCTTGAGGACGATGTTGAATTTGGCTGCGATTTTCTCGATGAAAGAGTCCTGACAGAGCCACAGCTTTCTAGCCGGTCTGTCCCTTAGGATCCGGATCCCCAGGAACCAGGTTAAATTGCCTAGGTCCTGTATTCGATACCGCGTTTTCAGCTGCTGGATCAGCTACTCGGCGGCTAGCTAGTCTGCAGTCCGGTACAGCAAGACGATATCATCCACAAAGAAGAAGACTGTAATCCAGCTGTTGTTGCAGATACAGGAGTCTTCATTAACTTAAGTCAGACCTAGCTGCTAGAAGGTCTGCAAGAGGTCTTGTTGCCAAAGCAAGGGAGATCTGCGCAGCCCGTATAGGGCTTTCTTTAGCAATAGCAGCCAATCAGAACGATGAAATCCATCAGGATAGCGGATATAGACGATTTCGTCAAGGCGGCTGTTGGTAAAGGCGTTGATGGCGTCTAGCTGCCGAGCCTCAAGGTCGAATTTGGCGGCAATAGCCATCAGGACCCTGAATGACTTTCCTGCTAAGGTTGCTGTATAGGTCTCTTTATCGTCATACGGCTGAAGATCCCCTCTAACAACTAGCCGGGCCTTGCATTTGATGAGGAATCCGTACTTGTTGAATTTATATTTCAAGACCCAGGCTACGGGCAGAGCTTTCCCTTCAGCTTCTTCCTTAGGAATAGGCTTGAAGATCCCTTAAGCTTAAAGGTTGTTAATTTCTATATGACAAGCCTGTTTGAATTGGGGCCCTAGGGGATGATTTTCCAGGTTCTTGAAGGTCCTAGGCTCCGGAGGAAGTGTCCGTCTGTGGACCTTTTCCTCTCTTCCAGTGTAAAATGCAGTGGAAAAGCTAGCCGGCTGCCGGCCCTGTTGCCGTTGGGAGCTTCGAGAAGCTGGTCCGTATATTTCATCACATCTACAGCAGCAACGGCGTTGCCAAGGCTGTGGGCTAGGCTCCCTACTGGCTGCTGGGCTAGCTGCCGGACTAGCTGTCAGACTGACTGCCGGGCTTGCTGCCGGACTAGCTGCCAGACTGACTGGACTAGCTTCCGGGCTAGCTGGAGAGCTGGTTGCCCTCGGGGTCAGGTAGGGGCCTTCGTCATCAAAGTCATCGAAGTCATCGAAGTCAGAGGTCTCTTGGTCCTTGGATTGATTGGGCTCGAGGCCGCGGTCTTCATCGAAGTCAGAATCTTCGTCATCGTCAGGGTCGTCAAAGTCAGAGTCATCTGGGCTCTGGTGTTCAAGTGAGACCTCAATCATTAATCTGACCTCTTCGTCATCTAGGTCTTGGGCCGCGGTCCCGGCTGCTAGAAAGACGGTCTCTTCCTCTAAGTCGGATTCAATATGGTCAGGAAGCTGCTGCTATAGCTGCTGTTGAACGGGGCCGGGATTGTCCTTTGGATCATAGAATATATACTCATTGAAGGTTACATCCCTAATCCTTCGGACCTCTAGTCTGCTAGGGACCCAGATCTTATAGATGTTGCTGGAATCGTATCCAATAAGGTAGCCGATTTCTATGTGGGCTGCTGTCTTGAGAGCCCGTTTTTGGGTGCCCTGTAGAGCTTTCTTAGTCAAGGGATAAGCTCTACATCCATATACCTTGAGATGGGCAAGATTAGGCTGCGTTTTGCCTGCGTAGCCGGTATCCCTTCCGTGGGTTTCCAGCCAGTTATAAAGCTATTCAAAGGGAGTCTTCCAGTTGCTAGACTGCTAGAGCAATCTATTATATAAATAGATAGCTGTATTCTAAGTCTCGGGCTAAAGGTCGTCTGGAAGGTAGGCTCCAAGACCTATAGTTCTAGCCTTAGTCCCTATTACCCCCCCAGATCGCTCGGCAGGGCCATTTTGAGCAGGTATGTAGATAAAAGTGGGCTTATCCTCTATGCCTTTAAGAGCTATCCAGTTATCATATTAAGACCACAGAGCCCTATTGTTGTCCCTGTAGATCCTATAGATTCCTAGGCCGTACTGTCTTTAGATAGAAGCTTCAAAGGATTTCAGGGCTACTAGAACTGCTTCTTAAGTCGCCTCTAATAACAGATACAGAAAGATCATACCTGTATATTCATCCTTAATCAGAAGAGCGGCTATTTTCCCGTTATAGCTTGTAGTTAGAGAGAAAATATTAATATAGACACGCTAAAATGGCCTTAGGGCCCTAGCTTGAGAGCTCCGTCTCGAGACCTTTCTTTCTGCCTTGCTAAGGGAGCAGCTTTTGCAGTTAATTTAAATAGGGCCCTTGATCCGGGTCCCTGTGGTCTAAAAGACTAGATATTCAAGGGCAGGGGCATTTAAATAACCTAGCCTAAGATGCCAAAGGGCAGCTTCAGCTATTTGAGTCGGCTTTGGGTCCTTAGACAATTGAAATAATAATGCCGGCTAGTCTGACTATATAACCTCGTTGAATTCGATGACTTATTGACAATGCAGTCATCTAGTTGAAAAGATCGTCTCTATTCCTTTAAAAACAGTCCCTATAGCCGGGTTCCAATTGTATCTCTTCCTAACTAGAAGGTCTAGGGAGGCAATATTTATGTGGAAAGCTGGAATATAGGCCACTTCATTCAGCTAGAACAGCCTATCTTAGACTTAAAGATAAACCTTACTGTAGCCTAGTATTTCTATCTAGAAGCCGCCTACATAGAGAACTTCAAGCTCCCTAAAGAGCTGATATTCTAAAAAATAGAATAGATTGTTATAGATGTAGGTATCTAACCCAGAATCTAGAATAAAGGAATCCTTCAATGGATATACCTTCATCACTGAAAAGGATAACTACCCAGGTTGCTAACCGGGCTGTCATGTAGGCTGCTATCTCGGCCGATAACTGAGCTGCTAAGCCGTCTGCGGGGCCGTCTGCTGAGCCGTCTGTTAACCGGGCTTCTGGACGGGTTATTAACTGGGCTGCTGTCCCGGCCGATAACCGGGCTGCTAAGCCGTCTGCTAAGCCGTCTGCTGAGCCGGTTGCTAACCGGACTGCTAGACGGGCTGTTGCTGTAGTCCCAGGCCGAGGGAAATGCCGGCAAACGCAGATCCTCTGATCTGCCGGCCTATTCCTCGGGCCTAGCTTCCTTCCTCTGGGCTCTCTCGATAGCCCTATTAATTTTTTCCTTCATTTTGGGCTCCTCGAGCCGCTTATTAATCTTAGCCTTAATATCTTCTTTTCTAGTCCATCCGGCCGGTCTGATCCATGTAATCAAGTAAAAGCATTTCCAGTAGAAATGCCGTTTTTCGCAGAGATAGACGGGCTTATTTGAAGATCCTGATTTTGCTGGCTTTAAAGCTAGAGTCGGGGCTGCAGCTATAGCTGGAGGCTGTATCCCTTGAAAGCTGGAAAAAGCAGCCTTACTAGCAGCTAGCTATAAGATATACCTTTCAAACATATTGCTAATCTTAATGCTATCAGGGATTTCCTTCTTCTATTCCAGCTTATTATTAGAGGCAAGATCCTCTATTTTTACAAACTAATAGCCCGTAAAGTTAGGGTTAATATTAAAGATAGCTTTAAGAAAAAGTCGGGTTGGTCTAATACCTTAAATATCTAGAAGGTTGATTTTCTAGGCTTCTATAAGGATCTTCTACTATCTGATAACCTATTGGAATAGATTGGTCCTTTTCGGGCTCTTTAGGATGCCTTGGAATTGAGTTAGAATTGTATCTTTCTTATTCTAGTCTGTAAAATGAGTCTTATTTTTAAGAAATAATAGCTACTTAATAATATCATCCTCATTCTCGCCCTTAATTATAAACTTATAGTTACTAATAGTCTTTAAGATTAGCTGCTAAATAGCTTCTAGAGCCTTGACCTTATCCTAATAGAGCTTGAATTCTATTGAGTATTATTACAAGAGGGCATCTAGAATCTTAATCTTTTCTAGGCCTAAGTCCTTAACTAGAGTCATGCTAGGGTTGGTATCTTATGCTGTAGGCTTAGGAGGGGGTTGCAAGAAGTCCTTATCCTCCTTAGAAGGATTAATAATATCCCAGACGTCAGTAGCTTTGGCCTACTTTCAAATGACGGAAATCCATCTATTCCAATCACCGGGGCTTTGTAAGATAACCCGGGAAGAGCTTTGTGGATCTATTGGGTCCAACAGATAGAAGGTAGCGGCAGCAGAAGCTTTTAATCTAACCTAAAGAGGGATAACAGATCGGTCTCAAATGGTAGGAAAAAGAGGGCTCAAAAGTTCGAGCTAATAGGAGGGCTCATAAGAGGGCTAATTTAATAGCGAGGGCAAACCAGGCGCATAACTATCACACTAAATGGATAGGATCACACTGATGATGATGAAAGCTCTTGATTTCTAGCTAAGGGACGGGCCTAGAGCCCGTCTTTTATACATGATGAAGACGGCTGCTGCCGGAGGCGGCAGTCCGTCGCCGCCGCACAGGGGCCGGGGCCCTGTGGGTCCCGGGGCCCGGGATCGTGGTCATAGGGCCGGCGATGTGGTCTGAGGAAGAAGGGAAAGTCGCGTTGTCTAGGAAATAACCCCAAAATGTGACAGAAATAAGTGGCAATATTTCCTACGTATTCGTATGAATCTCTAGTTGTACTTAGTATCCGATAAAACTTTCGGTATATCTTTAGGAACCTAAAACGACTTCGCGAATTATTACGCGCACATCTCTATTGAGCTACCGGGTTTGGTGACACTCTATCTTCAATCTTTGTCATTAGACATCTAAAAATACAAACCATCACAGGCGTGCTCTTGTAACTGCGGCAGCAAGATATAGCCCCGATGAGTCAACCTGTGTTTTGTTAATATCTCACCATGCCCTCAGTAGAATGATGGTCAAGACTTACATGTGACGGGTTCAGCTGGTCGATCGATGAAACGCCCAACAGAGCCATAGCAGTCTCCACCTCTTGTTTTAGGATGCGAATAGCTCGGCGGACTCCTGGCTCGCCAAAAGCCAGCGCGTAGAGAAAAGCGCGGCCGAGTCCGACCCCCTTGGCGCCAAGCGCAAGTGCTTTCACGATGTCGGTTCCCCTCGTGATGCCGCCGTCCACCATAACTTCGCATTTGTCGAGAACTTCTGGACAATGTTGTCTTATTTCCAACAGCGTTTCGAGTGCTGAGGGTGCGCCTTCCAACTGGCGACCACCGTGATTGGATAGCCAGGGATGGACGCCGTGTTCCATGCAAAGTACGGCATCTTCCCAGCATTGAATTCCTTTGATGACGATTGGTAGACCTGTAATGTCTCGAAGCCATTTTACAGCTGAAACCCAGTCGAACTTTGAGTAGACATGCCTGCTCAACGTTAGTGAAAATTGACATGGAAGTGCTCGGTGTGTCGTACGGGCGTGTTACGGAAATCCCGCCAGATAAGCCCAGATCTTTATCCTCATCCTCGTTTCCGGATGGCTAAATGGGAGTTAATATGATGCTGCTCTTCGGTGTATCCCTACTCACGACAGATTCGGCAATGTTCAATCGCATGTCTCTCTCCCGCTTTCCAACTTGAATCGCATCAACCGTCAAAGCAAAGCCCTTGTACCCAGAAGCAATTGCTTGTCGGATCTCGCGCTCTGTAATTGACAGATTTCTCATCGCATAAATCTGCCAGTACAGGGTTTGATTCTGTCCGCGGGCGTCTGCCATCTGCCTTTGGGTACTGCCTGCATTATTGCAGACCCATTGGAGGATGCCTTCATTCGCAGCTGCTTTTGTCATGAGAACCTCGCCCGTTGGATTAGCAAGTTTTCCGCCGCCAGCTGGACTAATGAAAAAGGGGGCAGAAAATGTGGTCCCAAGCAATTGCGTAGAGGTGTCAACAGCCTCTATAGGCTTCAGAACACGCGGCCGGAATCTAATTGTTTGCCACGATTTCTGGTTCCATATGGTGGTCGTTTCGTCGTCGGCACCGGATTTGAAAACTGGACAGTCCATGAGTAATTTAAAGATCTCCATCTATCGATGCAACTCACAAGCGAAGGCTTTTGGAGGCAAAACCTGAGAGGCTGCCTTCTCAAAGTCGACAACGTTCAAAATTGAGAAGAGCTGGGGACCTGTTTGCTTCACAGCTCCAGGTTCGTCTTTAGGGATTGTAAGTGGAGCCATTGTACCGATAACTTGTCCAATTGTTTGCCTGTGATATGAAAAAACCAATCGTCAACCATAAAAACAATTGCGCCGATACTGTTGTGACTTACTTCGATCCGATATGCTTGTACAATATATCCTCTGAATGAAATGACTCGAAAGCGTCTGTAGCGTCTCGCCCAGCGTGTTTGAGAATGATATGTTGCCCTCCCGGATGCAAGTCCAAAAAGTCCGTAACGTCGTATGCACAGTCTTTGATAATAATCCAACAGCTATCTCTTGTCGTGTGTCTACTGACTTCCAATCTAGCGGGGTTAGAATGGCTTTGGAATCTCGAGATGGGAACCAACAGACCTTGTGACCATGTCGAGAATCGGGCAGCTGTCTACCAATCAAACGGCTTAATTTAGAAAAATAAAAAGACCATAGTTTCGCCATGCCCAGATCCAAAGCTTTATTACCGATAGCAATTCTTATTAAGGTGACTCGGTACGATACGGGGTTGTCCTGAATGGGCGTCGGCCCGGGGTCGCAGCCGCCTTGAGAACGCATCGTAATCCGCGAAAAAGCAATACTTGCATCGGCTCTGTACTTTCGGGTCGATGATTGTCGAATCTGATCTGAATCTCGTAGCTAGCCACATCGTCTTCATGAGTAGTCGGCCAATCGTACACAAGGCATTGATAACGCTAAACGAAGCCAAGGCCGGTAATCTTGGGGTACGCGGAGCTATGGCACACGTTACGCGATGCTCCAGGCTAGTTTCGATACCAAGGGACCCGGACCGAGCCCCTGGTTTATCGGTATCACACGGATGCGAGCCCCGGCATCATTATCGTGATGCATCACTGCGGGGTCTCAAGCTTGGCGAGTCAGGACGGCTGCTTGTTAGTGGAGTATGGATGAGAGGAGCATGGATGAGTGCCTATCTCGCCTGTCACCTGGTTGCCAATTCATGCTCTTGCTTATCACACGCCAGAAACATGTGCAATGACAGGCTTGTTTGGTGTAGACGAATCAACGACGCCAGGCCATAGTATTGAGAGTCGAGACTCGAGATCGCTATCCGCAGCCTGAAGAATACAGCGTCTCTCAACCATCTTATCTTCAACGAACCCTGACCGGCCGCGCTCAATTACGGTACAAAAGTACGACGGCGCGTTCTTCTTTTTTCAGTTGTTCCCCCATCGCCTCATTTCTACAAGTCGACACCCAAGAAAATGGCAACACACAAAGAGAAAGCCGATGTGGCGCTTGCTCTTGACTTGGAGGTATTGCTTCCGCCCATTGCGTTGCTCCCACACTTGGCTAACCACAACTCCAACCAGCGAACCGCGTCTGTCGCGGACGGTTACACTGAAAAGATCATTGAAATAAATCAAGGTGCCAAAAAGGACAAGGCTTTGGCCTTGCTCGCGACGCACCATGTTGCATTCGATGCCAATTCTCCCGAGGCAAAACGAGTGCTGCGAAAGATCGACCAGAGGATTATTCCGATGGTCCTGACCGTCTATGTCCTTATGCTCTTGGACAAGAACAGTCTTTCTTTCGCCAACATCATGGGAATCAAGGAAGAGACTCACCTCTCGGCCAGCGAGTATTCTTGGCTTGGATCAATTGTCTAGTATGTCATCGCTGCCGAATGACTTCGTGCATCACTAATCTTGATCTTCACAGCTTCGGATATCTCGCCGGAGAAATCCCCGTCACATTCCTCATGCAGCGGATCCCCCTGGCCAAGTTCTTCTCCGTCATGGTCATCATATGGGGGGTAATCGTCATGATGCACGCCGTCTGTCACGACTTTGCCACCCTGGCCGTTGTGCGATTTCTGCTTGGCTTCATCGAGGTGTGCACCGCGCCAATCGTCATCTATATTCTCGGTTCCTGGTACACCAAGGAGGAACAAATCTCCCGCGTCGCCATCTGGTATACGAGCTCTGGCTGGGGAAATGTCTTTGGAGGCTTCTTTGCGTGGCTAATTTGGCACGCGAAGACGTTTCGGTGGCAGGCGCTCTTCCTTTTCGAAGGAGGATTAACAGTTGCCCTGGGCGTTATCTTGTGGCTGTTCCTGGCCGCATCGCCTACTGACGCGAAGTGGCTCACGGAAGAGGAAAAGACGATTGCGCTTGAAAGATGCAGAGACAATAGAACTGGCACTGAGGTCTGGAAGTTCAACAAGTCGCAGCTGTTTGAAGCCTTTTGTGACCCGCGATTCTACCTCATCTTTCTCTTGTTAGTATCTACCGGTTTGCCCAATGGTGGTATAACCGTCTTCGGTAAGTGAACCTGTCTTTAGTGAATCCAACCGTCTACTGACAATGGCATCCAGGGCCTTCAATTATTTCTGCGTTTGGATTCACTCCCGAGCAAACGACACTCCTGAGCATGGCCCCCGGCTTCGCAGCCGTGATTGGCACCCTCGTCGCCTTGGCCGTTGCCAAGTATACAAACCGAACAATAGCAGGAATGTACATCTTGGTACTGTCCTGTGTCGGTGTCGTCATGATGTTGACAATCTCGCCCTCTAACCACACTGCCAGATATGGTGGTTACATTCTTACCATGCAATGTAGGTCCAATGCTCAAATCCAGCCATAAACCTTGCGTGAAATGGCTAACAATTAAACCTAAGTTCCCATCTGTGTTCTTTTCATTATCACCTTCATGACCGCTGGCGTTGGTGGGTCGACTAAAAAATTGGCCTTTGGTGCGTCATACCAGCTTGGGTACACAGTCGGCAATATCATCGGGCCGCAGACATATCGAAAATCAGATGCCCCTGATTATTATGCAAGTTCCTCTCTCTCGTATACAATACGTATGTATAACTAACCGCCAGATAGATCGCCAAGTATACGATGCTCGCATTTCTCATCCTGTGCCTTATTCTTCTCGGAGCCATCGGCCTTATCCATACTCATTGGAACAGAAAGAGAGATAAGCAGGATACTCTCGATGCCCAAAGTATGTATTCCCCATTGTGCCAGTTTACTGAGTGGTCTGCTTACCTTTTCTTAGATGGTGTTGTCCATGACACTATTGAAAATGAGGAGTTTGCCGACTTGACGGACTTCAAGATTCGATCCTTTAGGTACCCTATTTAGTCTGGATTCGAGATCAAGGATACCGTGGATCCCCACTTCTGTTCAAATCAACTGGTATTAATTGCTTGGAAATATGTGTAGACCTTGTATTTAGTCATAGTGAGACCTTGAATATGTCGTCGCAGTAATTTATCATTCGAAGTGCTTCGTTGAGTCCTCATCGTCGAAGAGGTTCGTATGTGAATTAATCAAGTTCACTTACCCATCCACTATTTCTCCGCTTTGGAAATCCAAATTACCTTGTCATCTAGAAGGCGTGTGGTTTCTAAATCATTTTCCTGGCCTCATGATTAAATTAAATCGTACAATACACCTCCATGTCTCTTTTTATCTCAAATACGCTCCAGTTTCTAAATTTGCCTTAGAATGCGTCTAATTATTTGCATTATTTACATATTGCAATAACATAGCCATGGTATCATGGAAGGGCGATGGACCGGATCTCTGACCCAAAAGTCATGACCGCCACTTGTGGAGATTATATCAATGACAGCTCCCCATTTACTCATTTTTTTATGTTGGACTTGATAAAATAAATGGGCAGTTCTGTCTTACTCGGTCATACCCGCACCATAGCTATCGCTTGCAAGAACCATTAAAGCCGGCCCTTTATCCTCGAAAACTGAGATTCGACTACTGCTGGAGATATTGTCAGCCCCTATCCCCTCCTCCCCAGTGTCCCTAACTCAGAGGATCAGAGGAAGCCTCATCGCTTACTATTCAAGGCCCTGCTATGAGTGCACGACCGGATGAACTCCAAAAGCTTTTCTGCTTGGACGGAATCTTCCGTGCCGATGGATAACACGTTGCTGTTCATGGAATTAATGGTTGCAGACAATGTCTCATCCCCAGTGGCCGTACCTCAGATGATTATGTTTATCAAGCACGTGAAAGATTGGCAATGTGCCTGCGGGCGTGCTCTTTGCACGGTAAGCATTGAAGAAGTCGATGGCGCCATCGCAAGCCTCCTTGCTATAGAACACACAATTAAATCAGTGAGGCCAGATCGTGGGATAGTGAGTGGAACATACACCTCCCATTTTACAGTTCCAATGTAGACTGGAACCTTGCTTGAGTCACTGGAGGCAATCGTCAGTTCTGTAGAGGTCATAAAGGCCAGTGTGAGATTACAGTAATGGTGAATCTTCAGGAAGCTGTCGGAATAGCCCTAGGGCCGACCGGGGCTGAGATAGTCAGATTCTCTACATCCATCACAGTCAAACGTGCGAAGTACTTACACCCCAGACATCCTCGGCATCACTTCCGTAATAACGTCGCAAGATCTTTTGCCGAATAGGCCTTTCCCTGTCATACCAGAATGGAACGCTCAAATAAATGACACCAGCCACAGGAGGGAAAACATTTCTTTGAGTGTTGCCTAATTTCTGGCGTTTAGTTCAAACCAGTAGAGGTTCTTTCGCTCATATCACTCTTACCTTCAGCGTAGAGATTCATGGCAATGTGAGCACCACCGGATGAGTGGCCCATCAATACGACATTTTCAGGGGATCCTTGGCCATATTTCTTGTGCGAGATGCTCTCATAGATCCACTCTCGGACAAGCTGTATGTCGTCTGCCCCTGCTGGATACTGGGCTGATGAGTTCTCTCCGACATCATCAGTATCATCAGCCTTGTTATAATAGACCAGCTGGTGATTAGCCACCACCACAACTATCCCCTGTTGGGCAAAGAAGTATCCGATATTGGCCCAGCACTTGTGCCTCGTTAGTATCCAATTGATGGGTGAATGGATTGGCTCACATTACCTTTTCACTCCAACCCTTGTCTCCTGAGAAAAACCCACCACCATGCACGAACAATAGGACGGGCTTGCCTACCGTTGTATCATCAAGTGGCGAAAAAACGTCGAGAAGATTCCGCTCGGCTGGTCCATATCGCTCGTCTCTGATGACAGCTACATTCGGCACCTCTTTGTGATGGAAAGGTTCGTAGAGCTCACGCCAAATCTATGAATTGGGCAGTGTTAATTTCTCTATCATGCGCTGACAGTTGGTTTACCTGCTCACCTCTTCGTCGCCTAGTTCGAACTTGGAAGTATCTTGTGCAATTCTGGCAAAGACACTATCCATGATTTCCGAATGACTTGCCGTAGCAATAAACTTGGGGGAGACGTGTGCAAAGATGATGATTTTGACTCGGCAGTTACAGGGTAAGAGGTCTGTATTAAGCAACTTTTCTTCTGCTATTTAATCAAGTTGGAGCTCTACGAAGATGTACATCAATGATGTCCTCTTGTGTCGGCTAATGTACCTGCTGCACTCAAGACCTAGTTCGGAGTAGCATTACCAACATCGTTATCGCGGTGTTGATAATGATGCGGACTTGATTGGATACAACACTACCTAAATAACAGCTAGCCCTATTTAGTTCAAGTTCTCTTATCGACAGGGGCCTCGGACCGAGCCCCTTGTAACATCACAGGATGAGTGATAACCGATGCCTGGGACTTCTCCAAACGCATGCTTCAAAGTAGAGTGTCTTGCACCTAGGTGTTTCCATTCACCAACATTTCTTCAGTGCCTGCTTTATCTACACCCGACAATCGGATAGTATCGTGTCTCTTTGCAGGGCAGACCTGTGGAATCCGGAAATAGACAACCGGGCGCAGCTCAACTTAGCTACCAACATTAGCGGCCCAAGCCAGTGCCGCTATCATGGACCATCTTTGGAGCGCCAGGTTTCTCCGCCATGGCCAATATCCGCTCCAGATCATTGGCTCGTAGCACCCTAACTCAGGCTTAAGCCGCCTGCGTATCTCTATCCGTACCACCTTATCATCGCCTCGCATTTGTCAGTGACCACTCCACAGGCTAATGATGGTTCCCCGCAATTCTGCGCTTCAAGAAAGACGTAACAAGTTTCCAGCGCTTGAGATCTTTACAAGCACAGGTCGGAGGCGTTTCTTACCCCATAGCCCACTGCTTTCCCACATGACCGCGCACCATGCCTCGTCGAAAAGTACGACCAGAGCATCGCCAGCGCTCTTCCAGGGCCTGCAAGTCCTGCAAGGCTTCCAAGATTCGCTGCGATTCGAAGCTCCCATGTGCTGCGTGTATCCGGCGAGACCGACCCGATGACTGCAGTTATCCCGGCCCTGGGAAGCCCCGTAATCACTGCAGTGGCAGCGTGGGAAGCCAGGATTCAATACCTCCCCTACTACCTTCGTCTACGCCATCGACAACGAGTGGCACCCCTCCATCAATCTCGCCCACACAATCCCCTGAGGCATTGGCCTTGGTTTCAATAGCATCGACCACACAGGCTGCTACAAATCATGCCCCTTGTCGAGACTCCGAGTCACCCAAAGAACGGTTTGTCACCGGCTCTAATGGTGAGAAAAGTAAGTCATGATAGTCTCCGCTGCCCAACCACACACGAGCAGTAGATGCTTACGTCTGTGTGAAGTCTACATTGGAGACACAGCTTCTTTGCCCTTCTTAGACTTTTTGCGCCAGAAGTTGAGACCCTTTGTGGGTTCTACAGCATTCACCGACGGCCGTCAGAACGCCATGCTCGAAGACAACGCCGACAAGGCGGAACACGATGATATGAGTCTGTCATTAGAACAAAGACGAGCTTTATTGGAGTCATATTTTGAGGCGGTATGTATGCAAGTCGGTCTTATCGACCCAACTAATAAGCGTGCAGACTAGTGCCCTCTTACATCTCTTCTCGCCGGCTGAATTAGAGTACTTTTTGGAGGATGGCATAGGTTCTTGCACATCCGAGATGAGGAAAATAGATGTTGCCGCTTTGGAGATGGCAGTTGCAATTGGCGCTCAAGCTCGTGCTTCCGGTCAGGAAGACACACAATGTGCTGCAGCCTACTTTACAAGAGCCCGACGCGTGGCATTCGACGGAATGTTGGTGTCACCGAGCCTAAGCATGGTCCGATTATTTGTCCTTCTTGCATTTTATACTCTTGGCGATTGTCAGCAGAATGCGGCCTTCATTTATCTCGGTGTTGCATCTAAAGCAGCAATTATACTCGGTTTACATCAACCGATGAGTTGGAAGTCGGCCCATAAAGAAGAATGGCCACACTCCAGGTACGTCATATGCATCGGTTATTCCTTTTAACCCAATACTGCTGGATTATGTGTGACTGATTAAGGTCGCTAACGCATTCTAGGCTTCGTATCTGGCACAGCTTGTGCATACTAGATGTCTTGACAAGTTCAATTCTAGGGAGACCATGCACTGTGCCCAGAGCTACTCGTCACGATTTAAATTCCTTACCTCTTGATGCAACCCAACCTTCATTCAATGCATGTTTAAAAGGTGCAGCACTATTGGATGATATATGCCGCATATTAAGCAGAGGCGTCATCATTGATGTATCGACAGCAGAAGACCTGCTAGAAAAACTTCGCTTATGGAGTCAAGGCCTACCGCCGTCTCTTCGACAATTTTCGCCTACCGAGACATACTCATTCGATTCAGCAGATCGAAAGACCTTTCTGGAGAAGATACATGTCTCCAGCCTATACTACTTCGCAGTCATTCTCGTCACACGGCCCTTTCTTATTCAACACTTGATGTACAAGCTTCGTCAAAAACCAACAGACGAGCAGAATACTTTGTCAGATCCCAAAACTCTTGCAGATCCAAAGATTGCAGGGTTGGCTCAAGTGTGTATGAGCTCAGCTGCGTACGTTGGTGATCTATGCCAGAAGCTTGCGGTAGTGGCCGATCTATCAGATCTACCGATCGGAAACCTCTGTCTCTTTAAGTAGGGACCCCACCGAGATGAGAATAAGGAGACACATGCTAACTACTTGCAGAGCGTGGATATTTAGTGCTGGTTTAATCCTCGGCTTCTCTTTATTTACTGGGGATTCTCGGCCTGATTTTCAGGACAACTTTGCTGGGGTCTGCGAGGTTCTGAAAAGAATCGGAGAAGCGAACCCTCAGTCAAGGCTTTATAGTGAGATATTGTGCACATTTCACGACACAATTAGGATACGTCGTCAACAGCTTTCTCACAGAGCTCGGCGAGCAGTTGACCAATACATCGATCAGATCCTTGTGATTAACGTCAACGAAGGAGCTGAGCATGGAGGCCCTACTCCGATTACTGATTACGACAACGAAACAGCGCGGACTTCGGGGGGCGATGTCAACTTGGGATTGATTGAACAGGTCGAATGGGACGAGGGTTGGCTCGCACAATATAACTGGGACGATGTGTCCATGCAGTTTTCTGATAACTTCACAATTGATCATACTGCCGGTCTTTTATGAAGGAACATCCGAATACATTTCCTAGGACTTAGAATATAATATTGTTCCCAGACCATAGGTTATCATACCAGAATCCGGCAGTCAAGTCATCTATTCCCCCGGTTCCTTGATCTGAATTCATCTCTGGACTTGTTAGAGCACCATCCATTGTGCTCAAAGTTCCATTGTTAGCGATATACTGCCCGAGAGAATCCAGGTCCCTCCATGAGAACCCATTCAGACTCTCTAGCTCCGCAGTCCAGTCGCCACAATCGATCCTCGGTTGCACAGGTGCGGACGCAAGGGCCATGGCAGATGGGTCTCCAATTGATGTTCTTCTTGTATCCGCTGGGTGTATCGGTCTCCCCATCAACTTACGCCAGAGTAAGCGGAGAGATCGGGCGTAGCGATGGCCTACGCTTTGGGGATTATCAGACGTCTTCTGGAGCCGAGTGATAGTCTCATGGATGGCGCGGCGCATTCCAGTTGTATCGGAAGCATTAATTGCCCCAGCTAATCTGGCCTATGTTTTGACACCAATGTGTTAGTGGTTTCGTTGGTATTGAGGGCCTTTATTACACACCTTAAACAGGAAAACCGCTGCATAGATGACGTATAAATAATACTTGAGTGGCATGTACTTCAGACCCATCACAGGGTCGATGAAGCTGTTCAATGTGCCAAGTAGTGAATTAGCGGCATCAATCGACTCGTAAATGAATCGTGCGTCAGGAGCGGCAGCCAAGTCTGAGAATAGTGGTCCGATGATGGGCGCGGTGTTTGGTGATGCTGATCGGGCCCTCGCCATGGCCCGGTTTATTGTCGCTTGAAATGCAAAGGCGTTGATATATAATCGAAGAAAGTCGTAAGAAAGTACCAGGGACGCCTTGACATGAGGTGTGACTGTAGAGTAATGTAAGCGGACTTGTCTTGGCTTGACTATTGGGGTAACAAACAGCTTAAACCACCCCATGAGAGCTTCCATTTTCGAAGGACGGAGGAGAAATCATCCTAGAGAAGTCAGCTGTGATTACAACCGAATATCATGTCATGTCAACAACGTACAATGTATCTCACGTATTCCCCTCCAACATACAACTGTTCCCTATGGCTCGTGGAGGAGTAGAGGATATCATGAGCATTACTGAACAGTTGTGTCAATTCCAGATGCGCTTGAAATAGCAGCGCGAGATCGTCGGACCCAAGCTTCTGTGCTTTCAAAGAGGGAAAGTCGGCGGCGCGCAGGTTGGTGGATGGGCCAGGTCCACGAGACCAAAACCCCTTGCCGAGTCGGATGGAGACTTGACGATCGCTCATGTAACATGCTATAAAAGATCCAGTGTCAGATAGCCACTGTTAGAAAAACAAGTGTGTCTTACCTGCCCAGGCAATTCGTTTGCGGCTGAAGTTTTGCGATTGATAGTCCTTGTCCTGGAGCAATCCAGTCTGTTCTAGCCTTTGGAGATACCCAAGTCTGATAGCGACACCGACTAGCATCCACGCACCCTGATCTTCTTTGCCACAGCCGATCACGGCGTTCTCTTGCGGATGCTGAGGAACCCATTCGGCAAGAATGAGCATGGCTTCCACGGCGCCGACGGTGGTAGAGCCGGTGTATATTAATTTGGACATGAGACTCTCCATGTGGCGGGAACATGCCTCGTGGACGAGGGCCCAGGTTGGGTCATCTTTAGAAGCAACGGTCAGAATAGCTGTCAGGAGATGTTCTTCCTTCTCAATCCATTCCGACACATCTTCTCCGTCAAAAATGGACTTGTATGCAATCGGGTAGAACGGGTGGAAGTGGTCGTGATAGCTATCATTGTTAGTGGGGTAATCGCCGTGGAATGTTGACTATACTCACTGCTGAACGAGCACAGCAACCTGTGAGAGGGGCAAGATGCCTTCTGATATAGGTGGGTATTGGGCTGCTGAGCCGATCGTGTCCACTGGGATTCCCTGGGCATTCGTGCTGTCTCCTGTGGATCTAGATGGGCCACCGCGTTCATGAGTGTCGAGATCAGCTACCTGAGCAAGTAGATCTAACGCATCAGATGGGTTCAGGAGATCTCCAGACGTAATGCGGCCCTCGAGTCCATCTGAGCTTCCTCCCAGCGGAGGCCGTTCTTGCATGGCGCCAGATGCATCCCCGGGCCACCCTGCCGCCGGCGGTGGAGACTGCCAGTGCTCTAATACATCCGATGGTCTCCGGTTACCGGGCGGTAACGAGTCGGCATGATCGTTATCCTCGTTGGAAGCGTCGTCTTCCCGGACGAAGCTGGCGTCGTGGCCGTGATCATTCGGTGGCTGGGGTTTGTCACGTTGTCCTGAAGACTTACTCCCTCGGACCCGGCGACCACCGCGTCTTGATTTCGCCAGAATGCATTCCCGGCGTTCTTCAACGCATCTCCGACACGGAGGACATCCGGGCAATCCATTGGAATCACTACATTGGGTAAGTGCCTGTCAAGATCGACAATTGCAGCGGTTCCGTCGATCCAACTCACAGGTCACATTTCGTCTTCCTTCCACGGCAAGACAAACATGCACGCGGTGCTCGCCTGTCCTTCTCCGAGGCCATTCCACGGCCCTCAATCAACGCCGGCAAGGATTCCATCGGTCCAATTGACTGTTCCTCCACGTCGGCGATGCTGGTGTGGAGAAGAAGCGCGGGTATTGAAGCAGATGCCGACCAAGAAGAATGCGAATCATCACACGACTCTCAGCAGACGCCGACGGCATGGCTTAATTGAGACTAGTTGCCGACATGGCTTCGCCGGCAATTGACTCGGCGTTTGAGATGGCTTGAACCGAGGATCAATGACGCCCAATTAATTCTTCCATCATCGGCTCCACCATCTACGCGACTAAGGCCACGCGGTTCCGAGAGCGGATGTTGCGAGGTTCCACTCATCATGCCACCACAAGATGCCTTCAATTCTAGCTGATCAAGGGCATTTTGCGATGGTTCACGTGGTGACGCGTGGGGGTGTTCAATTGCTCAGACAGGCGTCGTGTCGTAGTTGAGATTGGTCATGGCTATTCCATCGACGCGTTCAGTCGTCTCATGCCGAGTGCGTGTAAATAGAAGGAGGTCCTTGGCCGAATCACAAATCCTTGACAACCTCGACTGGCGACACGTGGGACACAGGAGATGGCTGAAAATTACACCATATCTCAAATGAAGCGGGTATTAAAGAATCTAGCATATTCTTGTCTATGTGTTCTACTTCAATCCTCCAGCCAATACAAGCTCTTGACCAGTCAAGTACCCTGTCTTCGCGAACCTATTCAGACATCATTAGCTTATTGAACTTCATCAGATCTGGAGTGAGACTAACATTGAAACGACGCTGGAAACTTCGTTCGGCAGGCCTAAGCGGTGCACCGGGATGCTGCCAGCAATAGCCAGGCCCGGATCTGTCGCCATCATGCTCTGCAGATTGCAGTCTTCATTCCATGTCCTAAATTATATGTCAGTCAACAATTCTTTTGCGAATTGATCGTATACTCACGTCTGTTTTGGAGCCGGGATCATTCCAGTAGACCCGATCATCGCGGGCAACACCTAACAAAGTGTGAGCATGTGTCAACGGTGCATTAGATCACACAGGCCATTTCAGCTTGTTTCCTTACAATATTCACAGTGACACCCTCTGGCGCCAATATGGTAGCCAGGTTTAAACCCATTGAGCTGCATTGAGGTTAGCATAGTTGTAGGCTCAAGTGACCGGAACACGTTCAACTTACCAAAGAGCACCCTTTGAAGCAGCATAATGGCAGCCGTTGAGACCACTGCCCCGGCTTGCGATGCTTCCAATCAAAATGACGCGACCCCATCCTTGCTTTCGCATTCCCGGCAGGCAAGCTTTCGTCACGACAAATTGACTACGGGTGTTGACCTCGATCATCTCATCCCAGTCGTCTTCCCCAATGTCCTTGATGTCGCGAATTCGACGCCCCAAACCGGCGTTGGCAACCAAGATTGAGATTGCGTTATGCTTCTCAGCGACTTTTTCCTGTGCCAAGACTCTGTCGACCAGTGTTCGCGTCGAGTCACGAACAGACAGATCTGCGGATACAGTTACAAACAGCTGCGAAGGGTGCTTGTCTGTAAGTTCGCGCGCCAAGGATTCTGCTTTTTCCTTGAATAGTGTTAGTCCACATCCTTCTCCAAATTTCCCTCCAAACACATACCTGACTTGAAGAATAGTGCAGTGCAACATCACATCCGTCGGCAGCCAAGGCCCTCGCGCAAGCTGATCCGATTCCGCCACTAAGAATAGTTAAACACCAACTGATTTTCTAGAATAGAAGATGCTGCAAACCTTGATCCAGTCACCAGGGCTAAGCGGCCTTGCACCCGGTTATCAGCGGTCTGAAGCTGTAGAGCAGTCATAATAAAGGTGATTGGTGAATTAAGCGGTATGACGGTCGCTCCAAATCCGGTGAACGCGAGTGGTGAAGAGTAATGCTTGAAACATGCTTCATTATAAATGGATTAGTTTCTATGGGCTTGACCAGTCCCTCTTCTTTTTCCAGCTTCCGGGTATTTCTTCATTCGCCGATCCTCAATTGCCGCAACCCACAGCGACGGTATTTGCTGCGGCCCCTTTCAGCTCCACCTGTTCGCTCAACGTGATCACGTTAGTGCGAGATGACATTAATTTCATTGACTTTCGAATGCCTAGCCAATGGCGGACATATTGACATCACTCCAATAAACAAATCCTTTCCATCACCTCGCTCTTGACCGTCCCGCAAACAGACACGATTGTGTCGCTAGCATCCACAGTCATGACATCCTCCTCTGCAATGTCGGGCTCCTCAAGACTGGCCAGCTGGCTGTCAACCATATCTTCCTTCATGTAGTGGCCTTTTCTAATCCTCACCCTCAGCAACAGAGCATCCGATGAAACCTTCAAATAGACGAAACTCATAAACACTCCCGGACTCCGTAGCGCTAAAATGCGTATGACATCCCGATGTTTTCGTTTCAGCGCGCTGCACGAGAGCACCACGCCTACAGCGTTGTTATCTAAGGCGCTTCTGGCTGTGTCTCGAAGGCGAATCAGCCAGTCCCAGCGGTAAGCCTCTGTGAGAGGAAGGCCGTCGCTCATCCGCTGGACGGCGTCTTGAGTATGATACTGGCCAGTAAATGCAATCAGTTTCAATGTTCAGGTGCGTGCTCTCAAGGAATTATTACATTGTCGCCTTCGATGTAGACATAGGCAAGGTCTGAGGCTAGTGATTTAGCAATAGTGCTTTTTCCACTTCCTGCCGGGCCACATATCACCACGACGTGGTTTTGTTTACTCATTGCCATTCTGAAATACAGTAATATGAAGATGGTAGCTGTTGAGGGATGGAGGCAGGATGATGGTATCCTGTCTCATCCTGGAGTCAAGACGGCGCACTCAAATAGCTGAATAGTTGAATCGCTGAACTAGCCGGTGTCAACGAGAGGCTGTCTACGTCGGTTATTGCCTATTCTCGGGCTTTCGACGCCCTGTCTGTCGGACTTACGGCGTATCCTAAACATGTTAAATTGGCTCCGGCGTTTGAACGGCAATTGAACCACGTCTTCAATCGCCGAGTTCCGAGTCTAGAACCCCAGATCACTCCATCCCCCAGAATCAATACCCCGCATGATCTGTGGAGACCCCACAATTCTCCAAGTGTAGTCACGCGTCGGCGCGAGACGAACGCTCTTAAATGTGGATATTTCCGTTGTTCTCCTGAGAAGTCGTTCCATGCTCTCTGGGTTTATCCTTCTCCTGACCATTGATCAGGTTTAAACTTATCTCACTGGGAGCGGGAACAACTTTGACACGACTTTAACAGCCTCAATCACACGTCGTCAACATGGCTGGGCCTGAGCTGCAAGGGCGTGCGCTTATTTTGACCGTCAGTGTACTGACGTCTTTGGGGTTTATGTTGATTGGATTCGACAATGGTTTGATGGGAGGCCTGGGTGAGTTCCAATCCATCATATCTCCCGTTCTGTGGAATATGCGGCTAACTTCGTTTTTGTCAGTCAACTCGCCTTCGTTCATTTCGACTTTTGACGCCCCTGGATCCGACATGATTGGACTTATCGTCGGTATCTACGAAGGTTGGTGTATCCATTCCGTCGAGCTACTTCGGAAGTATTACTGACACATTGTTTCATGTAGTTGGTTGTTTCTTTGGCTCCATTGCGTCAGCCATGTTCGGAGAGAAGCTGGGTCGTCGTCGAACTATTGCCATTGGCTCGTGGATCATGATCATCGGTGCTGTCCTGCAAGCTTCTGCCTATGGCCGACCTCAGCTCATCGTCGGACGAATTGTATCCGGCGTTGGCATGGGTATCATCAACTCCACGGTGCCTGTTCTTCAGGCCGAGTTCAGCCCCAAGTCAAGCCGAGGAGTTTGTACGTTGGCTCTTCCATCCAACAAGAATAAGCTGCTAACTAGAACACAGATGTTTGCGCTCAGCTATCCACTCTGAACTTTGGCATCTTCCTTGTCTACTGGATTGACTATGCCTTCTCCAGCCACACCGGTAGCTATGCCTGGAGAGTCCCCGTCATTCTTCAATGCATCTGCATCATCCCCATACTGTTCATCTTGACCCTCATTCCGGAAACCCCAAGATGGCTCGCCTCGCATGATCGCCCAGATGAGTGTCTCGAAATTCTGGCAAGAATTCATTCCGCTCCCACCGATAACATTGAGGTGCAACGTCTTCACAACACCATCATCCAGACAGTCGCGTATGAGGCCTCCATTGGCGCTGGTTCCTGGAAGGATCTCCTGAAGAACGACCGCATCAAATCCCAGAAGCGACTGCTCATCGCCTGCGCTATTCAGAGTTTCCAGCAGCTTGGAGGAATCAACGCCATCATCTGTAAGACCCAGACTTCTTCCTACAGCTAGGTACCGCGAAACGACGACGCTAATTCTTTGCAGACTACTCAAGCACTTTGTTCGAGCACAGCGTCGGCTTCAGCCCCAAAATGTCCGCACTCATGTCCGGATTTTTGCAGACTTGGTTCTTCGTCGCATCGTTCATTCCCTGGTTCTTGATCGACCGTGTGGGCAGAAGACCATTGGTAAACCCATCTCATCTCCGGCAACCTCAAAACACCCTTGCTGACTTTTCTCAAGCTCCTGTCTATGATCAGTCTGATGGCGGCAGTCATGGCAATCCAAGCGGGATTGATCTACCAAGTCCAGAACAATACCGCAATCGCACACGCAGCAGGTATCGGAGCCGCAGCCATGCTCTTCGTGTTCCAAGGAGCTTTCACCGTGGGATTCCAGGCTACTGTCTGGGTTTATCCGTACGTCTCATGTCAATTGTGTGCAAAAATATGTTACTAATAAGTTCTAGATCCGAGATTCTCCCATTGCGCTTGCGCCAGCGAGGTTCATCCATTTCCACTGCCGCAAACTGGATCTTCAACTACGTAAGCTACATTCCCATCCCATTTCAACTCCAACCTTTGTGTCTCTAACCTCTGGATTAGATGATTGTTCAAATTACGCCTATCGCAATTGACCGCATTGGCTGGAAAACATATATCATTTTCGCCGTCCTCAACACCGCCTGGGTCCCGATCATCTTCCTCTTCTTCCCCGAAACCAAGGGTCTCGAGCTTGAGGATGTCGATCGCCTTTTCTCCGGTGAGAGTGTTATTGAAATGCTGGATGAAAAGCCAGGTGCTGTGATGGCAGTAGAGGACATCCATGGTAGTCAGCGGGTGTAAATAGCTATCTTAGCACGCTGCGCATCGTTCTACTAGTTGAGATGAACTAGTGGATTGATTGTATGATGAAGTGGCACGAAATGCAAATATATTTGTACGGCCAATAATTGTATCGTGTGGTCCGATTCGCCGCATTGACATCGCATTGAAAAGTCCTTAAATATTGTGCTCACTTGACAATGCTCGCGGGTTCAACTTATGGAAATTCTCACATTTCCATATCGCTTTCCGATGTTCATGAATTAGCTAATTCAATGAACTTTAAGTCCCTGTACTAATACCAATGCATTTCCTAGCGACGCGTTATGAGACATGCTACGTGACAGTGCCGTCAATTGACTCGGTTCGAAGTGAAAATAATATTTGAGCTGTGAGCTTTCGGCAATAATTATCTAGGCTGCATGTTTTTATTTCCCATCGTCTTGGAGCCTTTATTGTATCCCCCTATATGATAAATAAGAATTAATCGCAGGTTTCTAGGGCGCTTCAGCCCATCTTCTTTGTTCTTAATGTCCAATTGGGTGAGCGAATGTCCTCTACAACTTGTGTCTAGGGTAAGGCTCCTTACCGCGATGCGATTCCGCCGCGCTCGGCCGTGCGCTTGGTCATTTTAATATCTCAATCTATAACACCAAGGGCCAGCGGATCCTTTGGCTAATTCTGGTAAGCTCGTTTTCAGATATGGCGTGTTGAGTAGCATAAGGCGGTGACGTGAAATGGCATCGGCAATTGATTCAGTTGCCGATTGCCGACGTACACAGACGAAACAGCCAATGCCGATTTCCCCGCTACCAAAGCGTCTCTCCAAATCGCTCCACGCCTTGCTCAATCACCGGGATCTCGACTTCGTATTCAACAGCTTAACACTGTACCTTACTTCACAAGCGGGATAGACTCCTCCGCGACAAACGAAACCATGGCAGCGTATCCACGAGAGTTTGTCTGCCACGACGAGTCGGCTACCGCTCTCTTTGGTGAATCCCCGCAGTTGGAGCTGCTCCTTGAGAATACCGACTATCCTTTTGCACACGAAGCTAGTGTCTTTATCCAAGAAAACAGGACGCTGTTTATCACCAGTAACCAATTTGAAGATGTAAAAACCGGGGAGCGAAAGATTCAGATAAGTCGTGTTACGCTGCCGAAAGAGGGAGGTTCTGCTTCGTGCGAGGAGATTCATCCGAGCGATGTGCCGATGGCGAATGGAGGCGTGAACTACAACGGCGGCATCTTGTTTTGCGCTCAGGGAACGCTGGATAACCCGGGTGGCCTCGCATTCATGGAATCCCAACCCCCATATCGCTCCCATTCTCTGATCACCTCATACCACGGCCGGCCGTTCAACTCGGTCAATGACGTCGTGGTACACTCTGACGGATCAATCTGGTTTACAGACCCAATTTACGGCTCCGAACAGGGCATCCGACCGAAACCTAGGTTGCCCAACCAAGTATACCGATATGATCCTCAGAGCGGGTCGATCCGTGCTATGGCGGACGGATTTGGCCGTCCCAACGGGATTTGCTTCAGTCCGGATGAAAAGACAGTCTACGTGACTGATACAGACTGGATTCATGGCGATGGGACGACAGATGATTGTCGCGCATCAAGCATGTTCGTCATTTCTAAGATTCGTGACGCGTTACGTGCCTTCACTAACGACAAGTGTAGATACGCATTCGATGTGGCGCTGTACTCGAATTCACCGTTCCTCACAAACCGAAGGCTTTTTGCCATGGCTGACACTGGGATCCCCGACGGAATTAAGTGTGATGTTCATGGGAATGTCTACAGTGGGTGTGGCGATGGCATCAACGTATGGTCTCCTGGAGGAGTCCTGCTTGGAAAGATCCTTGTTGAGGGTGGTGCTGCTAATTTTTGTTTCGGGGCTGATGGAGAAGTGTTTATCTTGAATGAGACTCGCATTTGGAGAGCCCAGTTAGCAACTTCAACAAAAGGAGCCTTGCTGGGGATTTAATTAGGGTCTATACACCGAGCATTGCAATGGACGACCGGCGCCAAAGGATATCAAGACGCTGACATTGGAGAAGACGTATGTCATCGCTTCCGTATAAAGTGCGCCATCTGGCTTCATCACCACGTCATCGCTGACAATTAACCAAAGCGGGCCGTTGAAGGTAACAACCCAAAAAAGGCAGGTCACACCATTATTTCGTGTCATTTAAAGGGCGTCCATGAGTCACTCCGGCTTTCCCCTCTCCTGCTTACGAGTGGACATGTATTATATAGGACTTGATGACCAACACCAATTACCCCAATATCATGGGGCAGATACGGAGTACTTTAGCATCTTTTTCCAGTCCAGCCAAACACCATAATACAGAATGCCGTCCCCGATTTTCCCCAAAGTCCTACAGCCTGGTGCAACGATAGCTTTCATCTCGCCATCGGCACGGCTCAACGATGAGTTGCCTGATGTAATGACGCGGGCGACTGCTGTGCTATCAGAACGAGGCTACAACGTTCGCACGTTTTTCAACAAGGACACAGGCATCCAGTCGTCAATAAGCAACCGGCTGTCAGAAATTCGGGCTGCCTTTTCAGATCCCGACATCTCTGCCATCATATGCACAATCGGCGGTCCGTCCTTCACCGAGTTGTTGCCGGCCTTGATTGCCGACACGGAGCTGCACGATATCATTCGCGCCGACCCGAAGATATTCGTGGGCTTCTCCGACATCACCGGCTTCCACTGGTTCTTACATGCGCTGGTCGGTCTGCGCACCTTTTATGGACCTTGCGCAATCCCCGAACTTGGCGAGGCAAATTCTGCGAGTGACGAGCAGTCACCGCTTGCGTTCTGCGTCAAGCATCTTTTCCGTGCCATTGCATCGCGCGAGCCGGTCGGGGCGATCCCAAAATCCTTGACCTACGCACCGAAGCTTGCTGCATGCTTCAAACACCCAGCCTCTCTGTTGGCGCCCGAGCTGGCTAAAACTCATCCCTGGAAGTGGCTTCGGCCTGGAAAGGCCGAGGGCCGACTTTTCGGCGGCTGTCTCACCGTCGTCGCGCGCCTGAATGGGATCCGCGCAATTGTTCCACAGTGGCGAGGCCGGATCGTATTTCTCGAGACTGCCATGGGGGATGATGGGGACTCGGGGAACCCACTCAGTCGAGTTCAGGCTGGCTTCGCAGACTTGATAGCCCAAGGCGTCTTCGAGGAGGCGGCGGGTTTAGTTGTTGGCAGGCCATTCGGGTATGATTCCGACGAGGCGAGGCAGACCTACGCCGACGTCATCACAGGATTGCTGTGCGAAGGGAGGCTGGCAGAAAAGAAGTTTCCCATTTTGTTTAATGTCGATATTGGACACACAACCCCGATGGTCACACTTCCATTCGATGCATTAGCTGTACTGGACTCCGAGAAGGATGTTTTTGCAGTCTTAGAGTCTGGAGTCGTATAAGTACAGTCAAAGCTGTATCACTCATTAATAAAAACGAAAATATGAATAAGAGGAGACGCATGAGCAAAGAAAAAGTCTATTGTGGATAACACTCCCCGCGTAGAGCAACTTTGCTATCAATGGACAGATAACATATACTCTTTTAACACCACTATCCCCCCAGAAGATATCCAGATCACAGGCTTGGAACCCAACCTAATTCTTCTATCGGCCAGATAATCCATCCTCGGTGTTCCTCATCCAATGCCCCATATATTCCAGTCATCAAGTACTCCACCCAACCATCAATCCACCATCGGTTTGGAATCCGATGGAGAAGAACACAGAAGTAGGCCAATAATACAAGTGCCTCTTGTTCCTCGTTTGCAAGTAGTGGGATGACATCTTCAGCTATAAGTATCCAGTAGAAGATGTCCACCAAATCTTGCTGGTACGGATCCTCATAAAACATACCAAAGCTCTCGTTTAATACTTCAGTTGCGGAGTTGTAGATTGATCGGCGCTCTGGATCCATAACTGACTGATCCAGTAAGAGTTGGAGATGTTGCAAATAATCCACATGAACTGTTTGCTCTCTGGCTGCAAGGCGTTGCCTACTATGCATCATCATCGGCGAAAAGAGGCCCTGGGAGACTTGAGCTTGAAAAGTCGTGATAAAACCTCTGCACCCCCGAATCAACACCATCCATGGTGGAGGGCACCAAGAATCGGTTCCACGAGGACCTGCAAATCCTATGCTGCCTTGTCAGTAAAAACCCTCGATCATAAAGCATTGAACTCACCAAAATAAACGGTCAGAACAGAAAAGGCAAACAAGCCGTCACAATTCTTCTCATCGAGATTGTCCATCAACGCCGTAGCTATCCTTGACGCATTCTCATGGTATATTAATGCTGTATCGCGAAGGAAATCTCTCCGCTCTGGGCAAAATCGTTCCAAGTGGAGAGCGGAGACGGACAGGAGTGCAAGCATGGCATAGTCGCATGAGAAGCAGAGCTTGACTATACGGATTCGCCACAAGTCTCTAATCAAGGCATTGTCGGTGAGTGTTGCGTAAGTAGAAGTAGTGAAGTGATGTAGCAACTCGAGATCGACCATGTTGGGATTCGGCGAAGGCGGGGCGGCTGGAGGGTTAAACACCAGGGGCAGATCCGTAAACCGACAAGTCTCGCCTCGCTTGAGACAGTTTCTGCAGTAGGGTTTCTCCTCGCCGCACTGATGTTGCTAGTCAGTACAACGACAGAGTAGAAGAGATGAAAGCGGTCGCATATGGGAGTAGAAAGATGGCCGTTGATACATGTCCAAGTGCTGTGGCAAGCCGCGGCCGCATCATGATGGTACCATCGATTTCATGCACCGGACCCCCACGGTTACGATAGAAAGTACCCTCACACAGAGAAGTGAAAAGTGTAGCAAAATAGCAACCACACAAGAATCCAAACATGCTAGGGAAGGCCAAGGCGGGAGAGTGGGGGATGGTGCCAAGTGAGCGTCACTAACTTTGATCTTCCTCCGCTTACACACAGCGCATCCCGTGCGCGTCTTTGTGTGGGAGCGCCTCGGTTTCACAGCGGGAGGGCCTGAGGCCGACGAATCCGGCGTGCTTGTCATTGTATCCGGATGCTCAGGAGTGATAAAGCAACGAACATCTGGCGTGTTTGGTTGAACGAAAGAAGGATCCGGGATGAGAGCGATGTAAGCTAGCAGACCCTGAATGTGGCCCCGCTCCAACAGGCGACTCTAACAGTGGGACCGATACGAAATGTCCGAAGATCGACGGGTCTATGCGAGACGTTGCGAGTCCGCTAGTCTCGCTTTGGTGGTGGCTGAGCCTCAGATTCCCACCCTTCATGCTGAGAAATGAGTGACCAACGTGGCTGGCATGTCTTCCTTACGTGTCTCATGTAGCACGTTGGCAATCGCTTACCCGGAAGCATGGAGGAAACCGTGTGCAAGTCATTCCAACATGTTATCCTGGACCGTAGAGCCTGACGGAATTATGCCGTGTGTCACGAGGATGTCGCATAGAAATCTACAGATTGCCAACTGTGTTCCCGCGATTGGCAAACTGCCAGCAGTAAAGCCACGACTTGAACGCTGGAATAGATTAAAATCCATCCAGTTGATCGGGAATATCCCTTGTTGATCTACCCCTCCAGAGCCATTAGCATGGGTTTGAACACCCCCATAAACAGTCTAGTGGTTTAAGCCTTACGTCGAATACCACACTTGTGTTGCAATTCTTTCCGAAGTATGCGAGAAAATCTAGGATGATGCGATTGGATAAAAAATCGGGGTGGGATTGAACGGAGCGCACACAGTAAATGGGCATCATCTCAACTAAAGTAGCGTCAGATTTCCATCTCCGATATCTTCACACACAATCTTAGCGTCTCAAGTCACGGTACCTCTGCAGCTGGACATCAATGTTTTATAGCGATTGTGAATTTGCCAGAGATGTGGCGATCTATTATGCTGGTTAGCTTCACGTACATATTTCTACCATTTTCTACTGCGTAGGCATCAAGCTTATGCTTTGTGCTTTGGCTCGAGACCATTGCTATCTTGTGTGTCCACACGGCCACTGGAAGAATATCGTAAACGAGCAGATGCGAGATCTCATCCGAGAACGAGCCGCTATGCCCGATTTCATGTTTTGGGTGGCGGAGCCGCACCCCAGTACCGGCCGGCCTCGAAAAAGGTCCACTTTGTGGCAAGGACCTTGAGTCGAGAGTATTTATTCATTCTGTCTCGCTCAGCTGAATGGTATTCTTCCAAACCACCTATACACTCTCTACTTCTCGCCTTCATTCGTCATCTTCTTCGCAACCATGGCCGCCGGCAATGATCTGTTCAAACTCTACCGCTATGACCCGTCCATGACGGCGGCCGTCATCTTTATCATCCTCTTCTCGGCCATTTCAGCTTTACACACGTATCAGTTGGTTCGAACCAAGACTTGGTTTTTTATCCCTTTCCTCATAGGGGGCTATTGTAAGATGCATGAACTTGACCTGTACTTCTATGGATCTTCAACTAACATCGTCATCCTCCGACAGTTCAATTTATTGGGTACATTGGTGTGAGTATACTCCTTTCCCTGGTTTCCTCCTAATTTTTAACCCCTTCGATTAGAGAGCGGTCTCGAGCAGCCAAAGTCCCGACTGGACTGTCAAGCCTTATATCGTCCAAACTCTGCTACTCCTAGTGGCACCTGCCCTTTACGCTGCCAGCATTTACATGATTCTCGGCCGAATCATCCTCCTAACCGACGGTGAACAACACTCGATCGTCAAAAGAAAATGGCTGACAAAGCTCTTTGTCTGCGGTGACGTCGTGTCCTTCTTTATGCAAGGAGCTGGTAAGATCTAGTTGGTTTGGCTCTATACGATGTGCTAATAGCGGTATAGGTGGAGGCATCATGGCCAGTGGCACAGTAGAGGCTTTGGAGACTGGGGAACATATCATCATTGGTGGTTTGGTGGTACAGATTGTTGTCTTCTCCCTCTTCGCTGCTGTAGCTGGCATCTTTCACAGGCGAATGTGGCTGGCTCCGACAACAAAGGTCTTGACCGGCAATATTCCCTGGCAGTCGTACCTCCATACCCTTTACGGAGCGAGCCTGCTCATTATGATTCGTTCACTATTCCGCTTGATTGAGTATGCGCAAGGTAACGCAGGGTATCTTATTTCTCATGAAGTCTTCTTGTATATCTTCGACAGCGTCTTGATGTTTGGGACAATGGTCTTGTTCGCATGGTACCACCCTAGCGAGATCAACGCCATGCTGAAAAGGTCTGGAGGCAAGGCAATCCGGCGAGCAATCTCCCTTTATACATTGGTCTAGCATGGAGTACAGGGTGTGTTAGTACATAAGGTTTTGTTCTTGTGGGCTATCTGAGTAGAAGAGCGAACGAGGCTGAGCATTCCACTGGGGAGATTTATTTTCTGCTTATTGTCATTATATAGAGAGTATTAAAAGGGTGTTATTAATTAATAAACAGTATCCGGGTTGATACAAATATGTTTTGCCATCTCATAGCAATATCTGAAGCTTGATCGTGACTCAGAATAAATTAGTTTCAAGATCTCTATGGTGATGGGAGGGATGTTTCTTCTATTAAGGACTGCAAGAAACTCTAGATTAAATACAGATTCCAAGCAGCTACATGCTAAAAGGTTCCAACTAGCCATGAGGAATCGAAGATTTGCTCCAGGACTCAAACAGAATCGAGCTTCCCCTACATGGAAGTAAGGTAACCAAGAACATCCCTCTCGTTAGGTTCAGGTGCACTGTTTGTATAGGAGAATATGCTGAATCTCCCGAAAAAGCATAGTTCTCTGCGCAACAGCCTTCCAACAGATGTCCGCGTAGCGTTAGCTAAGCGGGCGTCAAAGAGCCACCGCCCGTGAGGGAGATTGTCTCGCCACTAGAAGAGGAACTTCCGAGGCTACCATAGTATATAGTGTAGCCGTTACTGTTGATGTTGGAGAAGCTGGTGTCGTCGTCCTCAAGGGTTGCGACGTAGGAGTCGCCAGTGACCTCCCAAGTGGAGCTTGAGTCCAGGACCAGGGTCACGTTGGATGCTAAATCATCACCATTGACAATGCCGGTAAGTGTACTGCTATCAGCTAGATCCAACTCCAGTGTGCTGATGTCGTCAACGTAAACATCACCGCTGACATCGACTTCAGAGAGGACAATCGTGGCGTCGCCGCCATTGCTGCCGGAAGTTCCCCAATCATCTGTAGAGATATTCGCGAGAATTCCTGACTCAAGAGAGATGGAAACGTCGGTGAGGTACACATAAGCTTCGATATTGCTAACAAAGACCAATCCATATGTACCCCTCGTTTCAGAGACGGAGCCGCCGTTGACATATGCATATGCAGTGCTGCTGCTTGAAGGAACAGTGCTCATAAACTGAAAGACTCCATGCTCATTGGGGGCGGCCGATATTTCGGGATTGTTGAGAGTCCACGAGTTGGAGCCGTCGATAACACAAGCCGGGGATTTGGCCGTGGTTCCCGTGAGATTTTCCACAGTGATGTTTCCCGTGGAATAGACAAGGGCAGATTTCGAACCATATGTATACACTTGTGCATTATTGACGATAATTGTGCCACCGCCGGTATCGGTGGCTATCGCACTGCTCGAGGTACCGTAGGTGCTGCCGGTGAGGTCTTCGGCATAAATATAGCCACCGGCAGTGTAGATTCCATGAGCAAATTCGCCCACACAGTAGAAGTCCAGGTTGTATAGATAGGCGTAGGTTCCATCTTCGTATGTGTGGAGAGCATTTGACCCAAGGTCTTCGGTTTCAATGTAGCAATCAGTCAGGTAGACGGAACCTCCCTCCTGAATAGCAATGGCTGCGTTTAGGGCTGACTGGGAGGTATCTTCCGTGCTCGACGTGTTGCCGGATTTAACAAAGGTCACGCTTGATGCATAGGCAACTCCTGACTCCTCTACCAGCAGGACACTTTCGTCTGTTGCAGTGGCCGTGATGGTAGTCGAAGTGATAGTAGTCGTTGTCCCGGAGACTGTGACAGCTGCAGATGAAACATAGACCGCACCGACAGGACGTAGTATGAAGCATACTGCACCCACGATGAGGAAGTTGAAGAAAATATGCTGAAATCCCATGGTTGCGTTGTAAGGATGTTGGTAAGATGAATGTTTAGTAAAGAGGATGAGTGGAGTGGTTTAGCATCAAGATGGAAGGTTACAGGATCTTTTATAACTGAGAGCTATAGTAAGTGTAGACCATCCTCAGACTAATTATGGACTTTTTGAAGGGTAGCATGAATGTGGAGCCGAGAACTTGTCCCGGATGGTGAATCCCATCTCATCTAAGAGAGCAGGGCAAGGCATAATGCTGGATTATGGGAAAGATTTCGGCATGTGGAGCCGAGAGCTTCAGCCGGGCATGGAATTGCATCACTATCCATGGGATCATAGATTAGATATCACACTGGATGTTAGAGAGAAAGTGTCGGGATGTGGGAAAGATGTTCAGATGATGTTTGCTGTCTGTTTCCAATACCGAAAGATGTTCTCAGCCTCGATGTTAAGGATTTGTGCGGGGTCCTAAATGACCTCTGGATAGCAATTTGTTGGATGAACCTTACTGTCTGAAAAGTTAGGTATATTGACCATTATATCTGTGTTCCATGGTATGATATCGTCGATCCGGCAATAGCTAATCTGCTGTCTGGCAATGAAAGCCCGCAGGTGCGTCAACCATGGTGTATGCGAGCTTATAGTGCCGTATGTACTATTCCCTCTAGCACTTCTCGCGTAACTCGGATAGGAATGTTTCTAATGGGAATTTTGGGCCACGTACCGAAACTATTGACTGAAATGAGTGGGGTGAATCTGGGGTATTCTTGTTCTCCCTTCGTCATCACAAGGTGTATCCCGATTTGACTACAATTACCATTCGGGTCCACATCGGACCCTAACATCGGGCACTAATTGCCTAATTATCATTATCGGACAAATCTATTGTGTTTCTGTCCACCTTCCGAAGTTAAAGTTGCATCATGACCCAGGGTTGGGTATTCAATGGTTCGTCCGGTAGAGGAACCACCGTATTATCTATATTGCCTAAACTTTGGACTTATTCCTCCAATCAGCCATTTAGTCTTCGGCACTCTATATTGTGCTAATCCAAATGCGATATAGCCATCTCACTGACCTCCTCTCCTGGTCCTTGGGTTACATTGACGAATAGTAGAGGACACACCAAACCTGGGGTTTGCGGGGTAGAATTGAGCATGAACACGCGTCCCTGCATCGGATGACAAGGACATTCCGGGCAACGAATCTTGATTATGTGAAATTATGATCGTACATCCTATTCACTCACCGTTCCGCACATCCCGTCGCAGTTTGCAATTTCGTTCAGGTTAAATGACATATGGGTGAGGGAAGTGAAGTCCACCATGACCGTGAGGGATCGTATTGAAAGCTGTTCTGAAAATGAGACAATTTCCTTCAACTCCCTATTACTCCTGGTAATTCTTGTGCTAACTTGCGCCTGTACGTATCTTCAAAAATCTGAACCTCTATTAGCTCTATTCCCTACATGAGACTGGAAATACTGGACAACCCAATTCTAGTTGACCTGAAGTTTCGGCGAGGTTTCATCGTGGGACGTTCTATCCATTGTCACTTGCCTGGCAGTCATCAACCCATTCGACTACGTCAAAGAGCCATCTGACCCAAATAACCCAACCTCTCGCCAAAATCCCGAATCTCTCACTGGAGCCATCGACTGGGTAGATAGCACTCCAACCACAAGCTTACCTATGAACGAATATGCGCAATGCCTATGTCATGATCAATATCCAAATATGCGTCGCAGTGCTTCAATGTTGAAATCTATCGTCTAAGTTGGTTCTAATTCTATTTCCCCATAGTTTTAGCAGTCGAGTGTCTTATAACAAAAGACTAATGATGACGGGTACTAGTAACAAGAGCAGGAATAATGGTGACGAGGTTACGGCTTGTACCAGAGGCAGATCGCTTCCGCTTTCATTACTGTCACCGCTGTTGCTGTCACTGTCGTTTTTGCTGTCGCTGCTGTTGTCGCTGTCGCTATCACTGCTGTTGCTGACCACAGCAGATTCCTCCCGAGTAGGATCAGCTCCAACCGGGTCCTTGATCCAGCTGCTCGGTATTTGAGTAATAAAGTCATACCAATAGTGACCAAACTCAAGATAACCGTTCAACGACGGATGAATACAGTCCTGAAGTAGGCTCTTGGGAAACGTAGTAAAGTCCACCGCGAGGACATAGCTACCATTTGAACGCCGTTCCTGAACAATTCCAGGAATCAGCGCTTGGTATTTCGGAGTCGCCGATACTTTGTGCGGGTCGCATGTGCCGATAATCATCGCAACGAGTATTACGGCGTCCGGGCATGCCTCGATTATCTGGTCTATCAGGCTCCCCAGTCGTTTGGCTGCACCCTTGGGATCGTTGCCTTCTGTTGAGAGGAATGACCTGTCGTCCATATCATTCGTTCCTGCATGGAGGAGAACGATATTGGGCCGTTGCGCTAGGGAGGGGCCGACATGATCGCTGATGTATTTAATTGTCTTTCCAGGCCAGGCAGCCTATATGACCATAAATGTCAGTACCATTCAGATCCATGTGAATGGATTGCGTGGGGTCTCACATAGTAGCCGTCAGTCATATTGCCAGCAACATCGGTACCGGCGAAAACGACTTCATCCTCTATAGAAGCCAAATCAGCCCACCATCTTGGGTATTTTCTTTTGGTCAATCTTCCAAGAAATCTCACCTGACAGGTCGTTTCGGAGCTGAAGTCGATATCCGTTACCAAGTCCCCCGTTCACACTCCCGCCGCTCCGCCTCCCTGCAGTGATAGAATCACCAACGCAAAGAATACGGAGTTCAGTGCCCGACTTGACGGCTGTACCGGGAGAGACATCGGTTCTGTTTAGCGGCGAGGTGTCGTTTATCTCACTTTTCTTCTGTCCGGAGTTAATGAATGAGTCATCCGAGTTATCCGCTTTCGAGTACTAACGTCTTGCGCGTGAGCAGGCAAGCTAAAGCTCAGAAAGGCGCAGACCACGCCAAGGAGGCGGGTGGAAGAAACCCGCATTAGGCAATTTTTCAAGAAGCATGAAGATCTCCTGGACTTTGGACAGGGCCATTTTGCGGGCGTGGCCTTTTAAATCGGTCAGAAGGATCCTTGGTATCGTGTCAGTGAGCATGGGTCGATTCATTCCTCGGCTACATTATCGTAGGATGGGGCTTGGGCGGGGCTTCGTCAATTCGCTTACGCTTAAGTTGTTCTTCTTGACGCCCGTACCGTTCGGCACTTTCCTATCTCAGAGCCCAGGGAGATAATAAAGTGGGCGGTAGGATGGCGGCTCGTGTTTCAAAGAGTCTAGCCCTAATCCGTGGCCATCTGCTGGTAGGCCGTCTTTAGCTCCAGGGCTGGAACGGGTGAGGCTATGGGTGGATAGACAGGGGACAACCAACAGCTCTTGGCAATATGACTTGTTTTGGTTGGTCTGTTGGTTGACTTAACAGCGGGCTGAAACTGGACAGGGGATCTCGCTAAGCTCCTGTAGTCCTGGCGCTTCACGATGGCAGCATTCGGCAAGATCCGAACTGCGAGTTTTGTTAAATAGTGAACCCTCACCACTTTAGAGGTTTGTTTACATGGTTAATCGACGTGCTCCTTTGATCGGACTATGCGAGGTGGGAGGAGGAGTCAACAGGCCCCATCACGAATCGCCACGGCTTAATTCTCCTTTCATCGCGTCCATCGCGGGGCTAGGTGACTCCACGTCGAGCATTACAGTCATTTAAATTGTCCATGCGTGTATGACGAACACGTGGGCCATGATAACGCGATTCTAGCAGCTGGGTATCCTGGGCAAGCAGATTGATTCCGACAGTGCCTTGAACGGCAGGGCACGGCTTCGACCAACTCGGCCACGGCGAACATCCCATGCGGTCTAGCCATAACTTTGTCCCTATTTACAGGGGGTGAGCTCGCATTAGCATTAGCATAATATTATGACCAGTGCTCTCTACCTACTAAGTTGACTATCTTGCATAAGACCCTTCGGGACATCAAAGCTCCACCATGTTGTTCTATTTACTCATCATGTCCCCAAGCTTGGCAAAAAGAACAACCATGACCATGGAAGCGAGGCTCCAATTTCTTGCCTACTAACTTCCGTATGCACCAGTGGGGACAGTTTTGCTGGTATAACACCAGCGCGCTCCAAATGGAGCACTCAATGAGATAGAATTGGTATCCGCGCCGTGTCCGAATCAGCCGCTTAATCGCTCGTCCCTGCGCTGCCTTCGCCGCGGTTCAGCTTGGCCTGCGTCTTGGTGGTCGCTATGACATCCTCCCAAATTGGGGGCTTGCATCTGAGTTCTTCGCCAGCGGCCTCGGCGTCGAGGCCAAACTTGAGCAACGCCGCCTCACTGCACCATTCGCCAGTCGCCATTAATCCCACAGAGACCTTTCCTTCCGTGTTCTTGTCTCCCACAACGCCCGTGTCCTTCTGCCCCTTCGGGACCAGATATCCGGCAGGCACAGTCAGTGCTGGCATGCCGCAGAAATTCGCAAGCCAGACGTACACCATGCTCTCGATAGTGTGGTTGCCATCGTTGAGACCGTAGTTCATCTCTCCCCGTCCTCCGTTGATTGGTGACCCAGCACACGCCGTTGTAGGGGTGATGATCATCATTCCAGGGTACTTTTTCCACAGATACGCAAGGTGCTGCATGAGAAGACCACGGAGCTTCTGTGCGAGAAGATAGTCGGTAGACGACGTAGAACCGCCAAGTGCGAGAAGAATTTTGTTCGCTGATGTGAGGTTGTCGGTTTTGGGAAGCAGCGTCGCGCCGTCGGTGAGGATAGTGAGTGAATGTGCCGTCTGACCTTCTGCGACGAAGGGGATGCTGATATCAACGGTCTGGTAGTCATAGCTCTGACACAGCTTGTCGACGAGGTTGCGGATAAGAGTCTGAACACCAGGCTCAGAGCGCGAGATCCAGCTCTCATCGATACCGAGGACTTTGGTGAAAGGCGGAGTTGGCTGCAGTGCGAGAGGTGGGAATTGCGTCGACGGGTGAGGCTCCGCAATGACTTCATACACAGCCGCGAGAGAATGCATGTCGGCTGCGAGCGGTCCCTGGACTGAGCAGGTAGGAGCGTGATTCAGTGTGGGATAACTCGATAGGCGTGCGTGTGTCGGCTTCAGCCCAAACACCGAGCAATACGACGCGGGAATGCGCACGCTGCCGCCGCCGTCACTCCCGAGGGCGATGGGAACCAGGCCTGAACCAACTGCGTAGCCAGGGCCCGAGGAGCTCCCGCCGGTGTAATAGCCAGTGTTGAACGGGTTGCGAGGAGTCTCGTAGTTTGGATTGTTTCCAGTCGTGTCTGATCAGATTAGCAACAAGCACGTCTCAAGTCTACGGAGGGGAAAGAAGCGACATACCAAGTCCAAACTCATTCATCGTGAGCTTCCCGAGAATGACAGCTCCGGCTTCTTCCAGCTTCTTCACACACCAGTTGGTGATGGATGTGTCGTCTGCAGTCTTGGTCGAATAATCGTTAAGCGATCCCATGTTGGTTGCATAGCCGTCAATGTCGTAGTCATCCTTGATTCCGGTGGGGACGCCGTCGAGAACACCGAGCGGCCGGTTCTCCTGGTATCGCAGAGTTGATGCCTTTGCTGCCTTTAGAACCATTTCAATGTTCGTGTCCATCCAAGCGACAGCGTGCTTTCCTGGAGGCGAGGTATCTCGACGGATCAACGGCACCAGCGCTAGGGCCACCTCGGTCGGTGTGATCTCGCCTGACAAGTACATGGCGTGATAGTCGGAGACGGAGTAGAACTGGCGATTCTCAAGTTGCTGCGGAAGAGGCTTCGTCCCGCCGTTCGGAGCAGACTTGAGCTCCTCACTCGTCACCGCAATGGGGATGACAGTTGGCTCAAACCGGGGTTCCTGCTCTAGGATGTGGTCCCGGATCTTCCGAAGAGAACCAAAGCCAGCATTCTTCCACGCCGTCTCACGAACGAAGCGCGACCGCTCCATACTGTACGATATGTTAGTTGGTTCTCACATGAGGATAATTTGAGGTCCTCACATGAAGCCTGCAGCGACCAAAAGTCGGCCTCGAAGGACAGGGTTCTTCAGTCGTCTGCTCTCATTCTGGACATCGGGTCTTATAGATGTCAGCATATGAATACATCGTGGGATAGGGGTGATACATACCCCTTGCTGGGCTCTGGGTAGTTGAAGAAGCCCTGCTTACCGCTTGACGAGCCCATGGTCTTATCCATGATGATGTCAGGCAGGGATGGCAAAGGGGACGGATAGCCCGGAATGCTGTGTTAGTGCTAGGTAGGTGAGAGCTGATGGGGTATCTTTTTTCTTGAGGCGTAAACTGCGCAGATTCGCCCGCTGGCGATGTTGTTTTGTCGATGAAAGTCAAGAAGAGTCGAGCCGGAGATAAATAATAAGGGAGGCTAGGTCCGGATGCCGCGGCACCCCGGAGTGCTTGCTCAGACCACAGTCAGCCGAGAACAGCCAATGAGATTGCGGAAATGGCATCAGTGTTCCCAGGATTAGCGGATGGAGATGCGATTGCGCCTTCACATGTTTGGGTGTTGGAGTGTTCCCAACGAAACCGCAGCGGAGAGTCTGCGATGTTGGAGTGAGAACAAGCTTTGGTGTACGCTGGTCATGATGACAGGCTGCTCTCAAGGTGATCGGATGAACATGGAGGTCACGTGACCAGGTCTTATCCGACACCGGCTTGGAATTGTGACTCTGTGGATGTCAACACATGCAGTAGGATTCATCTGTTCCGGGTTGGCTGAGGAGGTGTGAGGTATTCCCATGTTCTCGGCCCGGTAAAGGCTTGAGCTTGGATTGATTCCTATCATATTCATCACTGAAACAGATACCACGACTACCATTGTCGCCAGCATCTCTAAATTTAGCACCGCAGGCTTCTGTTCTTTATGCCTCATACTGAAACCCCGCCTTTTCGAGGGCATCCAACGCACGCAGGACGCCCAGCGTAGAGCCAATTGTTTCCGTAGTTGGAAATGAATCGCATTGCAGAAAACAAAATCCGACTAGTCAGTCGCCAGCCGGAACATAAGTCAGCACCGTCGTGCTCTGCCCAATAGCGCGACTAGGAGACTCCTCAATGCTACCTTGTTCACCTTTCTGGTAAGGCCGGTTCTAACAACTGCAGCCAGGCTCCGGATAAACACGTCTCCCGAGTGTCTCAACTCACGAGGACGTGGCTGAAAGGTCAATTCCGGCTTAGATAGCGCTAAACTCGATGTGGGAAAAAAGTCCAGATCGTCCTCGGCGCCAAGCTCCTTATCTTGCATTGTGATACCTTCCCGAGCCGATGTGATGAATGACGGAGGGGGTTTTAATAAATGCGTCTCCGCTGAGGAGCAACGTCTCCCTTACATGTATTTGTCTCTTGGAAAATCACCGGCCTGAAGCTGTCGACCATCGCCATGGCAGACTCTGTGCTCAAGGACTGGGCGGATTGCGACAGGACAGACACGCTCTTCATCGTCGTCTGTACTTGCATTTGCTGGACCATTGTCCCCACGGTAAGTACCTCCTACGTCTCGGTGGCTTGTGTGCCTGTCAGAATGACACCTCGCTGACTCGCACCTCCAGGTCGGCATCGCGTATGGCGGTTACTCGTGGAAGCGGAATGGCCTCTCCAGCGCCATCCCCGCGCTACTCGTCATCATGACCTGTTCGATCCAGTGGTGGATTGTCGGCTACACGCTGGCGTACGGCGACGGGGGCTCCATTGTTGGGAACTTTGCCCATCTCTTCCACCGCGGCGTGCTCGCTCAACCCATCGGCACGATTCCCGCGCTGCTTTTCAGCCAGTTTCAGCTCGTCTTCGAGGCCACCGTGTGCGCCATTGCCGTCGGCGGCTTCTGCGAGCGTGCGAGGTTGCTGCCCGTGGTGCCATTCATCTTTGTCCGTTTTGTCTCTACAGCAGCAATTGAGAGCGCAATGGCTAACATTTGCGCAGCTTTGGTCGACGTTTATTTATTGCCCTCTCGCACACATGGTCTGGGGTGGGGGTTTTCTCGGGGAGACCCTTGGGGCCCTCGACTTCGCTGGAGGTAATGACGAATGCCAATCTCATTGTGAGACACGGGAGCAAATACTAACCATGTACAACCACAGGAACGCCCGTACACGTCTGCTCCGGTGCCACAGCAATGGCGCTCAGTCTGTACCTCTCGTATCCGATCTTCCGCTCTCGTAGGTCCGACGTACGCACCCCCACGCACATCCGCCTCCATCGCCCCGGCAATTCGTTCTACCAATTGCTGTCCATGATTATTATCTGGGGCTCGTGGCTTGCCTTTGACGCCGGCACGACTCTGACGCTCTCGTTCCAATCTCTCATGGCTCTCGCGGTGACTAACCTGTGCGCTTCGTCTGGGGCCTTGACGTGGGGGTTGATGAATTACTTCGAAACCGGACGCTGGTCCATCGACTCCATCTTCATGGGCGCCATCTCGGGATTGGTTATGATTACACCGGCAGCTGGCTTCATCGATCTCACCACCTCGTTCTTCTTCGGTATCATCGGCGCGATGCTCTGTCGTCAGGCTCTACGTATCAAGTTCACCGACTGGGCGAGACGCTGGAGGTGGGTCGACAACGCCGATACCTTTGCTACGCACTGCGTGGGTGGTATTGCGGCCACCATCTGCACCGGATTGTTTGCGCAAAAGAAGGTCGCAGCGTACGGCGAGGTCGACATTGTAGGCGGTGTTTTCTTCGACGGCAACGTGAAGCAGCTTGGGATACAAATCGCCGAGGCTACAATTGGTTTCATTTGGGCCGGTGCAGGCTCGTTCATTATCATTGCTCTGATTGACTGTGTTCCTGGTCTTGAGGTCCTGGCCACAGACAAGTAAGTGCAATCACGTCCGACCTTGAAACTGACGACATGCTAACAGAGTTCAGGCACATTGCAGCTGGGCTTGATACCCACGAGACTGAGGAGACATTGTGCGACTACCAACATCCCGATGAGGACGACTATTGCCCCCTTGATGGCGGATCACTGGAACTGGAATGAGCCACGACAATGTAACCGACTATATTGTAAGATTAGGAGCCATTACACAGCGCTCAATTAGTTACTCCTTTCCCTCATAGAAAAGGCCATGCCACACTTCGTGCACTCGCGCATAGTCCCTTGACGCGACCAAAGTCCGTCGCCGTGGGCTGAGAGGCAGGCAGCATCATCATACTGCCCGCAGATATCTTTGTTGTTGATGCAACAGCAGTCGGTGTACAGCTACAACGGTTGCATCCATCTCCCAAAAGTCTTCTTCATTCATCATAGGCTTTTGTGCATGTTCCTTAAGTGTACTTGCCGCAGATATCGAAGGTAAGGCCTTTGTTCTATCGGAACCGATGACGCACGTGTTGCGTTTTCCATATTTTTCGGAACATGGGAATGTGCAGACAATTCAAAGTCATTCCGAGGCTTGACATGGTAAGGAATAAGAGTTAGATCTTTATTGCTTCTGTTGAATCTTGTGAACAAAGACGACAAAGGACACAGTTACAAATTGATGGCGAGGTAAGAAGCAAGAAATGGCTCCTGCAATAGCAACAACGTGGGTTTTGTAGGCAATTCTCGGCGCTATGGGTTTTTCTCTACCTTTCCTCCATAACGTTCAGAACATTGGGGGTGCCTTGTTTAGGCTGATACCCTCTGATGACTTGTTATCTAGGATCTTAAGCTTAGAGCTCTCTTCTCACTTGCTGCATAGAGATAATGGAGGGAGTGACCGTTAAATACGTAATTATGAGCTCAAAACGAACGCCAATTGTTGAGCCTGCGGACCCTTACCAGTCATCCTCGATTTAATCTGGCTAAAAATCTTGGAAGCTGTGCCCTTGTCACTATCATGATCCCACACTGGGAGTAGACTCCCTCTCCACTCTGCTTTGACTGGACTTGATACGCCAGGAAACTCCGCTGCAAACATAATCCCTTGGTCACCAACTACACTACAAACCTTTGCAGTACAAGGAATGTTTGGATTGCCTATTGCAACCTCATAGGTGGACTTAGCACCGCTGGTAGAGATAGGTTTTCTTTGTACCTTCCTCCACAGAACAAGAGCAAAGCGATCCTGGACTGTCACAATTTGCTGCTTTAAGGCCCATGATGCCTTCACGGCAAATTGCAAGAAGGAGTAGTTCATCCCCACACGCTGGGAGTTATCTGAAAGGAACGATTCCGGGTTGTCTAGTGTGTACAGCCGCCAGATCAGCTCGGCCGTCGGTGTATCCTCTTCCATCTCGAAGGCGCTCCGCAGCTGATCAACACATGGTTGTTGCAATAACGGCGAAATAGTCTCCCAGGCAAGCTTTTGCAGCACTCGGGGTAGGGATTGCATGTATAATTGTTCGGTGGAAAAGACGAGTCCCTGCGTAGTAACATGTTGAACTGTTTCTTGAAGAAACCCAGACATCGGAACAACGCGATCGACAACACCAACTTCGAATGCCTTAAAGCCAATGCTGTTCGACGAGACTTGAGGCTTAGCGTAAAAGCTCCCATTTTGATTGAGATTGTGATCAAAGTATTCAGAAAGCGCGTCCTGTTTCAGGCGTAAACATCCACGTTGCTGTGGATCAAGAGCGGGACGAATGGCATAGAGCCATGACATGTGGCCTCGCCGTGTTAGCTCGAGAATGATTGCTTGAAGAGCTTCGTCTGCTGTATGAGACCCGTCGTATTTGAAGTTCTTCAGACGGAGTATCCCGCAGAGTGCGTAATACTTGTCGGCTTGAACTGTGGCCTCCAGCGGGTGAGCCATCTGAAGAACATTGGCAATGGAGATTGTGTACAAAAAATATCGGCGACGGAGATTGTAAAGTCGTCTGCACCAGTCCACAAATTCTCCCAGCCACAGAATCCCGGTGTTGCGTCGAAATAGTAGGCCGGCGAGAGTTCCACAGTCGGAGAGCTTAATTTGGCTAGCCTCACCGCTGAGGATGTATTCCCGAGACAGAAGAATCTCTTGGAATATCCAAGCTCGTTTTCTCCAGGTGCCCTGAGATAGTTGCTGCATGATGTCGATAAGTCTCGCCTTATTGATGGATTCCCAATCAGCTATTGAGCTACAGCTCTGAGTCAAGAGACAGACATGGTCGTCATGGTCCACATGGCATGCAAGCAACTTCTCTGCCTCTACCAACGGGCTAAGATCGATTCCTCTGGTGAGTAGGACGGTACAGCGAGCTTCAGAATAGATTTCGTCCATCCGCGGGATCCAATACGCCTTGTCTTCCTTGGAGTCTTGGTTGATGCACTTGGAGTCCAGCCAACAATTCTTGCGATGGCCTGTCATTATTTTCATAAAGCTGCTGGAAGACGCGCCAACTAGTTCCAGGAGTCGTGATCGAAGTAACTGCCAATCCGGCAACGCATCCTGCGGTGTATTTTTCCACTCACTCCAGACATACGAGATTGCGACATGCTGGGCTCGCCCTAGTTTGTGTGAATAGAGCTCGGTTTCTGGGTCAATCATTGCGAACCCGGACCTTGATTGGCTTAGATTGCTTTTTGGGATATGGCCGGACATTTTCAGGGCGGCTGAGGCGCGATTTAAGGGACGGCTAAATGAGAGTCTCTCCGCGAAGAGCCTCAACAGTCAAACGAGGCGGTGTAGGATGGCAGAAAGCCCGGAGCTTAGAATGTCAACCTTTCGGTTGAGGGACTCTGGAGATTGACAAACATACATGTGATGTACTGGAGAACGTCATTGCCCGGCAGAGTGTGCATGCATCTCATGTGGTGTAAGTTGCGACCGACGTTTGAAACGAAGTAACTACTGAGGGGATATGTCTGGATGAAATGAGGTGAAGGTGCCGGAACGGAGTGACTGACATCCGCGTCGAGGGCCAACAGTGAGTGTAGTGGACATGAGTGTCAGGTAGTCGCATTGTGAGGAATAGTAACCAACAGAAAACTAAAAGAGTACCAACACAGGATTTACAAAAAGGGCAGGAGGTTAATGCACAAGGTGGCGTGAGGTGGCTGGCTGATGAGCTGAAGCCAAACAAGTACCAACGGTCGGCGATGACTCGTATCAGCGACGGGAATTCCAGGTCTAGGAGAGTTCGATCAAATTCCCGGTTGGGAATTTCCACTTAGGGTTTCAAAATTGGTCGGCATCGAAGGCCAGGTGCCGGCTCGCTTCTTGAAATTGATTCGAAGTTTTACAAGCTGAATGCCGCGATAGAAGAGCCATAGCGGAGCTGAGAAACGCCCGCCCTCAAGTGGATCTACGGTATGGTGACAAAGTTCCACGCGACGGTAGCAAGCAATGGCACTATTCACGTGGTCGTACGAGCTCTTTGGTTGTATTGACCAGGCAAGGCTGTCAACAATGCTTCCTCAATAATGATTATAGTTCTCATTCTGCATGGTCAGTTGACTCTAAATTACAAATCGCTCCATGGCAGGTCGTTCAAAGTAGGATCTCTATCTTCTCCACCATCGTCTTCCTCATCCTCTTCATCCTCATCCTCCTCATCTTCCTCATCTACGACCTCGGTAGGCTCTGCGCTATCCGCTTGAAAGATGATGTCTATCACTTCCGGGTGCCCGTCCGTGCTGTTCGTTTTCGCGTAGAATAGCAGAGCCTTTGCATACCAATCTGGATCACTAATCTTGTATCCAATTGCATCTTCCTTGAGACTCTCCAACACCGTGATAGTCGGGTTCGGCGGACTATAAATGATACCATTTTCTACGCCGCCCTCCATATGGTAGCGTGCCCATATGGCGTCACCGTACCTCTGGTCGTGAACGGCATCGACGTACATAGTTGCCCAGGGCTCGACCACTGGCCACCTTTTGTTGATCACATCATACAAGGAATAATCGAGGAATAGATGCTCGACAAGAGGTGTGAAGCTTGGAATATTCATGGCCACACCACTGTATATTCTCAGAGTCAAAAACCGATAAACATGAATGATATTGAGGACAAGCGTAGCATACGTATTTGGCTCCATGGACACGGATCGCAGATAGAGTTGCGGGGATATGGCAGATGAGGCCGAAACAGAGAGACGATGGAGGTGGGAAAGGCAGAAAAAGGGTAAAGGGTGCAAGGAGGGGAAGACGAAGCCGTACGCTTTTTATGCTGGAAAAAGAGGTGGGAATCAGGCATCGAGCTAGAATTGGCGAACCATTTATGAGGCGTGTGTGTGGGGATTACAGGCCTCCGTATTCGACTGTTCTCCCAACAACCAACAGCCAACAGCCATGCGTGATAACATCCGTTAGCCCCCTTAAGCGGCAAACTCGGCACCGGCAAGGATCAACGGATAATTACCGAGAAAGGGAAAATACTTTCTGGACTTAAAGAAAAAGATACCAAATACTCGTAGACGAACCTCAAAGTGCACTAACTTCCAATTCACTGTCTGGAACTGATCCCCCGCCGCCTTAGCTCTGAAGTAAGAATGTTTACGTGAGGTAGATATCTGTAATAGCGACGCCGAAGATTTTGTCATGCGAACATCCACGATTTCGCCTAAAACCGGAAAGAGGATGAAGGTATGTATTTTCCCCCAGCACTACGGCCAATTCCGCGACACGGGGAAGTCAGGTGAGCTTCACTAGTTGTATCCACTATAGTAGTAGTAGCAGTACTATTATTTAACGCCATACGGGAACTAAGTCCCGCCAATCCGTCGTGCGGTAAAATGGTGTGCTGATTATATCCAGGAATTGTACCTTTTCTGTACAAGGTATAGGGTAGGTCCCCAGCCACCATTGCCCTAGCAGTTGGGCAAGCTCGTCCTAGATCGCATATTCATAATCGACGAGAATTCGGATTTTCGTAGAGATTACGATCTCGAGTATAAGCAGTAGGTGCTTAATAACTGGAGGGTTTAGTAGAGTGTCAACAGTCTTGGAAAGATTGTATCAAAGAAGCCCATATTTACTAATTTATTGACTTGAATCCTAAAGCTCATGAAATAACCACTAATTTAGAAACACAAGAAGCTGCGCAGACTGGCCTTTGGGTTCTAGACTGTAATTCCGGTGCAGCAAAGTTGTCTGAACCAGATGGGTTGATGTTCTCAGCATTGAAATTGTCCTGAATAAAAAGTGCTTGAGATCATAAGGACTCATAGGTCCAGAGTACTACTTGACCCGCCAAATGAGTTTTAGGTAATCCTCACGACGGTTGCGGTTGATATGAATGGTCGTACTTTCTCACCCCCGGCTTGGTCGCTGGACATCGCCAGATCTTGTGGGTGAGGCAGACGGTCACAGCGTCAGTGTAAATGTTGGGAAAGGCCCCGTGACCTGGGTTGATCCAAAAGGAACTATATAAATTAATCCAGGGCCGCTTCCAAGACTGGTAGCTCCCCAGGCGTCCTCTCAGCGCGCCTCGGGTATGGGCTTGACCCAAATTTACTCAAATAGAGCCGTTGATGTTGAAAACCAACGCAATTCGAGGCGAGCTACGCCTGCGCATGCATTTTTATACCGAATGTCAACCAACAAGGTGCCAGACGAAAAACAAGGGAAGAATAATAGAACTCGAATCAGAAGTTGAAGACCTTCGTCGATAACTGCGCGAGTCCTAGAGCAACGTAGCCCGGTTGTCGAAAAAGGACAATGTGATGCACAGCACTATTATTTCAGTTATCGAGACACTGCATCTCTTCTGAATGGAATGCCCTCGTCCGCGGATATTGCCCGCATATCACCACAATCAACCGATATACCTTCGCAAATGGATTATCCAACCCAGTCTGCTTGATCTAGCGTCGATGTTGTGCCACCCCTAGATGCATCCTGTAATAAAGGTTGCATATCGCTCCCCTACGTGGTCTCTTATCTTACGCCGCAGGAGAGATCGTATTATTAGAGCACACGTCATCACTCCTAGGCAGAAGTGCAAGTTCCAATCTTCGGCCAAAGATTGGGTATTCGTGCATTTGTGGCGTTTCGGGTGATGCACGAAAATAAGGCGACCAATTGCCTCCTTTGCAAGAGGACGCTGCCCGACAAAAAGACCCCGCGTGACAAAAAGACCCTAAACACTCTGGTTGGACCGGTCAGTGTACAAAAGACCCGGCTGCCATTCCACTGCGTTTTAAAAGTACGTCAACTTCCGTCCAGACTGGGCAGCACTTCCCAACTTGTCTTTTGCTTTCACTTGCCCTAAACAACGCACTTGGCGATTTTCCATTACGCTTTGTTCCTCCAGCCCACCATGCCTGTCAACTGGTCTCTATACGAAAAAGAAGCTATCAAGCTGTACATGGAGGATGGAAAGAGTGCAGAGGAGACTATCAAATTCTTGAACGAGCAACGCGGCGCCTCCATCAGGTAAGTTCAAGAATTCCATTTGACATCGAAAGCTCACAATCAAAGTATCCGACAGTTCAAGGCAAAGTTCAGCGGCCGAAAGAAACTACGCGCCGACGAATGGCAAGTGGTTGCCAGCGAAATACGTAAACGGGAAGCTCAAGGGATAGCATCCGACGTCTATCTCTATGGCCGACGACAAGACCCCGAGCGCGTCAAGAGGGCTCTTCGACTCTACTGTAGAAATGGAAAGGGTTTGCCAGCTAATGGTATTGGTAAGTGACTATCTCCACGATTCATAGCTCAGTCCGTGGCTCATCGAGAGTCTCCTAGACTTTCCCATCAGAACATCTGACCGGAATCGGGTTGAGATACGTACTCCAGCCCCGCAAGAGGTCATTCCGTTGCCAGGAGAGGCTTCCAGAGCCGTTCCAGCTGCCACTTCCAATACCAACACACAAGCTAGCCTCCTAGTCAAGTCTACCGTTGGCCTAGCACATGAGGAGTCGGACTACGATGTCGCGATTGATATGGAAGCTGTTGAACTAGACTTCAATACGCCTCCGCCCGTCGATTTGATCAACCCAACCTCGTCGTCGTTCTCAAACGCCATTGGACTCAATGAAACAAACAGTTTTAGGACAGATTCATCGGCGGCTTTTCAAGAGGGCTTATTAGCTGTTCAGTGCGTCTCGAAAGAAATGCCACAAAATACCCAGCAAGTCGCTCTACAACAAGGAAGAGGCTTCTCCTGTTTCACAACTTACAATCAATTTGCCATCTCCTCACCATCCTCGGGTGCGACCCATCGTCTTATGGAGTTGTCAGGATCTCTAGGGGACTTTCCAGGTATTAGGTGCCTTCTGATGCGTGTTTTTCAGCGTTACTAACCATATCACCCAGGACTTGATATCCTTATCCCTGAAATTTCAAAAGGAAACCCCTTTGGAACTGCGCATAAGATCACTGGACCTGCCTACAATCAAGTCTATGCGAGTGTTCCAAGGGGGCAAGCTGGATGGCTCCAGTCACACCTGATCAGAAGGGGTTCAAATCTCAAGCACCTACAGCCTATCGCATTTTTAGTGGAAGATATTCTCACCGACAGTGCCAGGTACCAAGATCTTCGATTTGACGGCCACAGCCAAGAAACGTTCAATGAAATGTTGTTCGTTGTTACTCACCTCGTGTTGAACAAGTTCATGAATCGAGCGCAGCTCTTCAAATTCATACAATGGGTACTCAACATAGGCCGCGTTGACATGCTGTATGAACTCTTACAGAAAGAGTCATCTGATACGAGCGCCTTTATCACTGAGGCTCTTCACGCAATCTCAGATGAGGCTTACTTGAAAAAGTTTGAAAAACCTCGCCCATGGATGAAGAATCAACCACTGGATCGCGAGGATTATTTCGTCTTGAAACACCCGGCTGAAACAATCAAGCTCATCCAAGCGGCAGACAATCGCGTGTTATCGGGCCATTTAGGAGGGAAATTGCTAATTCACGTTGCACAATCAAACAATTTGGAGGCAGCCAAGCTCCTGATTTCATGTGGTGCCAATCCAAACTATGTGGACTTGAATCGCTCGATAACCAATGCATTCGAACCACGCTGGATCCTTGACATCAAGTCCACTACACCACTTTGCAGTGCTGTTCGCAGCGGTTCAATCGACATGCTTGACTACCTCGTCGATGTTGGGGCGGATGTCAACGAACGCTTTTATATGAACCGAACCATGGCATGCGGCCTATCTGAAGCTGTGAGAGAAGGAGACCACGATATGGTAAAGGCGTTGCTTGACAAGGGTGCTAAAGCTTTCCCTGACCTAGCGATCAATGGCATTAGCATCCATAAGCATGCAAAGCGGACATCACCAACAATTTGCAAGTTACTTGCGGAGTCTCTCGAATCAACATTTGATCCTGGCGCAACAACAACAAATTCATTGCTTATTGTGGAGGCAGCAGAAGATGGAAATATTTCACTTTCCAACTTCCTCTACAAGCACGGAATCGTTCGACAAGAGACTATGGAGGCTGGATTGTGGCTTGCAATCACACAATTGAATACGAAGGCAGTAAGAACATTTCTGCATCGAAGGGTAGACCCGAATGCGCTAGCGTATCGTCGTGCTCTGTATCTCGACAAGGACGACGGAGATTCTCACAAGCTTCCTGAAGAACCAGACGAGTATGACAGCGATTCCGACAACGTTGACGAATATTGGGATGAGCATGAAGAAGATTCAACGAGGGCCGCATCAAGATCCGACTCTTATCCTGCAGAAGATCCTGAGAATATCGACGATTTCATCCTCAGTCACCCTATCAAGGTAGTATCCCAGTATAATAGCAATCAGGTCGTGGAGATCATCTACCTCCTGATAAAAGCTGGAGCAAGTGTAGCCGACGAGGCTGTTTTGCAAATGTGTAGACGTCTTAATGCAGATATTCTGGCCGCCATGTTTCAATTGGGGGCTAACGTATCCGTTACAGGGCCATCTGCGTTGGAGCTTTATGCATTGGACGGAAGAGTTGACAGATGTGGGCTGTTACTTGATGCCGGGGTGGACATCAATACGTACGGCGCAAATGGTCTGAGTGCTCTGCAAGCTGCTGCACGAGGGGATATGTGGAGCCCCAGTTTAGCACTTGTGGAGCATCTCCTCGACCGGGGCGCGGATGTCAACCTACCCGCAAGTGATGGGAGTGTTGGGAAGGTGTGGCGTGATAAGTTCACTTTGTACAGGCTCACAGCGCTCCAGGCCGCAGCCTTGGGTGGAAGTTCCCAGGTGGTGAACCGGTTGATTGAAGCCGGGGCAAAGGTGACAGCTCCTCCTGCTAGAACCGACGGCTTGACTGTACTGGAAGCCGCAGCTGCTGCACTTCTTAAAAAAATTGGTGAGACCGGTCCTTCTATGGAGGAACGAATTACCACGTTCAAGAAGCTACTTGCGCATGGGGCCCTGGTCAACCGCCTTGATGGTACCGGCTGCACAGTGCTGCATCGTCTGGTCCACGCATCACAAATTGAATGTCTGGATCTCGCGCTCAGATCCAATGCAGCCACCGAGGACCGATGGCCATCAAATTCACCGCATCCCTTTGCAGGCATGACGCCAATCCAGATCGCGGCACAATTACATAAGAAGGAGGCGATACTGCTTCTCCTCAAATACAACGCCGACATCAACGCCCCCGCCTCAAACGAAGGGAGAGGTATTACAGCTCTGCAGGCTGCAATAGTAGGTCGAGATTGGCCTAGACGGGGGGATGAGACCGAAGAGACCGAAGAGACTGAAGAGACTGAAGAGATAGTCAGACTTCTTCTTCACCACAAGGCAGAAGTCAACGCGGCCGCCGGCAACCGAGCTGGTCGCACCGCTCTACAAGCAGCCACCTCAGCTGAGCAACCTAACGCGAAAGTTGTTGCGCTTCTCTTGGAGTACAATGCGGACGTCAATATGGCTCCTGCGCCAGTGCGCGGAGTCACAGCATTGCAAGGAGCTGCAATCTCGGGAGACATTCAGATTGCGAGAATGCTACTCGCGCACAAAGCCGACGTCAACGCACAGGCGGCTCCGGAAGAAGGCAGGACTGCGATCGAGGGAGCTGCTGAACATGGGAGGTTGGACATGGTGCGGCTACTTCTCGACGAGGGAGCGATACCAGACGCAAATGCCGGGTTCTCGAGGGCCATCCGATTTGCTGAGAAGACTGATCGTTTTGACATTGCAAAGTTGTTGAGAGAGCGAGAACAGGCATACAACTCATTGTCCATGGGATTGATTGACCCAATGTCCTGGAATTTTGAGTCGCTTCCGCTGGACACGGACATGGTGGAGGATGGGAATGACGAAAATGAAGCGCAGCTGTAGATTTCTTCTTGGTACCATTTATTTCTCTTACTTTCACTGTTGCATCTTCAATTGTCTTACCCACCTGCTAGAATTTAACTTCTTTCGACCTGGATAAATGTGAGACAGTATAGCAATGAGTGAGAGTAAGTCGCTGCCGCCCCGATTCCGGGATTGTAGGTCTTGATTAGGTGGTGTCATTGTAGATTGCTCTGAGGACGGAATAGCTTGGACCAAGCGGGCCCAACGGCGATGATAATAAGCCCGAAGCTCCGCCTCGCATTCGGACCCAAGCTGTGACATCACCAGACATCATCATTTTTTGGGGGACTGGGCTCTCACCTCCGCGTTATACCCGAATTCCACTCGCACTCGCTCGCCAAATAAAAGACCAGGGTTGCCTTCTTGACTCGATTACTGAACATGAGAGAGCGGAATCTTTCCACATCGCACTCGGTTCTGATGTGTCTTTGGTTGGCTGGTCTGTGATTTGGGTATCTCGCACTCGTTATAGAATCGTCAACATCATCAACCAAGCACATGCCCCTGCCAACCAAGTTACTATATAGCTGCCGACAAACACTCCATCACCAGCAGATAAATTACTTGAAAGCATCAAATCTTATCATACTGCGTCCATTACTCATTACTCAAGCGCAACTCCATATTCCTCTGCCACTACCTGCATTTTCAAATGGCTACCCACGCGCTTCATCAGCTGTCGCAGCTGTTCCCTCCAAGACCTGTGTTTACCGAAAAGAACGTCCCTGACCTTACTGAAAAGGCAAGTCACAGATATCTGCAGCAATTTGAGCTCGCCTAATAGAATCCAGGTCTACATCGTTACTGGTGCCAACACCGGCATCGGCAAAGAACTGGCCCGGATCCTCTACTCCAAGAACGCCCGAGTCTACGTCGCTGCCCGCTCAGAAGAAAAAGCATCAAAGGCCATCGCCGACATCGAAGAAGATTTTCCAGCCTCCTCTGGCGAGCTCGTCTTCATGCATCTCGATTTGGCGGATCTCAGCACCATCTCGTCTTCGGTGCAGCAATTCCTCGACCGCGAATCAACGTTGCATGTCCTCTTCAACAATGCAGGCGTCATGACTCCACCTCATGGTTCAACCACTGCCCAGGGCTATGAGCTCCAGCTAGGTGTCAACAACATTGGCACTTTCATGTTCACCAAACTCCTCACGCCGATACTCGTTGCCACTGCCAAGACTGAGAAACCAGGCACCGTGCGCGTCATCTGGGTGTCTTCCTCAGCCGCCGAGTCGCCATCTTCTGTCAAGGGAGGCGTCAACATGGACGATATCGTGAAACGCAAAGAGAAGACTCCATTCACTTGCTATGCACTTAGTAAGGCCGGGAATTATTTGCACGGTGTCGAGATGGCGAAGCGGTTTGAGACTGAGGGTATCATCAGCATCCCTCTGAATCCCGGGAATCTCAACTCGGAGCTTTATAGGACGCAGAGACCATGGGTAGCATGGATTATCCGGACCTTTGTGCTCTACCCACCAGTGTATGGTGCATACACCCAGCTCTTCGCTGGGCTGTCACCTATAGTCACACCGGACAAGTCCGGAAAATGGGGTACGTGTTCACCTGGATGACAACTCTTCGATAAATGCTAATGGAGAGTAGTTGGACCTTGGGGCCGCTTCTTAACCGTCCGCAGTGACTTGGCCTTAGCATCCAAGCCTAAAGCAGACGGTGGTCTAGGAACATCCGAGGCGTTTTGGGAGTGGTGTGAATCTCAAATCAAGCCACACCTGACGGCCAGCTCGAAATAGTATGAATGGCCAAGGTTTTCATTTTTCAGATTGTTTTATGTTCGTCGCTTTCAGTTTTGATGTCGTTTTGAATTCATAAATATGATTCCACTCATGTACACATCCTTCGTTTGGCTGTTTGGCAGGCTGGCCCGAGAGGGGCCGGAGGATAAAGAAGTGGCAGTTGTCATGTAACGTACTCCAAGATGCTATGTTTCATTGAATCTAATAACAAGTATATAAATAATAGACTACCCTCTTAATAGCGGCCTTCAGAGGGTGGAGTCTCATCGTAGCAGTATGTTGCACAATGTTGAATAGAACAGCATCTGTTTAATCAACGGATTCCTAAATACAAGTGACATTAAGTAGGAAATACAAAATAAGTCTACGCCTAGTCTACACCAACAGATCTAAGCTTGGGAAGCTGTGCCTGGTCCCAAGTTGCCCAAATGATATAACCGCGGAGAGCCGCCCTGGCCGGTATTTGTCAACTAAACCCTGATACATAGCTCACCAAACCCGATGAAACAGCGTTCTAGTCTTTTCTAACCAAAAAAAGGCCGAGGGTATATGACGTTATGCGGAACAGGGACAGACACCGACAGTTATCTATTCAAGGGAATTGTTCGTCCGCCAGAAGACCGCATAGCCCACGCCGTGATACGAGTAGGGTTGTGACTGCAGGTCTAGATGTGTGTATTGAAAGATTGATGATCTCTACAGCTAGCTAACTACAGTTGGAGCCGTAAGAGTTCCAACCCGCAAGCCCGAGGCCTGAGACATTAAGCTAATTCTCTGGCTGTAAGGCTAAGAGAAGGGCGTACCGTATTATATTTTGTCCTTATAAGGAGCTTATTACTTTCTTTAGTAATTAAAATCTTTTGGCTATTTGTTTTTTGGGTGGGATCAGGATGATAATAATAATGAAAGCTCTTAATTTCCTATCTAATGAAGGGCTAGGGATCGGTCTGATAGATATGGATGAGGGATAACTGGGGCGCGTTTCGCGTCTTAGTCGTGTTTAGTAAAAACAGGTGCGCTGGAGTGGAAATGGGCCCATTTCTAGAAGGGTGATTGATGGTGGTACAAATGTACTCAACGAAGGTGATCGGAGAAGTGGAAATGGGCCCCGTTTCTGCACGAGGCAACTTGACTGTTATTACGGGCGAAACATCTCATCAGTCGCAAAAGTATCTTCGGGCGGCTGCGTTTCCATCGTAAGTATCATAGGTAGCTGAAGTCAACAGCTCTCACTCCTCGACCTCGCCGCTGTATAGATGGCGCGACACCTTTCTGCGTCTGCTTCCTCAATCTCCTGTCTTCTTACGGCATCATTCCACACGAGAAGCCGTCGTCCCTCCCCAGCATCCAGAAACTAACGGGATACGGACGGCGCGAAGATCGTCCAAGCGAATCGAGCAAAGAGGCATTCGACTGATAATGCTGATGGCAGCGTATTCAACCGCCGGTCATGCCACCTCCCTGGTAATTGACCAGCTGGCGTGGAGTTGAAAACGTGACCAACAAGATATGGCACTGATTGGGCTTTCGGTGGATTCTTGGCCTGAGATCCTCGGTTCCCGTCCTGATCCGGCTCGGGACAGCTAGTTAGGTTATCGTGACCGTCACGCCGACTTGTCGTATATTGTGGCGGCGATAGCATCCGTTCTTGATCTCGGGCGATTGCGGTCTTCGGTGCAAATGTAAAATGCCGCTCATCAAACATTCTACGTATGTCACAGCGAAGAGGGAGGGAATTTGCTGGGCAGTCGATTTCGTTCGTCGAGAAAAGGGGAGCCCGAACATGTCTGGGTGAGTTAGGTTACCAAGGTTGCTTGGGATGGCAAAATGGCCTTGCTTCAGCTGGTTCCTTACTGTTTCATGACGTTTATCCTCCACCAGTGGGACTGTGTCGTAGGCACCCGATGGGCGGTTTCTATGGCATCAGCGCAGTCGCTGAGAGAGCAATGTCCGGATCGGGCCTGCTTCGTCTCTTGTTCCGCGAACAATTGTTCTTTCAATTGCATCCAAAGAGGTGGTAGGTTATTGTGAGGGAATCGCCAATCCTCGAATCGGGGAATAACGGGATATGGATCGGCCGACGGGTTAGAAGATGACGGGAGACAAAAGTAGTAGCTCGGGTCCCGAAGTACTCCGTCTGCTGGATGGACCTTTATCTTTCCGTGTATATCACGAGAGAAGTAGCCATCCCACTGGTTGTCAGCGAGGATAGCACACGCCGTGTGCGCCGTGTCGTAATGGATTCCTCCATCGTCAAAGCCTTGAAAGGCGATCAGGATATCGAAGTCGGGGTTGAAGCTGGAGTCCGCGTAGAAGGGATGAAAAATACGAATAGTCGGTGGTTCTGCTAAAGCACGCGACACTTGAATCGGATCGTGTAACTCCATGGTCGTTGACAGACATGTTTGTTTACATTTCGTGGGTCGTGTCAGATATTAAATGTTGTCGCTGTGATGTGATGACTCAGTCGATCCTTAACGGCCGGATGAATCCATACCCGTCAAACGGAGTCCCGTGACTGTTTCGTGACGATTCAGCGGCAAGGCTGCGAGTACAAGATATGTCCTGTTGTCTAGGAAATGAAGCAGATGCAGTCGAACTGGAAGTAAGATTTTTCGCATGGGATATTCGTGGTATTGTAAGCTGATCGTATTAAACAGTAGATCTCGCGGTCTTTCGTTGAAGCACCGCTGGGCGACTGATAGGTTGGTGTCGCACTGAGCGTGCTAAAAGGACCAAAGATCAGGTAAATCGATAATGAGAAGCAGCGGTGTGTTGGTTGATGTCTAAAACTGCGGAGCGCTCCATCCCATAGATTTTGCTTGAAGCACACAGTTTGATTACATCAGGCTTGCTAATCGATCAATTTGTCGCAAGACAGGCATCATCTCAACGAGCCTCAGGAAACAGGCGCCATCTAGGAGCACAGGTCCGTACTCTCCTCGCGATCCTTTCCTCAGTGGACGAGTAGGTGACCTGGCTGATCGGGGGCGACTTGTAAGGGACTGCTTCTCTTTGTTTGCCAAGGGGACAGCAGGTCCGGAAAGGTGCTATTGATATTGCAGGACGCGACTCGACCTTCAGTTGATTGATGCCTAATAGGGGAGCTAGTCCTGTAAATTCCATCTCTATGCTACGTGTAGTCAACCGCCAGATATAACCTCACTCTCCTTCCTTGCTTGGCCATCATGCTCACAAAGGAAAGTCTACCCATAACGTACTAACCCATGCAGAGAAATACGAAAACAACGCCATTTTTGCCAAGCAATTAGTTGTTAGCCAACCTGTCTCCCCCGTGAAATGATCCAGCTCTCCATCCCCGCAAAATCCCTGGGGCATCCAACAGCGTCCGCCCCACGTCATGGGCCAGGGTTCAAATTTATGCACCCTTCTAAGACGGGTCCTTCCTCATTTTCCGCTTCCCTCCCACTCTGCCATCGACGTGCTCGTCGTCCGGACTCCATTCCTCGGGGTGAAAGTCTGGGTTTCCGTAGTGTGCGCGGTTCCATATGCTATTCTTAAACGTAGTCGTCTTCACATTGAATTGTGATTCTATGCCGGTTCGGTTTTCTTCATACTCGAGCTGAACTGGACTGAATCGAATGTAATATCCGGAGTTCGTTCTGTGCTTAGGCAACTGCGACTGAGGCGGAAATCTAGATGTCGTGATCATTGGTGGTTTAGGCCCGGCAGTTGAGCTGGTTGTCATGGAAGGGGCTGGCGACGGGGGTTGAGGGGCTAACCTGTCCTGTGACCAGTCAAAGACCTGGATCTGGCGGTAGAGCTCGATGTCTTCATTGTCCTCAATAGGCCGAGCGTCCACTCCCGAGCCGTTTTTGGACTCGGATGAAAATTTTGAGTCTATGTTGTCGGTATCTTCGTCGGCGGCGTTCTTGTGCGCCTCGGTTTGGTGTGGCTACTATCCCGTGGCTTGAGCAGCGACCACCGACCACAGTTGCGACATGTGCGGCCTCCATTCTCAACTTTCACACCCTCTGTGGTAGCTTGGCAGGTCGGAAACGGGCAACTACCAGCCCGTGCTGCGAGCTCGTCAAGGACAATGGACATGGATAAGTGGTCATCTTGCTTTACGGCATGCTGCCATGAACCCTCTGCCAGTAACCTGCCTCCGCGGGCATTCATAATCAAGTACTTGCCCATGTCGACGCGAGCCTTTCCGGGCTTGTCCAAGAAGATGACTCTCAAAAGTTCTCTGAAGGTCGTCCACTGTTGGCAGAGCTCATAAGGCAATGCCATCGGTTGCCCCCCCAATGCTGTGGTAAACTGCACAATCGGAGGGTAAAGGCGCATGGGTAGGTTGCAATCGATCCGCTGAAGCGTGGTCTGAAGACTATGGAAAAGTTCCATAAGCTTAGACATGGCTGCTCGCGCCTCTGCCGTAAACGTATTGAAGAGTCGGAAGAGCATGTGCAACTGCTTAATGATTTGGCGAAGGTGCATCGTCCCGGATGTTACGAGAGCTAGAATCCCGGTGATGGTCTGGATTCCCTGGATCGAAACTGCTTGGGTACCAAGTTGTTGGTGAGTTTCATCTGCCTTTTTCCCCAACTTATCGAGGACAGAAGATTGGTCTCGTAATTGCGATTTCATCTCCTGCTGTCGTTCCAAAGACTTTTCAATGCGGCCATTGACATCCTCGAGGCGCTGCCGGTGGCATAATATTTTACTCTCCAAGCTAGATGCAAGACGATCCCTGTCGTCCTCGGCCGCCAATGTTGAAGCCACGGTCTGCGTCATCAGAAGAAGGTTGATGGTCGCAACGTGGCTCGCTAGAGCCGACCTCAGCTGCTTGACGTCCTCTTTGAACATGATCCTGAACTGCATCCTGCGGGGGAGTCCCTTCCACCTGTTCTGCGCAGCGTTGAATGTTCCAAGGCGGCTCTCGAACTTGGAAATCTTTGCTAAGAAGTCCTGGAGTGGCTGTTGACAGGCGAGCGCGGTGGCTTGAATGGATATGAGGTGGCGGAGCTCATGTTTCGCGGGTCTGAGGGCGTGGAGCTGGCGCAGGGCCCGGTTAAGAGCCTCGAGCTCGATCAAAAGGGATTGGTACTCAGGAGCTGCCTCGCCATTCTGTAGTGTAATTCCAGTCAGATTAATTCAGTTGGCAGCGAAGAAACGACGCTGACGCGAGTCTAAGAACAGTTCGCCTCGGCACATACCTCGCGAAGCTCGACGGTGACGTGCCAAATGAGCTTTCCAACAGCAAGGAAGTCACCAACGGAGACGCCGAACGGTACTGCCATCTCGCTTATGGCCTGTGGACTGTTGACTATGCTTGGAATGCTTTGGAGAAGACGCACGCTCTGAGCGCTCAAGGCTATCGTTGTCTGCGATTCGGCGATGCGAGCCTGATCTGATGGAGCCCAACTTTGCACGCCGTATGTGAGTCATGCCACACTGTAACGCGCACTGTCAGTTGGCTTGTGCACATGTTACAGTCTGGTCAGCTAAACCATAGGCTTAAGCCTTCTCCTAGGGTAGAGACGCTGGTGAGAGAAGAAAGGTTTTGCGGCATTAAAATTTCATCGTATACCTGCGTAGCTGAGTGACTCAGTGACATCACAATGTGAATGCGCCTTGTGGAAATGCCTTGGCCTCTAAAAGTGGCGCAGGATATAGCCGCTTTGTGAGTAACGAATGAGAAGGGGAATTGGCAAACATGCAGCTACTGCACAGCCTCAATAATTGGACACCTGTTTTATTACAGAGGGGTAGCTATTGGTGTTTTTCAATAATGAAAGGGAAGGATGCAATAGTCGGATCTCCTTCCTGTTCAATCACCTATCAACTTGATACTAGGCTCTAACCTACTTTGTGTTGCTTGACGAGGTAACAGCAACCGCCGACATACACGCCGCCTCACAGCCAAGAAATACCTGATGGCAAGTAGCGAAAGCTACGAGTGACGAAAAACCGAATGTGAAAACCGACATTCCGTGGCCAACTGCGTGGCAGGTCGCCAAGGAAGCGCCGCAAGCTGCCAGGCAGCCAACCGATCCGACAACGAGAGTCTCCTTCCCGGCCAACGTTGTTCCGGCTAGAGCAAGAGGGGACAAGAGGGCATTCGAGAGTCTCATGTCTAGAAACACAGTTTAGTATTCTCCATAAGATGCCAATAAGAGATGTGAGTAGAAGTACAAGCGGAGAAGTGGATCGAGATAATAATAACGAAAACAAATTGCCATACGTACTGTCCTTTGTGCCACAGCGGAAGAGTAGTGGATGCTTAACGATGTAATTCTCAGCAGGGGTAATGCCTTTCTGGATCAGGCACTTTAGTCTCGTAGATGTAGTGGACCGGGAGCCTTGATAAGTTGTGATGGTGGGCTGTCGAGTATTGAAACACAGGCGACCGAATGGATCAGTTGGTTGAGAAACTGCTCCCGCTTGCTAGAATATGTTGCATTTGAAGCGGAAGAAGTTCTAAAATAGGCTTACTGATCAAAGGTAAAAAGGAGAATACCCCAGCTTATGTAGACAAGATGTGTTGGTGTCAAGGCGTGTCCAGCCTAGCCCCCCCCCCCCCCCACCAAATAGATGGCGGCATAGCCTCATTCTACGACACGGACTTGAAGTCACCCACTGCGCTCACGGGGTGGTTTGCTTGGTTTGCAGGAGCTGTTTCGGCAGAGTATGGCGCCGGTGTCGTTATTGTTGCGCACTTGGACTTAAAGGCAGGTAAGCTAAATAACATACTAGGGATCAACTGACTTAACCCCAAGTCACCCTTTGCGCCTAGCCGTAAGGTTCGCCCAGTTCGAGCCAGAAGGTTCCCCGTGTAGAAGCTAAAGCAGACCGTCCTCGTTTTATGTTAGGATTTGGGTGCACTGCCGGTGTGCTACACGCCTGCACGGTAACATTCAACGTTTCAGAACGACATAGGAAGGTCATTGTTGTGGTACATAATGTACATTATCAGCTTTGAATTGTTGGGCATTCCTTTTCACTAGCTGGCACAACAATCCTCCCTTGCGACTTTCATGGTCCTGACCCAGCCTGATTTGGTTGCCTCGTCTGGCTACCATTTGCCTGGTGACAGTCGTGGCGTCGGAGTTTGCACGCCTAAGACTACTAGCACTAGTTTTTCAAGCTAGAGGTTCTATACACAAGTGCGACTTAGCAAAGCCTTGTTTGGCTGCCTTCCGTAAGTTAACGGCGGTGGCGTCGGAGTTTGCAATCCTAAGATGGCTGCCTACAATAAGATAAGTGTAATTGGTCCGTTTGTTCCACCGATTCAAGTGATCGTGCGACAAGATTTAATCTGCTGGCTATTCAAACAGTGGAACGAATGAAAAGCATAAGCCATGGGGTGCGCTGAAAAAGCTTGTACCTAATACTCTCTCTCTGAGCCACTCCCAGTGGCTCTAGATAGCTTAGAACGAATCTCTCAACCACACGCTAATCGACATCTTGAGTATGGATATCACACTTAATTCATGACTATCTCTAGAATACGGCCTACACGGCTGTAAATACTGGTAATTTTTGACCGTCGACTTGAGCAATGCGTCCACCAGGCCTGGAAGGCTCGAGTTGGAGACCATCCAGCTTGGAGGACTTTAGATATTCGAGGCTATCGTAAGGGACTGCAGATTCTTCTAATTTTGTGTTCGGGTGAAGGTACTAGCAGGCAAATCGGATGCCTTGGCACACTCAACCACGGTTGTCACGGCCGAAATGCCAGATCAACTCACTTTAGTCAAAAGTATTCACCAACATCAGTATAGCTTGTACAGTGACATAAGAACTGTCTGATGAGCATCCATAGCCTTCCCAACTCTCTCCGTTCTGGCAGTTCCAAAAATCCCTTCTTTCTTTGTCATTTGATCTCTTTTCTGCACAACGTAAGTCTGGAAATGGACTACAGTTGGTTTAATTGACCCTTCTGACCGGCTATTCCACAATAGACCTATCTACGCATATTGTCCGTGTCCCACTCTCGAATTATGTAGTCGGCTCTCGGGTCAGCTCCGATGACAGTTTTTCCATGAGCGACGGATGGTTGAGCGAGCGACTCAGATCGCATCCTAAATCCCAGAATGTAACTCAATGTACTCCCCCATGCCACGCATTGATGTGGGGTCTAAAAAGAGATGGGATCAGTGAAGTTGGTCTCAACCAGGTCACTAAAAGACCCTCCCTGGGCAACTCTATCCTACTGCTGGGTGGGAACAAAAGGCGGAAACCAGACACAATTTCCATGAGCGTCACACAATCATTCGACTCCGTCAGCTGCCGACCACTGTACAAGACGCGTTTCCAAATGTCGCAGGATGAATATCCTCTTTCCCTCGGTAGACTCTACGTGCATTATCTACGACAACGAGGGCGATAAACGGTACTTAAGAGATCAATAAGATGGTTGAAGTCTATCAAGGCTCAATTATATTCTCCACAGCATCATCTTCCTCCAGGAGCTCCGGGCTCCGGGCTCCTGGCTCTCTGTCCTTCGACGCTTGGATAATCGTTCTGAGGTGCCGCGGATCCCGTAATATCGGTCCATTCCGTGTCGATCCTACTCAATTCCCCGGTATCCTAGCTGGATCCTTGCTTCTCGTGTTTCACCGCTGGTGGGGCGCGGTCATTTCTCCATAAGGTCATCTTCCTCCAGGAGCTCTGGACTCCGGGCTACCCATCTCAGTTTAGATTACGCCGTGTACCAAACCAAATCACATCAACACAATAACGATATCCTCACGTAAACATAGCCTATCCACTCGGATTCTTTGGACCAAAATTGTGCACTGCTGTAACATCTAGGCTTTAGCACTCGGAGGTACCGAGCTCCTTTCGCTCGAACGGGCTATTATCCAATGTATCCGGCTTTGCTAGATTTTAATGGCGGTGTGACCAGGTCGACTAACTGACGTATGTCCAGTTTAATGCACTGTGGAGCTACGTCGCCCTGATATCTCGCCCGGATACGGGGGACCCTTCAAATTGTTTCCAACTTGGGTTAAGGACACATACGTAGCCAACCTTAATATATGGATATTGATTTACAACCAGACGTCTTGTCTCCACTTACAATATCCCCTCGCATTAGGATGGGTTTTGTACACCCAGCCTGTCCGGTTTGCTGTCTTGCTAGAACTGGAAACAATATTTCCTCGGGTATATAAAGCCTGTCGTCGTCCGTACTTCAGAGAACATTCTATTGTAAATCGTTTCATCCGATTGACTTAGGCGTACCCGCGAAGAATTCAAGATCATGAAGTTCCACGTCATCCCTCTACTTTTCTTTCTACCCGCCGTCTTTGGCTGGTGGGTACGTGACTTACGTTCATCTTCGGCACATTTCATATCGCTAATGGTGTGATAGAATTGTGAGTTGCCTACTGGAAGAGGCGACTCTGGGCGTTGCATTGAGGATGGGGATTCTGCAGGCTACTCTGCTTGTACAGAGGTAATTGTTCCTCTCTCCGGATCCTTGCCCACTACACACTAATAAATTCTTCAAACTTGAATAGGACCATCCGTGCATTGTCCAGGGTAACGGATGCAGTCCTATCGGAAGTAGACTAGCCCACTGTTCGTGAAATGTCTTCGGATTTTCTCAGAGGGGAAGGTCATCATGAGGACGATATGCATACACTTTTGTCATATTGAGCATTCCACAAGGACCAAAGGTCTGCTAGGTGATGATGAGCAGAAGGATTCTTTTCTTTTGTCTTGTTGTTAGACTATACACCTAGACCATCACGGCTTTTAGCTTACCCGAGATACCCTAAACCTTCGCGCAAAATGGCGCAGCTATTTCATGCAACAATTGAGAGTTTTATTTGCTATGACTAGTCGAAGATGACGAATACTGCGCCGAGTGGAAAAAAAAACGTAAAAACTGGAAAAGACTAATCCGTACAAATTAGGCTACGTCACTGCGAGCAGCAGCCGCCCCATTTCCTTCCTCCTTTGGGTTGAGATCTATCAGGTCGCTGTCTATCTTTACAACTGGTCACCTAAATGTATTCACAATTGACATACCCCCTACGGCTGGTCCCACAGAGCAGTAGTCCAGCAAGGCGGATGTAGCGAGGCAGCCCGGACGGTCCGCTATCTAGGTTACCTATGGACCTACAGATGTAAGGTGTTTATAATGACCCGAGATGCCCTAAAGGTCCCATTGAGAGATATCAATTGAATTCAGGAGCCTGGACCGACCACTTTATCAGATACAAGTCAACTACCTAATATCCATCGGATCTGGAACCCGGCCGTTGGAAAGGTCATTCTTTCTAGAGATGTTATTTTGAATTTGACGACGAATTTGACGAAGACGTTAACCATCTTAAATTCGACCTGCTGGAGATTCCTCAAGACGAACTGGACCAGGTAAGAGAGCCCCTGCCGGATCGATGGATGGCAAAATAACAACCTGCCAGCGGCCTGACAACCCTTCTCACACGTTGAAGCGTCTTCCCAAGATGCTCTCACCGTCTGCAACAGGACCAATTTTATTTATTTTAAAGATCTATCTAGAATTGAATTCCCTTCCACCTCTCTTGGCTGTTCCCATCAAGTGCACGTCAAGCCGGCCTGAGACATACAACATGCAAACTTGATGAACCTAGGCCTAGAGTCTGGGCAATGCCGCGCTAACCAGAACTCTCAGCCCCTATCCCACATCCCCCGAATGGCCTTCTGCTTGAAGGATACCGATGCCTAAGGCAGGTCGGTCTGGCCAGGCATGATAGTCCCGTTCTGAATGGCAGCAGTGTGACCTCGGACCAGCATGCCAATAGATGGGTTATACATATCCAAGTAGGTGAATGCGCTGATGCCAGTAGGAGGGGTACGCCAGTCACGCATCAATTCCCCAAAGATGGCTCCAAGCGAAACCAGTTGCACGCCGGCATCCTTCATCCTGCCGTTTGCCGCATCGCGGACCATGTCACTGGTAGTTCCCGAGGCTTCGATGTTGGCCCAGACAGAGTAACCAGCTTCTCGGAGAGAAAGGGCGCAGAAAGCAGTACCTGTCATGATAATTAGCCATCTTTGTCACGTCCGTCACACAGTACTTTTCCTCGGGAAGGAGTGTCAAGTGTGGTAGTCAACTAACAAATGTCTGTCAAGATGCCTGCAATAATGACTTGCGTCTTGTTCGTATTCGCAATGGCTGCTCGGACATCTTCATTGTCCATGGCGTTGACCTGGCCCGGACGTTGAATAAGTGGCGCATCGGGAAACATTTCGAGAAGCTCTCCCGGGAGGGGACCATTGGGTCCTAAAGAAGTCATTAGCCAAAGGCCAAACGAGAATGGTGCATTATGAAGAGATGGTTACCAGCTTGGGCAGAGGTGGACATCACGACCGGCAAGTCGAACGCCTTCGCCATGGCGGCATGCGCGAGGATGTTCTGCTTGAAGTAAATCGGCTCCAAGTCGCGAACGAGGTTGAAAAGTCCGACTTGTTCGTCGAGAATTAGAACCATCTAACATATGGTCAGCTCATGTGGAAAGGAGTTTTGGTTGCTTCAACTGACAGAATCATTGCGATCCAGTCTCTCGTACTTGAATGCCGAAGCACTCCCGAGGGAGACGGTGGCAATGGCCAAAAGCTTGCTGAAAAACATGGCTGAATTTTGGTAGATACTCTGGATCAGATGGCGTTTAGACTGGGAGGTGTGCTCGGATCTGGTGATGGTCTGATGGATTTTTCGTTTCCTAAGGGGAGGTATGGTTAGGCTATATATACACATATGAGATTGGTATAGATAACTATATGACCCTACAAAAATTGCAATACGAGCAAGACCCATGATCATGAGCACCTCGTCCTTTCCAAATGAAGATTGGATTTGTCAGGGCCCGACTGACCCCCTTGTGTTACTCACAGTAAGCTCATGGCGATGGTCCGGCGAGGTGACCGAGATGCTTGAAACGCTACGGTGGCGATTTACGCGATGCAAGTAATCCAACGTGCCCAATGGTCGTCCGCCTTGTGGAGTTCAGTCGCCCAGCTCTTCCTTCTTGCTTACGCAGACCTGTAAGATCGGGACTGAGATGGAACGCGACAATGCCGCGATAGGCTAGTTTGTGCTCCCAGCATACCAATGTACCAGGAATCCCGCGCGGCTGGGTCCACAATACGAGCTTGAAAGATTTCACAACGTGGGCTTAAGAGTCTGCCAAGTCGGATATAAGACGGCATGCATTTGCCAAGTCGAGGAGAGGGATGATTGGTTCCTGGAGAACATTTAGCCGTCTTTGCCAGCGCGGGGTTTCATCAAATCTGTCTTAGCTGTGGCGAGATCTCTAAGCATGGTCAAGCATCTGCCGGCATAGGGCAGCAAGAGCATGGGTTGGATAGCAATAGGATATGATGGAAGAAGTAAGCGTGCTGATATCTAGACCACCAGGGTTCCACCACTAAGAGACCGAGCTAACAGCAATGACTAGAAGAAAAGTTTATTGTTGATACGGAGGCTGATATCCCTGTATACGGCGTATTCGCTAAATTCCGGGGTCATGATGGGGATAGCGTCTGGAGTAAGAACGCTAATGTTTCTACCATAGTAGCGGTTCTCGGATCAGCAAATTAAACCACACAATTCAGGGTGGCAAAATGGCCACCGACCATATCCCGCGCGGGTATTCCACACTTTAATAAGCTCCCAGCCTTGCACAACCACCACATGCGTACAAAGCAGGGTCCTGTTGGTGGACAAACATGAGGTAGATACCACCATGACTGCCTTGCATGGAGGACATATCTGTTCTTGCTTAGTCAAGCAGATTAAAACATCTACTTTGTCTGGGCGCAGCCAGGGGCATATATAGATCTCCATAGATCTCTGGCGAATATTCCATCGCATATGAAGCAGTTCAATCCAACAACAACCATTGTCTCCTAAACCGCCATGGCCACCCAGTCTGGAATCACCGTCCACGGTCCAAACCGACCCTACACTATCACCAATGACATTCCTCGTTCGACCCCGGGGCCCAAACAGGCCCTAGTCAAGGTCCTCGCCGTAGGACTCAATCCTGTGTGAGGAGAATCCTACGTGCAAGGCCACACAGTAGCTAACCGCCGAGCAATAGGGATCCAACACAACAGCACACTGGCCTCCTCGTGAAGGAATGGCCGGCCATCCTCGGCAGTGACGGTGCTGGCGTCGTCATTGAGGTCGGCCCAGACTGTACCAAGCTACAGCCTGGAGATTACGTCTACGGCTGTGCTCCGCTCGGCCAAAATAAATTCACTCCGTTTCAGGAAACATTCTTGGTAAATGAGGATGTTTTTTTCAAGAAATCTCCTGGATTATCGGTTGAAGACGGTTGTACGATCGGTGCAGGATTGCTGGTAATACCTACCCTACAAAATTCTTGGTGTCTACGTACATCAGTGCCTGAGATCGTTCGGAGCGTGGATGCTAATGTCTTTTCCAGACGTCTGCGCTCTGCCTCCTGGCCGGTGTAGGGTTGGAGATGCCCGAGAACGGAGTCAATGCGCCGCAGAAGGACGAGTGGATTGTTATTCTGGGTGGTACCGGGACTGTAGGTCAGTTTACCGTACAGGTAATTACAACCACATTACCCCTCGTGTAAGAGTCTCGTCTAATACTCGTAGCTTGCTCGAGTCTGTGGGTACAAGGTGCTTGCATCGTGCTCCCCATCCAAGCAATCAGTAAGTTCGCCTACTACTGATAGCTTTCCAGCTCTGAGATGCTTACTACTCCATCAGGTTGCAATGCGAAATGGTGCCATGGCGACATTTAACAACCGAGGGCCCATTGACGAGCAGCTCAGCGAGATCAAGCGAATCACGGGTGGCAACTTTGCCCGAATGTTTGATTCCACCGCAGTTGGCTATAAGGTTATGGTCGAAGCTCTCCAGACCTGCTCTGTAGCGACTACGAAGTATCTGGCAAGTGTTGACAACTGGTAAGTGCTGTTATCACCACAACCAGGTGACGATGGCCCGCTGATTAGGAGAATAGGTCCAAGTTCAATACCCCACCGACAATTAAGGAGTACCGAGTCGATTTTGGTGATCTCTGCCGCCTAGATGTGCCTAATGGAGTGGAGGTGACCAAGAACATTGCCAGCTGGATCCCCCGTCTTGAAGTCCACCTTGAAGCGGGCACCTTGAAGCCGATTGAGTACCAACTTGTTGACGGGGTTGGATGGGAGAAGATCATTCAAGGTATCCATGACCTTGAGAATGGGAAAGCAGCTAAGAAAATTGTTGTGAGGGTTCAGAGTGAGTGAAGGTGCTGTGAGCTCGCAGAGCCAGCCCAAGAATGTTTAGGACTGGAGGACTGAAGTTTGAGTTTTATGCAACATCTATCGAATATGCTTTACTTACTTTCCAACAAACGATTGAGAGCCAATCTAGTGATGACTTTACATCGCTGAATGGACTTTGACAATTCACGTATGGGCTGTGAGACTACGGGTTGAGACATCAGTCATCACGGCATCATCGTATGATGCTTGGTCCAAAACAGAGCCTACTAAGGTAGTTTTGAATGCGCCCGTTGGTATCTTAAACATAAGTCCCCGAAAAGAAAACCCATTCGAGTCTTTACGGTTGCCCTGGCTAAAGCTCACCAGCCAGCGTTCGAACCAGCTGGAGCTTTACAGTCATAACCACCCCAGAAGGAGGGTAGGCCTTAGCGCCACTGGCAAAGCCACAGTGAGGGCTCACTGAGATCTGGTTAAGCAACTTGTCTCTAGCAAGGTAGTTCCCTTCCGAAATGAGGCCCCCTTAGTACACACTGCTTCGGCTCCTTGATGTCTTGAGGACAAAACGAAGATCCCGGTACCCTCCACCTGAAAGTAAAGAAAAAAATATAAAAATCTTGTAAATGCTTGACATCTAGAGTCATTTGTCCCAATCCATCGCCCAAGGCGGAAGCATGAACTACCCACGACGCACCCTTGTCCTTCTACCTCAACCCCCCACCCTACAGCTGCGCAGACTGCAAATCACGAATGGCTTGTGATGTTGACATTTGTAATACGCCAAGAGATAAGAGAATAAGTCATCCTACACACCAAATTTCACACTATTTGCCTCACGACTGGCCAAAAGGCTCGTATCCAAATGCATATGCATGTACTCATCTAGGTTTAGTGGAGTTTACTATGGACAGCTGAGGTTCCTCACTGCTGTCTGATTATTCACTGCTAGGAGTTAGGGATATCTCAGCAACACATTGTCTCACATAGTCCGGACACCATTGGATAAAATAGCACATTTGTTGGGGACACTAGGCAGCCGCAGAGATAGTCTACGCCCTGCGGGGAAGAGAGACAGGATAGAAGTTATGCCTCTGAATTATATGGCGCACCGTAGATCAATGCAAGCATATCCAATCATGGTAGCGGACACCATGCATGTTCATGGATCTCTAAGCGAGGACGCAATTGACATATCAAGTCCTGTGCATATCAATAGTTTCTGTCTCAGTCCTCGGTCCTTAGGGGATGACTGCATTTGCATGTTTCACATATGCAGCCATTTTCAGATGAACCAATACAAACTGCAGGTGGAACCGAATACTACACCTGTTTAAGGACTATGGGCGTCAAATAGTTCTTGGCCAAGCCCGAGCGTAAGCAAATCGAACCAACCACGTAGGAGATGGAGAAACATCAGTCGATAGCGTAGAAAATGTGCGGGAAAAAACTTCAGCTGCATTTCCGCAGAGTCTAGATCACTCCGAAAATATGTAAGGGGCTTGGACGGCGGCAGTTCTGCCATTGCATTGAGGCTTAGAAACGTCACGATTGTGGCTTAGATGTCTCCTCGTACGTAGGTAAGTTCAGCCAGTCTCAGTTCGACTCCTTGCATGAAAGGTTGGAGAAGCTTCCGTTTCTACCTTCACCGACATTGTACCAGATGTCATTCGGGTAGACAGCCTGCCCCAAGACTTGGGATAGATACGGTATATCCTCTCATAACTTTCACTGCACTTACACAAACAATCCCTTGAGTTTCTTCCATCCGAACCAAAGCATTTGACATCTTCAAGTTCTTACCATGCCATCCAACACCAACACATATGTTATTGAGGGCATTCAGGATGGACTGGACACTAACAAAACCGACCCCCTTCGCAAAGTCCACCTCCGTATGGAAGCGGATGATTGGTTTCTTTCGCAAGAGATCACTCACATCAACCAACGCGCCTTGTTCTTCCCCGCTTTCTGGAGGTTCTCTCAGATGGATCCGCGTGAGAAGCTGTCGTGGTTTTAGATTGCTGGTAAGTCTTCCATCTCACTTCCAGCTACTCTGTGTGATGGCTTATCCTGTTTGTAGGGATTCACGGGATGCCCTATATTTCCTGGGATGAGAAGGAGCAAGAGCCAGCGACCCCATTAAACGGATACTGTACCCACAACAGCATTCTTTTCATAACTTGGCATCGACCGGACATGCTACTGTCGGGGTACGGCTCTCCCCCTTTCCATGATCTGACTTCCGACTAATAATAACCTTTAGCAAGTCATATACCATCTGATGAAGGATGAAGCCAAGAAGTACGATGTCTCCGATCAGCCAGACCTCTTGAAGGCCGCGGAGCGTTGGCGATTTCCTTACTGGGACTGGGCCCTGAAGAAGCCCAACCCCACGAACCCCAATGTTCCAATGTTCTTGGGTTTGAGGGATGTCGAGATTAGGCTTCCAAACCCTCAAGGATTTGGCTTATTTCTGAATGCCTTCTATCAATGTGAGATGGCTAACGGCATCGCCATGGGAGATGAGATCCTAGGGGAGCTGAAAATTACAAAACACAAGGAGGATGGCATCACCTATCCCGTAAGTCTGCATCCACAATTATATCGTGTATACTCTAACATCTCCAAGTTTGACCTGTGCAAAGGTACGAGTCGACAACCTCAAGCCGCCTCTACCGATGACGAGTGGGTCAGAGGCCAACAAAACAATGATTTGATTGTAGAAGGACTCCGCGACACTAAGTGGGAAGAGCCCAGCGAGAGCAGTCCCGGGGGGGAAGGTGTCCGATTGGGAAACATGACGTCTAGTCTACGAGATTCCTTCTATCGCGTTCTCACAATCGACAACTTCGAGGCATTCGCGACGAAACGTGCTCCGGCTAAGAACCCAGGGGAGGATCTCTCCTATGATTCATCTGAGCACGTGCACGACAGTGTCCATGGATGGTGTGGTGGATGTGCATTATCCACATCTTCATTGGAGAGGTTCCAGCCAAGCCGCCTTACACCACCCATGATCTCACTGTTACCAACTATCTGGTGGGAGAGGTTGTCAACTTGTCGGCTGAAACACCCGCAGATGAATCGACTCCTGGCTGTGGTAGCTGCCGCAATCAGGAGATGGATCGTGCCAAGGCCACTGGTCGTGTCATTCTCACCAACGCCCTGATTACTCGTTGGAAGAACGAGATCCATCACAACAAGGCACCTCACGTGCTCCAAAGTATGGAGCGTGAGGATGTGGTTAACTTCCTCAAAACCAACTTGCACTGGCGCGTGACCTCGATGGGCCAGCCGGTCGATCTCAACCGTATTCCGTCGTTGAAGGTCTCCCTGGCCGTCGGAAAAGCGCAGCACTGGGCTGACCGGACCAAGATGTCGAGGTTCTACGACTACCAAGGAGTGTTTGAGGTCACTGAGGGGCGTGACGGAGGTGCTGAGGAGAGAGATGGCATGTACCCGCCAGACGCTTTGTATAGAACTTCTGACTAAGTTGTTTTGCAATGGGCGATTGCCAATTGAATGACTCCGAGAATAGTCAGAGTAGATTGAGGTAACCGGGATTCATTGATAGTTAAGGAGCTACTCATACTAAAAGCGCACTCCTCAGTCGACTATACCATGGTGGATCATCGAGGCTCACCCACATCGTGTGCCTGATGATTCCTCGTGATCTGTGGGTGGATCCCTCATGGATAATTCGGTTTATGCAGTGATCCTGACTGATCCACTCTCACTTCTTCGTACTTTCGTTCTGCCGTCCCTGGCCGCCTAGTCGGGCGTAGGCTGCGATAAGAGTCGTGACATCTAGGTGCAGAGTTTTCACCTAAACATAAGGTACCTGTAATCAGGCACCACACTAACTAGTCTTTGGTTCTAAACAACATTATTCCTATTTAAAGAAACCTGTTAGACTCGCGTCCTATTTCCATTTGAATACGAGCTCCAATTCTATCTCTTAATCGCTAAGACGAACGTAACATCCATCATCATGACTGAGGTTCAAGGTCACTGCGACGCCCGCTTTTCCAAACTCCGCGACTTGATGCAAGAGTTCATCACGTCCGGACAAGACATCGGCGCCAGTCTGTGCATTAATATCAACGGTGAGGACAACGTGGTGGACATATGGGGAGGCTATGCCGACGCATCGACCAAGAAACCGTGGGACAAGGATACAGTGGTGAACGTCTTCTCAACCTCGAAACTTGTCACCAACCTGGCGGCTCTGATGCTGATCTCGCGTGGCGTGCTCCACCCTGAGGACAAGGTGTCCCAGCACTGGCCTGAGTTTGCGGCGAACGAGAAGTCCCAAGTCACGGTGGGCCAAGTGTTATCCCACACGGCGGGCCTCAGCGCGTGGCAGGACAACATGACGCTGGAGGATATATGCGACCTCGAGGCGGCAACTGACAAGCTGGCGCGCCAGGCAACCCTTTGGGGCCCTGGAACTGCAATGGGATATCACGGTCTGACGCAGGGATTCCTCGTAGGAGAGCTGGTGCGAAGGAAGACTGGCATGTCCATCGAGGAGTTCGTAAGAAAGGAGATATGCCAGCCACTGGGCGACGAGGCGGACTTCCAGCTCGGGTGTCGCAAGGAGGACTGGAACCGAGTGGCCCCCGTTGTGCCTCCATCGGGACCTTCGATCCAGCAGGCGCTCAGCCAGATGGCGAGATATGATCCAGACTCGATCATGGTGCGCACGCTTTGTAACCCCGAACCCAGGGGCGAGGACGCCAACACCGAGCTGTGGCGGTCCAGCGTGTTAGGCTCAGTCAACGGCCACACAAACGCCAGGGCATTAGTCAAGATCCTCTCCTGCTTCTCGCTCGGCGGCACATGCGCAGGAGGCGGCCATCGCCTGCTCTCGGCTGAGACGGTGAAACTGGCGCTTACAGAGCATGCCATTGGAGTCGATTTGGTGACGGGGCGGAGCGGGAGACGCGGACTTGGGATTTACCTCACCGGACCTGGTTCGGGCATCGTCGAAGACCAGCTACCCGAGGGTAGTGTTGGATGGGGCAGCGGATGGGGCGGGTCGATCGTGGTTATGGATAGTGACAGGAAGCTCACGATTGCTTATACCATGAACAGGATGCTAAATGCAGCACATCCTTCTCCGGCCGCGTTTATTAAGGCGGTTTATGAGATTCTTGGAGTTACTGTTGCTGCCTAGGTATTATTCGCCGACGAGGATTAAGTCAGTAGATAGTATGTCATATCAGAGAATAATGGCAATCATTGCCTCTTAGTTCATTGGAAATATGGATCAACATCTCACGACCGAGGTTGGCAAAAGCTACAGGGCACAAACAAGGGGGAGGACGAAAATGAAAAGAATTCTCTATCAGTTCAATTCCGGTGTTCATAGCTTGGAGCTATGTATCTAGTAAAGCAAATGAGAGAGATGTATTAATAAGTAGCTAAACGCTGGCAAATCTAACAAGGCCGTGTCGTGTACCATTTCAACCCCAAGTTTAGAGAGCCAGAACAGCGGCAACGACGCAGATCACACCAGCAAGCTGGGGCAAATATCCAGAAGCAGCACTGGCGCCAACAACAGGCACGCTGGGAGCCGGGGTGGGGTGAGCAGAAGACGACGACCCGGGAGCGTAGTGGCTGGCAGTAGCGTTGTTGACGGGGACATATCCAGTGGCAGTGGGCTTGGAGTTGGTCTGAGTGGCCCAGACAGGCTCGGTATTCTTTGGGCCAGTGGCAGATGCGGTCTCGGTCATCTTGGAGACGGACAGGCAGATGGGGCACTCGACAGAGACGGTGCGGTACTCGGTGTAGACAGATCCCTTGGACGCGCACTCCGAGGTGACAGTGGCAACCTTGGTGACAACAGTCGTCATCGGCTCAGGCTTGTAGGTGATGATGTCGGAATCTTGGCCGTAGGCGGGGACTGTAACGGGTTCGTAGGTGGTACCGTTGGATCCGGGGTGGACGGAGATGGTCGGGTAAGCTCCCTGGGTGGCGGTGCCGGTCGTCTTGGCCGTTGTCTCGCCCTTGGATGAAGTAGGCGATGTGGACTTGCCATCGAAGGCACTGAGGCGCTCGTGAACCCACGCGGCAGCTGATTCGGAGTACAGGTCGAAGTAGTTCAGGTGGTCGGCGGTGATGGAGCCTCCTGCGCAGACGGGGTCGCCCTTGGGGCAGTAGGAGCGAAGATTATCTCCGTAGGCAGCCATGTTCTGGAGCATTTCGGATGGACGGGGCGCAGCGCCGTTGTGGCTGGCGCCGTCGAGGAAGTTGTAGGCCTGGTTGGCAGTGTGGCGGACATCACCGAAGAGCATAGCCGCAGCAACTGTGGAGATATTCATGTAAGTATCACGCCACTATCAGAACTGTACAACGCCGAGTCACTCACTCATCTTGCCAGGTCCAGACTTTGTGTTGAATCCAACGTTGGCTCCCTGCGTGCAACCAAAGATTTGACCGCCGCCTCCGCCCAGGATATCACCAGCAACATTGGCACCCTGCGAGAAACCGCTAAGAACCAGCTTCGACTCGGGGCACTTCTGGTTGTAGGCGGTCATCTGGGACAGACCGTTGGCGGCGCCCTCCTGCACAGCCGCGCAGTAGTTGGAGTTGCCAGGGTTGTAGAACTTGATGTCCTCGTAGTCGCAGCTGCTCAGGCCGTTGCAGATGGCGTTGACCAGCTTGCCCTGGCGGCCGGGATAGGGCTCGTTGTTGCCGCGGGCGAGGAAGATGTGCACGTCCTTGCAGCCATCTTGGCGGACTTCGATGGTGCTGGCCTGGGTGCTGGCTGCGAGGAGGAGAGGGAGAGCGAACGACTGCTTCATGATGAAGATTATTAACGAAGGACGTGGTGTAAACGAAGGCTGTAGTATTAAAGAAGGACGTGGGTGGGATGCAGAGAAGGGAGATGGAAGGAAGAAAAGAAGACGGACATTAGGTATTAAAAGACGTCAAAACGTCTGTCTCTAAAGCCTCGTCGGCGAACCCAGTCCGAGAAATCCTCTCTCCAGCCGAAAATAGATTCTGCTCTGGTATTCCGAGATTGCCAGTGGATGAACCAACTCTTCGGTTTCACTCCCTAGCATCACCACCTGCAGAAAAGATGGGACGATCCGCCCGATACGGGCAACAATAGCGCCAAGCAAGTAATTCTTTGCCCAACGTGCATGCGATCCGCCACACAGATCTAACTGATGCTACAGACCGTGCCACTTCCACGTTGTGAGGGCCTGCAACCACGGATATATGGGTTTCTCGGGCTCCGAACCACATCCAAAACCAATTATGCGACTCCTTTCGTAATATTCGCTCACGCAATGTGGAGCGGCCATCTCCACTCGATACGAACTGGGAGCTGTGACATTATGCAAACCTCGTATTGTATAAGTAGCGTGCATGGTCATTTCCGGCGGCAGCGCCGAGAGACGCAGGAGGCAGACGTTTGATCAGGCTTAAAGAGAGTAACTCATCCGATCAACTCTATCCTTATTGCTACATGATCCCGCCGGAATCCCTTGTTGTGGCTCTTATGATTGGCTGACCGGCACAGGCGATCTCTGCCCCCTGAAGACAACAGGACTTGGCATCCGCCCCTAGGTTTCTATTTAGGCTGTTATGATTTTGACAAATGCATCCATCTTAAGTGTAATTATTTGAGAGACTCGATTACCAGAGTCGTGGTGGCGCATCTGACAACAACATGCTCGCCCACCAACGATGACGAGAGCATCGTGTCTTATCAGGTCCCTAGGCTCAACCCGATTGACAACTATCACGCGCGTGGTTCACTTGCCCAGACAATTTCGGACATGTCAATCCAGGTCACAGATCCAAATCACCATGGGCTTGGGACCCATACACGCACAAAATGGCTCTGCTGTGGGACACGTTCCAACCCAGTTCCCAGCATGACCCTTGAAGTCCGGCAAACCGAATGCAGACAATACCAGAGGCCTACCGCAAATAAGCGAAAATGCCATGTAGGGTAGGCCGACTGACAGCGATGACTGGAAAACGGTAGATGCGTCGAGTATTAGCATATTGCGACCCAGTAGCCTATCGTTCATTCTGTCTGGGCTCAACAGGTTCACCGTAGCGACATGGTCTCATCAACGTGTTCGACGAGGCTATTCCCCATCACGTGTATGCAACTGCGAGTCGCTTCATCCTGAGAACGGGAGACTCCGGATCCTTCCACGTCAAGCGACCTACGCTTCTGCCATATCGAACCTCGACCATATTCTGGGTCGCAAGGATATCAGAACTGTCTAGACGATGATAATAACGGCCACTTATTGCTTTCTTTGCTTATCGCCTATCGGCATAGACTAAGGACTTCGCCGTCGGACCAAGGCCTCTTCAACGCCTGACCATGAATAATGAGCTGCGGAAACGGCTATTCTGGTTATGTTATGCATTTGACCGGTAAATGTCTACTCCAACGAGAAGGAGTTTCGGAACAGCTGATCGAGATGTCGATATTGAGCTCCCGCTTGACATTAATGTGGATATTGTGAAGACTGGATGGCTCACGTTTGAACACTTTGGGGCGAACGGTGCGAAGAGCACACCTTTGACGCCATTCATTCTCATCGCCCGCTTCCGACAACTGGAATTCGGTACCCAACAGACCATGGACAGAGCTGACCCATACATAGGTAATGAGCCATGACGCTACAATAGACGTTTTCTTTTGTCTCGACTAGAGTAGTGAAAAGCAATGATCCCTCAAGACGCACGCAGACAGCGTGAAATGGCACTGCATTAATCTCCAAACCTGACATCGGTAGTACCGCATTACTCCCGGCGCACGCATGATCTGAAATGTCAGCGAACAACGCAAACTCGTGAGTTAGAGTAACGATGTACTGAACTCCGCCTTTGTGACCTGACCAATAATTTCCAACGGGGCCAGATCGGATCCTGTCCGATAAGACAAGTTCATCCATTGGGTTGATCGGACCAAGACGCGCTACTTCCTCATCCACTACAACAATTGCGTGCTCCCGAATCCTCCGCATTTCGGAACCCGCGTCGGCGTGCCGGTGGGATATCACTTTTCCAGAACTACAGTGACTGAACTCGTAACTCACCACAAGAGGCGCTGCAGCGTTGATTTCGCACTATATCGCCAAGTCTCGACTTTTGTTCCTTGATGATTATCATGTCTTCCCACGAGCTATTCACTCCTCTTACCATTGCTAATGGCCGCATTGAGCTTGGCCACCGCGTTGTCATGGCCCCAATGACCCGTAATCGAGGCGTGCCGTTCTCCGGCTCTATCGACAATAGGATTTGGCTCGCCGACGAAGTTGTCGCCCGTTATTATGCCCAGCGTGCGTCGCCCGGTGGACTCATTATCACGGAAGGCATTCCTCTATCACTGGAAGCAAGTGGCATGCCAAACGTTCCCGGTCTGTTTCACGAGTCCCAGTATGAAGGCTGGAAGAAAGTCGTCCAAGGTGTGCACGAGAAAGGAGGTTACATCTATGCGCAGCTGTGGCATGCGGGACGAGCCACCATCCCTCAGATGACGGGTTGTCCGGTCGTTAGTGCGAGCTCGGTGCCATGGTCGACAGATGAGACGTTTCCGTTCCGGACACCGGATACCAAGGAGAAGATTCGTTACCGAGATTTCCCATCTGTGGCGATGACGGAGGAGGAGATCGCCAAGACAACTCAAGACTTCGTCAAGGCGGCCGAGGCAGCTATTGATATTGGCTTCGATGGTGTCGAGATCAATGGGGGCAATGGAAATCGTAAGTAAATCGTATTTATGTCAGCACTACGTACGAACCGAGCGAGTATACTGACCTTGCGTAGTTGTCGATCAATTCCTTCATTCAAACCTCAACGCTCGCACAGACTCATACGGCGGCTCGCCACAAGCCAGGGGTAAATTCGCCCTTGATTTGGTGGGCGCGCTTACATCCGCTGTTGGGCCCTCAAACGTGGCAATCCGTCTAGAGCCCACAGGGCTATACAATGAGACGTATGGTGCTGAGCGAGTAGAGACTTGGTCGCATCTTTGCGAGCAGTTGGCTTTGACCTATCAGGGCGACAAGAGGCTGTCTTACGTCCACTTTATCGAGCCGAGGCTTGATCGAGTGGAAGCCAACAAGGAGCTCTTCTCCAATTCTTGGACCCTCCTAGATGTCTCTAACGAACATTTTCGAGCTATTATAAAGAAAAGTGGCATCCCGTGCATCAGCTGTGGAGGGTGGGATGCGGGAAATGTGGTCGGCGCTGTCAAAGAGAAAGGCTGGGATGCTGTGGCCTTTGCTAAATGGTTCGTGAGCAACCCTGACCTGCCGAGGAGACTTCTACTCGGCAAATCGTTGAAAGACTATGATCGAAGTAGATTTTACGGCAGCTGGGATGGTATTAGGGATCACGGATATGTGGACTATCCCACTTGGGAAGAGCAATTTGTGGAAGAGGCCAAATAACTTAGATCTTGGATATTAGAGTTATCTACTCCTAACCAGAGCCCAAGGCATTAATGAACTAATTTTTTGCGCAAGACTCTCCTACAACAACATATGATCTGCTGCAGACACGCTTTTGATTCACAGTTGACCAAATCTCGAGTCTACAGAAGTAAGTATCCACGTCGTCCTTTACAATAAGAGTTTTTTGAGCCAACCTGATATGCATCATCCCAGTTCTAGATTCTTATGCAGCTATTGATTATGGGAAGATCCGGCATTTGTATATTCGGTTTGGACTAGCGATCGCTTTATTCTCACCAACGATCCCAGGACGACTATGGGAGGCCGGAGATCTTCTCCATGAGCGTTATCGGTAGGTCTGTGGACCAACAATGCTGAATGATCAGTCCACAATTTACTCGAGTGATACCCTTCAAGCGGTGACGGAGTAGCTTAAGCTTTCAGGCAACATGCAGTGTTCGCTTTCTAATGTTTCACACGGTCTAAGGTACTACGCTCCCCGCCTTGATCATGTGAAATTGGCCAGTTACCTCAGGGGGTGAAGATTTGGTCTATGCCAGATGCTAGATGCATGGTTTCCTGGTTGGACGATATTTCGGGAACACAATCCGCTGTGTATGTAGCGCATGAAATCGCGGAGGGTCAACCAGGAGGCATTCATGCAGAGGATGGCTTGTATATTCTAGGAGTTGCGTAGAACTGTTACCTAGTAGTAGGCTATGTTTGAAGGATCGCCAATTATATTGCATCGAGAGCCAGAGAGTTCTAGCCTGAAAAGCCTCTCCCATTTATTCATTCGGGAACCTCTGTCTCTTAACACACCCTAACGGTGATTAACTATGTGCTCTTGAATCCTGCCTTCATAATCATTTCGAAGAGCTCTATATCTTTTCTTGCGTCCTCAGCACTACTCTTCGGAATACTGCCATTCACCGCACAGTCGTAAAAGTCCAACATTTCCAAGGTGTACGCATCCTGGAAAGTTTTTCGGATCTTTCTCTCTTGGAATCCATCCCCAATCTTCTCTCGTATTGTGACTGTGTGAGGAAGACCCTTGATGTATGGGGTATCGAACTGAACTCGCACAATCTTCTCAGAGGAAAATACTTCGATCTGCGCATCGAATTCCGGGACCGCAATCAGCCCAGACTCGTAGATGACGGGAAATCCGTCGTATTGAAAAAGCACACTGAAGATGCCTGGGAGCTTCAAAACTGCCCCAGAAACCGACTGAGGCATTCCAATGATCTCTCGCATTGCAGATAGATCGTGCGTTCCGAGGCTGGTGTTTTTAGTTAGCTCAAGGCCACAGAGCAGACAACAAGTTCACTCACGCTCCAAGAACCCGTAACATTCTCTTCGTTTCCGGGGTAACTTCAACGTCAAACTCTTTTCCTAGAGCCTGGTTAAAGATTTCCTCCTGCTTGCTAAGTCTGTCCTGGGTGTCTGCTTCAGAGAAGTCGTTGAACTTCTCAGGAAAGGTGCCCGACTGCGCCACGGGGATTGAATTCGGGCCAATGATGTCCCTAACCCTTGCATAGATGATTTTGTTCATGCCTCCGACTTCTTGAACGGCGTCTAAGAAAGCCGTAGAGTAACGTCTCATCGTTCCCACAAAGACCTTTCCTTTAGAAGTCTTCTCGGCTTCAATGAGTCTATCAATGTCTCGGAAACAGATTGAGGCTGGCTTCTCGATCAAGCAATATTTGTCATTCTTCAGAGCCAAAATTCCATGATCAACATGGTACGCATCCGCGTTGGCGATGATGACAACGTCGACCTCGGGAGAAGAGCAAAGCTCCTCGGCGCGTGCTGTAGTTTTCGGCGTTCCCCCGAGCACCTTGTGAGAGCAGTGGCGGAGAGACTGCTCCGAGATATCGCAGAGATACGTGGTTCTGAATCGGTGCCACATGAAATTGATGTTAGGAATGTGAGCGACCTGAGAGATCTCGCCACATCCGACGATACCAACCCGCAAGATACGGTCTGTGCCATTGTCCTGGCTGGATTGTTGAAGGTCGCCCATGATTCTTTTCGTAGGTATTTGGTTCGCAGTAAGTGATCAAATAATAAAAGAGAAAGTCCAACGGATGAGAAGACATCTAACCATATACTTATTAATAATCGTATACACTTCAGTAAGTTCCAGGCATGTTTGTTCTGTCGCCGGTCGTTCAAATCCGGAATCCTCGTCACCGGGGAGTGGCGGCATCGCAAAAGCCGGGGAGTAGCGGAACGTGCGAACAGAGCGATGGACCCATGTCTCCCGGTTAAATAGGCTAGCGTCACTACTAATCTCGCCGGGGAATTGCGGTAGTCATTCCCCTCATGAAGAGGTGTGAGGTGAGTAGATTCAGCAGAGATATAAGTGATTCAAGTACCAATTTAATAATCTTGATTGCGATTAGCTTCACAGCCGACTCATTTCTTCAGGACAGATCTATTCTCTTCAGTGACAATAATGACTTCGGAAATTCCAACGCTGCGATGGGGAATTATTGCGACTGGGCTCATTTCGTCCTGGTTCGTCGCCGATTTATCTCTTGACAGACCCAACAAGAGAGCAAACCACATCATCCAGGCAATAGGTTCTTCTTCCGCCGAGAAGGGCCACGCCTTTGTCAACACGCACCTCCCTGGGAAATCTCCCACCGTCTATGGCACCTACGAACAAGTTTACCAGGACCCTGACGTCGACATCGTCTATATCGGAACACCCCATGCCTTTCACAAACAAAACTGTCTCGACGCTATTAGGGCGGGAAAGCATGTATTGTGTGAGAAGGCATTTGCCATCACCAAGGCCGAGGCCAAAGAGGTGCTTGATGAAGCACAACGAAAAGGGGTGTTCGTTATGGAAGCCATGTGGACTCGGTTCTTCCCCTTGGTTCTGAAACTGCAAGACCTTCTTCACGGCGAGAAGGTCATCGGAGATGTCCATCGGGTATTTTGCGATTTCGCCATGCCGAAGGACATTGCTTCCTTACCGTCTACGTCAAGGCACAAAAACCCTGCTCTAGGCGCAGGAACTCTTCTCGACACTGGCATCTACAGTCTGACGTGGGCAATCCTAGGCCTGGAATCGGGACCCCAAGATCAACAACCAACCGTCATCGCGTCGCAGAATCTTTGCGACGGCATTGACGTAGCTACTTCGGTTATCATGACATACCCAGATGGAAGACAAGGTATAGTCACATCTTCAAACCTGGCAAGAACATTGCCAGCATTCTGTAGAATTGAGGGAAGCAAGGGATATGTCGTCGTCGAGGGTTTTGTTGCATCCGTACCGTCGCTATTCACGGTTCACTTGCAGGACCGAGATCCCAAAAAATATGAGTTTGAGAAGCCGGGAAAGGGATTTTACTGGGAAGCAGACTCGGTGGCTCTAGATATTGCAGCCGGAAAGACTCAGAGTGATGTGATGCCGTGGAGGGAGACACTGCGCGTGATGGGCTTGATGGATCAGATTCGGCACCAAGGGGGGGCAAGATTTCCACAAGATTTAGAGTAGATGAAGATAGAAGAAACAAATAAAATGGGAACTGCGTCGTTAATTCGTTAGTCTCTGGGTAGTAAATTGAATCTCATGAAGACAATCAAGTGTGTGGATTTCCCTCGAATGGCGTCAAGGGCTGTTTGCCGACTAAACTTGCCGGTATTCAGTCAGGTTAGCTCATTGGGCAATTGGCCCACTAGAATATTGTGGATAAATTCGACGATCCCCAGAGCTCATCCCCACTTTGCATTAATTGCCGCCATTCCCCGCGATACAATGTCAGCTCATCCAAGTCCATCACCAACGGTGAGCCTTGGGTTATACGCCATGTCAGGATCACACTTGCCCGGCGATGAGCCAATCACCAGTCGTAAAAGGCCCAGGATCTCAGGTCTGTATCATCGGAAGAGAGCCGTGGCCGCATGCCAGCCGTGTCGAGTGCGCAAGACGAAATGCGACAACATCAAACCGAGCTGCGGATTCTGTACTCGGAGCGCAGCCCAATGCACGTATGCCGATACCGCAAGTGATCATTCATCGTATGTCTCAGATGGGGAATGTTCTCAAGCGCACCTAGGCCACAATTGGCAGCATACTCTTGCTAATCACATCCCGTACACAGATTCGATCCTGCGAGCCTGGCCATCCTGGAACGTCTCGGACACGTCGTATCCCTCCTAGAGACTCGTCAGTCTGGGTCATCACCACAAGATTTATCCCCCGGAACACAAACTCAGTCGTCTCAAACCGTCGTAGGTCCCTCGCCTTCCGACCCAATCGGGGATCTGGACATTGAGGATGATCTACTCGAGGAGACTCCCAATTTCCCTGCTGCCATCAGCAACTGTGAGAGCGTTCTCAGATGGCCCATCTTCCAGGGCATGGTACCAGATATTGAATCATTCGTTTGTTGGCCGACAAATGACCAGCCTGCAAGTTCCTTGCCATCTCATAGAGGCTCAGGCAGGCTTGGGCAGGGCATCCAAGAAGATGACTTTATTCCTCTCTCTAAGAGATTTCTGGCCTATGCCCATACGAAGAACCCCATCTTGGACGTAGCAGAATATTCCTGCTACGTGAGAGATGCAGCTGAAAATGGCTTGCAGTGGAATGGCCCATCCTGTCTCGTAGTGAGTTTATTTTTCCTGGCTGCCTAACACGATGAGACTTTTCTCACATATTGTAGCTTGTTTCTTGTGCTTTGGGAAGTATGGCTATGCCATTTCAGTCCACAAATGAGGCACGGGAGCCACGGTCAAATTCCGCTCCCGTAATGGACAACATGAAAACAAGCTTAGCCTACTTTGCTGCAGCGAAGAAAAGACTGGGGCTTATGGAGCCTTCGTCGCTTTACGTCCAATGCTTGTTTCTCTGTGGCGTGCTGGAGATGTACCATATGGATGCACTTCGAGCCTGGCATTTCTTCAACCAGGCCTGTGTGCAGTTTCGAAACCTGCTTTGGAGGCACGGGCATTCTCAGTCTACTGGCGGCAGGCAAATCACCACTGAGATGAGACGCTTAGAGCAAAGGCTCTATTGGTCGTGCATGAAATCAGAATGGTAAGCATATATCCTTACGGAACTTGGAAAGGGACTCATACCTGTTATTAGCGAACTGAGGTGCGAAATTGCCCTTCCAGCCAGTGGAATAAGCCGTTTTGGCTTCCCAAATCTATTCCCATCTCCACCCAACGAGCTATCGTTGCCTGTCGTCCATTCCGACCGAGGCGACACCTCAAGTGTAGCCGAATTTCTAGATCCAGAAGAGGAAAGAAGTTGGTTCTACTACTTAGCCGAAATTTCATTCCGAAGAATGATGAATCGAGCTTTCACGGCACTAGGGAGAAATGGAGAGGTAGGCTGGATCCAAGACTTTCATGAGAATCTTAAGCAGTACGCTGCCCTTAAAGATCAAATCGATGTCTGGTGAGCGTGTTCCTTCTCTACAACGTCACTTTCGTTAATAGGGCATCACAGGTATTCTCACATCCCAGCCCAGATTAACCCTGCCCAGAGCGAAGGTCATAATCATGAACTTGCCCACTTCGTCAAGGCGCGAGCACTTCTATACCAAGAGTGGATTCACAGGCCATTCCTATACTACGTCATTCACCAAGACGTAGACGATCCGAATATATCTCAAGCCATGCCGTTGGCCGAAAAATGTCTGAACTTGTGCGTCCAGTGGCAGCTCTTCGTTCACCCTTTTCACCGTCACCATGGGACGTGGTACATTGCTCGGAATTCCATCACCCGCGCGTCGCTTCTCATCGCAGCAGCTAGGAGCAAGAAGTTACATTTACCCGACGGCTGGAGGAACATTGTCGACTCTGCGTTGCAGGTGGTGCAGTACTGGGAAGATGAAGCCCCAGATCTGAACAAGGCTGCCGGGATCTTGCGCAACCTCATAGCGGACGTCTAAGTACTTGAGCCAATCTGATAATGCAGAACACGTGGATTTAAATTCTGGAGCTACTTTGTGATGGTCTACTCTATAGTAGATCCCTCTAGCTTGATTGATTCCCATTTGTTTCAACAGTAGTGGTTTTGGGGCCTCAGCAAACTCAAGCAGCTCGCTCGACCTGAGTCGAGGTGGCCTCGTGCTTCCTGCTCGTGTCATCCATTTCGGCACTGACATCATCAACTTGTCCTTTCTCCATCTTATTCCCATCAATGAGCCCCGGCTTGCCTTCGAATACCTCTGCAATTTCCTCCAATGTATGACCCTTGGTCTCTGGGAACAAGAACCAGATCAGCACCAAGAGCACCGCCAGCAAGCAGCAAAAGACAATGTAGTACTTCCATTCAATTTGCTTCATCGCAATTGGGTTGACTTGATTGCCGACGATAAGGCCTGTAAAGGCAGAGATGTAGGTGACAGTTAATCCACGGCTGCGAAGGGTGTAGGGGAAAATCTCCACAGGATATGCCTGCAGGAGCGGCGTCCAAGCGATGTCGTAAAAGAAGTAGTAGACGAAGATGAAGCCGACCACTGCTTTCCCGACCGTATCACTGCCACTCTGGACAAAGTTTGCTGTGAGAGCTGTCCAGATAATGTAGCTTCCCAGCATTCCAGCTGTTGAGACCAGGAATAATGTCCGTCGTCCAAGACGGTCAACCATGAGAGCGCCCATGAAAGTGGCGGCGAGCCAGTTGAAGATCTGAAGCAACCCGTTGATGAGGGTTTGGTCCTTGACCTCTGTAATGCCGATGGTATTGAGAACGAGAGTGAGGTAATAACTAACAACACCGACACCATTCCATTGGCTTGCCCAGCCGACAATAACGGCGATCAAAGTTCGTCGTCGGTTGGCCGGTGTACGGACAAGGTCGACCCACGAAGTTGCAGAAAGCACCTGGGACTCAATGGCCAAGGTTTCTTGGATCTCCCTCATTTCGAAATCAACCAGGGGGGATTGCAGACTACCTCCAGCGTGGTTGTCGGCGAAGATCTTGCGTGCCTCATCCAACTTGCCTTGAGACACTAGGTATCTAGGAGATTCGGGAACGAAGAGAACGACTAAAAGCTGAAGCGCAGGAATGGCACCCTGGAGCAGCGATGGGATTCGCCAACTCCAAGTACTGTCAATCTTGAAGGTACCATAGGTACACCACGCAGCAAAGATGGAGCCGAAATACTGTTGAATGGTTAAATGATGTCGCATCAGAGGCTCCTCGCCAGAACACTTACGTAGAATGTGTTATACAGTGCCGTAGCTTTGCCTCTATGCGGTGGATAGGCTAGCTCAGCGATTATGATGGGGCTCGGCTGGCTAATGAAACTGGTGCTGAAGCCCAACAAAGCCCGGGCTGCCACAAAAGTTCCGAAATTCTGAGCCATGGCCTGCATGATTGCAAATGCAACGCAAGCGACGAGACCCGCAATGAGTGGGATTTTGCGGCCGAACCTGTCGGATATAAAGGCCACCAACGGAAGCGAGATGACCTTGCCGAGAGGGTAGACGGCATTCATGAGCCCAAGAACGGCGCCGTCAGGGCTGTCAAAAAACGTCCGCCATTGAGGGAGAGTCTGAAGGCCGTTCATCATGGACCCTGGAGTAGTATCGGATTTAGCAAATAAGCTTAAAGGAACAGTGGAGTGGGGAAGAACCTACCGTCGTATCCAACTGAAGCCGAGGATACGAGTGGGACCAGGAGGAGTAGGTTCAGTTTGACAAGATGCGGTGTGCGGTACCATGGCTTTCGGTCTTGCGGGAGCACCTGTGAGAGTCGTGTCAGATGGTCTGGTATGGCGATGGGCAGTAAGAATGCTTACTGCACTGAGCTTCGAGCCCGCAGCGCGTTCAGCTTCGCTTTTGGCGGCTGAAGGAGCCATATTCCAGAATTTCCAGGACGGGGGCTGGGAGGTGATGGATGGGAGAGGTTGATAGGTGAGGAGGCACGACAACCTTTGGAAACAAGATTGGGACCAGATCAGCGACGAGGCCAAGATATAGTCTCATCGTCGGAGTATTTCCCCATTTAAGAGCGAGGGAGCGGCGACCAGTCCCAACGATTTACAGTTGCCCCGTGGGGATCTCAAATCTCTCCCCGTGGGGAAATGGCTCCAGTAACCGCGTCTGCACATGTGCATATTCCGCAACTGGCATTCCCCAGGATGCTCTCTCTCCAGTACCACATCATTTGTTATCTGAGGATCATGCCGGCAAATCCCCATGCCAACAAATCAAACCACGCGGGGAGTAGCGGAAAGTGGAGATGCTTGACTCATGCTATCCGCCATTCCCCGTTATTGACCAGCCCCCGAATAGCGCCGCGCACCCCTGAAGCGAGTGGTAATGTGACCATAGACGGAAGACATATTCCACTTTCTGATCGCCCAAGGCCACTGAGATACCACCTTCAACCTGGTCCGATTTCTAATTCCTCTCATAAAGTCATGGTATCGAAAGGCGGAGTGTCGGATCAAGCCACGTGTAGCTAGGATCTACCCTACATGCGTGCACATGACTACCACTACGGAGGACCCTTTCAAAAGTCTTGTCCATAAGAAGTAAGTCCTAATCATTAGGTTAGATACTAAGTACACTAAGTACTTTCTGATTTCTATAGGCCCTAAAGGGTAGCAGGCTACAGCACACAGCAACCGCTATATCCTGATCAGCAGCGTACTACTCCTGAAGTTACAGCGGCCGTTTAACGAGACTGTGACAGCTTCATGTATCTCAGGTAACCGACAGGGATAGATAGATATGATGTCACTAGCGCTTGGACAAGACTCTTGAAAGGGCCCTCCGTACCGCTAGACATATACCCTAAAAAATATGTGATGAAATAGCCGAGAATCCTCTTTTTAGTTGATTCGGATAATCTGATAACCATTTTCTTTGCGGCTGCTTGATCAGCTGCTATGACCTGGTTGCTATTGCGGCTTGGTTTCTGCAGCTTTGGTGAGATCAATCGTTCGTTCCAATTGCTGCCACATGTTAGTGTCGCAATCCCGCTACGGCAAAAGGGAATGATCACTCCTCTTGCCGGTAGCGTTATTGTGGTCCATATCTCCGTCTGACAGTTAGGATTTCTGCTGGGGTTGTCAAAGATTAAATTGCTAGCTAGAAAGGGCGAAATTGACTCCTGTATATAGGCTATTCTAGCTAGCTAGGAACAATCCTTTCAGCCTAGCTAGATTATCTTACTGCTTGCTCTTCAGGAGGACTACTTAACCGAGACCCGCTAGCTCTAGGTTTAGGTTCGAATAGAATTGGACCCGGTACAGCTACAGGGTGTGACGCTTCGAAATGTTTTCCCTCCCCTGTTGCAAGCCTAGCATGGAAAGTACCTTCGGTGCTATTCATGAGATTCGGTGTTAAGCCTCCACCAGGAGAGCTGAAGGGGAGGAAAGTTTGTGGCGGTGTAGCTAAGGCTTCGTTATGCCCCTGGCTAGAATCTCTATGCTGGCTCTCCAGACTGTGTTGGCTTTGTTCGACGGGACGAGGCGCGGGCGCGATATGTCGTGGGAGGATTGGGCGGAACCTGGACTTATCCGCACGAGCTGGTCGACCTTTCTTTTTCGGGGCTGTGGGAGGAGGCGCCTGAAGGGCTTTCATCGAGGGGATCTCAGCCGAATTGGTAGCTGGGCGAGGGAGGATAGCTACTCTAGTCGAAGGGATAGCTGCAAGAGTTGCTGTTGGTTCTATATTTCTTGGCATTGTGATCCTTTTAATGGCGGTCTCGCTCTGATCACCTGACATCTTACGCTTGTGCCAAGCGTGCTGGAGCTTGAAGCCAAGGTGCTCTGCTTCTTGGATACATTGGTTCAAGTTTCGGCCTATTCGATATTAATACTCTCTCGTAGGACGGGCGGGGTGGCTGTCTTCGTCATACCTAAGGGCAGTTGCATTTGCATCCAGTTAGGCTTGGCCACATGGCCGTTGACGAATTCCCTTACGTCTTCAACATCCAATTCGTTGGCCTTGATCATTTCAGCTAAGAGAAACCGCTGCTGCTAGATCAGTAATCCCTTCTACCATCTGCTTCGAGCGTATGCTCACCGTCTCATCGTCCGTGAAACGAGAGCCTGTGACTCGGTGTGGTTGGCTAAGAGCATGAATGACAGGCTTTCTTGTTTTATCAGATGGCTCGTCTTCATTGTTGTCCGATTCCGCTTGCTGTTCATGGTGTATTCTCATTCTTTGCCTGGAGGTCGCTGCGGGCGGTGTCAATTTCACTTCCAACTTCAACCTTTCCGTGATGTCGGCGATCACCTGGGTTGCTGGAACAACGTATGCGAGTCCACTGCCAGGAGTTCCCGCAACAACTTGGCCGTAAAATTCTCCTGTAGTTTGGTCGATGATGCCCGCCCCGCAGTCCCCTTCGCTGAGAACGTCGCTCAACTGGACCAGGAACAGCTCCTGAAAGGTCTTGGAGTTGGGCAAGCGCATGTAAGACGCCGTAGCGGACAGCTTTCCCGTGAGTATTCCTTTTGAAGCTGTCCGTGTTACCACATCCACATCATGGAACCCAATTTCAGCCACTTGTGAAATCTTAAGACAGCGCTCGACGCCATCCAGTTCGAATTTGATAGAGCCATGTTCTTCGACACTCTCTGCGAGTTCTACCAGAGCATAGTCGAGGCCAATTTGAGTACTGTCATTGGATGTGATAGATATCTTCCCGATGTGCTGGAGATTATGATCACTTCTCTTGATCATATCATCAACGCGAGTAGACGCTGCGTTAAAGTGTTGTGCCGGTTGAGATCGATGAGAATCCAGACTGATTTCGTAATCGCTGACGGCGGGGATTCGACTGAGTGCGTCCGAAGTTGTCGGTACCGTAGGAATTCTGCTATCTGTCTCCTGCGGCGAAATCGAACTCTCACTATGAGAATCATTGTCACTGCTCCAAGAATGGAGTTCTTCCGGAGTGTTGCTCCATTTTCTGGACACCTCTTGGTCTGGTATGTCGCCTGAATCCTCCTGCGTCTCCGAGTCGCCGTCGAATGAGCACTCGTCCGATGCCGAGGATCCATCTGAGCCATTGCTTGTGTCATGGACAGGCTGTAGGACATGTGCGACGGAGAGTTGATATGACTTTTCCTGAATCCACACAATAGGGCCTCCGGTTGCGATACGTCCATGTTCGCCAGTGCTGATGAAGAGTTGTCGGCCAACGACACACTTTGCATCTCGTAGAGTGTACACCATGGGAGTCTCGGTATCGGCGCCGGCAATGGGGACCGAACCCGGTGTTGAATGTAGACCAGCCATCCTGATGACTCTGCGCCTATCTGGCAGCTCATTCGTATCTCCTAAGCCTATCCCAGGGTACCTCTCAAGAAATTTATTTTCTTTGATCGTCTTTCTGATGTTTTTTCGGGTTGCCCTATCCGAGGAGCAAATCAAGATGGTGGGAGATGCCGTGTCTTCAGTTTTGCCAATCATGTACATCTCCAGGATAACCGAAGACGAGTTTGACTGACAGAAATTATCCAAATACTCCTTGATTCTAGGCCGGACCGCATTCCATGCCTCTCGAGCCCGGCCAACGGGTTTCCAGCATGTGTATTTGCCAGATTGGATGTCGCCAAGACGGTCGCCGATGGATTCTCTGGGGTTGGCCCATTCGCAGTTGAATTTCTCTTTTCGTAGTCCGATACGTTCAGCCAGATCCATGGCTTTGCAACGTTGCGAGACTTGGCTTTCTGGGGCCTTGTTCAACTGGTGATTGACTAGTACACGCGAGGAATGGCTTTTGGCCTTGCCATTATTCGTATCCCCACTGCTTATGCTTGCTTCTTGCTTGATTTTGTTGTCCGACAATACCTTGACGTTGAATTGCAGGAGGGCGCAGGTGTGATTATTGCGCTCAGCCGAGAAAAGGTGCCCAAATTACAATTACAAAAGCGTGGCGAAGCAGTCCCCTCTCTAACACAGCCTCAGCCTGATGCAGGGTTTAAGTCACTCTTAGTACATCTCCATCGTGACAGAGTAATTTACACCACTCAATTGTCTAAGGAATTGGTAGCGGAATACTTCTCGCAGCCCAACCCAACCCAACCCGTTAGGCAACAATAATCATCCGTCACGCTTATAGTATATTCATCATCGCCTCATATACCGCACATGGCAATTCATCTAGCTTCACATTCCGGCGACAATTATTAATTACCGCTTGTCTTAACCATGGAATGTGTGACCTATTCATATTGCCTGATATGGAACCCCTTGATCAAAGCCTGAATTCTGAGCATCTTTCGCTCGAAACCAAAATCTTCATCATCAAAGTCTTCTGCGGCCAAAAGCCGGCTGGCGCGCTGAACCCCACGTTGCTTGACGACGACAAGCTCTCGGACGCCTTTCTCGAACCTTACTTCAGATACTACTTTCAACAATGCGACTTGATCGCCAGCCATGATAATGGAAAATACTCCTCCTTAAATACGCATCGGGATGTCGCCCAAGTAGGTCTAGTCTTGCGAGACGCCCAGGACCGAAAAGACGCCTTGCAGCGGCTACCGAAATTACTTGAGAGTGGTACAAAAGACCAGCACGAAAATACGATCTGTCTTGTTGCTAGACTCCTCCTCATGGTGCGGATCGGTGAAGTCCCACACGAATTCCTTGGCGGCAGACACATCGAGTGGAACGAGGGGAGCTTGAAAGACTTCATTCACGGCTATTTTTCTACCCCTTCAGTACTCAATCATGAAAAAGTTAAGTTTGAAAAATCATTCAATGCACTTAGCGTTCAGCTGGTTGCAGGACTGGAAATCCGGTGGACGGACAACATGGCGGATCACCTGCGACTCGTAAACTTTGATAGTGTTGTTTGCGTGTTTCATCACGCCGCATTCCTTCAACACCATATTGACAAGTAAGCGGCGTATCAATATCACCCATTTCGTGTAGAGCTAACTGTATAAGCACAATGTTTCCTCCCGATTTCATTCAAGAGACACTCAGGACCATTGCTTTACTCTTCCCAGAGTACGACAAAGAGATGAGAAAGTGGTACCGGACGCAAGTTGCAAAACACGAACTGGACGCAACTGCAATGAATAGCGGTCAACTAATTGCCGATGAGCGACAATTAGAGTCGTTCAAATACTGGCACGACCGGCTCGTGGTGTTGAAGCAAGTATACGATGAATCGAGACCCAATTCGATATCTCAGTGGTGGCATGACCGCCGTAATGGAGTCCAATGGTACACATTCTGGGTGGCTATTATTGTTTTAGCTCTGACAATTTTCTTTGGTCTGGTACAAAGTATTGAAGGGGCTTTGCAAGTTTATAAGGCTTTTAATTCGAATTAGATATCTCCCAGCCCTGGTCGTTTACAATTATAAAATCTGAAGCAGGCTGCACACATTCAATTTATAAGCCGCAAGGTATTTTCAGTAATACATTTCACAGCCTAATTGCAAGCATAGCTACATCACAGTTACAGGCTCTATTCGCATTCGTTTGGCCGCTACAGACGCAGGTCAGCTGTCCTGTGGTCCGAATCTGCAAGTGCCGCGGGGGACGTTGGGCCAGTCAGCCCAGTCTGCCTAGGGCTGTGGCGATTCGAGGCCAATGTTGGTATTTGAGCTTACGCGTGGCCTTGAAACATGAAGCGGAGGTCCCTCATATTCACTCGCGAATTCCACACGTCCCGGTATTTCCTTTCCTTTTGAGTCTCACAAAAGCATCTATGATAGCAGGCCCAGCGTCCCACATTACTATGGCAACGTGTAAGTTGTTCTAACGATCTCTTCAGCTCTCACCATACTTACACTCAAATCATCAGTCGATAAGCTCGTGAGTATCGTAAGCCTTGCGGCAATTTTGGACTCCACCGCTGCGGCGCCCGTAAATGAATTCCCAAAGGATGCACTCGTTGACCTGGAAAACTGCCAATGGAGCAGTATCAACAAATTATTGAACAATATGGCAGACAAAAGCCTCAACGCTACCGAGCTGGCGACACGATGCCCCCAGGTGTGTGGGCTGATCCTGGGGTCTGGCAATCCGGTAAGTTAGCTCTTATTGAAGTCGACTGAGATGCCTGCATGCTAATAATGTCGCAATAGGATATCTCTGGACCGGGTGTAAGGCTACCTTTCAGTCTTATAGTTTCCAATCTTCATGCCCTCCCAAGTTTGACTCAACTTTTAGAAGAACCCGATATTCTGGGGCATTGCAATTACTAACATTCAAGTCAGGTCATGATATCATACTCCATCCAGATCGCTGCCACCTGTGTCTTCTGCACCTTTCTCCCCATTTTTGCCTTCGCCGTCGCCCACAGCCGTTTCCGTGGATGACTCGACAGGACCGTCAAATTCCTCCGAAAGTGTGCCTCGGGCGCTAAGGAGACCAACAGCCTCTGTATAATCACCATCATCATCGCCGTCCTAGTCCGTAACAGGCAAGTCCCGCCCGTCCTTGAAATCCTCTTCATGTCGAGACTCGCCTCCCTCCAGTCCTACATCGCCATTAGCCTGCTTGCATCGCCGCTGTATGACAGCCTGTTCTATGACGTGACCCTGTCACCGGACAAATGGGTCTACCGCAGTTTACTGTTCGTCACGACTGTCAGCGCGGGGTATTTGGTCTCAGTCCCGAACGACGAGTTCAGGTTGTACCGCGACCTAGCCAAGGCGTGTCACCAGGTCACAGGGATCCGCGACTTTAGCAGCCTGTTTGAGTTCAAATTGGGCGATAGGGATTGGTTCGGCATCGGGCTTGTCATTGGCGTTGGGTTGCCCCTCATTGCCACTGCGGCGTTTCGGCTGTGCCAAGTCGAGGGAAATCTAGTTATGCCCTTTGTGCGGAAGATCATACCGTATTTTATACGCAAGTACTGTCACTACTGTCACAAGCTCATCATCTTGAACATGGCGATGCTCTACGCGGTCTTATTGATATACTGCAACGTCGACCTCAGCGAGCTTCGAGAGTCTCTCAAGCGGTGGAACCCAGGCCAAGAGAGCCAACACGACAAGGAGTGGGAGTATGGGCAGACGGCGGCTGTGCTTAGGTGGGCTCCGATGCTATGGGCTTGTATAAAGGCGGCCCGGGGTACGTTGCCATCGTTTATGTCGAGATGTTCTTTAGTAACTTGGGACTGCCTCGTTTCATTAGCGGCTGGACATACTGCTCCGGACACGATGGGAGGAGAGCTGCAACAGCAGCCAGCGCCACCACCACATCCCCATATTATACAGTTGGAGAACAGAACTCCAACGCCGCCCCCACCATACCCTGCACTCCGGCAGGAGACCCAACGGGAGACCCAGATGCCATTGACGCTAGTCTCGTCGACGACTTCACCTTAGACTTCAACTGCCACCAACGACACATAGAAGCAGCAGGCGACGGGGACGGATCCCGATCATAGGCATAGGATGGTAGTTCCAGTAGCGGTTGAGCAGGCTGAATACAGCTGGCAAGCTCCCAGCAGCATCAGCGCATCGTTGAGGAGACCTTCGACGTGGGACACTGGGGCATCTAGGGAACAACAAATTTATTCTAGGCTAGAATGATATAGGGCCTCCGGCTTTGTACCTTGAGGTTGATTAATTGTTTAATTGCAGGCATGGAACACCGGGGCTCCAATATGTCTCGCGTGGGGTAGGAGGCCTTCGGGCCTAAGTTTGCGAGGGATCGCTGAGCTCTCAGCCGGTCAGACTGGATGAGGAAGGTAGTCAGGGAAGGCAGTAATTCAGAGCCTCACTCGAGGATGAGGTTGCAAGTGAGTTGGGTAGACCAGTTGAAGCCTAGCACACAGACTAACAACCATTCTCGCAGCACCAAAGGGGGAGTTCTTATTGCCAGTCGAGATCTGCCCTTCTTGTAAGCCCTCTGCGATTCTCCCAGAGATAAAACAAACCTCAAATATAGTATAATTTCAAGAAATTTCCAGATGTCTGCAAATCTCGATCAACAAATCTACATCACCAAGTCTGTTTATAGCTAAGGAGTTTAGAGGTAATCTCTTAAATGCAAATATGATATATATATGATTTGTCGATTAAAGGGATCGTTGGTATGTATCTAGAGATAGCGATCTGGAAAAGAGTAAATACACACTGCAAGATGTGCCATTCTTGACCGTCGAACCGATGAATATGCTGTGCCAGATGCTGTTACACAGGATACCCAATATATCTCTGATCAGAATGTTCGACCATGCTCCCTTACGGCGTTCTGACTCTCCAAGACAATATAGTCTACACCGATGACCATTCTCATAGATTCTAGGTCAATGAAGTTGGCCTCGTCAGGCTGGATTGTGCCGAGGTACTCCGGATCGCTTCCCATCGCCTGGAAGGTTTCCAGATTGTGCACCCAAAACTCTGCAGCGCCATCAAATTCGAGGATGGGTAGTGCCCCCTCAACACGGCCAAAGTCACGCAAATCTGGAGTAGAATGATACTACCAAGGTCCAACGACGTCAGTTTATCTTACGAAACAAATAGCAAGCAAATGAACCGTATTGCTAATAGAGACGGAATGCCTACACACCTGTGAGTACTTCACCACGCCAAGTCTCAGGTGGAAGGGCTCTGCAAGGGCTGAGTGATTGTTGGCCCAATAGCTATTGAACTCTTCCGGCGTGATGCCTTGCTTGCGATTGTAGAAGATTTTGATGTGGAACATTCGTTCCATGTTCATGGTACAAGAAGCCTTGTACGTCATGCAGCAGCACTCCTCGGGAACAGTGTCATTCGGATAATGGCTTGAGCAACGCTGAGAGAGGCCGTGGGCGGCAACAAAAGGGAGAATGGGGAGAAAGGTGCTGAGCTTCATCTTGGATTGTGGTAAGTAGCTGCCTTGTTGACTGAGAGCTTTGTGGTTAATATTTGGAGCGGCTCATGGACGCCGTCTTATATTCCATTCAGTGAAGCAATCAATGATGCCTTTTAGACGAGTATTTTTAATGTCAACAGTAAGCTTACGATATAACCATAGCCTGACCGTCTGCCATGGCCATCAAGAAATTCCGTGCGCTTTAGCTCGCAAAACGATAGCCGTTCGTGGAATAGTGCACTGCCAGCTTGGTTGTTATGATCGAACATCGAAGGACTGAGGGGAATTTAAATTCACGTAGTGCACAGGTATCCTAAGCGCGGCGCATGCATAGTAAACCTGGCAACGGTGCAGCTGATACCAGGATTGGACCTGGATCGAGGACTGCACCCCATCTCTCCAACCCCGGACCACTGATGCACTACTGGGCTGTGCTGAGGAGAGCCCTCTGCAGAATCGAGCCTACCTGGAAGGGCCGAAGCATCATTGCAGAGTGCAGAGATACGACTTTGCAAAAGCCCCATCAGCGCATCATGTCGTCGAAAGTGCACGGGGCTGCGTGCTGCCTGTCTAGCGCTGCTGTCTCCATCTCAGGGTGAAGACAATAGTTTGAACCTGACCAAGAAGTCATCAAGATGGCAACGATCTCTACGTCATTTTTACCTTATCTTATGTGATACGGCAAACTTTACTCTAAAACGCCTGCCACGAAAGGACTTGTGCTGGAGCGACGGCTGAGCAACGCCAAATCGGGAAGAGTGATTGTGTATCATGAGCGGCCTTGTAATGGAAGTCACCGAGGATTGTTGCATGATCTGCAGTAAGAATAAAAGGCGCCAATCAGCCGCGAAAGCTGGTGATCTTACGTGCGGGCAGTGTGTTATGAAGGAACAGCACGCCACTACAAGAAAGGATCAGCATTGCCAAGACGGAGGACTATGCCATTTAAGGAAAGAATTTTGCGAGGTGCTTTTGGCTGTCAGATCGAGGCAGGGAACTAAGCATAAAACTGCGCATCAGCTGAAAACCCGGAAACACCGGTACAGAAACTGAAGTGATCCATATAAACAGAGTGGCCAAGGGTCATGCAGTATTTAGAGCTCTCGCAAAACAACTTCCGCTTCCGTCGACACTCTCCCAGCAACAATCTTGCAAATGGTCAATCTCGGGCGCTCAAAAGGTTGTCAAACCTGCAAACAAAGACGAATCAAATGCGACGAGGCCAAGCCCAATTGCCAGCGCTGCCTGCAGGCCGGTCGCGAATGCGGAGGCTACATGAAAAAGCCCGTCGATTTCAGGTTTAAAGATGACCTCAAACTGGCCCCAAAGCCACGGTGCCAACGCCATCAAGCTGCTCTGGTGTTAGCAGAGGCTCGAAAGCCATCACCTATCCCTGCGCTCTCGCCGGTGCAACGAGACGTCGCCCTGGGATTTTTCGTCAACTGCTTCTCTACCACAGGCAGGACCTGCGAGTCTGCGCGAGGCTTATTCGAGATAATGGGGCCCGCTGTTGCAAAAGAGCACCCGTCTTCGGCTGTCTCCGTTGCAGTGACTGCCGTCGCGATGAAGATGCATGCTCTGTGGCGCCATGGAGCAAAGGCCGTGCCCTCACCGCAATGTTTAGAGACACATTCCCTGGCGTTGAGCCGCCTTCAGCAGGCTCTCCGGGATCAAAAGGAGTTGAGGAGTAAGTCAACAGTCCTCGCAGCTCTTGTACTTCAATGCCACGAGACTCTCACGGCTGCTTGGGATCAAAAACAGCCTGCCCTCACACACCATGAGGGAGCTGTGACCTTGTTCCTGAGTCAATCACCCAAAGTTGACGGCAGTGCCCTGTACGACACCCACCTCTTGACGAAAATTTTGCATGATGAAGTCTCATCGGCCCTCCGCGAACAGCGACCCGTCTCGCCACGGATTTGCTTGTGGCTCAGCGGTGACGACAAACCCTTGAGCCCAAGCTCCACCCTCGATCTCATCGGTGTCTCGATCGCCAAAATTCAACTCCGGTTCTTGCGACTGCTGGATGAAGCCCAACCAGACCCGACTCCACGCCAGACACAAAGTGATATCGAGGAACTGTGGGCAGACATCAGATCCACAGACAACGAGCTCATCGGGTGGTTTAAAACGTTTCCCAGGGAGTGGCGGCCATTGAAGGTGCGGCAAGCCAAAAAAGCAGATCCTCCCATTATAAGCTATTCATATGGCTATGATATTTATCCTTCTATTGCAATCGCAGCGGTTTGGAATACGTGGAGATGCTACCGTCTGATGCTTCTCAAAATGGCACTCGTGTTACTTCACGAGAAAGCGGATGCTGTCTTGGCAGGCATCACCAACAGCCACGGCTTCGATACAACGCCAAAAGTAATGTCCTGGGTCGAGGACAATATCCAGTCGCTATTTGACTCGGTATGCGACAGCGTCCCTTTCCACCTTGGCAATTGCATTCGCAGGTCTACGCTCTACGACTTTACAGACCCCGGCATTGTTCATCCGAGCTATCATGATTTGTCGCTGCATAAGACCATCTTGCTCGAGCACCCGAACAGCAATCGCTTCATGTCTTTCGAAGATCATAGACATAATGTTATAGCCCAAGGACCGTGGCACATTCTAAGCCCACTGGGCCATCTTCTCCGGCTATTATCTTCCAGGTTTGGTCACCTCTTGGCTCAAAAGCTGAGGCAAGGCCAGAAGGACTGGATTCAGCAACAACTGACTCGCACGACAGTGGTATTGGACTGGGATCATACAAAGAAGTAGGAAAAGACATTGCGACGCCGATTTTTATTAGAAAGGAGAGCCTAGGATTTGCAGTGTGGCACGGAAATGACGAACAGAGATGCTGGAAGGCCCAATAGCCCACCCAAAAGACAGGTGGAAGCTGTAGTGGCGGGGTGTTTTTAGTAGCTCGAGAGGTTGAAATTAAAGATGATAGAAATTAGCAAAGTAGACAGGGTAATAGGGATACCCCAATAGGTATTATCTGATCAAATGATTCATGAAGAGATGCCTTGTTAATCGGCTAAAATACTATCAATTGAACAATCCGTAGCCAGTAGCTAATACTGATTGCAGACAGATCAATCTGATGCCCTAAAATCCTCACTAGAAGACCACAAGTCGGACTTATCAAATGGAAACAATAGCCCTAGCCAAGGGAGGAAATCCCAAAGGAGACAGCCGACCGCGGGCTCCTTCCCAAAATGCAGGAGGCTTCAATTTCTCCTGTTTCCCCGAAGAGCTTGAATCCTGACACAATGACAAACCTTTAGACACCTTGACTTCCCTATTCGTCTGATAACAACAGAGCGACGCCTAGCTACTATTACTTCCTTGATAGTCCGAGAATAGGTTCTCATCCAACTCAGACCTTACAAACTGCGTCACGTTTCGGCCAGTTTGGTCGTTGAGATACGCCGAGTTTTGTAACGAGCTGATGTGATGCGTTACTCCCCATACCGAACCTGCCTCAACAGCCGCCGCTGCAAAAATGCTACCGCCTGTGGTAGCTCGATGCAGGACGGCAGATGTTTTCAATGACCCGTGAGTTTGTCACTGTTTGGCAAATGCCACCCACAAGGTCGTATTAACTACGCAAAGGGACATGACGGATTTCCTGTGCGGCCCGATCTAATCACCAAGCGGGAGGTACGAGTCGTAGTGTAGCTAATATGCCAGTCGCCAAGATTTCTTCGTTTCTCAATGACGTTACGACCTTGGTGTCTTGAAACAGCAACTCGCACAGATTCTCTGACGCTTCGGCAGTTGCGTCGCTTCCCAGAGCCAGCCAGAATACCTACAATACTACTTGGCTGATACAACTCGAAATACATTCCTCCATCCGCATCGGAGGTGGCCGACAAGGATCCCCAATGCTGCAGATGTGGCGCAGCGTTTGCTCAATGTGCAGTATTCCAAAGTCGACCAGATTATCCTCTTGTTCTTTATTAAGATGTCTTGGATGGATGTAGATGGTTGCGTTGCCCGGGGCCGTTGAGGACACGTGGAGAAGCAAGTATCGCCATCACACTTCTCTTCAGTCACGCGTCATAATTGTAGTTTGACATTGTAAAATCCAATCAGAATACGTCGCCGGGCATTCAAAAAGGTTGTAGGATTAGTGGGTCATTCAGCTGTAAGGAGATTAAGATGCGTGGAACTATTGACGACCGGACTCGGTTCGTCGCGGTTCTAATGAAAATGGCGGTCTAGGGCGCGCGTCACATTGCAGTCCGGTCAACAGCGGCGATGTGTCTTTTCAAGCTGATGGCTGCATCACCGAAAGGCACAGCTTTGCTTGAGGATGCTATTGGCCTGCTCGAAGATGCTATTGGCCATACATTTCCGATATATGACAGTCCTGGCTCACCGTCCCTGCATGTCTCAAATGAACGGGACCATACGGCGTCGGTTCGTGGTCCCCGACTGGGCCATCTAGTGTACCGGTAGTGCCCGGGCGGGTCGCTGCATGTAAGGAGAGTCCCACGTAAGCGCTAATACCGCTGCTGAATCCATTTACTGCGGTGTTGATGACGAAAGTAGGGCCTCTTATTCGTGGCCCTACGCCCTGTGGAGGTGGCCGATACCCAAATAACCTTAACCCAGGTGCCGCGTCTAAACTCAAGCAGTGCGTTGTTCCGCGTCAGCTCGTGTTTCCTCAGCAGGTTGTGCGAAAATTAGACGAACCAGGCACCAGCAGCGGAATCACCGCGTGGTCAGCGGACATCTTCATTGGGAGGACTGCATTGCTCCCTGCTTACATGGCTGTGTGCTGGTGGATGCGTCTGTCCTGTGGATGCGTCCTGTGGATGGCCTCATCGCCACAACATGCAACAATCTCGTGAAGCCCCCGCACAAGCTCGCACTCTATTCAGCCCCTCTCCGTCTATTCAGCCCGTCTCCCGCTGCACTGTAGCTCCTGTCCTGTAGCTCCCGCTCTGGCTGCGGCCCGACTGGAAGCTGAAGGCCATGTCTCATATCGGGTTCCACATAATCGCCCCCCAGCGTCCTTAGCTTCTGGTCCAGGCCCTTCCGAGGCGTATCGACCGTAAACTATCACACTTGTTCCCCTCCCTCTATTCCACTTTACGCTTTCTGCCAGAGACAGTTGACGTTTGTGGCTGGCTGGCGCTGGAGCTGACCGTGAGATTCCCTCCGCCTTTTCCATTATGCTCTGCGCCGGCAGACGATAGCAAATATGGTCCCAAGATGCGGGGCTATGGCAAACAAGACGCGTGTTGCGAAAAAGACGCCAGAGTAACAGAGGACAAGTGATACTCAGCTTCCTATAAATCAATAGCCTGCCTGTCCTCCCAGCTCTCCTCTCTCCCATTCCCAAATTCCTCATTCACAATCTTCATTCGACCAAATTGGCAAACGCAAACATGGTTGTCACTATCCCTACCCTGCCAGTGCTCCCCCCCACTGCGCCCGATGTCCCTACCTCCAACACCATTCTGGAGCAGCCGACTCTTGCGGACAAGAAGGGTCTGAATGTCGACATCAAGGACGTGGCCTTTACAGACATCGACCCCGGTGTTTTCAACAGCGAGCTTGTCAAGTTGAAGCTCTACGTCAAGCCCGTCGCCAGCGACCTCACCAAGGACCCCAAGGATGGAGGCGGCAACATCGAGGAGGGTACCTACGCAGGAACCCAGGCTGCCTTGACTCATGCCTACAGTCGAATTGAGCGCAGGTAAGTCTTCTTTGTGTTTGCCTTATCTGACCCGACACTGACCACGTGCAGTTACGAGTCCTACTTCGATGTCTTGCAAATTGAGCCCACCCTGCCTCGCCTGGCAGACCTTTCGGCCAAGCAGAACATTTACCAGTACTCGTCCTACCCCCTCGGCGATGATGGAAAGCCTGCGCAGTACCCTCCCCACCTGCAGACCATTCCCAAAGACGACCAAGTCAGCCAATTGAAGATCTTCAACGCCCTCGGTCTCGCCGAGACGAAGCAGCTGTTGACGCAGGTCATCCCAACCACCTTCCTTGGCAAGACGGCGGCTTGGATCTTCCACCACTTCAACGGTGACATCTCCGAGGCGGCGAACCAGGGTCTTACCTTCAAGGCCTACGAGGACTACAACAAGAACAACCGCAAGTCCGGTACAGACATTGAGTCGGGCCAGAACATCGGTCTCTTGGCCGACTGGTTCACCGATCGCCGCTTTGCTGAGCAGTCGCTCACCGGCACCAACCCTACCACCCTCATCTCGGTTGCCAAGCTCAAGGACAACCTGTTGGCCGAGTTCATCGAGACTGCCGGCCGGGAAAAGTACGACTTCTGGGCCAAGGAGCTCCCCAAGAAGGACCCCAAGTCGCTCTTCGTCCAGGACTGCCGCTACTTCCGCGCCGCCGTCCACGCTGGGTCCAACGATGAACTAAGCGCCGAGGACGCCGTCAAGAACACGAGCTGGGCCTGCGCGGCTGTCACGCTCTTCGAGCTGTACCCCAGCGGCAAGCTCCACCCCATCGCCATTGTCTGCGACTACAAGACCGACATGAAGAGCTCCGTCACCATCTTCAACAAGAGGCATCTCCCCACTGATTCGTCCTCCGGCGAGGCCACTGACTGGCCCTGGCGATACGCCAAGACGTGTGCTCAGGTCTCAGACTGGCTCCGCCACGAGATCGGTGTGCATCTGACTCGTGCTCATCTGATCGAGGAGGCCTTGATCGTGGGCACCCACCGTGCCATCCCCATGACGCACATTGTCTACAAGCTTCTGGAGCCTCACTGGTACAAGACGCTTTCCCTCAACGCGGCTGCGCGAGAGACACTTGTGCCGCAGCTCGTCAAGGAGCTGGTCGGCTTCAAGGAAGAGCAGCTGTACCAGTTCATCCGTTCCGACTTTGAGAGCTTCGACTACGTCGGCAGCTATGTGCCCAACGACCTCGACAACCGAGGATTCCCCAACACGGCTGCCGGCCTCAAGGGCGAGAAGTACAAGAACTACGCCTACGCCAAGAACATGCTGTCCATGTGGACTACCATCCGATCGTACGTCAAGCAGATGCTTGCGATTGCGTACGACGAGAACACCCCGGGCAAGAGGGTTCAAGACGACGACGTTCTCAAGAAGTGGACTAACGAGATCCGCACCGGGGGCTGGATCAAGACATTCCCCGACATCAAGACCCTGGACGATCTCTGCGACGCCATCACCATGAGCATCCACATTGCGGCTCCCTTCCACACCGCCGTCAACTACCTCCAGAGCTTCTACCAGTCGTTTGTCCTCGCTAAGCCTCCGGCTCTCTGCAACCCGCTGCCCCAGGATCTCAAGGAGCTCAACGCCTACACGGAGAGGACTCTCATCGCGGCGCTGCCCTGTGGCCGACAGCGACAGTGGCTGCTCTCAGTCCAGGTCCCCTGGCTGCTCAGCTTCAAGGTTCCCGACGAGCGGAGTCTCCTTTCGTTCGCGCAGTCTCAGTGGAACACTCACCGCAGAGGCAATGCCGAGGACCTCAAGATTGCAGCGGCCAGCGAGGCTTTGTACAAGAATTTGCAGGGCCTTATCAAGGAGTATGTCTTGACTAGCCAAGGCATGGACAAGGGTTCCATTCCGTACACGGTTTTGGATCCGGCCAACACGGCAGTGTCGATTCTTATTTAAAATAGCCCATAGCATTGAATTGAACTGTGGTACCAATGACTTTAACGTTTTGCATAAAAGATTGTAGCACTACTGATGTGAAAATGTTTTACTGTGACGTAATGGGTGATTTGTCTTTGTATTGCTGTGACAGCAGAACCAATGAAGTTGAGACATCCCATCTCGGCCTCTACCGATTGTACACCGCAGAAATGGGTGATATAGAACTAAACAAATAGCAAATGTATTCCGGGATAATTTGCAGGTTAAATCTAAGAACATCCTCAATTAATGAATATCAGTCTGTCCTACAGCCTATGCACATTGCTATTCTTAGTCCACCTCCGGAATGTCTTTCCATAAAAGTAAAACATGACAGCAAATAGACACCAGATAAAAGTGAGAGCCATGTTCACCATGAAAGCGTTGATGAATCTAGAGTAAGAGATAATATGGTCAGTACGTAGTAAAGTATGTGTTTCCCGCTCAAAATAACTTACCCATCTGCTTCAGTCCAGGGCGTAATAAAACGACCCATGCCGTAACCCCAAAGGTTCTTGTTCACAGTGATAGCAACGAAGAGCGATCCAGCTACAGGCTTGTAGCTGTCAACTGCGTAGGTGCTACTAATACTAGGTAATCCTGCGACCTGAATGCCAGCGCAGGAATAACCGAGGACGACAATGACGGGCCAAGGCCAGTGGTTCTGGTACCCAATTGCCGTGATAATGTGTCCAAATGCCATTATCAAGACGTATGGAATCATGGCGGGGAGACGCATTTCTGGCTCACGAATTCCGTTGTTGCGAGCTGTTGCGCGAGCAGAGACCCAGTCGCTCAAAGGTCCAGCTGTCGCGAGGCCAATCAGGGCTCCGACGAAGAGTGAGAAGTTTGTAAATCCTTCACAAATATTAGTTTCGGATATTGGCGAGCACGAACGAAGAACGTACCAATCGACTGTGAGCTCAGGTTATAAGGAGGCGCCGCAAATACTTGCGTCTGTGTGAGGTTGAGAATCAAGATGAAGCTGCAGCTCCAGCTAACCACAAAGGATGCAAAGAGAACGATAGGGAACGTAAATAGCTTCCACGGAATCCACAGATCTAGCATGATGGATCGCAAGGGAGACGACGTTGATTGAAACAGCTTCCATTGCTGTCGGCTGGGTGTTCCCTTTCCAAGGCAAGGATCTCTCTCTGCGTTCACGTTAGACTGATTATCATCCGAAGCTGTATTCTTTTCGCTGGTAGACTGCTCTTCGTGCTGGACTTCGATGGCTTTTAGCGATGTCTCAACCGCAGCGGGCTGGCCTTCAGATGCCTCCACGCGGCTGAACATGGTCTCGGGAAAGCCAAAGACAATCGCCACAAGCGAAACGGCCGTCATGGCGGCGTTGAGCCACCAGAATGATGGCCAGCCACTGTGATCGGCCATGGCTCCTGCTATAATAGGTGCGACCTGAAGTTGTTAGCTAAACAAGATACCGGCGAGAGCATGACTCACGATCAGGGCGCCCGTGTATATGACCCAGTACATTGTGTTCCACTTGCCTCGATCATGGAGGAAGTAAATATCGGCGATGATGCTCGGTTGCAGTGTCTCTCCGGGGCCGGCCCCAATACCACTCAAACTGGACATTGTTAGTCTGATACTTCAACGAGCTTCCAATTAGACACACTCACATCGCAGCACCCATAAAACCATTGTAGTCAGCTGCCTTGGCTCGCCAAATATGGGATGCCAAGCAGACGATTTGTGAGAAAATCAAGACGGGCCTTCGTCCAAAGGAAGTCGATATCGGAACCCTGTATCATAGCGTTAGTTATGATTGCGCACATCTCAGATGTGCATGTCAACTGACCAGAAGAAGTTGCTGAAGCCGAGAACCAAGATGGTGACACCCGTGAACTGAATGACATCCGTGAGAGACCTGTCGTAATCTTGCATCAGGTAGCCGAACATGGGCCCAAGAGCAAGCGGTGCGAAGCCTTGTGTGAAGCTCATTGTAGAGACGGCTACGAGCGCCGACAGTTTCCATGCCCTGGTCCAGTTAAGAGGGTCGTGAGGATCGTTCGAGGGTTGAGGCACGAGCACACGGTGTGATTTGTCTTCGCTCTTGACAAAATGATGGCTTCCAATGTCGGCCATAATCTCAGTGCCAGGGATAATCTCGATGTCGAGTTCATTCTGGATCTGCTCCAGTTCCTATTGAGGGATATGAGTAAGGGGTCTAGGTCGTACTCTAAGTCGTTAGGTTTCATACCTCCAGACGAGAGTCGGTCGCCATGATGACGAACTCGCGGTGATGGACAGTTGTGAACACAATGGGATTAACAGATCTAGAGATGGCAGAATGATTGCGGGGATGTGGACTGGTAGGGATTGAACGATGTGGGCAGTGGAGTCATATTTGAAGATTTCGCCGATGAGATGGATTCCGAGATCAAGTCTGGGGAAATGTTACGAGTCATTGAATCTGCAGTCAGCTGCTCGGAAATACATGAAGTTCCCTTTCCACCGGGATCATAATCCTTTGTTTCGGCCGATGGTTGGGCTTCTCGGCTAAGGCCCGACTCAATCTGGTGAGCTTCAATACGCCCCATCGGAATTTTGAAGATATTTCCGAGATCCCAGCTGCTGTGGCCCGTTCTAGAGGCAAACAGATTGCCACAAACGTATAGATATCACATCCCTTACGCCCGCAAGCGCCCCATAGACCACTTTTTTTACCCCAGATTCTCCGCGTCTTCTCCCCAGCTGAGACCCGCCAAGATCCCCGCACGTCCAGATGAGCGTCACCAGGGGACCCCCGCCTCTCTAGCGTGCTCAGCTATCGTCGAGGATGTACCTCACAAAGATATTGGTCATGATAGGCACGGAACGCTTCCGAGAGGTCAGTGTGGATCAGACGTTGTACACGGAGCCGAGGTGTATTAGGTCTGAGTTTCGGCAGATGACATGCGAAGGGAATGTGGCATATTTAACCTAGGTGACAACACCTGTCCATCAATGACATACCTGTTTTATTTCCCACGTCTGAATTACCCGTTATTATCGACATAGCTACCATTAAACATGGCACTACCTACCAACATCAAGACCGAGGCACTTGTCATCCGCAAGCCCGGTGACAAGTTCGAGATGAAGCCCATCATTCTTGATGAAGTGCGCTCAGACGAGGTGCTAGTGGAAATGAAGTACTCCGGCATTTGCCACACGGTGCGTCTAGTCCAGGTTTTTTAGGACGAACAGCTAACATTGCGAAGGATGTTCTTTTTCAAACAGGCATGTTGCCTGGTGTCGAGTATCCCGCAATTTTTGGCCACGAGGGTGCAGGCATCATCCGAGCCCTGGGAAGTGACGTCAAGGACAAGTCCCTCCATGTCGGCGACCATGTCCTTCTCTCATTCAACGTCTGCGGCAAATGCAAGCAGTGCCTTGCCGATAACCCATCATGTTGTCACATCCACTCCGAAGTCAATGCCGGCTCAGTCCGCCTCTCCGATAGCTCTACACCCGCAAGGCTCGAGGATGGCACACCTGTTCGCAGCCAATGCTTCGGACAATCCTCCTTTTCCCGAATGTCCGTTGTGGCTGAGAGGAGCGTGGTCAAGTGCCCCTATCCCGAGTCACTGCCTTACTATTCGCCGCTTGGTTGTGGGTTCCAGACAGGAGCCGGCACGTTGCTGAATGCACTCAAGCCAGACAAGACCAACACGGTCGTAATCTTTGGAGTTGGAAGTGTCGGTATCGCCGCTCTGATGGCGGCTTCGTATCTCCAAGTGAGACAGCTAATAGCCGTGGATGTCCTTGACGAGAAGCTCGCCATCGCAAAGGAATTTGGGGCCACACATACCGTGAACTCAAGAAACTGCGGCGAGGGCGGTGTCCAGGCCAAGATCCTCGAAATAACAGACGGGGGAGCCGATTTCGCCATCGACTGCACCGGCCTGATCCCCGTTATCGAGTCCCTGTTTGGGTGTTTGGCTCCACGGGGCACTGCCACGACTGTTGGCGTTCCACCGCCAAACAGCGTTGTCCGGATAGAGCCAATGTCATTTCTGCTGAGCAATAAAAGGTACATTGGTGTTGTCGAGGGCGGATCGAATCCACAAAAGGTAAGTCTTTTCCGTGCTGAGGTTCTTTCCAAGCCGCTGCTAATCTCCATATCTGTCAAGTTCATTCCCCAGTTGATGGAGCTTCACCGACAGGGCCATTTCCCCGTGGATAAGCTTTGTAAGATATACTCTGTGAAGGATTTTGACACTGCAATGAGTGACTTGCGCCAAGGAAAGGTGAGTTTCCTGCTTTCCGAGCCGGTCTCCCTCAATCTCTAACAGTGCTGTGATTCTGCAGGTCGTGAAGCCTATCATTCATTGGGACTAAAGGGGCATCCTAGGTGGCATGAATCTACGTACTTGGCAATGAAATATATTTGCAAGTTTAACTGTCTTTGTAAATTTCACGTAAACTCATTTCCGCATTCCCGTGTCCCAAATAACTTGGTCCACTGTTCAACCACCATCCTTGATTTGCGCAGCACAACCGATGTCCTCGTCATCCGTTGGCGTGAGTCGTGGCGTGAGCTATTATGGACCGCACCACGTGTAGACGGAGTCCAGCCCCCGAAGTCATGCGGGCTAATATAGCGTGCCTGAAAAGACTCATTTGATTGGGCATTCACGAGATTGTTCAGGCTCAGACCTGGATATCCGGAATTATATGTCAAGATAGGCCTAGAATGCGGAGTCCGTTCGGCCGGGTTAGCAGATTTATATCCGGTGGGCGTTGCGGAACGCCGGGCCTTGTGGATCGATAAACGGGCCATGACTCGCAAGCGACCATGGCAAGGAAATACGCGGTACGGATTCCGAACTGGTAATCCGTGGTACCACGCTCCATAAACGGCTGGCTAGAATGTGGAGGGCTCACCAGGCCACAACTGAAAGCCGAAATGAGTGGCTCTTAAGTGATTCTCGATCTGTCTTTCCTTCGTACCAATTATCGGGCACCTCCTCATTCAATACCCTGTCGCTATCGCATACCTATATAGGAGAGACATTCCTGTAAAAAGTGCTACCATCCAGCATATCATGTTTTATCATACTACACTCATCCCTGGCCCAGAGTCCCTCTCTACGGTCCTTCCTTCTTTCCATTACTGTGGGATATTAGAGATCCCACGAAAACCCCATAAACCCAAGCCTGGTCATCTAAGATTTGAAGCACCGTTCAAACCCTGTTCTTAACTCCGACGCTGGTGGCTACCATGCCAACACCCGCAAGGCCGACGCAGCACCACAGTCCCGTGCAATACTGTTGCAATATACTGTGACCCTTGCTAGTATCGACAGCCTGGACAATAGCACTCGCAAGCGCAAGTCCTACGCCGCTGCCTATCTGGAAAGCAGTGTTGATCATTCCTCCACACAAGCTCTTGACGTTGGTTGGCACTGAATCCAACAGCACTACTGTGATCGTGCAGTATACAATGGTGGTACCAGCAACACCAATGATGGTGGTTGGGAAGACGTGCTTCCAGAAATTGATGTCGCCTTCTTTCATCAGTGCCGAGGAAATGGGGGCAATGGCACAGGTAGCCATGCCAACAACCAGCAGAATCTTTGTGTTGAAGTGCTCCAGCATCCGAGACATAGAGAGGCTAACAATGAACCCTGTGCATCCCATGGGAAGGAATCGAAGTGCGGTTTGGCCAGCGCTCAGCTCATTAACCTCTTGGGTGATGAGTGTCGTATAGTAGATTGTTGTTTGGTAGCCGCCGTAAGAGACTGAGAGATATTAGTAAAGCTCATTTCTTCTCGTCAATAGGGCAACTGTGCTTACCAAATCCTCCGATCCAAAGTGCAGCAAAGTTGTCCAGTTTCCAAAGAGACAGCGGCATGATCGGATTTGAGACTTTCTTCTCGACGTATGTGAACAAGACAATGAGGCCAACGCTCAGAACTAGCAAGACAATGACGAAAGCCTTGCCCCAGCCGTATTCACCTCCACTCGAGAGCACGAAACTCAGCAAAATGAGTCCAGCTGTCGACAAGCCAGCTCCGGCAAAGTCCAGCTTCGGTCTCACCTGGCCATCCATTCGATCCTTGGGAAGGACAAACCAGCCAAGGATTCCTAGGAGGCTAGTGACACACGTCGATACGTAAAATACGTAGCGCCAGCCGAGGGAGGAAGTGAGGAAACCTCCGAAAATGAGGCCGAGGCAGAATCCGACCGCACCAGCTGCGCCGAAAATGGTCAAAGCTGGTGTGCGGTCCTTGGCGACAAAGTAGTTGCTGATGATGCCCACAGCCGATGGCACTGTAACAGCAGCACCAATGCCTTGAAGGGCACGGAAGATTGCGAGTTGGATAAATGACGTGGCAACGCCGTCGGCCAAAGTCCAGATACTCAAGAGAGCCATGCCGGCGCAGAAGACAAGTCGTCGTCCATATCTGTCTGCAAGAACGCCAGACAGAAGCAAAAAGCCACCAAACGTAAGTGTGTAGGCTGAAATAAGCCATTGGAGATCACTGTTCGGAACGTTGAAATCCTTCTGGATAGCAGGTAGCGCAATATTGACACCCGTCATGAAGACATTGTCCATCAACTGAGCGCCGCACGTGCAGAGCAAAATCACAGCACCTCGCGTAGACTTAATCGTGCCAACATCCGGATAAGCCTGACCAGTACCAATCTCGTACTCTGCAGGAGTTTGCGTTCCCGAAGGGCCAACAGGTGACACTGTGCCCGAAGTTGCGAAGCCGAAGGTCGGAGATGACGGGCGAGTTGGGATAGGAGTGTTGAGGGTCGACGGTACCTCTCGAATAATACTCTCAGGGCCAGGTTTCGCAGCACGCGGCCGCTGGATATGTGGTAGCTCGAATAGATTGTCCAGCGATTCTCGTCTATCCCGAGAGTGAAGCCGGCTGATCGCCGATGCGCTGCGAACCAAGGCATCAAGATCCTCTGGGTGGCTATCTTCGAAAGTTACCCGAGACGCATTGCTTCTGCGACGAGCAAGAGGGAGACTCCCCAAACCTGAAGGAGGCACAAGTGTAGGAGCCTCCTCTAGAGCTGAGGTGCGTCGGCCAATAGGTTCTCCATCGACCTCGTAGTCCGCCTCCTGGGACTCGCGGTGGTGAGGCATGGTTAACAGTTGGATATCAAATGTTGATAAAAGTACTATAGAACCGGGACTTCATTGCAGAGAAAATATTTTATAAAAAATCAAGAAGCTCCGATTTAGGCTCTCGTCATTTTCTTCCCGCCGCTGGACGTTGGGTTGTGGGTGGAGCGTTGTTGCCAAGTTCTTATCAAACTTGCCACTAGGGGCTCCACCAGAATTCAACCCTGAAGCTTTCGTAGATAAAGCGGAGGCTCAGGACTGGCCGGCGGGGCTCGTCACACTCCAAAGAAGCAGAAAATAGGCGTCTCTGCTAAAATCTTCGGACAGCGATTTCCGAGTGGAACTGACGTCCAATCATTCTGCCACACAATCTCAAAATAGATTGACAGGTTTTTGTTTCCACAGCTCGGATTTCACATCAGCCCATCTTGGCATATGAAATGGCCACGGAGGATTTTCATGCTACGCAAAATAAGTCGGTGAAAAGAGATGTGGACACAAACTACACACCCCCCCGGCCCAAAAACGAGACAGGTCGCTTACCCTGGAGCCAGCAGACACGAAGAATTTTCCAACAGTGCAGGGATTCTCATTCCTGTCACATCTCACAATTCTGAATCATGCCATTGAATGAATAGTCTGTTTTGGAAAAGAAAGTATCACGAGAGGAAGGGAATTAGGAGGTTTCCCACGAACTGATTACGAGTCTCCTTGTTAACTTGAGCACGGGGCAGGTGTTCCTTGTGCAGTTTGGTGTACTTAAACACTCAGGCTGTGCTTGTATGCATCCAGTAGAGGACCACTCGCAGAACCCTAAATCCATTTTACTATCTAAACAACTTTTCCACGCAACCTTTCAACAGACCCTCTCTTCTTCCCTCCCACGTTACACCACACTCGCAGAAAATAGAACATGCAAAGCAAGATCTTGGGTAACAATGATTTTATTCAAATGTAGCACAATTGTTTCTCAAGAGTCATGGCTATATGGCGGTAGCTGGCTGGTAGCGGAGCCAATGTCGAGTCTGCAGCTGGTACTACCTCTGCAGCTAGAGATTATAGTAAAGAGGTGGCAGCAAATGAAGGAGTACTATTGCGGGAACTACCAGACTGGGTCTGTAACGTACGGCGAGGCATTGAAGAAGGGGGATTGTGAGACTGCCATAGTCATTGTCAAGTAACATCATCGCTGGAACAAGGTAGCAGAGTTGAATGTTGGGTTGTAAAAATTGCACCGCTTGCGTTGGGTGAGATCGAAGACAGCTCCTCCATTGTATAGTTCAGTCTCAGACTAGATAATCTCAATTTATCGCAACCACAGGGCCAAAATGAATACCGTTGCGCCTGGTTGTATGTAAGCGAGTCCTCCATTTGAATGTCTCAATGGCTCCCATCAAGGGTGACTTCAGTTTGGATCTAAATATCTTGGATCCATCAGTTTAAATTCCCCCGCCTTGGGCCAGTGATAACCAAGCGCCTTTAGTCATTCGCACTTACTATTGAGTGTTCTGTGCCTTCAACCCTACATCCCTTTCATGCCTGATTAAATACAGGTGAAAACTCTGAGTAAAAGATCTACTAATATTCAACTCGCTGGACTAATATAATATTATCAAGCTCTAAGAGCTTGGAAAAATCTCCTTATACTTGAGTAATGCCTCTTGGAACGGAATTGGCTTCCGACCAGTCAGCTTCTCAACATTGTCGCTCGTCTCCTTCATATGGCCATCCGCCACCATTTCGCCGCAGCACATCAAGTCGCCGATGCAGAGCTTCATGGGAATCTGCGAGAAATCGCCAAAGAAGTCTGTTGGCAGCCCATGATCCAGCCACCACTGCTTCAATTCCTCATCAGGCAAATCCACCAACTCTCCCTTGTAACCGGATTGGCTGCACATCCAATTGAAGACCTGTTCATTGGTAATCGCCTCTGGGCCGGTGATGTCGTAGACTGTATTTGGTTCTCCTTTTCCAAGCAACAGAGCCGCCATCACCCGGCCGCAGTCCTCTCGCGCAACGTAGGCACCGGCCATCCCGTGGGTATTTGTTAACCACCGCTCCCCACAAAATTTCCAGGACGGCGCGAACAGGGTGGGAATGTTGTCGACGTATAGATAGTTGCGTTGGATACTGTAATCCAGCCCAGAGTCATAGATGAGGTTTTCAATGACGTGGTGGTCTCGAGGTAAGAATGGGATGTCTTCCTCATTCTCTGCCTGGATACCGGCTCCAATGAACGAAGTGTAGCAAATCCGCTTCACGCCGCAGGCTTTTGCGGCTTCAATGACAGTCCTTGCTTGGCGACGTCGTCCTTCACCAAACAACCAAGTCGACACCATTGACACGGCCTCGGCGCCAGCGAAGGCAGTTTTGAGACTCTCAATGTCGTCATACGTGGCGACACAGACGTTGATGCCTTTGCTCGTCCATAAATCGAGCGTCTGGGATGGGATAGCCTCGAGCTTGTAGGTGGTGAAGACGAGCTCGTCCTCCGGATTAACAATCTCGAGGGCATAGGAAGCTGCGATGCTTCCAAGGTTTCCGTCCGCCCCAGTAAGAACGTATTTGGGCATTTTGATGAATTCGGCAGATTGAGTGAAGATGAGTGAGGAGTTGTTAAAACGGAAGAGATGTGTGCGATAGAGAGTGTTTTTATATCCATGCCGAGCCTGAAAGACGACGATGGCTACCGTGTTGGACCCAGAGAATATGGTATGACAGTTTTGTGGCGATACGTGACCCACACGTCAACTGAGTGAATACTCACTAGCAAGAGGCGTTCCAGCGTCAGCCCACTGGCAATCACGCCGGGGTCTGACCACCTGTAAGTGTGAAAGAATCGTGGAATTAGACGCTAATTCAGCTCAGTGGGTATTATGAACCCGTGGAACAGGTTGTCGGGTCACGTTTGAGTGGATCCCGAAGATCGGTGAGTGAAGACCGGATGATGGCAATCCGGATATAGGACGAACCGCGTTTAAATCCTTGATAAGCATCCCGCATCCAGCTCTGGTCACTGATTTTTTAAACAGACCACTCCTGTTGTGTCTGATGATTCATCTGGACTGGTGATTCCCTTCGTTTTTCATTCCATCAATGCGTTCACCCATTGTCTCTTGAGGCAAAATGAGAACAACAAGGGCCATTAGCTTAACTATCCGCACTGCCAAAATAGCAACGACGGATCAAAACAACCTCAAATCCGGGCAGCATGTCACTAGCGGAGTTCAGCCTCCTTCACCCCACCGGACCACCGACACGCAGCCTGAGCAGTATAGCGAATCCCTGTTATGACTAGCCACGTGGTTTCTAGCAACCAGATTTCACTACCTGCATCGAATGTTATGTGGTAGGGTAACAGACTCCCAAGTGTCTCTCCATCGGGCCACCCTACCAAACATGGTGGAGCATGGCAACTTCGTCCTAGACTAATGTCAGTGGCTATGGACACTAACTGGTTTCAGCATTATCACCAAAGGCAAATGCACAATCAAAGGAGGCTGTAATAATGCCCGATGAGTAGAAGCTTGGCCAAAGGGCGATAAATATCTTGGGGGCTGATTTGGGCCGACTGGGTCTTCTTCATGGATGAGGTAAATGTATGCCAGAGAAGTTGGCCCAATAGTTTATTGATCGATTAGATGGCTCTGGGTTTAAATTTGAAAATATGCTACCTCGTTAATATACGTTTACTATCTTTCGTATCCTCCACACTCTGCGTGTGAATATCTGACGTTGCGTTATAATCAATAAGCAGGCTGTTCATGTTGCGAACTACGATGTTGCCATTTTTAATTCGCGTCTTAAGACCAAATAGGTTCTCTTCGAACGAATATTGTATGATGGCGTGTGGCTTAGGCAAAATTACTGAGGATGGCGCGTTGCATTAATGGGTTGGTCGGGACGGAGTGACAGCGGAGAGAGAACAACACAAGAACATCAGAGAACTGTTTGTCACGATAAGATGATAAAATTAAGACATCGTCAATGACGTGAGATTTGTTGTTAAGCTAAAGCCAACCCCATCCGGGGTCGCAGTGATCCATTTCTAAAGAGAGGAGAATTTTTCGCATACGAAACTCCTTCTGACATGTTCGAGCTTCCCATCGCCAGCCTTGTACTGTGCGTCATATACACATACATGATCTCCTCCTTCCACCTCCAAACCGATGATCTTCGCTCATTTGGTCATCGCAGCCACTGCCTCCAAGATAATGTCGGCAGTTTCGCTAGGCTTGCTCAACATTGGCGAATGGCTGGTCGCAATCTCTCGCAGAGTCACATCACCTCCGTCGTTCTTTGCGGCTTGCACAATCATTCTCTGCACCTCTGTTGGGTGCGATCTGTCCTCCGTCGTCGCAAGATACCAGACTGGAACCTCCTTCCAGCCTGGGTAACCGACATCGGCGCCTGTTGTAAACGCCTTCATGGACTGCTTTGTAAGCTTTCCAACCCAGTAGTTTCCTTCCTCTTCTGGGAGATCGTGATAGAAGAGTTCTCTTTCGTCAACTACAAGAATAGCCAAACCGGTCTCTGTATCCTCCTTCCAGATTGGCGGCGGCTTCCCACCAAGGGCATCCAGAAACGTAACACCGCCCACCGAAAACCCAGAAGCAATCAACACAAATCCAATGACGTGACCATGTTTGGATGAAGAGCCGTCTCGTGGAGAGGTGAAGCCTTTGAGGGCGCTGCCGCCGACCGCACCACCATAAGAGTGGGCCACCACGATGACATCACGTCCCTGGGTGGTTTCGGCCGAGATTGAGTCTTGAACAGCTTTGATATCATCCGGAAAAGTTGCGGAAACGGACAATGTTGATGGAAGTGCCACGGCGATACACTTGAACCCATGTGGCTCAAGTGCTGAAATGACTTTATCCCAAGTCTCGGGGGTGTGCCATGCTCCGGGCACAAAGACGATAGTGGGCTTTTGAGACATGATGAAGAGTTGAAGTAGATGATGTGTGTAAAAGAGATGAAGATGAAGTTGAGTCTAAGGTGAAATGGAGGAAAATTGGGCCCTTAAATAGGAAATATTGGTCTTGTTTGAGACTCCAAAACCGCCCTCCCTCACTGAATACTTCGTCATGCACGACCGGGACATTTTCGTGGCTCGTCTATTCGTCCGAAAATGGCTTAGCCTGTGTTCTTGACTTTGCTTGCGTTCGTTTTGTCCCGTGCGGCGACAAAGCCACCCAAATGGTGGTGTATTTGGTGTTAGCCGGGAATAAAGAGGTAATACACTGGCATAACAGACTATCTAATCAGTGCCTAATTATAGTGGGTACACGTTAGTCTGTTAATACTCACACTCAGAGAGGCTGTCATCACTATCGGAAGCACGACTAATCTACATCTGCTGGATCCGAGTAACACCTAGCGCTTACCAGCGAGATGCAGTCATGCGAACCTGGAGCGTGAATATATCGCTGTTTAATTGCCCTCGCAGTCTCCCCATCAATTGAAGTGCCGACATCTACTGCAATGGACCAGCAAGTCACAGGGGGGACCCAGAGGACACGAAGGTGCCATACTCGGAGCCGGAGCGGGTGTCTCACCTGCAGAAAGCGTCGCGTTCGATGCGATGGGGACCAGCCATGCTGGTGAGTTCAACAGCACTTGCATTTGGCGGAATAAACGTGGATAGTCGATCATAGTTGAACGTATCCGCTAATAGAAACAGCGCTAGGTGTATCAGTGCAGGGAGGCTATGCGAGTTCAGCTCCCTGAGCCTTCCACTTCGAGACCGCAGGGCTCTGGCGCTCCCCTGCGAACAGCAGCCCTGGATCACACAATCGGCCCAGCTGCAAGTAGTGTGGAATGGGCCGTTGGCCACAAAACTCGCCGATCCGTTTGATTCTTTTGCAATCAGCATGCCATTCAAGTCAAGAGAGCTTCTGCATTATTGTGAGTGATATTTTCCACGGGACCAAACGACGTTAACCGTTCAGTTCAGTTCACCAAGCAAACAACACCTTCAGCGGCTCGTTGGAAGTAAAAGAGAAAGACACGTGAGTAGCCTCCTCCTTATCATCCTCTACTTGATAGCCAATGCTCTTTTCCCAGTCTATTCTTTGTGATTCAGCATCCAGACGCCCTCCGAAACACTCTTCTCGTCGCTGGGTTACATTATGCTTGGAAAGTTGGAGGGTTTCGATCGTACGAGCCCACCTTTTTATTCCACAAGATCGAGACCATTCGCCTATTGAATGAGTGGGTTGAGAACTCACGATCCGACGATATGACCACATTCGTACGTCATATAGCGACTCTATGTTTTGCAGAGGTACATTGTTCTTGCCATTCATCCTCCTTTCTTTTGCAAAACTGATGTTTTTACAAAGTGTGCCCTGGGAAACGTCGCGGCTGGTGAAACACACCTTGATGGACTCGTCACAGTCATGGACCTCCACTGTCCCATGAGCTACGATGTTGATGCTCAGTTGGGCCTCAATGATGAACTTGTGAATCGTTATGTAATCCTGTGAGTCCTTCTCCTCCCTTGTGCACCCGATCTCTAAATTTGCTATAGATCGTGGAACTCGGTCCATGGCCTCAAGAGTCGAATACAAGGGAGTAGAGCCCTTGTCCAGATGTTTGGAACCAGCAAATCCATTCAGTTCTCAAAAATGATCTCGCTGTTGCATCGATGGCGGTCACAAGAGATCGGGTCTTTCGAAATGTTGTTAAAGTCCATACAGCTGGTCCCCTACTTTGGCATGCTTCCCTCAATAACAAATTTCGGCGCTACCGATGGATTTCCCATCATCGAGTGCTTGAGAATCTTGACCAAATCAGCTCATTCAGCGAGTCTCGAACTGTTCGAAGGTGATCCGGGATGGGTTTGGGCCGAGGGTTCAGCGTCAAGGCTGACCGTTGCACTCCTCCGCTCCCACATTTTGTCCCTCAGTGTCGACAAAATCGCAAGAAAAGATTGTTCAACTGGTCAAGGATTTATAACTTCCTGGTGTAGCATGGCTATCACATCTGGACTCTACATGCACGGCGTTTTGGGTCTTTGGAATGGTGGCGATCCGATAGAGCCCCGACTGTTCAAACGCTTGATGTTGATCCTCATGCGTGATCTTCATCAAACGATTAATGAAGTGAACGACCGACGAGCGGCCGATTTCTGGTTTTGGAAGGCTTTCGTGGGGGCGTTCAGTTTATGGACACATCAGTTGCATGCGTACGACGAGACGTTGGGGGCAGTGGAAGATGCCTTTAATCAGTTCATTCGGCGCTGGAGTGAAGCTTCCAATATTCACCAATGGGGAGGGGCTCAAGCGCGATTAATTGGAATCGCCTGGTCCTCGAATCTGCCTCAGGGCCTGGCAGATGATGTATGGAGAAAAGCAGTAGAATGCTAGCTCCTCTAGCACCTCGAAGCCAGCAAAGAACTGCTGGATGTCACCCCTCTATCAATATTATGTTCTGTCAAGATTTAAAACTCAGACGTGCAAGGCTATCCAAGGAATCTATTGTTTCCTCGGCTCACATCACTCTATCAGCGGACGCAGTTTTCCAGGCTTGTTTTGATACCATCGCCTCATCACTGACCGTCCTATGAACATTGCAACCATCGAAAGTCCAGGTAAAAATATCATTCAAAGGTTCGCCTTTTGAAGTCTCTGCCTGAAGAAATCTCTACAACTCTACCACCCAATAACTTCGGCCTTCACTCCCAAAGGAAGCTCATGTTTCTCAGGTTCCAGCGGGTTCTTGCGGCATAAGACATACCCTATGTTAACCAGGCGCCTATATTCGAGCTCGCTTTCGCCCACATCGCAACATGGAGTAAGTTCCGGATTCCAGCAGTAAAAAATATTAGATCCGCGACCAAACAACCGCCAGCAAAGGCCTTGGTTTATATTCCATATTTCCTCTTTGCTGCCTTCTATCGCCTTGATTGAACACCACGATGCCCCCACTGTTGTTGATAATATTGCCATTGGAAGCGCCACTCTTAGGATGTTGAGCTTCATGCTAAGGACCAGGATAAAGCGTTAGGGTGTGTTTGCTGAATATTCGGACAACTCACTTCAATGTAACCGCTGGGGGCCGTATGAGAACAAAGGCTTATGAGCAGTAAACCGTTGCAAAATCTTGCTAGTAGTGCGTAATGGTAGTCCAAATCACAAGTGAGGCACAGTTTGAATCCTGGATTCATGCCCCGAGTGCAGAAATTTCTCCGAGACAGCCAAATAATTAAACACGGAGACAAAGTTTTCGAGAACGGCCAGTAGGGTTGGACAAGGACGTGGACCAGCTACCAATGGGAGCCAAGGACAAATTTAAATGCACATCGACCCTGTTGGCCGATTTTGGTAACTTCAAATATTTTCTGGGAAAATTCACTGATGTCCCGAAGTATGAGTTGCGCATGCGGAGCTCGGCATGCATAATTCTTGCATAACTACCGGCGATTATAAACAAAGGAGGCAATGGAGTCATTCTTATCGAGTTACAACTGGACGAGGTACAACTGGATTAGTCTAGGTTTCAACCACCTCATCCACCTCGGGTTTCCGGGCCCAGACATAGCGCAATTTCATATATGAATGAACACGCTTGTTTTTTAAGGCCTGGCGCAATCCTAGAAGGAAAACTTGGTATTCGTCCTTGGGCCAGCACATGATGTTGTGCCATAGTAGTAGGGTGTATCCTAAAAGGCGTTAGTTTTTTTCTTTCACGACGCCCTACAATCTCAACCGCTATCTATGATTGAGAAAGATGCCTCAAATGGGTCCCTACCTTCCATATCATTCTCCATGGTTGAGCGGAGAAACTGCCCAACATCGCGCAGCTTGGGATCCTTGGCCCATCGACCGACAGGCACCTAAATTCGGGTCAGATACTACATCAAACCTTTGTTAAACAGAGATTACCTTGTAGTTTGCCTCCTGGATGTCAACAAAGCCAGCGGCTTTGATTCCTGGCACCTGCAGACCCTCCTCGACGACACAAAACGTACGGCCGAACTTCTTACCGCCCTCGCGAACCAACTCGTTCCACGTTTGCATTGCAGTCTCGTCATCAGCGGTCCCATCATCGCTGTAAAACGGAGGGTCGATCTCGCAGGATTGCACCCAACCACCGGGTTTGCAGCGAAGATACGCCTCCTCGTACAACGCGTTCCAGTCCGCAATGGCACCAAAAAGATAGCGCATGTGGATAAAGTCAAAGGTGTTTTCTGGCCAAGTCCAGCTCTTTGTTGCATCTTCGAGCTCAAATTTGACATTTGGGGGAACCCAAGTCGGCTGGATAGGCGACAAGTCCGTCCCTATAACTTCAACATTTGGAAACTCATCCGCAAAGTCACTGCCAGCATTAATAGTTAAACTGGTTGCAATTCGGTTGCTCTCCCTGCTACTTACATTGCCCAGATGCCTACATATAAGTTAGAATTACTACTCACTGTCAGATAGACAAAACCTACCAGTTCCTGTGGCTACATCCAGAACTTTCTATGAGATGTTAGTTCGGAGCGACAATCCACTGGCACAGAAAATGTACATGCCTGCATGTCTTTCTTCAACGGTGCTTGAAATAACTTGTTGTCAAGAAGCATGGTAAGATAGTGGTGTCTAGCAAGATGTTAGCCAATGAACTGGGTACCAGTAGGAGGAGTGTTTGAGTTACGTGATGTCCATGGATTCACTCTGCTGATCGTCATTTGGCGCAAAATACTCGGTGTTGAATTTCTCGCTGTGGAAAGTTCGGCCCTGAATAGTACGATACTGAAGAATAGTCGATGTGATAGATGCGGTTGAGCTTGCGCTACATAGTGTCAATATTATTTTCAGTATGCCAATGTGGTCAGGGTTCTTGCTTGTCATCACTGCCAAGGGCGGTGTCGTTATCGCCATCATCTCCCTCATCATCCTTGAACCAGAGAACGTCTGATTAGCCGCGCAGCTCTGAGTAGTTGATGGTGGAATTCTCGGTGGTAATTACCAGCACCTCGATAGGATCCGGAGCTACTCCTGGAGGGGATCGAGCCGGACTCGGAGATTTCCCGCTCGGGCTACCGACATTCGGCGGTGGAGTAGATTGGTCTGCCATTCTCGTCTTGCCTTAGTTTAAGTGAAAGGAATAATTCGCTCAGGAATGGAGTGAAGGTGGTGAGGGGGAAAGAGAAAGAGGAAAGGAGCGCGTTGTAGGGAGACAGTCGGATAATGATCAGACCGAGTGGTCCCATCAAAGCGGAGACAATACGAGCGGGCACGTATGAGATCAGACCGATAGACACGTACCCTGGTAATTGCAGCACGAAGAGTTCAATATGGTTGGTTGGTTGGTTGGGTGTTGTGTTGGTCCGGGGGGTTAAGCGAGCCTTGGAGAAGATAATCCTGCTGCGGGGCACCAGAGGCAGGACCTTAAACAGTTGCGACAAGGGCAGGTTATGTTTAGTCAAGTATCAGTTTATTTGTAGTCTTTCGGCGGAATTTTAGATTACAATACCAGATGATTTCAAGCGCTTCCAGCAGCATATTCGTGACCTAGATGACTAGGGATTGGACCAGCGCCTACACGGACTGCAGTTGCTTATACTGGTTCGTCGTGATTATGGACGCTTAGAAGAAGCGAACCGCAGTACCACTAGTCATAGAATAGACAGCAGACTACGACGTGATGTGATGCAATGCATACAAAAGTAGAGTATCATGATAGAGTAGGTTTCCGTGAACCATAACGAAGAGCAATACGTACTCTAGCACCGTGACTATAACTATGGCAGGCACCTTGAAAGGAAGAAACAGCGGGATTTGATGATGAGGCTATTTATAATACTTCTTGTCTTCTTATACTTGTCAATCGAGCTAAAGTTGGTGTCCAGCTGTGGTGGAGGACAGACATGTTAGAAAGTGGAAAACGGGCGGCGGTAAGACAGATGTAACCGCAACTCAGCAACGGGTTAGCCAGCAATCAATGACTTTCAACCGCAGTTTTGCATTTTGTGTTGGAAATATGCTTTTTCTCTTTTAGTATCCTTTTCAGAGTTTTATTAGCCTATGCTGCTCGCGCCAGAATCATAGTCGCGCCATGTGACCCTGCGCCCTTACAATCCGCGCCATATATAAACGACCCTATGTCCCTTTGTCACCACTCCTAACAGACTAAAATGAGGGCAAAAATGCAAAAAGAATAGGCTGACAACGCCTCCGATACGGGGAATCGAACCCCGGTCGCCGCGGGCATGTTTTCAGGATGAAAACGCGGAATGATAGTCCACTACACCATATCGGAAATCCGATGATGTTCAGCGCTGGCAGTTGCCCATTTGACACCTCCGAATGTTGTTCGACAGTTCAGTAGTACCCCAGAGCGACAATTACCTCAGTATCAGAGATTTATTACATCCTAGCACGTTATGTAAATGCATCTAGTGAACTAGATCTTTGTACGCAAGGCCTAGAATTGCACAACCTCAATTTGATACGCACTCCCCAATTCCGAACGAGAACGTCCTGGCCAAGGAGCATAGGATCTAACAAGAGATCTTGGGATGGCCCGAGTAAAAGATGAATGACTCACGAGCATTTCTTAATTGGGCCGTCCGTCCTTGCCCGGTAAAGCCATCTTTCGTCCTCGATATCCTCAATGCCAAGATTATTGGTCTGGGTTCCACCTGATCATTATCCAGCAATCCTCCGATGTCGATAAATTTCTACTGTCGTCATGGCAATTATGGCAGTACACTCACGCGATGGCTCACAAAAGTGAGATGCGGGAGAAGTGTACATCCACGCCATCCATTTTCCAGCACAAACCATGCACAGATCCCTTTGAGTCGCGGGTGAATGAAATGAGAAACGACGAACACAAAGTCCTGTCAAGCCCCCTAGAAAGACATTCGTCGTAGGTATCAGGAAGGTGGCAGTACACGTCAAAATGGTAGTGCCACAGGTCCCAATCTTGGTCAGGCTGCTTATTGACCCTCATTCGCAGCTTACCTGAATGTTTGGGATCCACAGTCATATCGAGGCAGACAACGTCGAGCCCATCCATGACGTACGAGCCAGTCAGTTCCTGCAAGCTAGGGGCCTGGGTGCCCAATCGCCGATTCTCTTCAAGAGGGATTTTAAAATCATTGGTATAGTGAGAGAGGTACTTGGTGCGCGCTTGAGTGGCCACGCCCACGAAATCGACCTCTGGGCAAAGGCCATACATGGTTTGTATCAGGTCTTGAGCCACCCAGTCTGTGGCATCGGATAAGCCCGTACCGTTAGAGAGAATAACCATGGCTGACTTGGTCTCGGGGATGATGTAAATATTGCACGTGTAACCAGGTACGTCGCCTTGGTGACTGTAAAGAAGCAGAGAAGGGGAGCTCGAGCCGAGAGTGGGAGATTCCAGACTCCTATTGGGCGAGATGAGACCAAGTTTTGCTGGTGTTCGATGGTGACACCATCCCAGGCAATAGTCACCATACTCGGCACATTGAGGGTCGGCAATAGTGGCCCTGTTCCAAATAGGCGACTCAAATTGAACCAAGTTGCCCGCGGCCGAGTCTGGATCGAAAGACACGAGGAGGCACTTGCACCACTTGAGTAGGTCATTCACTGAACTTCGCACACCACCGGAGCCGCCATTCATGGAATCGGCGGATAGCTCGGTTGGCGCAATGGGAAATGGGCTGCCGTCGGTAAGAATCATGTACGGCGTAGCGATGTTGCTATCCGTCTCGTGGACGGATCTAAACGCAGTGCTTCTCGACATTCCAAGCGGGTCGAATATGCGGTCGCGATAGAAATCGCCCCAGGTTGGCTTGCCTGAAACACGTTCGACAATGTTCCCGGCCAGTTCGTACATGGCATTGTTGTAGAGAAAGTGCGTACGGAGGTCATGATTCACAGGCAATGCATTGCAGACCTTGACAACGTCCTTCTTGTGGATCAAGATACGAGCGTCAAGGCCCTGTGTGATCTCGTCGAGACTCAAAAGGCCGGTGCGGTGGGAGCAGATATCTTGGAGCGTCATATTGGCAAATATACCGGGCTCGTCGACATGTTTGAACTCGGGGATGATGGAAGTGATGGTGCTGTCCCAGGATATTTTCTTCTCCTGCACGAGCAAATCCAGGGCTGCCACCATAAACGCCTTAGACAGCGACGCGATGCAGTAGAGTGTATCACTGTCGGGTTTCTGGCCCGTCGTGAGATCTAACGCGCCAGTGCTGTACTTGAAGATCTCTTGACCATGATGAATGACGCCGATTGACATGCCAGGCTGGCAGGTGACGGCCCGGATCTGTTCGATGGTTGGGATACGGGCGCGGATGCGACGTTCCATGTCCGCGTTCATTTTGACGGTCATCGGATGATTGGGTCTTGTTTTTACTTCTCAAGATAGGGGCAGCAGAAGGCCTTTGTGTGGAGGTGGGTTGAAGGCGGCTGAGTGAAGGTGAGGGCATCGCTGCCGGTGTGTCTGGCTCCTCGGCGGGAGGGAATTATGGTGAGTGCGACGGCACGTAGCAACGTAACCTACCTAGTAAGAGAGGAGTGTGATCTCCACGGCCTGTGACTCTAATTCGGCAGTTGAGAAGAGAGTGCAAGGTGAGAGTGGTAGCGAGTCACATGCAGCTCGTGAGACAAATGGATGGCGGACAGCCAACAAAGAAGAAGCAGGCGGCACATCCTATTCGTACAACATACCAAGCGCACCCGTGCTCACAGTGTGGATTTAGGTATACGAAAACCATCCAAGAGTCATCTCACAAAGCGCGAATCCTCAGCAGCACAGACAGAAGCTCCGAGTGCCGTTGCGAACAGCTGCTTTGAGCGGTGCAGTGAAGTAGCAGTGGCAGTTGATCTTTGAGAAATTTTCAATTAGGGAAACCTTCAAGGGTGTTCTCGCTGTTCTAAATAGAAACAAGAGGGTAACACCGGTAGGGCGATCAACAGGGTGAGAGAGCAAGGTTACTTGCACAAGTATCGCGGAGTTCCAAACTCTTTTATTTAAAAATCGCTCAATATTTATGAAAGATAAATGCTATCTAGTATACAGTAAAGTCAAGGATGGTCTACTTGGCCGTCTTGCTTTCCTCCTCGGGCGAGGAGCTGGTCTCTCCCGCGTAGTTCTCTCCCGAGTAGTTTTCCACACCATCGATATCACACACTTCAAGGCGGGGTCCCTTGTAGTTCTTACGTCCGTCAATGGCCCAAGTAGTACCAGCAATGAGCAGGATGACGCCAAAAGCAGCAACGCAGTAGTTCATGTTGGAGGAAGTCACCGCCATCTCGGGAGGGAAGACGAAAAGGACAGTGGTCAGGATGGCCCAGGCAATTCCGACCAAGTTGCAGATCCACCGGACGGGGGTGCTGAGCTTGAAGATTCTGGACTCGGGAAGCATGTTTCCTCCGCGCAGGACATTGATGGCGGGAGGAATAGCATAGGTAACACCGAGAGCAACGACGGAGGCAGCAGTGATGGCGTTGAAGGTACTGCTAGAACCAAGCAGAATCAGGCCAAACACAATAACCCAGCCAGTAGTCCAGAGCAGGGCGTTGACGGGTACATCCAGAGTCGGGTGGACAACGGCCCAAACGCCGCTGAAGGGAAGACCGCGGTCTCGGGCAAAGGCGTAGGTCATGCGAGCACTGGTGGTCATGAGCGCGGTGGAGGTGAAGACCATGCACATGAGGGGGAACATGACCAGGCAGACGCTTCCAGCCTTGCTCTTGGTGGCGTCGAAGAAGATCTGGAGAAGAGGGCCGGCGGGGGAGTTGAGGACGGTGTCGAGGTCCTTCATGACGAAGAGCAGGCAGCTGAGGAAGACGAAGCCGGAGAGCATGCCAATGCCGATGCAGTAAATCATAATCTTGGGACCCTCCTCGCGGGCGTTGGGAATCTCCTCGATCATGTGGGCGGTGGCATCGAAACCAGTAAGGGCAAAAGCGCCCTGGAGCAGACCAAGCATCCAGGCAAGGCCATCGGGCCAGCCGACCTCGTTGATGAACTCGCCGTACACAAACTTGCCGCTCTGGTAATCGGGGGTGGCGCAGGCCAGCACGGTGATGCTGATGATGATGAAGCCGGCCATGCTCCACAGGAAGGCCGTCTTGTTGAAGAGCGGGAGGAGGCGGGTGGCAAAGGTGTTGATGACCAGGGCGATGAAGGTGAAGCCGACGTAGATGAGGAACTGGTGCCAGGTCTCGGACTTGTAGCTGGGGCTCATGAACGCAATGGTGTCGACGATGATGGTGCTTCCTAGGAGAGGTCCGGTGGCAGTCAGAGCGACCCATCCGGCAACGTTGATCCATCCCGTCACATAGCTAATGCCTCGCGACCAGCGCGGCCACGCAACAATGGCCGCCCAGTGGTACTGGCCACCAGCAGTGGGATAGGCGGACAGGAACTCGGCGAGAGAGACGGCGAGACAGAGGTTGCAGACGCCGGCAACCATCAAGCCCCAGATGATGGCACTGGGGCCGCCGGAGGGCAGGGCGAGGTTGATGGAGGTGGACAGGGCAGTCCAGGTGTTGAGGATGGCAAACGCGAGACCCAGCATCGAGACCTTGGAGAAGTTCCGCTGCAGCTCCTGCTTGTGGCCCAGCTGCTGGAGGGCGGCCGAGTCATCGTTGAGCGGCTGGGGCTTCCGGGGGTCGTGTAGGTCCTCCATTGTGCCGGCTGAGAGTGTGAGATGAGGATGGAGGAGAAGAGTCCGGGTGGTGTCTGGGAACAAGTGGCGATCAACGAGCTGGGGAATGGAGCTTTAAAACCCTTTCGATCCATCCGTTTGCTTAGTGCTTAGTGGAGTATTGATCATCGCGTCTAGTTACAGAACTGGTCACTAACAGCGCCTCAGATGGACCGGAAGCAGACCGGCAACAGTCTGGGGTCCCCGCCCCGGAGCCGGCTCGTTATCAAACTAAGGAACAATCGCTTTGCGTAACAAGGTTTTTCCAACATTCGACCTGGTCTGGTGAATTGCATTGAGGCTCCAGCGGCTCCACCATCTCCACCAAAGGCGCCGTCGTGTTGTCATCCGTCCCCCTGAAAAGAACCCGCGCTATGTTCTAGAACAAGGGCATGGAACCCACAATTCTGCGGCCTCGTTGCATTCACCTGTCGGAGCCGTCGTTGAATTGTGTGGAGTGTGGGTTTCTCTCCGTACGGAGAAGATGTTGGGGATGCTTTAGCCTGTCGTTCTTCTTCATGCGAGCCTGGGGGAGATCGCGGGCTGGTGCTGTTGCTGGCGATTCAATTTCAAACGCGCTCCATGGCTTTCTGAGCGTCAAGATGCCAGGGCTGACATCATTTTCCCCGAGCGATCGGCCCGCGGCTAGCTCCTTGGCCTCGCCGCCGGAGAAGCCGTTGAAGGATCCATCGCTGCGGGCGTTGATGAGCAGATTCGAAAGATAGCAGTGTCGATGAAACAAAGAGCACTCGCTTTGTCTCCATTGACAGTGCCATACAGTAATCAGACCAGGCACATATCAGAGCTTGGGCTCCGGACTCGTGGGTCAAGCTGGAGACATCGGGCACCACATCCACAATCCCATCCATCGAGAGTCATGAGACGGCCGAAACCATACGACGGGCAGCAAAATACCTCATAGCAGTAATTCCACGGATGCTTCCATCCCCAAGCCATCTGCTTCCACGAGGCCAGCAAGCTTCATCTGCACGCCATCTAACCCGCGTCCCACGGCCTCCACCTGGCCACAGCCGTTCCCCGTGGGTAGAACTCGTGGTGGCCAAGGATGCCACGGGTGGCGAAGCGGAGCACGCAACGCTTAATTAACTCGCCTTTGATAATTCTTCTCGTCGACCGGATTGATGGCGATACAGTGGCCCGTGTAGGAGCCTTTGCTCGCTCCCCCAGTGCTAACATCCGACTTAGCCGGCCAGCTCCAGTAAAACACTATACGCTCCTGGCAGCGGGCCCCGGGTCGACCGGGTCGCCCACTTATGCCTCGTGGAGGTTGACAAACTGTTTTATATAAGCTGCGCTGCGTGGGTGCAGGGCTGGCGGGAATAGGACGATTCGTGGAAGCGCGGCTCTGCGTGGGTGCGTGGATTGCGCCGCCGCGGTCTCAGTGCGCCAAGCAGCCAAGCCGCCGAGTGCTGCCAAGTGTGCCAAGGCTGGGGTTCACCCTTGCTGTTCTTCATCGATCGATTCCCGTGTTTCTAGAAGAAGAAATGCTGGTGGTGGCGTCGCGGCATCGAGCCACCATGCGCGTTGATGCCGCCAACGCCGAGTTTCCGATCCAGCTCGCATCACCACGGCATCGTCGCCTCCCTCGGCTTGGCCACGCTCGCCGCCTCGCAGTAGATCGCCCTCTCAACCGCCTCCTCAGAGTCCCATTACTCCCAGAGCGCTCCCAATGCTACGGTTTCGCCGGAGCTAAGGGAAGAGCCGGCAGCTAGCGCCTGATCGGCTCCCAAAAAGTGGCCACACGTACCAGACTGGCATTGTCCAGCCATGAGAAATTGAAACAGCTTACGTAGGGGGCTAAATCAAACCAATGAAAGCTCGCAAAGTGCATATTCCCGGCCTCGGTCCTCTGCCGATCCCCGTCCCAGTGTGCAGGGGATCTCACAATCCATGTCCAGCTCGACACGATGCTTTAAGCCTCAGGCCTCGTACGGCGTAGCATCCTCACGCATGCCAAAAGAAAAGACAGACGTGGAATTATATGCTTGATCAATATGCATGGACTGGCGGGTCATTCAAGGCCCTCTTTGCTGCATGCAAGAAGATTTACCTTCCTTCATAGACCCATCACGAGTCCTCGTAAATAGCGCGGTGATAAATGCTCCGAGAACTGGCCCCAGGTGCTCGTGTCGTGTCTTCCGGTCTGGTTTCCGGTACCACTTATAGCGGGCCTCTAAAACGCCCAACTAAGGACAACAATCAAAGGGCGTGCATCGACAAATGGCTTTGTTCGCCGGATGACATTGCGGAAATATTATACGTCCACCACTTGGGGACTAGAGTCGGTCAACTGGTTAGTCGACGTCCAAAAATGGGGGCTTACACTTCCTTCGGGCGGTGAATTCCGGGTGGTGTCGTGTTTCGAAGGCCGTGTTGTGTATGCTTCATGTTAATGTCAAAATAACGCTTACCCTCACTTTTTTATTATAGCATGTATTTCTATAACTAGTCAAGAATGTGTCTAATCAGGCTTATGTCGTCGACAATGTGTATTCCGCCCTAGAATTTCAAGCCGTTGTGCTTCACATCACATCCAAAGTTCACGAACGAGTTGAAAATGTTGGCGTATTTCCAGGTGGAGATCCCTGTTCACTAGTTACGAGTTAGCATCGCCATAATCCACCTCCACAACCTTCACCTCCGCAGCTTTTTCATCCCCAGAGTCGCTCCCACAATCGCCTATTTTCTCCGCAGATTGACCATGGGGTCTTAATAATGGTTTCCTCTTCCAATCTGTCATTTCGTAATAAAAAAGATTAACAATCCTCACGCAATCACCCCTCGTGAACATGAGGAGTGAGGGTGATGTTACCCACACTACCCATGTCTACTTACGTACATATTAGCAAATCTGCGGAACCGAGGTGGGTACGTGACCGTGGCCTGATGTTTGAGTAAAGCATCTGATTTCTCTAGTAATACCATTAAACCTATACCAATATTTGGGACATGCTTATCGTGGAAAGAACGAAGTTTAGATCTGGTGGGTGAAATCTATGAACCTCCAGGAATATCTAGCGCGGCAAGATAGACACCTACCGAGAGCCTTCCACCAATGGACACTGGAAGTCAAGAGTCAGCCTGTAACGATGCGCGCTGGTGATCTGGTCCAAAAATGAGGACCCAAAAGCGCTTGAAGGTTCCGGAACCTGAATAGTAAAATAATTGCAAGGACTTGGAAATTCGTCACTCGGTTTAGTCGTGACAGCATTGAGAACTGAAGTTGCAGGGCTGAGACTACCAGCTGAATTTGAAATGCGACAGGGATAACTTGATAGAAAGACAGCTCCATCAACCATTCAATTTTTTCAAACTCCCTTGTAAGCGTTTTTCTTGTTCACACTATGACGCCCATTGGATACTATTGTGGTGTCAACCCAAGACCATCATGCGAATGCACTACCTTCCTTAGTGTCGCACTATCGTGGTGTTTGCCTTCCACACAGCAACACTACCTGTCAGCTGATTGTTAACATAATTATGAAAATACATAAAAACCCACCAATTAACAAGAAACGTTCAACAAGGTCTATGTATATTCACTCTAACTCAGGATATTCAGGGAAGAATCATGACCAACACTGAGTGGTTTTGAGTTACCCTGGAGCTACCCTATAGCGATAAACTGCGAGTGGCGATTTCTACAGCTTCATCAAGATGGTCGTAAACCTAAATAAACGAATAAGAGACTATTGTATACTGTCGGGACGCTTCATGAATCCTCGGAAATATTTACTGCTGTGTATTGTCATTTGTCTCGAGACCTATAACCTTGTCATCCGGGTGTTTAGGGAACAGTTGACATGGTCGCTGAATCTGCTCATTGTCTATGTGGATGAAATGGAAATAGCTTGTATCATTCTATGCATCGTTCCCTGTTATCTAATATATGCCTGAGTCTGCTCGTAGGCAGGTAAACCACACTCAATCTCATCTAATTGAGTACCCGACCGATCCTAAACCGCAGAGCTGTCGCTTCCTCGTCGCTTTTCTCATAATGTTACAATTACAGTCGCGCCTTGCTCGTCTTCTCGCCGTCCGCATCGAACCAAATTTTGCTTCCCGAAATCATCGACTCCTGCAGCGCAGCACCAATCTTGACTGCCGCCACGGCAGAGGCCAGCTTGACGGGTACTTGTACGTCGTCCAAGCAGCAGCCGGTGAACTCGATGGCTTCCTGCTTGAAGGCATTCTTAAATCGACCCCAGTAGTTCTGCGGCAGCTCGTGCCGGATTCCGCCGGGCTGGTAGATGCGCACGTGGTTGGAAGTAGGGAGTAGGTTGACGCTCAGCTTGCCCTTGGTGCCGATAATCTCAGTCGAGTCCTCCTGCCCGGCTGCCATCATGCGCGAGGCATACAGGTGGACGATGCGGCCGTCGGTGAACTCGATCAGGCCGACGGCGTTGTCACGGTCGTTGTGCTTCGCCAGGTCGGGCTCGACGGCAGTAATGCCGACAGCAGAGACAGACTTGACCTTGCTGTCACCGTCTTCGCCGAAGAACCACAGCGCCAGGTCAATGTCGTGGATGGAGCAGTCGACGAAGATGCCGCCGCTGAACTCAGCATAGGCGACGAAGAAGCCCGACGGGTCGAGGACATCGCACGTCTGGCTTCGGAGCACGGATGGCCGTCCAATAAGGCCAGCCTTGACCTTGTCGTGTGCGTCTCGGTAGCTCTCATCGAAGCGTCTGGAGAAGCCACACATGACCTTCAAGTCTGGCCTCTTGGCCGCGGCGTCAACAACAGTTTGAGACTATGCGAGTGTTAGCAAGCGCTTCCCCGCAATATCCCAATCAACTAAACTGACAACTTCCGGGGTCGTTGCTAGCGGCTTCTCGCACAAGACATGCTTGCCGGCGGCGATGGCGGCGATAGTCTGAGGAGCATGGACAACGGTTGCCGACGCGACACAAACGGCCTCGAGGCCCTCGTGGCGGATCATGTCGTCGTAGTTCTCGTACACAGCAACACCAGACTCCCCGAGAGTTTCCTGGGCCCATTGCCTCTCCGCAGCGTCGGGCGAAGACACGGCCACGAGCTCAGCGCGCGGCACTTGCTGGAAGAAGTTGAGGGCATGGCGCTTGCCCATGCGGCCGAGGCCGGCCACGCCGATCTTGAGCTTCTGGGGGGCCATGGTTAGGTTAGGGGAGATGGGAGGAGGCGAGATGTGAATTGCAGGCGGAGGGGATGAAGATTCAAGACGGCAAGCCCGGTTGACATGGCATTTTATAGCCCCGTGAGTGACGACGGCACGACTGGGGAAGTCAGCCACCTGCGAGATTTGCGGAGAATGCGTTTCTCTAGCCCTCGGATTCAATCCCGAACCTGCGAACCGCCCAGCCATTGCTGTCGCCATGCCGTCACGGGGGAATCAGCGGTCGAGGGCGGATTTGCTTCACCCAGCTCTTGTTGGTAGTTGCAGTCTGCGTCCTCCACTTATTCGGCTTCAGCACAGCGGGAGGCTTTTCCGAGTTGAGAATCCGGGGCTAGATGACCGGCATCGTGGGCAATTCGCTCCGGCGGGGGCGACTCCAAGCGGATCCTTTTTCCTCTCCGGGAACCAGGGGCAAATAGCTCCTACGCTGGGGCGAGTGTCGGTGAATCCCCAATCCGCCTGGTTTGATCTGCTCGTCTTCATACGCGGGCACGCAGACTCCGCACTCCGCTTCGCTGCAACATGGCCAGGGACTACTGTGGAGAATGGCTGGCTCGTGGTGTGACGACATACATAGACTCGTGCAAGGATTGGATATCTCTAACTGCTGCAATTGGCCTCCTACAAGACTCTTCGCTATGTCTCGTGTCTTAGTCCCAGCCCCAGGCTCTTTTCAAGCTGATCTGCGCGCCCGCCGTCGGCCAGAAGTGCTCTGTCTCGGTTTTGATGAGAACGTCCAGCAACGCGGTGCGCTCGTCGTCGCGGCTAAATCTATCTCCGCACGATGCGATCCCCAGAGACGCCGTGAACATGGCGGGAATCGTGCCCCGATTCGACAGCGCAATCCCGCAGAGCTGTCGAATCTCGTCCTGAACCTCTTCTTCGCGCCGCTGCTGCGCAATCATGCGCGCTGGCCCGAGTTTGGGGAGTGTTGGGTCGTAGCACAGCAGAAGAGAGCGTGCCAGGATGCCGTGGGCGACGCCGATAACTGTTCGAGAATGTTAGAGTCCTCTGCCGCTTTGGTCATGCGCGCTGTCGTCTACTCACCCACGGCGTGATTCATGTAAACAATCTGGGGGAATTTGTTCCCGGAACTCGGATCTGCTGGGCCGAAGGCTAGGGGCAGGAAGGACGAGGGCCGAGAATGCAGCCATCCGTCGTCGTATTCCTTCAAGGCTTGGTACTCGCTTGCCTTTTGGTCGCCGTCGCCGAAGCAGAATTCAATGACGTTGGCGCAGTGCACGATGATGCGGTTCGCCCACACATCGTCGCTGGCCTCGGTAAAGGACTGGTCGATGAAGTTGTGGCTGAGCGAGATCTTGATGGAGCGCTGGCTGGCAAATGCCATCGTCACCTCCTGGCGTAGACCGATCCAGAACGCTGCCTTTCTCATTCCGGTGGCCACGGCCGTTGAGTCTTGCGCGTTCATGAATACTTGGATGCCAAGCAAGTGGCCCTCGTGGTCGGTGCCCAGCAGCGGAACTAGATTGGCCTTGTTAGCTGTGGCAACATTGGCGGACCGGGGCTGAGGCGTCTCACCATCCAGTTCTTCCAGGGTTCGCAGGAGGATGGTGGCCGCGAGCAGGTCGTCGTTGTTCAGGGCGGAAGAGTCGCTGGAGATGCTGGACAACTGGTGAAGACAGTTTTGGTGGTAGCGGGTCGAGGCGTACTCGTCAAACTGCTCGTGCATGATGCTCAAGTGTCGACTGGAGAGTGCAAAGATGGCATTGAGCAGCGTAGGGCATGACATTGCACGCCTGGGCACCTCGAGTGCAAAGCGTCGCGAGGCATCGCAAAGATCAAACTAACAGTATTAGACCGGGGCCTAGAACAATCATCAGGCCTAGTACGAACCCAAGTGCACATGTACTCGAGGTAGTACTTCATCAACCTAGCCTCCTGCATGCTCTGAAGGGGGAAGCAGGAGCCCTCATACGGATCAGCCTCGCTGTAGAGCCCGAGTCGAGACCCAAGAGGGAGAGCCGACAAGGCCCGCTCTTCCATAAACGGGGAGTTGCTCCGGGCCATGTCTCTCCTCCCCCGATGAGTGACGGCATGGCGATGTCCCGCTGGCTCTGTGGGTTCTGTTGGCTGTGGAGTCGGGACAGTGCTGTGGGACACCCCCGTGGGGGAATCAAAGGCGAAACCCAGCGCGGGGGAGTTGTCGTTGGGGTTGTAGATGGCCTCCAGGTCTCCAGTCTCGTCGACGAAGCGCACTGGGGAATGTCAGGTCTGTTGTTTGGGGTCCATCGACCCGGCGCCGTGGTGAACGGGATGAGGAGACTCACCTCGACTGGGGTACTTGACCCACTGCTGGTGTTCAGAAGCGGAAAACCTGTGCGGCCATGTTCAGCGTGATGTGACAGGAGATGATGATGCACGGTGGATGTCGTACTCATTCGAATGGTGTTTGAATCGCGTGTTGTCACACGGGATGCACGTCTCTGCGAGCGCGATGCACCTGTCGCATGATGCATCTGCGTCGTGGCTTCCAGCTGATCCCGAGGGTTTGGTCCAGCTACATTTCGAGTGTCGTTTCCGACAATTCTAGGCAACTATCAACGAGCGATTCTAATAAGTCTCGATCCTGCAGTCTGAAGGACCGACTGCGACCTTGTGGAACGAGGACTGCGCTTAGGACTCCACGGGGCGATGGCTTACCAAACAAGCAACTTGCGAGACGGGACTCTTCTCTGGAGCCATTTCGCGTCCATCTCGAGCCGGGTCAGCGTTTTCGATTTCCATACATTGATCGGGGTGAGTGAACTGACGGGGAACCTTCCACAACAACCAGATTTATCGAATTGTCCACTGGCTCCGGGCCCACGAGACAGAAATTGACGCCGGAGCAAAGTTCCCCGCGGTCCAGAAGCAGAAACCGACGGCGTCTTTAGCCAGATTGTCTAGTGTATTCCGGCAAAAGCGCGCAACGACTCTAACCCCACAACGGATCGGCGAGCTCAGCGGGGCGTTCCAGGACCAACTTCTCCAACTCGCCTTTGGGGCTAGAGGCGTTGGGGTGACTGTGGACTGACTCGAGAGGCCCGCGGGGATCCCATGTTTCTTGACGGGGTCGTGTTGCAGGGGCTGGACGGCCGGGGAGCAGGCCTGGGACGGGGCATCCGATGGGGCACCGCACGGGGTAAAGAGCCTGTTGGACGGGCGTTGTGATGGCTCACCTTCTCCCCGCGGGGCCCCGTGTTGTTCTCAGACGCCCTGTTTACTGGGGGCATCCCGTCGAAGGGAATTGGCGCTGCCCCGATTGGCCGTCGTCTCGAGAATGGGTCGGCCGTGTTCTGCTCTGCTCGACTTGGCTCGGCTTGCACTCCGTCTCACCACCAAGTATATAAGTCTGCGCGGTTCGCCGTTGCATTCTCCTTCGTCTCAGACACATCTGGTGCATTCTCTTCCAAGACTCTACAAGAAAACCCCTAACCCCCGGTCCCAGGTCTCGCCTCACAATGGAGCACCCTCATCCAAAACTCGACGCCGAGCACGACGAAGGCGGCGTGTCTTCCGAGTGGGATGTCGAGCCCTACGGCCCCTCGGGCTTCAAGGGCATCTTCACCTCGCGCTATGTCGCACTCTGTGCGTCGTTCAGTGCCATCGGCGGCCTGCTCTTTGGATACGAGTAAGCTCACCGCGACTGTTGAGAGTCAATGCAGCGCTAACTGGCTTGGCAGTCAGGGAGTCATTTCCGTGACGCTCGTCATGGATGAATTCTTGAATCGCTTCCCCGAGGTGTCTGATTCGGCTTCGGGCGCTGGCTTCTACAAGGGCCTCATGACGGCCATGATCACGCTTGGTGCTTTCATCGGTACGCGCAATGTTGGGTTTGTCCCACGATAGAAAGCTAACGGGGAAATCTAGGTGCTCTTAACCAAGGTTGGATCGCCGACGCCTACTCTCGCAAATATTCCATCATGATCGCCGTCGTCATCTTTACCATTGGTTCCGCCCTCCAAACCGCCTCCGTCAACTACACCATGCTCGTTATCGCTCGACTCATTGGCGGCATTGGCATTGGAATGTGAGCAACCCAGTCTTGGCTTCCTTCTGCATGCGCTAACATATAAACTCCCAGGCTGAGTGCCGTCGTTCCCTTGTACATCTCCGAGATCTCGCCTCCCGAAATCCGCGGCACCCTGCTCGTGTTCGAAGAGCTGAGCATTGTCATCGGCATTGTCGTCTCCTTCTGGATCACCTACGGAACCCAATACATCGGCTCGCACTGGTCGTGGCAGCTTCCCTTCCTCATCCAGATCATCCCCGGCCTGCTTTTGGGCTTCGGCGCCATCCTGCTGCCCTTTTCGCCGCGATGGTTGGCTGCCAACGGCCGCGAGGACGAAGCACTCGCAAACCTGGCCAAGCTCCGACAGCTCCCTGCTTCCGACGTGAGAGTGCAGCGAGAGTGGGTTGACATTATCGCCGAGTCGAGATTCCAGCAGGGAATTGTCGCCCAGCGCCACCCTAACCTGATCAACGGCGGAGGATTCAGCAAGTTCAAGCTCGAGTTTGCCCAGTGGGCCGATTGCTTGAGACCTGGATGCTGGCGACGAACCCATGTTGGCGCCGGTCTGATGTTCTTCCAACAGGTACAACTCTTGAAATCCTGAATCCAGACCTTTGCTAACGTTCCTCAGTTCACTGGAATTAACGCTCTCATCTACTACTCGCCGACTCTCTTTGGGTAAGACACCCACTTTCGCGATCCTTTCGACGACTCCGCTAACCAGTGTTGCTCTGCAGAACCATGGGCCTTGACTACAACATGCAGCTGATCATGTCTGGTGTTCTCAACGTGACCCAGCTTTTCGGTGTCATCTCCAGTCTTTGGACCCTCGACAGATTCGGTCGACGAAACATCCTCATGATCGGTAGCGTTGCCATGTTCCTTGCCCACGCCATCATCGCCGTCCTCGTCGGCAAGTTCTCCAACGATTGGCCTTCCCACCAGGATGCAGGCTGGACGAGCGTTGCATTTTTGCTCTTTTACATGATTGCATTCGGTGCCAGCTGGGGACCAGTTCCCTGGGCGATGCCTGCTGAGATCTTCCCCTCGTCTCTCCGCGCAAAGGGTGTTTCCATTTCCACTTGCTCAAGTATGTTAATACCGATCGCTTTCATTTGAACCACGCTAATCTTTTGTCAAGACTGGATCAACAACTTCATTATCGTAAGAACAGATCTCCATCATTTCCGAGATAACATGGCAGCTAACGCAACCTAGGGACTCGTAACTCCCCCTCTTGTACAGAACACCGGCTTCGGAGCCTACATCTTCTTCGCCGTCTTTTGCCTCCTGTCTGCCGTGTGGACCTTTTACATTGTCCCCGAGACGAACGGCAAGTCATTGGAGGATATGGACGCGGTGTTCAAGGACTATGGTAGCTCCGAGGACATGGCCACCAAGAACCGCTTGTTCCTTGAAGTGATGAGGGAGAAGAGGGACAACGAAGTGCTTCCTTAGACTGCTGATACTATCCAAAATCCTGCAAGTCCATAAAGTCCGAATAGCCTGTTTATTTTACCATTCACTGGTTTTTCTAGATTACATGAAACTGAAGGAAATGGGATGAAGTGTTACAGATACGTTAGTCCTAGACGTTGGCAGCCGTTAAATTGCAATTGTACTTTTATTATTTTTGATATTATTACTGGTGTTTTTCCTTCAATCTTGAGCTTCTAGTCCCCCCTCCGGGTATGTGTGTACTAGGGCACCCTAACCTCTTGATACTGAATTATTTAAAGAATTTTAGTCTACCTGTGGCGATTTGGAGCCATGCCTTATCTCAGGTAACTGACAAGGATTACAGGATGTGGCGTGCTTAGCTTGAAATACTTTTGAAAGTGCCCTCTGGAGATACATACAATTAGTGAGGTCTACTAACTTCGTCAGCAAATAGCAGACCTCCACGTTGGAGCGGGGTTTTCCAAGTTAAAAGCCGCACAACACCTGCCACATAGACGAGCCATGAAGCAAGCTCAATTTGCTACTCGCCTCTACATCCTCTCACAATGATCACCGCTGAGAAAACACAGTACGATGCCTTCGCCCCGAAATATGCTTCCGTCGAGGAGCTCCCCTGCTCAAAGCTTGAGGCCCAGCTTGTCCGCATCGCCCTAGGTGACTGCACTGGTCTCAAGGTCCTTGACCTTGGCGGTGGCAGCGGCCTCCACGCCCGGCGCGCTGTCGATGCTGGTGGCGCCGTCGTCGACGTCGTCGACATCTCGCCCGAGATGATGCGCGCCGGGCAGGACGTCGAGACGCAGCTGGGCCGGCAAGGCCGCATCCGCTGGTTTGAGGCCGACGTGACGCGGCCGCTAGCCGAGCAGGTCAAGGATGGAGAGTTGCAGCTCGGGGGATACGATCTGGTCATGGCAAACTGGGTGTTCGACCATGCCACGTCCATATCCGACCTGAGGAGCATGTGGGAAAATGTGTTTGCTGGCTTGAAGCCCGGGGGGAGGTTTATCGGAGTGAGGGCAAAGAGTGTACGAGCCGAGTACATGAGCTACGGCAAGTACGGCGTCACGTTTACCGAGGTTGAGGAGATTCCTCATGGCCTGAAGTATAAAGTTGGGTGCGTGACCGAACCGCCGTTTTCGTTTGAGGCCACGTCGATGGAGTCGACCTATTCGCTTTCTGACGATATTGCTCACGAACTTGGGCTGGTCGATTTCCAGGTTATCCGGCCGGAGGAGACCGACATTGTCAAGAATGACTTGGGGTTCTGGGATGACTATGTCAAGGATCCTAACTTTGTTGTGGTAGTGGCAAGGAAAGCATAAGGTCGAGGTTAATATGTACAGCGCCTGTAGTGAGGATGTTACAATCCTTTAACAATATAATGTGATGTTTGGTCTTGCCAACCCAGACCTCGTTCGAGATGACAGCGTCAGCAGCAAGAAATACGTAGACGTGGCTTGGTAAGAGGACGCCGAGCGGTGCCACACACGCCAGAGAATTTAATACCAGTAAATCCGAAGCAGAGATGGACCAGTTTCGTGGCGCAGTCCTCAATAAACTTGCAGCGAGACACAGCTTAATTCAGACACTCGCAGCGGCCCGGCTTGCTTCCGGCCATGGCGCCATGGATTCTTATTTAAATGCTACGGTCCACCCCCGCCCGCAAACTAAATTAGTGTTGATGCTAGACCGCTTCGTTGTCCGCACTCTGCCGATCCAAATTAACCTGACACCTGGTACGGACCAGTCGACCCTGATAATGGCCGAGGAGCAACAGAATCCGGAGACGGCCCCGCTCGTTGCCGACGATAATGTGAGGACCCGCTGCGGCTCCGGCGCCTCATAAACCCGCTAATAGACCTTAAACGCTCTGTAGGTCGTCGACGAGACAGATGATGATGGCGACTCGGCCCTCGGACTGGTGAGTCTAGCCTCTCGTCGGGGGTTACCGCTGTCTGATGACTAGGGTCACAAAGGGTGCTGGAAGCGACCTCACGTCTTTGAAATCTAGCATCTTGAGGTATCGTCAGGAAAACGGCAGGACATACCACGCATACAAGGATGGCGGTGAGGACTGACCAAGCCCCATGAATTGCACTGACTCCAAAATGACTGACGGATGCAGCATATGTCCTCCCAAATGACGAGGTCTTGGCCCGCACTATTGTTACTCTCGGCTCCAAGTGCTGACTTTACGGGACGCAGGTAGAGAACGAGCGACTAGGTAGGCCAAGCTCCGCGAGCTATTTTGCAGTCATGTCTAACTAGACACAGATCTTCAACATCACTTATTCCTTCTTACTTTTGACGAGAAACTGCACGCTGCCCCCTTGACCAAGCCGCTCCGCCGCGCGTTTGACGCCGGATGTGGCACAGGGATATGGGCTATTGAGTTTGGTAAAGTCCCGCCCCAAATTACCAAGAGAAATGAATCTTCTGACAAATGTCTAGCGGACGAGCATCCCGAATGCGAAGTAGGTCACAAAAATAGTTATCGATTGATACCGACTAATACCAAGTCGAATACTCTAGGTTATTGGCGTTGATCTGAGCCCTATCCAACCAAATGCGTACGTCACTCAAGCACACCAACAAACGCACTATGCTTAATGCTATGCTGACGTCTATTTCCCACTTCAAGTATCCCCCCAAACGTTGCTTTTTACGTCGACGATCTAGAGGAGCCCTGGGACTACTCAACCAAGTTTGATTTCGTCTTTGCGCGCTTTTTAACCGGATCGATTCGTGACTGGCCCAAGTTCTTCAGGCAAAGCTTTGAGTATGGCATCACCTATGCCCCCCTTCTCCTACACGCTGAATACCGCTAATCTCGGAAATTATCTACAGGTCCCTTAACCTGGGGGGTACCATTGAACTGATCGACATTGTCTATCCCATTCAGTCTGATGACGACACCCTCTCTGAAGACTCGCCGCTATATAAGTGGTCAAAGTTGCTGCTGAGTGCCTTTACTTCCATTGGCTCTCCACTCGACAGCGCCTTGAAATACAAGGAACAGCTTGAGGAGGCTGGCTTTGTCGACGTCACCGTAGTGAAGCGCAAGTGGCCGCTGAACAAATGGCCCAAGGACCCGAAACACAAGCAAATCGGTAAGTCTTTTCTTTGGTCAATTCGCAATTCAGCAAACCCACCTGATGCGAGCACTTATGCTCACGCATACCCTTCGTGGTCCAGGAATATGGGCTCATGAAAATACCATGGACGCCTTGGCGGCGTTGAGCCTGGCTGTGTTTACGCGCGAGATAGGTCAAGGTGGCCTCGGCTGGAGCAACGAAGAATTGGAGGTGTTCCTTACTGGCGTCCGTAAAGATTTGAAGAATATGGCCATCCACTCATACTGGCCAATGTAAGTCCTCACTTTTGAATGAACATCATGCTAAAGATCTGGGATGAGCTAATCATTTCTCAGTTGGTCGGTATACGCTACGAAACCCGAGTGATAGTAGACTCGACCATAAATGGTTCTTGAGCAAGGGAGCGATGCAAAAGGTGACATTCAGGGTGCGCTTTCTTCATTGTGATAGCCGGGAGGCTGGCGTCATCTCTTGACGGAGCCACTGAGAGAGTGTGATGGATTAAATAGTTGAGGTTCAAGCCGGATAAGTTTGATTGGTGGCTGTAATGATTGATGACTGTATTTCACATTTGATTGTATCTTAACAAACGAGATTGTATTGTGGGAGACCGTATTTATTCCATTGCAAACCCCAAACCGACGGTGTTGTCAGGACTGCATCGCCCACTATTTCAGGTTAGAGAGCCAATAGACATTCATTTAGAATCCCTTCTCAGACACGCCCAGCTCACTACCTATACATCATTTCAGCTTTAGGCCGGATTCTCCCCGGACCGTTCGTTCAGTGGTTCCATGCTGCTGATAAGGTATTTAAATCCGAGGCCCAAGACCCAAAATGCCCATCCCAAGTGAAATGGCCAGCATTGGAACATCGTTGTCGGGCATCTCAGACGTACATCTCACACGAGTTCATCTGGTCGAACTCCAACACTTAGAACATGAATTCTCACCCTATCACGTCTTTCACACTTTCCCAAACAACTTCGAACTAGGACACAATCTATCACTTGGATCTAACCGTAGTAAAGACCCCATTCTGAACCGACAACCTTTCCGAATCCGGCGTCGTTTTCTGGCTGAAAAGCCTACCGATACCTAGTACCTTATTCCAAACATTTCCCCAAAAGCCTTTTGGAGGCTTGCGTTTATGAACCCAGTCATCAATGTCCTCGTCCACCGCCAGCGTCGCCTTCTCCAGCAGTGGCCTAACCACATCGCTCTGCGAAATTTGCGCCACAGTGTGCCATGCGTTTTCGACGAAGCTGGAACTGGTCGTAGAGAAGAAGAGACAGGTGATGAGGACGAAGAGAAGCAGGTTGGCGCCAATGATGATGATCACGGTTATTAGTCCCCACCGTTCTTGCGGTACCCGAACGAGGTTGAATCGGGTTATAGTCGCTTCATCAGCCGCGGGGCTAAAGGCGGATAACTGGTCATAGTACGCACTCCGGTAAAGCAGCGTCCTCAAAGCCTGCAAAGCGAGAGCTGGAGAGTCGGTTGTGTTTAGGACATCGCTGAAGACCTGTGTGAGAAGGCTATCTACTGTTTGAAACGTGATGAGATCCGGATCCGGATTGCAAAGCGGACAAAGTGCTAAGGCCACATCATCAGGTAGGTACAGAAACCTTTCCAACCAGTCTCCAAGGGTTTCTGTATAGGGTAATGCAAACGGCTTCCCTCGAACCTCGTCCATGGATGCTTGCATATCTTGCTCCGAGATGGTGAGCATTTCCCGCTTAGTATTGTTCTTCTGCGGGTTGTGCCTAGAAGCACCAAGCTGGTTGCGCACTGCAGAAGTATCGTACTGCTTGGAGTCGGCATCGTAGCGAAAGACTGGCTCCGTAGAATTGGAAGCGGTCGTTGCGGTGATGTTGAGATTTTGGATCCTTGACCCTGGTTAGCGCTGTGTCACCACTATAAGAACGAGCACCACTTACTGAGCAGCCTTGGAGTAGTCAAAACATAATGTAACGGCGAAAAGATAGTCCACCTCGACTTCCCCATCATCTGATCTACCCCGGGTCCACTGCCGCAACCAAGGACCTGATCCGCTCGAGTTGAGATACTCCCATGTAGAATCTGTGTTCCAAAGTCCACGAATACCTTGTACTGATATAGTACCGGTGATCATCCAAGTGCTGAGACTGCGGGCAGTCCAGTACTCGTGAGAGGTGTCATTTGTCAATGGCGAAACCAAAGTTGCGTTGCCTGAAACACGACACAGCGCCCACGCCTGCTGCCCAGGGAAATCCTTTAGACTGTTGGGGATGGGACAATGAAACTTGGCAACGTACTTCCCTTTGCCACCGTCCCACCACCCATGCCAACTGTGTTGCGGCAAGTTGGACAAGTCTGCGGTGACGTTTCCGCAGATATATAAGGTATTTGAAGATGTAGAGTCTTCGGAGCAGAAGCGTGCATTAAACGTGGGCCGCACGCATACAACACGAGTATCGACAACACGGGCCATACCCCTAAAAGATCGCAGAGCCTCCCTCTCGGATTGAAGAGCGACGGGCAGGAATGCTCTGATAGTTGGCCCAGTGTCATCGAAATCCTCTCCAGGCTTGCCGGGCTGCGAGTACTCCGCAAAGATCTCCGACGAGGAAGGCTTTTTGAGCCAATAGTTGAAGGCGGAGCCAATCAGAGGCGAAGGTTGAGGTCCAGTGCCCAGCCTCTCAAATGTGAACCCGTAGCTCATGTTTTGGTCGAAAGAGCTCACTCGAGACTCCCGAAGATCCGCCACGAGTAATGTCGAAGTGAACTCGGACGCCACGAATAAGAGTAATTAGATGGCTGTTAAGATCCTGATCTAGCCTTTGAAGGTTGCGCCGGAGAGAAGAAGCTTGGAGAACGACCGTGGCCCGGCATTCGTGAAGCGGGCGATCGAGACCTCGGCAATTGCAGATTTTGGCACGCCGTGGCGTTCAACGGCTATGGACGCAATCATGGACGTCATGATGGCGGCAAGTGATCCAATGGCCGCTCTGATGAGCACTCCCGTCAGGGTAATAGCTTGTGTCGACCTTCCGCTGAGCATCACACGTCGCCATGTTGTGTCTTCGCGGTCCTGGAACCAAAGCCAGGACAAGAACGTGACAGCCCCAAACAAGATGATGAGGGAAGTCAAGATGATGAACCATAGCCACCAGCTGATTTTCTTCGGGGGTTGGTGAGCGTCCTCTGGCCCAACTGTGGTGGTGTCACTGGTGTGGTTGCCCACATCCCGAGTCTTGGGCTGCTCCTCGGCAGACGGGACGTGGTCATAAGGCTGAGGGTGGTGCCGAACTTCTGCACTATTCTGAGTGCCGTCGGAAAAACCATCGTCATCCCAGTGTTGGGCGTCCTGACCCCAAAGAAGGCGCTGTCGACTCATTCTGGGACTTGGAGTTATCGTGCTTGAGAGTGGCCTTTAAAATAACAACGAGAAACCGGGGAAGACCTGGTCATTCCTTGGAACGGGGGATGAGAGTCGGTTATATAACTACAAGTGTTTCACGTTGTGACCTTTGAGTGACCTAAACGTAGCTGGACTCATGCAAGGCGAGTGTCACAGCGAGACCTTGGCAACGGCAACGGCAACGGCAACACAGAGCTGACATTGGCCGAACGGGTTCTGTGCAGCGAAAAAGTGCATTACTCGCTTAAAATTGCTCAAATCGAAATCTTAGACACACGCCTAGGGCAGAGAGCCAAGGAATACTTGTTCGTATATGCCAGTATCCCCCCGCTGATGAGGCAAGGGGGTCTGCCAGCTGAATAGACATCAGGCTCTAAGGTCCGTGCACTCCAGGATGACTTTCTTGTGATAAATAAGAGCCCTGAAATCGCCGCTGAGCCTCGGTAAGTATTGTGGGACTTGGACTGCCGATGCGAACATAGAATCCAGCCCCTGGGCGCGAGCCATTAATGTTCAATTCATCGGGTCTGCATGGACAAAGAGTATCAACCATCGAGAGCTTATGCGTACAAACCCTAACCAGACCTCGGCCATTAGTCCATGCAATCTGCGCTTGTTCTACCAGGGTCTAGATCCCAACGCCACGGGTGACTACGACGCATTACCATGGAAGCTTGCTCTTCTGACACAGACAAATTCGGCTTGTTAGGTATCTGACCCCGCCACGTACTTGGAGCGTCTGCTGTACTGCAGAAGAGTCGGGATATTTCAATAAATTGCAATCAGGCAATGGCGAAAGAGGTTTTGTAAATAAAATCAGACGGCCCAAGGTATGGTGAGCAGCTCAACTGTCGTTGCCGAATGAGGAAACAACTGAACGCGGCTCCACTTCGCGCAATAAGGTACGTCACGAACCATCGTGTATTAACGTAGGGTTGGATCAACCCCAAAATGGAATATATTGAACGCGCCCTAAAAGTACAGCCCCTTTAACACGTCACTTGTTGTAGTAATCAACTTAAAATGCGCCCAGCTAGCAGAGGATGAAATTTATAAAAGGATAACGAGCGCCGACAAAACAAAGGGCAATTCAAACCAGACTCATTCCAGCAAAGTTGACCATTGCCATACAACATGTCCTACCTTAAATTCCTCGCCGCAACTTTGGCTGCCACGACAGTTGCGGCCTCCAATTGCCACCCATTCCCTTCCTCTATGATTGAATTCTCTGTCAATTTCAAGGAGCCGAACCCACCACGGGTGAAGCCAGAATTCGGTACCAACTTTGTACAACACAAATGGTACGCCTATCCAAAAATCCGTTTTTTTGGGGGGCCCAAACTCACTGTCAAACAGGAACGAGAACGTGTCCCACATTACGACTGGGTACATCACCAACTCTCCGTCTCAGGGTTTTGTCCGCGCTGTCGAAGCATTCGATGGCAATATGGCTTCTTCACTCTTCAATTACAAGAATGTCACCCAAGATGGACTTGTGGACAACACCATGACCACTTACTACCCCAACTCCGCTAAGCCTGAAGTGTGGAGAGGATACGTCAATTCAGGCTTCCCCCTCTTTAACGACGATATCTTGATTCAAGGTGGCGCAGTCTTCGTTGGGCTAGTTCAACGACAATTTATAGACGGTCGCGTTGCTGCGGTATGAGCTTGATTTTAATCCTCAACGAAACTTCATCGGCTAATGATGGGTCCAGTGGAGCCTTTTGTATCAAGGCGTAATTCCGGTGACAGTTTTCGTTGATGAATGTGGCGTCGTTGTTGGATATGACTATTTTTCGCCTGGTTTGCGAACACGCGTTATCACAGAATTTTTCAACATCCGAGTTGGCTCTTCAGATTCCGACTGAGGCCTTGGCTATCCCAACTTACTTCATTCAGATGCCTTGATGTTCTTTCTATATATTGGCTGCGGAGGTTTTATCCGGCTAGCTTGGACCGAGGTTGGAGCTACACGGTTCCTCTACTAGACTACAGTGCTACTTTAATACCCTACGCAGATACAGATATATTATGAACGATCCTGTTTTTGTCTTGGCTAAACTATTATGAACTTGAACAGAACCGAAGCGTACATGCTCACAGAGTGCTATCCAATGGCTACAATTAGTTCTTGAGTAACAACTGGTACTTCCAAAACTCTTCCAAGTCGATTTTGATCCGATCAGAAACAACAAATCCTTTCTGGTGTATTTGGGAGAGCATGGCGCTAATGCTGTCCTTGTGGCCTGTCAAGGAAGAGTTCGCTCCAGCCACTCTTAGACCGAACAACAGCAACGCGCCGGGAATAGTTGACTGTTCAAGTATTGATCCAGACAAAGATATTATGGCATCGATATGCTCGTTGATCTCCACCTTGGTTAGAAGTAGACTGCTGTTCTTTTCCCACCCCGAGTAATAGGTGAAATTTCCGCAGTGAAATAGAACCAAAGCATGATAATTTGCAAGGGCCAAGTTCGAATAAGTGTCTAGACCATTATCGTGCAATGTAGTCTCGTCGTGCCAAGTTCTTAACTGCTGCAGTAGATGAACCCCTTCGCGAGTAAGTGCATCAATCTCTGGATGGGCAGATCTGATGGGATCCGGTACGGCCTCCATAGTCTCAAAGAGTCTGCCACCTCATCAGCAATCTTACTTGGTCCTCGGTTGCGAGATCCTTACCGTTGAGTAAATGAAGATATTCGAATCATGATCTCAAGTATTGACTCATTGTGTTCTGGTGGCTTGGTAGCCAGGGTTGCTTGGTATTTTATCCACAAATCCTGTGAGAGGAACGTGTGGTCCCCATATATGATTGCTCTATGGGCTTCTAGAACCCGGAATGCGGAAAAAAGTTGCTCTCCTACTGACGAGAGTCGTTTTTTGGGACCTCCTAACTGAAAGATCATGGACGTTCCGTACAGCATATGTTTGGCCCATTGCTCTCCAGAGGCTTCGGTCATCAACTAATTGAACAAATTAGCCTCTCGAGCTTTATCGTGAACATTGAGAATCGGAAATACCTCGAATAATCCGAGTAGAAATGTGCTCCACAAGACATCATCGCAATGTAATGCGTCAGTAGTCTCCAACTTGTGGTTCAGTGTCTGCATTGATTTGCCATAGAAGCTGAAGGCAATGTATAGTGGGGAATCACGCAAGAGGCTGCAGCGGACAGAGGGTGTCCTGCTAGCCTCCAAGGCGCCAATGGCGAGAGTCAGGTCACGAAGTGACTGTGATGTATGAATGCGCCGTACAATGTCGGCTGTGGCTGATGCAAACCCTCTCGTGAACTGGCATCTCTGAATGAAAGACACAAAATGATCCAAATAAATGTCATCTCTGAGCTTGTGTGCTTGGGCGGGCATCGTTGTTTGATATGCAGATGAGGGGTCTTGCATGACGACGAACTCAGCTTTGTGTGGTGCAGGCTTTTGGGGTTGACATGCTTTGTTTGTACGGATGCAATATTGGCAGGGACAACCTCCCTCGCACTGCCCGATTTGTGTTAGACTCATAGCAGACTGAGATCAAATCATCATCCACAGACCTTTATGCGCCTCTTGGCACAGGGCTGACAGCGGGAGATTCTCCTACGCTTGTCCAAAGGACCAACAGAACGCTTCATATCTGCCTTCGGGTACTCGAGTGCTTCTAAGCCGGTATTCTGCGATGCCGCTTAGGAAGAGAGAGAAAGATGTGTTGAGGATTGTGATGGATAACCTGGGTCGGGTCATTCGGGTCTCAAGCAGGAGGGGATGACGACTGCGTAGGCTAGGAAGAGCTTGGCGTGGGGTGATAATGTTATGTGGCGTCTGGAGGAATCCTCAATATTTCGTATACATCGCCGAACTAATACGGATCTAGTTAGAGCTGAGGTCACTGTGAAACAATGTGGGTTCCTGTTCAGCCCAGCCCTTACCGTAGTAGGAAGTAATTGAGCGCGCCCAACCCGCCCTGACCGTGATCCTTAGACGGTGACAACTTCGATGTTGGGAAAAGCTAGAAGACTGTTTGCACAGGGAGAGTGCTCGAACAAAAATGGGAAAGGGGTTGATTGAATGGCTGATCGAAAAGTATGGATTGGCGGATTAAATTTGTATTTAATTATTGTCAACGGAACTTTCGTGTACAATAGCGCGGCCCTGCAGATATATCACTGACGCGAAGCTCTTGGATAGGCCTTTGAACGCGTACCTGTGATATGTTTGATAGGTTTTCATTCCAAGTTTCTTTTTTGCTGTGGGCATGTTTTCCGGCAAACATGGTCAAGCTGGGGCGGACAAGGAAGAATACTGCTCCATTTCAATACCGTCGACAACTGATCCTCAGCAAGCCACTCCCGCCCATCTCCCCTCTCGGCTTGAGATAAGGCTGCGTACCGCTTCTCATAATAACATATGTCGCCATCCGACAAAGATATAGTCTATTTAAACATAATAGCCCGTCGGGATGGGTCTCCTGCGTTTGCTTGTCCCACAACTGCGGCCGCCTACCATACCCGCCAAGCAAAACCTCTGCGTGTGTTGAACAGCCGTGGCCCCAGCCGCCCCCGCCACCGCTACCAACCGATTATTCCCTTTGAGGTCAGAAAGAAACATTTTTCCTCAGGTTGGGAGTGACCCAGCTACTCTGCTAGTCATGTTTGGGTTCTTTGATGGAGCTGGTCAGCTCTGGCGCTGGAAGGGACGCAAAGGGCGTCTCGAGACAGAATGAACCTAAAATACCGGGACGTGATAGCAGTGCGGCAAAAGGTATTCCGGGACAGAAGAGCGCCTGATTCTCACTCCCAATCCATGTCTTGAATTCCACCGCCTCTAATAATAAGACCCTGATCTTCCTGACCGGATTACGACAATCCGATTGCCCCGCAGTAACATTGAAGGCGACGGTATCTAATAATAGTCTTTGTACCAGATGTTACTAATTGGAAAATAGGCGGACTGCTGGCCCTTTTCACCTTCCTAGGAAAGAGGGCAGTTAGAGCGCTGAGAATTAGGGCCTTTGAGAAATGGGCCAGCAATTCGATTTGACCCCGCATTTATGACAGGACATGGTCTGGTCGGCCAGAGAATAACCCATGCTACGGCGATTTTACTTATTCATAGATGATGTGTTGCACAACCTAATGCCCAGGATCAAGGATTGTTGATCGGATCGCTGCCGCTAATACGAGATCCCGACGGGTCGAACAATTCCCGAGTGTCCAAGCTCGTTGCTTCTCCCACAGCAACGTATCGAGTGGATACATATGGCTGAGTCTGAAACATTATATCCCTGGAAGCTCCGCCCCTCTACCTACGACTATCGCCAACAACCGCTATTTTTGGCCACTGACGCGACTTAAGTGATCTTATATTCACCTTCCTACCTAGCCGCCGGACTTCGCTGGCAATCCTGCCGAGCGCCTACAGCTGCAAACACCACCAACAATGTCCTATTTTTGACCATTAAGCGAGTGTAAATTCTATCCTATTGAACAGTTATGTGGATTTGCCAACACTTGGCAGACAATCCTACTCAAGCCCTCGATGCCGCTGTGAGGTGGCAGGAATTCTGGCTACCCGCCTGCAGTATGCTAAACATGGGCTATCCTGTCACGGTGAGAGCCGCAGGATGATTTTATTTTTGACATCAAGTGATGGCGGGCACCAGCTACGGTATAAAGAGGTGAGAGTGACCATGGATATTTGCCTGATCATCAGCATCAACATCAGAAGCATCAAAAACAGCCCATCCCCTTCCTCCTTTACTTCCCCGACCAACTTGAGTTTGAACAAACCAACATGAAGGTTGCCGCAATTTTCACCTTATTTTACGCCGTTTTGGCGACCGCCCTGGTAAGTTTCTCTCAAGAGAACGATTGGAAGATGGGTATTAATGGATCGAATCATAGGTTCTTCCTCGAGAAGCCAGAGGAGTTGAGAAAGTGGCATTGAAGGGACCAGCTAAGGTAAGTCTTACGTCACATACCTGTCTTCAATCGCGATGCAAGATATGAATCTAACACAAAGTCAAGGACATCTTTTCAAGGAAGCGAGAGGTTACTACAGAGGCAGAAGTTGACTTCGCGACGAGCGAGAATGGAAATGGATTTGAAAAAAGATCCAAGGAGGTTCGTAATCCCATTTCTTATGGCTTCCATCTAACGCTAATTCGACCTGGATAGGATTTACTTCAATGCAACGTGGGCAACCCCGGTGTTGGCGGTGCTGGAGATCAAAATGCTTTGATTGACGGCATCGACTATCTGAATCAGAAATGGGCAGACGCAGTGTGGGTGGTTGAGCCTAACAGTTGCAAACGTGTTTCCTGCTCTTGGAACTCAGCTATCTGGGTTTGCAGCGACGCAAAGGATACCCTCCAGGCCAAAACCAAGGATGTCACTGCTTTGGCCACGCTGATCATTGATAATTGCATTGAAAACACGCTCATGGCCATCTGGACTCATGGTAAGTTTGAATAAGCCATTACTACCGGGATTGGGACTGATGATATCACGCAGGGCGCGCCTACCACAACCAGGACTGGAACGTCATTCTTGGAAAAGACAAGTGCTAGATTGATGAACAGAGAGTCAGCCAACTCTCCGGCATCCGCTGCACGAGCCGCTTGTTTTAGAATTCGCTGGAATGAGAACTCCGGCTCGTGAAAAGTCAGAAAGGGCCCCCTGGGCAGTTATTATTTTGCTTATTTTACCGAAAAAATGGTCAATCGATGATGGAGTTTGGCAGGTTAGTTAGTTAGAAACCGAAGAGATTTTACCATTACCATCATACCCACCAATTTCTGAGACGACGATACGGAAAACACACACGCGTAGCACGTAAGATTCCCGCCAAAAGGGGGCGGTTCACCTTAGGAGCCGGAGGACCGGAGATTGTTATAAATCATGGCTTGGAGCAGGTATTCTGGTACGGATCCAGAAATTTACTGACATGCTATGCTTCGGATCAGTGTAGTCAGTATACTCGCTTAAAATAGCACTCAGAACTGACGGGTACTTATGCGAAGTCTATCAAGTCTGACTGTGCATCCCTCAGAAAGCCTCGCGCGATCGCCCCAAACTTAGTTAGCCAAGAGGTGTTTGGACACTACGTCAGATAATCCTCCTCCCTATTTTAACCAATGATCTGTCCAACCACGCCCGCAGTTTTAGACCCCTGTCAAAACGAAGCTTTATTGAGCATCATCGAAGCGATGATGACCACTCAAAAGTCCCCAATCCCCGGATGATCGCTGCCGTCTTAGTCAGATTCGTTCAGCATGCGTCAGACAGCGCTTCCTACTTGTTTGAGGGGTATAAATGCTACCCAGACCCAATGCCGCGAGGTGATGATTTAAATGTGTCTCGGTTTCTACAAGCTCAGTATCCTAAAATAAGCCTTCATCAGCCCGTCAAAAACAATCCCCGGCGCTCAACTCTCCACTTGAACCCACAGCATGGATGCATTGCTGGATCCATTACCACTCTCACAGGGTGACCACTACTTTGACGCAGATGGGGTCCGCTTTCACTACCTTGTCCGCGGCACGGGGCCACTCATGATCATCCAGTCAGTCGGTTGGGGGATGCCAGGTGCCTACCTCTGGAACGGCATGGGACCTCACCTCGAAGAGAATAACACGGTGCTATACTTTGAACCCCGCGGCAATGGCCAATCGAGCAAGCCCACGGACACATCGACCATGACCGCCAAGACTATGGCCGAGGACATTGAGCACCTACGCGTGTATCTTGGGCTAGATGTCCTGCCGCTGCTGATGGGCGGCTCTCACGCTGGTGCCATTGCTTTACGATATGCCGAACGTTATCCTTCTCGTGTGGCTAAGCTGGTTCTCTTTTCGACCCAAATCATGGACGGTCCTCCCAACAACCACACGCGAGAGTGGATCATGAAGCGCAAAGATGATCCAGCATATTCGTCTGCCGTGGCGAAGCTGTCCGAGATGATGGGTTCGGGTGGCCCAAAAACTGATGAGGAATTTGGAGCCGCTATGGATGTGCTTCTTCCTTGGTACTTTTCCGACGTGACCAAGGCTGATGTCCTGCGTCGCCATATCGCCAAGGATTCAGCTCCCCCATCCGCCTTCGCTTTCCAGACAAATTTAAACGATGCCAAAGAGGAAAACAAGCTACCAAATGTTGCAGAAGCCGGAAAAGTAACGGCCAAAACATTGATCATCCGAGGAAGTGAGGATCCGATGTGCAGCCCACAGGCGTCGCATGCGATTGCGGAAGGAATTCGGGGCTCAAGACTGGCGATCATTCCGGAGGCGGGGCATTTTCCTTCGATTGAGAAGCCGGACGAATTCTGGAGCGAGATAGACACGTTTTTGGACTCTTGAGATTATGAGACAAATTGGGTTTTGTATTTACGCTCACTCTTATAGCTTCGAACTAGTCCTCTCTCCCGAAATCCCACTACTTCTATCAAGGCTACAAACTGCTATATCGTCTTTCTGGCTCGGTGTTGCGCCTTTGTAGAATAACCTAACGAAGGATTTTGGTAGTCGATACTGACGAGCAATGATGCGGTCCGTTATCGCCATCGCGGCTTCTTGGCGACCAATCCCCGACTCATATAAGGACAGATTCCTGAGGGGCCAAAGGGGCCAAATAGACTGCTCATATTCAGACATCGTATCCCAGATTCTTTCCGTCTTAGACTCGTCAAAGGCAAAGGAAGACCCGAGTATGACCGATAATTTGGCGAGAGCAGACTGCTTGTCCGACTTCCAGTGATCATGAGTCCAGACCAATTCAGGACGCCCCCACCAGCTTCTTCTAAACTCGGATGCGGCCTGAATTATCGCCTCGATATTTTGTTCACCTTTGATGCCGGCAACAGCATGGACACAGCCATTGGACCCGCGAGCAACATGAACAATCAGTCGATTCACGAGCATGTCTACTGGCGTCTCATCGAGGGTAGCAGCACCTGGATCCGTGAGGGTTGTCGAGAATGTGAATTTCGTTGGAGGGAGCGCCATCAATGCTCCGAAGAATGTAGTCCCTGGACTCGATCCTGGAATTTCGTAAAATGCGTGCGGCCGAGATTCGGCCGGGCCGATACACGAGGGACGGAAAATGAGCACATTCTTATCAAGCCCAGCTTCATGAAAGCGGCGCAAAATAAGTCTCTCCGCCAAGTGCTTTCCGTAACTATAAGGGAAAGGGAATTCGACGGATTCGTATTCTGGAGTCGAACCTAACGTGTTGAGATCGGAAAGTTCGTCTTCTGCGGATCTAGAGGGATCATGGCGTATTTGGTTTATGTTTTCGGCAATGGTTGCATCAGATCCCTCCAAGCCCCCGTCGGTAGTCTGTCGAAGAAATGTGCTGGCATAGGCGGTTGAGATGTAGACGAATTGGGTCAATTTCGCACAGCCAAGAGCCATCCCCGCCAGTGCTAGGGAAGGATTGACTACTTCCCGTCCTATTTCTAGCAGTGGTTTTTGGAGATTGATTGTAGAGGCACCGTGTATGAAAATGGACACGTTGTCATGAATCATCTTCACATCGGCCTGAGAGAGACCACCGGCAGGACGAGTAATGTCACCTTCCATGACAGTTAACTTCTCTGACGTTCGGAGGGCGTCCAGCATATCTGAAGGTGAACTGTTGCCCCAGGTGGCCCATAAACGACTGAAACAACGTTAGAAACTTGATTAGAATGACAAATGGGTTGTATAATCACCTCTCGCCTCCTCGAACAAGTGCATACACACGTTCAACTGGGGTGTCCAATATCAACCTACTCAAGTAGGCAGTTCCCAACATCCCGGTGGCACCGGTGAAAAATACATGGCGACCCCTGTAAAATTCTCTGACGGAATCAACCGGGCTTTCTGACATTTTTAGCAAATTGATTTCTAAGTTATGAGAGTAAAGTAAAAGATGCTATATGTAAATATACAGCAGCAGCCAGACGCTTTAAATAATCATGTGATGATAGAGAGAGACAGTAAATGCAATGATTTCGTTTGAACTTCACTAAACGAGCTGTGTGATTTACAAATATATGTCTAAATCAAGGTTCTAATAATTGCCTCCCTAGAGCTAGCAATAAACCCATAAAATCTAATTAAAAGGGATGGCGATTAGCAACTCATTCCGTACTAAGACACTGCACAGTTTTGGCGGCATGGAACGGCCCAGGCTCGGTAGAGATGATCTCTAATTATGTTCCAAGGGGGATGTTTCAAGGAGATATTCCTCCGCTAGAAACCGAACACCAAGATAGGGAGGACGGCCAATGATTACCATCGACGGATATTAGCAAACTGAGGCGCCGCCATCATATCAGCCTTGTCTTGCACTTAAGCGAAGCTATCCAGGAATGAAGCAGGTGGTGTAGCAAGAGATTATCTGTTAAATGATCAACCACGAATGGAGGCACGAAACCGTGCGCAGATCGAGTGAGATCTAAGACCTATCTTTTACCCGGAGGAAGTATCTCAGATCGTATCTATTTCCTCACATAGCAGATCCACAGTTAATTGTCTTCGGCGCGTCTTTACAGGTAGCCTTCCTCATTTACGGCAGAGAAATGGGATCCGCCGGTGCCGGTGATTTGACGTTTCAAGAGTTTTATTGCGATTTGCTGTCATTGGAGTGTCAAATCAAGTGCGCAAGAGTGATTCAGATAATAAAAGCCACCAAGGTAAAAGGGCCCGAGATCTCGGCCGATAATTTCCGCCTCGCCCACTTCACTCACTATTTTTTATCCACTTCTTCCCTTACTACCACCAGCCCATTTCTCTTAGCACATTTATTAAGAAAGTGATGAGGTCCGGAGCTCGGAATGGATCGTCAAGCCATTCGTCACTAATAGTGGATAGCTCAAGGAAATGTCATCCATTACAAGGGCGAAATGTAACATGGATCCAGACAGCTGCGGTGTTAATAATAGCTGCGCTATCCAATCTATTTTGTACCCTTCAATTTCGCGGCTCTCTATCCATCCCACAAGTGACTTGTGACCCTGCACTTCATCTAACCAAATCCAACAAACCCCATGGAAGCTCCAACTCATGAAACGACCAATGGACAGGATGAAAGTGGTTCTAGTGTCCTCGCCGAAGGGCCGCTCAAATCTGAACTCAAGAGTGTGGATATCACTTCGCCGCGCATGATCTTGCTCTTCCTTGGGTAACAGCACCAATCCCCCATTCGTCTCGCTTTGCCAGGCCCCTGACAAACGTATTACCTCCAGGATATACGCTGGCCTTTTTCTGTCCATGATGGATGCATCAATCGTTGCGTCATGTTTGCATACCATATCAGGCGAAATCCAGGCATTTGGGTCTGTGAATTGGGTTGCGTTGGCGTACACCTTGGCCGAGTGTAGCTGTGGCAGTGTTTTTGGTCGGGTATCCGATATAATTGGCCGAAATAATGCGTTTGTTTCAGCCAATGTCATATTTCTGGCATTTTCTTTGGGATGTGGTTTTTCCCAGAACTTGAACCAACTCATTGCGTTTCGTGCCCTGCAAGGGCTTGGCGGTGCAGGTATGCGAAAGGCGAAAGATCAAATCATCTATCACCATATACCAAGGCTAATATCACAGGTCTCTTCTCTATGGCTATGATAGCCATTCCAGAACTATGCCTGAAACATCTTGATTATATGTTTGGCCTCGCAGGTGTCACGATTGTTGGTGCAAGTTGCATAGGTCCAATTCTGGGTGGAGTGCTCACCCAATATACTTCTTGGAGATGGGTATTCTGGATAAAGTTAGAACCACCTTGTGATTGGTATCAAGAATGTTCTAACTTTATCAGTGGACCCATCTGTGCGACGTCAATAGGATTCTTCTTGTAACTTTGGCCGAAGACACAGGATTTGAGACCCATGACCCAACGCTCATGGAAGTCATTCGACTACACCGGGTCCATCTTATTCGTGGCCGCCTTTGTTCTTGTCGTATCTGCATTCCAAAACGCTGGGATATCGACTACTTCTGGGTTCTGGAGCAGTGCTCTGTTCGTTTGCCCTCTCGTTATCGGGTTGATCTGCGCAGCAGCCCTCTTCACATGGGAGTATACGATGGAACACCACTTCATGCCGATATTTCCGCCCTCCCTTTTGCGCAATCGACTCTACGCATCAGGATTATTAACCACACTCTTCATGGGCTTTCCACTTTTTATGCTCATATTCTCGGTCCCTCTCAGAGCCCAGCTCGTGAGCAGTAAAAACCCATTACAAGCAGCAATCACCTTGTTGCCCACGCTTGGAGCAAGTGCTATGGGCTGTATTATAGCTGCAGCGGTCAACTCAAAGAGGGCATTCTTCTTCGAATCTATGCTTACTGGATCAGCGTCATCAGTGATCGGTTGCGCACTTTTAACCACTATATCCGATGCTGGCGACGATAAGAAACTACTTGGATATACTACAATAGTAGGACTAGGTATTGGGCTATCTATCTCTGCTGCCACGGGTGTGGGAACGTACCAAGTTTTCCCCCGTGAATATGGTATGATTTAATAGCTTCTAATCGGTGGTGGTAATCTGCTAACCCTTGCTTGCAGCACCCGCGCAAGGAATATTGGGACAGGCAAGAGTTTTGGGAGGTAGTCTCGGGATATCTGCATTGACTGTCCTACTGCACTCGAAAATCGAAAAGTTGGTTCCAGGTCCTATCTCTCCACACTTGTTAGCCATTTTTGGAGATGCAGAGGCAGACCTACCAGATCAGTTGCTCAATTTGAGACCAAAAGCATGTTCTGGGGCCTTTAAAGATGGTATGCTGTTGTCGGCTGCCGTTTCGGGTGCAGCAGTTTTGACAGCGCTTCTCGGCTATCAGCGCAATCACCAAGATCCCAAGCAACAACGACTGGGCTTGGTGCGATCGGAGGCACTTGGGAGCCAAGCAGCAAAAGATGTAGGCGGTGAGTGAGGGTGCCACAAAGATCGGCGAGAAATATGACAGCATCTAGATGGAGATATTGCATACCGAAATCTAGAGAGGGGAGGAGGCCATTGTCTTGTGATTATTTCAGAGTATTCCAGTCAATTAAATGAGGATGAAGACTCTCAAATGAAACGTATCCCAGGCGGTACTAAACTCCACCATAGGTGAACCCCATGTTGAAAAAACTCTTTCATACTTCTCTATTTGATCTGCTCCAAGGGTCCGAGTCTTGGTAGCGCCCACCCGCCAGTAAACGCCCCAAAGCTAGATGTTGGTGAACTTGTCTGCCTCCGTCCCAAATGATAGCTCATGGCGTGTTAGAAGGATTGTGAATTGGTACAAATTGTTCAGCTTCCAGTGTAGATGACAACGAGAGCAACAACTGCGGGAGTAGGTCACCAACACTAGCCTCGAATTATGGTGTGGCTCGGAAAAGGCCCGAATCTGGGGTGCCAAGGATACGGGAGCCAATTACTTTACGCGTAAATTTATACGCGGGACTGGCTTTCCTGCGAGCTGATCCCGAGCTCGTCGTCTTCTACCCCGAGCCGCCCTGCGAGCTTACTTGGACCTCGAGTGGCTGGAGATCTGGGGCAGTCCTTGCTTCGACTAGACCATTTTAGCAATTCTGCCCCATATATCGCCCAGCATGACTCGATGAACAGCAGATTTCGGGCCTCAAACCCCGACGTCCGAAACCTCGGCGCGTGTGACTTTGCGGGGGCCGGGGTCATGCGGAGACATGGATGCGCTAAGAACGCCAGATATATAGAATAGGCGCCTTTGCAGCAAAGTTAGGCCGAACGTGCTTCATTCAAACGCCACGCTGAGACCACTGAGGGTGTCCTACCAGCCAAGAGCCCCCAAGCTCGCGCAATGTTGACCCGAACGTCGCTGTCCATCAGCCGAAACGACACGCCGACGATGTAAGCTCGCGGAACTGGCCCCGATGCCAAGTTTGTGGGGTATCCGGGGAACGATTGCGGAGGATATATCTCGACCTTCTCCCCACAGATCTGTCTCCGAGAATCTAGATCTACTCACTCCAGTTCTAACGAGCTTTATCACCCGCAAGACGAGAAACAGTCCAGCGTGACATCGAAGCCATCATGTTCACCAAAAAGAGTCTTATCGCCGACAACAATGTCGCCAGCGCGGTTCACATGACTGTTCGACAGTCCCTGCTGCCCAACTTATCGGGTACGCTTCAACGAGTCAATCCACTCTAAAGCCATGATGAGAAGCTAACAGCTGCCTCGCCTACAGTCACCATGCTCTTCTTCCTCTGGGGATTCGCCTACGGTCTTCTCGATGTTCTCAACTCCCACTTCCAGTCGTTACTGGAGATCAGTGGCTCCATGGCCTCGGGTCTGGCTGCCGCCTACTTCGGCGCTTACTTCATTTGCCCACCCACCCTCTCCGGCTGGTTGCTTCGAAGATTTGGATACCGCGTCACTTTTATTAGCGGTTAGTAGGCTTGTTGACTAGGAACCATCGGAGTCATTATTGACATTTCGGCAGGCCTTAGTATCCTCGCAGTCGGCTGCCTTCTCTTCTGGCCTTCCGGCTTGAAGAAGTCCTTTGGTGGCTTCTGCGGCTCGATGTTTATTGTTGGATGTGGCCTGTAGGTTGATTCTCAGCCGAGACTCTAACAAAAACTAACAAATTAACCACAGGTCCACTCTCGAGACCGCCGCGAACCCCTTCCTCGCCATCTGCGGTCCCCCCAAATACTCCGAAGTCCGACTCAACCTCGCCCAGGGTGTCCAAGGCACCGGTTCCTTCGTGGCGCCACTCTTGGCCTCCCGAGTCTTCTTCGCCGATACGATCGACACCGAGGACTCTCTCAAGAACGTGCAATGGGTGTATCTCGGTGTTGCTGGTTTTGTCGCCTGCCTCATCGTCGTCTTCTTCTTCATCCCCATGCCTGAAATCACCGATGCCGACATGGCTCTGATGGAGGGCGAAATTGGCGAATACGACCCCGGCCCATTCCGCAAGCAGTACAACCTCTTCCTTGCTGTCTGGTCTCAGTTTTGCTACGTCGGCGCCCAAGTCGCCGTTGCCAACTACTTTATCAACTTTTGCATGGACCACGGCAAGACCAAGGCCCAGGCTTCAGATCTCCTAGCTGTCTCGCAGGGACTTTACACTGCGAATCGATTTATTGCAGCTGGTCTAATGCTTATCCCTGCCTTCAAGCCCCGTCTCATCTTGGGAACTTATCTCGGCTTGTGTGCTGTGTTCATCACTGCAGCGATTCCCACCAAGGGGACCACCGCCATTGCCATGCTTATCCTGGTCTTCTGTGCTGAGTCTGCATGCTTTGCTTGTATTTTTGCCACTGGTAAGCCGTCTTCTGTTTCTCACTCGTATCGATTTGGTATTCTAAAGCCATTCTTCAGGTCTTCGCGGTCTCGGTCGTCACACCAAGCGTGGCGGATCGTTCCTCGTCGCTGCAATCTCCGGTGCCACCGTTTTCACTCCCGCTACCGGAGCTGTCATGGACGCCACCAACGCCTCGACTGCGATGGTTATCCCTCTTACCGGCTATATCTTGGCTTTTGTTTATCCCATCTACATTAATGTGTGGAACAAGGACCTCATGGATTCGCATCGCGCGACTGAGGTTGGAATCCAGCCCGACGAACCCAAAGATATTGAGTTTATGAGCGCCACGCACGATGAAGACACGAATCAGAGGAAGCAAATGACTTCCCATGTTGAATGATTATTGTTCAATTCGAGAGTAGATAGGCATTTTAAGATGAGCAACGTAATAGCAACTGTTAGTCAGTGAAGGTCTGAAACCGTTCATGCGAAATATATGATGCAGGCAACAACTATGTCTACCTACGCAAATGCTTCCAGCTTTTAGCGATTGTTCACCAAGGCAACTACATTTATTGGAGAGCTTTTTAAGAGTGGTGTCAACTTGGGCCACCGTTATCTCCGGATAAAGTTTGCCACTTCAATTTAGTAAATGATATATCATGGAAAGTAAAGGATCCGATCACCAGCTGCCCACCCCAGTCATCCGTGCAAACGCCACGTTGACACAACATTAGCAAGTGAAGCTGCAATCCAAATCAATTTCCCCGTAGCTGGGCACTAGGCCGGCGCCAGTATTCCAGTTGCCAACCTTGCAAATAAGAAGGTCTCCCTCGAAATATTCGCTATTGGCTCCTCCACTGCGCCAAGCCCTGTCGCCGTATCGGAACTCGGCCTCCCGAATGTTAGCAGATGGCTCGAAAACACAACAACATGTTGACGGTTCGTAGACTTACAACATCTCCGGAGCTAGGGTTTCCGGAGGGGAATATAGTAGCATACATCTTGTCAGGCATGCCTCCTTCTTGTGCCTCGATAAGGATTGAGCCTTGATCCTGCCAAACCTCGTTATTCTGGAAGACCAAGTACCCATTGACGTCGTAGATCTTGATCCAGCCAGATCGAGTCTCAGAGTCCAGCTTCCGGTGTCCGTGAACATGGACACCACACCAACCACCAGCGAATCGCTTCTGAATGCTACCATCCAGAGAGGCCTGATCTTCGATAGGCTCAGGCCACGACTGGATGATCTCACGAGGCTCATTGGGAGTCACGACTGGAGCACCCAAAACCGCATGGCCAGAGTGAGGGCAGAAGCGAAGATATTGGAGGGGCGCATGGTGATGATTTGATGTGAAGTCTCAAAGATGGAGAGTGATGCAGTATGGTAAGGTTGACTGGGGAGTATTGCAAGACTGGGTATGTGTGTGAGTCGAGGATGAAGAGGGCATAATTCATTCAGCAGCGTCACAGAGTATTATACATCTCTTCTCACAAAACGCTGCTTAAATCAATTCGAAAGCCTGCATGAAAACATCATTGACCTCCTGATCCAACATCTCGATCCTTCGCCTTGTCCTTCGCCTCGAATCCTTCGTCGGGTCCGAGGCGCTGAACCTGATACCCGAGATTTCCATTAGTCTCATCAGCCACTCCCAGGAGCTTGCATCCCACGGGCTGATGGTAGCCCTACGCAGCTTCGCCCCGTCGCCAAGGTTCGGAAGCGAGCATCAGCTTAGACTTACAAGCAAGCTCCTGCATCCTGTAAACCAACCTTAAGAAGGTTAACACTTTCTCAATCTGTTGATTCGTCAAATATACCAGCCCGCGGCCACTAGGATTAGATCGTTTGACCTCAATTCATCGTCAGGAGCGGCGACCAATTTAGCGTGCAATGCAAAACTGCGCTGCCACTCTGCCACATTTTTCGCATCGACACATGGTGATCATCGTCTCCATCCAGGACCAAGTTTATTATGTTTAGTTCGCTGCCGGCAATAATCAGTTCCCTTCAGGGAAAGATTGGTCTGTTTCATTCCACGAGTCGGCCCATTATGTTATGGATAGGTGGGCTTCCAGGCAACCAGATTCCAAGTGAATGTGCTTTACTCACAACGCCAAGGCATGTAATATACACAAGGCAATCCTTATCCTGACTGAGATGTAAGTCATTCTGCCCCACAATCCTTTCCTGGTCGGTAATAAGTCCTGATGGGAGCCGTTTAGTTATTGGTGGAAGCAATCGTTTGATCCGCAGGGCACTGGATGATCGCTCAAAGCGATATAAAAAAATGGCTCGTCGCTTAGCGAATGCCTCAAATAGACAGCTGCATCTGCTCAGCCACACAGGATCGTTGTTCACTATAAACAGGGGCAGTGTTTTAAAAATTCCATCTAGGAGATTTTCCTTTTCTGAGACACGACACTCGGTTTCCCCGTACCGGCTGCCCAAGAAATCAAACTGCCCCAGTCACCGCGGTCAATGTTTACCCTCAACTCGTTTTACACAGCCACTAAAGTACAAGCACTATCTAAGTTCCCTATAGCCGCTGCACGATAATAAGGAATTATCATAAGATCGCGCTGAAATGTTTGCTCCATAATTAAAGAGGCTTGGTCGTTCGGCATTACACAACTGCTTATTCTTGGGCGCTTTGTAGACAAATGGTCCACAACACGGGTGGTTCAGACTGACATTCCGACTTCATATAACACAGCCTGTTTTGAGCACTTTGTGAAGGTAGAGCTCCATGTGTTGAAGCATAAACCATCTGACCAACGAGTCTCAGATAACATGGACAATAGTTTGCGAATGTGCAACTGGATCCCCTAAGCCTTTGATAACAAAATTGCCGATTTCAATCACGGCTACCCTGGAGCGATGCGTTACTCAGAATGATTTTACTCCTGGGACTCACTCACCTAGAAACTGTATTGATTACTGATTTTGGTTCCGCATGCCCCGACGTGTAATATAATTTCCAACAATAATAGCACCCGAACAGCATACACTGTTATTTGCCTGGTCATTCTCAAGTGTTTTCAAGCATCCAAGAATTCTCGCCAAATCAATGCTTAGTCATTCTCGAATATTCTTGAGCGAGCATTACCTGCTTAGTCATTCTCGAAGGCCATCCGGCGACCCCTACCTGCACCGGGGCCAGTGCGAATAAGATACTAAAGCTACATCCATACCTGTACCGGACCCGGTGCGTTTAACACCACGTGACATCTTGCACCGGGTCCGGTGCAAATAAGACCCCTTATATAAGTAACCTCATGAGGGTAAGCAGGTATGGATGCCCTATCTTATTTGCACCACCAGTGGTGCAGGTACGGCTGCCCGCTATTCTTGGGCCAGGTGAATCTGCTTAGTCATTCTCGATCGGTCTCTGAACTCGGACTGGCTAGCAGTACCTGCACCGCTAGGGGTGCAAATACCAACCGTTGGACTCGTGCACCGCTGGGGGTGCAACCAAGATCCGTCGTATGAGTTCAAGCTTCCAGCAGCTACAGCACCTCAATTTTCTAACAGCTTCAGTAGCTACAGCGCCTCAATTTTCTAGTAGCTATAGCAGCTACACCACGTTATTCTTTTAAGAGCTATACTAGCTGCTGGAAGTTTTTACTTGTACAATGGATCTTATTAGTTGCACCCCTAGCGGTGTACAGTCATATGGTTGGTATTTGCACCCCTAGCGGTGCAGATACTCGAACTCGGCCGCTTAGTCATTCTCGTGCGTTCTCTGGCCATACCTGCACCGGGGCCGGTGCAGGTATGGATGGCCGCATTCACCAGCACTGGAACTCTGAAATAGGTAGGGCTTAATTATCCTCAGGCATTCTCGCACTATCTATTAAGGCATTCTCCAGCTGTATTCTTAAAAGCCGCCCATCTCAATTATTCCTCCACCTAGCTATTCTAATACCGTATATATAAATTTGCCATTGGATTTATATTTATAAATAGACGATTTATATTTATAAATAGACATTGATCTCAGATGAGTCGATCTTGAGAGACTGTCGCAGGCTACATGCCGATAACAATCAGGGCAGATTTGTAGTATTTCAACAGCTTCTAGCTAATTAAGGTGACATGCATGTAACGACTTTTAAAGATGTGCGGACAGAGTACTATCCTGAAAAAAATAAGACATTGACAGACTCATTGGAATTGGTTGCTGACCTAAAAGTTGACAAGCTTTCTGGTCGGCCTCTTGCAGCGGCGGGCGTCTTGTTTAGCCTCGTTTTGATGCTGTCTGGGATGAGCAAGATTGGAGCATTGTTGATTATAAAACCGGGAATCCACAATCTTGGACTCTCATGTCTTATTTTGAATCCTCTTCTTATACAAGCACTTGGCGTCCAAATTCTATGAGCCCGCTGCTCTAGTATTAAAAATGGGCGACAAGTTCTATGCTGTGGCTGTCGGCAAGGAGACTGGGGATTTTGACACTTGGCTGTAAGTAATTATTCTCTGCATATATGAGCCCAGAAGAGGCTAACGGGCATGGAATACTAGAGAGGTGCAGGCTTTGGTTACCGGCTTCAAAGGCAATAAACACAAGTCATTTGCCACGTACGAAGACACTTGGGTTCATGTACCGCAACAGTTCCGAGTCCATAACCCCGGTTGCATTGTCAACCCACAATGCGCATATTGAGCTCACTGTGAACCAAAATGCCCCTAGGGCGTCTCGCAGAAGTCAAGAGGTCAGGGATGAGGCACAAAATACCCCGCGAGGGAGGAGAGGTGGGGTGCATCCAAGAGAGAGAGATGCTGATAGATATTATAAATCTGTACAGTCTATGCAAAATTTGGAGAGGCAACTGCAAGTCAGCTTACAAGTGAGCATTGTCGCCATCAAACGCGGCCACGGAACGGATGCAAGTGTGCTTTGTCGGATATTTGAATAGGTCTGAGTCCTGGGAGCCGTCTGGGCCAAACTGAGAATTTTGCGCTTTTTAAAATAACTTGACCATTGAACTTATCTTGATGATAAAATTTCCCTGATTGCACTATGAATGCGAGAGGAAAACGTGCATCGATGTGGTAGCTCCTAGGTGTGACTCCTCTCGCTTTCTGTCGGGTTGTCCAAGCAAGTGGGATCACACGGCCGTTTTGGGATGGTGGGGGTGGAGGACAAAGCGATGGAGCGTTGCGTAAGCGTATGCCGACATTAAGCGCACGACAACACTGGAGTGGGATGTTGTCCTAGCATTTAGTGGATTATTTGGGAGAGTCTCGATCCGGGAGAGATGAAGTTCCAGTCCGAGAGTAGCCTTGAGGAGATGGTGTTGAGGTTTGGCGTGGGAGAATTGACCGCATCTAGCTGCGATATCGGGGGTGAGACAGTTGATGTTTTCAGGCTGGTGTAGAGAGGGTTAATTGTTGAAGAAAGTGAGGGGAAGTAATTCGATACAACGTGTACTATGATGCTTGTATATACCAGGACCATCATTCGAGAATCAACCCATGCATTTGCATTTACGTTATCCCATCCGTCTTCGCAGCAACTAATGCCAAGCTCGGGTGCAGATGGGCTATTCCCTGGTGGTGCGGGGTCGAAGCCCCAATCTTTTACGCTACGAGGCGCAATTCTCAAGTAGCAACCCCACCTCTGCACATGGCAGTCCGTTTTCGTCGTTGGGAGTTTACGCTCTTAAAAGGCCATCGACAAGCCATTCCCAACACTCCTCCACCATCACATCCACCATGGCTCCCTCACTGCAAGACGCGCAAATCTCCTTCGTCGGCGGCGGCAACATGGCGTCGGCCATCATTGGCGGGCTGCTCGCCAAGGACATCGCCAAGCAGCACATCTACGTGGCCGAGCCGTGGGACGTCAACCGCGACAAGATGGCCGCGCTGGGCGTGCGCACCACGGCCGACAACGTCGAGGCCTCGCGCGACGCCGATATTGTTATCATCGCCGTCAAGCCGCAGGTCGCGAAAGTCGCCTGCACCGAGCTCGGTGCTGCCTGGGCGACCCGCGAGCGCCTGCCGCTGGTCATCAGCATCGCCGCCGGCATCACCGTCGCCAGCTACGTCGAGTGGTTCAGCCAGGGCAGCGGCCGCACGCCGCCGATTGTGCGCGTCATGCCCAACACGCCGGCGCTGGTCGGCGAGGGCGCGTCGGGATTGTTCGCCAACGAGGGCGTGTCGGCCGACGAGAAGGATCTGGCTACGGCCTTGTTGGCCAGCGTCAGCAGAGCCGCCGAGTGGGTGGACAAGGAGTCGCTGCTCGATGTCGTCACTGGCATCTCCGGTAAGTCTTGCAAGTCCACGACCTTTACAAGTTCTAACTCAACCCTCAGGCTCTGGCCCCGCCTACTTCTTCGCCTTTGTCGAGCACCTCATCACCGCCGGAACCAGCCTGGGTCTCTCCGAAGAGCAGGCCACTCGCCTGGCCAAGCAGACTGCCCTCGGCGCTGGAAAGATGCTGGTCGAGGCCACCGAAGATCCCGCCCAGCTGAGGAAGAACGTCACCAGCCCCAACGGCACCACCCACGCCGCGCTGGTGAGCTTCGAGAACGATGGTCTCAAGGATATCGTTGGCCGCGCCGTGAAAGCCGCCACCGACCGCGCCGAAGAGCTTGGCAAGGCGTAGAGCATGTGCAACGAGTAAATGGCCCAAAAATAGACAAAATGAACAAGACACCGGCATATTCAAGGATTGCACTGAAATGGCTATTTGATTGAGATTATACGATACCCTCTATGCTTGTAGTTCTACCCGCTGCGTAAATGTGTAATTGTTCCCTCCCAATTTTCCAACTTCTTCTCCGTCTCTTATCCCTCATCAATTGTCAAGTTCCAAACCATCAGAGTCGCGCCCGAACTTGGATTGCCTTGTTCCAGTCTTTCACCACCTGACTAAAAGCCTCGATTTCCCGCTCATGCGTCGCCCACGTCGTGAGCAGCCGCACTACTGCTTGTTCGCCGCCATACTTCTCCCACACGTAAAACGAAAACCTCTCTTGCAACTTCTCAATCAGAGACAAGGGCAGCACGGCAAACACCTGGTTCGTCTCCGTGGTGACGTACAGAGAGAATCCGGCGTCGGCGATTCCGCACGAGAGCTTCTCGGCCGCAAGATTCGCCCGCTCGGCAAGCTCAAAGTAGAGGTTCTCGCGGAATAGCTCGGCGAACTGGGCTCCTACCACGCGACCCTTGGCTAGGAGTGAGCCGTGCTGCTTTACGTAGAATTCAAATTCGCTTGCTAAGCTTGGATCCTTGACAACCACTGCCTCTCCCAGCAGCGCTCCATTCTTGGTTCCTCCAATCCAGAAAATGTCAGTCAGTTCCAGGACGTCGTGCAGCGTCATATTATTAGTCTTGGACGACAGCGCAGCACCAATTCGCGCGCCGTCGAGGAAAAGAAGCAGGTTCTTCTTTTCGCAGAGGTCTTTGATCGCGCGCAGTTCCTCCTTTGTGTAAACCGAACCGAACTCCGTTGCGTTGGAGATGTACACCATCCGCGGCTTCGCCATGTGGGGGAAATGCCAGTTTTCGTCGAGGGATTTGGATATGATTTCGGGTGTCAGCTTTCCATTGCAAGGCGTCGCGTTGATGATCTTGTGGCCCGATGCCTCGACGGCACCCGTCTCCCGCGTAACAATGTGCCCGGAGCTCGCTGCGATGACGGCTTCGTGCGGGCGCAGGCAGGCCGCAATGGAAATGGCGTTGGCTGAAGTTCCGCTAGGCACGAAGAAAACTCCGACATCGTCTCGTCCGAGATGGCATCGGATTCTTTGTCTCGCTAGATCGCAGTATGTGTCGTTTCCGTATCCGACCTCCTGGGTATAGTTGCTTGTGAATAGTGCCTTTAGGATGAGCGGGTGTGCGCCCTCGCTGTAGTCGTCCGAGAAACTGTACTGTGCCTTTCGATCGGTCGACATTAATTCCGACATGGTGATGTGCTGTAAAGATGTTGCAAACTTGCGTCTGTTGCCACCAGGAATAACAGACAATACTGGCACTATCTATATACGTACGCCGATCCCCACCATTTAGTGGCCCACACCCACACGCGGATCGAAGTCGGAGGTCATCGTCATTTTAGTCAGTACGACCTTAGTCAAATCTCGAGAGTGGGTCGTCAGACTCCCATTACTCAAAGTTCAATGACATACTTCCCTCACGAGATCGCTTGCGGGGTTCTTGTAAGCGGGTACGGGCTCTTTCGGCGAAGCACGTTGGAAGCTAAAGATACGCGACGGCAAGGCATTTCATGCGGTGCAACTATATCATTGTAACAGATTGCTAGGTACTTTGCAGACCAACTCCCGACCGGGACAAATTACGCAATGACGGAAATGCTGTGGACGGCGTCGAGGGAAAAGTGAATGAAGCTGCGGTATGTCTCGACGGTCGACGTATTAAGGGGTTTTGGATAGGTCAGGCAGATCTGCATGTCGGGCTTCAAGGGGATCCCGCTCGCCGTCATGTGGTTGGCCGGGTCGTACAGCTCTGGATACTTGCCGAAGAAGGCCGGGTCGATTTTGTAGTACGACGCGCCGCGGTCCATGTTGAGGAACTTGAACGCGGCGGCTGCGTAGTCTGGTGACGTGAAGATGGACGCAACGTCGGGCGCGGGGAGCTTCACGGGGCCGCGCTCGGCGGACGGCGACGTCGTGGACATGGCGGTGATGAGGTCGGTGACGCGGATGTAGACTTTGGCGGTTGGCGCGCCGCGGATCAGGTCGCACATGAGGGCTTCCACGACGTAGCCGGTGACGGCGTCGCAGAAGATTTGGTCGATCTGAGGATTCGCGGCGTGCAGTTTGATGAGCCGGTCGCGGATGGAGGGGAACGGGATCCAGTCGATGACGAGCGGGTACTGGTTCTTCATCTGCACTTCGGTTGGGCGATATCTTTCGTGGAGCTTTTCAAATGTGCCGATGGAGGGATACAGTTGCCAGGCCGTGAGCTCGATGATGTGGAAGAAGCGCGTCTTTGCATACCATGCCATCACATCAGGTCGAGTCATGCTGTTGAACATGGAAAGAACCATTAGGACAGGTTGGTAAAGACTAGAAGGCTGTTAACACTGCTCAAGCTTAGCAAGTCATTTAATCACCTCTGAGTTGGACCTTGTAGTTCGGGCGAGATACCCATCATGCTGAATTTGTCCTTGAGGAGGCACTGCAACACATGGATGTGGTCTGAGAAGGGCGAGTTGGAGTGGATCCATTCTTTGCCGAGCACCATGCTGGAGTGGTGAGACGCAGTAATGGCATCCATATACGGGTCCAGGCCCATTTGATATTCAAAGGACCAGATATTTGGAATTTGCTGATACAAGGTCCCGGGGTCGACCATGGCTAGGTCTGCGCCCGCAAAGCTGGTCTCTGTTTATGTGTAAGACACTTGGGTGATTTTTAACTGGTAAAGACTTACTGTCAGTGGCATCTGGGGTAACTGAAGGACGAAAACTAAGAACTGCAGTCTCGGTAGACTCTGTAATATCCGTTATATCCAACGGCGGCATTTGAAAGTCAACTGATTGCGACTGTCTCTCATGAGACTTGTGCTTTTGCCTGGATCCACGCTTATCCTGTACCGCAGACTCATTTCCGCTGTCTTTAGTCTCATCGACCGTTCCATCGAGTGTTACAGACACAGAATCCGTGAGCGACTGCACTGTCGCGAGCAGTCTACCCAACTTGCTCTGAACCTCAACGAGCTGCGTCCGGAGCCGGCTGTTCTCCCGCTGCAGAGCCTCCACCCGCTCGCTGTCCGGCCTTTGGTCGACATTGACGCGGTTGCGCAGCTCGCGGATGCATTCTGCTTGTCTGCGGCGGAACGCGCGCTGCGATAGACGGTTCCGGAGCTTCCTATAGCCATGTGTGAGTCGCTCTGCTCCACGGGCTCAACGTCGCGCGAGGCCTACTTTCTCTCCTGCTCGTCGCTGACAGAGGCTCCCTGGTCAGGCACATGCGCTGGGGACTCGGCGGCGGCCATTGCGTGCAGCGATATCTCGGAGTTCGTTGCGATGTCACTCGGTGAGACACGGCATCGGCGTCTTCAACAATTTCAGGGCTTGTTAGTGGTGCCCGAGATCGCACGGCTACGGGCGGCGTACACACGCTTTTTGCCGGCAGTTGCGGAGCCGCTAACGCCGTGGAAGAGGTGATTGGTGATGATTCGACTCTGGGGGGAAGTCAATTGATAAGAGAAACCGGCTTGTTGGTGTGGTGGAGGACAAGCTCCATAGAAGCATGACGCTAAAGCCAATGGAGGGGTTCGTATTGCAGTGACGAGATAAGGGGAATGCTCGCGAGGTGCTTCTAGAACTCTCACTTTGGTCACCTGCCATCTGCTGCACCGTCACCGACTACCTGTTTATGACGAATGCTGGTGTCATAGTCTCGTACCAGTTCTCCGTTTCTTGACATGGCTAATATACTGGAACACGAAACTCAAATTGCTCAAGTTCATTTCCGTAGATGAGCTGCTGCTAAGCTCGGGCTGAGCAGGCTTCCATTGGAATACGGTTGAGCGAGAAATAATATTCGTTGAATTGACCCGCTTGCGGCAGTAATAGCCGGACTGTATAGTCATCTGTGCCGATATCCTGACCCTAGTCGGGATGGGTGCGATGGATCTAAACCCCTCTTTTCTCAAGAGGGGTAGAAGGCATCCAGATCAATACAATCAGCAGCTTCAAAAAGCCCACCCAATCGAATGTGCGCTGTGTATTCTATAATATTTTTAAATCATGCGACTCGGATGTGTATCTATAGGGGGCCCGGTTAAGAGTTTCTACACTTTGCTCTGGCAATCCCGAATTGCAACAGCACCCAACCTTCTGTTACTCATGCGGCCATCTGATGGGAAGCACCGATTAAGGTAAAGAGTCTCTGATTCGCAAACTATAATCGCAATAATATGCTCAATTGGGGTTTGAATTAAAATAAGCTGAAACTGGCAAAAGCAGGCGTAAGACTAATGGCGGAATTTGCTCCAGACATTTTAGCCCAGCTAGACATAGGAAAGTCGGACCCAACTGCCTTCGTGTGCCTCATCCCTTAGCTTAGCCAACTGATATTCCATAACGGCTTCAGAAAACATATCCCGCCTTAAAAGCCTCTCCCCGCCGTTTGTGCGCTGTTCATTGAGAATGGGCCTTGATGTGCAACTTAATCAACAAATTGTTTCGAGACCAGTAGCTGCGGTATCGCTTGCCGAAGAAAAACACCAGCGGTGCGGTGACGGTCATGGCGAAGGCGAGACTACCGAAGACGTAAAAGACATGAGCCGGGCCCGAACTGCCGACCCAGGTATTGACGAACCAACTGAAACCGTAGAAGAGAAAATTCTTAAAGATAATCATGGACACAAACACGTCGTCGCTCATTTCACGGTAGGCGTCTAGGGCATAGCCACCAACGGCAATAGCCACGATGACAACGCCGGCGAGCGTGACGCCGTGCATAGTTGCCGTCGCGTAGTAGGTCTTGCCGTCTTGTGCCAGTGCCCCGAAGCTCATGAGGCCGACACCGACAAGCAGACCTCCCGCCACCGGCAGCAGGCGGTACTCGGGCTCGTAGATTCCCTTGTTTTTCACTGCACACCATTTGATAATGGGATCGGTTACTATGCTCATGAAAATAGACCCAATCATGGCGCCGATGAAGGGGCCTAAGGAAAGGTAGCCTATACCAGCCGCGGATAGCAGGTAAGGCGGGGCCATGAAGATTTGAGCGATGCTCATGGCTTGACTGACATAGAAGGCCGTCATTCCACCTGACACGACGACTGACCAGAGAACAGCTAGGTTGGTGCACACGGCGAGCGGCGCGATCAACAACTGGAGGAAGTTTTCGTCGCAGTAGGTTCCGGAGAACAGAGCTAGCTCTTGCAGGTAGGTCTTCTTAGCTGGAATGACAGGATGCGGCGAGGGCGCGTCGGAAGCTTCCGCCTTGTCAGAGAACTCGAGATGACGGCTCCCGCTGGCCTGCTTCTCCGCCTGAGCTAGCTCCTCGAGGTTGTCGTCCGCGACCTCATCTGTGTTATAACGTGCTTCTCTGATGTAGTTGGTCTCAGGCACGAAGAAGAAGACGAGAAGTGTTTGGAGGCCGGAAAAGAGAACACATAGATGAAACAGATATCGCCATCCGAGGTTGTCGGTGATAGGTCCACAGACGACCGCAGCGACATTGGACACGCCGGCCAGAATAAACTGAACCACAGACATGTAGAGACCACGTTGGTGAACAAAGTAGATGTCGCCAATGGCCGAGACGAGAATACTTTCGTAGGCGGCCGTAGCAATACCCTGGACGATTCGCGCGGCGAGGATTCCATCGTATGTGGAAACGCACGACCCGATAATAGAGCCAACTGTCCCCAGCAGGGAAGAAAAGAAAAAGACTGGCCTTTTCCCCCACTTCCTGGAGCACGCCGCAACGATAAATGCGGCCGCCCCGGCAGTGAGAAGCTGGTAGCTCGACAGTACCGCAATGTCGTTGATGGACCTGTCAAGGTCAACCGCAATGACGCCGAGACCCGGGTTGAGCAGACCGCTGTATACGCTGGCCATTATAATACCGCCGAAGCTGATGACGGAGATGAGAACCAGCTTTTTGGGCTGGGACCAGTTGAGAGGGTCGTTGGGATCAGCCGTGGGTTGAGGGACGAGGACGATGTGAGACTCTTTCCCTTTGCCATGCTTTAGTCCGGCGGTGCCGCCCTCGGATTGAGCACTCTGCTCGTTCAGTATGACGGTGGCTGGCACGTGAGCGAGGTGTTTATCCTCGAGGATGCCGAGAAACCCCATGTTTGGTGATGCGATGGGCTGCGGGATGCAATAAAGGGGAGGGGTAAATCACTGAAAAGCGAAGGGTCTAAAGGACGAGGATGTATCATGGATACAAGGAAAGCTTTGCAGGGTCAGGAGTCTTTTATACATATGATGAATCTTTCTTCAGCCATTTAGCCCGCTTTGAACTTTTAGTTCCACACCATTCTGAGGATCGGGGAATCCCACGGGGAACCCCACGGGGAACACCATGGGGAACACCACATTTTCCCTTACCATGGGGTAAATGCGGACCTAACCTACCCCAGGGAGCGGTGTTGATGGCACATCCTAGAGACTGACACACAAACCATCACTGCCCGCACTACTACAGGTCTCCCATGAGCGATGAATGGGGTCTGGCCGGGTCCTTCGGGATTCCACAAAATGGGCGTCGTAATCTCCGAGCTGTGCTTTATTTCTCGGGTCTCTACACACTCAATCGCTCAATCGGCGCTCTCTACGCATCATACAACCCAAGATAATTGTGTCCATGCCCTCGACGTCCGCATTCTCCTCTGCGTTGTCTTGAAGGTCCCCAAGGTGACGCTCGAAATCGCCTCCCGCCATACTGCTGACACTGTCGCTCATGTCATCTAGCTGGCCAGAATCCATCAACATGGTCAGTTTTCTCAACAAACGGGGGACCTTCAAGGTCCAATTGCCGTTAATCGACACAGGAACAATGTCCATACTGGCTAGGCCGCGATTCCGGTTCATGACGTTGCCCAAAAACCAGTACGCCAGCGCTCTGTCCCGATAGAGTCCTTCGCACGCCATCGACCCTGGTCTCGACAAGGTTTTGGCCCAATGCTTTCGCCAGAGCTCCAAGGCGTTGTCGACGACCTGAGACTGGACAGTGGTGAGGTGCTCGTGGATATTTACTTCCGCCGCACCCGGCATCTCTGGCTGATTTCTCTGCGCGTGGATTTTCTTCTGCTCCCACATATATAGAAGAATCCCTGAACAATCGATGAGAAGCTTCGCAGTTGGTTTGAATGAGGTCTACTCACCGTGGAGAACGGTAAACCCTCCCATTACGCTGAAATGCAAGGGCACCTTGATCGGATGATGGCACAAGAACAGAGACAAGATGACGGGATATTCTACTCTCGTCAGATTTTGCGCGTTTACATACAGTTCACGCCACTCCTCTTCGATGCTTGCGGCAAAGATGTTCTCATCGCAGGGCAGGGGGAGGCAAAGTTCGTATACGTGGAGTTCGGGGCGCTGATCGAACAAGACTGCCCTGATCGCATCGAATAGGTACAAAATGAATGCGGTCCTAGGAGGAGGTTAGTGAAAGAGGCCTCGGAGATGAAAGGTAAACTGACCTGATCCGGCTTTCTTGGACCGACCACTCATCCCATTTCATCTTCCAAGGCTCGGTGGTTGGATGGACGCCGTCGAAGACGCCCGCGTTCCTTGCCTCATTCATAAGTCTTCTGGTGTCGACCGGCGGACGGTACCGCTTGGAAGGGAAGTAGAATGCGTCTAAGAGAGTGACTATATAAACAGCTTGAATAGTGTCAAGCTGTGCCGAACCGCCCGCCTGCAGGCTCGGATCCGAAGTCCAAGCAAAGGTCTGTGCCATTTGAGAGAGTTGCAGGGCCTCGGCGCCGTTGGATTTGAGGTCTCCGGAGTACATTGCGCCCATCAAGATCATGGCGAAGATGAGCCTCGTGCTGGTGGCTGTGATGTTCCAGAATGGCAAATGGAGCAACGGTGTATGCTGATGAAACGACTTGAAGTACGAGTGGATGAAGAGGGACACGTTGTCGAGACTCAACCACTGGTCCCACCGCCGCGATCCTTGATTGGACTCGTGGAGAAACTTCAATATTTGCAACCGGTGGGCGTCGAGTGGCGAGATCTGCATGAGGCTCATGCCCCTGGGAAGATGGAATCTTGCCGTGCCACTCTGGCCGCTACCGCCACCGCTGCCCATTTCGATGTCATACGGACTGACCATGGTGGCTTCGGGCGAGATGAATTGTTGACTTGGCGATGCCTCTGACGCGGTGGCGTCGGTGCGGTTGTCCTCTCGGCGGTTCACGAAGGAATTGTCGAGAATGCTCCAATCAAGCAGATCGAGATCAAAGTACATGTCTTCAGCGAGGTTAAGGAAGTCGATGTCGCTTGTGTCATTGCTAAAGGACTCTGTGAGCGAGGCTGGAGGCTCCGGGCTCGCGATTCTTCTCTGATCGAACTGCAGCTCTGGGGAAGGGTTGAGCGGCTCGTTCATTTGGTCACAAGCTTGAGGCCCATCTGTATTTACCCGCTGGGCAGCGCCACCTTGGGTGTGTTGCGCAATGTCTTGGTCCACAGCAGGCGAGATATCTAGGCGAGAATCCGACCCTTTAAAAGCAGCTCTCTGTTGGTCATGTTGCTGAGCGTGTTCTTGGGGAGAGTTACTGTGGCGGGGAACTTGGTCGGGCGGAATAGATTGCTCCGTCGTGAGTGCCGTCGCCTGGGTCATCGGCGAGGAACAATTGCTTGACATGTTGGTGACTCTGGCTTTTCGTAGGGTGAAATGACAGGCTTGACTTTGCCCAAGGCTGCAGCACCGCTCGCAAGGCTGGACGCCAGAGCACTTGACCTTGGAGCATCTACACGAGCTACAAGCTCGGTTGACACGCCGAAGTATTTCAACCGCCGCCTTGTCCACGTCTCGAGCCGACTTACAACTCTGATAGTGACGACGAAGAGCGTCGCTGCCATACCATCATCAGCTACCTACTTCGGGGGACAGTGTAGTGGGTGAAGGAGACGGCCTGCAGAGGTCTCTGAGCGGCCAGGATCTGTGTGACCAGGACTCACCTGCGTGCGAACCTTTTGCCGCAGAATGGGCAAGGGTACTCCTTCGAATTGCTGTGCATCGTTGCATGGCGCTTTAGATGCTCCGGGCGAGTGAAGGTGGCCTCGCAAGAGTCGCAGCGATGCTTCATTGTGACATTGCCTCGTGTGCGCGGCATCGTACACGAACGAGATGAACGCGCAACCAGCCTTCCCTAAGAAAACAAGCACGATCCACGGAGCGAAGGGATCGTTAAGTCCGTGGTGGCCGGCTGGCGAGGAGAAAAGCGAAGGTATGGGCACGACTTGGCAGAGCGTCTGTCTGTATGTGGAGAAGAATCCAGACCCCGCAGCATCAACAACAAGGGCGCTTCCCCAGACTAGAGCTAGAGCTGGGGAAGGATCTGGGGAAGGTCTCATGGCTTGGTGGGGAGGGTTAAGATTTGACTAAGTACTGTACAAAATCTGGAGCTTGGTTGAAGTCGGCTCGATCGGCGTGAGCCAAATCCCAGCTGCACGCACTCTGTACCGTTTATATTTCACCAGCTTTTCAATACTCTGCTGCTGACTCTTTGCCCAAGTTAGCCCATGCAATCACTGGATGAACCCTGAAGCCGGGAGACTGGCTAGATCTAGGGATCAGGATTTCTTGGAATGACTGTGTGTATTCGTATCTGATCCAACTACCTGGAGAGGGGGCAAAATATCTGTCCTTATCTGGGATCACACATGACTTTGTGACCTCTCATTTCAGCCGGCCGATCCAAACTCTCACATCCTGGGTCCAATAACAACCGAGATTCGCCTAGATTCAACGCGCCATTCTCCGGAGGAGCGTGTGGTTAGTCGCGGGGTCAAGCTATGTAAATATCTACCTGAGCAGCGGCCGTACAATATGTACACATCCATGTACATGTACCTATCGGATTCCCCCACATGAGGGTGAGGCATCGGCATCAGCACCGGCATTCCCCCACAATCTGGAGCCTGAGTTCTGTAATGAGCGGGTCTGAGGCTGGAAGCGAAGCGGCACATAAAATGGAAAAGAAATGGCTATGCATCATTGCTTTGAGAATGAATTGTCATCCTTACTACTTAGCCTCGCTCTAGATTCTCGCCTCCCAAACAATGTTGGATGATACTGGCCGTCTGGCCGCCAACCCGAACTCCCCCATTTCTGATCCTCCGACACTGCGGGATAGCTATTCTGGTATCCCCGACCGCCTGCTAGGAAAAGCCTGCAAGGCAAAGCAACAAGTCTTTGAGAACCAGACCAAGGATATCGATCCCCGAGCTCGCCTGCCTGTCATTCCGAAGGGCATTTCTCTGCCGTTGTTCAATGCCGCCATTGGTGAGCTCCAACTTCGGCTAGGAACCGAAAATGTTGTCGTGAATGATCAGCCCCTCGTTGATGGATGGTGAGTACTGACCTATATTTTTAATCATGAGACTACAAAAGAAATCCCCACACATCTCGTGCCGCCGACTGACTCTTAGCCAAGGTACATGGAACGTAAGTTAAGAAACGAAGGCACACGCCCCATCATCCTTAGACATATTACCTAACACCAAACCACAGACCCCAACACCCACGACGCCTTTAACCTGCTCGAATCCGAAGAGACTGTCGCATCGGCCCTCGCCTACCCCAGCAGCACAGCAGAAGTCCAGGCCATCGTCCTGTGGGCCAACAAATATGGCATTCCCATCTATCCCATCTCTATGGGTAGAAACTGTAATTTTAACCCTAGAGCCAAGTGCGCACAGTGGACTAGCTAACCCGATCATCTGATTACAGTGGGATATGGGGGCGCCGCTCCAAGAGTCCGGGGATCCGTCGTTATCGACCTCGGTAGAAGAATGAACAAAATCCTCGACATCAATCCTGATGATTGCACGTGTCTGGTTGAGCCAGGTGTGTCTTTCTACGCCCTTCACGAGGCTATTCAATCTCGGGGCTACGACAATCTGTGGATTGACGTTCCAGATCTCGGTGGTGGCTCCGTCATGGGCAACACCTTGGACCGCGGCGTTGGATACACCCCCTACGGTGACCACTGGGCTATGCATTCGGGCCTCGAGGTGGTTTTGCCCACTGGAGAGGTTATTCGTACCGGCATGGGCGCGATGCCTGGGGCCACTACGTGGCAGACTTTTCCCTACGGCTTTGGGCCTCTACACGAGTGAGTCAAATGAATTGAGCCTGAGCCTCCCCTTGAGCCAACAGAGATGGGACTAACATATCCTCCGTAGTGGATTATTCTCCCAGTCCAACTTCGGTATCGTAACCAAGATGGGCATGACTCTGATGCCTAATCCTGGCGGATCAGAAAGCTTCGTATATGCTCCTCACAATTTCCTCTTGTGTCAAGGACCTTTCTAACCTGCCCTAGATGTACACGTTCCCACACGAGGAAGATTTGGCACAACTAGTGAGTCCGTTCTAGTTGCCATCTTCAGGGAGGCGCACTGACATGAGCACCACAGGTTGAAATCATCCGCCCTCTGCGGATCTCTAACATCTTGGAGAACGTGGCCCAGCTCAAACATTGTATCCAAGAGGTCGCCGCCCTGGGGCATCCCCGGAGTACCATATATCAAGGCCACGGCGCTGTCCCGACCGAAGTTATCCGTAGTCAGCTATCCAAGCTGCCTTGCGGCGATTGCACCTGGATTTACTATGGAACTGCTTACGGGCCGGAGCACATCCGCAAATACAAACTCGACATCATCGACCGAGAGTTCAAGAGAGTGACAGGAGCCCGTCGTGTCGACCCAGCCACTATCCCTTCCGATCACTACTTTTGGGCCCGACACCGTGTTGCCTCGGGTACCCCGGACCTGCACGAGCTCGCCTGGCTTAATTGGTTGCCGAATGGTGCCCATGTCTTTTTCAGTCCGGTTTCATCCATCACAGGCAAGGACGCCAACAAACTGCTGCAGATCGCTAAACGGCGGCATCGAGAGGCCGGTATCGACATATTCCCGGCCTTTTGCGTTGGTCTGAGGGAGATGCATCTGATCCTGAACATTGTCTACGACCGGGATAGTGCCGCTTCGCGAGATGCTGCTACCCAGTGTATGAGAGGCATGATCAACGACGCTGCCAAAGAGGGCTACGGCGAGTACCGGACACACCTTCTGTTCCAGGACCAAGTGATGAAGACCTACAGCTGGAACGACAACGCCCTGGAAAGGTTGAACTCCAGGCTCAAAGATGCTTTGGACCCTGCGGGAATTCTAGCGCCGGGACGTTGTGGCGTGTGGCCAGCTAGATACCGAGGCCGTGGGTGGGAGTTGGGAATGGAAGCAAGGACTGGTTCGGAGGGGGAGAGCGTGGGACAAGGATCAGCCATGAGTAGAATGTAAGACGTAAAGCACATATTATTAAATACAATTTATACAGATTTCTTTTAATATCCCCGGCCGGTCTAACATCTTATCCATCACTTCATGAGCCTTCCACACATCTGACATCTTTGCAAAGCGCGCGTTAAGGTCAAACGTGACTTTCTTTCTCTTTTGAGTCTCAATTTTTCTATATCATGCCTGTGGACCAGCAATCACATTTCCTAGGCTGCAAACTTGGGGTTCTGATGATCAATTCCCTTGAAAATTTATTTCTGGGTTGCTCATCAATGGATTCACTAGAGGTTTTGCCAGGCCTAATAGCCATACCCCAGAAACTTTTAAGCAGAAGAATCCAGCTTCAAGTTGTGTTACAATTAGAGAGAGATAACAAAAGAGCTAGAAAAACTGCTAAACACGGTGAAACTACCTGTTTAAGTCTCACTGATCGTTATATCTCCTTAGCCTACCTACATTGCATAATATCGTTATGGAGCGTTGCAGGCTTTAAAGGCGTAATCGCTCAGTAGCGACATCAGCACCTCGTCGCTTTCCGCTAGAATCCAACTCCTGTCGTGTGCTAGTGCTATGTGGGCATTGTAGTGCGTCTCGAGCACCCTGAGCTTATTAACAGTGGCTTTGGCCGCTGGCAGATCTTCGTGAAGAGACTCAGTTTCTCCGTTGGGGTTGACCCAGGTCCTGAAGTCTTCTGAGCCATCTAGAAGTGCTCTGCTCGAGTGACCAATGTAAGCTTGGTAGAAAATAAAGTAAAAACCCCAGAGAACCTCACCTTGAATGACAGCAATCGCTTGCCATGATGACCCATTCCCCGTTGGCAAGTTTAGCAGCGGCTGCCAAGTTTCCAGGCATATGGCCAGGGGCCTGTATAATCCAAAGGCTTCCGTCATCTAGTAGGTCTAGAGCCCTTTCAAACGGACCAAAGCGTTGCCATTTCCCGTCCAGCTCCACGCAATTCTCTGTAGCCTTTTCGGGATAGAAAAAATGAGCATCCCATTTTCCGCTCACATCGTATGGCTCGTCGTGAAATTGGCCTGGTGTACAGTGTGCAAAAGTTCCAGGGCCAAAATAACCCACAGCCCGCTGGAACATACCTTTAATCGGCCTGGAATGGTCCCAGTGGTGGTGGCTTTGCCTTGTTAGCTCATCCCACAAGGGCATTAGCGGGCGGTGGTGCCATCCTACCTAAATATCACCGTATCGAGCATATCTGGCGGGACGCCGAGTGCATGTAGCTGCTCCGGGAGTGGTACGACAGGAGAAACTGGATGTAAGACATCAAGTATGTGCTTGTTTGTGTAGGCTGTGTATTCGGAGCGATCCTGTTCGCCCAGCCGAGTAAGCTAATGAGCCAGTAAAAGAGGACAGATGACAGGCTGGACGCACAGCACTAAGGCCAACATCCCACAGAATGTGTCGCCCGCTTGGCTCGTGATGGATAAAAAAGGCCCAAGAATGGCAACGGTACGGGACCGACGCAGAGCCTTGGTGGACAACGTCGAGGTTGGCTGTAAAGGAACCTCCATCTAAAAGCTTCACCGTGACATGCCCCGAGCTTGCCGGGAGGGACGGCAGATCTTGAGAGGTCGTCATACTTCACACGGGGAAACAGTTTCCGAACAACAGTTTGGTATCTGGAGTTAGGTCCGATAGAGTCCGAGGCCAAGTTGTGACTTTGAGGGTATTCCCATCTTGTACATGCAAGACTGGTGGACCCCACATCCAACTACCCCAAAGTCTGGGGTAGTTTCTGGGGTAGTTTGTACCCCAAACCTTGGTGGCTGGTCCAGTATGACGTGAAAATACCGTCAAGCAAACGGGGTGAATAAGTGCAACTCCATACCATGACTGATTAATCATAGCTCTAGATAATAACTCATATCTTCACCCAGCCTGGTTTGCTAGAAGCTGCTTGCTGATCCTCAATGACCCTGTCTAGGACGTTGGCGCGCCACCGCCTGAGCAGACCCTTGCTTCGACATCGCCAAGCTTTCCAACCGGTATTTCAGTTCACCCAGCACGCTCCGAAGGCAGAACGACACGGCATGGCGACAATGACAGTCAAGTACCCTACAGATCGCCAGGCGACCATGGAGTACATCAGGCCTGACTCCAAGATGAACCGAAGATACATGGCGGCTGGGGAAGAAATTAACACTGGCAAATACGAGACGAAACCTGTTTTGGTCCATGATGCGAGGCACGAGATACCCAAGCTCACGCTAGACACGACGGGGTTCGAGCTCTTCGAGCATGAATCGAAGGTGAGTTCTGTCCTTGCTTCGCACATAGGGAAACGTGATCACGCCTAGTAACAAGGGCTGACCACCAGACAATAGGTGTCAGACTGGAGCGACATGGCAGAGTTGGAATCAACCTACTCGGATGAGATTCATGACTTTGTGTCCAAGTTAACAGGCGCCGACAAAGTTATCGTCTTCGGCCCAGTTCGTCGAACCACCGATGATAAAAAGCCTGACAACTTAGACACCGCCTGGAACGACCAACCGCCAGCTTCGGACGTGCACGTCGACTACACTCCTCGTCGTGCGGAGTGTCTCGCTGAGGACTTTGCAGCAAAAGCTGGGTTCCGCAGGAGCGACTACAAGCAGGTCAAGCTCATCAACCTTTGGCGTGCAGTCAAGCCGGGCCCTCAGAACTGGCCATTGGCCTTGTGCCGAGGAGATATCGTAGGCGACGACGAAGGCGTCATCAACAATTTACTCTACGTCGACAAGGTGCCAGCCCCGGACCAGATGCCAGATGAGCTTCCGCATGACCCAATGTATCCTGAGGGTTCACTTTTCACGTACCGCCCGACGCATCGCTGGATGTACTATAGCAATATGGACAAGGATGAGCTGCTGGCATTTACGCTGTATGACTCCAAGATGGAACGGCCATGGCGGGTACCTCACTGCGCGTTTTACAACGATGCAGTTGGGGTCAAGAAGCGGGAGAGTGTCGAGATCAGGACTGCGTGCTATTTTAAGTAACCCGACGTATGAATCGAAATGTATGTTGGTTTAAGGCTCAAAATGTTCATAGCTTTCAACGCGTGTGTATTTAATGATGTGGTGCTCAAATCCTCAATTCTAGTCTCTGACGCCGCGCAGGATGTTGCGCTCACCTGCCCACGTCTTCCATAAGAGAAGTTCAGTTCTGTAGCCTCGAAACCCTTGTGTTACCCCGTACTCTAGTTCTCATAAATCCGACGATTAGTGAGAGCGAGACCTGTGCAACGTAGTCATGCGGGGGTGGGATAATGCCGATGTCGTTGGACGCTCCAATGTCCGAGAATGTGGGGTGACGGTCCAGGGTAGTATTTTTGGTTCAATTCCCATGACCCCAATACCTGATGATCTCCCATGACGGCCCCAGCTGTCAAATCTACCCAGTGAATGATTGCGTCTCCCCGCCTTGCGTGCAGGCTTCTCCAAGATCAACCTCGGCATTAACGTCGGGATTGTGGGCCAGGCAGATATCGATTCATGTTCTGAGTCAATCTTAAGAAGCTAGCCGACTGACCTTCGGCATCTCCTAGCTGATCAATACTGTGCTACTGCCACATTGACCACCACCCTCAAACATCATCATCAGATTTATTGCAACTATCAAGCTTTTGTATCACAGCCCATTTTGCGATGAAGGTATTCGCTCACAGGCTCGAACGTAATTTTACAACACTGACAAGAAATTACCTAGATCATTATCGTTGGTGCTGGCCCATCCGGCTTGCTTCTTGCTCTTCTGCTTGCGAAGAAGGGAATCGACGTTGAAATAATGGAAAAATCTACAACGCTGGACACGCAACCCCGAGCAACTCATTACTCTTCGCCTGCGGTGTACGAACTTTCCCGAGCTGGAGTGGCAGATGAGATGTTCCGTGGAGGCTTTGTTCCAGGAGGTGTATGCTGGAGAAAGCTTGATGGGTCGAGACTGGCTGGCCTTGATGCTGAAGGCGTTATTCCAGATGATTATCCCTACAAGATGGTGTGCTATCCCCTAGACAAGCTGGGCCCACTACTGCTCAAGCACGCACTGGAACTGCCGAATGTTCGGGTTCATTGGTCCCATGAAGTTCTCACGGCTGGCCAAGATGATTCGTGCGCATGGATCGAAGTCAAATCTCCCGAAGGCGAACGCAAGATTACGGCGGACTACGTGATAGGCTGTGACGGGGCCAAGAGTATAGTCAGGCGTCAGCTCTTTGGGGATGACTTCCCAGGGTTCACATGGGATGAGCAGATCGTAGCCACCAACGTGAGATCCCATCTCCCCCTGCGTGCCCTGTCACATAGCACTGGGCATAGACTGACTGTGCTGCAGACCTACTATGACTTTGATCAATTTGGCTGGTCGGACAGCAACTTCATTATACACCCGGAACACTATTTCATGGCCGCACGCATCAGTCCACACTTTGGAAAGGAAGCCCTGTGGCGCGTCACATACGGTGAGCTGCCGGGGCTATCCCAAAAAGAGCTGGCGGCCCGTCAACCAGAAAAGTTTCGTACCTTTCTCCCTGGACACCCTGAACCAGATCAATACAAGGTAGTTAACATTGCGCCTTATCGGATCCATCAGCGATGCTCCACAAGCTTCCGCGTGGGACGGATCCTCCTGGCAGCAGATGCTGCCCACCTGTGCAATCCATTGTAAGTATAAATGCTCCAGGCATAATTTCGATAATCTGACGTCTTTCTTAGCGGCGGCCTCGGCCTGACCGGTGGGATTGCTGATGTTGGTGGCCTCGCCGACTGCTTGATCGGTATCCATCAGGGGTGTGCATCGGAGAAGATCTTAGACCATTACGACCGTATCCGACGTGACATCTACGACAAGACTATCAATCCTCTTTCGTCGGAGAACTTTAGACGCGTTTGCAAGCAAGACGGCGAGCTGGCGCTTCAAAATGACGAGTTTCTCAAGATTTGCCTCAAAGCCGAGAAGGATACCGAATTTTCGAGGACACTGCAACTTGTAAGTCATCGTTCAATACATCTCACAGACGTTGGCTGAATCGGTTACGGCAGTCTATCAAGGATCTTTTGTGCCATGATTTCACTCAATACTACGACAAGGTCACCAAGAATGGTTCTGCATAGTTGGATAGTAACAACCTCTACGAATTCAAAGTCTGGTTGTCTTTCTTTTACCACGTTAGGCGCTGGGACACGTATAGTGTCACAACATAGACCGCACAGAGGTCATCGCCGAATCCGACCTCAACGCCGGATCCGGAGGTTCCACCTGTCAGATCAGGATTTTGAACCCTGGCTAAGGAACCATAATGCCCCTAGATTGATGGACAGAGGAATCCTTATTTTCATCCAGGATTGAGAAAAATCAAGAGCACATTTCCCCTGTCACCATGACATATAACTGCTAGCAACATGTCGCCTCGAGACTTCCAAATTACTTGGTTGCAACGTATTATTAAAGCATCATTGTGATGGGGTGCATGTTGATAGCTTGACATATTTAGCATGTCTATATCACCAAACGCTTGATTTGGCGAGGCAGCAGATTCTAGGCACCTTAGTGAAGAACATCGAAATTAGGCGATCCTCAAATGGATGCGGTCCAACATCTCTACAGTATCCAGGCCCATCGGTGCTCTTGTTACCGTCTACACAACCTACTCTTGCCACCAAACACTTCATTACCCAGGCAGCTACCGCAACGAAGTCAGCCGTCAAGAGGATTACTGGCTTACCGAACCAAGGGGTTCTTGGCCCTTAGCAAGAACAGCGGCCTGCTGTTCGCCAAACCAGCCTGATTCAAGCCCTGATTCCCTCCTTGATGTCAAACTGTTCCCCGCCTGCCACATAGACGGCTTCTCTATGTGAGTCATATAACATTTACTCCGCAGAATACAGGACTCCGCATCTTCATTATCATGTTCACTTACTCTTAGTAGGCCTAGAACGTGCTGGAGTACAACCCCCCATCACCGCATCATGACGCACGCAGACTGCTTACTCCACAAATAATCTACCCCACATACCTACGACACAGTACCCTCCTCTCTCGCGATGATTAGACCGTCGCTTTGAACGGGGGAGATATAGGTAAGGAGTTTTGACTTTCACAGCTTTGTAATACTACGGCCAGGCGTAGCTATGGACATGATTGTGCGTCACGAAGAGAGTTTCACAGATATGAGAGTGGTGATTTAGTATTGTACTCAGTCATCCTTGCAAGCAGCAAAAACGGCCATAATAACGATGGAGCTGTCAAGTGAAAAAGAAGTAATCGATCCGATTTAAATCCTGTTTTCCACTCCACGGTATAGCATCTCGGGATAGTCGATAAGCCTCGCCCTGATGAATTCTGCGAGTCCCTTCGGTCTGTTAGCATCCTTGCACAAGCTTGGAGGTTGGAGGTATGATACATGCGTACCTTTCCGAGACTGTCCGGCCGTGAAGTTCCCGTCACCGCTCCCTTGAGAATGTCAAAGAGAACAAAGTGAACACAGTGGAGCTTAGGGAACTCTACTCGCTCAACTCGAGATACCACTCGAGCATCGTCTCCTAGGAGCTGGAGCAGCTTGTCTGTTGTTAGTGTCGATCGCAGCCAATCCCACTCTGCATCGGAGTTTCCCTGTGGGAAAAAGCCGACGTTTATGTTTGCCCCTTTATCTCCGGATCTTGCAAAGACTTGGTACCCCAACGGAATCTTTATGGTTGACCCAAATGTCTCAGCATTCACCGGTGATGCTGTCTCGTAATTCTCCTGCCGCGAAGCTTCCGGGCTTGTTGTTGGACCGTTGAGGTGAGGGACTGAGAGCACTCGTTCAGAGTCGATCCGGTGAACCTGGACATTGATCCTCGAACGATCAAGTAATGCAGGAAAGTACTCAAGATAAGGTCGAGGCCGGCTCGTGCGTGTGTACTCCAGGTTTGGCGTAAACCCCGGAAAGGCCTGTCCTAGACTCTGAACAACGCGGTATTCGAAGTTCATGCGGTTTAATGATTCTTCCTCGGGAGCTTGAGCAAAGATTCGAATGACTGCGGTGGCGGCATTGGACGATGTAGGGTCAGGGGAGCATCTACCGAGGAGTTGCACTTCGAGGGTAAGAAGTTTGCTCTCATCGCCCCCGTTTTCGCCAAGTAGGTCTTTTCTAACCATAGCCTCGAATGATGCAGCTTTCTCCTCAACATCCAGGCCGATCGCATACACAAGGATCTCGGCTTGATATCCACCGAAGGCTTGTATCGCAGTCTTCAACGTCGGCGGAGGAGGCAGACCGCGGAACCCGCTGACCTGAACGCGATCAGGTCCTTCTTGATTAACAGTCAAGAGAGATAGGTCCGCTATCACATCTGGGTTGTGGTAGTACCTACCCTGAATCTCATACATGAGCTGGCTTCGAACAGTATCGACATTGACTAAGCCGTTTTGGCCGGGCTGCTTGGTAATGACAGATTTCCCGTCGTCGTGTATCTCGGCGATTGGGTACGCCAGGTCTATATACGGATGTATATGCTTGAAGCCGCAGAAGTTTCCCCCTGTCTTTCGAAGTGAGGTTGAATCAGCATCAAATCGACATATAAGATGAGAGATTTAAACACACCGCATAGTTTCCACACTCTATAATGTGACCTGTTACAAGGCCCATTGCGTGGTTATCGTAATCTTGCTCGCCCCATCCAAACCACCATGTGGCCAACGCTTGCGTGCTGCTCGCATCGGTTGTGCGACCGGCGATAACAACGTCAGCACCAGCTCTCAAGGCGGCCACGTATCCAGATTGACCAATGTATGCGTTAGCAATGGTGGGTTCGTAAGGCCAGCTGTCTAGCGTCTTTGTAGTTGTCAAATGGGAGATGGCCTGCCTCTCTGCCGGGTTTCGTATGATATCGAGGACATTGTCTCCGGTGATGTACGCAACCTTGAGGGCCTTTCCAAGGTCTCCGAATTCTGAAGCCAGAAAGTGGTGCGTATCAAGTGCAAGCTGCCGAGGATTGAGACCACCAGCATTGACGACCAGCTTGGGAAACGTACGCGCCTCGATTCTCTTGCCAAGTTCTTCGGATGCGGCTTGAAGAATCTTGAGAAACGTCGGATCGGAGCCCTTTAAAGAGTCCTGATCCATCTCCATTCGGCGCCAGGATAGGTTCATCTCTGCCAGATAATCCCCCACTACTGCGTCAACTTGGATAGGCCCTGACAAGACCTTTACTAGGGCATCGAGACGATCTCCCGAGTAGCCAGAAATGGAGGCTATTTTGATCGCTGGTTTCGCCATTTTGTCGCGGTTCGGGGGTTTAGCGAGAGGTACAGTTGTGAAACGGCTGTTTTTGTTGTTCTTGTTCTTGTCTTTCTTGATGGTCGAATAATGATTCCACACTTAGTCAACTGCGACTGATTTATATACAGAAACTAAATAACGTCCTCAATATCCACTAGACCTACTGCCCCAAGGTGTTAAATTACCCCACGAAGAAGCATTGGAAGTACTACCCCGCTTCTTCCACGAGCCCATTCTCAGATGAACGCCTCTTTGGAGGGCGTATGTCTATCCACTTAGCACCACAGTATTCAGCCCCACGAATGCCACTGGGTCCCGTCGACATCGCGGACGAAGCATCGTCTAAATAGGCATATGAAAGCCAACTGCGTTGCTAGAAAATGCTTCGGCAAGAAAAACAAGTATCTCGACAAGCAAATTAGATCAGGAATTATGCCCAAACGCTTCCTATAAGTGCATCAATTTAGTGTATAAGATTACCAAAAATCGAGTATAGTCTTCAATTAAATAGTAGCGAGCTTTGAGAACTACGGTCCTATACCATTTACGTCTGCATCAAGCACAAATCATACATCAGCTGTCAAGATCGGCCATTTAACTAAAACTCCCCCCCATTTCGATTCAACAGTCTCCTTCGAACTGTGCAACACCCCATATCTCGTCAAAATTGACAAACCTATGTTTCTTGCTTGGCTGTCGATCACAGATGGTATCAATCAAGGCGAAGTCTTCTGAAGATAATTCCGGAACTGCCCCACGACATCCGGCATGTCAGAAATGTTATGTGCAAACTGTGCAGGACCGCTACATACCTGTGAAATTGGAAACAATTCTGCTCGGCGTAGCTGACTTTGGTATAACGACGGTTCCTCGTTGAACTGCAGTGAAGCGGTCAACATGCGCCAAAAGCAACAAAAGGCTCACAGTAGCTTACTAGCCCATGCAATAAGAACCTGAGCAGGCTCTACTCCATTCATTTTGGCCACGGCCACGACTTCTTCGTCGTCGAGCAGCCGCGCGGTTACTTCGTGCAGAGCTCCAGGTTGACTGCCAAGGGGCGAGTAGGCTAAGAAAGCGATGCCATTCTTTTTGCAGAACTGCAAAAGCTCATTCTGAGGAAACCACGGATGCGCTTCAACTTGGTTGCAGGCGGGTTTAATGGTTGCAAACTTGAGGAGCGCTTGCAGCTGTGGGATCGTAAAATTGGATACACCAATTGCCCGTGCTTTGCCTGATTGCACCAAAGCTTCCATTGCTCTCCAGGTTGGCTCATGGTTTCGTGTAAGTTCTTCATCAACGACCGGCTAATCTCCACGTTAACACTGATAAACCGTTGGTCATTCATTCAGGACATGTACCTTGCCGTTTGCCCTCAACTGAACCTCGAACTCATCCGTTCGCTCAAAGGCCAATGGCCAGTGCATCAAGTAAAGATCAACTGGGTCGAGTCAGTAGCGGTCACGACATAAAAAATTGGGAGTATGACCATATGAGAGACCCATTCGGCCCAAGCTGTCATTTAGACTCTTCACGACGTCCTCTGGTCGATGATATTGCTGCCAGCTGTGTGTCATAATGAGTCAGATAAGACGCCAAATCGTACCACGTTACCTACAATTTGGTACAAATAAACAATTCTTCCCGAGGAATACCACTGCTACGGATCCCTTCCCCAACCTCTTCTTCGCAGCCGTAAAGGCTTGCAGTATCGATATGTCGGTAGCCGGCCAGAATCCCCTCTCTTACCGCCGTGGCACAACGGCCGCTTCCCTCTTTCGAGCCAGGCTCAAAGGTGCCGAGCCCTAGAACTGGAATCTTGGTACCAGAAGCGGTGAAGACATGCTTTCTGCCAGTGTCCATTGTGGGGGCAGTCATCGTCAGGGATGCAGATGGACACGACGCCTTGATGAGTTCAAGCCAGGGTAGGGTAGAGGGTAGATGGTAAGGAAGAGAGAACTACGAGAATGAGCTGACTTGACCAGAACATCCCGATATCCTCCTAGTCGATTGCCGTATTAGTACCCCATGTCTGCCTGGACGGCAAAGTGGGAGTGTGTTTAAGCATAAGGGTACCCCACGAACATAGAGCAGCTAAGGGGGGGATGACTTTACCCCACATGAAGAAATGAAGAAACGAGGGACTCTTTTGTGCTGTCTGGGACCCGCCCTTCTGGACCAAGACGCAAATGCAGCAGTCAAGCCTTTGAGACAAAATTGATGTTCGGTGAAGTCTTTTGATAGCAAAACGCAACCCCAACCCCCTCCTCCAACACAGCCTTCCCGATTTACTCGGCTTTCAGCTCTCATACCATCCGTTTTACCCTCACCCTCGACAATGCGCCTCGAAACGACGATTTTGAATCATCCTATCTTAGGAGACGTTCAAGGCAGCCTGGGAAATGGTGTCTTCCAATTCCTCGGCATCAAGTATGCTTCGCTGGAGAATCGATTTTCCGAGCCTCAAGATGTAGAGCATTCCGGACAAGCCCCCATTGTTGCAACCAGGCACGGGTGTGTATTCTCCGATTATTACCCTCCATATATGACTGTTAACACGATATGGTATTGTCAGCCCGCCTGTCATTATGGCACCAGGTTCCGTGGATATGGAAATGTCCTTCATCCAGCAGTCCTTACCCAAGTTTGATGTCCCACCAATGTCCGACACCGACGGTTTAAATCTCAACATAACCGTACCACAGCATTACGTAGATAAGATGCCCGTTTTAGTCTTCATTCATGGTGGAGGCTTTAACTTTGGCTCGAGCTCTTATCCTCAGTACGATCAAACCCGAATCGTTCAACAGTCAATTGGCCTGCGCAAGCCCATCGTCGCAGTCAATTTTAAGTAAGCCACTTGCATCCGCCCGTGGCTGGAAAAGTCGGGATTAACACCCCCAACAGCTATCGACTAGGCATTCCAGGTTTCCTGACGTCCAAAGACTTGCTCGATGCGGGCTACAAATCCAACAGAGGCCTCCGGGATCAACGGGCTGCACTGAAATGGATAAAAAGACACATCTCAGGGTTTGGGGGAGACCCAAATCGCATCACCGTCATCGGTCAGAGTGCTGGAGCAGGTACGAAAACATCTCATTATACCTTGGGTGTGTGCTCGAGCGACTGATCCAAGATCACAGCATCCATCAACTTTCACATGCAGTCCCAAGAGCCGTTGTTTGACCAAGCAATACTCCTTGGCGGCTCTTTTCTGCTGGTAAAACCTCAAACACCAGAATCAGCCGAGTCAGTGTATCAGTCTACCATTCGGTCATTGAGCATCGAGGCCTCTTCGTGCAAGGATCGAGTCCAGTCCCTCTTAAACATCCCAGCAGAGAAGCTTGTCGACGCAGCGCTGAATGGAAAGACCCCACCTGGGCCTGTCATTGACGATGACTTGATCCCGGCAATAGCAACATTTGAAAATATTAAAGAATTTCCAATGCCAGGCAAAAATTGGTGTGAACGCTTGTTTTGCCTGGGCAATCAATTCGACGTATGGTCGCCCTCTCCCAGATGACAGAGAGAATTGCTGACAATGGGGATTTAAGGGCTCTCTCTTCGCTATCATTGACCTGGGCGCGCGCTTGAATGGCATCACAGAAGCTTTTAGGCTCTTTTTGATAGACGGCTTAGGCGACACGGCAGCGTGCAAAATTCTCGACCACTACGGTATTCTCCAGGGGGGAGCAGACGAGGAGTCCATAATCAACATCACCCAACTACTTACGGACGTTGGATATTACGCTCCTCTGGTGAAAGCGGGCGAGGCATATCCAGCACCGTTCATACTTGGGCATTTCAATGAAAGAAATCCATGGGCTGGCATTCATCAGGGTCGAGCCAACCATATACTTGACATTGCGTACCTCTGGGGCAATTATGAAGATAAGTATGGTCCCCAAAACAAAGTTATAGCGGAAGCGCTAGCAGAAGATGTCATATCGTTCATCTGGGGACAGGACGTGCTGCCAAGTTTCAATGACGGCAAGAGGGTAGTTGTATACGGGCCAGCTGGTGATGACGTGGCAAGGCAAGTTTTGGACTGGCGAGATAAGAAGACTGGAAGAAATGTCTCCATTTTTGAGCTGGCAGAGCTGGCAGGTGGGCTAGATAAGCTGCTCGATGTCCTCATTGCATTCTGCTGGGGTAAGGAGTCAAGCTGAAATTGATACTGTGCGTGAGGGCACCTCAGCAAGCAGTACATTCGAGGACTCCATTACCAACAAGTTGTGGCCACCGAGAGATGAAGGGGGAATAATAAAAAGTGCAAATCATCCTACTCTTCTTATCAGCTTTCCAAAATGCCGAATGTGCAGCTTGTAGATAGTATCATTCCATTAATAGTGCCCTTTTCGCGGATTCCGAGGAAAAATATCTCTCATAGTATTTGTTTTTTAAGAGCCCATTTAATACAACCTTGAAATAGTACAAAGTGTAGTCTGAGCACACTCCAGGAGGTTGGGTTCGGCAAGGCCTCCTAACGGTAATCACTCTACCATAGGAGTAAGGAACCATAAGAGATTGTGGAATTTATTCCGCCAGTATCTAGAGTTTCACGATCGAAGGAAGCGGCGAATAAATGACAAGCCGCAACCAGCCAGGAAGAGGCGAGATACTTTGTACTAATCTGGGCCTCCTTGCCCTCCGTGATATACAAGTGAACTGACGAGCGATCCCGGTCTTGTGAGCAGCGTAGCGGAAAAATTAAGTGTCTCGCTTCTTTCTACTATTAAATTATCGACTCGCAGCGTTGGGCCTCCCACCCCGTCAAACATGTACTGAGTAAAACCAGCCGTATCCAGGGCTCGACTTTGGACTTAGGAACTTGCTCATTGATTGGTATTTCTGATACTATTCTGCTCTACTCTATCCTCTGAGTTCGAAATTAGATGTTCATGACAGTAAACCGTCCCTGCGCTCTCACCCGCGAGTGTCACTTGGCCCTATTTCGAACGTTACACTTAGGAGGCGCCCGGTTTCTCAAGGTCTGCGACTTACAGGATCACCACCAAAGCCCGATATGTGCTTTTGCACCCATTGAAGAGCTAATTCTTGATCGCGTAAGGCAACAGTCTTGGAGCTTTTTTCGTCGCCTACTCCGAAGATGTTGAGCCTGTATTGAATGGAAACGGCGAGGATTGGCTTTCCGAGCCGCAAACTGTCGCCCACGATGGTCTTCATATCTGGGAGTATGTCAGTGAGAAACAGGGAGATGCTTGATCAAATTACCACAAACACCGGAAGCGGCACTTCCAAACGTCACGGCCTGTGAGCCTCCTGCTTGCTGATTAGTTTCTCGGGAACCCTACATATCGTCTCTGTATTCCTCACCATGGATCCAAACCATGACTGGAAGACGGCCCCCGTCAAAGAGGTACTTCTTAGGTATGGCGACGTCGAGGTTGAGACATCTCAATTCGTCTTCGGGCGCGGTGAAGTGTACGACGTCGAGAGGCACATGTGGGCATCGAGGGCTTCGGGGTCGCCAGAGTTCAGCATCTTGCTCCAGCTTCTTGGAGTACTCCAACCTACCCGTACTTGGTGCAATCAAGCAGAGTTGGCAAGTGTACGGCGGAATCTGGGTCGGCGAACCGGTGTGTTACTGTGCCATACGGAATGCCGCGGAACTGCACGATGGACTGGGCCTCGAGACCAATGAGTGTGGAGGACAGAGACTCGTGCCAGAAAGTGAAAGCCATCGGAATAGATGGTGAGTAGCTAGTTTGGTTTGAATTTCACTTGCAACCTAAGCAATGTAATTGTGCAATGTCAGTTGACAGGGTCAGAGTCGATGACAGATCTCGTGCTTCCATGTGATATGCACCCTCTTCTTTACCCTTCTGCTACCGAGTAAACCAGAGTCCCCAGATTAGGTTACCCCATACGAAACTGGAAATACAGCCCCTCATTAAACCTTGACGTCCCAACCCTCGTTCTTTGTCATGCTGTAGCCACTGACATTCGAACGACATGGCAAGCTTTCCAGCGGCTCCCTACGCGATATCGAACTCCTCTTTCATACGTGTTCGACGGCATTGCCAGTCTCCACGGCTTGTCAGAATGACCACCATGAATAATAACTTGGGGCATCTTCCTTATCGAGGATGCGGGTTGTGGACTACTGTACCCCACATTCACGGACGCTCTAGCTACCCCAACCCAAGGAATCAGGATGGGTATGACTGGTCTCTTGATATCATTCTGTACGAGATCGAGGATGCGCTGGATTAGTTGGAATTAAGCGAGGCACTTCATGGGCGAGTCAACGAGTGGCATGCTGGTCGAGATATTCGCTACCACCTACCCGGATCTTGTAATCTCCGTCATCATCTGCTCATCCCCAACAATTTTGCCCAAGACTCCACGAAAACGTGTCACTTTTAGCTTGCCCCCCTGATACTCAGCTCTTTTCGTCTCTCTCACACCTGTACAGCATATGGTGTAGAGCACACGGTCCATGCCCTCAACGGTTGTCGTGGTTAACTCGCTCATATGCCGTAGCCAGATGATCGAGTATAGCCCCCATGCGAGGAGTGATCCCCCAAACCCACACCTACACCATGACGGTCAAGATCAGTCCTTACGAGAGGTTACACCAGGAGGTCAAATACTTACGTCTTGGAGGAACCAACCCCACGTTCTGGCTACCCCCGCAGCCAGGGACTTGCTTTCGTCGAGGTCATAATCAGCCTCTTCTAGTATATCTCTAATGTTGGCAAAGAATCCTTCCTCTGCCTCGTTGGCCGGAATGCCGTTAAGCTTGTCGATCTCTACGGAATGAATCCATTTTGTAACGAACAGCGCTTTGTACCTCGTCTGTCAGCAGCTGGGTTCTCAAGGTTGAACGGACGAGATCTTGTAGCCCGTCAGACCCACTTACCACTGTCCCATCCCGAGATGGCCTGTTCAACGCTCCATCGGAACGCTGCTGTTTTTCGTATCAGCATATGCCCCATCTTCACGGGGATGCGAAGCCCTTCAAAAGCCTTTGTCACCGCACTGAGTAGCTGTGGGCTTCTATCTAGCTTCGCGGCTACATAGGTCGATGCCGAGGTCTCGATTAACCCCGGATCCATGGTGATCAAGCACATCCGGTTGAACTTGGACGTGACGTTGAACAGCCTGATATGCGCGATCCTCAGGACGGCCTGGCAGTTGAAAACCAGGGCACTTTCTGAGTCGCTATCGGAATCGTGTTGTGGTTCATGCTGGCCCCGGGTTCCCCGAAGTAAGCACTGGCATCTTGCCAGAGCCTGCAAAGAGCTCTTCATCAACCAGGACCCAAGGGCGCAGTCTGTCGACATCGGGTTGGACGAGAGCGGCGGAAACGTTTCCATGACCTGCAGTCTCTGCCACATGTGCACCACCACTGCATGCATCAGCATGAGAGCATTAAAGGGGGTTAGGGAATAATCCAGAGGCTCTTGATTGCCCTCTGATATCACATCATCCAGGACATCCTTCACATTTCGGTGATGATGGCCAGGTTGTTTTGACCAAAGCTCACGCCACTCCATGGGTGTTCGGGCATTCCACAAGGATTCGGCGTGAAAGGTTTCAAGCTCCAGATCCTGGGCCACAGTGAAACCAGGGTTCACATCATAAATGACCATGGTCAGGGTGCTCGTGATGTAGAGACCTCCGAGCATTCTTTTCCACGATTCACGTTCGACCCACTCAGGCCAACTAATATTAGACAGTTCGTTTGTATGCTCAGCAAGCAGGCCTCGGATTCTTTTGTAGATCTATTCCTAGATTATCAGTTTCTGCTTCGGATGTACCACTCATACATGGCTGGCTATAACGAAGCTACTAACCACGGAGAAGAAGCCGTTGCCTTCCATAGCATATGATGCTAGGTCACTATCGCCGCCCAAAAGAGAATAGATGCTCAGGAGCATTTTCGATTGTACAAGCCACAGAGGGCAGTCTTTTGTAGGCGGGCTGGAACATCGTGATGGAACGATCACCTGCAAATATACCAGTTAACTTGGTCTAGTTCCTAGCTTAACATGATTGCAACTTACACTCTCTACAGCTTCCGCCGCCAAATCGTACAACTGCCGTGCCCGCCTGCGGTCCAGACGGTAGAGAGCTCCAATGCAACACAAAGCTAGTGTTAACGGGCTCGGAGTTTTATTTAGGTCGAACGTTGGCAGGTGAATGATGGGCAGGTGGCCGTGGAAGCATTCCATGTAAGTCAATAAAAAGTTCTGGCAGAGCTTGGCTGACGGTAGCTGATTGAAGACGTTCTCTCTTTGCAGACGACTAACTAGATCTTGTCGTAGCGCATCGTGCGTGGCTCGGTCGATGGCAAAGGCCAAAACTGACGGGACTGTATCTTGGAGTAGCGATGGTAGTCCTCGCTGCGGCGGAGGGTCGATTGTCTCACCAGCTCGACTCTCGACGCCCCAGAAAGATGTTTCGAGGAGGCTGTGGTGTACTTGGCTGCCAAGCCCCAGATGTGACCATGTGTCTACATTAGACTGCCTGCTCAACTGGACACTCTCCGGGAGGGTCTGACCGATATGGTCTTGGAACGACGGAATATCGAGAGAGGGGAATAACAAATCCGTCATGTCGCTCGGTGATACTTGGATGTCTTGTAACATTTCGATAGTGTCCATGGTGCTTGGATCGAGCTCTGTAACTATTCCCAAATGTTGCTCGGCTTCTTTCACATGGCCGGGGCCTTTTTCCCTCCGTTGCAGCTCTTGGCCGGTAAGAACAGTTGCTGCACCAGTGTCGCCGCCGTCCCCTTCTTCAAGCATGTCCATGTCCACTTGGAGGTTAGTAGCAAGGAGCTCCGGTGGCGTTTGAAGCCGGGCCGTGTCAATCAAAGGAGCCGACGGGTGTTGGTTCGGCGTTGGCATGTGTATGTCTGGAGTTGGCACTGGCGCTGATCCTGGAAATACGCAGCAGCAAGCTGTCCCATGATTCGCTGGAGGTGTTTTATTAGAATCCTGCGGCGTGGGAGGTGCTCGTACAGCCATGGTTGGTTCTAGATCGTCCTCGGAGGACCCGGGACTTTCTTCGCTTGCTGTTTCCTCGGACAATGCGTCGCGCGCGCCGAGATGGCAGACTTGCTGATGACGGCCTGGCGCGCTGGATGTGCGATCGGCATGCAAAGTGCGCTCGTGCCTTGTCACCAGATCCCTTCCATTCGGTTAGGAATATTAGCGACAGAAGGACGTTGCGGGGACGGGGATGTGTTCGCACTTCCTCGAGTATGCCTTGAGGCAGTACTGGCATGAGAATGGTTTCTCGTGAGTATGGATGCGCTCATGGCGAATGCAATGTTCACTGCGCTTGAAGGTCTTGGGACAATGCTGACATTCGTATTTACGGCGCGGTCGGCGACTGCGGGAGACGGAGACGGTGATGGTCTTGTCGGTGTTCAAGGACATCCAGGCGGGTTAGACGAGCGAGCTCGGTGCTGACAATTGGATGTTTTAGGAGCAGGACCAGAGGATATGCAGCACGATCTTGATGAAGGCGATGACGAACTTTACGACGGCTGTTTCAACAGTCAACAGGACGATGTGGGATAATGCCGGACGGCATCTGGAGGTCAGGGAGGGGGTCCGGAAGGGCGGGGAGGCTCAGTGGAAGCGAATGAATCAGTCCTCAATAAGCAATCAAACTACTACAGTAAAGGTAAGGTGGGAATGGCTTCCTGCGGGGAAGCTGGAGTAGATCCCTGTCTTCTCCGCTCTTCAGCGTTAGGCACAGGTCTGGATTTGCCATGGGCCCCCTGGCCAGACAGACTAGCTTCTTCGCGTTCTGCAGTTTCTCCGCTCATGATCAAGACTCCACAACAACTCCGCCGGTGTTAACCTTTGCGCTACCCAGATAGAAGCCATCCTTCTGGGCTTGGGCCCATTCAGCGCGAAGCACCTCCATCCTGGCTTCGCTCCGGGGTAAAAACCGGGCCTTGAAGGGCTTCGGCACCGTATTGACCCCGTCCTCGTAGGCTGCGTCGGACAGATCCATGGCCAAGGGCTTCCCGTCCGCTCCGAGAGGGGGCTCGATCTTGAAGGCCCACAGAAGCTTAGCCAACGTGATGAAGAGGCTGTTCTCAGCCAGGTGCATGCCTGGGCAGATCCGTCTCCCCGCCCCGAAGTCGTAGTGGTCACGCTGGGCAGCATCTCCTCCAGCGGCGTATACACCAGCCTTGTGGGGATAACTCAAATACCGGGAAGGGTCAAACACATCGGGGTTGTCCCATTGTTCTTGATTGAAGTGGAGGATGTACTGGCTCATGCAAACGACCGTATTCTTGGGGATAAAGTAATCCTTGTAAAACACATCGGACGTCGTATAATGAGGAGTTCCAATAGTGGTGACTGGCCGAATCCGCAGGATCTCTTTACCCATCGCCCTTATATAGGGTAGGGCCTCTTCATCATCAAACGTCGGTGATCTCCCATCACCAACAACCCTTGAGATTTCCTCGTTTGCTCGTTCCTGGACTTCCGGATGTGCGGCAATATATAGGATGGAGCTGTTGAGAGCAGAGGATGTTGTTTCTGACCCAGCTTCAATCATAGCTTTTTGTGGCGAAGGGCGTTAGTTTTTGACCCATTTACGAGGCATGGAATGAACTTACATCCCGCAACCCAGCAGGCTTCTACCTCAGTGACGCCTTGCTTCTCAATGCCCGTTTCCATAATTTGCTTGACAAGGCACTCGGGCGCATTTCCATATTCGAGTTTCTCCTTCAATGTGTTCCAATACTTCATGAAGATCGCTGTGTGCCTGTTGTACGCTCGCGTCGCCGTAGGTCGCCACCATTGAAGCCATTGGGGAAGGCGCCCGAGCGGAGGGAAAAGGTCTGCAATGTAGGCCCCGGGCTCAGCAGTGATGGAAAACTCAGTCAGTACAGTGTAGATTTCTCTGATAGTTTCGCAGTCCTGGGCCTCCGTTAGCTACCGTAATATTTTTGCCACGCTGTTTTAGTCGGTGAGACCTACCCAGACGGGAACACGAAGCCCATAAGTACTAAGCAGAACCACGGAGGTAGTATATCGACGAACATGCATGTAAAAGTTCTCCCCTTTTTTCTCGTCTGTCGCAATGTCGTGAATGAGCTGAATAGCCTCGAACTGCTGGGATGGCTTGTAAACGCTAGACGCCTTCGGCGTCAGCGACCTGTGGATAATCGATCTCATTTTACGCCACCTCGAGCCGTATGTAAGAAGGAGAAGTCTATTCTCGCCTGAAAAGACATCTGATGTCACCGGCTGGGGCGGCCTTCCAGAGGTATTTGCAGACTGCCTGTCAAATATTTCCCGGACGGCTTCAGGGCTGTACACAAACACCCAGTTCTCCCATCCAAGTCGAACTTTGACCAGCCCGCCATACTGTTCAGCCCATTTCTGGAGTTGGCGTTGGGGGTATCGACCCAATTGCATAGCATTGCCAACGATGGGCCATCCTTTTGGGCCGGGGGGGAGCCTGAAACCCTTCGGTGCATGTACTCTAGATCCTCTGATGATGGCAATCATCAGAGCGACCACGAAGAGAAAGCTGGCAAGTTGTGTCGCGATCATTATCTATCGGGAATCAGGGTAGGAGCTCAACGGGGGTGAGGAAGTTGAGGTGAGGAATTCGAGAGAATTTACCAACGAATATAGCACCGGTTGGTAGGGGGATACGATGGAATGCCCAAGTTTTAATGCAGAGAGCCTACTTACGCAACATCAATTACTTTCTGTGACCGACGCTCGCAATGCGGGGACATGGAGGAACTACAAGTCACAAACAATACCCCATACTGTCCTATGGAGGAGTATGGCACCAAGGGTGGACTCTCGGTTCATCGTGGGGTAGGATAAGTGACCCCACAATGGGAACTATCCCCCGCGTTCCCCATGACTACTCCCTTGCTTCAAATGTCAGGATGACCAGGCTATGAAGGTGACCGCCCGTCTGAATACTCTAGATTTCAAACGAGTACCGAACTTGTCTCTCGAACAAAATGGAATCGCAGAAGCCGCTCAATGTTCTTGTCATCGGTGCAACCGGCCATGGAGGGTCTTATCTATGCGTCGAGCTGGTGAGCAGAGGTCATCATGTCACGGGAATGACACGTACACCTTCACGTCTTGGGAGACATACTCTGTACACACCAAAAGAGTTTGACATTGAAAATGAGCCCTTCTTGCACTTGATTGAAGCACTCAAAGGGTACGATCTTGTCGTCAAGTAGGTTCACATGGCACGCCCTGGGCATTCGTTTTAAGTTGACCTTGCGATCTCAGCATGTTTAGCCCTCACTCTTCGGGCCAAGCTGCCTTAATTTACAGCAAGTCGATATTCTAGAATATCTAAGGGCGAATCAGTACTGATAAGATAGTAGTGCCATACATTGAAATGTGTCGAAAGATTGTCCGAGCCGCCAAGATCGCTAAGCCGGCTTATTTCATCAATGTCGGTGGCGCTGGAAGTCTTGAGATACCAAGTATTGAGCCTCATCTATGTGCCGCGGATTGCGGTCATTTCTGGAGAGCCGTGAGTTACGAGCCTCATGGTTGGTGAAGCATATTGATGTTGACAACACTAGTTCCGGCAAGCGTTTGCAGATTCTGAGTCTCAGACACAATACATGGAAGAGCGTCTGGGGTCACTTGGTGAGAATCTACGAAAGCTTCGATCTGCCCGTATCAGAGTCAGGAGCGGCGTTGCTACGAGCAATGATGTCGATTTTATCAAAGAGTCCCTCGAGCAGTCATTCCACGCGGACCCCAGTCAAGCTTTCGTCAAAGCTGCCCGCGTCACATGGATGTTCTTTGACGGTGACACTTCATGGAACTGGTCTTATGTCTCCCCACCGGCTCTCTACCGTCCTTGCCGAGGCGGAGAGAAATATCAAGTCGTCGAAGATATCTTACCACTACGCGATTCTCCCGACCCACAGTTCTACTCGGGGTGGTATAAAGATGATCCTAATGATATCGAGGGGAGACTGCGTGGAATTTCAACAGTAGATTTCGTTCGGAGCATTGCTGATGATGCCGAGTCAAGATTTGGGCTGCATAAACATTGGTGTCCGTTCACAGACTTGAAAGATGACACGCCGCTGCCAAGTTACGTGACATTTGAAAAAGGGTTCAAAACACGAGAGGAAATACGAAGAGATGGCAATGAGTGAGGTTGAGACTCTGTAACAAAATTCATCTCTTTAGCTAGTTGACTGCAGTCACTACTGGACTTGATAGCCCCGGAATATAACAATAGAATTCCTTCATTTCACGGCCAGTACTTTCCAAGCCACTCTCTTCCATCAGCCGCCCACTTAACCTCCAGAGACTCTTGCATGCTATCAAAACAGTGATCTTCGCCGTCTATCTTGGTAAATACTAGATCCCATTTCTCCAGCAATTTCAATGATTTTGCCTTGTCAAAGAATGTTTGAGATCCTTGGAAAGGGACAACAGTATCCTTTGTCCCGTGGAAAATCCATACTGGACACGTCTTCCGCTTCTCTTCCGCGACAGAATCAAGAACCTCGACCGGATACAATGAAGTATCGGTTCCCAAAAATTCAAGAAATCTTCCGGATTCCCATACCTGTGTAAACAGGTCATATGTTGCATTATCTGGAATCTCCCTCCTAGTGATTATAGTGCCAGGATGCATTGAAATCAAGTGACCTAGTAGGAATTGGTCACCTCCAGATGGACTTTCCTTATTCCAAATGTATTTTGGCCCAGCCTTTTGGTAATATGCATCTTTCAAGTCTAGCATGGGGTAGTGCGCGATGACGGCTTTCGGATGGGGCAGTGCGCGATTCCAATGCAGCGCTGATTGAATGGCACAATATCCACCCGCGCTTTCGCCAGTTATCAGGATGCGTGCCAGGTCTGCCTCAATCATAGTCGACGTGTCTGTCTGCAAATGCGTCTGCATGGAGCGATGCAACCAAAGATAGGAATCTTGAAGATCTGACAGGGTATCTAAACCAGTGGATTCCGGAAGAAGACGATAATCGAAGCTGACAATGATCGCGGAATGGAGTGCCGCCAGATTTATAACCCTACGTGGAGTCAGCTCTTAGATTCCAACCGTAGGGGGTTGCATATGCAGCTTGACTGGTAAATATCTTACCACGTCGGGAAATATGGCTCGTCATATCTCTCCCCAGTGACCAGCCCACCGCCGTGCCATCTGACAACCAGAGGCAATGGCGTCATTGGGGGGTCCTTGGGTACCCATATCGTACATCGCATATCTTGGTTGTTGACGGTTTTGTAAATTGGATCCGAACGGGTGAACTGCTTGAGTTTCCCGATAGCCGTTGCCATGGTGAATTGCGCAAAGTTAGATGTACTCGACGACGTGATAGTCGCATGTATGAGTATGGGAGCAAGTATGGGCGCAGAGATATGACAATGGTTTCATCAACCTCAATTAAGGCGGATTTATCCGGCCCCTGTTGTTGATAACGGGAAATTTATAGCTAGAAATTCACAAGTGCTACTGGCATGTTCCATGGTGCTGGCAAGAAGTGGTGACAAAATCTGAGCGCTGAAGTTTATCAGCGGAATTTATTTTCCGGAACCAGATAAATAAGAGGGTGGAGGAGTATGATGCCGTATTGGTATACCGGTATAATAGCATTCCGACTAGATAATAGAATGAGTAATCAAGCCCGATATTATTAATGTTATAAGAATAAGAGGGTGGAGGAGTATGATACTCTACTGGTATACCGGTATAATAATACTCTGAGTAGATAATAGGATAAATAATTAAGCCCGAAATTAATTATTATAAAAGTAAGAGGGTAGAGGAATATAATACTGTGACAGGCGGTTAGGGACACTTGGGCTAGCTGGTCGCTAGCGGGGATGTCTCTAGGGTGACCTGGATGGGGTTAAAAGGGGAGGTCAGTGCCGTCACTGGGGAAAATCATCGTCTTTTCATTCATTAGAGATTCTTCCTAGAAGTCAGAGAGGCCGGAAGGGCTCGAGGCTGCTAGGGAGTTGATTAATTGATTGCCTTCATTTTTGAGAGATTTATTTGAACCTTCTTGCCATCACTACGTTCCCTGTCCAACCTCCGTCTTCAACCTCCCTCAGATATCGGGCTGCCGCAGGCTCCATTGATGCCTTGCCAGCGAACTTTCCTGCGACCGACCCGATATTCTATCTCATGAGATGCTTCCCTATCAGGAGACATAAGCCTCAGATTGATCCGACCCCATACGCGTAATCTGGTGCAGCTTCGGGCTGACCGGCTAAGACGCCTGTGCGACGACTCTCTGTGTATTTCCCCTAGGGCAAGTTAATGAGTTGGGTGTTATTTCCGTCCCTTCCTGCTGCTAAACCAGATAGGGTTAAAAGAAGAGGTTAATACTATTACTAGGGGAAAATCATTATCTTTTCTTTTATCAGGGATTCTTCCTAGAAGTTAGAGAGGCCAGAAGGGCTTAAGGCTACTAGGGAGTCTATTAATTAATTACCTTTATTTTTAAAAGATTTATTTAAACCTTCTTGCTATTACTACATTCCCTATCCAACCTCCGTCTTCAACCCCCCTCAGATATCGGGCTGCCGCAGGCTCCATTGATGCCTTGCCAGCGAACTTTCCTGCGACCGACCCGATATTCTATCTCATGAGATGCTTCCCTACCAGGAGACATAAGCCTCAGATTGATCCGACCCCATACGCGTAATCTGGTGCAGCTTCGGGCTGACCGGCCAAGACGCCTGTGCGACGACTCCCTGTGTATTTCCCCTAGGGCAAGTTAATGAGTTGGGTGTTGTTTCCGTCCCTTCCTGCTGCTAAAATAGCTTTTTAATATCTTATTATACTATACATCCTAACTACTTTTCTTTCCTTAACTTCCGGATTTAAGTTAGCAAACTTAACAGCCTCTTCTAGGCAAAGAGACCTCTCTAACTTTATTGCGACGATTTTTAAACATAAAAAGAAGGTTTTTAATTGAAAAGTACGGAAATTGGACCACTTTACTGTCGGGCACCTCCTAAGGAGGTGAGCCCAACGGGTGACCCTACCAGGTGGGGCAGGGCACGAGGAGCCCTTCGTTTTAACCGCACTCGGCGGTCGGCTAAAGTGTCATTTCATCCACTCATACGCTAGACACCTTTTGTGGGGAACTCGCTCTCCCTGAGGACGCGGACAAGGAGGAAAAGCGTCGTCAACATTGTCAGATATTCCGGAGAAACGAAATCTTCTCCATAGGGCTAGGCTCGCCAGCACACGTTGACCGCAAGAGCTCTACAGTAACGTACCCAAAACGCTCAAACCCAGGAGGAGAGAAGGAGCGCAAGGCTCGATAGGGAGAAACAGCTGGAATAAACCGTTGTCTGGATTGAACGGCGAGCATTTTAGGTTAGGGCTAAGTTAGGGTGAGAACTATGTCTAATCCCTCTTTAACTCTAATTTTAGTCGTAAGCACTTTTGCCAATACAGCGAAATATCCGTCTTGACCCACAGACCTACTGCACATGGGTCAGTCTAACCGCCTTGGCCAGTTGCTTCAGGGATGATTATGCTTAGCAGGTACCATTTTCCCGTTGTCGTTGTAGTTACCAACGCGACAGCTTGATAAGGCTACAGCAAACAAGGTCTACCAAGCCGCAGTGTGAACCGCAAAGGGAAACAAGTGCGTTCAGGGAAGTGAGGAGTGCATTGCAGTTTGTGAAGCTAGACTGGAGCGGGACTGTCTAATACCCCGTGCATCATCTCGCCCTGCGGCTGAACGTGGGACTCCACAATATACGTAGATCTTCGTCAGTAATATGCTTGTTGGTGACCTAGTTTGCGCGGCTGAATTATTTCAGTTACTGCACCCACGGGGCAATAATGGTTCCGCGCTTACATTGTGATGGTTGCGGGGATCGAGTATTTGTAATAAATCTCACCCGGAAGGACGGTAGAAGCTGGCGTAGGCGAGGAATAAAAAGGAGAGCAATCTCCCAGAGAACCTCCATTACCATCTCCATCACTGCTGATACACCATCCTCGCTTAAGCACCATCCCAAGCTATACTCTGCTTCCTTCACACTTTTCAAAATGAAGTTCTCTGCCGTTGTTGCCTCTCTCCTTCCCCTCTCCGGCGTCCTCGCTTCGCCAGTCGCGGACGCTGGCCCCGTTGGCATCGTACTAGACGAATATGTCACAGGAACTGAGCCCATGAGCGTTGATCAGAGCGAAGCTGATTTCGTGGGTCGTGACCTCTTTGCACGCTCCACTAGGAAGTGCAAGATCGTCAACGTCTCGAACCGCGCCTTCTGCCGCAGTGGACCTGGCACTAACTATCCGATCAAGTACTCAGTGTACAAGGGCCAGGAGTACAAGTTTGATTGTTACAAGAAGGGAACTTGTCACGAAGGCAACTGGTGAGTTACTATTAACCTGTCGACAACGGTGTGGCGTGTCTGATGGTCGTGGTCTTGTAGCACTTGGGACCGCCTCCCGCATTCTAAAGGGTATTGCTACGTGTCTGGCGCCTACACCGATAGCCGATGCACTAAAGGTTAGTACACTTTCTTACATGCAGCTGGTAACGTGTGCTCGTTGCTGACCTTGTACCATGATAGCCGCTCTTGGAAAGTGTTAGGTTGTCACTTCACCTAACCATCTACTGTAGTAAAAGCATATCGCAGGCTACTTCGTCTTAAGGAGGGCCAGAGAATGAACTTGCTATCTTTAGAGCTGTACTTTATTATAAATGCCATTCAAGGACGCGGAAAACTTTTGCTGCGCCCAGAGTGAATGTACTGGAAGGTCGTGCTTCGAGAGAAGAAGTGAAGGAGCTTTCGCGTTTGATCTCTAGCCTCAAAGATTACTTGACCTTCGTCGGTGAGACAATAAGTGTAAAATAGTCTGAAATCACTAAGGAGCATGTTTACTCAAACTGGGCCTTTTCGACAAACTTGTGTAAAATCTCAGGGGTTTAATTGCCATGTCTCTCGATATGAGATTGCCGAGTTGTTATTGGAGATAGGCACAAGGGCCCTTGTCATTACAACGAGAAGCAGCATGTTCGCCGCTAGGAACACCCTGGGCCTTTGAAGAGCAAAATTGGAGAAGCAGACGAAAACAGAAAGACTCCACCTTCCAAGCTTGGTAAAGATCAACTTGCAACAACCAGTAAGTTTAAGTTAAGTTAGCCCTGCGGCTTCCACATTCGAACAAGCGCTGGCCGTCCCGACAAGGATGACCAACTGTGGAGACATCCGGCATTTAGACTAGCACGTACTAATTTTAACCACACCTCCCAAACACAGACGAAAAGGGAGGGGGCCTCCACCTTCTCAGCCGACGCTCACAAATTCATTTTCCCCATTCCACGTCATCTTGCTTACGCCGCATTCCGCCCTGTTTGGCAAGAAAATGGCTTCAATGCATGGTCGTGAATTATTATTTCTTTGTTGCCAATCCGATCCACGTCGCTCCGACGACGGGCAGCTGAATGCCGAGGCACGTGCTCATGTTTCGCGGCAAGCTAGGCTCAAGGCAACACGGCGGCCAAGAGACCTCAAGTTCATATCTTACTCTCCCGAAACAATTCACAGCCGCAAAGGGTCTGGACCGACCAAAGAACCTATCGAGGCCCAGGACGGGACTGCCAGCAACGACCAGCCCTTGGTCATTGAACCCCACCGTGGTCATGCCGCTTTTCCGCCAAGCCAACGCATCCCACCAAGCCCAGCCGCGGCTGGCGCCATGGATCCATTCGACTCTCTCGCTGTTCCAGAACCGACACGGGATGAACAATTCCTGCTTCATTACAGTTCGTTATACCATAGCCGATAACTACGCGCTAAATAAAGCAGCTCTGACGAGAACTTTCAGCATTTAGCAGGACGCTACCGGCGTTTGGAGAGTCAGATCTTGACAAGCATTGTATAGCGCGGTCATGGATTTCGCAAACCATGGAATCCCCCGTGGTATTCTATACTCAGATATTAGGCTCATCTACCCATTACCTGATTTCCTCCCCAGCCGCCGACACGCAGAATCGTATCATCGCATTGGGACTACGAAGGAAGATCCAGGCCATCCAGGCACTGCGGACTAAAATAGAGCAGTACCAACCTGGTTCTTCCGAGGTCGACCACGGCCTATTTCTCGCCATCTTCATCCTCGCCATTCACGGGAGTTTCGACCGCTCGGATCGGCCGGAGCCACACCCGTTGTCGCCCTTAGCTACCCACCGCGATATGAATGTCTACGGCCGAATGGCTTTTGGTGAGGAACACATTAATGCACTCTACTATCTGATCGAGCAGAAAGGCGGATTATCATGTCTCGATCAGCACACCTTCGGATATGTTCTACCTCTGTACGTTTCTATATCTTGGAATTCTCAGACAGGCATGAATCTTCTATGCTGACTCACCATGTTAGCTTTGATATAGTTCACAGCTGTCGGACAGGGTCCCCGCCTAGGTTCTCATGTCCGCGTCAGCTGGAATCAATGCTCCACGGAGGTCTATGGAAGCCTGACCCAGAAGCGATCCAAATGCTCACAACCCTGGGCGAGTGTTTCCGTCCAGGCTCAGATGGATCATGGCCCGTCTATCTTGACCGCAAGATGGTCAAGCCCCTCCAAGTGATGGCCGACATCACCGTAGCCCTCGACCATTACTGCCGCGGCGGACAAGGAGCTCCGGCATCGCTTAACGTACTGCTCAACAACTGCGACTGGGTGGCCCATACCATTCTTTCAATAGCTCCGTACACACGACTAGCTGCGTCCGGAGATAGCCCAGACCAGGGCTCAAACGCCAGCATCACTACGTCCCTTTATGAGATTTGCCGACTATGTGCCCTTCTTTACGTGGACATGGTCATTCTTCCGACACCACCGCACACAGGAATCAAACTTCGTCACTCGAAGAGAATGTTACGTTTGATAGAGAATATACAGCAGGAACATCCCACCGAGGACCCTCTCGTCACCGATTTTTTGACTTGGGCCACAGTCTTGGGCGCCATCTCTGCGAAATTCACCAGGCTTCAGGTTCCGTATCTCAATCACATCGAAACGATTGCACGGAACACAGACTGGGATACGATCCATCCGCGGCTGAGAAGATGCTTGTGGTTTGGCCCGGTTTGCGACGGTCCAGCTTCCACACTTTGGTTTGAAGCTAGGCAATGGACAGATCGGGTTGCTCCCAAACCAAACCTAGGAAGCGACCGCCGGGCTGTTTCACGATATGATAAAACCATTTAAGCGGAAGAGCTCGGCGTCCCTCGCTGTTACCAGGTAAGACCGCGGGATATGAATGATGCAAATTGATAGGGTGCTCGACAGCCATTCTACATGGATAGACCGACCTCAAACGCAGCAACAACAACCTTGGCACCAAGGGTCTACTTATTCACCTGAATATTTCTGGATTCTGGTTGCCCTTATCGCTTAGTCTCGTATAGAGTGATTTCTTCTACCTCCTACTTAGTAACCAATCGCTCACATTATAATCTCGCCCTAACTATGAGTGACTCGCTTTATAATTAGCATCTTTCCAGGCACTCCAGGATATTTCAGGAGACTTAGGCTGTCTTATCTGTCATACGCATCATGCTTCTTCGCTTTTCGATTTTTTCATCATACGGATTTATTTCACTACGTCGTACAAACCGCTCTCCGACATTTGATAATGACGAACGAGCCAGTCCTCAACTCCCCCCTCGCCTACCGCGCGGTGTTCCTCTACTTCGAACCAGTTGGAGCCTTAGTCGGCGCCCTGTTGCTTCACTTTCGCCCTGCGAGCTTCTTTAACGCCATAGCCCCGGCCACCAAAACGCGCTGGATAACCAGATTATCTACGACCAACTTGCTGCAGCATATATCCTGTTTGCGTTCAGTGGAGCCATTATCTTGCGCATTACAAATAACTTGCGGGTGTGGAGAGGGATCCTGATCGGTATCTTGGTGTGCGATGCTATACATATATAGGGGAGTTGGGCAGCTTTGGGCGGAACTGTGTTCTGGAATCCTCGTACCTAGAGGCCCGAAGATTGGGTGAACCTGGTGAGTCTTTGGGGACAGGCGGCCCTCCGGCTTGCTTTCGTGACGGGAGTCGGCCTCAAACAGTCTGCGGCTACGAAGAATGAGTGATTGGATGTCTGGCTCGACGGGTAAGGATTTCTTTGTTATGGAGATGACCTTGCTCATGACAGACTTCTGTTCATCAGAGGTCAACATGCGTTTTCCGGGAACTCGGTCAACTGACTGGCGCAGGAGGATCGTCTTGGTCCGCGGTGGGCATTGGCGGAGCTGGCTCCTGTGCAAACTGGATGAGGCGATCAGGTTCGAACTAGGTCTTTATGCCTCCCATGGCTTGACTGACACCGAAGCCACAGTGACTAGTAAGGTAGACAGATATGCCTAAATAGCTGCTGGTTCCCTTCCTGTGGAAAGGGAGGTGTGCGATTCAAAGTTGGAATGGAATTGTACCCCTACCTACTGCTAACCCACAAGTTGAGCAGCAGTATCCTGTCTCCGAGCCTCTGGTGCCTTCACTCTGTGCTTGGAACCCCCTGAAAAGGGGACCGCAAAAGGAGGGGAGGCAACGGACTCTTACGAACTCGTCACAACAGAGATACTACTAAGGGCTACTAGACTGGCCCAAACAGGGTCAAGGCGTACATGGCTGCTATGGCTCACGATAGGGTACAGGCACCTGGCCGCCACAGGGACTGCGATGCAGTTGTACACAAGCGCCCACCCGAAATTGAACTTGATCCGTCGGAGGGTCCTGGGCGATAGGCAAGTCGGACTCGTGCTTCACGAGATGGTAGTATATCCGGGGGTAGCCCAGCGCCGCTCGTCGAATGCGTTCAAGTCCTCCGCTGCCGGCCTCTGTGCAGAGATAGTCTCTTCAGAATGCGTACGACGTGATGTACCGCGGGAGTGGCTTGATGAAGATGCGATCGTGGATCTACGCGCCAGATGGACAAGTCGGCTTGTTTGCAAGCTACTACTTTATATACTTTTTTGAATCTTGTTTATAGTATGATTCTAGTATTTCAAGTCATTTAAAATCAATTTGACCATGATCAAGCAGCAGTATTACATAGCTTACCCTAATAGCAATTTGTTGAACCTTGGTGTTATCTTTCATATACAGGTACCTGCGATCCTAGAATTGGCGTCCGGGCGCCAGTTTTACTCAGGTCCCAGGCGCCAGTATATCAGGCGCCAGTATATCAGTCGCCAGTTGCGGGGGTTGCTGACACATCCAGCCTTGGAACAGAGGCGGGTTGGGGAACTTCATCCTTGACTGACTTGACGTAAGACCGCTCAGGCAAGAAATAATGAGGAGAGCAGAAGAACGGATGGAAGTCATTAAACACAATTAATGTATTATGATGAATAATACTCGAGGACTTGACCAAAACGTGAAACCTAGAAAGGAAAAGCCAAGTGATTCTAACTGCAAGGTTGAACTGCAATCTAGAGGATGTCTAAGAAGTTAGGGGTATGCAGCCGTCATCACAACAACCTAAACTCCCCCAAAGGTAGCATACGCGATGCTAGTCGACGACCGAGCACCCGCCTCATAAAACATGTACGTCGTGCCAGCCTCTGTAACAAAGTAAGGGGCAGCAACACGCCCACTGGCCTCAGAGAGCACGACAGCCTCGGTTCCCACATCCCGCAAGGTCTCATCAATGGTTCGGGCGTAGATCTTGCCAGCGCCGCTGTGATAGACGACGTAGAGCTGGCCGTCCCACTCCCAGAGGTTGCCACCCGAGACGTTAACGCCGGGCTCGCTGACAACATAGTCATCAGCGACCGTCCAGTCTTCTCCGTTGAAGGACTCGGCGAGTCTGATCTTTCGGATGTTGTTGGGCTCGTTGACCATGTAGAACATTGCCCAGGTATATTCAGAGTCTCGGTCGGGGTGGCGGAAGACGCGAGCGTAACTCGACTCAGTAGTGGTAACAGGCGCGTCAGAGTTGCTAACCGCAATACCGCCGTAATCGAAGTTGATGCCATCTTCTGATGTAGCCCAGCGGGTGACGCTGTTGTCGCCATGGAAGTACATGTACATCTTTTGCTCTTCCTCGTTCCAGACTGCGTCTGCGCTGGAGACATGCCCGGGCGGCGGGCTACCCAGCGCAGGCCAGTCCCTAGAGATGACCGGGTTGCTCTGGTACTCGGTCCATGGCCCGTCGAGATTATCGGAGTACACGAATGAGATACCGCCGGGGTTGTCGTGCGGCGCGTAGTATAAGTACCATTTTGAGAGAGCGGCTTCTCTGAAGTGGAGGCCGGCATCGAAGACGCTGGGGAAGATTAACTCGTTGCTGGGGTTGTACTTGAGATCTGCCTTGTTGAACGCCGGCCCGTCATTCTCGAACGTTGGCAAGACACCCGGCGAGGATGTGGGCTGAGCAGTTGTCGTGGAACCGGTCGTGGAAGACTCAGTGGTGGTCGAGGCCTGTGATGGGGTGGTGGTCAAGCTGTCGGCCGGGGTCTCAGTCGTGGAGACAGTAACGAAAGTATCCGTCAGGTTTGAGTAGGAGCTGTCGGCCGGGGTCTCAGTCGTGGAGACAGTAAGGAAAGTATCCGTCAGGTTTGAGTAGGAGCTAGTCGTCGAGACGGTGACGGATGTCTCAAACACATCAGGATAGACATCCAATATGGAGGAGGAGGCAGCCTCGGCTTCAGTCTTGCTGGGTGCAGTCCCAGTAGTCGACCGAGAGGTGGGTCTGCACCGGCGGGCCTGAACCCCGGCGAGGAATGCCAGGGCTGCCACCAGGCTCTTGGTGTTGGAGATCATTGTGCATAAACGAGTGGAATGCCGTGAGGCTTAATGAGTGACTGGACAAAAGACCAAAGCCTTGAGAACCAGATCAACGAAAGTTGGGCGAAGGAGAGGAAACGCGCTGCCCCTTCCAAAACCGTTGGCAAGGCTCCGTGTTGATATACATATACTGAGTACAGCCATCTTTTCTCCTGTTTTGCTTCTAATTTTACCGTTGGTCGTGTTTTCCGTTTGTTGGTTGGGAGCCCGCTGCTCGAGGTTTCGACAGCCTCTGTGGCTACCGAGTTAAATTCGAGTGTTGATCGTTGGCATGCATTGCCAAGCTGCCCGTGCTACCCAAGCACACCATCGACGTGGCCCACCCACACGCAAACATTGCTACTTGACAAAAGCAGTACGTCCATGCGCTCCCAAGTAGCTTGGCTTCGGCGGTGCCTGTCAAAGCGGACGTCGAAGCCGTGTGCTTGTGCAGACCAAGCGTATCAGATTTGCTGAGAATGAGCCCATCTCGCGGTTGAGATTGGAGGGCAATGTATGTCCCTGGCAAACGTCATTATGTCGTTGGCACCGCATTGATCCTTCATGTAGGTGATGAGAAGAGGAAGTGGACTACGGGTGTTACACGGTATTGTTGAGTCCAAGCGGATATCAGCTCAGGGGAAATTACGGGGTGGGGAAGATCTTTCTGTTGGTGGGGGGATCCGACGGTAGGATTTCACCCGACGTCCCGATTTACACCTAAATTATAAGGCAACAGCCGACATCACAGATCGAGGTGCCGACAGCAGCTTCGCCCCTTTTCCTAGCTCATTAGATCAATCAAGACACATTATTCGACCATGTCTTTACCTGAAATGCTTCACATTGGCAGCTGCATCCACGAAGCAGAAACACCCCTTCCTGGCAGAGTTGCTATCGATTGGTCCGTCAGCGGTCAGAGTGTGGATTGCATTCGGACTAGTGCTACGCTGAGCGTTGAGCGGCTCAACGCCTTCAGCGGCTTCAGCGCCATGATTGTGCGTGTCTCACACTCAAACCGCCATCAAGCCACAGAATAGCCAACGTCTTCAATTGGCTCTCAGTCTGAAGGATGATCTTCGTTGCCTCCGACCCCTCTTTCCGTAAGGGATTTTGCAATCAATCTCGCCCCCCTCTATGACTAAGATCAGGATATTGATGTATCAGAGAATTGTGCCTATCCAGCCCTTATTCCGTCACCCGAGGGTCAATCCAACACCTAGCGCAAGCCTGCACCTAGGTCTGTCACGGTGTGTATTTTGGATAACTGGGCGTGTAATTGTTATAGCAATATCCTTCTAGCTACTTCAGCATAAAGGATGTACAGGGACTCCTCGCCACTCCATACGCTCAACGCATCTAAAGTACTAGTTTCATCAGGTATTGACTTGGCTAGCTCTAACCGTGGCAATAACTTTCCGAAAGATCATGCTATAGTGCACACGAGCGACTTGAAAATCGTTGGCAAAGGAGCAGCGCTTTCTTCTGAAGAAATGATTGAAAGCCAGAAATTCGTGTACAAGGCATTGCAGTCATTTCGAAAAACTGTCGAGAGTCCTAATGGATCTAGTCTTGACGAATCTACTGTCCCCATAGTGGAAAGCATCAATCCCCCCTTTTCTTTTCCCGGAGGCGTCGACCAGGCGCAGTTCCCGATTTGGAGCCCGTTGGGTCATTTGGACTGGTTTGATTGGGACAAGGGGATTGATTGTAACACGGGGATTGATTGGGACACGGAGATTGATTGGGACACGGAGATTGATTGGAACCCGCCCAGTGATGGGACTCTGGTGAGTATTCGCAAATTTCAAAACAGCATAAAACTTGAAATCTTGAGGATTAAGCTAAATGAGAAGAATATAAATTGGGGCTTTCTGACTTTTGGACATCGTAGGAGATTTTCCAGCACAACAACGAACCGTGGGAATACATCTTTCCGACAAACACTATGTCGCAGGAAGCACCGCGGACAGAAAAGGGTAGAGAAGCTAGATCTCCAAGTGATGAAGACCCGCAAGACGGAACTAGAACTGGATCATCCGGATACGCTGGGAAGCATAGCGAATCTTCTATCAATATATTGGCGGAAGGGCCGACTGAAGGAGGTAGAGAAGCTACAGGAGGAAGTCATTGAGATGAATAGGAGGACACGAGGATGTGATCATCTGCATACACTGATCATTGTGGGAAGACTTGCATCAATATATTGGATCCAGGACCGAACAGGGGAGGCGGAGAAGTTAGAGCTACAAGTGACAGAGGCCCGCAAGAAGAAACTATGGCCCTATCATCAGGACACGCTGACCAGCATGGAAAATGATGTATCAACACACAAGAGTCAGAGCCGATATGTTGACGCCTCAGCATCAATGGGCGTCAGAGACCGATCGCGATAGCAGCGGTAAACCAGCTCTAGCCGTGAAATAAGCACATGTAGGGTGTTAAGACTTGAGCTTTTAGCAGCTCCTACAACAAATAGAGGTAGGGGCTGGTAGTTTGAGACGGACAGAGGTTAATTTTGTGGTATTTACCCTCTACCATTAAAATATATGGACTCTCAGTAAATTCAATCAGGTTGGTAAACATTTTAAAATTAAGTAATTGAACCTGAAGTCACTCACGAAGAACTCAACAGGCTCAAACGACCATATCCACAAGAAACCCCATCACATCCCCACCTTATCGATTTATCCACGCAGCCATGAACATGACGTACAAGCACGAGTAACTCAATTACTGTATCAGATTATGACTAGTCAAGTTCGGTTCCGACTACGAGAAATCCATGAATCCGCAGTTTAATACAACCCAGCCCCACCCCATAAATTTAGTCATTAGGTAGCTACCGTCAATCTATCTCCCCCCATTCACCATTTCTATTCCAGCCATGTCGATGCAGCAAGTTTTCCGTTCCCAAACTCCATCTCAAGGGACATCCAAGTAGAACAAGACCGCTCATTTCGTTGCACCGTCAGACGTGACTCACAACTTGCCGCATATCGCTCTCGAGGTTAAGTGTGAAAGCCCGAGTGAGCCTGCTTGGACCTCGTTGCGAACGTGCAGGTTGCCAATAGAACAATACCGCTATGCTTTCAAAACAGGGTAAGCGGCCCTGCGACCGGCCTTGCTAGCCTCCAGGGCACCGGTAAGGCCGAATTGCGAAGAGATGCCGTCGACACGGTGGGTGGAGTTGAGGTTCTTGACCACAACAATCTGGAAGCAGGTTGCAGAGCCCTGGCGCGAGGCAATAGTAGAATAAGCGAGGAAGAGCTCCCAAATCTAGACAGTGTTAGTTTGAACGCAAGAATATTTGGAAACGACATACCCTGAACCATCTGGTCCCGTAAGTACCAATAATCTCGTCGGCGTTACCGAGCCAGTTGCGGTACCACCTCCAAAGGGTGCCAGAGTAGTGAACACCAATAGTATCAACGCTGGTAAGGCTGTCAGCTAGTTTCCTTTTCAAGACTGGAACTCCTACCTCTTAATCTCAAATCCGGCACTCTCGAGGCAGCCCACGTAATAGCTCAGAGGTGTAGATGCGTCGGCTCCGGGGAAGATGTACTTGTTGAGGAACAGCCCCCAGATGAAGTCCTCGTATTGCCATGACTTCCGCAACCCCGACAGCTGCACATACATGGATCCGTCGTCCTCTAGCATTTCATAGCACTGCCGGAAGAATCCCGTCAGTCTGCGAACGCCAACATGCTCGGCCATCTCCAACTGTGTGATTTTGTCGAACTTGGTCTCCGGGATGTCGCGATAGTCGCTGCAAAGGATTCTGCTTTGTTCCTCGGGAATGCCGGCATTTTTCAGCGCGTCATTACCCCAGGCAGTCTGGTTGCGAGCGAGAGTGACGCCCGTGACTCTGGCGCCGTAATTGACGCTCGCAAACTTGGCCAGGGTTCCCCAGCCGCAGCCGATATCCAGCATTGTCTCGCCTTCTTTGAGGCCGATCTTCTCGCACACTACGGCCATTTTGTTGTCCTGCATTTCCTCCAGCGTCTCCTCCCGGGTGGGGTCGGAAATAATACCCGACGTGTAGATCATGCGGGGCCCGAGGAACCACGCGTAGTGGTCGTTGCCGCGGTCGTAATTGGGACGCACTTGGTCTTCGTCTTGGGATCGATGGTGCAGAATGACGTCCGGTGCAAATGTGAAGAAGATGTATCGGAAGAGGTCCAGGGTAAAGTTGAAGGTGGCCCACTCGTGCCGATACTCGAAGACCTCGAGCAAATCGCCGTTTATGTCGACTTCCCCCTCAAAGTACATTTCGAAAAATGTCTGCATCGGAATCTTGTGTCGTCCATTCCATCGGGCCTGATGGCGGGGCTTCTTGAACTTCAAGTAATATTCCACCGGGCGGCCCGGCAACTTCACCTTATCGTTCAGCCGCGGGCTGACGGTCGAAAAGAATGTCCAGATGACCAGGAGCACGGGGACGGTGGTGAAGAGGCCAAAGAACATGGTCAACTTGAAGCCACCGCCAAACTGCCACGAGAGCCATGTTGGGATTCCGAGGAGGCCGGTCGCGAGGGTTGCGTTCGAGAATTGTTCGTATCCGGCGCCGTCCGCGGGGAGAGGAGCGTTCTTGATAGCGGGCGACTGGAGCTTATTAGTGACGATTTAATGCGCAGCGGAGTGGATTAGAGTGTGTTCCTACATCGGTGACCCTCACTCCACAGTCTTTGCCCGTCCCAAGCGCGTCCTGCGGAGGTGGGGGAGTCTGGATGAAGTCGATGTCAGCCGTGAGGTGGGCATTCCCGTTGACTCTCGCCATGGCTGCGTTTCGAGGCCGGGCGACGGAACCAAGCTGAGGATGGTCGACGACGCCAGAGAAGGTCTGCACTTTCCAGAGGTTGGAGATGCCAAGTTGCACGGGGACAAGCGGTCAAAGTGATTCCACGGCGTCTGTCTCCCTTTGCCAGGAAAAAGCACCTGAGCTGTGCCTGAGCTGCGTGTGCCAGCGGGGCCGCACCCCCGCGAGCTCCGGGCCAGGAGATGAATCATGAGTGACAGCTGTCATGGCGCAATGCATGGCATGGCACAGGACGACAAGGGGAGGGCACGCCACGGCTTCGAGATTGGCACCGCGTAATTGCAGCTTTCAAACGAATTGCGCGGGATAAGCGAGGGGTAGCAATGACGGCAGCGTATTAGATGATTTCCCGCCTCGCATCTTGGCGCCCGTTGTTGGCCCATAATGAGGCCACCGTCTGGCACCGTCTGCAGCCTAAACCGCAGCCATACGAATGGGGGAATAGCACGTCGCGGCAGCGGGAGGACCCGGTGCGCCACTGTTCTCTCAAGGGAGAGATGGAGAGACAGAGTGGTGTGGGGGATGTCAGATGGCTTGCACAGGGGTCTCAGATACGGAGTGTAACGGACGGAGGCGTCAATAGCGGTCAGTCTGAGACCGTTGAGGCCCAGATCAAATGGCCCTCGAAACGTTGAAACAGCTGGATCCCCACGGAAACAAATCCACACGATCCGCGCCGTTGCAATCACCGACGAAGCCGCTTCGACACCCAATTTCGGGACCGCGGCGAGTCGTAATCGTACGTACATGAGCATGGAGCCGTCGCTGCCCAGTGCCCAATAACGCCCGAACAACGCGCCCTCGCTGGTTCCACCCGCTTGGTGACGTGTGATTTATGTCATTGTGTCTCGCAGCGCTGTCTTGCATTTGCTGGACTCGCGGAGCTAGGCTAGGAGCGGGCGCTGTGCATCGGCGTGCTGTTGTCCGTGTCTCGGCGTTATGTACAGCGATGTTTTGGGCATCACCTAGCGTTACAGTGCTTTTTTGGTAGGTCTGCTGGAGTCACCATCAGAGAGTAGACAGCGATAAGATCATGATATGAAATGAACCGCAATCACAGCGAGAGCCATATCTGATCCTCAATAATATTAAAGAGATTGCTGTTCGCGCGCTGGAACAGGTCGTTTCGCTTAACATTCCGCTTCCTAACTTACCTAGCATCCACATTCAAAGGGGACATTCTAGCGAAAGTGATGCCCCCAGTATGGAACTAACATAATTAGTAAATAAAATACAGAAAGTTTTGGGAGGTGAACACAGAAAGAATAGGCCTTATGAAAATAGTATTTCCTAAAATGTTGCACTATACGAATTGTAAATGATTATCTCAAGCATCAGAGCATGTACTTGCGTGAGTTGGGAACACCGATGCTCTTAAAATAGAGGTACTCCGTAGAGGTTATAGATTTCCCTGACCCCGCACTATTAAATCCCAAACATTGTTAGATCATTTTCGAATATTATTTGCATTCCGTACATCATTCGCGGGCATTTGGGAGAGACATTTCCGGAGAGGAAAGAGGTTGTATTAAGCTAATCAGCGAATACGCTAAAGAGTATATTTAAGAGCAGTGGACGGCACCATCGGAATGGGTGTGGCATTCCTAAATTCCTAGGTTAGTTGCATGTCTTCAGGGTAATCTCATGGTTATTTAAACTCACAGTGGCAGCCTCAGTGGTGGTCGCAGCCTTGTCGTCACTGGTCTCCGTCGCCTCAACCTCGCCAGTGCAGCCAACGCCAGGAGCAGCGATGTCGTAGGCGTAGACGTCAATGGCAAAGTACTGAAGCGTGTCGCTGTCGATGGCGCTCTTGGAAGGGTCGGTCTTGGCAAGCTCGATGGCCTCAGGGTAGTCCTCGGCGAAGTGGTCGACGATGGACTCGCTGATCTTGGGGACGTGCAGCACGCGGTGCATCAGGTCGGTGGCCCAGAAGGTGTTGAGCTTGGACTGAGCAACGGTGTAGCCGAGACCGCAGACGGAAGAGAGAGGGCGGCGGATCTCAAAGGAGAGGGGGCAGATGACGGTCTCTAAGGTGGCGTTGTCGCCTCGCCAGTGGCCAGCCCAGGCTATGACGTTGGTTAGTATGCGACTTTGCGTGTTTGTTATACAATCAAGGGCTACTAACCATCTTGCGTAGCGCAGTTCTCATCAGGGTCGTCGCATCGGAAGATGACGCCAGTCTTGTCAGCGTTGATGATACGATCATACCAACCAATAGGACCAGAAGTCGAGCCGTTGCCAAAGTACTTGGTGACAAACTCTGAGTCGGAGCCGAACCGCAGGAGATGCTCCTTGGCATGCTGGGCCAGCTGGACAGCCTCGTCCAGTCCGTCCGCAAGCTGGTGGCGGAGCGTGGAGTTGCAGGACTGGTGGATGGTGTATCCCTTGGTCCAACCCTCAGACCAATCGTAGATGGTGGGCGTGTCGGATGCCTTGGAGGCCGACTCGGTCTTGGTGGCGGTCGTCTCGCGTCCGAAGATGGGAGAGGCGACGGCGCCGCTGACGAGCAGGAGGGCCACGGTGGAGGACTGGAACATCATCTTGAAGTTGTCGGGCTGCTTGAAGCTGGGAGAGGCTTGTGGGAGCGGATTGAGGCTGAGTGAAGCTGCTTGGGAGGATGATCTGGTTCATGCAGGAGCGGTTCCCGGGTCTTTATAGAGAGCTGGCGCACGTCGTGACCTCATGGCGTCGATCGCACCCAGGGCCGTGGTAAGGATTTGGCTGCAGAGAGCGCATGAGGCCGTCGGATAGCTCGTCAGCTAACCAATCTTCGGCGTCTTTCCCTTGGCTCGTCCAGCATTCTCGTCAGCACATGGGCTGTTGGAAGCGACTCGGTGGGGGTTGGTTGCTGAGGAGTCGCATGCAGCTCTCTACGGAGCGGAGCCGGCGACTCGGCGATGCGTTCCCGGCGGCATCACCGAACATTGGACAAATGATGATGCTGTAAAATTCTACGCCTCAGCCAGATGTTGGTCAATCCAAGTGTCAAAGGATGCGCCATCCGGGTTCTCGGTTCCACCAGCCAAGAAACCATCAGGGTGTTTCCCCTCTTAAGAACCGGCCATGGCTGTTCACAACTCCACTATATTGCGGGAATGCCGTCCATTTGCAGTTAACTCTCACTGAGAAATATGCTTAATCAATAAGCCTACAGTCATGGTGTGAGGGGCGGATGAACCCCCACTGAGCTGTTGGCCAGATATCCAGACTAGTTTATTGGCCTCACACCTTGCTGGTCTCTCGTAACGAGACCAGCCATCGGAATACTTCTCACCGACCACCACACAGCGGGGACGCATGGAAAAAGACCTGCGCGATTTACTTCCCGTTCTCGTAATTGCAACCACGATTCGATCCAGTTTCCTTTGACCGAGTAAACATGGCCTTGTTTTCCATGACTCATCGCTATTCAGTCTGGTGGTCTGGGTCCACATGCTGCTGTAGTGTAATGACCCTGACGGCCGAGCTCGGAACCAACTACTCTGTGCATAACACTTCCAACAACCAACAAGAAGCTCCCCGCTAAACAAACAAGCATGAGTGAGGTTTCTGACCACAGCCGAGGATGACAAGTCTCTTCTGATGGGCATGCTCCTGGATGAATAATCGCTACCCCATCACAACTACACGGCCTTGCTACATTGTTCTTCATCGCGGTAATTTGTACACTCGTTTACTCTTTATTTAATTCACTTAAATTCATTTCGGACACTCCAGCGGACCCTGCCTTGTTTAGTGTAGGGTTACTTGATTCATCAACAGGCCAGCTCTAAAACCCGGATGGCCGCGACCTTGAGCCTAAGTAAATGGTGCAAGCTGGAACCCACTGTGGTGGATCAGTGAAGTCCAAGACCCAAGCCTACTGAGTACTAACGAAGCGTGTATCTTCATATTCGCATTCTTGAAAGTATCGTGTCTGGGAATCCAACAACACGAGTCACTGAGTAAGCTCTCCTCTCTTCTCTCGATACATCCTTTATCTGTGCGTGGATCGGTAAATCGCAACTCGGATAGAAATTTATTCATTAGATCTGGACTTCCTCCTAGTACGTGTTGGAATCGGCAGATTTGAGGGAACAAAATGATATGTTACAAAGCACAAGTCCTCTGTCGACAACATCTTGCTCAAGCAATACACAAAGCCATTATGCCTTACCCATGTTGAAATGATAGCTACCACCTCCAGGGGCATTGATGTTGTTACTGCCATTAAAAACAGCCCCGCCTTGAGTGTTGTACTGGTGGCCAGTGCCATTAGCAGCAACAGACTGGCTTGCATAGTTGTTCCCCGTGCTGTCGAGCTCAGAGACCTCCAATGACGATTCCACACTTTCCAGTTTCTCGAGAGCGTTTTCGATAGCCTTCAAATCATCTTGTGTTACCAACTCAAACACCTGGACCTGGGCTAGCTTCTTTAAACCCTTTAATATGTCCTTCATGAGGCTCTCAACCCCAAGTGCTTTGACCCTTCCCAGAGCCTTGTAATAGGCGTGACGAACCCTTGCCCATTCTCCTGCATGTTGATCTGCTTCGAATTCTGTCTTCACCACGTCGATGACGCTCTTCAATTCCTTGATCTTGTCCTCGCAGGGTTTGATACCGTTCAAGATTGCCTGGGACTGCTCGTCAAGCAGATTTCGTTTCCGAAGCCTCTCCTTCATGCCGAAAAATATGCCTTCCACAATGGGGAGGCTTCTCTTGACTTCCTCGAAGGCTTTAGGAAGATTGGCGGTGTTGTCGATAGTTTTATATTTTGTCGTGATATCTCCGATGATTGAGATCATGGAAGCAATGATGCTGAGAGGATCCATGCTTGTGAAGGCAGGCTGAGTGTCTAGTGATTCGGTGAAAGGAGGATTGTGATAGTGCACCAGCTTGTACGATGGCGGTTCAACGTATTATGAAAGGGGCTGTGAAGAGGGAATAAATTTAGGCAGCAGAAGTGATGCGCGGTTTATTTTTCACATAAAATGATGGCTCATATTGTGGCTTGCATATCGGGCCAGTTTGCTACAGCTGAAACTGAATTGGCAAATGAGCAAGTTGCTCCTCGTAGGCCGGTTAACCGTTACTGGTGGACTGGTGTGCCGTTGTGAGACCTGCATGGGCGCTTCAATAGTGAGGTGCGCTAGGCGATCGGCCCAACCAATCATTTGGCGACGCATCATCGGCTCTCGATTCACGCTTGGCCCAATATGCAGTACCATAACACTCCGTAGACCTTGTTGTTCTGCGACTGATGTGAACGAACTAAGCAATCAAACCAGCCATTTACAATTATGCTCCTTATTTCAGCCGTCGAACTGGAAGAAGCTGCTTTAGAGGATGCGAACTAGCCCAGCTGATAGCAGTCTTACATGCAATGAGCCAGAATTGAGCTCCCTCACGCCATTACACTCGAATGTACCTCGAGGCTTGTTATGAGTCGCACAACCCATCCTAGTTAGCGTTTCTCATGTTTCTCACTTAACATGACGGTGACCATTGCGAGTGAATCGACAAGCTCTCGAGCTCGGGCTCGTCCCGTTTCGTCGCTGCTGCTATTCGAGATTTTGTTAAGTGGCATTAATGTCTTCGGTCCGTGTGGTTGTGTATTCGATTTCAGGACTTCGACAGAGAAGAGAGGAAGAACGCAAAATGTTACGGAGAACTGGGCGACTTGGCTGGTTAAAATGCGGCCTTTTCGACCGGCTATTGGCCTTATCGTGTTGGTTGTGTTCCTGTGTTGGTTCTACTCCCAGCCTTTTGCAAGTCGATTAACAGCAAAACTGTTGAGCGATTACGACACCATTCCCATATCGCTTCAGTCAAAAAAAGCTAGTCTGCAACGAAGAGAGCTTCACTTACTATCTTCCTCTTCTGATTGTCCCACTGCAGGAGAAAAGGGGCTCCTAGAAACATGCATGTGCTAATTTATGCATAGTCAGGGAGTAAGACGGAGTGATTAATAGTCAACCCAACATTCATAAAGTCTACATTGGGTAAAATTAATATTTAGGGTGTGTCTTAAGACAATTTAATTACACCAGGTCAATGATCTAAAGATGTCACCAGCATAGGGTGGGGGGTTCATATTTCGGCACTGCTTTCAACCAATCCACCCATTTACATTTTATGACGAAGAATAAAGTATTCAATCTTCCCACTACTCCCAGACCTTAGGCAAGATGACATTTAATGGTGAGGAAAGGCCCACAACATTGCTGACACCGTCGAGCAGCGTCACGTGATCGAAGAGACTACCTGGACGCCGTCAGCAATCTCACCGAGTTGAAATCTCGTAAGACTCCAGTAACGACAGAATAGATCTCGCGAAGAAAAAACAGGAGATGGACTCCCAAATCGATTACAAGGGCCTTGATGTGGGAGAGAACCAGATTCGTCTGATCGAGCTACACCCTCGAGCCGCAAACACTCCCGCAACGCCAAACGATGCTCTGCGCTGTGAATTGAATCCACACGATCGTGGCGACACATGTCCTTCATATCTTGCCTTGTCCTACGCCTGGCAGCATGATGGCCACAGGCAATCGGTCATCATAAACAACAAAACCTACCTGATCAGCGAAACTGTCGAACAGGCACTCAGACAGTTGCGCCATCGGCGAAACACAGTCTACGTGTGGGTCGACCAGATCTGCATCAACCAAGACGACAAGGAGGAGAAAAACTATCAAGTCCAGCAAATGCGTCACATTTATAGCGAGGCTGAAGAAGTCATTGCTTGGCTTGGCATGCCGTTTCCCAATTCCAGAATTCTTTTCGGATTCTTGCAGCAAATTGGAGCCGCAGTCTTGAAAGAGAAATGGAAGGCCCTAACGACTGCGCTTGATGCTGTCGATTTGGCCGCAATGAAAGCAGCATACAGGAGCCTCTGCCAAAGACCGTACTGGAAACGCCTGTGGATCATGCAGGAATTCAGCGTCGCCAGTCGGGTTCGAGTTGTCTGTGGGAGCTCATCTATCGACGTGAAGAGCATGGATGCAGCTTTCATGGTGGAAGGACTCTTCCAACAGAAGTCTTGGGAGAGCATTCCGGGATCCAACGCTATCCTTAATACCATCACAGATATATACAACCCAGCAGAGGCAAGCTTTCTCAACAACGTTATCACAAGGCGTCAACGATATGATCCGGAATCCCTAGGCGCCAATGGCGAAAAAGACCACCTATTCAGAGTTTTAGCCACCTGCCTCGCTTTGGAAGTCGATTACAACTGGCCTCTTGCCTCTGATCCCCGAGATCGAGTTTTCTCGCTCTTCTATCTCGCCTCTGACTTTGAAGTCTTTGGCGCGAGTTTCATCGACTACCTCAAGTCTCCTGAGCAAGTTTACTATGACACAACTGTGGCACTTCTAAACCAAGGACATGTCGATATCTTTGCATATTGTCAGTTCCCAAAGGCCCTGTCCTTACCATCTTGGGTTGTCGACTGGAACATGCAGATTCGTAATCCCTGTGTTAGAGCACCTTGGTGCAGGTTCAACGCATCTGGTGCCGCATCCAGAGCAAGTATATCCCATCCGCAGCCTGGCTACTTGACAGTTCTGGGGGCATCGGTTGACACAATCACGGCTTTTGGTGATATATGGAACCCAGATTGGTTAAAGCCTTTGGATCGGAAGGCAGCCCTCGCTTTTGTCGACAACATCCTGCAACTATGCAAGAGATCACCACGAACGCGTTTAAATGAAGAAATCCTTGACGCGATCAGAATTGCTGTAGTAGACGGCGAAGGGTGTTCCGGTTTGGATATTGAAGAGGATTACGGTGTATTTCTCGGCCAGTTCATGGGGGCGTTTGAAGGACTGAAAGCAGCGGAAGCGAGCCAAGATGGGGACGAAGAGGGCCAAGCTGACAGTTGGTACGAAGCCGTCCTGCTTGCTCTGCACTCGCGCAGGCCATTCATTACTTCGACTGGATATGTCGGTTTATGTCCGAGCCATGTCGCAGTTGGCGATGTGGTGTGCATATTCTACGGTGCAAAAGCGCCCTATGTCATACGACCAGGTAAATATGAGACCTTTACGCTTGTTGGAGAGGCATTTGTGCAGGGGATCATGTACGGCGAATTTCTCAAAGCGAAGCCTGCGAGCCAAACATTTACATTAGTGTAAAGTTCAACATTCTCCAGGAAGCAGACAGGTGATAAAGACGGACTTCAGCATGCTATTTGGTGAAAGGAGGCGATAGTATCTTCATAGTTACAACTAGGAATCAAGTTTGAACATCGGCCAGGGAGATTACTGGCGACAAAGGTGCCAAAACACGTTCACAACAAGTTCAAAACTCCCTCTTTGCATGACTACAGAAGCTTTCGAAGCCCACCCAAGTCCTAGGACTCCTCCACACTCAGCTAAATAGCCGCGAACAAGGTCTTCAATCCCTCCCACTGTTCCCGAGCCGTAGTCAAAATGAGATTGGCCGGGAGAACAAAACCACCGGCGCCACTGGAAGCAGGACGGAGTTCGATGGTCCACGCGTATGTCGCGCCAGAGACTCCAGTCAGGTAATCGGGCGCAGATCCAGTTGTGGCGTACAAGGTGCTGCAGCTGGGTCCAGTCGTGTAGCGAGCGCCGCTGTACTGGGAAATGCGGTTGGCCACCTGGTTCGCTGCCGATAATTGCTGGTTGATGTTGGCGGGATATTGGTTGCAGTTGTAGCCATAACCTTGTAAGATGTACTGTCCGTAGCTGTGCCAGTCGACAAATAGCTTGATGCCATTCGTAGCGATTTGCCTTGTGAAGCTGACAAGGCTCGTGATCTCAGGAGTATCACCGGCTGCCAAGCCCTTGTAGTCCTCAGCGCAAGGGTTTGTAGACGCGCCGCCACTGACACTCCATTGGAAGGGCCAGTTTCTGTTGTTATCAGTGCCTATGCAAGAGCTGCTAGACCGAGGCTGACGGTTCTTGCGCCAGAGTCTGTCGGTCGATTGAGTGTAAACAAATCCTGGAGTTGTTAGTGAGTCAGTCGTTTATTCATTTAGGGTTAAGCGATGCCTACCATCTGGGTTGACGAATGGAATGAAGTAGAAATCATAGCTGTCCACAATTGCCTTGATTTGAGAATCGTTGGTGAGGTAGCCGTTGATAAGTTGCCATGCCTGGTACTCTTCGACCTATTGTGGCGCGTTAGTGCGTCCTAAAGAAATCAGAAAGACAAGAAAACTGACTGGAGCTGCAATCCACTCGCGAGCATGGACGGTCGCATGGAAGTAGACCGCAGGCTTCTTGCCTTTGCCACTTGCGCCCCAGAAGTGAATGCCGTAAATATCACGACCCTGGTATGACTTTCCGGCGACAAAGATTTCCGAGTTCGCCGGGAAGGCTGCATTGAGATCGTTGAAGAAGAGGCGGTGATCCGCGTAGCTATGGTAAGAGTTGAACCACGTAAGGGCAGGCAGAGCAGGTGCCTGTCGTTTGGCAGTTGACGACTCGCTAACTGCGGTAAACTGTGAGAATTGGATCAAATAAAGACGCTTGCAATTGGCTTACCACTGTAGTAGTCCTCGAAGGCGCTCTCCTCGGCAAACTCGGCTCCCAGGTCCTCACTGATGACAGTAGATTCGAGACCAAGGGCTTCGAACTCTGACAAGGAATCAGGCGCAATGGCGACATCAAAATGGTCGTCGGCCTCGTGAACACTCAGAGCAACGAATTCCAGATCGGAAAGCTTTTCTCGAATCGGCTCGCCATCCTCTGTTGTGGCGATGCTGAAAGCCTTGTATCCATCATAGGATACACGCTGTTCCGCCGTGGCCAACGCCAAGACGGCAGAAAAGGTGACTGCCAATTTAAAGTGCATTGTCGTCCTTGTGGTGACAGGATAAATTGCCGCTTCTCGTGCAGTCTGATAAAAGAACGAAATGCCAGAGAGAGCAGAAACACGGTCTCTTTAATAGATTCAGACTCACTCCATTATTTTATGCCTCATTGGGAAGGTCGTAGATTGATTACTAGAATCATGCCAAAAAGTGAGGTCGGTTAAGCAAGAACGCTTTGCCAAGCCCATAACTAACCTTTATAGTCTCTGATATGGCCATCACTTCACGCACCCGCAGGTACCTTTGAAAAAGCTAATGGCGAGTGTCGAGGTCTGGATGCGGTACCTCCCTGATTTAGTCTAAGACCTGCCTATTGCGAACACGGATGTGACCCCAATGTTCGGCTCGGCATACGAATTAAGGTACGCGGCTCGGCCCTTAGCGCGTACATATGAACTCCGCAAGCAGCTTCTAGAATTGGAAAACCCCCGTCGTGATCTGGACCTTGATGATTCGTCGATTGGATCAAATATTGGGCAGGCTAGTGGCACAGATCGACAGACCTGGAAGACCCTTGGTATGGTTAATTCTAACCTTTTTACCTTAGCAAACTAGATGTCGACAATTATGAGACTATCGCGCAAAACTCGGCAATTTTGAGCCTAGTTTCCATGGGGAAGTTGGGAAGAGGCACGCCATCTGGAAAATGCTTGCATGCTAGACACTAACAAAAATACTATCAAATTCGACACCAACCTCTCTCATACATAATAATAAGAAACATTACTGAAAACTCTAGATCACGGCCAGTTCGCTTCGGGGTGATTGCTCGTACTTTCCCTCAGTTGCCTTCTCTTCTCCCTTGCCTCCCAGTACGTTTCCAACCATTGGTCCGTATGTCCCTTTAATGGCTCAGTCGCATCATCCACAAGGCTACCATTAGCCCAGGCAAAAAGATCCTTGATGTACGCGGGCTCGGCTCCGTCTACAGCCAAGCTGTGGAATCCACGTCCTCGTCCAGTGCTGGCAACCCGTTTCTCGTAATCCTCCCTCATTGACTCCCGACTTGGCAATCTCGTCTTCCCTGAGAATGCTCGAGCCAGTGCTTGCGCTTGGAAGTCAAACAGGGAAAATGTTGCCGTGTAGTAAGGAACTCCGATAAATGCCAAAGATGGATCCTCAATGTAAAAGATGTCCTTGTGCAAGTGATGTACCATGTTTCCTTCCGACGTCACGAGAACCCCAGGTGTCACTGAGTCGATATGAAGGTCATCTGCGTGATACTGTCGCAAGAAAGGATATGAGGTCAAATAGCCCGTTGCCAAGACCACGTAATCAATATCCTTGATAACTTGGCCATCGTTCAAGACAATACTGCCTCGGATGGGAGCTGCCGGGTCTAGTTCAGTGGCTTTCGTAGTCTTGGGGTCAAGTTCAAATCTTTCAATGCCCCCCAGGTGTTCAATCGATGGAGGTAACATGGACTTTGGCAAGTCAAACTCGCCGCCTCTCGTGCTCTGCAGCACCCTCTTCGCGACTGCGGTTGACTCACGACACACATCCATTGCTGATGCGCCGCCACCAATAACGAGGACCGTTTTGTCTCGGTATGCTTCAGGATGACGATACTCTTTGGTGTGAATAATGCGGTCGCCATAAAGAGCCTTCCACTCAGCCAGCCCAGGAGTGTCAGGGATTCGGGGCAAGTTGTAGTGGCCAGATGCGACAACGAGCGCATCGAATTGCCAAGTCCTTTCCAAAAGCCGCGGGCTCCCGTTCCCTTTGAGTAATGTCGCTGTTCTGAGGATCCATTGACCACCGTCATCCGACTTCTTCGCGTCATCAACACGGGTGTGGAAGATGGTCACATCGTCAACGCCATGCTCAGCACTGAGACCCTGGAGGTAGCTTTCAATCTGATCGTGTCCAGTGATATCTTCCGTTCCTTGTGGCCAGGGTCCAAGGCTGCTATACAACAAACTTGTCGGTACGTTGTTCCTTAACCCAGCGTAGGCTGGACCGGGAGGTGAAAAGGCAATCCGCAGTGCCTCAGAATCATCGCTGTTGAGTGGGTGAACGTGGTTCCCGTTTTGAGAAGCTGCGGGCACTTTTGCCGGCAAAAATTGACCAGCCTTGGATACCTCGTAATCGCCGGCGGAAGGTGACACACTCGGATAGGTCGGGCTGTTGGGCGCTTTTGAATCGTAGTGCCAAACTCCAGACGTAAGTCCAGATCGTTCAAAGACAGTCACATCGATGCCGTTCTTCAGCAAATACGCTGCTGTTGTGATTCCGCTAACTCCAGCACCAATGACTGCCACTTTGGTATGCGGGCCGAACTTGTCAAGCCCGGGCACGGCCGGCGACGTGCCATTAGTCTGAGCGGGACTCATTGAAGTGGATTGTGCGCGCTTATCTATCGAGGGGGGAAAGTGAAGCTCCAAATGAGTCGTGGGCGTTCAATTTACTGTAAGAATTTGAGATTATGCCTCTCGTCCTAAAGCGAGGGATCGAGCGAGATATAATGAGGGAAAGTGAGCAACTGCAGATGTTGTAATCTAACACCATATCTTACGACCCCAAAGTCCTCCCGCTCGGCTCCGAGTGCGTTGTTTCCGGTTTTCACACATAATGAACTCGTCCGATTTGTAAAGTGTACGCCAGGTCGGCCAGAAAGGGCGTCAGCTAGTGCTTCGAGCACGTCATCCCGAGGATTATGTCACAAAGCTCTCGGCCCGTAAATGTGCCCACAGATGCATACTGACGCCTTATATATTGTGAATGGTGTAAAATTATGTCAACTGATCATTCTCTTGTGATGGGGTCCATGTGGTTCTCTATGAAGTAAGTACGTGACAACTTTGCGACAATCGATAGTAGGGGACAAATTCGCGATCCTTTGATGCAACACCACTTGGTGTAATGAACTCCAGAAATCACTCTTTGGGAATAAATGAATTGATTTAATTCGATCTCATTTTTTAAACACATAATCTTGACCAGTCATCCTGCCGGATGACTGTTGGACGTGAACCCCAATCGAGCAATCACTACGCATCACCTCTCAGGAAGTCCACGATATTCATCAAATTAATCGTGCACTTTCGTAAAAATATAAGATTCACAAATTTCATCCCGCTTATTGAATGCTGCGTGGAACATTCCATTTTAGGGTTCCAGCAAGCAAGATTCATGCAACTGACTCAATGACAAGATATCCAAGCCCTACATCAGATCTCCCCCACAGCAGAGGCAGCTCGCTTTGCCACCAACTCATTTCTGTGCAGAACCCGAATAACAAGCGCTGTTGCAGCCATCGCAATCGCAAATGCCACCATAGTAGGATAACCCTTCGGATATCGTGGCGCCTCGACGGTTTTCCAAATAAGTAGAGGCAGCCAGGCCTGGAAGACATAGGCCATCTCGTTCATCGATCCAACCACAAGAGCGCGTTCTTCGTTGTCATCCTTGCAAATCTCATGCGCCCAAGCAAAGGTCAGTCCGCTAATGCCGCCACCCAATCCGATCAGGATGAAGCAAGCCCATTTCCACCCATCAGGGATGTTCCAGACCGACAGACTGGCGTAAAGGACAGTGAGCATTGTTCCCGAGAAGACAATCGGTTGCCACCTTCCACCCTTAAAGATTGTATCCGAACTCCAAGCATAAATAAGCGTGGTGACGAGGCCGACCGCCGACGTGATGGTTGGATAGGTATTGTAGTCAGAAACACTATATCCCTTTCCTTTTAGCCATAGCTGAAACCCGGGCTGGGATAACGCTCCGCATCCATTGTTGAAGAATATGTAAAGCATGGTAAGAAGATAAATATGCCAGCTGGAAAAGATCTTCTTGATCTTTGCGAGGGTGTACGGGGAGCGGTTTGCTCGACCTTCTAGCTCCATTCGCCTTTTCGCTATTGCAATATCGTCCTTCGTCAGATACCAAGCTCGGGTGATTTCAGGTAGGTCCGGGAAAAAGAAGAACCCGGCCATGGCGATAGGAAGTGAGATGACGCAGTCGATAATAAATAACCACTGCCACCCTTTAAAGCCATGCACTCCGTCCAGATGATAGACCGAAGCCATCAGATAGCCAGAAAGCATAGAGCCAACCGATCCACTAGCGTGGAAGATGCACGACCGCTTCGCAAGCTCATCCTTTCGATACCATGAGCCAATAATATACTGCATTCCGGGATAGAAGGTACTCTCAGCAAGTCCGATGAAGAAGCGGAGAGCATATATTTGGTTGACGTTGTTGCAGTTGGCCATCACAATGGTAAGGACGGACCAGGTTACCTCGCAAGCCGGAATCCATAGCGATGGACGGATTCTCGTCAGCAACATGTTGCTATCATCACAATCAGTTTTGAATCCCAGACGGCTAGAGTATTAATTAGTCGAAGTAAGGTCAACAATCACTCACCTAGGAATTTCTCCGAGGACGTAGCCAATCGTCCACATCGTGTGCATATAGTTGAGCTCATTCCCCTCCATGTGAAGATCCTCCTTCATTCCAGATACGTAGGCGTTATTAATATTGACCTGATTCAGGCTCTTGATAAAATATCCCAGACAGGCAAATGTAAGGATTACTGAATCGAGCTTGAACAGAAAGTGGCGTTCTGCTTTGGGCTTGTCGAGAGTATCCCAGACGTATGACTTCCACGTCTTTTGCGGCAAGTCCTCTTCGAGGCTGCTGTCAGTTTCATGGCCTCTGGAACCAGCAGCCTCACTGACGGACCTGGAAGACGCATTGTCTAGCAGTGGGGTTTTGTCGTCTGGAGTCGACATTGTGATGAACGGATCCTCCACAGGTATATAGCCGTTTGTCATGATACCGGGAGAGATGGGCAATACGTCAAGATACGTTCAAGGCAACAATAAGACAACGACTCTCTAAAACTTATAAGTATGTGGCGAGAAGCCTTTCGGAGCGTGGTAGTCAGAGTAGGCCTCGCCTTCGCGTTAAGGGATGACGTGACCGCGACGTTGCATTTGCATCCCACTCGAGGGAGTGAGCACAGATCCTATATGGAATCCATTTAGGGATGAGATTGCCAGTTTAAAGACATTTCCCGTAATAGATAGGTGAGAGGTGCCAAGTAGTCAGGGTCTCATTCGTCATGGACAACCCATCATTTTGCCAGTGTGCTCACTTTGCTTGAAAGTCGCGTTTTCCCCGCCTGTCTCAACACGTCAGAATAGCTGTAATGTGTGTGGGGGCGGACGGAGTCGTTGGTAGGACTTGCTCTATGTCCGATTTTCTGTGGTTGCAGCCGCAGCACGCAATTATCGGCCGTGTTTGTGTCCGCCAAAATCGTGGGGCAGCGGTTCTAAGACCCGGATTTCCGGGGTTTGGGGTTGCGCACAATTATCCCACCGCATCGCGTCATTGTTAACCCCATCAGAAATCTGAGTATCGGGCTTTTAGTGTGGGATAACGCCTTCAATCCTGGTTCTCTCCAGGCAAGTGAATTGCGCTTTCCAATACCGCATCAGCTCATTGGATCGATTGCGGATCTGTTCGGTGGAATTTGTACCATGAAGGGTGCCAGACGACGCATGAAAAGCTTATATCCGGACTGTGAGTGCAACACTAGGTCAACAGCGTGTGCTGACGACATAATACGAGCCCGCATCAACGTTCCAATCCTGCTTCAGGATGTATCTCCGAAGCTCGCACCCTGAGATATTGATTAGAGATTAAGAAGGTATACGCAGCATCCTCAGTGCCCTGTACACGAGGTCATTTCAGAGCTGTCACAATATCCCAAGATCCAGATGCCCTCCGCCCCAAATCTACATCGAGACCAAGGATGCTACGACAGGAATCCGGCCCCACCATCCGCGCCAAGTCCGAACGGGGGTGTGGAGTTACCACCAGTATGGCGGCGCGTTGGCTGCATGTGGCGACGAGACCTTCCACATGGACTGTAAACTCATTGATACCTGGGTACTGCCGCGCGAGCCAGGTTAGTTGTAGACATAATTACCGTTCACTGAATATCGCAGTGGATAGATATGGTCACACGTCGATCTGAGTTGCCTAGGGAATATTGTCGAACAGGCCGCTCAAGGAGCAGGCCAGTATTATGCCCTTAAACGACAATATAGCTTACCGCATATGTCACATTTATAATGGAACCCTTGCAGCATCAGAACTTCTAAGCTCAGTTTAATGTTTTGAAGACATTAAATCCCTGACACGAAGGCTCTCTATGGCGACTGCATTATTCACACCAAACTTGACCAAAGACTAGCGTCATCTGCACAGACGTCGCTCTGAAGGACACTTCGTTTGTTCCTCTCTTCGTTCCTCAAGGCAATAGTGCAACACCCATATCAATTCCCATATTAGAAGCCGTAAAGTTATAATGCTTACCGTAAGGCTTAGTCTATATTCATTAACCTCGGTTATACCATAATACTGAAGCAACAAGTTGATCATAATTCAATAATTTCTATACTTAAAGCTAGACTAGAATAACACTCTGAACCTCTCGCTCGCCCCTCTCAAGCTCATCAATGGCCTTTCCAAACATGTATCCATCAACATAAGCTTCGCCAACATATTTGTACTCTAGACCGTCTCTGCGTAATACGATCGGCAATGGAGCCCCTAATGGCACGTAAATTTCGTCATCCTCGTGAGCGCTACCGGACACCAACGCAAATAGTCCCGAATCGCTAATGCAAAACCGTCGGCTAACCATACCCCGGCCAAGTTCGTCTAGGATCCAAGGATCAGCGTCGTCATCTCGCTCAAAAAATGGACGTTCACCCGCAAGAACGTCCAGTCGGCGATCAATAGCAAGTCCGCGAAGCCACGAGTGTTGGTAGTACTTAATTGTACCATAAACCCGTTTCATCCATTGTCGGTCGGTGAGTAGATTTGCCCGAGACTGCTTTGTGCGAAATAGACGGCAAAATGCCAGGTGGGCTGACTCTTGAAAATCATATTTCTCAATCACCATCGAGCACCATTGGAGAAATGTCATCACCACTGTTGTGAGTGAGAATATTGGCGGAAGTGAAATCCCACGACTGCTGATATAATCGATGTGTATCATGAGTGTTTTAAGTTTCCGCTGTCTGTCAATAAATGACACACTAGCGTCCGTATCCTTTGAGGCTTTAAAGTGGTCCCACACGATAATGGACTGCATGAGTCTTGAATCGCTGAAGTCGGGAAGCCAAGTTGGCAAGCCTTTATCTTGGTGTGCGGACATGCAGCAAGCAAAAACAGGGCGGCATATAACTTGAAGGCTTTTTGTTGTCTTGATAATATGCTCTACAGCATTGGTATAGACTCTTCGCGTTGATAAGTTGTAATCCGGCAAGATTTGGCTCCGCTCATTGTCACTCAAAAGCCCCAGGATGCCGTATACCTTGTCTCGTGGGTCGTTGCAGAGATGTTCGCTGGTTGCTTGAATTGCATCTCGGAGGCCGTACTTGCGGTTTTCGTCATATCGTGATTCTCTTGGACGCATCATTAACAGACTACACCTGAGTTGTTCTTTTCGTTTTGTTATTTGGTCGCTTCCGAATATCCATTCCACAGTTTCTCTATGGCGTGCGAGAATCTCTGACGCAGCAGTCAAAGTTGATAATGGCAACTTGACTGAGCCACAGTACATGTCCACATGACGTGCGTTGAATATCTCCTGGACAATCCAGAGTCGATACCAGTAATCTCGTTCCATGAACTCTCCGAGAGCGACGAAATGGTCCTTCCATTTGTGCGACATGATGATCCCTCTGCAATGGCTTGTATCCTTCGTGTCTGCTTTCACGAGCTCTAGTATCAAGTCGATGGCGAGGTGGCTGTTGTCATAGTCGGGACCAAGCCATGCAACCACGGAAGTCGCCTCTGCATATATTTCTGTCATTCTTTGGACTTGGTGGCTTCGTTCGGTTGAATCCTTCTGGTTGATACAAACAGCATCGGCCCAGACAATAATAACAGCATCGTCAGACCGCAATCGATTTAAAATCTGCCAGAGGCTAAGAGTTATGGGGAAATCGTGGCCATCCAGCATTATGGAGCGGGTATCCTCCAGGTCACCCCAAGCGTAGCTGATGGCGACATACTCTGGTGGCGCACTTAGCGACACGTGGGAGAGTTCGCACTCCATCCAGGACGTCTTCTGCGGCAAGATACGCAACAGTCGGATTTCCCTCCGCTGTGCATCGAGTTGTCTGTATTGGTACTTCGTGTCGCCGAGCTGCTTGATCTCAGGGCTAGGGGAGCGGTCGATTCTCTGGAGATAGGATAGCGCTGGTTGAAAGGAGTAGTCCCACGTAATGCGGGGACGGTACAAAAAAGATAGCGGATTTTTCGGTCTGGGCGGAGCCATGTATACAATCTCAGAGCTGAGATGTTGATGCGGAGGCAGTGGGGAGGGAGATGAATAAGGGATAGACGACGAGCTACAGACGTCATCGTCTACCTCTGCGGGCTCCAGGAGGCAGCCTCCCGCGGACGAAAGACTTGAACTAGAGCTGGATCTGGTCAAACTGGAAGAGGTAGGGTTGGCGGAGCTTCTTGAGGAGGTAAGATACGTTGAAGAGCTCCCATCGAACGCTCTCCGCTCCGAAGTCGCGGCGTGGAGTGCGTCGCCCGCCCGCCCGTCGCTCAACCACCTGGATGGACCGTCTGGAGAGCGCGGCATCGTCGAGGACTTGGGTATTCTTAACCAGAAGGCGAAATTAGCCGGAAAGGGCCCCGGATTCTACCGAAGGCTCATCTCAGAAAGCGAGGTTAAGGACGAGCGTGAGCCCTGTGTTTAAAAACAAAGCTGTAGCAGAGCGAGAGGATTGAGGCTGAGGCGAGTGTGCCTTATCATGTACAGCCACGACGAGGCAAAACCCGTCACAATTCGCACCCACTGGGTTGAAGAAGACATTCTACCCCGCACTCATGGGCGAGTTTTATTGGTCGGTAAGCTTGCACAAGAGGCTTAGGTGAGGTAAGGCAATGTAAGGCGTTGGTATGCAAAGTCAAGTGGTGGGGGGAAGTTGAAGTCGGCCAGCAAGTCTACAGTGAGACACCACCATGGATTCCGCTGGACCGAAATATTCAGGTCAATGCAATTCAATGTACAGCAACCCCATATAATTAAAATTAAAATATCGCTCTCAATCAACCGAATAGATTGAAATTTATCATATTTCCCCCCCCTCAGTTCATTAAATATTGGTATTATTTTCTTAAGATTTTCTGTTGTGTTTTTAAATTACCTACAGGGTGGTACTGTACATATGCCATTGCCGCCCAAACCCTTATTAGGCAGCCCAGCGTTGTATGAAGTACTGGGGCGGCCAATTACATTCTGCATGTCCACGAATATGGCGTAAATCTAGGTGATTTACAGTAGAAAGTGGGACGACCTCTTACAGTCTTTCTCGATTAATGGTGCTATTATGTAACTCTACGTGGGATGAGCTGGTTTGTTGGCTTAGATGAAAGCCTCAGGCGTATGTTATCGCCCTAAATACCCCAGATCCATTTACCTCATCGTACCTAGATTCGAGAGACCAACCACGTATCCAACCCAACTGAGTACCTTGTAACGGATCGCACACGGCCCGCCATCCATACGGTCGTGATATGTCGGATTTCCTCGTCGCGTGCGTCTTTATAAAGCCCAGCCAGAAAAGCCGCACTTCTGTCGCGCTCGTCACGCTCAAAGGCCGCACCGAAGTCCTCGCACTCCCAAAATGGCTGCCGCGGTGCCTGGACTTGCTACACACGGCTTTGCAAGCGAGGCATGGAACGCACCTGACGTAAAGGAAAACATTGAGCCAGCCCACGATTGGATGGTGAACAAGTCGTGGACGGCCCAGGCGGACTTTGGACCTGAGATATAGCCAGTATCGACGAATGCAATACTTTGAGGATCCGTCGCAGCTTGAGGGGAGGAGATTTCTCGTGGACCTGTTGTTCAAGGAGCAAGTGTTTCTTCGGGAAATATTCGATGCGTCTGCCGAATCAGCGCCGGTGCTTCCCGCGGGAAGCTTAAGCAGGATCGCAGCTATAACTGCAACGCAAGTAGCAGGAGCGGCCATATACCCTGATATATCTAGTCGGTCCCTGCAACCAGATCGTCCTCAGGCTCTGAATTTCGTATGTGGCTGGGATGCACATACCGCCACCTTGATCATTATATTTCCCACGGTGCTGAGCATCGTGGTCGGTATTGCTTGGCCAACGCGCGCAGTTCTCAAGTATGGGGCCGACGTGCAGACAAGCGTTCAGACGGGGGTTAGTGTGGCGAGTTATATTGTTACTGCAGGCAAGTCCGAACAAACCTGTATCAACCCGACTTCTAATAGCTAATCTTTCCGCAATATAGGAGCCTTACTCATTGCACTGGCAACCTGGTATGACTCGGTCACGACTCACGAAGAGCTGAAGGAAGAAAAGGGTGAATGATGGCTGTGTATGGGGTATCCTACTGACGCTCCTGGGGGGACAGTGTTACATAAACGCCGCTCATTGATCCGGCAAAGAGATCAGCGCACATGTTAAAATAGAACTGAAAATAGGCTCTGGGTTGTAAGTGGAAATATTAGAGCTGGTCTGACCAGAGCGTCAAGGTCTTGAATCTTTTAATTTGACGGCTTACGCTGGTAGACACATACTGAAGAACTATTACTCACACCCAGGAAAACTTAGGCATATTGCAAAGGATGGTTGGCGTGAGTGTGTCGGCACATGGCGGGTATTATGATGAAAGGATAATTCTATGTTACGGTCTGGGCTTGAGCGCATTCTCACTCATAATATATTCTGACGTGAGACTGAATCGCCTACGCGTGATAATTGGGGCTGTTTGATGTTACGCTGAACGTTGAACAGCCCCTATCCAGGCTTTTGCTGTCCGCTACTTTGCATTTGGAGCAATCTTATACGTTGACCACTCTCGGACAGGAACGTTTCCGAACTCACAATTTCGCATTTACACCTGCATCTGCCTCGGAGGAGCAATCCAACGTTTGCGACATAGACTACAGGTAAACATCGGGGAGTGCAATGGTTCGGGCTGAACCGAGCCGAAGCGAAAAAAGGGGCCGGGCCCATGTGGCCGCACTTATTGTAATTACGGGCCATCGCAAATAACGGATGTGATAGGGTACCTATTTATTAATGAACAGGCAGGCTTGACAGCTAAGAGCCTGAGCCTCGGCACTTACTTTGGGCCTTTCATTCACAGCATGGCTATTGTATACTTAAAAACGCACAGGAGAGCGAGTAGCCGTTTTGGGCATGGATGCTTACTCAGGCGTGAAGAAGAGGGTGTGGTGATGTCCGTGGATCTAGGCTCCCGCTCGAATGACCGTGCCATCTCCGCGATTTACTCCAGATACACTTCGAGTGGCGTGCCTGTGCATCGGAGTAATATTCCTTTTCATGTCGTAGGGCTCCAGGGGATCCCCTCGCTGGGCCATGCTATTGGTAGCTTAATAACCGCCTCCTTGGCCTTGCATGGCCCTCCTGCAACAGTCGTGCGCCACGGGTAGCGCACCCTCAGCTTGACTGGACGCCGCATCCAGGGGCTACGGGCAGTAATAGACCCGTTCTTCACGCTGTTTGAGCAAAAAGGCCAAGTGCTTACTCCCGATGCCGTAGGGCAAACACTTTGCGGCGTAGTTGGTTGCATAGAGTCATGTCTTGCGAGTCGGGTGTGGTTGATCTCCACAAGTGACAGTTTAACCGCCAGACAGAGGACCGTAGCACTTAGTTGCATGAGATAATGTCACCAGTCTGCCAATACGAAGTACATATCCACAGCAGAAGAAACCGTCTCAGTATCAAGCCTCGCGCTAAGGCCTAGAACAACAAGATGCAAGCCACTACAAACTTGGCGTTTCACCGGAGGTATTCTTCACTATGTACAGGGCTGAGAACATCTCCACACGCCGGCTGGGCTAGTGTCACCTAGCTGCCTGGCCTCCTCCCTCTTCAAGCAAGGCCCCAAATGTTGCATTTGATGCTTATGCTCCATGACTGGTCCCCGCGAAAAAGACTACTTCGACTTGTTGATTGATCACGAGCACGGCAGTTCCATGTGACTGATGTAGGACTTTTCAGAGCCCCAATAACTCCCAATATTGCTCATTGCGGTGAGCGGCGAGGCTTTTCGGCGTTGACTCGTCAAGTTGGACAAGGCGAGTCAGGGACTCAGCCGCACGACTCTAGCCAGGCACCGTCAAGTCCTAGTCAGGCCGGATGAACTCCAAACCGGCCCTCATTTCTACCATGCATGATTATGGTGGCCAGTGACCTACTCCCACCAGCGCCTGGTCCTTGGCTGCCAAGACCTGCAGTGCAAGGCGACAGGGTCTAATAATTAAGCATAGCTGGAGCGAGGCGTTGGACAGGGGCTGGTGAGGAGATGGCTCAATCCGATGGCCGTGGTACGCTCGCCAACTTACTACTTGGAGATTTGTATAGAAATAGCAAAGTCCCGCGTCCCAGCTGCTGGGCTTTTCTCTCGATGTTGCCTCTCTTTCAACCTCCGACTACCCACGATCTTTACTTGCCCTTTTCTTTTGACCCACCGGTCACTCTTTAAGCCGGTTTACGATAACCACAAACATGTGGTCTGCACTTTTGTCCCTCGCGGCTGTGCCCGCTCTGGCACAGGCCTTTGGCATCCCTGATGACAACCGCATGGTCCAGGAACCGGGCCTGCTCCGATTCCCTCTCGCAGTCTCCGAGGGCGCTCCCATCGTCAAGAACATCACCAAGCGGCAGAGCGACATCTCTCTGGAGAGCCAGCAGACTGGCTGGTTCTACACCATCGATCTCGTGATGGGTACTCCTGGGCAGACGGTCAAGGTCAACTTCGACACAGGATCCGCTGAGCTTTGGGTCAATGCTCAATGCGAGACCTCCTCCGACCCTGAGTTCTGTGCGACCTTTCCCCGGTTTACCGGCAGCAGCACACTGGTGGACCTGCAGTCTCAGAGCACCATTACATATGGCTCAGGATCCGTTGATATTGAATATGCCTACGACTTCGTCTCGATCGGAGGTGAGTGTTACTGCCTTGAACCATCAACAAAGACTAATGCCAGTCCTCTTGAAAGGTGCCAGGATCAGCCAGCAGATTTTTGGAGTTGGAACCGCCAGCGAGATTCTCACTGTTGGAATCATGGGTGCCGGCCCTGATCTCTACGGTTGGGAAGCCCCGTACCCTCTGCCGATCGACAACCTGTTCACGCAGGGCTTCATCAACCACCGAGCCTTTAGTCTCGACATGAGATCCATTGAGAGCAGCCGAGGTAAGATGTGAGGTGAGTCTATTGCCTATAATTACTAACATGCCTGCAGGTTCTGTCATCTACGGTGGCCTCGACACCAAGAAGTACTCCGGACATCTGGAAGCGCGCCCTATTATCCCGGCCTCCTCGTCTCCTGACCAGCTCACTCGGCATGTGCTCTCAATCTGCCACTCAAACGCTGCTAACCCCTCTTTAGCTACTGGATCTACGTCGACGGCATTGCTCTCACCCAAGCCGATGGCACCAAGGACACCCTCTCCACCCAGCCTCTAGGCGTGCTCCTCGACAGCGGCTACACGGTCAGCGCTTTGCCCAGCTCCATCTTCAACGTCCTTCTAGATAAGTTCCCTACTGTCCAGCCCATCCCTGGCTCCACTCTTTACGAGGTTGACTGCAGTGTTGGCGAGTTGGACGGCACTGTGGACTTCACCTTTGGCGAGACCGTCATCAAAGTCCCCTACAACGACTTCATCTGGAAGCAGCCTCAGTACGATATTTGCGTTCTCGGTGCCTTCCTCGATGACGGCGAGTCTTGACATTCCCTGATCTTAATACAACCAAATAGCTAATGCATCGACAGAGTTCCCCGTCCTTGGAGATTCTTTCCTCCGTGCTGCCTATGTCGTTTACGACTGGGACAACCGAGTGATCCATCTTGCGAACAACGAGGACTGCGGTTCCAACCTTGTTGCTTTTGGAACTGGTGTTGATGCCATTCCCGACATTGTCGGCGAGTGTGGCGGCACCCAGGAAACCACCACGTCTGAGATGCCCACTTCTACTTCTACCACTGAGGTTGAGACCACGACCGAGAGCACGACCGAGAGCGCAACTGAGAGCACCACTGAAGCAACGACGACAGCTGAGAGCACCACCGCTCCCGAGACTGACAGCACAGCCGCGGCGGATACCACCACTATTGGCCCCGCTGACAGCACTACTACTCTGTCCTTCTCTACTACTCACTACTACAACACTTCTTCCATTGCCACCTCGACCAAGTACACTGATAGCCACACCACTGACGTGTACTCGACTGATAGCCACACCACGTCTCTTAAGACCCTGACGTCGACCATCACCGCCACTAACATCTACACCATTACGTCCTGCGCTCCTACTATCACCAACTGCCCCGTTGGCTCCGTGACTACTGAGGTTGTCACCTCGTACACCACCTACTGCCCGGGCGAGGAGACCAAGCCCAAGCCCACCAAGGCACCTGTTACTAGCCTGACGTCGACTTACACGTCGACTCGCACTTACACTGTGACGGACTGCCACGGCAAGGGAAGCTGCACCAAGGCAGCCCTGACCACCGAGGTCTACACCTCCACAACAATGGTGTGCCCTCAGACCACTGCTACCTACACGCTCCACCAGACCATCAGGTGCCCATACGGCCAGGATGACTGCATGACTGGCTCAACCAAGACCATCGACCACGTCTTCACCATCTACCCCGTCACTGAGTATCCCGTTCCCACTCCGGTGCCTGGCTGCTCAAGCTGTGTTCCTCTGGCCAACAACGCCACTGCCAGTTACAAGCCCACCTACCACGCGAGTGATAAGGTTCCCTCCTACACGGCGCCTGTCTCCGAACCCACTGAGACAATCTCGGTTGTCACCGGTGCTGCCGCTTGGAATGCTCCTGGAATGGTCGCCGTGGCTATGGGTGTTCTTCTTGCCGCCGTCATCTAAGTTGGGTGTTCGCCTTCTCGTAAATATATGTAGAGGACCTTGGATTCTCGAGGATGGACTGATGGGACCTAATTCCTCTTTCCCTGCCTTGTTGTCTAGATTCTCGTACTTTAGCCTTCGTTCATAATTGTAATTAATATCACGATAAAGCAAGACTAATTGAGTAGTTCCGTTTATTACATCAGTTCCATGTATCAAGCATACTCCAGGAATGACTCGCATCTCCCAACCTGAGCCTTAGCCCGTTGATCGTCAATACGACTCATTCGTAGTGACCATGCCACGAGCGTGGGGTACGGTCACACATGGGGCAAGCTATACAAACAATGCAAAAAGAAGGTCTAAAAAGTTGTATCTAAAGAAAATGTCTGAACAAAGAATGTTGTCTAAAGAAAAAGCCAGAGATAAATCCAAATAAGTCCAAACAAAATCATCTGATCGAAAGACAATATTGCCCAAAGAAAGATATTTGGTCAAAGAATGCTCCTTCCCCTAACTTTGGGCTGAAACAAGCAGGGGTATGTTTGGCTCTGTGATTTTTGTTTGCAGGCCAGCTGCAAACCACCAGATTCAAGTGTTTGACCAAGACTTATGTTTTCAACCTAGGATGTAGCAAAGAGTACGATAAGCCTTGTCTCACTGTCTCCCTGCACATTGCGCACGACTGTGGTTGTACACCCGATCTTATTAGAGTTCGTCGCGCCGAGTGAGGTTTCTATGTGTGCCGCCTGAACCCCACCGCAAGCAAAGTCGCTCCCCCTATCAATTCATGGCATTGCCGACGAACACCTCATCAATAGCACCGAAAGGCTCGTAGTTTGCCCCCCACCTAGGCGAAACACTTGTTACCAACAAGCGTCTCCTAGCCAGTTGATATCGGATGATGATACCAGTCAGAAATCCATGTTTCCACTTTCCAGAGGCCGAAACTGTGCGACCAACTTACTCCGGGCGTTTGCTGAGGACATGACTCCTTGTCGATGACCGGCAAGACAGAAAGGCAAGAGGAAGTCTTGAGGGATTAAGATAACCAAGCCCCCAATACATCCGGAACGTAAATACCACTCTTTTGCAGACTCCTCACCCACCAAATAACATATTCATCATTGGCCGCAACAACACCCGTTGAAAACTCCATCTTCGGCAGCTTCAATACCTGTGATTTTTACTCCCGATGTATCTTGGCAGCGCTAACATGTCGATGTAGATCTAGCAACTTCTTCCGTCCCCTGTCTCTACCCTCAGCGTCCATGCCCAGCACTACGAAGTACGAGATCTACATCACTGTCCACAAGGGAGGCCCCATAGACTTCTCAAAGTATAGGCACACTGGGCTCTGGTGTGTGCCTGAGGACGGCTCCTCACATTACTACTACCATGTCAAAGGTTTGACAGGGGAGTTCTCGTTCGAATCGCGGAAGGATTTCGACCCCACAACCTCAAGAACTTTTGCCCAAAAGGTCAGGGTCGGTACGACTCATCATTCTCTGACTTCCTCTGAGCTCACTAGTCAGATGGAGTCGGTTGATGTCTTAAACAAGGACCCCGAATTCGACTGCCAGCAGTGGGTCGAATTGGCACTGAAGGCTCTCTATCATACCGGTCATCTAACTGCGGAGCAATATGAGACAGGGCTGAGCGGGATGATTGATGCAACAATGGACGCAAAAGATGAATAACGGGTGCCGTGAAGCTTGTTCGCAACGATAGGTGGATGTTCTATGGATCAGGATCCGTAAGGGACCATCTTATACCCTATCGGCTAGCTAAGAGTTCTGCCATTTGGACATGGCAATGAAGTCGACAAGCTCGTCATGATACAACTCGGGGAAAATATCCTCTGCGTACTCCTTCCATTCCTTGTCGGCAGGGCGCTGAAAGAATTTAACATACTCCCAGTATTCTGGATACCATCCGCTATCCTCCCAGTCCACGAGTCCCTTGATCTTGCCGTCCTCAACCAAGATGTTCCTGGGTGTAAGATCGCAGTGGGAGAGGACAATGCGATGATCAGTTCGCAACCGTCGAGAAAACGCTTCCCGCACGAGTGGAGGTGTTTGTTCATAGAGGGCCGATAGCAAAAACTCATTGAAGGCGCTTTCGTCCTGGCAAGCAGAGGAATGGTACGTGAAGTGTACTCTCGTGTCTCGGATTTCGCTGCCGTCACAAGCGCTGATGAGATGAGGGGGAGGAGCCACAGATCTCATCTTTTCGATCATCACCCGAAGCTGGCGGGCAATATCCTTCTTCTGTTCGGTCGACATTTCGGGCCACAGCGTGTCAAGGCTTTGTCCTTGGATGTAGCTCATGCGTATGTGGACTTGACCATTAGGAGCCGCGTGCGCGTCGTGAACACATGGTGCTGGGACTCCAGCAAGAGCGGCGACTTTGAGCGCCTCCGCTTCTCCGATTGCGATGCGTTTTCCAGATTTGACGACAGTATTGTCGGGATGTAGGACCACTCTTCGATTGAACATCTTGTGCAACACCACAGCACCTACGCGGTTAGTTGAGCGAACAGATTTTCACGGTGATTCATTGCGTGGACCGACCTGGCTCAAGCTCGTCTTCAGATCCAGACTCATCAGAAGACTGCGCTTGCCCCTTGGCTTTTCTCTTTTCTCTCAGCTTCTTGGTGTAAAGGGACTCGTCCGGTTGTTTGCCGCGTGAGCGCGACACAGCGAAAGGCGCTGGAGTCGGGGTTTGGGAATCGCTCATTGCGAAGGTTGCGTTGCAGTAGAGTGTGAAAGGTGTTTGCCGGCAGATGCAGGAGGAACTTGGCTAGAGTGCTGGAGTAGGATGTTAACGGGGTCATTGGCTTTGTTGCATATTTGAATTACTTTTACGGTTATTAGCTTAAGCCTATTATTCCGATAAGTCTTCGAGTAAAAATTGACAATAACGTTAGTTATGGTCAAGCTGGTATATTCTTTTTGGGATTTTAATAGCTTTTCATGATCGTCTTACCCCGGTCTCGGATTTGGGCTTCACTTCAGTGCTAGTGTGTGGGGAAAAGAAGCCGATAGCCCACCCAAAAAGGTGGAGGGCAGCCTTACCTTAGCGGCGGGGTGTCTTCAAAGCCGGGATTGAGGGTAGAAGAAATCAAAACCAGAGGTTAAGATAATGCACTGGTACTACAGGCATTCTCTGATCGAATGATCCACGAGGAAAGGCCGCATCAATAGACGAAAAATACCATCATTTCAGTATTCCGCGGATAGTGGCTAATGATGATAACGGACGAATCAATCTGCCATGGCATGAACTTCCCTGGAAGACCACAAGACTGACTCGTCGGATTGATCTAGTAGCCCTTCCCATGGCGCTTTATCTCAAAGGAGATACCTCGCCATGGCTCCCTCCCAGAATATAGAATTTTCTGTTTTGCCTCCAGGGATTAACTATTGAATCGACCACATGGGTATACACCCAGCAGTTCTGCTACTTTCTCCCCGAATTTTGATGCTTCCTATTAGTATAGATATATGTGCATTCTGATTTATTTTCTCTCATGTTTTAGCAGATTTAATTGTTAGGCAGTTTCTGTTGGAAGACCTGATTTCTGCAACATTACAATATCCTGGTACCTTAGCTACCCTACAAGCCAGTATAGGCGGGTGTGGTGGTTTTAAAACAAGCGGCAACTTCCCCTTTTATTAAATTCTTTGATGGATATTATTGTCAAAGACAGATCATCCATCAAAAATACGAGCTCAATCTAATTATTTGAAAAAGTCTTTGGCTGCCTCTCTTGACATATTTCCAACCCCCTGAATCGCCTCATCCCGGGCTATCACACGGTCAAGTGAAATAGGCGGTGCGTTGGGGGTCCACGTGCTGTCAACCCCAATGTTTCCAATCCACTGCCGCGCCTTGTTGAATGCCTCAGCATGCTTAACAGCTGTCCCCGTTGCCGTCGTGGTCCCCTTCAAGCCGCTTTCACAAAACTTCAAGCATCGAGCTAGCATCATGCTGTGCCGATTCAGCACTTTCAGAACCACATCCACGTCTTCCTGCCGAATGCTGAGGCTGTTCAGGGACAGCGAGCTGATGGCCAGTTGCAGTCCTTCCATTTGGCCAGTGAAGGAATTGATGGAAGATGCCATCTTTGTTTCGAGAGATTGCAGAGCTTCTTTGTTGCTTCGGACAGTTTGGCTTAAAATCACCATCGGTTACCGAGTCTCTGGCTTGTAAAGGGAAAAGGGACTTACAAGGTGGCCACTCCAATTGCAAGTTCCAGTGCCTGCTTGTAGCGCTGCAGCTCAGCTTTGAATAGCGCCATGTCCGTCTCGTGAAGTAGAAGGCGGCCCTTGTCACGGCTCGAAATAAGAGGAGGTGTCGAGTGAGACGTGAGATCCGCTAATTTTGCCTTGAAATCATTACACGAGTCCCGGCATTGTTGAGTGACGGCCTTTAGGGTGTCGAAACACGCCAGCTGGTTGGGCGAGTAGTTCGAGTTCTGTTGCTCGGAAAGCTCTGTTGTTAATAATGAAAGCTGCCTCTCGACAGCTTCGATCTCCTGGCTTAGGCTCCTCAGGGTCTCGGGTGCGTTTGAATAGCCTTCTATCAAACCCCGCAGAAATTTACATGTCGAAAACGCCGCTTGGAGCACACCTAGCACGCCGACGGTGATGCTGAATGGATCGGCCATGTCTCTATTGGTTTACTATAATCTGAAGGTATTGTACGAGTTGCTAAGAAAAACAAAGGGCAATTGAACGTGGAGGTCCCTAGATTGTTTGTGGTTACGTCCGATGACGAGGTAATGAACAACTTGAGATTGAGGGGAATCTGTTGATGGGCGTGTCAGCTGAAGTTACCCCGCGTCCCGATTCACACCTGATTTATAAGGCAATGACTGACAGCCTTGATCTACTCTGGCCATGAGTGTCACGCCCCTCATTCAGCTGGTCAGACTTGCACATAAGCTTTTTTGAGCAGAAGCTACAGTAGGATACTGAAGGCCCTTTCTTGAAATATATACAGCACTAGCTAGCTGACTTAATCTTGCTAGTAATTGTTTAATTTTTAGCTTTTCAGAAAATCGTCAGATAGATCAACACCGTACAGTATCGATACACAATAGAGACATACGCTTAGTGCTACATCCAGTGCCACAAGAGAAAGTAGCTTTATAATGAACATCAATATGGAATATAGAACTGTAAATAGCATAGCGTGCCTGGCCTTATAAGGCTAGTCCTCCCAGACTGAAAGAATTTCATTTATTCAGCCGCACCTGATACCCCAGCACGTAGATAGCCTAAGCCGGTTAGTTCATGCCCAACTCGGCATACCGAGAAGACAAGGCTGTCTGACGGGGCAGTGTCGTGTCTCTTCAGCCGCACAGAAACCTCGACATTTCACCTCATTCAATCCCTGGGCCTGACAGCGCCAATGACTCGAGCTGGCGGCCCATGATATGGATCAACTACGGCGGGATGATGTTACCGCCGACTTCTTTGGCCCCGACAACGAGGCGACGTTGGCTCCGCCCGGCAGGGTTGCTATCGCTCGAGACAATGCCAGGCTCTTCGTCGGGAACGTCATCAACAATCATGCAGCCCCGCCTCGCCAGGACACGTTTGATATTGACTCTGAACGGTCGTCTCTCATGACTACATCCGGGCTGGATCCAATCACGTTGACAGCAAAGGTTTTTGAAGCCGCAACCCCCGTCGCCAGTGCCCTGCGATCATGTCAGAAGCAGGCTGCGCGGTTCAAGATTGGCGCTCTATCCATTGCATCTCTGCACACGGAGTGTTCGGCCATTCGGACCACGCTTCTCCAGATTAAGTCTCTACTGTCGCGAGACGGGCAGAAGCCTCTCACGATCGAGTCTGGGAGGATCATCCTCGAAGACTATTATGGGGTGCTCGAGTTTAGCTGGCTCCTGTTCAATGTCATCCTCAAACATTTGAGGAGTCTTGGCCTTACCCAGTTGGAGGGGATGAGCAAGGACGACTTTATAGCTAACATGGGGAAGTTTTGGGAGTATCGTGAAATGGATGAAATCATCCAGGTTCTCGGGCGTCAAGCTCGAGCAGTCGATCTCTTTCATGTGGCCTTTCAATCGCACGTTTTCCGCAGCCATTCTGCTGCTCAGGGGAACGCTAACAAGACTCAGGGAAACGGAGCACGAAATATCCGCCGTCATGGAAAGCCCGGAAGTGAGGCAGGTCATTGCAAGCATCTCTGACGATACAATATCGCTACACGAGTCCTTTTGTACAGCACCCGAAGGCGCATACCCCCCGGAAACGGCATCTGTGACTAGCGGGCGAGAGTTTGGTTTTGATCAAATTCTAAAAAGCACCGCGCTTTACCGGAGAGCATCCATGTTAGCCGGGCAAGGTTTGATATTCCAGCACCAGCGCCTGTTTCACAACGCAAATATAGAAGAAGCTGGTCCCTCTCATGCCGAGTCGATAGCGGCCCCGCAATTGCCTTTAGCGGTACCACTAAGCATTCCTCCCAGCATATTGCCTACTCCGCGAGACAACGGCAAGCTGCCAGAAGGTAGACAAATGATATCGGATGACGAACGCCTTAGTGCCTTCTTGCGTGACCGAAGGCCTTCAGTTGGTTCTGACTCGAGCGCGAACACTGTCAAAGCCGCACCGAGTCCACCACAGGTCTCTGTCTACGAAGGTAGTACCAAAGCCGATTCACTAGTGGAACCCTCTCTAGGGGAAACGGTATTCAACCCAACCTTTCCCGCCGACGACAGCGTAGACCTGTATAAAGCAGCCAAAAGACGGCCAACCTTGTTCGAAGTTCTCTACCGGAGAACGACGAAGCCATACTCATTATTTGAGTTCTATATATATATGAGAGACGTACAGCATTCCGTTGACTATCTCGACTTCTGGTATGTACCGGTGCCCTGCTTTCCAGCTCTGTCGATTTTAACTAGTGACTAGGCTGGATGTCTCGCAACACATGAGTCTCTGTCGACACTACGTGAGAGAGTTGCGAAGGACCGTACTAGTCGACTTCTCCACACACGAATCGATAGAATCAGTGGACGATGACGGAAAGTCACACACTGGAAGTCAGGTATTCCCGGGACCGGGTCACTCGGTGGCAAGACAAGACATTCGAGCGAGCGCCGAGAAGATCCTCTACACGTTCGTGCTACCCGGAGCGGAGCGTGAAATCGTCCTGCCCGGCTCCATTACCCAGGAATTAACCAGAGCGATCGAGGAAGACGGCAGGGACGACCCCGAGGTGTTTGACACGGCCAAGGATTACGTCTTCCTGGCCATGGATAGGGATGCGTTCCCGGGCTTTCTGAATCTGAGCAGGCCGCTGTTTAGGATTTTCAGGAGGTCGGACGTACTGGGCTCATTGGTGAATAGGTTGTCCAGGGTTAGCCCAGTGTCGCAGGTGGTGCAGTCGTTGTATGACGGGGGGCATGGAATGCAACGTATTCCGCCCCAGCAACTATTACAATCGCTGGGTAACGGAAAGGCGCCACAGATCTAGCAACGAAGTCTATTGTCCAAATCTCTCCTCTCACCTAGATCCATCGGTTCATTACGCAAGCTGAGAAAGGAATGTTCTGTTTTCATGAATATGCCAAGATATAAATCTTAGTCTTGCGTAGGGTTTGCAGTGTTTTCTGGTTGAATTGTGTGGATGCATCTTGTTGACTGATTTCTAATACGTAGCACATTGGGGCGAGGTTCGGTTCCGATTTTTTTTGTTAAATCTACAGTTATACATTATTTCATTCGAGATGCTTTTATCTTCGGCTTCATATATTTGGCTGATCTTTCGGGGATTGTCTTTTCATCAAAGCCTTTTCTGAGCGTAGGACGTCACGGCCTAGATATCATGAAATATATCTGGATTTACTTATGAAGGACGTTCTTGAACGGTCTATTAAATTGAAAGCAACTGCTTCCATTTCACTTCAAAATACACTCTTCTTACCATATGCAACAGTGTTCCCGTAAGGGCCGTAGCAACCGCAGATCCTAAACATAGTGCACAGTTATTTGTGATAACATTATAAAACATGTCCTGCAACAAGCAAACAGGGACCAGTCTATACAGCGGTACATGTTAATGAGGTCATCGTGTCCACGTTCTTGAACGACTGCGGAAGTTATCGTGGAAACAGTGCTCCTACCATATTTAACCAATAATTCAACCCTGAAACAAATCAAGATCCAGATATTCCAACGCAGCCGATGTATGGCATGTATGTGTTTAGGGTGGTCTAGTTCCGTCGAGAGAAGCTGTGAAAATACTCTTGGAGTGCGGCTGAGGTAGTTCTGTTGGAGAGACCCACGGAGTACGGTGTCTGGTAGGTTGAGAGATAATGCAATGACTACACCGGTTCAGAGCAGATTCGTTTGTGGAAAGAGCTCTGTAACGTTGATGCCGACCCTTTCTGGTTAATGGCCAATTCCTTCATCCTTTTGAATCCTTCGACTAGGGCGTTTCAGGCTACGGCTGAACCATCCTCACGAAATTAGAAGGTGGTCGGAGTCATGTATACTTTTGTTTCAGACAAGGGTCGTGGGAGGCCTGAACGGGCCACTTTTGACAGGGTTGTCTAACATGGTGTGGCTGAGCATAAAAGTCCGAGCCGTCCCCATACTACGTCGGATACGAAAGAAAGGATTTCTCACGAGAATAAGCGCTAACATGTCTCGTGGTATATTAGCTGTGGATCATGAGTCGCTGAGGAATGCATAGCCCGCCGAGTCTAGACCTACAACGGTTGGGCGTCACTGTCTAAAACCTGGCAGCAGCATTCCTGTCAACAGTCTAGACGTCAGCCCACTCAAGACAGGGAACTTATCCTCCGAAATTGGAGCACACTAACGTGTATATATGTAGCTTCATCTCTCTTGGGAATAGAAAAAATCACCGGCATTCTACTGTACATAATTTATCATGCATCTTGTTTCTTACTTGTCTGTCGCGTTGACGGCCGTTGGCCTGGCTGTGGCCGCGCCGCAGCCGGGTGTCATGAAGCGCTCCCCAGAGCCTACCTTTGAAAATGGCAAATACCTGGTCGATCGTGCCACCTCCTTCTCCAAGAAGGCAACTTACACCTTCACTGGAAGCAGTCTGCCCCAAGGATTGTCCGCAAGCAACTACAAGGCCGGTAGCACCCACAGATTTACCCCGTCCAACATCAAAGTCCGCAATGGCTACCTTGAGCTTCTGGTCAACGGAGGCCAGACCGCAATGCCGTACAAGAGCGGCGAGGTTGTTACCGATATCGAGAACATCAAGTATGCTAGTGTTAGAACTGTCGCTATTTTGTCCGAACCCGCTGGCGTTTGCAATGGTAAGTTCACATCGACCTGTAAACAAATTGAGCTCACAAGTTGACACTTCCAGGCATGTTCTTCTACAAGTCTGACACACAGGAGACGGATATCGAATGGCTTTCCGATAAGAATTCGGAGTCTAATGCCGGCACGCGCAGGCTCTGGTTTACGAACCAGGATGCAAACGGTGACGGCAAAAGCACATACAAGGCGGTCACTCCGCCCTCGAACCCGACTACCACTGAGCATGAGTACCGTATCGACTGGACGGCCGGTTTGGTTAAGTTTTACGTCGATGGCGTCAAGCAATGGGAAACAACCAAGGACGTCCCCAGTCAGTCTGGTCCTTGGATCTGGAACAACTGGTCTAATGGCGACAAGGGCTGGAGCGCTGGACCTCCGAAAAAGGACGCTGTCTTCAAGATCAAAAAGATCGAGATGTACTACAACACTGCTTAAGTTCAATGTCTCTAGACGGTATAGGTGTCCTCTTGGGTTCTTGGATACTTTGGAGAGCATTGTAGGTGTTTGTACTTAAGGGAAGACCATGAAGAAAAAACACGCGATATATGGGCAATTTTGCTTCACATTGACGTATACATTGACGTATACATTGACGTAGCTGCAATGAAGTGCCGGATTGCTCGAGCACTAAAATTCTGCGACCGAAGGTGCACCATCCCACATGGAGACCAAAATCTGTCTCTCTCCTTCCCAAGGCTCGCGGCCATGTGACACTTGGAAGTTGTCCACGAGAAGAAGGTCACCCGGCTCCAAGACTAGACTAATCTCCTCCTTATCAATAACGTCTATAAGCTTGTCTAGGTACTCCCGGGGAATTGGAGTGCCGTCGCTGTAAACACACGGGAGATCTACTCCTTGTCAGCCAACTTGAACATGATACTCCGAAGCAGACAACTTACAAGTCATTCCATCACGGCCGATATGTGGTGGGTTGAGAGCACCAATGTCTCGCGTGATTCCATGACGTCCTACGAGTCCGTTGAACCAGACAGGTCTGCCGCTTGACGGTAACCTCCGAAGGCCTATTCACATAATTAGCACTGGACAGCCAGGCTGGAGACTTTTCTTTATTAGCAGATGCTTGAAACCTACCAGGAATATGTTGAGTCAACTCAAGGCTATCATCCTCAAGCCATTTGAAGTCGGATGTTAATCTGCGAACTTGCTTCTCGACCTTGCTCCGTTTTGTCGCGTCGTCGTCGCCTGGTAGAAAGTCCTGCCCAAAGCTGAACTCACCTGCCCAGTTGAAGCCGTTGCCGTTGCCCTCGTTTCCGGGGGCACGGAAGACCATCTTCATACCTAGTCCGCGTTTTCGAACACCCTCGACCAACTCCGGAATCTCGGCAAGAACCTTTTCATATACGTTGGCACTATTGGCGATCGGCGTTGCGCCACCTGGCGTATTGGGGTCAACATTACTCTCTCCTCAATCGCCGTCCCGAGATGGAAGAGAAAATCCATGGCCCTACCTTTCGGCGCCTTCTTCACGCAGTAGAAATGAATGTTTGCTGGAAAACGCGTGTACCTGGAGTACTGCATGGTGTTAGCCAACGGGCATTTGCCACTCGACGATGACACCAACTCCCCTGTCATACCTCGTTATGTTGGTAGAAGCGACGGTCAGCGGGCCCTTCATTGGCCGTCCATATGGCTGTTGCCACTGGTGTCCTAATGCCGGCGAGGCCGATCTGCTCGTGGGGGGACGAACCCCGTGCTTCTTCTACGGCACAAACGAGATCGGAGAAGGTCTGCGCCGAGGCGTGACCCATTCCACGCAACAGCACGGCACCGTGACGTTCCAGAAGCTCCTGGATCTTCCCTGATGATGCCAAGGCTCGCAGGGCTGAAGCAGACTCAGCAACCGGGGGCGGCCCGCTCTCGCCGTTGACCTGGAGCCCGTAGGGAAGCACGTTGCCAAAGTATGTCCTCGCCCCCGGGACGTCGAACGGCTTGAACTCGACTGGTGCGGCCATCGTTGCTATAGAGGCAAGATATCTCGGCGTTGATAATCCGATGTTGCTCTTGCACCTGTCAGCCGTCGTTTATATATCAACCGTGTCGTAATCCGCGTTTCCAATTACTACCTGAAGTCGGCACGGCCCCGACACGACGGGGATGATTGAGTATGACCAGGTGGGCTCCCCTCGCCATGGGCCCAATCACTTCAAGTGTTGGTATTGCGAATCAGTCGCACGAATGACGCGATAGGCCGAATGGCGCGTTAGCTATTTCCCATCCCACTTGCTTTAGATCTTCAACATCCCCCCTCCACCGTTGCATGCTCACTTTGACTTCTCTTTGGTCAATATCCTAGCATCTCCGCCCCGTTATTGCGTGCTCAATCTCCTGTTACGTCAAGTCAACCCGTGCTAGCGGATATACGTCCGAAAGGCCCATTGTGTAACCCTGGTTGCAGGAGTCGGTCAAAGGCCCGAAGCGAACGACTAATTGGTCATACTATGGATCGGCCTTGACATTATACGAAATATGTGGTTATCCTAGCCAAGTACGGAAATAATTTAAATATCCAGCTCTACTTATAAGTAAGCTCTGTCACCTTTCCTTTTGTTGTGCCGTCAACTCCCATACCAGGAAAGTCTCACGTTCTCAACATATAGGAAAATCCAAGGACCATTGTTAAAATGGGTTCAAAAGATGACTTGGCGATTAAAAGTGAGTCGTGATAACGTGAGAAGCGGCTATATGTCATCTAACCGGTTATGCTAGCGTCCGACGGAAGCCGGGAACCCACCGACCATGGCAATGGAAAAGACGGCAACAATGTTTTGGGCATCGTTGAAGCAAATGTCCTCCAGGAACGCACCATTGGAGTATTCGGCGCTGTCTCGTTAGTGGTAAATAAGATCATTGGCGCAGGGTATGTCATAACTCCGACTCGATTAGAAGTTCTTTACTCACCAGAGTCAGCATCTTCTCGACGCCTAGTACCATCTACAAACTCTCAGGCAGTGTCGGCATGTCACTGATGTGCTGGGTCATTGGCGCCATCATCTCAACCTGTGGTATCTTCGTCATGCTTGAGTTTGGTGCTGGCATCCCAAGATCCGGAGGAATCAAGAACTATCTCGAGCGATCGTTCCATCCGCGATTGATGCAGACATGCATTTACGTCTTCTACTGTGTTTTCCTCCGTGAGTCTCCCTGACTGTCTTATCTACTTCATCACCGAGCCATTGCTAACCTTGCGACGTCACTAGAAATCTCCGCGAGCAATGCCATAACGTTTTCTTCGTACATTCTCGTTGCCGCTGGGGTCGAGTCGACGACGTGGAAGCTTCGTGGCGTCGCAATAGCAGGGGCCATCTTTGCCGTCGGAATGCACACTGTAATCCCACGTGTTGGGCGAGCCTTGCAGGACCTGCTTTCTGCCGTCAAGCTGTTTACTCTCGCTTTCATCGTCTGCTGCGGCTTCGCCGCGCTCGGGGGTCATCTCAAAGTTGAGAACCCAGGCAACTTTTCGAACGCGTTTAAAGGCACGTCTAGCAACGGATACAATATTGGATCTGCGATTCTGAATGTCATTTTCTCTTTCCAAGGGTATGACAATGTCAATGCTGTAAGGAAACATCAAGAATTCGACTTCCGACTTGTTCTAACAGGCTTCAGGTATTATCCGAGGTCCGTAATCCGCAGAGGACACTTCGGATAGCGCTTCCCCTGTCTATGGGCGTCATAAGTGTTCTATATCTACTTGCAAATGTTGCCTACGTAAGCATTACATCTCATAGCTGCTCTTTCGATTGAGTAACTTGGCTAACTCCTCCAACAGTTTGCTGCCGTGTCCAAGGAAGAGTTCTTGGCAGCCAAGGTCACAGTTGCAGCAACCCTCTTCAAGAACCTCTTCGGCGAATCAGCAGGAACCAAAGCCCTTCCAGCACTGGTTGCGCTCTCCGCGCTTGGTCATCTTCTTGGAGTTGCCTTCACTGTTCGTAAGTCACCGTACACCTTTTCTATCAATTATGAGAAAGGCTGACTCTGGGTAGCGCGAATTCTGCAAGAATTGGCGAAGGATGGCGTTCTGCCTTTCTCAAACCTCTTTATGGAGAACAGACCGTTTCGAACTCCAATTTACAGTCTGATACTTCACCTGGGCGTCACTATTCTCTTCATCTGCGCTCCACCAGCGGGCGATGCTTTCACTTTTATTGTCAGCTTGTCGACGTACCCGACGACTGCTTTACTTACAGCGATCACGGTTGGATTGGTTAAGTTGCGCCTTACTAAAAGCGAAGACTTTCAATCTCCGCTCCGCGCTCCCTGGGTCCTTGTCGTCGGCTACTTGGCAGCCAACATTGTAAGTTGTCTTTACCAGCTGCATTCTGTCGTGGAGTCCGTCGCTAAAAGTCTCGCGTCCAGTTCCTCCTTGTCATGCCTTTTGTCCGTCCTCCCAATGGCAAAGGTAGCACTTCATTGCCATATTGGCTTTCCTCTGTTGTGGCGTTGGGGATTCTGTCATTGGGTATTGTTTACTATGTGTGTCGATTCGTGCTGACACCACTGGTGTTTGGATATAAGAACGAAAAGGTCCAGGTTGAACTAAGTGACGGGTCAAAGGTTACTAGATTTAAGAAAGTGGCCGGAGCAACGGATCAGTAAAAAACCCACCAACAATAAGATCAACAATAGTGAAAGTTATATTTTCATGTATTAGCTTGGTTATATCTATTCATGGTAAAATTATAGATTATCAACACAAAATTATAGTAAAGGGAGATAATCTATCTAATAGTGCTAAGTAAAAATAAAAATGAAGTTAAATGTTATAAATTACTTCATATACTTTTCTTTAAGATGTTCTGAGTGTCAAAACACAAACAATTAAGGCTTTTATAGTGATCTCAGATTTCAAGAAGTACTAGAAATATATGGCATATTCCTAAACTCAAGAGTGAATCTCATAATAATTTACACTATCTAGAACCCTTATCTGCCCCTGGGACTCATTTCAGTTCCTATTTGTTAGACCAGGCAGCTGTGTCATATCCATCCATCCACTCCAAAAATTCGCCACCCGCTATAGCCCAGCCCTTGATTCCTCCGACCAATATGAGACTCTCCATAACTTCGTCTCCAGAATCGACAATGTAGTCACTGAACCAACCGGCGGCTCGTGGGCCACGTCCACGTGAAGAAGCTGTTCTTATGTTCAGACATTCTCTTCTTCCCAACGGATGAAAAAAAAAAACCATCAACACGCAGTGGGATCTTATAACTCACAACAATACCAGATGACCTTGCGAAACCCTGCAGCCTTGAACATATCGTAAATAGTTGGTATGGTTGGGTACAGGCTTTGTGCGGGCAGGTTGATAGATCCACGAATTGTACCGCCCTGAAGATGCGCGTAAGCAAGAATGATAAAAGAGCATGCGAAACACCATGCCTGCCTCCTCTTTACCGATGGACGGAGGAATCAAAGGTATCAACATACCTCATGGTCATTGCGGCGCAAATCGACTAGAATAAAGTCGCGGTCGGCGAATTTGTCACATCCCTTCAGCATCTTCAACAGCTCCTCTCGCGTCACGCCGCCGGGCTGTGATTCCCTTGGCGCTGGGAACGCAGCGTACCAGGGTGGAGGGTTTCCGGGCTCGTGTGCAGATGCCATTATTGTGATTTCTGATACTGATCTGGGTCTGTTAATTGAAACCGACGTGTTATATCGGTGAAAAATGGTTGCAAGTTTCAACATGTTTTTGGCGGCGCTGACACGAAGCGAGCGTGGACCGATCATTTGTATCAATGTCAAGGTTATGAGGCAGTGGCTGGAGGGAGCCTGTCACCTCCAAGATATGATTGGAATGTCAAAATTACCGCAACTACCGGGACACTTGTTAAGGCTTAACGATGATTGGACCGCCGACCAAACTTCTTCTTGCATGAGGCTAATGAGAGGAGCTAATAAGGTCCAACAACGCAAACAGCAAGTCTGTCTCCACACGGCATCCATCTCCTTCACGGATTGCTCCTCTAAACCCGGGTTCTAACCAGCTGCGTAAAGCAGTGCTATCCAAGCCTTTGTAATTTTGTTGAGCGATGATAAGATATGCATCTCGGCAGCGAGTGGTCGATTTGCCGGGTTCTGGAGGCGGCAAGTGACAGCAGTTAGAGTCTGCAGAGCCTGCAAATGCCTCGTAGTCCGGTAGATGCCCTTGTAACATGATGTCGTTTCCAGACGGGGCCAATAACTGGGGTGGATGAGTACAAGATGGGTCCACGATAGGGATGGTCTCGCTTTGAAGAAGAGAGGGCTGCTGGATCGGTTCGTCATTTCCTCTCTGTGCCAGGGGGCAATGGTCATCTCCCAGAATCATGGCAGACTCTCCCACTGGGACTGATAGACAACCATGACTAAATTCCAATGGCTCAGCCGCTGCATCAACCGCAGTTGAATGATCTTTCGACTCGCCGAGACTCCGCAGCGACATCGATTTGTTGTGCATTTTTGATTGGTCCAGTTCCCGGGAAAGCTCGTCGATACGGGTAAGAGCACAGTTAAGCTGTGTCTGAGTATCTGCTAGACGGGTCTCGAGTTCCACGATTTGATCCTTGACTCGCTTCCGGTGGCGTCGCTGGTTGTTGCGCAGCCTGGTGGCCTTGTGATCGGCCGGCTTTGCGGACCATTTGCTCATCATCTCGGCGATGGGGATTCCGTGCCGAGTCTGGGTCGCCCCCGTAGGATAATCTCATAGAAGAGAAAGATCCAAAATAATGATGTTGTGACATGGGAGAACTCACGACTTCACAATGATTGGCGGCCGCTCAAGCCATGATGTGGCGATGACAGATCAAATATTTGCTGCTTTGGGCCTAGTGCGCCAGACGTTGCATCATCACCTCAAAGGGTAATAATCGAGTGACAAACGGTCTCGCTTGCTGGTCATGTGCGTTCGAGGGAGTGCTTATGGATACAGACCAGCACGGCTATAAATCCCACGAAGCACGATGCATGCTGCCAAAAGTTCACGGCAAGCACATTTGGCAAGAAATCACTACCGACTTCATGGATTCTCACGACATTTATGATCAAGTCCGCGCTCATTATAGCACTGCCTCGCAAAACAACAGTGCCGAATATGGAAGCGCCATTGCGAAATCCTTCGGGTACTCTGATGAAGAACTCGCAAGCATCCCTACAGGATCGAATCTCGGCCTCAGTTGCGGGAATCCTCTAGCCATCGCTAGTATTCGTGAGGTTTGTCACATCCATAGGGCTTTCAACACCAGGTGCTTGTACTAAATCTTTGGCTCCAGGGCGAGACGGTAATCGATCTCGGTAGCGGAGCTGGTTTTGATGCTTTCCTTGCTTCCAGCAGAGTCGGGCCGTCTGGAAAGGTCATCGGCGTTGATATGAACAAGGCACTGATTCCCAGACCCTTCAGATATGTCTTTGGATCCTAATTCTGACATATGTAACAGGATATGCTTGCAAAAGCCAACAAAATTAAGAGTGAAACGAGCAAAGCCAATGTCACGTTTGTTGAGTCGCGCATCACTGACATGGCGGCCCTTGGGTCTGGAATTGCCAACTGCATCATCTCCAATTGCGTTATTAACCTCGTTCCGGCTGCGGAGAAGCATTTGGTGTTCAATGAGATGTTCCGTCTTTTGAAACCTGGCGGTCGTCTTGCCATCTCAGATGTCCTCGCGAAGAAGTCATTGCCGGAAACGCTTAGGTCTGATATAGCCATGTACGTCGGGTGCATTTCGGGAGCAAGCGAAGTTCATGAGTATGAGCAATTCCTTCAAGATGCGGGTTTTCGAGGTAATTGCCTTAATTATGACTTTCTTGGGACTGATCAATAGACTAATGCGTGTTGGTTAAGAAATCGTCATTGCCGACACGAAGAGCGACCTCAATGTCTACATCCAGACCAACAACGATGGCTCAAAGAAGGCAGATTGTTGCATCCCGTCAGAAGTAGGGAAGTCAACTTCTAACCGTGCCATGGACCTCCGTGTGCCGAATAGAAGCTGTGAAAGCTTGACAGATACTGATCTGAATGAGTGGGTTGGTGAGCAGAATATCCATTCCGAAGTGTTACCTGGAGATCTAACAGAGGAAAAAGGGTCATTCAAAGTTTACGCCGTCAGGGAATGATGCAGTACAAGGGGAGCAAGTACAACGAGTTTTATTCCATGTGTCCTGGGATTAACTGCCAGAACTTCCAGGGATGCGATCGATTGCTAGTATATCACAATAGGCTAGTAGTTAAATTAACACACCAAAATCTTTCGAACATTACTTCATGATCTACTAATTCCGCAGGCACCATGTCGTTTTCTTCTAGCTTCCATTCCTTCTAAGCCTATGCCATTACTCTAATACCATCCGTATTTTATGAGCCTTCAGTTCCATTAACAGCCGGATTTGCCTTGTCAACGTTCTGTTCAGCGACCAACTTGACCCTTCGTTCCTCGCGCTCGCTGAAGCGGTCGCCAAACAAGTGGAAATGAGGACGCATCACCATAGTGTATTTCACCAACTCCTCCATGCAGTCGACGACGCGATCACGGTTGGAACTGGGCAGCATGCGGCTGCCTTCAGATTCCGAGGTGAACTGCGTATAGGCTTGCGGGACGGAGCTCTGGTTAGGAATGGCAAACATGCGCATCCATCGGCCCAGGATGCGCAGAGAGTTGACAGAGTTGAATGACTGAGATCCACCGCTGACTTGAGCAACTGCTAGGGTACGACCTTGAGTTGGGCGAACTGAACCTGACGATAGCGGGATCCAGTCAATCTGCTGCTTGAAGATTCCGGTCTATGAACTGTGTCAGCATCGCATTTTCCTGGTCCTCTTCTAGCATAAACTTACCAGATTTCCATGCTGCTCTGGGCTGATCCAAACGTGGCCATCGCTCCATTTGCTAAGCTCCCGCAATTCCTGCACCTTGGGATGCGTGTGCTGCACATCATCCTTTTGCGGAAGACCAGCGGGATCATAGATGCGGACGTCACAGCCTAGACGAAAGAGGATCCGAGAGGATTCGTAGGCTAGTAATCGAGAGTACGATCTGGTCATCGAAATTATAGTCCTGTTATTTCAAAGCTGGAGTGCTGAGGAGCATGTGGATAAACTAACCGACTTCTCATGCTTCCATACAGGACGAGAATGCGTAGTCTTTCTTGCCCCCGGCTGATGATTTCCGACTCAACCATCTTCAGCGCCGTACTCATCTCTAATTGCGCGACCCAGTCGACAGCTTCATGTTCCTCTTCCAGTAGGAAAGGGCGGTAGCGCTCGCGCACCTCCGGTTCATCATCGTCCTTGGAAATGGCGAATGACCGACCGCGATACGCAGGGTCTGGGGCAAGCTCTGCTTGAGGCCGTGCGGCATGAGAATTGTTGAGGTCACCGTGGCCGTTCATGTTGCGTGAAATGTGAAAATTCCGGGGCAATGTTCGCGACTGACGGAAAAGATGGCACCACAGACTAAGAATTGGTCGAGAACCGAAGGCCGGGAGAAGTGGATTGACTAGCATGCCTGAACCTTGAGTGAGAGAGTGAGAGAGATTTATGACAGAGGGGATGAGACGGCATAGCCTCTTTTATATCTGGCCCCGTTGCTCCAATGTTTATCAATCTGTCCACCCCCACGCTTCTCGCTGCGGCTACTGCGTAGTGTCAAAGGGAGTCAGTAAAGCAGTACGCCTTCCAAACAGCGAGGCCGGCAAAAAATGTGGGGGACTTTCTTCCTTGGAAATTGGAGAGGATGTCACTTATTTTACTACAGGGCTCTCAGGAACTCCAACTTGTCATACTGCGACGACGACACAAACAGACAGAAGAAAGTGAGGGTTGAGGTGTAAAAAAGGGGACAAGCTCGTGGCTCATCAGGGAGCCTGTCATGCCCTGGTCATGATTGGGTACGGTATCAGCAGCTAATGTATCACGCGGCAGATGTGTGGGGCTTCTAGTAAGTGTGCTGTCCATCGATACAGAGAACTAATAGTTCCCTGCGGCAATAGAATGAGATCTGTCATATCTTACCCCACCTGGAGAACCAATGTTTATGAAGCGGAGGTAGTTTGAGCCGAATTGGGTCATTGAGTTTGAGGTGCTACGCTCAGTGGGCAGCCGAAAACACCTGAAGACTTCTTTAAGTGTTTGGGATCGCGTGTAGATCATGTGTAATCGATTCCCAGTTTAGCTAGCTAAACAAAGCAAACCTGTGCCATAAGCCCTGTAGCGTATGGTCATGACTGGAGAGTCGACGTCCTTAGGGTTCAGCTATTTCCGAGCTATGAGGTTTAATCCACCGCGGTACGTTTATTAGAACCGCAGAACTTGTGACTTGTTCCGAGTGTCGCAATTAACAGGGATTCAGAATCGGGGCTCGGTTGTCTCAGCGCAGCCGTAAATCTTTAATGGAGGCGCGGGTGCACAGTCGACGATAATGAAGAGCGACTTACTGACCTGCACACCCCGCTAGAATATCTCCCCTTCGAAAGTATAAACAAATCCATGCTCACTCTTTTCCTTGGGGGTTAAAGTAAAGGATTCACGGAATTCGGGATTAGGGACTGGAAACTCGAACTCCGTCCGGTGACGGCGTTTGACATCACCGGATCGGTTCATCCCGGAAGGTATCCACAAGGCGCTCCTCCTGTCAGCCTCTGCTTTGTCTCTCCTCATTTCTCGCATCAATTCAGCCTCCACCGCTTCACCGCAAATCCCCCTGCCATGGTGAGTATCATTGTCAAAATCGGCCTCTCGGCCGTGGCCCTCCTCGCTGTGCTCTTCCAAGTGTGCCTCAAAGACGCGGTTTGGCTGGGCTTAGGGATCGGAAGGACCATCCAGCCTCTCTCCGACTTCCCGTACTCATGTCGGAGGATTGCAGATACTCGCATGGAGGCTTGCGAAGATATGTGGCTGTCCGAGTCAACTCGCCAGCTGTTTCTCGCCTGCTCGGATCCTATCTCTCGGTCTCACTGGTCGCCTAGGTAAGCCCGCATTCTACCAAAGTGGCGCGCGAAATCGCGTTGCACCACCTAACGGAGGTGGACTACAATGCATTGGTTCTCTCATGCTGACTTCTAAGTGTCGGTGACTTTAATCTTACTGGTCGTTCTAAAAGAGATGCCATGGTCGTATTGGACATTGACAAGCCTCTTGATGATGGATTTGAGCTGCGAGTCGTCAAGACGCCGGGATATACCGGAACGGCGGGTGACGGCTTGCTGAGCCTCGCAGGGTTCTCAGGCACCGACAACATTGACCAGGGTACAATTGAGTTATTCATTGTCAACCATCGTCCTTCGGTTGACGCTGAAACTGGCGAGTTCCTGGACCATTCGGCTGTTGGTGGCAATTCCACCATTGAGCTTTTCGAGACCGGACCAGACGCTACCGAGCTGAGGCACCTCCACACTTATGTTAGCAAGCACATCGCTACACCAAACCGAGTTGCTGCCGTAGGACGTGATTCGTTCTATTTCACCAATGACCACGGGCCAAACAAGCTTGGACTGGTGAGCGATGACAATCTATGTGACTGGACGTCACTAATCCAAATAGCAACACCTCCTCTCACCTATCCTCAGCACAGGGGATGTGACATTCTGCAACAAGGCCGGCTGTAAGCCAGTTGTTGGAGGACTCCAGTTTCCCAACGGCCTTTCCATGGGCCAAGACGGGCTATTGTACGTCCCCAACTCCCTGCCAGGCACCGTCGGGGTCTACCGCATCCTGCCGGACAACGGGCTCGAGAAGGTCGACGAGGTTTTCCTCGGGTTCAGCATCGACAACCTGTCCGTCGACAAGCACGGAGATATTTTCGCAGCAGCGTTTCCTGTGGGCATTGACATATTCAAGGCCTACAAGGATCCGTACAATGCCCGTCCCCCGTCTGCGGCTCTGCGTATGCGAAAGGACGAAGGCGGCTATGTCGTTGAGAAAGTCATCGAGGATGCATTTGGTGATGCACTCCCTGTGGCCACCACTGTGGTTCATGACGTCAAGACCGGGCGACTGTTTTTTACGAGTAAGTATTAGTCCATTGTGAATTCCTCCGTTCTTGCTAACCGCCCCCAGGTGTTATTGCGCCGTTCATCACAGTCTGTGAGCCGAAAAGCTAGTGTGAAACTGTACATACCTAAACTAGAGGACTGGTGTTCATAGACGTTGATTTCGAGAAAACGTAAATACCCCACTCAACATCTAATTCAAATCCATATAATAAAGCCCAGCGTTGTTGCTATTATCCAAGTTACCCAACCTCCAACTCGGCCGTCAGACATTCCGACGCCTGCATTATCCCACAGAACAGTAGTTTTTCCTGCGTCGGTTGTCTCATCAATGCTGCATACTGCGTTGCACGTATCCTCATCGCGCTTCGTCGCCCAGAAGTTCTCCTCCACCAAGTTCTTGGTTGTGGTATTATACAACACCTCGATCCATTGGATCTGCTGGCTTGCCTCATCGTTCATGGACATGTTGCCACTCCACGTGCCACCATCACTCCACGTGCCACCATCACTCCACGCGCTGAAGTGGAGGTCCGTTGCATCTTTCGGCGTCTGAAACTGTATGCTTGCGACTTCTTCGCCGTTGACATACCATTTTACCACTTCGGGGGTCCAGTCCAGGCGGTGTACAAGCCAATCGGACCAGTCCGGCGTAGTCGCATTCCTCGTCGCCCTTGGAATTTCACCGCCGTCGTCTGTATAAGACGGCTAGTTCGTGTACTGGATCTTATTCCGAGGACCACGGGTTAAAATCTCAACATCGGATTCCTGAATGTCGGCCAACTCCCCGGACTCATCCCGGTAGGTGTACATGCCGGTTACCGCCCCGGCGCTCCCAATAGTTCGTGCTAGCATTCGCATGGACACAAAGCGATAATTGTTTTTAACACTTTGGAATTCTGAGACAGTTTGAAAGCCTGGCATTCGCTTTGTCCGCAACGTCATATATGTGTCAGAAGCAGCGTCGTCGTCACGGTTTTCTTCGATAAAGACGTTACTCCGCGAATTGATCATGAGGACGTATGCATCGTTCGACAGTCCTTCACCTGGCCCGTAACTGTTGTCCCATGTTTGTATGCCCCACACGTCGGTCCAGTTGTCGTGGCTGAAATAATCACTCGAGTAAGGTGCCAAGTGCGCGGTTGATGAATTTGTCCTCACATCCGGGATGCCAGCGTATTGTGAGAGAGATCTAAAGTCGTAGAACATGCGTTTGGCATAGTACGTCGGAACGGAACCGTTGATGAGAAAACAATCGCAGTCGGCATCATCAACCAGCTGCGAGCTTGTAGAGTGTGCTGCAGCTAAAATGGCGAGTACCCGCAGCAGGCATGAGGATGAAGTGGACAATGATATCATCATTATTCAACAACGACGTGGACTGTATGTAATACTCGGCGATCGAGACGCGGGCCCAGGTTTCTTTTAGACAATATGATGTACTCATGTATAAGCAGAGATAATACGACAACAGACATCAACCTGGCGTGCTATCTGGCGCGGGCCGTCGCAGAGGGATCTTTAAAGACCTGCTTAAGTAAATCGCGCACCATCTCAGCATCAGTGCTGCGTCAGTTGCGGCGAGCCTGAGACACTGTGCAACGAGAAAGATGACAACTGAATCTTGGCTGCACGCACAGATCAATCGGATGGCGGCCGGGCTTCGTATTCACGGGGTTGACCGCATTGGCTACACAGAAGATCGAGTGGCGAGTTGAGTGGGGCAGCATCACTCCTCTGGAAGCACTAAAATTGCAGTGAAATATCTGCCTGAAAAAAGCGCCGTATCTCCCCTCCAAGCACTAAAATTGCAGTGAACTCTCCGCCTCATGAAGCTCCTCCAAGCACTAAAATTGCAGTGAAACTTTTCCATTTCTGCCTCGCGGTTTTCTCGAAGCACTAGAATTTATTGTGCAGCCAATGAAGTACCCCAGATCGGGTGGATGTAGGTATCCGTAGGGCGGCACCCAAACTTCCCTGGAGGCACTAGAATCGCAGTGCAAGATGACTTCCGATACGTGCGCGAGCTGTAGTGGCGCACCCGTGACCCAACGCCCCAGTAAGCACTAGAATTGCAGTGCAGCAGCATCATTGTGTTGCTCAACGAAGTGCATTGAAGAGACCTAACTCTAATACATGATGACCGGCCCCCCCAAAACCTTCGCCTGTAAACCTTCGACCAAGAAACCCTCTGCCCCCGGATGACTTATACTAAATGCTAAATCTCCTTTAATAGCTCTAGTAGCTCTAATAGCTATATCTTATTTTAGTTGATTCTTTTTTTTTTTTTTTTTTTTTAAAAAAACCCCCCATTTTAATCACATTATTTATAATTATATTTTTTTTTAAAAAAAGGAATTATTTAACTCTTTTTAAAATATTTTATTATAAATTAGATTAGTATAGCTGTATACCCTCCGGATCTATATACACCTGCCGCGTCCGTCGTGCCTCAAGCTTCTCCAACTCCTCTCGAAGCACGAGAATTGCACTGTAGTCCCTGGGTGTGTTGTGATGAAGGGGCCATCCACCTGGGCCAATGGATCAGCAATGATAATGAACTCTACTCCCCTCGAATCACTAATAAAATTGCATTGAAAAACTTCCACTTTTGAGTCATCATCCTGTGTTTAACTCGACAGAAAAACTACAACTACTTCTGGAGAGTATTAAAGTGGGCTATATATTATTAGCATATATCAAACCCTTCCTAAAGGAAACGTCGAAAATTTCATTACCAGTTTCAGGCAGTCACTTGGCAACCTGGCAAAACAAAAGATTCATGTCTGTTCTCCAATGGCCGTGGACCTCATACTCATATTTTCCTAGCACCTCCTTTCCACTGTACGCTATTGCTGTGTTCACGATCCACGACGGCGCCTCCATAACACCCCTTAAATCATATGTCCTCCAAAGTTTAGAGCGCTGCTCATACTTCCACATGGGGTAATCCTGTTCAGTCCAAAAACCTGCCCATGTTGAGGTAGAGAATGTAGATAAACATAGAGCTCCACATTCCGTCGGAAGTTAGTCAGTCAGAAAGTATGAAACCTCGGGATACCAAAGACATCGAGATAGTTGACTCACATGAATAACACCATGTATACGCCGTTATGGTTCTTCTCAAGATTGGAGTTCGCCGTTGAGTCGAGGGTAGCGTCCCCGTTACCAGTCTTTCTGTCGCGCGCGGGTTCGTCGGCGGCCTCGTTCAGCCGGGCAGCTTCGACATAAGGCCGTAGATGCTTTCGAATTTCGTTGGGAATGCCATAGCGTCCGTTGACTTGGCTGGCCAGGCCACAGAACTGGGTTTGCACTACCGTCTTAAACAAATCGATACCGACGCCATGCAGTGCTTCCGGCTTGTCGCGTGTCAACATGCGATATAGATCTGTGATAGTTACGGGGCTGCCGGGGATTGAAACCAGCAGCTCTGCAATTGACTGAATGAGGACTTGAGGTGCTCTTGGCCGGTAGTAGATCTCCTTCCATAGGCAACCGATGACCGCTCCGGGACTTTCGAGTTGGGACAGCACATCCATAGCTGCATTTTCTGACGCCTGCGCCACTGCCACATGGACAACAGCCCGAGCCCAGAAGAGGCCGCCGCCGACAGCGGACGTGGTGTTGCTTGCCGAATGTACCAAATCAGCGTAGTTTCCTGAGTCCTCACTCCATCCGCGTTGCTGGAACTCGTGGCGGACGTAGGTGGTTATTCCGGCTTGCATGTCGTCAGCCGTGTATTGAAGAACCGTGTGAGCCTCTGGAAAGTCTGAAACATGACGGCTGCTCAGGGCCACCTTGATCCTGGTTCTAGAATCGAGCTGCTGTATTAGCATCTTGAGTTTGCCTATCAATTCGACTCTGTCATCCTCGCAGTCGTGGATACTGTCGACGATGACCCATAGCTCGCTCAAACAGCTGACTATTTGGGTGAAGATGGGCCAGAGCTTCTCAAATGTAGTAGCATCACGGAACAGCTGTATGTAGTGCTTCTTGACGTGGAGGTTTTTGAGAAGAATGTCCGGCCGTTGTTCCAGGATCTTCCAGATCAGGGCTCTGAGGAGACGAAGACGAGTTGCTCGGAGAACTGGGATGCAGTGTAGCCATACTACAGGTGAGTTTTCGCTAGCCGAGGCACGCGCCTTTCCGCAGAGGAAGGCAGAGACGATCGTCTTGCCACTGCCGGGACCACCAACCACGCCCAGCAAGATGGAAGATCGAGAATGAGCCCAAGTCTCATACTGGTCCGTCTTCAGGATAAAGTCGCAGACCCCGTGGGTCTGGCGAGCCAGCTGGAACTGAAGAAAACTATCCTCATCCTTCTGCGCACTCGCTGAGAGCAGGTATCGCCTCAAATTTTGAGAATAGTTCCTCGCCACCGCCGTGTCGGCTTCTGCTACACTGTCAATAATCTCCGATACATTGGCTGGCTAGTTTGGATTCGGAACTACTAACGAAGTATGAGGAGGGCATTGTCTAATGGGCCGGTTAGTGAGTAGGCTGCTGGCCGATGAAACTTTCTTGCCGTGCGGACTCACGTTGCTCGTCTAGCCTAGCTTGTATTCCTTGAACTGCTACTAGAATGTCTATTACTCGTGAGAAGATTCATAAGTTCGCTGTGGCTTATAACGTTTGCAATATATGGGTGGGTACGCACCCGAATTTTGTGTCTTCATAGCCGCCATGTGGGAGGCTGTAGCGGTCCTATCAATAAGGTCAACAAGATATTTGATTCTCTCCCTGGCGGATTGGTATTTGATCTCGAAGGGGTTCCAGAAGGCATGGAAGATCCTCCGGTCTATAAATAGCGCCCACTTGTCAGCCTAGGTTGCCATGTACATGTTGTTGGGAGATAACCCACCAAGTCGGTTGCGCTTCCAGAAATCTATCATCGATCTTAAGACATCGACGATCTCGGCGTAGAGGTTGGCAACGACGCACAGCATGTGCTGTGTTGGATATAGCGTCTTGAATAGTTCCACCCGGCCAACACTGTCGGCTATCTCGGAGAGCATGCAGGTCAACTTGCTTTGGAGAGTGGTGAAAGACGAGGTGACCTAGGTGCCAATCAATCAGCCATCAGTCATTCGTGGGATGTACTCCAAGAGCTGCACACTTGCCTTGATCAGGAATACCATGGACGCCCAGACGAGGCTAACCAGCTGGGGGCTGTTTTGCACGGCTATGTCGACAACGCCCTTGTAGTGATGGATTCGCTGTAGCAAACGATCCATGTGCTGAATTGCGCACTGCTTGGTGGTGCTCTGGGCCGCCTGGGCGTTCTTGCACGCCACCAGCGCGGTAACCACATCCGTGAAAGTCGCGCATTGAGCAATTTGGTCGTATTCCTGCGAGTCGAGATTGAGTTGAAAGTGTTTCAAGGCGCTCTCGTAAGCGCCATTTGTGATGCTTCCGGACGGGCGCAAATCAGCGTGGTCGACCTCACCTGGGGGTCTAGACGAGGCCGCACTTTACCTACCTAGAGGGATCATGAGTCTCAGCGTGGACAAGGTTCTGAATGGAGAGCGCAACCGTGGCTCCGGGAGCGTCTGCGATAAGAGTGACGGAGTCCATCGAAATGGCAAGTGGCAGGCCGCAGGCGTTGCAGAGCAGCGGGATGTAATCGACAAAGACATAGGTCTCGTCCACTGCGTCTCGATCATTGCTTCTGTCCCGGCCGGACGGACTTGAATGGGTGGTGGCTACTAGCGTCGTCGCCTCACTTTGGGCGCCTCCTGCAAACACGGCGTTGTCCATTGGATTGGGGGTGGCAATGCTGCGAAAGGGGGGGGGGGGGGGTGGGGGCGAAAGGCTGGAAGAGCGCGGAAGCAGTCCCACGGCGCGTAATGCTTATAGAGCGACTGCGCTGTCCATGGGAGAATGTCGAGGTGTTGCCAATTCTGCCTTCTTTGGCAGTGTTGTCTGTTGCTCGTATGTGTAAATATGCATGTTGAGAGTGGCGGGTCGTGTGATGCGTGCCCGACCGCCATCGGCATCAACTGCGCCGCAGAGGGGTAACGTAGATTACGTCAGGTATTGGTGAAGTACTATTCTTGCCTTGTGAGTTAAACTTGAGGCTGCATGCCTCCAGCGTTCCGCGCTGGACCAGAGGAAAATATGGGCAAAGACGGCAATCATGGCGATTTCGGTCTTGAAGAGCCTAAAGCTTGACATGTACATTTGCAAATATAGATTCGTCATCCTGCATCCTGCCTCCTGCACCTAGCTGACACCAGATGCTAACCCCGTTACAACATGTCTCATTCCTTGGTCGTGTGTCCAGCTACCCGCGACCGCCACCACCAGGCGTGGACCAGTACAAAGTATCTATCGTCGGAGGCCGAGGAAATTTATTAGGCAGGCGCATCCAAGGGCCCCTTCTACAGCTTCACTCAACGCAAGCCGGCTTGGCAATGCTGGTGCTCCGCAAAGGGAAATTCGTCATCGGCATCAAGCCTACCGGGCTCGCCCCCCTTCCATGAAGACATCGAGTCTTCGACGCAGCTCTTTCGGGTCGACAGACGGTCTCTCGGCAGCCCCTGCCGAGTTCGCCTCCTTATTGGGGCCATCACAGCGATCGAATGGGTTGTTGCCGCTGCTTTTTGACTTTATGAGCTGAAAACTACAAGACTGGTTGCCTTTAAAAAAGGACTGACTAACGCTTCGGCCTTGTATATACCCTGGAACGGATCCAGGCATCGGTCGTTGTCGTGTTCTGGATAGCGGCCCTGCCTTTCGCCCGTCGCTATTTGGAGATAGCGCTCAGCGAGCATCTGCCGTGCCCAAGGCCGGTCGGTAAGAGTGCAGATATCCTGAAGCTCACTGTGAGCCGAGACGTCCGGGACTAGGATCTTCCATGGCTGAGTTTTGCCGACTTTTGCAGTCAAATCCATTTAGAAGTCGAAATAAATTAAGGTTGACACTGGGCCGAGGCGAGAGGCGGGAGGAGGCGGTAACGAAGCAGTTTGGCTCGTGGATGATGCGCCCAAGTACTTGTACACCGAATCGGGACCACAATCAGCAACAGCGCGAAATGCGACGTACGGCTGCAATGGATCGCACCATAAGCAAGGCGATACGGTGCAGGAGAGCCCCTCCAATCATCCCTCTCCACGTGGCTCGCCAAGCATGACCCGGATGTTCACGGAATCCTTGTCAAATGATTCCCGGCCGGCGAGACACGTAAATATACCCGGTTCGCGCTCTCATGCTGCATCAAGTAGCGGCAGAAAGAGCGTATGCTCATAACAGGGCATCGAAGTCATGGCATCCAAAGCTGAGCCAGCCATCCCCGCCTCCCAGCGTGTGCTGGCCTCCATGTCCTTCTTGTGCGACCTCAAGCTGTATCTGACGGAGAAACCATATTTCATCATTGTCAGCAAAGATCGAGATTCAGACTCCGTCATAACTAATATCGTCATGGATCGCTATCGCAACATCCCTGTCACGGATATCCGTGGCTATGAGCATCATTTCAGTCTAGATATCCATGGCTTTCAGCTCGCTCGGCAGCCTACTCGTCTGCACGGCGAAGACTTTGATTCTCCGTCTACGGTCGAGAACGAGTATTTCCCGGAGGTGGAGGCATATCTGAGGAAATTTCTCGGAGCCGAAGACGTTCGTGTCATGCAATCGGCCGTTCGAGAACGACCTCTCGGGTTCCTCGAGACCGGTGGAGGAGGGGTTGTGAAAGATGGCCGGAGGAAGCCCCTACCCGGGGTACATATCGGTAGGTGTTTGCATTAATATTCACCACGAGAAACTTCAAATCTCCGTTGTAGTCTTAACAGAACATCCTCTAGACGCATCTCCACAAGGTGCAGTGAAGCGTATCCAAAAACTTTGGCCTTCAGAGGTTGAGTCGATCACAAAAAGGCGATTTCAAATCCTGAAGTAAGATGTTCAATCGTGTTTTCTAACTATCTGCACCGTTTGCTAACTTCTGTGGTTCCTTTCAGCGTTTGGAGGCCGCTTCAACCGTGTCTAAGAGACTGGCCACTGGCCCTGTGCGATGCACGAACCGTCTCTCCCGACGACAAAGTAGAAGCAGATTTGGTCTATCCTGGCTTCGAAGGTGAAAACACCTTTCTATACTTCAGTCCAAATTTGGATTTCTACTTCGTAGACTGCCAGAGCCAAGATGAAATATGGATTTTCAAACAGTACGACTCCAAAGACGGGGTTGCGAACAGTGAGCATTCAAATATTAGTGACAATTACATCATGACATGACTCACGGTACAACAGGCACGCCTCACGGCTCCTTTCAAAACCCTCGCCCGGGAGCAGATAAGCTACCACGTGTAAGCATTGAGGTGGCTGTGTTGGTAGTGTATTGAGCAACTCCTGCCTCTTTCATCGTATTACTGAACGAAACACAAGTGGCGCCTTTGGTTCGCATGTGTGGCCGCTTCTTGGCCCTTTACTCTCGGCTTGATCATGGCTCAATTCATCTACTTGCCCTTTCGCGTAGTTGCCCTCTAAGACCTCCTAACCCCATTTCTGGGTCCTGAGCCTTTAAGCTGTCTTCGTTGGTGCCCTTCAATTTGGCAAAGTTGAGCTAGGAGACCATCTTGGATCTTTTTTCTGGGGTACAGGTTCTGAATATTAAAACCAGAATTATTCTATATCGAGCAGGAAAGAAATGCAACATTGCTAAAGACTAAATGTGGGCCATCTTGCATAAACTTAGCATCAAAAGGAACATTAGCGAAAAGAAATCCAGCCGAAGACCGAAAACAGGGCCAGGCCCAAATTAGGGGCCTATACGGGGATCGGTGAACTCCGGCTCAGCTCTTTCTCAGCGCACCTTCGTTATCGCTCAGCGGCGACTTAACGGCGGCTCACCCTTAAAGCCGCGGCGAGAGCTCAACTCTACATCCAAAAACAGATTTTGATAGACTTGAGTTTCGTCTGTGACTATTGTGGTACTTTGCAGTGTGATTTTAGAAATCGCGCGGCACTTCATCCTCCCCAATATCCACCTACTTGCCGTTAGCGCACCTCAACTCCCTTGGAAGCAAGAGAATTGCTGCGCAGCTGGAAGCCGCCGACCTGAGTCAACCAGAAATGCCAATGAACCTAACCTCCCTCGAAGCACCAGAATTGCAGTGCAATACAGATGCTTACCTCACTTTCATAGGCTTGGTGAAGCACCCCACCTCCTCTGGAAGCACTAGAATTGCAGTACATGCCTTATTTCCAAGGCTGCGTTGTTCAAACCGGAACGCCCCAACTCCCAAGGAAGCACTAGATTTGCAGTGCAACGGCCTCAACAACAAAAGCACCAATAGTGTGACACCCAAACTACCTTGGAAACGCTAAAATTGCAGTGCAAATGGATCCACTGGTGCCATGAGCTGAGATTCTCCAACTTCTCTCGAAGCACTAGAATTGCAGTGCAAAGCCACCACTGACGGCGATGAAGAAGCACGTGCAAGCCTTCCTAAGTCCGTAGCTTTGTGCAAGCCTGGCCTTGATGGTGTGTACCTCAACTCCCCTCCAGGCACTAAAATTGCAGTGAAATAGATGAGGCTCTGCCGGCACGTTTGATGGCTCATCTAGCCCCTCCAAGTACGATAATTACAGTTAATCCGTAATGCAGCACCCAAACTCCCCTGTAAGTGCTAAAATTGCAGTGCATGACAGCCAAGGTTGCACCTAAGGTGACAGCTAATGTGACAACCAAGGTGACACCTCAGGTTGCGCGTGATACATTTTACATATATATAGAAATGTCATGGCCAGTTTTCATGCCGTTCTGTCGTTATGTCGTGACTGGGCTCGACAGTAAAACTACGCCATAATACACATTATTCTAGGCCATCAGTTGTTCAAGCTTGAAGTTGCCGCAGTTCTTATAAGATATCTGAGAGTAGAATGTTAATGCGTAACGTGACGAGATTCTATAAGATTCCTCTCGCGATGAAGCTGCAATTATCTGGCCTCTGTATTCGCCGAATCCAACAATGTTGCCTTTGTCACTGCTAGACCATCCTCTGATAATAATAGTCTCGCCATCCTCGAGAAATGTCTGTTTTTCACCTCCCATCCGGATTGGCGTCTTTCCCCCTTTAGTTTGCTTCAACATGCTTCCTCGAGCCCCTTGATCCGTGCTTGAGATATTTCCTGACCCTAGAAGGTCACTGGCGTTCAAATTACACCCCGTTATCGTATGATGAGCAATCATTTGGGACCAAGACCACAAAAGGTTCCGAGAGGACGTGCGGGTTATTATTCCCTGTTTGCCTCGGAGCGCTAAACTTGCAGTGCTCGCCTGATCCACTGGTGCCTTCCCCATCCCTCTGGAAGCATTAGTATTACAGTGCAGCTACACCGATGTCCAGGCCCCCACGAGTATTAACCAAATCGAGCAACCCAACTCCCGCCAAAGTGCTAAAATTGCAGTGAAGTGCCTCGTTCTGCACGCACTGTGGGGCTACAAGCTCGAACACCGCCCAGGACCACGAGAGTGCCTCGCAGTCTTGTGTGCACCTGCAGGCCTCTCTTGCATCCCACCAAAAATAGATAATGAACCCAACTCCATTCAGAGCCTAAAATTGCAGTGAAAGTGAGGCGGCGAGGCGGCGAGAATATATATACTAAAATTTATGTTTGCCGGCCAGCGCACTTTGGCCGATGATTCAATCACTCTTTTACATACCGGTAATAGTCTCCCGCTAACCAAAGTTCAGGGGTAAACCGTTGTATGTACATGCCCGCCATTATGTCCATATTATGACTAGGCTCAACAGCGAGACTACTGGATAGTGCACACCATGCCAGGCAATCAGTAATACACGTCGGCTTGTAACCGGAGGTTGTTACTGTCAATTTCATACAAGCCCGGCACACTGTTATATAAAGGAAAGGGATTGAACCTGGGTGCGAGTAGCAATACCCAAAGCAAAAATTAGTCTTTATATCCTAGATGGGATAAATAAAGAACGGATTCTCCAAGTCGGTTAAATCCAGCAGCGCAATGTCAACCTTCCTGCGCACCAACACGCCGCCTTCATCAAGCTGCTCTACTTCTCCCAGTTGATGCCCTCTCCTCTCCTCCTCAGTCAAGCCCGCTGCCCACGCCTTACGCTCGGAGTTCCTTCGCTTCAAGATGAACTGAATCACAAACAAGATCGCCGGCGTGCCGGCCCAGCTAACGACGATCTGCGCAATCCAAGCGCCGTAGTAGCGAGGCGCGTCACTCGGAACCCAGATCTGCGGCGAAATCAGATTCGCAACGCTGTAGCCAAGCATGAACATGACGTTGCGCGTCAACTTCTTTGTGTAGCCGGCCGCAGACGACGTGGTCCAACCCAGCGCGATGATGTACGTGTTTCCATATGTATGGCCAGCGAGGAGAAGACATGCGAGCATGCCAAGCTTTTCATCCCAGTCCATGGCAACCATGCCAATGCCACCTGCGATGGCGGGCACACACCACACCAGTCCATGTAGAGCGAGGTTTGAAGGCCAGAATCGGAGGGCAAAAGTACCCGCGAGACAGACGAGAATGCCGAATCCGCCACCTGCAGCAGCTACCAGGGTTGATCCCAAACTAGTGACGCCAAGCGCTTTGGTGATCAAGTTCTGCTGTCCGTATGTCAGGTTGTTCGACAGCATGAGTGTAAAAGACTGCAAGCAGAACAGCCACGACACCGGATCGCGCAGCGTCTCTAGGAATTGCTCCTTTTTAAATTGCTTCTGCTCGATGGAACTCTGGGTCGATTCGTGCACTCGTTGAATGGTGTGAACCTTCTCCTCGAGCGTCAGGAACTTGGCCTCCGCTGGGTTGCTTGGATAGTGAAACCACACAACAATGGAGAGCAGCACCGAAAGGCCGCCTGTAATGACCATGAAGAGTTTCCAAGGGAGAACGGAACTCTTGCTCCATAGAAGGCCGTAAGATATGAAAGCCGCGCAGACTGGAGCAGCCGCCGAAGTTACCCAGAGAAAGGGTTGCAAGAAGGATTGTTCATGACGGTTGAAGAACATTCCGATGGTCATTTCCATGGCTGGAACAACGACGGACTCACTGGCACCCAAGAGCAACCGAAGGACGACGAGACCGGCATATGATGTAGCAGCGCAGTGTAGAAGCACCGTAACTCCCCACATAAAGACAAGACCAGCGACAAATTTTCCGAACGGCAGCTTTTGCATAGCATAGTGTCCAGGCCATTGCGCCGCGAGATAACCTACGAGAAGGATGGTGAGACGATGTCTTGGAGGGATATGAAACCGGGGTATGTATCGAATAGCTTACCAACGTAGAAGAACGTTCCAAGGTTATTATACTGTGCCTTACTTATGCCAGTCTCTTCAAATAGTCCCAGAATGGCGGCATATCCGAGAGTTGATTTATCAATCTATAGCCGGTTAGTAGATGATAGCTTTATGTTTGTTCTCAATCTCACAAAGAGCAGCAAGTTTATAGCTGACAACAAGCCCATGACATGCAAGTACAACTTCCATTGTAACTTTTTCTCCTTTTCGGGAGTCAACGGGCCAAAATCCTTGCCATGGTCTTCGACAATACGCAGCGTCACATCCGCATATTTCTCAGAAATGACAGCCGTTTCTCCGGGACTCTCCTGATCTGAGACTTGTTTCTCGCTTGGAGTACCCATATTCAGTATTCCCCGTGTGCAAAAGAAGACAAAATGGGTGAAATATCTGAAAAAAATAAGCTGACAAGGTTCAGAAAGTGTGCAGATGGAAATCCATTTTAAGTATCATTTTGAACTGCGCGTATTATTGCGTCGCATCGTGAGCAATACGAATGTATTATCACGACAGTGAAGGTCCCGGCTTTGCGGCAAGTAAATGGGCCGTTTTACACACCCATGTCCCTATCTAGCATACGAAATTCCCCATTCAAGACTTCAACCCATCGAAAGAATTTATTGCGACAATAAGTGGACCTCTTGCGTGATGTCACAACCCAATTAATACCCGCTTATGGCCGCATGTTAACTTTTACCCAGTCACCCTTATTGCATGTTTGCCGACCAAAACTACTGCTTTTGGTAGATTTGTGTCTCTGCTAACCGGTATTGGGTACAGTTGAGCAGAAGAAGTGCTAAGTTTTTACGTCAGGGTTGTTTGGTGTACTATTTGTTCCCTAGCCCTAGGCCTCCCGTATTCAAGACCCATTTTCACTCGATCTTGCAAAGACGCCCATCATGCCGTTGTTTCCACCGCTCGTTACCTACGCACGGAGCACACCACAAAACATCATGAGGGTCAACCGACCGCTTGATCTTCAACAATCGTTCATAGTTATCCCCCCAGAAGGTGTGCTGCCAGTCGGACTCAAATGGAAGTGCCTGTTTAGGTTGTTAGCTTGGGAAGAGGAGAATGGCATAATAGACCAACTTCGTTAATGTAAGCACCTGTGTCCGGAGCAAGTCGACGCAATGGTTCAAACGCCTCGTTAAGACTGTTGATGGCCTCGATCCTTGCGGTTTCGTTGAAGGGAGGGAAACCTTGCGCAGTAACTAGGAAGCCTGAATTAGTATGGCAGATGGTCAAGAATGTATTCCGGCTTACGTGAGTGCACATATGACGTCCGCCAACCCGGATTCACCGCGTCGCTACCGCCTCGAGGCTTGGCGTCATGCACGCCTTTCCCTGAGACGATGAACGCCCCAAGTCCTCCCGAAACACTCATAGCTGCTTTGACTGCCTTTGCCAAAGAAGCTTGGTCGTGTTGCAGCGCTGGTTTATCAAGAAGTCTCGAAACTAGGTACGAGCTGTTCCCCGCGGTTCCTTGGTCGTAGTGGTCGTCGAACCATTCCAGAAACGAGCCATAGGCGACGTTGCCTACGATCATCTGCACACCGCCAGACCAGCGTGTCTGAATTGTCTGGTTCAGTGGGGCCAAAATATTGTCTAGGTACTGCGTGTCTTCGGCGTCTTGGAGAATAAATTGTCCCATGACTCCAGCAAGCTCTGCCGGCGCACCGGGGGAAGGCATTGGGTTTGGGATGCCAGATGTGATGAATGAGTAGCCGGAAAGACCTGCGTCTCCCAAGGTCGGGAACATCGAAAGCGTGTATGCAATGAGATCGTAGAGGAATGGGGCGTCTGGGGTGGTAACAAGCAGCAAGGCCGAGCTGAGCAGTTTCGGGGATGGGTGCGTCTTGAGGGTTACTTTTGTGAGAACGCCAAAGGTGGAACCACCTCCCTGTGAGTTGTTAGTGATTTAGAGGTGGTTTGGGTTAAGGAACTTACTCCGCGCATTGCCCAGAACAGATCAGAGTGCTGGTTTTCGTTGACTGTGAGAATCTGGCCAGTCGGCGTAACCAGTTCCATTTGCAAGACCTGATCCGCCGCAAGACCGTAGCGTGGCGCGAGGATGGAGTGGCCACCTCCAGTGATATAACCGCCAATTCCAACTGTTTTCCCTCCGCCGCCAACGATGGTTTCATTGAATTCATCTGTGGCGGAGTAGATGTCGTACATCTGGGCACCTGCACCCACAGTGACAGCGTTGCCGGGGATAGTGGTATCGCAGCCATCCAGTTTGAAGGCTCCCTCGTGGTACTTGATATCATTCAAGTGGTGCGTCCATAGTGACAGTGCACCTGGTGCGATAGAGCGACCCAAGTAATCATGGCCTGTGTTCTTGACGACCAACCTAACCTTGTGCTTCCGGGCTGTCAGATTGTTAGGACCCTGTTACACAATGAACGAATCACTTACCAAAATCAATTCCCAGCTTCACATGCTCCGGTGTAGTCGCATTTACAACATAGGCAGGGTATCCACCAGCACTGCAGGGGAAATATTCATTGGGCAGACATGTGTCGTTGGTGAACTGGTCCCACATGACGGATACAGGGTTCCCGCAGTGATATTCGTAGACACTCCAGTTAGATTTGGCGTCTGAGCAGGCAGAAGGGTTATAGTTTGGCCAGTCTGTATGGCACACGGCCGCAGGAGGGGTTGGCTGGAGCAATCTTCCTCCTAGTGACTGGTTGAGATGATTCCATTGTGTTTTAGACGGCCAACCTGGTGTTCCGGGGAAAGCCTTGCAGCTCTTATGTGGGAGATGTCCTGAGATGGCACATGGCGCAGCGCAAATGGCAGACAGGACAAGTTGAGAGCGGATGTGCATGGTCAGAACTGTGGTGGAGAAAGCACATGGAGGGGGAAAGATGATTCCAAGCTATAGAGAAGAGATGGACAGGAACAATTACAAGGAATTAGGCTGTCTTATATGTAAACAGCGCCGATGATGATACCATGCCTTCAGAGCCTGACGTCTGGATGAGGGCTTGGGTTTAGCCGCACTGGGTCAGATGCTGCGAATGTACCGTCATGCGAGCTAAGCAACGGTGCAGAAATGTAACGCACCCACCTGGAATGGTGTCAACAGCCACTGAACAGCCAATCTGAGGCCTTGGCTCACCAGCCACCTATGTCACCAGCGGGCAGAGTTACCATTCGCACACTTTCGTATTGATCGTACCTGAAAACGTCCGCTGGGAAACTCAGCCCTGCAAGACATGTGCGCTAAGACACAGTGGGGACGGGACGATGTCTCGGGTGGCTTTGCGGGGAGCACGCTGCACCACGGGGCTCGCGTAGAGTGGGAAACGAAGAATACGATGCTGGACGCTAAGATTTCTTGGAGGCTGTGCTGCCATGCACATCAGGCAGTCGGTGTAGATGATTGACATGCAGTAAGCCGATGATGGACATGCAAAGGTGGAATTTAATCGCCGTGCAGGTCTTGGTCGGCGAGAAGGGAGAGAATTGTACATGTCATGCCGGATGGTTCAAGTCCCGCTGTTCCGTGTTGTGTTAGTGGGCGGTCTTAGTCGGCAGTGCCCTGTGGCTGACTGCAGCCAAAACAAACCCAAAGCAAGAAGCCCAACGGTCATTCGCCGCCTTGTCTTGTCATCCTACAGGCTGATGATATTTACACCGTATTTTAATAACGTGAACTCTTAGAAGAACCCATTTACAGAGTCCTCCCCCGGAAAAGCGGCACTGTTCCTGGCCCTATCAGATGACGCTAACCCGATCTGTCGCAGCCTCGGGGCATGGCACCTAATGCACGTTTTGTTCGCTGGCAGACTAGCCCGAATAGGCAACGCAGGCTCTGCCCCTAATTATCGCAACTCATCCCCATCACTCCACGCGCCGGCCTCGTTTTTGCTCATTGTTTCGCGCCGCATCTTCGCTGTCTCGCCGCACCATGCGGACTGTCATTCCTTCCATGTCCCTCTGATCGCGTTGCGGTCACCGTCATTCCTTCCAAGATGCGGCATCTCGGCCCGCTAGCTCCGGCGCTCCCGCTCCGGCCCCGTCTCCGTCTCCCGCTCCGGATCTCGCTCTCTCTCCTCGTCCCGCTTCTCTTCTCCGTCTTGGCCCACACCGCTGCAGCCAAGTCCAAGACAGTCTGGGTCACGCCCCATGCCAGCTTCTCGTCGTCCATCGGCGTGCTGGGCTGCAAAATCGACACCGATCGCGTCGCCTACTGGCCCATGGCCGTCGACTGCGACAACATCTGCGTCGCCCTCACCTACGCCGACCGCACCGTCCACCTTCTGCGTATCGACCAGTCCGAGGGCGCCTACGACGTCAGCTACGATGCCTGGAACTATCTCTACACTGGCTATGCGGCCACCGACAAGCCCACTGCCGGCGGCGCCATCGAGATGACCTACGAGGCCGTCGACGCGTCCAAGTGCGACGACCTCATCGACACCAAGGGCAAGAAGCTGCCTCTCAGCGCCGCCAACAGCATGAACTACCTCGCCAGCTGCCTCGATCAGAACGACACCTACGTCGGCGAAAACTACATTCTTTACAACATCCTCGACTCTCTTTGCACCATGGGCTTCGACGAAACGTGCACCCTCGACTACCCAGCTCAGAACCAGGCCTCGTGTCCCCACACCCTTGGGCTCTCAGCCGTCTTGAACAACACGCCAGTGTACAACATCATGTATCCCACCGGGGAAAAAGTCCTGGCGTCAACAGGCGAAGTTGTCAACGATACCGCCGACGACACCAGCAATGCTGACGAGGAGTCGCGTGCTCCTCTCACCCCATCCGCCTTCAGCTTGATGCTGTTGATGCTGGTCTCGTGCTTCCTGTACGCCAGCTGAGCTCACGCCACAAACACAATCATTTCTATCAATGGGTTCAGGCAACAGAATTATCAACAAGCGCAGCCCAGGATGGCACAATGAGCACTTTTGGGGTGGATGTTTGTTCAAGCCATGGTTTTGCTGATTACGGAGTTGAGGGGCTTTGGGGGTTCGAGGTTTGGTGCAGTCGTGATACCCAGTTTTTCCCTTCTCATGAACCTCACAATTAGTTCTATTCTGTACACTCCTTCACTATGCTGCTCTCTCCGTCAGTATTGGAATTTCGGAGAGCTGGAATCACTCTTTTACAGCTACGAGCATGAGCACTTGACGACAGGGATTTATACCAAGTTAACACTTAATTTCAATAGTATATATAGTACAATGTTGATAATGTTTTACACGTCACTTTATTTATTGTTCTTCATCGTCCAATACCAGCTAAGAAAATGCATTTCTAAGAGGAAGTTTAATTTGATAGAAAGTGATTGAGCGTGAGGGTGATGCCTACGGCCATCCTATCAACTAGGGCTAGTGCCACCTGAGTCTATTTGTCCATACCGACTGTGCTGCCGAGGTTGTTGACCATCCATGTCACGGTCATCACCCTGGCGTTGCTAGGCTACCTCCACGATGCAAAAACTCACTGTCCAGTCGTAGTTCCCTCACCAGAGGTAGTTGCCTCACCAGAGGTAGTTGCCTCACCAGAGGTAGTTGCCTCACCAGAGGTAGTTGCCTCGCCAAGTTTCTGCTCATAAGACCGGCAGGCATTATCAAAATCTTGAGCTACACCCTCAGAAAAATGTGTGCGAAAGTCCTTTTTCCTGATCCATCGACAACCCACGAGGTTTCCTTGAGATGTGACGGGAAATACGACACTCCCTCCATCGACAAGGAAGTTAAGCTGACAGAACCCATACTCGTTGTTGTCGGCGACGCAGGGTGAAGTTCTGAATTCGCCGAAGATTTTGTCGTCCTGCACTTCCTTGTTGAGCTTCTCCCGAAGCGCCCGGCGGATGCCCTCGCGGAGTGTCTCTTGATGCCCAAGCTCGATGTTGGGAAACTCCCAGCGTGTGCGCTGGTACCCAACGCGCTTACCCGGGACAAGCAGAATCTTGAATTTCGTGGAATCGTTCCATATGCGGTGCTGGAAGAGGGCCACTCCAACCCTGTAGTGGTGCATGGGGGGTAGAGGAGGGAGGGTGGAAGTTGTTTCGAGGAGCCGATTTTGGAAATCGGTAAGTGGAGCTTCCGAGGCAGCCATGATGATATCTCGTTGAGAAATAGTGTAAAGAGTTATTGGTTGTTTTCTGTTGTCTTTTTGGTTCGGAGTCTAAATATCCGGATATAATAGAAGTCGAATGGAGGTGTGGATAGGCATTATATGAAGAATACTTGATGTGAGATCATACATTGAAACTTCGAATCACCGCCTCGCAATTTTCTCATTATGCCTTGGCCAGACTGAATTGCTTACCCAAATTACACCACATCGCTCACTTGTTGTGGGTTCAGATGTAGTCTGATGTGATTCAAAAACAATTTCACAGGTCATCACCCAGAAGCCCCTCGGCGATTAGGTTTCCAGTTGCAACGCATCACGGCCCGTAGGAGGATCTCAGTTGAATTCTTTCTACAAAATTATGCACGAATCTATGGGACTGAGTGGTAGAGTCAACGAGACAGAGATCAAACCGACTATGAGAAATAGAAAGTTTGTCATACTAGCTACCACCCTTGAGCCGAAAAACCATGTGGATAGTAGACTGCGCCTGAATGCCATAATCAGAGAGTATGCGAGTATTCTCGAGTTCTTTACCAGCAAATATCAATCTCTGACTCTCTGCTGGTGTTCCATTCTTTTCCCAAACTAGAATCTTGAAGGATAGAATCTCAGTAGCAAGGGAGATTTCATCCATTACAAGCGTTCCACTGTAAAATATTGTTAACATAGGAGCTCAGACATAGGGAGATGGAATGACTGAGGAATACAAGATAAATCAAGCAGGCGTTCAAGATAAAATACGCAAGAATTTGTAACGAAGGTGCTTACCCCGTGAGAGTTTTGACAAATAATCGAACACCGTTCGATCCTTGAACATACTTGGAAGTTGATCCAATAGTCGAGAAAGATAAGGTGAAGGGCCGTTCTGACCGCACAGAGTCGGTGAAATAGTAGGATAGCCGTCGCCCATTGTGTAGATCAGCAACATCCCCATAGGAGATAATCTGGTCCTTAACAGGTATCTGGAATTTGTCGCCAACCTTCTTCTTGATATGATAAACGAGGTCTTTTGGGTACTGACAACACGTGAAAAGAACGTTTTCCACCTGTCAGGAATTGTCAACTAAAGATTATTTCTTCAATAGTCCAAATTCACGAAGTGGGTGGGTACCTCGAATTCAAAATGGATGAAGAGTGGCGCGGACGCCGTCACTTCCTCCTCTGTCTTCCGTTTTCGAATGACCAAGACAAGATGAGAACATTTCGTTTTGTGGATATCTTTCCATCCCATGTGGTCGGTAAGTATCATACGGCCAGCAATGAGAATCTGCGAGTTGGGGGGGATTTGCACTATGGCAGCAAGTCTTTTAGTCTGGAGAGTTGGCTGTTCAATATCCAATCAACTTACAGAGTTCAAAGATTTGATGCTTAATATCCGTAACGTGGGTTTCCTCTCTCATCTTCAGCTCAAAGGTGCCCCAGGTTTCGTTGAACACGGGGAACTGAGAGTGTGGAAGATCCATGACCGAGTGAGCCCAGTGTCAAGAGATTCCATTCAAGCGTATCTAGTTGCCACTTAAATCTCGCCTTAGATAGCTAGTGTCGTTACTATCACACAGCTGATTGTCTACCAGGGCCAAATTGAAGTGTCTACTTCTGCAACAATGCAATCACTGGCATATATAAAAGTGCCAGTGCGGGGTTGGGCAGCAATGTGGCCTTGATTTCAACCGAATATGCACAAAATCCACCAATGATAGCCCACTGGCAAAGATAGAACATAAAAGAACATGCTTACTTATGGCCTTATCTGTTATAATCTTACCTCAGCGTGCTGATGCCAGCATCCACGTGACCCTGCGACGTGGCGTCCATCTGCTTTCCCTTGGCTATTCAAATACTTAGCTCTGATCACACTTAGTGTCGGCTACTCAACTCTCCCCGGAGTGGATAAGTGCCTGCGAGAATGCAAATGGAAGTTGAGGGCAAGTTGAGACCTCCGACACGAGGTCTTCGACTTTTGTCATGCGGTAAAGCAAGCCGTCTCGCAACGTTCTAGGGAATTACTCGCTAACTCGCCTCATCAAAAGATGGAGGAGGCATCAGGGGACTCTCAAGCATCATCATCCTTGACCGTCTCATGCGAAGTATCGATCGTCAAAACCCCCCGAAACCATGCGAAGTGTTCGATCTTATTGGAGGAAACAGCACTGGTGGGTGAGTATACTCCATTCAAAGCCCCTAGCCAAAATTGAGGCGACAGCTCACACGACGTGAATATTCCATAGCCTCATTGCAATAATGCTAGGCCGGCTCGAGATGACCGTGGAAGAATGCATCGACAATTATATTGAAATATCTGAAGCCGCATTCCTGCCCCGTCGAAACAAGATCAATCTACTCGGGAGGGCCCGTGACCGGTGGAATATTCGAGGTCGCTTTAGCTCGGCAGCATTAGAGAAGGAGATCATCAAGCTTATCGACAGCCGGCCAGATGAATCGGGTATGGAGTCACTTATGTTGAAAGGAGGGACATCTTGCCGAAGGTAGGTATCTTTACCACGCCATACATGTTTGAGGCTTTTCAGAATATGGCTCATATGATATCCAGTTTCGTTGTTTCAATAGCCAAGGAGGCCCCAGACACCGCCGTTCTCCTCCGCAGCTATCCGTCATTGCGAGACTCTGGACTGAAGCCGAGGATTTGGGAAGCGGCTAGGGCTACTTCTGCAGCATCGTCTTTTTTCGATCCGATACAAATTGGAAAATTTGGTCAGTGGTTCACTGATGGAGCTACCGGGTTCAACAACCCTGTCAACCAAGTCTACGACGAGGCTTGTGACATATGGGCAGATGCAAGAACCAATATTCAATGCATTGTCTCGATCGGTACTGGAGAGCCCAGATTTAAGACCTTCGGAGACGATCTTAAGGGGCTAGCATCGACATTGGTTGCTCTGGCGACAGAAACCCAGCATACCGCAAATATGTTTGAAAGACATCACCCTGATATAACCCATCTACGGTTTAACGTGAGACAGGGACTTCAAGGCGTGGGCATTCAAGAATACAAGGAGATTCCTAATATCAAATCCGTCACGGATAGGTATCTTGATACTGATGGTGACGCGAATAGAATGGTGGTCCAATTCACGAACTTGCTCACAAATAGTAAGTGACTCTACTCCAAGTCAACTTTACTCAGCTGACGTTGTCTAAAGAGCTGGAGCTCGGCATGAGTAAATATATCCAAACTCCAAGATATATCCCGCCGAAGCTTCGCAGCTACCTTGAGACATTCTGGACTTATTTCCACTGCCAGCAAGGGCCATCCGGGCTAACAGCTCTGATCCCTGATCACATCTTTTCGTCCTCTGAACAACAGGAATTGGAGGCTTTCAAGTGTGTGCTGACCATAAAATCTCGTCACAATGAATTTATGTTTCTAATAATTATCTCCAGGAACGACAGGCCCCCAAAGCCACAGCGCCCGCATGCTAGTTGGATGTCACTACATGATGCATTATGTTCATCTCAGCCATCATGCCGGATTTTGTATCATGAGTACGAGATCGAGTGGACAGATGAATTTGGCGGCCTTGTCCTAGCTCATGTCGACACCGCTGAAGTGTGGCGTTTACTATCATGTGGGAAATCGCGTTCCGATATGGGTCAAGGCTCAAACACGCATGGTAACTGGATTGTGAACGAGATTATTATCAGTGTAGCTGGAGGCCAAGGAGGGAAGCCCATAATTCGCACCACTTTCAGAACTCCAGGTCTATCCAGACCGCGATTGATCGCCGTTGCAAGCTCATCATTTGCACAAGCTATGACTGGTGGCCCTGGATTGCGACCTGATGGACTCCTGGGCTCACGATTTGTCAGCAGGATGCTCGGATATGAGTATGTTCAGATGCCGAAGATGGTGTTTTTTGTCCGCATTGAGACCTCAAAACGAGTCTATTTTCGGTCACACTTTGCAGCCATGGTGAACTTGGCAACGAACTTCATCGAAGTTGCGCACGAGCTATGGGATCATGAGGACTCTATCGATTGCAACCTTCAAGGTGTCCCGATCAAGGTCATGGTGGAGGAACTTAGAGATTTCTTCGGCAACAGTTGGTGGAACAGGCCGATTCCGAGCTTCCACGGCAGCTTTTATATTCTACGCAGCGCATCTGACATTTATTTTGGACAATTACCCAATGACGATACTTTCGAAATGGAGGATCTCATGACACTCATGGGTGAGTTAGAACATGTTATGCTTGAGCCAAGTCGCAAGCCACAACACGTGGCGTCTTGGACGGCATTCTTCGGGGATCGGAACGCCAGATGGCTTGTCATAGTCCTTTTCCTTAACTGTCTTGACAACCTTGCTGACTCGGTAGTCTTGCCGGACGCCTTTGAGCCATTGTTGGATAGCCCAACACGGAAATGCTTGCTAGGATAGCTTGGGAGGTACACAGGTATCGAGGCATATGGTTCTTTGTTAGTTATTGCAGGACGACATTTCATCTTATCAGCAATAAACATACTCAACCTCAAAGTCATAGCCCTTCCAAATCCAGCGCCCCAGACAGCCCCCAACTTGCCAAGATCCATAAAGATAGCCAATCATTCATCTACGAGCCGTGTGGGGTTGACTCCTAGCTTCTACTGCGGTGTGAACTATTGACAAACTATTGATGCAAGCGCGGAGCCGGACTGCGTGGGTCAATCTGGACAACAATGGGCTCACGGGTTATTCCCATATTTTCGAGAGGGTGAGCTCTTGCATCAGCCATTCGCCGGTTGAGTAGATTTCGAGTCCTACATTGTCCAGGGTCGATGCACATCCCACAATCCATCAAGACACGACGCTCAGTTTTGACAGTTCAGTTGCCAGGCACTCATTTTTCTGTTTTTACCCGATCAGGATGGAACCTCTCCAACTAGGCAACATCCCGCTGTTGTCGTATGAAGCCCCCTCGCTTCCAGGAGAAACCGATCTCGATATCAACCAGAGAGCAAACGGCCCATCCGACGCTGCCAATACGTTGCACACAACGAAAACCTTTGCGGCACAGGGTACTAGCCAGTTTGCGCTACCAGAGAATTCCGTGCGCTCATTCTATCCCGCCCAAGGCGAGGCCGTCGAAAATCGCGTCCTGCCGCACGTTGTCCTAAACGATCCCCTCATCCCATGGGAGCGAGACGCGAACAATGATCAAACGCTCACGGGGATCCTGGGATCCGACGCACGAGTCCCATGGTTAGCTCTGCTCGTCTTTACGGCGGATGAGCTACAAGATGTGCCCACCCTCAACTCGCCTACTGAGTTGTCTCCTACCCGAGCGGCAACGCTCACCCAACAGCAGCTGTTTGAATCCCATACCGGGGACACCAGGCTCAGGGTCCCGTTTAGCCGCTCGGATCTAGAAAAAGATGAGAATGTCAATGTTATCTTTGTAAAGGCTAGTGCCTTTAATGCGTATTTCTCCGAGCAGGTGCCGGGAGAGAAAACGCCAGCGATAGGAAGATACTCCTTGCTATCCCACGTTCGACGCTCGGCACAAGGAGAAGGACCAGAGGCAGACTCTTGCGGTGTCGTAATCGGCCATCGCCATGGTCCGGCAGACACTACGAACCCGACGTTGGCGGTTGCTCACCTAGTCTCGTTGATCGGGGTTCAATCTGATCACATGGCCTTCCCCGCTCAAGCCGACGATGTGAGTGTGTTGGTCTCACTGCACTCGTGGTCATTCCAATGGACACCTTCGGAAAAGGTTGAACTTGTACAGCATCTAAAGAACTTGATAAACAACATTCGACCGCTGGCACGCTCGGAGGCGGCCCTGGGGAACCCCCAAACAAAGCCTATCGATTCGCCTCGAGCAGCTTGGATGAAGACCTTGTTCGCCAATGGATACACCACCGTAAACCATCGTTTGGTGACCGGAGAGCTAACAGCGGCGATGTACCGCGGGCCTTTGATTCCAAACCGACCGCGGAGGACGGAAGCATCTGCGATCGAACCACAATCTCGTGAAGTAAACCTTCAACGGTTCGACGCGAAGTCGGATCTCATGGACATTTCGTACCAGGTGGCATGGAATGTCGGCCGCGAACTTGCCCTAGAGAATTCGACGTTCGTGGTAGAAATTTCTCGCCTCCGTCGTGACATTCTCACTTGGCTGGATCCGGCCTGGAAGCCACTTGCACTACCTGCAACTCAGGCTGACGATGCAACTAAACCCGACTGGTTGAGTGATCTTTCGAGGGCAGTCAAGGAAACACAAAATCCTCTCTCTTCCTCCCGCCCAGAAACAAGCCCAGCAGTGCGTTCGCGATGGAGGGTGTCTACTGGAACAGCTGTCGAAGGGGAAACCAAGACGGCGATACCCTCAACAAACCTGACGAGAGGACAACAATGGCTCGACTCCATGGTTACATCGTTGGCTCAGAAGACTATCAACCCGAACTCAAGTACGCATGAAGAACCTTTGGCCAAAGTCATCGAGTTCGTCACAGAAAACCTACTGTCCCTCAAGGGAGTTCCCCTAGCCCACCTCTTTCCGGAACCAAATCTTCTCTTAGATGACGCCATCTTGATATTTAGTGTTGACCCAGATTGGATTGTTGCACTCGTTGACGGGGCACTCAGTATCGGAAACACGCAAGACTCCGACAACACCGCTAAACTCGAAATGCGACGCGCCATCAACACCTTTCTCACGGCACGCAGGGCAGCGGCCGGCAATGGCGGAGGATCCGGTGCGGCGACATGGGGAATCTGTGTTTGCGGAAAGCTCCCCAGCATGTTCCCCGAGCTCAGGGTTCGCGCGAGCAACATTCTACTTACGAAGAGGATACACGATAGTTGTTTACTCGTGATTTTCGACTCGTACCCGGAGGATCTCGCCAATGGCATCTCTCTGATTCCGTCTCCCAATCAACAGCGGTTCGTGGCCGCTACCTTGTTGACTGAATCAACAATCTCCATCAACATGGCTCCCATGCCAACAAGAGAATCTATTCCCGACACTGACAAGAATCCTCCATTGGTCATGACGGATGAGACATCGCCAACGATATACTCGTTTCAGACGCGATGCCTTCACATGTGGAATATCAGGAACAACTATACCACCTATGCAACCAAGCATCTTCCGGACGATAGCTTCAGTAGCAAGGGATCAGCGGCTTCCCTGGCACTAGCCTTTAGCGACAAACTCCTCCAGCTTGACTTGAAGTTGACTGATACGCTTGTTGATGCGAGCAAGGCACCTAATCCCACTTTCCAGCTCTGTGAAGTGTCACGGTTGACAGAAATACCTATCCAGGATGGGACTCGGCCTTGAAGGATGCCCCAGTGATTTCGACGGCGGCTACATTTGTGCATCGTTGCCGGTTTCCTACAACGTTGACCAAAAACCGCCCGGGGAGAAGCGAGGATGCGGAAAGCTCCTACACAGACGTACCTTCTAACGTGCTGCATCGGTATGCCTTGGCTCTCAGGCGATTTGCCATACTCAGTCACGAGCAACACTCAAACGATAATACCGAAGCAATTTGAACCATGTCAGATATTCAAACCAGTTGACTTCAATATTAGGTTGTACAATCTTGAATGTGTTTACTCCAAACAAATCCCTTTGAGCAATTTCATTTCGCAGACGATCTTGACTTGATCATTTTTTCATGTGTAATGCCTCCTTGACCTTGTCCATTGTTGACTCCTTGTGGGCCGGCTTCGAACTGCTAGGCGGAGCCTGGCCGAGGTTGGCCCTCTCCGCTGGGCCAGGATCCTCATTGGTGAGGGCATGGCTGCCATGAAGCTGTAGATGAAGATGGATTGTCAGCATGTCTCGTGACTGTCCTCGGGTGTGGCCTGACAAACCTTTTGCTCCTCGAGCTCGGCGTCGTGGATCAGATCATGGCTCTCAATCGCCACCTCGTCCGTGATGCCGCCGGTTCCAGGCATGGTAACGTTTCTCGAGTTTGCGTAGGTTGATATAGGTTCGTGTGGTTTATTGTGTTCTTTTCATAAGAAATTGACGGCAAAAAGAAAGAAGGTGATTTTGGAGCGGGGATGCCCCTCATATATTGACCTCGTTACGAAGATTGCGACCTTTCGCGTCATCCCTCGCGGCCTCGTGATGGTGTGATGCTAACCACACGTCATTGTCCACGAACGGCAGGGTTCGATTGGAACTGCTCGACCGTCGTCGCGATGCCCCTCACACCACAGTGCAAGGTGGCGTTCAGATACAAACGGTTTATGTCATCAGCGAGGCCATTCGTGGAACACAGTTCTTGCTGTACTGTGTCGACTGGTATCCCAAAGTCAATCCTGCACCCTACTTCCGAAGCTTCCTACGGAGCTGCCCATGTCCAGTCTCCCAACTTTATTGTGACACGACAGACGTGGTGTTACCTCAGCAGGCTCCCATGGCTCCCATGGCTCATCCATAGCAAATATTGAGATTGGTCCAAGTCACGGGTTGTTATGTCACTGACGAGTGTCGATTCGCCCATTCCTGGAGAATTTTTCAAGCTTGGCGAAAAATGAGTGCATCCCCGCCAGCCGATGGAATAGAGGTGTTCCGTAGCAATCTTTATTTGGCCTACTGATATCCTGGTCTTAGTGACAAAGATTACGATAGGCAGTTGGCGGCTCTTGAGGCCAATATCCCTTCATCCCAAAGCGCCCCCCCCCAGGACGTGGAATCTGGATCCTTTGCTTGAAAGACCAGCCACATTCCTGACAGTTCCACTATTACTACCAATCAATCTAGCTCATACCTTGGCAACACCTCTGCGCCAAAAGAATCATGGCGTGCAGGAAGAGCTTGACATTGTGTATCTCGAGCCTCCCAGCACCATATCAAGCGCTGTACCTGCATCTTCCGTCGGCTCAGAACAAGCCCAAATTGAATTGCGAATGATATTCATTGCCTCTGATCTCATCAATTGCCCTAGTGCCCGTGATCCCCAGTTTTTTTCGTGGAGCAAGAGTCAAAACAAAGCAATGCTGCTCGTTCCAAGACTCGCCAAGTGAGGCTGTGCACCGTGCCGTGTAGGCCGTGCCGGATAGCCGCCGTTTGGTCCACCACCAAGCATTAGGGCTGATACAGCCTCGCGGATGTTGATCTTGGCGAGTGGAGATGCTTACGTGTAGGATGCAAACATCTCTACTCTGAAATCGACGACCATTCTTCCCGACGACATCGAGTATCTGGTGGGCTAGCTGTGTCAACACCACCACCGTCTCCAGCGTCCGCGTCGAGCAATTCCTCCGCTTTCCAACCAGGGACCGCTGTCTGCATTAGACTGGAGCCCCGCAGTGAATCTGCTTATCGGCACTAGTCTGCCGGAACGTCGGAATGGCTGCTCCAAACGCAAAGGCGCCGCCGCAGCTCTCGACGACGTGCAATGACAAGTACGTCGTTTTGTATGCTTTCGACGACGCAGGTGTGTATGTGAAATCGCCCAATTAACTCAGCTAATATTCTATAGACCATAATGAAGCCATTGACGAGTTCAAAACCCTGCTCCAAGATCTGGAAGAGACCGGGCTTCACACCGAGGTCAGACCCGGCTACGGCCAATCACTCCTCGTCTTTGTCAAGGCACCCCGGGAGCTCCTAGGAAACACCGTCCACAAGTCTCGGTATAGTTCCAGTCACACATAGCTCTTGCAAGTTAATGCTAATCAAGGGTAGGGTCAAGGACTGGCTGTATGGGATCACGCCCAATCATCCCGGAGGGGACAAGAATACTGTGGTCAAGGGAGAGTATGAAGCCGAAGACATCCTGTCCGTCTATCACCTCGTCAGTTGGCCCAAGGAGCTCGGCGGTGCAGGTATCACACCAGGAGTGGGAAAGTGGGAGCGCGTACAGTCCATCTTTCCGCTGCACAATACCGAAGTCAACCAGTCCTTGCTCCGGCATCTAAGCAAGAGATTTTTCCTGTCGCCCGAAGATCTTGACTCTATTCGGGACTTACTCGGATCCAAGGTAAGAATCTACAACTACCCTCCTGCGCCCGCCTTTAGCAATTAATTCTCATCGTCCGTACAGGTGGCATTCTATTTCGCCTTCATCCAAACCTATCTTCTCTTCCTGTCCATTCCCGCCGTCACGGGCGTCATCGCGTGGCTCTGGCTTCCTCGCTACTCCTTGGCGTACGGCATCCTCACAAGCGTCTGGTGCGCCGTGTTCCTGGAGTATTGGAAGATCACAGAGGTGGATCTGAGCCTTCGATGGGGAGTACAGGGAGTGCAAACTGTCAAAGTCACAAGGCCTCAGTTCAAGCATGAAAAGGTCTACGTCGATGCAGGCGGTCGCACGCACCATTACTTCCCGAAGTGGAAGCAAATCAGCCGCCAGCTGCTGCAAATCCCTTTCTTGCTCTTTGCGATGATTGCCCTCGGAACTGCCATTGTATCAGTCTTTGCCATCGAGATTTTGATATCAGAGACTTATGCCGGTCCCTATAAGTTCTATCTCGTACGTTTAGTTTGCTTCTCGATTGCAGCCTCACATATTTGCTAACCGACTTCAAGGAATATCTACCAACTATTTTACTAGCAGTCTCACTTCCTTACATCACAACAGCGCTTGAAGACTCAGCGACGTGGATGACCAACTTCGAGAATCATCGCACTGCGGATCACCACGAGATGTCGCTCACCCAGAAGGTCTTCGTCCTCAACATGTGCACCAACTACCTTCCAATCTTCTTGACGGCGTTCATCTACATCCCATTCGGCGATGACGTTGTCCCCAGACTAGAGGGTGTACTCCAAAAGCTTCTCGCCACTGTTGGGCAAAAGTTCACCAACGTGCCTTTCCGAGTCGACTCGGACCGGCTCAAAAATGAAGTTATCGCCCTCACAGTCACAGGCCAGTTGTCAAGTTTCTTCGAAGAGAACATCATGCCGTTGCTGAAGCACAAGCTTTCTGGGTGGTATCGCAACTACTGCGAGTATCGTTCCCAGGAAGCCACCCTTCTTTCGATTGTTCCCGACGAACCCAACGAGGCAGAGTTTCTGGCAAGGTGTCGGGATGAAGCAACGTTGCCTCTGTACAATGTGCAGGATGACATCTCGGAGATTGTACTCCAGTTCGGCTACCTAGCTTTGTTCTCGCCGGTGTGGCCCATAATTCCCATCGGCTTCCTCATCAACAACTGGATTGAACTTCGGTCAGACTTTGCCAAGATATCCATTGAGCATCAACGACCTGCTCCAGTCCGGGCTGATGGCATCGGGCCTTGGATTTACTCTCTCGACACCCTCACGTGGCTCGGTAGCATTTCCACCGCAGCGATCGTGCATCTCTTCAGCACGGAAAAGTTTGGAGATGGAAGCTGGGCCATGCTGCCAGTCACGGTCTTCATCAGCGAACATGTCCTGCTGCTTCTCCGCGTGCTCGTCCGCTCGATTTTGCATCAAGCCGGTTCCGAAAGGATCCGAGAAGACCGAAACCAACGATACGCCAACCGTGTGCGGCACCTGGAAGAGATGGAAGCGACCAAACGTGCGGGATTGGGATTGACGGTGGCGGAAAGGGAGCGAAGGAAGTCAATCCTCGTGACGGGCAACGATGTCTTTTGGACAAAACAGGTTGAAGATGGCGCGTCTGAGGCCTTTGGTGTGGATTTGATTAGACAGGTAAAACGCTGCGAAGAATCAAGGAGTCGGGAGCCCAAGATAGATTAGCACGATGTACGAAGACTGGCGGAGGAGGTTCAGTAGCTTCAATGGTGTCTAAGCAGTCCCTGCACGGTACAATCTGCGACGGATTAACGGCAATAGGGGTCTCATAGAAGCTTTCCTCAAAACGAAGAATGGAAAAGCAATTCTTATGTACGTACTGTAGTGTACGTTAGATTAACATCAAGTAAACGCTTTCAGGAGAATAAGAACTGAACATAAGTGCAGTACCTAAATACTGAGCACTGAAGGTCTGACGGCTTATTGGAACACCGAGATAGATTCCTCAACACGATGCAGCCGAGGCATCCGCAACTTATCTGCAAATCGAAAGAAGCCAATTCTTTCAATCGGCTGGGAACCGAGGGCCTTTTACACGACCCAACCTGACCAAGGCCGTCGTCAAGGTCGCAGAGGCGGCGGCTAAACTATTCGAAACCAACCCCGGTCCGTACAGTGACGCCCGCGTGGATTTCCGCCAAGGAGATCGACGAAACCTCTTCGGGCCATGTGGAAGCGGTCGCGACGGTGACAACCACGTCCTTCATTCATCGAACATGGATGCGCTCGGGGATCACGGCCTTTTTGGGAATTTTGACAGCAATTTTACAGATCCCCGAGCATTACTAGCTCATAGTGTCGTCGGTATTGCGGACTGTTCTTTGAGAAGCGGTCAATTGATACTCTGGCTTCCTGTGCCGGATCAATTACATTGAGCGGTTTCGGGGCCACCACCCAAGTTACTTCCTATGCATAACAGTTTCGTTTAAAGTCAAACTCTCATCAAGTGACCGAATCATTGTTTTCTTGGCTGTTTTCGTCTGACCCTTCCTACCGTTTGCCGCCCGATCGGTAGATCCACCCACCTGTTACACTACGAGACCCCGGTCGTGGAAGCCCCTGCGAACATCCAAATTCCACCAATCGCTTTTCCCAGCATTCGCCAAGAGGAGGAGTCGAGATCTGCTTCCCGCAAACTCTCGCGAACGGGTCTTGGAGTTTTCGCGTGCAATTGAGGTTGAGGCGTGGTTGATCTTGCATGCGATATGCCAGCGATCAACTCAATCGCAGGGCGTCTACCAGTAGGATCAACAATTCCATGATCCAAAAGATCGGATGACTTTTCCCCTGTCTTGGTCCTAATCGGTTCCAAGGGGCTGGATCCCGAATAGGACTCGTAGTCCGAGCTCTGAGACGTTCCGCGTGCCTGACAGACAGGGTTGTCGCGAAGAGCCTCACAAGCAGCTCGGACCTGGTTGGCCGAATTGTTGCGTCTCAAACCCCCCTGTAGGGATCTCCTCGATACGGAAACGTCCAGATACTCGTTCCTGGTCCAGAGGCAGGCCCCATCGCGGCCCCAGGCGGTTACTAGTTTCAGAATCCGGCATCCAACCGACATCGTGGCTCTCCCCTGAGCCCGGCGAGATTTCCCAGCAATTGTCGACAAGCAAGGATCAAGGCCAAGAGGGGCATCGGAAATGGCAGCTTGGAGACCAAGTCCATAAAGGCTTGCTCGTCCTCTCTCCATCTCCCGTTCTGGCTTTCTTCTCATCCCATTCTCTTTGCTTCAAGGTTCCAGTCTCTTCTCCGCTGCAGCTGTCGCTTGCGCCATTCTTTTCTTCGTCTCTACGAGTCCATTCATTGCAAGCCCTGGTGGTTAGCTTTTTTAAAAGTTTCAGTCTCTACTATTCCACCAAACCCCAAACCACCAACTCTCTTTTCCAAAACTTCAACGTCAACTCATCTCATCATGCGTTCCTCATTCACCTCCCTCCTGGCCGTTGCCGCCACCATCCCCGCCGCTCTGGCTCATTACAACTTCGAGTCTCTCATTGTCAATGGTAACACTACCGGCGCCTATGAGTATGTTCGCCAGACCACCAACTCCAACTCTCCCATCGCCGATGTCACCTCCCAGGACATGATTTGCAACCAGGGTGGCCTCGACGCCGATATCATGGCCAAGACCAGCACCCACTCTGTCTCTCCCGGTGATGAAGTTGGCTTTGCCGTCAACGTGGAGATTGGTCACCCCGGTCCCCTGGCTGTCTACATGAGCAAGGCTCCCGATGGCACCGAGGCCAACGCCTACAAGGGTGATGGTGACTGGTTCAAGGTGTACTCGCTCACCACCAGCTCCATCACTGATGCCGGTCTCCAGTGGGCTACCTACGTTAACAACGCTGGTATCCACAACTTCACCTTCGCCCTGCCCGAGGATCTGGCGCCCGGAAACTACCTGATGCGTGCTGAGCACATTGCTCTCCACGCCGCCGGTTCCGCGGGCGGTGCCCAGTTCTACATGGGCTGTGCCCAGCTCAAGGTCGAGGGATCTGGCTCTGGCACTCCCACCGACGTTGTCTCGTTCCCCGGTGCCTACGACGGCACGGAGCCCGGTATCCTCATCAACCTCTACTACCCTGCTCCCACCAGCTACACTGCTCCCGGCCCTGCCGTCTGGCCCAAGAACTGCGAGGACCACACTGCCAACTTTGAGGGCCAGACCAGCGACGGTGACTGCACTGGCAGTGACGCCAGCGACTCCGGCTCCGACAGCTCTGCCAGCGAGTCTCCCGTTGCTGCCACTTCTGCTGCCGCCGCTGCCTCTTCCACTGTCGCCGTCGTCGCTACCAGCACTCCCGCTGCTGCTGAGGAGACTCCCGCCGCGACCACTCCCGCTGCGGTCCCTGCCACCACCGCCGTTGAGCAGGTTGCTTCCAGCGCCGTCGTGTCTGAGGCCCCTGCTGCCACCGCCACCACCTCGCCCAGCTGCGCCGCCAAGCGAAGCCTCCGCAAGGCCCAGCGTGCCGCCAAGCGTGCTGCCAAGCGCGCTCTTAAGGAGAAGCGAGCGCTTTAAGTGATTTTATGAGTTCTCGAGATGTTTTGATTGAAGGGGCTGCTACCTGAAGCAAGGTACATGTTTTCTTGTAAATAGTGGTGATCGCTGTCACTGTACGCCAGTGTAAGCCTATGTATAAAATATGAAAGAAACCAATATCGGTCTTTGTTTAACACCGAAGTAACATTGTTGTTTATGGATGAGTGACATGTGTCGATCACGAAACGGACCAGTTTCAATTCGTGTTTGAAACGACAGTTAAAACAGGAGATATGTTTAACTTTTCCAAGTCGACACCCTGCGAAACATTTGGTAACGCATGAATGACAGCGACGCAATTAATGCCGGGAAAAGGAGCCTGAATTTAACTCTATTTCTGATGCGATTTTCGTTCAGGCACTGAAGTCGAGTGTTGTCACCCAAACGTGGAGAGGCGTCTGAGCACTAAAAGCAGCTCTCAATCACGTCCTGACATAGTTTTCGTAAATAGATAAAATCAATGAGGCTAAATCAAGTGTATGTAGGCCATCCATTATAAAGATTTCTTTATTAAATAAAATACTAAACATCATCCTCTAGACTAAGAATCTCCTGATGTCTGTCGTATTTTGAACCCACCTACCCTATACCTTTCATTTTCGCACCGCGCCAAGTCCATTCCGTGAGAAAACGCCACGAAGAATAAGCAGCCACGTCAAAGAATCAGCTGCCCAAAGTCTCACCTCTCAACATTCCACAGCTCAGCTCTTCCATCGAGCGTCATCCCTTCTCAGCTCTTCTACCATCGATTCCTCTGCCGGGTGGTTGCTCTCCGCGGGCTGACAGCGGGATACGTCGAAATGGACACCTCAAACGTGCGTGTCGCCGTCGTTGGCGCCGGTAAGTCGACCAACCCTAGTCAGGCTACCCACAATCACTATTGACTACGATCAAGGACCCGCGGGCCTCGGCGCCATCAAGGCGATGCTAGATGAGGGCTTCAACGTAACTGGATTTGAGCGACGACCAGACGCTGGCGGCTTATGGGCCTTTTCGGAGAATCCCCAGTTCACTTCCGCGACGGAGAGTACCAAGGCACAGTTGAGCAAGTTCATGGTGAGTACTAGCGCTTTGGACGTCGAGGGTCACAGACTGAAGCAAATAGTTACCGTTTACCGATTTCCCGATGCCGGATGGTATGTTCATCTCCCGACGATCCAAAGGTTGAGCTAACGCGCTGTAGACTTTCCGCTCCACCCTAGCTCTGCAGATCTAGCTGCGTATTATCAGAGCTACGCGAAGCATTTTGACCTTTTGAAAAGGATTGTCTTCAATGCCTCGGTCAGTTCTTTGACAAGGACCGAAGATGGAACCAAGTGGGCTCTCTTGGTTGAAGGCGAGGCCTCGCCGAGAGTGTTTGACAATGTCATTGTAGCTACGGGCACAGAGGTCACTGCCAGCGTCCCCGAGATAGAAGGGCTCGATCTATTCAAGGGTCGCTTTCTCCACAGCCAAGAGTACAAGAGGTACGAATTCGTGGCTGGCTTTGTACGTCTGTTACTGAACTCCATTTAGGCCGGAAGCCTTTGCTGGTCAAAACGTTGTCATTATCGGCCAAGGAAACACAGCGGGAGACTGCGCAGTGGTAAGGCATTCCCAAGTCCCAATGGAGAAATCCTCGAGCGACCTCGTATAATGTTCGTCGAACCTGACATGACTCACAGGATCTTGTTTCACATTCGTCCAAGGTGTACTGGTCTCATCGCCGCGGCGCACTAGTCGTGCCGCGGCTCGTCAACGGTGTCCGCTTCGACTCGTTCGCATCATGGAAGAAGACGCGCGTGGGATTTTGGGCCAGCAAGGTGATGCCAGCCTTCCACCGATGGATGTTTGACATGTTCTTCTCGTGGATTGTCCAGGCGGTCTGGGGCGACCTCGACCCTCAGTGGCGGCTCGACAGAAATGCCTACTATGCGACTACCATCTCTGGAATAGTGATCAACGACGATATCATTGCGACGCTGCGAGATGGACGCGTCGAATCAACAGCGGGCGTTCGAAAAATTGTCGGACCTCGCTCCGTGGAGTTGGATGACGGGACAGTCCTCGACGAGGTCGATACCATTATCGCGTGCACGGGTTATCTCAACACGCTCCATGTGCTCGACGGCATCGTAAACTACTCGCAGCCGCACCCCGATGTCAGACCGATGGCAGATATTTACCAGGGCATCTTTCCCCTTGGATACACCGACTCACTGGCATGTCTCAACTATGCCGTCGTCATGGAAATTGCCACGACATGCAGAGAGTTATCGTCGATGGCCATTGCGCAGGTCTGGGCCGGCAAGTCGAAGCTCCCACCGGCAGAGGAAATGGAAGCCCAAGTGCGCGAGCACCAGACCTGGTTCGTTAACCTATCGCTCGAGACGCCGCTCCAGATAATAGAGGGCACCATCGAGCCGCACGAGTGGCTCAAGTTTGTTAACGAAACGGCTGGCACGGGCGTTTATGAGAACCTTGGCTGGACGCTTCAGGGGATCCGATTCGCCATCAGGGAGCCCAGACTCTCGTTTATGATGCAGTGGGGAGTGAACTCGCCGCACATCTATCGGGTGTTCGAGACAGGCAAACGCAAGGCCTGGGATGGGGCTCGGGGGGCGATCAAGCACGTTAATCATTTGAGTGACATTGACCTTGCCGAGGCCAAGTCGAAGACTTCTTAATTCGAGTGTCAACACAGTGTTTGGACTGAGGTTGACTGAGTTTAGTTTGGAGGGTTCAGCTGGCTATTGGATATGGGCTTAGGCGGTTATGTTTTGTGTTACTTTGCGCAATAACAATTGGATTAAATCACGTCAAAAAATGCGCGCAGGTGCCAGCCAACTCGAGTTCCCGGGCGTCAGTTCGGTCTGAGAAGTCTCGGGATACTCTCCACCCAGATCGTGGTCTTGGGCTTACGCCAAGCAGAAAGGGGCTGTCGTGAAATTAGCTGCAAGAGTTTGTCGACGAAATCGCTGACGAGTTGCAGGGGTTATACGACAATTGTAGACGGGGTTGGAGTACAGGCGACTGTGTTAACAGGGCAGCCAGTCATCTAACAGCTCTCGTAGGTTGTTGAATCCGTTGACCTAATTGCTTTACATACATTTCATGGATGTTTTCAGCTGATGGCCAATCCTCCGTTGACCGGCCCCCTAGCGCACTCTGCTACGCCGCCAGGACCAGGAATTAGCGGGGAAGGTTAAAGTTGGCAAGGCATAATAAAGGCGAGAAAAAGGAAATCAGAAGGATCTAGCGACTAGCTCAGCAGATCGTTCGCCTGCCCCTGGGCGCTGAGGGAAAATTCGCTGCCCTGACTCGTCAGGCGGAAAGCTTCTAGAAACGAAACGCGCGGACGCCATGTTAGCATCGTGCCCGGATTACTTGCTTTGTTGAAAGCTGGACCCCTACGGCAGGATCATGCCCCTTGAGGAAGGATCGACAGTCCCAGCATGCACGGGGAGCTCTGGCGAAGGAGCTAAGCATAGGGCTGAAGCTACGTTTCGCAATGTCATTCAAGCCCCAATTGATGCGCTGCGACGTATAAATGACGGCTATAATTTTTGACGTCGGACAGAAGAGCGAGGGCGACATCGGCACGCCGAGTCAGGTTGCCAAGGCCGTGTTGGTGTCGCAACTTGGCTGTCTTCTCTTGGCGAGTCCAGCTAGCCATTGTGCGGCACAGGTGACCCACGGATATGGAACACACCGACAAGCGCGCCGACGGAGAGCTACCGCTTTGGTTCAATGGGAACTAACTGCCGCCGTTGGCCTACTTGGCAATGCTACAGTAGTAACTGCCCTACGAGGGTAGCATCGATGAGTCTAAGGGAACCGGCCCGGTTATGGACTATTAAGTAGACGAGCGATGGAGAATGGCGCATTTGGGAAGCGCCGGACCGGGTCTCTAGTCGCTTATGTGAACTCCTCGTATATGGCATGGTGGAAGATTCCTGTCCTGCCAGAGCGGTCCTTGGCATGGCTTGGCTTGGGAGAGACGAGGAGGTTGAATCAGCGCACTCGGCAGTCACACAGAACGCGAAGCACCTGACGGAGGGTTGCATCGGGAGGTTGGCAGATGCCAGGCACAACGCTTAGACTTAGACTTCGCTGGGCGGCAGGGATAGAGGCGATAGCCAAGAGGAGGGTGTGAGGGAGGGTCGTTCCATTCGTACGACGGGTGGACTCGACACCCAACGAACGAACAAGCCGTTGAAGGCTCATTTAATCTGAATCGGTATCTGCTGGGATGGAAAAGGAGGGAACCGGTGAGGTGAGCACGTCACCTTGAGGTGCAGGTCTCGACTCTCGGAGGACACGGAGGGGTGGTGGCGCCATCGAATGGCGATCAGACTGTCAAGACGGTGACAGATAGAAGCCACGGTCAATTGTCATATCTGGTCTAAGCGGAGAGTCCTCGGCCACATGGGAAGAGATGTCGGGATAATCGACCAGGTGGGGGATAGCCTCGTTGCAGGGGGCGCCAGAAGCCAGAAGTGGGATAGGACGGAGAGATTTGATAGCGTTTGCTAGGCCACGGGGACGCAGGTGATAATGTGGCACGGGGTGATGAAGGGACCCTCCGCGATTTGATAGTGAAGAAGAGCGCATCCGTGTATGATTCGATGCGAGCGGAGAGACTATCAGATGAATTGATGGTGGATAGAATCTCATTGAGAGAGACAAGCCAGGACCGGGCATTTACGGTGGCCCTCGCTAGCGGATCATCCACTGCTCTTTAGCACAGGGCCCACTGAACTTTGAGTGATGGCGCGGAACTGCACGGGATCGCCAACGACGGCGCCATCGACAACGTACGCGTACTCGGGAGCTCTACGTAGCAGATACTGTACATGGTATTAGTTCAGATGAAAGAGCCCCTTACACTCTGGATGCGACGGCCGCCGTGGATCCCGTCCAAGCGCAGCCATGTGTATTAGGTAGCGAGTTGCGAGCAGAAGCGGAGGATGCCCGCGCACACCCAATGCCAGCGGAGCTTTGGTTCCAGGGCCACGCCTCCGTTCGCACACCTACGAGGGGAAAACCGTTAGCGGTCCCGTCCACCATGGCCCACCCCTAGCGCAAAACTCCCTAGCGACGGCTGCCCCTGTAGCGAGGTGGTTCCATCCCTAAGCTCCCTGGTGGGCCCCCACTGTCCCTGGCTGGTGCGTGCTCACCCTAGGCTGCGGGGTTAGGGAGGTGAGCGAATGGATGGATCCCCATGCGTCTTCTGCGCCTCTGGGTCGTCTCGAATGCCCACCATGAAAGCGTTACGTTCGGTTTATGTAACAACATGACTTTTCAATGGCCAGCAACGCAACTTTTCCACAATTCCCCCAGAGTGTGACTGTTCAAACTTCTTCTTTCCTTTTTCCCCAGATTCTACAGAGATGGGAATGACAGGTTCCCACCCAGACTCCATTTTCCCCAGACGGCCGAGGCGGGTTATACGTAAAGGTAGCCATGTCTATCTGGACGACATGTCTCGGCCGGGCACGCAGGCCCCAAATCTGTAGATCGGAGCGTTCGGGGACTTCGAGAAGGAACGGAAGGGGGGGTGGAGGGAATTAATTAAACGGGCTTTTTTCTTCTAGAATCCGCAAGCTCAGGCCCGGATCTTTCCCACGTGCGCCACAGACATAATAGCCGGCCAACAGAACCCAAGTCCCAAGCCGAGCCTAGGCGCACGGCAGGGGAGGGGGGAGGACGTTGCCGAAGCGTGCAGGTAGGCGGTATTAGCTGCGCGGTAGAGATGCGTGCTGGGTGGCTGTAATCTGCATCAGCCAGCGCTGTGCCGTGGATGATGTTATGGCTTCTGTCACCGAAAAGACGCAGGGGCCGTTGGATGCGTTCGTCCTGCTGGCATGGAAGATTGCCACCTTGGCCGTTTTCTTCTTAGTGACGCTGGTTCCAGGCCATGGCATCGTCCCTTCCAATTATCCCAGGCCACTGTGGCACATCAAGTGTCTTGGCCGGCTGCTCTAGCTCGCAGCCCATTTTGGTTCCGCCGTGTCAACGGTATGACCACCACAACCGCTGACCATGACAACCGCGGCAGCGCCAGCGCCAACGAACGGGAACCGGCACCATCGCGCCTCTGTAGCTGCTGGTCTGGACGCCAGTTAATTCCAAAATGCAGTCGATGGCACTAACACTAACGTGGCAGGGGACACGAATCTCCAGTGCACTTGCCCCTTCGGGCCTATCTCAGCCCTTTACCCACCACGTCCAAATCTCCAACGTCTCCATCCTGTACAGACATCCAATCCAGTCCTCCAACACATTCCAAACCTCCAGCGTGCTCCATACAAGATCCCGGCCGCCACTTCAGCTCGCAGGATGCTGCAAGCGGCAGGAGTTGTCCGAGGCTCCGACAATGCCAAGCCGATCATTGCTGTCCACTCTCGCGTGCGATTCACCATTGCATGCGGTCCAACAGACCAAGACCCCTCGTTGGATATCCACCCCACCAACTGCAGCACAACACCCATGATACCATGGATATCAGCCCCAGAGAGGCCACAGCCTCCGGAGACCTACCTAGCTAGCTCGGCCAAGCTGCAGCATCGCGACGTTATCCACCATACACACGCCAACCCGAGGGCCTAACCACCATGCGCCAAGGTGCCAAACCCAGGGGCCCAAGGTGACCCAGCCGCGCCATCTCCATGTTCGTCCATTGAACCTCGCAGCCCTGGCTCTTCCTGAGCTAACCCCCTGGTACACGCCGGTTCGTTCACCCATCCCAGAGCTCGGAGTTTTGACGTGCAGTAGGGGCAGCTGCTGCACACCCTCTTTCGCTCGCTTGCCCCCCCCCCCCCCCCCCCTCCGAGATGGCTCGCGCGACTCGGCGTGCTGGGGCTCCCTGTCCAGCCTGATAAGCTGCCATCTGGATGTCCCCCAGCCCCGACCTGTCGATCCAAGTGTCTATCCATCACTCTGCATGGCCCTCCGTCTTGGGAAATTCTTTGTGTCCATCAGGTTTTTTCCTTGGACGTTCCCCGCAGGTGATTTGCGTTGAAACCATCGAACTGCTTGTCCTTTGCATCTGGCATTCCATTGCCAGGTCGTTCTCATCCTCTCGACTTTGACTTGACTGGGACAAGATATCTTTCACAAACCCCGCATACATGCTGAGGGCACAACCTCGTCCGCTCCTTTGACAATCATGTCCATCTACTCCGAGGCCCCCGAGGCGCGGCCCTTCAGCAAGGATAAGCCCAGTAAGCTATAACATCTCCATGAATAGAAGTCAAGTTCACATGCTCATGTCTTCTCCAATGCAGCTGCCCTCGTGAGCATCTGGATTAGCCTCTTCTGCATCGCAATCATCGTCCTCCGCCTGAGCGGTCGCTACGTCCGAGTCGAAAAGCTGCTCCGGGAGGACAAGATCGTCGCTTGTGCACTCATTCCTCTGATTTTGCGGGCTGTCTGTGTGCACTTTGTTCTCCTCTATGGAACGAACAATGTCAACCTCGATGGCCTCGACCTGACACAGAGTGAGATCGACAAGAGGGTCATTGGCAGCCGTCTTGTCATGGCTACTCGTGTCTTCTACGCCGCAGTGTAAGTCTTTCCCACATCACATTGTTCCATCCGCTAATTGTATGTTGCTCGTAGACTATGGATCATCAAGTACACCACCCTCGAATTCTTCAGTCGTCTCGCCGGCGCAACTAGAAAGAAGCTCCACGCGATGATCATTCTCGTCATGCGCTGGACTCTCGGCCTCACGTTCCTCGCCGTCGTCATCAGCGACCTGACGGAATGCCAACCCTTTTCACACTACTGGCAGGTCACTCCTGACCCGGGACCCAAGTGTCGGCAGGGCCTTGCGCAGATGCTCACCATGGGAGTGTGCAGCGTGGCTACGGACCTGGTGCTCATCGCCTTCCCCATCCCCATTATCCTCTCCAGCCAGATCGCCACCAAGCGCAAGGTGCTTCTCGTCATGCTCTTCTGCTTGGTGTTTATTACCGTCGGCATCACCCTCTACCGCATGCCGTTTTTGATCAAGCACCATGGTAGCCAGGTGGACCGGACCATGTGGGCCTCGGTCGAGATTCTGGCGGCAACCGCTGTAGGCAACACCGTCGCCCTGGGATCATTCCTGCGCGATAGCGGTGTCAAGCGCAAGAAGTTCAAGGGATCCAACAGCTACTCGGGCTACTCAGGCTCACGGTCGCAGTCAATGCCGACCAAGCTCACGCGGACGGCCGTCAGCCAGTGGGACGAGGAGCTCGAGGACGGGCCGCCAGTCAAGACGACGGAGGGCATCTGGGCCAGCAGCGGGGCGTCCCACACGACGACGGAATCCATCTCCAAGGCGGACGACATCCGCAAGGACTCATCCGAAAACCGCCCTGTCAGCCCCACGCAGAGCCATGATTCGCTCATCACCCGGGATCAGCTGCAGTCGGTGGATATCCCCCGGACAGACTTCCCTCTCCGACCGGGGGCGGCTGTCGTGGCTGGTGATTCGAGACAGGTGCAGCGCGCCAATACTTCGAGTCGCAGCGGCAGAAGCTGAAATGGGAATCAAGGCGTTGGCGATATGGATATGGATGGATATGGATATGGCGATATGAGATATTGGGGCGATTCAGGATGCCCAACGTATATTTTTCAATGTTTAATCTTGGGTCACACGACGTCAATGGTTAGGTCAGGCTAGAAGGAACTTCTCTACAACGTAGACTACTCTATCAACAGACGATTTCTTTGTGTTTGTCCATTATGCATATCCAAGACGTAAACTTAGCAGTATCATGTTGTGCCCATCTCAGCCCGCCACTAACACGCCACAGACATGACTCGCCCCAACGGCTACAACGGCCGACCAAATTATCAAGGCGCACCTGCATACGGCTATACCTGACAGATGCCAGCATCAAGCAACAATCAATCATATGGGGAGCGCACCCGAGGCCAATTCCTGTACGTAATAGCGAGCGCAGTGGGCGGGGCATCAGGGAATGGAGCCGCGGGGGGGGATGATGGATCCATTGGCGATGCTGCCACTGTAGGTATCTGGTGCTTCCCCAGCTTCGTTCTTCTCCTGGCCTGAGCGCCCAACGCGGCTTGCGTCGTTTTTTCTCGTCGCTTGCCTGTTTTGCTCTCGTCTCTCTTTCTCGCCCTTGTCCCCCGGCGCTTCCACAGGCTCCGAGTTTGTCCCACGATCTGGCCGAGCCGGCGGCGCAATGGGCCACGGGCCAGATGCATCCGGCGTCGAGAGGCTGTGGGCGCGCAGGGATGTGGAGAGAGCACCTACCTAATCGGGGCAGGCCAGGGGAAGGCTTGGCGCTACGGGCTGGCTGTCACTGCGCGGCCTGTAGCACAGGTAGTACAGGGCTTACATAGTACAGGGCCTACAGGGCCTACTTGCAGGGTCTACAGGGCTTCTCGAACACTTCGGGGCACAATGCGGCAACACCACTCCGTCATCGACCGCCAGCCAGGGGGCAGAGGCCACTGCGCATCGAGAAGGTGAGGAGGGAGTGGCACTACGTAGTTAATGCACCATCCAGGGGGGGCGTGTATGAGGCGTTTGGGCCAGAAACCCCATCTATCATGCGTTGCGTCTTGAGAAACGGAGTGCCACTAGAGCCAGCCCTCCCTGGTGGACCCCATCCCGGCCTCCCAGTGCCCCAGTGCGCATCGTTGCCGCGTGCAGGCACAGGCACCGCGATGCTAAAACAACCCCAGAAAAAGGCCGCCAAGCCGAGAGGCAGGACGAATTGCGTCGCTTGCGAGAGGACTCGAGCAATAGCTGCGGCGAGTCAAAAGACACAGCGACGAGGGTGAGGTAATTACGAAGAGCACCGGCCACATGGCATTGCCCATCACGACCCATCGCTTCTCGCAGCCCGCGGAGCCATTTCAACCATTAACTATTATCCATCCATTCCCCCCCATTTAGCCAGCCTCCAGCCTAGCCGTCCTCACCTTGCCTTGCTATCCGTTCCTTCCCTACCCATCTAACTGTCGCTCGTTTGCCGCGCCTCGTCGCTCCTTGTGCCTCCCGCCATAATAAATCCGCCACCGCCGCCGCACTTCCGCATCGCCCAGAACGCAACACACCACACCACACGCTCTTCCCGACGGCACGGCTCTTGCTCAAGGAACTCCCAGGGACGATCTTTGACATTCGGCATTCGACAGCCATCTCTCGTCGAATTTTGCGCGCCGTTGCCTCGGTTGGCTTGCCGCGTAGTCCGTTGCATGGCTGTCACTGTCTCAGTCAGCAGCGTCACTGCCGCGTAAATTCCCCCCGAAGGAAAAAACGCCACCCGCCCGCGACTTTCCTCTTTTCGCAACCGTTGGTGCTTCCAGAAGCATTTTCGAACCCACCCTCATCGGCATCGCATCGGGTTCAGGGTTTTCTTCTTCAAGACATCGCGCGCCGGACCATCGTCTGCATATTAGTGTACAACGGGTCCTACCCCAGACTGGGGATTATTGCTTCTTTTTCTTTGCTTCTTCTCCTCTGCTTCCCATCTCCTCGTTCCTTCCTGCCCCTTCCCATTCTGAAACTCCCCGGCATCTCATCCTCCGGACCCCACACACGTGACCTACCCCAAGCCGGCCACGATGAAAGGCGACATCGTCCTCACGCGCGATGTCGAGGTGGTCGAGATGAAGGACCTCAGCGCCGGGCCCGACAAGGGAACGTCGTGGAACATCTCCGCCAAGAAGGAGTCCTCGCGCCATCCCACCGACTGGATGGACGGCTTCCGCCGCGCCGAGCGACGTCCGCTCAAGAGCCGTGATGGCGGCTACCAGCCAACGACGGCTCCGACGGTGCCGGGAGACCGACAATATGACTTGCGCGCTGCCAATGCGAAGACGGCCAATACGGCGCTTGCCAGGGAACTCAAGGGCCGCCATCTGCAGATGATTGCGTTTGGTGGTGCCATCGGTATGTCTCTCTTCCTCAGTTGCATCCTAGAACAAACAGCAGAGCGGGTTGCGGCATTGCAATATCAGAACCCATTACTAACCTCTGACCAGGAACCGGTCTCTTCGTCGCCTCCGGAGCCGCTCTCTACAATGGCGGACCGGCATCAGTGCTTCTGGCGTACGTTCTGATCGGCGTTATGCAGTACTGCACCATGCAAGCCCTAGCCGAGCTGTGTGTGTTGTTTCCCATCGCCGGTTCTTTCTCCGCCTACTCTACTCGCTTTCTCGATCCTTCATGGGGATTTGCTATGGGTTGGAAGTAAGTTGCTCCCTATATACAACTATACAGGCTCGAGCTGTCGACGGAATCTAACCGTACCCAGCTACTGCCTGCAATGGCTGTTTACTCTGCCGCTAGAAATCCTCGCGGGCGCCTATACTATTTCGTACTGGAACGAATCCCTACCGAAGGCCATATTTGTCGCCATATTCCTCATCACAATCGTCCTCATCAACTTGTTCGGTATCAAGGCATACGGTGAGGCCGAATTCGTCTTTTCCATCGTCAAGGTCACTGCCATTATCGGCTTCATGTGAGTCCAACCTCTGAGAGTCTTCGGCGTCTGTCTCAGCCATTGTCTCAGTTGCTACAGTCTCTTCACCACGTATAGTTCAATCGCTAACCGAACTAGCCTGCTCGCCATTGTCATCAACATTGGCGGCCAGCCGGATAGCGGCTACATCGGCGGCATGTACTGGCGCAACCCCGGCGCCTTCAACAACGGCTTCAAAGGCTTCTGCACCGTCCTCATCACGTCGGCCTTTTCCTTCAACGGCACCGAGCTCATCGGTCTCGCCGCTGCCGAAACCGCCAACCCCCGCAAGTCGCTCCCGACGGCTATCAAGCAGGTGTTCTGGCGTATCAGCATCTTCTACATCCTCGCCCTGATGCTTGTTGGGCTTTTGGTGCCCTCCAACGAGCCGCGTCTCATGGACGGCAAGAACAGCGCCGACGCTTCGGCCAGCCCCTTTGTCATTGCCATCGAAAGTGCAGGCACCACGATCCTCCCCAGTGTCATGAATGCCGTCATTCTGATTGCAGTCATCTCTGTCGGAAACTCTGCCGTCTTCGGTTCTTCCCGAACCCTGGCCGCACTCGCTGAGCAGTCGCACGCCCCTCAAATCTTTGCCTACGTCGATAAGCAAGGTCGCCCCCTTATGGCCATTCTCTTTGCGTCGTGCCTCGGTCTTCTGGCCTTCTTGGCCGACTTGTCTGTCCACGACGCCATCTTCGACTGGCTGCTCTCGATCAGCAGTCTGTCAACGCTCTTCACCTGGGGCAGCATCTGCTTGTGCCACATCCGCTTCCGCCAAGCGTGGGGCTTCACTTCTCGTTCCCTCGAGCAGCTGCCATTCCGCTCCAACGTGGGCATCTGGGGCTCCTGGTTCGGATGCATTGGCTACGCCCTGGTACTCATCTCGCAGATCTGGGTCGCCGTGTCACCCATACCGACAGCGGACCAGGACACTAGCACGGCCGGTATGGTGCAGACCTTCTTCCTCAAGGTCATGGCCATCCCGATTATCCTCATCTTCTACTCATTCCACAAGATCTGGTTCCGCACGCGCATCGTGCGTGTCGACGAGATGGATGTGGAGACGGGTCGCCGATACTTCCGAGTACACATCTCGTCCGAGGAGGAACGAGAGGAGAGGATGAAGTGGCCCTTGTGGAAACGAATGTACCGACTACTTTGCTAAACGCGAGGGTGTCTTTGTTTCTTGAATGAATGGCATGATTGGCTTGGATACTTGGCTTACGGCGTTATTGAGAGGACCTTGTGCTAGATAATACCACCATTAGCGATCACTGGCATGTTGACGAGATTATTTATCGCGACAATAGAAATCAAAATCAATTATTTACTTTATTTGTTTCTTCATCTGTGAAATGAATTTGTACAGGACTGGGTATGTCTTGGCAGCATACTTGCTTTGCCACCATTTTTCTCTCGTAGTCTGCCAGCAACTGTAATAATACTTGAGCCTAGAGCCTAAATATTACGGAAGGTATTGCATTCTTTACGCTTTTATTTATTATGTTTAAGGATCCATTTAAAACACCTAGGCTCTAAATCCTTGTTAGATACCTCTACATTGTTCAGGATATGAGCTGTTGTTGCCCCACTGTATTTTTTCCAGCCGCAACAGGAACCGCCTGACGTAAAGGTGGGTAGCTCGCCAACCTCCAACTTCAAACTTCCACCACGAACCTCGCCATTCTCACTCGCTCCCCGGAGTCGCATTCATTTAGCCACTGCCATCATGGATCCCAGCGCCATGGACGGTCTGGACGACTTTGAAAAGTCCCTTGCAGCCGGCAAGGCGGAGCGCGAACAGGAGGAACGCGAGCGCGATGAGCGACGCCATCGCAAACACAGGCATCGCCATCGCCACGACTCGGAGCGGGATGGCGAGCGGGACAAGGACAAGGATGGGGACAGGCATAGGCATCGCCGCCATCGGGATGACGACGATGATGGGCACAGACACAAGCGCTCGCGGCACGGTCGCGACGACAAAGACGAAGAGCGTCGGTCACGGCATCGTCATGGCGAGGAGCGACACCACAAGACATCGGAGCCCGAGCCGAAAGAAGACGAAAAGACGCCAAGCGACAATACAGAAGAATCCTCCAAACCCCTTGTCAGAGACTCTTGGATGACGGCACCTTCGTCAATCGAAATCGACTACGTCCACCGCCCCGACAAAACCCCCAAGCCGCCCTCGCCTAAGCCAGAACCCAGGCGAGTTCTGCACCACCGCGAGCTCAACCGCAATATCGACGACGTCAAATTGGGCAAGACGGCCGATGACGAGGACGACACGCCCACCGAGCGCACCTTTGACTACACATTCGGCGACATGGGCTCCGCCTGGCGCATGACCAAGTTGCGGACCGTCTACAGCCAGGCGGACGAGAAGAACTGCCCCGTTGAGGAGGTAGCCGTGGAACGCTTCGGCAGCCTGCAGGAATTCGACGACGCGCGCGAAGAGCAGCAGGAGATGGAGCGGAGGAAGCTATACGGGAAGGGCTTCAAGGGCCAGGAGCAGCCGACGGGAGAGCTGTACCGACAGCGGCTGGAGAAGCAGCGCGACGAACCCCCTCGCAAGCCAGAGCAGACGACAGCTCCCCAAGTTGTCGTTCCCGCTACGCCGGCCATTGACCAAACGGCCCTCAACCGGCTCCGCGCGGGGATGATGAAGGCCAAGCTCCGCCGCGCCCCCAACGCCGCGCAGCTCGAGGACGAGTACAACCGCGCGGCCGCGACCTTTGCCCAGCGCGGCCCCACCGCCGGCCCCGACGCCGTCGTGCTCGGCGTCATGGACAACCGGCAGCTCGCCGGAACCCGCGCCGAGGCCAAGGCCGTCGACACCAAGCGCGGGCGCGAGCGCGGCACCGTCGAGGAGAACGCCGACATGTCCATCGACGACATGGTGCGCGAGGAGCGCCGCACGCGGATGCAGGCCGGCGGCGAGGGCCTGCGGCTCGCGGAGCGCATCGCCAAGGACGCCAAGTTCGACAACGGCCTCGAGTACATGGACGACAACGCCGAGAAGCTCGCGCGCCGCGTGCACAAAAGCGAGGTCAACCTCAAGAACATGGCCGTGGGCGAGTTCCAGAAGATGAACCGCGTCCTCGAGTCGTGCCCGCTGTGCCACAAGGAGGACACCTCACAGCCGCCCGTCGCGCCCGTCGTCTCGCTCGGCACGCGCGTCTTCCTCACGCTGGCCACCGAGCCCGAGATCAGTCCCGGCGGCGCCGTCATCGCGCCCATCACGCACCGGCGCAACCTGCTCGAGTGCGACGACGACGAGTGGGAGGAGCTGCGCAACTTCATGAAGAGCCTCACGCGCATGTACCACGACCAGGGCCGCGAGGTTGTCTTCTACGAAAACGCCGCCGCGCCGCACCGCCACCCGCACGCCGCCATGGTCGCCGTGCCCATCCCCTACGCCGAGGGCGCCACCGCGCCGGCCTACTTCAAGGAGGCCTTCCTGGCCGCCGACGAGGAGTGGTCGCAGCACCCCAAGGTCGTCGACACGGCGAAGCGCGCGCGCGAGGGCATGGGCCGCGCCGCGTTCCGCCGCAGCATCGCCAAGGAGGCGCCGTACTTCCACGTGTGGTTCTCGCTGGACGGCGGCCTGGGCCACATCGTCGAGGACTCGTCGCGCTGGCCGAGGGGGGATTTGTTCGCGCGCGAGGTGCTGGCGGGTATCGTCGATGCCGAGCCGCACGTCGCCAAGAAGCAGGGGCGGTGGACGAGGGGCGATCAGCGGGTTGATGGGTTTAAGAAGGGGTGGAGGAAGTTTGACTGGACGCGGATGTTGGCTGAGGACTGAGGACGGGAGTTGCAGTCATGATGAATGATGACTTGCGGCTCAGGAGGAGGATTATAATCCCAGCCAAGGGAAGATAAACTTGCAATGAATAAGATAATTCTCCGACCATCGTGCAGTCTCTAGGCTTCTAGAATAAGCACAACACAAGAGTGCCTGATCAATCTGTTTTAGCTACAGTTATATCCACATCTCATCGCATTCACATACACAACACCAATGATAGGGTCAACTTGGTTCAGCCTCCAGTCGGCCACAAAATGTAATTAAGACATTACTCTACTTGGGACATGGAGTCCTCCAGATTAGTCGTACATAGGTAGTAGAATGAGATGAGCCCTTGTCATCCCTGCTCACACGCATCTTGACAATTGGCCCCCTAAACGGCATTTCGCACTCGGACGGCCAAAGCCCGTCTCTTTCCTCCCCGTCGGAGCCGCGGTTGGCTCTTTTTCAGAGACCCAAGGATCCCTTGGCGGGTGGTGGTTGTCTTTCCAGAGTTGATGGTCGGCAGCGTGGAGGCATCGCGGTCGGTTCAAGCTCCGTGCTCCGTCGTCCTGGCCGCGAGCGTAAATATTAGAATAGCCGTCATCGTGTGATATCTGTCCTCAGGTGATATCCGTCCTCGGTGATATTAGATCGTTTCTTAGATGGTCTCCGTGGATTGTTCTCCAATGTCGTCTCTTAAGATCCGCTCTTTGGCTCACTCATGACCTTGTCAGGGGACCTCGTCGACCCCTCTCGCGATCCCTTCGTCCATCCGCCCCCGTCACCTTCATCCAGTCCTCCCATTCCTTGCTCATTTCCATTAATACCGATCCCATTACCATGGCGCTGGCCATCAGACCGTGGCCCTCGCCTTCGAGTACTCGCACTTCGCAGCGGCGCATCGTCTTGCCGAGCCACTTGACGTTGTCGACGGGAACTCGCGTATCCCTGCTTCCGTGGTGGATAACCACCGGCCGCGTGATGTCGACGTAGCGGAATCCAATCGTATGCCGTCGCTCCAGACATACCAGCAAATCCACGGCAGGGTTGGCTCCGGTAGTTGCCAACTCCCAGATGGCGTGTGTCAGCCGTAGATCATACGTCACCTGGCGCTCCTTGTCCGCCATCGCATCTTGTGCCGCAGCCAGAATCGCCGTCTCAGGGTTCCTCGTGCCCTGAGGAGGATGCATCCGGTCCATGTTCTCCGTCGCATTGGGCTGTTCCAGCGGCATGTCACCATTCATCATAGCGTTTGGTGATTTTCCGTAGCCTTCGTGGCCAATGTTCTCCTTATCCAAGCTGGGCGTCACGTTTCGGTGGCCGTCTTTGCCATCCTTTCCGTTTACGTTGGACTTTCGCTTACTCCTTCGAGGATTCTTAGGGAGGGAGCTGGTGATGGAACTGCTGGTCGCCGTCATGAAGCTGCTGTTGGCAGCCTTGAGAAGAGGCGTCGGGAGAGCACGGAGGATTCTTTGCGACGTCGGGATCGCGTTTGTCGGGGGAAGCGTCTGAGACGTCCCAAACACGTTCATCTGGGACGGAGGAATCCATGGCGCCAGCAGGTGGATCCTGCCGCGGATATGTTGAGGCATTCGCAGAGCGGTTGCAAGAGCGTAGATGGCACCGGCAGAGTGAGCGAGGATGGAGAACTTGGTAATCTTCAATGCTTGGCAAATAGCATAAACGTCATCTATCACGGTTAGAACAGTCCTCTCGGGGGCGACAAGCACTTACCAGGCCAGCTGAGCGGCGTGGCTGTCCCGTCTGAATACGGCTCGCTGTCTCCCACACCGGGTCGGTCAGGAGTAATCAACCGCAGCTTCAGCGTCAAAGCAAGCTCGTCATAAAAGGCCGTAATATATCTCGTCAAGCCCATGCCCACGCAGCAGAAGACGGCCGAGCCCTCCGAGTCACCCACCTCGGAGAAGGAAATCACACGACCCGTCTGAGGATGCTTGATCTTCTGAGACAAGCGAGGTGAGCAGAGGTAGGACTCGACAGCGTCGTCGACCGAGTCAGCGGACTGGGGGCGCTCGTAACCGTTCGGGATGGGGATCTGGCTGTCGCGAGCTGGGGATTCCTGTCGCTCCTCCGACTTGGGGTTGATGCCAGCAGATAGGCGCTTGAGCCTCGAGCTGCTGCGCTTGAGCTTCAGTCCGTCTGGCGGGATTGGGCTATGGTGTCCGGATCGACGGCGAGAATTACGGTCGCTGCTGTGATGTCGACGGCGACCCTGGGCCACGGCAGGGAATGGTGCGCCTTCGTCTTCGTCATCATCTCCTGGCAAGTCGTCTCCGACATCAAGGAAGCTTCGGCCGGCCATGGTCTTGGTCCTGGTTGGGGAGTGCGAATCGTCGAAGCCGTAGATGGGAGATTTGGCGGATGCCCTCAGCATATCCTGGTCAGAATGGCGCTTTCTCCTGCCGTGCTCGCGGGATCGGCCATACTCTTCCGTCTCGGGGATAACATCGCTCAGGGGTCCATCACTGTCTCGCTTGGACCGTCTTGCGCTGCTGCGCTTCACACTTTGCGTTGACCTCCTCAGGCTAGAATCGCGGACGGGGATGGGGCAGGGGCTCTCCATTCTGCGCTCGGGGCGGGCGTTGTGGCTCGGTTCTTCGTGGATAGCCGTCTCGGCGAAGAAGGGATCTCCCCGGCCGCCGGAGTGGGTGCTGCTCCCGGTGGCCAAGACTCCGGAGGCAGAGGCCGGGAGACCGCCCGAGGCGCGCTTGCGCTCGACCTCCTTCTCGCGGAGTTGTTCTTTGGAGCTCATGTACATGAGGCCCTTGGAGCTCCTCCCAGTCTTCTTGCCCCAACTATCATGCGACCGCTGGTGGTTCAGTTCTGGGCTTGGTGCGGAGCGGCGTTCGATGGACAGGTTTCCGATGCTGTGGGTGTCATCGTTCTTGGAGACAGACGATCCCTTGGACGACGGGCGCGAGGTGCTGTTGCGGATAAAGGAGCGAAGACCACTCTCGCGACTCGGACTCCTCGGGCTCTTGGGGCTCTTAGCGGCCGTCAGGGGTGAGTAGCCGCTCGGGGGCTTGGAGGTGCGGACGACGGGCGGAGCGGCGGCGAGATCGTCAAGGGAGACGGCGGCCTGCCTAAGATCGTCGGTGTTGAGTGAGTGGAAGGCGCCGTAGTCGACGCCGAAGCTGCCGTGGCCGGGACTCGTGGGGACGGAGAGACTGGTCGGGGAGGCCTCGAAGTGGTTGTTGGCGGGCTTGGAGATGACGCTCAGGCTGGTGATGAGGTTGGAGATGACCTCGGGACTGGCAGGAGGCATGCTCGCACGTTTAACGGCCGATGGGGGCTGCAGCGAGCGAGGGCGGCCATGGTGACGGACTCGGGCCGGGATAGGGGGGGCGGCAGCGGGATCGAGTTCCATGGCGGCAGGAGACAGGAGGCGCGACGGGCTCTGGAGGTTAGTGAAACCGGAGATGGATGGGATGGCCAGCTAGAGGGCTCTCGCGCGCTGGGCGGGTGCGGCGCGTTTGCTGCGCGTGATGCTGCGGAGGGAGTCTGGTCTGGCGATGCGCGCGCGCAGAAGCGGATGGTGTGTAGCCGAAGCGGATAATGCAGCACGGGGGCGCAGAACGTCGATGTCTCGCCCGGAGTGGGCTCGGGTTGTCTTGGGAGGTCTTGCACGCTGCAGCAAGTAATTGAACGTGTCTCGCACGGCGCAAGTCAGGCGGTTGCAGCGACACAGCGGCGGCTGCACTGTGCGGTCGAGGGTCTCGTCGATGGCGGAGGGAGTAGATGCAGTATGTAGGCGGTACGTAGTATGTAGGGAGGCACTTGTGGTGGAGGAGGTCGCGGCGGACTTGGTTGGTGCAGCAGTAAAGTGGGTGGAGAAGAGTGCGTGCCTTAGTGCGAAGCCCAGGTGGTTCGGTGCCGGGTTTATGGTTGCAGGGACCTGCCTTGCAGGAGGAAGAGGGAGGAAGGACAGGGAAGATGAATGGATGAGTAGAGTAGAGTGGATTGAATTGGTGATGGCGGCGGACCAGGAGCGGGAGGGTTGAGATGGAAGAGAGCGACAGCGTCAGATGACGACGACAAGGAGCGACAGAAGAAAACGGAGAGAGAACAAGAGATGTGAGAGGGAGGGCGAACGTCTGTGATTCGAGGGGGGATACTCCGTAAATGGATGGATGGATGGATGGATGGACGGATAGATTGGACGGATGGAGACATACTGCACGGAGAATGAGCTGGGGGTTGAGGCTACAGGCCCAATTCGGGACGGTGGCGTCGCCTGCTTTGGTGTCTACTATTACTCTGTGATAGTACAGTGGTCCACAGAGTCAGATCAGAGAGAGAGGCAATAAACTCTCTCTGTCCACAAGGCAACGGGCCGTCATTACGAGTCATATCAAGCGCCGGCGAGTAGATTGCCGCCGCCGTTTACTAGCAAAATGGCGCCGAAAGAACCATCGTCACCATCGGGGGGCGTGAAGCGGCGGGAGTTTTTGACCTCACGCAAGAGGCTATTAAATGCCTAATTATTACCTAGGGGATGCCCCAGCCTCACACTCGATCGCCCTCTCTTTCGTCTCCCATCTCACCACAGTCGCATTGCAAAAATGCAAAAATGCAAAAATGCAAAAATGCCCTGCAGGTTTATGCGCCCGCCCTTGCATACAGGCACCGCACGCCCGGGATCGCTGCTGCAGGACCCCCCCGCCGCGCGCGCGCATATTCGTAAGATGCTTGTTTCGCCATGGGCAGACTCCCGACGGCGTCAGCGTGATCAGCTCTCCCACCACCACCACATCTCACTCGCCGGCTTTGTTGGGAAGATCCCGAGGGAGAGAGAGACACAGACAAGACACAGACAGAGAGAGAGTTTCCGCAGTCCCCGTTTCGGGTCCAAGCTCCATCCAGCCATGGGAGACTCCGTATGCAGGAGAATGAACCGGGGGCCAAAAGAAAAAGGCGCCGATTTATGTAGCTGCGGTGGTGGTCGACCCCAATTGGGAACCGGGGGGAGACGGAGAGACGGGGGGGAACACACGGTAGATGGGGTTCCCGCTCGCTGGGCTCTTCTGGAATGCGAATTGTAATATTAGGGGGCCATGATGAGGTGCGGTGCGGTTCATCCGGAGGCGCTTGGCTCTTTCGTCACCGCTGGAGTTGCAGTCGATGGTTTTTTTCGTTTCCGGGGGACTGGAAGACGGCGGATGGTGGATGGTGGATGGTGGATGGTGGATGGGAGAGATGGCGTAATCGAGACTCAGGGAGGATAAGTAACACCAAACACACTCACACTTAATCGTTATTATTATTGTTATTGTTATTATTCTGTCACTCTCACTCTCCCTCTCCCTCTCCCTCTCCCTCTCCCTCTCAACAGCTCACTGCCCTCCAACACTCCCACTGCTAGGGTCCATGATCCAGCTGCTCAGCGCTACAGCCAGCTAGCCCCGTGGCCAGCAGGGATCACACGCGCGCACGGGGTCAGGGGCCGCACGAGCATGTCCCGCCGGAATATCAAAGCCTGTCCTGTCCTCCCCTCCCTCGCTCTTTGTTCTGCCTACTGCAGGCCCCAGGGGGTTTTTGTATTTTTCTCTCCGGCCTTCCCTTTTGCTCAGGTTGTTCCTCCGGCGGTCTCTGGAAGCTGGGACTTCTCCAGGGAACAACCTGGGTGCCTTGTGCTGGGCTCCCCACCGTGCACCCACTGATCTCCCGCTGGTTCCTTACCTAACTTAGGGGGGCCGGCTCCTCTTCTCTCCGTCCTGTCCACTGGGTCGTTCACTGGACCGCTGCTGCTCTCCACTGCCAACTCCACTGGCACAAAAACCTCCAGTGGACCCTTCCAGGCACCGCGAACAGGGGAAGAAGCCCCCCCCCCCACACTGCAAATGATGGGAAAATGATGGGAAAATGATGGGAAATGGATGTCGTCAACTCCATCTGATTTGCCCGTCGATGGGCCGCATTAAAACATTTCATTATTCGTTCCCCATCTCATCCCATCCCCCATCGCCATCCTAGACATCTCATCTCATCTCGCCCTGTCTCGTATGCTCCCGTAACCGCGTCCGGAGTAGAGTACCGGTCGATCCATCTCGAAATCACCTTAAATAGCCGAGGTGAGAGAGGCCGAGTCGCGTAACCACAGAACACGAACGCATGTAGCCGCCATCAACACCAGGAAACGCGTGTTATCCGCCCTTGCGCTTGGCTGATAAGTGGCCTCACGGGGTTCCAGCAGCCGCCCCTGGATCCCAGCTGCCGTGGTGGTGCTCCGCCGAAAAAAGCACCTCGGGTCAACGGCTGCTCTTTTTGAAAATATCGCTGTAATTATCCCCGTCAGCCGTAAAATCACCGACGTCCCATGTTCCCTGCCCAACGGGATTTGTGGCTGCTGCTCGTCTGACAAGCGATGGGTCCCTTAACATATGATGCACCAGCCACAACAAGTAATGACCGGCTCTCGCTGTTTTGCTTGTGTCTGATCACAAATGCCATTATTACGGGTATTCTTGGTAGGGCTGGGCTGTGTGGGAGAGGAATCCCTGGTCCGTTGGCTCCCGTCCCGCCAGAACAAGCTACGTCATCGCTCGCAAGCTCCAGCCACACTTCTGATCCCCGTAAACCGGCCACCTTGGACGACATGATGCGGCGAATCTACGAACCGCGACGTCATGATGGCTGACGGGTGTGCATTTCGGGTGTCGTCATATACACTTGCAACCATGTGTCTTGTCTAGTGTAATGTTCATACTATTATAATGCTTGTTTCCTCTACCACTAGTATGTGTCTCTGAACAAGTCCAGTGTCCTCAACACCATTCAACACCACATCCAGCATCACCACTAACCACACCCATCATATCACCACCAACTACCCCCAACATCATAACTACACAACTCAAACCCCCTACATCAGTCCAAAATGGACCTCCTCCTCTCCCTCCCAATAGCCTCCTACCTCCTCGCCCCCTCCTCAACCTCCCTGTCCACCTCGCTCAACCTGCTCTTCTTCTACATGACCTGGACCACCCTCATCCTCTCCCACTCGCCGCTCAAGATCCGCCTCGTCGGGTCTCTCGCCATCCGCCTCGCGCTGTGGCTGATACCGTCTCTCGTAACCCTCCTCTTCGACCTCGCCCTCCCCAGCCTTGCCGAGTCCATCAAGCTCGGCGGCCGCTCCGCCCTGCCTCCCAGGGATCCTCGTCGGCTGCTTAGACAGCTCGGCCTCGCGCTCTTTAACCTCGTCTTCACTACCGCTGCCGAAGGTGCCTCAAGCCTTGTTTTCGCATACATCTTCCAGGAACCCGACTTCAAGACCAACTCCGCCCTGCCTCTCCCCTGGCAGATGGCAAAGCACATCTTGATACTCTTCTCCGCCCGCGAACTCCTCCACTACAACCTGCACCGCTACGTCCTCCACGGCACATCGTCCCTCGCAAAACACCACACCCGCTACGCCCACACCCGCGCCGCCGCTCCCTACAGCCTCCAGCTCTTCGCCGACCACCCGCTCCCGCTGCTGGTGCACCGCTTCCTCCCCATCTACCTCCCCGCGCTGGTCCTCCGCCCGCACCTGCTCACCTACTTCCTGTTCCTCGCGCTGTGCACCGGCGAAGAGACGCTCGCCATGTCGGGCTACAGCGTCGTCCCCGGCATCATCATGGGCGGCATTGCGCGCCGTTGCGCCTTCCACTATGCTGGCCAGGGGGCTTCCAACTACGGCGCGTGGGGGCTGCTGGACTGGGTGAATGGGACGAGCCGCGGCGGGGACATGTTGGAGGATGTCAAAGCTGAAGCCGAAAAGCACCATCTGAAGGAACGGTCAGCAGACAAGGTCGACAATGGAGTGGGCATGATTCAAGGTGGACTTGATGCGTTGAGGAACGGGAATGGGCCCCGGAGAAGCCCCAGGACGAGATCGAGTAAGCGATCATCCTAATTATCGGATGGCATGTTTTATGATGCATGAGATATTTCACGAGTAGTCCTTGGTTACACCAAAAGCCGTGCTCTTTATGTTCAGCCATATGTGCTTCTATTACAATGTATGCAGGCCCATATACCCTATATCCTCCGCTCTATTGTGCAAGACCAGTCCCCGGCCCTTGACGCCATCCAGTCTATCCGACCCAGCCCATCCATTAAACAGCCAGTTAGTTGTACGCCATCTTCCTCTTGAACCACGCGAGCGTCTCCAGCCCGCTCTGCACCCGCATTCCGATCCTGGCATCCATGAGGTACACCTCCCAGGTCTTGACGATGTCGAGTTGCTTCTGGCAGTCGTCGAACTTCTGGCGGCGGTACTCGGCAATCTCCTCGACTGTGCCCTCGGGGGGGTTGCAGCACTCGGCCCACGCGATGGAAGCCAGCTCGTAGTTTGCGGCGGGCGGGACGTAGTCGTCCTTCGTAGGTCCCTTGAAGGTGTACCTTGGAATCGTTAGTAAAGGACAGCGGGCTGTTTTGGAATAACTCACCTGTCTTGCTTCAGGATGTGCTCTTGCAGGACGGCTCGCGCCTCGTCATACTTGCCCAATCTCTTCAATAAGGTCCCATTCAGAAGCGCCCAGATGCCCATCTCGTCGACCTCATTCTTGATCGCCTCCAAAACCTCCTCCTTGGCAGTACACCGCTCCCACTTGAGGTTAGCCATGGCGCGCTCCAGCTCGACAGGGCCCATCCGCTTGGGTCCGTTCCACAGATACGCCATCTCCAGAGCCGGGCTGGGACCGATGGCATCGGCCAGGTCAACCCCGGCGGCCTTGGCTCGCTCCTCCCACTTCTGAATCTTGCGGTGGACATATGTATCGATGGGCAGCTGTCGCGCCATGAACTTCTTCTTTCCGACGACCGACGGGGCCTTGCGGAAGAACTCGTGCGCCTTGACCTTTTGCCTGCGCGCCTCGTCTTCGTCTCCGCTGTGCACGGCGTCGCGGTACAGCTCCAGGGATGCGGATCCAGCCATGTAGTAGTACAAGGCCGGGCTCCAGTCGTTGACCTCGAGGCACCGCAGGAAGGCGTCGCGCATGCCGTCCCAGTTCTGGACAAACATGTAGCTAATGGACAGCTCGAAGTTGTTAACGGCGGCCACCTGCTTCATCTTGGACTCTTCGCCCGTCGTCAGGAGCTCGACAGCCTTGGGAAGCTGCTGCTCGTTCGCATACTGTCTGGCCTCCTCCACGCGCCAGAGCCTCGAGTTGGGATACCGCTGTCGCATGGTCGCCAGCAGCTGGTCGCACTTCTTCCTGGGAGGGCCAACCACATCCGCGTGCTCGTCGTAGTCCTTTTCGTCGGGCAGAATATCCACCACTCCCAGCATGCCGTTGTAGTACGCCAGGAGAGCCATTGCCGCAATCGCTCCGTTCACGTTGTTGTAGGCAATTGAGCGCCAGAGCATACGCACACCCCGTTCGCGATCTCCGCTGAATCCAACAATAGAGAGGATTCGAGAAAAGGCGGGCGGTACAAGAGTCAAGAGGAGGAGGAGGATGCCGAAGCACATGTTGGCGCCAGAGTGCACGAAAATATCCAGCGGGTTGTCGAGGACCATCGTGTCAGACGTGACGGGCTTTGACTTGGCCTGGAGGAGAGCCTCGTTGGCGGTCTTTTCGCCATCGACGGTCCCTTCTGGCGAAGTGACGGTAGTGGAGGAATCAGTCGGGTTGGAGGGTGTCTGGACTCCTGAGGAGTCGCTGGAATCTCCGGAATTTTCATCAATAATCTTCGATACGAGATCGAACTGGCTGTCATTCATTTCCTTCAACGCCTTCTCTTCGGCGGCGGTAATTGCATCGAGCGTGAGAAAGGCCTTTCTCAACTTGTAAAAGCCCTTCATGGCCTCGATCAAACTCTCGTGTAGCACGCCCACAACGGCGCCCATGAGCTGCGTCTCGGCGCGTACAAGCTCATACTCGGTCCCCGGCGGATAGAGCTTGCTCCCGGCGCGGGCCTTGCCGTGCCTCTGAGCCTTCTTGTAGTCGTTCCAGGCGCGGGCCTCGCACTCGTCCAGCTTGGCCGTGGTCTCGGCCATGACCTCCTTCTCGAAGCCCAGCACCGAGCGCATGAAGATGGTGACGGCCAGGCCCAGCTGGTGGAAGGACGAGTCGCCCGTCTGCAGCTTCTCCCAGGCGCCGTCGATGTCGTCATTCATGATGAGCCCGGACGAGTTCATGGCGTCGTCAATGTCCTCCATCTCCTTGGCGACGTTGTCGCGCGAGGAGTCGCTGTCGCTGCCCGTGGCGCTGGCATCGTCGGGCTTTGCGCTGGAGCGGAACCACCCGGCTAATCGACTCATTTTGGTGAGACGACGGTTGGGGTCGTTGAGTGTGGTGGTGGTGGTTTGGTGGGTGTAGCAGAAATGAAAAGCGAAACCCCAGATTCCCAAGACGTGAGAGATGTTCACCAACCTTCCAGCACGCCAAAATTCTAGTTGCCAAGCACAGACCCAGCGACTGTGATCTGTAGATATAGTCAATCTAAGACGACTTTCCGGGAGCCTTCTCGAAGGGCTCAGCCTCGAATGCTGACGTCCGGGGCTGAATCCTGCCAGAGACTTGACGTAGTCTCCAGGGTTGTCTCGGGCGGCGGAGTGATTTAGAACCCCGCTATTGGCAACCTGCAGCCCAGGGGGCGGAGGGGAGAGCGGAGATATTATAAAGGGGAAAAAATTCGAAGCCTCGATTCACGGAGCTCGTTGTGTCCCTGAACCGCCCAGAGAATGAATGCAGGGTCGACAGAAGGTAGGATGCAAGAGCAAAAGCGAGCGAGTTTTGCGTGAGCTCTCCCTCAAAGACAAAAACCCACGTAGCTGGAGATAGCGGCACCTCGGGGCCGTCAGCGACACTGCCATAGGTCGGCCTTAGGGGACTTTAGGCGGCACAATGGCGTCCCCCCCGGTCCCCACTCCGTTGCGGCCGAAAGCGTCGTATTTTACCACAGCGTCTGCGGCGCCTTTGTGGCTTTTCGGCGGGGTTGCCGTCTCACAGTTGCATTTCAACGCGCGCTGCGTGTGTCGGAGGTTGCGGGGGATGATGGGATGGCTTTGAGGGTGACGTAGGGCGAGGCAAAACAGGGAATGTTGTTCAGCGGGTTGAGGCTGTGAAGTTGACTGTGAACTCATGCTTGGAAAGTTGAAGGTAGTGATGTGTTGGCGTTGAAACTACTGTCTTTGGCAACACGATGCCAGCATCTCCATTTGTCCCTCCAAATATTGCAAAGCGGTTTCTCAAACCAAGGAAATAAATTGACCTAAATATAACACTTCATCAATCAGAAACACACCCCTCACTACTGGAAGGATTATCCATGTGTCAAGACCAACCGATCCCTGTGCCATCCAGCTCCAGCACAATGCTGATGCATCCCTCTTCCATCCCCTTCCACCGCCTCCCTCCTACCCTATAGCACCACCGGCCCATCACTTCTTCCGCGCCCCGATCTCCGCCACGCCGCCGTCCAGCTCGCCGCCTCGTCGCGCAAGGCTCCGACCGTCAACATCGCCAGCCCACCGAATCACCAACCGCAGCTCACATCGCCGTCCTGAAGCCAGAAATCGGCCACTTCAGCAGGATATACCCACTGCCATCCTTAAACGCAAATACCACATATCCGCGCAGTCCCTTCTTGCACCATGGCTTCCGACACCAAGCCCGCCGAAGAGAAGCCCGCTGAGCAGAAGCCCGAGCAGAAGCCCACCGCCCTAGGCGAGGATGACGAGTTCGAGGACTTCCCCGTCGATGGTACGAATCCCAACTGCACCCTCCACATTCCCCCATCCGGATTTCCACACCCCCGATCCCTTCCGACCCAGCAGCAGAGCTACCTAGCTAGCTGGCTATCCCGTCAGCAAACAATCACTAACACGTCACGTTCAGACTGGCCAGAGGATCAGACTGAGGCTGCTCAAGGCAGCGGCGAGACGAAGCACCTGTGGGAGGAGAGCTGGGACGATGACGACACGACCGATGACTTCTCGGCGCAGCTGAAGTGGGTTGCCCTTGATCCCCCCTCAAGTCCAAGATTCGACTGGACAGATTCGATTCGACAGATCCAATCTCGAAACGTCTTGTGGCAATATTTTGACGACACTGGCTAACCAAATCACAGGGAGGAACTTAAGAAGGTCGAGGCGGCGAAACGGAGGTGAACAAAAACGGTCACGAATGGGAACGAGGAATGGGACGGGGATAGACCACCATCAACATGATAGATCGGGTCCGTTATTAATGAATCATCAACACACACCTTGAAATTGGGCATGGGATTCCCTCTGCTGAAGTTCATTCGCTCAATTGTCCAACCGTTCACCTGGCACCAAACTTGCGACCGTGATTATGACACATTGCTTTGTTTGGTTCACAACTTTCAATGTCGGTTTCTATCTGGGTATGGATATTGCTTACTACAGACTAGCCCTCCCAAGCCGACCTTTTACGATTTTCAACACCCCTTCATAACAATTCGTACGGTAGATTAACATTTACTTACTCGACAGGGCAGTAACACCGGGCAGCTCCTTGCCCTCAAGGAGCTCCAGGGAAGCACCACCACCGGTCGAGACGTGACTGAGCTTGTCCTCGGCCTCGTACTTCTTGGCGACGGTAGCAGTGTCACCACCGCCGATGATGACAATCTTGCCCTTGTTCTGGCAGCCGTCGACAACGGCGTCGAGGGTGGCCTTGGTGCCCTTGGCGAAGGCGTCGAACTCGAAGACACCGGCGGGGCCGTTCCAGAGGATGGTCTTGGCATCGGCAATGGCCTCCTCGTAAAGAACAACACTCTTCTCGCCGCAGTCCAGGCCCATCCAGCCGTCGGGGATACCGTCAGCGTCGGTGGCGTAGCCGGTCTCGGCATCAGGGGCAAACTTGTTGGCGGTGATGTAGTCGACGGGCAGGACAATCTTGACACCCTTGGCCTCGGCCTTCTTGACGAGGTCGCCGACAATCTTGGAGCCGGCCTCATCGAAGAGGGAGCCACCGATGGAGACGTTCTCAAGGGTCTTCTTGAAGGTAAAGGCCATGCCACCGCAGATGATGAGGGTGTTGACCTTGTCCAGCAGGTTGTCGATGAGCTGGATCTTGTCGGAGACCTTGGCACCGCCGAGGATGGCAAGGAAGGGACGCTCAGGAGCCTCGATGACCTTGGCGAAGTAGTCGAGCTCCTTCTTCATGAGGAAGCCAGCAGCCTTCTGGGGGAGGTTAACACCGACCATGGAGGAGTGGGCACGGTGGGCAGTGCCGAAAGCGTCGTCTGGATGATTGTTAGCATCGTACGAGACATGGTGGCACGGGAGGTGTAAGCTACTTACTGACGTAGACATCACCAAGAGCGGTCAGACCCTGGCGGAAGAGCTCAACCTGGGCCTTGTCGGCCTTGGTCTTGTTGCCCTCCTTGTCCTTGGAGCTGCCCTCCTCCTCAATGTGGAAGCGGAGGTTCTCGAGGAGGATGACGGCACCCCCCTCAGCGCCGTTGACAAGGGCCTCGACCTCGGGGCCGACGGAATCGGGAGCAAAGGTGACGGACTTGCCGAGCAGCTTCTCGAGCTCGCCGACGACGGGGCGGAGGGTGTACTTGGGGTTGGGGGCACCGTTGGGACGGCCGAGGTGGGACATCAAGATGACGGCCTTGGCGCCGTTGTCAAGGGCATACTTGATGGTGGGTAGGGCACCGACGATGCGCTGGTTGTTGGTGACGTTGGACTCGGCGTCGAGGGGGACGTTGAAGTCGACCTGGGAAATATCGTGTTAGCTTCATCATGAGGAAAAGTAACGCGGGGCAGAGCTTGGGACGTGGGCGGGGCGAGGGGTAGGCAGATGGGTGGTTTCTGCTTGTGATGGAGAAGATGTGATGCTTGTAAGGGCCCGATGAAGGGATTGACTCGATGATTGATGCGTCAAACCCTCCGCGAACGAAGACCAGAGAGGCAGGCTCCCACAGTCACATCATGATGTCGCGCATCATGAAAGATTATGATGGCGGGGCAACGCGACAAGGCGACGGTGACTTACTCGGATCAGGACCCTCTTGCCCTTGACGTCAACGTCGGTGATGGAGAGCTTGCTGGACAGAGACATGGCTGCGAGCTCTGGCGGATTCGTGTATGTGGTGATGGAAGAAGTCGAGAGAGGGAGTGGTCTGATAGGGGAAGAGAAGAAGAGGGAGGAGGAGGAGGAGGAGGAAGAAGAAGAAGAAGAAGTGCCTCTGTTGACTGGCAGGTGGGGGAGGGGACGGCGGGGTCGTGTCGAAGCCAGCCGCGAGGGCACGGGCTGCGACCGCTGGAGCAAGATGCGCTGTAGCGGTCTTGGCCCGGCCTTCCAGCGCCTGAAGAGCGCCCCCCAGCAGGCCAGTGGTGCGGTGTGGTACGGTGTGCCGTGGTGTGGTGTGGTGTCGGGTGTGTTCTCGGTGATGTTGGGGAGCTAACATGGTGACCCCAGCGCTGCCCGTAGTGGCTGCAGCGACAGGTTCTTTGGTGGGGTTACCGATTGTCTACAGGGAGTTGAGAGAGACGAGCGGAGTGGGGGTTCCGCTGGCTGGCGTGACGTGACGCTGATGCTGTGGTGGTGCTGTTACCCTGTTACGGAGAGTCGGGTACATCCACCTTCAACTGAGGCTGAGACCCACGCAAAAATCACTCAGGTCGTCGTCGCCTTGGCCGCCGACGGACGCTGCTCGGCCACATGCCGTGAGGACGCCTTCCCGGGCCCATCCGGGTTCTGGCGATGCGGCAATGCCGGCCTGCAGCTGCGGGACACCGCCGCGGGATGCGGATGTAGACGCCTGACTTCCCCGGGTCGCTGTGTTTTCGTTGCTTAAGATCCAACCTGGTCGTCGGCCAACCTGGTAGGCTGACGAGAGGGATCTGGCGCCGTGCGGGTGGATCACTCAACTAACATACGGGACGTCGCCAAGACCACCGTGATAGAGCGGCCAAGGTCGGGTTGGCATCATCCATGCTTCAAAGATACATAACCGCTATTGGCTGAGTTGCGGGACAAGGGAGATCCCATCGCGGGCCGAGGGAATGAAGCATCATCGACCGGGTTAATCAGGTAGCTAGCTCCATGCCAGACCCGCCCAAGACGACAACCCAACCTTGTTTGTGAGCGAGCTCATGCATCATGCAACGTACCACATCCTGATATCGGTGAATTCTTTCCTTCATTCTATCTCGCCATCCATGTGACCTATCCACTTGTCAAATATTGCAATCGGCCCTTGTTGTGAGCCCCTTGATAGTCCCATAAACCGTGACCAGAACTAGCCAAAGCCAGCCCCAACCGGATGCCTCAAGACTCCCCAAACGCCATGCCCTCGTGCAAGCCCGTCGAGAACCAGAGAACCAGAGAACCAGAGACCCAAAACCCAAAATCCAAGAAGCAAAATAGCCGATGGGAGGCCAGATCCCCCGTCGATGCTCCAAGAGAATGCAAGCAACCCTTCTACCAGGTAGAAACCGCTGGAAAATGGACTAGCCCGAAATTAACCAGGGCAGTCGAGCCACAGCACCTTCCCATCATCTCTGTCCATAGAGGATGATGAGTATTGAATTTATAACATAGAGAAGTATCCGTCTTTTGCCCGGACATGAATCGTCTCGTCTACTCGTCAGAAGCGTTTGTCAGGGACAGATACGCAGTCCAGGCAATACCAATCGTCGACACAAAGGGCTACAAGTTATTAGCATCAAGACCCAGCATCGAAAATCGTCTCCAGAGCAACTTACAAGCTGGTACTGAACAGGCATGAGGCGGAAGTTGACAATCTGCACCGCCGGCCAGACGACATAGTTGGCCTTGAGGGTGGGAATGTACATGTCCTTCAGCTTGTGGGTAACAGCACGACGGCCACCACCTTCGGCGATGGTCATGACTGTGAAGAAGACACCAACACCGAAAGGCGCAAAAATGAGCTGGTCAAAAGCGACTCGCTTCATGGCAGGTCCAAAGGCGCTGGTCTTGGAGATGGGGAAGATGCGCTCGAGGAATCGGAACCACTTGAACTGGACGGGCGCCATGCAGAAACCGTATGCCATGAATCGGGTCAGGCGCTCGAAATCGAAAGCGGGAGGCAGGGCCTTGGAGTTGGGGATGAGGCCACGGTCGTAGACGGCGCCCTTGCGATCGAGATCGGAGAGGGGGATAGACATGCCGTCGTCTTTTTCATTGGGCCTGAGCAGAGATCGCTGTCGAAAGGCAGTAATGGTCTGCGCAACAGTATCGGCAATACCACCAAGGATGGCGTTGGTGACCATCATGGTCATCACTATCGAGAACGAATTCTATGTCAGCAAATGTGAAGCGATTATGAAGCAATTGTGCGGGGGATAGGTCGGCATCGATCGGTCGGTTGGTCGCTGGAAATCGGGACGGCTGGGAAGGGGTTGCTGTCACGTACGTGGTCGCTCGTCATAGTACGAGTTGAATCTGGCTGTGAGCCGAGCAGCGAGCGCCATCTCGATGAGGAAGACGATGGTGTGGAGGAGAGGCTGTGCAGGTCAGGAATTGTCAGCATCGAGCGGGATTGATATGGATTTAGAGTGTCGATGGGAATTGAGGTGAGGCGACTGGGGAATAGTGTTGATGGAAGGAATGGTGGATTTGAGATGTTGAATAGGGAAGATGGAGAAGCAGTTGAGGAGGCTAGGCAATAGGTGGCAACGGATCTCCAAGCAGTAGCAGGGTTGGCGGCTGTGGTGGTGTAGATAACAGCCACCTCCACGTGCGGCTGCGGAGGCGGAGGTAGAGCAGAGACAAGGAAAAGGGCAAAACCTACAACCCGTCCGTAGATGTATTTGCTGTTGATAGAGCGAGTGAATCGCTTCATGGACTGTTGCAACGCCATGGTGACTGCGAGCCTGGGGGCGTTGGTGTCGTCTGGGCTGTCGAAATGGAAAACGTGCAAGGGCGAGGAATGGCAATGACGACTCCGGTCAAGGGCGAATTTTCGATGACGACAGTCACGCGGACAGTCTGTGCTCTCGGTGTGCCTTGAACGGGTGGCGGGGCTCGCAGTCGCTCTCGTCGTCGTCGTCGGTTCGCGCCTGTAAAGTTGACGATGCCGAATGTCGATGCTGAAGATGGGAATGATGGAGGAGGGAATGACGAGGGAAAAACGCAGCCAAGGTGGGATTTCAGAAAAAGTCATGCGACCGGGGAAGGAGCGTGTGCTCGGCCAGCCTCCCTTCCTTCCTTTGCATCCTTTACGACATCGTATACTGTGTATACCGTGTTGCGTCAGTGGTGGCTGCGATGCGTACGCACAGTGTGGATGGGAGGCAGTGCTGTCCGGGCACCCTCCGGATATAGCACACTTTAGCGCCGTTTCGCATTGGTGCAGCGCCTGCCAACCGCCAACAGTCAACTGAAGCCAGCTGGAGCCAACTTCAGCATATGCGACTTGTCGAGGGCATCAAGCACTGTGCTAATTCCGCAGTGAAACCTTGATGCTCGCTCCCTGAGACACACAGCATATCCATGACGATGCCGCCCTTGATTTTGATTCTCTTCATGCGCACACGAAGTTTTCTTTTCTCGCCTCCCTTTTTTTTTTACTGCTAAGGCCGAGATCGCCCGTCCTTGCATCATTTCGCCATTCACTCATTATCAAGCGAGACAAGGCAAGCTGTAGCCTGTAGATGTGTGGACCAGGGTTCCATCCAAATCCATGTTATCCCCACATGAACTGACATGTGCGGAGTCCCGTCGGATCCGAGAGTCCGGTTGTAACTCGATTACGGTATTGCCATTAATTATACGTCAGAGACTACATTGGAGGCCTTGGTCCTTAGCGCTTATGATAGAAAAAAATACCACTTAGTTTGTACTGTGTCGTATGCAGTCGACAAACTTTGAGTTGTGCTGACGACGCAGCCACAAGGGGAAATTGGTGGCGCAGGACACCGCCAAGAATTAACAATATATATGTTGAGCCCGCTATAATTCACATTACGGGATGAGAGTAGACAGTGTAGACTCAAGAACAACTTACTATAGCGATGCTATTACCGAGCCCCATTTCTAAGTCCATCTTTGAACAACCATGTCCTGTGGCCAGGTTCTCTCCTCCCTTCTCTCGTACCAATGTTGAACCATCCACACCTCAAGCTGCTTTTCCCAGCCCAGAATGTGTACTTGTTGCCATTGCTCAAATAATCGTCACGATTGTTTTTTCTCGATAGCACTCCCAATAAAGACCACCTCCACAGCAGCGAACCTAATTATCCAGTTAGCTCTCAGATTGGCTGCTCATACAGAAATTCTGGGATTGAAGCGCCACTCACGTCGCAGTCGCAGCAAAAATCTCAACCCTCTTAGCGTTGCTGAAGACAGCCAACACGGTGGCGAACAAAACTGTAAATCCTAGAGTGACAAGAATTCGAGTATTGGTAGATGGCAGAATGTTTAGGACGAAAATTGTGAGCACTGGTATAATGCAGGCGAGAATCGTGGTACCAAAGTTGCTAATTCTGCTAACAACGCTTCTGCTGTACGAAGCATGACGGGAAATTTCGTCAACGGTCTCTCCGGTGTTGAGACGATCTCCCACGAAGTGATGATAGGCTCGCAGAAGAACGTTTGAAACGAATCGACTGAATGAATCATCTTCCGTTGCTGTCGGCTGCAGGCACATGTACTGTCGCTTGTCGGCATCGCTCCAAGTTTCTATTTCGTGGTCTTCTAGGAAAGGGTGACCGAGATTTTGGTCTCTGAGCCAGTCTTTGAGCATTTCGAGTTGCGAGCCCACTGGAGAGCCAATGTGATTCAGTTGCGATACTGCTTGAATTTAGACTAGGATACGGTCGCATGCTGATTCACTGACTTTGTATAGCTAACTCATCTATCGTCGCAATGCGTTTTTTAGTGATTGCAATTCTTGGATGACGCAGTGAGTTTTGGATCGCGTCATGACGTACTGTATTCCCTAAGCTTTCCCCGTATTTTCTCTAGTAACTGAAACTGATGGCTATTGCTGTCTCGAGACAGCCTGAAGTTTCCGGCATAATGAGACGGGCTGACGGCTTGATCTCCCTGGGCCGTGGAAGCGCTGTGGACTATGTCATCGTCTGCTCGGGTTGTAATGCGCAGTTCAACTTCCAGTTGGACAATTTCTGCTTGAAGCGCAAGAAGGCTAAGAATATTCAAGCTGTCGAAACGGCGAAAGATGGCAACGTCCTTCTCCCTTGCCATCAAATTCGCCAGTCTCGGATACCCTTTTGGCTGATAGCCCATGTTGGCGGTGGCTGGTGTGTAGGAGGAAGGCCCTTGTTTGGCATGAGACACGAGAACGGAAAGTGTTTGCGACCAGGCTGTAGGTCAAAAAGTAGGCAAAAAGTAGGCGAATTCGAGGCAAACCAGACCGTCGCGGTGGCTTGCATGAAGGCGCTTAGCTATTGATCAGCTCCAAGACTTTGGCCGCATACACCGTTTTATTGGACAAGGATGCGAGACAAGAGGCGAATTGTTAGGCAGATGCCAGATTCCTGCAGGCCTAACCACGTCGCATGCATAAAGGCGTTCAGCTTATTGCCCTAGAGTTCAACCATAGGCAAAGATTGGACCGCGAGCTGAAACAGTACCGGTCTTCTCGGACCGTGATTGGTGGCCTGGTCAGATTTCAATCATGGAAATTTGTTTCTCGAGCTTAAAGGCGAGAGGGCCTGCTCCCTGAAGTAGAGGAGATCAGATCCTTTTCTGCAAAAACTAGGTGGGTGATGGTTGTCTAACCTGACGTCGTAGCACATCACGATGGAGGTACTCCTTGTTGTGGCTTCCGTCCTGGTACTCGGATCAACGACTTCTCTCCGGTCTTTGAAACGCGACATCACCCGGGCACCTGCCGCCCATGATTTATTACTGCGTGACGTCGCTTTCCTGCGAGATATCGTGGATGAATGCACGCACACGCTCGACGGTCTATCGCAAGTCCCCGTTCATATTCGTCAAACGCTTATATCATGTTTCGAGGCCGGGGAGAAGGTACATGCCTTACTCAAAATGCGCAAGCTTGTACCACCAAGGGTGGGCGACGAGATTTTCCCTCGCTGGGTTCATGCCTTCAAGTTATACACGTACTCAAGGAAAAAGGATTTGGCAGGCGAAGTCAATCAATTTCGGGAACGTGTGCACCTTTTGCGGGACATGTGCTCAGAGTAAGGCCTTGATAGTTGACACCTTTGATCGCATGGGCTGATCCTTTACAGAATCAAGACTGGGAGCCAGCTGCTTGAAGCAAGGTACGTTGACTAAAGGAAACCAAACGCTAGTTGACCAAATTTCTAACCACGGCAATTACAGCGCAGCAATTTTCAAGTTGACGAGTCTAACGGAGCATGAAAGCCATCTTACAAGGGCGCAGTTCGAAGACCTCAGAAAGCAGATGTCGGAAATGGACCAAAAAGGTTGGACTGACCACGACGACATAACTCATGGTGATCGTCTGAGCCAATCCAGCTCCGAGAGTGAGTTTGAAGCATTACACGCAGTCCAAAAACCAAGAGAGGCGACCGAAACAAACGAGACAAACGGGATCTTGTTGCGAAACCGACGTCAACCTCTTGCAGAGCAGGTGATGGCCTTGGTGAACTCGAACTACATTATAGACGCTACAGTGTTGGTCGAAAACTCCACCAAACCTGGCGGCCAACGATTCAACCAAGCACCCGCCAACGTCCAATACTATCCCGGAAGGGTAAAGCTCGACACTGGCTCTGAAGCAGACCTCGCATCTTTGCAGTATCTGCTAGATGCTGGTTTGAACAAAGATGACCTGACGCCAATCCCTGTGGCCAATCAATGTCAGGTCGAGGGCATCGGCGGTGCGCTTTTCACTCCACAATTCGAGGTCGAGCTGAGATGGTTCCGACACGGAGAGCCGCGAACCAACAAAGACCGTTTCTTGGTTGTAGACCAGGCACCTTTTGATTTGTTGCTTTCGTCTAGACGCTTCGCTCAAGAGGCGAGACTGATATCTCTGCCGCTGATGCGTCGGAGAAAGCCAAGAGGTATGTCGTCTTTCAGCAAGCTAACAAGAAAATTCCGAACAGACTAACTCGTGTCCTTTTACAGAGGTAATTGCCAAGGAGCTCCAGGAGGAGAAGAAACGGATTGAAGCGGCAAAAGCCTTGGAAGAAGAAAAATACCAACAAGAGAGGGTGAGGAGAATGGAAATGGGACGGGTGTCAACCATTCACACGACACATGATGACAACATAGTCTAGGTCTGCCGGTGTCAGAGTTGGTAATTAACGGCTAGCTCTCCTACAGAATCAATACCGACGCAATATGTAGTCGGCAAGCTTTTCGTTATGCTGACCACGTAACCAAGAGGGGAAGTGGTGGCACAGGATATCGCCAAAAATGAACTCGCCGCATAATTCACACTATAGAGTAAGAGGAGACATCGTAGACTCAAGAATAAAATGCTATACTGATGCCATTGCCGAACCCAATTTCCAAGCCCATCCCTTAACAGCCCGTCCCATGGTCGGCTTCTCTCCTCCCTGGTCTCGTACCAATCAATCGCCCACACCTCAAGCTGAGCCCTTACATTTGGCCCGGTATCGGACTGCCAAGATAGGGCATTTAGCCTCATATCGTACTTTATTTCAGCGTCTCCAATACGAGCGTAGCTCCGATATTTTAAGCCCTCTTTTCCCCGTACCTGTACCAGCCTAATCTTGCCTAACCACCATGGCCCACATCGCAACTCTCCGGTGGAGAGACTTCCGGCGGGGTGCAGGAACCGCTGTGTAAGGCCCAACATTTCCCCGAAGTTCCCTATCATAGAGATCCAACTGGTCGCGCTCGTCGTATAGAGCCCCTCAGCATGGCCGCAGCTGGCCATTGACCATCAGGTGCTACACCAGTGGGGTCGCGGGGAACGGAAATGCGGCCCTTGAAGCCGGTCCTATATGCTTAAAGAGCCCTCGTCAGCTCATTCTCAACGACCATTTCCCCGCAAACCTTCGGGCTACAAGCAAGTAAAACTAGTTGAAGATGCTTTTCGAGCAGGAAAACCGCCTGGTGTATGCCTACGATGCCGAACAGCTCTGGGTTGAGCCATGGGGCAAAGGCTTGCGCGTCCGCGCTACCAAGATGAGCTCCATGCCCACCGAGAACTGGGCTTTGGAAGAGCCGTCTTCGACTAAACCAGAGATATGCATTGAAAAGACCTCTGCATCTATCGTCAACGGCAAGATCAAGGCCTTCGTCACCGCTGGCGGCAAGTTGACAGTCTTCAACTCCGAGGGGACACTGCTGCTTGAAGAGTACTCCCGCAACTTGCACGATTTGGCCGACCCGAAATGCAGTTCGCTCAACATCGATGCTCGCGAGTTCAAGCCCATCGTAGGTGGCGACTACCACTTGACGGCCCGGTTTGAGAGTCTGGATCCCAAGGAGAAGATCTTTGGCTTTGGCCAGTATCAGCAGCCGTATCTCGACTTGAAGGGAACCCAGCTCGAACTGGCTCAACGAAACTCTCAGGCCAGCGTTCCCTTTGCCGTATCCTCCCGCGGATACGGTTTCTTGTGGAACAATCCTGCCATTGGAAACGCCATATTTGGCAAGAACATCATGAGTTTCGAGGCCCTATCCACCAAGTCCCTCGATTACTGGATCGTGGCTGGAGACGCCCCTGCAGAAATTGTTCAGGCCTACGCAGACGTAACAGGCAAGGTTCCCATGATGCCAGAGTTCGGACTGGGGTTCTGGCAGTGCAAGCTGCGTTATCAGACGCAAGAGGAACTTCTCGAGGTGGCGCGAGAGTACAAGAAGCGCAAGCTGCCCATTGATCTCATCGTTGTGGACTTCTTCCATTGGCCCAAGCAGGGCGACTGGCGGTTTGATCCTACGTATTGGCCGGATCCAGGTGAGTCCCGTGTGAGAAACTTACCCTGCGCAAAGACTAATTTGTGACTTAGACGCCATGATCCAGGAACTCAAGAGTTTAGGCATCGAACTCATGGTCTCCATTTGGCCCACGGTCGACAAGCTCTCTGAAAACTATGAAGAGATGCTTGAAAGGGGATTTCTCATCCGGGCAGACCGTGGGGTCCGCACTGGTCTCGACTTCCAAGGCGACACTATCTACTACGACACGACCTACCCCGGATCCCGGGAGTATGTGTGGGACAAGGTTAAGAAGAACTACTTCTCCAAGGGCATCAAGGTCTTTTGGCTCGACGAGGCAGAGCCAGAATATCGGGTCTATGACTTTGAGAATTACCGCTATCACCTTGGTCCCAACGTCGCCGTCGGAAACATCTACCCGCGCGAGTACGCCCGCGGCTTCTACGAGGGCCAAACCCGCGAAGGCCAGTCCAACATCGTCAACCTGCTGCGCTGCGCCTGGGCCGGAAGCCAGAAATTCGGCGCCCTCGTGTGGAGCGGCGACGTGGCGTCCTCGTGGTCAAGCTTCAGAAGCCAGTTGGCAGCAGGCCTGAGCATGGGACTCGCTGGCATCCCGTGGTGGACGACGGACATTGGCGGCTTCCACGGGGGCGACGTCAACGATCCGGCCTTCCACGAGCTGCTTATCCGTTGGTTCCAGTGGGGTGCATTCTGCCCTGTGATGCGCTTACACGGCAATCGGCTTCCCCAGCAGCCTCAGCATGGCACGACTGGCGGCGCGGGATGCCTCAGCGGTGCGCCCAATGAGGTGTGGTCGTATGGAGAGGAAGTGTATGGCATCTGTCGCAAGTACATGGCCATCCGCGAAGAACTGCGAGAGTACACCCGAGGCTTGATGAAGGAGGCGCACGAGAAGGGGTCACCAGTGATCCGGACACTGTTTTACGAATTCCCCGATGATTCTGCGGCGTGGGACATTGAGCAGCAGTATATGTACGGCGACAAGTACCTGTGTTGTCCTATTCTAGAGCCTGGTGAGAGGAAAGTGAGCGTGTACTTTCCGGTGCTTCCTTCGGGTGGCAAGTGGAAGGTGTTTAAAGGGGATGGAGAGTATGAGGGCGGAAATACTGTGGAGGTGGAGTGCCCGCTGGACACGATGCCCGTGTTTGTTAGAGAGTAAAGTCGGACGTGGTCCCGGAGGAGGCCCGGAAGCGGCCCCACTCGGCTCCGGCCTGGCAGTCCAAAACCAACGACACTTGAGGACATGCCCTAGGCAGAAAGCTCAACTCTGTGAACCATAAACACTAATCCATCCAATAAATTGAGCCTTCAACAGGTAGAATATGATTTCAAGCAACTCTCGACCCCAACTACTCCAGGTCAGCTTTAGGGTAGGTCCACCACCGCCAGACTCCGTCCTTCAATCACTTGGTCTCCGATCCAGGATCATCACGGGACACATGATGATACAAAGAAGCTGTGAGCCTAACAGGTTTTCAACATACCCGAACTAGTTCATCCTCCAAAGAGGAATAAGGGGAGGAAGGGACTAGGACAAAAAAAGAAGATTTAACGTCCCAGCTACGGCTCGAACCCAGAGCTTTTGCTACCGGACAGCAATTTCCTGTATTGAGCCACTAGGCCGCGATATAAAATAATAGGAAGCCTAATTCGGAATGTGTGTTCCAAATTGCGGTGCGGGTTGTCGTGGAGGATATTTCGGACGTAGCTGAAACGATGATGATTGAGATTGACAGGTGAGGAAGGTATGACAGGGCTGTAAGTGTGCTCCTATGTACTAGACTTACTCAATTGGCAGTAGTAGTGATGTTCCGACACAGATACAAGTTCCTCCAGTTAAACCTCAGACCAATGTACCCAGCTTGCGACGTTCAAAGCCTACCTTTACATAATTAGGGGATCAAAGACAACCTGGCTCAGCCAGAATAGGCATCGCCAACGTCGACATTCCTAGAGGAAACCTCTGAAACCCCTTGCAATTTTGATCTCCGGAGACTTTAACCACAATGATCTTCGTGAAAGCTGTCACCGAAAGAGACGGGGAATGATCGCAACAAGAGCTAGGTACTAGAATGATTTAGACAAGGTCGGACGTAAACTCAATGAGTGGGTTGTGTCTCTGTCGACTGCCGCACCCGTGTAACATTGCACCGAGGGCAGACTTCCGAAAGGACAGAAGCGTTATCTGAGAAACAGAAGGCCTGGAAGTGAGAAAAAAGCCCAAGCGGGTGAAGAAATGTAAAGTCACGAGACGAGTTGTGGAACGTCTCTACAGAAATGCGCAGTTTTAAAATGTCTGGTATCCTTGCCTCATTCAATTTAGCCGCCTTCCCCAAGTTATTTAGCCCCAATTCTTGTTCTACATTTATTATATAAATACGACTTGTCAGTCCGTATTCTAGCCCTTGTTCTCGGGATCTGGCATAAATGCATCTGGCGAACAGTCAGGGGTAATGAGAAGAGGGCGGGAGCATATGGGCACCGATTCTCACGTAGCCTGCATGAACTCAACTCACAATCAGAACGGCCAGCAGTTAATGAACATCATGAAAGATTTTATCTATCCTCGTCTAGATTCGTACAAGAAACCATCAACCAGACGACAGATCCATCAAGAAAGAACATGAGAACTTTTGTTGTGACCATTAGGAAAAAGCGTTGTATCAACACATGTGCGCCATCAATCAGTATTAGCTGCATTATTTGCCCCAAGCAAAAGCTATCGAAGCCTTGCTGGGACCTCGCTGAATTCTCTCAGGGTAATCACTGATCCCTTGAGTCTTGGTATCCCAACCAAGATAGAACGCCGAGAGGTGGTTTCCAAGGCACCGTTGGCCTTTCCCCTTTCCTCCTGACTGGAGGATTCTACGCTGCGCAGGCTATGAGAGAGGTTCACGGAACCAAAAAAATAGGAAAGAAATGTCAAAAGAGTGAACTCGTTAGATGGCGAGGCCAGGGATAGCGCTGCCGTGCAAGCTATGCCGTCCTCACACGTTATTGTGTGGGAGACGTGCTTCACTGTCGCATCAAATGCGCAGGAAGTTCACGTCTGAGATGCTTCGGTGCCTCTTGTGGTTGTTGTTGGTGTCGCCGGAGGCCTTGCGCTTTGCGGACACGGAATCTAGGGGACTTCGTGCGGCGTCGCTCAAGTGTCTCTTGTGCCGTCGCATTGGTGTCAGGGGTACTGCGGCAGTGTCGAAGCGGTCCGACTTGAGCCCCTTGAGAGCAGTGTAGTTGTATGGTCCACTGAATGCTAGTGAATCCTGTGTGGCTTGGTTGCTTAGGATGAGTTGTTGGTTGATCTGGTTGCGGCGGAACGCGCCGACAGTCTCAGAGTTGAGATGCGACAAGACTTCGACCTCACTTCCAGCTGTGCTGGGACGAGCAGGGGTTGATGCCGGGTTCCATTCACCCTCGCCTTCGTCACCTGAAGAGTGACCGTCGTCCCACATGATGAAATCATTAATATCCAGCCCCTTCTCCGCATCATCCTCGTCGTCGTGTAAGCTGGCCGAGGAACTTTCGTCGGCAGTGTTGGCCTCGGATGGGAAGGGGAAGAAGGCCTCGGCAGGACCCATGGCTTGTGTGTTGATAAAGTCGCCAAAGGTGTTGGAAGAGAACATGGCGCTGAGCATCATGTTGGCCGAGTTGCTCAGGATGGGAGATGATTGCTCCTCCATCTCCATGGGCCACGGGAAATGGAATTGCTCCGGTGACAGATCAAGCTGGCGGCGGCGGTGGGGAGTAAAGATCATCATCTTCCGGGTGAGAGGGTTTAGGACAGCGATGGGCTTCCTGTCGGATCGGTCCAAGTTGAAGCGACCAACACGGGGTTGGCCACGCTGGGACTTGACCGGGCTGTCCGTGTCGGAATCGGACATGTCGCTCATGGGATGGGAAGGGCGACGAGTCTTTCTACGGACAGGAGGCTCAGGAATGTCTTCTTCGGTGGTATCGCCATCAGCTGAAACAGGGAGGTTAGCACTGGGAAGATAAAGCGTCCCGCATGGCAGGACTCACTCTCATAGCCATCCAGCTCCTGTGGCTCTTCAAAAGCGGGCACAGGAGTCGAGGCAACGGTGGCAGGCTGGGAAGCCATTGGAGTAGCAGTTGGAGTGTCATCATCAGACAATTGACGGACAACCTCCTCGGCATCCGAGTCAGGTTGGTTATGGCTGTAGCTGTAGTCCCAGAAAGAACCAGAGTCGGATGACTCGTTGGGGTCGTTCTCAATCTCCCGACGGAAGGCAGGGTCGAGAGCGTTCTGGGAGACAAAAATGTCTGGGAAGAGGTCGGCATGATCATCTTCTGTATCAGTGGAATCAGAGTCACTGGAGGGCACGTCGAAGTGAACGTGGCGCTCGACAGGGGTATCGGAGCCAAAGGCATTGGCATCCTGGAAGAAGTCGGAGACGTTGCTCTCGTCGACCTCGGACATGATGCCAGCCCAGCTGCCGGTATCATCCTCATCGGCGTCGGCATCGAGGCCATCATCATCGTCATCGTCGTCATCGTCATCATCATCATCAGCATCATCTGCAATCTCGGGATCCTCGTCAAGGATCAGGCGCGGCCGAGGAGCGGTTGGGGTTGGAACATTCGACTCCTCGAGAATGTTCTCCTCCTCGGCCGCAGCAACATCCTCCTCGTCATCATCAGAGGAGTCGCTGATATCCTCGACGGCCGAATAACCGCCCTCGTCCGAGAGGTCGAAGGAGGAGGACGAGGTATCGGAAACCCGGCGGCGCCGCTTGGTGGCCTTGACCGGGGTCGTGGAGAATTTTCGTCGAACGTTGCGAGACATGGTGGATTCTGGTGTGGGGATGAAGGTGAAACTCGTCTGATGGGTTAATAGCTGAAAAGCAGCGGTTTTCCTGACTCTATGAGGCAGTTGTCGTGTCTGGTTAGAGGTGTTGGATGTGGAGCCTTTGGAGTTGGCGTTCTAGGTCGTTTCCGGTGGTCAAGTCTGGAAAAGCAGAGGATAAGGCGGGATCAATAAAACCCTGGAGTAGTAGACGCAAGAAGCGAGAGTAAAGAGGACTCTAGAGATGTCTTGCTCGGAGGAGGTTAAAAAGGAAGCCAAACAGGCGACAGGGTCGGGCGTCTGAGGAGCAGGTTGTGGTGGTGGTGATTGTGTGTAGATAAAAAAGCCGTCGCATTTACGGGCAGTCGCAGGATCGTTGATTTCAGAGACAGACTCTCGGTTGAGCTGGGGAGCTCAGGAGCGGGAAAGCCTGTGGGAAACTGGGTCGAGGTTGGGATTGAATGGTGGTAACTCGGAGAACTGCTGGACTGCGGGCCAGGACCATGGGGGAGGCATGGCCCGCAGTGGGCGTTTACAGTTCAGCGGCGGCCGAAGGCATTGTGACTCGACGAAGTTTCGGTAGGGGGTGTTCTCTGATCTGGGGGATCTGGAAAAGTGCGACTTCGTTGTCTTGGGGGGATGGGTGAGTTGGTGATGCCGAAGGAGAGAGAAATCAGAGGCGAAGGGGAGGAGGAGAAGAGAAATATCCCAAACTTTTCCGCCCGCGGTGGGGTCGACGCTGATTGGCCGGAGGGGCCTCTGTACGCCCACTGCACTCCCACTGCACTTCCACTGCACCTCCACTGCAGCCCACTGCGAGGGTCCTGGGCTCCAGCGCGCTCCAGAGCCAGTGCCAGCGCTGCGGTCCAGTGCGGCGCCTCTGAGCGCCTCTGCGTAGCACCCTGGTGCCAGCGACCGGGGGGTCTGAGCTCCACCTAGGAGTCTGCTAGGCCGTTTCGGGGTCCGCTGGACGCCGTCACCGCTTTTTGGGAGCCTCGACATCTGGAGGAGTCACAGGCTCACAGGCCAGCGAAACCCTCACGAGGAGCGCCAGCCGCCTGTGACGTGAGTTGGCGATGCTCACGGGGGGGGACCGCGCCGGCCTCTGTTTCGCTCGCTACGATGCAGGGCGGGAAGCTGCGAAATGCGCACAACATTTTTGGGATTTGAATATCCCCGATTTTACAAGGGCCCCTCCCCCGAGACGCACGACCGGGCTCGCTCCTGGGCCTGCCATGTCTGATCAGTGATATCCCCTCGCCAGACATGGACCCCGGCCTTGCCTGGCCTCGGTTGACCTAGGGGATATGGAGTCAATCGAACATTCTACCAGAGACACCGTCGAGAAACGGGGGCAGGAAACAGAGACAGAGGGCCAAAGTGGCTCCATGGCAGGCTGCTAGCTCAACGGGAGTGCGTGCAACGTACGTACATACGTACATATGACATGGTGATGTACATGAGTGGACGGGATGGCACAGGACAGGGACCCCTTCATGCTTCTCGCTTGATGCTGGACCCAGGAGGTTGCGTCTCAGTAGTTCCATGGCGCATGCTCGGCAGTGCGGTACGTACTGCAAAGGAGGACTGAGCATCTCTCCAATGGTTCCCATACGAGGTGTACAGGCCGGCAATGGATATCATGTCCGATGCGTTCGCTACAGGGCGAACAGCCGACATGGACAAGGACCCAGAGCATGCAACTGGAGCATGGAAGTTGCAACTGCCAGATAGGTACTGGAGGCCCTGCAACCTCAAACGTCTCCATTCATGTCTGTCCCCTCGACTCCCCTTGGGCGCATTGGGCCGGCATGGGCAAAAAAAGGACCCTCTGGAACCCCCTCCCCTCGTATGGATCCGCAGTGACGGCAACTCCACCACCAGAAACAGGGGGCGCGAGCTCTATTACGGGTCCTGGCCCTTGCCAGGGTCTCTGGCTCGAGACGTGGAGCGTGCTGCAGCTTGGCTGAGGCGGCAATGCCACTGGCCAAGCTTTGTCGAAGCCATTGCGCCCTCTGTGGTGGTGGTGTTTGCTCAAGTTCTCACGAGACTCAGTGGACTGCGAATACGATCCCCCAGAGACGACCGGAGAGGGGATCTAGACAGAATGTTACTCTGTCCATAATGACATACGCACTGCCATATTCTGTACGTAAATCTCTCTTTTTTTTTCTTTACCCCTCGACTGTATCCATCAATGTTGCCACGGCCACTGGTGGGGTTCTCCTAATCCTCTCAACAGACTCGGCCTCGACGACGCAAACTAGTCCAGTCTGGAATTTCTCCAGTAGCTCGGATAGACAGTTTGACAGGTAGGAGGGAAAAAATCGACGAGGGGAGCGGGAATGGCGGATGAATCATGTACGCCAGGTACCTTTTCATTTTTCCTGGTTCAACCCCGGGGCAATTACTCGGGTATGACGACGGGCAAATTCTCGTTGATTTTTTTTTTACCAGGACTCCCTGGCTCTGGATTAAGCTGCCTCACCTTGCCTCACCTTATCACACCTGCCCGCTCTGTTACACGCGGCTGGTAATTGGCACATCACGACATCTAATGGCCTCGGCGTTCAATCCCAATATCATCTATTCCCCTCATCTCAATCAATCCTCTTCACTTCCCCTCTCTTTCTTCAACCCCTCCTCTTCCGCCCTCCCGCCCTAACAGGCACTGCCGCCGTCATCAGAGTCTACTAGCGCGACATTAGAGCCAGACGCCAGTGTAGGGAGCTAGCTTTACGGAGCACCTGTCCTCATGGTGGCCATTGTCCCATGGGACCCTCACAAGCCTCGGAGCTCTGAGGTTTTTTTTCTCTCTCTCGTTGGAGTTGATCTGCCAATCAATGTCTCCGCATTAGCACAGGACTACGTAACGAGAGGCAACAAGGACAACAATGCCATTGAGATGTGCTACGTCGTAGTAGTAGAGGCTGCCTGTTGTGTCCACCTTGTACTCGGCTTTTATCATGATGGTTTCATGATGACTCTTGCTTTGCTGCTGCCTCTGCCGTGGTGACATCTGTGAGTCAAGCCCAAAGATCTCATCTCCCCATCAAGCAGTCAGACTGCGCAACCATCCAACCCGATTGGCTGGGGAATTAGCTGTCACGGCCGCCCACCCTCCAACTTGTCCAAAGCATCATCCTATGACTCTACCGGCATTGTAAACTCTGTATAAAGTCTGCCCATTCCTGCCTGGCGGTTTCCGCCACTCAACCTTAACTCCAGTCCAGCCCTCGCTTGCACACGTGAGGCGTCGCCGAATTCAAGTAAGATGACGGGGGCGTGCATCGCAGAGCAGCATCGGATGAAGAAGAAAACCCGAGACGGATGGGATCTGCGCAATAGGCGGCGTCTCCTCACCCTTGCCGGCGCCCGAGGCTGCATTCAATCGGCCGAAAACCTTACGATGGAACCGTGCCAGTGACACCACCGAAGGAGCTGTCGTTGCAGGTCACGTTCCAGGCGGAGCCTCGACAAGCTCGACTGGGTTCCTCGACCCCTGGGCTTTTGGTGTAAATTGCTCGCATGGATGATGGCTGAGGCGAGTGGCTTCTGATGTGCTTCTGGAGCTCCGCGCCTCGAATGGGTCGGCGGTACGTACCCTGCACGAAAAGAGGTCTGTGCGCTATCCCGCGCGTCAAAAGCGCTTAAGCTCGCTGGATCTTATCTTATCGTACCTGGCCGCAGGTTGCCCGGCCAGCAGCATGTATCACCCAGGCTCCGTAAACAGCGACGGTCCTGAAATGTGCAACCCGCATTGTTAGTGACCGCCAATGATCTGTCCATGAACCTAGCCAGCTCCGTTCCTACTCCATCATCACGCCTGCGACCCTATCTTCAACCTCAAACTCAGTCTCGTTTGTCAAAAAAGTAACTGTTGGCCTGTCCATTCACAATGGACGCGTCGCGCAAGACCTCCCACAACCTCTTCGAGGTCTACCTCCGCCTGCGACCACCGCCGCATGGCAACGCCAACCCCGAGCGCATTCTTGACGTTGAGACCCCCGAGACGGACTCGCACCCGACGCACATCACCCTGAACCCGCCTACCGACCGGCGGCGCGCCATCGAGAAGTTTGCCTTCACCCAGGTCTTCCAGGAGGATGCCTCGCAGCTCGACGTTTTCCACAGCTTGGAGATTGCCTCGCTCGTCGAGGGTGTGCTGGCGCCCCAAGGCGGCGAGGGTACTGATGCCGTCGTAGCCACTCTGGGCGTTACTGGCTCAGGAAAGGTAAACTTTGCCCCGAGACGGTACACGACGGGATGCTGATCAAGCGTAGACACACACGATCCTGGGATCCAAGAACCAGCGCGGCTTGACACAGCTCGCCGTCGACGTCGTCTTCCGCTCCATTGGCGAAAACATGCTCGATATGCACTCGCTCTACGCCGCCCAAGAATCCCTCCAGGCATGCGACGCCTCCGAATCGCCCCTGACGCTCGCGTCTCAGTTCTTCGATGCCGGCGAGCACTTGGGAGCTTCCCGCGCCGGCTCTCGCGCCGGAACCCCCATGATTGTACGACCCCGACAACCAACCCTCTCCTCCATCAACTCACCTAGCGCCGCCCGTCAAGTGTCGACGCTGCTCGGGACAATCCCTGGCGCATTTCCCCGGGAATCAGTGACAAGTCTGAAAAGTGTCCGGCTTGTCAACGACACCGAGGAGACTCTCCGTTTCGAGGAGCGATAGTATCGTTCTACCGACTGCGAGAGACTGCCGCTGGGGAATCTCAAGCCGTCTGCGAGCACCATGAACTGCCCTGCGACGCCCAAGCGGGCCAAGCCAAGGAGCTTCATGTCCCTCACCACCGCAAGCCGTGTCAAGAATATTGCTAAAGATTATATAAAGGGCGACCACAGCGTTCTGTCTCCTCCACCTCGACGCCAGCCGCAGCGCACATCGGCACTCCCCCAACTGCCCGACGTCAGCGGCATCAACGTCTCGTGCGACCCGTCAGCTGAGTATGCTGTTGTCATCTCCATGTATGAGGTGCACAACGACCGCATCTACGACCTCCTGACCCCGCCCTCCAAGTCGGGTGCGACCAAGGAACTTCGCCGCCGGCCTCTTCTCTTCAAGTCCACCGAGCTCTCGCCCGACCGGAAGGTTGTGGCTGGGTTGCGCAAGGTGGTCTGTAGCACATACAGCGAAGCTCTCATGGTGATTGAGGCCGGACTGCAGGAACGAAGAGTGACGGGAACCGGCAGCAACAGTGTCTCCAGCCGAAGTCACGGTTTCTTCTGCTTTGAGGTCAAGAAGCGCACCCGAAGCAGGAGAGGCGGTCCTTGGGAAGGCAGCAGGTTCACCATTGTTGATCTTGCGGGCAGTGAGCGAGCACGAGACGCCAAGACGCAGGGTGCTACGCTCGCCGAGGCCGGCAAGATCAACGAGAGTCTGATGTATCTGGGCCAATGTCTCCAGACGCAGAGCGAAGTTGGCACTTCCACCAAGGTAAGCAACATGGCTCAACATGACGCAGTGGACACTGAACTAACATGTCACAGCCCAATGTTGTGCCTTACCGGCAATGCAAGCTTACGGAACTCCTCTTCTCCAACTCATTCCCGTCCTCGTCCGCCGCGACGAACCCTCATGCCCCCCGTCATAACCCCCAGAAAGGTGTCATGATTGTCACGGCTGACCCTCGAGGCGACTTCAACGCTACCTCACAGATCCTGCGATATAGTGCTCTGGCACGCGAAGTTACTGTGCCGCGCATTCCTTCCATCACCAAAACGATCCTCGCGCATCCTCCCGTCATGGCCAACAACCGGTCGCCCAGCCCCAGCCACCAGCATCCTCGGCCGTTTGCGCCGGCAGGATCGGGCTCGTATAGGAACTACACCCCGCCCATGAGCTCTGATGAGCGTGCTACCATGGAGATTGCTGCGCTGGAAATCGCCCGCCTTAGTGATGAGGTCGATCAACTACGCGCTGAGGTGGACCACCAGACGGACGCACGGGTCTCCGCTGAGGCGCATCTTCTGACCATGGAAGACAAGATGCTAGACCTCGAGATGGCCATCCGCGATGACTGCGCCATGGAGTTCGAGCAGCGCCTCGCTCTGGAGCTGGCACGCTGGAAGGCGTCAATGGCTCTCGAGCAGGAGCGCAATGACGAGCACTGGGACCGCAAGGTCGAGGTCCTGGAGCGCGGTCTGGCCCCGGGCGACGATGACGTCGACTACGACAAGGAGAATGTTCTGATTGAGGACCTCGAGGACGAAGTCGAACGCCTGCGCCGCGAGAACGGCATCCTCAAGCGCGAGCTGGCGTCCCGCAGCCCAACCAAGCGTCGCCCCCTCGAGGAGCGCGACGACTTTGCGCCGCAGTCCGGATCCAAGGGCGCCGCTGCCGACGGCGTCTCGAACCTGGGCCGCAAGCTGGAGCGGATGCGCGTTAGCGGCGAGAGCGCCCGTTCGGCCAGCGCCGCGAGCAATGGGAGTCCCAAGAAGATGCGCAAGCTGGGGACGCGGCGGTGGGAGGAGCACGAGGAACGCGAGTAGGACTTGTGATGTTTACGGCTACTGCGTGCGACTCCCATCGGGTTGGTTCTGGTTCTGGTTTCCATTGCGATAGACTTTGGCTTGGTGGATAGGCAGGGGTTCGGTTGTCTTTTGTGCGATTCGTTCAGGAAAGGCTTGGAGTATACCCATTCGTGTAATGTTTGTCGGGATTTAGTGCTGGGTTCTATAATTCACTCTGTTCAATGTCTTGAAATTGCGGTTGGATCATGGGTATTTGTGATTGTTGATCCGTATCTTCAGATTCGAAGCAGGGCATCTATGCGCGTTCTATGGGATATCGGCCATTTCGCCCCTTTCCAACATTACAATTATCAACTTTCGGTGTATTATCAAACGATTGACGCTCTAAATCAGACCATTTACTCCATCCCTTTCAACCTGAGACTTTCTCATCGTCCTGATGGGGTGTAGTACTCGGTGATGGCCGGGTTGGCAGGCTGAGTGCTGGACTCTCCCTGCTTGTCGTTCACAATCGGCTGCTCTGGCTGCTTGCCGTTGCCGGTCGGCTGCTGCTCCGCCGGGCTTCTGTTCTGAAGAGGAATGTTGGGCTGCGGCACTGCGGCATTGGCTGCCAGCCCTGGGCCATGGGGCCCCAGTAGGGCGGCGCAACGACGGTGACGACGCGGCGGGAGCGGTTGCGGCGAGCGGTCTCGATGCAGCCGTTGACGAACAGGGTGAAGTGGATGAGCCACACGAGGCACGAGAAGACGGCCACGGCGGTGAAGAGGCCGGCCCGGCCGTCGTAAGAGTTGGAGCTGGAGCAGGACTCGTACGACTGCGATTCGTAGTCCCAGCAGTCACTGCTGTCGTTGACGACGTAGGCGACAAAGGCGGACTGGATGCCGCCGACGATGGCGGCGCCGAGCCAGATGATCAGCGAGACACCGACGTGGGCGCCCGGGTGGATGCCTGCCTTGCGCTTGCGGCAGAACCAGGTGATGATTTCGGCGAGATCCCAGATGAGGGCGAGGAAGAACTGGCTGCGTTAGTATTTCCAACCCCCGAGTGGTGAAGGGACGTACGATGGGCGTGCAGAGCGTGAAGACGTAGCCCGTCTCGCTGAAGGTGCCGACGCTGAAGCTGATGCCAATGGCCACGATACAGCAGATGATGTCGGCCGCATGGAGGGCGATCCTGGTCAACACCCAGGCCTTGACGGCGTTGGCGACGTACGCAGGCTGCTGTTGCTGTTGCTGCTGCTGGAACTGCTGATACTGCTGAATCTGCGCGGCCGTCGCCGGCTGGAACTGGCCCTGGGGCAGCGTCTGGGCGTTGTAGGACTGGAAGGGCTGGCCGTAGGAGCCGGGATACTGCTGGAAGTAGGCGGGCTGGAACTGGCCCTGCATCTGAGGCTGCTGCGGCTGGGTGCTGGGGATTTGTTGCTGCGGCGGTTGCTGCGTGGGCGGCGGGGGAAGAGGAGAGGATGTCGTCGTGGTTGTGTCCATCGACACGGCGTTGGAGTCGCGGTTGAAGGCCTGGGACGACTGTTCAGGCACCATGATAGGCAAGAGACGCCTCTGTCTGAGAGGATGAATGTCGAAAAAGTACAGTCTGGCCGATCAGACTGAGGTTGAGTTGCTTCTCCCTTTGTGTTGTGGTGGGCTGAAATGTGAACTGCGGTGTGGGTTGAGTTGCGAAAGCGATCGTGAATCTCTGCTGAAGTTGCGAAAATGATGGCGAGTATCCAAACACTTTTCTAAGACCAAGACGGAGAACAAAGCAAAAACGAGAGGAATGAGGAGAGGCAGAATAACGAGTGATGTCCCTTTCCTGCAGAAAAAGAAGAAGAAGGGAAGGGAAATTGATTTTATGCCACCAAGTGTTGCCATGTTCCCCGTCCGAATTCTGCTGCTAATTAACTTAAGCGACGGCCGCCGCAGGGCTGGGCTCTGCCTGGGCTCGTCGCAGGCGAAGTGGCAACCCCATGAAAAGGGACCCAAAGGATTCACGCCCAGGCCAGGACGGGGTTTTTTCCCGCAGCTGCTAGGGCGGAAGCGTGTTAGCCGTAGGCGTCGATTGGTGAATCGCAGTGGTAGCGGCGCCGTGTAGTCCCCTGTAGCGCCCTGTAGCGTGCCCCTGTAGCAAAACCCCCGGTCCGGACACTGCTGTTCCGGGAATGCACCGGGCGCAGCGAGACAGAGGATTGGATGGTGAGCGAGGCGGCAGGGGATGGTGTTGAATAAAGATGGGAGAATGGCCAGCCTTGTGGACCGGGTGACAGTGAGTACGAGTCTGAATGTTGCAGACACATTGCCGCGATCGTATAGTGAATAGGCAGAACACGTCTACACTCGGGAGAACCATCTCACAAGTGTTGCCACGTAGAAGTTGTATTTCTCACCTTGGTTAGCAGTAGTATCAGAGGATACGAGGTGAGTCAACCCTGAACAGGCCTCCACCACCCGAAGCAACAGCTTGCATCCGTCGTTTTCGGCACAACTCAGACCTAACCATCTGTCCCGTTCACACGAGTCAAACCTGGTGTCGATGACCAACACTGGACGATGTAAAATCTCGCCCCAGTTAGGTCAACCGTGGACTGGCAAGGGAAATGACAGTTTATCATATTTTCGGCAATGATCGGCATCGAATGAAAAAAAATAGGCCCACCGCGCCGGCGCCTCTCTGGAAGCGCTTTCTCCTTCTCGACTGGCCGGCGTTGACGATGGTCCTAGACTCGCGGTCCATTGCCCTCCCTTGCGTTGCCTCGCATCGTCCTAGCCGGGTCAGCGGCTAGCTTGTACGTGCCACCAGAATCGCGGGGACTCGTCCGAACTTCGGTCCCGAAAGCTTTCAGTAGCAACTTCGACATCAGGTGCCGGGTCATGGGTGGGTATCAAATCCAGATTCCGTGGTTATGGTATATGATTCTGTCCTCCACATCGCTCGCTCGCTGTCTTTTGTCCCCTGACGCCCAATTCCCTCCACATCTATTCCCGCTGCAACACCACCAAGAGACCCATGATTCCCAGCATCGCCGTCTTCAGCCAGGGGTGCTCCGACAGGAGAATCGTCACATACCCAACAAACGGCATGAACCCCACAACACTGCCGATGATGTCCTTGCGCACCAGGTAGTCCTGCCCCTTGGCGTACAGTTCCGTGTCGTCGGAAAGGTTGTTGTCTCCCTTGGTCAGGAGCTTCGCCTTCTCTCTGTAGTGCCCGCGGCATGTTAGCGTTGTCTCTCCGCCAATTTCCAGGACCCGGGGATTCTGACCCGCTGCCAAACTTGCGAACAACTCGGTGGACAATCGGGATGTCCTTGTCTCGCACCTCGTAGACTACCACCTCACCCACTTGCGTCTCGCTCAATAAGTTTCGGTTCCACAGAAAGAGAAGGTCGCCGCGCTGGAATGCAGGCTCCATAGAGCCGGAAAGGACGACGACGATCGGGGATGGCGAATCGGTGATGACAGAGAGGCCCTTCCACATCTGCAAAGACCAAGTCAGCTGTGAGCTCCCGGGAAGGAAAGGGGACGAGCGCGTACCATAAAGGCGGTCGACAGGATGAGCGCAAAGTTCATGAGCTGCGCAGCCGCCTGCCGCGGGTTCCCGAGGCTGGAGAGCATGGTGGCGGGTGTTGCGGTGGGATCGTGGAGGCGGAAATCAACAAGCTCGAGCTTGGTGGTGATGCTGGGTCGCAGGCGCGGATGGAGGTTGAGATCTGGACATGGTGGCTCTGGAGAGCGCACGGGCCAAGCGTGTAGGTGTTCAATTGAGGCATCGGAGCACATGCATGCAAGTGCTTTGTGGCTTGCCATTGTGGCTCCCATCGGCGCTGTGGCTTGTCGCGGGGGCCCCACCACACTTGCTGCAACTGTGCTAGGGATCGTCTTGGGGAACGTGTGGAGGGGCAGCCACATTCAATCAGTGATGTCATGAACGCAAGACAAGCACGAGATCGATGTCATCGCTCGATTGACACAGGACGGAAAGCTTGTAGTGGGCGTATTTAAAGACAGAGAGCTGCCGGTGATTCTCCAATATTCAGTCCTTTTAGATTCATCTACAGTTGACTTGATACTTGCCCACACCTCGGCACACTTACAAGCTACAATATACCTTGTCATCATGGCGGACAACAACAACAACAACAACAACAGCAACAACAGCCCAGAGCAACCGCAGAGCACCTCGCAGCCAGGTCTCATCGGAAGCCACTACCAGTATGTGAAGGGCGCCGCAGAGGTAAGTGTCGCTCAGCATCCGTTGCGCATTTGATGCAGGACCCATTCTGACTTCCCCTTCTCTGCTCTAGGCCACCGTCGGCGTTCTAACCAACTCCCCCGCCTGGAAAGCCTCGGGCGAGCAAGACAAGGCGGCAGGACTCGCGGCGCTGAAGAAGGTTGGCGAGCAGCGAAGCCAACACCCCGAACAGGGCTATGGCAGGGTCGAGCAGATGGCGGGGAAGATTACTGGGTGTGAGGGAATGATGCGGGAGGGCGGTGCCAGCATCAAGAAGAAGGACTAAGAGTCACGTTTCGAGTCTAATGTTAATGGGCGCGTGTAGGATAATTATTTGGGATGATGCAATTAATATTCGCCATTTTCTTCTGCCTTTTCGGGCCACTGGCCTCTGTATTCAAACCGAGCAACATCAATCCAGCCAAGGCCGATACTCAAGCCCTGATTTGGATGTGTGAATCGCAGAGGTGGTGGCTGTTCCTGCCTCGAAAACATGGCCGTCTCTGAACCAACGTCTCAACACCTGCCTTCCTCCGCCTCAAAAGAATGGTAGGTGCTTCCACTTGTACCACGGTGCTCCAGCCCATTCACAACAGGAGCCTCCTCATTCTCCCACCAAAACGCCCTTCGTCTTCCTCCTCCACCATCGTCGCTTGTCCCAACCAGCTCGCTCCATCTTCTGCTGGGTCTCATCGCCCTCCCCTCCCCTCTGGCTTCATCATCACTTATTGTTGTCCCCTCGCTGTGGACTTGATCATCCTTTACTCCTCATTCTTGAGCCTTTGCTTCAATGGACACAGCTCCACTTCTCACGGCCATCGGGGGCCTTCCCGGGCCAAACATCTTGCAGGACCATGTGAGCCTCTGTCCTGGTCAACCTCCTGTGTGTTGCGTTACTGATGGTATCTCTTCGACAGCCTGCTTTCTTGCGAGCCTGCCATTCGCCATGGCGTTTCATCCCCCAAAACATCCTCGTCATCCTTCGAGGCATTGTTCTCGCCTTCATCGTGGCCACCGGCGTCATGGTCACCCACTACAAGCTCAGCGAAGAGTCGGAACTCACCAACTGGCGACACTTTTTCGACTTTTCCATCGTCAGCTTCATCATGGTGTTCCTGTACCATCTCATCACCTTTGTGAGTCTCAACGCACCTGAACCTCCACCTTGGCATCACTAACCATCCTTCTCCAACCAGTCCTGGACCTTCACCCACCTGTACTACCCTCATCGAGAAGACTGTGTGGGCGGCATCGAGTCATGGATTGTTGCGGCCATGTCCCTTCCCCGCAACATGGCTAGCCTTCGGAAACAGTTCTACTTCACCATGTTCTACACCGCCACTGTCGTTGCATGCTTCATGAATTCAACCATCTACTGGCTCATTACTCGTCAACGTGACAGTGGTGACTCAGCTACACCCGAGTTGTTCGACTGGACGGTTGTCGCCGAGGACGATGAACTATACTGGGCCGAGACCTCGATACCGGTTCCTGACGCGCCATGTAAGTTATTTTATGGCCGTACTCGTCTCATTCGCTGACCGCTTTTACAGTCAGCGACCTGTTTGGTGAGGGGTGGTTCAACGCATTTGTAATCGTGGCTCTGTATGGAATCACATCGGCGATCATGGCAACTGAGGTGTTTTGGCTCAACAGCATCAAGCGCCCCATCGTAAGGCACCAATAGACCCGACGACAACTGATACTGACAGCGATTAGGCAATCGGCTCTCACATCCTCGGGCTTCTCTTCCTCTCTGGTCTTTATCTGGGTTGGGCTGCCATTGGCAAGATCGTCACAGACTGGTACCCATTCTTCTGGCTCGATGAGGACGAAGTTGGCTCCCAAGAGGCCGTGACCGCCTACTGCATTGGGTTTGTTCTCTTGGCGCCCATGAGTAAGTGAATACCGAGGTTGGTCTTGATGAGGAGCTAATGCCCGGATAGTGTACACTCTGATGCAAGGATTCGTCGGCATTCGCGAGGGCCTCACCCGATCGCTGGCGGAGGCGCGCGCAGTCGCCGCCGCCGAGGAGGCCCTGGATGATTGAACCCGACGTCATTGACATGAACGAATTCCTTGTTTGTTTCATTCCCCTGAACAAGAATGCGTTGTCGAGTGCGGTGAAGACAGAGGCCGGAAGCTGAGGGAGTTGGGTTGCTGTGGGCACGGGTTTAGGCTCTTTCGGGCATAGGGATGGATCACTTGACCTAGAACACGCGCTGCGGTTGATGAATTGGTTGAATTCAATTTGAAACTGGCCCCTGAATTGAGTCTTTTACGTGCAGATGTTACGAACGCGACGCGAAGGTGATTGCGGTCATGGGGAGTTGCCGAGGGGTCGATGGTCGGGGCTCTACACCGCCTGCACCAAGCGTAGATGATTGTGGTTCTTGGAGTCTAGATCCACGGGGGCCCAATCAAGTTGGATCTGTCGCTAAAATCGGATGTTCCGCCGATGGCATCTCGATGATGCTACATTTAGCACGAGTTCCGCTGGCTTTACTCCACTTCTAGATGGCGGAGGGGTTCTGGAAGGCTCTCATGGCATGCAAGTGTCGAGATGGTTCGTTCGGCTACTCAAAGGCGCATGGGTGCCTGTTGTGCTGTTGTGCCTGTTGTGCCTGTTGTGCCTTAGCGTCCGTGAAGCAGTCGATCATTCGTAGACAGTGTCTCGGGAGCAATTAAGGTACAGGCTTGAGACGGCATTGTGGTGGAATACGTAGGTACCACGGCGTAGCGATTCCCCGTGTTTTTGGGGTAGGCAGGTTGCGTCAACACTATCTTGGGCTTAGATGTGTCTCATCTAGGTACCTATCTGGGAGGCAGCCGGACCAGGTGGAGTGGGCCAATCAGGCCATCGCAGCTGAGATGGCAGCTGAGAGATGCAAATGGGACGACTGGGCGGTGTTGTGAGGGGGGGAGGGAGGAGGGGAGGGAGGGGGAAGGTCAAGAAGGGGGGAGTCGAGATTGGGCATGTAACCGGTGAGAGGAGTGACACGACATGTCGGTGATTTCAGTGGCTGCTGGAGTGAGGCCATGGACCAGTGACGTGCAAGTATCAAGAGGGGGTGAAGTGGCGGTTGAATGTCCGACTTGTCACTTGGACCATTTCAAGGTCAAGGCCAATCTAAGGCGAGGGCCGGACGTTGGGTTCCGGCGAGGCGGCTAGATAGGATCCGAACGGCAGGCAGACGAGAGGAGACGGCAAGACACCGACGGGATCCCGACGGGCGGAGCAAATAGGAACAAGTGGGAACGGGCCGGCCGAGCAAGGACTGGGCTGGACGGGATGGTGTGCGCTGTGCGGTGCCGGACGCCGGGGAGGAGGGGCACGGCATTGGGCATCTATCTGGCGGCGGGAGGAGGAGGCATTTCGGTGCGTTGGCCGCAGGAACAGTGAGGAGAAGAGGAGAAGACTACCTTGAGTTACCCCTCGTCTCATTTACCGCGTCGGGGTTGGGCGGTGGGCGAATTGACGCATGGCCAGATGCTCACGTGCGACGAATGGGTGCGAAGAGGAGAAGGGAAATGGAAGAAGATGGAAGAGATGGAAGATGGGACAGCGCATCGCCTGCGTCAAGTGCTTGTATTGAGCGTGTATCAGTCGCGCTGCACGGAAGACTGAGGCCGGAGGGGACGACGAAGACGGGCGTGTGCTGTCGCTAGCCTCTGCTTGGCCAAGAGCCGGCGGGGGAGTGTTTAACGGTCAGGTACCCATCGCCCGGATGAGCCCCGCGGCTTGTACTGGGCCTAAATTAAGGTACCCGATTCACCTAAGTGACGTGGTGCCGTGGTGGTGGTGCAGTCGCCGTGAGTGTCTTGGTGGTCCGGGGGTGTTTGTTACGGTGATGGCTCTGTTAACGGTACCTACCACGTACGAATAAGCCGGCGGCGCTACGACGCACTGGGCGAACAAGGCGTCCCAGCACGGCCTGGTTTCGCAGGGCTGTCCGGGGGGGTGCCTGTTGTCAGATCGCCTCCATCTTCAATTGTGAATGGCTGGGGACTCGGCCGTAGCGAATGGGAGCCCTGGGAAGCGCGCAAAGGTGGGTGCTGAGGCCGTACAAATATCCCACACGCCTCCTCGCTGACGACTCCGGCCTTCTCTTCTTCTCCCCCCCACACACAACCAAAAAAAGGGTCGCAAAGCTATCACGAGGATCTTGTCTTGCCAGAGGCATCTTCTTCCGCCCGGACCCCTTGTCAATCTTTTGTGCGTCGCTCTCTCACCCTCACTCTCTTTCCGCCCCCCCCCCCCCTCCCCCTCCCCCTCTTTCCCGCTTCTTTCCTCTCTTCGCTCTTTTCGTCGCTCTCTAGCCAAGTTATCAAGTTGGGAGCCCACCCCCCTCCGAGAATACCTATATAAACCACCCGCAACCGACCTGCTACCTCGACTCGGTTGTCCTTCACTCTCTCGGACTACACTCCCCTCTCGAATCCCGCACGAATACACTCTCTAGTTGTGCGAACCCTACTTCCAAGTCTTATCACTGCTACCCCGCCAAAAACAAAAACAACCGCCGCCATGTTCAAGCGCTCGTTCCGGTCTCAGGACCAGACGCAGAGCCGCGTCGACAAGGCCGCAAGACTCAAGAAGTTGGGCTCCGTACGGGATCCCACGAAGCTTTCGAAACTGCAACGGTCGCTCACAGAGCAGGACTCGACCAAACCTATCCCCAAGGCTAAAAAGTCGGCTCCCGCCCCCGCAGCGCCCCCCGCCGCCACGGCCTCGCCCTCACCCATCGTCACTCTGACCGTGGGCCGCGACGGCCGGCTCTTTGCAGCGCACGAGGATGTCCTCCGCCAGTCGCCCTTCTTCGAGGCCGCCTTGCGGACCGGCTACCACGATGCGCAGAGCAGGAGAATCTCCCTCCCCGACGAAGAACCCGAGGTCTTCTCCGCCATCCTCGAGTACCTGTACAAGGGGGACTACTACCCCCGCCTGTTGCACAACCGCTCCCGCAACTCCTGGGAGCTCGAGGACCAGGGACGGACACCTCAAACCTCCCCCAACCCCGAAAACGGAGGTGGCCGCGCAGGCACCGGTGTCGCCGCCGGCTCCGAGGCCACCGTCTTCCTGTCCAGCGTCAACGCCGCCATCCTCCGCGACACAGTCATCTACTGCGCCGCGGACCGATACGGCCTCGAGGAGCTCAAGCGTCTGTCCCTGCGCAAGCAGGGGCTGCAGGCCGGCATCGACGTTGCCACCATCCTGCGGTCCGCGCAGTACGCCTACGCTCACACCCCAGACACTGACAGCCGCCTGCGCGCTCACTACCTCGCCCTGATCATCCGCTGCCGCAAGACGTTCAAGCGGAGCGGGACCATGCAGGCTGAGATGGAGGCGGGTGGCAGCAAGCTGTTCTTCGACCTGTTCGTAGCCATGTGCAACCACCTCGACGACGTCATCGACGTGAGCAACGCTCGCACGCCGAGAACCGTCTGAAGGCTGGACCGCTGCACGGAACTACTCTCAGGCCTCCAGAAACGCGTACAAAGATCAGGGAAGATCATTCGCTGGAGGATGAGCACTGAACGAAAACACCATACCACAAAACAAAAGCACAAAAAAAAGCGACACCATGGGAACTTTGGACTTTAGCCGGCGTTGGTTTGCTTTTCACGCTCCCCTCATCAGATTGACGTCCCATTCGGGAGCTTGTTGCTTGCACTTTCTCCACTTCTCAAGAGGTTGGCCGACCGAAATTTGATGAGTACATGAGCTGAGAGGATCTAATCCGCCGCATACGAGCCGTCGTCCTCCGCTCCATTTGTTGTGTTTTTTTGTGAGTCTTGGCGTTACCAGTTCTGCCTCGTCATTATACAGCTCCGCATTGATACCCTACTTACACGGCGTTACTGGGACCTTTTCTTTTCCACTCTGGCGTTTATTTACAGGGCACTGGATCTTGCTTTGCATTATACAAACGACAGAAGCCGGGAAAAAATGGATTAGACAGTTTGTCTGTTACTCGCGCGCAATCGGGCCAAGATTGATCAACCGAAATTTTGCCCATCTCAGAAACAGTTTTACCGGATGGAATCGCCTGTTTGAATTTGCTTTCACGGAACGGTTGGCGTTTTTCAATGCATAGACCACTGGGACGGCAAAAAAAGAAACTCTCCATTCGGAACCCATCAGGAGGCGCCCAAGTGGTGAGAGGTCATCGTCGCGCGCGGTCCACAGGCTGGACTAGCGTGAGCCTCCACCGCAGGGTTTGCCGCCTTGCAAAAACACCAAAAAACAAAACATTCACATCTCATGACATTTGACAATCGTTTATACTCTTTTCCTTTGTATAGCTGGGAGGAAGCATGAATCGGAGATGCGATATGGACTCTGCATGGTCTCGGGGGCGATGGTTTCGCCGAAAATGATGTTACGATCTTGATGATTGATACCTAGATAGTTAAGGGTCGCAGCGCGATCCTCCCTGGCGTGAGCTCCGTCAGGGTCGAGGTAATGAGAAATTCGGCCACCTCAAGTTGTTTCAGTTTCTGCGCATGTGATGTGATGTTGTGTTGTGATTTGGCATTTGAAGTTGTGGATCTAGGGGATCGCTATAACTGACTACTTCCATTCAACGTCAAAGTCACTGAAGTTGGCCTCTAACTCATCCGTGGCAACCTTTCCAGGCCGGGCCACCAAGGCACTCACCTTCACGTCCAACCCCTCGCCCCCGTTATCTCCCAACACCCAGCAAATCTCCCTCAGCGGCGTCTTCTTGTCGCCATCGACATGGTAGACCCACCAGGAGCTACCATGCTCATCGTCCTCCCTGACCACGTTGATGGTGACGCTCTTCGTGCCGGCGATGATTTCGTCGGCGCCGGACGTGACTTGGGCGACGCTCCAGTCAGCCCAGGAGTCGCAGCAGACGACGGAGAGGCGCGGGATGCCGTTGTAGTACTCGATGCCCGCCTTGATCCACTTGCGCGGGGCCGCGGGGTCGGCGGGGTTGGTGATGGTCAGCAGCATGCCCGCCTGGTCATACTGGTGCGTGTAGGTGGTGGTGAAGGTGATGGCCGCGGAAGCGAAGGTGCTGACGGGGCCGGAGGAGTGTGGGCGGGAGGGTGCTAGAAGTGAATGGTTAGTTGACAGGTGAGGTGAGGTTGATGGTGAATGAGGCGATGGGCTGTACCTTTGAAGACGTTCGTGGAGGGAGGCTTCTTCCAGATGTCAGTGCTAGGACTAGCGGAGAGGCTGAATATCGAAGCCATGGCGAGGATATGATCGGTGCAGCAGGTGAAGGAGTAGGTGAATGAGTGAAACGAAGTTGATAGGAGCAGAAAGTTGCCGTTTAGTTACCTTAGGTATGTTTAAGAGGAAACTGAGGAATCAATCCCTCATAACAACGCGGGGGACGCAGCTGACATAATTGGCCGCCTCCTGTCGTGACTCGGCCCAGTCCGTCCCAGCAGCGTCCAATTACCTAGCAAGACAGAGCAGCATTCTTTCGTGGAACGCCGTCTTCGACGAAAGGGCGCCGCCACAAGGGATGGGGAGGGCACGTCCGAAGAATCTGCGACGTATTTGCGATGCGGGCGTGGCGGGAGACGGGCCCGACGAGCCGGGCGGTGCAGAACTTCACGATGGCGTGCGGATGAGGGGTGCGGGCGTGCACGTGGATGGGATGCCTGTGAATGTGAAGCTCATATTGGGGGTTGTTTACGATTGTACGGGGGAGGCGTCGTGCAGAGGTACAAGGAGGATACAATGACGCATGCGAAGTGACAACCGTGGGCATTTATTCAGCTCTGGCAAGCAACGGGTACAAGTACAGGGAGACTCCAAGAGCAGCCATCCAGAGTGGAGAGCTGCTCCGTCTTCAGCTCCTCCGTCGGAGCGGCAAAGGCCCGGAGAAGGGCGGTGCTGGATAAACCTCGGAGGCTGGCAGCTCGTCACCAACCACTCGAGGAAGTGAAGTGCGGACAACCAGGTTCCTTTTGCTTCATCATGGGAAAAAGCCTTTCTGGAATTTTTGCATATCTCAAGGTACTGGCATTGTCCCCAGATACGTCAATACGCCGACACCTCATACCACAACCCATCAACGAAAATCATCACCGGCCGGTATTCGAACCTTCGCTGCCTAGACTTCTCACCACATGACTCAGACTGGTTGTGCAGGCTAAGCGAGACATTGCACTTCCCCACTCGACCACGGCCCTCCGGCCACCACCACAAAAAACCCCGCCACGGCCACGGCTCTCGATTTTCCTCGACCAATATCTCGCCCTTGCTCAGACGCGTCCAGCCTGTGTCCACTTACATCGCCTGCGCGGGCTCACCAACCGGCCGTTTTTTTATCTGCTTCGCCTTCGTTTGCGCCATAACTTGCTACCCGGTTTGAGCTGGCCGTCCGACGGTCTGGGGGGAGGAGAGAGAGAATTTAGTGCTAGATCAGCAAAACCGCCCACGACACTCCGCCGCCGAATGCCATCGACTTTTCCAGCTTTCTTTACTTTACGTTGCTCGAGCATCCAATCAACCCTCGCTTGACCTTCACTCACTCGCCATGTCTTCGTTCCTCACCCCGCCCAAGACGGGCCCCAGCGGCCAGCGTCCCGTTGCGAAGCCTCGATTTGCAAAGCCCAATCCCGTCCGCGCCATGCGAGAGCGCGAAGAGCGTCGAGCCGCCGCTGCCACCCACGCCCAGAACTCCCGAGCAGCTGTCAACCGGAATGCCTCGCTCGCCCACCCGTCCCGCCCGCAATGCCCCAACAAGGCGTGTCCGAAGCCCAATGTCGTCGACGGTACCTGCCAGACTTGCGGTCGTATCGCTGATGACAGCAACATTGTCGCCGAGGTGCAATTCGGCGAGACGTCTTCGGGTGCCGCCATGGTGCAGGGATCGTACATTGGTGCCGACCAAGCCGGTGTCCGCAGCATGGGCCCGGCCTTCAGGAGAGTGGGAGGGTCCGACGACCGGGAAAAGAGCATTCGAGAGGCAAAGAGCTTGATGCAGGGTTATGCTCAGCAGCTCAACGTCAGCGACAGCTTGGTGACTGCCGGAACCCAGGTCTTCAAGCTGGCTTCCAGTGCCAATTTTATTCAGGGCCGTACGCTGACCAGTGTGGCTGCCGTGTGCCTCTACGCTGCGTGTCGAGCGGAACCGCCTTGCAAGGTCATGCTAATCGATCTGGCTGATTTGGTCCAGCTCAACGTCTTCAAACTCGGTCGCATTTTCAAGAAACTGAACGAGGTGGTTCCCATTGGCAACGATGGCTTGATCCCCGTGTACCCCGAGGATCTGATTTGGCGATTTGCAACAAAGATGGAGTTTCACCAAGAGACGGCAAAGGTCGCCGAGGATGCTGTTCGACTTGTCAAGCGGATGAGCCGAGATTGGATGGTTATGGGCCGTCGCCCCTCGGGCATCTGTGGCGCCTGCTTGCTCATGGCGGCACGAATGCACAACTTTCGAAGAACCGTCCGCGAAGTGGTTTACATTGTCAAGGTCACCAATCACACCATCCAGACTCGCCTGCAGGAGTTCAAATTCACCGAATCTAGTCGCATGTCGGTTGAAGACTTTCTGAAGCAGGACTTCCTGGAGAGCTCACACGACCCGCCTTCGTTTTACAAGCAGTCGGAAGAGTACAAGCAGATGGCCGAGAGCAAATCCCGGAAGCGGAAAAGGCCAGTGGCTGGAGATGATGATGAGCCTGAAGGCGACGCGTCAAGGTCCAGAGCTAACGCACAACCTCGAGGAGGTGCCGATCTCACCAAAGCCCCCGCCGTGGAGTACCGCCGTGACGAAGATGGATTCATCATCCCGCCTCTGCCATCACAGATTGCCGAAAATCCTTCCCTGGTCAACAAGCTTCATGCAAACACGGAAGAGGGAGAGGGAGAAGAGAACAACGTGGAAACACTGGACACCCTCGTGGAAGAGTTTGGCGACGCCTTGGACGAAGATGCCGCGCAGGAATCATCCGGACAGCGTGGGAAAGGAAACAAGTCGGACAAGCCCCAGTTACCCATCAACGAGGAGTGGGAGCAAGACGAACAGGAGTTGGAGGGTGTCATTGAGGAAATCTTCAACGATCCGCTGACGTACGAGCACGCCATGGCCTACTCGACCGCCGAACAGCGTGCGCAGATTCACACCGTTTGGGCTCTACAGCAGCGGCCCCAGAAGGAGATTTCCATGTCAGCGGATGTTACGGAGGATGAGTTTGCCGACGATCTCGAGGTCATCAACTGTCTGCTGTCACCAGAGGAAGCACAAATCAAGGAGATGATTTGGGTGAATCAGAACAAGGAGTGGCTCCGCAAGCACCAGGAGAAGGTGTTTAGAAAGAAGCTCGAAGCGGAACGGCCGAAGCAAACCCGAAAGCGACGCAAGCGTGCCAGGATGGGCGAAGGACAAACAAGCCCTGCCAGCTCTGCCGCCGAGGCAGCCATCAACGTGGCCAAGGATCGAGCATGGTCCAAGAGGATCAACTACGACGCCATCCGCAACATCTTCGACATGCCCAATGTCGGCGGTCCTGGATCCGAGGCCACCAGCCGCAAGACAAGCATGGCAGGCAGCACATTCGGAGCCGACGACGCGAATGAGGCGCCTGACGATAGTGTCGCCGGCGATGACGTGGGCGCTCCCGCTGAGGAGGAGGAAGAGGAGTACGACGAGACGGAGCACTACAACGAAGAAGGAGAGGAGTTTGGAGGAGGCGGGGGTGAATTCGAGGGCGGGTTTGAAGACGACGACAATCCTGACATGGATGCGGAGTATGGGCTGGACGAAGAGTTTGCATAAAATGACATGGGAGGTTTCAGCGGCGTTGAGGACGAAAATTGGACCAGACAACGGGCGGATATTTTGATACCCAGACGTAGAGGATAGACGGGCTTTGCCATTGCCGTCCACTTGAAGATAAACATCATAGGAATTGATAAGTAGCATAACCTTTACTTTATGGCATAATTTTTACTTTATGGCATAACTTTTACTTTATGGCGTAACCATTTAGTTAATGACAAAAATAATTAAACTCCATCACCACCACGCAACCACCTCGGACGTCACGGCGCAAAGGGTACCGCCGACGTCAATTTCGCGATCCGCACCGCCGCCGACACCGGATAACAAATAGTCTGGCTAATGCCGTATGTAAACGACGACTGCCGGCCTCATGGCACATGATGCGTGCGCGATGCAGCTGAAGAGGGTGGTGTGTCCGGGGCGCATTAGCTAGCCCCATTCTTCAACCCCCCAAGAGGTTGCTTCTCAGCCCTTCAACCGTCCTTGGCATTTGAGTCAGCTGGAGGAAGATGGGTTAATGGGCATCGGTATTTTCAACTCGGACTTGCTGCGCCCGCCGTCATCGGGAAAAGGGAAGCTGGATTTCCAATCACCGGCGGTATGTTGCAGGCATGATATCACAAGTGCCTTCGCCTCACTCTGGGCGAATTTATCTTATCATCTGTCGCCTCCTGCAAACGGTTTCGTTCACTGGTAACTCTGCCATACACCTGCTCCAATGGATCCTTTATCAATCACCGCCAGCATCGTGGCGCTGCTCCAAGCAACCACGGCCGTGGGAAAGGGACTCCAGTTCCTCCACTCTCTCAGCCACATCCCCGACGAATTCTGCGACTTGATCAATGAGCTCGCAACCCTGCAGGCCGTCCTGGGACAAGTCACCAGCGCGCTCAATGAACTGCAGGCCGACAGCCTAGCTGCGCCTGTGCTTCGGGTTGATCTGACCAAGGCACTGGTCTTGGAGAATGACCTGCGGCAAACCGTGGGTGAGATTGACGCTCTGTGCGTCCGGCTCCGGGAAACGGCCCGCGCCACGAGGCGGGACGGGAAGCTGGCGATATCTAAGAAGAGGTGGCTTCAGGAGCGGAGCAGTATTTCCCGTCTCAAGGCGAAAGCGCGTGCGGCAAAGAGCGATTTGTCGTTGTGTTTCGAATCCCTCATTTCTACGCAAAGGTTGTGAGCAACACGTCTCAGGCTCAGGCTTTAGCTAACACGTAGATGGCAGCGCAAGGCAAACACGCGTTTCAATCGATATCCACCGGTTGGTGGCCATGACCTATGACGGCCTGACCTCAGAGGTCGAGAGGAGCAGCAAAGTTGCCGAGGCGCACCAGAGCAGCTTTGACAAAGTGCAGGAGTCTCTCAATCGGCTTCACGCAAAGGCGCTTGATCTTGAGCAACTGATATGCGCGACTGTCAAGCCTGTGGCAACCCACAACGGCGGTGCTGCGAGTCACATGGATGAAATCGATACGAGCGGTGCTGTCTGGTCATTTCAAGCCTCGCTGCGACTACCGTGCTCGGCGTACTGCAAGTGCCAATGCCATCGTCAATCCCAAGTCGAAACCCCCAAATGGCTGCGTTCTGTGTTTGGCTCCTTGTTCCTCCGGTACAACAGCCTCCCCGTTTGGGACACGCGGCCGTGCCGAGTAGAACAATGCAAACGATCCCAGGGCTCCATCCGGCTGCGGTATACCTTCCCGCAATGGATGATAGCGAGGGAGGTTTCCCTTGCGACGTCTGGACACAGCGTCGTGGGACGTGGAGCTGCGCTGCACGCCAGGATCCGGAGGGTTTTGCCCGACGGTCTGGCGCTTGCGGCCATTGCGTTTAACGATCTAGAGTGGTTGAAGAGGGCTCTCGTCAGTAATAGGCTGCATATCACGGACATTGACCAGTCTGGGAAGTCGCTGATGAATGTACGTGGGACATCTGATGCATTTACTGCACTAACGCCATGTAGCTCGCACTCTATCATCGGAATCTGAAAGTGACCAGGTTTCTCTTCGAGCATGGTTCGCCTCCAGGTGGAGAAGACAACTATGGATGGTACGTCAATGCCTTTGAGCAGTCGTCGGGGAAATTTAGCTTACCTATACCGTAGGTCGGTCGCAAAGGAGGCCCGTTTGAAGCTCTATTCACCAAAGGCAATGTATCGAGACCCTCGGGACAATGATTTCCTCCGCAGACTTTCCGAATTGGGAGACGAAGATGAGGTTCGAATATCGACATTGATTCATGATTGTTTGCTGGGAATCAACCCCATTTCTCTTTCTACCGCTATTGCCCAGGTTCCGTCTGATATCAACCGTCTCGATGATTTTGACCTCGCTCCGATCCACTGGTGTATTAGGAAACACGATTTGGTTTCGTTCAAGATGCTACTCGCTCATCCGCAGATCGATGTTCACATTACCCACCCCTTCGGTACATTCCTCCATTGGGCCGCGCGTAACGAGTACCCTGGATCCTCGGACATGGCTCGGTCTCTACTGGACGCTGGTCTAGACGCCAATTCTCAGAATGGGCATGGCCGCACTCCAATCTACTTTGCGTTTCACAACCCCGAGACGGTTCAGCTACTGCTTGATCACGGCGCGACTACGGTGAACTTTTCTCAACATGAATCGGAGATGGAGAATCCAGTCTCTTGGTTCGTGGAGCGATGGAACAACATCCGGAGGAGAGACCCTCAACGGCAAAACTGGGAGCGGTCTTTGAAGCTGCTCCTCGGGGTTGGTGTCGATCTTGACGCTTCGCAATGGGAAGGGCGGACTCTGATACACCGCGCTATTTTGTATCAGAACAATGCTCTTTTGGAGCTTCTACTTCAGTATGGGGCCAGGACAGACGCTGTCGACAACGACGGGAATGGAATCTTGCATTTTGCAGCCCAAGCTGGGGACCTAAAGTTGATTGAGGTGCTACGCGATGCCAAGATCCAGGGTATTAAGTCAGATGCATTGAACGAGGCTGGCGAAACCCCATCGCGGATCATGGCGGCACGAATGACTGGGCAGCTCAAGGACGAATGGGGCCCCGGAGTGAATGTTGCGACTTATGAAGAGTTCCTGGTGTTCAGGTTGCTGCTAGGGGAGATTGACGAAAGAAACCGGAGTGGTCAGTATGCAGTCGATGGAGTTGATGTCTCCCGCGATGCCAGGATTGATGCTCTCGACATTGACGAAGAAACAGGACAAGATGGAGCGGCTTCCGAGGGCAGTTTTCGGAGCGATGTTGCTTTTGCAAATTCTGATGCGTCAAGAATGGAGCTGTTGTCGGAATCCGATGATGATGAATACAGGGACTCGAACTGGTCTGAGGGTGACGGGAGTGAGGATGAGTTTACGGATGCGAGAGATAGTTGGGGTTAATTTTGCTGGACTTCATAGCGACTTGGCAATCCTTGAGAAACATGTGGAGCACGGGAATATTGAGCTGCACAGGCAGCAGAGGCATGGGATTTTAAGTGGGATTGAACGCAAAGTTGAAATGAGTGAAGGTAGCAAAGGTTGAAGAGAGCTGGGGGCATTACGCATGCTTGCCTGTCACATTGAGTGAACATGATCAAGAATAATAATGTCAAAGTGGTACTTCAGGCTCCAACTGGAGGAACCCCTCCCAAACAAAATAAAGAGAAAAGAAAAGAAAAGAGTGTCGCCAAGTAAGTGCAGACTTTCAGTTGGCTGGAAAACCCCCATCCTCTCTAGCTGTTCATCACATTCCACTCTGCATCGGCGCGGGCAATGTACAGAGTGGTCGATTGCTAATTAAGGCGGGCTGCTGCGGGCTACGGTTGTGGGCTACGGTCACAGCTTGGGACGGGGGATTGACGCGCAAGCAGAAGAGATTTAATTGATCTATGTGACTGCTACGGCAGGTACGGATTTCTTAGGATTGCGGGCTATTTCCTTGATACAGGTGGGAAGGTATTCCAGTTGGCAGTTGCAGCTTGCAAGCTGCTGGGCGGGCTGCTGGGCAGGCTAGGCAGCTGGCAGCTGGCAGGCTGTTGGCGGCTGAACAGGCTGTTAGGTGGTGGTGACAGGCTGTGGGCAGCTAGACGGGCCATTGGGCGGGTACAGGCTGTTTGACAGCTGGTATGATATGTGGGTCCAGCAGTGGGCAGCTGGTGCAGCCGTCACAACGCCTGTGTACCTGAGGCTGCAAGCGTGAGACTTGGAAGTCCCAGGCGTCGAATGGCCCGTGCGCGTGACTGCCTTAGGCACCACCTCGCTCCTCCGCGGCGCTCAGGCACAGAGTACATTGCAGCAAGTACCGACCCACATACAAACATAGAGGGGGAGTGGCGCTGCAACAAGTATTCAGTGCCTGAGATCTGCGAAAGCGATCGGACTAGCAGGGTCCGTGCAGGGCCATGCCACTGCCTAAAACGTCGTTGACAGATCCCTTGAGTACCTTATAAGTAGTCCCCTCCTCTTCCCTCACCTCACATCACCTCGCATCACTTTGCATCTCACCATCTTCACCTTCACCTTGAGAATGCATTTGTCTCCTTCCTCCGCCACCAACCAGCGCCATGGAAGTTGCCAAAGGGTCAGTTCTTGGTCTTCGCTTCTAGCGGAGGACTGGATGCGGACGGCGCGTAATGATAAGGTCACTGTATTGCACATCGCAGGCGCTCGGTTCGATGCGGAAGTGTACCCGGGCCGTTCATCTCCAAGCTACGGGCTGCGGTCCGGGAGATGGAAAGGGACTTGCTCTTGAGCAAGTCGCCTGGTGAGCTTCGTGGAGTCGGCTTCATCGGTATCATTGCCGCTGGTCCGCGTCCAGTTCTCCGCTTGATGCCGAGTCAAGGAGTCGATGCCTTTCAGAACCATGCGCGCTCTTGGGGGAGCTGAAATGAACGAACCGATAAGTCTTCGTCTCCTGTTCACCATGCTTCACCTCTGCAGCAGGTGTTCTGTAGGTGCGTCTCCCACCACGTATGGGTTGGCTAATGTTTTGCTTCTTTTATAGGATCCCAACTCCCTCTCGCGAATCAACGGAAAGCTTTCTTGAGAACTTTTTTGAACCTGGCCGTCGTTTCTTGGCTCGATGCCTCTCATGAAACACAATACCTTTGCCCTGACCCCAATGCCCAATCACTCCATGTCTTCTTCTCTGTTGACTACAGCAGTGAAGCCGCGACTGTCTTGTTCAAGATTCGACTCCCGATTGAACAGAAGACTTCATCCCATACGAAGAGACACCTGTCTCTCTTCATCCACCCGGAGCAAGTTATATCCTTAACTCACCATGGTCTTGAGCCTGACGAGGCGCCTGAGCAAGTACGACAAAAGCTTGGGCATGGTGTAATCTGCCTCAAGTTCCAGCTGCGTACTCGTCCAGATATGATTGTACCCAAGAACTTTGCACCCAAGAAGCAGGAGGATTGCGAATCGCTAGATGCCATGAAGCAACTCGCTCGACAAACAGCTCTGAGTATCTACGTAGGACGCGACGTTCTACCAGATGCCCAAGCTCGCATCCTCTGCGACATAGCCCTTGATCCTGAAACCAGGACAAGTTGCTTGGAAACCCATCTCACGGCTGTCTACGGACACAGTCGTGCCAGGCGTTGGCTAGGCTCTGCAGATGCGCCAGCAGCATCGCCTCCATCATACAACCAAGCACAATGTGAATTGCCGCTCGTCGACGAAAAGGGTAAGACGTTATTACTCCCGAACCCCAAGCCACTTCTATCTACTAGTATCGATGCGCTGACACAGTCTAGAATCTACCACAGTAGATATTGAAGTTGCGACCAAGAAGCGGAAGTGGAATGGTGAAGGAGAAGAACATTCTCTCGACTCAGCCTCACTCAAGGCCGCCGAGAAGCCCGTCGAGACGGTTGCCGAGACACAACTCGCCGACATTTTCCGACATGAATTACAGCAGGTCAAGAGGGAAATCCTGGCGCACGTCGACAAGCGATTCGACAATCTCGACAAGCGATTCGACAATCTCGACAAGCGATTCGACAATCTCGACATGTACAACAAGGATGAGGTGGACGATAGATTCTACGTGACGGAGAAACAGGCCGAGGGCATAATGTCAACAAAGGTTGATGAGGATGACCTGGACGATATCAAGATGGAACTGAAGGTTTACGCGAAGGAAGAGGTTATGGAAATGGGGGTTAAGGTGGAGAAGCGTGTTGGGAAGCGCCTCATCAAGCGCCTTAAGGCGTCTTCGCGGAACCTTGAGATGGACAGCGACAGTAAGACTAATTTGCCTTCGTCTTGAGGTGGCAATAAACTGAAGCTACTGCACAAATTTCGACCGGAATACGTTCGTTTTTTTCTTCTCGTTTAAGTGCGCTGTCACGAATGATACCACCAGTTGGATGATGGTTCAGCCATTGTTCTCGTTGCTGCCGTCACGTACCCTTATCCCATCAAGATACTTCAACATCAACCGCAACCCCATGTCTCCCAATCAATGTAACTCAACTCTATCCCGAAAGCACATTATCCTCGTTCCAATGGCGTCAGGTCCTGTCAATGTCCAGCTCGTGTGCATCCAACCATCCCTGGCGATGCCGTAAGCTCACAGTAGATGTTCGTCGCAGAAACTCCTTCCGGGTCACGCCATTCTATTGCCACGCCCACTCCCTTCAATTCTTTATCAACACCCCCCACCGCCTCCGCCACCTCCGTCTCCTCCTCCACCGCCACCACCTCCATGGCCACCACCTCCACCTCCATCGCCAATGGAGCCAAGTGCATCAAACAGTCCAAAGAAATCGAAGTGATTATGATCATTGTCTCTAACACCAACTCTCCTACGTCGAGATACCCTTAGCTCATAGACGTCTTTTCCTTCGGTTTGTGCAACATTTAGCCTGTAGAGCCCACTCTCATCGGGTGTCGTATGGGGTAGGGTGGATGATGAAAATGGAGTCTCAACGGCGGCGACTGGCTTCGGAGACTCTTCAGAATGCCTCTTTGATGGGACAGTAGACGGGGGCGTTTGGGTCTGATATCCAGGTGTAGAGCTGAGGCTTGATTTCTTGGAGCTGTCCATGTATTGGATGCTAGGCGATAAAAGAGGAGACCCAGGTGAGGGGCGAGTATGTAAGGTTGAGTTCTTGGTGTCGTTCGGGCATCGCGCTGTGGATGGTAGACGAGGAATTTGAGCTACCGGTGTGGTTTTGGCCGTTTTGGCTGGAGCATAATGTTTCAGTCTGAATGGAAGACACATGGTTGTGGAGAGTGGATGGGAGATATTTGTGGAGTGTTATGGTCGCATAAGAATATTTAGTTCTTAGGTTGACATGCGGAAAAGGCGATGTACTGTGGATGATGGTTACAATAAATGAATGGTGCGTGGCCTCAATCGCAAGTCTGAATATTGATATGCGAATAATATACGAAGAGCATTGTCGGGAGCTCTGCCATTTATCTGCGTGGAGGTCCGAGGTCGTGACGCTGGGACAAGCTCCCCACTTGGTAGGCATCAGGCGCCCGGTTTGTGTGCTTCTGGAAGCACTCAGCTGGGCTGTGCAGCAGCCCTGCATATGACCAACCTCTATTTCATCGCTGCATGGCCAGAAAAGATGTTGCAACAAGGCGGGGTAGAGTATTTTATCCGCAAGTCATTTGCCAATTACTTCCGTCGTTATCATGCCACATTGGCCTTGTCTGCTGTGGCTGCATCAACTGAGGCGAAGCACCACAGTCACACGTCGGTAAGAGCTCCGCCACAACGTTGATTTTAACCGTATGCTGTCCTGCATGCCACCGCTTTCGCCCACCTGCCTAATTGGGCAACGACTTAGCAAAAAGTTAAGCTGAACAGAGAGATGGTGGGTTGATTGAGCGATAATTCCATTTAAGGGTTATACTGCGATAATTTATTGCAATCTGAAAACAAGGCCTCTAACTACTGTGCTCTACCGCCTCACTTTCGGTGTTGTTGCCCGTGTGATCCGAGCTATCCTTCCCCCGGTTGCTGGCAACCCAGGAACTGCTCTTGATTGGGTTGACATGCTCAACGTACATCGTGTCAATCTCCTCAAGGGTACGGTCCTTTGACTCGATAAGGAAGAAGAAGACGATGAGAACAAGAGCCGCGCAGCATCCTGCAAAAACAAGACCGTACAGATAGTCAATGGCGTCAGTGATGAATCGAGTGCTAGGTGTGGTGTTAGTCTATCAACGCTTCGGCATTATTTCAATTAGATACTCACAAGAAAGAAATCATACTAGTTCAAGTTAGTAAGAGGTCGTTAAGTGCAAGAGATAATTGGGGACTTACAAGTTCCAGAACCAGTTGGCAGCAGTGGCGAGGGCCATGCATCGACCGCGGTATTGGGCAGGGTACAGTTCAGCAACAACTGCCCAGACGAGAGGACCCCACGTGGTAGCGAACGCAGCGATAAACAGGCAGGAGAAGGCGATAAGAACAGTCCCGGCCTTGGGGGTGTTCATCGGGTTCTCATGGTCGAGCGAGAAGTGTCCAACGAAGGCGTAGACGCTGACGGATTATAATTAGAAAAGATTGCAAATGGATTCGCAGGAACTCACAAGAAGCACATCATCATCCAGAGTCCACCAATCATCAAAGCCTTGCGACGGCCGCATTTTGCCACGACCCACAGCCCACCAAAGGTACAGGCGACGTTGACGGATCCGAGAATGATCTGAGTGACATAGCTGTTGCTGATACCAGTGGAAGAGAAGGCCGTAGTTCCGAAATAGAAGAAAAAGTTCGCGCCTGTCAACTGTTGACCAGCCTGAAGGGTCATGCCGAGAAGCGTGCGGTAAAGCATTCGGGGTCCAGTGAAGATCTCATACCACTTCGTATCGGTGCTAGTCTTCTCCTCTTCCTGCTTGGCGCGGATCTCATCAATCTGCTTCGACACGCTGTAGTCGTCAGGCGCAACACCGGCGAGTCTGGCGATGGTGTTTCGAGCTTCCTCAACGCGGCCCTTTCGGTACGCATATCGAGGAGATTCGGGAAGCAGGAGGATACCTCCGCCAAGAATCAGGGCCCAGAGGAAGGAAAGGCCGTTGGGAACTCTCCAAGATGCGCTGCTCTGGTTCGTCTCCGTTCCCCAGTTCACCATCTCGGCGGTCCAGATTCCTAGAGTGATGAAGAGCTGGTATGTTGATACTAGGATACCGCGAATGATGGCGGGGCTGCTCTCGGACTGGTACATTGGGACGACGACTGACAAAGCTCCGATGCCAAGTCCTGTCACCAGACGGCCGACAGCGAACTGAGCCCATTGCTTCTCAGATGAAATCTCAATGATTGTGCCAATCATGGTGAAGAGAGCCGAGGAGGAGATAGTGAGACGGCGACCGATGATATCGGACATTGAGCCAGAGATGAGGGACCCGATCAGACAACCGACACAGAGAAGGCCAACAATGGTACCCTGTCGGGCGGCACTGAATGTGAAGGATCCATCAGACTGCTCCTCGCCAAAGCGTTCGGCATAGTTGTCCATGAGAAAGAAGCCGGATATTTGACCACTGTGGATTGCATTAGACACGCCTTGGGCACTACGGGCCTGACTTCACCTACCTGACATATCCAAACATGAATCCACCAATGCTTGCAACCAGACCCAGGAAGCAAGCAACGGCAGTGATTTTTTGATGGGCAACTCCATTGGAAGGGCCGTTGCTCGAGGGCTCCACACGCCCACGTCCTTTGAGATGGCTCATTATCGCCATGGTCAAGATAGTAAAGATAAGGTTGATGTTGTTTGTTAATCACAAGTGAGTAAAGTGAGTCATCGACTGTTGATATTTTCACATTGTAGCAAGAGAGGGCGAAAGAGATCCTTTTACGCTGCGGTTTAATGGGCCTCATGACCCCCACCGCGTGGACGCACCATCCGATGCTTAGTGAGTCCACGGCGATGTGTCGGAGGAGGCATATATGGGTCCGTCATGGGATTTCCAAATATTTCAGGGACGAGAGCAAATTGCCCGAGAGATTCGGGCTGCCGGGGAAGCCGAAGGCGGAGCTTTGACGTCAGTGAGGGCTCTCGGTCGGGCCTATTCGAGCTCGTCGCCTCATCCGCAAAACTACGTCATCGCGGCGCAAACGCGCGGATTCTGTTGTCTGCTCGATAATGGCAGAATCCTTTTTCGAATTTCTCAATTCTCCAGGACCCTTCGGTCGCGGCTCTAGTATTTATGGCCATCCAGCTATCGAGTCTTGATTCCATGAGATAAAAGAATGGATGCGAAATCTTTGTGTGGTCGCCACCCGGGACCCGGTTGTCTCAGGCGGGTACGTGATAAGCGGCACTTGAAGATAGGGTCCAGTGGATCTCAGGCGGGCCGATGGACCCAAATTTCTTGTTTTAGGCCTGGACTAGCGGTTGAGAGATTGAGGCTCAAGATGAGGCTCAATAGCGCATTACGTCGCACTGATTTGTTTTGCGCGCTTAAGCGCCATGGACGTCGAGAACCAGGTGAATCCAAACAGCCCGGACATGAGCCCATACTGGAAAGTCCATCTCTTGACATTTTTCTTGTCCCTCCCGCGACTTGCATCTCTCCTTTTTGCGTTATCTCTATCATCTCATGTTAAGCGAGAAGTGTCGTTGAACGACAATTCACCGAGATTCGGCCCGATCATCATCTTCCGTTAAGTCCGCTACACGTTCCACTCTTGGCACCGTAATCCAGATAATTGTGGATTCCCAAGTGTTGTCATCATGCAACTGCAGGAACATGCATGCAAGGATTGCTTCGTGCTTTTAGATTCCGGGTCGAACGATTTAAGATTCGCGGTAGCTGCCGCTCCCTGCGGCGCATTTATCACGCGCGATGCATTGGAATTGACTGCTCGAACATCGCACACGCGAACTGCTGTAGTAGATTTCCCTCTGCAATATGTTTTGCACTCTGGCATTTTCTTCATTCTTGCTGTACCCTGAGATCACACCACGGTCTGCTCCTGGCGCCGATGGGAGCAACATCCAAACAAGCTTTGATCAAGGATGTCGCTCTAGACCCCTGCAGATACGCCGAGTGATGAACTCCATATTTACACCGGAGATGCCACCGGTGAGAGTGATTTGAGGCGGCCATGTGGAGAGGACATACGTAAAGAAAGTGTCACTGGCATTAATAAAAAGCACTGTGTAATGGGTACCACTTCATACGACATTTTCTGGAAGCGTACGGCTGAATAAATCGTAAGAGTTCCCCATTATTGCGGTTGAGCTTCACGTTCCGATGCAACAGTCTTATCAGTCGGCGGATATCCATACGATGCATGGGACGGTGGCAGGTATTGAAGCACATAAAAGATCATCCCACATATTGATATTAGGCTTGCAGCTGCGGAACTGTTTCCGAGTTCAACAGATGTGGCCTGGATGCCGCGGAAGACTGCAGGCTGTCTAGTGCAGTACCATTTTGGTCGAGTATAAGCATATCTCCGCATGTGCTTCCTACAGAGGGAAACTAGACCAAGTTAGTTACTGGCGCCATATTTCAGAGTCATAAAATTTATATCTGGACCCAAGTCGGCTCCCAGCAGAAGATGCATCCCAAGGACCGAGTCCAGTGACGACTTCCGTGACGCGCTTCACAAAACTCATCTGTCCCCTGACCATGCGCGGAATCTCATCGAATTAAGACGGAAATGGCTCAAAGGGGTCTGAACATGGTGACGGCATAATTTGTTTTATTTGCAAATGTGGAATACCCCTGCATGCGTACTGACCAATATTTTTCAGCAATTAAAACCTCTTTGGTCAAGGCCTGCGACAATGCTTTTACTGTTGCATTCAGGCCATCAAGACTAGCCAACAGGCTTAGCGATGAGTAATATGAGAAGCCATCCTATCTAGCATTGGCCTATAATGAGTGAGTGATGACTGCACCATATCTATTATGTCGAAGTCCATGATAGTGAGTGGGCCCTGCCTGTCACAACCTACGACGAGACACAGGCAGTCGCGTGGGAGCCCTGACCCAGTTATTGAAACAGTATTCCTACTTCTTTAAAAGATATTACTATTCTTTATGAATTTCTTTCATATTGTATAGTTGCTGATACACGTTTCAACAGTTGCTTCAGAGATTTGACATAGCTACGATCTTTCAATACTAACATACTCTTATACACATCCTATACAGCAGCCCATATAACGCCATGGGGGTTTCCGGCTATTCTCAACAGCATGGTGTAATTCTTTTTGCATCATTTGTTGCAGTGCACGAGAAAACGGAGTTGGAATACTAAGAGGTGGTGGTATGGAGGGTGGAAAATGGGTGACCCGTTCTAGGGTGGTTGACTATATCAGTCGCCCAGGCCATGCTAAGGCTAACAAAAATCTCTAGAATAAAGCATTTATGTCGTCTCATAGGAAGTCCCCCAACGCGGCATTCAGCGTGCTAGCCTCCTTCATGGGAACCGCTTCGCCCTTCTTAGGCAAGCCGACCTTATTGTGCCAGACAACCTTCATACCGACATCCGTCGCCCCCTGCACATCTCCCGAACTGCCTGCAACGAACAATACATCACTCGCGTCGAGCCCCATTTTCGTCAAGAGAGCCTCATACGCCTGCCTGGTCGGCTTGTAAAACCCGCTCTCCTCAGCCGTGATAACGGCATCGAAGGTAAAGTCGTGCCCGCTCCCTGCACTCGTGCACTCCTCCGCTCTGCGAACCGCAATGTGTCCGTGGTGTTTTGAGCAATTCGTCACGACGCCGAGCTTATAGCCTCGCTCCCTCAACGCCGGCAATACCGTTGCGACCTCGGGCCACGCCTGCAAGTTTCCCCAGTTGCGAAGCAGAGCTTCTGGGGCGGATTCCGGCAAGCCTACGTCGCGTGCAGCTTGTCTGACGCAATCCTCATATGGCGTGTATGCCCCGCCTGGTAAGCTGAAGGTGAGTTCAAGGTAGCGATGTCGCCAGGGCCGCCCTTCGGATGAGGTGCCCGATGGCGTTGACGCATCCCAGACGGTCCATGAGTCAAGAAGTCCCGTGAGAAGGTCGAATACGATGGCTTTAGGTCGCCAATTGGGGCCGGCGTTGGCTGTGGAGACAGACATTGAAAATAATTAGATAGTGAGGAACGGCCTGAGCGGGGTCGAAAGCGGCGGCAAGGTCGGATGCAGGTAACCTAAGTCGAGACGCCCTTCAATCTGAGCATCAAGTTCTGCGTCAACGGCGACATCATTTGGACATTCACGAAAGAAGTACTTCGCACGCGCCCTCCGGGTGACATCTATGTGCGGGGTCTCATGACTCAACTGAAGATCAAAAGCCGGGCCGGGGGAGGCCGATGATGGATCTTTTCGGCAACCTCTGGTGAATCGCCGAGCGTGAGCCCCATGGTGGACGGCAACATGGCCTACTTAGGCCGCACTACTAGTAACAAAAGCGCAGGTGAGAAAACTGAGCGAATGTTGGAACGGCACCACCATCCGATACACAAGAGATATTGTGCTGATATTTGTGAGATACGATAAAAGTTCGGTCGAACAGAAACGACATTCTAAAATACTAATCATAATTCTACGTGTCATATATTCCTTCCGAAACTCCCGTCCCATTAGCTCCGTCAGTCAGGCTGTTGCTGGTTGTGTCTGTTGTGGATTTATTTGCCATGTTAAGAACGCCTAAAACCTAACAGTATTGCTATTCGCATATAAATACAATCTTTTATACCTAAACATCAATAGTATAAGATGTATCTAGACTGTATACCCGCCTTAACGTATCTTATTCTAATAAATTATTAGTTTTTACACTAAAATAAATAATAAAAATAAAATAAAATAAAATAAATCTTTTAGATTTAATAAACTAATAGATATACTGTTAAGACTTCTTGATAAAATTAATCTATATAATTAAGTGTGCGAGTAGTATTTTAAGTGTGTGCGAAGAGCAATACTCAAACCCAATCAGCTGTTGTCAAGTCCTCGCTGGGTGGTTCGCCCCAAGTGAATCCCGTTTCTCATTGTCCAGGAGATAATTGACCAGCAGCCCCAGCAGGTCACATGCAGGCGATTATCAACAAGCCCTCGCGCATGCGTTTCTCAATTTCTTTCTTCCTTCATACAACGTCGCTGCCTGGTGATCGACCGATTCTCGTCTTTCACGACGATACTCGATTCGATATGTCTCAACCAACCCAGCCAAAGCCCGACCACCCCGAGACCCCAGCTGTCGACACCCCAGCTGCCGAAACCAAGGCTCCAGTCGTGCCCGCGTACAAGACGTACGCCAAAGATTGCGCGCTGCTGTTTCCAGATGCCCTTGGCGCCATAGTTACCAGTGGAGGGGCACTTGGAGTCCCTTCAAAGATCACCTCGCGCTTTGTGTCCTTCACGTCTGCAGACACCATGCCATGGATTGGCTTACAGCTCAACTTTCCTCTGGGCGATGAGCAAAGAGAGAATGAGGACTTTGGCTTCGGTGTCCGCCACAGTTGTGAGTTATCCTGCTATATGTTGCCTGCTAATGGGCGTGTGGCTAATGCACATTTCTTCTTGTAACAGACAACCGACCTCTCAGTCGGGTTCTGCCAAACGACCAGCACACGATCAACGTCAGGTTTCCTCGCGGGGAGAGCTTTTACGACGTGAACGAGGCGACTCCCGAGATGCTAGAGAGGTTCCCCAACGCCAAACGCCTCGACAAAGGTCTTGCCATCGTCTCCGTCCGCCTCGGGGAGAATTCTCGCGTCACTATCGACGGATTTGGCGTTGAATTCAACAACATCGCAGACACAGAGGTCGCATCATGGGTCAACGACAATGCCCCCATTCTGGACAAGGTCACACTCCTGGAAGTACTGCTCCAACGTGAATTCCACTTCATCGTGGCCAACACCAAGGCAGACGCCGCGAAGAACTTCGCCGAAGGACGCCTTCCTCCATTGTTTAGCTACCCATTTGGGACCAAGCATGACTGGAACGAGTCAAGGTACAAGGAGATCCTGGTCGCCACAAAGTCCGAAAGGCAATTCCAGGCCGCCTGGTAGTAAGTTTTTTCTGTTCTTGAATTTCCATCGATAGAGCTAATCGACCATAACAGCTACGAGGATGATAACGCGCATGTCGCCGTGGTAACTCAGGCCATCGTCCAGGACATGATGTGGATACACGAGGCAGCCCAGGAGATTAGCAGAGTTCCCTTTTCTGCTTACTTCATCCCTGTTGACCCTGTGGCCGCCGCTGATGCCAAGGAGTTCTACGTCGTGATGCCTCTCACCCAGGAGTTCATGGATCGGTACCAGAGTGCCTGGCGGCGCCTTACCAAGAGCGGCGACTTCGAGCTTATTCTCCATGACCACGATGATGAGGAAGAAGGGCCTGGAACCGAGAAGGATGAGGAGATCAAGTGGTTCGATATACCCTTCACGCCATTTCTTGAATTTGCCTATGCTAACTCACCCATTTGTAGGGAATGCTCCATCGTGGCCCACCCCAAAGGCATCGACGTCCTCAACAAGGACCATCCCACCGACAAGAGCGAGCTAGTTCTTTTCGCCCGTCGCCCGTCCAAGGCCAAGCAAAGCGCTCACAAGTTCAAGGTCAAGACCTTCCAGAACAGAGACGAAGCCAACCGTGCGTTCGAGGAAGGGAGTCACAAGTAGAACTGTGCTTCAATCAAGTTTGACGCCGGGCTGGACGACTGCAAGCGCAAGGTCAAAGCAATGGAAATGGCCCTCCCTGGCGCTGTGCCTTCCCACCCGATCGATGACCCTCTGGACATGATGGACCTCCAGCGCGCCCTGATGCGAGGCACAGGTTACTTCGATTGGATGATGCGCCCAAGTGCCGACCTTGCCTCCTTGGAGCCTAACTCGCTGCCCAAACCGCGCCCTCTCCCAGTCGTCAACTTCCTGGAGATTGCCGATGCCAAGTACGTCGACGCATTGGTTGAGGAGGCTTTGCCCCAAGACCGTACTAGGTTCCGCCAATACCTCAGCAAACGGCTTCTAGGTCTTGGCATCATTACAGCAGTAAGTCTAATATCCTCTGCCTTGAGTCCTATTATTCTAGGTATCATGGCTAATTTATGTTTCAGGGCCCAGGTTTTGGCAAGACGACTGCGCTCGCTGTGGCAACTCTGGCTATGCAAGGCTCACTTGGTCGAATCCTCTGCTCTGCCCCGTCCAATGTTGCTGTCGACAACTTCGCCGCGCGTATCGACAGCATCACCTCTACCGTGACCGCTCGGTACAACAAGGATATGCAAGAAGACGCCCCCGACCGCATGCGCCATAAACTTGTTGTACGCGCTTACAAGACCTTTGAAGAGATGGACGCCTTCCTGATCTTGCTCGAGAACCCATCGGCTGGCAATACAGCCCTCTTCAAACGGGGCTCTGCAGGGACAACAACGTGGCAGTTGAACCTGTCCATTGCGTTCTGGCTCTTGGTTGTGTTGCGGTCCTCAACTGTCAGGCCCCTTCACCTTGACGACCACAAGGTGCTTCACGAGATGCGCGAGAGGATCGATGAGCGCAATGACCTCGACAGGCTGCGCGCTGTTGCATCGGGAGAGATGGCCTGGGATGATTACAAGGGAGGCAGCCAGGTTCAACGCGACAAGCTCACGACCCTCATGAAGGAGATCCTTGCCGCCGCCGACATGCTCTGCACGACCCCTGAAATGACCGAGAATTGCCCTCCATACCACGCATGGAAGAAGACTGCCAAGGGTGTCGCTGTGGATGAGGCGGCTAACATGAATCGCGCCGACCTAGTCTGTGTCTGGGGCAACGTTTTGCTGCCGTGTTTCCTAGGTGGCGATCCCAAACAACTCCCGCCCACCGTGATGACCAGCGAAGAGAAGGACATGCTTGGCAATTTCCTTCACCAGCTCCCCAGAGATGGCAAGATCTCCGCTCTGGGATTCTTCCAGGCTTCTGGCGTGTCGGTGTATCGCTTGCGCACCCAGCTGCGAATGGCTAAGGGCTTGTTCGACGCGGTCGCTTCCCAAGTCTACCCCGACGTCCCATTCAAGTATGCGGAAAGTTGTGCGGTCCAACTCCCGCAATTCGAGACTGGTCGGGTTCTGGAGGCCTACATCCTGAAGAAGTACCCAGATGTCAAGCCAGCCCCAGCCAGCAAGCTCAGCCCTGTCTTTATCCACTGCGAAGGCTCTAAAGTCTTTGTGAACGAGGTTACTGGCTCCAAGAGCAGCCCCGACCAAGTTAAGATTGCGCTTCAACTGGCCCTGGATTTAGTGAATACCACCCAAATCAACTCCTCTAGCCTCGTCATGCTCTCTCCATACTCGGCCAACGTCCACACCATCAATAATATGTTGAAGGGTCCGGGGTATGCGGCGCTCAATGACATGCCGCCAGCCTCGACCGTTGATGGGTTCCAGGGCAAGGAGGCTGACATCGTCATTGTGGTCATGGGAACCGCTTCTCTGAAGCCTGGACCTGGTATCACCTCAGACGAGCAACGCCTCAATGTTATGCTCACCCGTCAGAGGTGCGGTCTAGTGATTGTCGGCGATCTCAACGTCACTGGGACGCTTGTCGAGGACAGCAACGGCGAGATCAAGGACAAAGGCAAGGGCAAGGGCAAGGGAAAAGCGAAGGGCAAAGGAAAGGTCAAGCCGTTTGACAGGTTCCTGACATTTGGGCCCAATGGGCAGATAAGCTGGACAAAGGCCACAATCTTGCAGAACTTGCACATTATTCTTTGGAAGGCTGGCCGGTTCGCGCATCTTTACAAGGGGAAGTCCGTCACTAGCGAGGTTGGTCCTTCAGGCTCATCTTAGTATAAGATAATTATTATATCTTTAGTCTAAAGTAACCCTTAGAGTAATAAGAGGACTTATATAAGGCTGTAGGCTTTCTTTATAACTCTATTAAAACTGCTAATACTGATTGGTTTTTATTGATAACAGCAAAAGGGGAACGAGCTGCTCATTGTCTTCGTACTCACCCTCGGCGGCGGCAATGCTCGAGGGAGTGAATGAGGTTCGGCGTTGACGCTTATGATACTATCGATCAGTGCCGGCAGAACTCTCGCTATTTTCACCACAGGCAATGGCATGCGAGGAAGGGTCCTCGTCCCCACAGCCGCTGTTACTCGGACCATATCTGGGAAATTGCCGTCGATGGTCGTGTATTCTTGGGACGTGACATGGACAACACCTGTTATTAACGCCGCCAAATCGACTTGGTTGAAAACAGCAGATTTGATCAGCACCTGGAAGGCAACAGCTTTTGCTGTTGAAGATTTCAACGAGAGAATCCGAGCAGGCGAAGAGTCCAACAGTTCCTGCCACTGCTCTCCGGAAACACCGGCAGACACAACACACACTTGTGCAAACTGTAGCGCTATAACACTTTGCCCCGCTCTTGTCCTGGGACTCTATAGACTATGAGAGTGTAACATATTATATGTTCCTTCTGAAACTTCAGCCCCATTACCTCCATCAGTCAGACCGTTGCTTGTATCTATTGCAGATTCATTTGCCATATTGAGAACGTCCAAAACCCAGTCCGCTGTTGTCAAGTCCTCGCTGGGTGGTACGCCCCAAGTGAATTCTGGGCCAGACTCGTCTGGTAAAGCAACCTCATCGGCGTGTGGATCTTTTTGCAGCAGGCCAGTGTTCGGTACTGGGAATTCGAGACCATGATATTGCGTCAGCCCCTGCGGAGTCTGTTCGAGACCTCGCTCGCAGCTATTTGACTCTGCTGGGTGGGTGGGAACGTCGTCTGTGATCAGCGATGGCGGAGTCTCGTCCAGTTGGCTTGCGTCGCTGGGGCTTCCCTGTAGCTTGTTGACGAGCATAGCCGTTGCATCCCTCACAACTGTTGTAAAGAGCGCCGCGAGGTCCCTTTCCTCATTGTGCCTGTCATAGGGTATTTCCCGGGACCGCACATGGTTGGCGACCATTTCTCGTCCATGCTCCTCAATGAAGTCGCTGAAACCCAATAGGGTCTCGATTTCTGGGTCTTGTACGTATGCTGATGAAGGGCGAGGAGTGTCGGGGAACACAATGTCCCACACAGTAAACCACTGGTGTTCCAAGGTCATCATCCTGTCCACACGCGAAGAAAACTTGTCTTTGTGGTCGTCAGTGATACCCTCTGGCTCTTGATATTCTTGTCTGGAGCACGACTGCGTCCTGATGTGATTCCGCTCATCTCCCTTTGTTTCGAACTCCTGACCACACAAGGGACAGAAATGTGGCTGAATATGTTTACGACACAAATGTTGCTTGACATCCTTGATCCTTTTCAACTTGAAGTCTCGAAGACAGAGCTTGTGTTTGAACTTGTCCTTCTTGTAGTAAGGGCAGGCGAGTAGCAGCGATTTGTCGTCCACGTCGCTCAATCTGGATTTCTTTCCGTACTTGGTGTTCCTGCTATCTTCTTCTCCTGAGCTCATCCCTGCACCTTGTTGTCTTGTCCTGTTCCTCTTCTGCGATTTAGAAAAAGACTTGCTCGAGCCGCTCAATTGTTTTGAGCCGTTGGAACCGGTTGAGCTTTGTTGTTCTGAGCTGCCTCGCTGCTTTCCATATTCTTCGAGTGCAATCTGGACGAGGCTTGGAACTTCTTGACGAAGGGGATGCTCATTGTCCAAAGTTTCGTCATCCGAAGAACAAGAACTGTACATGAAATCTGACGAACTGTCATCAGTGTACTCGTTCTCGGTGGCCTCTGTCCAACAAGCCTGGGTAAGGTGCGATTCTAGAGACGAGACAAGAGAGTCGTTGTCTTTGGATTCCACATGAGTTTGTGATTCTCGACTGCGGTGCTGTGTAGTTCCGAGACCGTCAACTTTCGTAATTGTGGACCCTGTGAGAATCTCGTGGCAGTTTGCGTCGAACCGTAGATTCCACAATCGCATAGAGCGCACGAAGCGCTTCGTGCTACGAAGCTGGTGTTTGCGGCCGAATAGAATCTCAACAAATTCCACACCCTCTTTCTTGCCTAGTTGCGTTGTACCTTTCCTCTTACTGCGCTTCGGCATGAGTCCTTCGCACCGCTTTAGCAGGGAGTTGAGTTTATCCAGCAATCGTTCCCCTCCCTCAATGAACTCATGGATGAGTTTTCTCTCGTCTCCTGAGATGCTTGATACGCAGGATTCCGAGAAATCCTTCTTGCTGATGAGTTGGATCAAAAGTTGCCAGAGATCGTGCGCCATTTCCGAAATGGGGTTTCCTAACCCGTGGCGGGAAACAGCCCAGTCGTAGATCCATTTGCCTAGAGAGTTGCCGCCAAACACGCCGCCGAGTAGTAAAATAGGTTCCTCATTAGGATCCCAGTGCTCGAGCGAGTATCCACTGGGGATTTGGTGTTTCTCCACGTCTTCTTTCGTAGCCTTTCTAGATGATGCTGACGTTGGTGGGGTCTGTATCGGCCGGGAGCGAGAGACGATCGGTTTACTCGCCTGATAATACACCTTTCTGTTACCCGATAAGGAGGAAGAGGAATCGGCAATAAATCTTGTCCGACTTTCCAGATTCTCCGTCTTCAGATTGACTTTTTTAACATGCGAAGCAGGGCGAGACTCTGGTTCTTCATTGATGGACTCCCATGCAGGCTGCCTGTGTGATGATTGTCTGGATAGAAAATTACCCGGGAGATTGCCCCGACTCGCTGAGATTGCTCCGCCTCGGGTGGAATGTAGTTCCGCTGATGGTTCCTGTGGAGCGTCCTCTGAGTGCTTTTTTCTCCGTCTCGATGCGATTCTCTGGCCTCGCGACTCCAAGTTCGGCCTTAGATTTGCGGTTGGACCTTTCGTCGCAATTTTGTTCACGGATATTGTTGTTTGGTCGGTGGTATTGACTTCTCGACTAGGACCGCATTGTGGGAGAGAATCACTAAGGGGCGGGGAAGCAGTCGACGGATTGGATCGCGACGGGAGGGAAGACGCAGATGACCGAATTTGTTGATGCCTTTCCCCATCAATGCCATTCTTTGCATCGGCATGTTGGAGTGATCTTTGGAAAGTTGCGAGGCATGGAGATTCCCTTGGGAACTCGACGTGATCTGATTGAGAAGTGTTACGCTCAGAGTTGTGCGACTTGATACAGAGTTTCCCCGCGGTATGGCTCTTGCTGGAAGACTCACGACTAGCGCCAACCGGGAGGCGACGGCCGTATCTTAGTCTGCTCTTGTCGTAGAGAACCGACTTCTTTTGAAGACCTTGCTTAATGTTAATGTGAGGATGCAAAATAGGGGACAGTGGGTTAGCCACTTACCCAGCCGAGAATCCGATAGTGAAGAGTCCCCTTGACTATCAAACCCTCCCCGCATCCCCTCCGTTGAACACCTGACCGAGAAGGCCGGGCCAGGCGAGCGGAGGCTCACGGGAGACGGAGACCTGCCAAAAGTGACCATGGCGGATGATAACACGTGGAAGTCTAGCTCAATTGAATCACGAAAAGAGACATTGGCGCCAACAGAACTCAAGGTAGTGCGATTGAGGGGAAAGCGAAAGAATGAGGTGAGGGATATGTTGGTGCATTGAGACTGATGTAAGGCGCCGCTGTGCCCTTCTTCCAGCGCATAGTGGCGCAGCTGAGTAGGCTCATGTATTGGACATTCGGCTGCATGCTGCATGGGTAAGCCCTTAGCTGCAACTCCATCATCTCTTCTGGTTGGTGATATGCGGAGAATGGGTCTCGCTCATCCGGTAAGCCGCTTTCATTGGCCCCAATCTTTCAAGCATGCCTATCTGTATGTGCAATGACACTTAGGGCGCTGGTGTGCTCTATGATATTTTTACACGAAGATTGAACATGCCATTCAGATTTGGCTATATGTTATATGATAAAGGTTCGTAGTCGGACACATGATACTTGAAAAGACACGCCTGAAAAATTAAGATAGACATTTGATTACCATAATTAATCAACTCATATTCTTCCTCCTTATCAATTCCAAATTTCAGTCTGCAGCAATGACTAACGAAGCGGCAAATTCATCCATCAGTCAAACCAATTGTTCTCAAGGGTAAGTCCCAGACTCCCCCTCCCATGCAAATCCGTTCGTGTCTGATATTCTACCAAAGAAAACACCCATCAAGCCATCCAAAAACTAGACAGGAATGCCATGGAATTAAATCACGTCAGGTTTCGGAATATGAGAACGACAACGTGCTGGCGAAGTGCATGTTTGGTAATACTAGTGAAGCCGAGAGTGTGAGGAGTCATGAGGTCTGTGCTCAGGATGCTATTGCCGCCTTCTCAAGAGCATTCACGTCTGCACCCAGAAACAGATAAGGTGAGGGGTGCAATTGGGCAGATGTTCTTATTTCTCAGCTTTAAGCTGAAGATGTATTAGTCTGGAAAGTCCGGTGTGTCTAACACATCTTCAATAGGACACCTTGGCAGTGTAGGTTTCAATCTGACCTTTGTCTTAGACATTGACTAGGATAGGTGGGGATAAGCCTCCAATGGGGGAAAATGTACCCAAGACATGTGCTTCTAACTGAAATCTCAGTGGTGAATCGAGGCCAGGTATGGATGAAGAGATTCACCTCACCATGCTATCATGCGTACATCACTCAATGAATGCGAAGACAGGATTACGTACTCTATTCAGTCTCCAGATGACTCTTAAGCGAATGTTATTACTTCCTTACTGTATGGTGGTTGGAATATTATAGGGGGTCGTTTGAAAACAGCAACCTCCTTATGCTGGCCGAAATCGAGGTTTTTCTACACCAACATTAGCCAGGATGTCGGAGACGAAGTCAATGGATGCAAATATTTTCTTGCCATGGATCGCATCATGAAGATCAACAGCACTCTTATCAACTTATGAGCAGATTTGAAGCCTGGGGAAATGCATGCATACCGTATCAACTCGATAAATTGGCCCTGTTTTATGGACTAAAGCTAAGCTTTATAAGGCTTAGATTTTCTAAATCATTTATTATCATTAGGTATAAAGAATCTTGAAGGCAATAAGTGGGGGAAGGATTCAGGGCCAATTTACTGAGTCGATACGGTACTCCGCATATTGGTCCAGCCGGGCCGAGGTGAAGGCATTTATTCCCATCTGCCAATAACAATACTTTACGCCATTGTGCTTGACACAAGAGGGTGACCCATATGAAAACCACCCCATTCCCTTAATTTTCACTGAATAAATGCGCTCGTGCGTCTCTGAATCGTTCCTGCACCCAAGCTGGGAGACCACGAAATACAGACCCAAGGCTGTAATACCCTGGTAAGAAGACCTGGCCGCTTTTACCTCTAAGCACCTGTAGTGTAATTGCATCGGCAACATCATTTGGTTGCAGGAGTGTGTCTGCGAATGCCTTTTTCTTCAATGCTGAGTCGAACATGGCGGTGCGAATCCACATCGGGTGAACAACACTATGAAGAATGATTAGCATGTACGATACAAGAGATACTAGATTGTTACCTGGTTTTGATGTTGCTAGCATGATAATTATGCTTCAGCTCCTGCGCGAGCCCTTCATGAAACGCCAAGGCAGCAGCCTTTGAACAACAATAGTCGACGTTGTATGCGACAGTCACAAAACTGGCCATGCTCGCAATGGTGATGATGTGTCCATGATTCTGGCTGATCATCCATGGCAAGAACTCCCTAACAAGGAAAAAATGGGCAACAATATTGACATCAAAAGTGCGGCGGATTTCTAGGTCCGTCTCTTCCAGGATCGGTTTCATTGATGCGACGCCAGCATTGTTGATCAATACCGTGGGCTCCCCAACATCACGGCGTATGGATTCGGCGACTCGACGAATTTCGTCGGGAGATGTGACATCAAGCTGATAGAAGGAAACATTGTCTGGAACGGGAATTTTCGGGGGATAGAGGTCGACAGATACAACCTTGATGCCCTTTCCAGCAAGCTTCCCAACAACAAGCTCACCGATACCATTGCTTCCTCCCGTGACGAGGACAATCTCCTTTGACCAGTCCCATTGAGAAGAGTCTGAGGAACCTCTTTGCTTCCGCCGAACGATTGCGTAGATTAGGCTGAGAGCGGCAACAGTGCCAACAGTATTCCCGAGATTGATTGATACCGGTAGTTGCCTCAGAGCATCCATGTTAGCGATTCACCTGAATGTCGGAAAAGGTAGACTATGAGGTCTGTATCCGCGGCGGCAGGTAATCAAAAGGACTCGTAGAACAGGGACTTGAACTCGGCCTCAGAGAAAGAATGTCATATTTCTATGGAAAAGGGCGAAAGCACATGCCTCAATCGTACCATTATGCCTCGGCCCATAGTGCATCCGCGTCCACGAGACCATCCTCTGTGCTTGGCGTATCGCTTGTGGGCTCATAATCTTCCGATTAAACCTGAAAAATGTCACCATCTACTGTAGAAGCGATCTAGCTCTTGTATTATTGGGAGAGAGAGTATGATCGGGAGATTTGCCTTGCGTGGATATCGCTAACTGTCCCCGGGGCTGGTTTGCGAAGCAGATGCGGGGTGTTTCACCGGTGATTCGTAAAGGGCGGCCGTGCCAACCCAGGTGTCTAGTTTGGGACCTTGTTTGCAAGCTGCGTTGGCATATAGAATGACCTGCCTTTAAAAATTGGATTAGTATCGAAAGGTTGCCTTTTGAGCTTCCGGTGCCTGGTGTTGAAGCTCGATGGTGGGCTGATGTTTTTATCAGAAACAGCTGCGCAGTGGCAGCCCGGTTCGAGGTATCCACTGGGAATGGGTTTGGGCACACTAATACTTAAAGGCCCTGTAACCCCATCTAAGGCTCTGGAAGCACTGTCCGAGTCCCATAAGTCGATATATGATTCGGTTACACGTCAGGTGCTGATGAGTAATGCTTCTTCAATTATCGTTACGTCACCTCTTTTCACTGCTGATGTTGTTATCCATGACTATCCTCCCTGCCGTCGCTGATCACGAGACGCCATCTCTCCATCATGGGCATATTCACTTGAAGAAAGAAGTCAGCCCATAAAAATTGCTCAACAAGTTGCAATCAACTATATCTTTAATTTTACGACTCATAAAAGACCGACCAGCGATCTCGAGATGGACCACAGGGCCATGAAGACTTGTTATTATCTCCCATCGGCCCAATTGCAAGACCAGCCGAAGCAGAGTGGCGTCTTGAGGAGGGGACTTTAAGGTGGTCCATCGTGGAACAAAATTCTAATTGATGTCTAAAGAAACCGAAGCAGGGAGACAGGCGAGATGGCTCGGGACTCCAACGGCTATACGATTGCACAGACGCCATGAATGGCCGAGGCAGCACGGATCGCAGAGGATGAAGCGTGGCTGTGTCGCATGAAAAGCCAGATTGATAGCATTCGCAATCGCATTTAGGGAATGTCGCATGAACTTCCCCTGTGCGTGCAGCCAATCTTGACGATTCTCGGCATGGCCGGGAGTTCTGATGGTAAAAATACGGCGTGTCTTGGCAGGGATCCTCAACGCTTGGATGATAGCCTCACAAGGAGCGAATTAGCTCGAGCGAAAATCCCCGCGGGCCAATCGGGAGTTCGGGCTCTTATGCTCCCCGTCAAACGGGCAGAAAAGATCCAGGGAGCCGCACTTCCCCCAATATCCTCCCCTCTACATCTCCTACCGGATCTGTCCTTTCCCACCGCTACTACGCATTAACATCGCAGTCGAAACGCAGTAAAGACGTTCCATTCCTCGTCGGCCCCTTGTCCTACTACTTGAAAGCCCTGATTCACACTCCTTGGTGCGAGGAGGGGTGCCGCCAAGATGCAGAGCCTCCCTTCCGCCACGGCGTCTCCACTCAATGGCGACGGCCGTGTGAACTCCAGATCTCCAAGGATCCTGTCGTGTGTTCTCTGTCAGCAGCGGAAGATCAAATGCGATAAAGGCGCGCCCTGCTCGAACTGTGACAAGGTTAGCACCAGCTAAAGGATATGAGAATACTTCAGGTCTAAGATATGCAGGTCGGCGCCATATGTACTCCCTCCACTCCAGCCCCTACACGTAAAAGCAGGCGGACGAATCGAGATTTACGGGAGAGGCTAGCCAGGTGTGAGGCCTTACTGAAGCAACATGAGCTATCAGCCAGTACAATTGAGCCGGCTGCTGCTTCCACCTCTCGTTCTACCGACTACGCCGCCTCCATGTCGGATGCATCTCAGAGCCCATCACAACAATTAACCCCATTTGCGGATGATGAAAGAGAAAGAGAACTTAACCCCATCTGGATGCCCCAGGGTAAGGTCATCGTTGAGAATGGGAGCGTCAAGTATGTCGACAACTTCCCTTGGGCAACAATCCAGAACCAGGTAAGTGTCTCGTCATGCACAAGATGCCGTATCCCATAGAGTGGCATTGCCTCCAACCTTGACATCATTCCATCTCCCACCCGGTTCGCTAATCTCATCTATAGCTTCAAACTATTCATCAGCTTCTAGATGACGAAGAACGAAGCGCGACAGATTCTGACATGACTCCTCCTCGAGAAGAGATCCAGGTCTCATTCGGCGATGCCACTACCAACACCACTGAGGATGTCACTCCAACACCTGTGCAGATCTTCAAGCTCTGGCAAATCTTTCTCGAGAGAGTCAATCCGCTCACCAAACTCATACATGCTCCAAGTCTACAGCCTCTCGTGGTGGAAGCCTCGACTGACCACACCAGCATCCCCCAGAACGCCCAGGCATTACTATTCTCCATATATTCCGTGGCCACCATCTCCTTGACGGAAACAGAATCTGCTCAAGTGTTGAAAATGCCCAAAGAAAAAGCCCTTCTGAGGTTTGCTTCGGGGGCAAAGGCTGCCTTTATGCGAGCGAAATTCATGGAAAAATATGACTTGATGACCTTGCAAGCAGTGGTCCTATATCTGGTAGAGCTTATCCGATGTCCCTTGTTTCAGATCAGAACCGAGTGAGCTAATGCACGAAATAGTTGTCCCTTCACGGTTATACCAGCCGTCATGAAACGTGGATTCTGAGCGGTATCTTAATAAGAATGGCCCAGAAATTAGGACTACACAAGGACGGCGAAGCCTTGAACCTCCCGCCGTTTGAAGCAGAGATGCGTAGGCGGGTTTGGTGGCAAATACTCATGTCTGACACGAAATACGCCATAGCATCGGGCTTCCATGAACCCTTGCTGACCTGGAATTGGGACACAAAGTTTCCACACAATGTCAACGACGCCGATCTCTTCCCAAATTTCATGGAGCCGATCCGCCCCCGCGACGGTCCGACCGAAATGGGATTTTATCTGATGTTCTGCGAACTGTGTCAGTTCATGATCGAGAATCGCATCACCGACTTCCAGACACTGACCCTCGGCCATGCCAATGGGACAAAACAAACACCAATGGCGTCAATCACGTACCAGACTCTGGTTCAAATCCTCGACGCAAAACTTACGGCTCTTGAACAAAAGTACATCGACACGTCAGTTGGCCCTTTACATCTGCTAGCGAGCAGGGTTCGAATCTTCATCACAGCCGAGCTACTATCCATCCTAACACCAGTACACGAAATACCCGAATGGGGGACCGAGATCTTCAACGCTGAGGACAACGTGTTTAGAATATGTCTCATACACTTTGAGAATCACTCCAACATATGCGATGAGATGAAAGATACCAACTTCATATGGTTCTTGAAGCTCCATTTCGAGATTGATGCTATTCTATTCATTGCTGGTCAGCTTCAAAATCGAACCCTCGGTGGATTGGTCGATCGCGCGTGGATTTTGATGGACCGTATATACCACATTCAACCAGAACTGTGGAATATGTCAAAAAAGGACAACGTCAAGGTCGGACTCTCCATTCTCAAGGCATGGCGAGAGCGTGAACGAGCCCTGTTTCAGCTGGGTCTGCCGTACGACATCTCTCCGGTTATTTCTAAACTGCAAAAGATCGTACCTCAGTCCAGCCCACCTCCTGCACTACTACCGCCGCCAACGATCGAACCCCAGGGGCCGCTGAGTACGGATTGGATAGTTGACCAACTCTCCAATTATATGATTGACACATCGACTCTGATGTCGCAGGGACCTCATGAGCATTTCTGAGGTGGCTGGAAATGAAAGCAGGAATCTTGTGTGATTCTGGGCTTAGACTACCCACTGCGGACTTGATCATCGGAAGGTGCTTGGGGAATGAGTTGCTAGGTGGCGGAAAATTTCGCCTCTATCTCCTAATGACAGAATATCCCGATAAAGCGGTGAGGGGATAGTTGCAAGACGCAATAACCGTCTAGCGCGACGACCTCAGTCGAATGATGGGGTGCCGATTGGCGACGGTTTGCATGTTGGACATGCGGATATACCCACAGGGCGGGCATCTATGTTGAAAAAAATAGGTTGGTCACTTCAAGGACGGACCGACGGAGTAGAGCTCGGCGTGTTGAGTTGCATTGACGCCGGAGAGGAAGCGGCTTTGTATTGGGATTGGGTTGAGGCGCCATCGAGGTGAAACTGGGGCAGTCGTATTCAAGGATGTTATTTGCGTGCCGTATAGAATTAAAAAATACACTCAATCTCATTGCATTTTAATCTCGCCGGTTCTTGGTATGACGGGTACTGGGCATCGACTTGCAAGTACAAAACCACTATTGAGAAAGGAATCCCACAAGGCATATTAGTCTCACTCATGGAAAACAATTAATCACCGGTCCGTATTTCTCAACAATAGTTGCATTCATTTGTTTTCTATGACATCTCTAATGCAGATAATAGAGGAAGAGAACCCACGTATCTGTAAGGGTCTAGGATAATATGAGTCCAGCGTTGAACTGCAGCTGCATCCACTGCATTCCTACGTCGGAGTCTCTAAGGATCGGTGGTTTCTATCATGGAAGCTCAGGAAATGCTCCCGTAAATGTCGTCGGCAGATTCATAGCCCTTCTCTTGCCCCAGCTGTGGGACTAGGTTGTCTCACCCCTACTTTAATATCCAAGATGGACAAGACGTTAGAGGCGCTTGTATAAGAAGTATATCAAACTACCCCCCCAACTAAAATCAATCTATCATTGTTCACGCCTTCACCTCTGCTGTTCCCCTTGCTGAGCATTCCGCAACTGATTCTGAGCGTTGCAAAGTATTTCAACTCGGGTATTTACGAATAAACTTTATTACTTATGTATGAGAAAAATTATTTGAAGCGGTATTAATGCTTGCAAGCCTTCGCAGATTATTCACATCAATAGTCGTCTACGTGGCGACAGCGGCGGCGGCTTCGTAGACGTCATATAAAATATAGTGAGGCTTAGACTGCCTCCCCTCGTTGTCGGTGCCTAGGATTAGCGCTTATTTATGTTTAGCATTCTCCATATTTCCCAGACTCGGTATAGTTCACTCATAAAACTCGTATTTTGGCTAATCCGCTGTCTTGGGCTGAGCTTCTGAAACGATGATCCCTGTAAATCAGGATTCTTATGCTGGTAAGGCCACAGCCAGAAACCGCCCCCATGATACTTCAGCGCTCACCTAATTTCGGTGACCCCAGAAGTAGCGTGTATTCCTGTCAGGGCTGAAATTTTGGTGAGATTTGCGTTGCATTTGCCAAGGAAGCACAGCCTGGAGAGGGCAGTCATAACACAACGGAGACCCTAATTTTCCTGCCGAGGACAGACTTTGATCCCTCCTCGTCAATACCGCGATTGCCGCCATGCGCTTCTCCACCCGCCTACAACTCCTAGGCCCTCTCTCTCTAGCCGCACTGTTTGTTGGCGGGCTACTCTTGCTCCTTGTTGGCATCAACACACTCGCCGCGCCGACCGGAGACAGCCGCAAACCAGGAGAGGAGAGAGCTTTCCAATCCGACGTATATGTCCAGTTTTTGTACGGCTCCCATCTCAGCGTCCAGGCCTGGTTAGCCATCGTTGGCATTGGCTTTGGGCTTCTGTCCTATGGATACAGGGAAACATATGCCCATATTTTCGACTGGTGGTGTAGTCGCCAATCCAAAGGACAGGCTGGACTCGACTACGCTCGGTATCTAAACTCGCAGGCTCGAGCACCCGTTCTTTACGGCTCCCGAGGTTTCGCTGGTTTCGTTACTATACGATATTTTTTGGTCCTGGCGAGCGTAGCCGCTTCAATTGGTTACAAGTTTGGCATCGTCCAGATTAGTGCCGACTCCTTCGATGTCTTCAACAACTACGTCTTTATGATGACTCCGCCGCCTCTAAATGGTCTCCACAACGGCGCCATTAGCCCATGGTTTAGCGATCAGCCGGCCTCCATGGGGGCTAATCAAGCTTTCACTCACAAAGTCGTTGCGGGTGATGATGACACTGGTGTCGACGTACTTGAACCGCCATTGAGCATCATAATGACCGGGTGTTGGCAAGATGTTTCACATCTCTTCCAGCATTCTGACTGGGGACAAATGTATTCACGCGAAATTGTCATGGTGGCCAATAAGACGGAGGAGAAGGGCTCCTTCTTCATGACCACAAACCATACTGGATGGACACGTACGCAAACTTCCAATAGGACCTGGATTAGCAAGTCGGGACCTGACCAAGCGGTGGTGGACTATCGTATCGTGGAACCTGGCAAGGTGCAGATCCAATGGGCACGACTTGGGTGCTGGTACAGCGGTGAATGTGACAACAGCAGCGACTCAACCAACCAGTCTGTGGCACATCGCCTAACATACACCATGCACTACGCGGTTGCGGAGGTTTCGAGGGAGCTCTACCAGGGAGGGTCTTTGCGGGTTATGGACGGAGGAGTAACAATCTTCTCCAACGATGAAAACCCCCCAGCCACGGAATATCGCAACGGCTCATTGCCGCATTATGAGAACTGGGTGGATGCCATCATATCCAGCGACGAATCATCCGTTTTGTACGGCGTCAGCGCCTTTGTTAGGGCTGTGATGGCAGGCTGGGCCTCAGTAGGAGTGGAAAAGTTTGACGGGCGAGGGATTGCGATTTTGAATCCAGAGGACGAGCCATTCGGCACCGAAGAAACACAGAAAGGCCTCCTCGCCTCGGCCTACCATCTCAATACCACGCAGTACCCCTTCTTCAAAGGAGTTCGATCCGCGACGTTGACGGGGTGCTATCGTACTGCGGCGTATCTGTTCATACTCTTAGGGGCCATCTCCTTTCTTGTCGGGCTATTTCGAATCTGGCTAGGCCCGCCTTCAGTTACTTCTTGGATGGGCCAGCATGTGTATCTGGCTCTTGGCGGTGCAGTGTCGATAGAAGGGAACCCGGATGATCTAGCTACGGGCTATAAGGCTGCGCCACGGGGGCTTGGGAGACTACGATTGACATCAGATGCGACGCTTTCTTCACACTTGCTGAGAGTGGCAAAACGGGAGGATGAACCTGACGCATGAATTTGCGCATCATGGTAGATGTAATGAGTGCGTATACTGCACAGTAGCTCCGGTCTTAGTTAATTGCTACACCAAAGCAAAATGAAGAAGACTCTACAGGTATTGAATATCAATGATGCATTCAACTAGGAATTGATTAGGATGTTTTCAGCGGCGGCAGTTGATATAATAGGTGGGGACACTTAGCAAGCTCAAGTGCGCACACGTCTCGTAACTGATTATAACCCAACTTTATATAGATCCTAGGGCTTCAGCACCAATAAAGCAATTAAGCTCTATTTATATAGTTCGTGGTTCTCGCCTCCTTAAGCTTGAGGGAACAACTTGATATATACTTTTATGTTAGTAGATGGAATTTTATCACGATTAAGAAGGATGATCTCAGTGGCCAGTAGAACCTGTAGCCAGAAAAAAGTAAGAGAAATATTCGGTAAAGTCACTTTGAGGCGAGGAATAAGAGGCACGGGTTATAGACAGACAGGGATAGTGACATGAGTGTAGTTCATCCCTAAATACACGAATTTAAGCCACCATACAAGCCAACAACTCAGCCCACAAAGTACTAGGAATCAAACAGCCCAAGAGCGATCTTCTCCCTGACGTGAATGAAATCTCCCAGGTCCAGCACACCCACTCTCAAAATCTCGTCTAAGAGATCTTGACACCCTAACCAGTGTAGTCGCAGTAGACACTGTAGGTTCCAGAAGTTCCGCAGTCGGTCAAAATCTTGCTGTTCTGGCGAATGTCGATAATGGTGGCTCCCGAAACGCCGACAGTGCTGCCGCTGGTCGTAGTGGCCTTGGCATTGGTGAAGACGAACTCGCCAAAGTTGGCAAAGGGCACAAGACTGCTGCCGGACTGGAAGTCCTCCACAATCCACTCGGCATTGGTCTCGCACAGGCTCGCCGTCTGGCTACTGAAAGAATGGCTGGTGGACTTGCCGGTGGTCAAGTTTTCAATGGTAGCCTTTCCAGCGGTCTTTGAGGTGGCCGCGACGGTCATTCTGATGGAATCGCCAGCAGAAATAGCAAATCCAGTGAATGTGTAAGAGTCTGTATAGGCGAAAGGTTAGAGGCACAATTTCAGTTGAGGATCAAGTATATAACTCACAATCAGGGTACCACTCGTACCACGCCTCGTAGATGTACGAGGTACCTTGAACTCCGACATCAATACCAGTCTGGAGGATGGCAGTCTCGCAAGTGTCGCCATCAAGACCAACCCATGCAGAGGCATAGTAAGTGGTCCTGGAGCTGCCACCACTGGGAATGCTGGGCTTAGGGACGGTCACAGTTCCAGTAACGGAATTGTATCCAGTACCAATGAGGACAGCACCAGCCCAGTTGGTCGAGTACTCAGCGTACGAGGTGTTGGTCAACTCGGTCAGCGAGCCATCCGTGTCAACCGCAGGGAACCTGAGGTTGGAGTTTCTGTTTCCAGCGGAGCGAACGGCAAGCTTCTCGACATTGCGGGCACGTCGTGCCTCTGTGCCAAGGGCTGCGAGAGAGCCGCTAGCGAAAAGAAGAGTCGAAACAAGACCGGAAGTCTTCATGTTGGCGGTAATAAAACTTGAAGAGTGATAGAGAGGACCGTGTTGTGCTGGAGCTGATGAGGATGAAGGTGAGTATCGAAAAGATCAGAAGCCTTCTCCTTTATACTCGAAGATACCCTCGTTGTATGGATACTAGAGCAATCATTCCACTTCTTCGTTGAACTTCGGATGGAATCCAAAAGTTCCAGTTCGACGGACCTATTGCCTCCTGGAACAATACCACCGAGTGATGCCATCCTCTCCCGACGTCGTCTTCATCCATTTTAAGAAGGTGGAGGGCCAGGAACTTATGGCGGTTGCAGTTTAGACTGAACTCACACGCGCTTGTGATTGAATACAGTCTACTTACTGAAGTATGTAGCCTTGTCATTTTTGCTCATTATTTGGCTGTGTTATGAGTCGAACTAGTAGAAACAAGTTACTTCCATTCCCCATGTAGCATGTATCCTGCCCTCTACCTCGAATGAGGACTACTTTTTGACTAGCCTGTGTTGGAAACTCAATACGCGTTCTACATCTTATCCATTGTCATTCGGAGTGACTGGGGTCATTGGATAGATCGGCACTGGTGGTTCGGAAAATGGAAATCGACCCCGGCTCCCTACCCCGGCCTCTAGACCGAAAACGAGGTCTGAAGCAAGCCATGCCAAGGTGCCAAGGACCCGAGAGCCGGGCAATAGTCTAGAGCCAAGACATTGAAATGCACAATTGGCGTCTTGGCATATCTTGGGAATTGATGATGATGAGAAATATCTTCATTAATAACGTCAAAATTGGTTTGCGCTGCAGTAATGTTATTTTCTAGCGTGTTTGTTGGTGTACATTGTCCATTGTCCATTGTTACTATGAGCTGATAGCTGTCCCGGCAGGCTTGTCCCTTGCATAATGAACAAGGGCCGAATGAAGTTCATCGTGCAATGTTGAGATAGACAACCTCCTCCGGCAAGTGGTTGATGCGACATTTCAAGATCAAAAGTGCCTATGCTGCCTTGTTTTGGGACTGTGAAGGCCTCGCCCTCCGGTGTCCAAGTCGGTTTTCGGAAGGTGGACGGATCTCGGCACAGCGATGGTCAACTGATCGAGATAGCCCTCAAAGACAACCCCACGTATCAACGCACGTCGCGCTCGAAGCCGTCCGTCCACAGAACATCCCTGTTAGAGCCGATAAACAAGGATTTATGCTTGATAGCGACGAACTCCACCTTAATCACCTCACGCCGGCCCGTCCCGGCAAATACCGTGAGCACTTGAAACTGGATTATGCCTGTCGAACCAATGTGACGAGTAATACGAATTGAATACGTGTATACGTTTGTTGAATGCCGTACGTAAGCACTTTAATATCATCTGCCGACCATTTGTGGACAGAGGAGTCGGCAAGTATTATTTCAGCATTTCTTTCTGTCCCATCTGGTTTCTCCTCCGCATGGTCGACGACCCATATATCGGGGATCTCTTGGTAATTCCATCAATCGATTTGCGCCTCGTTACAGCTATGCGGAAAACTTCGCCGTCAAAATTCCGTCTCTCAATCCCTGCATTAATTTGGTAAGCTGTTCCGGGATTTTAATACTGCATTTGGACGACGAATACAATCCAGCTCCCACGTTTTGTCCGGAGTCATGAGGGTGGACACCAAACCCTGGACCAAGGCATACTGCTGCGATATATAATCCACTCTCACTTGGGGTTTGAAATACGAACTTGGATACTTGCAGATCGGGAGGTAAGCCTGTCGGTTTTGCTTTGGCGTCTGGTTCTAAAGCCATGCGAATGGGAGTAGTGATGCGCTTCTTCACAATGGAGAGTAAAGAGATTGAGGACAATAGAAAAAAATTTAAATAGACAAAATAGTATAGGCAGTGCTATCGATACGATTGGATCAAACTAGATAAGAGGCTGGAATACTATAAATTGAGCTACCAGTGATGATGCTTACTGATAAAGGTGCGCCATCTATCCTCATGTACCCAAAACCTGTCCTGTGAGTTTCCAAAACTGACTAATAGGAGTGAGCCAATTTTTAAGCAAGCGGAACTTCCCGTTGAAGGCAGCCCGCCGTGGGCTCCAACATTAAGGATCCCATATCCCCTTTTCCCCCATACCTAAGGTCACTCGCACGTCCCTCGCCTCACTCGTTGTTCCAGACGTATTTTAAAGCACACAAGCAGATTCGCTATTCACCTTGACGTTGTTCTCGACAAAATCAGCCGTCTTTACAAACCGATATCCCTGCGGATTAATCGCCCATGAGTGGACACACACGGAGCCAGGACGGTTCGGGCATTCCATACCGTGGGTATGACTTATGATGGCGGTAAGTATGAGTTCTAAATATGTCTATAAGATAACTTGGGAAAGCAAACCCGGCGAATTCTGCCTTATAAAGTCCCCACCAGTAGTGAGGCGCACCAAGTAGCAGGAACGGGCTAATGACAGGCTGCCAGAACGAACCTGCCCAACTAGAGAACCCGCCGTCCATTCCCATTATTAGTAATTTGGCAAGAATATCTAGTTTTCATTGATATCTTATTGTCATTGGATTTTTTTAGTCGGCATCTGGGCGGGCTACGAGTCATGACTAGAGTGAAGGGAAACTGGCATCAATTTTATGCTGCACCAGTCCAATAGCAGATATGGAGAGTGCCATAATAACCCAATGGTTAGCCTAAAACGCCAAGTATGATAAACGTAATACTTAGATAAATACCTTAATTGAGATGGACGATAATAAAAATTAGGCTTTTCGATATTCGAGTATTTGCTACTATGTGTAAGTAGTGACGACATATATGCGAATGAAGTACTCATATATACATTCTCTACGGTTAAAATAAGCCTAGAGCGATGTTATTGGTGCGCGTAGGGTGATATGTCATTGGCACAACTCGAATTGCTCCATCCTACTCCCGGCAAGCCGTGAAATCTTCAAGGCCAGCATCCGGCACGGTCGCCTTCGGCAAACAGAAGTCCACATCCTCTCCCTTCAGCTCGCCAAATACCAATGAATATTCACGCTGAGCTATGATTAGCATATAGTTCAACTAAACCAGGGAGCATAACGCGGAGTTCTCAGTGCGGACAGATGATTGGAGGGAACATACCTTTGCAATATGGATAAACTCGTTGTAAATGCCATCCGCCTTCATTTTCTGCCGAACGAGGTCGGTGACACCACCTAGTAGGGCCACTACAGTGGTGACCTTGCTGTCCCAGGTTAATAGCGCCGAGACTAATTCGCCATCTACCCTCGTAGACTCGGTACTTCCGTACGGGTCTACAGTTTCGTATAAGCATTCACTCGGGAATCAAGAGACTGGGATGCTGTCAACTTACTCTGCATCTTCTTTCCAACAATCATGTTTCTCCACCAAGCGAGGCCCACGGCCTTGTCAAACATAACGGTCGGGAAAACACTGTACGGGGTGATGACATCATGTTCCTGTTCCGTTTGACTCGCTACCGACGGGATGCCAGCCGGAGAAATGTAACCAATGATGGTGTCTGTCTCAGGATCGGTCGAGTTGTTGACCGACGCGTACATCCCTGGGACCTTGGTGACAACCGAGTTGCAGGTCCGAACGCGTTCTCCATTCTTGAAAAGGCGGCTAACGAAGTGGGATCAGTAGGAGTTCCTTTGTATTATGACGCGAAACTTACTGAATAATGTCGACATCGTAGTAAGGCAGCTCAAGTTGGTTCCAGATTTCGTGGCTGGAGAACCAATAACCTGTGCATAACTGTTAGAGACATCTACTTGGAAAACGATGGAAGGAGTAAAAGTCTACTCGCCTTTTCGAACCGTAATCGGGCCAACCCCTCCCATGTTATACTCGGCACTCTCCAATTTGGGACGCTTGTATTCCCAGAGCTTCTGCTTCTCCTTCTTGGACAAGTCCCCGAAGAATTGCAAGAAGTACGTCAAGAGCTCGCCTTCATATGGGTCATCAAGATACGTGGGCGTTTCGCATTTGTAGCTCTGCTTCGTATCCTGGATTGGCAAAGTCTGGTCTGCAATTGAAGTGACGGCGCAGACTTTCCCATCGCCAACGTGGAAGATGTCGGCTGCCGTTGATGCGACATAGTCGAGCCAATCCTGCCAGCCGTTGGCAATCTTGGTAAACTTTGACTTGTGTTGGCTCCTGAGGGCTTCAACGCAGCCATAAACGGCCCAGATAAGTTCTCTTGAGAAATGGCATTAGACTTGTCTCGGGATGCTGAAAGATTCTTGCTTACCCGTTATCTAAACCGGGGACCCTGTTGACCCAGTCGTCAGTCGGCCTGATGGCATCCCCATCGGTGAGCATCCAAGGGAGAAAGCCGCCAAAGCCGGGGAAAGTCTCATTGAATTGAAGGTAGGACTTCAATTTGACTTCCATGATGGAGGCTGCAAAGGCGGGAGCTGCCTTGAGGTCATTGGGAGTCAGGAATCTGGCAGCCTCTCGAGAACCGGCGATTGCCTGGGCATAGAGAATAATTTGGAGCGCCTATTCGTGATGACAATTAGCAACAATGCACACAACGCTATGGTAAATTTGGTGATGTATCTCAACTGACCTCTTTGCTTGCGGCGCTGAAAGGGTGTTTCGCAGTGCGCTTGCCGGTGACCCAATCGATCTGCGTCCCGTCATAGGACATGCCATTTTTGGTGTTGTAGGCTACGTCGTTTTGATGGAACTTGCCCTCCCAGTACAACAGATCCCAGATGAAGTCATCTGTTCGATCAAGCACATCTTGCTGGGACCATTTGAGGCCGAACCGGCAGGATGGCTTTTGACTACCTTTATACGCTGACCTCTCTTCTTGGGCTGGCAGAGCGGTTGCAACAGAGGCCCAAGCCAGAGCTAGCAGAGAGCTTGTCTGGGCGAACTTCATAACGATGGTGATGTAAGGGAATATCAGGAAGTGGTCTTTGGAGATTGTAGGGTTGCATGCAGGCCATTGACAGTGATGTATTGTTAGTCGGCCCTTATATACATATTCCCTCGCATCGACATTGATTCATAGCCGAAGAAGCGCAAGTTTATTCCAAGGATGCCACCCATGTCCACGTTCCTGGGCCGACTTCAATTTGCGTCTTCCCCAGGTTGTTACCCCGCCACATTTGCGCGTTCTAGCTCGTCTCGTCCAGGATCGACACGGGGAATAGGAGAAATGACTGTTGAATTGCGGGGGACGCGATCAGCAGGCAAGTGGTCCCAGCCGAGGCATTTAGCCGTGAGTAGAGTATTTGACCGGTGCAAATCCCCGCTCTCTCAAATTGAAGCATCACAACGCCGCCCATCCTTTTCTCCGGCTCCTCAGAATGCGCGAAATCGCGTCCCACGGCAATGGATCGCAGTCCCACATCGGCCTCGCCTCGTTCCCAGGCCATTGTCCCGCCTCACCGACCGCCTACAAACAGGGCCTGTGACCGCTGTCGACGCCGAAAGGCCAGGGTAAGACGTCGGTGGCGTCGGGGAAACTCGAACCTGGAAACTGAGCGGCTTCAAACTGACCATGACGCCAGTGTGACTTTGCAGAGTCTGGCCGCCGCTGTACCAACTGCCGCGAATCAGGCCAGCAGTGCTCCTTCGACTTGCCCCTGGCTCGTCGTGGCCCCAAGACGCGGAGGCGGAATACCATCTCTGCCCTTCAGTCTGTCGATCCTCGCCCTGTTGGTGACAGCTCCGCTCTGTCGTTCGCCGGATCCAACCCCACCGCGGAATTGACCCTTGTCGACTCCTCCGCTACGTCAGGTCCTTCTGAAGCCCATTGGGAAGCCTCTCATGCCCTGAATGTCGATCCAGCGCTGTCGCCGCAAACCATCCACAGCTCCGTGTCCGACGCCGCCATCACCCCCGGTCAATCGGCCCTACAGCGCTGGCACAACCTGTCCCGAGCGTTGGCCTTTCTCACAGCTGATCTCAATCAACTGGTGACGCGCTGTTTTGATCTGTTCTTCGAGTACCTCTATCCACTCACGCCGCTGGTACATGAACCGAGCCTGCGAGATGCATTGGCCTTCTTTGTCACCCAAGCTGCCACCGGTTTCTCCCCAGCCAGCAACCCAACCAGCAACGGCGGTCGCTTGGAAACATGGCCAGATGCGACATTCACCTTGATCACGGCCGTTTGCGCCGAAGCTGCCTTTTTATTACCAAAAGACTTGTTTCCAGAAGGACAGTCTGTGGCTGACATCTTCCTCAAGTCGTCGCGCAGTTGTCTCAACCATTACTTGGAAGCGGACCTTGAAAGCCCCAACGCCAACTCCATCGCCATCCGATATTTCCATTCCAATTGTCTGCACGCGGCCGGAAAGCCGAAGTACTCATGGCACATCTTCGGAGAGGCAACCCGACTTGCGCAGGTCATGCAGCTTCACGAGGAGACATCCCTGGAGGGTCTGTTTCCAATAGAGGCCGAACTTCGCCGGCGTGCATTCTGGATTGTGTACATGGGCGACAAATCAGCCGCTATCTTGAACAATCGCCCGATAACGATCCACCAGTTCTCATTCGAGTCGGGCATTACAACTGCATATCCGACAGGCATTGAGGACGAATCTTCCATTGGTGTCTCGCCGGGGTCTGTTGCCCCGACACCAGAAACGAGGAAAACATTCATTGCTGGGTTCAATGCCAACCTCCGCTTGTGGCAAACTGCCTCAAATCTCCTCCTTCAAATGAGACTCCTTCAGGATCAAGAGCAACATGACCTCTCCCTGCCAGGCCACCCGCCGCTTCCTACCCCCGAAGACAGAAGTCGCCTGGACGCACTTTACATCCAGTTCATCACATGCCTTGACGATTTGCCGCCGTATTTGCAATCATATACATTCGCCGCCATTGCTGGGGCGGGGAAAGAAGCAACGAAACAGAATCAATTCATCATACAATGTGCTAACCTTCAGGTCTCAATGCACTGCCTGCGAATGGTCATCACGCAGAAGTTTGAGGAGCGCTCCTTCTTCTCGACTGGAGTGGAACAAGCCGACCTGCGCAAGACAGAGATCGCCCGGGATATGCTACGTGTGATACACGAGGCTCCTTTCTGGTCGTTACAGGTCAACGGCGAACCATATGTAGGGAGCCACAAGTCCCTGCCTCGCTTCACGAGTAAATGAACTAACACTCAATTAGGTAGAGAAGATTCGACTTATTGGAGCCAGTCTACTAGAAATCATCCACCGGAACAGGACTTCACCGATAGCTACACGTGCTCGAAGCGATTTTACGGTCCTCCTTGATCTTCTCACGAGGTTGGACTCTAAGGCTTCCGATGCTTTACGGAATAACTCGACGTGGGTTGTTTAAACTTGATTGTACATATGTAATAATTAGCAGAGTGGCCAATTTTGATATAGGTGGTTGGTGTATATTCATGCGTTATTTTAATCCTTTTAGGATGGAATGTTAGTTCTTATGTATTATTAGCTCCAAAAGACATGTCAACATGTGTGTAAGGCAGGATAGCCTTCAGAATTATGACATCGTTGTTGTTTCGTACTGTAAGTGATGACATATTTTTGGTACAATAAAGGAGTGCATATATAGTGGAGGATTATTTAACACAGAATGCAGCATGGTGGCACTTATTTATACTACTAAACTGACTCGAAAGGAGCAGTGTCAATAAAGCACCACATTGACATAAATGTGGTAGAAAGCCCAGGGGCTTCAAACTGTCTTCTCTCTCGCATATTCCTGTTCTTCCTTCGCCAACTCAATCTTCTTGGCCATCTCTTGCTTCTCCTCCTTTCCTTCAAATAGATACGCCAGCTCCTCCAACGTGGGACCCGAGGTCTCAACAAAGAAAAAATACACCACGAGGAAGATTATGGCGACCCAGACACAGTAGTAGATGTAGAATTTCCAGCCAATGTTCTCCAACCCAATGGGGTTAACATAACCACCGAAAATAGAGGATACCTGAATCGTGAGCAGGACAAAGGCCCAGGTCTTTGCTCGCATCTGGTATGTGACAATTTCCAGGGGGTATGTTACAACCAAGTTTGTCCAGCCAAAGGTGTAGAATGCCTGGAATAGGAAGATGCACGCAAGAACGACTCGTCCAGCGGCGAGGGAGTCTTTCTCCAGGTATTGCTGGGCTGCGATAGTCCACATGATGAATGTAACCAGGACTCCACCAGAGCCTACTAGGAAGAAAGTACGGCGCTTGAAGCGGTCGACGAGGAGCGTCACTGCGATTGCGACAATGTATTGCCAAAGAGTCACCATGCCGTTAACAAGGGTGATATCTTTCTCCGCCTCCACTCCAGTGTCTTTGAGAATCTGTGTGAGGTAGTTGGAGACCAGCAGGTTACCAGAGCTCTGGCTGAAGAGGGCTGTGGCAAAACAGAGCGAGAGTCGTTTGATGTTGGGAATTGAGGAAAAGAAGTCCTTCCAAGACATGTTTTCCTCGACTTCTTTGGCAATGGCTTGCTGGATCTCGGCAAATTCAAATTCGACGAGCTCGGAGTTCGGATCGCCCTCTCCGTGGTACTTGATGAGGATTTCCCGAGCCTCCTCCACCTTTCCCTTGGCGATTAACCAGCGAGGGGATTCGGGGCAGAAGAAAATAAGGGCGAGCTGGTACGCCGAGGGCACGATCTGAATCAGGGTGGGCAGTCTCCATGACCACTGGCCGGGAATACGGAAGCAGCCGTAGGTTGCCCACGCGCCAATGACATAGCCCAGAACGATGCTGGTGTTGTAGAATGTCGTGACTTGCACTCGCTCCTTCGGATGGGAAAGTTCAGTGACCAGGACAGGAGCGCCCATCTGGATGAGCGACGAGCCGATTCCAAGAACGATCTTGCCGCCAATGTACATATTCAGCGATGTTGCAAAGAACTGAACAATAACTCCAGCCATGATGACTACCGAGCCCAGTGCAGTGGGCAGTCGGCGACCGGTAACGTCTCCAATCCAGCCCAGGAAGATGAAGGGGATAATGCCACCGATGGCGTTGGATGCGCCAAAGAAGCCCAACTTTGAACCAGTTGGGTGTCCGAATCGCTCTTGCCAAGTCTCTAGGACTTGCATGCCGTTGGTCATTGAACTGTTGGTTGTTTCTGTCAGTCATGGGGTCTCATATTGTGAGGGATGTTGGCTTACCCATCAATGCCAAGGGCCATACTGGCAAAGAGAGAAGACGTGAGTAGGAAATAGAGAAGGACTCCATTCTTTCTCTTCCAAAACGGAGGAACAGTGCTGAGGTCAATGGGAGACGAGATGTCTTCGACCGCGTGGGCGGCTTTGGGAGCCATCGTCAAGGTAGTGCAGTTCAAGAGTCGACAACACCGCCGTGAAGTTTTCAAGCACCGCGTTGTGAGAAAAGGCAGTGATTAGGTTGTTGATCTTGGAAATCAATTTTCGGCAGGCATCTCGCTCCAATTATATACAGCTGCATGCACATCGAAGAAGGGTCGTAAGACAAGAGGAGCCGCGAGCACACTTCCGCCAAACAGGGTCAGACGACAAAACTTCCCCGTGGGGATTCCGCGTCCGGGGTCGGCTACGGCGAAACGGAGAATTGTGGTGCAATTGCCAGGATATCCATCTAGCTAATGACGCCCGCCAAGCTCGGTGGGGAAATTCTATCGGGGAAATGGAAAGCCTCTGGCGGGAAAATACCAGGGATCGGCGTTACTCGCCACGCCATGGCGCATCGAAAAACGGGGTTCCATCCTTGATGTTCCATCACGTTGTATAAACCTGAGAGGGGTAGTGGCAGAGCTGGGTATAAAGCGTGCAAGGGCATGGGAATGGCCAAGTGGCTGGACTTGTTGACGAGCTGAATCACCCTTCTCATTTCTCAGTTTCCTCCGGCGCTTCTTCGTACCGAGCCAAGTTTAGTCTGTCGTTGAGCCAGTCCCGAACGCGACAATGCCGGGTACAACCTCGTTACCCCGAGACTTTGAACTGGGGTTCGCGACGGCGTCGTACCAAATCGAAGGCGCCGTTGCGGAAGACGGGCGTGGGAAGTCAATTTGGGACACGTTTTGTCACTTGGAGCCCACCCGGTCGAAAGGTGCCAATGGCGATGTTGCCTGTGACCACTACCACCGTCTAGAGGAAGACCTCGATCTCTTGAAAAAGTACAAGGCTCAGACGTACCGGTTCTCGATCTCATGGTCGCGAGTCATTCCTCTGGGCGGCAGAGACGACCCGGTGAATGAAGCTGGAATCGACTTTTACAACCGGCTTATTGACGGCTTGATTGCCCGCGGGATTACGCCCTGGGTGACACTTTACCATTGGGACCTGCCACAAGGAATCCATGACCGCTACGGTGGATGGCTAGATGTGGAAGAGTCACAAAAGGACTTTGAAAGATATGCCCGAGTTTGTTACGAGCGATTTGGCGATCGTGTCAAGGACTGGATCACTCTTAACGAACCATGGATTGTCTCCATTTTCGTAAGTTACCCAACTCAATTTCTTCAGAAGTGAGGCTGACTTGATTTCAGGGATATGCCACGGGGATTAATGCCCCTGGAAGAAGCAGTATCAACAAGCAGTCAACAGAGGGCAATACCCCGACTGAGCCCTGGATTGTTGGCAAGGCTCTCATCATGAGCCATGCTCGTGCGGTGGCGGCTTACAACGAAGACTTCCGGTCTTCTCAAAAGGGCAGAATTGGAATATCTTTGAATGGTGATTTCTACGAGCCCTGGGACAGCGACGATCCTCGAGACAGCGAGGCCGCAATTCGAAGAATGGAATTCCACGTCGGCTGGTTTGCCAACCCCATTTTGTACGTGTCCGCCCTCTAAAGTCCCTGCCAGTCACTAACCGCAAAGCAGCTTACAACAAGACTACCCCAAGTGCATGCGGGAGCAACTTGGCAGCAGACTCCCCGAGTTCACTGCTTCCGACATGGCTCTCCTACAAAGAGCGGAGTCTGATTTCTACGGCATGAATTACTATACATCTCAATTCGCTCGCCACCGCGAAGAGCCGGCTTCTGAGAACGACGTCATTGGAAACGTCGATGAGCTTCAGGAGAACAAGAAGGGCGAGCCGGTCGGTGAGGAGAGCGGACTGCACTGGTTGAGGTCTTGCCCAGGGATGTTTCGAAAGCACCTGACCCGCATCTACGGCCTGTACGGGAAGCCTATTTACATCACTGAGAACGGGTGCCCATGTCCAGGGGAAGACAAGATGACCAAAGAGCAGTCTGTCGAGGACGATTATCGGATCCGATATTTCGAAGATCACCTTGACGCTATAGGCAAGTCAGTCAGCAAGGATGGCGCTGTTATCAAAGGATACTTTGCATGGTCCCTGATGGACAATCTTGGTATGTTCTTTAATCTCCATTTTATGCCAGATGGACGATTTGGTTTCTCGAGCGTGGCTAACCTGCATAAAACTAGAATGGTCTGACGGTTACGGGCCAAGATTTGGTGTCACGTTCACAGACTACGACACTTTGGAGCGAACGCCGAAGAAGTCGGCTTTAATCCTTAGAGAGCTTGTTGAGACACGGAAATCAGCAGCAACGTAGAATATTCCACTCTCTGCCATAAATGTTTGCTTCTTAGTTCTTGGTACACATATTGGGACCGCCAGATAGAGGTCACTTGCAGTTAGAAGTTCAGTTCATTGACATTATAAAGTTAGAACCGAAGCAATATATGAGGATAATGTTATTTGTCCAAACCAACTCCTGACTAGAACATTATCCATGCCTCTGGAAGACTCTTACGTTGCGCTTCTGCCAGCCACGACGCCACAGATGCATCAGGAACCAACACAATTAGCACGGATCCACAGCCCAGCAGCCAGGAGGATGGCGCAATCCCAGGACTCTGGTACAGGTATGCACCCTTGGCATGTCACGATCGCCATTTAGCGTGGATGATGTGAGCATGGATTAGATTTCCGGATGTAACGAGGATCTACTTCTGCAAAACACGGCCTGCCCGCGATCCACTTTCTGAGCCATGTCTCTCGTGGCGACTGTCACATCACCCGACTCAGGGCTCGTGAACACCGTCAGCAATCATGAGTAATGCTGAGACATATCGTGGCAAAGTGCATCGGCAGACCCGGCCAGTTTGAGGTCACAACGCCACATCGAAAAACGGGGAAATATGATGATTCAGGGTACTGCACTTTCTGGTGGATGCGAAACCCGGCGCCAACTTGAAGTCATTGTGGCATTATCATTAGATGCCGCTATGTACATCGCGGTAATTTACTACACATTAAGGCGGAGGGCCATCTGCCACGCAATTCTTCCCACACGAGGGAGCCGCCGGGGTTATGAAGGGAAATGATTAGGGCATCGCATCCCGTTTTAAAAATATCTAGATGACGGGGATGTTTCGCTCCAGGTAACCCTTCCACTTGGGGAGCTGACGCTTGTACGGGGTGTTGGAGGTCTTCTGGAGGTCCTCGATGGCGCTGGCCCACTTGACGAGCTTGTGTTCGGCGAAGGCCGTCTGCATGATGGCGAGGCCAAAGGGCATGCCGGACTCGGCGTGGATACCGGCGGGGACGGTGATCATGGGGTAACCAGCCTGAGCGGCGATCTGGGGGGCCTGGGCAACATCCGGGGGAACAAGGAGACCGGAGAGCTTCTTGCCTTTGTGGGTGAGGGCATCGTTGATTCCATTGCGGCACCCGGTCTGGCAGAACTCCAGTGCCTGGAAGTACTTCTCGTCCATCACACCCTTTGTTTCGAGCGAGGCAAGGAATCCGTCCTGGCCGGAGAGGAAGGCTGGGTGACCGACGCCGTCGGCGTAGGGGTAGCCACCCTCGCTGCCGTCGTTGTCCTTGTTGAACTGAACAATGGCCTCGAGATCCTTGACCTTGGTGTTCTTGACCTCGGACAGGTACTTCTTGATGTTGTTGTAAAAGTCGACCTTGATGTAGGTGTACTCGGACTCGTTGGCGAAACCACGGGTGCTGCCGTAATCCCAGTTCCAGCCGTCGGGGCTGACGAGGGTCTCGTAGTTGGTGATCTCAGTGCCGTTGATGATGGTAGCACCGGCGGACTTGATGAGGTCGAGGAGCCCGAACAGCTGCGTCAGCTGGTCGTCGTCGGCGTAGACCCAGAAGCTCTTCCAGGGAATGCCAAAGGTGGCTCCCTTCAGGGCGCTCTTGTCAGTGAGGAACTGGGCGTATCCGCCCTTGGGAGTCTTGTGCTTCTGGGCGAGGGTGTAGTTGTCGCGGGTGTCAACGCCGTAGATGGCGTCGAGGACCAGCGTAGCATCCTTGACGGTTCGGGCAAAGGCGCCGACTGTGTCCTGGTGCTCACTCTCGGGGATGACACCAGCACGGGAGGTCAGGCCAACAGTGGGCTTGATGCCGACGAGGGCATTTCGCATGGCCGGGTTGATGACTGGGTAATTGTTAGTGTCAATAGCTTCGAGTGGCAGACGCCATGGGCGATGATATCATGGCAGGTCAAGACACTCACCACTACCGTCAGTCTCAGTGCCGAGAGAGAAAGCAATCGCGTTAGCAGAGACACCAACACCGCTGCCGGAGCTGCTGCCACCGGGGTTGACAGTCAGGTTGTAAGCGCTGCGAACCTGGCCACCACGGCCGGAGTAGCCCTCGGAGTAGTAGTTGGTGCGCATATCAGCCCACTCGCTGAGCGCGGCCTTTCCGAGCAGGACGGCGCCGGCCTCGCGGAGCTTCTTGACGACGTGGGCGTCGCGGGGCACGATGTTGCCGAGGAGGGCCCAGCTGCCGGCCGTGGTCTCCATGTTGTCCTTGGTGGCGATGTTGTCCTTGACGGTGAAGGGGATGCCGTGGAGAGGACCGCGGACCTTGCCCTTGCATCGCTCGGCATCACGCTCGGCGGCAATGGCAAAGACATCGGGGTTGAACTGCAGGACGGAGCTGGAGAGGTGTTAGTCAAGACGGCATCCGTGAATTGAGATGTGATATCCGGGCGACGCACTCAATGTACTCTTGCGTCTGGTAGGTTCGGACGAGGTAGCAGGTCACCAGCTGGGTCGAGGTGAGGTGACCGAGGCGCATGGCCTCCTGCATCTCAGTGATGGTGGCCTCATGCAGTTTGAAGCCGAAGCAATCGCCCATGGGGAAGAGGTCGTCGGAGCCGGCATTCTGCTGGAGCGGGATCAGGTTCGTCTCCGTGTAGGGCACAGAGATCTTCTTCGCCAGGGCCTGGCCCACGAGGAGCGCGGCCAGCGACAGACGGGACAACATGGCGAACTGCACAGGATCCGGACGACACTGGAGAGGGAAGAAGTGCGAAACGAATGACGAGGCTGATGAAAGCCGTTGGAGCAGTGTAAATGAATGAATGTTCCCTGAGGAGAAGGGTGCTCCAAAGTCCAAACTTTTGCGCCACCGGCGGGCGGCGGCGACTTCAAAAGCAACTCAACTCGGCCCACGCAGCCACGGCGCAGAAACAAAGCGGGTTTGCCGTCGTTGGCTCCGACAAGCCCCTACTAGGTAATTAAGTAGTACACAGATTGGCCAGTTCCCCGATGCGGCGGCGGCAGGGCTCCCCTAGCACCCGGCGAGCCAGGACTCCAAGGAACACGGCGGACTAGTTACAGCGGCATTTGCACTTCTCCATGGCCAGTTTAGCGGTGCAAATGGAGTCCCAGACGGGTCGCGGCAGCTCCCTCATTCCCCTTCGAGCCTCGTTCGAGGGCGAAGCTGCGGGCTAGTTACCGCCGTCCCGGACATCATAGTACACTACAGCGACCGGAAACTGCGGGATGTGGCCATTCCAGCGGGTGGAGATTGGCCTGAATAGTGACCCCTGGCTACTCTCCAGCGTGGATCGGCATCCTGGCTTGGCTCTGCCGCTCAATTGGCCCCCGATGTGCCCGTTTAGTCGTGAGTTTCCCAGGGAGTCCTGGACACAGCGGCCATTGTCCCGCAACAGCTAGCCTTGCCATTCCGTGACGAACACGTCCCCAGCAGATGGGGGATTCATTTCTGAAAGGTGGGTTGTTGCGTTGCCGCCGGGCCGCGAAGAGGGCATTTTCTGCACCTTGTCGTACGTGCAGCCGCTTCGCATGGATCTGCCCATCGTTCCGCGTCTGGGGTACCGGCGGAAGATCCTTGTTCCATTGCTTTTCCATGCAAGGAAAGGCCTCGAAAAAAATCACTTGATCGTCATAAACCCACAGACATGGGGCCCGTTCGGAAGACGGCTCATGGCGTACGTAGTACTACCATCGGGACATGGGCAATGACGAAAGCCGATAATGACAGGCAGGGAATATTTTATGGCGCCAACTCTACACCAATGCCTTGCTTTCCGAGAGCAATTTGACCGCACGTCAATGAGGTCCATCAGATACTATCATGGTATATGTCTTTTCTAGATTGGTTCGCTCAGCTAAAATCCAATGGCTCGTTCATCCCAGTCTTGTTTTTCCAATCCGTCATCAATCGTACATTATTATTCCTCACGAAGCGTGCCTGGAACTATGATCCCTTTGGCTGTCCTCCTTGATCTGAAAATCCACTTTGACTAAAATTCCATCCGCGCTGGTTTCGCTCTGGTTGTCGTTGGACTGGTTTGCGCTCCGGAAGTTGGCCCGGCCCTCTGCAGAGGTATCCCGGCTTCCAAGCACGCTATGTTCGGGTCGGAGGTTGAGCGATCGGAGCGCCGTGCCGCGAGAATTATTGCTCTGCTTTCCGTATCTCGTGTCGCCAGTGCTGCCCTTGCTGAGATCCTTCCGCAAGATGAACTTATCCACCAACGGCTTCACGCCAGGCACTGATAGGGCGATCAATGTAGCTCCGATTTCTGCAACTTCGACGCCGAGCTGGGCGTTGTACGACCAGGACTGGTCGGCCTTCCACTGTCCCTGAATGACGAGGATCAGGCGAGTGATGGAGATCGCAATAACCCTAGATTTAATCGTCAGCGTCGATCATCACTCATTGCAGGTGAAGGAATCCTTACGAGATACCGGGAAGTAGGATGCACCCAAGCTGAATCTTCCTTCGGCGGGGCATTTCCAGCACTCGGAGCATCACGATAGGGATGCCAAACAGCAAGACGTCGCACACAAGCGATATCCCCGAGTTGGTGAGGTACACCAGACCCCATTGCAGGCAGGTGAAGTCGTCGACACCCGGCTGCCAAGCGTACGGCCACAGGCCAGTGACGGGGAGGCAGTGGAAGATGAGGAGAAACAGCTGCGGCAAGAAGCCGGCGATGAGGATGCCGAAGACAACGCGGATGGCAATCAGGAGGCCTTGGTGGAGCTTGCATAGTCGGTAGTACAAGGCGAGTCCGGAGATTCGGCAGAAGAGGAGCGCTGTCGTGTAGATGATGTGGGCGGCGAAGTCGAGGACCTCGGTCAACTTGACCGTGTCCATGTCCAGGACATACTGGATGTACGCCAGATGTCGGCCAGATCCAAGGTTGATGAGCCAAATACAGATACCTACGAAGGGAATGTAGATAACCTAGTGTCATAGAGCGCAAGGTCAGTGATGGCTCTTAGTGCAAATGCCGTCTGACGAGTTGGTTTTCGATCGCCTCTGTGACAATGGCGACTTACCCAGGACATGAGCGTCAGCGTGTCGTCTACTCCGAAGCGTCGAATCAGGAAGGCTCGCGAGCCCAGTCGGCCGAGGACGATGATGCTCGTCAGCACCGTCACGAAGATGATGCCAGCGATGGCCGAAGCGTCTTTCGTCTCGTTCAGGAAAGCAGCAGTGATGTCCTTAGGGACCCGGCCATCCGCGATGGCCTCGGTGACCTTGTGGTCAATAGCCATGGTGGCCGTTGGATGTGCAATCCGTTGTCCGGATCCGAAGGAACGTCGTCATCGATGAGCCAGCAGCAAGCCAAGCAACGGACAAGAACTTCACCGGCAGAGCGGGAAAACGGGTCATCAAACCCTTATACTCTGGAGATGCCCACCCTCTCCATCACAACCCACACCCAGACGGATCACTGCAAAGCTCCTCCGGCTTCCGTCGCCCCTACGAAACCCACCCACACCAAGTCGGGGAGCGATCGCGACGGCCACAGCTTCAAGTGGACCCGTCCCAGTTCCTCCAGAGCTATTTGTGACCCTGGCCCATTTGGGCACGGCAGGTGGAGGAGAAGTTCCGGCAAACAGAGGACGTGCTACAAGAGCTGTCGGTGCCGGAAATGAAAGACGGCGCGAACTTTAACGGCCAGGGTGCCTGGGTGGAAGACTTGCAATGGATTGCGTTCTGTAGGGGCTTTTGATACGGGCGAGACCTGGAATGGAATGGGAGACTGCCTGGTCGAGAGGTAATTAGGAGCCGGTGGTACTGCATCTGTCAGGTCATTCTGTGCCAGGGCCTGGCCGCATTGCCGGTAACGTCTCAGCGTGCCTGGATGTCATTCTCTTACTTGATACGGGTTAGCCTTGATGCTCAGCAATGGCCTTGGATTGTGCCTGGTGCCTTGCACTTCGTGCTTTGCATATCCGGTGTAGCTTTGTCGCTCATTACTTATTCTGTCGAACCTCAAATCCAGATCCGGTATATCGTCTCCCACGCTCTCCGGCATCCCACCTCAGTCGTTAGTTATTAAGTGACACAGAGTCGCTACCCGGGATCCATCCTTGCAGGCGCCGTTAGCTACATACAGATGCATGCATCAACGTCTCCCACCGTTCACCGTCCCGATGGTCAGCCCCCGGCGCCGACTGTAGGGATCATGACTGGGGATTGCGATGGGGAAAGCAAAGGTGGCTAGCTTGTCACTGCTCGGGGTGTTGCGCATTTTGTTTTACTTTTTCCTCCGTTTCAAGACGACGCCACCGCGGAATCTCGTTCCTGTTCTTTTTCTGCATCGACTAATTTACATCTTGCACCAGCGCCAAAACCGTCTCAAAGGGGGATGGAGTGGGAAGTTGGCAGGTTTTCCTTTTCCTTTTTCGCCTCTAGTGGCGCCACCGGTTTGATCGAAAATACCGCGCCAGGGCAACGGCCCGTGGAGCTTGGCTACGCCCTGAATCAGAAGTGTCGTGCCTTATTCCTGCCGCTATGGACTGGTGGCGTCGGTCGAGGGAAACGGTGCCGGATAATGACAGAGTGTCTCGGCGTTCGGTCTGAAAATAAGGCCGGCACTTGGCTGATGACATTTCAAAACTGAGGTGGCTGCGATGGGAAAGACGCGGCGATGCTAGAGGCGAACCGTCGCAAATAGCGCGGATTTCACGGCGCCTGGTGTCACTGAAAAAGGCATATTCTGAAATACGATTGTCCGCGTTTCCACCTCGATCCTTTTGTGGTGATCCGCGTCTTGCGATCTCTCCTCTGGAGCACCGCGGTTGATCGACGATCCTCGCACATCGCACCTCAATGGGACAGCTCCACGCGACAACAAGGAGGTCCTCTCCACCCCCTGTCCATCAAAACTGAGCTGATTGACGGTGGACCGTTCCTGGAAGTTCATGTGAAGGCAGAAAACTCATCACCCTTCCGCCCCTGTCCCTACACGGTATCTAAGTTTGAAGCACGACAACCTCCTCAACGCCAACGCCAACGCCGTTTATACCTGAAGGATTCATATCCCTCAAGCATGAATGGTTTGAACGGCCAAACACCGGGCACGAACTCCCCGTGGCGTTTTTAGATGCGGGGCCTCATCGACAGTCGTCGTCCTCTTCCTCCTCATCTTTGCCCAGATTCATCCTAGTCTGGCAGTCTGGCAGGGGTACCTGGTCTCGAGCCAGAAATCTTCGCTTGGCATTAGGCGATTTATGCCCCCTGGACCTGGCCCGTCCTGTTCACCAGAGCTTCCGTCTCGCTCTCATTTAAAGATTTCCTTCACCAAGGCCACGCATGTGATCCGGTGATAGTGATATCTTGCTCCAAGGCGAATGGTTAACTTTGCAAGGCCTTTCACTTGTCTTATCTTCTATGCATTGTGCAGTGAAGCCGAGTCCAAAGTTTCGAGGATGCATCCATGCCGCACGGCACTGCCTTCCTTTACCCATGTCGTTTGATTCTCGACCTCCCCAAAGTGGTAGCACCATTACGGCTGAGGGATGCAGGTCCCAGGTGTGTATTAGCCCCTGAGGCATGAAAGTCAAGGGTTCCCTCTCAGCTCGGGCTTTCAACTTACAAGCCGTATTGATTGACCGAAGTTAAGCTTCCCAGCCTTAGGCTTAGACACGTACAAGCCACAGTGTGAACTTCTAGGTCGACATCAGGGTGGGTAAACACGCTTTAGTTCTTCCGTAGTCAGTGTAGCTGTCTTTCCCACTTCAGCATCTCACATCCAGCATTTCCAGTGTCTTAATATCACATGTTCCATCCCAAAGAAATCAAGTTTGCCGTGTCTAATAGCAGGGAAGTCGGAAGACTACCGAAGCATTGGCCATGCCAACAGGGGCCATTACCACCCACTCGGGCGGGTCAGGCAACCGGCTACAGGCGGGCAACACACAAACTCCACTTGGGAAGTCACCATAGCTGTATGTAGAAATATTCCGGTATCGAACCCCTTGGCCTTGCACCGGAGAATACGTGTATAGTGGGTCAGGTTCAAAATGCCGAGGCGAATCGAAGCTTTTCAAGTACAATCTGCTTTTGAGTCAGCTTAGACTGCCTGAGCCGTTAGCCCTCGCACGATGGAGATTCTAGACGTAGTCCATATTCTGCCTCCCCGCTCCTTAAATTAATAGTCTCGCGGGATGTTCCCAATCCATCAACTCACAGGTTGTCTGGTGGACCAGCGATATTATCATGTGGTCATCCGTATGTACGACAGAAATGGGCTTTCACCGTGGACGCAGTCGTGGGGTTGACCCTGCTTTGCCCGCTGAGCTCTGGTCGTGGACCATGGTGTGACCATCCGGGTAGTATGCCGCTAATGGGATGCATGGGGTGGGCATGAACATTCCAAGTTCCGCCCTGTACTGTATATCCGTGCTCCGTAGTCTCTCTAGGAGCACCCTTCGATGGGCCCCATTTCTGGGGGTTCCATTCCCACAGACTAACACGAAGGAAAGGATTGGCCCGGATATCCAGGTCTGGAGTATCAGGCACTGGTGTTAGTACTGGGATCGCTTTATCAGATTCATCACTAGCTTCAAACTTACGCGTCTCTTGTTATCTTAGTCTCATGTTAGTGGTGAGGCGGCAAAGCGGATGCAATCTAGTCCTCCCTCGCCCTCAAATTTCAGGGCACTGCCGAAGCTTTAGGCTTCAGACCATGACCAATAGTTAGTTAAGACTTGGAAAGGTATAACACAATATCGCCAAGACGGAAATGAGGCGCTCGAATACGAATTCTAGACCCCAAGTCCCTAGGGGCGATGCCGACATTTCCGATTTTCGTTTCTTTTCTTCAACCAAAAGCGACTTCGTTTACAAAGAAGCGGCAGCCGTGACTTGAGGCAGGCATACAGTGCGAGGTATAAAGCCCTTCTCTAAAGTATTGTACTGCATCACTTTGACTTTTTACTTCCCACTGCTGAGTAAACGAAAGGGGCAGTAGGATATCGCGTCCATCTCAAGACGTCTTAAGTCCTACCCGCAAGGGATACAGTTAAGTACGGAACTAATGAGGTAGATTCATTAGGTACCTCATCCGGCAGTTGTACCAGTGAACAACGTGAATGAACGAGACATCTAGAAACATCTGTCTCCCACAGTCGAATTCCTCAAGACCTCGTGGCCAGCCTCACCATTGCCAGGGGGGTCTTACCGTGGTCCAAGATGATGTAGTGTTCATGAACCGGTCCTCGTATTCGGAGACTACCAAGTCTCCATCTCACACAACTAGATGAACTGTCAACAACGCCACGTCATATCCACGTCAAAATAGAAGGTATTATTTTCAGGTAGATTTCAATAGATCATCTGTTAATAGTATGAGTCAAGAGACGTAAGAGATGTCGGGAACGATGCTCGCCCTTTTCGTTCAGTTAGCGCGAAAGGAGCAGGCCTCATCCATGAAGGCCAAGACGGGATCCCCCATGCTGTCAAGTTGGAATTGAGCCGCATTTTCTGCACGATCTTGCCCCAAAGAACCTCCCACTGCTTTGACGTCACATTGATACGAAGCCCGATCCCAGGTGCCACTTTTGTCGTAATCCTTACAACCCCGTAATGTGCCACCGGTGGGCTTCGCCACTAATATACTTTCAGGAAACGTATTTGGTCATGACCGCGAAATCCTAATTAAAATTTATTAGGGCTTGCTGGGACTTTGCTCGATGGCGGTGAGACTAGGAACGAGGAATGTTATAGCTGGGGTTTCAACTTGCAGGCGCCTTCGACTACAATCCAAGCCGGGTGATGACAAATTGTGGTAAGAAGATCAATGAAGTATATTGTTAAAAGATGAAAATATCCACAGGGGTGTCTGTTAATTATTTGTCGGTAAGGCGTCGAAAAGCCTTTGTGGGTGACCGGCCTAGAGTGCGAGACTTTTGCGTTCGCCGTCACATCAAACACCGGATAGACCGCAGATCGTCGGAAATCACAACAAAAAAGTAAAGTCCCAGTTTAAATATCATAAGAATGATCGTCTCGTGAATTAAATTGTATATCTGTCTATGAAGACCTAATACTGGTGTCTCGTCCAATCCGCATTCGCTACCCTGTGCCACAAGTACAGTTCCTGCTGCAACTATTAACCAAACCATCCGCTTGCTACTATGTCCCGCATTCCATACAACTTAAACACAAACCTCAATTCCAAGCCTGGAGGCGCACTTGGCCAAACTATCGGCTTGCGCTGCGCGGTAAATGTCATCAGCGTCGCCAAGACTGGCACCCAAGACGTCTTCCATCCCCGCAACGTCTGGGTATGCTTCAGTACCCCTAGGAGGGGAGTTTGAACCCAGGTTAGACTGGAAGATTCCAGCAGCTGAAAGGGGAAGAAAATCCTCGTAGGTCATTGGGAACGCATCGACGAGACCTTGCTCAAGAAGCGCGTCGATATGGAAACTCTGTTTGGGGAGTCTTGCCTCAATTCCTTTGCTGGTCGCTTCAAATGTACAGTAGATGAGGTCGCGACTTCTTAGCTCACTCCAATCGTCAGGGTATTTCTTGAAGACGGTTTCGACAAGCCTATCAAACTCTTCCGGGCTTGGTTCTTCGGAAGATCTCGCTGCGACTGCCATTGCCTCCTCGAGGAGTTCGTCGTATAATCGCCGCCCCGCTGGAGTGACGGCAGCTCCTCTCTCCTCGATTTCACCAAACCGAGCGCGGTGCGAGCCCTGCACCAGGGAATCATAGGATGAGTCGCTACCGCCGAAGAACTTGATGGGCTCTTCGATGGCTAGGAAACTCGTTTGGCGCAGGAGAATTGGGCACGATCTTGGTGGCGGGCCCTCAATTCTATCCTTGACCATGAGTCCCTCCGTCTTCATCAGGTCTTGTGAGGATGTAATGCAAAGTGTGCGAGGAGTGAGGTGGTTGATATGGGAACTTCGGAAGCAAGCAATGTCGGCCAGGATTGGGTGCTCGTCCTTCAAGCATTGGTAGTCCTCATGCGAGGCAGCAGCGGTTCCATGCCAGCTGAACGTCTTCATTGCCTCGGCGACAAGTCGACGGCCTTGGTTTGGCGTTAACCTCCCATTCTGAGCGTCCCCGATACTGAGGAGCTGCATCAGCTCGTCACTGAAGATATTGCGTTTCGACAGCAGCTCTAATGCCAAATCTCTAGCCCGGGGATCCTTGATGAGTTCTGGCCGAAGCACCGAGGTGAAGACACGAAACGGGTTCTTGTGAAGCGACGTCTCCGTCTTTGGCCTGAAGCAAGTCGCGTGCATGGGTAATCCGGCAGGAGAAAGATCGTAGTACCCGACGGGATAAAGCCCGATGAGGGCGAAGATCCGGCGGACGGTACGGAGCTCGTGAGGTGTTCCCAATCTTATCGCGCCGTGCCTCTCAACATCAAGTCTTGACGACGCGACATCCCCGTAGCGCATAGCGAGGACTTTCGGGTCGAGGGCACTGCCGAGCGTCGACTGGTTGACGTCTCCGACAATGCGGACCAAGTCGCCGTAGAGGGGGACCTCGTTCTTGTACATGGCCGACATGGCCAACGTGAAGGATGTTCGCAAGTCATCGCGGTCGACCCACGATGCCTCTGGCGAGGATTGATCAATTGCGCTAGGAGCCATTGTGAATAAAAACTGCAAAGAATATGGCACAATTACTATCTTTGTGATCTGGGATCGTCCTCGTTATAAGGCGCCCGAGGAGCTGATATGACGCTCCGTTATCTACGACCAAGATAAGTAGATACGATATCTGCCGATGACTCTTCGATAAGGTGTCGCCCTCAATCATTACCGGGGATGCAGATCTGCACCTGTGATTCGTGATCCGATCAAGTGATAAAGCTCCGAATATCGCCGCGTTTAGAAACGGCATTGTTCGGCCCAAAGGGACTGTGAGCTCCTACTATTCGGTAGCTGAGTCGCGGGCGAGACGTCATTCCGAGTTCGGTCGGCAGATGCCTTTGTGAGACATTCAGTGCCACCTAAGCCAAAGCAGGCGTAGGGCATTGGTGAGAATAAAAGACTACTGGATCTGGCTTCCGGGTCATGTATTTCAACGTCATTCGTGTCACTAAGCGAACAAGCTTAAAAGAAGGCTGCAAGTGTATACAAGCTGAATCCTAATGAACGTACAGTGGGCGAGACATGAAGCTGCACCATCCCAGAGGAAGTGCAAGTGGACAGTGTGAGCGGAATCATGAAAAAGGTAAAAAGAAAACCGATTGCCTCTTCCTGGCCACTATTTGGTGCTCCAGTATTTGCTTTCACGGTGTGAGACGGGTGTGAGGTTTCGCCACCTTGCCTAATTCGACCACTGCGACAACGCAAATTCAGTCCAGTATAAAGGTGATAAGCAGAACTCGAATCTGAAGGAGAATTTGGACCAGTCATCTAGTTATCCATCAGCATCGTTGAGCAGAGTGGGGTCCCCGCAGACCCCCAGACACGTCGACGCCGGAGTTGCGGAACTGGGGGGGGGGGGGGGGGGGGGGGGGGCTGCAGGCGAGAATAATGATGATGGTGGTAGAGGTGAAGAATGCGAATATTGAGAATCCAATTCTGAGCCCGCTTGTAATTGCCTGGGATTAAGCGCCGGCTAAGACTGCAGATTGGTGCCGTGCTGAGTGACATCGGCCAACAATGGCTTATCCGTTCGTCGTAGAATTAGCTTGTCCGATTACTGACGAGAACGTCGCCATTCTGGCAGAAGTACTGGAATTTCCCTGTTGGAGCATATTCTAATATTGAATTACCGTCCTCGCCGCGAGCAATCGGGATAGGACAGGGCAAGGCTCCCTGTCCGGACGACGTTCCGTTGTTAGTTGGAGGCAGCGGCACGCGGGCGCCCTAACCTCGACGGTTAGCCACCAATGGTGTTGTCAGACGTGATGACGAAAGAGGACAAAAGACGTCTAGAGAGCAGACTATTACATGGCCATGTGTTCGGTCTGCTGTCTCGCCTGAACTTGGCGGGGCCATGATGCGGGCTGAGATGTCGGCACTGCCATGCGGTTGTTGACTGCGGGCCCGGGTCGTTTCTTTCGCGAATAAGAATCCAACCAAAGCTTGGCAATCGTGAGGCTTTGTCGGCAACAAGGGTTCGGGTGTGTTAGATGCAGCACTCATGAGGGGGCTGTGTGCAGGGCAGTTTCGACAGTGGTGTTGGGCTTGCTGTGCATTGCTGAGAACCCAATCAAAGCCACTATCCCGGCCGTTGTCGTCCGCCCAGCCTGCAAGGCAAATGTCTTTGGGGCTGAGTAGGGTTCCACCTCCTGGGTTAGCCTTCTAGATTCTGTTTACGGCTGTCCATCTCCTTGGTGTAATGGGTTCCAGGTAATTTCCTCAGCGCAGTCACTCGAAGTGACCGCGCAAACAACCTACAATCGCCACACGTACATACGCCACGGCGTACTTAAGAAGCCATACATCCCATGTAATTCACGAAATGTGCAATACTGTGCATTCACTGAGCTCCAAAGATCAACGACTCTGGAGTTACAGCAACAACGAAGCACGTCATGGGATCGAAAGCCAAGGCCAAAGTCAAACCCAAAGCCCGCCGCAGCGGAGGACATACCCATCAGTCATCCCCCCCACCACCACCGCCGCCTCCGGGCCCAACGCCGGAAACGATCAAAAAACTCCAGGATGCCGCTCTCGCCTTTTTAGGCGATGGAGATGGCCAGCCGCCGTGTGGAGTGTCGCAGACGCACTTGTGCACTCTTCTGAGCAGACTCGGCTATGAGGAAAGAACACGACACGGAAGCCACGTCACGTTTGGCAAATCGGAACAGTCCGATTTTCCAAATCTTGGAAAGGACAGCATCACTCTCGTTATGATCCACGGGAGACGAAACATGAAAGCCGACCGTGACAAGCTCAGGCAGTGGAGGGACGCTCTCGAGGCTGCGGGAATAACCTGGGAGTCGATTCAGGAAGAATGCCGACAACATTCAGAACGGCAATCGCGAGCTTGAATTCGGAGCCGACCACACGGTTCGCCAGTTGGCCTTGCCAGGAACGAGGTCCTTTGGAACATTTCCCAGTTGTCTCTGTCTCGGCGTTTACATGGCGCACCGCATCCCTGTTTCAACTTCAACAGCGTCGTTGCCATCGCGCCACGAACATAGCCGCCAAACGGAGAAGCCAAGGACCAAGACTCGCGCAGCGGCACGACCATCGCGCATCATGCACCGGTTTTCGACAAACGGCGGCCTGATGTCACCCTGCTTGAGCATGGGGCGCTCGACGAGTATGAGGGCCTCAACAAGCCATGAACGAATCCCCGGGAGCAAAAAAAACGAGTCATTCCCGTTCCACGACCTGGATTTCCAAATGAATCTCCTGCTTGGTCTAGGACATTCGGTTTCGCCTCCGAGATTTGCAACGACTTCACTTGCCGGCCGTCGACCGTCCCAGCTCACCATGATCTTCATCCAGCCCGCAACCAACACCAGCACCGAAAGCCTCAGCGAGTTCCGGTTCAAGACGATATTGGTGTCCACCCTCCTCGAGGTCAGGGTCCACACCATTGTCCCGGAGCTGCAGGAGGAGATTGACTGGGGCGATGGATGTATAGCCTGCTTGGTATCTTCACTGGTTAGAAACCAAGACCGACTGCGCGATTGGGGTGGCAGACATATGTGTGTACATTCATTGCAAGGTGGATTGCAAGGTGGATTACCAGGCTGGAAAAAATTCGCAGGTTAGGCTCGCCACATGCAACAGCCCCGACAGGCCCCCCGGGAGGCTTCCGGGGCGAAGCAAGCCCAATGCCACTGTTGAAGGGAGCCCATCACCACCAACGGGGCTGTGACCACAGGCAGCCAGGGCCTAGATCATCACAACACACATCTTTCATCTCTTCTCGATGACTCCCACCACATCACGGCCACGCCGTAGCATCTTTGCTCCACCCTTAACAGCTCCAGCCAGTTGGGTGTCGCATCAATGATATCCTCCCAGAGTGGAGATGGATATCTGAGTGGCGACACTATGGGCGGAGATCTGCAGGGTCCCAGTCGCTTCTATGCCCCAGACCTGACTCTCTGGCGGAAATGACCTGTAAGCCATTTGGCACGAGAGGGTAGCCCAGAGTGACATACTGGGCATGCATTGCGTCGCAGCAATGCGGAAAGAGTCCGATTAAGCACGTAGAAGTAGTACCCATGATCTGCTCCCTTGCTGGCTCAGGCGATACAGGATCGAACTTCTGACGATGGCCTTGGTAGGACGAGCTACTAAAATTGGCACGTAGTGGTCGTTTCGTTGCTCATCGCCCCGTGAGGTAAGTCCCCCTACCCAGCTTCCCGTCCTTGCTCTGCGGCCCGACGTTTAGCGTCTCTGTCGTGGGGGTACCCCAGATGACGCATTGGCCTGTGTGGAAGACTACCCCTGGGAAGAGCGTTGCTGTCGGCCATGATTCAAGAAGAGTGGCACACTTCTTGTTTTCTTTCAGCGAGCTCATGCAAGTACTCTGCAGTATCATTGTGATGTTCTGATTGATGTGTGATGTCCTTGTGGCGCTGGTGGGTGCTGAGTCTTGGATGTTGCCATTCCAGGTAGTTGGTCTTGGTACAGTGCGCTGCCGCGGAAATAAGTGTAGTTGCACCGTGTGTCACTCCTCCGGAGGCTCCTCAGGCAGGTGCTGGAGCAAAACACTCTTCTAAGTCATTCCTCAAAGTACTTTCCCAGCTGCCCAGTGCTCACCGCAATATAACCTCGTTTTTTTTTCTCATTTCAGACGAAAGCTGTAGCCAATACTATAAACCCGACTGGTTCCAAGCGATCAGGCTATGCTCAGGTCTAAACATAGCCAAATCTGAGACTAATCTAACTTAACCGTCGCCGCCACCCCGCTCCGTAACAGCCATGTCTCAAGCAGCACACAGCGGCAGAAAGCCACGGGTGGTCGCCCTCGGCACCCCCAAATTCGTCGGCGACGACTACCTAGCCGAGTTTAAGAAGGACTTTGACTACGCTGTCCGTATATCCATCCCTCTGCTTCAGGAACCGGTAGTCAAGCCGATACCATCCCATGTAACTGACCCTCGTACGAGCAGGTCCTCGATGTGAAGAACCATCAGGAAACATTGGAGAGACTGCCGGCTATGATCAAGGAACATGGCCCTATCGATGCCTTCATTATTCGGATGGGCAGAGGTCCTTACCATCCATTCAACGAGGCCATGTTTAAACCCCTCACCCCGCACTGCCGCATTATCGCGTCAGCGGCCGCCGGCTACGACGACTTCGACATCGACTGGCTAACGCGGAACAATATCTGGTTCTGCAACAGCCTCGATGCGGTTGCAGAGGCCACAGCCGACATGGCCTTCTTCTTGACTCTCGCCGTGATACGGGACACATCCCGGGCGGAGCGCTGTGCGCGCGAAGGCCTGTGGAAGGATCCTGTTGTTCCCAGCAAGGACCCGTCGGGAATGACGCTGGGCATTGTCGGCATGGGTGCCATTGGCAAGCATCTGGCGAGACGGGCGGCCGCATTCAACATGCGGATCAAGTACCACAACCGCCGGCAATTGGGTGCAGACGACGAGGCCAAGTACAGTGCGACATACTGCGCGTCCCTGCATGAGCTGCTCAGCCAGTCCGATGTCGTGTCAATAAACTGCCCACTGAATGCCGAGACGACAAATCTCATCTCGACCAAAGAGTTCGCAGCGATGAAGGATGGATCATTCATCGTCAACACGTCTCGTGGCCCTGTGATTGACGAGCCGGCTCTCATTGAAGCTTTGGAGAGCGGCAAGATTGCACGGGCTGGGCTTGATGTGTTTTGGAACGAGCCAAACATCAACGAGTACTTCAAAATCAGCGACAAGGTCACTATTCAGCCTCATGTGGGAGGATTGACCGATGCGGCGTTTCAAAGGGGTGAGAGGGAGTGCTTTGAGAACATCAAGGCATTATTCAAGACCGGACGTCCGGTTGCTCCAGTAAATGAGGTAGCTTAAGCTGGCTACTGATAGTTGTAATCATCAACGGTTAGATTCGGCATATTAAAAAAGGAATATGCCTTGTCAGGTACGAGGCATAATTACGGGCTTTGTGATGTGACTCCGCCTCATGAGTGCCGAGCCGCAAGAGCCTTGAGCCAATCCTCACTTTCTCGTCCAAATGACTTTACCTGCCTCTGAAAAGTAGCTTGGTGGCGAATTACGAATAACCACTCCTCTCCGTCACGGCACGCATTGGCTGCTGTTTTGAAACACAATACGGCAGTCCACACTACCTCGACATATAATGAGTGAGTGGCAGAGCTTACCGGCGAAGCTCTGAAGCATGAAACGCACGGAATGACGAACTTCGGCTTGGGGCTGCAGCGATCACGGTGTCGTTTGGAACAACTGTGACATCATCTTGCTCACTGATGCCAATCCGTTGCCGGATTTCACGGGGCCAAATCTCTGGGAGCTAAGTGGAATAATGATGTTTTAGGTATCAGAGTAAATTTCCTCAGGCCTAAAAGGTCGGGGGACTGTCAATAAGGAGAAGGGATCAGGTATATAGCCAGCTGAACAAAAGCATCCTCAGCTAAACAAGAATATCCTCCGCCAAACAAGCATCCGTCTCACACAACTCCGGGCTTACCAGCAAGTGCCACAACCCTTCTACCGAGAGTCACTGACGCCAAACGCTCTCCTCCACGCCTTGCTCTGGTACGGATCCTTGAAGAAAATCACCTGCACCGTCATGTCGTCCCGCACATTCCGGCTCATCGGCGCGTACGTCGTCACGGCGCCCAGGAACAGCTTCCGCCGCGATCCGCCGAGCGCGTTCTTGACCAGGCACACGGCCGCGCTGTCGAGGTCCTCGATGGCAAAGTGCTCCGGCGTGGCCGTCCAGCCGTCCTGCAGCCCGCCGACGTGCTTGGTCTCCTTGACCGGCTCGGGCTTGCCGGCCTTCTTGGCCGCGAGCCAGCGCGACACGCAGGTGACGGCGTCTTCGTTGCTGATCATGTCCCAGAGGCCGTCGGACGCGAGGATCACAAAGTCGTCCGTCTGGATCTGGCGCGTCGTGACCTCGGGCTCGGCGGACATGTACGGGGGCGTCAGGTACTTGGGCCGCGGGCTGGTGCCGTAAAAGTCCTCCTTTGCCGTCGTGATCTGCTCCTTGGTCCACTTCCAGCGGTGGTCGCCAAAGGCTCTCGTCACCGCAAGGCCAAGAAGCCGGCCGGAGCTGGGGCTCAGGATGTCGTCTTTTTCACCCGGGTGCTCGCGGTCGATGCGGTCGACCTCACCCTTGTTGAAGCCGGTCTGGTCGACGCTCAGCTGGTCAGCTTGGAACTTCTGGGCCGTCGCCGACCAGGCGCCGCGGACAGCGCGGGAGTCTCCCGTGACAGCAGTGCGAAGGGTCGATGTCTGGGGATCGTAGATGGAAAGAAGGGCACAGCTTCCGGCGATGGCGGGGGCAATGGCCGAGATGACCTCGGCGGCACCAGGCTCGTAGCCAGCCTTGATGGCGCTGGTCGCATCAGCAGTGATGCGGTCATCAAGACGAACAAAGGCGTTCTTGATAGCGTCGTCCACCACGTTGCCAGAAGTCTCCGCAGCCACGCGGGACAAGGCCGCCGACACATACGAGACGAGGGACTGCTTCAACACCTTGGAAGTAGCCCAACCACTACACGGAAAGATCCGAATCAGCTCTTGTTCGACCCGACATCTCCCCGGCAGGGATACTTACGCGTGCCCATCGTAGACTCCCGAATAGAGAGTCTTGGCCCCGTCGACGCCCTTGGCCACGGCGAGATCCCACTCGTCCTCGACGGGGTGGTTGCTCGACACGCGGACCACGTCCACGCGGCCCTGCACTTTACCCTGGCCCTCGAAGACGAAGCTGCGGGCTTCCTTGCGCAGCTTGGCATCGGCGGCTTTGAGATCGAGGACTTCCACGGGAGACTCGACGGGCACCAGCTCCTCCGACGCGGCGGCTTCGATAGGCGGGACGGGTGAAGGCGCAGAGTCACGCACGTTGTCGTACACAGTCCAGACTATCTGAATCGCAATGGCCAGGAGAATCAGCCGCCGCCACTCCTCCCGGGTCTTGGGGACCTCCTGCCACAACCGCCTCTTGGTGCGCTCCCACTTGGAACTCCTCGCCGCCTCGGCCGCGCCCGTGAAGGGCTTGCCGGCACCGGCCTCCGAAGTCTTGGGCGTTCCGGTTGACGAGAGGCGCGTCCACGTGGCAGAAGGCGCGCGAACTCCCCGGTTAATCAACAGCCGCGCCGCCCACGCATTTCCCACAGGCCTGCGAATCATGGTGTTGCCGGTGCGCCTTCAGTCACGGTCGTCGCTCCGAGCGTGAGGAACGAGAGGTTGGTTGGTTGGCTGTCTGGGAACCCGTTTGCTAGACGAGTCGCAAAGCGCTAACCTGCCGCGAGACACGATGAAAAAAGTGCAAAAAAAAAAAGGATTAAAACTACCGAGACACCGGCTTGGAAGGACGTCGCGTAAGACCAGCAAGGCTATGGTCTCGGAGAAGGGAGTTTGTTTGCTGGTCTGTCACTTTGTCTCACGGAACAACGCTACACTAGATAGTGGCCAGCAAACCAGAATGGCGGAAATTATCCGGCTACCCTGCACCTGACAGGGTATTGTTACGTCTTGAGTGGTTTGACATCATTAACAGCAGATATCAGATGTGTTTTAATGCGAGTTTAGTTTTTTGCTCTTTAGACGAATGGAAGCTATTAACATGTTTCATTATCTTGTCTTTTGTTTCGTTGACTCTTCTTGGTGTTGAACAGACAGAGCTGCTTCGATTTGAAGATCTGAGGTGGATCTTATCTGGAACCAACAGCGGTGTGTACTATCAAGCATCAGCTGTACAGTCCATCAAACAGCCTTCTAACCACACCGCAATAATACAGCAACACAGCAACACAGCACAAGTTCATTCATGAGGAATCACACATTTATTGCCCGTAGACCCAGATATGTAAAACGCCATAACCGCAACCCAATGGTAATCAACCGCCGCGAAAACAGTTTTAGAAATTGTTGGCAATATCCTCTTGCTCGTCCTCCCACTCGCCGTCCTCCTCCATTTTCTCGTGGACCTTGTACTCCGCGTCGCCAGCCAATCCCTCGCTGTCGAACTCCTCCACATCCATGTCGCTGTAGTAGTCATCGGCATCGTCATCGTCGTCGCCCTTGCCGCCGTTCTGCTCCTTGGCCTTCTTCTTCTTCTCGATGTTGTCCTTTTGCTCCTTCTTTCGCGCCTCCTTCTCCTGGTTCCGCTTCTGCCATCGCTTCTCTAGCTCCTTGATCTCCTGTTGGCTCTTGTGCACATACTCGTGCCACATAACCTTGCCCGAGCAGAGACCTTCCTCGACCTTGGTCAAGCGCAGGCGCATTCGGGGGCCAAGCTCAACGAGCTTGACGGCGCGGCGCTCAACGTTCTCGTCATCCGCCTCGGGCTCAGCGTCGTTCTCGGCAGCCGCTTGCCTGGCCTTGGCAGAGAGAACTTTCCTGGGCGCAGACTCGAGGATCTCAACCTCGGCATCGGTGTCGAGCTCACTTCCACTGGTCGCATCCGTCATGTAGCCATCGCCGTTGTCGCCGCCAACCAAGAAGTCGGCAATGTCCTCAAGCTTGCCCAGGTTGGGCATCTTTCCTTTCTTGCTCGTCTTGGTCGACAAAAAGTGCTCGGCGGCATTCAGCCTTCGCAGGGGTTTTGACACACCCGTTGACCGTGTGGTGATTGCGTAGTGTCTGAAGTTCACGATGAAGGTGCCATCATCTTCCTCCGACGCCTCGCGGTTTAGGAGGAGTACTCGTCGAATCGACTTGAGCGGCGTGGCTTGGGGGTTGATGGGCGGGAAGAGGGACTGGAAGACGGTGGTGGCAAGGGACTCGAGGTGCTTGGGGACTTTGGATTTGGAGTCGGCGCCGGGGGTAGTGAAGTTGTTCATGACCAGCTGGAACGGGTTAGCGAGGCGAGAACTTGAGATTTACAGCGAGCTTACCAGAGGAGGAGTGATGTACTCCTTGCCGCCGCCCTTGGGGTGTCTTTGCGCCCTTTGGACATCCTTGCAGAGTGAGTACTTCTCGACCCGGAAGTTCAGCGTCGGGCCTCGAGGTGCGAGGGCCATTCGCAGGTTGGTGTTGCCGCTCTCGGACCGCGAAAATAGCATCAAGTGGGTGACACCCAGAGGACCGGCCATGACGGCGTAGTCCCTGAGCCTGTTGCCTCGACGCTCCTTCAATCGGCTGGCAGTGCCGGGCTCCATGACCCTTCGCACGTCGGTTGCGAGCTGGCTGATGCTGGACCCGACTTCGCCGGCTCCAATTCGGATGACCATGCTCTTGGGGTCCCGCGCGTTGGCATGGCCGGGCGCGTCCACCTCCGGGTTGTTGGCACCCACGTGGGTTCTCTTCTTCGTGCGTTTGCGGGCCATGATGAATTGAGTTGGTGGTGAATGCGTGCAGTGAAGCTTCAAAAACCTGCAAACCAGAGGCTGGGCCTTTGTCGCAGGCGCAAGGAAAGAAAAAAAGTTTGGCGGGGATTGCGATAAGACTAGCGCACGTGCGATAACGAAACCCCACTAAAATTTTCTCGACCATGATGCTTTCTCTCAGCGAAGTTAGTTCTGCGATATTGTCACTCCGCAAATCGCCCAAGATGGAGAGCTCAAAACGAAGAAAGACGGCGCATGATGCGCCCAAGAAGAAGCCTGTCGTGGAGGACCCTCCCGTCAAGGCCACTCCCGAACCGTCTGAGGAGGAATCGGCTACTCTGGAGGCCCCGTCTACCGAAGAGGATGCTCCCAAGAAGACGTTCAAGGACTTGGTGAGTTGGATTGATCCCGATGACGATAATGGCCGCTGACTCTCCCCAGGGAGTTGTAGACGCTCTTTGCGAAGCCTGCGAGGCTCTCGGTTACAGGTATCCCACCCCGATCCAGGAGAAGTCAATCCCCGTCGCGCTCCAAGACCGCGACATCATTGGTCTCGCCGAGACTGGTAGTGGAAAGACTGCGGCCTTTGCCCTGCCTGTCCTCCAGGCCCTCCTCGAAAAGCCCCAGCCGCTGTTCGGCCTCGTCCTCGCCCCGACCCGAGAGTTGGCGTCCCAGATCGGCCAGGCGTTTGAAGCGTTGGGATCGCTGATCTCTCTACGATGCGCCGTCATTGTGGGTGGACTGGATATGGTTCCGCAATCGATTGCCCTCGGCAAGAAGCCTCATATTATTGTGGCGACTCCTGGCCGTCTGGTGGACCACCTTGAGAAGACCAAGGGCTTCTCTCTACGGACGCTCAAGTATCTGATCATGGACGAGGCCGATCGTTTGCTCGACATGGACTTTGGTCCCAGTATCGACAAGATTTTAAAGTTTATTCCCCGCGAGCGACGAACGTACCTCTTCTCGGCCACGCTCAGCTCCAAGATTGAGAGTCTGCAGCGAGCCAGTTTGAGGGACCCGGTGCGAGTGAGCATCAGCTCCAGCAAGTACCAGACTGTGTCGACTCTACTACAGCACTACGTTTTCATCCCGCACGGCCAGAAGGATACCTACCTCATCTACCTCATCAACGAACACGCTGGCCAGTCTTGCATCATCTTCACTCGCACTGTCTGGGAGACGCAGCGAATTGCCATCCTGCTGCGAACGCTGGGCTTTGGCGCAATCCCGCTCCACGGACAGCTATCCCAGTCAAATCGTCTGGGTGCGCTCAACAAGTTCCGGGCTGGTACCCGCGACATCCTCGTCGCCACCGATGTTGCGGCCCGTGGTCTTGATATCCCCAAGGTCGACGTGGTTCTCAATCTCGATCTTCCCCAGGACTCCAAGACATATATCCATCGTGTCGGACGTACAGCCCGTGCCGGAAAGTCCGGTGTGGCCATCAGCCTGGTCACTCAGTACGATGTCGAGATCTACCTGCGAATCGAGGCGGCCCTGGGCAAGAAGCTTACGGAGTACCCGTCTGCCAAGGAGGAGGTGATGACGCTCCAGCCCAGAATCGAGGAAGCGCAACGCCACGCGAGGAACCAAATGAAGAATCTGACGGAGGAGAGGGGCAAAAAGGGCAGCACGCTCAAGGGCGGAAAGCGAGGACAGCGGGATGGTCCTAAACGCAGGAGGGACGAGATGGACAAGGAGGAGGGTTAGGGCATCACAGACTCACTAGTAACTTAATGATCATCACTGTTTCAATGGCCAAGCCCACCTTGCAGGCGGCCGCTCCCGACTTTGGGGATATATTGAGGGGCAAATGCGCTGCGCTGGTGTTTCAACTCCACCAAATTTGATGTGACAGGGAAACAGGATCGCCCTTATTTTCCCTGGCGAAGATGGCCCACTACTCCTACTGCTGTGGCCCATGGTGTTGGGCCCGGAGCTACACGACAGTTAAAGTGATAGTTATTTTAATGAGAATGGACTGTCTTGGCATAATAAGTAGGCTGTCAATAGGAATTCCGCAATCCTAAATTCCACTGTCTCTGAGCTCATCCCACTTGCGTATCAAGCTTCATCTCAAGCGACAGGTGGTATCCCACCGTACGACCGACCCGAGCGAGATGGGCAACGCGTGTTACTCAGGCACGACTCAGCCCTATACCTCATCGCTTCTCCCGTCTCATTGCGACCGCAAGTGGCCATGAAGGATCGCCGTGTGGTATTAATTAAATAGCAGACAGCAATTGAGGCCCCGAGTTAGCTGCCCAGCACCAAGCCAGGGGCGTGCTCATCAGTTCGAAACATTCCCAGTGGCTGTGGCAGTGCGCTTCTACCGAACGTTCCGCCGCCAAGCCCCCCGAAGGATCGCCGCATCTGCGCCAGGGCTGTCTTTCAACGTCGTCCCGTACGCCAGCTCTCGTCTAAGGACGCCCTGTGAATGGTCGTCGCAGGGCGTTGTTCCCCGCCTGTTGTTTCATCTCCGCGCTGTCGGCGTCGCGCGCACAGAGGCCGTCGCATCCCTGTCGCGCAGGGCGGCCGCTCCCGGGCAGCCGAGTTGCTGAGGCGGGCGACGCAGGAGATGAAGGGCCGCTGTGAGGAGCTGGGCTCCGTCTGGGTTGTAGAATAGTGTGAGACACTGAGTTGCGATTGCTAGCTGAGGAATCTAGCGCCTGGGCAGATATGCGGCCTCGTACGGCGGCTTACGGGGTGGCAGTGTATATAAGTCATGGTGTTGCAGTCACCGAAACACTGAGACAGCCTCATCGCCTTCAGTTCAACCCTCCTGGTTCGCTTCTTCTGGTGCCTAGTTTGCACCGTACTTTCATTAAAATTGACATTGTCAAGTAAATTCAATCTCTCATTTTCCAGTCAATCATTCAAACTCCAACATGCACTCTTCCGCTATTCTCCTCACCCTCGCCACGGCGGCGAGCGCTCACATTGCCTCTTGGAACGCGGGCATGTACTGCAAGGTAAACATATCGGGCGTAACTCTCTAGCAATCACATCTAACTCCGTTCTAGAACGGCAACCAAACGGAAGTCGACGCCCCCAACACCAACCAGGCCGTCAATCCCCTCTACAACCTCACCAAGGCCGAGTGGTGGATGCAGGCCGACCGCGGCTGCGACCTCACCCCCCCTGCCGACGGCGAGTTCCTCGAGCTCCCCGCTGGCAAGTCCTTCATGACCGAGCTGGCCAACAACCGCGCCTTCACGACCCTGTCCTACGACGGCTCCCTCGCCACCGACTGGCAGGACGGCAAGAACCGCTCCATGCCCTGGAGGGGTCCCGGCAACCCCCCCGGCTGCCTTATGGACGGTGGTGATGGCTCTGGCGGTGAACTGCACACTCGCAGCATCGAGTCGACTGGTGGTACCGCCTGGGCTATTTCCTACGAGAGCGATATTTCCAAGGTTACTATGGATAACCTTGTCGTCTTCTCCGTGCGATACTAGTACGTCTCTTCCACCGGGTATCTCTATGATCCAACCAACTAACTCAGCTCAACTCAGCTCTCCCTTCTTCCGCAAGACGTGGTATGACGTCCCCGCCGATATGCCCGAGTGCCCCGAGGAGGGCTGCTACTGCGCGTGGCTCTGGATCCCCGATGGCTGTCAGTGATATCCCTCTTCACCCACCACTTCCAATACTAACACCCACACAGGTGGACAGCCCAACATGTACATGCAGAACCACCGCTGCAAGGTCACCGGCAGCACGTCCACCAAGAAACTCGGCACGCCCAAGGCCCCCGTTTGGTGCCGCGACGATCCTTCCAAGTGTGTCGCCGGCCCCAAGCAGATGATGGTCTGGCACCGTAAGTGGAATACCCTCTGAGTCTTATGTGGATACGATTACTGACTTCGGTTGCAGAGGCCGAGGGTGACAACGTCGACCCCCCTAACAACCAATCTCCCACCTACAACCAGCGCATGGGCTTCATGGATGGTGCTCAAGACGATATCTTCGCCTCCGAATGATAAGCAAGCCCTATTTGTCGTACCTAAGCAACGTGAGGACATTGTACTATACTGTATTGCATCCTTCTGGAAGGATTAGCCATCACTTCATTCTTCTCTAGGCATCGAGTCGGGTTTTCAATTTACAACTGATCCTCGGGCCCCCATAAACATTAACTATGACAAATCTCTGATAGTATTTGCTAGGTGACCCCCTGATCCTGAGGATAGTCTCGTGAACAAATATCCTCAGGGGCCATTTGTGCGGTAGTTATTCGTCATGGGTGTTGAGTAGGAAGGGTTAGCAAGCCTAAATGCGAATGATGTAAAAAAGCATGGAGTAAGAGAAGGTCTTGGTGTGGGACAGTTAAACGGTCTTTTCTAAGTTATTCCTAAGATGTCATATCGATCGATCATGAGGTGAGGTTGAACAGGACTAGAGGCGCTCATGGTCTGGTCACGATGGGAGCGGAATGACGATTTGGGAGATTGATGGACTTGGCAGCTAAACAAAAAGAAGCGAATACAATTCCGGGCTCAAAATTATATTTGCAAACAATGGAGCGATGATTTGAAGCAAAGAAAAGAGAAAGGCACCCATTGTGCATGAATGATTACTTTCATCATAGTCGGTCCACCGCCGACAACAACAAGGAGAATTTGACATCGACCAATGCTTGTCTTTTCCACCAGTCAATTTCGTTCCGCCGCCTTAACAACAGTAGATCTAGTATGAGGGGCAACTCGATGAACATTTTGGATTGAAGGCGTTTCCTGTGCTTTCTCGGGTAGAGCCACTGATAGTTTTAGTGACAACACCCTGAGGCACGACTCTCTCCCTCCGTCGAATAAGAGCATAGACCCTATCTCAACTTCAGCCAATTCTCTCGATTTTGCACTCTCGTGGAAGGCGACCGAGCAAATACAAATGTCCCTAGTCGGCTCACCAAATTCTTCAACTTCGAAATGCGTCGTGGTTTGGATGGGCTCGGCAAGGATGCCCTCCCAAGAATATCTTGGAGGCGTTGCGGCGTGGTGATTGTAGTCCCCTCGACTTTCCCAGCGTTTTGCCAAATATTCAGCCATTTGAGGATCGCAGATATTAAGATGATTAAATGGGGGCGAGGGAATGACAAAACGATGATGGAGAGGGAGTTCTGTCGGTTCAGTTGTCTGCCTTGATCCATCCAGTAACTTATTTACTTCGTACCAAGGTCTAGATCCGGCAGCGAGACGAGGTGTCTCTATTTGAGAGCCAACACAGTGGAGCAAAGTTGATGAATGTCCTCAAAAGGCGTAGTGAGTTGCTTAAAATGGTAGCTGAAAACTGCTACTTCGATAAGGTAGTTGACCAGCTAGTACGGCATTGCTGATGTTAGAAATGATACGGTTCACTTCGGTCTGTAAGAATGAAGGGGATTACTTGCTCTATTAATCTTCCAGTGGAACTGAGAACCAACCTCAGGCATCGCCTGGATTGCAATCAGCCGATTAAAAGAGAGCCTTGCTGCGAAAAATATCGTGCGAGATAATGTGCCAACCTCGGAGAGCCCCCTCATCGCCACTTGGCTAGAGCTTGCAGGTGGAAGGCTGAGGGCCATGGGAACATATGCAACCGCCCTCGGATACGGATTTTGGTGAGTTTCCTTATCTGCCAGTTTACTAGCATAAAAGAACCCTACCGACTACAGTCCGCAAGGCTGGCCGAGCTCACCCCCTTTCACACCGCTCAGGGGATTTCTTCTTGTTGTAAAGCAGTTTACACCACCTCCACAATTGAGCTGGTCACCTATGTGCCGGTTGCTGTATGCGTTTTTATTAAAATGCTCCCGGCATCGTCGTCTATGCTAAAAGCCCACATGGCTATCAAGGAGCTTTGTAACCGGTGATCCATGATTCGGAATAGTCTGCACATGGTTGTCTGATGGCGAACATCATGGTTATCTGCGTCGGGGCGACGGAGCCACCTAAAACTTATGTCAAACAGACAATACGGCCGGGAGATGCTAGACTAGCCCGAGCAATGGTCACAAGTGACGTTGTAGATTCCTCCCATATCAAAGGGAAATTGTTTCAGTGTTTATTTTCACATTTATCTTACCCCGGGACGGCTAATCGCATCAGGTCTGGATTAGGCTGCTGCTGCTCCATGGACATGTAGTAACACATCTCTTCTGGCATATACACACACCTATATTTCCAACGCCCACCACTACTTCCAACCATCGTCATAGGTTGGAGGACCCGGGCTATAGCTAGAGGCCCCCCTGAAGGTATAATAACCTTGATCACTAGGAAGGCCGAACCAAGCCCGAAGACAAGATGCCACCCCACGACGACGGCCAGTATCATGATCACATAATTCCAGTGCTCCACGACAAGGATATCCCCTTGTACGGGAATCATTCCGTTGAGAATCTGAGTAGGGTTGATTTCAGCTGTCACAGCCACTACACCAATCGAAAAGCGGGCAATACTCATAGCCATAGAATTGGCGTAGCCTTCCACTGTGAGTCCAAATACAGACTGCGACGGGTATGTCTGGAACTGAACGTTCAAGTCTTGGTGCACCTCCGTCACATCGTAACCTTGGAGTGCAATTCCACCTGCAGCCATGGACCTGAGGCTTTCGCCCATTTTGTGCTCCGGTAGAGTACTGTTGAAGACGTTGCTCACCCTTGATGTGCAGTTGTAGTACCAGCTGTCAGCATCTGATACTTCTACAGCTGAGGCGATGCTGCAGCCTGGACCGCAGGTACTGCTCGTGTTTGTGTAGAAGGTCGTCTGATTGGAGCCGTTTGGCAATGGAAAGAAAACGCTGGCAAGTTTGCCGGATTTTGAGATAATAGAGATGTGATGATCTTGGTCGCCATTGAGATCCGATACGAGCGAGCTGTCACAAGAGACAGAGGCGATAGCCATTCGATCCGTGGTAGCAACTAGGCGTTGATGATCTTCCTCTTCTTCGTCATCGTTGTCGGTGGCGGCTGCCCATTCATGAAAGAAGTAACGGCAATCGCGTACGCCGCAGAACATGAGGGGATCTTGAGCAGTCTAAAGCTCCCCTGGGGAGGGTTGTTGATCCAGAGTCTCCGTGGTGTATGCCAAAGAAATTTGTCCAAAGCTATATGCACGCGTATTAACATTATGAAGCTTGGTAGGAACAGAACTAGCAATGAGATGTAGTGTAGCGTCAAGGCATCCGGTTGACTAACCTGTTTGCCGTGAACTCTTGAGCCGTTCGAGACGTTGAATTTGATTTGACCGTCGTTGCCGTCCGTAAAGTGCTCATGTCTGGTGTTTCGATTCTCCCGGGAGTAATTTGGAGGACGTTCCTGTCAGCTTGCTCAACTGAATAGCATAGGCCCATTAACGCGAGGCCGATTTGGGATCCCTGTGCTCGATCAATAAATAGATCCCAGGCAAGCTATTCGACGCACATAAGGCATCGAATGATTGGATATCTTCCGTACGAGTATCAGGAACAGCCAGAATATGGCAAAAAGATGCGTCGCTTTCTGACGCGTTTTGATAGAGAGGATTATGACGTGAAAGACACTCTCGGCCTGGAGGATTAGCTCGACCTGCAATAATCAGCTTCAACAAAACTCGTGCCGACAAAAGGAGGTTGAGAACAGAAGATATAGCATACCTGTCGACGGGAATAGTAACGACGACTTAGTAGCCACCATCGGAGCATGCTCACGATCTCGCCTAGACCCTTCGCAACCGAGAATCCAAGGGCAAGGGAGAGAGCCGTGATCAAGGCATTGAACTGGCGCTTCGTCGAAGTCGACATGATAGGCATGACCTCGGAGTAAAAATACAGGGCCGCGTATATTGCGAGTGAAATGAGCAACGTGACAAGCCATCCCAGCAATACTTTGATGAAAAGGACGGCTTGAGACCGACGGGCCGCTGAGAGACGAAGGCGGTTCCCATCATGTCCGCGATTTGTGGGTGTTTTCGGTATCGAGTCTTTAAAGGTGGCGCTGCAATCGCCTTCTGCACCTGGACATGCCCACATTAACTCTGGCTGGTGTTGAAGAATAATAGGGGAAGGGATCTCACTGTTTCTCAATGGAACAAATGGGTGGCTCATCTTTGCCAAAGGTCTTGCAGAATTCTGCCTAATGGACATGGACTGGAGAATCTGCCTAGCATAACGGGGCTTGGAGGGAATAGAGCAAGAGAGAGATTGTTTTGAGAGATACGAGCAGAAAAGACTAGACTGCCAAATCCCCAGAGTCAAGAAAGCTCCTCACCGAGTGTTAAGCGAAGTGGACCACGTATCGGCTTCCCCGAGCTGATTTGAAACTCGAGTCACGGATGTCGCAGAGGCCATCCACTCGCTGCGCCACTACGAGGCAAAACGCCCGATGAGGATAAATCCAATGCGACGATTGGCTGAGAGAAATTGGTAATAATACCCAGGTATGAATAGTGCATGTCAGTTGGGATACGGGGCGACGGGTCTTCCCTCTCGGTCCGATCGGCTCATCTCCCACAGGGCGTAGCGCGCGAGGCATCGAGCGGTGGACGTGATTTCGAAACTCCGGGGCACCAATGGCCGAAGTACAAAGTTTACGACGATTTCAGACTTGGGAGAATTGTGGGTCGTATTGTTGTTTGGACAAGCCTCTGTCTGTCTCCTGGTTCTATACTGTCATGACAAGTCAGGCTCATGGGTGATGCTGGTGGGGCAAATGAGTTTGTCAAGGCACTTTGGGAGAGGCAAGGCGCTCTCGAAGCCAAGGTATTTTGACTGGGATTCTTCGGCACCTAGGAGGCCCCTGGGATATGATACTCTTACCGGTTTTCTAAACAATGTGTCTGACTATAAAGGCGAGCAAGCAGTACGTCTGGCTTCTGAGGCTAATCATAACTTCTACTTCCTCTTCAGCTGTGTCATCAAAAGCTTCCGTCTTTCGTTAAGACTACTCATCTATCATCATTATCACTTCTATTCTCTTCACCATGAAGTTCTCCCAGATCCAGCTTGCGTCTCTTCTCGTCTGCGGTGTCATCGCACAGACCGAGACGACGACGGCCTCTTCGGCTTCGTCGACAGACTTGCCTGGCCTACTCTCCCAGGTCCCTAACTGCATCCTTGGCTGTCTTCCTAAAGTGGGAGAAGAAATTGGATGCAAGAGCACAGACTTAGAGTGCCTCTGCTCCGACATTGGAGCTCTCGTTGCGCACATGGCAACCTGTGTGCCTGGTAGCGGGTGTGGTATCAAAGACGTCAGCGGTCAGTAATATTTGTGCTCATTGCGCAACATCATTCTATTTCAGTTCCAAGACTAACATAAATTGTTATCGATATAGACGGCACTGATCTCCTTCTACCTGTCTGTGATGCCATGAGCTCTTCCCCCGACTCCGCCGCTGTTGAGTCGGCCTCCAGCATCATTACTGCGGCTATTGGACCGGCTACTGCTACAACGACCTCCAACCCAGCCGCCATGATGGGGGTTCCTAGCGAGGGTATTCTGGCTGCACTGCTTGCGGCGCTCCTGGTTTAATGTGGTGGACGCATGGTGGGACGGATCTAGAGATGATGCTCGAATTTCTCTGTCAATTACAGCTTGACCTCTACGATAGACTTGACTTGCTTTCATTGGTGTATAAATAGAAGACTTGAATAGATATCTACATTCCCTATCGATTATCCATAGCGATGGGGGTAGCTTGAATAGAATGTTCTGTACTCCCTCGGACAAGACAACGTCCCATATACAACGCCGTATTGTAGTACCTGATGGTCAGTGGTCCTGTTACTCGTGCCCCTTTTCCTCACAATAAGTGGATAGCGGCACCGTGGTCCCGAGATATTATGCGCGTCGATATAACCGCTCACGGCTCTTGGATCCCAGCAACTCTGTCCGTGCTTGTCGTGTTGAACCAACCCATAAATACAGACTCGGGTTTCCTTTCCTTGACCACGTCATTGTCTTCCACAACAAAATATGTGTGGCTCAAGGCGGCCATGCAAGCATGGGTGACCTGAAGCAAGACCTTGCCCCCAAGCTTGAAATTGACCCCGGCGGCTCCACACTGACATTACCGTAAAAACTGTCAACTCGCTCGTCTAAGTTAGATTCTCTCACAGTTTCTCCTCAAAAAGGGATAACCAATAGATTAGGCTGGTTGTGACGCTATCGCGGTTAACAGTGGAAATATAGAGACGCTAAGCTGCGAGAGTTTGCACATTTTTTACGGTATTGGCCAGACTCTTTTACAGCGCCCCACCAGTCAGTCCTAGCTTCGTTTCTCTCCAGCGCCTGATGTGGGAGCGCTGAGGCACCTCAAACTACCTGCTACCTGTGCCCATTAGATGGAAGGTCGATCAAACCCACTGTTAAGGGGATCAAGCTGCCAAGGCCGTACTAAATGCGGCGGTAGACTTTGTCAATTTATACGGGAGTCTCAAATCCAGGCTTTGTGAACAGGGGACCCGCCGCCCTGTGTAGACTCTTCACAGAAGTGTCCTCTCCTGGCCCGGAGCGGTTGCCCCTGAACTATGGGTGTGTGGTACAACATTGACGGCATTGACGGCATTGATGCTACGTAGTATGTGAATCTTGTGAATCCCCCCATTGTCCCGGTATCTTCATGCTATCAGCCCCAAACTCTAGGGTTTCGGAACCCCCGAACTCAATTGTCTTGAATCCTTCATTCCTCCAATTCACATCTGTCACTCCTGTATAGTCTTGTCACTTTTTACGTCCCCTCTGGCCGGCCGGTACGACGTAACTGAGGCTCAAGCATGCCTACAAGGGAAGTCACAGAGCGTAGATAGCTTGAGAGGTCAGAGATCACCAGAAGTCACCCCACGACCCCTCAAAGCCAGCACCTAGACTGATAAGACTACCCTGTGTGACCACCTCTTCACTCCCTATAGGGAGTATAATTGGGCTCTAATACCAGAGCAGCACACCACCTTCCTCTTGGGCCGCCAACCTTCCGAACTGATCGCGAATGTTGACTCCTGCCTGCTTAAATTCCTTCCGAAAATAGGCAAGGAAATCAGCTGTTCACCCACGGACTACAAATGTATCTGTTCTGACTCCGCAGGTGTTCGACTCTCCAGAGAATATGCTGGGAACGGCATTGTTAAGCAAGGCAGAGACAACAAAATGACGGTGGACTTGCCAAGCCGGCAAACTAGAGTAGAGTGGGTTGCATCACAAAACTAGGACTCCCCGGCCAAGCCAACTACCTAGGTTCTTCAATGCAAATGCAGCGAGGCACCCTGGAGTGGACCCGTCAAATCGTAACTATGTAAACATCTCTGACTGGTTTCTCTGCCCCGCCTACATCCTGTGACATGTAATAGCTCCTGCTTGTTACGGTCTTGCCCCTGCATGTGCTTGACCACGCGGAGGCTGCCAACTACGCTCAAGCTATCTCACACCCGCCAAGGCTGGACATTAATTCGGCTCTCGGCAAGATATCTCATGAGGCCATGAAGATTGTGATCATCGTGCACTAAAAGACCCCGGGCCAAGCAAGCATCTACGTTTCTGCGGGCTCCAAGTGACGTAACGGCGGTGATGCCCAGCCCTCCGCCACCGCACGAATACAGTAGCATCATGCAGTTGATGCTGCCGAACTTTCGTCATGGACTTTCACTGGCACGTTCAACCTAAGGCGGGGACATTGAGTAACGTGGGATTCTATACGAGATCAACCCTCCATCCCAGTAAGTTGACGGCGGTGTGCCTTGATATACGTCAGGTCGACTCTAGAAGAAACCTCCTTTTCATCATATGGCATCCCTTATTCAAAGGGAGTTCATATCCTCATCACCATCCCTTCCTCTTGTGCCTCACTCGAACTAGATTGGGCCTCCCGACTACTCTGACAACTATTTGCATAATGTACAGCAACGTTATATTTCTCTCTGCCATGACGGCAATGGCGTCGAGGGCTCTTGCCTCGAGCTCTGTTCCCCCACCAGATGCCCCAATCCCAGAACTGTACCGAGACTCGGTGCTCCAGGCTTGGGATAATTCAATAATTCGCTTCCGACGCGACATGACCCAATTCTCCCCTGACATCTACAAGAACACCGCATTCGACCAGGCCATAGGTGGGAACGGGTACGTTTGCCATGCCGATTTTCTTAGATTTCTATCATGGCCTAAAACTGACTCCGGTTCTATGTCGTTAGGGCTATTAACGTCTGCGTACGATGGAACTCTAACACGACCGTGACCGAGACTACCCGCCAACAGGTCGAGTCTCAGTACAGGAAGTTGTACAACTTCTGGTGGGAGTGGCTTCCTGGCTACGATAACTTCCCCTTCGACGAGATCAAGATCAACTTCGTTGGGTGGGCTGTGAGGGACCGCAACCAGTTGCAGGGCTCCCTCGACGGCCTCAATGTCTACACGGAGTTCAAGGATGATCAAGGCCTCCCTGATTGCAACCCTGCCTGCTGGGTCGAGGACCATCTGGACGGAAATTTTACTGCCTGTCCCGGTGGGCGCGACCACCGCTACCACCAATTCTTCCTCTTGAACTCCGCCTGGGGTGATATGAACATGGGCGCGGCCATTGGGTACGGCATCGACGTCAGTATGTACGGCTGGGAAACCGTCGGTAGCAAGATGGGATACTGGCCCTTGCTACTGCATGAAATGGTTAGTGACACTCGCCCCATGAGAGTAAACGATGCCAGGTAGAGTGCTTTGCTAAGACTTGCTTCAGGGTCACACAATCGGCTTCTTGGACTATCTCGACCTCGAAGGGAACGCTCCCCCGAACGGAACCAACCCTTTGTCAGTCTGCAGTACCCTTTTCCTTCCTCCGAACCACCCCGAGAACTTCGTCATGAAGCCTGGAAACGGAGGATCCATTACTCCTCCTACCGTCACCGAGATGGAAGGTTGGATGATTCGCTACTGGTGGACCCGGATTTCTCGTCTCCGCGGCTGGCAGGCTGATAACACAACATATCCCCCGCTGCCGGATTGCCCTTCGGAGAACTTTGACAAGCGATCCAGCCACCATTTTTGCTCCTTGTAATACTGGTAGCACACTAGAGTTCCTATGAGCTTCTAGTTGTGTGGCCAGATGAGCAGCGTTGGTTACAGGTCATCGGGCTCAGGAGGGTACAGTCCAGCCAAAGAGGCACTCGAAATTTCCTCGAACATACTAGGGGGGACTTTTTCCCATTTTTTTTATTCTTCGCTGTATTAGACAGCTCTTTCTTTTCCTGAGGTCTACTCAAGCAATAGAGGTTATAACTTTCAAGATTTTCAGTTGTCCTAGCGTCTTGACTACTTTTTGGTGTCACATTCCCTCCGTTGGACTAGAGAAGAAACGTACCAAGAAACCAGTTACGGCCACTGGCGGACTGCGAACTCTTAGCACAACTCGCTTATGGTAACATCGGGTTTTCACTCACATCACTTGCCACTAGCCCCTAAATTGAGCAATTATTACTGCAAGCGACCTCCGCACTTATTCTTGACATTCTGAGTTCATATTGAATCTACACTTCTACAATAAATAATACAAGGTCTATTTAAACCTAAACGGGTAGAACCGCCTTGCCACCGAGACTATCCGTTCTTCTAAAAAGCTTCCCTGCCGGAAAGCTGCTAAGCTGGTTTTTCTGACTCTTACTCTTTTTAACCAGTACTATTATCTAGAGTATTCACGGTATTTAGGGTAGGAACTGTGTAGCTCTAGCGGAGGCCGGCTTGCTCTCGGCTCTATCCAGCCAGATAATAACCACCTCCACTGAGCCGCGAGTGCCATCAGATTAACATCGGTTGCACAGCTGCTGAGATATATAATAACGGTGAATAAACACTCCACTCTAGAATGAAAGGAATACGCTGAAAGGTCAAAACATGCTATGTATTGCTTCTGTTGGCAGAAATAGAGGAGAAAGCATTCATTCAATGCACACTGGACATAAATATACAAGGGCTTCCCCCACGGCTAGTTGGTATCAAAGATATATCTAATGTTCGTCTTAAGATGCTATCTATCCATCTAAATGTAGAGTTGTTTTATTTTGTAACTGTCTACGAGACTCCGTTTTTATACCTACAGAGTAATAATATTTATTATGCCTTTAATAGTGAAATAAGCCCCTTAACTTATTATACAAGTGCTTTATTGATATCGATGTTGGAAAGGGATGGGAACTTGCGTTCTGGTCAACTTGTCATCTTATTCTTTCTGGTCTTGCCGTGCTACCCATTCATGATCCACAAAAGAATCGCCGGAATTCATCAACCAGAAATACTCCCCGAGTAGCTCAGCTGGAAGAGCGTTCGGCTGTAACTGCCACCTTCGTTACCGAAAGGTCACCTGTTCGAGCCAGGTCTCGGGGATTGTTCATTCTTTTTGCCTTTCCCAAGAATATCTTGTTCCTGTTCTTTTTGCTCATCTGGGATTTACTTTCTTTTCCTATTCCTGGTTGATGGAGATGATCTGGCCCCGGGTCGTAAATATGTTAAAGGAGTTGAACGCGATCGAGGGCAAAGCCTTGCGCTATAATTGGCGGCTAGGTTTCGTAGCATTTAGGCGGTTTGCAAAGAGAATTGACTCCCCAAAATGCGCATGGGGGGTTTACCTGATTGGGTTTGTGAGACACCAATCTGAGACACCTCGCCCGCTTGACCCATGCTTCCACACCTGTCAAACGTTTGTCTCTTTCGACAAATCCACCGCGATACGTATGGGCAAAACATTCTTGATTCGTTGTTCTTGACGAATTAATACAACAGGATAGCCCATAATATAACTTAAGGACGACCAACACGGGCACATCGTGTGACCGTGTTGACCATCAAATAAATATCCCGTTAACCTTCTAAAACTCCCACCGTAGATATAGCTAGCCTCATTATTGTACAATCATACCCATCTGCGAACCCCCGACCTTGGCCTCGAACTCCAGGCGCCCTACGCTTCTGGCCCTGGCGATCCCTCCGGGGTCGCGAGCGCTGTCGCCTCATCGTCTGCATCCGCCATCTCAGTGTCTTCGTGGCCGAGGTCTATTTCTTCTTCATCATCCTCTTCGCCCTCTTCAGCTTCTTCGGCTTCGTCGCCGTCCTCTTCCCCGTCACTCTCCTCCGCCTCATCGTCACCCTCGCTCTCGCTGTCGGCATCTTCACCGCTGGAGTCTCCACTTTCGGGAGAGCGACCAAGGTTGGGGAACATGAGTCCTGGAGGCATTTCCTCATCGTATCCCTCTGGTGCATCGCTCAAATCGCTCAAATCGCTCTCGTCGTCTGCGAAGTCGTGAATGCTGGCCCGTTCACTCTCGGCTTCCTCTTTCTCGGTGGCTTTCTCATCGCCAGCTTCTTCTTCAGCACCTTCTTCCTCAGCACCCTCTTCATCGGCGCCCTCATCTTCAGCACCCTCCTCCTCAGCACCTTCTTCACGCTCTTCAGCATCCTTCATGTCGGCATCTTCCCCAGCTTCTCGTCTAACTTGTGCATCAGGCCCATCATCATCACTACCAGCTTCGCTAACAGGCGGGTTGGGCGTGTGGCTTCCATGCTTGCTACTCGATACGCTGCCGACCCGGCTCTTGCTCGCCTTGGGAGCCTCCAAGGCCCGAACCACAGCTTGCTCTGCCTTTCGTAGGATATCAGGCCTTCGGACACCGGCCTTTCTTGGACGGGGCGCTGCTTCTTGCTTCTCAACTTCCATTGGTGTTGCGGTGCCGGTAACGCTTTCTTGTCCATTGGATGGATTGAGAAGGTTACTGAGCGAGCTGGCTGCTTTCGCCTCCGCCTGTGCGGCAGCCTCTGCCTGCGCGGCGGCCTCGAGCTGAGCGGCAGCTTCCTTAGCGTTGTTGCGCTCCTCGATGATCTTACTAGGCTCGGGACCAGGCAGGGTCTTGGCTACCTCGAGATAAATCTTCGAGTAGCAGTCGTTGAGAAGGTCATCAATTGGTGTGACCTTCATAAGGTTGGCGTTGAGCTTCTTCAGCTCGATAGCATCCTTCATACAGTTGAACACTGGGACCTCGATGCCATCGGTGGCTGCCCATTCCGAGATCCTTTCGCTGACAATGTCAAACTCCTCGCTCGACATCGTCTTGAACGTGTCATCCAGCACCGGAGCGACATGGTAGCCTTGTCGGAGGAGCTTCAGGTATGCCACACAGCACGACTGCCACAAATCGACGAAGTGGTAAAAGTCGGCACCCTTTTTACGCAGTCGCCTCAGGAGCTGTTCCATGTTGCTGAGGTCAGACATGATGACGAGCAGCCTGGTCATGAAGCGGACGTATTGTTCGGTGTAGACATGATGACGACCCGGTCGCTCGGCGTCGCATTTCCAGACATTCATCACCATGGTCTTGGTCACCATGCTTTCCCGGAGAATGGCAAAGGCTGCCCTGGCTTCAACGTTGCTATCGGAGCCTTGCAGCGAAGTCCCCTCATCAAACAGGATCTTCGCGTGCCGCATGATGATTCGGTGCTGCCAATTGGACTTGTCCTTGTCTCTCAGTTTCGACAGGTTGCGGATGATGTACTCCTCCCAATCCTCTGGCTCGGTGAAGGAAGCAAAGTGATCATCTGGGTGGACAACAAGGCCAAATGGTTGGTCCGAGAGAATCGCAGCCGCGTCAACAGACGTCAACTCTTTCCGCATGACCAGCTTGTGCAGGATAGAAACAATCTTGTAGTGCGGTTCAAAGATTGGCTCACTGCTCCTGGACTTTCGAGCGCTGTAGGCGACTTCTACAGCCTTCTTCAGGGTACTCAAGAGCAGTCCCATGCTGACCTTGGTTCGCACATCTTTATGATCGAGCTTCTCTTCAGGAGTTTGGTACATTTTCCAGTAGCACTTGGCAAGCATGTAGGGGTTCCTATACGTTGTTAGTCCCGTCATCTGTTAATTTCAGGTGAGTACTCACTTCCAGTTGTCAGGCTTTCGCTCCATGGCCATCCTGAACAACTTGGCTGCAAACTTCCAGACCTTGTATTCCGTCATTTGGTCGTGTAGAATTCGCTTGAAGGTGCCGGCTCCCATGCTCTCAATAAAGAACCTTTCTTGCTCGGCATGGATAAAAGGCTCCATGGCAAAGGGTTCTCGACTTGACGCATACAGTCGCATGGCAAACTTGTGATAGAGATCATGCAGGGGGTCTCCGTCATGAGTATCGACGTCCATGTTTCGTGAGTGGGAGAGGGCGAGCGTGTAGCAGTGAATGGCGTTGCGCTGGAACTTAACAAGCTCCCCACGATCCTTGTTCATCTTGTCCGCAGTCCACAGAACAGCCTCGTCAAGTTCGTAGTCGAAGCACTCGGCCAAGCGGAACCAGGCATCCCACTTGTCCGCAGTAAACTGCAACTGGAGCCTCAAGAAGGTCGCGCCAATTCGCAAGTCATCCGTGGCACCAGGGGTCTGTCGACGGTTCAAGTCGACTCCTTTGAACTTCGTCAAGGCCATCATACCCAGTAAAAAGAACCAGCCATGCCTGGCAAGCGTAGTTTCTGGTGTATTGACGGATACTGCATCAACAGACACACCTCCAACAAGAGCCTGGTACAGTCGGAGCGGATGAATCGGCCTCTTAAGAAACTCGGTAAAGTTGCGCAAGTTGTGGGTCATTTGCGGAGTTGACTTCGTTTGTCCAACAGTTTGCTGCATGTGGTCGATTGTCGTCTTGAGATCAGATTTGAGGAGATCCTTCATCGGCATGCGATTAGCGAGGATGGTGACTCTCTCGACCAATTGCATAGTCTGGCGCTTCTCCAGCTTCTCAGCTGGGCAAGCGTGGTCCTGGATTTCCCAAACTCCAGCACCAAGCTTCAAACCGTGGAGATCGTAGAGCACCTGTGCTAGATAATCTTCCCAGTTCTCGATGTTCTTCAGCTTAAGAAGCTCAACACGCATCATCTTGAGGAAGATCTTGTTCGACGCTTTACAGAACTTGCGAATGCCAATGACTTGGTGCACCGCTGCGAGATAGTCCGCCAAGTCATTCTCCCGCGAGATGATCGAGTTCTGTTCCGTGATGGCCACCTTGAAGATCGTGTACTGGAGGGACCATGCTCGAACTTGCATTTCTCGTAGCTTGTTTCGCAGGGACTGGAAGGCAGCATTGCTTGCTGCATTTCCGGATGGCGCAGGTCTGATTCCGATCCGAATCTCATCCTCGCACAGAGCTGCAACGTGGAGTAAACAGCTGATCTTTGCAATTGCCGCAGATGAGGACTTGATGTGGTCATCATCGATGATGTCGAAAGAACTGTGCTCATTCAAAGCCAGCGATAGGGCCTGAATCAGCAGCTCATCCAAGGACTTGAGTGTTCTCATAAAGAGAAGCTTTCGGGAATCCACCAGCGTCTTGGAATACGTCTCACTTTCGAGATCGGAGACAATCATCTCGATGCTTTTAAGTTGGCATGAGAATTTCTTGGTTGCATACCCAATGGCATCGTACGCGTCTCCCAGTCGCGACCACAGGAAGAGTCGCAGTTCTGTGCTGCTGTTGAGGAGGAATTTCCACAGATCCTGTAATCCCTGGCTTGCGCAGTCAGACACTGGTTGGTTGCTCTGGTCTGTTGTTGACTCAGAGTCATCTTCACCAGTTGCCGCAGCTTCCGAGTCCTGGGCGCGGGCGTAGACAGACGTCGGGTTGAGGACAGGTTCAAGGGTCTCAATGACATGGACTGGATTCTCCATATCGTCCTGGAAGAGGCCAAGGAAGAAGTCCATCGTCGTCAACTTGGAGATTTCTCGATCGGCAGCAGCAGAGGAGATCGTTGGCATGACCACGTTGTTGGGCAGAGTAATGGTAGGAACCTTTTCGTCGGACAAGAAGTCCCGAACAGATGTCCACATGAGAAGGATATGCTCCCGCACGGGGTTTGCCGAGAGCGACGAAGCAAGCACAGATGCCCATAGAAATCGAGCCGTGAGGGGATCATCTGAAGGACGGTCCAGGTAACGCACATACGCTGAGGCGACATCTAGCCATCTCTCAAGTCGATCCTTGGTAGAAGTCCGCGTTGCATAGTTCACTACGCTGTTAGGGTTGGTGATTCGTTCATAAATGTCAAGATGCAACTCGAACATCATGGGGACAATATTCTCGAGCTCAAGAAGCCTCTCAGTAGACCCAACTGCGAGTTCCAACTCATCCGTGACCCGTTGATACAACGCCGAGTCCACACGATTGAGCATTTGAACCACGGATGTTTTCATATTGTCGGACCATTTCGCTGTCGCGTAGCTCTCGCTAATGGCTCGGACCCATTCGAAAGCGATGTCCTCGCCAGTCATCCAAGAACGGTATCGGTGGATCTTCTTCGCAAAGGCCTTGAGACCCTGGGCCTCATTGAAGGGCATAGTGGATGTCTGGTCTTGCGAACCTGTTTTGGCGTGCTCTAGGAAGGAAGACAAACCAAGACTAGCCTGCTCATTCTTACTGAGTAAAGCCCTGGCCACTCCCTCCTTGAACTCAACGAGGACGCTTCGAAGATCCTTTGCTGCGGGAGGAGTAACTTTTCCTGGTCGATCTTCGGTCGCACACGAGTCCAAGATTTCGTTGATATGCTCCAACGTTGTCTTGTCTTCCACACCGAGATTTTCGAGGATGCTCTTTGTCATCTGGAACAGATTCTGGTCGGCACCCTGGTACGGCTGCAATTGAGTCGCAACCAGTGTGCTTTGGTCAGCTACCTCCTCGGCCTGGAGAGTTTCTCTTCGTCGAACACGTTTGCTTCGCTTCTCGGCTGTATTCTCTTCCTCGGTTCCGTCTGGTAGTCCAGCTGTCGATTGCGATCGTTTTCTAGTGGGCAGGGATATGCTGCGGTCCTTCGATGGACCTTCAGCTGCTTTCTGGCCTTCCACGGGGCTATCAGATGCCTCCTTGTCATTTGGGGTGTCCTTCGTTTCTTCATTCGATGGGTCTTGTGTTTCCTCGTTTGAAGGGACTTTCGTTGCCTCGTTCGAAGGGACCGTCGTCTCGTTGCCCTCTCCCTCGCCCGCTGCGGAGTCTTCCTCGGGAGGTTTCTCGCTGTTGGTTTGAGCCTCAGGGCTTGCAGTCTCGGGCTCAGTTGAGGGTGATCCCATTTCCACATCCTCCAGAGAGCTTCGGACAATGTTGTCACACGCATCAAAGGCCCCAGCCACATTCTCGAGACAATTTATCAGCTCCGCCCCAAGTCCGGGCCAGGATAACACGGATCTAACGGAATTCTTGCGGCCCGAGGTCTCCGCAGGGACTTCTTCAGCATCCTCAAAAATCTCACTTGGAGCAGGGCTGACTGCAGGAGGCTCCAAGGACTTTGTAGGATCGGGAAGGAACGGAATCGGGTCGAGATGGCGCTTGAGCAGGGCTGGCATCTTCTTCGACATCCACGGCACCATCATGGGGTGTGACATGGCAACCTCATCATCAAGAAGACGGAGCTGGTCCTTCAGCTGCTCACCTGCCAGCCCTTCAGCCAAAGAGGGAGGACCAACCTCCACGACAGCCGGGTCGTCATCCAATTCCACCGCGGACTCCAAACAGTATCGCTTGATTCTTCCGCTGTTCATCGATGCAGCGAAACGGGCGGCTCGTCTCCAGAGCTCTGGGTCGGAAGGATCTTGGTCCAGGGCAGCCGCCCAACTGTCCAGGACCTTGCGACCATTGTCGTTCTTGTAGTCGATTCGGGATTTCGTCCTCCAAGCTGGGTCTGAGTTCAGCTTATCCTTAAACTTGTCGACAAAGAACTGGCCGTAATTCTTGTAGGAGAGGTACAATGCTTGGGAAAGGCTCGCTGCCACGCCATCCGCACCTCCAGCATCAGCGTCTAGCTCCCCGGCGAAGGAGTCTAGGACGGAGACCTCGGGCTGGCCATCGGCTTGTCGCTCTGCTCTCTCGTAGTCGGTTTTCGCTTCGCGGTACTTGAAGATCTCGGATTCGAACAGTTCGTCGTAGGCGGCACCAGCGGCGTCGCGCGATCGAGCGCCCTGCGCATGGAGCTTCAGGGCATTTTGGAACCGTTTGAGGGCTTCATCAACCTAGAACAAAGTCAGTTTTCCGGCGCGCAGAGAATTCCGGCGCGGGAGACGAACATGAAGCTCCCTGCTGGTGTCAATCTGCTCGTCGATGTTCTCCTCCGGCTCGAGGTTGATGGCTTGGAAAGCCGGCTGCATCCTGTCATCAGTACAAGCACCGCTGTGACAATCGCAAAGACATTACCATCGTTGCAGCTATAGGATGACCGGTACAGGGGCCGACATTCGGACCTGCGATGAATTGTAACTTCCACTCGGCGTTGGTGTTTAGAGCTGCTACGTTTCGTTGGCACCCATTAAGCTTGGAACCGCGTTCTGGACGCGGCCGTCAGCCTCGTCAAGCCACGGCGCAAAAGGGGCACGTGGGGTGTGGCGCAGCATAAGGCTGCACGTATCGTCGCGCGGCCCTTGACCTTTAGCTCCAGCTATCAAGCCAGATCTTAGGGGAAGCTTCCGCCGGCACGACCATCCAATTCCAGCTCCACCACCAACGCCGGCGAATCCGCAACTGTCGACTTCTGTCGCCGCGGCGCTCGATTCACTCTCCGCAGCCTTCTCGGTGGCTCTGGTTCTACAGCGGTCCCCTGCTCCTGCACACCGGCCCCGACGAGGCAGCCTACCGCCGCCATGGTCGCGCCAGCGGTGCCTGAGTGAGCGCAACATGAGACGCACCCGTGAGGACGATGGATTAACCCGATCTAGGATCACCGAGGAGATTCTCCACGAATCAATTGACGCCCGAACTGAATCGCTCAACGCCCTCCGAGAACTCGGCCCCCCCGATCTTGTCCACCTCCTGAAGCACCAGATCCGAAACCCGACGAGACAGGTACCTACACCGATGAGCAATCGAGGCGGAATACTAACAACTGTCAGCTCGGCGTCTACCACCATGTCACCGGAGTCGATGCCTCGTCCTCGGCGAGTTTGGCTGCCTACATCAACACCTTGACCTACAAGGAGCATGGCCCCAACGCGACCAACAAGATCGACGAAGGGCTGTACTGGTAGCTACCCCGCCGTCCCCATGCTCATGTTGCGGACAAGATGGGCTAACTCGAATGAAGCTGTTACAATGCATTCTCACGCCTGGATATGCGCGTCCACGTTTCGATCCCAGGAACCGTCGAGAGCTACTGCGTCGACGAGCGAGGCGAGAAGAGGAAGGCTTCAGAGGATCTCTGGCTAGAGACCTATCTCTGCAGTGTTTTACGGGCATACTCCTACGCTGATGACGGCAGCGGCGATACCATCCGAAAAATCATGGGCGTTCGAAGATTCAATCCTGTCACTAACACTGAGACTGAACATCGGTTCCTCCATGCTGCTGAGCAGCTGTTCTTTAAGGGTATGCCACCTGTCAGCAACAGCGCCTACATGTACTAACTCGACCCAGGATGGCAGTTGGGATCCGATTCGGTGGTTCAAGTGCCTACCAACGTGTCCAACCATTTGACCACTGGCCTCCTCAAGTACCTCGAGACGACCGGCCGTTATGCTTCCGGCATCAACTTGTTTGAGAAGCTCCGAACCCAGAGCGTCGAGGTGTCGTCTTTGCTAGCAAAGGTCATGTTCATGGGGAATGAAGAGGTTTCAGGTGTCCGAACTCTGTACCAGGCTCTCAAGGAAACACCCATGGACTATGTCATGCTTGACACACAAGCTGAGTTCTTGCTCAAGAAGGCCAATGGTGCGCCTACTCCCGAAGGCAGGGAAGAGAGATTGAAGCTGGCTCTTGGCTGTGCTGACCGAGGCACTGTCGCCGCCCCGACTGAATTCGGCACCTGGGCTCGTTTGGCCCAAGTCTATGTTGCAATGGAGGATTGGGACAACGCTCTTACCATTCTCAACTCTTGCCCCATGTTCACCTACCAGGACAAGGACACCCCTCTAATGCCAGAGCCGAAGGAAGTCCACTTACCGACGTTGCCCGAAACCCGGCTGGACGAGATTGATAGTGAGCCTGAGTCTCGATACTCAGAGCACGTCGACCCCAGCCTGTTGAACCTGCGTGCAGCAGCGTACCGCGGCACCTTCAAGAAGGCGTATGATATTTTGACGGAGATGACCGCCAAGATTGGCTGGGACCAGCTCCTAAAGATCCGCAGCAATGTGTTCGTCATGGAGGATGAATACCGAACAGAGAAGCAGGAAGCCACTCAGCCAGCTTCCGCAAACCGAAACCCCAGCACCGACGCCCTTCACGGTTCGCCCGACAAGCCTACCAACGGCGAGGAATCATCGGAGAACGAAGAGAAGCCCAAGACACCAGAGAAGCCAGACGAGGCAAAATCACCTGCCGAGACCGAGTCGCCTGCCGAAACCGAGCCAGTTGTCAAGATTGATGCCCCTGCCGAGACCCTGCCAATCGATGGTCAGGAGAACGGCGTCGAGAAGCCCTCGAACACAATCGACCCAGGCGAGATCAAGTCTGATCCTGAGAGTGTAAGTTGAATGATGGACACGTTGACTCATGAACTAACTGAGTTGCAGGCAACCAAGAACGACGATCACTTGTCGAAGCTCAACACTAAGCGACTCTGCGAGCGCTGGTTGGACAGCTTATTCATGGTTCTTTATGAGGACCTCCGAGTCTACACTATTTGGCGAACTCAGATGGCCCAGTATCGCGCCCAGCAGATGCAGTATAAGAAGTCGGCCGAGGAGTGGGAAATCCTAGGTGCTCTCGCTGAGCGCCTCCAGCACACTGATGAGGCTATCGAGGCCTACCGTGCGTGCCTGTCGCTGCGCTTTAGCCCCAAGGCTCTGGCGGGTATTCTGCGCGTGTTCGAGACGACTAAGAGCACTCGGGAGACGGTGGCATCTGTCATCCGTCTTGTAACATGGCAGTACAGATGGTACAGCGAGTTCAGCCCCGAGCTGCTACACACCATCCGCACCCTTATTGAGGACGAGGGAGCGGTCAAGGTCCGAAGCATCATCCAGGCGACAAGCCTGCCGCAGAACGTGCTGGACTTGACGCATCACTATGCGGCGTTGTGCGCGACGTTCCGAAGCAGCGGAACTGACGGTTAGGTCGAAAATGGCGACGGAAAGGCGACGTCGGGATCGAACAGATCTAGGGGGTTGGAGAATGAAGAAGTGCTGGCTTACAAGTGAAAGTGGATAGATGTATGAGCGAGGTGTAAGGGAAATACTAGGGAAATACGTGGTGTAGCAGGCCCGGCAACTGGCTTTGTCTTCCGGGAGCAAACATACTCGAATTTAAAACTAATACACCCTCATCTTCGAATGGAAACGAGAGCCCTTTGATGCCAGGTTTGAAGTTGTGATGGCAGAGTGGATGGTGATAAGTCAGGGTCGAGCGGGCTTATTCAGCAACTCTCCGACCATCGCTGACGCACTACCGGCGGCCACTAACGGGCAGCGGAAGACCCCGCGCGGGGCATCGACAACTGGGACCTCTTGACCAAATTTTTGGCCTGGCCAATTCCAGCACATTTTCATTCACAACAGCACTCGCCCAGCCAGGATTCTTGTCTTGGCCCGCCACCGGTCTGTTGAATCAAACTAGAATCTCCGTTGCTGCTCAGCGCAGGCCATAGATTCGCGATGGCTTCTTCTTCCACCGCCGAAGCCCCCGTCGCTGGCGATGCCTCGTCGCCGCCCGTCGCCATTGTCTGTGTTGGCATGGCAGGCAAGCTTCCTTTGCACCGCGTCCAGCTCTCGCGATTCTAACCCGTTCGTTCAGGATCCGGCAAGACGACCTTCATGCGCCGAATCAACGCCCATCTCCACGAGAAGCAGACTCCTCCGTACGTCATCAACCTCGACCCGGCCGTCATCTCCGTCCCCTTCGAGTCCAACATCGACATCCGCGATTCCGTCAACTACGAGGAGGTCATGAAGCAGTACAACCTCGGCCCCAACGGCGGCATCCTGACGTCGCTCAACCTCTTCGCTACAAAGGTCGACCAGATCGTCGGCCTGCTGGAGAAGCGCGCCAAGCCCGACCCCGAGAAGCCCGACCGCGCGCCCATCGACCGCATCTTGGTGGACACGCCCGGCCAGATTGAGGTTTTCGTGTGGTCTGCTTCCGGAACCATCTTGCTCGAGTCTCTCGCGTCCTCCTTCCCTACTGTCATCGCCTACATCATCGATACCCCCCGTACCTCGTCGACGTCGACCTTCATGTCCAACATGCTCTACGCCTGCTCCATCCTGTACAAGACCAAGCTGCCCATGATCCTTGTCTTCAACAAGACTGACGTCAAGGATGCCGCATTCGCCAAGGAGTGGATGACCGACTTTGAGGCTTTCCAGGCGGCCCTGCAGCGAGACGAGGATGCCGGCGATGGAGGCGGTGTGGAGGGTGGTGGCCATGGTGGCAGTGGATACATGGGCAGCTTGCTCAACTCGATGAGTCTGATGCTGGAGGAGTTCTATGCGCACCTCAGTGTCGTCGGTGTGAGCTCACGGCTCGGCACCGGTGTGGACGAGTTCTTCGAGGCCGTGGAGGAGAAGAAGCAGGAGTTCTTACGAGACTATCAACCCGAACTCGAGAGGAGGAGAGCGGAGCGAGAGAAGTCGAAGAAGGAGTCCCGAGAAAAAGAGTTGGACAAGATGATGAAGGGAATGTCAGTCGCCGGGCCGCAAGCACCACCCAAGGTGGACGACGACGACGACGTCGACGTTGTAAGCGACGATGACGATGAGGACTCGGATGAGGAAGCCATCAAGGAGAGCCTCCAGTCGAGATACCAGACCGCCCTAGGAGACAACGACGACTCCATCATGGCGGATGCGAGTTTCGCAAAGTACCTCCACTCGCAGAAATAAAGGCATTATCACATGGCAGCACAAGCGGCGTTTCCGGGGCACGAAGGAATATTTGCATCAAGTGGATGAACGGATGGTTAGTTTATTTGTAATTTAGATACCGAAGGCAACTTTGTCAAGAAAGAAAGAGTAATCGGACGGCGTGGATATCTCTTGTGCTTGTCGTTGATGTCGTTTCTTTGTCTTTCGCCGTGTTTTCATGCTGTATCCCAGACCCCGAAACTCCCTAAAGCCTCCAAACCAAAATCCCATCTGGACCTCGCCCCAGACCTCGATTACTCCGTTGATGATTCCCTCGTCGGTTGCCTATCGCCTATCGCGCCTCGAACTGGACCATGCTAGAAATCGAGACTAGTCAGCAACGCGATCCAAACCTAGGGCGCACCTCTGCGAAGGCGCGCCAGAGCCAGACAAACTCACCGCTTCGTGCGCTCCTTGTACAGCACACGGCCGGCGCAGTGCGGGCACGCGACAAGGGCGTCCTTGCCAAGGGTGACGCTGCCGCCGCAGTCGCCGCACAGGTAGCTCATGACGGCGCGGGACTCGTGGGCGTCGCGCGTGCCACCGCGCTGGGCTCCGGACGCGCCGGTAGGGACCTGGTACTCTTCGCGAGGCATAGTTGGATTTGCGGGATTGCGAGGGAAGGGCGTTGGGGTGGAAGACGGTTTTAGGCTGGCGATGGTGGCGGGTTGCGGAGGGTGGAAAAGAATGCTTGGTCATGGATGGCGGTGGGGGGAAATATTTCCGGCAGAATTTTAAAGGCGGTGAGGGCTGCGGTATAAGCCGGTGTGTGAGTGGCACAGTCACTTGCACCATCCAGGAGTGGAGGGCGAACTTGAGAAGCCAATCTCGCGTGGTATTGGGGATGATCCGTTTCGATTTGGGGTTATTGTGTGACCTATTTAGCTTATATGCAAGGAGGCTGAAGGAATCAATCCTTATAATTGCGTGCCATTTCTAACGAAAATGCCGAACGCTGGCTGCTTGGACGAGGCGCCACTAATAAATTTACATTAGCCCTGCACCCGACAGCGAGGTGCATGCTCCCATCCTCAAGACGCCCATCAATACCGCACCAACTCAATATAGTATCTTAGGAGAGAAATTTGTGTGAGAGGAATTTGTGGTGTTCGACGGCCTTTCTTTTTAATTTTTGTATTGCTCCGTCTAAAGAGGTAGGCCTTGAGCTTAACAATATCCCTCTGATTGTATCGTACACGGTACACGTCACTTAAATACATGTGTTAATTCAGCTGAGGCTTGGGTAAAGCGAGTAATATGTATATACAAAAAGTGATCTGCTAGAATTATTATACAAGTAAATTGAAGGATCCCTCCATGTATTTAAGACCCTGACATCCCATCTCCATTGCCTACATTACTCCACGGAGCTGGGAACGGCCCCGCAGTTGAAGCAACCGATGTCGTACAGTCGCTCTTGGTTAAGGCTCTGCGGCAACAGATCCTCGTAGAGTGGCGTCCCCGGTAAATCTTATGAGAATTGTCGGCATCGATGGTGAGCATGGTTCGATCCATAGTCTGCTTGCACCAGCCGGCGCCCTCGTGCCCTGAATTTATCCACCTCGTCAACTCTAGAAAGTCCGTCGGATCTCCTCGGTATTGCGGATGGTCCTGCAGGTAAAGCAGCTGAGATCAGAGAGGTACTCCCCGTCAAGACTCGCGGCCGACATGCCCGCCTCAGCGTGGGTTCCCCGCCAAATGGCGCAGTAATTGTCGTGGTCGAATGTGATCATGGTACAGCCGTTGGTGTCGTTGCACCAGGCGCCGCACTCGTTCCAGGTGAGGCCTTTCTGGCGGTCGATCCGGAAGGCCGGGTTCGTCAGGCGGTAGGTTCCGCTGCACACTTGGTCCCGTTGCAAAGTCATTCGCTTCTTTATCTGCACCTCGGAGCAGGTGGATTCCAAGATGGGGAGTGACCTGCAAGGGCTAGAGGCGACGCCCGAGATGGCCAGCGCGGCAGTGGCGAGGAGAGTGAGAAGGTTGGTGGAAAGCATCTTGAGATTGATGTTGTTCTTGGAAACGACTGTGGTGTGGAAACAATAAAGACTAATAGAGAAAGAAGAGTGAAAAGAAACCCAGAGTGCACTCTTGGTCTCCTTTATGGCTGGCTGAAATCATCAACAATCGCCCTAGGCCAATGCGCGAGCCAAATCAAGCACCAAGCTAGTTGAGACTATTGAACGCCGTCTTCTTTTTCGCAGCACCAACAGTGGTCTGGAAGAGTCTCTTACTACTACAAGCGAGTGGCTACCCCTGACTAGTAAAGCAAGGCTGAAAAACGGTCGAATGAGGCCGCTGGCCTGCGGTGACGCCGGAGTCTTTTATCCAGATGGTATGGTAAACAATGACCCCAGGCCGATGAGTGAGCTGAGAAAAGTGCCCGCTAGAAGGACTATCGCAGCGCCGTCGTCGCCTTTGGGCACTTAGCCGCTGTTAAGATAGCTTCTCTGGGAAGTCGGAAGGCCACTGTCCAACTCAGACTAGTGTAGTAGTCCTGAAGTGCGAAGATAGTGTAATTGAGAGGCACGTATTCGGGATAGACCTACTACATCAAATCTAAATCATCTCGATTGAGGTAGCATACATCTGCAAGACGAATTGCTGCCGGATCCCCCATGTTACACCAGCAGAGTCCCATCTCCGTCGACACTACGGCAGATCAGTATTGCCGCCGTTAGGGCAGAGGCAAGCAAACTACGTTGGACACCATCGTCTCACCGGAGCATAATTGTCTCTTGCTCGTGGCGCCGCCCCCATCGTAACTAGTACGCCGGGATGGCGGGCTTAATCGTGGCGGCCGTCTCAGCCCAGCGTTGGTGTCACTGATGGTGGAGGGCTGGCAAGCGGCGGCGCAATTGGCCCGGCCAATACATAAAGCCACATCAAACTAATTGAGGCTACCGAATAGTGAACGCCGTGGCTTTCAGAACAGTGCAGTGTCTTGCGTTGGTTGGTAAAGACATGCTGCCTACTATTGGCTGATGGCCACCCCGGCAGGTAGCATGGTTGATGAACTGGGGTCAATTCAGCATCATACCACCCGAACTCTTGGAAAGCTCAGCCATTCTTTTTAGAGCTGTCAACAACTAACAGCAGAATGATTTCACAATTTATCGTCTTTACAGTTCCAATTACGGTAAAATAAAAGCATCAATTCAACAGGGTATTTATTAATCCTCGCACCTCCCTCCGACACTCCTCATTGTTCCGTTATCTTCTTGATGATATCGCGAATCGCTGCGTAGACTTCGTCGGTTGATCCTGTCGCATCGACCTACGATTCGATAAGCATCATCCTCCAGTTTCCGTACTTGACGCTTACTTTGTGGAAGAAGTTCTTCGAAACGTGGTCCACCAACGCTTGTCTTGAGTTCTCGGTCGCCTCCAGGTTCTTCCTCTCTCCGGTACTGGCGTCATCTCCCTGTTTTAGGGCATCTTCACCCATCCCGGCTCGCTCCATCATCTTCTCGACGGGGTATTCAAGATATATTGTCGAATAGACATTCGAGATCTACCGTGTTAGGCTGGACCCGACATGGTCGGGTATACACACATACCTCAAGCTCAAAAGCCACAACTTGTCGAACGCACTGCGGGAATCCCCTGACCAGGATGCCCCTCCCCATGGACTGAGCCCCTTTGACCTTGCTCTTGATCAGCATCACAGCTAGCGACGGGGGAATGTTGGTAAAGCTGTCGATGGTTTCCTTGATGAACCTGCCGAAGATGGATCCTGGCCGGTTCTGTTCCTCTCGCAATAGCTCGTCGACGGAAACGTACTCCATGTCGAATTCTTTGGCAACGCGTTGCATTATCTCGTCCGGCGCCGATTCACCTACTCCAGGTTAAACATAGTCCAAGTAAGGGCAGCATATGTATTAACCAATCACGAAAATGGTGGGCGCCTTGGAACCGACCGTCTCGTCGAGGGCATCCCAGTCGTCGGCAGTAATCTCGTCCGCTTGTTTGGCCAACCAAGGATCTGTGATGCTCTCCCGCATAGCATCGAGGTCATCTGTACCACGAACGCCCAGCCCCCTCTTCCGTCGGATCACGGCTTGGTGCAGTGATTCGAACTTTCCAACCTGGCGGATGAGCTTAGCAACACGAGTTTCACCGTTCTGGTACTCGACCAAGGCTTCTGGGAGTCGCTCTGCCAAGGCCGGGCTGCTCTCCTTGAGGAGATAGGAGAGATGTTTGAGTCCGATTTCTTCCTCGACGGCGCCCTCTACCCCACGTTAGCTACCTACGTTAGACGCCAGAGCGCGCTGCGTTGGGGAGATTCGTTGACTTGCTGGGGTACTTATCATCGTCGGCGAGAGTCACTTCGCCAGCTGCGATGTGCCCCACGTCATGAACCATACACATCACAACAGCGTTCGCTTCCTCTTCGCCACTGAGCTATTGAGCCGATGAGCATCAGCTCTTGAGTTCAACCTGGTTAGGCTCACATCGGGATGCGCAAGGCAGACCAGCGCCATCTGGTACATCTGTTCGTAAAGGCTGTCGGACTCGGGGCTGGAGTACAGCGCCCATCTTGAATTCTTGAGAGCCCTGAGACTCTCAATAGCCTCGAGAAACGGAAAAGGCGACGGAAGCCGGTCCATCGCTTGACTCTGACGCCTGGACGAGGTTGAAGCCAAGAGCGGAGAACAGGAAAGGGTTCCTGAGGCTTCAACGAGAGGCAACGCGAGGCGTCTTTAGCTGAGGAACCACGCGTGAGAGGCCTCGTTGGACTGGGGGGGTCGTGGCATGACAAGGGTGGTGAGCCATATTGGGATCCTTCGGATAGACGACGCCCTAAACGATGCGATGCTTATGTAGCGGCCGTGGTGGGAGCTAAGGATTTCTCAGACGGTGAGCAGTGGCCGATGACGATGTATATGGTAACGGGGTTGGGCTTCTTTTCGTCCATTGGCTCGTGGAGAGGACTCTTTTTTCGAACCATTTAATTCGGAATAGAACAATTGCACACCACCAGATACCAGCAGCGCAAAGCTCACGAGCTCGTGGAGCTAGTAGTTTGAGCTTACGGAGCACCTCCTGGCCGCATGCTCACCTCATCAGCCACCCCCGGTTCGCCGTGGAGTTCTGAGGGTCGTCAGGGTTTCAGGGATCCCAGTGTGCAGTCTTATGCTGCAACACCTCCCCCGGTGGCTAGCAGGTAGGCGGGCTGGTTACATCGTGTACGTCAGAATTGGCAGTGCAACCCAAAATCGAAGCTGTTGGTGAACCGGGGCAGATTAAATCATGTGTCGTATCGTGAGCTATGCCGGAGACGCGCTCTTAAGCAAATTGCCTTACTGAGCGTTATTCGGTACAGGGGCACCTGGGAAGGCCGTTATCGCATTGAAATTACCCCACAACGGCATTCGCTGGAGAGAGCTTGGAGCGGCACCACTAACCGACGCCCCATTTACAGTGAGACCTCCGCTGCGTAGGCGCACGTCCAGCGACGTACAGGGCGCTCCTCTTGCGGCCTACCGCGTGCATGGGAGGGAACCTCGGTATCCCTGCGCTGTACCTCCCCCATATCGCAATACCGAATCGCGATGACAAGCGCGACGCCGAGGTCTGCACTCAACTCCAAAGAAATTTCTCAGCTCGGCATCGTCAACTCCGTCTTCTGCTTCAGCCAAGCTCGCATTCCCCCAGGCTCTCTCCCCCGCCTTCTCTCTCCTCCTTCTTCCATTTCCATCTCCTCGCATTCTCTCGTCCCCTGCCATGGCCGCCAACATGTTCGACGCCTCGCGCTCTCCGCCGACCTGCTCCTGTCCATTCTGCGCCATCGCCGACACCTACAAGCCTTACGACCCTCACAACCCCCCTGACCAATCGTCGTCGACCATCGATCCCGGGCTGTTGTCTCCTACGGCGTATGTCGTCTTGTCGACTCCCGATCTCGTCGCCTTCCTCGATATCCTCCCCCTTAGCCACGGCCACCTGTTGCTGTGCCCACGCGAACATCGCGAGAAGCTCACCGACGTAACCGCCGACGAGGCCGCGCACTTGGGCCGCTACCTCCGCATACTGTCCAAGGCCATGACGAGGGCCACCGGCGTCGAAGATTGGAACGTCGTCCAGAACAATGGCGCTGCCGCCGCCCAGGTCGTCCCTCACATGCATTTCCACATCATTCCTCGGCCGGAGATAAGGGCCAGCGGCCGCTACAGCGAGAGCTTTACAATGTTTGGGCGCGGGAGGCGCGAGGAACTGGATGATGATGAGGCTGTGCATATCGCGGAGGATGTACGGCAGAGTCTTGCCACCGTATTAAGGGAAGAGGAGGAGGAAGACATTGAGCTCAAGGCCAAACTATAACAGGAAGCGGGTTGTCCTCGAAGGTCGCTCACCAATAATCTCACTACCGAATCTGTGTGCACCTTGAGGATGCTTGGTCTTTTGGTAATATTTATTTTTTAATTTAGACACGTGCAATGTGGCCGTCTAACACGTTACTGTAAGTCTTCATCCTCCACCCAACTCCCTGCCTTCTATGGAATCAGTTACTCATCGTCTCCGAAAAAGACCTCGACACCAGTAGGCAAGAATGTGCCGTCGCACACCTTGAATCGATCCTTGATGCCGTCCAGGCCAGCGACCTCCTCCTCGGTCAGCTCCCAGCCATCAAGCTGTCGGTTGGCCTCAATGCGGGAGGGAGTGACACTCTTGGGGATGACACTCCAGCCCTTCTGCAGACCCCACATGAGCAGCACCTGCTGAGGCGACTTGCCCTTGCTCTCGGCAATCTTGAGCAGAGTCTCGTTCTTATACAGGGGCGAGTCGGTCGAGCCGAGGCATGAGTAGCCGGTGCTGTGGATACCCTTGGAGGTGTTGTACGCGACAAGCTTGGGAGAGGGTCTGCAGGGGTGCAGCTCGATCTGGTTGACCGCAGGGACGATCTGATGAATAAAGTCAGTCACTGTCGCCTCGAGTGAAGCAATGGGATTGCTTGTGGGCTACTTACCGTGGTGTCGGGGTGGTTGAGAAGCTCCTCGAGGTGGGTGATGCCAAAGTTTGACACACCAATGTTCTTGACCTTGCCGGTAGCGACCAGCTTCTGCAGCTCGTGCCAGGTCTTGATGTAGTTCCAATCCTCATAGTGCTTGGTGAGGTCATCAGGGTCGGTCGAGCTGGGCCAGTGCATGAGGTACAGGTCGACATAGTCAGTGTCGAGGTTCTTGAGACTCAGGTCAATGGCCTCGGGCACGCGCTTGTGCCAGGGGTTGTCGAGCTTGGTCGTGAGCCAGATCTTCTCGCGGGGGACACCGGAGGCCTTGATACCCTTGCCGACGTCCTTCTCATTCTGGTAGGCAAAGGCGGTATCGATGTGAGGGTATCCGGCGCGAAGGGCGGCCTCGACGGCCCCGGAGACCTCCTCGGGCGAAGACTGCCATGTTCCAAGACCCACGGCGGGGATCTTGGCGCCCGTGTTGAGGGTGAAGTTGCGGCTGGGTGGAATGTCAGCATTGGCTCATGAATAGAGGGGGAGGCCGAGAACTCATACCCGGTCCAGTTGGTAGCCATGATGCTATCTGTGTGCGATTACACTGGGAGGAGTCGGTTGAAGGGCGTGTTGGGAGGAGTCTCGCCTATGCCAAGTAGAAGAGAGAGGAAGACAGAACAGATAGAAATGTAGAATCCCCATCCCTCGCCCTCGTATTTCTACTTTCTCAAGAAAGACCCATCCCCCGCTTCCCCGTAGCCCTGGACGCGGCCACCCCCACCACCAGCACACCGACATCACCATCGGCGCGTTCGGCGATGGGAGCCTCAGATTGGTGCGCATCCTCAATTCCCCCACCGGCAAAGCAGGCCCCCAGAACTTGTTCGCTCGCGACGCTTTCAAGCGCACACCGGCGCCGCGGGGTTTGTTCTAGATCGCATTTGGTGGTGAGGTTATTTTACCAACGGCCTGGGAGTTCTCCGCGCGATGGTTTATCTAAGTTGCTCTTGTTTGCAACGCGGCATGTGCCAGCACTTTGTCGCAATCAGGCGAGGTCAAGCAAAAAATCAGTAAAAAATAGATCTTCTAAGCAGTAAAAAACATCACGATGCGCTGTACTCTTGGCCGGACTGACGTAGCGCATCAACACAGCCTTCGGATCGCAGCCGCAGAAGGGTTCCGTTATTGTGGGCGAAGCTGCTATAGCCGCTCGAATCAACCTACACGTTCGGATATCCACTGGCGCGAGAGAACCTACTAAGCTGGGTTAACCGGCGTATCTAGCCTTGGGAATGGAGCTCTTGGCTGGGGCCGAAGACTGTGCTTCTTTAAGCCGCACCAGTCATGATTGGCGACATGCGGCGCGTGTGAGGCTTGCGTATCATGTGTCTTGGAGATGCGAAGCCATCAGAGGAGCTGGATTTTAGACTTGAGAAAGTTGGGAATGAATCGACAGTTGACTAAAACACCTCATTCTCCTTCATCGTATTACCCAATTCCCCCTCATCTCAGACTACCCAATAATCAAGAACCGTCTATTTGTTTCTGTTTTCCTTGTCCATCTTCCATCTACACGGTCACGCTCATGACAACCTCCCTCCCCACCCACTTCCATCATACTGGCCCCTCCACCTCCCTTCTCCCTCCTTCACATCACACACCCTCCCAACCGCACCCTCAACTCCCTCCTCTCCCTCTCCAGCCGCGCCATGTCCCGCTCCAGAACCTGGATGCGCTCCGTAGCCAGGTCCAGCACCTCGGCCTTGCTCACGCGCCGCTCGCCGATGCCGTCGCGCCGCCCGCCGCCGATGACCGACGACCCGGGCGCCGGCAGCACCGACAGCAGCCGCTCGAAGTGCAGGTTCAGCCGCTTGCGGTACTGCTGCTCGACCTGGTTGTGCGCCGCCCGCGCCTTGACGTCCTCGACCGTCTCCGTGGGCCGCTGCGGGAGGATGTTGGGGCGCTTCTTGGGCGCGCGCGAGGCGGTGCGGAGCTGCGTGCGTGGGCGCTTCTTGGACTTGGCGGCCGAGGCTGAGCGCCTGCGCTTTCGCGGCTCTTCGTCCGAGGACCCGTCGTCGTCCTCCGGGGCCGAGTCCTGGGAGAGATCGTCTGCCGTGGGAGGAGTCAGCAGGAAGCTCGTCGGCGAGGCCTGAGTGGGCCATGCGCCGACGGAGCTGTACAGACCGGCGCTGGTGGCGCTGGTGAAGTCGTATCGATCTGAGAGGGCAGTTGACCCTCCATGTCCAAGTCGGAAGGGGAACAGGCCCTGGGAGACACCCCCGATGGGGTAGCTCACGGGGAGGAAGTCTCCGTACGGCTGGTCAAGGTAGGCAAAGTCTCCCATCGCGGACGGGAAGAGAGGCTGGTCAAGAAGTGGCGTCTCGGGAGAGTGCAGTGGTGTCTGTTGACGGGGCAGGTTAGCGGCTGTTTCTTCATCGACAACTCGAGGGACACTTACCGGCGAAGCCGCAACATACGGGCTCACGGCCAGTCCGGGGTACGACATGGCGGTTGGTTCGATGCCTCCAAGCCAGGGGTAGTCTCCCTGGACCTGTCCTTCTCCGGCTTCACTCAGCGGCGCCGCCTCGGCCGTCGCCTCAAGGTAGGTCGAGTCCATCATGTTAATCATCAAGTGTTATGCAAGAAAGCCATCAAGCATCGGAGGTCCGTCGTTGGACGCACTCATCACGCATCAAAGCCCTCGATAGTTGCTATTCCGCTCCCTATCCTTTTCGGCTCAAACGCAGTTCAGCAGTCGGCAGTGCTGTAGTCTTGAAACAGGGCGGTCCTCTCTGCGGGTCGAGAAGCCGAAAGCCATCACGGAGCGGTGCTTTCGTATGACGGTTGACGTTGTCGTGCTCCTTGTGTGCTAAGCGTGGGAGGGAACACGGACGGGTAACGAGAGAAGAAGACTTGTCCTCTGATCAGACCAACCCCCCGGCAGGCCAGGTCCCCTTTATATACCCTACGGGAATTTTTATTTCCTGTCCACAATTGCCAAGGTTCAAACTGGGGAACCAGCACGAGCGGGAGGGGGGGGCCAGCATAAAAGACATTGCCGTGGCCAGACGGGACAAAACAACTGGACAACTTGGGTGTGGGACGGGCAACAGGAACGACGAATGGCCATGGCATGGTCAGAGTCGCATTTCGCACTACAGCCATGGCGCCCCCGTAGCCGAGCCGGAGCCGTAGCCGGTGTGATTCATGGCAAAGGCCCAAGTCCAAGCCATCCCCAAGGTTACGAACTCGTAGCACCCCAAATGTCTCTGGGGGACCAATCCAAACGCCGATACCACGGCATCCTGACGCCCAGGGCCCATGGCCAAGCTTTCTTGGCGGCAGGCGTGGCCATTCAATTAGTAAATCCGGCCCCGCGGGTACCTAATAGCCACGTAAGAGCTTCCCCCTCTTGGGTGTTAATTTTCCGTTTGTCCTCGTGGATGGAAAAAAAGAAATAGAGGCTGGTGGAAACGGGTGAAAGACGTGTGCGATGCGGGTTTGACAGGAGAGCGGTGTGGCTTCTCGTTGGGCACGTTCAAAGTATACAACACTCGGCCTTTTACATCACCACAGCATAGGACGCCAAGCTACTGAGTCCAGGAGAACATCCGGTTGCGCACATGTGGCGTGAGCGAGCCCCGTCCCCAACTGCCAAAACCCAAGGGGTGGCAAAGGGTCTTGGCCTGCAGCAATCTTGACTAATGGGCTCTTCGGGGTTCTCTGGGGTTCCCCTCAAAGAGGGTTCTCGTTTGTAAGTGCATGGAGAAGATCGCCGATGGGCGGAAGGGGGGGGGGGGGGGATTTCTGGGGCCTTTTTTTGGGCCTTTTTTTGGGCCTGGGGTGTTGTGTTGGTTGGTATGTGATGTGTTGGACTTTTGCGTGCGTGCATACATACACATGAGAGATGCATTTTCACTATTGACTTTGCGTTATGATCTGCTATGACTTCAGATTCATTCCAGAGACTCAGGGATAAGGAATCGTCTGGAAACTGACGACAAGCTCCAAAGAGAAAGTCCTACAACGCGATGCCATGTACGGTGCAGACTGCAAAGTCCCATCTACTTCCAAGCCTCCCCTCCCATCCACATGCGACTTCAAGCCATGGCAAGCCGCCGTAGCCACCAACATCACCACATGCAGGCGTCTCTCCATCCGTCCGCTGGCGCAGCCGAGCCTCCAATGCCGACCGACAGCTCACATCCAACGTGCAAAAAAACCACACACCGGCCCTTGTCTCGGCATCCTGGATACGGAGCGGCCGGCCACCAACAAAACGCCAGTTGTGTGGGCCCATCCGCGGGGCGCCATCATCTCACCTTTTTTCAAGGTCGGCGGGCGAGAAGGTGACATTTTTCGTCGCAATTGGCATCGCCTGCAGCGGACGCCCGTTTCGTGGAGAGAAGAGACTACAACTGAATGCTTTCTGGGCCATGGCTGAAGTGCAAGGGGACGGAATGGGACACGCAGGGCTTGGCCGGCACCAGTTGCCGAGGTGACAAACCCGGAGCTGAGGCTGGCGAAAGACGAGGGCGCGATGAACCATACCGTCGGTACCATCGTCTACCTCCAAGATCCTCCGCCGTCCTGGACACATCGAGAAAGCCTCAACCCACAACCGCGTGCGCTTCCCCATGATCCATCAGCCCTACCCGCCGCCGTGGTAGGCAGGCCGTTGCGGAGGCACCGGGGGAACGTCAGCCCCCCAAAACGCGACGCGCGGGCCAATAGCGACACATGAGGCCCGCGCTGGATGACGGGGTCTCAACGTGGAATGCAGGGGTTATCATGAAGTCTGATTGCGGCTTTTTTATAGATCCCGGCGCTTTTGGATGATGGGCATCTGGCTTGGCCGAGGGGGGGTTACGGAGGTGAGGTAAGGTACTCGTGGGGAAGTGGGCTCGTCAGGTGTTTGCGTGAGATGCGGCTTCGATGCCGATGCGGCATTCAGATCAGAGATCGAGATCAGAGTGGGTAACCTGTGATTTGTTCAGGCGATGGTGTTGACGGCAGTGTACTAAGAGAGGCCCCTGCGGGGATGCTTTCTTGGAACCTAGTCTGATGGACGGCATTTACAGTCGATATGAGAGAGAGATGCCCATGAATCGAGACCCGACTATCATTACCCCCAACCCGAGCCCATCGCCCAAGACACATCGACGCCCGTGTACATTCCGCCGCTGGCTGAGGCGAACCGAGCACCATCTAAACACCAAATTACAAGCCCGACCTGCAAGGGAATGGGAGAGAGCAGATAGCAGAGGATTGCTCCGGCGAGAGAAAACGCGAGTTCCCCGAGGCTCAGAGATGTCCGATCTATCGTGCTGCTCTTAAGCGGCCACCTCCTCGGGCGCGTCCTCTGCGGTAGCACCCTCGACGACCTTGCGCTTCTTTGCGGGGGGTGCGTCCTCTGTGGGGAAGGCGTGTCAGCAGGGTGATACGGCGACAAAGTCAGAGGGTTGGAGATGGACTTACCAGCTGGGGCGTCCTCGTTGGCAGCGGCCGTGTCACGCTTGCCGTTGGTCTCCTTGGCCTCGCCATTGGCCTTGGGAGCCTCGTCGTCGTCGGCGCCCTCAGCGTCTTCTTCGTCGTCTTCCTCCTCCTCGTCATCGGCCTTGGCCTTGGCGCCGTTAGTAGGCTTGGCCTTGGCCTCGGCCTTGCCGTTGGGCTTATCGCCCTCTTCGGCTTCCTCATCCTCTTCCTCATCGGCATCCTCCTCGCTCTCTTCCTCTTCTTCGGCGCCGCCAGCCTCGTCTCCAGTGGAGATGTACCTATCGGCGGAGCCTGGTCAGCACGAGGTCATGCCATGGTTGGAATCGCCATCGGAAGAGTCAAAAGCGATTGATGGTGATCCCTTGCAACGGTTGGATGCACGATCGCGAGTCGCAGATCGATGCATCGGAACAATGGGAGCTGTCGCGGGTTGCAGGCGCGGAATCGACGGCGATAGGCAGTCGAGGGCGCGCGCATGCGACGTCACCGAGGCGCATCGCATCGCATCGCGCATTGCGCATGGGCCACGGGCAGCAGCATCGCAAAGCGAGCGCAGCACAATTGCGACACGATTGCGACAGCGGCCAAACGACCGGCAAAGGCAGAAAACAAGCAGCAACAAGAGCAAACTTACTCCTCTTCCTCCTCAGCATCGGAGTCCTCGGGGAGGGAGACGAGCTCCTCCTCCTCCTCGGGCTGACCTCGTCGGCTGCGAACCATGGTGGCTATGTGGGATATGGGTAGTGGGTTGTAAAGGGTGGGCTAGTGGTTGCGATTGCGATGGAGGCGCGAAGGTTACAAGGAGAACTCGGCGTATGGAAGGGAGATGATTTGAGAAACAGTGAGATGGAGGAGAAGAGGGAGGAGAGAGAGGTTGGTGTGAGACGGGAGGGAGACGGGAGGGAGAGGAGAGAGAGGAGCGTAGGAGGAGAGTCGGGGGAGCGGGAGGGCGTGAGGGCGCGCTGGGGAGAGCTGGGGGAGCTTGGTGGTGGGAGCTGGGAGCTGGAGCTGGCAGCTGTGCAGCTTGGGGCAAAAAGGGCGACGGCACAATGGAGAATGGAGAATGGAGAATGGAGCACTGGGGCCGTCACAGTCACAGTCACAGTCATCGATTCCATCATCCGGCGGACGGCTGGCTCACTGGGTACACTCCCAGCACCCAGCACCCAGGCCCGGAGGTTTAAAAAAGGAAAATGGGTGCTGGAGCTCGGTGGGCTTGGTGGTCCGTAGGGTATCCGTAGGGGCCGGTTGCCGTGGGCGGATACCTCGAGCTGCGCGCCGCCATCACCGGAATCCCAGGTACCCCAGGTTGGCGGGCGGCCGGGCTCCAAGAGGGTGGGTGGGAGGTGTGGGTAAAAGGTTCCGAGTGGGCACCTCCTCTCTGGTCTGCTGCGTCTCCTGCGTCTGCTCGCCTTTGCTGGGTCGCCTCCCTCCGTCTCCTCACTCCTCTTCCCAGTTGCCAGGTTCGTCCGCACGACCTTGGTCAGGTAAGCAGCCTCCCTCCTGGTCCACCAGCCGTCCCAGCTCTTGGTTGACCGACGCCGCTGGACGCGTCAATGGTTGGATGGACGCGCGACCAATCAGCCCAGCCAATCGGCCAACCTTCTGTGCTCCCGAAACAAGACACCGGCGTTTGCCTTTTTGCCTTTGCCCTTGCTTTTGCTTTTGCCTCTACCTTTTTAGGGCGGGCTTCACCAGACGGGACGCCGGAGGAGTGGGCGAACAAGACATTCCCGGTGGCTGGGGAGCAACGCAGCGCAGCCGCCTCTGTCCAGCGCCGAGTCCACTACCACACCCTCGCTCCTTCGCTGGCGTTGGCGCTCGACCTGGGGGGACAGAGCACACAATCGTGACGCAAGTATGGAGATGGTACGTCTTGCTCGCCATTTTCGCCCAGCCGGTCCAGGGGGGCACGTTTCCAATTGCCTGCCCACTCGTCGTGTCCCGTTGGGCTCTGTTCACCTCCCTAGCCAGCGATGGTCAGATTGCCCGTCGCAATCTTCCCCAGGGCGGGCCTTCATGCTGAATTGAGCCGACATCGTGGCTACTGACGATAAAAAGGGAGGCGATCCTGGTAGTTAGTTGGGTAGTCCGCATGCGTCCAGTCAAGGCCGTGTGAGGGAGGCAGCGGAGGCGAACAATGAGGCCGAGAGACTGCACAATGGGCCAGCTGGGAGCTTGGGCCGCCTCTGGTGAGACATGGCAGCACGGCGTGGATTTTCCCGGGAAATCGATCGATCCCGAGTCCAGGACGAGAATCGATGGGGAGACGGACGAGGTGAGGGGGAAACTAGTGACAACAAGGGACATCCTGAACGGAGAAGATCTTAGTGGGCATCCTGAGGCATCCAAGGCCTGACGGCAATTGACCTGGCGATGATGCTGAGTCAGCTCCCAATTCTGATCAGGGAAACGAGTTGGTCCAACGCCTGATGCTGCGGCGCCGTTGTGGCTTGACTCAGGCCATGCCAATTTCTAACCGATACTTAGGAATGAAAACTGTCTCGGTTGTCTTCAAGGTGCATGTTCTGATTTACACTTTGAAACATGTTTTCCGCAAGGTTCTCAAAGACAACAGAAATTGTGGTAAAGTGTGTTAGGAACTGCCATAATATTCATGGATGGTATGGAAGAGGCAGCTTTTATTGGAGGGTGGTCGGAGCCAGGTTCCATCCAGTCAACCTCATCCCGTATCAACAAGGTTACGAAGCTGTGTTGCATAGTCGTGAAGACTTCGCCCTTCAATGCTTTTGGGATACGACCTTGAAGTCAACTCGCTTTGATGCATACCAATCAGGATGAAACCTCCAAATATAAGCGTCAACCACGACCGCGCTATCGCCAGCTGCCTGGGGACGTGCTGAAACCGTGCATTATTTCGCGGACGTCGCGTCTTTTCTCCCAGCAAATTCTGACGTGCTTCCAAGGCCTTAGACACCGACATGAAGAGACTCAGTCATCTGTTCTCCAGTCGGAAGAAGCGAGACGAGGAGCCATCTACAGAGCAACCCGGCGCACAACCGCCGGGTGCAGACTCCAACGATGCCCCGCTCTCAGGCCAACCCAGCCATCAGACTCAATCCAGCAACGGGGTTTTCCAGTACACACCATTGCAGGCCGCCTCGGACTTTAGAATCCTTCGTATCCAGAGGAAATTGAGCGAGACCAGGACACTGAGTGAAGAGCTGCCCTTGCGCGGGTCTCTCCTTGTCGCCTCGCTAGACAACCACCCGGAGTATTTCGCATTGTCGTACACTTGGGGCGATGCAGACCTTTGCGAGGAAATCAACATTGACGGAAAGACGCTCAAGATCACAGCCAACTGCGCCTCTGCGCTGCGCCGCATGTTGCGCGGGAAGATCACAAGGACTATATGGGTGGACTCGATCTGCATCAACCAGGCGAATACCCCGCAAGCGCTGAACGAGCGAAACATCCAGGTTGCCATGATGGATGAGATTTATAGGCATGCGGTCCAAGTTAATGTTCATTTAGGGGATGGTGACAAGGCATCGGATGTCGCGTGCGAAGCATTAAAAGGTTTATCTACTGCATATGTGGCGGCCAAAATGGCTCCTCCGCCACTACAGGAGCGCTGTCAGAAAGAATATGATCGACTTGCCGATGATGCGTTAAGTAAGTGCCCAGCAGTATGCTCACTCCAGTGGCTTACCAACAGTTAGGGGTGACCCCGGAATATCCATACGGGAAGCTTCATGGTGTTTTTCGGCTTCCCTGGTTTAGACGGACTTGGGCGAGTTTGTCTTACCAAAGACCTTGCCTCATCAGCTAATATTGACTGCTTAGGTGGTCCAAGAGGTTGCTCTGGCAAAAAACGTCATGTTCTACTGCGGAAAGTTCTTGATGCATCTTTCAACCATGGTAGTTGGAGCAGACTTCACACGGCTTCCGTACTCGAACCTTGATTCCGATACGTCTGGTCGCTACTGGCGGATACACCTCGAATATCACGACACTATGCAGGAATTCATCCGCAGAAAGGAGCAGGGCGAGCCAACCTCCAACTTTGGCATCAAGCTCAGCGATATCCTGATGTTCCCCGCGCTAAGTCTGGAAGCAACCAGGCCAGAAGACAAAATTTTCGGCATGTACGGAATATGCAAGCGGCTTGGGTTCGAGATCCCGGCGCCGGATTATCGGAAGCCACTCGCCGTCGTTTACACTGAAGTAACCCGGATCATGCTTCAAGGAGACCAAAACCTAGACCTGCTATCCACAGTACTGGAATCGCCTGGCTGGGCCCATGGCCTCCCATCCTGGGTGCCGGACTTTTCAGGGTCCACGCGCAAATGGTCGCCGTCAACCCTGCCGCACACGTATATATCCAAACGCCAGAACCCCCAGGTGTCGGGTCAAACTCAATCACAATACCACTTCGAGCCGGACGGCCGGGGCTTGAGAGTAAAAGGCCGCAGATTGAGTACGATATGCGCCGTTGGACAACCCTGGATAGTGGACTCGTCGACAAATGTTTTGGGAGACGCGCGGGCGCAGACGGGGCAGTACGCCGCCGGTCTTATCGACTGTATCAAGAGCTGGTTCGACGTCGTCCGGGGCCACCCTGACTGTTTGCACGATGGCGTGGCTCTGGAAATTATGGTGAGGGTGTTAGCACAGGAGTCCGCGACTCCTTATGCAACGGAGTCGTTGGAAAGCTTGGTTCAACACCTATCTGTGCTGGTCAGCATCTCCGGATCAAGCGACAGGAGCCTTTCGACAATGCTGGCTGACCCGCAGGACAACCCTGGAGGCTTCTTGCAGTTGGGAAATTTCACCATCAGCGCCGAGATGCAACGGTCCATCTTACACATCTATGACCTCGTCTGGAAAAACGTCTTTCGAACTGCCCACAACTTCCTAGGCACGGGCACACATAGCGCAAAGGTTGGCGACGTGGTTGTAGTCTTGCATGGTTGCTCTACCGCGGCTATTCTTCGACCATGGACGGGGGGATTCAAATACATCAGTCCAGCTCATGTCCACGGAATAATGAATGGGGAGTTTTGGAATCCCAGATCGGCAGCAGATGATGAGTGGTTTGTCTTGATCTAATCTACATACCAACTTTTAAGGCTGCCATTTAGCACTTGTTGATTTCTCATTGGTCTAGCTAATGGCAAGTGAGCCTGTAGATTGTGCCTCGTAGAAATCCAGAATTGAACCTAGTCGTCGAAGGCAACAATGACTTCAATAGCCGAAAAAGTCATGTCGGAGCCGTCATCCTCCACGCCGACTTGGCCCCAAAGCCCACTTTGTCCCTTCTTCCACCCATATCCCGTTGGCCAAATCAATTCGCAAAAGTTGGGCGTTGACTTTCTGATATTCCGTAGCCAGCGCCGAATGGCACATAAATAGTCATATTCTGTTCCCTTATTTCCTGGGTCATTCCGTAGGCCATCGGTAATGGTGAGATATTCAAGGCTATTTGGAAGGATATCTTCCAGTCGATTGTATGGAGGTGAAAATCCCAGGAGAAGTGTCAATGGGATTTCAAGTCGTTGCAGCTTGGAGCAGCCAACAAGCGTTTTCAACGAGCCATGTATTTCAAGAGGAGCCACGCCCCATTCGCCTTTCCGGGTCGAAATGCATAGGCTCGTCAGGGTGTCTCGGACATGAAATAGGGCAAAGCTGATTTGTTCAAGGTCAACAATAGGCCACCTGGTCTCGCCCGTTGCATTGGGGTGGTAATACCACTGCCACTCGAGGGTCTTGAGGTTTTTCGTGGCCGATAGCAGTTTAACAAGATGAACTTCTCGGATATGATTCAAACTGAGAAATGTCAGGTTCGAGGCATCAGGCTTCTTGATTGGCCATGTGAACGCGATCGGATTGTCGATTGTGGCCGTGAGTCGTCGGATTCCTGGCAGATAGAAAAAGGGCAAGATATCTGCCGTGTTTTCTTGTCCAGGATCTCTCCTGTGGGCGGTACCCCATTCGCAAAAAAAGGATAGCTCTTGAAGATGCCGAAGTGTCGAAAAGCCATGGTTCGAAGATTGAAAGAGAGCGCTCCTAACCACCATGCCAAGAAGGCGACTTTCCCGAGCCCAAATTGTATCGACGCGTAGAGATGTCAAATTTGACAGGCGCGATACGAGGACAGAGAGATAGGCATCCAACTTGTCAGACAAGAGACAATGAATCCATAGGTCCTCATAAGGCACTCCGGTTCCTTTGATATACTCGACGATTTCACCCAGTCCGCCTTCGCTGATGGGAGCTTCAAATGGAGCTTCGTTGAGAGGATGAAACTCGTCATATCCGTGGATAGAAATGCTTCGGATGTATGTAGATAACTCGGGTCTGGAGAGGATGTTCCGCAGGAGCGGGACAATAGGAGGCCCGCGGCCTGCCCGCAACGCTTTCCAGTGCCACTCAATCCTATTGTAGAGCCATGGCTCTGCAAGACGACGAAAGCGTTTGCTGACGAGGCACCACACTTTCAAATCGAGATGTGAGAGAAACTCGAAGACACATCGTATAACATCCTCGGGTAAATGGATGAGTGATTTCATCGTGGCGTCCTACCCTGAGGGCCAACGGCTTAATCGAATGAAAGGTAAAGTTCGATGCTAGGCTCGCTGTTGCGAATGGAACATGCGAGTTAATGAGAGAATGGACCATTCGCGTCACAGGAAGCGCAGAGAAAGCAGGCAGAACCAAAACTTCTCTGGAAAATGTTAGAGGGGAAAAGAACAGTCGGTGGCTGTTTTTGTGTTCGAAGAGTGAGTGTTGTGCTTCAATGGGAGCGAGTCACATGACATGTTTCTTGCTTTAGAGTTTAGGAACCGCTTCTACTCATTCATTGCTGAAAAGTGTTTTATTCTACAGTAATGAGGATGTCGGTTGCATGATGTTACTGAATTAAGGGTTATTGCTTTTGAATGGCTTCCAAGGACAACACCGAGTTCATGATAAACCGTCAGGGCAGGATAATGGCACGGCCACTAAATCCCCATTAGGACAATTTGGGCTTGAATCATACATGAGATGGCAAAGAGACAAGACAAATCAGGTGAGAGTAATCCTCATATTTTCAACGACTTGTATGTGCTTAGACGTTAGATGAATCGCAGCGATTTATTATTGGATTGATAGATGCTTCTCCGCCGTCATTACATCCTGCTTTGTGAAGACCTTTGGCACTACTAACACGATACTGCGTGCTCCGCAATAATTGGTTTCCCAAGATAAATCCTACTAAGCACAGACGGAGAACAATGAAAGCAAACAATACCGAACAAGGAAACTAAGATACCTCTCCTTCCCATCAATAATTTTAACGAGATGTCCGATACCAATTGTCTTGGGGGTCGTCAAGGCACTCTCCCACGGTAACAGCTATTCACACATCAGCATTTTTCACGACATGTTGATTTCGAGTAACGATTAAATGCATGCCTGCAACACTTACCTCGCAATCCACGTTCTCGAACGGAGGCAATCATTGCCGGTGCCAAAGAGACAACAGTCTGCTCGTGCACATCGTGAGCAAGCGCGATGGAACCACCCGCGTCAAGGTCAGCATTGAAGAGCCGAATACTCTCACTGATGGCATCGGGTGAGTCATTCTCCCAGTCGAGTGTATCGATGTCCGCGATGATGACGTGGTAGCCCAGAGATCCGACGGTCTGCACGACCTGGTCGTTGTAGCTGAAGAATGGAGGTCGCATGTAGGTTGGGAAATAGCCCAGGATGTCGAGTAACGCCGACTCGAGCCGGGTCATCTGCGACTCCACTTCGGAGGAGCCCAAGTTCGTAAGGTCCGGATGATCCCAGCTGAACAGGTTGCGATTCATGTGAGTACCAGAGACAGATGCCACGGCAGGGATCATAGATTGACTTACGTGTGTGAGCCGATTTGATGTCCATCAGCAATCATACGATGGACAGTTGATGTGTATGAGTAGATGGAGGCCCAATTGTCTCCATTAATAAAGAACGTAGCCTTGATGCCAGCCTCAGCGAGCGTGTCTAGTAGCTGATTAGTGTAAGCAAAGGGGCCATCATCAAAGGTCAAGGCGATTGTGTTCTCGGTGGTGCAGCTGAAGATGGTGCTCCCAACAGGGATCGCCTGTCGTCGCTGATGGGAATCCACAACAGGCGATGCTGCGGCACCCGCGATGAGAGCGCTGAGGAGGTAACGAGTGAACATGGCGACTGCAGAACAAGCTTCAGCTCTCAGTATGTACAATCTATACAGTACGGATGTAATTAACTGGTTCCTTCCAACATGGCAGGCGTGGGAGGTATTTATGGATTTATCAACAAATGTCTTCTCCTCAATCCCGAGCGCGTTGGTGCGTTGGCCCACCTACGGGGACTGTTGGATGTGTCGGGAAGCACCTCAGATGCATGTCGGAAAGCCACAAGCCACGCAATCACACCCTTCTTGGGTCATCACTGTGGAGTTGATTTTTAGTAATGCAGCATGCATATTATGTATGCTTCATTCCCCGCTTTGAGGCATTCGCGCTGGGCCAGGAAGACTCAGGAGCCGTACGAATGAGTAGAATATGTTTCATGCATCTTGGCCACAGTAGTCTCTCTCGCGGCAGAGATTTCGGCGTCTCAATCGCGGCCAACAACATTGAGATCTTCTTCTAGCTTCCAACTCGTCCACTCAATCGCGTGCCAAGATATGCCAAGCTTCGTAACAAGCGGGTGAAGTCAGAGCGGATGACAGCCACATGCAGTTCTTCTTGCGACTGGCCAACCGCGTTGCGTTGACAACAGGCGTACGTCGTGCAGTGGTGTGGTTGATCCAAGCATGACGTCCGCACATGTATGTCGATAAGCAATTTAAGCATGTAAGCTAACGAGGAGCACGCTTGATTGGCCGAAACATGTCCCGAAGGCGGAACCGGCGCAACGAGGTTGCTTTTTGAGGTTGCTTTTGCAAGTCAGGCTGAGCTGTGCGTACATTCTGACCAGCATCACGGCCATCACACCGGCTTTTAATTTGACGGCATGCTGACTGCTATCAGTGGAATGTCACTTCCCGATGTGCGATGATATCATTTTTATTCATGCTGCTCGGGAGAGGCGGAAGCCACCCGGACAAGATTCTTACAGCCATGTGCTGGCATGGACTGATGGTGAGGCAACAAGGAACCGTTCCTGGTTATCTCGTCCACAACTGGTTCAGCTGAGGATGGGATGCAGCCACTGTTGCTTTTATTTTCGGGGGCGTTTTGGGTTGCACATTATTCCCGGCCCGCGATGGAAGGTGAACGCTCAGTCGCCAAGCTGAGATTGCGACGGTAGCAATCTACCACGCAATCGAAGTGAGACGGTGGTTGGTAGAATGTATTCCCTTGCAGATGACCGCAGACTCGCTTACCTCATGCCATGAGCAAGTAGAACCCGGCTGGAAACAAATATCCGATGCAGAGTTATTTTTCGGCAGTTGGATCCATGACTACAGAGGAGCTCATACTACCTCAGATGCAGATCATAGCTCTGTTTTGCGCCCTCGCTCGTAAATGTGGTGCAGGGTGGGAGGAGTCAGCTTCACGCAGCTTGGCAGCGAAAGAATACATACTGCAGGTCACTCGGTCAGCCCATGAAACATCGGACAGCCATCATCGGAGCCAGGGACCCCTGGAATACTGGGACAGCGATGCATTGCATCGGGATTGTGAGCTGAGACCGCCCTCAACCCAGTCCATGACACGAATCTCGGCGCAGAAAAGTTCCGTCACCGTGTTCCGCTCGAGTTTTGCGTTAACCTGGGTAGCACCCAGAGGCCCTCAGCAGTGTCTACGTCGCGCAAGACTACGGTATATAAGCGGCAACGACCTGCCGATGGAATCGTCTATGCTGGGAGGCTGGACATGTCTACATCCACACGAGCCTGGCTTCGTTTCATGAGGAACTTGAGCTTCACCGCACCCGAAACCGATCACAACCGGTCGCACAACATCAACACGAACTTCATGACGTATATGGTCCCGAAATAACTTCAAATATGTGTGTACGAGTGAGAACCAAGTGTACCGTCTGTTTGTAGGATCGGGAACCGGGGCATTTGCGGAATTTGCGTTGTTCAAAAGAAGACGTCGAACCTGGGACCGACGCTAATCGATTGCATATGAGCGAGCGTCAATGGAAGTGTGGATATTATGAATCTAGTGGACGCCCCTATCGTCGTGGACATGTGTCGCAATTGATACTAGCTAATGAGGTCTGTCGGTCGAATCAGTGACAGACGGTGGCGGGAGCCAACAACGGGGAAGCCGACCTGGATGCGAAGTGGGATAGCGACGCGAGAGACTAAAACAGGAGAGTTAACCACAAATGTGCGAAAGACGTGATTATTTATCGGGCGTTGAGAAAGGTGCAATATCTAATGGAGATCACGCAAGAGAGTCTTGGAGTTTCGCGAGTCGAGAATTATGGGGCTGCTTGAGAAATATCTGGTGCAGGCATTAGCCCCAATCTACTAAGAATATCGAGTGTGGGATAGCATGTGGGATAATGGGGCGAGGCGACAAGGGGGGGGGTTAACTATGTAGAACTAGCTGAGTGACGCAATTACTGGGGATAATAAGAGCATAGGTGCTTCCATTTACATAAATGTCCCAGTTGTCTCCGATCAAACCAACGATAGATAGCCAGTTCTTCTCCATCACCAGGTCTCAGCATCGAATTGGTTGTCACCACAGACACTCAATCGCCATGGCAGACAAAAAGGAAACTGGGCGACTCCCCGAATCGGACATCCACAGCGTGGATACCGAAACCACGCCCAACGCCTCCCAAGAGGAAATCGTTGTTGCGCCCATCAAGACGTGGAAGGGTTACGTGTGGGATACATGGGAGCTTCCACCGGAGCAGCGTTGGATGCTCTTCAAAGTGGACGCTTTCGTGCTCACCTTTGCTTCCATCGGCTACTTCCTCAAGAACATCGATCAGACCAACGTCAACAATGCGTTCCTTAGCGGCATGAAGGAGGATCTTAACATGTTCGGCAACGAGCTTGTGACGAGTACGTGATTCCAGACTAATTTTTTACACTGGGGTATTTTTGTACAATTGCTAACTTGTCAAAGGCACATCTATCTGGACCGTGGGCTACGTGATCGGCCAGATCCCGTCTAATCTGCTTCTCACCCGAGTCTCGCCGCGATGGGTCATCCCCTCGCTAGAGGTTGGATGGGGTGTTGCTACCATTTGTACTTCGTCGGTGAAGTCGTATAAAGCTCTTTACGGTCTGCGCTTTCTCGTGGGATTATTCGAGTATGTGACTCTTCGCTATTCTCCCGAGGACTATCTCTTCAATCTCGGGGATAGCATCATCATTCCGCAGTCACTGACCAGTTCTACAGATCTGGCTTCTACCCGGGTATCCACTATATGCTGGGATCGTGGTACACGCCCAGAGAAATCGGCAAGCGATCCATGATTTTCTGGCTGGCTGGTTCTATCGGCACGATGTTCAGCGGTTTCCTACAGGCGGCCGCCTATACGAACTTGCACGGAGTCCATGGACGCGCAGGATGTGAGTTTCATATTTCATTGCTAATTGATGCCCTAAATTCTCATGAGACCACAATATTCAAAGGGGTCAGAACTGGAAGAAGGAACGAGGGGACTAACAGACTCATTAGGGCGATGGCTATTCATCATCGACGGAATTATCACGCTACCCCTCGCCCTTGCAGGCTATATCTTCTTCCCCAACCTGCCACAGGATGGTAAGAGGACATGGTGGACCACAGAGAAGGAGCACATTCTCTCCGTGAAGAGAATGGGCGCTATCGGACGTGTCGGCAAACAACCTTGGACGAAGGCAAAGGTTCGAAAGATTCTGTTCAATTGGCACATTTATATCCTTCGTAAGTCTCCGCCTCACAGATATCTGAGCTCAAACTAACTTTGAAATTCAGCGATGCTTTATGTCGTCTGGAACAATGGTTGGCCCCAGGCGGGTATGGGCTATTGGTTGAAGAGCTTCAACGTCGAACCAGCCCCAGTTCCAGGGACATCCTTCTCCATCCAGGATATTAATAACTGTAAGCTCTCAGAATCCCGCCCCTCGTCGATTAGGATGGTAGCTAATGGAATCTCATAGTGCCAATTCCCACAACCGCTATTTTCGTCGGCATGGCTTTGGTTTGGGCTTGGCTTTCTGATGGTCCCTTCCGCGGCGCCCGTTGGCCTTTCATCTACGCAGGTGCTATCATTACGGTACGTGGATGATTCATATTTGTTCAGAGTATCGAAATTGTTGCTAACGAGTTATATCCTTTCACAGATCATCTTCACGGTTGTCCTACGACAGATGGATCTATACTCGGACGTTCACGGCCGCAAGATTGTCTATTGGCTGAGTAACATTGGTGTACGTTTCAACAGCTCAAATATCTAGCTACAGCTACTGACTTTATCCCTAGCTTGGTGCAGGTCCTCTTATCCTAAGCTGGATCAACGAGATCTGCTCCGATGATACCGAAAAGCGAGCGTTGCTTGTTGCCATGGCCAATGACTTTGCTTATGTTGTACAGGCTGTGGTAAGTAATCCGATTCCTGCTACACTAAGGCGTAAGGTGTAGACTGACCATGATCCAGGCACCCAATTTCGTATGGAAAACTACCGACTTCCCTGCAGCTAGAAAGGGCTATACTTGGTCGATCATCCTCCAAATCTTGCTCAGTAAGTCATTTCCGAGGCATCGAAGTGCTTGAACACTGACCATCCGCCTAGTTATTGTGACCGCTACCATCCAGCTCCTCCTGTGGCGCGATAAGAAGATAGCAGCAAGAGTTGATGTTGAATCCGTGTCAGTCTCGGCTGGAGGTTCGGAATTGGACGAGAAGGAGGCTGATAGCAAGGCTGTTCCTAGTAGCCAAGTGAAGGCCGTTAGCTTGGACTAGCTTTAGGAGCACAGGAACAATACTGACTTGAGTCCGTACTACCCATTGTACATGACTATTTGCAAAGCTACATATAATTATGTGCAGTCTCAAAAATACACGCCTCTTTGCGCAAACAGCAAGATCGTTGATTACAAACAGCAGGGTTGAAGTCAGAAGGGTTGAATTGAAGCTTCAGGCAAATACCAGTGTGTAACAGCCTTATTGTTCAGCTACTGTTTCTTCTGGTGCTGGGTGTAGCATTTACTCTTTATTTCTACGCTCGAGAGTACCGTACGATTTTGATGTATCTAACAATATTGAGTAAAAACAAAACCAGAAATACGCCGCTTCGTATTGTTTACCACGAAGCCTCCTCTTGGCAGTCATCTGTATTCTCACTACACCAGAGTAGAAAACGAATTGGAATATAAGGTATTTAAGTTGTAGTTATTCTTGGAATTTGTAGGTAATCATAAAGATCTTGGAAGTGCCTGCGTAGAATTTGTCCTAAGGCAAGTGACTTTCCTGAAATCGCGACGAGGCAGTGAGTTACGGACAACATCTCAAGCCCTTTAACAGCCATCCAGATAAACCCTTTGCCTAGATCGAATCCATAATGATGAATTTTGAGTCTAGGTTTCGTTTTTCTTCTCTGCTGCCTCTTTGCAATAGCGGCACTCCTCTTTGGTCACAAGATCTGAGTCGTCCATAGAAAGCGTGGCCGCGCAGTACTTGCCACTCTCCTCTGCTTTTGAGCACTTTTGCAAGTGATATGACAGATCGACCAGCTTCCAGCAATCCAAGCACTTGGTATAGAGTTTGACCTTGTAGCACATTTTGGTTGCTTTTGTCGACGAGAAAGATCGGGATGTAAATATGGTCGAGGATGAAGGAGCCTGGCTATTGGTGTGCGAGTGAACTTGGTTTGTGTTCTGCTTGTTTGAGCCTAGCTTGAGTTAACGGAGAAGGGGAGGCTGCGCTGTTATATATAGAGAGAGTGCTTAAAGTGATTCAAAGACTGAGTCTGAACAAGCCTTCAGCTTTTCGCACAACATATCAAGACCATGATGTCGCATCACCTGATTTTCGACTTCTGACAAGAGGCCGAAACCCTTTGGCACACATTAAGAATCTAAAGCAAGTGTGATGAACGCGCGATTTATGTCACAACCTTTTCCTGTTCAAGCGCCTCGCCACCAACGTGCCTCTGTGAGCGAACATTGAATAGCTTTATTACTATCAGAGCGGCGTGAAATTTAGCCCTTTCAAGCTGAGATAGAATCAGTTCACTTTGGCAACAGCTCCAGTGCAAAAGTCTGCGAAAGGTGACGTTTAATGCACCGAGATTGCGATAATGGGGTAGAAAACACATCGTCACTTGTATTTATCATGATGAATCGGTTATTGTTCTAATAAAATCACGTCAGGCAGCGAGAGTTGTTGAACTAATATTCGAGGCAAAAAAAGTGCATTCACATACTATCCTCGATTCACATTCCATTCCTTTAACTAACTCTTTAATATCTTAGGACTTCAAACATCAATCTTCTCTGGCATCCAAGTGCTAAATGCCATACCTTTGGGAATCGCTTTCCACTGCTTGGTCACAGGATCTAGGACTTTTTCACAGTCCTCTGCCTCCTGGCGCATGATCACTGCCTTTGCCTTGCTTCTGGGAGTGATAATCACCGGATACTCAGCAGGTGTCACGGTGATCCCACCAACCAAGTCCTCGATGTCGTACTGAGCGGGGTTTCCTTCGCTGTCTTTCGCGGGAGTGAATGTAAAGCCCCACGCGAGTCGAGAGACTCCCAAGAAAAGGGATCTTTCAGCGATATGGATACCTTGACAGAGACGACGCCCAGCCCCGAAAACGAAGTTGTCGCGTTTCTTTGTGTCACCAACCGCTGATTGATATAGAGTGGTGTGGTCATCTTTGTATCTGTCTGGGTTGAAGACTCGTGGGTCTGGATGCCGTTCTGGGTCCATGTGAATCGCCCTGAATCAGTCAATACAAGCTCCACAATCTCGACGAGACATGTGAATGAAGAATGGAACTTACCAGACATTGTTAATCACAGAAGCGCCCTTGGGGATAGTGTAGCCTTTGTAGGTGTCGTCTTTGATCACTGAGTGCGGCACACCAAGGAATACTGTTGGCATCCACCGTAGACTCTCCTTGATGCAGCAACGGACAAATGGGAGATTTTCGTAGTCATCAATTGTAGGCAACCGATCAGGACCCACGACACGATCGATTTCCTCCTGGACCCTCGTTTGCACATCTGGCCAAACAAGAAGCGCTAAGATATAGCCATAGAGAGTCCCTGATGTGGTATCGGATCCTGCTTCAAGAAGTGAGCCGCTGATGTATGCTGCAGCGTCATCGGAGAACTTTTCAACTGTTTGGGCCCTGTAAATGTCATTGCAGAAGCATGGCTGGCAAGAACATGTTAGTGCAATCCGATGGATCGAAGACGGAATTGGGACATGCCAGACCAGTGCCAGCATCGAGTGCCTTCTTTGCCTTCATCCAATGATGGACGTAATTCTTCTTTTCAATTTTGTGTAAATTTCTCGCGTAGCGAACGTTTGGCGCCATGAACTCTGGAAGTTTCTGCATGATTGGGTAGAGATCTGCAAGCTGTGCACTGGAACTTCCTGCTAGCTTCCCCCATTTATCAAAGGACTTTATTACGCCAACGGTTAATCCGGGTCATAATGCTGATGAAATGCACGTACCTCGAAAAGTTGTAGGAGATTCGGGTCCTTGTTGTCTGTGCAGCGATACCCGAATATCATTTGGGTCGACAGGGAGTACGTAAACCGTCGCAGATGGTATAGGAGGTCGTTTGGGGTGTCTAACAAATTGGCGAGGAATATCTTGTTTTCCAGGTCCTGATACGGGACGTACGTTATCGCGGCCTTGATATTCAGGATATTGTGAACCATGCGATGAATCATTCGCCAATTTTCGCCGTATCTCTGCTTGATGTTTAGCTCGCAGCTCCATAAGGTGTTGAAGAAAGACGACTGCTCCGTGACTGCTTACCATGACCACGAGTCTGAGATCACCGCTGGCAATCTTCTGCCCAATAAACATGTCGGGTCGGTCCGAATAGATGCCGCCCTTCTTGTCCAGCAGGTCTTTGACAACAACGTCCGATGAAAGAACAATCATTGTCTTCGTTCCGACAACTAGTGAATATATCGGTCTATGAATGCGCGTGAGCAGGCCCGAGTTCCACAAAATCCACTACTATTTCATACCCATATTCCTTTGCCCATTTCTGAAACTGGATGTGTGGTTTTTTGGTGGGCATCTATTTACACGTTAGTATCTCCTATAAGGGCGCCCTGGTAAGCCTACAAGATGCAAATTTCCCAATAAGGGTAACGTCGGAGGTCCGGGAGGCAAGTTAGGTGGTCTGCTGCCAATCTTGCTGACTTTGACAATGAGCAAGAGAGCTGACAATGTCAAAGCTAGTGCAATAGAGAAGAGGGGTAGGTCCGACATCTCGAATGGATGTTCTGACAAAAGTTGAAGGATACGATTTCTTGTTCTCCTCGTTTAATATTTGTACTTCATCCAGAGCTAGCAGCGGGAAATAGGGGTTACTTATAGAGGTGCTGTATTGTGAGGTGAACGATGGCTGCTGATGAAAACAGATGGTACATACCAAGCTCACGCTTTAATATGTTTGCTTGATGCAGTATCATTAACCTGGAACCTCAGCGCAATCAGCACACCCCACGTGACAGCCATTATCGGGTTCGGCATCAAATAGTCATGATATTATTGGTTGTTGTTCGGGCTCGCTCGTCATGCATCATTCAGGGCGTCAAAGTGCGGGGAATCCGGACTTAGCTTGGTGCGGCCGAGAGCTCGAAATCGACAACCCCTACGCAAGTGATTCGGGTTCGGGTTCGAAATGGGTCCAAGCTGATTCACGGATTTCGAGGGTGCATTTGGACATATGCAGTATAATAGATTGCCGCAGAAAGAATCTCGGGATGAACCTTTCGCGGTCGGGGTCGGCGCGGCATGATGCACAACCACTGATGCCCGAGAGAAAGAGATTTACTGGTGCATATCCGCATTTCTGATATTCTAGTGGAACCCGGCAAATTGAAGCAATGAACGTGACTGATGAGGGTGGAAAATGAAATTATGAAGCCAATGAACCAGGGCTTCAAAGCTGGACGGAGTTGAGCGGTTAGAGATGCGGACAAAATTGACGTATTCCATGCCTGGTATTCCACTCACGCTATAGTGAAAATTTATTCAACTACATATGTCTCAAATAACCAGGAGCATAAAGTCTTTATACATTGTCCATAGAACAAATACTTGATCAATAAGATGAACTTGACTATCGAGATGAGACTGACTGACTAGTATGAACCGCAACGATTGAGCTTCCCATGAAGTGGGCAACATTCATGCCTTACAACGAAATACCCCCCCTATGTGTGTAAAGCCCCGTTAATATTTGACCTCACATCCAAGTCATCGCAGTCACCTGGTTCCCCCAGCCTGACACCTTTCATCGATGACACAGATTCCTGTGTGTCGGAGTACTTCAACATCTTCCCCAAGATTTCAACCAGTTCCTCCCCGTTCTGGGTGGAAGGACCCATACTCCTCCACATGATGAAGTTATCCGGGCGCACGAGAATCGCACCCCCATCCGCAAAGCCCCGAACTTTGATCCAATTGTCATCACAATCCTGGTACAGTCCAGGCTTCTGGCAATGGCGATGAGCTTTGATGCCCGCTACGACAATGCGAATTGCAGACTTCGCCGTGACGTTTCGGGCAGCGTTGGACCAGTGGTCACCCAATTCATCAGTAATCAAGAGCAAGTCATAATCCCCACCGTTGCCAATGAGGTCGTGTGTTGATACTGTTTGATGGTCGCGCTCAACCCAAGCATGCGGCAAGCGATGACCAGGGCGCGTTGTTGGCACGTATACTCTTCCACCGGGGTCTTCCCTTGGCTTAGCAGATCCGTCTTGGGCCACAGACTCACTCTCATACGAGAATCCGAGCTCAATGTTGTGTGCAGAGAATTCAATGTCTTGGGTTTCAAAGATTCGCGAAAGATGGTGTCGAGCTGTCTCTCCAGATGGGGAATCTTCAAAGAAACGAGCTAAACGTTCTTGGTTGTATTTCTTCTCTCCAGGAAGAAACCCGACGCTTGCTTGGAGTACGGGGTAGTTGGAGAAGGCGAAGAGACCCCAATCGCAATTCCGTTTCCCCACTGGCCGACGCTCGGCTTCATATGTATTAAGAAGGGAGGCGTCAGCCTTGCCACTTAAAACAAACGAGAGTTTCCATGCCAGATTCAGAGAATCTTCGATGGCTGTATTGAGGCCAAGTCCGGTAGTTGGTGGGCGTTTATGCGCGGCGTCTCCAGCGAGGAATATCCGCCCGTCCTGATACTTTGAAACGAGGGTCCGCTCCAGAACCCACCGGGAGACCTTGATGACATCCATTTTGAGATCTGGGATCTTTAACAGCTGTCGACCACGAGAGGCTAGTGTCTCTGCCTCCAGTGGTAGGTTTTCGTCGACAGGAACCCCGAAATGCAGGATCCACTCCTCGCAACGGCGATCCCAGGTAGGGCCCATCTTGACCAACGCTCCACAATCGAACCTCTCCATCTTTTCTCCTTCCGGGTTAATGAAATGAGTGATCAGTGTACGGTCTGTATTTCGGCGGTCAGTAATTGAAAACTGTCAAGCTTTTGAACGAGACTCACCATCGCAGTACTGGGACAAGTCGGCGCGAAAGTAAATGCTGAGGAACTCGACGAGATTTCTCGGTCCCTCCATCTGAGCTCCAATTTTAGGGCCCACAAACTTCCCACCATCTGCTCCCACGAGGTACAAGGTACGGAAGACTTCCACTTTGCCGTCCGGGCCTTCAACGGTCACCAGAACATGGTCCTTGTCCTCGACAAAGTCAACGACTCGATGACTAAAACGAACTCGGCCTGGGTTTCGCTCCTCTGCAATCTTTCGAAAGATGGGCTCAGCCCTCACCAAAGGCAGGTTTGAAGATAGTTCAGGGCCATGACTTCTGTAAATCTCGTAATCCGGTGACCCGAGAGATCCGCCAAATGCGGGGACCGAACAGATGACCCGTCCATCATATGGGCCATCACCCCCTAGCGAGGTGCGCCAGTCCGTCTGGCTCATATTTCGAATAGGACACCCGACGGATTTCAAAGCCTCGGAAATATTATGCTGACGGAAGGTTTCCATGGAACGTTGGTTGATGTAATGAGCCCGAGGGAGAATTGCTGTTCCCGGATGCTTTTCGAAAACATAATGCTCAATGCCGTAGTCCGACAAGAAAATAGACAGACATAGGCCGCAGCCTCCTCCACCAACGATGACCACCGGCACATCGATTATTTCTGTGGTATGTCCGTTCATTGGTAACTTGGTGATGCTGTGGTTCTGGAATGAAAGAGAGAATTGTTGTAGATGTACAAGGAATACTGCCGGGAATATGAAAGGAGTTAGCCTAAAAGGTTGGCCGTTGACTCATATACAGACTTGACAGCTTTTAGAGCGCCGTCAATGAGAGGCACTAACTGGGGTAGGTCGGGTTCGGGTTGAAGATAGGTTCAATCTCGGGGCCGAAGCCGAGATCCACCATTTCTGAAGCACCTGTGTCGGCATTAGGTTGGCAAGCGACCCCGAAGATAGGAATAACATAGTTCTTAGGGCATGTTAAAAAATGACATTCTCTTGGCCGAAGCCATGCCGCTTTCATGGTCAGCCACTAGAAGTCGCTTTCCTGCTTCCTGCACTCCTTGTCTGTCCGCTTTGGGTGTGCCATCGACTCCAACACAAAACGTGGATCAAGCAATTGCTCTTTAAAGGCTTTATAGAGCACAATAGCCCAAAATAGAACATAGAAAGGCATAAGTTTATAGTGTTCATTAGTGCAAAACATGACGTTAAACTTGCGGTACTATCCAACGAACTCTACATCACCGACGTTTCTCGCTGGATGATGCAAGCCTTTTCCGAGAGACATGTCAACCTTCGTCGAGTCGTAGATAAAAAATCGTATCCAAGTTACGTAAGAGTCCGAGATAGATGCTCAAACTGGCAAATGACGACATGGGGAGGCTTTGCTGGGTAGCGTACTAAGAATGCGATTGGAACAGAACTCACTAAGATGCATGCGCCAAAGTACGTCTTTGAAGCACCTGGGATACCGGTAAGTATTTGATCACCGATTAGTATATCGTTTCACGCTGCCTTATCATATACAAAGAGACCTCGAGAAGGTCAAATTGCTAGTCTAAGTAGTTTATTTCCAGCCAGATCATCAACCCCAGTGAGCCGCCTTAAAACTATCCCAAATTTTCCGAGAAAGAGAATGAAGTCACAATTCATGAAAATTATAATGAGTAGTCGCAATCGCGAAGGCGGGGAATAAATACTTGTTATTAAACATAAAAGAGTTCTCAGCTGGCTAGAGACGGCCGAAAAGTAACTTAGTGTTGGTGCTGAGATAATTTTCAGCTGCCAACCTTGGTCCTCATTTTCAAACCAAGATTCAAGTTTGTTTTGCATGTTGCCTGGCTCCACGCCGTAATTATCGCCACTAGATCTGGCAGTAATGCCTCACTGCTCTTCGCGGCTAAAAGCCCCAAAATTCCGGAATAATTCGTTGTTTTATCGGAGTGTTCTGATACACAATGTTACAGTACTGTACTGGCCTCGGCTACCCGAGTCAGCCCGCTATCTATATGGTGCCGCTTTACTCACCAGGACCTCTCATTTTCTGTTGCTTTCCTCACCGTGAGGATAATACCCCTGACTGCTGCAATCACCACCAGGAGTAGACCCTCACTGCGAGAATCTGGGTGGGGCTTCACCCCTGTCGCCCAGGGTTGTCGCAAAGACGTTTTCTCACGGTGAAAAGGCTGCAGCTTCAAAATCCCTGCTAAGATGGATCCCCACTCTGCGTTTCCATAGACCTACCACTTCAAGGTGGACGCCATGGCCTGATTATACGCTGTGCCCCACGGGGGCCTGTGACCTTGTATGAAGTAAGACCTAGCCTGTAGTCAATCAAGTCACTCAATCATCATACTTGGGGATCCTTGCAAGGTCGGCTCACCTACCTGGACAGGTCATTCCGATGCGAGTTTCGGCCATCGAGTAAACTTGAGAAGCGGGTCCCTGCAGGCTCTCAAATTGGGAGATTGATAATCTTATCAATCAAAGCATCCCCTGTTCAATCTGTCATTTTGCTTTGGCTAGATCACGACGCCTTCAACATACGCGCGATGAACATGATGCATGTGTTCCAGAGGCCAACCATAAAACAACTTAAGAATGAGAAGACTTTGAAAATATACGCCGCGTTTCTGTGTTGCTTCATCTTCTTGGTTGTTGTGGCTCGCTGGCTGCACACCTTTTGCAACAGGATTCCACGTACATCACCAACTCACGGGCCTCGGGATTCCGGCTACAAAGCATTTCTTTCTGTCTTTCGGTATGTATAGAAGCTACCAATCGAAGGGCGAAATTTCACTAATAGAGTGAAAGTAACCTGCAGAAACGAGCAACTTGGAAGTGGTTCGGCCGACCCTCCTTCGGACTCTTTCTATTAGTTGGCATCTTCCTTACCAGTAATGTCGCTTTATCCTCAACCATTCTTGCCACATATCGAGTAAATCATCTGGCCTCCAGGTTTGGGTGGTAAGCAATATTATACTCTCCGTTATTTTTGATGTGGCTGATATCTCTACATAGGATGGCGGCTGCGAACATGGCTTTGTGTGTCTTCTTTGGATTGAAGAACACACCACTGGCTCTTGTAACAGCCACTTCACACACTCAAATCAATACTCTTCATCGAGTCGTGGGCTATACAGCGGCATTCTTAGTGCTTCTCCATGCCATCTTCTACACAATCCACTTCGGTCGCGCGGGCCGCTGGGCAACTCTGATTGAAGCAGACAACATAGCAGGTGTCGGCTCTGGTGCTGCTATGATCATCCTGCTAATGGGCATCTTCCGAGATCGGGGCTATGAGATCTTTTACCTGAGCCATATCGCGGGCTTTCTGATCGCAGCTGTCTTGACGGGACTCCACAGACCGGACTGGGCAAAAAAGCTTCCAGTTGTGATGCTATTCACTGCCTGTATATGGGCTTTGGATCGTATGATTCGAGTGACGAGAATGTCTTACAACCTTTTCAATAACGAGGTCACATTTCACCCACTTCCAGGCGGTGGAACAAGGTTGCTCTTAAAGAAGACATTCTTTAAAGCCACCCTACCAGGATCCCACTGCTTTTTATGGATTCCACATATTAACTTCTACCAGACCCATCCATTCACTATCGTTAACAACGACCACTCTGGTTTGGAGCTTGTCATCCAGTCTCATGAGGGCTTTACCAAGGCTGTCAATGAGTTTGCGATCAAGCACCCTGGTCGTACTACTCGGGTTTCCTTTGATGGGCCATATGGCTGTTTACCTGAGACGGCTGTTTATGATAAGTTGATACTGGTTGCTGGAGGGAGCGGAGCTGCGTTCACTTTTGGTCTGATGAATCGCATCTTGAATCATTCCGAACGAATCACAATCCAGTCCATCGACTTTGTGTGGGCTGTGAAATATACAGGTACGTTCACTGTCCCTCTAAAGGTTCGAAGAAAGCTGTGGTAACAATGCATCAGAGCAATTGAGCTGGTATTCTGAACACTTACACAATCTTACGAGGCTCGGGTCGAATGTGAATGTGACGCTATACGTCACCAGCGAGGATCTGCTTTCAAGTGCGACTAATGCCGAGCAATCATTGACTGGCTCCGAAGAGATTCACGGAGAAATGGAAAGTGCACTCTCAACGAGAAGCATCTCGAATTATGAAGAAATCTCGGAGACTGGCAACGTCCAGGGGCTACTAAGTGAAGCTGCTTGCAAGGTCGTCGAGCGTGTTGCAAACGTCAGATACAAGAAAATGAGAACGGAAACCGTAATCCGTGAAGGGATGCAGGAGGTTGGGAGTCACCAGCGAGCACTTGTAGCGGCTTGCGGGCCGAAATCGCTTATGGATGCCGTGAGAGATTCGGGGGACAGCTGTCGGAGCAAACTTGGTCATTGGGTGGACGTCCACTGTGAGGATTTTAGCAGTTGATGAATTTGAGTAACCTCAAATGTTCGACCTCAAATTGACACTGATAATTTCCCTTCGCTTCGTAGAACTAAACCCTCGCTGCTTTAAACTGACCCGGCATACTACGTAGTAGGCGGTGAGCCAATCGTAGCCGGGGGCCTTGATTTGGTCCCACGCGGTCTAGAGGAGAAGCTCCATCATGATGGTAACAATACCATGTAACATTCAAGGGTTTGAGCATGGCCCCGGGAGGTGGGGGTTGCCCAACAAGACCCTAGCAAGGGTACCCCAACGGACGACACTTTTGCGTACGAGTTTGTATTAAGCGCATGTAGATCCTCACAAGTGGCTGTTGGCTGTCACAACATACCACCCACAAGTTGCTGGAGACTTGACAAAAAGCTGGTAATAAATGTGGATCGAAGGGTGTGTACGGAGTATATAGCTGCCGAGCTCGGCCCTGCCAGTTTTATCTGATCGAGAGATAAGATGAGATAAAATCCGTCGCAAAGACGCAACCTTCGTCCTACTCTTCCTCTCTCCATTCGACTCTCTCGCATTTACCATCTTCTCAACTGTTCGAGGTGTTGGGACTCATCGTTATGGCTTCCGACATGACTGGTACTGGTCGCGAGCTGGCTACAGAGGGTGCCGTCGTCACACGTATCCCCTCTGAACCCGACGAGAAGAACGTTGCAAACATCGGTAGTCACCCTACTCAGGAGTCTGACAAACCTAAGGATTTTCCATTATCTTGGAAACTTACCGCTCTCGCTTGTGGTGTCGCCCTCTCCTTCGGATCGTCGTTCGCAGAGAACATCCTGGGGCCGCTCAAGTCCACGTTGAGAAAGGAGCTTGAAATCGACAATGCTCGGGTAAGCTCCCAATATGACATGAAGTGTACGTGATGAGGATGTGAGGCTAAAGTCTTTTCTGTATAGTACGGAGCTATCTCCTCGGCTACTTCGCTCGTGAATACAATCCTCCCTATTATAGGTGGATATGGGCTGGACTATTATGGCGTTGAATGGTAAGCTTTTTCTTTGACTGCACTCTTACTAACAAAAGGGATAAACGAGAGTGGGGTTGTCCCAACCTTTCACGAATTTCGCTAATTTATCCAACCGTAAACAGGGGCTCAATGGCTTGTTCTATCGCCATCTTCATCGGCGCTGTAGTCTCGGCAGCTGGTTCTAACCAAGACTCCTTCAGCCTTGTCTTGAGTGGCCGAATCATCATGGGTTTCGGCAGCACTGTCATTGAGTCTTGTACATCCAAGGTCAGTTCTAGCGAGCAGGAATAACGTACCTCGTCATCAAGCTAACACCCCTCGTGTAGATCCTAGCCCATTGGTTTCAGCACCGAGGGCTTGGTCTAGTGTATGGACTGGACTTGTCAATTGGTAGGTCTTGAGTGACAAATGACGAGCCACATATGCTCTGCAGTCGCTAATACTCGTTCCCGGGTTCTAGGAAAACTGATTGTGCTTATTGCCAAGGCCACTGCGGTCCCGATGCGAGATGCTAGCTCGTTCTGGGGCTGGGCACTGTGGATTCCAGCTATCGTCTGCTTCGTCAACCTTCTGCAAAACGCTTTCTACTTCTGGTGGGCCCGCTCACGACCAGAATGGGCACAGATTCCCACCGGCCAGCAAGTAGCCATGGAAGCTAGCCAGCGTGAGTGTTCGCAGGCTGAAGGCGAGGAAGCTGTTGCTCCCAAGAACGCAGGTCTCCGTTGGTACACTCCCCTCACCAACTGGAAGATCCTCATGCATGTGCCACGTTTCTTTTGGCTGGTTGTGTGCACCCAGATTCTACAAGCCGGCGTCGTCGGCAGCTTCAACGGTCTCAACGCCGACATCATCCGTTTGACTCGGGGTTCCACCGACCAGATCGCCGGTTATACATCAGCCGTGCAGCAGGTCATCCCCGTCATCTGCGCGCCCTTGCTCGGTTCTTTCTTCGATTTCTTCGGTTACAGGATGCTGTTTGTGAGTGTGACATCAGCTATTTGGATCTTGGTGTACTGCCTCATCGGGTTCAGCCATGTCAACGCCCTAGGCGTCATGGTCATCGCATCTCTGGCCTCGGCCATGAATGCCCTGCCCTTCCTAGCCTCCATCCCCCTAATGGTACCTAACCAAACCGAACTGGGGCTTGTCTTCGGCATATGGAAGGCCTTTAACAACAGCGGAAGCGTCGTTGTTGACATGATTGCCGGCAGGCTGCAAGACGTCACACCTGGAGGAACATATGAACGAGTCGTTGCATTCTTCGTGGCCTGCAAGGCTTTGGAATTCTGCCTAGGCCTGTTTTATGGTGTACTTGACAGAAAGTACGTTAAAATCTACCTCACCATAAAGAAACGTCCGTATGTCCTAACGATCCGACGATAGATACCTCGGAAGCATTCTCTCCATCAGTGAGAAGAAGCGCAAAGAACTGGAACAGGATGACAAAATTAACGAAACTATTGGACACAAGCCTGGGAAACTGTTCACTGTAGCAGGACTCTCCCTACTCTGTTGTTTGGTTGTCATTGCCTGGGTTCTCTTTATTCTCTACTCATTGTAGGGCTCTCTACCACGTCAAGAGAGACTTACCCTTTGGCCAGTGAGAGTAAACTGTACCCACATGGCTAGCTCCTCGAGCATGTAGTGTGCGGCGGTCATATACTACTTGTTGCTGTGGAGGATTTAGAGAGAGACAGGTAGGCTGATGTTGGATTCGTACATATTCAGATAGAACATAGAGTGCAGTTGGAACTAGTTGCCGTTATCTCTTCACAAACCCCATGGGCTAGTGTCGTTATCCTCTGTGTGTTGCTTCAATTTTATTACCTCCACGATGTTGCTTTTGTCCCTCACCGCCACCCTATCAAAGTCCCTTATCGTATTGAACAGATGGCTAGCGACTGGGACAGTCTACTGTTAGAACTCAACTCGGGTGATCCTCTACAGGGTTAAAATCTATTCGTGTATGGCAATACAACGTGGCCAAGGTAAAAGGTCTGGCACCGGGTGGTTCAGCATAAATACCCTTCTAAGGTGTATTTGAATGACCGAGCCACGTTGCGTGCATTGGTATAACTACTCTCAAGATAAACAAAGTGTTAGCGATAATGGTCATCGTAATTTGTGAGAGGTCTTGTAGAAAAAAGAAGAAAAAAGGGATGTGATTCAGAATACGGCGAAACCAATGCCTACACAGATATCCACACTTTTGTGTTTCGGTACGGCGAGTGAATGTTCATTTCATCATAAAATCTCTTAAATGCGATGGCGAGAGAGTGTGTGGTGGCGTCCAATGAGCTTACCTTGCTAAATCATTCGTCATCGTGTACATATGAAAGTCTCCTAGAGATAAAATACCAGGAAAAATGGTAATCTGTAAGATTGGATGTTGAAACAGACGAATTCGTTCTCTACATATTCTGAATACATGCTGCTATATATCTCAAAGCTGATTCCGATTTACTCTCCCCCTCACCAGATCATCAATCCTTTCTCATGGGTGTTCCGGATAATCAGGAGGTTTTCCTGTTTTGGAAGATCCGTGACTCACTCATTCCGCCGGTTACTCATCTCTGACTCATTTTCGGCCAGGAATTCTTCCGCACCCCTTGTCTCGCTCTCAAGATTTCCTATTCTGGCAGTACAAATCTTGCCATGCTTACGGTGCGGCCTTTATTTTTTACATGTTCCAAATGGTAAATGAGTCAAGTAATGACAGGCCTGTATCTATTGAAAGTGTGATGGAAGCATTGCCGCACCTCCTGCTAAAATGAACTCTGTGATTTAGGCTAAACCGTTCCAGAGGCATTTATGGACTTACTGACGGATAATGGAAGCCCAGGTTATCATGGAAGGTATCCTCCAGGGAACTGTTTAGACATTTCAGGCTGCAGATCAAACATATTTTGCGAATTTCCCCAAATCTCATGGAGGGGCTCTGGGTCTCGGAACTGTATTAGCGCGTGTCCCTCCATCAGAACTCAAGAGATCCGGAAAATCTCTCCTGTAGTATCGCTGCCCTCCTCATAAAATCATGCGCACGCATCCTCTCAGTGAATGAGGCATCGGATTCATCACCAGAGCCGCATTTTGTAATTTAACATTAGTCCTCCAAGAATCTGTGGCAATCCAATAATCCCGATTGTTATGTATGCAGTCATAGCCAATTAGGCTTGGGTTTGAAGCCCTTCCCTCCCCTATGAACAAGATTTACTTGGTTTTTCACAAATACATGTACTATGAAACATTTTATGCACCTATTTACAAGTAGAAGTCCTTTTCACTCCTGAACTCCCCCATAGCAACTAGTCGCCGTGTTTTACTACATCTTTCTTTGCCTGAAATTATAAAGCAGTCAACCTCGGTGTGATGTGCTCTCAATAATATACAAGTAGATAATATCTGCTTAGTATGTGGACGGAATCACAGACAGTCGACCTCCATCGTTTGCAAGGACTAAGCCATTACAGTAAGCCCCAGCCCTGCTCGCGAGATACAAGATCGAGCCACCCATCTCCTCTTCTGTCCCGAATCGTCTTGCTGGCATGAAATCTTGATGATCCAGTGTTTCTGTCTCAGGGTCGCGAGAGGAGATGATGAAATCAGCCATTTCTGAAGGGAAAACTGTTCCTTTCTTTAGTACATCTTCCCCGGACAGATATGGAAAACTCACATCCAGGTGCAAGGGTATTGACCCTGATTTGATACGGTGCCAGATTGGTTGAGGCGTGACTAGCTAATTGTGCGATTGCAGATTTACTTGCAACATATGCTGGAGGGGATGCCCTCTCTCGGCTGAATGATCCAACACTTCCTGTAATAATAACCTGGCTTTGAATCGAGGGGACTTTGCTTCCAGAGTTCAGTGGCGCTCCATACCCACCTTTCACGGCGTTCTTGTTGCCCGCATCGAGAAGTTCCAAAAAAGCAAGTATGGTAAAGTAAGCCCCAGTTACGTTGACATGGAGTACATCCGTGAAGCTCTCTATAGTTACTTCGCCGAACAGGTTTCTGCGGAGTTCCTGGATGGTCATCTCAGGATCGAAAGACCTTAAAGGGCCTAACACTCCCGAGTTCGCAATAATTAGGTTTATGTAGCCGAAGTCATTTGAGATTGTATCCACGGCGGCCTGAAGTGAGTTTTTTGAGGTGACGTCGCACACCAAAGGACAGATGCTTGGGTGTGCAGTGGCTGCTGCTTCTAAGGTGGCTTGCCGTCGACCAAGAATATAGACTCTTTTCGCGCCGGCTCCTGCAAGAGCCCTCGTCATCATCAGACCAAGTCCTGGATACTGTCAGATATCAGAAGACATATGTGTCTTGAGATCTTACCAGTGCCGCCACCACTGATAACTGCAACAATGCCATCAACTCTGAACAAGGCTGAGGAGTCCATGCTGAGCCGTATTTTTAAAACCTTAACAAGACTTGTGGAGAAATGGAAGCATATAAAAAAAGAAAACATCTTTGTTTTATCATTAAATAGAAGCTCAGCTCACGCGTACATAGTGGTATCATAAATGGATTTAGCATAATTCTCCGCCAAGTCCGTTCACTCCTCACATCGCCCCACTACGGAGTTAGGGTCAGCTCCGCGAGAATTGTTGAGTAATTAAAACAACCGTAGTGAGCACTGGAATCTAAGTGTGCTAAATAAGCAATATTAACCCTCTTAAGGTACCCGGGATATGACGGGAGGTGCTCAGGGCTTGAACATCCCAAATCTCGAAGCTCCATTGTAGGCTGCGGTCGGCGACAGAACGCAGATCATCGATGATTTCAATTACATGCCCGAAATAAGATTGAAATCATTGCCTAGAATGCAGGTATGTGCAAGTCTACGCCTGCGATGACATATCAATACGAAGGTCCAGACGACAATATGAGGGGTCATATCTCCTCATGTTCTTTCGATCGGACTGAAGCAATGGATGACGAATCATTTCAGGATTCTATCTAAATTGCTATTCCATCTCTATCATTTCGTCAACATATCAGCCATAGGAGCAGTATCCTATCAATAAAATGCGGATCAGTATCACGAAGCATCGAGCTACAAGTAAAAGTGATATGTCTTACAGCAAAAACCTGCATTCTCCGAAGCCGAGGATCTCCTGATTCAATGCTGGAATCTTCAATGATCATATGAGATGCAAATGGAGAGTCCAAGAGATTGCCATTTTTGAAGCCCGTTTTGAGAGTACCTAGTACCACAAGCTCCGAACTATTGTCGTGACTCGTAAATACCTGAAGAACCCGATGTTCTCTTGAATTCACTACTGTCCACGCATTATCTCGACTCTTTCCAATCTCTGACTTAGACTTAGTTGACCATGGTTAGGCAAGAAACTGGCACGGAAGTAATAAAATACCGGAAGATCCTTGGAAAGTCCCGTTAGGTGAGAGCAAAGTTGCGTTCTTGGAAAACACCTCGGACGCCATTCTCTCACCGGCATCAGGTTGTTTGGAATCCGCTAGCTGGTAGAACTTGGTAATTAAGTCCTTCGCACCATTATCCAAGGTGGTGGCAGGCCAAACTGTCTTGTCGGTCGCAGGATTCATCTTGGTCAATATCCAAGATCCAATAGGGACACAAATGGGCGAATAGTAGTAAAATACAGGTGTACAGACGGTAGTTGATAGCTTAGATCAGGACTGAGTAAAATTAATTCAAGAAATACCGATGTCAAGGCCGAGAAAATACGGCTATTGCATCTCGGGCCTGAGCGGCTTCGGCCTCGGGGGCCACGGGATCGCACAATTGCACCCCTCCCCGGTCATGCGGAAGTATATTTACCAGCTTCTGTCTTGTTAGACCAAAATTAACGTACAGTGTTACAATCTCCACATAATATTGCCCTTCTCGTATCACAAGTCATGTCAGCTACTGCCATCCCAGATTTCGATGCTCCGGGCAAATCCGTGCTGAGGCCCGCATCACTGGCTCATGTGGTGCTACGCACTGCGAACCTGGAAAAGATGTCCGAGTTTTATGTCAATTTCCTGGGCGGAGATGTGGTTTACAGCAACAACATGATTTCATTCATCACTTTTGATGAAGAGCACCATCGAATCGCTCTTATTGGCATTCCAGATACGACGCCAAAGATGCCCCTCTCCTGCGGGTTAGAACACATCGCTTTCACGTTCTCCAACCTGGCCGATCTTTTACTTGCCTATCGCCAGCGTAAAGCTGTGGGCATAGATCCTGTGTGGTGCGTGAACCACGGCCCAACGACGAGCATCTACTACAAGGACACAGACGGAAATATGCTGGAAACTCAGGTGGACAACTTTGATACAGTTGAGGAAGCCACAGCCTTCATGTCAAGCGAGAAGTTCTCCGAGAATCCTATCGGCACGGACTTCGATGCGGAAGATCTGATTGCTGCTCTCCGAAGAGGCGAGGACCAGGGTCTTCTCAAGAAACGCAAGGAGATCGGGCCGCGAGAGATGCCAGACCTCAGTGGCATGTAACTCAGTTGTACTTACGCTGTTGGTTATACTCTCGCTGCATAAATCGTTCGGTAGCTTGTAGTTTAATTCGATGTTATAAGAGAAACAGAGCTTTGCCAGCTGCTATCAATAGAGTGCTTGAGTGTGATAGATGGGCCTTAGGTTGTTATTTCTCGCCCGGCTACTATTGGTCGACTCGATTGTTCAAGCTAAGGCTCGGGCTCGGGCTTGGTGCCGTTTCTGTGGGTGGATTAGCGGTGAGGCTCGGCTTCAAGTTCAACCTCGGGTTCGGGTTCGGGTTCGGGCTCCGGCTTGTGTCAGCTGGAGGGGGATATCGACATTTGGTCCAGGGCTCATGTATGTTCGTTCTCACTTTAGTCAAGCTGATAATTTTGTAACAATGGTTTGTCATTCGACCCGTTGGCGTCGGCACATGATATTTGAAACCGGGTCAAATCCCGATACTCTACGATACACTGGGGTTTGATCTCGTTTGCTTTGTGCTTGTATAATACAGTATTTTCTTCGGCATAAAATCTCCTCTCATGAGACTGGATGGGCATTTTGACTAGCCGATATCCAATCTCCGAGCCAATGCTCATCAGATATCTCTCCCGAAGGCAATGCTAATATGCCTGCTATATTTGTGAAGTATGAATCAGGCGAACTAGATCGATGGTTCCCCTGCAACTGAAGATTCGCGGTAACAGCCTCAGATATCGCAGGAGCGGAAAGTTCCATACTAGGCCTCGGCAAAATTTGGTGAGATCCTCCCGCTTCGTCATTGTAATTGGCTGGAACACCCATGGACTCGTCGGTATTCGTCTGGCGCTCCAAAGATAGGGCGCGACATTGCCTGCGATGGTTATGATCGGGGCCGGAACCTTGTGAGTGAGGGCCTGTGGGCGTTGAAGACGTCCTCAGAACGCTTCGTGCTTGGCGGACAAATTCAGTCGTTTTGGTGAAAGCAGCCTCCCCTGATGTGATGTACTCCAAGCGACCGAAGAAGCCGACTATGACTTCCATGAGGGCAATGTCATTTTGAATAGAGTCATCGGGCGGGCTGCATACAACATGCATGAAAATCGTAGTAAGAGCGGTGAATGGATAATAAAACATCAACCTTCGATTGAGTGAGAATGTTAGCCGAATGTATCTTCGAGGTATGCTGGGTGAAAAAGATTCAAGATGCAGGCTCTGATATCAGAGCCTATCTTAACTTACCATCCCGGAGTAAAGCTTTCAATATCAAGGTACCTTGTGAGAAGCACCATCGACCTCGCTGCTTCTATGTGACTTATGTTTGCCGATTCAGAAACAGGGTTCCCTGCTTCCTTCTCACCCTGTGTGAACATGGGTGTAAATCGTCGGTAAATAGCGCATAGGACATAATAATAGGAATAATGTAGAACAAGAAGTTGTGTACGTGACGGTCCAGCAATCCCACAAACCCTACCAAATGGTTTCCCGGGTTGTATTTCAGTTGGAAGGCTGTGTCTCCATGATTCCACGTCACTTAGTATTTTGGTTGATTTTGCGTAAAGTTGAGATGAGGGTGAATGCAACGCTGAAGCAGAGTAAAGCTCATGTGTGATTGCGCCACATATCCGAGCAAGTTTCGTAAGACATAGGAAAAAGTCAAATGACTGGCCATGAGCCGTCGTCTCCGTGCCCAAATCTCCTCCTTGGACCACCTGTAGGCCATGAGGGAACGAGCAGCTGATTTCGTCATCGTGAATGACAGGAGGGCGGCCGCAGCGGAGAGCAATTGTTTTGTCGAGGCAGTACACCACCCAAAATATTCGGTTTCGTTCTCGTTGCTCACTCTCCGTTAACGCCCATTCTGGCGGCGGACGATGATTCAGTGCGAGACTTTGGGCCAGTCGCGAGGCCGCCGAAGACAGCGTGTACTCAAGTCGTTGGGGACTCGACATTCCTTGAGCAAAGACCGTCATCACGGCCAGTGCTTTCACCGCTAGCAGGTCTGTTTCGGCATGAATCATCTTCGACTCATAGTACAAGGCGTTTTGAAAATAGTCCCAAGCCTCGCGACCAGACACCTGAAATGCCTCGGCAGTTTCATCAGAGAGGGCAGCTCGACAGCCGGAGGCCAGCACCGCGTTCAACAACGCCTTCCAAGAAAAGCTCCCTTCACCAGGCTCCGTACCATATGTCGCAAGTTGGGTTTCGAAATCGGCTCGGTCCAATATTGGGAAGATGATTTGTACAGTCGAGAAGTAGGCTTCCACATATTTCCTAATGTCCGGGGGTGAAATGGCTTTCAACGAGAGTGGTGCACCTGGTGAGGAGCACGGTCCGAAGCGCACACACTTTGGCTGTCTTAGGTGACTCAAGACACTATTTCGAATATCCAGAATAGTGCTGCAGAGTGTGTGTGAGCCTGGGATGTGGTCTCGTATCCAATTCAATCCGAGGTCGGAGATGGTTGCTATGCCAGACGAGGGTCCAGTATACTCGTCTCCTTCATCGGTTCTCATCCATACAGCCGGGTGCCGATTATGGAAGCTGTCGGTGGAATTTCCGCTCAGTATGTCGTCCAAGAGGCCGCCTGCGTGGTCAACCTTCAAAAGTTGCCTATTCGAATCAACATTGATGTTGAACGGCGGTTGGAAACGCTGATCTACACTGGCCTCTTCGGCATGAGGAGCACAGTGGGATCCATCTCTGGTTCCATCGGCGTGGGCCACAACAATGACCTGTTCGTTTTCTTCAGTCTGATTCGGGCCGTCGTCGATCGACTCCAGGAGAGCCGGCATCTCTTGGATGTCGGTCTCTTCAGGTCGTGTATCTCTGTGGCGTACAGCACGATTGCCATCGAATGAAACGAAGATCCGTGCATCCTCTATTCCACTGTTCGTCCACCGCCGCTTCCGCCGTTCGCCGGCGTATGTACAATGACTCGATCGAAGTTTGCAGTTCTGGCAGATTGGGAGGGTTCGATCGCACTTGATTTTGCGTGCTCGGCAAGTTGCGCATGCCATTTCTAAGGCATAGGTGCCATCTAGGGGCATCCCGTGGCTCCTTTTCAAGCAGCCAACGAAATATTCGCTGAAAGTGATTATGACGAGGTCCAAAAAGTGGAAGAGAGGGGTGTTGTTACCCCGGACTGTGGAGGATCTGACCGAGAGTTCGGCTAGAACATCTTAGCCAGGTGTGCTACACCGGCAGTGTAGCCAATAAGAGGAGGATCAAAATGCGGGGTTGGGGAAGTGGATACGTAAAGCGAAGCTAACCGCAATACCGGGAAGATGCTACAGCATCCTTTGGCAGGTTGGTCATCTTGCCAATTACCGCAGAAATCCAGTCAACTCTCCCAAGTAACGCCTCCAGATCATCTTCATGTTTCCACTGTTAACCGCAGAAGTGTCCATAAGTACCTAATTTTATTGGCTGACGTTTGTTTTAATGGGGGCCGCTACTTGGGCGAGATAACTGAGTTCTACGGTATCCGTTGGCTTAATTACTAGAACTGAATCAGCTCTTCCTTTGGCTCCAAATCATCTCTTGCACGTTGAAAAATTGTTTGTGCACGGGTCGTGGTACAGAATATGTAATGTATCGTGGGAAGATCGCGTAAGCTTCCGAGATATTGCCATTTGATAGTACTGGCCTGCCACATCCTCACAGTCTGCTCCATGAAGATGAGCTCGCGAGTGAGGAATGTGCCAGCTTTAGTCCACAATTTCTCGGGTGGACTACCTAGATACATTGTTGTCCGCGCTCAAGATACTGAAAACCTCATCGGCAAGCATGTCAAATCCTTCCACTGGTTCGTTCATGAGAGCCAAGTCTCCCAGGCAAAAGTCCTCTTGAGGTTTGAAACCGATCGTGTCCGATGAAAAGGGCTCCCCAAAACCATCCCCGTGACTCTGCTTCAAGTCTTTTTCAGACACGCCAATTTTTTTATCCAAGTTGGCATAAATTCCGGGGTGTTGCACGTCCTTGACGCTCTGTTGAGAAATCGAATCCTCGAAATCTAAGGGCGGTCTCACAACACACACCAATGAATCGCTCCTCGCAACTGCCTTCTGCTCAATTTGCTTCAGCAGTGGCCTCCTCTGGCCAATGTCGACCAGCAGGCCTCGAAGGCCAACAGGAAAGTCTCGGTCTTCTGGGAAACGGCCCTTACTCAAAGATAAGTCTATCGTCAGCGCGAGACGGAGATACCATCCTGGACGTGAAGATAACATTTCGGTCCAACCAGCCATGTCAATACCTTTTCGCGTGTCGTTTTCCAGCTCTTGTCTTAGCGTTGCATGATCCCATCTTGCAAGGCAGATGGCATGCCTGATTGTTTCGCTGACCCAATCGACACCATCATACTGTGGGTGATAAGTTTTCATAGCCTCGACAAGTAACATCAAACGCCTTTCTTTACCCTCTGGCTGCAAGTAAACGAAATTTCGTGGCGAAGACAGTACTTTGACGTCGAGGATGTAAAGAAAAAGAGGCAAAGCTGTACATGCGACAGCGCTGATCGGAAGCCACTGGGCAAGCTCAAGATGTATCAAATCTGCAAGGCAATCCGTAATACCTGACGTGGCATCTTGAAGCTCATGTAGATTGTCTTCAAGAATGAGAGCACGCGAGCAGCTGGCAGAATTTGATATTGGTGACATAGCGAGTTGTAGTATTTCATGGTGGGAGAGGACGACTTTCGCAGAGCTTGTTTCTCTTAGATAACGTCGAGTGCCAGTCAATGGAAGGAAGGACTTACTAGTGGTACATAAATAGCAATTTAAGGCAGAGTGTTACAGTGCCGTGCTGGACCTCTTGCTCGCAAGATCTAGTTTGCGAAGGTAGCTCAGGGAACTTCAGTACCACTCTCCTGTGCCACCTTTCTAATGCCAACTTGTAACCTGTAACTCTTTCCTCCTCATCCATACAGACCTCACGCCATCCAGAACTAGTCTCGAGAGGAAATGCGAGATCCAGAATGTCTGTGAGCATGATGCAAAGTTCAATCAGCAGCTCGAATATTTCAACCAGCCGTCGTTTTGTGCCAGGGTCGTGCACTTTGCTGTTTTCAATCTCATCGCTAAGATCAGCGAACCCAAGGGCGTTCTGAATTTGGAAATCAAAGTCATTGCGCGTAATTTTAATGCCATTTCGCATTCCCATGCCAAAGATACGATCACGGATGATGCAGCACCACCAGAGTCGTTTCAAGACCGCGCGCCTTTTAGGCCACGTTCTAATGACTTCGTGGTTATGGGCTTCGGCATTTTTAGCCTGCTGAATAGCAATGTCAAGCCAGGGGATGCTGGGATTCCTCTGGATACCGGCCGAAAATAACGACCACGAGGAAAGAAGGAGTGCGGCCTGCGAGAGAGCTATCGGGCAGGATTCTGCATTTAGGTCGAATAAAAGCTTTGCGCGGCGGTAGAAAGCAGCACGAGCAACTCGGGCAGTACCGAATCCGAGATTTCTAAGAAAAGGCAATGGGACAAACTAAGGCACCTCAGTATTCCGATGAGACTAGACATCCCAAATGCGATAGACGACTGACTCACATTACAGCAAGCGAAAAGCATTGCTTGTAAAACGATTAACGGAATTCGATCGTCTAATGCGTACTCTCCAGTGTCGCTGGAATAGATATTCCAGAATGAAGCCTCGTTGATGATTGGGAGCATTGGATGCAGATGAAGAAAATATTGGCGCATCAACTCATCCATGATGGGGCGGGTTGGCACGTGTATGCAACATTGTGATTCGAGAAACTGAAGGTCTTGGGGCAGAATGGAAGGAATTGCACCCATCGAGATGAAGGGATAATACAAGGCGGTAATGTAGTACGGATTTTGAGAACGACCTGCAAAGGTTTGAGTGCCTGCCAACGGCAACTTGACCAGTAGAGGTTGGACCGTATCTGCAGTCATTTCAGTATATTTCAGTGTATTTTTCCAATGATCAAATTACCATGAAAGATAGCATCTCCGTCTAGCTCCGGGGTTCTTGCCGGGTTATTAGCCAAAGCCAGAGGAAGCAAGCCGTCCACTGTATCAATACTTTCAACGGTTGTGTGGAGCTGAGTATTCAGATTTGTGTGCGGCGGAGACTCTCTAGCGTCCTTCAATTGTCGTTCCATGGCCGCTATGTCAGTATCATGCTTGTTCTGGACGGTAGTTGGCTGATGCTCGTCATTGGTTTTGCTACTTTCGGCATTTCCATCGAACTTCTTCCTACAGGACTGTCAGTGGAAGAACAATAGACTTAGAAGAGGCTTAACTAACAATTGCCATCCTCTCCTTGATTTTTTCACAATGCAATCCTTCTCGTCAAGATGGCAGTTCATGCAGGGTCGGCCCCGGTGAGCGACATCACATCTCACCTTACGTGCACGGCATGCAAGACAAGCATTTGTCGAACGCTTTTTGGGTCGTGAATGATCCAACTTAGAAGTCGCTGTTGCCCTGAAATTAAGTTCCATTTTCCAGGAGCCGTTGGGTTTGAAATGTGAAAAGATGAATATCAACGCCAAAATGAGAAACCCTGGACGAATTGTTTTGGTGAAATGATAGGAGTATTAAGCTTCAAAGGGAACGAGGTATCTTGGATTACTAGCATGGTAAAGAGCAACACGTCAATTCTCGGTGTGTCGCCAATTTTGACGACATCATCACAATTCAATGCAATGCTAGGGGACTCCGTCGATGCCGCAAAGTCCGATGCCGAGAGGCGAGAACAACGTACCGTTGTGACTCCGTTGGGATCGCCGATACTAACCGGGACCGACTTGCACCATCATCCTGCAGCCAGCGAGCGAAGATTAGCGCTTCGGCAACCCAGTAATTAATGTAACATTAGCCGACCCCGACCCCGAAGCCGAAGCCGGGTGATTAGATCAGGGCGCAGGGTGTAAGTGGTTGGCGGTTACTGTCTTGTAACGTTAGCAGTACGGGGATCGTTGTACCAAGCCACAGCGAGCACTCGGTCAAATCAGTATGTATTGTTCTTCCGGATGGGCAAGGCCCAGGTGATTCAATACAACAGATACACAGCCGCATGAGCTTGAAGCATAACAATAACAAGAACTGCAAAAGAGTGACCAGTCTCAATGAGGATTCAATTACCTCTAGACAATGACGGGAATTATTCTCGCTCAAATCAAATGCATACAAGTTGTAGGGACGGGAACAGCGAAATCCTTCAATGACGTTGGCAGCCTGGGAACACTCCCACCCTCAAGCTCCTCTGACTGAGATACCCCAAGGTGGGTTGGAAAGGACATTTAGCTTCCGAGTTCGTTCCACCTTGCTCGCATCCTGTCCGAAGTAGCGTTGTGATCTGAAGCTACCACTAGGTTAGCGCTTTGTCAATGGGTATCGAACATTCCACGCCTACCTCGATCGTAGATTGGCCCGCGCCATATTGCGTATCCCCTCAATGTATTTCTCTACCTCGACATCGGCCTTGCTGCCCCATGACGGAACCCGGCCAAGGTGGTCTTCCCATGCCGCCAGTTGAGAGTCTAGCAGGGCCCCCACGGTGCCAAAAGCTTGCTGTGCCGAAAGACCACGCATTCGGCACACGGCTACCATGTTGTGGGGGACACTGTCCACCTCCTCTTTGCGGTAGGAGACAATATCATTGGCGCTATGATTAGCACCAATTAGTCAGGCTATTCTTTCTGTGAGTTCAGGGTTGACTCACATAGCTATGATCTTGAGACCGACCATCTCGAGCGCCTTGATAGTTGAGTGCTCGAGTATTTCCGATGGTATATCTAGACCATGAGCATACTCAATCATAACATACATCGCCCATGCTGCAATCGAGCGGCTGCGCGTCTTGAGCATATCCTTAACCTCGGGCAGCGTGCCTGCCGACGCGTTGCAGACTTGGCTCATGACACTGTCACGGTAATCGGCCATGGCTTTTATATATCGCCGTGTTGTTTCCGGAGATGAATTCTGTATGGCATTAGCTTGCTTTGTGCTCGTAAGGCCATTTGTTCTCGGTGTATCCCACCTGGCATAGCCGTTCAAAGATGATGTCGTGAGCTTGGACCAACTTCGACTTTTCCCCGTGGTAAGGCAATCCGAGCATCTTGCTCATCAGACTATCCATCATGTCTTGAGCAGCCTGGGGGTCGTCTCGTAATTCGCCCTCATCGAACACTGCAACACCGTTAGACCTAACGATTTGCATCAGTGTGAAAATTCATAGAACAGCTCACTATCGTCGAAGGGGAACACCCAGTTTCCCCAGTCACTGACTACCTGAAACTCTTCCAGAGGCGCGTCGGCATATACAATGGCGCAGAAGTATGTGAAGTCACACTCCCGGACGCATTTGGTGGCGGCGGGAGATAACGAACAAGTCCTATAATTTTAGAGCCTATTAATTTATTTTCTTGCTTTGGATGCGGCCATTCGAGGATTGGGTTTGTAACTACTTACTCAATCAGCCACTTCTCTGAGGTGGCTTTGACGGCTGCATAGTGCGGGTTGAGCTTTGGATAATCTTTCAGGAAGGACTTGAACATATCCGGGAGCAAAACCTCGGTCATATCATCTTGCTTGTCTTCAAACCTTTGGATGCTCTCGAAAGATGCCATTGTATCGAGACTTCCACGAGTGTTGCTGATGGTCTTTTTTGTGCCTCTCAACTCAAGGACTCAGATCCACGATTTGAAACGGGGTCAGGCTATAGCAGTAATTATACGCAAATCGTAATTACAAATCTTCACAAATACGTCCATTTGTATCACCTAAAACAACGCATTTGGGCGGCCCCGGCCGCTTTGGGTGTGTGATTGTCGGAGATTGATACTACTTAGGCTGTAGTGCTGTAGCTAGCAAAATGCGGTTGGCTGCTGCCACATCATTCTGGGATCTAGAGCGCTGAGGGATGTTGGTTGTGTTACCGTAAAACCTGGCAGAGGTCGAATACATCTCTAGCAACTGGTTGGTGCAGCGGCAAGGGTTATGCCGGAACAATCGCCCCTAACCAAATGATAGGAGAATCACGCCATTTTGAGATCGTACCATTTGCAGGCATCCATGTACGGTGTTGGTTCTTTGTGGAGTATATGCATCTCATTCGTTCTGCCAGGATGAACCTCCCCTTTGTGCCGTATGCCCGCAGCATGCAACGCACTACCCTTCTATTCCGGCCTAGTCCCTACATATTGAGCCAACTTGATCATAAAGTTTATGCACGCTCGTCTTTTGCAAGGTTACGCCGACCAACATGCAGGAAAAGATAAGGATACCTACATCTCCGTTAGGTTGCCATGATAAGTCTCAAGAATTAGCAGCTCCGTAAGTACAACGTTCTCGGCGAATAGTATTCTCATCAGAAAATGAAAAATGAAATAAAAAGCAAACATCAATATCATTGCTTAGCTATCTTTTTCACCACAGTATTGCTTTATAGGATCAAACGCAATAGGTTTAAGTAGGAATTACATACACTCGCCGGCATTGCCAACAGGGACGGAAATGATAGCTGTTGCCACAGGTCACAAGTTAGCTTACCATTTCGGGCGAACGGAACATCCTAAGCCACCCTCCCTCCGAAATCGATGCTTATGCTCATAGCGCTTTGCCACCAGACCCAACTAGCGTGGTGCATGACAGGTAACTTACCTGATCCAGCTGTGAAGTGTGAAGAACTATCGGGAGGTGGTTCACCTAGCTGCCAGCAGATAGTTTGTCGCCGCAGTATCTCGGACATAAAGGCATAATCTACAAAAACCCTGTTCGAGGGAGGTGACATTCAAGGCGATCCTGCCTAACAGCAATAAACACTGACATCTCGGCCTCCCTACAGACTGTTCTCAACATTTTCCAGTGGGCCATGTTCCGCAGCCCCAAAAAGCCTCACGTGTCCTGACGAATTTCACCCTGAGCGCTGGTTGAACTAGGATCCACGCTGCAGCCGATTCTTAAGAGAGATACTTATCAGCCTTTCTCCTTCGGGAATCGGGGCTGCATTGGCAAAACGTAAGTTCCCCATCTGCAGCCTAAAAAGGGACTCTGCTAATTGAGTCAGAACTCTTGCGTACTCAGAAATACGACTCTTGATAGCGCTACCTCTCCGGATTTTTAACCTCAAGCTTGCTGAAGACAGCCTCAACGGGAAGTCGCAGAGCAGGACCTATATACTATGGGATAAAAGGCCTCTAAACGTGTATCTAACTTAAAATTCACAATGCACTTAGATAAAATTTATAGAAACTGTTGGATTACACTGGCCACCTGCGGATTCAACAATGCGCAAACGTACCGATAATCGAGCGCCTCATGCGCGACCTTAGCAACCCCAGCAGAGGGCCCCTCGGGCATTAGACCACCAGTATAGTCAGCCTTAGACCAAACAGGCGAAGTCGACAGACGAGTCCAATACGAAGAGAAAGGACGCTGCGAGACTAGCGAACGAGGTTATAGGGAGCCAAGGTTTTCCCTTGATTAGGGCTGTTTAATCAATCAATCAATCAATTAATTACTTAATAAACTAAGTTATTCAGTCTAGCTAAAATGCAAGTCTAGCCATGCATTGGAACGCACCGTATGACGTCCACGATTCTACCGTCGCAAACGTTAAATTGCTCTCCGTGTAAACACGTTGATAACTTAGCGCTGACACAACCGTGACAAAGAATCATGCTAGTGACATAATCCGTGACTCAGATACACTATCGGGGTTATTCATTTATAAATACGCAAGTTTTGATTCCGACCATCGGGATGACGGGATCTTGACGTTTCTTTGCTCGTACAATGCCAAGACCGAATATGACCAATTAGGCCAAAATTTGCTGAGAATGCCGTCGATCAAGACTCTCTATCCCAGGGCGTGTGACAACCGCCTTCAAAAAAGCCAGCCGGTGCCAAAGAAGACCCGTCTAGCCTTTTGCAAGGCGGTCGGCACTAACTTCCTCCTCCTCCAACTTCTGTTCCTTGGTCTCTTCTGCTACATCTTCGGCGCCCTGTTCCGACAGACTAGCCACACTCACAATATCCACGTCGTCTTTGTTGACTACGATGGAGGGGCTATCGGTAACGCTGTACGAAATGCATATGCGTCGCTCCAAAGGGACGGCTTTCTCTCTTTGGTAGAACGATCGCCCCTCGACCTTCAGACGCCAGCCGATGTGCGGGAATCAGTCTGTCAGGCGAGATTCTGGGGAGCTCTATATGTGACTCGGGGCGCATCAAATAAGCTGCAGGAAGCGTTGACGAACAGTACGGCAGCGTCAGCATATAACAGCAAGGACGTGATGACATACGTTTGGAACGAGGCTTTATATGCACCTGTCGTCGATTCCGCAGTATCCGCAAACCTTCAGCTTCTGTCTGCCACTGCCAGAGTGGCATACGCTACTGGAGATGGAACAGGCAATATTCGGTCCGTCTCTGGTCGAGCTGCGCTGTCGGTCCTCGCAGAACCGTGGCAACTTCAATCCATCAACATCCAGCCAACGACGCAAGGGTCCAGGGCAATCTATAATACTGTGGTGATCATCATGGTTCTCATTCAAGAATTCTTCTACCTCGGTACTATCAACGGCCTCTATGCTCAGTTTAAGATCTATACCCGCGTCGATCCATACCGCATCATCCTCGTACGCAATTTAATTTCCATCACCTACACCTTCATTGGGTCGCTCTGCGTTATCGGCGCCATATGGGCTTTTAAGTCAGGCTGGAACATCAATGGAAATCAATTCGTCTTGTCCTGGGTCACATTATGGCTTTTCGCACACGCCAACTTTCTCACTCTGGACGTCTTTACGGTATGGCTGCCACCTCCGTTTGTTCCCATGGCTCTTATATCCTGGATCATCTTAAACGTCACGTCTATTTTGTTGCCGTTTGATCTAAGCCCGGCATTCTATCGCATTGGGTATATGTTCCCGGCTCACGAGGTCTATCAAATTCTGACAGACATATGGTCGGGCGGGTGCAATCCGCAACTACACTATGCGTTACCGATTTTATTTGCCTGGGAGGTGGTAAGCTTTCTCTTGAGTGCTCTAGGGGTCTTTCGCAGATGTCACTTCGCAGTGCTCGGAGAAGAGCTGCAGGCAAAGGAGTTCAAGGAACGCCTTGACGTTGCCACGGCATTTGAGAAGGAAAGGCTAAAGGAGAGAAGGCCCTCGCGGCCAGAGCCTACGACACCGGAGGCTAAAGAAGAGCCCGAAGAACCATCGTCGGAGGCAAATGTTGTCGAAGACAGAGACGAAGAAGAACTAGCCGGCGTCCTCAAGCGAGTCACCACGAGGCAACGACGGGATCAAGAAAGGGCGAATACAGCTTGCCATTTTGGCCCGTCCTTCGATCTGCCATTTAATATCGAGAGTAGTGATGAAGAGTAATTGGTGGGGGAAAGGTTCACGGCGACCCAGAAGTCACAAATTGCAGGATATATATTTTTTACATACTATTTGGGCTTTGGAATGTTTTAAGAATGAGAACACATGTGTTTACTTTTGGTCCACGAGGTGTTGCATTGGCTATAAACCTCATACTCGCTAAAATAAATAAAATTTCGCTTCAACCTGGGAGTATTGAAATCACTGCCCTCATCCTAAACTTGGGGTAATTTCATTTCTGAATCATTTTTAAGTATGAAGGTAGTCAGTGACCAAGTCTCATTTGGCTTCCGTAACATCAATAGCTCGGTTGTTTCTTCGTCATCGCTGCAACCGTGAACCAAGTGTTGCTCTATGAATCGATCGATACTGGGAGGAATGGGAGGCTAGGTTTGGGATGAATGTGGACACCCTGCCTTGTTGAACAAGGAGTGGATAGCCCGCATTTGGGACACTATCACGAAACTCCATAACCTAGAACTCATCTAGGCCGATTCCAAGGACAAGAGTATCCTCATTAGGAAGAAGATAAGGCTATTGTTATTAATTTAGAAGGTGGTACAACGAGGGGATGGGCCTAACACGACGTCGGGGTACATCAAGTTAGCACTTGCGTGGTTGGCGACGACACTGCCTACAATTCATCACTGAAGACAAGTCACGACTTCGTCTTGTGCATAAAACGAATGAACATCACGACGAATTGGATAGGTTTTAAGATTTCAACGCTTCTCTCTTGTCTCGTGACTAAATATGTAACAAAATATGTGTTTGGATGGCATCTCAGGAAATGTTCATGGCCAGGCCATCAGCCATTGTTAAGTATATACTTTGAAGCAACGATACAAAATCTCCGAGAAATTATACCCTGAATCTTGTTGGCAGGATGATCCAGTTCTCTTTTACACCCAGGTGTAACACTCATTCGCAACGGGGACGAGGACAGTGTAGACTGTCTGTCGCCACCATTGGGTCACAAAGGCGACGACGCTGAACTCAAAGTCAGACTTGACCGCAAGTCCCTGGGAACAGGCTCCGGTGTCGGGCTGCGTTACGGTGCCACCGATAGTAGTACCATCTGAAGTTCCATTCAGTTGCTGGCTTGCGCTGAGAGTGAAATCGTTGTAGAATTTGGGCGAAGCCGTCACGCCTCCGCTGAGATCCACCAGACCACCAAGAAGTTCGAACTGGAGCATGACAGTGATGTCGACGTATGGGTCGACCGACGCGACCGCTTTCTCGCTGATGTTGGCGTTGGCAGTAAAGATGGGAGTCCAGCCCGTTGCTGACGAGCTAGAGCTGTCGAGGAAATCAAGGTGGAAGTTTCCATCCGCGATCTTGACCCCAAGGTCGGTTGACAAGGTCACGGCCGCGTCAGTAGAGACGTTAACTCCAATGGCAAAGTCCAGGGCAGGTCCGAGTGACACGATGCCTGGTACGTTGACAATGCTGTACGTGAGCGGCGCCGGGTCATAAACCACATTCTGGGTGTATGGTGCGGTGACATCGACGGTGAGGCCCAAATCAGCAGAGGCATATGTGTCGACGTCGAACGACAGCTCGTACACCTTTGCCAGAAGAATCGAGTATTTTAGCTTGCCGGAGAAGGTGACCGAAGTGGTAAGGTTGGCATTATCCGCAACGACGCTCAGATACGGAGCATATGAGTACAACGTGGTGGCAGGCGTGAGTGCCAAGGTGTTAGAGAGAGTTAGACCTTTGGTGCCAACGGTGATGGCACGCTTTGACTCCACAGCTGGGATAGATGAGAATGTAATCTCGGTGAATGCTAGTGACCATTAGAGTTGGATCTACGCGCGTAGAGTGAAGTGGGGGACAACAAACCAGCAGTGTTGGCCAAATCCGACATCTCGCCGCTCGCGACAACCGTCAAAGTGTTGCTATTGGAGGTGATGCTCTTAGCAAGAAACATGCCACGCTCATTCTCCGCGTCGCAGTCACCGAGATGGTTGGTCACCAAAACAAAGCGGTCGTCATTCGACCAGTCCTCCAGTGCTTCATTGAAGGCGGCCTTGTCACTGAAAGTGACAGAGACAGAACCAGGCTCGCAGTCAACTGACTCAATACCACCAATGTCCTCAAGCACCACAGTTGGGTGGGTCATCTCAAGCGAAACGTTGACAAAGCTGTTTCCCTCGGCTCCCCAGTTCAGAGCGACATTTTTAGACGGGACGATGTTGCTGAGCTTTGTGGGATCAACGTCAGGGTTGGTAATCGGGCTGAGGGTTGATTCTTGTCCGACTCTAGAGCTGTTCGTAGACCTGGCGAAGTGAGGGTGTGCGGCTCTCTCAGAGTGGTGGTGTGAGTGGCTGGAAACCAACCCGGCCATGGTGGCCAGGAACACGGCGGAGGAGAGCATCACCATGATCGCGATGACAAAATGAACGTGGTTAACAAAATGAACGTGGTTAACAAAATGAACGTGGTTAACAGACTCTGGTGCCAGATTTGGATGCTTCACTATACGAAGTGGGATGCGCGTTATTTATCATCGTAACGCGAAATAGATATCATGCGCTTTCAAATCGCAATTCCGCTTACTGCGGTGCGCCAGGCCAAGATCTGGCCGTCAACGTTCCATTCAGGGCGGCAATGCAGGGCTGGCCCACTCTGTTGGACCCTTATTCCGACAGGCGAAAACCGAGCGCGTACGCGTTCACGCGGTTGTGCCATTATTCTCCTATTTGAGGGGACAGGAGTAATGGAATCTTAACTGCTTTGGGTTGTCCGAGCAGATGTGTCGCGCATTCCGGTGCTGTGGCCCAATTCGGCAATCGTGAGCAGCCTCACCGGGCGTTAAGCCCACTTCAGCCGACTCACCGGAACTCTTAGATAAAACCCTGTCATCGCAAGACATAACGCCCCCATTATACCGGGAATCCCGCCGAGGCACATGGGAATCATTAAAGAGCTTCATGCAATCCACCAATCCAGATCGTGAGAGCCGCGTCGGGTTGGGTTTAACTCCGTCTATGTATCGTGCTCCCAACGCACTGGCTCCCTCGGTGTATATTTTCGGCTACAAACGCGTCACGTTTCTTGAGATTGAGCTCTATTCGGTATTGCTTATCCATATTCGTCTTGCCAAGACGCAAATCCGTTATCATAGACCTCCATCGCAAACCCGCTTCCTTTATAATAAAGTTCCGGGGCATTTATCAGTTCCGGACAGCGGAGACCAAACAACGGTTTGAATGGTTGACTTTTAGTGGTTTTCAGATAGTCAGCTGAGAAACTACCCCGGATGTTACGTTGATTGATTTCTTCCGTGTCCGATTTCGCTCAGGGGAGTCCCAGGATAAGGGCGGCATCTTTCGAGTTATCATCACCTATAGCGTTCTAGTGGAGCCTGGAGGGTAGCAGCCATGTAACCGCCAGTTAAATCACTCAAACATTATCACCACTAATTCAAGGATGGCCAGTAACGTTGGAGCTAGCCGACCCCAGTATTCTGTGGGACTGTATTATAGGACAAGGCCTCGAGTATGAACGTCGCGCAACGATAACATAGCATGCTTGGCATCCTCCTACACGAGGCCATATCTCTAAGAAGATACGGTATCCTATCGAGCCCTTGTCAAAAAAGCACCTTATTCCATGCCTTAGTCGGCCTTTTGCTAAAGAACTACCTCTTCCTCTCCGGTGGGCTCTTTCAAAAGTCTTGTCCAAGCACTAGTAACGCCATATTCATTTATTTCTGCCGGTTATCTGAGATACATAAGGACGTTAAAGTCTCGTTTAAACCTGTATATTGGTGGAAAGACAGGAGGTTCCCAAGGAGACGAAAACAAAAAGGAGGGGGGGAAGGAGCAGGAGAATCTATCTACTGATTCACAATGCAATATGATTTAATTTTGCAAGGCTTTTACAAAAGGGGAATTAAGCTGATAGGTGAGATTTATCGTGTGCGTAGTTTTATTCAGCGAGGTGCGGGTTGATGTGCTCACTGCCCACAAAAAGACGATGCGAAGCCTTCGTATAAGAGTGCGATAATGCACTCTGTCGCCCCCAAATCCTGCATGATGTCATGCACAAAATAATAGAGCATTTCAAGGCTAAAAATATGTCCAATTAGCTTAAGTAGAAGATGACACAATGCCAGTGTTTCAGTTGCATACCAGCAGGCTAAATCTGAGTGGCCTGGAGGTAACCAAGTGGCCACGATATCCTCTGGATTTGAATGCAGATGCCAGATTTCATTTTCTCGCATAATGGGGTCATATTGACTGCGGACAGATGTAATTTCCCAGAAAACCCTTTTTACCAGAGTGTCGGATGAATTGCTAAGCCTCTTATTGGGCCTTGCTTCGCCCCTCGTGTTTGAGGACACGAAGCTGATCCTTCGTGACGCGGGTGCCTAACGACCAACAATAATAAATACCATCACTCAAACAGCCATGAAATTAATTAGTATCTCAATTAGCATCATCACCCCTCAGTTACTATCCAATTACTTGCCGAAAACTCATTTCCAAAAAAAAAAAAAAAAAAAAAAAAAATTTATATCAACATTGCGACAGCCGTTCAGCATGGCATCTACGTCCTCCAAAATCGAAAAGCGTGAGCCTCTCGAAAAGGTTACACTGCTGGGGTCCAACAAGGCTAAAGACACTGTTGCTTCCCAAGGAGTGACGTTGTCTCGGCACCACAGATATATCTTCAATGGTCTCGCCACATCTCTCTGCCTCGGCGTTGGCACCTTACTCTCCATGGCAGCCTCTGAGTCCCTAGCCGTATATGGAAACCAATATGAATTCCGATACAGAGAATCTGAAATCGATCTTATGCGGGAGGGAGCTGCATTTGTGGCAAGTTAATGATTCAGCCTCTGTCCAAGAATCAGCAATCCTAATGATACATCCTTCCAGGGCCTCGTCGTCATTCCGCTGCACATCATCAATCTTATCCTCCTCGAACGCCGTGGGAAACCCCTGCCTGTAATTCTCAACATGATCTATTTTGGAGTTTCTGCTTTCTTGGCCTGCTTCACCAGCCTTGGCTACAGCCTTGGCGCCATCTTCTTTCAACCAAGACGTTGTGACCAGGTTGATCCCTATTTCTCCGATGTTCCGCCATGGAGCGCCGCACAGGTGGAGGAATGCGATGAATGGGTAGTGAAGTATCAAGCATCAATCTGCATCTTTGTGGTGTTGTTGGCCTTGTATGGGTGAGTCTCACTTGGCCCAGGAATATATATTTCCAAGTACTCCACCACTAACCCCTCGCAGCATTGTGCAGATGGCGCTTTTTATCGCCGTCGTCGTTGATGTTTTCGATAACACTCAGAATGGCACTTCGGAAGGCTCGGGCACTCTGTGGTCACTCCCAGTTGGCCGATTCTCAGTTGAGCTGAGCTTCAACTGTGGTCCTCCAAAGACCAATGCACCGCAACAGCAATCTAAAACTGTTGAGATAACGCAGTCCTCGGGGTAAGATGACAGTGCGGTATGTGGCGTTCTCTCGTAATTTGTTTAGGAACAAACTACAGGCGGTTCACCACACTAAACTGGGCTTTGCAATGGAGGATTTGGTTCGGGAAGACTATGGCCGGTAGAAATAGCCTGTACAAGAACCAAGAACGTCAAATATTGGCACTCAAGCGGAATTGTATTCAGAAATCGTCACAATAAGATTCTTCATATATTTTTCCATTTTTACGTTGCAGCAGCGTAGACATCTGACACGGAAAATAAGTCGCGTCCTGGGCTACGCCATTTTCGCAACGACTCTACAAGAGCCAGTGCAAAGAAATATTTAGGATGTATTAATCTAACTTGCACTGTCTCAATGCATCTTCATAGTCAAGATTTCCTTCTCCACAGCCTCTCCCAGGCTCTGTGTATTTCCTCGTCCCCCCATGTCCGCTGTCATGATGTCCATGTCAGCCCTAACGAAGACATTCTCAATCGCTGCAAGCATGAATGCAGCCGCCTCGGTAAACCCAAAGTGATGCAACATCATCTGCCCGGCCCAGATCATGCCGACAGGGTTAGCAATTCCCTTGCCGTAAATGTCGGGCGCACTGCCGTGCACCGGTTCAAAGAGACTGGGGAATTCGCCCGTTGGGTTGATGTTGCCCGAGGGCGCAATGCCGATTGTGCCAGTGCAAGCTGGACCCAAGTCTGACAAGATGTCGCCGAACAGGTTGCTTCCAACTACGACGTCGAAGGAATCTGGCCTTTGCACGAAATGTGCCGTCAGGATGTCGATGTGGTACTTTTCGACAGCCACGTCTGGGAATTGCTTGTGCATCTCGCGCACTCGGGCGTCCCAGTATGGCATCGTGATGCTGATGCCATTACTCTTAGTCGCGCTCGTCAACTTCTTGCGTGGCCTGCTCGCAGCCAGGTCGAAGGCGTAACGAAGCACCCTATCCACTCCCACGCGGGTCATGATGGTTTCCTGGATGACCGTCTCCCGCTCAGTGCCCTCAAACATGATCCCTCCGACGCTGCTATACTCGCCCTCCGTGTTCTCCCGCACGATCCAGAAGTCAATGTCACCCGGCTTCCGTCCCGCCAGTGGAGACTTGACGCCGGGCATCAGCCTGCAGGGACGGAGGTTGATGTACTGGTCAAACTCGCGCCGGAATTTGAGCAGGCTGCCCCAGAGTGAGACGTCGTCCGGGACCTGGTCGGGCATGCCAACGGCGCCAAAGTAGATGGCATCAAACTTGGAGAGGGTTTCTTTCCAATCGTCCGGCATCATAGTGCCATGTTTTGCGTAGTAGTCGCAGCTGGCAAAGTGGAAGTGCTCGAATTCCAGGGACAGATCGAACCTCTGAGCGGCGGCTTGAAGGCACCGGACTCCGTAGGGCATGACTTCCACGCCGATGCCATCACCCGGCACCACGGCGATCTTGAACGTCTTAGAAGTCATTATGTAAAAGACTGTAACGAATATTCGGCAAGAACTTGGAGAGGTGGTGAATTTTATGAACTTAGAAGAGAGAATAATGAGGTCCGAGGTCGCTGTTGGGGGCAGAGACGCCTTTTCTACTTGGGGATCGTATCGGTAGAAAGAATAGCCGAGACAGCGTCGTACGTTCGCTGCAGGTTCAGCACTCCATCTTGATGCATAGATGTGAGATTCCCATTCATGAAGTTCTAACCGTCGTGCCATGTCACTCTTCTTACTTGCGGAGTTCAGGGCGATGGTACGCAACACGACATATATCTGGCAACCGCATGTTAGAAGCCAATGTCTACATGAGCTCTCGAAAAAGGCGGTCTCTTTTTCAACAAATTTTCTTTGCAAGACTCATATATTCAGGGCATTTAATACAAATAGATACATTTGTTACCCTCGGATATGGAACCATCCTTCTCATGTACAGCCCATAATAAAAATGCCTCTCCTGTTCACTTCAGAAAGTTGACGATAGCCGAAACTACTTCCTGCGGAGCATGTTCTGGGATATAGTGGCCTGATTCCACACTTTTGCCCTCGACGGTGACTCCTGGCTCTGTGACGGCTTGCCATTCTTTAACTGCATCGAAGCATTTTTCGATGACGCCGTACTTGCCCCATAGAATAAGCAAGGGGCAGCGCACCAACCGTCCATTCTTCAAGTCCTCTTTCGCCTCCTCCAGATCCAATGTCGCACCAGCACGGTAGTCCTGGCACATGGCATGAACTGTAGCCGGGTCCTCCATGTTCTTGACATAGGCTTCGAAGCAGGCCGGGTCGAATATCTCCAACCCATCCGCCTGCCGCGCCCCCATGAACTTCTCGGCAGTCTCTCGGGGGCGTGCCGAAATCAGCATCTCGGGAAGTGGTTCATCCTGTATCAGGAAGAACCAGTGGAAATAGGCCTTGGCGAACTCAAAGTCCGTCTTCGTGTACATGGCGAGCGTGGGGCAAATGTCCAGAAGAATGGTTTTGCGGATCCGGTCGGGATAGTCGACGCACAGTTTGTGCGCCACCCTTGCACCGCGGTCATGGGCGCAGACGTAGAAGGAATCCTTGAAGCCGAGCGCGTCCATAACAGACACGCAGTCGCGAGCCATGGCGCTCTTTGCGTACGCTGATAGCTCATCTGGCTTGGAAGACTCCCCGTAGCCACGCAGGTCAATGAGGACGACGGTGTACTTGTCGAGCAGCTGGGGAGCAACTCGATGCCAGATGTGCAGGGTCTGAGGAAAGCCGTGGAGCAACAGCAATGGCGGAGCAGTTGAAGAGGAATCGCCGCTCTTCAATCCATGGATCGTGACATCTGGGTCAGATTGCGTCTTGATGGCGAATGGCTGGAATCCTTCAAACATGTTGGGCGTTGTACGTTTGTGGCTTATTCTCTTGTCTCAAAGGCTCATGAGTTTATGTTTGAGACGATTACAAATGAAGACGCCCAGAACCGGCGCATTAATAAATCATGCCGATTATATGATGATGGCGGCGGCCCCTCTCCGGCTCGTGAATGAAGTGATAGCCGAGCAAGGGCGCCGAGGGTAGATGGTCGGTCGGCTTAACGTTTAAGCGCACACTAGCGTGATGCCGAAAACTTCGTCGGGCCAAGGTTGAAGCGACAAAATTCCGCCATCCTAATATGGGCAGAATGCGGATTTAGCCGCATCTCAAAACCAACAATTGCAATTTATGAATCAAAATACAGACACGATGACTGGCGCCTCCCTTAGAATGATGCCCATTAGTATGGCTGGGCGGTTATTCGAGCTCATAGGGCAAAACAAGACCGCTTAGCCTACTCTAGTATTGTATCCTCCCTATTACAAGGTCCGCTGTTTTTTACTACTCACATACTGCTTACAAGTTTCTTCATCTCCTCATACTTGGTCTTCAGCCACACGTTCAAATGCTCCAACGCCTTCTCATCGCATACGATCGACGACTCCCTGAAGACAGCAGCCGGAATGCCCTCCCACTCTCCCACATGTCCACCTTTCTCCAACTTCGTCCCCGCAGGATGACAGGTATCGAAATCCAGCTAAACAGGCTCTCCCTTGTCCGTGAACATGACGTTCAGGGGACTGAGGTGCGCGAGTCCCAGGCTATGGAGGTGATCCAGAGCAGACTTGATGGCGGAAATACACTGGCTGCGCTCATCCAACCCGAAGGATGAAGCATCGTGAGCACGCTCGAAGAGAGTAGCCTTGTACTTGAGGAGCACGAAGCCTGTGGTGCGGTCATCTCTGCTGACAACACAGCCCAGGGATCGGCCCAGACTGGGGTGAGGATGTTCTTGTAGAGTTTCGTAGATTTCGGCTTCGTGCAAATGGCGTCGGTTGGGAGAAGCTTGTCTGTAGATGTAATTGCGAGTAAATGCGAGGCATAGCAACTGTCTCTCAGGATCGCAGCAATGTACCGACTACAATTAAGTTAGTATTCAAAAATCCTGCGTAGCACTACTAGCTACTGGGAAATAATTACAGCAGCTACTCTGCCACCATCAGGTTCTGCATGGACGCCTCCTTACTCGTAGTCGCTCATCGAAGCGGAGCCAAAGCCGGCGAAGCTCACCCGGCTCCCCCGAGTCGCGTGATTGGCCAGAGCGCTAGAGCAAAATGTACGTCTTTTTCTAATCCCGCCCCAAGGCGCTCACTCAATCGCTCCCTCCACACATGCACATTAGAGCCCGATAGGAAAGACGAGCGCCTTGTGTCTCAACAACTGTTAGACTTTGTTCTATTCCTCCGTGGCTGTATGGCGTCGGTCCGTGGTCGCGCGGCGTGCAATGGATGCCGTACACGCAAGCAAAAGGCAAGTAGCCTACACCCAGCATCTTTAGTATGATGGCTTCTTGACAACTACGACTGACTTGAATTCGACAGTGCGATGAAGCTAGGTACTGCATGCCCGAAACCTATGTTCATTTTTTTCATCAGGTTCGCTGACGGCTTCGGTTTCAAGACCAGTCTGCACAAGATGCCGTATTCTCAACCGGCCTTGTATCTGGCCAGCATCACGAAAACGGTAAGACCAACCTCTATAACTGTGGTTTTTTACATTATTCCTTTACGAGACTTGCTGTATTATCTCGTCTTCTAACAGAATATCGTCTCATTCTAGTGGCCCAGCCAAAGGATATACCGAAGCCCTGGAACACCGACTGCGAGAGACCGAGAACGCTCTATTGCGTCTTTGGATGGCTACAACTGAAGTTTCAGTTGAGCAGGCATTCGAAGAAAGCGTCTCTTTGCCAGAAACATGCTCCCGTTCGCCCAATGATGGCCGCCAAGTCTCTCCCCGTCCCGGATCCGACAAGTCGTCCGCGGTCACGCAGTGGGAGAATTATCCCCTACGGTCTGCACATGATGTTGCCAGGTGGGCGAAAGAGGCTAAAGGGGCTACCAAAGCATCCGAAACCCAAACGGCGAGAAGCGACGAGGTACTATTGGACTGCCCACCACGGCAGCCATGCCCGGCTGGGGACGCTCACGTTCTCCAAAACACGACGCTTGATAGCGCAACTCCATCAACGCCTCCGACACCGATAACGACGTTTCCAAATCTAGATAAGGTATTGACCTCCGAGACGCAGTCCACTCAAGAAGGCCATGCGTCAACAAGTACACCCATCAACCATGCGTCGCGATTTCGCACTCGCCACCGAGAAGCAGATAACGCATTACGCCCAAGCAGTCCATCTCCAAGTTTAAAAGCCAAGATTCAATTATCTCAAGAATTCACAGACCAGTATCTGTGGTAGAGGGCTCACATCGTCTCCTTCCCCAGGCTGGTCTCTAGGCTGTGATGGTACCGGCACCGCAATGATTGGGATAATTCATTCACTAAATTGTCAAGTCCTGGATGAGAAATCCAGAGTATGTATTAGGACAGGTCCAAATTTTCGAGCGTCTACTGCATGAATAAATTGTTGAAATATAAGACCCAACAGGCTCTTAGGTACTAACCCTTTTTATTTTATCATAAATGACATTAAAATGCACATGCTATTCGTGTTTCTCTATACAATGTTCAGTCGTGAGATATTAGCCAGGCCTCGATTCAACTGCTGTCACCGTTGAGAGCGCCCAATCATATGTCTTGTAGTCTTGCGAGGGCGTCCAGATCAATGTCACTAACGACGGATCAAGTCCAAGGTAACACTCTCCAACATGCCTGAATCCATTCGCGTTCAATATTGATCAAGCACTAGCCCCCAAAACGGCCCCCAGACCCCTGAATATTGGCATCCCAACCAATACTGCTAAACAGGCCACCCATTTCAGTATCCGCAGCACCACTAAAAAGGTCTTGGCCGCCAATGTGAGCCGTGTCGAAACCAAAATCGGGACCCGTATATTCCATAACAGGTATCCAGTCCTCGGCCTCGAAAGTATTGTCGTCGATCGCGCTGTTTGAAGCTGTATATTGGAAGGATCCCTGGTGCCACGCAGGTACGTCATTGTACAATCTTTGTCGTTTGGCGCCCCGGCCTTCCGTGTTGGCAACGAATGCTGGCTCCATGTCTATTGGTTGGTTCGTGACACGGTATTGTGGCTTCGAAGGAAACATTGTCGAGACTAAATCGGCTGGGTCGGGCCCGAAACGAGCATTCAAGCGTTGAAGAAGCACGTTTACAGCTTCTCGACAGTGGCGCGCGCTTGTCCACCGAGATGCCATAGCCTCTAGGATTTTGAGGCAATGGCCCAGATCTCTGTGAAACTGGAATTAGCTGCGTGCAGGAGAGTAGTGCCAGAAGAAGGCGAGAAAATGGCCGATCAAGTTGGGAAAACACTTACGAATTCGCCTTTGCGTTTGGATACAACTCCAAAAGGGTGGCAAATGCAATAACCAAACCTGCCATCCAGACAGCAGACAGAGTTGCCGGCCAGGCCATCAGGAAGGGATTGTCTGTGTGCCATTTTAGTTTTACAATGATGTTGCGACTTGCACTCAAGGCCGTCTGCACACTCGATTGGAAGTCTTGATTGTCGGGCGGGAGTGAGAGGAAAGGGCGGTGAATTAACAAGATAAGATAATTGTGCAGCATGTTGAAGAAGATGGAGTGGGAGGGCTGATGGTTAGAGGACCCTTCCTGGACTTCATCCTGGAACGCAGGCGGGAGACCGTTCCACCAGCAATGGACTCGATAGGTTATATCTGGAATGCTTTGGGCGTTGATGTTTCTCGTATGTATTGATCTGTGGAACAGATGGACAACGTCGCCTAGCAACTGTGAGTAAGTTGCGAGATGACTCAAGATAAACCCCCTTGCTTCTTTGCCAGCAGCGGTGTAATGTTGTGCCGGGCTTTGGGCTGCAAGGATGTCATGGGTTTTCAGAACGTCTCTCGGCTGACCACTTGATTGTGATCGAGCAGAGGAACCCCCAGCCAAATGAGCAGGTTCTGTTTGGCGCATTGGTAAGTGGTCAAGAACTTGCTCGTTCAGAACTGCCTGCGACGCGGCGGCGTTCTCTCTCGACTTGACTGGCCGGTGCAGTTCCACCATCCCAGGGATGCAAACATCCACATCAGCGTCCTGGATGCTAAAAGGATGGCCCAGCGCCTGACCAATGTAGCGGTCTAGGACGTAAGCACACCAAAATATGCGTTTCCGGATACCACCTGTGCCGGGAGGGAGCTGGCGGTAGCGCGAAGGGCATCGGTGAAAGCCAGAGTTGTACATGGATCGCGCCAGGACGCCTTGAATTGTTGATGCTGCCCGCAATGACGTGGTAGTGATCAAATATAATTCAGCAGCCAACAGAGCCTGGAGGGAAGCGACGTCGTGGCAAGAAAAAAGAGTCCCTATTGCGGATATAAAGGCCGGGATTGACTGGATGCGACATGCTGGAGGCAAAGCCTCGCCGGATGATGTCGAGGCGACAATATTGAACATGCACTGGAATGTTACTGCTCGACACAACTTCCAGTTGGGCTGCGGGTTGGCGGGCGAGTCTAGGCCAGGATCCTCCTCATAGAAGCGATTGACTTGTTCCACAAAGGTCGGCCCATGCAAGAAGGGAAAGAATGAATGCCAATGACGAAAGAAGGCCATCAGGAGCTTCTGAGCTGTGTCCGATGTAGGAGGGATGCCCAGGGCAGTAGTGTCGATGCCATACGACGGTGTTCCAGGGCTTGTAGTTGAAGTCGGCTCGGCTGGATTTTCCCCACGCTCATCGCCTACCGATTGAGACACATCGTGTGTCTCAGGCGCAACCAGGTAGGTGTGAGCTGAGCCTGGGTCAGGCCCATCAGCATCAGCACTGGGATTCGCACTGGGATCACCAGCAGTGCCGCCATTACGTCGCGGCTCAGACGCGTCCACTGCGGCGGCTGACGCTGCCCTGGCGAAGGCACGGAAGACGGTGTCGGCGAAGAAGACGCCGCTGGCGCTCCCTATAAACTCGCTGTCGCTGGATGGCAGGGCGACAAACGATCCAATCTCAATAGGCGGTAGATGGTTGGTCGCAGGTCCACTGCTATACTGTCCACGGGGAGGCACCGACATGACGACTCTGTGAAGCAGCAGGCGTATATAAGAGCTTCAAGCTCGAGTCGCAGATATGGCCATTCATGCGATACCCAATGCCAGGAAAATAATCATGAATCGAGGACCTGTCGGCTCTCCATGGTATCATTCGTCGTTCAAGTTCCATTTGCAGCAAGTGGAATTAATTAGTGGCGGATCTGGTGGTGAATCCTCGGCATTTCTTTCTGCCGTGCCGGTCATGATGGTAGCGCCTTTGTTGACAAGCAACGCAAGACGGCGAGGGAGGATTCAGGGTGCCAATCATAAAATATTTTCGCACGATACGTACTTCTTGAAGGAGATTATTTGGATGATGTGAACAAAAGTGTTATCTGGGCAGGAGTGCGGGCGGCAGGGTTATAAACGCCCCAGACGAGACCGGGACACAAACGAATGTGGGCACTGGTATCAACTCCTGCAAGGCACTGATTTCCATGTACGAAGTCCGGCTCTTCAGAGACCCGTTTATAGTTATTTGTGCCGACGCCCGACAACCATGAATGTCTGGTGGCGAGCACGATATATATTGCTAGACTTGTGGTGTCCAAAATGTCGCTTCTCTTTGGGATTGTCGATGTCTTGATTGCGCAATTAGCCTTGAGGAGTTGGCAATATATTTACTACCTACGATGATTGTAACGTTTTATCGAGTGAACACAATGCAGTCAAACTACAAATTCACGATGACTCACCTCAGTCATCCGATCTATCTCAATTATAACAACCCTAGTGGTGCGGCCGACTTTGGTGAGGGTGCAGGATGCGAATTCCTCTAAGCCCTGTCACTGCAAAGTACTCACCTGTACATTGTTCTAGTTACATAGGCTGTCCAAACTGCTAAACTATGTTGGTTGAAAGATTTACTGTCCAGAGTGAAAGCTCGTCAACAATCGCGTGTATGGCTCCTCCTTTCTTTTTTATTTGTTCCTTCTACTAGATGGTAAATGCCGATAAAGCACACAGGAACCATGTCTCATTCATTCCGCTCGCAATTAAAAGTCTAGGCAAGCTAAACTAAACCGGTACACGAATCCGTACCTTGCCTATTAGACCTCTGCTCTTGACCCATCCCCTTCCATTGATAATGCGAGACCATTTACTAACTGGCATCAGACCCAGAGAGTATCGAAACCTCCGAGTCAGTTGCATTGCCTTGAAGTAAAAGCGCCCATTTTTTAATCCTTCCGATTCCGGGCGAACTTTTGTCTATTTATCGGACCTGTTCATACCTGGTCACCCACGAGCGTGAAGGATGGAGCAATTCGACATTTAGTGTGAAGGCGAGGGTGACTTCTCCTCTTCTCTCAATACCCATGATCATCTTGCATGTCGTGAACTATTATAATGCCTGTGCGTTGCATAAACTAATGCTTCAGCCAAGCCGTATGTCTTACATCCGTTTAGCTATTAGGGTCTAGCAAAGGGGCTCAGACGTCACTGGCAAGAGTTGATAGCAAATCAGGTACTCCTGAAATGGTCACATTCGGTCATCGGACACATGCTTACTTTTAGCATACATTGTGACGTGTTGGGGCTTCTTTGCACTTGCTTGTTTTGCCTTCTCCGACCTTAGAGCCGGCGTGTCGTTGGCTGTCGACAGCGCCTTACTCGCCCACTAGCCCGAGGATGTCGGCCCTTGTGAGAGCCAAGAAACTAACTGCCTTGCTATAAGGGACAAAAAATAAATACGAGCGTACGAACAATCCCGAGTCCAGGGTATCTATATCCTCCCGCGCGACAGTTCATTTTAATGAGTCAAGACAATAAGACACTTCGGTGGTTCAGGGAGGCGCACCACTTATTTAAGAGGGCAAGAAACGGCGCTAAATATGGCATTTTCAAGATCGGCTTCAAAAGCAAAGAGTAGTTAAAGTATAACTTACACGTTTCAGCCATTTCGGAGGCGTGCATATCCGTGATTGATCTCTTGCAGCTAGCTGATCAAGGGGGCACAGCAGTAAGCACAATAGATCCGGTGTCCTTTACATACGTCTCGATCTCTAGACGGCATGTGTGCATAAAGTCCAAGGTGTAACCAGACGCAGACACCCAAATAGCTCTTGAAGGAAATTCCAAGCGCAGGTCCAGCATCATTCACGCTTATGGCTTTGTCCTGTCCATGAGCGGGCCGTCTAATGAGTGGCAAGAGTCTCAGACTTCATGACAATCTTGATTCAGCCATCGGCACTAGCGGGATGATCCCCAGCTACAAGGAACCCAGAATCAGGAATAGTGTAGAGAGAAGAGTATTAAAGATCGACGGAACGAAAAGCAAAGGGAAAACAATGAGGGACACTCCTGGGTAATACTCCTCCCTCATAAAGTAAATAACTTCTGCTGTCCACTTCTCGTCGATAAAGATCCCAGATCTTCTTCTCTCATTCCAAAAGCACTGCTCTCACCAAGCCTCATCATGTCCGCCATGGCAGATATTTCGGTGTACACGTTCCCGCCGAGCCCTCCCAAGTGGGATAGGGTAGGTGTGTTTTACGTTTCGTTTTGTACCATCTGGACCACTCTCGTGTTCTCCGGCATGGCATTTTGTTGGTTCAACCGTCGCAATCCTATCCTCAAGATCCGTGGTCTGTCACTGTCGTTCGCTTCCATTACTTTTCTACATGCATACTGGATCCTCGGTCAGATCACGTACCCCATCGGAGCAACCATGCCACTCGTTCTCGCGTATGATATTCAGTATTTCTTCATGGGAATATGGTTTCCCCTAGGCATCGCCCTGTTCCACGCATCCAACAGTCGCTTCCTTTACGTCGCCAAGCTACAGAAGCAGTTTACACATCCCGAGCTTCGTAGCCATACGGGCTGTAATGGCGCTCAGACTTCATGGCTTTGCCGCCTGAGAAACACGAGCTACGCAACAATTATCATGGTATTGATCAGCATTGGCATGATTCTCCAGGTATCTTCAGACTGAATCTTGACGCACCAACGCCGCTGACTTTTTTACTTAGGCCCTCCTCACTGTCGGTATGTGGCTGGCTTGTCGAAAGTACCATCCGACATTCGGTATCCCCGGTACGGAACTTCGCGGCGCAACACTCCCAGAGCAACTGGTAGACCTAGGTCGAGGGTGGGAATGGTGGCCTTCAGTGCTATGGCAAGTGATTTGGACTTGGATCGTACGTATCTCAAACAAGATACCAACGGGAATGCTCACAGCTAATCTCTGCCACAGGTCGCACCCATCCTGATCTGGCGAGCCTGGGGGATTCGTGATACGATGGGATGGCGTACACAAACCATCGGCTGCTGTCTCTCCAAGTTCGTTTTCCCACTGCCGTACGTGTGCATACAACTAACGTAGCGATCTTCAGCCTCCACGCGACGCCGATGTTTATGATCTCAACATACGTACCCGCATTTGCTCCAGTTAACGCGTATTTTGCCCCAAGTCAATGGTGAGCATCTTAGATGAGGTTAAACTCATCGGTCGAGAACGATACAGACTGCTAACGAACGTAGGATCCACCTCTCCGTGATGATGTTCGAAATATTCGCCGTATTTGTCCCCGTTTGTCAGGTCTTGATGCTCTGGATCCTGAACAAAAAGGCTGCGGCCTCAAACGCCAAATGGGAAACAGCATCCCAATCAACTACACTCATAGCATCGGCCTCGGTAGAATGGCAATTTTCTTCTTCGCTCATCGTTGCCGAGAAGGGCCAAACACTAGATTATCTAGACGACACGATGGGCGATCGCTTGTTGACCATGACTGCCCTTGAGCATGTGCTCAATGACAACCCAGGTCCGCTGCAAGAATTCTCGGCGCTGAGCGATTTCTCCGGGGAAAACATTGCCTTCTTGACCCTCACTGCAATGTGGAAGTCAACTTGGCCAGAGGGACCCGACGAGAAGCAGAGACTTGATGCGTACAACCGCGCACTGGACATCTACACCGACTTCATCAGTCCACGAGACGCCGAGTTTCCCTTAAACTTGTCTTCACAAAACTTGAAGCAGCTCGAAGATATTTTCGAGAAGCCCGCCCGAATTGTGTGCGGAGAGGTACGGGTCAATCCGGTCACACCCTTTGATGTTGACCAGTCAATCTTTGGACAAGGCTCGACGAGGCGGGAACACACTGCTGCCCGAGCAAACTACACAGGCGACATCCCTGAAGACTTCGACTTGACTGTTTTCGACAGTGCACTGTCCCATATCAAGTACCTAGTCTTGACAAACACATGGCCGAAGTTCGTGAGGGAGATGCAACAACGAAGACGCTCAAGTGAGACGGGGCGGAGTGGTTTCACGGATACGTCACAGACAACTCTTGTGAGTCGGGTGTCCAGTCAAGTGTCAGGCTTCGTTCGTTCGTTCTTTTGAGGTGCCGGAGGAAGTCAGAGTGATGGCTCGAGCTGGCTTCGGCCGCCAAATTCTGAGCCCCCAATTCAATCAGTACCTGTATCATAGTTTCATAAGTGGTGTACAGGGGAGTCTCTTAGTGTTCATCATATACTTATACCTAACCAGCAGTAGCGCTGAAAGTAGCTGCTGATCGCCAAGGCAGCGATCTAATCTAGCCTGTACAGTAGAGAAAGCTGGCTAAGTATTAATGTGTATTTTATCGACCTTTGATGTCGTCTACACTACTCTTCATCGCGATGATAAGTGATGATAAGGATCAGATGAGAGGTGTTGGATACAAAGTGTCCGTCGGTACTACTTGTGAAGATCACTGAATATTTTTTGCGCACCTATGAAATATGGTTCAGTATCTAGACACATGATGCTAATCAACTACATTCAGTTAGGGGGAGTGTTCTCAACATTATGCCAGCTGCTCAGTGAATCCAAGCTTAAAAACACAATACTTAACTCATATATGCCTCTTAACTACGTCCAGAGTGCCTCGACTCATTTTGTGTGAGGTAGGTCAACATTGGGTAGATACATACCCTATACCACCGACACCCAGGATCCCTCGTTCAATTATTTTTCGGCTCGACGCGAAACAATTAGAAGAGTAATCAGGGTTTGAATAATGTTTACACTAAAATTGTATTATGAAACATGATTTCTTGTGATTTTCTGCACTCGAGAGAATACATTTCGCAGTTGGCATGAGATCTCACCAAAGACGATAATCACCAACATAGGAGAGGGAGGAAATTGTTCCATTGCAATCAAGGAGCTTGGACAGCGGAGTCGGAGCTTGGGCCGCTGTGGGAGATGCGATGGCCCTGAGCCGAAAGTAAGGGGATGGAGCCGAGGACAAGAAGGCAAGGGGCGAAACCCCAGTTCCAACAAGGGGAGCCCTACAGCTCCTGAAGCATCCTGAAGCTGAAATGTGGAGGATCAATCACAGGAAATGGACATAGCACCGAAGATGCCTCCGCGTGTTGGCTACGCAACACTGCCGTCATGGGCGCATCGGGGTGGTATGGGTGTGATGGATGGATATGAGGGCGGCGGAATAACTTCAGCGCATTCCCTGGAATAGGACCCGATTTGATACATGCTTGATGCAAGGGAAGGGTGATCAGGGATGGCTGCCAGGTGACACGGAACAGCTATCACGTCACGTCGTGTTATCAATCTACTATCTAGGTGATAATTGATAGATAGATCTGACTAACCACAGCTCCCCAAGTCTCTTTCGGTCTTTCTTCACCCTTGAAGAACGAGACCATTTGGTAGGCCGACCATGGATAGTCTCACCGCACTCAGGATGTCACTGAGTCCTAATCTCTCCGGGGCAAGCCACAGATCGTGCATCGAGACTACGCACTGACTGGCTCATATTGATCGAGGGACGCTTCACTGCCTGCCACTGGAAAAGCTGATCTACGACTTTATGACGAATCGGCCTCCCTCGCCTCCCATGTTCCGCCCCTCGCTATCCAAGCCTGCGATTCGGGACTGGGTAAGCGAGGGCGGAGGCGAAAGATCAACGAGCAAAAGAAAAGCCACCACGACGGTCGATGCGATCGCGTGATTCGCTGTCTCATTCTCCCTCGAGTGCCACCACCGCCTGGCTTGCCTCTGGCGGGCTCTCTCTAATTATCATCCAGTGAAACTGCCTTGCAAGGGCTCCGTTCGTCGCCTTGGACACCAAATGGCCATGCCACAGCGGCTGAACCAAGGCGTCGCCGTCGCCCTCGGTGATGCCTTTCGGGCTTGCGATGGTGATACCACCGGCTGCCAACAGCTTGTCCCTTCTCATCACCGCAGGCGCCTCGGTTGGCGCCTCAACTGCGCAATGGGCTGAAACGCCCCGACCGGGCGAATTCCTGCTCCATCTGACGGGTGCTGTTAGCCTTGGAGGCGGCAGCTTACTAGCCAACTAACACTCGACCGTGCAGCCTGTGCTCTGCGGTTGGGAGCCCGGCAGTGACATTCGGTGGCAGCTTCATCACCATCTCGTTCCCTCACTGGTCGCCCAGCCCTCCTCGTCCCATCCAGCTGTGATCGCCCACCCACCCGCCGCACGGCCGGGACGGGAAGAGGGACCCGAGCCAGATGGCCAAGTGCTAAGGCCAGCGCCAGGGGGTAAGAAAATTCGCCCTGGGCGGAGCGAAGGGTTGGGCTGAGGGCTGGGACAGCCGGCGTGAGGGACCAGCTGAAGCTACAGTAACACCAGCGCCGATAGCCCCAAGAATCCGCCGACGCCGTCTTTTTTTTTTTTTTTTGTAAGTCAGCATCTAGCGAGGGGATGGCGTGGTCGCGACGCGTTTGTTGTGTTTGTGTGTTTAAACAAACTCACCCCGCCATGGCGACAGTCGATGACGAACTCGACGAATACGGGTGTATTAGCGAATGAGGGCATCGTCTATGTCAAGAGCATCGCAGTCAGCACAATTCATAGCGGCTCCGCTACCGAGATTGGACTCCCCATCGACCCCAGAGCGATGGAGTGGCAGGGCCCAGCTGGACAGGGGTGGAGATGGGAGGCCCAAAGCCGGCGAGGCAATGACAGAGGCGTCCAGCCTCAGGCCTGTCCAGACTTTCAGACAATACTCTGGGGACGGTGATCTGTCTCACTCAGCCATTTATCGTGGCCAGCCGGGTCTGTCTCATCGGAGGGGAATGTGGCCGCGCTTTGATCCAGGACAGGCATTTCGTGGGGTTTGTTGTGTCTATCAATCACGAGATGGCCCAACCAGGAGGCGGAAAGCTGTCCCCGCGTCCAACACGCCCAGGGCTTTGAACTTTGATGTCATGGACCGCCGGCCTGCAAGTCCCGGCCGTCGGATGCATGGCAGCCATGTCAGCCAGCATTTCAGTCTCCCCTGACCCAGGGACCGGCTTCGGACATGCGAGTGGGCGCTTTAGACGGTCCAGTGCCCGGCGCCCAGCGCCCTGGGTCTACCTACGGGACAGAGCGCATGGGTCGTGGAAAATGAGGCCGGATTCCAGAAGCAATATTCGCAGGCCTTGTTTCCTCGCTTGCTCTGGGGAGGACGAAATTTGATGCCAGCATCTGGCCCATTTGAGTGAGGCCATGGGGCCGCGGCAGCAGGGATGTGCTGCGCGTGCTACCGGGCTGGGATGTTGGAAGAAATGCGGGATGGAGCCTTGACGGGAGTCTTGGACGTTCTGGGCCTGGTCTGGCTTTGCTCCATTCGACACCTCACAGTCACCCGGAACCTGGAATTCCACGAGGGCCTCTTCTTTCGGCGGGCGACGTCTTTTTTAGGATTGGACCGCTGGGGGGTCTCATTTTGTTTGCACCCTGACTGGCTTCCCTTCCCGCTGGTGATTGAGTCTCTGCTGGCCAGGTGGAGAGGGCGTCGACGGTGCAGACGGTGCAGAATCATGCATCAATGGCCGTATTGGCACCCATATACGAGCAACTTACGGCTTGTGGCAGATTATGGGCGCTCGAACTATCATGCCCCGAATATGGAAGCTGCTCGCGGCCGCCTTCTCGATGACAGCCATGATCCCTGTTTGACGCTCAAAGTGGAAGGGAAAAAGAAGGCTCACAGGTCAGGGAGAGGTCCGGGCCAGGGATCCTCTTGCTGATCAATCCTCCACAAAAGAATAATAATAAGAGAGCCGATGAAATGAGAACCGGGAACTGGGAACCTGATCGAGATATAGCCAGGTTGATCCTCTTATGTTTTCCCTCGACGGCGCCGCGCAATGCGACTGGACGGCCCCGTGCACCCCGGAGCAGCCGGCCGCAATAAGAACCAAGAAACAAACGAAAAAACCGGGGAAGACGAGGCGATGACGAAAAACGCCAACTAAAATTTACAGTATTACTGAAATGGTAGGTACATACCGCATTCCTAAGCTTTTAGTCCCAACGGTCATCCGGGTCGGGTCGGCCAATGAGCCCTCATTTGTCTGGCGTCGTTTGTCGGGATTTTAGCCGGACAGGGCCAGACAAGAATTTCTCTCGGCTTCTTCTTCCCCAGTCGCTGTGCTATGATGTGTGCTATGATGTGCCCTGCGTGCGTGTGCGTCGCACTTTTGTGCCGCAGTGCCGCGTACCTGCATTGTGCATCTTTCTCCGCGGCAAGGTACATACGCGCGGGCATGGATGCTGGCCTGGCGTCGTATAGTCGATGTACCTTGCATGGCGAGAGGGGAGCATCGCACAGTTGAGATGTCACCCAATCCCCAGCGAGTCGAGAGTCTTCGTTGCCGCCCCGTCAGCCACACTTTAGAGGCTGGAACAATAAAACCGTGCAGGAGAAATGGCCCAACTACCCGAAGTGTTGCAATTGGTGGTTTAGAAGGGCTGTAGGCAGGCCGCCTGCAGTCGCTTTCGCTTCTCGCCCATCGCCATTTTCCGCTTCTGCTCTCCTCTCGCTACTCTGTACCTCTCCCTCTCGCTTGGCCCGCTACCAGCGCCAAAGCAGCTAAGACGGCTAACTCGATGGGGCCATGGACTCAGGCACCAGACCCGCGGCGCCGCTGGTGGGCGTGGGGACCGGGGCCTGTGCCTGGGCGGACGGAACGGTAGGGGAGGGGAAAGTCAAGCTCTGGTGGGTTCCCAGTGGTCTCCAGTGGGTACAGGGGGAAACATTTGCGCTGAGCCCTGTAACCTTGCCCTACGGAGATGGATGCCACTCGTCGGCTACTGCAGTTCTTGGTTTAGAGCGTCTGTGTACTGACATTATACTCTTTGGATTTGTTTAGTCTTTTCATTTACTCCGCCTGTTATAGTCTGCAGTTAGAGTGGGGTGTTTTATGCAATGGTTATTTATCATCACACCTTCACGACTTCTGTCATCCGGTCCTTGCTCCTCGTCTCCCTCAGCCAAGGCACAGCCCAAGGCACATGCCATGCCGTGCTATGCCTGTTTCGATTCCCGGACTAACACATGCACGCTCATGCACATGCAAGCGCACCTGGCTGGGCAGCGAGAAATGCACCACCCCATACTATGTAATTGTTATGTCACAGGCAGGCGCTTGAATCTTCATGTGAGCGACGTGACTGTTGCAGTGCCGTAGTGTTGTATGCGCGCAGGGCGGGCCCAATTTCAGGGCATCTGCAAGGTACCCGTAGCTGAAAAACAAGCGTGCTTTTGTAAGGCAGTTTATTAGAGTTGGCAGTTGGGGAATGGAGAAAAACGGTGAGTGAGTAATAATTCCATGTTGATGGCGTTGAGAGAGAATGAAGAGGAGATGGGGGCGTTGAAGAGTTTTTTTTTTCTACTCTCTCCGCTTCTGTTCCCTTGTGTCTCTGTTGATTCTCTCTTTTGCTCCCTCCGTCTGTGGGTTGGATTCACCTTTTTCTTCGCGGGTTGCTCAACCCACGCCTACCTGATACGCACACGCAGGGCTTTCTCTTGGCTTTCTTGGCTTCTTGTCTCTCCTTGACTTTTGCTGCTGGCTCAACGTCACTTTTCTGGGGCCCTTCTTCTTCGTCTACGAGACACGCATACGCGCAAACACGCATTCCCGGCCCTCAGCCAGATCAGATCGGACAATTCCCCTCGTCGTCCCCCTGACAGCAACAGTGCATACTGACTGCAGGAGCCTCCACTCAACACTCACGGACGTCGCCAAAGGCAACCTGACGACATTTGTGCGCAATAGTCACCATCGTCACATTCCCGACCACTCGGCTCCTCCAGTTGGCCCGTCTGATGCTCATCATTTCTTGGGCTACCTTATACAAACTCGGCCCCTCCCACCCCTTCCCCATCGGTCGTTGGCTGCCCCCCGCCACACCTTGCTTCGGGCGACTGACCTGACTCGAAGACTCAAAATCGGGACCCCTAAACGAACGACGTGAATTTCGCTCGCCCACGTCCGGGTACGCTACATTAGACTTGGGGTTGACCTTTCCCCTTTGGCCAATAACGGCACACTTTTTTGCTTGGGCGTTTTCCCTGCCCATCTTCGCCCCCTCGTCTCGTCCCATTCGAGGAGGTATTCAACCGAACAGAGGGCAGGAAGAGAAAAAAAAAGAGAGTCCCGACCAAACGGAACAAACGCCGTTGGGGCACTCACCGTTGCGTCCTCACACGCGCGCGCTCTTTCCTCTGGAACTCGGCGTGTCCTTCTTCCCCCCTGTGCCGTGTCACCTGCCCACCTTCTTCCCGCGTGGTGGCCTCTCGTCGTCCGCCTCCCGTTGACTCCTCGTCGACTGACATATACTGCAAACTACTGCCCGCTGCACAAAGCCTAGGCTTCCTTTCTTCCTTTCTGCACGGCGCCGCTCCCCTTCCCTACGGCTTTCTCGCACCCCCGCCAGTAACCTGGCTCCTGGGCTATATTGCACGCCTGGCCTCCCTGCAGTCTGGCTGTCAAAATCCTTGCTCCTCGTGAACCCGGACCCGATCCCTGGTCCCCAAAAACCAACCCTACCCGCTACGCTCATCCCGGCTTCCCCGTCGACCACCCGTGCAGGGTGCGTGCCCGTGTACGTGCGATTTCCAGCTCCGGGGCTGCGCTGCCTGTAGTGCGGTGATTCATCATTACACTTGCTTCGGCTGAGGTTGGACCTGAACCCGCCTGGGCTTCATTTTCAGACGGGGCCACAAGTCTGGAGTCCTGACGCCCGGAGGTTCGACGAACGTCATAACACTGACCCTCCGCTCCCCGGGGTCATTTCCTTCCAGCTCCCCAACGCAGCGCGACCAGTCCAACGAGCCCGAACTCTCGTTGCGACTTTTCTTTTTTCTCCCCCTCGGTCTAGCACTAACACCGAAAGGTGGCTCGACGAGACCGCGTTTGCTCAAGAGTAGCGCCTTTTTTCCGGTTTTTGCTTTACGCTGTCTGGCAGGGAACCAGAGAGCTACGAGGACCTCGTCACGCGCCACTCTGCCTCGGAGGCCCAAGTCCAGAACTCGACTGACGCCGGAGTGTGTCACCGACGGAAACAACTCACTCCTTCAGCTCTCCGATTCTCCAACCGACTGCGTCCCTTCTTTTTCCTTTTCGTCGCCGGCTATGCACTGGTAGCAATGGCACAGAGTTCCTGCTGCCAGGCCTCTTTAATTCACCACACTCATTTCTGCACGGCGGCCACCGCCACAGCCTGTGCCCACAGCCTCAGGCGGCAGTGAAACCACTAATTAGGCCATCGCCAACCAACGAACCCGACGACAAACGGCCACGGCCAACACGACGACCACGACTCGCCCGCGATACGAACTCGTCCGTGTCTACAGCTACGCCCACTCGAGGGCCGCTGAAGGCATCGCCTCGCCCTTCGCCTGGCAGTAGCCGCAGCCTCCTGCTCCTCGCCTCCCCGCTGGACTGGCACCATCATGATTCCCGCGGCGATCACCATTCCTGGCGGCTCGGGAGAGCCGTCTCCCTCGCCTCGGTCTCCCACGTCTCCCAAATCTCCCAACCGCAAATTCTCATTCTACGCTTCCCGCCTGCACGACAGCGGCAGCCCGGTGCCTGCCGACCCATATGCATCGCCTCTTCCTTCACCGTCCATCGTGCAGCAGACGATTTCACTGCCCCCATCCCCGAGCGTCCGCATTGTGCCCTTTGGCTTCGCGTACCGGAATGTTGAAAGTGAATCATCCGAGTCACTGTCGTTGTCACAGCTGCCACCACTTCCCATGTCACCTATGCTGCCCTTGTCGCCGCGGTGGGATTCGCTGTCGCATAGCTCTAAATTTGCCCTGCAGCCAACGCCCGAGAACCCCAACCCGGCCTCCCTGATGGACGCCCCGCCCCATCCTCCCTCTCCCTTCGCCTACGACGCCTACAGCATCCCTTCCGACTCCCGAAACGCATCCCCGACATTCGCCCTCGCAACGCACTCGTCGCTGGGGGATCTGCACGCCTCTGACAACGCTTCCGCCTCCTCTCCGATCGAGAACTTCTCGCGGCCCAGGAAGTTGAGCATCCGCCAGCCAATCACGGACCCGGCCAAGCCACGACCCACTGGGAGCTTCAACCCAGCCGATCAGTACCTGGAACTCGTCAGCTCCCCAACCCAAAACCCCCTTTGGCCGCCAACACGGCCCCGTGGTCCTTCTGTTTCATCGTTCCAGTCCGCATCGACTTATCATTCTGTCCTCTCTCCTCCCGCCTCGGAATTCAACGAACCCCGACCACCACGTTCTCGTCCCACGACCAATGGTACCGCGCCCTTACAACGACCGCCGCTGACCTACAACAACACAGGCGGATCAGCGTCTCCGAGCGCTGTGGCCGCGCCGTGGATGGGTGGAGAGGAGCTTCGTTCCAGTTTCCGATCCCAGTTTACTGAGTCTACGGCCCCGGGCACCACCGCCACCGAGCGGAGCAGCGTCTTGACTAAGGACAGCTCCGTCACCTCGCTCTACCCCCCAGCCGAAGCCGACGTGGAAGACGACGGGCAGGGGGAGGCTGATGTCGACGACGACGACGAATTGAGCCTCGATGATCTTATGGGCATGTACGAGCAGGGATTCGACGACGACGAAGATTTGGACAATCACTACAACGTAGAAGATCGCCCTGACACCTCTGCCTCGCAAATTGACCACCACGCTGGCGCACGACCCGAGACTGCTGCTTCATACAACATCGGTTCTAGACCTGCCACTTCGACCTCGGACCGCGACTATAGCATTAGTGCACGACCCGAAACATCTGCTTCCATTGATCATAAGGTGGACAGCCGGCCCAACGCGTCCGCTTCCCACATTGACTATAACATCGCTGCACGCCCCGAGACAGCTGCTTCGGACGTGGATTACAATATTGGCGCTCGTCCTGGGTCCTCGACCTCTAGTCAGGATTACAACGTTGGTGCACGACCCGAAACCTCAACCTCAAGCCAGGGTTACAACGTCGGTGCACGCCCCGACTCCTCGAACTCTGATCGTTTCTCCAACATGGGTGCCCGTCCTACGACCTCGGCGTCGGACATGGAGCCACGCCACGGCTCCATCCAAATCCAGATCGACGAAGACGAAGACGATGAAGATTTCCCTCAACGCGGCGACAAGGAAAAGACGTCGACCTTGGACCGGGAGATTCGCATGTCCAAGATGATCTTCACCAGCCCAGCCTACATCGCTTCCGTACCACACATCGCCGAGAACCTGGCCCGCAGGAGCATGGACAAGCGCGACTCGGCCAAGTCGCTGGATTCGGAACCCTCCGTCGTCTCTTCACGAACTCCATTGAATGAAACAGCTCCTCCATTCTCTCCCTCCATCAATGAAATCTTCTCTCCCATTTCTCCACCCATCTCGCCGCCCAACGACGACATCAACCTCTCCCTCTCGCTTCCCTTCACGGCGAAAGCCGCTCCTTCCTCCCCCATCTCGCCTCCTGTCTCACCACCGCCGCCGGTCCCTTCAAACATGGCACCGCCCATTGCCCCGGCACCGCCGGAAGACCCCAGCTGCCGAGACAGGTATGGCTTCAAAAAGGAGAGCCAGTATGTGAGCCGACAGCAATACGACACCTGGAACTCCGGCTATACCGAATACCTGGCTCGACGACGGAAGAAGTGGGTCGGCTACCTCAAGGACAGCGCACTGATGACAGACCATCCCAACCGATTTCCCGCACCTAACGCCAAAACGAAGCGATTTGTGCGCAAAGGCATCCCTCCGGACTGGCGAGGTGCCGCCTGGTTCTACTACGCGGGTGGCCCAGCCATCTTGGCCCAGCATTCGGGTCTCTACGACAAGCTGACGACCAAGAAGGCAAACGAGGTGGATGCTGAAGCAATTGAGCGTGATCTCCACCGCACATTCCCTGACAATGTCAAATTCAAGCCCCCGGGTGGATTCCAGGCCGCATCGCCCAGCGCTAGGGAGAGTCAATCGACTATGACGGACGATTCGGTTCGTGGCCACAGCCCAGTACCGCCACCTGGGTCCGAGGACGAGCCGCCAATCATCACCTCGCTTCGACGGGTCTTGCATGCGTTCTCCGTATACAACCCCCGGATCGGCTACTGCCAAAGCTTGAACTTCCTGGCTGGTCTCCTGCTTCTCTTTGTCGAGACGGAGGAGCAGTGCTTCTGGTTGCTCAACGTCATCACCCGTATTTACCTTCCAGGGACCCATGAGACGAGCCTGGAGGGTTCGAAAGTGGACCTTGGAGTGTTGATGACGGAGTTGCGGGATACCATGCCGGGTATCTGGGACAAGGTCGGAGGAGATCTCGAGGCTGATCCAAACTCTCGCCCGCAAACGAGCAAGTCAATCCGTTTGCCTCGGTCCCGGCGCAAGGATCTCAACCGACTATCGACCGACCGTCTGCCTCCCATCACGCTCTGCATGACCGCGTGGTTCATGAGCTGCTTCATCGGAACGCTGCCCATTGAGTCGACGCTCCGCGTTTGGGATGTATTCTTTTACGAGGGATCGAAGACGCTCTTCCGTATCTCGCTCGCCATCTTCAAGCTCGGAGAGAGTGAGATCAAGTCAGTTAGCGACCCAATGGAAATGTTTGGTGTCGTCCAAGGGTTTCCCCGAAAGCTGATTGACGCCAACGGGCTGATGGACGCGTGCTTCAAACGACGAAATGGCTTCGGACACCTAAGCCAAGACCAAATCGACGTACGTCGCCAAGAGCGCCGGGCAAAGGCACAGTTCGACCGGGCTCAGCAAAACAAGGTCACCAAAACCTGGAACGTGACACAATCAGATCCAACGAAGGAGAAGGACAAGGGCCTGTTTGGGAAGAAGCGAACCCCAACTGGCATTTAATACAACCCCCAGCAAGCACATCTGTGCACTCACTCACACCCGCACACTTCCTCATACACTTACAACACATCGAATTTCACTTCAACTTTGACTTCGAGCCTAGACACCCACAGCATACCAGGACCAAGGCGGCGGAGCCACTTGCTCCACACATGGCCTCTACACATGGCATGGCGTTTCAGCGGCAGGCACGGCTCGCCTCTTCATTCGACTAAGTGGCCCCGTGTCTGCATTTTTATCTTATTTTCTTTACGGCAAATTCTGCCCTTCTTAACAGCATACCATATTTTTCCTTGTTTCATGTCACAAAAAGAGGGGGAGGCAATGACGGACGGTCGGACGGATGGGATGGACGCATGCGTTGAGGAAAAGAAAACTTGTTTATCATAACGACGACGGTTAACGGCTTAACAAAAGTACAATACCACAATCACAGGAGGGACATTACGCCTACGCAACGACAAAAGAACCTCCCGCGTGAGGGAAGCGGTTCGAGGCAGAGAGGGTGCCCTGAGATAGGAGGGCACCGTCTGGAGACGTGTTGCGCAGGGTTTTTATATCCATAGAGGAACCAGGTACGGATTGGATAGAAGAGGGTATGAGCATCTATAGATGAACCCGACGAAGTGATATCCCAATGGAATGAAGATGAAATTCTCAAACTAAATGGCTTCTCAGTGCCGTAATGGACGTTTTATATGTCATGTGCTTTTGGCTTGACTGGTGTATTGAGTTTAGTTTGTCAGTGTTTCGGATACATGTGCGTTCGCCTCCTGTTGCAGCGTCCCCCGACTACGTTCTGCGTATGTCTGTTGTCTCGCAATGTCCCGTTTCATTTCATCGTATTATATCATCCCGTCTGCGCAGGCGGTCCTGTTCATGAGGCTACAGGGGGGAAAGTCGGCTCGGCCTTGGCGTACCTGTCGACGTGGATCTTGACATTCTTCTCCCACTCGGGGCGGTTGTTGCGGAACTCGTCGGCGATGCGGTCCTCGAGCGGGTCGTCGGGCTGCGGCTCGACGAGCAGGTTGCGGACGGCCTCGAGCACGGCGCGCAGCTTGGTGCTGGGCTTCCAGGCGTCGGGCTTGAGCAGGCCCAGGCAGATGTTGCCCAGCGAGTCATTGGTGACGTTGGGGTGGTAGATGCGCGTGACGAACTTGACGACGGGCGCCTTGAACGGGTAGTCGGCCGGCAGCGAGAGCACGAGCCCGAACACGCCCGGGTGGTAGGCCGACGGCGCCGGCGGCCGCAGCGTGACGTGCCAGGTGTGGATGGAGTCGTTGGGCGGCAGGGACACGGTGAAGCCCTCCGGGGGGTCTTGGGAGACTTCGGCGAATTCCTGCGGGAGGGGAGGTGGTCAGAGTGGGAGAGGAGGGGGGGAGGATGGGGGTGGAGGTACCTTTGTGATGCGCTTGGAGGCCATTTTAGCGGTTGTAGGTTGGTGAAGTAGAAGTGGTGATGTGGTTGTTCTTGGGAGAGAGCTTGGTTGGAGGAACAAGCTTGGACGGAGCTCTTTGTCGAAAGGAGATCCGTTTATCCGGCACAAGTACAAGTCTTCTCAGTCGTGTCTCTCGTCGTCTAACACCCACGTAACTCGCAGTCCTTTCTCAGATGCAAGCTTGTTCGCTCAAACGGTGCAAAGTCGGGAGGAAAGAAAAAAAAGGAAGTATGACGATGGGCTGAATGGAGGGCGGGATGGAGGGATGGATGGTGGGGTTAATTGCATGTCGCAGCACCCAGAGTCAGTCACACGGAGGGGCCAAGCAGGCAGAACGCAGGCGGCAGGGGGTGGAGTTGGCGCCCGGGGGGAGAGCGAGAAAACACCCTATAGGCTGGTGGCCCCCGCTGCGAACGCGCTGGAATTCGGGGCGGCTTAGGGGATGCTTAGGGGGTGCTTACAGTTGGGTGCTTTGCTGTGGGTGGGGGCTTGGTTGGTGCATGTATTACGTACCGCGATGGAGAGAGGAGAGAGCAGGAGAGTGCCTTGTGCATGAATCAGAGTCACTGGAAGTATCAAGTATTTCAAGGCGTCTACCAGGTAATTCGTCAATAGACTGACCATCCCAACCCCAATATTTACTTCCGCAGCGCTGTAGAAATTGGAGTCGAGAGGGGTTGACGTGGTCTACATGACCTAGCACACACCACCATGCACCTCAAGATGCATCCGGCAACCAGGTGAGCCTCGGTGAGCACCCCACATTTTCCCATCCCACCTCTCACCGTCGTCCCTCACCTCACAAAAAAAAAAGTTGCCCTGCTGCTCAACACCATAACCCAACCATCACCAACTCTCCCTCACAACCCACCACCCACACCTCCGCCTCCCGGAAAGCAGCCCCAATTGCTCCTCCACCATGGCTGCGCACGAGTCCCAAATGCCCTTTATCCGCAACCTTGCGTCCAGCGGTTCGTCCCTCCTCGTCACACGCCCCGGCCAGCATTTCCCACCTGCTAACTCGTTGCCCGCAAGACCGCAAGCTCCGCGTCGCCGCCCTCGAATCCCTCCAGACCTTCCTCGCCTCCCGCTCCTCCCTCGCCGAAGCCGACGCCCAGAAGCTCTGGAAGGGCCTGTTCTACGCGCTGTGGATGACCGACCGCCCCGTGCCGCAGCAGCGCCTCGCCGCCGACCTCGCCGGCCTGCTGTTCCGCCTGCAGCCGGCCTGTGCCGCGCCCTGGCTGCGCGGCTTCTGGGCCGTCGTCGGCGCCCAGTGGACCGGCATTGACGTACTGCGCCTCGAGAAGTTCCTGCTGCTCGTGCGCCGCGTCTTCGCCGCCCACGTGCGCCTGGCCAAGGAGCACGCCTACGCCGGCGCCGAGGTCGACGCCGTCGTCGCCGTGCTGGCCGACTACCCCTTCGAGGCCGAGGGCGACCTGCGCAAGGTCCCCGTGGGCATCCGCCTGCACGCGCTCGACATGTGGGTGGACGAGCTGGAGCGCGAGGGCGCGCTGGCCGACGCCGCCGCCGCGCCCTTCGTCAAGAGCCTGGGCGACCTGCTGATCCCGCTGCGCCAGTGCCCCGTGAAGCAGGTGCGGGACCGCTGCCGAGAGAGCTACGATGACGAGAGGCTGCCCTGGGGCAAGCCCGCGACCGAGGAGGAGGCTGAGGAGGAGGATGGCGACGAGTGGGGTGGCATTCAGGACTGAGGAGGACGGGGTGTGTGCAGAAGAACAACATCAGATGGCGTACGGCGTTGGGATATGACATGGGAAAAAGAATTGGCAAGGCAATGCTTTATATTATTTGTCACCTCTGTTGTGTATACATGGAGGACTTAGAGGTTGATACCACCTGGAACACTAGGCACCTAGACACCATCGACAAGTCGCAAAGTAAACCAGACACTCCAATGTTTCACTGGCTCTCAAAAAGACAAATCAAAACTATGTCACTACGTTCTCGTGACTGAGATATCCATTTCCATTTCGTCAGCAACGTCGTCTGCCCCTTTTCCAGCGAGGGTGCTATTATGTCGTATCGTATGTACTCCCCACTCCATGCTCTCAGCTCCTTGACCTATGACCCCAGAGGCTTCAAGGGCGAGTATGTCCATCTCCCTGAGCTAACGAACCTCAACATTACCAAACACGCTGATCTCCCCCAACAGCCTCGTCTCCATCATCAGCGAGATGGTAGTAGCCCATCTCCCGTGCGTCCCGTACCCGCTCCTTGGCCATTCGTGTCTGTCGCCAAGCATCCCACTTAGCTTGTTGCTCTGGTTGCTCCGAGCGCGGCTTCAGCAAGCCTTTCTTGAGTAGGCGGCGGCGGTGCTGGCGCTTCTGCTCGAATGAGAGCAAGTCGACGTCAATTTCTGTCATTTCGCGGCCATAGTACATATCCACAAGGTCGGCAGACCAGTCCGCCACCTCCTCTTTGAGTGCACCCATAAGGACGCGACCGTGGCCACCTGTAGCCCACTGGTCCAGCTTGACTGGCAGCGCGTTGCCAAAGGTAGGATCATCGAAAGACCACACGCAGGGAGCGTTGCCGCATGATGTAGGACGACAGTATGCGGCGCACATGGCCGATTCGGCGGCGTACCAGAGTGAGAAGAGCAAGGCGATGATACCCACAAAGGTAAGCCGGAATGATGGTTTGCGACGGTAGAGGTTTGGTAGAGGCAGGGCCAGGGGAACATAGGACACTGTCGTTGGGGCGACGTGAGTTGTGCAGCCAGTGCCACGCTCATGGTCGTGGGTGTGCGTGTCCAACTTCTCGGCCGACTTCGTCTCGTGCAGGACCTGACCTTCAAGGCGCTCGATGCCCTTCTTGGCAGTCCGGATGCCCATGAGGCCGGTTTGGAGGGACTTGCTCATTCGTGTAAAAGTGGCCAGATCACCGTCAGAGTGATCGGGGTCCTGGGGGTTGATCTTGTTGCTGTTGGTATTGAGTTTGGTGTCGAGCTCCAAGTTAAAGTCAAAGTCGTCGTCGAGCGAAGGTTGATCCGAGAGGTCGTTGAGGAGAGCTTCCATTTTGGGCGTGGGGGCTTTGCGGCCTAGCAAGATCTCTTCCAAGTCGTCCAGAGTTGAATCCTCGATTTGATGCGAGCGTTGAAGTTGCATTAAATCATCCTTGACTGTGGGCGGCTTTGCTGAGTTTCTTAGGGGTCCTCTGCGCCGTGGCAGTGAACGTGTGCGCCGCCTTCTCACCCCCGACGACATCGCCGTGGGCGCAGATTTCTCGTCCGTTCCCGGGTCAGAAGTCGTGTCTTGATCACGACTCTCCCATGCATGGTCCGTTTTCTTATCCCGGGCCCATGAAGAAGACCTCGGTCGTGGTAATTTGACTTCCTCTGGTGCCTTTTCAAGTGCCTTTTCCTCCCGGAACGATGCCGAGGATCTTGGTCGCGGTGCATCTTGGATAGAAGCCTTCTCCTCCCGGATTGACGCCGAGGATTTTGGTCGTGGTGCGTCATCAAGTGGCTTCTCCTCCCGTAGCGATGAGGATCTTGGTCGTGGTGCATCGCCAAGTGGTTTCTGCTCCCGTAACGATAAAGATCTCGGTCGCGGTGCATCCTCGAGCGACTTCTCCTCCCGTGTCGATGCCGAAGACTTTGGCCGCGATGCTCTCGTCTCCTCTCGTGGCTTCTCGTCCTTGACTTCAATCTTCTCCACCTTGACCGTCGCCGGCGTCTCCACGTACGCACCCATGATTTTGGGTGTCGGCATCGTCAGCGGGTCTGGCTTCGGAGCCCGCGGTGTCGCCTCGGCGTCCTCCTTCTCGTCTTCAGAGTCCGGCAACGGTGACGGGGCTCGAATGGAGCCCTTCTCCGACTGGTTATCGCCCAGCGCGAAGAGCTTCATCTCCCCCTCGATCCTGTCCGTCGGGTCCAGTTCCGACTGCATGCTAGATCTCTTGCTCTTGACAGAGTCCGTAGAACGCGTGCGAGGTATGCCGGTGAATCCAACTGTGGGTTTTGAGGTTTCGTTGTCCTTTCTTTGGTGTTGTATGTGTCTCGGAGCATTTTCGGAGGTGCGTCGTGGGAGGCCGGACGTAAAATCTGAGTCCTGGGTGACGGGTTTCTCACTAGGCAACGGGCTGGCCGGCCGTCGAGCTTCCGTCTCCGGCGCAGGGCTTGAGCTGGCAGCCCTTGCCAGCCGTCGCAACAAGTCTCGTGAGTCACCGCGTTTGTGCAAGTTTGACAGCTCCGGTCGTGCAACATCCGCAGCATCGTTTGCTTTGCTTGATTCGCCCCGTTCCTCCACTGGAGCCTGGTACTTTGTCTCTCGCGCCTTGAAGATGGTAACAGGCGTATCGGGTATGCGTTGTCCCCCAATCTCAAAGGCAGACATTGGTCGAATCGGTACTTTCGTCTCCCGGTCCGCGGCAGATGTCGTTTCCCGCGCAGTCCGGGCCGACAACGGTCGATATTCCTCTGGAGACAGTGAGCGTGAGTTTGAGTTTTGCTCCCGGATTTCGTCCAACCTCGCCTTTGCCAGTGCTCGGTTCGGGATGCCATTAATCTCTCGTTGCCGTATGTCATTCAGCTTGGTGTTGCTCGGTCTCGGTAGGCTGCGATCCGGGATCGGTATCTGATGCTCAGCCTGGGCCTCGCGCTGTCGTATTTCCTCTATTTTCGTGTTGGGCTGCCGCTTTTGCGGAGACTCAAGTGGAATATTGCTCCCAACCTTGACCTCCCTTGACCGGATCTCATCCAACTTGGTGTTGCGCGAGCCCGGGTTGGCTACTCTTGTCCGCGAATTGATGTCAATCTCACTCCCTTCGTCAAACTTGATCCGGTCTGCGAATGGTCGGGTGCCCATTTTGATCCTGGGGCTATCCGAGATCTGCAGGTCTCCAGCAGTAAAGTCCTGGTCAACTTCCCATGCGAAGCTCTTCTCGGGCGATGCATTCTCCGTGTTGAGAGGCGTCGGAGGAGCTGGGTCTTGTTGGTGCTGTCGATTCTCAATTGATGGCCACGGCAGGTCTTCTATCCCTGGGACCAGTGCGGGAATGCGACCTTGGTTCGTGAGGTCGTCCTTGGACGGTAAGTGCTTCAACAACCGGGGCTCGGGTCGAAGCCTGCTGATCGGATCCCGGGGAGGGTCCTCTGCTTGATCGTTAGGCTTGGTCACATTGACCTTCGGGCTGATAGGATCCTGCGCAGGTTCCCTCGACCCAAGCCCTATCCTCGACTTTCCATACAGTGACCTTCGTCTCGGGGAGTCGTACTTCTCAGGCGAGACCCTCCCCTCCCCCAGTGTTGAGGTCGCTAATGATGCTCGCGAAAACGGCCGGTTTGGCGCCTTGGTATCCAGGTGATCTTGTCCCAATATCTTCCTCATCCGTTTATCTTCCTCCTCACGCTTCGCGCGGGCCACCCGGGGCGCCGGGCTAGGCGACGCATCCATAACTTGGCTCTGGTCGCTCTCCTCCTCGTATTCCATGGCAGCCCGGTTGAACGCATCGCTTAAGGACAGTTGTTTCCGGCTCGAGAATGTGACGCCCGAGGGTTTTGGTATGCGCGTGCCTCCGGGTGATGCCAGACTGCTACTACTGCTTCTCCTTCCCAATGTCTGCGCCAGCGGCGCCAGGGGCTCAGAGCTCATGCGTCGTGGTATTCCATGGCCAAAATCGCTCATCCGATGCCTGCTCATGTGGAGCTGCGAGCGATCGTTTTCTTTATCTTTGAGTCTGGCGTTGCTGGTCTCCTCTGCTCGCGAGGCGGGCCTCGTGAAGAGCGGCTTTCTGCCCTGTTCCCTCACAACGAGCAGGCTCGTGGGTCTTCCATTTGGCCGCGTGGCCAGAGTATCTTTGTCGCGTTCCATCGCCGGGGTCGGCGACAATTTTCGAGGTGGTTAAGGGGAATCAGGAGGTGGGTGGATGCATCGTCGTCGTCAAGGTCAAGCTCGGGTTGGAAGCGCGTTCAGAGCATAGCGAGAGCAATTGCGCGACGGGGCAGACGGTTCTTTCGGTTTTAATAACTTCTCGGAAGTATAATGAGCGTCTTCAGCTTCAGTTCAGTGAGGAAATACAGCAAAAATAGGACATCGCATGGACAGATAGACAAATGTTTTGGCGGAGTCGTGCTAGTCGCGTTGGAGGCGGCCGAGCATGGGGCCGTCTTGGCGTCCGTCCGCGACTGCCAAGGCTGCATTGTGTCCTCCACTCCTGCCGTTCGTCGCTCCTGCTTTGGGCGCCCTGCCTTCCCTGTTCGGAACCGGGAGATTTGTTTATCCGGTCTCCAATCGCTCAGTACGAACCCATTTGTCAACAAACCTCGTCAACAAAGGCGATAATACAAGCCGGAATATCTGGGTAAATTCGTCCAGTCATGATTTCGTCATTTTTTGTCAATATTTTACCACCCGACGTGAGTTCCAGGGTCTATAAATGATGGAAATTTTCCGAAACTCCATGGATGCCAACCATGCATGGTTCATCTTAGCCCCGTCAACAACAAGACTTCCCTTCGTGTTCCAGCAATTATGTGTAGCCACGTCATCAGTGCACCGACATTCAAGCACCTGAAACCCTCCCGACTATCCGTATGCCCTCGGCCACCCTGTCTTTGACAAAATTTAGGAGTATGTGGAGATATCGTATAGGAAGTATCGCTAGTTTGAGAACAGAGTGGCTCGAGATTTAGCCTCCGAGTAGGTAGCACATCGAATGTGACTTGGCAAGGCTTGGTTTCGAGGTTGTTAAAGAATTATATGACACATGTCCTGTTTACCGAGACTGGACGAGAACCGCCTCTTAACCTTCTCGCCCAGAGATAAAGCTGCCAGGGGTTGAGCTCATGATAGAATGCATAGACCCCGGCAATTTAAAATGACAAGACTCCCGCTCTCCAAATTAATATTCCGCCTATCACGGCTAGGTCGGCAACTACACCAGCTCGATCATAATTCCCATGGGGGCTCTCTTTACTCTTGCACTTGCTCTCTTCCTATGCCATAAATACCCTCCTCCCGATATTGCGAATTGCGTCGGCATTGTCGAGGTACCAAAAAGCGGATCTTCGTCCGAGAGGCGGGGCCTACTTATGTCTGATAAAGCCTTCCAGTAAAGACTTCGCTCTCTGGGCAGAGAAAGAATATACAGTATGGTAGCTCAGTTAAATGGGTTAAAAAGCCAATCCGAATAATGTTCTTCTCCATTTCCTCTTGTTTTTCTCGAGGAGAAATGGCACATATCTGCCCTCTGTAGCACTAATTGGGCCATCGAACAGGTAGGATAACGTGGGCCGAGACTCCAAACTGGCCCAGAATAGCACGAAACTCCCAAAACAATACTGAAACCAACATAGGAAAGACTCTTGAGTCAATGTCATAACTCCAGTCCCTTTTACATGTCGCGTCTCAACTGGAGCGTACAGGCGTCACCCGCGTCCAACCTTACCCATTCGACGTCTCAAGCAGTGTCAGACTCAGCCAAATGCAGAAACCAGCATCAACCACTCAAATTCCTGCGACCGCCTTGAAGAATTGCATTACATACCAAGACTCTATTCCTCCATTATAGTTGACAAGCAGATCTACAGATCTTCATCCAGACATCTGTGATCGACGGCCAGCATCTGGTCCCCGCTTAATCAGCAGTGCCACCCCAGTCTGGCGGCCTCTCGGTCTCCACAAATCGCCCAACTTGTCAACGACGCCCTTTATCGACAAGGACTCAATTGAGGACTGCATCTCAACTGGTCGCAGTACGAGGCGGTAAATAACTCGTTCTCTATCCAATTGAGTCCTAGGGATCAATTGACTCCTTACATATCTCTAAGTTCGTGAGGATATCATTCCATCCTAAAGCCCTAGTAAGCTGGGCCAGCTGAAAGCTACTACATGCCGAAAATCACGAAGGCAGCCATCAACAAGAACAAATAAAGCATTCAGTAAACAAGTATTATACAGTCCATATCAATTTTCTCCTTTCTCAAATTCCTTTGGCAATGGCGGATACGTCTCCTCCCCAAGCCGTTCGGCCCCTCGGCCACATGTGAGCAGCCCCTTTTCGTTGCCAACTTTCACCAACCACCATCACCAACGCAACTCATTAGGGAACTCTTCTCCTCCAGCCGTCACGCGCTAGGTATATACCGCTGTGTTGTTCTCTCGGCTCGCTACCTCAACCCCCCAGCAACCAACGCCGATGGCGCCATCTTCGCCGCATTGGGCCGTCTAGTCGTCAAGCAGCCAATGCTCCGCGTGGGTATCCTCGGGCACGACACAAACACGGCTCAGTTCTCGCACATCCCCGAGATCGACCTGTGGAAACACGTCGGAATTCGAACCCTCCCGGGCGGCGACGGGTATGACGCCGCGCTGACGGCCGTCCACGCTTGGTGTCATGATCAGTTGTTTCAAGACGTTGAGACCCTGCCGCCGTGGAGGGTCATTATCGTGAGGCCCGAGACGATCGGTCCTGGAGAAGAGCCCTTCGAGGACATCATTTTTGCGTATCATCATTCCCTCATGGATGGCACCGGCGGCAAGAACTTCCACGAACAACTCGTCGAGGCTCTCAACGAGACCTCCAACGGCTCAGACCCGAGTTACATCCTCAAATTCCCTGACCCTCCCGTTCTCCCAGAAGCCCAAGAAGACGTTATCCCTTACACCAGCGGGAAGCTCTTCATGGGCCGTGTCATCTGGGACGAGTTCGCGCCGTCGTTCCTCAAACCCGCCAGGCCGCCCATCTGGAGCGGCAAGCCCATCGATTTCGACCGGCCTCACCAAACCCGCATCATCGCCGTTGACATTCCCGCCCCGGTCGTCTCTAGCATGCTCGCTGAGTCCCGCAGCCACTCCGCCTCCATCACCTCGCTCATCCACGCCCTGTGCCTGGCGTCCATGGCACACCGTGTCCCAGCCGAGGACGCCCCAGCCTTCATTGCGAGCACGCCCATCAACGCGCGCCCATACATGGCCGCGACGGCCAACCCAGCGCCGAAAGATTCATTCCGCGTCGGTATCTCAGTCTTGACGCACGAGTGCCCTGCCGCTGCGGTGGATGCCCTCCGCAAGCCGGACGCCGACCTCGACGCACTCATCTGGCACCACGCGAAGCTCATCAAAGACCAGATCCGCACGCGCGCCGCCACCCTGCCTGCCGACGACCCCATCAGCTTGATGAAGTTCATCACCGACTGGCCGTCATACTGGCAAAAAAAGAACGGCCAGCCGCGCGATGGGTCGTGGGAGGTAAGCAGCCTGGGTGCAATGCGAGTCGAAACTTCAGGAAGCAGCCCGAGCCAACGCCGGGTCTCGAGAATCTTCTTTACCAATGGCGTCATGGTCGCAAGCCTTCCGCTAAGCGTCAGCGTGGCAAGCCCTCCAGGTGGCTCTTTGACAGCTGGCGTCTCGTGGAACGCGGGTGTGGTGGATGATAAGGTGGCTGAGGGACTGGCTGAGGATCTCCTTGCTTATACAACCCGGTTACATGAGACAGGCAAGTTCACAGCCTAGGATATCCTTACCATTGAGTCGGGATTTTCCGGTCTTTGGGGATAAAGGTCATCTGATCGGATGCTTGCAGCCACTAGGGCTAGGATTGGTGGGTTCCTTCAACAGGAAATGCCATACCGGGTAGGGACCAGTAAGTAGCCTGACCTATTGGGACCATAAATTGGGAAGATCCCAGACAGAATCTGTTAGCAGCTATCATCCCCTTCTGGCATCTCATTTAATTAACAGTCTTTTGACCTATTCTTTTGAGACCTCTCAGAGATCTATTTGATCAAATGGTATCAGCTGAGAAAGTCACCTATTTTACCCAGTCAAACCATTTATCCGGACTCTGAACCTGACTCTATCCGACCTTTCCGTCACAACACTATTGCGGTCATCACAGCTCTGCCTCTAGGTGGGTTGTCTGTTCTTAGTGTCTTCTGCTCACTCCCTCACTCACTATGCTAATTGAATCTTGGATATAATAAGCTGCAAAGGCTGGTGGGCCTAATACAAGCATATACGGAGGACGACCTGACGTCAACATAATGAGGAGGCCCTAGGATCCAGAGGAGCGACATAATAATAGAGTTATAGGAATTCCAAGGACGTAATGTGTAACATTTCTTAAACAAAGTCAAATATCATTAGCGCAAGGCGACAGGACAATCCCCCACAGCCACATCTGATCCCGCTGGGGGCTTGGCCGGGTTCCTGCGCATCACGTCATCGAGCTGACATCCTAAAAGTATGCCCTGCCAAGGAGGAGTATTGCGGTTCGCTATGCATTGGCTAGGTTTGTGACAGTCATCCATCTTCAAAAAGCAGGCCGAGAAGAAGACGAGCACAGAGGCAACACCAACCGCTTTAGCGTTGACGTCGAAGATAAATCGGCATCCAGTTGTTAACATCTGTGAAATCCCATGTCGTTTTAACTAGTCTCCACGAACTGGCATTCACATCGAAGCATCTTATTTAAAGTCACGCATGTACAAGACAATCGATTTCAACTTATCTTCGTACCCAAGACTAAAGAGTTCCCGCCAGTCGCCAGGAGAGTCGGTTATACCCAGTTTCACATCGAGAAACGAAGAGATCTTATGTACGGATTAAAAACCTTGTATTGACAATGTCATCCTCCTCATCTCCAATATCGTCCCGCGCAGCTTTCGGGGCTGGTTCCATGCATCCGCCTCTCATCATTGTAGAAGCCCAATCTATCCAAACGCCTTGCAAATTCAAACACAATGAAAAAGGCCATTCCCTTCCCAAAGTTGTCACCCTTTGTTGGTGGGCGAAGGGTATTACCAACCCTCACCAGGGTTTCGTCTCGCCCTGGCACTGCCACGGAAATAGTCGTATTGTGCCGGATCGGTGTCCTCGTTTTGTGCCAAGTTGCTGTAGCCTTGTGGCCCGCCACCCAAGGCGCCCGTGGATGGTCCGGGGCTGTGAGAAGGATGAGGAATAACCGGAGTCATGCGTCCAGATCCAGGGGCCGCAGCGTTATTGATGAGCCCAAGCCCTGACGAACTCCCGTTATCTTGCGAGTACATCGGGGTGCGAGACCGGCTGGGTACATCTGACCCCATCATCGGCTGTTGAGCAAACCCGCCACCTGGAGGGCCTCGGAATCCCTGGTAGCTCGTGTCGCTGGGGTTGCGGTTCTTGGCACCAGCGAAGGGAGTTGACCGGCCGGATAGAGGTGTGCCAGGTCTCGAACCGTGGTCGCTACCGTCGCCCATGGAACCAGGGGTACCTGGTCGCATAATCTCGCCCTGGCGTCCGTAGATCTCACCTCCACCGTGATCCTCCGCGAATTCTGCCCTGTTCTTGTAATATCCAAAGTCCATCTGATTCTCCGAGACGATTTCGAATCCAGGCATATTGTTGTTGGCAGTCTTTCCAGGTCGTCCACCCTGCATGGGGTCAAGCGCATACATATCCGAATAACCGCTGACGCTCATCATATCGCCTGCGTTCGCCTCCCGGCCATCAGACAGCCTTCCTTTGTAAATGGCGGGGAGAAGGTTCTGAGCCTTAGAGTGCACCATGGGAGTGATAAGAGGCTTGTACAAGGCTGGGTGGCCAAAGCGGCTGGCCAGTCGGTCGCTGCGGTTTCGGCTCTCCTTCTGAGGGCCAGTCTCGCTGTGTCTAACGGCGTCGTGGGTGCTGTAATAGCGCATCTTCTCATCGAAGGCCTTGGAGCAATAGATCTTGAAACCCAACATGAGGAAGGGCAATGGGACCACTGAGAAGAACATGACATGCTGGTTATCGCCCTTGACCCAGCAAGTAAGCATGATCACGAGGTTGGCAAGCATTGTGGCAAAGATGAATCGGTTGAAGACGACACGCCAAAACATGCCGCCAGACTCAGTCTTGGTCACAAAGCGGTACAATATGAGGTACTTCTTGAGGTATGAGTCGATGGTGAAGTATAGGGCTGTGGCGATGAGGACAAGGGGCTGGATTCCGGCGAAGCACATCGTAACGGTGGCGTAGTAGAGGAAGTAGTTGTAGTACTCGGCGTATTGGAAGGGAGGCGGCGCCGTCAGTTCGATCAACTCTCTGGGGGTAGGGCTCGCAAATTTCTTGAGGAAAAAGGCCTGGACCAAGGGCCACAATTGGGCAAGATCGATGGCTGCACCGAGTTGTCGCTGTAACAGATATGTCACCCAGAAAACACTGTTGTTGCAAAGCGCGATGAATAGCAAGTTGGCGTAATTCTCATCGACGACAGCCTGCCATGCGTCATTGCCGTTCCGGACCTTCTCAATGACACCAACAACGTAGGTCCAGGCAGGGCTGTAGATGGAAAAGACAATCAGGTTGTTGAAGACGAAGAAGGCATATAGCTTGGCCAAAACGTGCCTCTCCCGTCCAGTCTTAGTTTGGTCACCAGACTTGATCGAGAGACGACGGAAGATCATAGGGAGAACTAGGTAAACACCTGACATGAGCGCGGGTGAGAGAATACCTTGGACCACACCCCAGAATGTGGTATTGGCCGAAAGCGACTTATTAAACGCGTCCCACACGTATGCCAGGTTGGACAAGTTGACCAAGAAAATGGCAATCATGGCGTTGGGAACAATCCAGAGGAGAGTGAGGACGACGACCCACAGGCCGTTGAACCATCGCTTGCGACTTCGGGTGGAACTAGAAAGAACCATGTTATCCCAAATGATGTCGTTGGGCCGGGGCGCCAGCATAATGGTCGTGCCGACGGGCTTCTTCTTGCGGCAGGCATAGGCAATATTGTGAGTCTCGATAATGTCCGAGTAACTGGCGAAACCGTAGGGCATGGAGCCACGTTTGTCCACGCCGGAGCGGACCTCCCTGATCTCTATTTCGAGGTCGCGAATACGTTGGGTGTGGTACTCGATGGCGTCGACCTTCTGGTTCTTAGGATACGTGCCATAGGATCGGTCCTTTTTCGAGGGTCTGCACATGGGCCGGGCCGGGGGGATATTGTCTGGGTTCTTGAGGTACTTGGCGAGGATTGCCTCGAGTTTGCGGACTGCATGGTCGTGTTGCGCAATGAGGTTTGGCAGGTCCTTGACGTTGCGCGCGACGGCGGTTCGGGCGAATGAGGCGTTGGGTGCAACCTCGTCGATGAGTCTTGCGATTCCTTCGTCACTACGGCCCTTCTTGGGGATATCGAACAACTAGAAGGGAATGGGTGAGCCAGCGCAAAGGGCAGTTGGGATAGTAGACTCGACCTACCATCAGGGTCCGGGAATGGAGACTAGTCTGGTATTCCTCAGTTTCGAAATACTTTCTTCGCAGTTGGAGAATCTTCCTATAGTTCCACCAGAGGTAACTGGCGACGATAATGTTGAACACCCAAGCAATCACAACCTGGGCCCAGACAGCGGACTCCTTGACATCGAGGGGGGTGATCTTGGTCACCCATTGAGTGTCGGTAATTTGTCCGGTGGATGAGAAGTTGGAGATGTGAATGGGCAGGAGGATTCCGACGCCGGTGACTGACAGAGTCAAGAACATGTTGCGGCACATTCGAACGAAGCGGAGGAAGACGGTAGCATCCATGCCAATCGAGTGCATGAGCTGCTCCTCCTTTGTTCCCCAGACAGTTGCGATCCACGACCAGGGGGCCTTTCCGAGCGGAGGAGGGGCATGCTTCTCATCGGCGTGCTTGAGTTTGGGCGCATAGACGGCCTGGTTGTAGGGGCGAAGGAGAGAGAAGATGATGGCGGTAAAGACGGTGAATCCCAGTGAGATGCCCAAGGCGGAATACATGGAGGCAGCTTGAAGCTAATTTGTCTAATTAGCGATTATGTTCAGGATATCCATCGACGTCACGGCGGCATACCGAATCGGACCAAGGATTTTTCAGCAGGTCCAGCAGCTTGGCAGCTCCGTTCTTCTCCTCGTCGCGGCCAGCCAGGAGGCCGGCCATATTGTTGAGAGACATGGCGGCGATTGCTCCGCCAGAGGCGAAGAAGAGCTCGATGTATGCTCAGTTAAGGGTCGGGGTGATATCAATCGGTTCGGATATATCGAAGCCCTCTTGGCCAACAGGCGTGGACCAGAAACGATCGTATCGTATCGTATCGGATTAGATCGTGTAGGGAGATGAACGAGTGACGAGGGGCTCGGGTCGCGTCGTATGAGAGCAGCGTCCTTGGTGCTGTTACCGAGAGTCGTGGCGAGGCGAATTAGATGTCGTCTAACAAAGAATACGTCGAAACGAGGGTGAACCGCTGATGCAAGAGGCGAGCGCGTCGGGGGTCAGGAGGGCGCCACAGTCCGCCAGGTGACCCTGGAGGAAAAATGCAGACAAAGCACAGAAAAAAGAAGGACGCTGGTGATGTTCCAGATCGGCCTAGCCAACGGCCCGAGGTCTATGGGTCTCGAAAGGGGCTCGAGGATATAGCGAGAGGCGGAGGGATTGAGTAGAGGGAGGGAGTAGGGGAGAGAGGAAGAAGAACGAGGGAACAGGTTCGATGGTGTAGGGCTGGGGAATTCAAGGCGCCATGACATGGGATGGGATGGGGATGGGTTGGGATGGATCCATCCATCATCATGGGGATTGGGGGTGTGAAGAGAGATCCATTCATGGGGATGGGATGGAACTGCGACGGTATGTGCTGATCGCACTGTATTTCGGGCCGGGTCTCCCTCAACAAGACAGTGCGGGATACGCAGGGGGCGACCCGCGCCAACAAAACGCCAGGCGGGCAGCAGGCGGGCAGCCGGCGGGCGGTACGTACCCTTACCCGTGCCGCACTCTGCCGGCACTACCGTGTCTGCAGCGCTGCACCTCAAACCTCCAGCACGGTGGGCGAGCCCGCTACGGGCGCTGAAGCCGCTATAAGCCTGCGGGCCGGGCATAAGCTCACTGCGCTGTAAGCCAGGCCTCTCCCCATCTGGAACTCCAGCAGCCCGCCAGCCCGCCACTCCTCGCCGTCCGGTGACACTTTGCCCCAAGCGACCGGGTCACGGTGGTGAAGGGGGCCGGCGATGGGTGTAGGGAGCGCGCTGGCTGCTGGCTGCTGGCGTTGCCCGCTCCGCTAGTAAAGCCCGAACGCTCGCCACGCCGGGCGCTGGTTGGCCTCCGGACACACAGCTGCACCCCGACCCCTGGTTCGGCGCTGGGCCCGGATGGCTGCTAGCTGGCCGCCCTGGCAGCGACCACTGGGGACCGGTGCTATTTTTGACGGGCTCACGGGGGACCCGCTCCAGAGGACTCCAGCGGTCTTGTGGCGCCAGTCAGCGTTGCGGCTGGCCACAATGGGAGACGGCGCTGAGAGTCCGCATCGTCCCCTATCTGCTGGCAGCAGGACCACCAACCCCTGCATCTGCTCGCCCGCCAGTAGGAAGCCTGCTGATGGGATAATGTGGCGGGCCTAAAGCTGGGGTGGGCTGGGATGGAGGGAATCGCGGATTTGAATACGAAGGACTTTTTCGTCTTGGTGCCAATGCAAGAGCATGGGGGGGTAAAGGCGGCTTGCCCGGATCAAGCCGATGTCTTTTTTTGGTGGCCAAGGACTTGTCATTCCTGATTGAGGACGGGATGGACGTGCTAGGATTCTCAAGGAACGGAAAGCTTTTCTTGATCCAGCAGTGATGCGCACTTTTGGCCGGAGTCTTAAGTGTGTGCGATGTCGTACAGAATGTGGGATGTGGCGGCGTGGGGTCTTCGCGTGTGGCCCAGTCTTTGACCCTCCCTTTTAGCTGGCTCGCACGACATGTTCCAAGATACGGGAGTCAGTCTTCTTCTTCGTCCCTCTTCGTCGTTCGGTCCAAGGACGAAACGCCAGGGGTACGTGATGTACATCTGCAGTAGTACCAATAATACAACGTAGCAGCACGCTACGGCAAGAACTGTAGCCGACAGCCAGGGTGGTGACTTGAAGGATCCAACGGCTGACGGGCTCATCCAAGCCGCATTGAACGACAATTCCATGGCTGCTGATGACAGCAATGCTAAATAAAATACCCAATAAAAGTTTCCAATAACACAACAAGCGAGCTGCTGCACCGGCTAGCTCACGTCTCACGTTATCACTCTACTCTCTAATGAGCTTAATTAAGACTTTGATGTTCGTATTCAACAAAACACAGCACCTTAACTTTGTGTCTTCGTGTATGCGTCCGGATTGCTGAGACGGGAAGCAATCAAGTTCTGACTGGCTGGTTGGTCTTTTGCCACCACCCCCACTGGAACCCGCCAAGGTTCAGGTACCGGAAAGTCAATCTAGGCGGGAAGAAAAAAGCACTCGCAATCGATTACTGCTCCATTGCGACACGACACGCCAAAGAACTGCCTAAACATCCGGGGCCTTTTTTTCTTCCTTTTTTTTGCCTCAGGACTGACTCCACAGTATGAAATCTCATGGGTTTACATCGGTCCTACAGTGCACCTCCCTATGAGGACGGCTTCGTCGCCGAACGACGGGTTCTACCTACTTTGAGGCTGCTCACGTGCTCATCTCATATGGCTGAAAGGATATATCCTCTGGGACTTAAGGATAGAGAATTCAAGCCGAAAGGACTAGAGAACCGCAGGGGCCTCTGGAATGTCCACTCTCTTCCCATCTATCCGCCTGCTGATCTCCCAGGCGAGGCAAACTCCCGGTAAAGAAACCAAACAAGGGCTCGCCCGACCAGGCCAAGCTGGACGAACCACCAAGCGACGCGTGGATCTCGGCTCCAAACTTGCAGGGGAAAAGCGACTCAGTCCAGTCGAGTAAGCTCTTCTCGCGCGTCTCCAGCCCATCCGTTTCAGACTCGGCGGGCAGCACGCTTCCCGGGGTTTGCATTGCATTGGGTGGAGCTCGAAACGTCAGCGCTTTGGCCCGTATGGATGCACACAGATCGCAGGGGGAAAGAAAAATTGACGAAAGTCCTCGGGGCCCCGGCTCTTCCATGCCACCGAGACGAGGAAACGGGTGACGATGGGCCCCTGGCAGTCGCGCAGTCGCCCGTTTGGCGTTTCGCGGGTTTTCCGTGGGATGGGATCGATTCCCCGGGCTCCGGGCGTCTAGGGCTCTGCAGGGCCGACATATCCACCAGCTTGGTCCGCGAGACGCCATCATGCCAGGCACAGGCACGCACCAGAAGCCACCCGTGGCCGAAACCGCAGGGTCTCCAGTTGACGTCAAGGATCAGCAAAGGGGCAAGCACTGCATCTCTCTCTCTCTCTGGCTCGGCGGTAGGCCAAATCAAGCGCCAGCAGACATGCGATGAACGCATCCCAGCCCCGAAGAAACCCTCTGAGACGCCCGATCGCGCCCCACGACGGGGACTGCGTGGCTGAGTCCACGTACGTTCCTGGCGTACGCATCTGCAACGGCGCAATCCAGTTCGCTGCTTCGCCTAACACGCGCGGAGGGGGGACGGTCTTCGCATGACGACACCCTTCTTCCCTCCACCTGGATTACCCAAGATGGCGGCTTTGACCGATGCGTCTCCCTGCGGGACGGGCCAGCTTTGGACCTTGGCCGTGGCGAAACGTCCCAGCTAGATTGAACAGCCGGACCGTGCCTATTCGAGAACCCGTTTCCAACACAGGTTGTCCTGGATTGAACGCAATAATATGTGCCAAATATATACCGTGTATGTAGATTGGCGCAGTCTAACTAGCCAAGACACCCGGGAGGAAGAGTCTTGGCAATATTCTGCCTACCCTAGACCTTTTATACGAGGAGCTAGCAAAGGTCCTCAACATCTGCCATACCCTCTGGTCTGATCTAGGTGACTAGTTCGCTGCCAATAGGCCACCCATCGGTTGTTGATGTCGTCAACTTCATTTGGGACTTATGAGATCAGTTCCGAAATTCACTTTTCGTTTTTGCTTGTTCACCATGCTTTGACATCGCTTCCTCACGAACCCATCCAACTACACGCTTAACTCCCGTAGGATAGACAGATGAAATAACCGATTTTGCTACTCCCAAAAGACACGAATATACAACCCAAATTCCAGATAGAGCTCAGGAAAGCCACTCTGTTTCCATGACCCAAACCTGCCATTTTCGCCTGCACCCGCACAAATTCATACCAGTTCACTTGAGTCGTCACTCACGTAGTAAGTTGATGGACAGCCCATCGGGCCGCTTCGTTGCATGATGATCATCTAGACCTCGACCGGTCCCTGGCTACGAGTCTTCCGCGCCGTCCTGCCAACCACCGGAGCAGTTTTCTTCTCGCGCTTCGCCTTAGCGCCCTTGCCGTTGGGGACTGCTGGAGCCGGGGCATCATCGACACGGGCTTTCTTGTCGGAGCGCGCATCCGAGCCGGACTTGTCCTCGGAGGAGGAATCGCCGTTGGTTGTGGTGGAAGATGGCTCTTCTTCGAGCTTGCGCTTCTCTCGTGAAGCGGACTCACTGGAGTTGGAGGACGGGAGAGCACCTGTCATCTCAACGTCATCGCTGGTGCCGTTGGTTGCTGTTTCAGCTGGCTTGTCGGTGATGGACTCGCTATCCTTTGTAGACTCCGCCGGGGTGGACTCGGGTTCCTTGAGCCCGAGGATGAAGGGGGGATCTTCCTGGGGTTTCTCCTTGGGCTCCTCGTCAATCCTCAGCTCAGGTCGCGGTGTGCCCCCGGCTGGAGTGCTGTTGTTGAGGGGGGTCTGTGGCACCGACATGACCTCGACGGGCTTGGGCACCTTCAGAACAGGCTTTGCGCCATCCTCGGGTTTCTTCTCATCGGCCTTCTTCTCTTCGGGCTTGGGGTCCTCCGAAGTAGGCACCGCAGCCTGGGCCTCTGGCGCTGTGGGCGCAGGCTCACCAACTGGAAGGGGAGCAACATGTCAGCGAAGTGTCTTACAAGCCGGCAGCGCGCAGCGGGCCATGGTGGGACGGTTTCTTTGTATCAATAAACGGCCAATTGGACTAGACTGGACAAAACAAGGATCATGATGATGGCTCGCATGGTGTGTATACCTTTGTCGATGGCGGGAGCGATTCCGTCGGACATGACGATGACGTAAGAGGAGCTGTCGCAGGTGGCGATATTGCTGGGCGCAAGCTTGAATATGGCACGGAGGGCGTCTACGGGGTTCGTAGGGACACGGGGGAGCGATGCGACACGGTCTCGGGGTCGTAGGGGCCGAGATGAGGACGAATTGTGAAGATGGAGGGAGGAAGTGAGGTTGGGGGATGGCTACGGAGGACGGAGTGAGGTTGGCCGGCAGAGCACGAGGTCACGACGGTGCCACAGGGTAGCAAGCTACTCATACCTACTGTGCTGTACCTCGCCAGAGACAGTCAAGAGCAGCTCCAAGCTGGCGGGTGGCACAAGGGTTTGGCCCGGAGACACACAAGTCGCTCATCGGCGAGACTGCTGCGCGGAGGAACCTGGGAGAACCTGGGAAGAACCTGGGAAGAACTTGCGCCTGCGCCAGAGCCCGCGGGAAGAGCCAGCCAGAAGCCGTGGTCAGCATGGAGCTCTCCGGCTCGGGGGGCGAGGACTGTCTCCATTGCTGCATCGGGCTAAAGCACGCGGCCCCATCAGCGGGCGAGCCGTCCGAGGGCGCTGGAGCACAGTGTCGCGGGCCTGGTGGCAGCTGGGCACGGCGACGTTGCGGACTGTGAGACTGGCGCAGTTTGAAGGCGGGTGTGACGGTGTGAACTCTGAGCATCGAGACGGAGAGGGTCGACAGCAGAGCAGCTGAGGATGGATGGAGTTGCAGTTGCGGGGAAGCTTGGTCTCGGCGGTGGAGCCGGCAGGCCGAGCAGAGCGCCAAAAGCCACCGATCTGGGAGGGGCCAGGCGCCGGAGCCAGTCAGAGGCAGCGAGGCCGGCTGCAGTGGTTGGACAAGAGGCGACGGGGGCTCGGTAGTCGACGATGATGTGCTGCTGCAGTGCTGGAGTGCTGCAGCTCGTGGTCATGCTTCTTTGCTTCGTTTGCTGCCCTTTGCTTGGTCAATTGCGGACATTTATGGCCGATTGGACACCTCCGACGCTGCCCACGGAGACTCGGGGAGGGGAAGACCGCGGACCCGTTGCAGATGGAGGGAGACCAGGCGAACGAACCACTGTTGCCACTGTCCCTCAGCAGGATCTGCCTGGGAAACGATAGCCATCGGCTGAAGGGAATGGTGAGCTAACAGGGCCAGCAGCTCTATCGATTTGGGTCATCTCTAAACTAGGAAAAGCTGCCCGGCCTGTCCACCGTGGACCGTTGTCCATCCCGCCTCAGTTCCGTGTCTCACCCGCCACAGGCAAGCCACGCTCCCCACGTGCTGCACCAGCCACAGCCGCATTTTCAGGGGTTGCAATCTGCAATCTGGCTCCCATCGTCAATGGGCTTAGTCATCCATCTTCAGCTTCAAGCCCAAGTGTCCTCCTTTTAGAGTGGCTCGACGCGGTGGGAAGGCCAACCTACGCGATCAACCGACTCTCCACGTTCTTTTGTCCCCCGCGATCCCGACCTCCGATCCCACCTCCAGGTCTCTCCGAAACTGCTTCCTGCTTCCTCGAACCGGCCGTCCCGTTTTCCCTCCCGCTGCTGCTTCCTCCAACCTTCACAATGGCCAAATCCTCCCAGAACAAGTACTCGGTTATCCTGCCGACGTACAATGAGCGCAAGAACCTCCCTATCGTGGCGTGGTTGCTGAACCGCACCTTCACTGAGCAGTAAGCTTCCCTCTGGGTCTTGGAGAACCACCAATATCCGGCGCACGGTTGCTGACCCGTTTCCTAGGAACCTCGACTGGGAACTCATCATCGTCGACGACGGCTCCCCCGATGGCACTCAGGAGGTCGCTCAGCAGCTCATCAAGGCCTACTCGCCGCACGTCGTCCTCAAGCCCCGTGCTGGCAAGCTCGGTCTCGGCACGGCCTACGTCCACGGCTTGCAGTTCGTGACTGGCAACTTCGTCATCATCATGGACGCCGACTTCAGCCACCACCCCAAGTTCATCCCCGAGATGATTGCCCTGCAGGCCAAGGGCAACTACGACATTGTAACCGGAACCCGCTACGCTGGCAACGGCGGTGTCTACGGCTGGGACCTCAAGCGCAAGTTCGTCAGCCGCGGCGCCAACCTCTTCGCCGATACCGTCCTGCGCCCCGGCGTCAGCGACCTGACGGGCAGCTTCCGCCTCTACCGCAAGGCCGTTCTCGAGAAGGCCATCGCCACCACCGAGAGCAAGGGCTACAGCTTCCAGATGGAGCTTATGGTCCGCGCCAAGGCCATGGGCGCCACTGTTGCCGAGGTGCCCATCTCCTTTGTCGACCGAGTGTACGGTGAGAGCAAGCTGGGCGGTGACGAGATTGTCCAGTATGCTCAGGGTGTCTTTTCGCTGTGGCTCAAGGTATAAAAGAACCAGATGAAGGAGATGTATGAACAAAAGGGACATATCTTGTTGGATTGGGGCGTTTCGGCGGGAAGTATAGTACCGTTTAATCTAATACCACGTTTCTTCGGCCCCTTCTTTTCCTCAATCTTGATGCCAATTTCTCCATTTATATTGCCATGTCTTGAATTTGATCTTACATATCTAGCGCCACCCTGCAGGTCTTACATGTTTCGTCCTCCCGTCACCATGATAGTCTGCCCCGTCACATAAGAGAACAGCGGGCTTGCTACAGCCAGGACACTGCTCGCAGCCTCGGCCGGGGTGCCAGGCCTCCGCAGCGCAATATCCGCATACATGGCATCTCCCGCCGCCGCCGCGGCTGCTGAGGGGATACCGAGGGCAATCTTCTCGCCCGCGGGACCCGCGATGAAGGCGCCGTTCTCTTTGGCGGCCGTCAGTCGCGTGAGGATGTGCCCGAAGGCGATGGTGTTGGAGCGCACGCCGAACGCGGGCCCCCACTCCTTGGCGATGGTCTTGGTGAAGCCCGTGACGCCCGCCTTGGCCAGCGCGTAGTTGAGCTGGCCCGCGTTGCCGTGGACGCCCGACGTGGACGAGATGTTGATGATGCATCGCGGCGCGCCGTCCTTGACGCGGAAGTAAGGCGCCGCGGCGCGCACCAGCGTGAAGGGCGCGGTGCAGTGCAGGGCGATGATGGTCTCCCACTGCTTGTCCGTCATCTTGTGGATGACGCCGTCCCACGTGTAGCCGGCGTTGTTGACAATGATGTTGATCTTGCCGTTGCCAAAGTCGGCCGCCTTCTTGACCAGCGCCTTGATGTATTCGGAATCGAGGACGTCGCCTGCTACGGCAATGGCCTGGCCGCCGCTCTTGTTGATGGCCTCAGCCACAGCGGCGGACTTCTCTGTTGGTTGTAAGTCAGGCGCATTCACACTCGCACCACACAAGGGCACTCACTCTCGTCAATATCCGCCACGACAACCTTCGCGCCCTCATTCGCAAACAACCGCGCAGCCTCGGCGCCAATGCCCTGTCCGCTACCGGTGATGATGGCGACTTGACCGGCCAACATACCCTTGGGGTAGTTGAGGTGACTGGTGATCTGGCTAACACGGTCCGACATGATGGGCGAGCTGTGATTAGTGATTATTCCGAGCCTGAAGATCTAGAAAATTGCAAGAGATGCGGTTATCGAGTATGACAACCTTTTTGCGCTACTCAATTATAGACGCGGATTTATGAGCTTGCGGTAGAGACGAGGTCGTCTGAGCTGCCGAGGTTCCCCGCGGCTTCGGGTTTACCGTCTTCGGGCCGTGTGGGGTAAAAGTGGCGGGGGAGATTGAGCTCGGCGCCGGCCATGAGCTGAATTCCCTTTTGGAGAGGCGCACCCGGTGCCGATGGAGTAATTCCCAAGGTAAAAAGATACCAATGGCCCGGACTTCTTGCCTTGGGATTATGTCTACATTTGCTATTGCCAAGGACGATCACTTCGTGTGATAGACCTGATCTTAGCGTTGCTGTTCTTCACAACGCTGGATACACATCTCGAAAGCCAGAACACAACATAATAGCAAAATAGCATTAATGCATCATTCATAAATCTAAAGCTTAAAGTCTGCGTTCGTCTTCTCCCATCCCGCCGCAGAAGGCTCCATCCTAGCAGCCCGCTCCGTCAGCTTGAGCTTCATATTGCGATTCTTCTCCGTGCACAACTCGTACATAGTCGACAGATTAAACAGTAGCGTATGAGAGGACAGACCCGAATCAACTAGTCCTTCGAGAATTTCCCGTCCCTAGATTTGTTAGCGTTGGGTTATAGTCAATAGGCGCTCACACGTACCTCGTGTATCCGCCCTAGGTACAGCAGGCAAACGCCCATGTTGACGCCGACCATCTCGTCGTCCGTTGTTTCTTTCAGGTCCTTCCATCTCTCCAGTGCAGACTCGTACTCTGCGTCTGCCATGTCGCACAGCGCCAGAATGATCATCTCCGCATCCTGACCGTCGCCGGCACCGCGCTGCGCACATTCCCTTGCGCTCTCCGAGTTGCCCAGGTGCAGCCACAGCAGGGCCTTGGCCAGCGCCATCTTACCATCGCCCCGGTCCCGGAGGGTGCTGAGGTGGTGCGCGGCGCCGGTGAGGTCGTCCATCTCGATGAGGGCACCAGCGACCTGGATCCCGAGGTCGTGGAGGCGGGCCTTCCAGAGCTCCCTTGCCGAGTTGTCGTGCTGAGCCGAGGCTTTGGCGATGTTGTCTCGGGCCTCCCGCGCGAGGTCGTGGTAGCTCATGACAGCCCGTCGGGGGTCGCCAAAGCCAAGGGCTTGGAGGCGGACGTTGAGAACCCGGAGCTCCCAAGGGACCAGGTGCTCACCGGTCGCTTCATCGACATATGTTCGGATGTCGTTGAGATCCTCCAGGGCCTTGACCTCCTGCGCAGCTAAAGGAGTGGAATCAATCAACGTCAGGCATGCCAGGCGGGTGTACAACAGTCCGAAGATCTTCTTAGAATCCGTAGGGTTGATGCCCCCGCTGGCGCCAGATCCCGTCAACTCCTGGACTGCAGCAATAGCCGCTGCTCGAAAATGCCCATTTGCCAACAGTTCCTCCAGAGGCGCCTCCGGACCGGGCTGCTTTGGCGAGTTGCGGAATGCGACAGGCACATTCAGGGGAGTGAGGGGGTGGTAGATCTCTGGACGGAGCAGGAATGCGAAGTTCTTGGCGCGGGCCTCGCCGAGCTGGGGGACCGGCGATGCTACGGATGAGCGAGCAGGTGGTGATGAGATCCTGGACCGATGTGGTGGTGTCCGTTGGACGGGTTGCGCGGCGCTTTGGAGAGCTGCTATTAGTGGGTCACTGGGATGTGTGAGATGGAGGTGAGACTCAAAGTGGGTGAGGGAGGATGGCGTACTCGTCGGCATCGAGAGGCCCTTTAGTAGAGGACCTGGGTCTAGCTAAGGGACTGTCAGTCGGTCTGAGCGAGGTTTAGAGGTTTGGCGATGGCCATGTCTCCGGAATCATGGCGGGCATTGTACTGCTCGAGATGACGTTGCAGAGGGGCAACTTGCTCCGGTCTCGCGTGCGCCATCAGATTTCCAGGCCGGACATTAACATACCCTTAGTGACTGACTTGTTTCTTGAATGTCCTTTGCCTGGTGTCCCTGGTGGGTCACTCATGATTTCTGGTCTATGGTTGGCGATGAGATCGTTGTCGCGTTTGAGTTGGTGAGTTGGCGTGGTGTTGTACCTGGCGGATAATCATCGGTAAACGTCTCACTCAGTGCTTGACAACCCACAGTAGCTTTCTTCTGGCCGCGATGCCAATGCGCCAACAACGCTGATGAATGATGAAATAAGATTGAAGCATAGTCATGTTTCTCTTGGTACTCTGTAGTGTCTCAAGTGAATCATTTGTACTAACGTCTAAGATATGCTGTCTGTCCGAGAGACACCAAAAACATCTCACCGGGTCTTTGCCTGGTTTAACGGCCCCTAAGCTCCTTACATCTGCCAGTTTACCACTGCACGTCCAGAGGTAAGGTAGGTAAAGAGCAACCAATAGGCGATTAGAAGTAAGCAGTGAATCACTCCAAGCACTTCTCTAATGGATCCTCTCTTTTTGAATCTCTCGCATGACATCCACTGCACCTTGTTCTATGATCTTCGCTTTCTCCTCATTCCAGACCCTCCCTTGAGCATTCAGAAAACAAGATGCCACAGCCGAAGCGGCAATGTAAGCGCGTCAAGCTCACCAATTCGGGTATGAATGATTATTTTCCCAGAAGACGTCGCATCGCTAATAGCGCCGGTAGAACCCGAAGAATCCCCCGTTGAAAAACTCGCCCCCAATGGCGATGTCATTCTCGTTGTTGGCACGGAAAAGAAGAGGATACAGATCCATTCAGACTTCCTATGCCTAGTCTCTCCCAACTTCAATACCATGCTTCAAAATCAGTCTACCATGCCCCATGACTCTCGCGGGGTGTGTCAGGTGGAGCTCCCCGACGACGATGGCCAGGCCGTGTCGCTGCTCCTCCGCGCCCTCTACGGAGGAGACCCTCAGCTGGACAGTCTGAAGCCAAAAGAAATCTAGCAGATTTCTATGTTGGCGAAAAAGTACGCCATGACTCCTCGGGTTTCCAGGCAGGCTTTTATATGGTTGTACTGTCCCGTGAAAGACCCAGACGAATTCTGGTGGCTCCTGAATGCAGCTTATGTTCTTGAATGTCCTCTTCCATTCCACTCCACAAGCAAAAAAGTTTTCAAATTTGCTGACATTTCGCTTCTTCAATTGGCAAGTGGGACAACGGACGTTTTACTGGGTTTTCGGCTGGCTTGTAAGTACCTTTGGCATCAGCCCACCTCTGAATGGAAAGGGCTTACATTGAATAGTGGCCTTGGAGGAGCTCCGGGCGTTCAAACCGCTAGGGAGGGGACTCTGTCTACATTGTTTCAAGACCGCAACAACAAAGTTTCTGGATCGTGGTCCGCGATGCCCAGATCCCTCGCTTCACTCCATCAAATAGGACGCGTGGACCGTCATAACCCCCCCACACGTCCAAGACAGCCAGAGGATACAAGCTCAGCGAAAGTTGGAGTTCGCAAGTCCATAACCCAAACCAAGGATAATTATTTTTGCAGTTTTCTTGGGTTTCTACTATGACGCTGCTATCCTTCTACGTCCGTGTGATGGCAAAATCTGAAGCTAGCTACCACAATACATTATGACGTCTGGATGCTTTGATCGCAATGGCTCATCTAAGACCAGGTCCTCCGACAAATGCTGCTTCCATGATCTTTGATGGACATTCCTGAGGAGGAGGGTCTTTGGTTTGCTTCTGTGGCTGAATCCGCAAATGGCCATAGAAAACTTGTTAGTTCCAAGAGAATCGTATCTACTTGGATCTTCTGTTGACATTGACATCGTTGCCGTGTCCGGGATCGGAAATTGTGACAATGCCTGGTCTCTGTTACTGGGCTGGAACACTGCAAACAGGCACAGTGTGTTTGTCCACTTGACGGCTGGATACAGCTGGCAACCATGCAGGTGGTGAAAGAAAGCAGTGAATCATTGGCCTGTCAGCAGTGGTGCCTGAACACTCGCCTTCTCGCACCGATTTTTCAGATCCCTTTTGTCCTTTATCCTCTCATCTTCACTGTTGCTTGGTTCCATTTCTGCCAAGCCACGCCATCGAGGAGGCAAGATGTCCGCACATGTGCATCGTGACGGTGCCGCCGGGCCCAGTGCTCTTGGTATGGATAATGCTGTCCTCCGGCGATCTTGCATTGCTAATGGAGCCTCTAGAAGCTACCGAAATTTTGGCCGCCGACGAGTCCTCATCCTCAAGCGGAGCTTCCGGGACAAACGAATCTACAGAGATCAGCGACCTTTTGATTGAGATGCTCGATCCCGATAGCGACGTGATCCTCTTTGTTGGCAAGGAAAGAAAAATGATCTGGGCATATTCAAACTTTCTTCGTGCGATCTCCCCTCGCTTCCAGGAGATGCTGCAAGAATATCCTGGCCCACGTTACGACGATGAGAAGGGTTTGAGGCCTATGTGTGTGAAGTCGCTCCCAGACGATGACGCCGATTCCATGACGCGGCTTCTTCGTGCCCTTTCGGGAGTAGACCCTGGCATGGATGAGCCAAAGCCAAGAGAAATCCAAAAGATCGGCGAGTTGGCGGACAAGTACGCAATGGTCTCTCGCCTAACCTACGCAGGATCCTATTGGCTTCGGGACCGCAATATAGAAGACCCTGCAGATTACTGGTATCTCCTGATTGCCGCGTATAATTTCAGACTTCGGGAACCATTCAAAAGGTTCAGCAAGGCACTGATCACGCGGCATGGAAGGATGAGTTCATCTCTCCTAAAACCTGCCACTGAGACACCGGGAACTGTGTCAGGTTTCCGACTAGCTTGTGAGTATTTTTGACAAAACTTTTGGCTCTGCCTGAACAAAGTCTGACATTGGGATAGTAGCCATCGAGGAGCGTCGGCATTGGCATGCCGTTAACATGTACCGCGAAATCCTGGGGCTCTGCTTAGATTGCTTCGAAAACGGCGAAAGTGCTTTTCCTGGTGAAAACGGTAGTTGTGACGTCTGCGGAGCCAACTGTGCCTGAAGCACTGTTGTCCACCTTTCGATCATGGATGGCATACTCAAGGGAGACGGATGATGGGGGGCAAAAGCCCATGACGCAAGACGAGGATAATGTTTGTGCAATTGTGTTCGATTTATCCCTGAGAAACTGGCATCTATGTACGTTTGGAATGGGTCATGTCCAAATTGTAGTAGACATTGTGGTGTCCAGCTCAGTTTGACTTCTCAACACAAGCGTAATGAAACACACTGAGAACAGAACGCTTGCTATGATTCCATACTTCATGCTTCAAGGTTGTTCCTCGAGAGGGGGCCGTTCCATTCCAATGATGTAGACAGGGTCTCTATTGTAGATCTGAATGACTTCATGGTCAATCTGATTGCACCTCATGACCATCCTGTTAATCGTATGCTAGGATGTTGAGACCTTTGGTATTGAGAAATCGCAAGCTGATCTCCTCTCGGACTCTGATCTAGCTTGTCTCCTTTCAGTGGATGGATGGGACTCCGCTCAGTTACGCCAGCAGCACGGCGCTGACCTAGGGCCCAGGCAGGGACGTCGACCCGATGGCGAACATACGAATCTGTTTGCGAAGGTTTTTTTTCTTTTTTTTTTTCGGAATATTTTCCTTAGATTGTCGAAGGCCTCGGCAGCACTCTCCGCTACGTGTTGCATGTTTAGTTTCCATGTGGTCAACTGACCCTGATAGCTTATACACTGGTAAGTCTCGCTGGGGTAGAGTTGACACCATCTGTGTCGAGGATCCGAGGTAAATCGACGGCGTGGCTGACTGGGAGATGCTCTTCGTCGCCGATCTGGCGGGAGCAAGGGACTCATGGGCTGTGGAAGGATGAACGGTGGGCGACTTCCGCGGACGCCGCCTTTGTCACGATTTACCGTCGGATCGGAAAACTCCAGAGTCGTGATGAAGTCGGGTACATCTCAACGTCTTCAGGGCCTTATCCAGGGCGGTCCTGTGTCGGCGCATCTAGAGGAAGCCAGTGAAGTGGACGTCCGAGATTTAGTGTTTACAATAATAGATCACGGCGAAAATAGAAGACGATGAAGTCATGGTACAACGGGAATAAGAAACTTGAATGCCGAACTGTAAATTTGCCAATTCTGCTTTTCGTTTGTGTTCTATGTCTGCATTTCACCACCAAGCCAGTAACCACTGCATGTTTTTTTTTAAAACTCCCCCAAACCATAGTTCCATAACTTCCCATTTTAGCCTTGCTTGTTAATTAGCTCGCGCATGTTATCCCGAGCATGCTCCAGAATGAACGACGCAGGGCCCTTGTAGTGCTTAGGCTTGTGGTGTTCGTCTAGCCCATCCGTATCGTCCTGAGCTGTCGCTTCTGCCATTGACCCAGCCGCGGCAATCTCCAAATATCTGTCCCGGTCGTATCCCTGCACGCCGATGCAAACGAGAACGCCGCTATACTTGAGCAAGAGGGCGTTCAAAATAAGGCGGCACATACGTCCATTGCCGTCAACAAAGGGGTGGATGTTGACAAAAGTGTGGCTGTACTTGGCCGCTAGGGAAACAGGGTCGATCTCCCCTGAATCAACAGCCCACTGGATATCGTCATCAAGTGATCGGATCATGGCCCGCATTGCGCCGGGAACTAGGCGGGGATCCATGAACTGGTTGAGACCGGCGCTCACGTCGCATTCCCGGTAGACGCCGCTGTACTCTGTCCATGACATGCCTTGTTCGGCATCGACTTTATGTGTCAAAATGCGGTGCGTTTGGAGGATAATGTCTTCGGAAAGGGCCTCGTTGTTGATGCAGACTGTGGTGAAATGTAGCTGGCGGCTTTGGCATGCTGGGTGATCTCGTGATAGCTTCGAAGAACGGTGTCATAATTGGGGGGATTCTGCGCCAGATCGCGTTCCAGGACCCTGTAATATGAGTCGCCTTCCTCTATTTCGGGAATTTGGTCCCCTCGAAATATCGGTCGGCATAGCGCATGGGTGATGTCGCGCCCGCCTCCAGCGCCTTCGATCATGTTGGAGCCGAAAACCATGCGCCCGAGGGGATTTTCTAGATACCGTTCGAAGGACCCCATTCGTAGCGGAGGGGAACAATATACGGTTGTAATTTGCAACTTGAGCTCCTCGTAAAGGTCATCCGGATCGACGTCATCGTCGAGGACGTTGTAGTCATATGCATCATCCATCACAATGCGAAAAGGGGTGGTCGCCCCGAAAGATCGGACTTGGATGGATCGGACGAGGTCGGTCGGCGCCATTTCTGTGGTTGTTTTCCGACAAGAGCTGAAAGGAGGAATGGGAGGATGATGCAGTTGACCGTCGAGAAATTCGCAGACTACGAGAATGCCCGCGCCTAAATACTGAAGTTGACAGGGTTTTAAAGGACGGTTCCCGCGAAAGGCAAGAACTACCACCTTGGTAGTGTTTGACACAACCTTGATGGGTCTAAACTCCTAATCCTAATTCCTTCTATCCATAAGGGTATTGTTAAATGTTTAGGTCATCATTATGCCATAAGAAATATGTTGATTCATGGATGGTTAAGAGATGCGTTATATGTCACTGTCTGCTGCAAGTTCACAACGCTGGGTTTTGAAGGCTTCGGGTGTAAGAATAAATTTGGGCATTCACAATCACGTAAACGAAAGCAGGCATTTGATATGGCCACCCAACTCATTTATCTGACATCGTGACAGTTCCCGGCATCCACGTATGGTGAGAATAGCACTAGCATTGGTGGACGAACAATAAAAGCCAAGCAGGGCATTGTCCCTCGCGGTGGTCAAGATTCCCCTCTAGGTAGGCAGTTGCCAACAGCTGTCAACGTGACGTATGATTGAAGAAGAACGATGCCGACAGCGAGGGTCCAGCTGGCAAGAGCCTCTATTTTCCGCGCACTTCCTTTTGAGCAAACACTGTTCTGCCACTTACCGTGAATCACCTTGCAGTGAGTCACGAGTGATTCGTTTTCCGCTCACTTTTCTTTTCTTTTCTTATCTTCTCACCTTTTCTCACATTCTCTCGCCGTCTCCGCTCCTTCTCCCATCCCACACAGAGATCTTCCTATTCCTCCATACTTTCTTCTACTACGGCATCACACCCACCTGAGTATGGCAAAGCGCAAACACGACGCCATTTCATCCACCATGACAGCGGATTCAGAGGCTAAGGCCGTCGAAAAAATCGCTCCTGATGGAGATGTGGTTTTCAGTCTAGAAAACGGTGCGACATGTGTTCAAGTAAGCTCAGGCGTTATGAAATCTGCCTCTCCAGTCTTCGCCGCCATGCTTGGACCGAATTTCAAGGAAGGCCACGCGTTAGCCACCCACCACGCTCAACCAATCGAGATCCCGCTACCAGACGATGATCCAAAAGGCTTCATCCTCATCTGCCGCATCCTCCACTTTCAACGGGGCTTGAGAGAGCAGGTTCCGACTTTGACGGACTTACTTCATGTCCGGCCGGTGGCAGACAAATACGACCTGCTAGATCCCATATCCCTCCGCGTCGAAGCGTGGATCAAGAAGCTCGTGTCTAATGTACATGGCGCTGTTCATGGGCCACTGCCTCCAATTTCCTTCCAGACAGGAAGCGATGTGATCCAGGCACAAACGGTGTCGGATGAAGAGAAGGGTTACAGCCTGGACATTTCTGACACTTTTCTTCTCTTAATCCTGTGTTATGAGTTCGGGGCCCAGGATGATTTCCGAGTCATCAGTCAACGCATCATGCGGGAGCACATTGGCTCGTTCATCACTCTCGCCACCAACACTGAACCCATAAGTCGAGGATTGGTCGATACTGGAACCCTTTACTTGCTCGCAGGTCAGTACCAGGTTGAAATTAATTTCTCTTTTATTCTTACATGCGTGTATTAATGATGTCCCATTGCAGGCGCGCTACAAACGAAAAGAGCCCATCTACTTGCGAAGCTTTCGAATTTTCTCCAGATGGGGATGTTCAACCACCTAATAGATGATCCCCACCTTGAACCAGAACACGTGGTCCAATACTTCGACCTTTTTAATGGGTACCATGACGGTGCTTGGGCCATATTCGAAGACTCAGACACAGGAGGATTTTTGTCACTTCATGAGGTTTTAATTTGCCTCGCGAATCTCCGACCGAACGACTTCCCAGATATGGATGAAACATGTCGAAGTTCCATTGAAAACCTCCTAAAGACCGAAGTCGAAGAGATAGGGGAAGACGTAGCGGGTCTTTGCTTGATTTGCGTTCGGAAAGGCCTTGTTGAATGTGATAGCAATCACGATGTGACTTCTTCTTGACGGAAGAATTGGGGATCCATGGCTCTGAAATGCTCATTTCATAATTTCGTCGCTAGATATAGATATGCGTCACTCAAACGTCTTTTGATTTCTGCATCTTTGTCATCGTGTTGCAAGTTTGTTACTCTACTCCCATGCCAAGGCAATGATCTGCGAAAACCTTGAAATATCATTGCACCCACAAAGAGGTGGCTTTACGCACTTATTAAGTCAGTAAAGCATGTAAATCCTGAATATTTCTATTCGTTTAGTGAACCAGTTGTTGTGTTGCTTGAACTCAAACAGCACCCACAGGTGAAGTTGCTCACCGAAGCCCCACCAAGAACTCGCAGCTCGCCTCAACTTTCTAAACCAACTTCTCACCCGCAAACTCATACCCACCCAGCCATGAGGACGCGCAAGTCAAACCGCACAAAGAGCTTCGCCGTCGAAAAATACGACTTCGACGGAAGCTCCGAAGAAGACATCGTCCATAAGCGCGACAAGAAAGCCGACGCTGATGACGACAATTTTGAGGCCGCTGCAGCAGCGGCTGCTGAAGAGAGCGCTGCCGAAGATGACATCGCCTTCGAGCGTGAGGCCATGGAGTCGGACGCTTCAGTGAGCGATCCCGAGGGCATTCCCGACAGATTCTCCCGCCAGCGCATCAAGCTCATCCGACCCTTCAATGTCCGCGCCGTCGGCGTCACCGGCTATCTCGATGTCGAGCCCGTCGCAGCCGACGGGCGCATCGTGAGGGCGTACTGCGGGCCGTACGACCGCGGCCTTCGAGGGCATCCGCTCGTAGAGATGTGGTACGGGCGACATCATGGAGGGATCAAGATGGCGCATGGTATGCTGGACCGGTGGATGGACTGGTCTGTGTTGCCGCCCCGGTCGAAGCTGGATGAGCCCGCGGAGAGGGACAGAGGCGTCTGGTCACCAACCTTTTTCGAGAGGGAGGCTTACAATGCTGAGCATTGGTACGAGCGAGTAAGAGACAGCATGCCGCAGGACGAATCTTTTCTGGGATTGTCGGAGGAGGAAGCTCAGCCCTACCGATTCCAGCGAGGAGCGATGCCAGTGTTGATGGGACCACACGACTCTCAGCTGGAAATCATGTTTGAAGCTGGTGACGCATACACCCTCTCGCTGTCCGGATTACCATTCGATCAAGACGAGTCCGACGCCAAGACCGTCGCAGGGTGGATGTTCGACGCTGGAGGCATCATCACCAGCATGGACTGGGCACCTCGACAAACCCGCAACGCCCCTCAGCTCTTGGCCATGTGCGTCATCCCACATTCCGACCAAGAGCACTACGATTTCGAAAAGGAGTCTGTGAAGCCCGACTTCCAGAAGCACGGCGTCGTTCAGCTGTGGGAGTTTGAGGGAGCGCGGGGGGAGGACGGGTTCGTGCGGCCGTCTTCCAAGCGGCCAAGGCTTCAAAAGACGATATGTCTCGAGCATGGCCGAGCGCGGAGGGTGAAATGGAGTCCTGCGTGTGGGCTCCTGGCAGTCATCTGCGGAGATGGGAATGTCTATGTCATCGAGGCGGGTGACGATGGAGACGGGAGATATGGTAAGATGACCTCCCTCATTAAAACAACCTTTCTAACTGCTTCTAGACCAACTACAGCAACCAGTTGCCACATTTGGACTGTTAGAGGAAGAGAACATTGAGCCAACCGCCCTCACATGGATCAACTTCAACCGTCTTGTAGTAGGCTACTCGGACGGCTCTATCGCTCTCTGGTCAATCCGTCCTAGTCTTCTCCTCTCGCGACACCCTGTCCATCACAACATTGTCCTTGACCTCGTCTCAGGTTATCCATCCATGCCGTACATCATCGCCTCTTACCCCGTCGGAGGAACCGTGAGGCTCATCGACCTGCGAGCTCCAAGCGTCGAATCAACCGAGGTCCAGGCCCTCACTGTCGCATCGCAACCCAACCTTCTTGGGTACAGCGATCACCTCCTTGGCTTCTTCTCCACATATCCCTCTGCCGGCGTGCTCAACACACAGATTGGGTTCATGTACCACGCCCAATTCCCAATCGCCCGCCGCGTCTTCACCGGGCAAAGCTTCCCCTCCTGTTTGTCTGTTGGGCGCACTCATCCGTATCTACTCATAGGCTCAGTAGACGGCTCTCTATGGGCGCTGAACCCACAGGTCGAGATTTTCACCACCAGGCGCGAGCCCTCGGACCGCATCAGGGTTTTCCAGCACGAACACCGACCAGCAAAGTTCTTCCCGGAAGATTCGCCGGCCGGAGCACGAGGCGTGTCGCGAGTGCTGCAGGGCTTTATTCTAGAACGGAACGTCAACCCAAAGACAGACTTCAAGCCTCCAGTCAAGAAGGGCAAAAAGGTGAAAAAGAAGGACGCCGAAGCTGTCCGCGCTGATGACGAAGAGGATGGGGCCGGTCCATCAGATCCCACCCGAGCGGTTGTCTATGAGCCGTCGACGAGAATTACGGCAGTGGAATGGAACCCGAACGAAGAATTTGGGTGTTGGGCGGCGGCGGCAATGGGATCAGGGTTGGTAAGAGTCATGGATCTCGGGCTGGACAGAGGCGACGATACCACGTAGGCGATGAAGAATTGATACATGAACAAAGGTTCCACGGCCTAGGCGCATTAACCCTCGAGGCACTCGGATCCCATGACAGTGTGAAGGTGGTCGAATGCCTTGGCCATGCCATAGAAATGCGTAACGGCAGCCATGATGACGAACATGTGGAAGATCTGGTGAGAACTACCCCAGATGTCAAACACAACGGGTACGCTCCGCTCAGGCCATCGAACCTAGTTGCAATTAGCAAGACTCGAACAGACTCATCAGGGTGACGAAACATACAGCGTAGAGGAAGGCGCCAAAGATGTACATGGCGCCGTGGAGGACGACCAGACTGAGGCTCATCCGCTCCTCCATGCCCTGAATACCGTAGACCATGCAGCCGTGGATAACTGGGACCACGCCTGAGAGGCCGAGAGCAACGAACATCATGGTGCGGTAAGGTCTCCAGGTCGGAGTGCGGAAGCGTTCGATCCATGACACCAGCCCACATCCTAGGCCGAGGGAACAAATCTAGATCGTGTTAGTGAGTGCTTCACTTCAAATCCGAGCTGTCCGGTCACTCACCGCGTTTAGATAGATGGTCATCAACTGCGGCCTACAGAAGAAGCCGTAGTACAGCGCCGGGAAATAGCTCCCGACAATCAATGCCACAATGCCAGTATAGTCGAGCTTGTTTCCCCACTTGGCCACCATCTCACTGTGGTTCGACAATGTATGGAACGTAGCGCTCATGCCCAGGCACAGCACAGCACCGCCAAAGAAGCAGGCAAAGACAAACACGTCCGCAACCGTGGCCGTCTCGTAGCGCGGCTGGACGACATGGTAGACGTATGCAGCGGTGCCAATGAAGACAATGGCCCCGAGGAGATGCGTCCAGATGTTGACGGACTCGTTGTGTAGGTAGAAGAGGGAGCCCAGGGAGTGCGCGTACGAGGAGCGCGACTGGCGGTAGCCGGTGAGGATGTAGGAATTGTCGCGACGCCAGGCGGGGAGGTCGTCCCAGAGGATCAGCAGAGATTGCTCGACCTTTTTCTCAAACGACTTGGTAGCGCTGAGAATGGTTTCCGTGGTGGAGGGCCGGCGTTGGCGCACGCCGGCTGGTTGCTGATGTTGGCTGGCCATGATGATACGAGTGGATGAGTTTCAGCCTAGAACGGGTTAACACTTGATGAAGCTACGTTGCGGCAGTTGCGATTCCTTGATGCAAAAGCAATTATGAATAGTTGCGATTCCTCGATTTATATAAAAGTTATTAGATGGGTCCTCTGATCTGATGCAATGAGTTGAGACGCTGGAGCCCCGTGTTGCCGTTGTTGGCCAGGGTGCTTTTGTTGGGACAGGCACATGGAAAAGACGCGCAGCGCAGAACCGCAACGCTCCCGAGGCTAAAGAACGCCTTGGGATAGTCGGCCCACTAAAAAGTAAATAGATGATCCTCCTTCGAGGAAAGTCTTTTGCAGGATGCGGACGGACGGTTCCGACGACTATCATGAGCTGTTGCGAGAGCTTTTGTTGTCTGGATAGGGTCGAGTTGGTCGTTGGGGATGCATCTCTGCTCCCCATCGCCACTGAAGGATCGCCGCTGAAGCCTCGGAGCGGGATATACAAGGGTTGTATGGGCGGTCATGGGAAGAGCATCAGCAACAAAAGATAACATCCAAGCATATACGTCACATGCAGAGCGCGGCTAATAGGTCAGCTTTTTGAGTCACGGCATGGATTTCATATCTCGTCAACCATCAGAGAGTGCATGTCCCAGCTTCCAGAACACCACAGCCGGCCTGGCTTCTACGGCGCCAAGGGCCTCGGCTCACGCCATCGCAACATCCTTTGACACCGCTCGCAATCACGCACCCCAATATCCAAATGCGCATTTACTTCTTCCCGCTCTTCTTGATGCCCTGAGCACCCGTGTTGAGGGGGCCCTTGCCGCCAGCCTTGGACGCCATCTCCTTGCGAGCCTTCTCCTCTGTGGGGTAGCAATCGTCGTGTCAGCCTAAAGTTGATCCTGTTTCGCCTCGCTGCGCGGGCGCGACCTGCGATGGCCTACCCGCGACGGCTCGATGGTTTCGGGGAGGGGGGTGATTTCGTACCGGCACGCTTCTTCTCGAGGAAGGCCAGGTCATCTTCGTCGAGCTCCTTGTTGGCCTTCTTGGCCGCCTTGAGGGGCTTGGCCTTGCCGCCTGTTGTGGTTGGAGGGGTTAGTCTCTGGCGATGGCGGGGTGATGCGGTGGGAGAACGATTGAGGACAGAGGACGGAGAGGTAGGGACTTGCCTTCTCGGTTGTTGCCACCCATGATGATTGTTTGTCTGGTGTTGTTCGTGCGAAGTGAAGAAGAAAGCAAGAGCGAGGCGAGATAAACAGAGAATGAAGAAGCGCTGTGGCGAAGGAGTCGTCGCAGCAAAGTCAGTCAGCAGCGGAGTAGAAGACCCTTCCGTCCCACGGACCACTGACCACGGCGCCTAGAACCAACTGCAGGAGGCAGCCCAGGCGGTGAATCCACTAACAAGGCGCTGTTGACTCGCTGTACGATAAGGGGCACTGGCATGGCCGATAAGGACTCTAAGCTTACCTAATCGAGTATGGGTCCAGAATTTTCCTGCGCCGTCAAGGTTGACAACCTCCGAAGCGCGGCCACGCGACTCCATCTGACGGTTACGTCAAAGTCTGGAGACTACCGACGACATCAACTCTTGAAGTCACCAACGTTTCCAAGCAGACACACGCACAGACGGAGGACGGGACAGCCATTTAGGCGTTTCCACCATCGCCAAATCGTACATTGCCCCTCTATCTGGTCTTCTCCTCAACGACGTCGTTTCAATCCGCCTCCAACTTCAGTCACCCCCTGCCAACCCCCTCCTCAACTTCGACCTTGAGCCTAGTAGGAGTCACCACGCATCCGGTTGGGCTCTTCTCCCATTGCGCTCTGTCTTCCCAGTTCGCTTTGCTGACTCGTCTTGCCCCCTTCTCTCCCTCAAGGCCTACATAACCCCAAAGGATTTCGATCCGTCGCACGTCAGTGAGCATGGCGTCCAGTTCGGACGAGGGCGAGATCGTCGAGAATTGCGTTGAGGACTTGAAGGCAACTTCACTTCAGCACCCTAGAGGAAGCGGTGTTGACCGTCAAGACAGACATCGAAGTAGACTCTCGACTCCAGACCACGACTCAGCCTCGAGGCATAGCAACGCCTCGCGACGAAGCCCATCGCCACGCGGCTACAAGCGCCAACGCGACGACAAAGACAGGGAAAGGGACAGGGACAGAGATTATTACGCCGGTAGGCCCCGCGATCATGACTCGAGAAACCCCCGCTCCCATTACGATGATGTCCGGAGACCTCGTGTCTCCTACGACGACCTAGACCGTCCTGCGTCCCGCGATAACCGTAACCGCGAGAGGAGCCGCGATAGAGATGGCCACCGTGATAGGGAACGGGATTGGTATTCCAACAAGCGGCCCCGGAATCGTAGCAGGTCTCCCCAGCGACCCAGGCGCGCCGAAAAGGGCAGGTTCGATCGCTTCGTCAGAGAAGGCCAATACGACCGGGGCGAGGACTCCAGAGGGTTAAAGTACGACGACGACCGCAGCTCTCGAGATGCCGGTTCTGCGTCCAGAGGGACCACAGTAGGAGAGGCTTCACGCGCCAAAGAACATGATGCTAAACCGAACAAAGGGAATGCAAATGGACATGACTCTTCCAAGACTTCCCAGAGGTATGTTACCCGACTCGATTGTGAAGATATGGACTAAACTAACTAAAAAGCAGTGAGTCTTTCGCCCAACCAGAACCTGAGGAGGACTTTGAGGAGCCTGAGCCTGTCGACGAAGAGGCTGAGATCGAAAGACGGCGCAAGCGGCGTCAGGAAATCCTCGCCAAGTCTAGTTCTGCGACACCACTCCTTCTTCACGCTGTTGGAGCGGCTAGCAAGGCTCGCGCAGCATCACCTGCGTCCATTCAACTCGATAGCTCGATGAAGTCGCAGTCCGAGATGGCGACACCACAAACCCCTCGGACCCCTCGATCTGGTAAATTTCCCTCCCCTTGCTATGAAAGAGAGACACTAACCGACATTAGACCTAGCTTCACCTCGCTCACCCGGATCACACGATGAGCCATCCCCTGGCGGAATCAACCTCCTCGACGACACGGCGCTGATGAACTCCCATGGAAAGGTCAAGGGTGATGATGAGGATGGCCCCTCTGCCGCCGACTACGACCCCACGGTTGACATGCAGGAAGATGAGAAAAGGGGTGAGCTCCGCCATGGACATGTTGTACTTCACGGTGAGCATGTTGTTACAACCACGGAACAGCAGCCTCAGGAAGAACAGCACGAAAAAGTTCAAGAGAAGCCGGAGAAGTCTTCCGGCGATGACGACGATGAAGACTTTGACATGTTCGCTGAGGATTTTGATGAGGACAAGTATGCAACCAAACCGACAGCTGCTCCGGACGCTCTCGACGCCAACGGCTCGGCACCCGATGCACAAGCCGTCGCCAAGGGTGGAATTCTCGAGGGCGACGACAAGGACGGATACTACAAGATCCGAATCGGTGAGGTGCTTAACGGACGATATCAAATCCAGGCAACGCTAGGAAAGGGTATGTTCTCGGGCGTGGCTAGCGCTCTCGACATTACGACGAAGCAGATGGTCGCGATCAAGATGATGCGTAACAACGACGCCCTCCGCAAGGGAGGCTACACTGAAATTGCCATCCTACAGAAGCTCAACGATGCGGATCCCGAGAACCGAAAGCATATTGTAAAATTCGAGCGGTCGTTCGATTTCAATGGGCATCTGTGCATGGCCTTTGAGAGCTTGAGCCTGAACTTGCGTGAGGTCTTGCGCAAGTTCGGCAACAACGTGGGTATCAACTTGGGCGCAACTCGAACGTACGCCTACCAGATCTTCGTGGCCCTCGCCCATATGCGCAAGTGCAGCATCATCCATGCTGATCTGAAGCCCGACAACATCTTGGTAAGCTCTCGCTGGTCTTTGCCATGGGAGAATGGACTGCTAACTTGGAATAGGTTAACGAGAGCCGTAACGTGCTCAAGATTTGCGATTTGGGCACAGCCATTGATAGGTCTGATGCTGCAACAGCACATACGGAAATCACGCCGTACTTGGTCAGCCGATTCTACCGCGCGCCGGAAATTATCCTCGGTATGCCATACGACTATGCCGTTGACATGTGGTCCATCGGCTGCACGCTGTATGAGCTCTACACAGGCAAGATCCTGTTTACAGGTGACAGCAACAACCAGATGCTCAAGGCGATCATGGAGATCCGTGGCAGACTAACGCCAAAGTTATTCAAGCGTGGTCAGCTGGCCGGCGTTCACTTCGACGATATGGGTCAATTCGTCAGCGTCGAGCGCGACAAGGTTCTCAACAAGGTATGTTCCGGCTTATTTCTGTTTATGTTGTTGTTTTTCTACCATCTCCCTTCCCTTGTCACAATATCCAAGCGCCGTCCACGTTTCCCGGACCTTCTGTGCATGGTCTCTTCTATTTTTCTATTTTTGAGACAACGGACGAGGGTGTGTATGGGGGCCGTTGGCTTAGGATTGGGGCTCTGCGAGCGTAAGCGCTTGGGTTGCATCCCTTACAGCAGAAGCGCCCAGACCTTTGTGGGGAGTGTCAGGTTCAGCCAACGTCATCCAGTCAACACCATTCTGGGGATTCTGGATCTGGACTTCCTCTGGGGGCCAGCCACCTGGGCAATACAGATGAGATGACCTCTCGGACTTTACGCCCGTCGGGTGGTCGCCCATCCGGCCGGATCCACTGCCAACCTCCCAACTCCGCATCTCGGCTCCTACCTGGCATGCCAACATCCCTTGCATGTTATTGTTGTCCTTGTTGTTGTTGATGCGACGACACCTGCAGCTCATTCATCCAAACCCTTGCTTAGACTAGACGGGGACCAAGCGCCCAGCCCCGTCCATCGTTCTCACATGCCCCCCGGTGTTTGCTTGATTTAGAAGCATGTTGGATCAATTGCTAACCCATGTTCACTTACAGACTGCTGTTAGGACCCTTTCCATGATCAAACCCACACGCGATCTAAGGACTCGACTCATGGCTGCGTCAGGGGGGATGAATGATGCCGAAACCAGAGATTTGAACCACTTCATCGACCTTTTGGAGCACTGCCTGACGCTCAACCCAGACAAGCGCATCAAGCCAGCAGATGCACTGCGACATCCCTTCTTCACGTCACGGGCGGGGACATCACGGCGGTAACAAGCTGCAAGGGGGAAGGGTTACGACTGGTGTGAGGATAGCTGGATCAAAGGTGTCTGACTTGGCCCTTGAAACAACGTATGCCTAGTTGGTGGATCGCTTGAGACCAGGTTGGAGGAGCTCTAGACCTTGGGTAGAACATATTAGAAACAGGAGTCATTGGTCTACATTGGTACATTCATGAGCATCGGGTTCGATTTCCCGAGGCTGCCATAATACTTGGGCGAACTCTAAACATTCTGACGGCGATATTGGTGCATTTTCCGTTAGCACTTGGACTAGAACCTTAGGCACCTATGCCGTAATGACGATGTCACAGACACATGTATTGATCCATGCGTGTACATGGTGTATTGAATCTGACACTGTCATGCCAGGTCATGCCCCGTTGCAATTCTTGGTTGAACCAGCGATGTGGTGAGTCCGCATAGGCCAGTGTACATCCAGCACGCCTTGTTAGTCGTGAAAAGCATCATTACCTTGGGTTCGTTCCCCAGTCAGCTGTGACAGGAATAGTTCATCCCATGTCATCTTCATACCCGTTGGATCCGCCCGGCTGCGCCGCAACGGCAGGCTCCAGCCCGGAGGCGATGTTGTTGGGAGGATTCAACCATGCGACTGACTCTCAGGCCTCGGTCCCGACGGATGACTACCAGCGCGTGTCAGTGCTTGTTGATTTACGACTAACATTGTTGTGATGACGAGGCAGATAATGAAGCCGAGGCCAGCCTCGTTGTCCCGAGCGAGCTGGTTGCCTTTGTCGTAGGTATCCGTAATGTGGACCCCGAAGAGGCAACAATAGGGCCGCACAGCCGTATTTCAATACGCCGGGCGAGAAGGGAGTCATCCAGTGGCGAGGGGATGTGTCAACAAGGGCCGGCGCATGCTGGGGCAGTGGGCGCGTGGCAGGGCGGGCATCGAAGGTTCCAGTTGCACGTCTGCTTGCTTGTTTGTCGGGTAGACGTACGTTGCTTTGTGGAAGGGATGGAGACGCAAGGAGCCGTGGGGCGGGAGACTATAGCCGGGTTGATGGTGAGGCGCGAGGATAGACAAATGCGGTTGGGGGGGTTGGATGGCAAACGCCGTGTGAGTCAGTACTGAGCTGCAGCGCCTCGCAAGACATGATGCCATCACGGCCTTTGTTTCTGATCAGGCGTGAATCGTGCCCACAGTACGAAACAGCCTTCCCGCCGTGGCACAACCACGGCACAAGCAAGCACGCAAGCCCCGCCCCGTCTGTGGTTGTGCATCTACGAATATGTGCCCGTGTGCTCTGTGTCACCCGGTACAACACGCCTCCCCCGAGCCCGGGGCAATCGCGACAACTCCGAAGTATTCCTCGCCTCTTTTCGCGGGACGAACGGGAAAAACAAGGCTAGCGATTTTTTTGTTTCCCTCCCGTGGTCAGACTCAGCGCGGTGGCGGCGGTCCGTCGGAGGAACGCCTCGTGTTGCGAAGGGTGGTTGGGGGAAAGGGAAGCCTAGGACTGGGAGGCTGAGACAGATTTGGTGGCTTGCCTTGGTGGTGAGTGAGGGTCGCGGGATGAGACAAACGCCAGGCGAGACAAGATAGGCCGAGACAAGCAAGCCAGCCTGTCTTTCCCATGTGAGGCTTGTCCAACTAGTCTAGTGAGCTGCAGTGTGCTGGGCGAGTTCACCAGCCATCTTGTGATGTGGGTTTCTGTTCGTTGCTTTCTTTTGTGAGAAACGCCATCTATCACACCGACTGGTTGGCTTGTTGGAGGCTTGCTTCGCATACAGGCTTGCATTCTAACTTGTACGAGGATGTGACTATCAAACCACGGCTCTTCACTCCCCCTCCTTCTCAACCAAGGATGAAAAAAAGAAAATACGTCGCATCAGAAACAACGCCGCGCATAGTAGACTGTTCGCTGTCAAACTAGGCTGATATGTAGGGAGCCTGCAGGGTAAGGCGGCAGCAGAAACAAGAAGCAACGACTATATCCACCGAGACAATGCGCTGGCACAACGACAACCAGCAGAACCGAGCTGGCAGCACAGACACGCCCCCGCTTCGGAGCTGTCAATCGTAGATGCAGATGCAGATGCACACGAGAGGCGGGAAAAAGACACAGCAGCAGGATGGGTCGATAGGCTCAGGGCGCATTTCGTAAGAGAAATGCCCGTAGCTCGCTCTGGCGACCTATGCAGCTCCCCGGCGAGTTTTGACCTGTTGCCTCTCCCGGCGTGGTGCATCGCAGCCCAGCCCAGCGGCAAAGCGGGCGCCGCAGAGTCACAGAAGAAACATGACGACTCAATTCTCAGAAACTCGCGGCTTCCGTTACGAAAAGGCCTCTCTGTTGGCTGCGAGCACGCCCGTAACCATCCTGCAACCCCGTCCGTGTCGCACGTAGAGTGCCCCACGCCCGTCACAATCTGAATCAGTCGCCACTCGATCAGCACCCAAAACAGCTTCCGAAATAAGCAAATATACTAGTGCTAGCATCCGTCTATCTACGTATCTACGTACCGAGAACAAAAAAAGAAAGCAATAAAACGTTTCCCGGGGATCCCATGCCCATGCCCTCTTCCTCCACCGTTTCCGCAGGCCCGTGACAACCCTGGGAAGCAAGTTGTCGTTGCTTGCTTTGTGCCCGCAGTGCAGTTCGCCAGTAGGGTCCGGGCGCGCAAAAAGCAACTACACAGCCTCACTCTTGGCGCCGATTTCCCTATTTTCGATTTTTGATTACTTTTTTTTTTTTTTCCCTTCCTCCACTCTGTCACTTTTCTTTTTTTTTCTGGTCCGCGACGCAACTCTGCGGAGCCCGGCTTTGGGCTGCCATGGGGGCGCGCGAAATAATGGGGTTGGCTCCTCTCTTGGGCGAGCACGGAACGGGGGCTGCTCTGCTGGGCGCGAAATGAACACACGCCGTGAGTGAGATTTGTTCCGTTCAGCTGGAGTAGCCGTAATAAAATTTCCATGTATGTGCCGAACGTGACATGCGTGTGTGAGGATATCCCGACACGGGAAAATCATGGCTGATGAAAGGGACCGTGCAGTGCAGCCCAGCTTGCAAGCCACCCCAGCGCTTCGGGCGGTTCGGAGGCCGGGGTTTGCGTGTTTGAGGTAGAGTGAGGCGCTCGAGGACGAGGAAATGACGACAAAGGCGTCTTGGACAGAATGGTGCCGTCGTTCTGTGCCGTCGTGGTCAATAGCGGCGTGCGGCTGGGCCTGGTTCAGGAGGTGAGGATCATCGTGTCTCGCGTTGAGGCTTGACGGCGATCCGAGGTGAGCACACGCCCGGCGTTACGAACTCTACGTAACCGCTTCACAGGGATAGTATTTCGCCTTGATAGTGCTCATGGGTGCGAGGCGAGAGGTGTCTTGTCTTGTGTTTGTTGGGTCGATCATAGAGGATCCCCTAGAGTGCTAAGTTATGCCCTGCGTAACTCATGCTGTCATGGCATGGACAATCGCACATCCGCTGGCTCAGCTTGCCTGCCTCACTGGCCGATCCCCCTCCCCCAGCGACCCCCATCCATGCCTCCATGCCATCATACCCCGTCACCATGTTCGATTTCACCAGCCGGGATGATGGCACTTGAACGACCGGTACCACCACGCAACACGATCGCCCCCGTCCGTGTCCGTCACCGTGGGCTCCACGCACTGCGTATTGTCCTGGAAGGTGAAGTTGCCCCAGTGGCGCCCGTCGCAGTCCGGGCCCGTCCACACGGTGCACACGACGCGGCTGTCGTGGTCCATGTCGGGGTCCCACACGCGCATCGACCGGCTGGGCTGCGAAATCGTGTAGCAGGTCTTGTCCTCGACGTCCTTGCGCGTGTATTCGTAGCAGTATTTGTGCGCCGCGCGGTCACAGGGGCAGTTGCTGTTCTTGACGACGGTCGAGTTGTAGCGCTGGGCTGTTGATAGCGCAGTGAGGGTGGTGAGGATGATGGCGACGACGCCGTGAATGCGTAGGCCTTTCATTTTGGATATTGATTAGATGGAGGCAATTGGAAGACTCTGATGTTTGGGAACAGGGTAATTGTTCACAGTATTACATTTCGAACGTAGCCATCCTGACCTTGTTGACTTACACAGACGTCAAAGTTTTCTGTGAGGGCTCAAACGCAGTATCACGCACACTGCCCGTAGCGGTCCCATGGCTTCTACTAACTCTACAGCAGCCTACGATAGCCGACTGTCCTACTCCCAACCTCACACAGAACATAGATTAAGCGCATCATAGATCGCGTTCAATACAATAAACTACAAGTCACAGAGCGCAAGAGTCCAGGGTAGTTTCGCTCGTCCTCCGTGTGCCAGCGCCGGGACGGCCCCGAGTGGAGTCTCCACCAGGGAGCGCTCGGCGTGACGGATCAGGAGACGTCCGGTCTCTGCCGTCCTCGTGCCCGGCGCGCGCCCTGCTTCTCACGCACAGCCCATGCCACAATGCTGGGACGCACCAGACACAGAGCCAGCGGGCTACTGTCGGTAGAGGGCCTCTGGAGGCGCCCGTGACTGGCTGGACGCGGGAAACTCCTCACCCAAGGTGACGTTGGATCGTCCCACGCAACTGATACCACCCCTCGCCTCGTCGGCCTCGGCAGACGTCGCAGGCGCCCCCAGCCCGCTGCGCTGTCCACCAACGAATCGTCGGCTTGGCTACACAGTGGCGTTGATTTTAGCAGTCCCAAAGCACTTCAGGCGCCCCGGATGCCCTTCCCGCGACCAGCACGCTGCGCGCCTGCGCCGTTAGTGGCCCCGATCGTCTGCTAGACTTCGGCCGCGGCGAGAGCGTTTCGCGGGAGACTCCATCGCCAAAACGCCATGCGACGAACATGTGGTCTTGTTGGCCCCGGATTTGCAGCGCTGGGCGTCTCCGATGGCACGCGCTATTGCACTGGTCGAGCGCTGGGCGAGGCCCCCGAGAGGTCGACGTTGACGTGCCGGCGGGGTTCCCACGGTTCCTGGTCCATGGCCTCAGGAGCCGTCGAGCCAATGCCGGGTCTTCGTGGCCTCCCTTGCGTCGACGCTGCATGCGATATGGGCAATGCTGCCAGGCGGTGAATCTGCGAGGAGGCATTTACAGCTTGCGTCGGGGGCATGGGATGCCGACGGACGTTGATGCTGATCGGCCCATCACGAAACGTGCGCCATCCTTGCTTGACGAACTAGTTTGAGCTTGAAGCCATCGGCGAATCGCGAGCTGGAAGGCGTAAGTTTGACTCCAGGGGGCGGCGGCTGTGGTGGGAAGACGACTCCTCTATCGATCCATCACGCATGAAGTATACATGAGAAGAATGACGGTGAGCCGGTTTGAAGAGAGTCTCGGGCACGGGTTCCCGCACTGTCTCGGACCACGGGCACGTCCGAGCTTGGGGGACTACGGGTTGTTTCTCTGCCAGATCCCAGGCGGGACACTTGGGAGATGGGTTGATCTGGGCTGGGGAACGCCAGATGGGTTGGGGAAAGCAGGCGATCTTGCTGTGTATCAGGCTTGCGCTGGCCTCTATTGGATCCGGTGACACTTGTTGCTAACCCCAGGCAAGCCCAGTTGCGACATTGTGGTGGCGGGAGGGGAGTTGATGGTGTGCTCGGGGCCTTTCAACCCCGTTTCTCTGCCTCAGCTCCCCTTCCGATCGAGGTTACGGGCTCGATGAGTGCAGTTGGCGTTGGTCGTGTGCCGCTGGGTGGACTGTGCGAAGCCAGTGCCGGCTGACAGCTTTCACGGTTCGCAAGTCGGCCACGGACGCAGCATGACTCAAGGACTATACTATTTAGGGTAGGTTTACCAAAGTTGCGCAAGTTGCGAGATAGCTAGAGCTGATCCCTATTGGGCCAGACAGTTGGCCATCTTCACCGTTTCTCTCAGCGCGCATCTGCAAGATGCCCTGGAACGGATTATCACCAACCTCATCTATCACGGATGCAGGCCGTGGCCAATGGGAGCCCGCCGATGCACCCACCTCCGGCTCTGGACGGATGGGCCGGCCAAGACGGAGGTGGAGGCCACGGTCGAATCAGAAGACGAAGGCGGCTGCCGTCTTGCAGGTGTGGAGAGGGCACGTGAAGGTCACCGGTCAGCCACAGCGAGCAGGATTTCTGACGGAGTGCGCCTGTGATTATCAGCCCATGCATGAACTGAATCAACTCGTGTTTGGTGGGTTGCTTCAGGTAGTGGGCGTCACAGTTGGAGGGTGGGAATGGGATCTGCTAGCGGCCTGCGGCAGGTGGACGGGACGGGGACTGACTGGTCCTGGCTGGATGTAAGTGTACGAGGTAGAGAGATTGGATGGATGGGCGAGCGGGGGATCGCGATGGCGCGGATCCAAGTCGGATTCAAGTTCTGAGGCGGGCAGTCGAGGCCACCCAGAACTGCAGAACGAACGCCGTGCCTCAGTTAGAGTGTGTGTGATCGACGCCCCAGACTGGAGGGAGATTGAGATGGGTTCTGGTGTGAGGCACTTTCGTAGCAGGGGAGTCAGTGCGGACTTGCAGAGGCGACCCTGGCGACTGGCGAGGCGCCAGAAGGCGAAGAACAGCAAGGCAGGCCTTGTTCCTGGCGGGTCATCAATCAAGGTCAATCAAGAACCATCAATAATCCCTGGGAATAATCCCTGGGGATTGCTGATGGGCCGCCCAAGGATATGCCCTGGGGTGCGGCCATGGGAGCGGCATGGGAGCCCTGAAGCGAGCGATGGGGCACTGGAGCACTGGAGCACTGGCACAGGGCATTGGTATTGGCATGGGGCCTCGCCGCATGGCGTCTGCATGGACGTCCAGGGTCGTAGCGACTGTAGGCAGGGCCGTTGGTCTCGTTTCCCTGGTGGTGGAGTTCTTTCAACGTCGACGGCTTGTTATTGTTGTTGGCCTGTGTCTGTGACTGTGACGTTGGGCGCAGGTACTTTGTCCTCTTTGGAGAGATCGAAGCGCCAGCCCCGAAGCGGCTAGCCACACCCGTGATTTGACATGCCACCCATGCATCACCACTTCAGCCGTCACGCACCGTTGACTGCAGCACAAATTGGCACCGTTCAGCACCGCACCGTCAATGCAGGGCTTGTTGTTGCATGTTCCGTCCAGCCAGCGGTCTCGCCAGCGTCCAGCCAGCGTCTAGTGGGTGCGCCTGGCGCTGTGCGTGGGTGCTTTGGTGCTGGGAATACCGGGCTGACCGCCATTCTGGCCCAGCAAACATTGCATGTTAGAGCGTCGTCGCTGAGACTGGGGCGTCCGCGATATGCGTTTCTCACATCATGACCCGTCCAAACGCCCGTCGCTTGTCCACACAGCGTCTGCCCGGATGAAACCGTGTCTCGGGGCTCGCTCCCTTCCGCGGGTCGCTGGCGCCGTGTGGGATTCTTTCACGGCGGAACAGGCGGTGCACGAGAGACAATCCTGCGGCGAGGAGCGTCTGCAAACAGAGGCCGTTGCAGCGCCGTGTGTGTTGCCAGCAAAGGCCCATCAAGCAAGGGAGCACAGCATCACGCGATGAACCGGGCCCCGTGGTTGGACAGCGAAGAGACAACAGATGAGACATATGAGACATGAGACATGAGAGACATGCCCGCCATACCCATTTGCCCATCACGCTCAATGTGCAATGCCCGTCCTAGAATACCGGATACGCATCTAATACGCCCACCTACACACCACAACTGGTATGCCATGGTGTTGTCCCCAGGCGGGTCGCTGGAGGTGGAATGTGCGCGTGCGGCCAGGTGAGTGAACCACCACGCCGTCAACGGGCAGAGAGATTGGCAGTGTGACAGCAAAGTGGACGATAACGGGCGCATTCCCCCCTGGCCGACAGCCCTGTCCGTCCTGTCCATTGGCCGCCTCCTCTGCAGCCGGTTGCTCGTTGACAGCCTCACTCTGCTGGCTCTCGGGCCTGCCTGTCCTGGCGACGTGGGATGGACGCACGCTCACACACTGACCGTCACACTCTCACACACACAAATGCACCTCACTGTGAGCAGCAGGCTGCTGGGTAGCACTGCGCCTGCTGCGACAGGGAACAAGTGTCTTCGGCCCGGCATCAGGCCCCAATCAGAACAACACCAGGGCTGCAGCCGTCTCTTTTCAGCAACCCAACGCCTAGTGCCGGCCCTCCATGCATATAGCATCGTACCCAGTACGTACACAGTCACAGGGACTGAGTGGTTAGTGGGGGACTTTCAACGCTACTTTCTGCAAGGTATGTAGTCACCGCTACGTGGTGAATCAATACTTGGACCATTGAACCGGCACTGGCGATGCTCCCAACTGTTTGTACCGCGTCTAACACTCGCTGTCCCTGCAGGCCATATGTTGGCCTCGGCCAGCCCTGCAACCGCTGCAACAACTTGGACCACGTTTGATGCCATCAGTGGAATCCATGTTGGCAGATGGCTGGCCTCGATCGTCGAGGCCAAGTAAGTTGGCACCCAGACGGGCGGCTGTTTTGTTTGTCGTGAGGCCACGGAATCTGACATCCCAGCCTCGCTTGCCGCCTACAACGTCAAACATATGGGGAACTGCTTTCTATCTGCCTAGAGGCGAGATGACAGCCGCCTTGCCTGTGCAAACCAACAACCCCAGACGCTTCTTCCGTCAGCCTAGGTATATCGCTCGGCTTATACCAACCAACGCCCCATATGCAACCCAGGCCTAGACTGGGCCTCACATTTAGAAATGGAACTGCATAATTGTCCAGCCACTGGGATGCCTCAGAATGCTCAACTCGATACATAGTACTCCATACTCCGTATGTCGATCCCACCGCCCGACCTTTTGCATAACTCCTGGCATGCCGGTTTATTGGGTGTGGATGGTCAGACATAAACACACGTCTGGCATCGATCGGTACGCTCCAGTGCCTGTCCACTTGGCCATGCGCTCTAGTCCCGAGAGGGATGCATCCTGCCAACACGTCTCTCGTCGTTGAATGCTAACTGGGCGGGCGGCCAGTGCTATCGCTGATCGACAACCCCAACCGCCTGCAGTAGTGGTGCCAGTTCACTTCAGCCCTTGCTGGGCCAAACACTTGAGTCGAGTAGCTTCTGCAGCAGGCAGGATGGCTGGGCAGTCCAACCTAACAGTGCAGCGGCCAAGAGCCACAGGCTTTGGCTGATACGTCCAGAGAGACACAGAATAGAGGGTCTCAAAGGGACCCAACTCAATGACTTCATGCATTCCGGCCGGTCCGCACACAACACGTCGCCAAGCGCCACGGACGGCCGTCAGTTCACCACCCAATGAATGAGTGGTGCACTGCCGGTTTCCTTTTGTTCGTCGAGGAATTCCAGCGAGCAAGGTAGGTTTGGCTTTGGGGGCAGTGGCCGGCCAAAGCATGTGTACGAAGGTACGGCCGGACTGCCTCCACACCAAACTCTGTCGTTGTCCATCATGTCTCATCTCGTCTTGCGCCGGCTCCCGATGATGATAGGTCCGATGCTACCCCTTCTTGGGGCGCCCGGGAATAGACAAGACGCGGAGGCGAAAAGTCAGAAGACGGACATCGGAGGAAAAAAAAACGCGACCGTCATGGGGGCTGTCGATTATGACGATTCGCCCGACGGTGGGGAGAGGCAGCAGGCAGAACGGAGAGCTGAGGCCGGACGGGCCGCCAGGAGGAGCGCACAAGGACACGCAACACACGGGACACAGTGGGTGACTGGACGCACTGGAGACACAGGCTGGACAGGCTGGACAGGCTGGGGAGCGGAAGGGTGTCAGCAGAACACACAGAGGCTGCTGGCTGGCTGGCTGTCCCGTCGTGTCCTGCCCGCAACCGAACCTCCGCCCCATCGCCATGGATCAGCACCACCACGGGCCGTCACTGGGCGATGACTGGCTGTGAGTCCTCTCGAGTGGACAAGATACAGTGGCCTGCGAGTGGGCCGATGGATGGCGTTAGTGCTGAGGGGAGAAGGGCCTGGCCTGACTTGCTGGAGGCAGTGACACAGCGAACCACTTTATTTGGTGTGTCAGACTACCTTCGGATCCTTGCCTCTCGTATATTGCTCAGCGTCACCACGCCGCCATCCCTGCGGGACTAGTCGACGCTTCTCGACGCCCCTCGACGCCCCTCGACGCCCCCCTGGACCCTCATGGAGTCGGCGTGGACGCCCTGGATGTCCTGGGACGCCCCCAGGAAGGCGAACCTTAAGCTGGCGCCGCTCTCCGCTCCCACAGCACAGACAAGAATAGCCGGCGCATTAACACACGCTGGCCAAGACAAGGCCCCATGTCACTAATCTCTCCAACCGGACCGGGGTCTGCTGAAGCCGGTGGATCCCTGGTGTGGTCCTGACCGTCTTGGTGTGGGTTGCTCCACGCAATCCAAGCCCGAGGCGTGTCGAGTACGTACCGTGACGCACCCTGTCCTCGCCCGCCTCGCCTTGTCCCCATCACAGCCTGTTCGGGGGCTGATATCTACCTTACATTCGCCCACCCTCCGGATGATGCGCTCTGAGGGACCTCATCACCGCTTTCACGACACTCCTTCCGAACTCCTTTTCCATCCGCCGGTCTGCACCCGCAGTCGTCAACCCTTAGGTCCTCTTCGTCACTCTATCCTCCCATCTCCTGTTTGTCCTTTGCCGGAACTCCCGACTTTGCGACAAATTGACCTGGACGGCGACAATCCCAAAAAGAAATATCCCCCAAAAACCCTTGCCGCGCTGCTTATCTCGACCCGTTGATTCGGCCCTCGGGACCTCTTACACGACAACCTCTTCTCTCAACCCCACACCAACAACCCAACTCGCTCCGCAGGATATTTTTCTTCTTCGAACCGTTGGAAAACTTGGATTGGATCAGGATCCTTTGTCCCGTGGAAAATACCCTTTTCCTCTTTCCTTTTCTCTTTGTGATCCGTTTGATATCCCATCATCTGGCCCGGACCAACCCCAAGACACCCCGTTAGGACCTCTTTTGGATATCAACCGCATAACATGCAGCATCATGCCCCCTTCGGTTACGCAACCCCTCCGGCCTCCCCTGGTTTCGACAATCCCAAGTGCGCCATCCAACAACCCTATGCCGCACCACGACACTTCCAGACCCGATGCATTCCCCTCGCCCCAGAGGAGAGACTAGGCCGCCTGCTTGAGGGCAAGCTCCAGTTGACGGACATCCTTGGAACCGGCGCGTATGGCGTCGTCTACCTGGCCGTCGACATCAAGACCGGACAAAAGTACGCCGTGAAGTGCCTCAGCAAGTTCAACCCCGATGGAACTCCCTTGGAACCCCGCCAGTGTGCCTACCAACAACGCGAGATCCGTCTTCACTACCAGGCGTCCACACATTCCAATGTCGTGCAGATGCTTAAGATCGTGAGTGATCCCGACTGCATCTATGTTATTCTCGAGTACTGCCCCGAAGGGGACCTATTCTTGAACATCACAGAGCGCGGTCAATACGTTGGTAAGGATGAGCTCTCCAGGAACATTTTCCTCCAGATCCTGGATGCCGTGGAGCACTGCCACAACCTGGGAATCTACCACAGGGATCTCAAGCCGGAGAACATCTTGGTGACCAACCATGGAGACACCGTCAAGCTGGCCGACTTTGGTCTCGCCACCTCAGAAGACCGCTCCGAGGATTATGGATGCGGATCAACCTTCTACATGAGTCCAGGTATATTTCACTCTTCCCTTTCTCTGAATCAATTCTCTCTCCCTGCCCATGACAACAACTAACGGTTCCTTTTCCTTTTCCTTCAGAATGTCTGGACCCCTCCACCAGGAAGCCATACTACATGTGCGCCCCCAATGATGTCTGGTCCCTGGGAGTGATCCTCGTCAACCTCACGTGTGGACGCAACCCATGGAAACAGGCTTCCTTCCAGGATTCCACGTACCGGGCCTATGCCGGTTCCAAGGATTTCCTCAAGACCATCCTCCCGTTGTCGGAAGAACTGAACGACATTCTGGGCCGGATCTTCAACCCCATCCCCGAGCAGCGGATCACTCTTCCTGAGCTCCGAACCAGGATCATGGCCTGCTCTCAATTCACGGTGCCGCCGATGTCGACCATCGCGCCCCCGACACCCCCGGCTTCGCCCGACCACATTATCCAATACGTTGACCACGAGGATGCCATCCTCGACGACTACGAGTACGACTCCCCTCTCTCTCCTGCCTCGTCAGACGACGAGGGCTCCCTCACATCGAGCGGATCTACCATCGACGACCTTGACGACGATGATTTCCTCCAGGACCAGCAGCCGGACTACACGCACACTTACGACCCAGAGGAACCCCGGGAACAGCTCATCTACCACAGCCAGGAATTCGTGCCGCAGAAATACTCCGGACCCGTTCCTGTCCCCGTGTCCATGGTGGTTCCTACCCAACCCATGCACTGTTCCCAGGTTCCCGTACCGGTCCAAATCCAAGTTCAGGCGCCCATTCCTGTCCAGGCTCCATGCCACCCCAAATCCTACTTCCCTATCTGGGATATGGTAAAATACGTTCAACAGGTGCCGATGCTTCAGCACCATGTTCCCTTCCACCAGCAGGTTCCCTTCATGCCAACGTTCCAAGGCTGCTATTAGAGCCCCATTTACAATATCATTCATGTCTTGAAGGAGATATCGTCTGTTTGTTCTTGAGTCTCGGCGCATCCCGGAATCTTTTTTTCTACCTGGATGAAACTACCCTTACCCAAGGCAAACACCAAAAAGCCGAGGACCACCCTTGGATTCTTTATCACTTCTTTGGACACCACTACTCGACGTTTTTAATCATCTCGACCCTTGGGCACATATTACCCGACCCAAGGATACCATGCCACACACATCTGGATTTGCACCTCACCCAAAAAAGGCCGTGCCAGGATCACGCCAAACACTTTACGAACCACGAAATGAAAGTCCGGGACTAAGGTTCACTTCGACCCTGTGTATCTATTCACGCCAACCTGCCTTTTTTGGATTGGATGTCTGATTTTTTATTTTGCTTTGTCATTGTTTTTACTTCTTTTTAAAAGCGTGGAGTTTTGCCAGGATTATGAGGAAGGGCAAGAACCAGTTCTTGTAGAAGCATGAAGTATGGCGCAGTTGAAACTGGGGAGACTTTTCGCAAAGATTCTGGAGACGGAGTTTTTTTATTTTATTTTACCCCCTCTACACCACACAACACACCCTCGAAACCTCTGGCTTTCTTGCTTCTATTCTTCGCTCCCCTTGTTGGGGTTCACATGAGCTTGGGATGGAAACCCTTGAGACGAAAAAACAAAACATGTTTTAATCAAACCACCCTTTGTGGAGGCACACCTCTTTCAAATAGACGGAGGAATTTGGCCGAGACGTTCGCTTGGTCAGGAGCAAAGATACCTACCCCTTTTCTCTCTTTTATTACCCTTTTTACGACGAACAGGAAATGGTCTCTGTGGGAAAATGGACCTGGATAGTTGGTGTTTGAGAAGATTAGAGCGAGAGGATGGCTCGATAGCCAACGCGCTGAAGAATGCGCACCCCCCCAATACGTTTAGGAATGACGGCAGCTGGCTTTGAGCCGCTCTAGCCGATCAATGAATGACAAGAATCGACAACCGTTTAACGTGCCTTCTGCCATGTGCTTGCTACGCTTTTGCTTCATTCCATTGACTACCTGCTACTTGCTACTTGTTCCATTTGGTACCAAGTGTTGTACTAGGCTGTTACATAGACTGTTGGCTGCAGCATCTACTCTAGCTCATTTGTGACAGTAGTATAGCGGTACTTGGTACTATAGTCTATGCTGCCAGTCGGAGACGGACCACACGTCCCCGGAATGGCCGGCCGTGGGAATGGAGCCCTTCCCAAAAGGCCCGGATGCAGTCCAACGCTGCACGTCTCCTGAGCTAGCTCGCTCAATGGTCCATCGAAGCTCACCTAGCGAGGCGCCGAGAACGAAAGAGAGGACTACTGCACAACCCGCGCACCCGATAGCGCCGATAGTTTCCTCTGGGCTCTCTCTGTCTCCCCACTCTGGGCTCCCGCGGCGAGATTGGCCACACGACTCCACTCGGCTCAATGCGACGCTGCGGGTGCGAGAGGGAAAAAAAAGAAAAAACAGGGCGAGCAGTGGCGCTGCGCCGCGAGGCCAATGGGGCGCGGCCTTGGACGGGGACAGGGCGGACGGCATGCGTTAGCGGGGAGCGATGGGCTGGGTTTGGGGCCGGGGGCTGGAATGGGCTTTGGGACGGTGGGTGGAGAAGAGAGAAGAGGAGTGTGCGTGAGAGAGAGAGTTGGTGATGGTGATTGTGGTGGTGGTGGGAGCGGTAGTGGTGATAGTGGGAGCGGCAGTGTAGTGGTGGTGGTGGGAGCAAATTAACTGGTACACAGCGAGGGGAAAGAGGGAAAGAAGGGTAGCGTGATGGGACCTCGCCTTGGGGGAAAAGGATCTTTGGGCTGATGGCGTCTTGGCTGATCTGTTGATCCCGTTCGTTGGTCGTCGTCTTGAATGACGGATGACGGATGGTGTTGAAAGCGGAACCCGCAGCCAGATGGACGGCCGCAGCCAAGTGGACGGCCGCATGACGGGCTGATACACATTTCACCATCGCGATGCATCTCTGGCGTATTCTGCCTTCCCCCAGGCTGGCTACCGACTGGTCAAAGATACCGGTGAGATGGGCTGGTGGTCCTCCTTACATGACGACGCCTGTTGGGAGAGAGTCAAAAAACAAGAAGCGAGACACACTTCGGATAACGACTATCTGCTGCGTGGCGGACGCCCCCGTCATTCGCAGGTGATATGCAAGCACTTTCTTGCAGAAGAATGAGGAAGAAACAAGAATTGGCTTGGCCTTCACCGCAACAACAAGCAATAATCCCACCGCGTGTTCCCCTATGTCTCAGTCCTTTTCCACGTTTTCTCCTTGGCAAGGAGAATCTTGGGCTTGAAAGCGGGTGGGTCACGCAGCGCCGCCCGGGGGGGGGGGCTGGCTGAAGATGAGATTTGGGAGAGAGGGCGGAGCAAATCAACTCGCAGAAGCAGGGCGAGCACATGGCTTGCGGTGATTGATTTCGACTCGTTTGCTTCTTAGTGAGTGGCTTGGGCGGCCGTGCGGGAAGCTTGGTTGACGTTATCCGGGAGGCAGAATTGCGTAGTGCAAGAGTGTACGGAGTGTAGCATCGTCTATCGTAAGCGGGCTTCGTTTCCGCATTCCTGGAGTGTTTTGGCTTTCCGTGGCCACGAGCACTACACGCTCGCAAGCCACGAGCTCCCAGAGACAGTGAGAGAAAGAGAGAGAGACTTCCCTTGATCTTCTTACCCAACCCAATCCTGTCAAGCCCACCAGGCCGTCGCCACGTATGGCCGCCATGCACCACCATCCCACCGCGGAGGCATCCCGCTACTGCACCACACCAACCCTCTCCTACACAGTACGTCTCTACTGCAGTGACTGAGTCTTCTGATTCCTCAGGTCCTTAGTCACCCCCGTGGCTTGGGGACCCCGCTTGCGCCCGCGGGCTATGCGGGAAGAATGGGGGCCAGCCAACTGGGCTTCGTCTCTAACCATCCCATCCCATCCCATCCGTTTTGACAACTCCACTCCATCGAGGAGTCTGGATCGCGGCCCAGAGCTGGGCGCTGCGTCTGTGCGCGCCGCCTAGAGACGCCAGGCTGCCGATCACAGTTCGGGGCGAGGGAGGGCATGTGGGCGTGCGGCACAGCGTGGCCCGGATGGCGGCCATGATGGGGCGTGATCCGACGGACGACGGAGGTGGGTTGGGGGAGTAGGGGAGGAGGACAGAAGAAGAATGGGCCAAGCTGGAATGTTGGCTGAAATGTTGGCTGGGTTGAGATGGCTATCAATAGCCATGGCTCTTTTCACACATGCTTTCTCGCTTCCAGCTTGACGCGTGGCGGCCCAGATTGTGATGCCAAGATTGGACAATATCCCACGATAGAGTTGGAACTTGAGCTGTCACATCATCAGCCAAACGCGTGGGATTCATGGCAACATGGGACCCCAATCTTATTCCCTGAAGCCTGGAGCTGGAGCTGGAGCCTGTTGCCAAAAAGCCAATCCCGTCAGCACTCAGCAGCCACACATCGACAAGTCAGTTATCAGTCATTACCGTAGCTCTGAGAAACCCAGGTAGGTTAGACTTTCTACCCAGGCTCTCAGACTCGGTCCGAGCAATAGTTCGTGGGCACAAGTAACTTCATCGGATGGCGCCGCGAATGCTGAAGCCACCACGCGGTGTCACTTGGAAGCGAAACCTTGCCATTCCCATTCATTTGTCGCTTGTTTCTAGAAACGGCGTGGGATGCGTGAGTTTCGGCGGCTGACGGAACTGTCTGCCTCTGAAACAAGCCTTGCATCCGACCAGATATGCTGATGCATTGTTCGCATCTCAGACTGCCACACGCCTTGGCTGACGTCGCTGGCCATGACGTCGCTGGCGCTAGGAGAGTTTTTGCACACGCGAGACACAATACGTAGATGAAAGTCGATAGTTTAGCTGGTGGGGTTGCGAAATGGGTCCGAGGACGTGATAGCTGAGACTTCTCATCTTGGGCTGATTGGATCGTCGGGCATCGCCTATTGAGACATGGGCGGATGCCATCGACACGCACTAAAATTTAGAAGTTTCGAGATGCATCAAGACGAGACTATCGAGTCGGTAAAGGTTTTCCATTCTTTCTCTTGGGGGTGTCTACGGAGCAGAATGAGATATGCTGTTAGTGAAACGCAATCTCAGGTATTCGCGATGGAGGCAGACGCCGTGTCAACCTTGTCTTGGCCCACGAGCAATGTGACATGCAGAACGCGCTTCTCGGTATCGCGGAAAGTCTAAGCTGACCTCGGCGAAAATCACGTCACTGGGTTCGGGGATCTGTGTTGGCGTGATATACTTTTTGTCCTGTCAGTACTAGTACAGCGTGAGCTACTTGGTGTTTTGCAAAGTAAGTTGAGGTGGCGTTGAGAATAGAATGCAGCAGCAGTTAGTGGCAGTAATACCTGCAGAGGCCCAAAGACTCAGTGACCCAACTGTATGTTTAGATGATGAAGAGTAACCGTAAACCAATACGGTGCACCTGCGAGTTTGATCCAAGTCGAGTTGTAGAGGTGCATCTGGTATGAGAGTTCCGTTGAGAGGGACGTTTGTTACAAGAGGGACTCTCGAGATGACACCTAGTTTTCGTGACTCATGTGCGAGTCCAGTTCTTCGAGATTTGCGTCAGTGATACTTACCGGTGGCTCTATGAACAAATACCGAGCAGGAATATCATCAGGCCGTTATCCGAGGAATAAAAGAAGGCTGCAGTTACAGTTGAGAATCGTGGATGCTTGGGCTGCTGACTGAAACCACTCTGCTTGAGTCGAAGGCAAGTATACAAAATAGTGTTTGTCAATCCAGCATCCAAAAGAAGCCTTGTAGCGCTCTCCAAGTGCGAAGAATATTGATCAATACAATGCATCCAACTCAAACACCAACCATAGTCATGATTATTGGCCCTATTCAAGACTTGCTACCATATTCCCCAAGCACTGCATAACAGACACAAACACTTCCACTTGCCCTCTCGTAACTTCCTCATGTGATCTACTATCGTCCTGACCAAGATATCCTAAACACCCGTTGACAGCATCCCGATACTTTGGCCCAAACATGGATCTCTGTGCAGCTTTTCGAACCCCTACCAAGTCATCCGGCTCAAACCTCGTCCAGTGATCGATGGAAACGAGGAAAACGCCGAGACTGTACAATCCCACGTCTCCAACCCCGTGGTATAACAGCTCGTCTTCGCTTGCCGCAAGTAATTTGGGGTCATCGACCTTAGGAACAGGCTCCATTTCCTGGTGGTGCACCTTGCTCCGCTTGAATTTGGCTTTTAGATGCAGAGTATGAAGCCAAGTGCCTGGATCTTTCGAAGGTGACAGGACTGCGAAATCGTCAATCCGCCAACACTTCTTCAGCCAAGGCGTGCACTGAAACATAAAGGCTGCCTCTGCTACATTGAGAGCCAAGCTGAGGCGCTCTATCACAGAGAAATGAGTTCCATGTGAATTGTCGAATAAGTCCTTCAGAAAGAGAGTTCTCTTTGAGCGCTCAAGCTCACTGTATCTAAAGGACTTAATGAATGTATGCCGCCATGTTGAGTTCGTATCCAAGTATCCCAGGTAGCCGGAGTATCGGCCTTTGAAAGAGGGTTTCAGGTCGAGACAGGTCCTGTTGCAGTCCTCGCGATTATCTGGAACCAATGGAATGTCTCTAGATGTGACGGACGACAATGTGTTTGTGTTTGATGTTGAGTGGTCATACTTGGCACGCTTCATCGGAGGCTGTATCAATTCATCGCCATCCTCCCAAGATTCTAATGATGCTAAGTAAGTATCCTCCTCTTCATACTCTCGTTGAGATTCCACTTCGAGACTCTCTAGAGACATGTCAACGTCGGTTTTGCAGAGCATGGTTAATTTAAGTCGTGTGCAACTTGCACCGGGGATTTCCATGGGTCCTGGGAGCATTGAGCCTTTTGAGCGCCTTGGGAATCTTGGGAGTTTTGGAAGGCGTAAGCGCACCAATCGTGCTAGGTTGGGCACGTCCAGGGAGCCCATGAAGAGGTGTGCAACGTGCTGGATGTGGTCTTGTTGGCGGCATTGCCAAGCCCCGCAAATGCCGTGATACAGATCACTAGATGCAGATCTGATTGTTGGTATCTTGGTCAGAAGCTCCTCCACTTTGACCCGATCGATTGCTTCATCTCTGAGCGAAGCCGGCTTGTCGAGCCCCTGGATCTTTTCGCGGAGAGATGTGAGGTCTTGGATGAGTCCTCGAAGCTTCTTGTGCGTATCTTCCCACTCGGTCTCGATAAGCGTCAACTTTCCCCGTCTCTTGAGCCTGCGCATGGCGTCTTTGAGTCGCTCGCCCTGAAGCGGTTAGTTGATAGTGCTTCTCATTCGCTTGGGTATAACTCGTACCTCATTTGTTTCGGTGCAACGATCAATTGCTTCGCTTAGAACCCCTAGGAGCTCGCCCACATCTTCCACAAGGCCCATGTAGCCCTCATAGTTGGCTCCCAACCCACGTTGCACTTGGTCTTCGAACACGGGGTCTTCCCACTCCTTCCGATGCCCATCAGCTTTCATCAGCAGGATTATTTCGTCGTCGAAGGCGAAGCGCAAGAGGTAGTGGCACTCTAACTCGAACATCGACCTATTCAGATTGAGCCTCTTTCGCATCTGTTTCAAGGCTTTCGAATAGTGAACAAAAGTCTTGAGTTTCGAGTGGACTTGTCGGTAGGACTTGACAGCCAGCCCTATCAAGGGGACTACGCCCGCGACTCCCAGCGCAAGTTCGGCCATGGCGGGAGAATCGAAACTTGCAAAGGTTGAAGAAAACGGAGCGGCGCTGGAATTGAAAATAGATTGACCTCCTTCAGGGAGCCTGACGTGGGGGCTTTGATTGGTCTCTGCTGCACAGCCTTGTTTGTCAACCTGGGCTCGGCGCTTAAGTCAACAGATATTCCTTGGCGGCATGGAACCGGGGCTGAGGAGAGGCTTAGTCGACTTGCAGCCTGATTGCATCTCGTCTTGGTTTTCGCAAATTCTTGAGGATCTTTGCTTGCTTAACCTCTTGAAGGATCTTCTCAAAGTCACGCTGCATACCCATAACTACACGATCACTCATTTTTGCCAAGCTGAGAATGGAGCCAAACGAACCAACCCACCATGACAAAACTCCGCCAGCAGAGCCCGACACTTCCCACGAGCTTCGCGCACGTCGTTGGAAGTGTCCCGTCGCGAAGTGCACAGCCAAAGGGGAGAGCTGGAGCACCGAAATGGACAGAGACCTTCACGTCGACATCAAGCACCCAAACTTCTCGCTCAACCCTAGCGACAGAGACCGGCTCTCTAGCCCTGACGATCTACTGGACTATCCGAGCATTTTGCCGACTCGTTACAACCCTGGCAAAGTTGTGAATTATTCTCCCCCCCCCCTGAGGTCGACGGCAGTATACGAATCGAAGGCCATGACACTGAGCATGGCTATGCTCCAGGCTTCGCAGTACAGTTTATTGAGCCGACTCTGTTGGGGATGTATCTCGACAATGAAGCAAGTGTTGTATGAACCATCGTGGCGTAAAGAATTATCAGAAACTATCAGGATGAGACTTGATAAGAGTCGAAGCATATTAATCCTCTGGTCGGATGGACATGGTCTCGTGGAGGGTAACTTGAATGCCGTGATTGCCAAATTTCCACTTCTTCGCCGGAAATTGTCCGAGTTCTTGATTAGCATCGGAACTACCTTGTCTACAAGTATTGACCAATCGCGGGGATGGAGTATTAGCAGAATCACTAATTCTTTGCAGAAATACTACCGGCGCTTTGGCATGACTGCACGGTTCAAGGCAGACTTCTTCAGGCCCTGGCTGAAGAAGCCAAGGTAGTGGCCTACCAACCCATTGACCAGCTTACCGACAGCGATGATGAGGACGATGGAGATAGCGACGACGAAAGCGACGACGACAAGTGTTCAAATTCAGAACCCGATATGGATGGCTATGCTAGTGAGATAGAGGCAGACATTGAATGTCTCCTAGATCTTCAAACCTTCATCCGGACACCAAGACTCGAGCTAAGGACGACGACTGTAGAGGAATCTCTACCGCTGAAGTTTGAAAGCTTAGAAGATCCATCTGGCGTGTACCCCCCGATCTTCGTTGACTTAATTCAGCGCCGCTTCCCCAAAGCCCCTAGGTACATTGTCGACTGCTTGGCAACTGCCTTTACTAGCCGTCTGGGCAAACATCTTCGGTTGAGCCGTGGGAAGTCCCTGAGCAGGGAACAGATGTTGGGTGAAACTGATGAGGGCATGTTTGTGTCTGTCAAACTCCATTGTGATAACGATGGAGACCCGCGCATTCCATTATTTTTTCGTACCAAACCTCATACAAGAGCCCTGTGCACGATATGCAACAAAGTTGCCCCCTTGACTCCAAGCTTTGTTTGGGAGTAGGTTTTCTACTGATGATGACCCAGGAATCTGCTAATTAGATGATCAGGGCTCATGCTTTCAATGACATGAAAGTTTGGATTTGCCATGAGCAGGGTTGTAGCCGTGGTTCATCTTCTTTCGCAACAACAGTGGAGTGGGTAGCGCATCTGGAAACTGAACACGCGTATGGTACAGAATGGCCGTCAATTACTTGCACTTTCTGCGGTGAAGAAACAAAGAGTGGAAGGTCTTCAATTTTCCAACACTTTGAACTACACATGAGAGAGACATGTCTAGATGCCACGGAGGCGGTTGTGGGATACAGAGGGTTACCCATTTCGTTGCAAGAAGAAGTACCAGGATCGGAATCCTTGTCTCAGTCTGACGAGGAGGTTCTCTTTAAGAGTGCGAAAGAGGCTAAAGACAACAAAGAAGGGGGCATAAAGAATCTTGGAATCGAGACGGCGCAGCAAGATGTACATGAAAGCGTCCAACTTGGTGCTTCGCACAGGTCTTTCGATAATGAGGAATCGACAGAAACTGCCGAGGGAAAAGAGACAGGAAAACGGATCGTGAAGGCGGGAAGCGATGAAGAATCTCCGGAAAGCGGTTTGAACCAACTGAGCGACGAGTGACGAAACGAGAAAAGCGTTGAATAGTTAGCCCAGGGGGGCTCTGGCAGCAAGCAGATATAGAAAGCAAGTTGGTTTGAAGTTGGACATTATTTCGCGCATGGGCGACTGGCCCTTCAACACTAACTGTTGTTGTTGCTACCGTTGCCGCTGCGAGAACGGCACATGGGACCATAACAACGCAGACGCTCAAGGTCGCGCGCGAGAGCGAGGTTGACGCTTCTGACACAACCGTTAGCAAGATCTTTGAGGGCGCGAGGACCAAGATCTGTGCCTGGTCCTACTCGCAACCCAATTCGTTTATCCTGACGCGTGACGAGTTAGACGTCTTGGCGTACTTCTAGCACTAGGGATATTGTGATAAGACGATGTTGGGTGCTAGGACATGGCAATAAGAAAGCCAAGCCTGAGTTTGACCGCGAGTCATAGCGCATGGCTAGCAATCGGAAACATAGAGTAACATTGCGGAATATTTTGACAGGGTTGGAAGTCTTAAGGGCCTTGTAAAAAAAAAAACAGAGATCATTCAAGCTAAGTTGCTGTAAGAATAAAGGAACTCAAGTCATTGTGCTGTATAACTAATTATGACGAACGACAGTGGAGGTATGGGCTGCTTGGCGAGAATGATCGGATCGGGTTCTGCAATGCTTATTTGAACATGAATGACTGTCGGCAGTAGTATTCTCAAGGATAGTTACATTGCGCAGTTCGCAGAAATGCAATTGTGTACATTTACTACCACCCGCAATGCCAATTTTCTCTGCCACCTTCCTGCCTATACTAGTCTGCATTTTACAATATTCCAATCCCTCGACTTTGGTCATGAAGCAGTGTACGGATAGAAAATGTGTTATAGAGTAGTCATAGACCAAGCCATACCATCATCTGACCCAATGCTAATCGCCGACAATTGTTCATCGGCTCGGAGGCACAGTACTTGGCTGGTCACCTGCCTTCCAAGTCTCAAGGTCAATGAATCTATAAAAATAGACTCTAGACGTGTGCTTCCCCAGGATTTATTGGTGGGGACCCAACGAATGGTACGGCCAGGATCATGAAACACTCACTCAATACGATGCTACCTACTACGTAGTATGAGCTCAAACTCGAGGCAGAAGACACAAAGCTTGAGCATTTCGCTTCACACCCTCTCTTATCTAGGCTAGACCGCATTCTAACCTTCCATTGGACATCTCGTATTCTGAATACCGTATTCTAAACCTTGCATTCCGGAACTCGGCAGATCGGCTCGGCAGTGCGGGCCATCCTATCAGCTGGCTGGACCCCTGCGGCCCCCGCCCCTGTGAGCGACGCATTAAAAGGGACGAGTTCCTCATGCACCGTATTTGAGAATTCCCTCTTATCTTTTATTCAAGCTTGTTGGGGGTTGGGCCTTTAAGGGAGTGACGGTTTGTCGCTGGCAGTTGTGGCTACGCACCCGATGTGTGGTCCAATACCAAGCGACCACCCAATGGAAGAGACATGTTGCAAGGCCGTCAATCCTGTGATGCGTTGCGATGACCAGTAATGGGATGAAAACTAACAAGTCATGTCACGAGAGGGCCATTCAACACCGGGCGATGGCGAGCAGCGAAGCTTTCAGAACGACTAAATGGGGATCCAGTCCTTGATCTGAGAGGACGACGAACCAGCATGTTACGACAACGGCAATGATGAAAATTCTGGCAACGCAACTATTGAATCTAGATCTCTTGGCGGCGAAGCGACGCCCATGTGCCTTGGTCACTGAAGTCGCAGCTTTCAGCGTGCCAGCCGACAACTTAGTGACGGTGCCCGGACCCAACTTGTACGAGAGGAGAGTGAGTTCCCAGCGCCATTGTCGAAGTAACCAACACGTAAACCGATGACAAACGAGGCTCGAAGCGATATCATTACGATTTTTCACCATAGCAATGGACGAACGCGAGCGACACGATCCAGGAACAGACCGGAGGAGGGGCTCTTTTGAACGACGAACTAGGATTCCCTTTATCTTGTCTACGGTTTACGGTTCTGAGGACAGGGACTCCTCAACGGACTCCTCAACCTTGAGTGTCCCTAGAAGTGGTTCCTGTGACCGTGAGCCCGCTAATATTTTGGTCTCAACGGCCATGTTGCTCGCTCGGAATCGTATGCATCGAAGATGGCATGGTTCTACTTTCTGGCGCTTTAGAAGATGGCCATGCAGGTGTCGACGATCGTAGTATTTGCATGTGCCGTGCCGAATACCCGGAAATCAGCCAGCTCCATCTGGGCCGAGGTGGCAACCTGGGAGCGTTCAGCGATATTCTGATATCGAGACGTAAGCCTCGAGCGTCCAGGCTGTTCGTAGACCAGGAGAAGCCTCACAAAAACAAGTTCTCCGCTCAGAAGGAGTAAATCCAGAACCCAAGGGAACTGTCACACTGCAGCAGCCTCGTTAATACCAGCCCGCCCACCCTGCCACATCACCATGACGCCCGCGCACGTCAACCACAGCTCGATGACGTGACGAGGACTCGCCGCGCCAACCCCTGGAACCCCAATTTCGGAGCGAAGCACAAGTGAGCGAAAGAAGCTTTTCCGGCCGCGTCTTCCCCGGATTCTGGCCCCAAAAAGGTTTCCCAGAAAATGCTGCTGCCTGTCGCGCGCGGGGATGCAAGGCACAGCCGGCTGCCGCATGGCCTTAGGGCTGACGGGCAAGGGGGGGGGTGTGCAGAAGCTGCGGCATGGGATTGGTGGTGGGGTTTGAGGTTATTGAGACGACCTGCGATGTTGCCCGGCGGTGTTTTGGCTGCTAATGCTAATACTACGGACGCTAATTGTGATTTCTAGGCTGATTTCTTTTAATTTAATTTGATCTCCTGGGCTGTTGCCCGGGTTGACGCCACCACCAAGCTATCATCCATTCTGGTCTTAGGCGAAGCCGCGCACAGTTCGAAATGAGCCTAAACCATCACCAGCTTCGCAAGATCGTCGAGCCTGAATGAATGTCCCAAAAACTACTAAAACATGATTTATTCATCAGCCAAATGACGCGAAAAGGCATTGTACAGCGCCGATGAACATGGCTCAGGCCATACCTCCAAGGAAATTGAGGCCTGACCTTGGAAATCTGGACGTGTCCCATTCCTCGCTAAGTCATCGATCCAAGCGCAATTGTCTCAGACATCAGAGAATAGCGAATCACATCTAGTTCACACACGCAGTCGAGCCAAGAAAAACGGAATTGAGGAATCTTATGTATTCAGAAAACAAAGTTGCCAACGCCCACAACACCTCGTGCGCATAGCCAAATCGACTGGCGCTTTATAGTACAAAACCCCTTTTCCTTGGCAGAAGCCCGACTGGTCGTTTCCTGCCGATCTGCATTGCTGAGAAAATCAGAAAAGAACATGAAATCTAGTTATAATCGCGTGGTTCTTATGTTACCCTCGAACCGAATGTCCAATGCCAAGCGACAGACTGACTGGTTCGAGGGCACCATGACGCTTGCTTCCACAGAGAACTCCTCCGATAATCGCTCACGTCCTCCCTGAATGTTAGAGCGACACACGATGCATCATACCACTCCAGGGTCAATTAGCTTTGACCACCCCTAAGCGGGGATTTTCCCACCAGCTGGATCCCATTGCGTGTCTTGGATTTTTTTCTCCACTGGCCATCGCGCCAGTCGACGATCCACACCCTTGTCATGTTTCCCAGGAAAACGCACGTGTATGGTGTGGATACGTCACAGGCCGCCCCGCGACGAAATTAAATGAAGCCAAGCAGGCTGGAGACAGCGTAGGCCGACAGGATGGTGATGATCAAGGTGAGGACGTAGCGGAGAGCGACGTTGTACATCTGGTTGCGGTTGCGGCGGCGCGAGCGGCTCACGAAGTCGGAGTTGTCGTTGACGTTGGGGAACGAGCAGCCCTTGGGGACGGCATCGCCAAGGAAGTTGCACAGGGGCTCCCAGCCGTCCTGGACGCGGTACTCGAGCAGGTTGTCCTTGGGGACCAGCGCGCGGATCTCGGCGTAGTGGCGCTTGAAGACGTCCTTGCCGCGGTTGGGGAAGTCGCCCTCGAAGAAGGTGTCGAAGAACTTCTTGAGCATGGGGTAGTACATGCCAGCGGCCCAGTCGAAGTTGGAGAGCCAGCGCAGCTCGTGGTCGGTGACGCGCCAGTAGACCGTCTTCATGGTCGAGGCGTGCCACGAGTCGACGTCGCGGTTGGTGAGGACGACCTTGGCTTCGGGGTAGGCCTCGATGAGCTCCTTGGCGAAGGCAATGGCGGGCCAGTCACAGACGGCCTGCGAGCCTCCGAGGAGCTGGTCCCAGTCCTCGCGGGTAAAGGGCTTGCCCTTCTTGTCGTACTTGGCCGTCAGGGCGTCCATCCACATGAGGGCATCGGGGGGGTTCTCGATGGAGCAGTTCATCATGTGGTAGGTGTCGACGTAGCCGAGCTGCTTCATGGCGGCACGCATGGCTAGAGAATTGAGGTCAGTCGGGGCTCCCAGAGGGCGCTATTCGCAGTGGAGCACATACACGCAGTGCCGGTCCGGCCCACGCCCAGGATGAGCACCTTCATGGGCACGGAGCGGGTGCAGTTGCGGCGGTTGATGTCGGTGTCGGCGGTGAAGACATCGGTCTTGGGCCGGGGCTTGTAGGTGGCGGAGTAGGCCATTGTGAAGGTATCGAAGTGCGAAGGACGACGGCGGAGGTGTTGGTGCGAAGAGGGACTGGAGGGGTATCAAGAGCAAGCAGGAAGCACGCAGGAAATGGGTAAGACGATGAGGATGTGGAGCGAGAGACAGACGCGAGAAGCTGATAGAGAGGGAGGGCCAAAAGAAGGATTCGAGGGAGATGTAGAGGCAGGTATATGAATAAAAAGGGTCGGGACAGTCGTCATGCTAGTCTGCTCAGCGCCGTACGTACCAGAGTACTGTACGCGTCCCAGTCCCAGTCTCCAGCAACCCCCCCGGCGACAGAGGACAGAGGGAGCCTCGTCAGCGATCCAGACGTCGTCAGAGACTAGTGCCCATAATTTACATTGCAGCACTTTACCTGGTCTCTCCCGCTCAGCGTCCCCCCCGGCTCCGTTCCCCTGGGCCAAGCTTTTCTCTTGGCTTTTGTCCCTCGCAGCGGTGCACAGCGTAATGGCTTCTGGCGATGTGCGGCGCAGGAGGAAGGGCGTTCGCGCCAGGGGGTCAAACTTGTTCCCCCCACCGCGCAGCGCTAGAGCCACGCCCGTGCCCCTGGACCCTGGCCATCCCAGCAGCCGGGTATCTGGCTTCCCACTGGCCGACGGCCTGTTGGTGGGTGGCGCCGCGCTGTAACGCCCCGGCCGGTCCAGTCGTCATGCCTGGCCCTAGCGCTCGGCCGTGATACGTACTGCGCGCAGACGGCATACGCAGGCCACTTTGCGCTGCGGCGGCATGGCAAATGTCTAACATTTCAGCTCTATCTTGGCTTTGATACATGTGCAAGCGATGCGGTTGGGACGCTTAAATATGAGGTCTCGACGGCCGCCCAGCCGAGGCAACAAGGCGAACCCAAAAGAAAACCGGACCTGCATGAGGTAGGATTCTCTAGAGCTGTAACCCGGGTTCCAGTTTGACATGCGGCGCTTTCTCCCCCGCGTATGAACTAGAGGGTCGTGCTATTCTTTCCGTCCGTTGTTCCTGTAGTGTCCGCCCAACCCCAAACCGTCGTAGCCACGCCATCCAACGTGATCGACGTTGGCCCCAAGAGCACTCGCCTTGGCAAGCTTGGCTGAGCTTGGTTGAGGACGTTGAATTCTCTCCGAGTCCCACCAGGCCTCGAGCTTCTCATGGATGCTGCGTCTGTGAATGTCCTGACAAGGGGGACCCATCCTCTCGAGAATGGGTACGGCTGGTCTCAGAGATAATCAGCCGAAAAACACACCATGGCTCCCCACCGGCCTCGGTCCCCTTTCTCACATCACAATCACAGATAAACTACCCAACTCTACATTTACAGTACAGTAAAAGCACATCCGCATCCACACGCACCAACCTTCTATTCATGTTCCATGCAGCGCGCGAAGTACCTGCCCCGTTGGGTCCGTCCAAATCTCCGCCCGCAAGCTGACGTGGCCCCGGCACGAGATCGCCGTCAACCGTCACGGATATCGTGGTCGGACTCCTTTCTAGTCTGGCCCCAGGTGTCTCGCGTGGTGGCCCAGCCGCACTGCGTTGATCGATGCGGCGCGGTTCTCGTTCCGTCTGTGCTTTTTTCTGTGCTTTTTCTTTACTTGTTCTCGGTGTGTGGATGAGTGTCTGGCTTTCGTCCACGCATCGTCGTCATGTCGTTGAATGGGTTTAAATTATACGTTGCATCATATACGTACGCATCCTCCATTTGGGGTTGGTATGTCAGTCAGCAACGCCTTATCTGAGACGTGCTAGAAAATAACCAAATCAACAACCATAACAGCCCCTAATAATAACAATAAGAACACGTCCAACGTCTCTCAGCCACCACCTCCCCAGCTCGCAAACGTCATCCGGCACCGATATCCATGCGGATGTCGGTCTCCCGGACCATCGGCCCCTGACTCCACACATTCCAGAGCCAAGGCCGGCGATCCTGTCACTTCCCCATATTAATCCATCCACAACCCGCCGCCATGCTCCAAGGATCCAAGGATCCCAGGGTGCATCTTGCCGGGGCAGGCTAGGCCATGCACGAATCCTAGCTTCTCCAACTCCCGATTCCTCCTCTTGGTCCCTGGTTCATCTCTCCGCCGCCAGGGTCGTACTGCACATGTATCAACCACGTTTGGCCTTCCTTCGCTCCCGATCTCGAGATGGAATCCTCTGATCATCCGTGTGTGCGTTTGATGAATGGCCAGACAGTATTCATCTACCATTCAGGGGAAATAACAATCGTCCTGATCCTTGGTGAAATCCAGCCGAGATGCCCATCTAAATCAACTTACGACAGCCCGACAACTCGCTCATGGGAAGTCAGGCCAGATGGAGCGCCTCTAGCCTTGACTTACGTACACATGCGCGAATTGGGACTTTGGTCCAGATGAGCCGTAGACCAAGCCTATCCAGGGCCGAGCTTCACTTGTTTGCTTCTGCATAGTGATTGTCTTAGAGGAACATTGCACAACATCCATCTCCCAGTTGTCCTACACTTTCCTGTGTTTTTTTGTGCATGTTAACAGTGGACAATCGAGTCGGAGACAATGTCCCGCGTCTGACAAGCCGAGTTTTCGCTCACCTTGCCCTTTTTCAATGTTACAGGAGAGTACAGTACCTGGACATCATGACCAGGGCTCTCTCCACCACTGGACCTGCAGATCACGCTCCATCATTTGTGATGCTGATGGGCGTTGAGGTGGGCGCCCCCTGAGTAATCCCAGTGCCTTTCATCACCCGTCCAATGCGTTATTAGTGTGAGTATCTCGCTGGTCAATGGCTTTTGATCTTCAGGAGTCACGGTGTGCATTGGGCGTTAACATTATCCAATTCGACTGAAGAGGCGCCGAAGGATGAATGACATGTAACACTAGGTACACAGTAGTCGATCATTCGCCGCGTAAATGGCCGAGGGTCACAACAATGCTCGGACAACAACCAGCATCAGGGAACTAGAAGACTGATAGAATCTTTGCGGCTGACCTTCCGCCACGGTTGACGTTGGCGTTCAATGATAGGCCTCCGACGGGTCGATGTGTGTAGTTGATCCCAGCATGGCGACGGTCCCATTCTCAACGACTTCCGAAATTGAGATTGCGCTGGACGCTGCCCGGGAATACGCAACTGGGTGCGTACGCGTACGGCTTAAGCATGCGTCAGCTCAGCCTTACGCACGTCCTGTTTCCGACCCAACAGTGGCTAGTTTTGCGTCCGCGATGTCGGGGTGTGACAGGCTCAAGAGGGACGCGAGGCGCAGTACATAACTTAGATGGCGGCTCCGTGCAATCAATGGAACGAGCGGTGGCTGAGGAGGATCTGACGTCTCTCTACTCCATAGGGCAGATGGATGGATCGAAAGTGGCAGGACGATGAACGATTCGGCACTTGGGAATGGTGAGACGGGGTTGAACGCATGAAGCGGAAGGGTGTTGGAGATGGCGCGTGGCTGATCATCTCGAGACGAGTCTGTACTACTCGGCTAATTACAATGCTGCCCGATGCTACATACGGACTTCCTCGTGACAGCGGGAGGTTTGGCTCGTCGGTGAACTCATCTGCACCTGATGTCTCGGCTGGTTGCCCACGAGACAGTTCGGGCGGTCGCCCGAACAGGATAGGTTTAGATGATCAAGATAAAATGAGTGATGATGCGGTACATGCAGGAATTGATATTGGCTGCACACCACACCGAGATCGGTGGTCGGCGTTCATCGTTCCGACAATTGAAGGTGGTGTCGCGTTCCATCCTGCGCCGCAACGATGGACAGGGGAAGGGATCTAGCGTTTGGGGGCGGATAACCGTGGCATGCAGCCAAGCGAGCCGCCGGAAAGCCATCCCCCAATCCGCGACGATGGTACACGCCGGGTTGGCCATTTTGGGCGGCTACTGGCTGTGTGCCAAGGCGATCCCCCTGTCCATTTTGCGAGTCTGTCTTTTTTCTCTTGGTCTGGTCTCACGCGTACTCCTGGACGACCTAGGCTTGAAAAGTGGGCTTTTGTAGTGTGCCGGACTGTTTTTTTTGCTTATTTTCTCAGTCTTTTGGGAATGGCCAAAGGGGCCAAATGTCACTTTGACTGTGCTGAGTGGTGGCCAAGCAAGGGAATCCCCATTTCTCTGCTGTTGTTTAGCTTGCGTGGACTGAGGCGAGTTTGTTGTGAACCTGCACATCCACATCCACATCCACGTCCACTCCAAAACCCACATTTGCAATCCACATCCCACACGCATCCACACCCATGTGAGCTTCAACTGGGCCCCCGTCCATCAATTCACGCCACGCCATGCCCCCATGTCCCCCATGCCATTTCAAGGTCAAGTCTTGTCCTGTCCGCTGGACGTCGTGCATGGTCTATCTTCAGGCGGATGGAGACGCACGCAAGGGTTCCTCCATCGTCCAGCTGCATGAAACTGCTCTGACGCGCTCCGGCTTTCGCTCGCCGGCCCTCTCTTTCTGTCCACCGGAAACTTGTTCGTCGTCGTCATCCCTCTAGGTACTTCTCCTCCTTCCTCCGCGCGTTCCCCTTGTGTCTTTTCCGCTGTCGCCGGCTTCGTGGAGACTGTCCGCGTATACCACACGCACGATTCCACTCGCTCCCACGCGGCTAATTCTTTTTTTGGCCACTGGCGGTTTCACTCTCCTTCTCCTTCACCTTCTGTCCCTCGCATTCCTGCGCCGTCCATTATCTGTTATCCTAAGATCCGCGGATCGCTTTCCCCAGGTCCGCCAACGCACGTCGTACATACCTCGCAGCGGCTCACTCGTTTTGCCTGCCTTACGTTGGGTTGCGCGGTCGTATCATTCCCATTCCGATCCCCAGTCATTCGCTTCTCTGCTGTCGCATCATCTCTCGCCAACGCTGCTTGTCGGTTTCCTACCTTGCCCCGGCACCTCCATTCCCTTCCTGGCCGTCCCCAGTCTTTTGCCGCAAGATATCCATCCCACTCTTGCTCGTTCCCCTCCTTGGATTTGGACCCATCCGGCTTCGGCGGTTGAGTACGCGTACGTAGTCGCTGCCGGCTCAGCCAGTGTGCACCTCCCGCCGTTCGTCATCCCTTCCGTCCTTCCCTTCTCGGGTGTGTTATTTATTATCTCGCTCTGTCTCTCGCTTCCTTGATCCACCATGCCTGTCCGGCCTTCCAACAGCGAAGCCGTATCAGTACCCCTGGACCCCCGAGGTCACCGGCGCCGAAAATCCCGGAATGTTTTGAGCATCTCCGAAGGCTATCCCGCAGACGCCACCAACAGCATCGCCATGGAAAACTTGGAGGAAAAGGACTTAGACGTCGAGTCTAGGATTCGCGATGGCTTCATTGACGAGCCCCAATCCGCCCCCGTGCAAAAGGGTCCTGTCAGCTGGATGTCGCTGCCCCGGAAAGATCAGCTGCTCGTGTTATTCATCGGACGTCTGGCCGACTTCCTCCAGGTCGCTTCATTACAGGCCTACGTTTTCTACCAGCTCAAACATATGGACAGTGACCTGTCTGATTCCCGCATCTCAGAACGTGCTGGCCTCTTGCAAGGTTGCTTCACCGGTGCCCAGGTATGCACTGCTATCCTGTGGGGCAACATTGCCGATGCCAGCTGGTGTGGTCGTAAGTGGGCGTTGATTATCGGTCTCGGAGGCACGGCGCTCTCTTGCGTAGGATATGGGTTCTCGACCACTTTCTTCTGGGCCGCGTTTTGGAGAGTGTTTGGAGGTGCCATCAACGGCACTGTTGGTATCATGTAAGTGATGAATATTTCTTTGATTGACGAAGGATGTGAAGCGGCGGACGAATTGTTGTATGGGAGGAGGAGAGTTGGAGGATGTTAGGAAATATTCTGCACGTTGTCCACGATACTAACAAAGAGTCAGTCGAACTATGATTTCAGAAATCACTGTCGAGAAGCGGTTTCAATCTCGCGCCTTCTTGCTTCTGCCCCTGAGCTTCAACGCTGCCAGCATGCTCGGCCCAAGTTGGTTATCCTCTCATCACCCCTCCCATTCAGATTGCTAACCTTTGGACTACAGTCATGGGCGGTCTCCTAGCTGATCCTACTACAACTCTCCCCAACTACTTCAGCGAGGACGCCATCTTCGGGTTCCAGTGGATCCGTGACTATCCCTTTGCCCTACCCAGCATCCTCAACGCCGTCTTCCTCGGCTTCTCTACCCTCATCACCTTCCTATTCCTTGAAGAGGTATGCTCTCTCATGCCCCGACCCAGCGAGTGTCGCAAACTAACATCTTGTCTAGACTTCCAAGGATCGACGAAACAAATACGATCCCGGTCTCCATCTCGGCTACCGCCTGAGGCGCAGCGTCGCTGGTCTCATGGGCCCCAAGTTCATGGGCGGCTACGCCCAAGTCCCGCTCTGGGAGCAGGGCGAAACCGCCACCGAAAAGGCCGCCGCCGCTGCAGCAGCATCAAAGTTGACCAAGAAGATCGGCCGTCTACCCTTCTCCCGCATCTGGACCCGCAACGTCATCTTCACGCTCATCAACAGCGCCTTTTACGACTTCCAGCTTGGTGCCTTTACCAATATTTGGTCGCTCTTCCTCTCCACGCCGCGTTACGGAACGCCCAGCACCACTGGGGGAACTGAAAAGGTGTATTCCCGATCTCTTCCCTTGCTCTTTACCGGAGGTCTGGGCATGCCGGCCTCGACTGTTGGCGTGGCGAGCTCGTTTCTTGGTCTCCTAGGCATGATCCTCCAGTTCACCCTCTATCCCCCGGTCCAGGCCCGTCTCGGCACAATGCGCTCTTTCCGATGGTTCCTCATCCTATTCCCCGTCGCGTACTTCATCGGTCCTTATCTCTCCATCCTGCCCTCCTCCACACAGGCTCCAGAGGCGGCATCCGGACCCTGGATCTGGGCCGGCATCATCCTCATCCTACTACTACAGGTCATGGCACGTACCTTTACCCTACCAGCCACCATTATCCTGCTCAACAACTGCAGCCCGCACCCGAGTGTGCTCGGCACGATCCACGGCCTGGGCCAGAGCGTGTCGGCCGCGTTCCGAACCGTCGGTCCCGTTGTGGGCGGCTGGTGGTACGGATACGGCCTTGACATTGGAATGGTGGCCTGGGGATGGTGGGGAGTTGCTGTTGTTGCAGTGCTGGGATGCGGTACGGCCTTGCTGATGCACGAGGGTACTGGACATGAGATTTACCTCGAGGGAGAGCGGGAAGAGATGGATGATCAATGACACGGCTAAATCATATTTCCTTGAGTAGGGCGCAAAATACCCACGCATGATACGATGCATCAATAGAAATTCCTTTTTGTTCATTTCCATGTCTCTTGAAAGTGCTATCAAAGTCAAATTAAGGCTAGGTATAAACTGAATGTTAACATAAAAATAGCCACGCTGGTAATGTAGAACGTCTATCATGATGCCGTAAAAGAAATACATCAAGTCCGAAACGCATTAACTGTGAAGTGGGAGCTCCTACTCCATGTCGGTTTCTTCTATCATCCAAACTCAACAACCGCAATGTGACAAAATGCTTTCTAAGGTGGTTTGAAAGTCAACCATCCTATCAGAAAAAGCTGCCTTCTTTCTGAACTAGTGGCAGATAATAGGCGCTCAGCGTACAAGCCACCAACCTATCAATTACCAATCGCAGAGACTCTAGACCGTGGTCTCTCCAGCTCCAGGGTATCACGATCATCCCACACCGAGTTTTCGTTGGGCAGCACAATGGCTCGATCAAGCGCATAGGGTAGGCCGCGGTGGCGGCCTCGCAGCATCATCGCGCAGAGAACGAGCTTGGCAAATGTTGAGAACTGACTGCAAAACGAGGTTGAGACAGTGGGATACCCGAGACTGAGGCCGACATTTCCACTGCGAAAGATCAGTGAGTCAGGCGAGAAAAGAAAAGAGAAGAGACGGAGGACTTACTAGGCTGATACGACTTCGAATAAAATAGGAAAAACAGTAAACGCCTGGGAAATGTTAGAAACAAAGTAGATCCAGGCAGCCAGGCGACATACGGGGTCATCGTTATCCATAATGCGAGAGGACTCGGCGATGCATATTGCGAAAATGCCCACAAAGATGTACCACAAATCGAAACTCAGCTGATTTCGTAAATGGGTCATGAGATACGACGTGCCCTTATTATCCTCCTCAACCGGCCGACTGGGCTGGTAAAGTCCCAGCGACCGCTCCTCATACGTGTTGGACGAACGGATGGCAATGGCAATCGGGTACGCAGAAATGTACATCATCACCAGCAAGCTCAGCTGCACGGCGGGATTCACGGCCGCCAGGTTGAAGCTTGCGGTGCCAGTGTGCCGTGAGCTGACGGACTGAAAGATGGCGGCGGCAACGCGTGGCCCCGCTGGCAGATTCGCAACGGCGGAATTGTCAAGGTCCAGCACGATGATGAGCACGATGTCGACAATGTTGAGGAGAAGCAGGAGGCCTACGAGCGCCCACGTCGGCCCGCTGGGGAAGAGCAGCGTGTAGCAGCGGCGCGGGTGGTTGAGCAGGAACGAAAGGGGCTCCTGGATGGAAGAGCGGCTGGGCGAGAGCTTCGACATGGTCCAGATGAGGAGGCGGAGGAAGATGGGATAGAACGTGTGGCCGGCGAGTGCGCTGAAACTCATCATGAGCATCGGCGCTGGCGCGTCGTTGAAGGAGATCATGGAGTCAGGGGTCAGTGTGAAACCCAAGTTGCTAGTCATTGTCTGTGCCGTGTAGAATGCCCTGATAGAGTGAGATGATGAACTAGTGGCCGATACAAGGGATTTGCTTACCACCAGTGTTTGTTCTGGCCACATTCCTCGATGTAATCGGGATATTTGGGATCAGCGTACTGGATCCATCCAAGGAGGAGGATAAATCCAAATAGATGCAGTCCAAAGAAGTACGCTAAGTCATTAGCAAGGTCCGTACATAGACTCAGCCAGAACTCACAGAGAACAATCTTGAGCAACAGCTTCAAGCTCCTGTACTCAATTCCGCCTAGCTCCTCGCGATCCTCCGATGTCATGTTATGAAACAGCGAGTTCCGTCCCACGGTAACCTCGCGCGACAGCTGAGGGAAATCGCCCACCGCCAGTGTCGGCTGGGAAACCAGGGACGGACGCCGCTCCTTGCGAGAGTCAGTGTTGCCGAGGATGAACATGGACGAAGCCACGCCGGCAACTCGATCCATGGAGCGAGCCTCGGATAGGAGCGGCCCATCGAGGCGGCGGCGGCGGAGGTTTGGATGAGTAGAAGTGCCTGGGCTTGGGATTTCTTCGATGCGAAGGTCTATATTGGTTAGCATGAGTTACGGATGTTGCAGGTGTGTGTGTACCGTCTCGGCTTACACGGCCGTCCGTGAGCTCGACAATCGGTTGTCCTGGTTTTGGGTTAGTTTCTGGCGGTGTAGTCCGTTGTGGACTATGGTATTACCCTGATCGCGATCGCGCGGGCCGGGAATATACAGCGCTGCGTCCCTTCTCGGATGGATATTGGTCGAAGGATCAAATGTGATGCGTGGCTCGGGCTCAAACGCTTCATTCTTCTCGTCGCCGGGAATGGATTTTTGCTTCTCTGTCGAGTCTTTGGGAATTGTCACCTGTCGCGTTTGTGTTTGATCATCTACTGATTCCCTGTGTCCCGCGAGAACACCATCAATACCGCTCGCAATGGGCGAGCTAGCACGGTCGTCTGGAGTGTCGGCGGGGGAAGACTTGATGCCCTCCTCGAGATCATCGTCCTGGCCACGACGTGACGCTCGTCGCAAATGAGGTTCTTGAGGCGCAAAAACATCAGTACTTCTGACGGATATTGGGGTGCATGAGTGGGGGCGAACCGGCTTGTATAAGGTGGTTCCGAAACCACCAGAGCCGCACTACAACAACGAGGATGTTGACGAAGCCGAGGTTGGTGAACATGGGCACAAAGTATAGAAAAAGCTGCTGGTACGTCTTGAGAAGCTTCAGATCGACCCTATTGGCCGTCGGGAACGGTTAGTTGCCAATATTGACCCTGGCGGGTACATGCCACTCACGTATTCAGGCCCGACTCGGTCGAGGCGCTGACTCCAAAGAAGTAACTGTCAACGGCACTGATGTTGCCGTATGGGTAGAGGATGGCCAGGCCCAGGAGGCCCATAACAACGATGTACACATCTGCAGGCCAGGGTTATTCTCAGCCACATCACCACACTGAGGAGCATCGCGTTTGGACGCTGCACTTACAATGCAGGGTCACAAAGTTGGGTGAGGGGCGCCACATGGTTCGGTGCTCTGGCAGGTAGCGCAGAGTAGTGACCCTGGATTGCCTGTAACAGGTTCGTGACGACGCTGGGACGAGGAAATGGACGCTTGCGGTGCCGTGTCCCGAGCCTCAGTCTATATCTAAGGGCAGTAGGTTAGATACGGAAGATAGGAGGGATAGTGCATGCGATGAGCGAATTAATGCCAAGCCATCAAGCGCAGTCCGCAGCCATGATTGCGGCGACAAAGGTGGTGCATCATCTAAAGAAGCGGGCCATCTACCACGCGTACGGTACCGCAACACTGCCGCATTCTGACAAGGGAACCGGGGTTTGTCATTGCTGCGTTAAGGGATGACTTGGTCGAATCCATGTGCCCAATGTGCCGAGACCCTGGTCAGATCGGCATCTGACGTCTCATGGCCGAGAACAGCCGTCCCTTGGAGACTCGGATGCCGATTGATTGTAAGCCGGAATGGCGGTGGACGAGTAAAACGGGAGGCCTCGCCATGCCGGTTTTGGCAATCTGAGAAATGACCGGCCGAGGGGCTACTGACGCCATGTGAGATGACGACAGTGGCCGAAACGCCGGATCAATGGGATCGTTGCAAAGCACCTGTAGATTAGATGGCTTCACTTGCGGTGGCTGTGCTGGATGCGCCGGAGATATGACGATTGGGGTCGTGAGGGCACCAATGCCGAGGCGTGGGTCGGGACAAAGGGTTAAGCATCCTTCGTAACCGTAAAATTAACTTTATTCTCCGTCGTATCGGTCGTTGGGATGATTGTCTTGGCGATTAGCGATTTCATGAACCTGAAGCTACGAAGGGAGCTTGAGCAGTGTTCCACATTTGGTGGCGACCCCCGCTTTCATCTGATTCAGTCCTATCCGTATCCGTTCTTCCATATGAGATGAAAGAATCGGGCCTCAGGAACTTGACATGAATTTAGGGTTTCTGCGTTTCTCTAATCCTTTTCAAAGCCCATCACACTGCTCGCGAGCATGACACAATGGAGGAGAGTCGCTGAAGTGATCTCACGAGTTGTCAGACGGAGGGATCGGTCCGGCTAGATGACCAAGGAAGTAGGGTTCTTAGAGACTGAAGATAAGAAAAATCCCTTACCGGGCAAGACAATTAAGAAGACAAAATCAATCAGAAAATACGACATTATTAAGGTAGTAATTATTATTAATCCAATTAGCATAAATTGAGAGTATTTAATTGTATATTTCGCTGTGTGAAAGGCACAACTCAGGCTGTCAGACCCCTCTACGGTGTCACGAGATCTGACACGAGTCCTCAGCACGTGTCGTGTCACATGACTGGTAGCTTTATTGTTCGCGCCCGCCAAACGCGGTCGCAAAGAAGGATGGTACGTGTTTGCGCCGACGCGTTGGCAACACAGTTCAACCGTCACCTTCACATCACACATCACCAGTCGCGACTTTGTTGATCGCACAGGCTACCCCGATCCCGCTCCATGAATTTCGGCTTTTCAGACGATGCCTCTGGCTCGTCGAATTGGTTAGGCTTCGGCCGCACTCAGCGCAACGCGAGCGCAACATCACCTGGGGTTGGCGCTGCTTCTAGCATTGGAGCCGGCGCTGTCGCATCAAGCCCCAACCTCCTCAACCCTGACGAGACCTCGTTCGCCGAGTCGTATCGCCCCGAGACTTCGCCGTTGTTCAATCCCATGTTCCTACCTCGTTCCGACGCCACCTCGCCGTCGGCCTTGACCTCCACCAATGCCCCAGGCTGGGACTGGCAGCGCGATTCGGCGCCCGTCGAGGCTGGCAACTATCAATCGTCCCCCTTGGCTCGTGGCGCGCGTGCTCAAAGTCTCGATTTATCTACAGAAATTGAGGGCCAGGCGCTTCTGGAGAAGACCGATGCTCAGGAGCCGGTCGATGCGTCGCGTCGCGGATCTTCTCCTCTCCAAGAATCGGCTGCGCAATCCGCAGATGCCGAGAAGGCAAAGCAAAATGCGATGAACTTTGGAGGATCGGACAATGTTGAGGCACAGGATCAGGGACTTGGTACTGAGACTACAGAGGAGATCATTGCAGCAACCAACCATGTTTCCGAAGAGGCAGCTGGAAAGAACGCGACCGATGTGCAGGGCACTGAGGATCAGGCAGCAACCACAGTGCATCTAGGGTCACAATCGCCTGTCTCGACAATCTCCAATGAGATGAACCAGCCTGAAACCGAAGAAATGGTTGTCGACTCCGAGCCTCCTGCTCCCGAAGAGACTCAGCACTCTCCCAGCGGAGAAGAGGATGCGGACGAATCCGGCATCCCACCCCCGTCTACAGCAAAGCGAGGCAGACGCAATGCTAGCGAGATGCTGAACGCGGCGGCGAAATCGATCGTCAAGAACATTGATGGACCCCGCAAGCGCCTTTCGTTTGTCCCTTGGTCCCCAGTTGTCAAACCAACTCCTTTGGCGAAGCGTGGGCGCAAGTCGATGCCAGCTAGAATCGATGCTGAGACTCCCAAAAAGCGAGGCCGTCCACGAAAGAGCGAGACTGTCGCCACCCCGGCTACAACTACCAAAAGCCCGGCCAAAAGAGGACGACCCAGGAAGTCTGATGCGCCGGCAACGACCATGCCCAGTGCCACGAAGAGACGAGCGGGTCCAACTCCCCGCCGCACCACGAGCATCGCCCAGACTCCGGGAAAGTCGCCCCTCAAAGCGGTTCAGACTAACTCCTCCGCGGCGACTCCAAACAAGGTTGGCCGTCCCCGCAAGACGCCAGCTAAAGACACACCTGCCGCGACAACAGAGACCCCCAAGCGACGTGGTCGACCTCCCAAGAATACTCCTCAGCCTTCATCAGTGAAGCCCGTCGCTTCTAGAAGCTCCGGTCGTGGACTCAGATCAACAGATGAGTCCCTGCCTGCTACGCGCGCTGTTAAGCCTCGTGCTGTGCCATCTCCTGCGAAGCGAGGACGACCTGCTAGGAAGGCTGCAGCACCAGTCTCAAAGCCTACGCTGGACAAGCCTGCTGCCACACGAGGCCGCCGAGCTGCCGTCAAGGCTGATAACAAGGATACTGCGGTTACTGCGGTTGCTGCAGCTCCTATCGACCCGCCCAAGAGACGCGGACGTCCCCCGAAGAACGCGACTACGTCTAAGGCAGAGGAGCCAACGGCGAAGCCTGAGACGAAGAAACGCGGGCGTGGTGCAGCTGTTCCAGAGCCCGCTTCCGTCCCAGCCCCGAAAAAGCGCGGCAGAGCTGTCCAGACGAAAACTGATGATGCTGCACCAGCGGCAGCCAAGCCACGAGGCCGCCCAAAGCGCACTCAGCCGGAGGCCGATGCACCTGAACCCCCCGCAAAGAAACAGCGAACTACGCGAGGCGCGGAGGAGCCAACCGCTCCAGCACGACGAACAGGACGCAGCGCAGCAAAAGAAGCCGTGGTAAAGGATACGGCATCATCCACTCGCGCAAAGACAACGAGCTCCAAGCCTGAGGCCGCTCCAGCAGCGGCCGAGCCACCCAAGGCTGCGACTCGTGGCCGCGGCGCTGCAAAGTTGGCCGCGGACAAGCCAGCACCGAAAACCCGCGGTGTTGCCGCCAAGTCCGGAAAGGGCGAACTCCCCAGCTCCAAGGCCGCCGCGGAAGAGAAGCCAAAGCGAGCGAGTGGTCGCGGTGCTGGTCCTACAGGTGTGGTGAAGAAGACCGCGGAAAAGGCTGCGCCGCGACGGGCCTTGAGATCCAGAGGATAGAGTGGTCATGGAATGGTACTGGGAATGGGTGTGGTATATTGAACAATGCACAACGGCTCAGGAGTTTTGATGATTGATCAGGAGTGGTTCGGCATCGGGGGCCTTTTACGAAACGCGGCACTACTGTATTATAAGTATCTCTCGATGAAAAGAAATGCGCGAGGTGAGGTTTTTGGCCTCTAGCTACCTACCTTTCAACCACGATCGTGCAAACACTCAAGCTGCTGGTTGACAGAGACTTGTATCCGGTGGCATAGTTCGGACGTGAAATACAAAGGAAACCAAGAATGGAATCACCTTATTGAGGGTATCCTAGACGCTACAAAGACCTACACTAACTTTGGACTTATTATATCAGACTTCAGACACCAAATGCTGTAGTCTCGCAGAGTTCATCTCTTTTTCTTCCATCTCCAAGGGATTAATCCATCAACAAATGACACGCATCACTCATACAGCTCCTTGTCGACGTCGCCATCCTTGGACGCATGGGGACTCGTCACCTTGATGCCATTCTCCAGCCGCGAGAGCGTCATGACGTACCCCTTGTGGTCGCACCAGTTGCGCACCATCTTGACGGCGTTCTTGATCTCGCGGCCGTTGAGCTGCCACAGCGAGAGCTCGGCAATGTCCTCGTCGTCGAGCGGCTTGTCGGCCGGCTTCGCGTGCTGCTCCTCCTCCTCCCCGTCGGTGACGTCCTTGACGCGCGCCGCCTGCTCGGGCAGCCGCTGCAGGAACTTGCGCCAGATGCTCTCGCGGGCGTCGCGGCTGAGGGCCTGGAAGAGCAGGTGCAGGCTGACGCGGCTGCGGAAGGCGGAGTCGATGGTGTGGTACAGGTTGGTGGTGAGGAAGATGATGCCGCGGAAGTACTCGAGCTCGCGCAGGAAGATGCTGACGAGCTCGTTGCGGTGGATGTCGTTGGGGTTGCGCTCGGCCATGAAGACGTCGGCCTCGTCGAGCAGGATGACGGCGTTCCACTCCGTCGCCATCTCGAAGACGCGCTTGATGTTGGCCCCCAGCGTCGCCGCGTTGATGCCCAGGTCCTCGGCCTGCAGGTAGAAGAGCGGCCGGTGCGTGCGGTCCGCGACGGCCTCGGCCGTGAGCGTCTTGCCGGTGCCGGGCGGGCCCGACAGCAGGATGATGAGGCCCTGGCCCTTGCCGACGATGACGTCCTCCATGACGGCCGAGGAGCCGTTGGTGAGGTTGTGGTTCTCTACAAAGGAGAGGACGAGGTCCTTTTGCTGGTCGTCGTAGACGAGGTGGGAGAAGGCTTGGTCGTTCCAAACCATGGGTTCAATATCCTCGATATAGAATTGCACTAGGATCGTCAGTCAGTTACTTGCCATCTAGTCTGTAGGATATACTCACCCCAGAGCTTGTTCTTGAGTGCATACCCCCCAATCATCTCAGACATGAAGGCGAGTTCCTCGGGCTTCTCGAGCATCTCATTCTTATTCCTCAGCTGCTTCTTCTCGCTCAACCGCTTCTTTTGGGTACTCGGGGATTTGACCTCCCCCTCCTCTTCCTCCTCGTCTTGCGGCAGCCGTCGGCGAGCACGGCGAACCTGGTTCCGCGCCGTCTCCGGGTCCTTATTTTCTCGCTTGCCCAGCGCGAGGTGGTACTTGTTGTAGCCCACGACGTCAATGAGCACACGGCCCTCGACGTTGTGCTTCTCGATGCACTGCTTCTCGCCGTCGTGCAGGGCGATTCCGGTGTAGCAGCTATACTTGAGTCCCTGGAGATCGAGGACTTTCCTGCCTCGGGTGACGAGGTGCTTCATGATGGCGTCCTGGTCTGAGTGGAACTCGAAGGGGTAGTGGCGGAGCTCGCGAATAGGGTTGTTGCCAGTGAACGCGGGGATGGGGAGCGTCTTGTCCTGCCAGACGAACTCCTCACCATTGAACGTCATGATCTTGCCCTTGACCAGGAGGAAGGTGCCCTCGTTCTTCTTGACATACTCGGTGTCCTCGACCTTGCAGAGGAACTCAGAGTTGAGGCCGTAGCTGTAGACGGTGGAGCCGCGGGGGAAAAGAGTCCACGCCGTCTTGAAGTCAATCAAGCCACCGTCGAGGAGATGGCGTCGCTTGGTCCTCATCTCGCCAAACATGTCGTCGAGGATCCTGAGGAACAGCTGCAGGTAGCCCTTGAGGGCGTTGTCGACGGCAGTCTGGCGGTACAGCTCCTTGATCTCGTCCTGGCAAAACCACAGGCCACGGAATGGCTCCGAGAACTCAGCGGTGTCGTGGACGTCGAGGTAGACATTTTCCTTCTTCAGAATGGGCTCGAGGGCGGCGACCAGCATGGGGTTCTGGACCTCGATCTGGTGGTACTTGAGGGGGAAGCGGCCGCCAACACACGGCTTCTCGCGGTCCTTGACCTTGTAGACCTTGATGGCAACGCGGTCCTGGGCGCGGGCGGCCGACTTGGAGAGCTGCTTGGGCGGGTAGTCGACCCATTCGAAGTGAGTCGCATTGGAGTTGCGGCCCTCGTACAGCGTCTTGATGGTGGTGTCGGAGCCAAACGTGGGGTCCTTGGAGGGCGCGGGCGTCTTGGGGTCATCCTCAGAGGTGGACGACTCGAGGTCGAGCGGCTTGTTGAGGGGAGAGTCCTGACGGTGGAGGATCTTGCACTTCCATTTCCAGACGAAGTCGGAGACGTCCTCGCGGTCAATGTCGCGAATGTCGCTGAGGCCCATGGTGACTGACGAGGCGCAGTGGGAGAAGCAATGGGTAGTGACGGTTGGCAGCAGAGAGCAGAGAGAGAGAGGGTTGAAACAGAGCGGAGGTGCCGGGAGCCAGGCCAATAAATATCCTCGCGTCTCATGTACCTGGAGAGCTCAAGCCTCAAGCCTCAAGCCTCAACGGTCAAGCCTCACACTGCAAAGCCTCGACCACGACCACGACCCAACAGCCTGTTTCCTCGTCCTGCACGACGTCGTGGCAGCCTGAAGGCGCAGTGGGGGGGAGCTGACAGGCGACTTAGGACTCGGTGTTGCCTAGGGAGCAAGCGTCATGGTTGTATTGTGGCATAGTGGCATTGTGGCATTGTGTCGCCAAGGAACAAGTGCCGAAGTTGAATCGCGAGCTGCAGTTGGCTGTTGGCGAGGCGTTGGTCCAGCCCAGCTTCGGACCCGGCAATGACTCAAAACAAGCCATGGCATCAGGCTGGCTGGGGTTGATCTCGTCAATCTCGCTCAGGCCGCCTGGCTTTGATACTCGAGGTGGCGCGCTATCGTTTGCGACGGAGCAGGATACGGGGCAGGCTGATTCGCGGGCGTTCTCTCAACTGGAGCAAGGGAGCTGTGATTTGTGACAGATATTCCTTTTCAGCGTCTTGCAGAAAAAGTAAAGACCAGCCAGGCTCATCAGTGGTCGTTGTGGTTGTGGTATTACTGCCCCCTTGCACCGAGGTCCCCCTTGCACCGAAGCGTGGGTGGCCGCATGTCCCCTTTGGGAAATCCCACCATCAGACGTCCTGGAGGACTAAGGTTGTCTCCGCCGGCGCTCCACTGCATCGCCGGAACCTCTCCAGGGCTAGCTACAGAGCTACGTACATAGCTACAGGGGGCCAGTAGCGAGTCGCCAGGGCGTTTTCAGGCCTGCGCCCCTCGCGGGGTGGTGGCGGATGCCTCCCGCTAGTGGGCATCTAGCGCCGGCAAGGCGACTCGGAGCTTTGGATGATGTGCCTTGGATACGAAAGATTTGGGGGCATGACATGGCTCGATCTCTCTGACAGGGGGGGAACGATTGGCGGATTCCTGCTGAATCAGGCTTCCAGTTTTCAGACGATGCGACCAAGATTGCCTTGTGATCGGCAGTCCGCATCGTCTTTCTTAGGGCACGAAACCCACGTAGGTTATTTGTCCCCGTATTGAGTTGAGGCTCCCACGCACTCCCAGCCATCCGTTTCTCGTGTCCAGATATATCCAGGACCTACTCCGTACACGACACGAGAATTAGATCATGATGAAAATAGAAACCCGCAAAAACACTCTAAAGCCCCCTCATTGGACAGGATTTAAACTTTATCTTTTTCACAACACAACATACTAGTTGCCAGAATGGTGTAGGGTAAGCGATACGCGCACACATGCGGCCCACCACCAAAAATGCCCCACACATCTCCATTTCCTACAATCGACGAGGGCACATAACCTAACACACGAGACGCTCCTTCAACAGCGCGGGTTTAGCTCAGTTGGGGTAAGTTGCAAAACTTCTAAAACTCCAGCACATCAAGTCTAACAATCTCATAGAGAGCGTCAGACTGAAGATCTGAAGGTCATGTGTTCGATCCACATAAACCGCACACCATTCTTTTTTGCCGTTAGTGTTTGAAGTGGCACACTGAAGCATCCCGCACAGCATCTCGTGTGTGCCTTTTTGTGGGATGAGATGGCACCTGCTCGCGTCGTCTATTTTTACTCATATTTCTGACAATTCTAATCAATCCATTCGATTGCTCATGTCCTTTCTAGTATTCTCACACCCTCTTATGAAACCGCTGGCTGGCAATGGCCTCAAGCGAGAGATCCTGGCCTCGTTGAGGAGCAAAAACGCAAGCGCACAAATGGCGACATCAAACACCCCCCACACCAGAAATGTGCCCCATCCCAACCTCTCCATCATATACAGCGTCGTGAGCGACAACAGTAGATTGAAAAGCCACTGCGAGGCTGCTCCAATTACTATACTAGGTTCTCGAACTCTGGCGGAGAAGATCCTGATGGCTCGTTGTTCGCGAGGCCTCTTGGTACACTCAGAAATGACAACCCTGTGACTTACTCCGACATGTACGGCCACGGCATCGGACCCCAGCTGATGTTGTAGATGACGACGAAAATGTAGATGAGGGCTACCGTCACGATCCCAAAGGACGTCACCGCACCGTCATCAGGCGCCGGCCTTGCCCTGACAACAACCGCCGTCGCAATCTGACACACTGCCATGGCCACCGACTAAGACCTGTCGACGCGAGAATCTGTTTGCGAGAAACAGCACAAATGCACCGCACGCTGCTACCTTGACCGCTCCAAAGACGGCCGTCAGCAGCAGAGCTCTTCGGCCGGCGCCGATGAGCAGCGTGAAGTACTGCGAGCCAGAGTACGAAAACGTCGTGGCACCCGTGGCCTGCTGGGCGGCCATGATGCAGAATGCTGCAAATACCCGTCTGAAGTAGTCACCTCAGAGGAGCTCTGCAAGTTGGTTAGCCCTCGTATTGTATGTAGGGATAGTTTGCTCCTGTCCACCTTTGAACTCGAAGCCTTTTGTCTCTTCAGCCTCGGCCTCTCCCACCAACCTGATCTCATTCATTTCGTCAATCGTTGACTGCGATGCATCTCCGCGGATCCATGACAGACTCTCAAAGGCCTCCTGATGCTGTCCTTTCCTGGTAAGCCATTGAGCACTCTCCTTGAGAGTGAGCACGCTGCACCCGAGCAACACCGCCGGAACGAGTTGAAGACCGATGGGGATCTGCCACTGGCTGGTAGGCTCATCTTTCATGAATGAGGCCCCGTAGTCAATCCAATAGGAGGTGAAAATCCCCTGCAAGTGTCAGCTCATCGCCTCCGATACAGAATATGACTGAGAACAGCACCAAAGGCTTCTTGCGACCCTACTGTTCAGCAATGGGCCAAGCCAGAAAGCACCCAAAAAAGCTCCAAGCTGCTGCAACCCGACCGAGAGAGCGTTTGTCCGTGTCTGGTCTTGCTTTCCGTAACCAAAGTCTCACTGGAAGGATGCCAGAGTTAGTACTCCCCCGACACTGCAGTCGTGTGAGAAGGACTCCGTGTCGCTTTGCTTGGCTGACTTACATGCCGCTGTCATATCCGAACAAGAACGCCCCCATACATACGACAGACCCGAGACAATAGACGCGTATTCGCCCTCGAGACGTGCTATTATCCAGCGCCCGATCGAACGAATAGAGTCTCTCTGGAGCATGTTGGGTTGGAGCCCCGAGAGGGGCATGGTGCTGTTGGTCATGGCTCGTGCGACAGGATACCCATCAATATCTCGAGCCACGATTCTCACCATCAAAGATGGACCCGTGTGAGGAGGGAACAAATGTCCAATCTTGGTAGCCAACCATCTGGACCTCTTCGATTTATCGTCACTGGACCAGCGCTAGTGGTCAGCATGTGGGCGCTGGGAAACGATCGGCAGGTCATGCTATTCTTGTAAGACCGACAAGCGAGATTGTCATGGAGTCCTCTGGGGTAAACTGGAGACCCTGTAGGACATGTGTCCATGAGATTGGTATAAGGCTTGCGTGCTTACTGACGGCTTTGGCGATTTTCTCGACAGGATCAAAGACAGGGACCCCGACGAGCCGATGCGAGGCGTCTGTCTAACACCAGAAGCAGCAAGTATCGAATAATACGACTCCTTCAACATGAGCTGTGGATGACGTCCAAACTACCGACATAACCTCAACCCCCGCCCTGTCAAAGCCGCGCCAATGCGATGCCCTCTGCGATCGGACCTGAAGCTCTCAAATACCCGATGGATCCGTGTGGCGTGAGGAATGATTACGCCTGCAGAAGACTTCTCGAGATGATAGGCCCGTCGTCTTGAGGCGATCGTCCGCGGGATCAAAAGTCGGTTGTCGGTCTGGACAGCAAACCCGAGGCCTTGATGCGAGGGCCCCCCACCTTGCGATTGAGGCCCTCCATCGGTGCTCACGTATAACAAGAGCGTGTCCAGACGAATCGATGGGCATGGAAAATCTTGCTTGCCACTAAATGACTTGGGATTCTTCTAGTCTTGGCAAAATGGCAGCTTCAAAGCGACCCAACTTCCTTGTCATTGTGGCTGATGATCTTGGCTTCTCTGACATCGCCTCCTTTGGCAGCGAGATCAACACGCCCAACCTCGACAAACTAGCCAAAAATGGCCTCCGGTTCACCGACTTCCACGCGGCGGCGGCTTGTTCGCCATCTAGAGCCATGATCATGACGGGGACGGATCATCACATCGCCGGCCTGGGAAACCTCATCGAATGGACCAACGTCGCGGGCCAGAACGACCCGACGGGCAAGATGTCGACCAATGTCCAGCGAGGCATGCCTGGGTACGAGGGCTACCTCAACGAGCGCGTCGTGGCACTCCCCGAGATCCTCCGCGACGCCGGATACCAGACCCTCATGTCGGGCAAGTGGCATCTCGGGCTGACGCCAGAGCGAAGCCCCAAGGCGCGAGGCTTCCAACGCAGCTTCGCCCACCTCCCGGCGTGCAGTAACCACTACGCCTACGAGCCGCAGCTGGAGACGGGAGAGAAGTCACCGGAGTTCCTGACCATGAGCGTCATTGCGCTGCACAGCGAGGACGGCGAGTACGTCAAGAAGCTGCCGGACGGGTGGTACTCGTCGGACGGCTATGGAGATAAGATGCTGCAGTACCTCAAGGATTGGAAGGAGGATGGCGATGAGAGGCCGTTCTTCGCATACCTCCCCTTCACAGCGCCTCACTGGCCGCTCCAGGCGCCTCAGGAATACATCAAGAAGTACAAGGGCGTTTACGATGACGGCCCTGATACTCTCCGATTGAAGCGTCTCCAGCGCCTGAAAGACCTGGGCCTCATCTCCAAGGACGTCGAGCCCCACCCCGTCGTGGCGGACGAAGTCAAGGAATGGAACGACATGAGCCAAGAGGAGCGGGCGAACTCGTGCCGTGCGATGGAGGTCTTCGCCGCCATGGTCGAGTGCATCGACACAAATGTAGGCAAAGTGGTCGACTACCTAGAGAAGCAGGGCGAGCTGGATAACACCTTCGTGTGCTTCCTCTCCGACAACGGCGCCGAGGGAGCTGCCTACGAAGCCTACCCCATCGTCCAGGGCTCCATGATGCAGCATCTCAGGAAGTACTACAACAACAGCCTCGACAACCTTGGAAACGGGGACTCTTTCATCTGGTACGGCCCGCGGTGGGCGCAGGCCGCGACGGCGCCGAGCAGACTGTACAAGGCGTACACGACGGAAGGCGGCGTTCGGGTTCCCTTTTTGATGAAGCCGCCATCTTCATTTGACCAGACCATCGACCGCAACGGCATCACGCACCAATTCTCTACGGTTATGGACCTGACCCCTACCATCCTGGACATGGCCGGAGTCAAACACCCAGCCCCGACCTACCAAGGCCGTGAAGTCGTCGAGATGCGTGGCAAGTCCATGGTGCCGTACCTCCAAGGCGCGCAGCCGCGGATCCACGCGGAGGACTTCGTCAACGGCTGGGAGACATGCGGGCGCGCGGCCTGCCGCAAGGGCGACTGGAAGATTGTCTTCATCCCCAAGCCCAAGGGCCCCGAGCGCTGGCAGCTGTACAACCTGGCCAAGGACCCCGGCGAGGTCCACGACCTCGCCGAGCAGGAGCCCGCGCGGCTGAGGGAGCTCGTCAGGCTGTGGGACCAGTACGTGCTGGAGACGGGCGTCGTGGCGCTGAGCCCCGAGCTGGGGCTTTGGATGGCCGCCATGGAGGAGCAGATGCCCGAGAATGCGTGGATTGAGTACGAGTACTGGGAAGACGGCGCGAGGGAGGACCCGGCCAAGTTCACCAGGACAGTTCCGCGATTCCAGAGGCGGGTGACGACCATGTAGACCAGGCAGCGGTTTGATGAACATGTTTGTTTGATATGAGAGACGCTTTCTAGAAGGACCTTAAGTCAATCGAGATGCTTGGAAACGTTGCTTCCGTCGGCGGATACCGTGATACTGCCTTTGATGCTCCCCTGTTGCCTTCATCACGACAGCCATAACCCGCCAACCCACATCCCATCAAACTGCATTATAGATACACAGAGTACTCTTTAATACAAATGGTTCAAGACTGGTGAAAACAGCCAGTCCATGCAGGCTTCCACCTCCAACCAATTCATGAGGGGAATGATCCAGCAAACACGCACATATATCGTCGCTGCTGTGACATGTTTGGCAGCAGCAGCCCGCTCGCGATGGCCTTTGCACTGCATGGCTTCTAGAAGACCGTGAGTTCTTTCATCTCTTCTAGAAGGGTGTGTTTTGAATCCGATGTTGTGCAATCCCCCTCAGCTCGCGTCGGTGTGAGCCGAGGGGAGCGGACTGCAGTGTTAGCCGACGGGACCTTTTCAACAAGGCTGACACGTCCTGGCTGTTTGGCAACGCTGATTGACCATTGTTCACGCCGTGTCGCCACCAGGCAGAGAGCTCTATAAATACTGTCCCCTCTTTCGCAACTCAGTCCTGTTCATCTCTTCCTCCCACAGCAACTCCCCTTCAACACAACTCTTTCTCAACCACTCTTCAACCAACCCAGAGCCTACTTGACACACCATTCACTCTGATCTGTTGGCACGGCCACAAGTTGGCAACATGGCTCAGCAAGTTACCCCAGAGAGCCAGCGGCTCTCCGCTTACGCCTCTGCTACTCTTCCTCCTTACCCTGGTCCCGCTGTAAACCAGGCTATCGGTAACGGCACTGGAGCAGCTACGGAGCAAGCCTTTCGCCAAGTTCCAGTCCCATTTCGTTCTGGAGGAGTCTTTGGAAGCGACTTTCCTTCCTGGCTCACTAACCCACTCCGGGTTGGCCAAGCTCATACTCCGCTCACACCAGAGCCGGCGGCCTTTCATCACCAGGGCGACACCCAGTACTCGCCTATGTGGCCTCATGAGATCATACGTCCAGCGAATCCCCAGCCGACCATCTACGATGCTTCGAATGGTATGCCTGGCCATGTTGCTTCTTCCTTCACTGGGGCTTTTCAGCCAGATGTCTCGACTCGGGGTGCAAATGGTCCCGATTTCGACATTCTCAGAAACGCGTGGGACAATGCTCGAGCTTCCGCTACCTTGTATCCATCCCCCGTTGCTTCTGGCAGACTGCCCATTACCTATTCGACGGATCGCCTCTCATCGGTTGGAGTTTCGACTCCTCCGCCGCAGGGATCGGACTCTCAGTCTTCGCTCATCCGGTATCCTTCTCAGGCAGCACACAGCCCGGAGATATATACCCCGGTGGAAGCCCCCATGTGGAACGCATTCCAAGATCCAAGCAAAATGCCCCAGTGGATTGGGAAGACACCAGACAACCCCGCAGCCCTGACTCTGGCCCCCGCCACCAAGCGGCCTTCTCAGGCTGCATCTCCAGTTTCGCGAAGCGGATTCCGACCCATGGCTGCTGTGTCTTGCAACAAACGAGCTACTCGAAATGGCACTAGCCAAGCTGTTGCCATTGCTGACCACGCTGCCTTCTCCAGCAACTATCGTGGCGAACACAGCGCTCGGAATGCAAGCGTCCGGAATCTCAAGCCCGGGGAAAATTGCGCTCTTTGGCTGACGAACCTCCCGCCGGATTGCACCTACCATGAACTTCTCGGCACGATTCGAAACTGCGGTCGAATTTGGTGCGCCGTCATCAACAAGCCCGACTATGTGAGACACGTCACCGCTGCAGCCAAGATCGTTTTCTTCAACCCCCGCCCGGCCCAGACGTTCCTGGGCACTTCGTTGTTCCGCGGAGTGACCATTCGTAACCACAGAATCAAGGTTACTGAGAACCGTGTCAAGTACAAGGAAGAGCCCATGACAGGCAGCGAGTCTCGGGTTCTCATCATCACTGGAAGCTCAAAGTTCGTCAATGAGAAGGCCCTGACCGAGTTCTTTCGACAGCGGTTTGTTTTCGAGGTTGACGAAGTCCTCACCCTCATCCATGCTGAGCAGCGCACGGTTCTTGAGTACAAGTTTGGCAGTTTCCGATGCCAGGCGCATATGGGCAAGATGGCTCTGGAGAAGGACAGGCCCGAGGGTCTGGAGAAGGTGGAGTATGGAGAGGACCCTTGCGAGGTTGGTGAGACCATGTCTTCGTATGGAGTGGCGGGTTACAGAATTCAGGGCCGCTGAAGCGGGCGGGGAGAATGAGAGCGAAACAGCGGAATGTACGAGACGTGTAACACTATTCAGAAGTTTGTGAGTTGGACATGTTTTCGTAGGCATTGCTGCCAACATGGTAGAGAATGTGAGGGAATGTGGATTGCGCGAAAGATGGCTCGCTCTTAGAACTAGAGAGCATTTAGGATCCACGAATGGGGCTTCTTTTTCATAGAAGTCGAGACTGGAAGAAACTCTACTCCAAAGCTGATATTCCCAATGTGGATTGAGTGGATGTGATGACAGAGACTGAGGCTCCGAGATGCAACTCAAGGGACGGAAAGTATCCGAAACGCCACGTCACTGGTAGCCTGAGTCAAACAAATATTCAGCAAATCGTTTGTATCATCAAGAAATGAACCTGTTGAAAGGAGGTTTCCCAGGACATGCTCGGCGTATATCTCAACTGGTGGTCGATAAACTTACTTCCTCTCAATGAGACCATGGCCGAAAAATGTCTGGAGAGTCCTACGAGACTCCCGAGTTTATTTTTCCAGCTTCAATGCAAATGAAAAATGTCCTGGCCTATTTATTTATGCATGGCGTGAACATTCTCGTCACTCATGTGGGTTGCATGGGTGGGGTCATGTGGCGCCGTGACCCCAGCCCATTCAGCTCCAAGTCTCAACTTGGACACTCAGGAAAGGACTCATTTCGTTAACCACGTCTCCTTTTGACAACTCAACTCAACCCGCGAGACACCGTGCTACCAGTGGTTGAAGCCTGACAGCTTCCTTTTGCCCGTTCCAGCACCCGCGGCACCTCGGCATGCCCATCTCCATAGACGAACTCATTCGCCGGCACCCCCGGGAGCGGCTTTTTGTGCAACCCCTGGAATGGACAGCGCGACATGTCGAGCTTCTGCAGTGTTCCTTTGAGCTGCAAGACGACGAGGTTCCGCGCGGGAAAACCGTCGATGAGGCGGTTCACGATGCCGATCTGATGGATCGCCGGCCGTTTAGCTACTGGACCCACGAAGCTGAGGTCTTGGCAAACTCGGACACCAAGAACGCCGTCATTCGACGCATTCTCACAGACCGAAACGGGCCCTTCAAATGCATTCGGTAAGGCTGACAGATGAGAACGACAAGTAGAGTCCGCTTACTTGCTGACGTTTTCCCATCACAGGCCGTTTGGCTTCTTTCATTATGGTGCCGACCACAAGTTTCGCCTCCACGGTCTAGTCTTTGCTCCCTGCAGTCAACGTCAGGGTCCTGGTCAAGACCAAACGCCTCCAGTCTTCGCATTCATGCAACGCAGTATGGTTAAAATACAAAGAGAGGCCGCATTCCCGATGCCTCGTCCTCGGCGCCGCCAACAACTGCCGAATGTACCTGTCGCAGCTGCCCGCCAGCTTCAGTTGAAGCATCTAGAGCCTGCAGATCCATGCCGTGACCCGTACATTCTTGTTGTGCTTCTTGGTCTTGCACAGGCTCAAGCTGAGACGGTGGCGGTCAGCAGCAGCAGCTCCAAAACTGACCGGACAAGGCATGAATACAGAGTCAGTTTTTTGTTTCCGAAGAAACTGTTCGATGCGAACCCTAATTGTCCATAGGTCTGTGCCATATTTATTGATGAAACGAATACCGAACACATGAATTTCTATTCAGCCAACATCAGCGCGACTTTTCTCGGGAAATTCGGTTACCCCGAGCATTTGCAAGTGCCTCAGTCGCCACCCCTCTCGTCTTCTTTAACCATCAAGCACAGCAAATTCCCTTACAAGCCTTACACATCATTGCGTCAGCGTCTGATTGATGCGATTAAATCTCAATAACGGTTCATCAAAATACGCTTTGATAGGATGGAATAGGAAAAGTCTGGACTCATAGGTGCTGAAAGGGAATAATCACCCAAATTGAGTTGTTGATACGGCATTAGTCGCTCATGCACTCTTGTGCAGACTACGCTAGGTGACTGGCGAGGGCATCGTCAGATGTAACGCCGAGAAAAAAAGACAAGGTCAGATTGGGTCAAAGGGAGGAATGATAAATCTGGCACCTGGGAGAACCGAATCTTGCGCTTTTAGGTGTATTCAGCAAGGAAGAAGGAGACCAGAAAAACAGTTGCTGCCATGGATGGCTTAGGTTAGGGAATAGGGCAAAACAAAAGATACTTGAAGCGTCTCATATATGTAGGATTCACAATCTGATTTCCAGCTTCGAATAAAAGTCCAAATTACACAAAAAAGAAATAAGCAAAAGATCACCGTGCACATAAAAACAGACTAGGCCGCACTCCCAACCATACCTACTTAAATAAAGTCAAGTTTGGCCTAATACGTGTACTTAAACGTAACCTGATCAGGGCCTTGGAGTTTGCCCTTATAGTAGAGGGTGAATGATAGAATAATTCCATCGTAAACCACCCCCAAGTCGAAGGAATCGTCGGACGGGCGGTCCAGCTCTTGTAGCCATAACCATGTGACCTTGCAAACCTGGCTGCTGTAACCGGAACCAATTTCACCTTGATATGAGTACAAATCGAGCGTCAGGTATTTATCAGAATTGCGCGACACTGTCTCAAAGTTTTCGAGGCGGATTCTGAACATGTTCGGTCGCCTGGTTGAAAGATTCGCGCCCTGACAAACAAATATATGTCAGCTTAGAGCAAGAATTCTGGGGCTTAGTTTATTCCTTACCTTTTCCAAAAACCATTTTACGTCCTGATTAGGCGGTTGAAAGCCATATTTGTTTGGCGAAAGACGGCAGGCGACTATCGTCTGCCCGTCTCTTCGCTCTGTGTTGATGGCGTGATACAGAGCGCCATGTGCCTCCGATTTCCATCTGATAGATATAAGATATAGTTTTATATGGATTGAAAAGGAAGGATTATACTTACCCAGTATTGTCATGATACATGATGACTCCGACAGAACTACCGAAATCACCCTCGATCATTTTGTTGACCTCATTCTGCAGAAATAGGTTTTTGCCGAAACCTCCGGCAATAATAAGAGCCTGTGAGTTTCAGCCACGTTAGCTTGAGAGAATAAACAAGCTATCACATATACTAGAATATAATTACCTTTGGGAGTTGGCCTGTCTTTGCTTTGACTGCTATAATCTGCGATTTGACGAGCTGGATGATTCGATCCACGGGTTGGAAGATTTCCTCCAAATCCTCCCTTTCTAGGCATTAGAGTAGTAAAGAACAATAGATTAGAGTAAAATACCTTGTGAATGTCAAGATTTGCTCCAGCGATCCGGTTTGAACTTGTCTTGCCTGAAATCTAATAATGTCCGGGGGTATTACGATTTGGCGATTTGTATCGCTTCCATCGCAACATTCAATGATCCGTTTCCAGTTGAGTGAGATAATTTCCTCCATGGCCGACGCACTGAGCTGGGCACCTTGGGGGGAACATGCGCGAACCCTGGCAATTAATTTCTCTCTGAAGAGGTCGTTCAGTATCACAGCGCCGGACAAAGTGTACTCGCTGGGAATGCATTCTGCAAGGGAAAGAGGTGATAATCCAGAAACCTGGAAACTGACACAATGCTTTGAGATATAAATTAGCGAGCCATATGAGAAACTAGAGGGCTTTCAAAACTTACGGCGGTGCCTCCGCCACAATCGCAGACAACGATAGTATCGTTTTCCTGTTATATGTTAGGTAAGGTGCTTAGAAGATTGCAGAACGCTTGTTGTTCAAGCAAAGGAAGTTAGGAAGGAAAGAGAATGGACTTGAAAGATGTGGCAATTGAAAGCAGAATTTGACGATCGTGCCGCACCTTGGGATTGATCCTTTGCAGCTCGTAGGTGAGGAGGAAGACCGCTGCGGCTTCTGGCTCACAGATGAGGCTGGTAGAACTTCGTAACGGGTTGCCAAATTCCGTACTATCGATAGCTTTACGCATACGCTGTATTGCGTCGTGGGGCCAGTTGGCCGGGGCCGTGAACGTAACGTGTACCTTGCACTGTTCAACGGAAAAGGGAAGATCCCTTACAAAAGACTCCCAGAGCTTTTGCAAGTAAATCGTGGTGGTTTTCGCCACGTTTTGGCGAGCTTGATATGATTTTTTTTGAGCCTCCCAAAACGTGGTTGATTCTCCAAGATGGCCTCGATCATCGTCGTGTAGAAGCATCGGCTTGAACCATTGAAGAACAGAATGCTCAGCAGAAAGCCCAGAAGAACTCGATGAAGCTAAACTGCCATCCCCACAGATTCGCACCTGAGTGGGGATTTTCTCCGGACAAACGCTGAAACTCGATGCAGTGCTTGATGCGTCAAGTGCGTATTTGACGTCTGGTCCCAGTTGACCTGAAACTTCGACCTGATATGCGAGACAGGAATACCTGGTAGCCCAGTGGTTAATTCATAACCCAGTGTCAACCACCAAATTGAACGCAAAGGGGGAAGGCAAGGGGGAGGGGAGGAGACCTACGTGGTTCCAAAATCTACCCCAACATAAACCACGGCCTGGGGGTCAGGCTTGGCTAAAGCCATGATGACAACGTTTGAAGAAGGGGTGCTTGGACGAAAGAGAAAGATTGAAGGTATGGAAGGAGGGAGGGTACCTGGAGGAAAGATAAAGTTGACGAGAAGAAAATATTTATGGGCGCGAGGGCTATTGATATAGCCCTCAACTCGGCCAGATCAACTGCCCAACATCTCTAGTGTGAAACTAAGCTAATATAGGCGATAGGTTAAGAAGCTCAGACTTTGAACGGTGTGATTAGTAGGGCCACCTCCCTCGGACAATGCCCCTCTATTCCCTTGGGTGGTCAGGAGCATGCAAGGAGTGCCTCAATCGTGAGGTTTAAAGACGGTAGTTTGCAGCTGACCCAATTCAAGCTGAGGACCTTATTGGAGGATTCGTTTTAGCTTAGTTGTGGCTTGGAACTATTTGTGCAAGGGGGAGTTTCTTTGTCCTTGTGTTTATGAGTTGGCAGCATCGGGGCGTCAAGCGCGACACGTAGCCATGCCCGTCGTCTCGCAACCGGTTCATATACCAAAGGCGGCTCCAGCTGTGGTACTGATGGTGGCGCGTATTGATACTATTGTACGTGAGGCATGTGATGGCACTTTCGTGTTTATTTATGTCACGGAGCCTCTGATGGATGATGAACCCGCTTGTCTTGACTGGATCCTCCCACCCACTTCTTTTTTCTGCGAAGTCTTTGTGTGACATAATATGCCCACCCTCCGGAGCCTGTAGGAGAGAAACAGGAAAAGTCTCGGCTCATGGGTGCTGAAAAGTAAGAATCACCCATATTAAATTGTTGATTCTGTATTGGTCGGTCATGCACTCTTGTGCAGACTACACTAGGTGACAAACGAGGGCATCGCCATATGTAACTGTGACGCCAAGAAAAAAAGACGAGGTCAGATTGGGTCAGAAGGAGGAATGACAGATTTAACGTTTGCGAGTACTGAATCCACCGCTTTCCGATGGATTTACGGAGCAGAAAGGAGAGCGGAGAGAAGAGCTGCTGGCACAGACTGGGCTAGAGAGATAAAGCAAGACAAAACCCTTTCCAAGGAAGATGCGGGGGAAAAGGGACAAAAGGGACCCCCTCTAAGACTCCAGCAAAGCAAGGATCCAGTTTCTTGACTAAAGCTACTCCCTGATGCCTGCACTATCGCAATGCGTGTGGGACTGACAATTTAATTGACAGCTTGAGACCAAAGTCCAACCTGTATCTGGGAAGAAACAAGCAAAAGAGAACACCATATCCAAACACCAGCCAAAGCCGTACTCCCCCAACCTATCGCCCACTCGATGTCGTTGAGTGTGGCCTAGTAGCCGTACTCAAAGTTCACCTGCTCAGGGCCTTGAAGAATTCCGTCCACGTACAGGGTGAAGGTCACACTCATACCGTCGTGGACTAGGCCCAGGTGGAAAGAGTCGTGAGAACGGGGCTCCTGCTCTTGCAACCACTTGACCACACAAGTGCGCTGAATGAGGGAATTTTTACCCGACTGGGTGTAGACTTCCAGGGTCAGGTACTTACGGCCCTTGGACAGCAAGACTTGAAAGTCCTTCGACTGGATCTGGAAAGTATTTGGTTCGTCGGTAGAAATACTCGCCCCCTGGAAAATAACATTCGTGAGCTTATGGCAAACGGTTTGGTGCTCGCTTCATTCTTTACCTTTTCCAGAAACCATTTAAGGCCCTGGTCGGCCTGACGAAAGCCATATCGATGTCGCGATATACGGCTGGCGACCATCGCTGGTGCTCGGATCTTCCGCCCCGCTTCGATGGCGTGGGCCAAGGCACCATGTGCCACGGAGAGCCACCTGATAGATTGTGAGTTATGATTGTCATAGGGGGAAAGAGGGGTGTACTCACCCGATGTTGTCATGGTATTGGATGACGTTGACAGAACCATCAAAGTTATCCTTGACCATTTGATTGATCGCAGTCTGGACGAAGGTGTTTTTGCCGAGACCTCCAGCGATAATCACAGCCTGCGGGTTTCGTTTGCGTTAGCGCATGAAAACAAAACCCTCGAAGCATAGATTGGAGCATACCTTGGGAAACTGCCCGATTTTTGTTTTGGCTGCCTCAATCTGCGACCTGACGAGTTCTGTGATGCGTTCCATGGGCTTGAAGATCTCGTCCATGTCTTCCCTTTCTAACAGTCAGCACAAGCAACAAACGTTGAAACATGTTGTTCAAATACTTCGTAAATGCCATGACTTGCTGGCTCGATCCGGCTCGAGACCGTCTTGCTTGAGAACCAATGATCCATGCGGGTAGCGAAATTTCACGCTTTTCATCTTTTCCATTATAGCCTTCGATGATCGGCTTTAAGTTGTTTGCGATGAGGCGCTCGATCTCATCCATTACCGACTCATTGATCTGTGCCCCAGGGCAAGACGTACGGAACTTGGCAATGAAACGTTCTCTGAACGCATTGACGAAGATGGCTGCGCCGGCCAAAATGGACTCACCGGGAGTGCATTCACGAACTTCTAGAGGCGATATTCTAGAAATCTGGAGACCGATACAATCCTTTTGAGGCACGAGTCAGCGCGCAAGATAAGAAAGTCGAGGGAGGTTGGGAAGCTTACAACCGTGCCTCCGCCACAATCGCAGATAATGAGGGCGTCATTTTTCTATCCTAAGTCAGCCAAGGTACTCAACAGTTTATGGAAAGCTGAGAAAGGTTGGAGAAGAAAGCGAACAGTGTTGGCAGATGGGAGGACAAGGCCATGTCGCACCTTAGGATTGATTCTGTGGAGCTCTCGAGGCAGGAGAGCGATGCCCACAGCCTCCGGTTCAGAAATGAAGTTGACAGGGGTTTCGGTTGAGTTGCGGATGCCAGCAGCGTCAATAGCTGTCATCATACGAGTTCTTGCGTCATCCGGCCAGTCGGCCGGAACTGTGAAGGTGATATGCATCCTGCACTCTTCAGTGCAAAGGGAAGAAAGATCCTGGAGAAAAGAATTCCAGAGGTTTTGGAGATACATAGTCGTCACCTTGACAGCGTTTTGACGAAGACGACGCACGTTCGTCTTGGCTTCCACAAACCACGTTGAATCCATAAACTCTGCAGCATCGTCATCATGAAGTAGCATGAGCTTGGACAATTCGACAAGAGAATGCTCAGATGAGAGCTGATGGGAGCCCCATGAAGCAATACTCCCATCTTGGTGTAGCCGCAACTGACTGGGGATCTTTTCCGAACAAGCTATAATCCCCTGGGTGGAGTTCACATTTCGTGCGTACCGGGCGATGGTATTCGAGTGAGTTGGGGCGTCGACTGAATATGCGAGACAAGAATGACTGGTAACTCAGAGGTTAGTTCATATCTGCATTGAGCCCGAGATTCAGATCGCGGGGGAAGAGGGAAGAAGGGAGGCTTACGTCGTTCCAAAATCGATTCCAACGTACACGTCGGTCTGGGCATCAGGCTGGGCTGGAGCCATGATGTCGGTGACTGGGGTAAGAGTTAGAAGGAAGGAAAACGGTCGAAAAAATGGAAGTAGAGATGGGATCAAGAAGGAAAAGAAGATGATGAAAAAAGTTGGTGGGAAGAGACGATCTACCGAGGCCATGGGCTGTTTATATATCCCTAGGCTGGGCGACAACACCTGCCCAACCTCCCTGTAGTAACACTGAGAGCATCGGCAGTAGACAGGCACGCTTGAACCTTTAGGGATATGATTAGTCGGAGACATCTCTGTTAGGTCATACCTCTCAAGCAATCTCCCTCAAGCGGTCTGCACATGCAAGTGCAGCTCGCCTCCGAAAGCTACTCTCAACCAATGATCTATCACATGCTCAACGAAACTCTGTTTGGACGGAGTCGGTGAGGTGGAAGCCTTAAAACCTGATGGCTGATAGGGGCCACCTCTCTCTGGCTGTCAACATGATTCTGTTGCAGTATGCCCTGCTAGCTGCATGTAACAGGCAAGCTGAAGTCCCGGAGAGCCATGATTGGCTGCGGACATTTCGCTCAGGCTCTCTGCATGATGGCAGTGTACTTAGCTGCTGGGCAACACGTCTTCAATGGTGTGCCACATAATCAAAAGCCCTGAAGGCGCTGGGGGCTGGGTGGAGAATGTAGACTGACCCTTTGCTGGGGGCAGAGGCAATTACGAAGATGTTGGCGATGCTAATGTAGCACGCCACCGGAAGCTGCCCCCACCTCGTACATAATCAATGGCGGCGGGTTTCTATTTATGTTGATATAGCTGGTTCCCGGGCCAGTTGATTCCCGGGCCAGTTGTTCCCGTCCCGACCTAAGGGCAGGCCGCCGTCCCCTGGCCAGCTCAGGGGCTGCTCACAATTGAGTAATATCAAATGAAACTGTGTGACATTGATAGCAGGAAACTTTTGCCAAGAATCTCGTATCCGGTCAATGATCTGTCTGCAGTTTGATCAGCTTCGTTTGGCGGTCAACGGAAGCCGGCTGAAAACAGTTTCATTTTCCCGACGGCGTTGCTGCCACCACCCGCAGGAGGGTGCGTAAGCGTGCAGGTTGAAGACGGTAGTCTAAGTCTGGCCCAAGTGGGAGCTGAAGAGCTGAATGCGAGGCTACTTTGGGTTGGTTGTGGCTTGGAACTATTGGTGCAATGGGGGGTTTCTGTGTTCTTGTGTACAGCATCCTGCCATTCTTGAAATGACTGAGCGGGGTTTGCTCACACGTCTTCTGTGGGATTCAAAACTTGCGGAAGAGGGCCGTCTGCTGAATCCACATTCAAAGTAGGCAGGGTGCATTGGGCTACTCATTTGGCTGTGATAGTGCGTCCAACGTGACACGTAGCCATGCCTGTTGTCTCACAACCGGGTCCTATACCAGAAGCGGAGTGCGCGCCCCAGCCTGTGTTACCGATGGTGGCGGCTATTGAAGCTATTGTCCTTGGAGGATGCCGTGGTGCTTTCGTGTTTATCCATGCCACGGAGCTTCTGATGGATGGTGCACCCGCTTGGATCCTTCCGGCTACTTCCTTTTGCAGTGAAGTCTTTGTGTGACATAATACGTCTACTCTCCGGAGTCTCTGATGGATGGTGCACCCGCTTGGATCCTTCCAGCCACTTCCTTTTGCAGCGAAGTCTTTGTGCGACATAACACGTCTACCCTCCGGAGCCTGGCCAACCCCCAGGAAGTTGAAAGTTGACAACGATCTCCGCCATGTTGAAGCAATCCTTGGCTTCCGACTCGTCATAGCTCTTAGGCTTGAGAAAGTTGCCATCTTTGGCCTGCAGTTGCTCTCAAGCACACCCCAGCAAGTCGGGATAGTATCCCACCAGACCCTTTGGAAGTTATCTTGATCTGCGCTCCACTTCCTTACTCGCACGTCTCGACCTCCGCCACCATGCCTCGGACACGCCAATGGACCCGCGACCATCCCCAGCCCGCTGAATCCCACGACGACAAGAAAGGAGTGGAATGTCGTACCTCGAAGCGTCTGCGGGAATCTTCACCTTCGCAGGACAACTCCAACGCCAGTCCTCCTACCGCTTCAACGATGGAGTCAAGCTCGAAGATTCCGGAGCCGCATTCAGATGAAACCCTCCCCCAACACTCCAAGAAGAAGAAGTCTGGATCCGTAAGTCATCTTGGCACAGTGATGGAAGGGATACAGAACTGACAAATATACCTCTAGACCGAACAACTGTTGCCGACCGTCGAACCCTTCGTTGATTCACCGCAGTTGAATCTAGACATGCCCTCAGTCGACCCAGAAGAGAAACCAACAGTCGACCAAATCTCCGAACAGGTTAGAGTCGAAATGTTAGATAACCTACGGATCCATGATAGGGTCTACACCGGTCACTACTGGCCTGAAATAAACGCTGGGATCCGGGCTTTTGCGCACAGTCACTTCGAGGACCTTCGGTGGGACCAACTGGATGAATGCACCAAAGAGAAATTCACCACATGGACTCCAAATGCTCGTAAGGTCTTCGAAATGACGGGAGGCTCGACTCGTTTCTTTACCTCCTGGATTTGGCGCATCTTAGCCAATTCGATATTCAATCAGAAGTCTGATAAGATCAAATGGGTATCACCTTACTTCAAGGCTCAAAATGATATGCTGAACCACCTGCAAGGTATGACTCCATTCTTCTTATATTATGCATAACTAACTTTAAAGATAGAGCTGACGCCAAACGTGGCATCGACCCTCTCATTTCAATGGAACCGTTGGAGAATGGAAACGGTGCATTTGTTCGAGTCCGCAAGCACACCATTACCTTTCAAGGAATGTATCTTGTACCGCATCGACCAGAGTTGTATTCGTACAATTATCGCTGATGGACTTGGTTCATACTTCCCTCGCGAGTTGGAAGAGTCCCATTTAATGAATTTAGGGTACGCAGTTGTTCAGATGGAGATAATCTTCGCTAGAAGTCTGGTTGATCTGCAACTTATTTTTCATCACCCCACCTTGGGTGAGGTCTCTGGGTTCGATTTCCAACCAGAAATCGACGGCTTTGATGGCCATGCTATGTCCAATGTGGATTATTTTTCCACGCGTGGGCAAAGTCCTAAGGGGAGAGCCCGGGAGCTTGCTGTGCAGTATGAAAAGGGTCAACCTGGTCGCCCTGTCGACTTTGTCGTGGCCCCCATGCTGTTGGGCCGCCATTTGAGGGCATTGTATCAGGACCAGATCATCTACGAACCGATGGCAGTCTGCGTGGGTTGGGTGGCCGACTTTGATGCGGAGGAGAAGGAGAAGGACGATGGGAAGAAGAAAGAGGAAGAGAAGAGTGAGGAGGGAGAGGGGGAGGAGGAGGAGGAGGAGGAGGAGGAGGAGGAGGAGGAGAAGGCATAGCAGATCATGGTTCTTGGTGCATGGCCATTGCCTCCGAGATTGCATCGACTGTTTTGTCTTGGGATTTGGTAGTCATGTCTTGTATTTCACCGACAATTTGAACACGATCTAGTTTTTCCTTGAAATAATCTCTCTCTCCTCACGCTGAACCATGAAACTGCTTTCCAAGCACTCGTCCATCGCAGTCATGGCTGCGACGGCGCCCTTGTGTACGGACATCCCGCGTGAATCGCCACGGGAACGCTTTGGCTTGGCATGGAAATTTCGAGTCGGACGAGCTGGACCCACTGAGCATCGAGTGGTCGGAACTGCAAGGCGCGTCCCACGGGGAGTGAAATTGCGCCGGCGACTGAAACGAGACGCGGCAATGTAATGGCGGCTCGGGGCCGGGTACGGTACGAACAGATCCGCGACAGTCACGGATCACTACTAATTTTACCGTCCACAATTTCATACGGGGGGAGCTGTGTGTAACGGGATCATTTCTTTACTGTAGAAGCTCACTATTTAGCAGGTCAGCTATGTCTCGGGCAATCACGGCGAACCGCGTGTGGTGTTGCGCCATGAATCTCGGAGCAGGGTGGCCACACTCTCGGAAAATACCAAGTCCCCCCAGCTTCAAGCTACCTTACACTGCAGCGCCGTCTGTGTACCCGTCCAGACCGGGCATCTGTTGTGAAACCCAGCGCGCTACCAAGCCCACGGGTGCGGGTTGGCCGCAATCTGCTCTCTCTTGGCTGCCAGCACAGTATGTTTCGTTTTGAAGGGCAGGCGAAAAGTACGTTCGAAGAAGCTAAGAAAACCGTACCGGTCCTCGCGGTGACAGCGCTTGAAATCTGGGTACAGCTTCTCCAGGAAGCTCGTGCAGCCGAATTCCACCTCGACAAGCTTCTTCGTGTCTGCATAGCCGGGCATAATACTCAGGACGCGTTGTCTGCGTTGAAGCCGTTTGGCGTCGGCGGCTAAGCCTTTCTGGATCCAATCGTCATATTCTTTAAGTTCCAGATCCAAAGTGACAGTGGCGATGACCAGGATGTCGAATATGGCGTTAATCTGTTCTGGTGTGCAGCGGAGGGACTCCAGGCGCCGAACCTCGCGCACGACATCCCTATGCCAGCTGGTGATTGGATCCGTCCAAAGATCTAATTCACGTGCTGAATCAGAGTCCGAGTCTGACATTTTGAATGGTGATCGGAAAAGTTGTGAGGTATAGTGAGGGATCGTGGAAGTTGGTGTTGTGGCAGCTGGGTGGTCGGGTGGCTAACGCCTACCTTTATCTTCTCCCGTGTTTGTGCTTCACGATCAAGTACTCCCCCTTTTTTTTTTTTTTTTGACATGTTCACTGCGATACAAAGGGCAATTACAAAGTGTTCGCTGTGATGACACCTTAAATCACCGTCTTGGAGCACCATGTAGGTCAGGATTTGATGTAACGGAGCATGAGTCGCTGACCAAGGCGTTTTGATGCTCGGAACATCATCGTCAAGACTCTTATGCAAGAATACTCATTCTCACTCCAACAGGTACCACTTGAGAAAATTTCTTGATTCAACACGCAATACTTTGCACTCATTTTCAGTGTAATTTTGAGTATGTAGTGATGCACTCAACTACTCAACTTTTCCGAATTCCATTCGACCTTGGCCATCAATTTTAACAGTGACCAATCGTGCCCGCAAGAGTTGCTCCTCCAGGCTTTGTTACCAGAACGCCATTTCCAAGACCACTAAAGGAACCTAAGCCTGGTACATTACTCACGCATATTTCCCGGTATCAATCTCCCAAATCGCCCCAAAATTCTTTCAAATCATCCGCTCGCCACCGCGTCGACCACCCGCTCTCCCTCTCAATCCTGCCCAGAAGCTCCAGGATGGCCTTGTGTTCGCTGGGATGGCTCATGCACCGTCCCGCGATCCACAGCGGCTGTATCCCATTCGTCCAAGCCCCGTGATGGTCGTTTGAAATGCTGATCCCACACACTTGCCTGGCGTGCCAGAGGATGCTCCGAGGCTTTGAGGCCAGGCGCACCGCAGGCGGTTGATTTTGCAGCATCAAGATGGATGCTGTGTGGTGCAGCTGATTGCCCGAGATGGCAGCGGGGTTGGAGAAGAGAATGGTTGGAAATGGGGAGGAGTCGCTCGAGGGAATCGTCATGGTGGGGATAAACGGCGCCGGTCGGCGATGATGCCAGTCACAAATGTACTTCCATAGCTTGAGCCAGCGCGCCCGGAACTTGGGATCGTTGCGCGTCGGAGCCTGGATCATTTCCGAGGGCATGGCGAGTAGGTCGAGCACGTGGGCAATCAAGTAGACGGCGTAGTTGGCCCATTGCTCAAACTCCTTGGTGGACCGGAAGAGCTCGACGTCGGCCTCAATAGTCCTCTTGGAGGCCCAGTGAGAAATGGGAATGAGCGTCTTGACCGAGGATATAAGTCCACCGCAGACATCCATCCGCGCGAAGCACCAGAACAACGCTCCCTCGATGCCTCCAACGAACCCATTGATTCCCACGGCCTCCATCAGGCTTGCACAGCCGTCTAGGTGTCGTTGCCACGCCTTGGGCGAGCAACTCAGCATTTCCAACACGCAGAGGATGACACACGTAGCGATGACAGCAGTGCTACGGGTAGGGAGGTCCGGGAGAAGTAAGTGGATCGCCTCTTGATATAGAGCGAGGCTTCGATCGGTTGGGGTCGTCTCTTTTAGCTCCAGCTGCCGCGCGGAGAGCGCAAGCATGGAGTAGCGCAGATAGTCGTGGTTTTTGGTCATTGTGGGAAGGATATGCTGGAATTGTCGATCTTTGTCGAACTTGTCCAACCAGGGAGCAATCTCATCAAAGTAATTCTTCCACAAGGCGTATTCTTCACCTTCTGACAACAAGGGCAACTGGGTGTGGGCTGAGGTTTGATAGTCTGGAAGTGGAATTGTTTCATCCGCATCGTCATCGATCGTTGTTGATGTGTCGTGTAGGCTGTCAGCCTCGAATCTGGGCGTCGTCGACCTCGTCGGAGCATTCGATCTCGTTTCCTGGATGAGGCGGTTCCGCAGCGTCGAGTGCAGCTCGTGGTATGCCGAGCCAGGGAGGAAGATGCCGTCCTCGGATGTCCCTTCCGGGGTGAAGGCCTGCATCTGCTCCATGTACGAATAGTCGGTAATCATGTCCATTGCAATGGGATCCATCGCCACCTGCAGCGCGGGGTCGACTTCCACGGGCGACTGCATCTGGCCGCCCTGGCGGAGGTAGAGAAGGTTCGCGACGGCGCTTTCGGTCTGGCGCTGAGATACTGGCGACCGGTTGCCCGTGGTCGAGGGTGTCTGGTTGGCGAGGAAGCCATCTGGATGGTGTGCGATGCGAGAGGGTCCGTTCGGGCGGGCGGTTGTGCCTTGATTGTGGCCTGCATCATTTGAAATATCAGCGTCCGCGTCCGCGTCCGCCGACAGCCATATTGGAACAGCGTCACTCACCATTCGTGCGCTCCTTGCCCTCGCCTTCATCTTCATCGGACTCGAGGAGCGGCGAGGGCGCGTTGTAGTCGCGGATAACTTCGGATGTGATGTCGAGAATCTCAAACTCGCGAGGCGGCCGCTTCCTGGCCATCTTGCGCATCGACGGATGACGGCCGTCCAGCCCCTGGGCATTCTCGGCCCGGAACGTAATCTTGAGACCCCATTCGCAGTGTTCGTTCCGGCGGTAGCACGTCCCGCAGGCCGGGCGGCCCTCGTCGCACTTGCGCTTCTTGCGTCGACAGTTGAGGCAGCCGGTCCTGGTGCGCGTGCGCTTCCTCGGCGCAGGCTCCAGGCCGGGGTCGGCGTTGCTGCGGCCCAGGGCTCTGTCCATATTCGTTAGGCGCAGCCGAAGCGATGGCGATAGGTCGCTACATAGGACCGCGGACGGATGCTGGGGAGTCGTCGGGATGGTGGGTTGTGGAGAGACAAAGTCGAGGTTGTGGCTCTTCTGGGTTGGGAGGGGCAACTCTAGACGCCCGGATTAGCGTCCACGGCACATGGCGGTGGAGCAAGACAAGTAACGGGTCCCAATGGGCAGAAATAGACAAACGTTCATGCACAGCTTCATTTATCGAGTCGTCAAGATGCTGGAGCTGCCAGACTGCTGGTGGAGGCCATCGTCGAGCTACCTGGTTAGTGTGCGGGATCGAACCTGGGGGATTGCCAGGATGAAGACCGCTTGCAGATGCCGTCGGCAATCCAGATGGGGACGACACCTTGTGATTTGGACGTTTTTTTCTCTCTCTTGCTATGGCTATTTTCATTACTCAGGGCTTTGCAGCGTCGCAATTATGTAGTATTACGCTACACCTGCTTCAGCGCCATCTCCACACCCCGCAGGATGCTCACAACCCCCAGCGCCCCCGGATCCGGGATGCCACCCTCGTCGTCGAAGCGGTCCTGGCCGACGTAGCTCGCCCGCCCCAGAGCCGCCGCCATCTTCCGCGTGGCCTCGGCGCCGGCTCGGGCATCGGCGATGGCGTTGTGCAGCGGCGCACCGGCGTGCTGGAAGGCGCTCACGAAGGGCATTAGGGCGTCCATCAGCGTGCGGTGGCCGATGCGCGCCGGCGTGTAGCGGCACAGCTCGTCCAGGCCGCCCTGCAGCGCGGTGCGGATCAGGGCTGATGCGCCGCCGTGGTCCGGTGACGAGGCGAGGTCTGTCAGGCTGTTGGCGACGGCGTTGAGGAAGATGGCGTAGATAGCGCCCGACGTGCCGCCCATGCTGCGCTCGGCCGTCGTGGCAGTTCGGCGAAAGATCTGGCCAATGTCGAGGGCGTCTGCGTCGTCCTTCTGGAATTCCTTTACGAGCCCTAGTCACACAGGGTCAGCTGGTCGTTCATCCATGCACCGTTCGGTCCCGGGGGCAGGTGAAAGCGCCTTACCGTTGACGCCGTTGAGTAGCGTCTCTCCACAGTCGCCGTCTCCCGCCAATGTGTCGTACTCGGTGATCTTCGGCTCGTCCTCAGCAGTGGTCTTGGCTACTGACTCGATGATGGCCTTGACCAGCGAAGTCGGAACTATACACCCGGTTAACATGCAATCCGCGTAGTTGGAACAGTGGACGGACCCGTGACGCCCGTCTCCCGCTTGTTTGGCTCCTCGGCGGCAACCGTCGTCTCTCGGCTCGCCACCGCCTCCGCATCCATTGCCCAGCCGTGGATGGATCGGGGCCACGCAGGCGCCGTTGTAGGCGCATCGAGCAGTTCCACCAGCTCGTCGTCGAGCTGCAGCAGCGTCGTCGAGAACCCAGGGCCGTCAAGCGATGTGACAAACGTGCCGACCAGGCTGCGGTCGATGGTGATGTCGCGCGCCACCAGCTGCCGCACAACCTCGTCCGCGATGACGCCCAGCTCCAGCACGCTCAGCCCGCCGAGATTGTTCACCATCAGCGCCGCGCGCTGGCCGGCCTGCGGCTGCCACATGTTGGCCTTGGGCGTGAACATCATGTCCAGCGCCTTCTGCACCGTCGTCTCCAGGTTCGGCACCGCCTCGCGCTTGACGCCGGGCTCGTTGTGGATGCCCATGCCGTACTCAAGCTGGTCGCTGGGGAGCGACTCTTGATGCGCCCGCCCGGGGACGCTGCATCGGTCGAGGCTGGCGGCGACGGTTGCCATCTGCGACGCCGCCTTCTTCGCGACGGCTGTGACTTCGGTGAGGTCGGCCCTGGACAGAAGCTCATGTTAGCAGGCGCATCGCGACCATTATGTTCGACAGGACTTATATTACCCCTTGGCTGCCTTTGCCCCGGCAATCTTGTGCACAAACACAACACCTGCAAGTCCTCGCTGTCCGACCAATGCGTTACCCTCTACCGAGACGTCGTCGCCGACAATGACCATGTTGACATTCTGTCCATCGGCCTTGGCCTTCTCAGCCGCTAATCCGAAGTTGAGCTTGTCGCCAGTGTAGTTCTTCACAATCATCAAGGACCTGTCCTACACGTCAGCCCTTCGATCACGCACGCTCCACTCGTTCGCCTACCCCTTGGACGATTTCACAGTCTTCAATCCCGTCAGGATCTGCGAAGCCGACGGCGACGCAAAGATCTCGCCCGCAACTACGGCGTCGAGCGCTCCCTCGCCCAAGTACCCTGCGTGGGCGGGCTCGTGGCCGGAGCCGCCGCCGGACAGCAGCACGACCTTGTCGGCATCTTTGGAGGCGCGTCGGCGATAGAGGACTTTGTTTCAGCGACGCAAGTCAGCCCATGCTTGACGTTTAGCATTCTCAGTCGTGCTCACTTACTCTTCTCTGCGGCGATGAGGCTTAAAGATGGGTCGTTGAGTATACAACTTCGCAAGGTCCGCTGGACGGGGTTGTCGACCCCACTGATGAAGCTCTTCCCTGTTTACTGTCTCAGCTATGCCGATCACCCCAGAAGATCGCTCGATGTTCGCGCCTACCTAGAGTCATGATGCTGTGATTCGGTGTTTTTTGCTGGGGCGAAAGACTTCACAGACGACGGCCAATTCGTAAAATCACAGAGTCCTCGGGGCATCACACCTCAACCACATAGCATTGCGGCATCCTCAACACCTTATGCCTCGCCGTGGGCGTTCCCACATGCCCTTTTCGACTGACAACGGGGCTGGCTTTTTCCACGCGCGTGGCTTGTCTTTCCAAGTCCGCGGTCCCGCGGGACGGCCAGGAACCACGCCCCCCCGCGGCGTCGAGAGCCACCCCTCTTTGGCCTCGATTGACCGGCTGTCGGCGTTGTCCATTTCGGTCGTGGTTTGCATCACAGGGGGCATCTGGAAGCGGTCTTCGCCTGGACATTCCAGTTCGCCGACGGCGCATGCAATTGCCTGATCGACAGTCCAGTTCCTGCATACCACCCTAACCACCCTCCGCTCTGACGACGGGCTCCACCCGGACTGGCACCGGCCGTACGAAAAAGCAGGCGCACGAAGTTTGACAACTTCAGAAGTATCTAGACCGCCTCCACACAGTACAATCTGCGACTGATTAACTGCCTAGCATAGGTATGTAATGGTAGTAGAGCTTCAATTAAAATATATTCAATAGTGTGTACTGAAGTATATATGAGGCTAATAGTAAACCCTCACTTTTAGAAGTAAAACCTCAACTTTAGTTATTAGCTGAATACTAAATAATAAAGATCTAAGGAGTTTATTCGGTAAGTACTGAAGGACACTGTCCATATACTGCACTGCACCGTAGTATTAGACGTAAATGTTTCAGAGCTCCGACACAGACTTTTGGCCGAGTCATTCACTGTGTGCTACAAGCCTGGCCCTGGAAACCCACACCATCATTGCCCTGTGCCGGCGCCCAAAGTGGATTGCCGCCGCACCACGCTGTAGCATGCAGCCCACCTCTGGGCCCCGTTGGTGCGGGTTTAACCAGCATAATGCCCATCGGCCGGGGATAGGGACATTTGGTGATTTGAGCATCCAGACGGAATCCTGCTGCCTGCTCACTAACGTCGTAGTCGCGATCCCAAAGGGGTCCAGGGTTCCATCTTCACCCGACTCTCGGACCACATGGTCCCCCTCGTCGCGCGGGCCTCCGCTTGGGAATGCCTTCACGGCGCCCGAAACCGTAAGGATCGCCCAGGTGCCTCTATCGCGCCCCATCGCGGGCTAATGACCCCTAGCGCGACCCCAGAAAATTCCCTCCGAAGTTGCGTGATGTAATTCCCGTCTACACGGGTCCGCCCATGGGGCTTTGGCCTCTGGGGAACCGGTTTTGCGGGTGCCCCAGTTTCTGCCACCACGAGGACAGCCAGGCTCTGAATTTTTCGACGTCTCTGGGGTGGACTGGGGAAACTTCAGCCGGGGTGCAGTCGCATAGTATATGAACATGGCCGTGTCCCCCCGCGAATATCTTCAATTCTCCAGACCATCTCAGGCTTCCAGGGAGCAACTCTCACTCTGCTGCTCTAATTTGTTCGTCATCAGCCCACCATGACTTACCTCGTTGGAAAGCCCCTTGACTGGGCAATTACCGCTACGGCCGGCTCTGGCTTCCTCCTGTTCGGCTATGACCAGGGCGTCATGTCGGGGCTATTGACCGGCGATGCCTTTACAAACATGTTCCCCGAGATCGACACCACCAACGGTGGTGGTGGCAGCTCCTCGCTGCAGGGCACCGTTGTTGCCATTTACGAGATCGGTTGCTTTTTCGGTGCCATTTTCTGTCTGCTGTGGGGCGAGTATCTCGGCCGCCGAAAGTGCATCATGCTTGGTTGTGTGGTGTTGAGCATCGGTGCTGCCCTCCAAGCCTCTGCGTACGGCATCCCCCAAATGATTGTCGGCCGTATCGTGGCTGGCCTAGGGAACGGAATGAACACGAGTACTATTCGTAAGTATTTGATTTTCTTTTTAGCTTTCCTCAACATCAGTGGATGGATCAAAGCCATGCAGTATCCGTACGCCGAGGAATCACTAACACGTCTTTAGCGGTATGGCACTCCGAACTGATGAACGCCAAAGACCGCGGCCGTGGCCTTGCTATCGAATTGGCCGTGAATATCTTCGGCGTCATGCTTGCTTACTGGTGCGACTACGGAATGTCATTCGTACGCAACGAGGCTCAATTCCGGTTCCCCCTTGCGCTGCAAATCCTCTTCGCCGTCGTGACCCTCGCGGGCGTCATTTTCCTCCCCGAGTCCCCTCGATGGCTCGTCGCCCACGACCGCCACGACGAGGCCCGAGAAATCCTATGGGCTGTTAACAAAAATGCCAAGCAGATCAACAAGGACGACCCTGCCATCAGCCGCAACTTGGCTGAGATTCAGCATGCCATCCGAGAGGAGCGCGAGGCCGCTCAGACCAGCAGCTTCAAAGCCATGTTCAAGAACGGTGACCAGAAGTTCCTTTACCGGACTCTCCTCGGTATTGGAGGACAATTTATGCAACAGCTTTCGGGTATCAACTTGATCACTTACGTATGTATTCCCATTTTCCATGGTTTTTGGCGACTTTTGGCCGTCTAACATGTTGCGTTTAGTACGCCCCCGTCATTTTCCAGAAATCCGTCGGCATGACGCAACGCATGTCTCTCCTCCTGGCCGGATTCAACGGAGTTGCCTACTTCTTCTCGTCTCTGATTCCCATCTGGATCATCGACCGCCTTGGACGCCGAAAGCTGATGCTGTTCGCTGCTGCGGGCCAGTGTGCTTGCATGGCCATCCTCGCCGGCACCGTCTCAGACGGAGGCACCGCAGCCGGTATTGTCGCCATTGTCATGCTCTTCCTCTTCAACTTCTTCTTTGCTGTTGGTCTTTTGGCTATTCCCTGGCTTTGTAAGTCGCCCTGTTGGTCTCCATCTTAGTCAACGTCCCGTCTAACACCCAACACAGTGCCGGCCGAGTATGCCCCTTTGGCCATCCGCACCCGCGCCGCCGCACTTGCAACCGCTTCCAACTGGATTTTTACTTTCTTGGTTGTAGAGATAACTCCTGTCTCTATTGATAGCATTGGCTGGAAGACATACGTATATTTCGGTGTCTTCAACTTCTGCTTCATCCCCATGATCTACTTCCTCTACCCTGAGACTCGCTTCCTGTCCCTGGAGCAAATTGACAAGCTTTTCACCGGCGACAAGATTAAGCTCCACTGGGACAACAGCATGGGAATTCCTGGAGAGGCTCCCGCTAAGGAGTCAGACGCCGAGACTGCTGGTGCGGAGCATGAGGAGAAGACGATGGGCATGCGCAAGTCGGACTCTTTGTAAATGCGATGGAGCTGCACTCAAAAAGACAGCGCTCTTGAGTGCGCTTGTGGAGGGAAGACATGATGCTGAATGGATACCCGTTAATTAGCTATTAGTCTAAACTTGCAGTGGGCGAGTTGGGCAAAACTAGTCTCAATATATTTGTCAAATGCCCCAGAACTACACTCCAGTTCGCCAATGGCGCATGCAATCCTCGATTCAGTGGTCGCTATCTTAGCATTCTTTCAACCTCTCTTCCATGAAGCTGCCATTCGTGGAAGATGTTAAAATCACCGCAACCGGCGCTCACTTGTGCTGGACGTGGAAACTTGGGCAGGTGACCACGCGAGGTCGCGGATGGCAGATTGGTGGCTACTGGGCGAGGAACTCTTGAGAGCGGAGAATCTATTTGCCTTCTTTGAGTGTGCTGCTGCCTGCTAATGCTTCGTGTCTGAATTTGAGTATTGCTATTTGCACACGTTCAAAATGCTAATGATATACAAGTACAAGCTTCTACACCTGGGTTTAGTGCGAGGTAATATATCTGACTGGTATGTCTACTCTAAGTATCTTATTCTAAAAAGGTTTAATTTCTACCCTAAAAAGAATTTTTTTTTTTTAAATAGTAGAGCTTAGAGAATAAATACTTAGAGTTAAGCTTATTAAATTTCTTAGTTTAGATAGTTATACTAATAAGACTTTATGGTGAAATTTGCCTACGTACCTTAGGTACTTAACGGGCGAGTAGCATTTTGAATGTGTGCAAATAGCAATACTCCTGAATTTAGGGCGCTATGACTGGTTCCAAAAGAGGCATTGCTAATTCGTGGAGGTGCATCAGGTCCCTGTGCTGCCCGCAGCTGTTGGCGGCTGTTGAAAGAGACTCCATTGATTGGCATGGTGAACCAGGGATCTCGTGCCCCCTCACATCCCTCACTGCTAAGGCCAGAGTATGAGCGCAACCTCCAGGGAGACGCTCTAAACAATAGGATCTGAAGTCCATCTCGCTAGATCAAGTTTAGTGGAGAGAAAACACACACATGGTAATACACAACACCGATCAGTGTTCATTTCTGGTTAGCGCAGCTCAACGCAACCATTAAGGAAACAGAAAATCCGAGTCATTGTGAATAACAAACCTGTTAGAAATAGGATTCTCGTTGACAAATCTATCTCACCATCAATAATGGAAATGCTGTTTTGTCTTAGTGATTGAAGCAAAGTTGTTAATTCTTCTCGGCAATCTGTGCTGAGACGTCGGACCTTGTGAGGAGAGGGATTGGTTGGGATTGGTGATTCCAGTTTGGACCTACTTGGCTTGGAGATACAATTGACAATGGGACTCAACTATTTGTGAGTTTGACAAACGTTTTAGCTTGACTACCAGGTGGCACGAGGAGGTCAGCCACCACGAAGACACAGCCGCATTGCGCGTGATTGCAATGCCTACGAGTGACTGCATGTGATTTTCATCTCATCGTTATGCCAACCAACCATAGGTAGTTACCTTTCTCAACCATGTGTCACGTGTGTTTACGCAATTTTACGAAATCATCTCAAAGAAACAAAGAAACAGAAAAACCCACAGCTGTCTCCATCACCACCGCCACTACCATTATCCACCAACACCACTACCAACACGGTTACCACGAAGGCGTGCATTGAGCATGCAGGCACTCGTACGCAATAAGATGACGGCCGAACAGGCTGTGGCCCTTGAGGATGGAAACGCCCATCCCTTTCGTCCTGGACTGCACACAGGCGGGTATTTTGAGATTCTGAAAGCGCGTCGCCAGCTTCCAGTTTCTGGGACACCGGGGCGGGAAAGACTACCCAAATCCCACAGTTCATTTTCTTCGATGAATACGCTAGCGGAAAGGTCATCGCATGTACCCAGTCACGAATACTAGCAGCGACTGCGGTGGCGCGACGTGTTGCTACCGAGATGGATGTACCTCTGGGCCAAGAGGTGGGTTATAGTGTCCGGTTCGATAATGCTACCAGCGATAAAACCCGGCTTAAGTATATGACCGACGACCTGCTTCTGCGAGAGGCTATTGAAGACGGTACCTTCTCCTCATACGTATGTGATACTCTTTTCTGAATTTAACCTGAGAAGTGCTGATTATCGTAACAGAGCTGCGTTATCATCGACGAGGCCCATGAGCGAACTATGTCTACGGACATCCTTATGGCTCTGCTCAAAAAAGCAGTTGCGTCCCGATCTGACTTGAAGGTCGTGATTATGTCGGCTACGCTTGACACTGGAACGTTCACAAATTACTTTGCCCCGTCCGCTTCCACATTTCGGGTAGATGGGCGGGCACATCCTGTCGAAATCCAGCACATATCGGGGGCGAGCCCCGATTATTTTCTTTTGTCTCTAAACCTCGTCAAGCACATTCACGACAGCCTGGGGCCTGGCGACATTCTCCTTTTCCTTCCATCTGTGAAGGAAATAGAGGATGCGTGTTCGATGCTTCGAACGCTTCGAACGAGCATAGCAGGCATGGATGTGTTGCCTCTCTACGCCTCCCTCCCTCCCTCTGACCAAGACAAGGTGTTTTGCCAGTCATCTATGCGGAAGTGCGTTGTCACAACAAATATCGCCGAAACCAGCTTGACGATTGATGGAATTGTCTATGTCATCGGTATGTTATCTTTTCCTAATCCAATATCGCCATTTTCAGGAGAACGTATGCTTCATAAGCTATAGCCGGGAAGCTTGAGCCTCTGGGCTCTTGACTAGAGGTAACTGACCATGAAAATCAGATCCAGGTGTATCCAAGCAGTCTGGCTACAACCCGCGTGCTAGTCTGAAAACCCTCCTCACAGCGCCCATTTCAAGAGCCTCGGCCCGACAGCGAGCAGGTCGAGCTGGCCGCACTGGACCAGGCGTTTGTTTTCGACTCTACGATGAAGACACTTTCGACAACGTATTCCTCCCGTCTTCCCCCCCCCCGGGATCCTTGAGAATGACATCACGTCTGAGATATTGATGCTCAAAAGCATGGGTTACAATGGGGTTGGCAGGTTTGACTTTCTCACTCCACCTCACCCCGAGGTCTACCTGCGTGGTCTGGAGGAGTTGGGAATCTTGTGAGTATTCCAACACTGGAGAGTATACATACTAATTCTGGAACTTAGCGGCTACTTGGATGATGGTAGCGCGATTACCCAAAGTGGCCGAATGGCGTCCAAGCTGCCGATCCATCCAGTTTGGTATAACGCGATTGTTGAGGCGAACAAACTTGGATGTAGTGATGAAATGATCAGCATTGCTGCCCTCACAAGTATCCAGAACTCCATATTTTGGCGCCCACATGGGCCACGATATATTGCCGACGCTGCGCGAGCGCGATTCGCTAACCCTCTTTCGGACCATATGACCCATCTCAACGCGCTGCACGCATATATGGGAACAGAACTTGAAGGAAATATGGATTCGGAGCAGTGGTGCTTTGATGCTTTTCTTAGTCACCGTGCGCTGAAAGAGGTTGTTGAGATCCGGAAGCAACTCAAGGGGCTTGTCCAAAAGCTGTTAAATGAACCGCTTAGGGCATCGGGTTTCGGTAACGAGAACTACGACATCAACATTCGCAAGGCTCTAGCACGGAGCTTCTTCCATCACTCGGCGCTCCATTGCGAGAAGAGAGGCGATGATATCTACACGACGGTGCACGGCAACCATCCGGCTGGTATCCACCCCGACAGCTCTCTTGTTGGAATCAACCATGAGTGGGTCATCTATGACACGTTCATCCACACAGGCAGGCAGTACATCCAGATAGTGACTGCGATTGACCCTGAATGGATTGTTGTGAGTACTCATTACTTTGCCTTCAATCACAGCGGTTAACATTGTTTAGGACCTTGATCACTTCCAGGACGACAAACTCTCGCGGAAGCGCAATGGAGAACTCAGACAGCCCGATGTCAAAGCCTCACTCGACAAGGCTCGAGCTACCAGACAACAGGCTACCCCCTAGTTTATCCTAAGGCTGAGGGTCCTTTTGAGGTTATTCTTGTTAGAGGAATCACAGGCGTGAGACTCTTCTTTCTTTCTTTCTTTTTGCACGAATTCGTACGACATGGGTCATATCGATTTCAATGCTTGGCATTGATGACACTTTCGGGGGATGTCGTGGTTGAAGAAGAAAATTGCGAAGGTGCGGATGGTTGAAACTCATAGCTATGCTCCAACTCATGGACAGGAACTGCCATTAAACTCTTTTTTCTTATTTTCTCTTTCTAATATTTGCGCACGATAATTAATGTCAAAATAAAGTTCGCACATATTCTTCTGGCGTTTTTGAGTTGCGTCGAAAGAGGTCCTTGTCACTCCAATGTGGAATGCAGACTGCAGCTTTCAATCCGCATCATCAATCCCATTGCCGTTACCGCCATGAACTCACTCAGACATACTCTTCACAGCTAATAGTTGGGAGATGTGAGTAAATAATAGAAAAGAGATCACAGAGACACCGAGGAGGGAGTGGGGAGGAGCGAACTGGATTCACGGGCAGGCCTGACGAGAGCGCCAACCATAATGGACGGCGTCGACGTCCTCCTGGTTGAGGTCGACGAGGATGTCGCGCAGGTCCTCGCGTATAATGGGACGGAACTAGGCGTTAGTGATGCAGAGCAGATCAAAGATGAGCAGCTGCATTCGCTCCCCAAGCGCGAGGACGATCGCCCATTTCACCACGCGGGCGGGCCGAGCCGAGTCCGGGCCTTACTTCAATGACTTGAGACCCCTAAATAACTCAAGCAGTAGGTAAGGTAGTATTCATCCAGCAGTACCTATCTCAGCGCTTCGGTGGGTTGGTACCTGAGAAGTAAGGGTATGGTCGTCGCATGGATGCCTTAGGCACTCGTGAGTAGGAGGGAGCTGGTGTGGGTGGGTGAAGGAGCGCGCACACACGAGGGAAGGATACAGACAGAGCAAAAGCTTCATCAATCTTCATCTTCATTCACAAAACAGAATCAATCGATCGTCACAGTGAGACAAGACCATTACCAAGCCCTTCCCATCACGACAATACGATGCCTAGAAAGAAACGCGCCAGGTCTACCAAGGCCCCGAAAGGACACAGACCGGTCAAGCCACTCAAGGGTCTCCCCACGAGACACCAGAGCCCCTTGTTTCTTCAATTTTTATATCGGACGAAGACACCAACAGTCCCTCTCCATCCCCAGCACCTTCGACACTCCCAAGAAGTAAAGTCGGGAGAGAGTGAGAACGAGACTTCGAGTTTGCCGACTCCAGTGTCTGGCGAGAAGATCGGTAGGTTCACTGATGCGTAATGAGACCCAAACGGCTGCAGTCAATTGACAATTCCTAGACAAAGACACATGTGCTACGGATACCAAAGGGTCAAGACGTCAGAGTCAGCGACATGCGGCGGCAAAATCCGCCCAGAAAATCACGAGTCTGTTTCAAGACCTCGAGACAGTGGAGGCACCTCCCAAAACCAACCGACTCAGAGACGACGCCGAGGACGAATATTTCGCTGTTGATTCTTCAAAAGAGGCCGGAGATGGCTTCCAAAATAACCCTGAGGGTCGAGTGCTGGGCTCAGCAGATCTCAAAAGCCTCAACTTCCGTCAAGACGAAAGATGACTCCAAATCTGACGATGATTCATTTATCGACAGCTTCCGGGACCTTGTGGATGATGGCGTCCAAAATTTTCGTGGATGAATCTCAGAGCGAGGATGAAGGCGAAGCTGGGGAGCAAGATTGCCCGAGAAAACGAGCTCGTGTTGTGACGGACGAAAGCGCAGAACAATGGATCGATTTCAACCAGAGAAACCCAGTGCCAGAAAGCGACGATGAAATGCAGCGTTTCCGAGATCACCTCAAACTTTGTTCCAAAGCTTATGCAACTGGGCAAGATCTGACGCTGACATCAAAGACTGGATGAAGATGCATCGATTGGAAACGGCCGTGACTCGTGTTTCCAGGAGCGCTTTGATCAACACCAACCACGAAGATTTGGCTGACAACATTTTGAACCATATGCCAAAGAAGTCACAGAAAGTCTTAGGGCGGAGGGACTTGAAGCATATCCATCTCCTTCCACGGGTTCCAAATGGCCTTCTACATCGCCTGACCTACCTTGACGTCCCAGTCCGAGTGGGAAGCGAAATTTTCACACTTGCAAGGTGCAGTGCGACACAGAAATTTTGCACCCGAATGGTTGTACCGAGAGCGCTTGACACCCTAAGCTAAGTACAATAGGCTGGTGCCTCTTGGTGCTTTATGATAAGGTATTATTTTTGCTAATGAAAATAAAATGAGTATTGGGAAAGGTAACTAGTTAAACTAGAAACCTTAGTCTGTCTGAGTATACTGTTGACCTTTGAATGGACTGGGCATATGGTCTGTATTGTTGATACTATTGTTGGTGTTTTTTTTTTATTACTGTTGAGCTTCTAGTCCCCCCTCTGGGTATGTGTGTACTAGGGCACCCTAACCTCTTAAAAATAAAATAAAAATAATTCCTTCACCATAACCCTTAGGAACTCTGTGTCGCAATGCCGCTACGGCAAACGGGAATGATCACTCCTCTTGCTGGTAACGTTGTGACCACTCTGGTGTTCTTGAGATTCCCAGCTAAACCTCATATCCCTTACTCCGAGCGTAATCTTCAAGGTCCTTGATGTGCTCCTCAATCAATGAAATGAAAAGCCCATTTTGCTGCAACCCTGAAAAGATTTTCACATGCAACAGGACACCTCGTGCGACCGTCTTTGCCCCATCCACATTTCCTGAATCCCGACGTCTCTCGGCTCTACCCAGTTGAGAAATGGCCACGTCGATATAGGCAAAAGCGCCAGGGCTGTTTTCATGAATTCTGTTTCTGGACGGCAACTGATCCCGCCACCAATTTGGATTGGCTGCAGGACCAGCCTCTTCCCCAACCATTCGAGCCATAGCCTGACAGATCCAGGATTTGGGTGAAGTATCCCGGTTCACCAGAATGTTGATGTTTTCCTCGCTCGTCTCAACTAAGCCACTCAACAACTCCCAGTCCAACCAGTAGCTCGACTTGGCTGACGTCAAAACCTCTAAGACCTTACGGACAGTGGGCAAGGTGTCTTCTAGGTCAGCCGTCATCTCTTGAAGCTAGGAGGCGGCTCTTGACCATGCTATATGCGTAAGATTGGGCCTACCCGCTATGGTCCTGATGACGCCAAGAAGGGTTTCAGGAATTACCAGGGCCTCGGGGAGTGCCGCACGATTGTAAGGGTCCTTTAAGGCGAGAGCCATAATATTCGGGAGAGCGGACGGCGGGATGAGATGGGCCTCGTCTTCCAAGGGCATTCCACGGAAGCCCAACATACCATCAACGCCGATAGTCAGTTCTCGAACGTCTGTAGCCCCAAGGTGTATAAGCCATTTCCTTCTTCGTCTCTGCCTGCGCATCCAAGGGCCTTCCATAGTCCGATTGAGGAAATAGCTTAGGGGCAAACTTGGATTTTGTGTTGGGTCGGTGGCCCAGACTCTCTCGCGGATGGTAGTGTCGCCGTCTGGCACGAAATCATGCGTCGAAATGGTCTCGGAAGTAGAGAGTTGGCCGAATTGAAAGGTCATTCCGACTACATCCACATCTTGGAAATTGGCTGGGGAACGTTCCGTGACGGGCACTGTAAGTCCATGGAAGCTGGGACGAGCGATGGATGCTGGCATGGCGACGAGCTCCGCCGAGTTGTCAACCACGTTCTGGATGACGCGAAATCCCCCCCATCGGGAAAGTGGCTCTCCGTCAGCCATCTCGACAAGGCTCTTGAAGATGTGGAGTTAGATGCAAGTAATACAGGTGGCGATAGGTCTAAGAACTTACATCGAAGCCATGCTGGAAATCTTCCAGGCTGCTCGCTGATGGTGTTGTGATTTGTCGCAATCCGACTATGGCAAAAGGGAATGATCACTCCTCTTGTCGGTAGCGTTATTGTGGTCCACATCTCCTTCTGACACACCAGATGATCCTGGCGGGATCGAAGAATTGGCGATCCCGAATGTTGGTGCCACGAGTCAAGACCTCTGTGACAACCCAGTGGCTACTGAGCTGGCGACGAGATCCGCCGAGTTGTCGGCCACGTTCTGGATGACGCAAAATCCCCCCATCGGGAAAGTGGCTCTCCGTCAGCCATCTCGACAAGGCTCTTGAAGATGTGGAGTTAGATGCAAGTAATACAGGTGGCGATATGTCCAAGAGCTTACCGAAGCGATTCTGGGAGCGCTTCCAGGTTGCTCGCTGATGGTGTCGTGGTTCTTTTGAAGCAAGGGCGATCTCCAAGTCTTCTCCAAAGCCGCACACCTGGGGTGGCGAGGCGGAACCGCCGGGTAGGTAGATAAAACAAAATCGAGCAGGAAATGATCCTCGGAGGTTGCAAGATCTGTGTCAACCAGGCTCTTGTGAGTTGAGGTGCTGGTGATGCTGGTGATGCTGGTGATGCTCTGGCGAGCGCCCCAGTTGTCATGAAGTGAGTTGCAGGAGAGAGACTGAGTGGGGTGAGGCAGTCAAGAGAAGATTGAAGATGACCCCGGGTTTTGCAGTGAATCAGTGCCGTCTTGAAACGAGCTTGCGGCAAGAAATTTCGTCGCAACTACGGCTAAACTATGCAATCATTGTGCACAAACTAGGAACCGACAACAATGGAATGGTCGTGGAAGTCAAGAGAAGAAGGAAGATGCCCCGGAGTTTGCAGTGAATCAGCGCCGTTTCGAAGCAAACTTGCAACAAGAATTGTTTGTTTGAACTACGGCTAAACTATATGCGATCATTGGGTGCAAACTAAGAACCGACAACAATGGAATGATTGTGGTAGTCCAGCAACGCCGTGCTCTCCACCAAACTTATGGGGCTCGACAAACGTATGTTTAGCAGCGTGCCTCTGTGTTTAGGTAGTGTCCAATGACTGTGCGGTTTGAACCACGCACGATAAATAAAACGGTCGTCAACAACGACGCCCGTTTACTAGCGACAAATGCTTCAGCTCGACGCATGTATTTGCCAGGCACTGACACTCTGACTCAACTCCTCCAGACCACGCGAGGAGGGCTCGGGGTGAGGTGGGGTAATAAAATTAAGCCTGCCGACGGTATTTTAACCAATACTTTTAAGCGTCAAGTTATTACTTTGAGATTAAATAGAGGATTCTTTTACTTTTCCTATTTTTCACTAACTAAATAATTATTTATTTTAAAATTATTTACTTATTATTTTAGTCTGATATTTATTTATTATTTTAGTTTTATATTTATTTATTATTTTAGTCTTATATTTATAGGATCGGGATTTTACTGATACAAACTACTCGGGTCTGGACAACGTTCCTGGACCGAGGTCCCCAAAGGCAATGAGAACAAAGACAGAAACCTCTCGGATTTCCAAAGAAACTAGAGAGTATACGATAGTTGAGGAAGAAGACGAGTTTCAGTGGTAGTCCAACCAGGAGACCACTTCAGATAGATAACAGGAAATTGGATGCATCATGTATTTTGTATCTCAGGTGTCTCCTTGTCGCAACGGGATCTGCGCGTGACCGGTCATCTCAAGGCCAGCAGGTTTAGGTGCCACCAAGACACTGGCGGTTTATTTGTTCGGTCTCAATGTCTTAGGTCTTAGTATCTTAGGTCTTCATAAGACATAAGGACTTTACGTATTCTCGGTCCCAGGGGACACTTTGCAATACAAACCCACGTGAATGTTCGCGTACGAATAGCAACGAGTGTGAGCCTGAAAAACTTGCCGATATATTTCTTAAAATGATGTTGATGTCGAGCTATCTGCTCAGACTAATACGACGAATACCCAAACGCCATCATTACCGCCCTAGTTCTCATTTCCATGCATACCACTTTTTCTTATCCCCCTCCTGTTTCTTCTTCCACTCCGTTTCCTGCTCCGCCATCCACGCTTGCATCTCCATGCACTTCCTCTCCATCTGATCATCCGTCAGGAAACCCCGTCCCCCGTCCGGCGCCGTGTCCTTGTCGCCCGACCCGCTGTATGACCCCTCGGTGACGCCAAGAACGGTGCTGAGTCCTTCGGCCTTGTCCATTAGCCACGGTCCGTAACGGAGGCCGTCGCGCCAGTGTGGGGGCAGGGCCTTGAAGCCGAGCAAGGAGCCGAGCAGGGCGCCGGCAAAGCAGGCGTTGGTGTCGGCGTCGCCGCCCTCCATTATGAGATCGGTGATGAGAGGCTCGAAACTGGTGAGTTGCGACCGAAGGCCGTGTGCCGATTCCAGCTGGCGCATAGCGAGGCGCAGAAGCAGAATACCGGAGCCGAAAGTCTTGTAGACGTATCCGATTTTGTAAGTCTCGTCCAGCTTGAGATCCCCCAACGTCTTAGCTGTCGCGTGGGTCTTGAGCTCCTCCAGATCCAACCGGGGCTCGTCTTTTCGCTCGGGGTTTTCCAGTTCTTTGTCTTGGCGGGCCGTGTACCAGGTGACAGCGCTCTCTATCATCTCGTCAACGTAGCTCTCGGTGCGAACCTCGCCGCGCACGAGGCCACGGACGAGGGCTGTGCCAATCACGCATGAGATGATGCATCTTGGGTCAACGTGGGTGACGACTGAATACTTGGCTGCGGCTTCAAAAGTCTCCTCCACCGACTTATTTAGACACATGAGTCCAATAGGATGCGTCCGCATAAGACTCCCGTTCGGCGCGGCAATATAGTTGGCCTTGGTCCAGTGCGCCCGAGCCTGAGCCTCGGGGTTGTCTAGAAAAGCTTTGCTCCGCACGATGGCACCAACTGTTCGTCCCAGGCCAAGCGGCAAAGTGTCGAGAGCGCGAAGGCCCATCCGCACCCAGATTGACAAGCGGGAGGCAAAGTCATTGGTGTCCATCTGCTTGCCGTCGCTGTGGAGGAACGAGAGCAAGATCAACATGGCATGGTCTGTGTCGTCGGTCCACTCGCCTGGACGATGGAAGTCTCGATGGCGATCGCGCCGAAATGGCGTTGCCTTCTCCGAGGGCAGCAGAGTGAAGTACCGGGTCGGATATGCCTTGGCGGAGAGGTCGGCAGTGAGAAACTCGGTGTATAGGCCGATGGCATCTCCAAGGGCGGACCCGAACAAGCATCCAACGACGCGATCATGGAGAGACGCCTGCGCCAGGGCCATTGCGGCGTCTTGGGATAGCGGCAGGGCGGACATGGTGTGCGAGTATCCCAACGGGTGTGTTTGTGTCTTGGTAGTAAAAATGCCGAGGAGAAGATGCTGAGAAAATGGCAATGTTGTCGTCGGCCAAGGTCACATCTTTAAGCATTTCGGAATCGAGGAGTCTCAAGGCACCCGTCAATCCAGCTCCCTCCCAATTGAGGCTGATGTCGCGCTAAGACGGCGCTGTGGTGGCAGTGGAGCGCCACGAACCACCAAAGGTAAGGCTGAATCTGGAATCTCGCTGCCTGGGGAATGGCGTCTGTCGAGCTGAGAGATGACTCGTAGTTGTAATTTACTGGTTCAATTATCGTGTGTTGATCAAATAGCGGCATTGACGAGTACCTAGAAATAATGAGTGCTTCTGTAGTGCTGCTGCTATATTTAGGTTGGGTGAGGCTTCCCCTCACTCCACGATCCGTCAATCTCTGCACTACCGACTCGATAAATTGGCCTTGTTTTTATGGACTAAAGCTAAGCTATATAAACCTAAGGCTTAGATGTCCTGGTTCTGGAAAGTCAACTTTGGCGACTGAGGTTTGCGATGCAGTCATGCAAGGTCCATCAATCCAACCCGGCTGGTAGAATCGCATGAGTCACCCCGTCCAACAAGCTTGCTGAAGATGCGCGAGCACGGCTTGTCAAAAAGTCCAACGGCAAGACTGTCATCCACGTCTTCCCTTGGGATCGCGAGGTTGCTAATGTTCTGGATGCCAATGCTGCACCTCCCCCAGACGCGGATGCAGCCGCGCTGTCTCTCGCACCTCGGCAATATGCTGCACTAGCCACCCATCACGCCGAGTATCGCAAGAACCGATGGTCCGAATTCAGCCCTGCAGCTGAGAAGAACTCCTTGTCGGAGTCTGCGAAGTCACTTGTTGCCGGCTCTCCCAAAGCATATCCCGAGCAAGTCCGTGCGATGACAGAGTACACTGATGACCGCCAGGCCTTCAACAAGAATCGTGCTGAGAACATGCTTGCTATCCGTACTCTCCTCGAACTTGTCGTGAACCGCGCGGATGCCATTGTTGGAACTCCTGTCGCATTGCTCCAATTATCGCAGCATGTTCCAGCTTGGAAGCCAGATCTGTGCGTGATCGACGAGGTCGGAAGGATGAGCGAAGCCTCGGTATTCATCCCTATTGTCGCGTTCCCGGATGCTCCATGCTTGATCCTCGGCGATCCAAAGCAGTGCACACCCGTCAGCCGGACTGCCGATGCGGAACATTTCAAGGACCTCTTTGGACAGCAGCGGAAGATCAGCCTGTTGGACCGACTAGATTCTGTCGATGCCTTCAACCTCACACTCGACACTAACTGGCGAAGTCACGGAACTGTCGCAGAGTATGCACAGTTGCATCTCTACCATGGCCGAATGAGTATAGGCAAGAAAAAAAGCCCGGCGGTTAGCGAGATGCGTAACTACATGCGGACCCTTGGGAATGACTCTGCTGAAGGTACGAGTATGTTCATCGACGTCCACAGTGGATCAGAGGAGCTCATCGGAACGTCGTATATCAACCCGACCAATGCTCTTATCGTTCGAGAGCTCGCCGTCCAGCTGTTTCGCGACGCTCCTTTGCGAAACATGAGTGAATACAGCCATCAACGACGCGCTCATCCTGTTCGCCGCGGTACTATCATGATCCTGACTGGTTATACCAACCAGAAGCGTCAGTATGAAGCGATCATCAATGACATTTCGCCTGCGGAGATACCAAAGGGACACCTGACAGTTCGGACGATTGATGACTCTGTCAGTGCAGAGGCTGATATTGTCATCGTCGACCTTGTGCGCACTTCTCGAGTCGGTTTCCTCAGTGACCCCAAACGTATCGCTGTCATGACAACCCGGGCTCGCCTTGCTCAGTTCTTTGTTGGAAGCGCCGACACCTTCCGAACTGCGCAGAACATTGGAGGCTTGATCAGATACCACAGGTCAAGGTCATCCATCATCTCGATCAAAGGAGAACGAAAGAACTGGGGCGTTTGGTGCATGCGCTGTCATCAACCCGGTCACGCCATTGACATGTGTCTGGAAACACCAAGATGTCAGTCCTGCCTTCGAAAGGGTATTGCCTCGGATCACGCTATTCGTGACTGTAGTGACCCAGTCAAACCCAGTGACTTGTGGGACGTGCCAATCGGGATGCTGGACGACATTCATCGCACCATCGGCGACTTCGATAAAAAGAGTAGCGGTTCTGGTGGCAAGCGCGTGAACCTACAGAAGCGCAAAAGGCCTCAGATGCAACAAGCCAAGAAGACAATGAGTTCTGCCGAGAAACGTTACCGCGAGACGAACGACAAGGGGTCCGTCAATTAGGATAGTGGCAGTGAAGATGTCTAGAATGAGTAGACAATGCGTGAGATGGACAAGGGCCTACTTAAGATGGGTAAGGGCCTGAGATGGACAAGGGCTTTGCGAGAGATGGATGGATGAAGGATAGATGGGGGATGATTTGGGGCTGGAATTGAGTTAGCTTGCCAAGGAAGGGCACAATACGCTCATGCGTTTGAAGCACATACCATGCTTGATGTTATCCGAAGATAGCATAGTTGTCAGAATAAACTTGTCTGAGATCTACAATCTTGCGCTTCTTTGGATCCTTGCAGTGCGATATCTAGGTGTTTCCTTTGTTCTCCGGGCCATCCTATTGTTCTGATTTTAAGGCTATGGTGAGTGCCTCCCTAGAAGAATAGGGCCGGGCAGCTGGACCGCTGAAATTAGGGCCTTCAGGGCTCGACGGGCAGCTATAGCGCTAAGCTCTAGGGGCTAGCGGGTAGATACAGCGCTGGAATTTAGGGCAGAAAGGGCCAACAGTCCACTTTTTCGCTATTGTTTACATCTGATACAGAGAGCCGAGGAATGTACTGCGGGGCAATTGGATTACACTAATCCAGTTGAGAAGAGGCCTTTATTAGTAGCACGCCGCCGCCGCCGACCGCCACTCGCCTCGATGATCCGGCTCCCTGGGGCAGCGCCTCGAGTCACTTCAACTACATCTCCCCTTCCCCGTTCCTGCCGTAGAGCCTCGCATCCAAGTACAACCTCGGCCTCTGGACCCAGGGGATTGGCTGGGATGCCCATGACGAGATTAGCACTGAGAAAGGCGAGACAGTTGAGGAAGTCTTCTGCGTCGTCACTCGAGGCGGGGCTGTGTGGGTTGGGGAGCGCCGAAGCCATTTTCGCACGGCGTGACACGCGCATGCAAAGCTCATCCTTTGCCGAACGCTTTTGCCCAACGCTTTTGCCGAACGACTCAACTCAGCCTCCAACCTCAGCCTTTCTGCAGTCTTCAACGCGCCGAGCTGCGCGTGTCACGCATCATGGTGCGAATTATAGCTCCTGACTGACTGACCGACCGACTGACAGACCTAGCATGACTTTCGGTCTCTCGATCCAGTAGACCTCTGGATCCCTTTGTCTGACAGATCCTACCTTCCCATGGCCTCGCCCAACTCTGCACTCTCACTCACCCAGCCTCGAGAAGCACCCCTTCATCCCCGCCGATTTTGCGTACCGCTTGCGGCGCCCACCTGGGCTCTCACTTTTGAACGAGTTCTCTGGATTCCTTCTATACACTCGCTACTTTCTACTCAAAGCCTCCAAGCAAGAATCTCTACTAACAATCTTGCTTAGGTCTGCGTCCACAATCAGTACCTCGCCTCGAGAAGGAGGAGACCCAAACCGCGAAAGACCAAAAAAGCGCAACACCCTTCCGGCTGCTACAGTGCCTTTTAGCGTAGCAGAGTCACCTGCCCCCTTTTGTTTACATCTGGGGGGGGTCGAGGGATCATGCAGGCACAGCACCCCCTCATCCCGGCTGATGTTGCGTACCCAAAGGGTAGTCAGCTGGGACTCTTCCTTAAACCACTCGGTCCCTTTGGGCCCCTCCTCTCTCCTCTTTTCCTACAGCTTCCAAGCCACATCAAAACAGAAACCACAATCTTACGTGCTATAGGAACATAAAGAACCAGCTCCAGCTCATTGTGGTAGCATTGGGTAAGAAATGCTTGAATTGTGGATAAAACTGTGTTTTTTTGACCTTGTGCCGGCAACTTGCTCACCTTGACGGAGCAGACAGAAAAGTTAGATTAGAACCAGCTCCAGCACGACGCCTGCCACACCCCCAGTTCGACCCCAGCCTCAATCCTCTGGCATCGCCGACTCCTCTACCTGCGCCTGAGGGTTTCTCCATCGACCCGACATGGAGCAGAACTCTTTTTCATTGTCCGGCACTCCTACCACACGGCAATGCCTGCCTATGCTAGGAGCATGTGGACATTCGCGCAGACCCAGATCACGACTATCGACTCGCGGCGACCGTCACCCTGCATTTTACCAAGGGCCACAAGTAAGCATCCTCCTTGCACCTTTGGTATGCCCCACAAATCCTAACCAGCTTCGTGTAGCAGCGATTCGCAGTCAAATGCCTTCGAGTTCCGAGAGTTCACAGACTCCAAATACAATTGTGTTTGTGTGATCAAGCTCCTGCTCGTGTGGGCTCTTCGGATCGGTGCTGTCAAAGAGAAGACCTTGGCTCAGATCAGGGCCAGCATCATGGCGCGACCTTCTCACCCGCTGGTGTGGGCTACGCCAAAGAACCCTGTCATTGTCGCAGGCACAGTAAACCAATATCATCGCCTTCGTTATGATACCCCTGCGAAGGAAAATGTCATTATCCTGGCTGTTGATGAAGCAGCTCGTGCTGCCGGTTTGAGTCAACGCATTCGGCCACACGACTTCCGACGTGGCGCGGCTTTTGAGATCGCGACTCTTCCTGTGGCTAATGTGCGAGGCGAAGCGGGTGCCGCACAACTCCTCGGACATAGCAAGGCGTCTGTGGCAGCAGATGTCACAAGTCGGTACGTCGGCCACACGGCTGACGATACATGGTACATTCGCGTACGGACAGTAGTCAAGAAACGGACAAAGTATATACTCGAATTTGCCCCAGCCCCCGTCCCATTCAAGAGGAGACGCAATTCACCCAAAGACGTCACTGCTTTCTGCGAAAGCAAAGGTCTCGATCCCACCGACCCCAAAAGCCGTCACAAGGCCAGCGTTCAACTGCGGAAACAGAAAAACGTTCCGTCTAACGAAGAGAAGATCGTCATCCCGCAAGTTCAACCACTTGATGAACCATCTGCTCTGGAACCTGCTCGGTACTCCTCCCTGGACACCACCGAGGATTCTGCCATGTACCCTGCCCCATACTCCTCCCTGGACACCACCGAGGACTCTGTCATTGACTCTGCCCTATTCAACTCCCCGGGTACCACCGAGGACCCTGCCCTACACACTGCCCGGTACACCACTCGGTCCGTCACTCAGTCCGCCACGGGTGTCACATCTCTGCGGGTGATTAGTGCTGAAAAATCGCCTACACTTGTTGGGTCTTCTTCTGCCCGCGATGCGCCTGCCGCCATCCTCGATCCCCAGAGCGGCAGCTCTGATGACCCCGCAGCAGTCCTGCATGGCGACCCCTACGATTTTGCTACCTACCTTGCTACAGTCAACATGTACAGGTTTGATTCGCCTGAATCGATCGCCCTTCCGGCTTGGGTAAAGTCGGGGGGTAGCCGAGACCCTCCCACAAGATGGATGTACCCTTGTCCTTTGCCATTATGTCCAAGGACATTCGCAAACTCGAAGGCCGTGAACGGACATGCCAAGAATTGCAACTTCGGAAAGTCCACAGAGGGCAAGATGGTGTGCGAGAAGTGCGGCTATGCGGTCGGGTCTCGGGCGGCGTTCAGCAAGCACCGGGTCCACTGTTATTATGTGCCCGCTGTTTGCACGAAGGACTTCTGCTCGGATCAAACTCTCTGGCCCAACCCTCACGCCTTACAAGGCCACATTGACCGAGCCCATCACGGATGGACCAGGTATGGTTGTCCAGTTGAAGGCTGCCCACGGCTGACGGAAGAATTCATCAACAAGGGGGCTCAGCGGTCTCATATGTTCAGCCTCCACCACGACGTGTATGAACAATTGATGGCCTGGGTTGACGGCGCGGAATATCCACCCTTGCCTGATCAAGATCTAAGCTGGACGAGGCGTAATTGCCCTGTCGCGTACTGTAAGTGGAATAACGCCGATTTCATCTCGATACGGTACCAGACAGTGCACTTCCAGAAGTTTCACGAGCATCATTTGGTGGAACTCAAAGCCTGGGTTGGAGGTGCACAATACCCTCCCATCCCCCCTGCTGTGCCAACTTTGCCAGCATTGCCTGACTAGTGGTTCAAAGCGACGGTCAAGCGTAAGCAAGAATGGACTCGACGCACTTGCCCCGTTCAAGGCTGCAGGAGAAACGGTGAAGTCTTCGAATCCAAACCAGCCCTGATAACCCATTTTGACCACTTCCACCACAATATCCACCTGAAGTTGAGAGCCTGGGTTTCGGGTGCGGACCTTGACATTGACGAGACCGAAGGCTGATTAGGACGAGACTGTCGCATCATGGTTTTCTGTTTCACTATCGCGTTTCTGTTTCCATCAGATGTTTTCCCTATCTTTACACTTTACTTCACATGTGTTCACACAATTGCTGGGCTAGGTGGAGCCAAATTTGCTTGGGAGGGGGTCAATTTGCTTGAGAGTCAAACCCGAAGGGATTAATCATGAGAAAATGTTGCACAATTAGCACCTCGTCAGTATCGACGAACTCGGTTTTAGTTGAGGCCGTATCAAAAAACAATTTTGTTGTCACTTTTGTCTACCCATCCAGTGACCAGCCCTTCCCCTGTCTCGATCCAGTCGCCCTTTTTGAACCATTTTGGGTTGCTGATGATGTGGAGATCGCTCCCAGAGCTCCAGAGCTATCCATCCTGCTCGTGCTGGCTTATACCTTGACAGTTTTACAACCGAGGATGACGATGATTTGTGGTGCCTCCTTCACCCTTTGAAGACGGCCTCGGTAAAAGCTCGATCATTGAATCATGGGAGGACTTCGGGTGACCCCTGAATGCTTGGAAGCAGATCGCCAAGAAGACAGGAACCGGCAGTGGGAAGGACTGGAAACAAAAACTGCCAACGAAAACCGTTGAGGAGGATGTGCAATTGTAATCCCCAGTTGTCACGAGCTGCGGGATTTTCCCAATAAGCGCATACACTTCATGATGCAGAAGAGCCTTGATTTCTAACAGAGCAAAAGGTGGCCTGCCGCCGTCTCGTAGGTACGTTGGAGCGGAGCTATGCCTTCCTTTTTATGAATGGGTAACTTGCGCCCACTGTAGCTAGGCACTCCACTCGGTGCCTGGTGCCTTGAGTTACTCAACAGCTAAGTCAAACGCTAGCGTTGTTGGTCAGCTTGTGGCCCGGGCTTGTGGGAGGGACCACCACGGCGTTTTGGATGAAATCCCCCTCACCACCGCTCCCACTTGGATTTTCCTCTTTTCACCCCTCTCATCGGCCTCCCTCTGGGTCGCCGCTTTCGCCCCTTCCATCTTGGTTGGGGTGCCTCTTGTCTACGATAGCCTCTGTCCACCGACCTTTGGTGAACAACCCCTCCTCCTCCTGTCCACTGGTCTCCAGTGAACATCGCATCATTTTCGACCCCCTCATTATGTCTGCTGTTCTCCAGCGGATGCCCCCCTTTGGTATGTGTCCCTTTTTTCATTTTCCCCCCCCTTGTTTTCGTGTGCGAGATTGTAGCCAAGTTGTTTGCACGCAACCTGTTTGCAGCCGTCAGTCACCAGGCAACAACACTTGGCACTCCTTGACAGCTGTCAAACCTGCATGCCGCCTCACATCGCATTTTTGATTTTGTATCTGACCCCACTCCAGCTCACGATTTTTCACCTTCGCACACTCACACACTCACACTCGCAATCAACACTTACCACCCGCTTCTCATTGTCACACGTTCAATTTCGCGCGAACCTTGATACCTCTACTGTGAGTATAATAATTTGCTGCTTTATTCCTGTACTAACATATTCAAAGGCGAAGATGGCAGAGGCGAAATTTCGCCCTGTGTCGCGTCCAGCAGGGCTCCTACTGGACTTGGGGACTCTCACTTTTGTCGGTGATGATCTGTTCTCTGGGACTAAGGTCCGCATCAAGATTCGGGCCGAGAGCCAAGGCGAGACGTTTCCTTACTTCGCGGTGATTTTAACGTTTCCTATGGACCGCCCCAAGGGAACCGGCGTCTCGCATGGGTGGCACGATGGTCGACAGACCAACGAGTACCCCATTACAATCAAGCTGCCTTTGAACAAGTTCCAGTGTTCAGTAAAGAAGCTCAGCACCAAAATCCACGAGGCTCTCAAACCAAAGATGAACGGCGCCGATGACACCTCCATGCTGGTTGTCAACCTTCACCTGACGGATGAAAAGTTTGGTGTTTTTGCCGAAGGGTTTCGAAAGCCTTTTGCCAGTACCGATGATGAAGTCGATTCCTGGATCAACCAGGATGCCAAGCTTCATGGCGTCTGTTCGCTCCCCGAGTTCCTGGCACGTCGGAGTTTCACCCTTGTCCTTCCTGGAGGGCAAAAGGAAATGGACCACATCCACAATGCTGTTAATCCTCCCGCTCGCTGGTCTGGCTATATGTATCACAAGTAAGTTGTTCTCCCTGAAATTGTTAATATTATAAACCTAATTTTTACCATAGTCTTACGTGGGATATGAAGCGCTATGAAAAACAGCTTCCGGATCGAATGGGACCTTACTTCCAGCGAAATTTCAAGTGGGACTCTTACTTGGAGATGGCTGCCTACCTGGGAATGCCCTACGTCCACGATTCCTTTTGGTTGGTCCAGGATATTGGGGAGATTGCTGTCAAAGACTTCAAGTGTGCCCTTATCCCAACCAAGCCTGTGCAGGGCGACACAAGGTTCCTTGGCGAGTACTATGCCTGCGTGATTGTACCTACCACCTTTGTAAGTTCCTCGCAATCTCTTCATCATGGCTTAGTCACTGTGACGAATATTCACTAACACTTCACATCAGTCTGGAAAGATCATCAGCTGGCGACGCTTGATGAAGTCCAAGTACCCCTTCGCGGTCAAGATTACCTCCGAAACTGGGGAGTTCATCTGGAACGCTCTTGTGGCTGTGGACCCACCAGCTGAAGCCCAGATGCCTGGCACCATCTTGCTGCACATCAAGAAGCCCCGCCCCCCCATCAAAGACCAGGATGAGGATAGTGAGCCTGATGAAATCCACGAAATGCACGCCTTCAACACCTTTGCCGAGGCCCAGAGTGCAAGCAAGACAGAATAGAGTTCCGTCTGCCTCTGGTTTGATAACGAACCCATCGAGAAGGCTGAGCGCGGCCGATACGATGTTTCCGATGTCACGTCCGTTGACAAGGATCGTGTTGCTGCGATCAACAGGTTGCTTCCCGGCTCCATCCCCATGCCCGCCCGCGACATCATGGATTCCGAAACTGGCGAGGATGATCCCGTCGAAGCCTGGTACCTTCAGGCAATGATGGCGCTGGACCGAGATCTGAAATGTGGCCGCGGCTTCTGGGTCAGCATCAACTCTATCCCACCTCCCCCGGTGAAACCTGATCAAGTTCCCGCCAAGATGCAAGCCATCCTCCCTCGCTGCCCTACATCCCCCATGTCTTTGCCAGTCGTCAACCTGTTCCACGTTCCCAATCACGGCCTTCGTCAGGTCATCATTGACCAGATGGACGCAGACACAAGTTACGACCTGACCAAGTACATGGAGTCTGCTGTGTTTGGAATCCAGGTCTATGCTGGTTTTGCTGGCGCTGGCAAATCGGAGACTATTGGCATCGTGGTCGCTGGCATGATCGCCAACCCTCACATCAAGGGTGTCTATGTCTCTGCCCCTACGAATGTGGCTACAGACAACATCCGCAACCGCATTGCCGACGTCAACTCTCGTTGCGTCGCATTGTACAATGGGAAACACACAGGCGCATCCCTCAGGGATGCGCTAGTTATCCGCGGATACAGTGTCCAATCCGAGTTTCGAAACTTCTGGAAGATCCTTCGAGGTGAAGACATGAAACCGAACCCTTGGGATCTTGGTACCTGGTCGCTTAAAGGATCAGTTGCGTTTCACGCTCTCCAAGTCTTGGGGTATGTCGATGCCAACGTCCCGGCACTCTCAGCTACCAGCCCCGTGGTACTTCGCCACCGACAAGAGACCTTGAAAGGGCAAGAGGTCTTCTCTCCTCTGCTCAACCTCGCCCAGCGCAAGATCACCGTCACGGAGTACGATGCTCTGTCCCAAGTCACACGCGCCAACATTACCGACATCTTCGAAGTTTTGATCGAGGGTGCTGATATGATCTGCACCACTCCATCGATGGCTGCGGATAAACCATACTCCCTGGCCAACCGCATCTGCAGCGCAGTTGTTCTGGATGAGGCAGGAGCCATGTGCTTAGGTGATGCTGAGATCGTTCGCGGGAACACTCTGCGACCGTGTGTGATGGCAGGTGACGAGAAGCAGCCCCCCCCAGTCTTGATTTCTGCCAGGGATCGAGCCGCAAACCGCCAACCCCGAAATCGCTTCGCGCTTGCAGGCCAAATTTCAGCACTCGAGTTCATGAAGCGCAGTGGTTGGCCCGTGTTCACCTTTGAGAAGCAGTACCGCATGGCAGAGGGCCAGTTCGACATGTCTCGGGATGTCTTCTATCCAGATCTTGAGCATTCCTTGACTTACGGCCCTACCTCACCCATCGCCTCCCGCCCCATTTCGCAGCAGGTTGAGGAATGGTCTACCCGACGATTCTCAATGTCCTCCCCTCAGGGGAGGACGCATCCAATCTTGCTCTCTTCTGAGTCTCCTTGCCACAAAGACCCATCGTCGTCATCAAGCTACAACCCCGGGCAGAACAAGCTGGCATTGACCTTGATCCGGAGCCTCGTCCAAGACCTTGCACTTAACCCTCAACTGTTCACTCTTATCACAATGTACAACAAGAATAAGAGTGAACTTGTGCATATGTTGGAATCATCATACTCCGACATCCACGGCGTGGAATGCCATACTGTTGACTCTTTCCAGGGCCGCGAGGCTCGTATCATTGTTCTTGTTCTTTGTGTCAATGCCGAAACTGGGCCACGTTTCACAGGAGACGCACAGAGGCTAAATGTCGCCACCAGCCGACAAACAGACTTTCTGTTCGTTGTTGGAGATCAGAATACATGTCGCAAGGTGACTGCTCGACAGCTTCAAGGATGTGAAGGTGAACAAGGAGAGACCATGTCGATTAAAGTTGATCAAATGCAACAGATGTTCGAGTGGTTTCGAAACAACGATCGTATCGTCATTCCCAAAGATGACTGCATTCACTCACTGGGGCCTACGACAACTACGAGAGCTAGCGGCAAGGGCAAGGGCAAATACAAGGCCCACGATAATGACTTGTTGGTCAGTAGCGATGAATCCGAAGATGAGAAACCTTCCATCACTACCATCTCTTCAAAGCTCGGCCGATTTGGTCTTACATCTACCTTCCAGGCCAAGACTACCCGGAACCCTAACATCTCTCACAAGCACGATGCGTCCATTCCCTCAAGCTCTGAACTCAACACTTGGGATCTCTCTACCCCTGTCTCAGACTGGACTCCCCTCAACCCTCCTGGTACCTTTGCAGGTGGCTTCAGCCAACAGGGCCACCACTTCAAGACTGACGCTGACTTTTGGGACTACGCCCCGCATGAAGCAAAGGTCAAGGCCCATCATGCCTATGATGCGAGACGCGAAGAGGAATACCTTGCTGGATCCGTTTCCGATTCATCTGATGAGTGCAAAGTCACGACGAAACCAGTTGCTGCGGGAAAGAGTCGTGGGATTGGCCGACGTGGCCGTGGCTCTGTTCGTGGAGGAAATACAGCACCTGCGCTTCCTGCGCGTGACTCGACTCGTGAGGGAAATACAGGCCCTGCACTTACTCATCCTCGTGGAGGAAATTCAGGAGTTGCTCGTGGCTCTACTCGACCTCGTCTTGATAGTCGCTTCGCGGGTCTCAAACAGTGGGTGACAGACAAGCCATAGTCCTTAATGGTCACCTTAGGTGAAGCCACCCGGATCTCAAAGATGGATGGACACAGTTGTGATGGATAACTGGTTGCTCGATATAGTCAATGTACAACTCGCTTTGCTCACCTCTATCTTGCCTTATGATTGATGCTCTCGAGTGATAAGTCCAAGACGGCCCCATTATTCATGCATCGTGACCCGTCGCTACTCACAAAAGATGTTTGCTGTGTCGCGGCTAAATGATCTGTTGACTTTGCAATTGTGTTGCTGTTGTGTCGATGCACCACACCCGAGCCTCCGAAAATGTCGAGACTTTCTGCGTCGCTGATAGTCTTGTCATCTGGAATTGCGGAATCATCCAGTGGTGGCAAGTCGAAGTTAGTCGACTCTAGCCATTTGTGAACGCCAGATTGTTCTCGTTCGATTTCCTGGCCTGGGTTCCGCAGAGCAGAGACATCTCCACTTCTTGAACGAGTTGCTTCGCCTGCAATATCTCGCTTCCGTTTGCCATCAATCTTTTGCTTCTTTTGCGGGCGGCCCGCTTTGTGCGACTCTGGCAACTAGTCGCTGGCATCTATGAACCCGCCTGGATCCTGTCGCACGAAGGGAACTCGAAGCCCGGGCATTTTCAAGTCGTACTTCGGCATCTCGGTTTGCTAAAAATACAAACCATCAGTATTTGGTTTTTTTTTTTAGCTTTACTCAATATCATCAGATAGATCAAAGCCATACAGTAATCTCAAACAGTAGGAATAAACAATAAGTGGTAACTTACACCCAGCACCAGAAGAAACAGTAGCTGAACAATAAGGTTGTTGCCCACCGGTCTCTGCCTGAAGCTTCCATTCAACCCCTCTGACTTCAACCCTATTGTCTGTAGTTAACGACCTTGCTGTCTGCAGTCAACGACCTTGCTGTCTGCAGTCAACAACCTTGAGATAGTAACCTTATTCCGAGCGTTAGGTCGGGTCGTGGGAGTTTTCAGTGCAATCATCAAGGTTAGACTGGGTCGAAAAAGTTAGACAGGATTCCGGCAGAGAAGAAAAAAGCAGCTTGAAACCCAAAACTTGGGCCTTGGCAACTGTGACGTGCGCGCAACGAAAATGCAGTAAATTCAAACACTAGGTTCCCTCATCGAGGAACAAACCATCAGTATATAATACAATATTTGTTGGATAGACATCTCACCAGGAGGATATCTGAATCTAATACACTATTAATTGCAGTTCAGAATAATTGTGCGGGAGTGGCTCGCAGGTGGTAATGCTGAGCGCGTCATGGACGTGTGATGGGCCCGCCACAAGCGCGAGGTAACATGACAAAAAATCTTTTTGGCTTGCCACTCTTTCTCAACCCCACTCTTTTAGGAAGTCCGCATCCAACTCCACTCATTCCTGAACGCTCGCACGCCCGCACGCCTAGGAGCACACCTGAGCGATGGCTCCTGAACGTGCGAAACGTCCGCTTGACGATGATAGCCAGGGCAGCCAGCCGAAGCGACGACAAAAGCCGGCTAGATCTTAGAACAGGAGCAGAAGCAACAACACGCCGCAATTGACACCTCGACTTGCTGGTATTATCGGGCCCGGTTTACTTGTTGGCGCGGGTGGCGCGCTTAACAACGGTGGCCCAGCCTCCTTGCTCATAGGGTTTGGAGTAGTTGGTATGTTCCTGTGTAAAGAAATGAACCGTGTTGGGAAAAGGCGCCGTGATTCAGAAACGTGTGACTCGTGAGATGTCATGATGGCACCTCAAACCATGAAGGGCGCTGGGGGTGGGCTAGCAGCCAAATCGCCACGGCTCGTCAGCGGTCGCTAAGGGACGGGCTGCTGTGAGTAGCTCGCTCGGGCTTCCGCGGACCACCATTCTCAGTCGCCTGGCACCAGGTTCCTGTTGGTCAAAGTAGGGGCGGGCCCCACAGCCAAAGTGGCCGAGGCACGAGGTTCCTTTGGCTGTTGGCCGGCGGGTTAGGCAGGTAGGTAGCTAGCAAAAGGCACATCCCCTTGCGCGCACCCACTTCCTTGTTCTCCCCACCTACAACTCAGCTTTCCTCAGGATCGCTACCACCCACACCTCTGCTATGGGGCTTTCTTCAAGATTGCTACCGCCCTCACCTCTGCTATGGGACTGACATTCATTCCGCTACCGTCCTTAACCCTGCTATGGGGCTTTCTTCAAGATTGCTACCGCCCTCAACTCTGTTCCGGGGCTTTCCTCGTGATCGCCCTTTACCGTACCTTCCCAACACACTCACCATGGAGCTTGTTCGATTTTTCGACACGATGGCTCGGAGACTAAATGGCCAAGGCGAGGACGGCAAGGTTTCACTGCAGACGATCAAGAACGGGCATGTGCATATGTTGGAATGGTGCAAGTTCAATTACGATGGGTGGCACCTCAACTCTTCCGAGAGGGTCAGAATCCGTAAGTACTTGGCTGCAGTTAAGGATACACCGCAACTGACTGGTACCATAGAAAGCCTCTTCCAAGAGCTCCTTGCAGAGGGCATCGTGATCGGGGCTGGTCCAGAAACGAAAGCGTGGGTCACGTCCGACATGACATGCAAACTCATCACGAGCTTGCTCAGCACCGCCGTGACATTTGGCACCCCCGACTGGGACAGTACCATCATGTATGCCTTGACTGTCCTTTTGCTTTCAGCAACAGGTGCCCGGGCTGGAGACATCGCCCAGAGTCAATTCCGTGACGTCGCTGCCACTCATCAAGGTTTCGAGCGCAGGGCGGAAATGACAACCTGGAGGGCCTTCTAAAGGTTAAATCATCCGGGTTCCTTCCCAGTCTATAAAAGCATCCATCAACCGCATCCATTGACGCATCCACCAACACATCCATCAACCGCATCCATCAACGCATCCATCAAACTCATCCATCAAACGCATCCATTAAACGCATCCATCAAACGCATCCATCAACGCATCCATCAAACGCATCCATCCAACCAACGCATCCTCAACTGCTCGTCAGACTCATCGTCCGATTTCGCCCTTGCACTCCACTCAGCTATGCCTCCCCCAACGCCCTCCGATGATGCGTCATCGCACACGAAGCCCTCTGCAACTCTCGATCAAATCACATCATTCTCTCGACTCCATCGCCCCGTCCTTGGCCCTAACTCTGACTCCGACTGTGTCCACTCCCCCGACTCTATCGCCTCAGCCCAACTGCCGCCACATCAGATTCCCGAGCGTACCAGTAGCAAGAGAAAGGTCCCTTGGAACCGAGCCTTTGGGCACATGAGCACTGAGGAGCTGCATTCCGCCAAGAGCAAGGCGCGACTGGAAATCTATGAGACCAGGAAGAAGCTGAAGAGACAAAGTTCCATGGACGCGGAATACTGGAAGAACTACTCCCAGGTTTTCCAGATGCAACACGAGGCGGTTGCCATTAAGGCAGAACTCGCATTTCAATCTTTCAAGACACGAGTCAACACAAAAACCGAAAACGAGTGGCATGATAGCGCAGAGGCCAATGAATTCAATGTCCAGCTTCGTGGTTGGCAGCAATTCGACAGGCTTGCGAAAAAGCACCTTTCCAAGCTAGAACGACGTTTGGAGACGGGCCGTGAGACCTGGGTCCGCCTCTTTGCTACATCCAGGCTAGGGTTAAGTCTCAGTGGAAGCGTCAGAGAGCGTACCAAGAGAGATCAGAGCAACTTCGTCGCGGCCATGATCAAGGCATACTGCCCGAACGCGCCAGCAGAATTAGGTCGATGGGACCCAGTGCTGCAGGTGTGGGCGAGAGGTAATTCTTGCAAAGCAGCCCATCTCTTTCCTTGGCGACAAATCGATTCAATGGACGACATATTTGGGAAAGGAGCAAGCAGTGAAATCTTCTCGCCAGTCAATGGCCTATTTTTAGACACCGAAATCGAAGACGCCCTTAACAAGGGTCTCATCGCCATTGTCCCAGATGTCGAGCTGGAACCAAGGGACCCTCACGTGCCACAAGACGACCAAGATGAGCGGCAGCAACGCATTCGGGAGTGGGAGTCCCAACCGATCAAGGAGTTTAAGGTCGTTGTTGTCAACAAACTCAGCCCTGAGGTTACAAAGTCCAAATTCTTCAAAGACCGCGAAGGAGTATCGACGCTTATGGACCTCCACAATCGAAAGCTCGTCTTCAAGACCGACTTCCGTCCTCGAGCTAGATATGTCTGGTGGACATTTCTCAATACTATCCTACGCACTGCGTGGAACGCTAAACTTGATCACGGTAACGTACAGCACGTCGAGGTGCGTAAGGCAACGCGGTACTGGGGAACCCGCGGTCGATATGTCAAAGAAAACCAGCTACTTGGTTTTATCGAGGAGCTCGGCCAGGATGTCAACAGCATTCTGAACTGCGCCATCAACGATGAAGGCGACAAGGAGCCAAGCTCTTGTGGTGTGACTGTCGCTGCGCGCGATGCTATGGAGCGATCGGTACAGTCTCAGGTGCAGGATGGAGTTGAAGAGGAAGAGTATGAAGATGACTCGGATTCGGATCAGGAATCGGATTAGCTTTTTGGTGCATTGCCCTCTGATGCAACTGGGAGTGGCTTGTTTGTGTTGGCTGCAGACCACGATCCGTCAATCTTAGCACTACTCCGTACCGACTCAATAAATTGGCACTGTTTTTATGGACTAAAGCTAAGCTATGTAAGGCTTAGATTTCCTAAATCATTTCTTATCATTAGGTGTAAGAAAGCCTGAAGGGAATCAGTGGGGAAAGGATTCAGGGCCAATTTACTGAGTCGATCCGGTATTTGTGACGGCTCAATTGCTTCATCGACCATTCTATGTTTATCATTGTCGTCATTAGTCTAATATTTTACCAAGTCTATCGTTTCTTTTAGGCAGAGGCACAGTGTCCTCCATCCACCCTCAGGTCAGAACCGTGAACAAACGAAGCTCCCTCAGACAAGAGGAAGACGGCGGGGGCCTTAAAATCCTCGGGCGCGCCAAGACGACCCAACAGGGCGCCGGCCATCCACGTCTTCTCAACCTCGGGGTTCTCGATGAGGAGCTGGTCGGTCATGGCGGTTCGGATGTACTAGGACACTTTTAGTTTGTTTCTTTTGCGATTCGCTGGCAGAGGGGCTTCTTACACCGGGAGACAGCGTGTTGACGCGGATGCCAAATTTGCCCCATTCTTGTGCAACTGAGCGACACATCTGCTGGACAGCCGCCTTGCTAGTGTTGTATGCAGTGCAGGAGAGGCCCTAGTAAAAGACGGTCAGTATCCTGGTGCGTTGGCGCAGGGTGCGATTGGCTTACTCGGTTGGCAATGTTGCCAGACATGCTGGAGATCATGACAATGCTACCGGATGTCTTGTTATCCCGCAGCACCCTCGCCGTGTACTTGCAGGTATTGAAGACGCCGGTGACGTTGACCTTCAGGATCCGGTCGAAGTCGGCCGCGGGGTAGTCAAAGGCAGAGAGCTGCTGCTGGATGCCGGCACAGGCAATGCAGCCCCAAAACGGAGCGCCGTTCTTGTCCGCCTCGGCCGCAACCGATTTGATGACCGCCTCCACAGACTCCTCGTTGGTGACATCGCACTTCTGATACGACGCAGACGAGCCGTTGGCCGTGGCAATCTTGTTCAGCAGGGCCCACTCCTCCGCAGAGGGCTCCTCGAGAATGTCGAGACAGGAAACGCTGCCGCCGGCCTCCACCACGGCAATGGCGAGGGTGATGCCAAGGCCACGAGCACCGCCCGTGATGGCGATGGTCTTGCCCTCGAGGGAAAAGAGCTTGGTGGTCGAGACCTTTGAGGCCGGGGTAGCCGCCGTCTCAGGCACCACACGGGCCGGGAGCTCAACGTCACTGACAATAGCGGGAGCCATAGTAAAGACTGGTAGAAAAGAATGCTGGGTATCTAAGGAAGAATAAGGTTGGATCCGGAAAGGTACGGGCTACTGAGGTTATAAGAGAGAGTCTAGCTTCGAGGGCTGCCCAGAGGATATAGGTAGACGATCCAGGGCCGACAATCCGGGATACCGACTCGGGCCTAGGAGCTCCACGATATCGCCCTCACGACCCGATCCAGTGAGATTTGCAGATGCACATGGTCACGATGCGATATTCCGTGGCAGGTGTATGCGGCGAGGAACTTCGGGAGACTTTTAGTGAGATCCGTCTTCTCCGGGGGTATTGTAGCCGCCAGGGGTGCAAGGGGGTCAGATGGAGAAGTCTATTCACTTGCCGAGTCGCCTCAACGGCAGTTGCATGCGTCCGATGCGATCGGCCGAGTGAGACGGCGATCCTGGGGTTCCACGTCCGCAGTTGCGGTGATTGCAGCCGGAGGCGTGAGAAGGGTCGCTACGACGGCGTTGCTTATTCCACGCCCCTGCAGCAAGTGCAAGCGCCTGTGAGAATCCATATTTGAGCCCGCACGCGTGCAGTTCCGAGCGGAGGCGACCGAGTGCCTCTCATTTCCGCATTCGGCGAGGCCCTAAAACACGCCTCGTGATGCGACAGCTCCGCCCGCGATGGAGAAGTTGAGCCAAAACTTCGGGAAATCTGACGGCTAAAACCCCACGACTTCATCGACCCCCTCAACCCCACGGCGCTCCCGGCTTCCCCTTTCGGAATCGGGAAAGCCGTGACGGTTGTCCCACGACGACACTACGGCTGGCGCACATCACACGCGCAGTCCAATCTTTTGCCGCTGGCTTAGCGAGCGTCCATGGCGGTGATATATTTCAAGCGGGCGGCCGTGGATCGCCCGGCCATGTTTGTCTCTGGTTCTGCTCTTTTGCTCTTCATCTCTCGCATTGGTTTCTGCTAAAGACACTTCGACTCCACGATGGCGCCCATTGCAATCACCCCCGAGGCCACCGAGACGCCCGTCGCCGTCTCCGCCGAGATCAAGCGCATCCAGACTGAGGATGCTGAGACCATTGACCTGGTCCTGCGCCAGTTCCGCTGCTTGATTGCGGACTTGTGCCAGCAGTTCAATGGCGGTCACCCAGGGTACGCCTCACTCGTCAATCCTGACAATCATCGTGAGGATCGCCAATTGACTGACTGAAACCGCAGCGGTGCCATGGGCATGGCCGCAATTGGCCTTGCGCTCTGGAAATACGTCATGAAGTACTCTCCCAGCAACCCCGACTACTTCAACCGAGACCGCTTCGTCCTCTCCAACGGCCACACCTGTCTGTTCCAGTACACGTTCCTACACTTGACGGGCTACAAGCAGATGACCTTCGACCAGCTCAAGTCTTACCACTCTGCCCGCTACGACTCCTTCGCCCCCGGCCACCCCGAAATTGAGCATGAGGGCATCGAGGTCACCACCGGGCCGCTGGGCCAGGGCATTGCCAACGCCGTCGGTCTCGCCATGGCCACCAAGCACCTGGCCGCCACCTACAACAAGCCCAACTACGAGCTCGTCAACAACACCACCTGGTGCATGATTGGCGACGCCTGCCTTCAGGAGGGTGTCTCCATGGAGGCTATCCAGCTGGCCGGCCACTGGAAGCTCAACAACCTCGTTGTCATGTACGACAACAACCAGATCACCTGCGACGGCAGTGTCGACCTCTGCAACACCGAGGACGTCAACGCCAAGATGCGCGCTTGCGGCTGGGACGTTATCGAGATCGAGGACGGCTGCTACGACGTCGAGGGTATCGTCAAGGCTCTCCTCCAGGCCAAGGCCAGCACCGAGAAGCCCACCTTCATCAACGTCCACACCGTCATCGGTGTTGGCAGCAACGTCGCCGGCGATGCCAAGGCTCACGGTGCGGCTTTCGGCGCCGAGGGTGTCAAGGGCGTCAAGGAGTTCTTCGGCCGCAACACCGAGGAAAAGTTCGTCGTCACCGACGAGGTCTACAACTACTTCCGCCCCCTGACCACTCGTGGCCAACGTATCGAGGAGGACTGGGGCAACCTAGTCAGCTCATATGCCAAGGAGTACCCCGAGCTCCACGAGGAGTTCCAGAAGCGCATCGAGGGCCGCTTCACCGACGACTGGCGCAGCATCATTCCCGCCAAAGAGACCTTCCCCACTGCTCCCACCGCTTCCCGAAAGTCTGCCGGTATCATCTGCAACCCTCTAGCCGCCAAGTTGAAGAACTTCATGGTCGGAACCGCCGATCTGTCTCCCTCGGTCAACATGATCTGGAAGGACAAGGTCGATTTCCAAAACGTAAGTCTTCCATACTGAACATATACGACGTCGTTTCTAACACAAAACAGCCCGGGCTGAAGACCACCTGCGGTATCAACGGCGACTACAGCGGCCGATACATCCACTGGGGTATCCGTGAGCACGCCATGGCCTCCATCTCCAACGGTCTCGCCGCCTACAGCAAGGGCACCATCCTCCCCATCACCTCCAGCTTCTTCATGTTCTACATTGTAAGACACAGCACCTTAGTCGAGAGTCCACCAGCTAACACAACTATAGTACGCCGCCCCTGGTGTCCGCATGGGCGCCCTACAGGGCCTCCAGTCCATCCACATCGCCACCCACGACTCCATCGGCACTGGCGAGGACGGCCCTACCCACCAGCCCATCGCTCTCCCCGCCCTCTACCGCGCCATGCCCAACATTCTCTATATCCGCCCCGCCGACACCGAGGAGACGGCCGGCGCCTTCATCACCGCCCTCGAGGCCAAGAACACCCCCACCATCATCTCCCTCTCCCGCCAAAACCTCGAGCAATACCCCCAGTACTCGAGCCGAGACGGCGCCCAGAAGGGTGCCTACGTCTTTATCGAGGAGGAGAACGCCGACGTGACCCTCATTGGCGTTGGTGCCGAGATGGTCTTCGCCGTCAAGACCCGCGAAGTTCTCAAGGAAAAGTACGGTATCAAGGCCCGTGTCGTATCCTTCCCCTGTCAGCGTATCTTCAACGCCCAGTCCATCGAGTACAAGCGCGAGGTGTTGCAGTACCGCAGCAGCGCCCCCCGCGTCGTCATCGAGGCCTACGCCGTCAACGGCTGGGAGCGATATGCCGACGCCGGCTTCTCCATGGCCAGCTTCGGCAAGTCCCTGCCCGGCAAGGACGCCTACAAGTTCTTCGGCTTCGACGAGAGCGTCATCGCCCCGGAGGTTGCCAAGCTGGTGGAGGAGGTTAAGAAGGAGGGCATCGAGTCCCTCCGTGGCGAGTTCAGGGACCTCAACCCTGCCGCCAAGCACGAGCACTAAGACGGGGATTATAAAATATATAGACGGGACACCCTGCGGATGTAATACGACTGAGATGACATGATAAACGGTTAAATAGGATAAATATACTATCGTCAACGACTCCATGTTCCTGCGATGCATCTTTGTGTTGCTTTGAAGTTTCCATGCATGCACCCGACAGTGATCTGACGTTCAATTTACCTCAAAGGTCTATTGCGCTTGGTGTAAAGCGCTTAGTTTAAAGCGCTCGGTGTGATTGGTCTATCTTACAAGGTTTGCTCGCAGTTGTCTGTCTACTGCAACTAACATCTCCCAAACTCAGCGGGTTCCATGCATACTAGTACAACTCATAACATCATTGACCACGTCCATGGCCGTGAAATCTCCCTCTCTTCATCTCTTCATATCCTGCGTCGACGCCGGCCAACAATCCCGTCATGAGGAGGCAGCGCCATCACCCCCTCCGTCAAGATCCCGCCGACAACATCCCACCCGTCGCGCAGCGGCCGCACCACGGCCGGGAAGCTCTCCTGGATCGCAACCGACATGTTCATGCCCGCGTTCCACGCCTCGCCGAAAAGGTAGCTCCTAACTTGGCCCGTGAGGACCGCCGCCTCGCATCCGAAGCGGACGGCGGTGCCGACCTGCCCGGAAACGGCCGTGTATGTCCCTGTGGCGCCGGCTTGTAGGGCTTTGGCGCCGGTGGCCACGGCTGCAGTGGCGTCTTCGACCTGGCGGGCTCCTGGAAGACTGCGGACCAGGGCCTTGGCCTTTGCGGTGCGTGGGCGAAGCTGCTCCTCGGTGTAGTCTTCGTAGTTGACCTGGACCCGTTCGTGGAATGGGACTACGAAGGTATGGGTCGTGTCTTCTTCGCAGTCCCGGAGGTTCTCGTCGTCCGAGGCATGGGGAATTACAACCATTTCCCGGTCGTCGAAAATACACTCCCTCCTGGTCGAGTTGGGGAGCTTGTCGTGCATGCCGTTGAGGGCGGACGGCAGACTGTTTGCCTCCTTGTCCTTGGGTATTGAGGGCCGAACCACGCCCTCGTTAGGGGCAAGCAGGTTGACTTCCCAGGCTTCATCCCCGCAGCCAGTGTCTTCGGCGGCTTCATTCAGTGAAACATCCTCCAGGTCGTCTTCAGCAGAGGAGTCAGAGTCATACTCATCCCCGCTGCTGAGATCGCCGAGTCCGTGTTTAAGGTATGATGTGCTACCATGCGGCGTGGCAAACACAGGGTCCAAGTTTCGGTCCGATTCCCAAACATTTGAGTTATCCATGTCTTTGGCTTGATCAGGGAATAAGTGTTTATGGTCGAAATGTGTTTGGACGAAAGATTGTTGTGCAGTAGTTGCTCCTGCCAAGGTAAAGAGTGTAGGTGTGGGAAAGAGTTGGGCCTCAGGATCATGGAAGAATGGGAAACAAGATTAAATACAGCGAAAGAATAGAGACCAAAGACACAAAGGTCATTATTGTTCGTCAGGGTGCCGTGATTCACGCGGATTTTCCGGCCACAAGGTCGCGGCAACGGGGCTTAAGCAAGGTATGCGAACCTTCGCAACGCCGATTTCCACAAAACAAGTTCTTCGATGCAAACCGTGACTCGAAAACATGCTCTCCAACCTTGATAGAAGCTGGAACGGGACCTTCCGGGTTGTCAAATTTGTTTCGGAGATAGAAATTTGGTTTGGTAGGTACCATTACCTGTGTGGCCTCGCTGAGCTCTACCGTGATAGCCCAGTCTATAAACCAGCAGCAATCCCAATAGAAATCAGAATTCATCCTGCCTTTTCATCATCCTTTTCATCTCCTTATTCATATTCTCAAACAGTAAAACTCTACTACTTCGTTTGGAATTCCCATTTCATCTGCTCGTAGCCTCCGGTTGAAGTGACCGACTTAAAAGCCAACCAGTATATCAAACGACTTCAAACAACATTAAAACAGCACACCGATTTAAGAGCGTTCTATTAAGAACCCATCGTTTTCTACAACAGTTCAAACATCTACCTCGCGGAACCAAGTCACAGTGAATATGACTTCCCACCAGCAAGTTCAGGCAGCGCCTTCCTCGTCAAACGCCACCCCCAATGTCCAAAACCCAGCTACAGGGCCACAGCAGCTGGGAAAACCTCTTCATCCAAGAGTAGCGGCTCTGTTGCCCGTGTCGCCGAGTCTGCCGTCACCCGCCCTTCAGCATCAGCATCAGCACCGCCACCGCCAACCCCATGGGAACCATTGCCAGTATCGGGATGTCACCAGGTTGTCATGGGCCCTCTATATCGAGCGATATGGACTTTCCGATGTCTGGAAAACGAAACTAGAATCGGAAACGGACAGATACGGGCCCAGAACCCGGAAGGTTGCCGGGAATACGCCTGGAGAATTGACAGTGGACGACAAGTCTGGGCAGTGCCCATACTTGTACAATCAGGTCCCATACGTGGATTGCAGGGACCCGACGTTCAAGCAAATCCTCGTCACCAAGACGTTACAGGGCACAAGGTATTACCTGGGACATTGCGGTGGCGAGTTCGTCTTCCGATACTGGCCATCCCGCCAGTCAGGCCCGCATGCATTCCTGGGCTCCACTGGCGCCACGACCCAGGAGAACTTCCATTTTTGCGGCCAGGTCCCTCGACCACGGCCAGAGTATTCGGAAAGGTTCAGTGTCGTGAAGTCCAAGGTCGTCCGAATGTTTGCGAGCATCCTTGGACATCTCCGCACCCACGATCACGGCCATCTTCCCGGCCTCCTCCGGACTGCCTGTGAGCTGGGAAGCGACTTGCCACAAGACGACATCGAGGATCTTGGCATCAAGTGGGATGTCGCCTTTCCAAAGGGCGCCAGGATCTCAGATGAGATCCGAGTGGCAACGCGGCTTAATCCCGCGATTGCGGAGTTTGCACACCTCGTCCGGATACTGGCTGAGGGAAGGCCGGCCGTTGTCAGGGATCTCAAGCCACTGGTTCGCATGGTAGAGGGGAGCACACAACTACCTCTTAGGACAATTGCAAGGAATCATTACGCCAGATTGGAAAATGAGGCTTTTAAGCAGCTATTTTCTGGTGAATATTCCCACAACTTGCTGGTTTTCCAGGATGATAAAGTCATGGTAAGTCATCTCATTCAATGTGGTGTGGTCAAGGCCGCACCGGATATACCTTATTCCGTGAGTCGCGCGACCCAAAGCTAACATTTTGCATCAGGACGTCCACGCCTTTTACCAGCAGCCAAGATACCGAACCGATCCCTTGCACCCCTCCCGCTACCACCAATTCTTCGCCGCCAACGCTCTCCCGGCTACTCCGACATTCAGGTTCCTCGATTGGAACAACGTTTTCGAAGACGACGACATAGCGCCATTTCAGGAGGTCCGCTGGAACGCTTCAGAATTCGAGTTCCAAGTTCTACTCTCCCACTTAGACGACGACGACGACGACGACGACGACGAGACTGGGCAATCGAGGCCTTCTAGAGGGAAGCAGTAGACCACGGCCGATCAGAGCGTCATTTCTGTCTCCCAGAACCAGATACTCTCTCAGCCGAACCCCACGAGGTGCCGAGAGAGCTCCCCCGCAGACGACGGAAATATAATCCGCCCACGACCCTCGCAACATCGCCAAACAACTCAATTCCCCTCAAAATGGCGACCCTCTTCTCCCTGCGCGGGCTCTTCACCCGCTCGGCCCCCACAGCCCTCCCCACGACCCGCCTGTTCTCGACCACCTCAACGGCGCTCGCCCGCACGCCGCCCAAGCCCCCGCCCAAGAAGCCCGCGGCCGGCAAGACGACCCCCCGCCGCAAGCACCAGGTCACCAAGTCGGAGAACTTCTACCGCATCCGCACGCTCAAGCAGAACATGTTCTCGCCCGCGCCGCCGCCGCTGCGCATGGCCCGCCTGCGGTACCTCCGCCACTGGACCATCCACCGCGCCTGGCAGCTGTTCCGCCGCCAGCAGCACCAGGACATGGAGCGCGAGCGCCACCGCATGTACAGCGGCATGTACAACGCCTGCGAGGAGCTGCGCAAGACGGTCGGCCCCGGCCTCCGCGACGAGGGCTACCTGTACCGTGTCGCCATGGAGAAGAAGGGCGTGTGGGGAACCGAGGCCGTGCCCATCGAGTACGCCCGCTTTCAGACCGAGTTCCCCGGCGCCGAGGCGTGGAACCATGAGTGGAAGAGGTAGAGCTGTGGAGAAAGCAAGTGTACACAAGAAGGCTAGAATGGTGAAGCGTTGGAATTCATCAATTGTATTATAGGCGGCGAAAAGACTCTGTAACGATGGCTGGAAGCACGCGGACGCAACGCAAAAGACGAATCCAAAGCCCCAGAGGTTCACCAATGCATAATCATGTACAAGCTCAATCAGAAACTGACCCATGACACACATTCACCTCTCGGCCACTCTGAACATGAAATCATCACTCTCATTAAGTATCACCTCGACAACGATGACGACTAACCAATCTCCCAGTCGTCCTTCTTTTCGACCTCTGCACTACCCCTGATTCCTCTTTTCTTGCCCCGTCGAAATGAACCCTCTCTGAACGACGTTCCGAGTCGGGTTGCTCTATGCGAATTCCACGGTATTAATACAAATCGAGAGTGAAGATGCTTCTGCTCATCGTGCTTTTCTTTTGTCCGCTGCAGAAAATATCGCTTGCCAGATTAATAATAATAACCAAATAAATAAATAAAACATGGAGCCAAGATGAGTAATTGAGTAATAAAAATCGATGATGTGTGGTGTGGCATGTAAATGGCGATGGTCCCTCTCTTTGCAGAATGCCTTTCCAAAGAGTGAATGTCTGTCAATCAAGCCGCCAAACGTTGGTAGTGCGAGGGAAGTGGTCCTTTGGTGATGAGAGGGTCGGCTGAGACTGGCATTGCCAGTCCTGACTGAGTCTCAGCGTCAGTCAACCTGGGAGTGGTGCAAAGCATGTTTTTCCTCCCGTAAGCGCCGAGCAACAATCCTCTATATCCGTTTCCAATTCCGTTTCCCTGATGAGCTAAAAGTGCAGTCGAGATTTTCAAGATGATGTGTGAGCGCTATATAGTGACGGCGGCGCATAGTTAGTAGGCAATGCAAGGAGGTGTCATTCCTTGCTAAGAAGACATCCAATACTGCAGCATGTTGCAGTCTGCTATCAGGTAAACTTCCGTATCATGGAAGCTCGCCTGGCATCGCATCGCCCATGATAGGGTGGCGGTGGTGGCTTCACAGCACAACGCAGCAGCCGCCTCCCTCTCCCTTCTCAAAGGTCAAGAGAGCGGCACGAGTGGCAGCCTCGAACACATCGTCGACGCCCTCGCCGCTCAGGCTAGAGCACTCCAAATACCGCTTGGCGCCAATGTCTCGTGCGATAGCCTCGCCTTCGTGTTCAGTAACGAATCTCATCGATTTCTTTCGCATGTCCTCGATGGCGACCGGGTCTTCTCGAAGGTCCTTCTTCAGGCCGACGAGGATGATGGGAACGCCGGCGCACAGTCGGGTGGCCTCCTCGATCCACTATAGAATAACGCGTCAGCTTTTGGGGATTTGTCAGAGCACAGCCAGGCCGAGCGAGCCGCACCTTATGTTTGACGTTATCCAGGGAATCCGGAGTGTCAATGGAAAATCCAACCAGGATGACGTGTGCTTTAGAGTAGGCGAGGGGACGTAACCGCTCGTAGTCTTCCTGGCCGGCCGTATCCCATAGTGCGAGCTGGACAGACTTGCCGTCCACTCTGCAATCGGTCACGTAGTTCTCGAAGACGGTGGGGATCTAAGATGAGGTCAATATGTCGGCAGTCGGTAGCGCAGGATATCTATCAAACTCACGTAATGCTAAATCAATTCAGTTAGCAAAGCCCGATAAGAGAGTGACGGTGAAGAGGGGAGGGGTGGACATACTGTCGGGAAGTATCCTAGGGTGAAGACACTCAGCAAACTGGTCTTTCCGCAGGCACCGTCGCCAATAATAACCAGCTTCCTGGTATGGTTGTTAGCGATCTAGTGCATCATGCCGAGGGTGTAGCCGAGGGCAGGCGACCGAAGGAACACGGGAACGAGGTGGCGATGGAAGGAGGAAGTTGAGTGGGAAGTGGGCGTGGGCCAGACATGATGGGCAGTCTCTAGGAGTCATGGGCGATGACGGAGGGGTCGTACCTGCGAATGACGTTCTGAGGATTTGCGCTCATTGTGAATCGTGTGCTCCGAATGCGAGCAGTATCGGTCGAGGGCAATCGGAGGTGATGGGTGGTGGTGGTGGTTGTGTTTTGTTTGGTCGTCTACCAGCGAAAATGACCCCCGAGTTCCAAGAAGAGGCAGATCCCCCTAACTCTCGCTCGGCGTCGATTGGCGTCGGACCTCGCAGCGGCGGCAAAGACGACCGAAGGTGAATCGTAAACGGAACGGTCGCGTCGTAAAGGGCGTAAATCAGCTGGCGAGTCGGCCGGTCGTGGGAGGAAGTCGTCGAGTGGCCCCTATTTCGCTGATCCGAGGTTTGTTTGAATGTGTACGCGGGCCGAGCACGATGAGGATGGAGACGGCGATGGATGGGATGGGAAGCAGGGACGTCGGACCGCGCGCGTAGCGAATACGATCTAGCCGGGGCGGTGGGACGGAGAGACGGAGTGGTTGGAGGAGAGGAGAGAATGGGCTTTTTAATGGAATGGGAATACGAGCTGAGGAAGCGTAGGACTTGGAGAGGACGGGCAGGACGGGGGAGGGACGAGGAGAGACGAGGAGAGACCGGTCGGACAGTCGGGGAAGGCGATGGCGTTTTCTGCTCTGGCGGACTGGAACTGACTGGGTCTGGGTCTGGGCTGAGCAAGTGCGCAAGCTGGGCTTTTGGGGCTGGGCTGAATCGCCGAAAGCTGGTGCTTTTGGTTGTGGTGGATTGGACGTGATGTGGATGTGGTGGATGTGGTGGTGGGTGCTTTGGTGCGAGTTCAGCGCGGTGCGAGTGCTAGGAGCGGCAGTGGTTCCAGCAGGTGGGTGTCCGTTTCGGTGCCTGTTTGGGGGTGGTTGCTGGGCTTGGGTTGTTTTGTTACGGGCCACCAGGCTACTCCGTACAGGCTTAACAGGCTACAGGATACAGGCTACAGGCCACCCGCCCGGGGAACGGCGCGAGCGGCCGGTGGGCGTGGCGGTCGTTGTGGTGGTCGTTATAGTGGGGAGGTGGAGGGAGGGGGGAACAAGTGTGTGGTGGAGCAGCAGGACTTTTTTAGCAACCCCCGGAGTACCTCTTGTGTACTGCGGGTACCGCCTATGCGAGAAGTCCTTTGCAACTTCGGTTCGCAGGCATTGGTCGCTGCACTTTTCACCCGTGGGGGCAGTGGTTGTTGCAGTGGTTGTTGCAGCGCAGCGGTTGTTACAGTGGGATGGGATGGACGCCGTCGACGCCTTCAGGGCTATGTCAGAGCCCGCTAGAGGCTGTACAGAAGCCTACCGGCTGGTGGCGGCGGCACAGAGGAATAGCGCTGGCCGGTGGAGGCTGACGATGACGATGACGATGATGGAGATGGAGATGGAGATGAAGCCAAGCCCATCATGACCCAAGCAGCCAGCCTTAACGTAAAATATACAGACGACGCGCAGGGAAGACGGCTTCTGCAGGGACAGGCTCACAAGGGACCTGTCAAAAGAATTGAGGAATCCAAGCTCCATGATGCTCCATCCTCAACCCGGCCGGGAACAACTCGCGATCAGCAGGGGAAGAGGTCCAGAAAAAGAAACAGATCCACGGCCTGTACTCCACGCAATTACCTACTCCGTGCATAGTCTGAACTCACGGAGCAGCCAGACAGGCGCCCAGGGTCCTCCCAGGTACTACTCCGTCCATTGTCGCCGCGTAGAGTTCACCAGTTCGGCAAAGGGGTCCTTGCTAGAGCGCATGGAGCGCATGGATCGGGTTCCAAAAACAGACCTGGCATGTGCTTTGTTGACTGGGCACTGCCTGCACAGATCTTGTCGTTGCGCCAATAACTTAGGTTTCGGATCGCCTACGGTACCTATCCATAGTTAATACTACATGACTCTGTGCCTCGAGGCAGAAGAAACATTCGTCGCGAATACCCGCGAGACGGACACGGGGTAACGTAACAGCGACCTCCATCACGTCGAGAGCGCACCATTGCATTAACTCGTTGCCGTTTTGCCGTGCTCTCCGTTTCTATTTTGCTACCGACTTGATCCACTACCTGCTACGTAAAAGCACATGCTTTTCTCTCCGTCCAGCTGGGTTGTAGGCTCCATTGCTTCCGGCCATTGCTTCCGGTCATTGCATTGACAACGCTCGGTCGCATGAGGGAGAATTCTTTCGTCATCAGCCAGCTCACTGCAGCGCCAGAACGTGATATTATATGACCGTCTAAAAAGTCGGGACGACGGAGGCCAATCACGGGGAAATGGATGCTCTTCTCTCACACGTCAATGGCAAATAGTGGGCTTGCGAGCGAGAAACATGCCACCACGTCTTCATCCCTCTCAGCACTCGCTGGGTTGGGCCAACGGGGCAGTGAATCAACAAACAGAATGATGACAACGTTGCCGATGACCACGCGAAGCGACTGGCCTCAGAAGTCTTGTAGCAGGCTTGAATGCCCAATGCATCGATTCCCCTTTCTTTTTCCCTAGGCTACCCAAACGTCCCCAGCCGGCTTGCTTCTGGCGCGCCGTTCGTCATGCCATGTCACTATTTAGTGCAGACGACACCCGCTGTGAGGCTGTGCATCCGAAAACAAACCCACCAAGCCAGCAGAGGCTAAAATAAGCACCCTCCGTTCAGGGACCGGGATAGGTCAGGATGAACTACCACGTCGGGCTGCGTAGTAGGACCACAGTCCTTCAAGGTTGGTCGACCGTCTTGGAAGACATGATCGAGCCATACTCGTTTTTTTTTTTCAGTGGGACTCTTGGCTCGCGTGCTTCTCGTGTGAATGCCATCCATCCGGATCCCGTCCGTCGTGTCATACTTCTCTGTGCGATCCGACGGCTACCTCCGATCGATCAGCACCGCACAATTTGCTGTGCGGTTGGTACGATGCAAACAGAGCAAGTATCCTCCACAACCAGGGGACCCATCCAGGGACATTTCCCACTGCATCCAATGGCAGGCGGTAGACTAGGTTACTGCTGAGCGAGGCTCCAGGGCCTTCGCATCAACCCCAAAAACTGGTTCCCGCTTATTGTCCTACAACTGTTCTTGTACTTCTTTCGTACACTCTCACCAGACCACCGAGAACTAGGGCTGACAGGCACTCCCCTTGTTCATCTATAATGCTAGCTCAGGCCATGCAACAAGCACTCGCATCGTCCGTCGTTGTGCTGCTGTGATAAGCAAATATCCGTCGCGCGTTGGCCGCGGCGCAATCCACCACCATGACCATTGTCAAGTCATGCTCTCACAACGGGTTTGTCAACCACACTCAATAGATCTGCCTCCAACCAAACAAGGCAATGGCGACACTAAGGGAAGCATGGCAACCTCTAGTGGGCATCATCTAGCGACTCTATTGCCCGATATGGACCCATCCGTTCGTTATCTTTGCATCTCGTTTACTCCAACTGGGAGGTGGTTGCAGTAGTGCTACAAACCAGCTTTCGCGCGCATCTCATCCTTGGCGACGTTTTTCCCTCTACGGTCAATCAGCCGAAGCATCCAACGCCGCGGTTACACATTGCCACGTTCCTCCACTCTCGTGTCCAACGTCAGAAAGGGGGGTGAGCCCGTCTCGTTGTGTGGTCGCCCTGTGTCACACGGATAGGTGCTTATGCATGAGATTGCTTGCGGGATGCGATGTCGTTGTGCCACTTGTCCGCCCGTCATTTCCAGGCCTACAGCGTCTGCGGTGCTTGCCGATTAACGAGTGAGGGCTCATGAAGATCCCCCGCCTACCCAGTCGTGATCCCGCTGTGTCACCATACCCTAGGGGTTACGTCCGGCAAAGAGATTGCTCCCGCTCATCGACTTCAGTCATGAAGATCCCAATCCACTACACCCTTCGGTTACGGCCCTGCACCCACTATAGCGGTTTCAGCCCAAACGTCAAACAGCAAGGCTACTGCGGAAGGCCTACGGAGACAGGATTGGGGATTTATTCGCAGATCATATTGTGCTATGAAGAGTCATAAAGAGAACAGCAGACTGAAATGAATGGGGCTGTTGGCAGAAATGTCCACCTGTATCTCGCTTGACGTTTTGATTAGTTTGCTCTCCCTCGCAACTGACTCACTCGGCCGTTCTGTTCATGCACGCTTTCCCGCTCTTAACGTCCAAGGAAAGCAACAGATGGCAACAGAAGCAACGGGCGGCACGCCAAATCACAACACTTTATACTTTAAAAACAAATCGGTTGGGCGGGGGACGAGAAGGGAGCCGTTGATGTCGTATGTGGATCGCTATGTCCTGGGCGGCTCTATGGCAACTGCCTTTAGATATCTATCCCCAAGCATCCCGGCTGGAGGAGAGTTCAGCTCGCCAAACGCACCTTCTAGAATTCGTGGAGATCGAGTCTAGGGTAAGCCCAATTGAGCAACGGAGCGCTGACATCAAGGTCGTTGCTCCCGCCAACCCCACTTGCCTAAGGCACAAACGCGGAAACCGTTGGTGGCCAAGGTCACGTGTAAAGTCACACGACCCCTACCACACTCAGGCACGAAATCTGATTGACGGAGGCGGACCCAGTTTTCCCTGGCTTCACAGTGCACGCCCTCGTTCGGCTGCATGCGAAAGTACAGGTGCCATGTAACTCCACTGGAGAGTGACTTCCATCTCTTGCGTTGAGCCTCGAACACCATCGAAACCTCCAACAAAGACGTCCAGGCTTAGTATCCCTCCCGCAACATCTCTACAGGCCCCGAACCGCGCACACGTTCGCCGCCGGAGCATCTTATCGACCCGGGCCTGGCCCACCTCCCCGCAGGCGTCATCGCTGACCTAACCCTGACCTGGGGACTGAGTGAGTGCCTCATTTTGAGCCGCCCCAGACCCTCCACCATCATCGGCAACTCGCATCTCGCACCCGTCCGCCGCCGCCCTTGGACCCGACTCGCCTCGCCCTGCGCTGCGCACCTCTGCCGGCACCGTGCTGACCCGTGGCAGCTACTTCTAGACGCCCCTTCCCTCTCCTCTCCCCCCTCCGAGCGGCAGACACGTGTTGCGCGCGGCCTCTTCATGCTTTCGACTGCCCTCGCTCCGTAACCCACGATGCCGGCCACCAACCAGAAACCGGCTACGCAAACGCCGGCATCACCCCGAAACCTCGCCAAATACACCAACAAGGATGGCTCCAAGTTCATCACCGTCCCCAAGGGCACCCCCTCCGAGTCGTCCCAACCCTCCACCCCCACAACCACCAAACACAGCGCACCCCCACCAGAGCCCAACGCCAGCAACGACACTGCTCCGACTGTGAACCGTAAGAAGCAGAAGCGCCGGCAAAAGGCAGCCGCTAAGGCCGCCGCCGAGCAGGCTGCGAATGGCCATGCCGACCACATATCCAGCTCCGGGATGACTTCGGGTCACCACCGTGCCGACCACGAGATTGTCGCTAGTGACGATGACGACGCCGACTACGGCTTAGGGGCTCATCACTCGGGGTCCATGTCGAACGGTCATCTGGCAATAGACGCCAAATCCAAGAAGAATCGGAAGAAGAAGAAAAAGAACGCTGCGGGAGACAGTGACACTGCGTCGCCAACCCCTGCACATTCACATCTTGAATCGCAATCTTCGACGGTGGGTCGTGGCTCTGGCATGTCTCGCGACAAGATCTGGAGCACGAGTAATCAGGAGGAGCGTGAACGTATCAAGGAGTTCTGGCTTGGTCTGGGTGAGGACGAACGGAAGTCGTTGGTCAAGGTGGAAAAGGATGCTGTGTTAAAGAAGATGAAGGAGCAGCAAAAGCACACCTGCAGCTGTACGGTCTGTGGCCGGAAGCGAACCGCGATAGAGGAGGAGCTGGAAGGTCTCTACGACGCCTACTACCTCGAGCTGGAGCAATTCGCCAACCAAGGCGAGGGCCCGCCCATGCTCCCCCCACCCCGCGATTTCTCCCTACGACCGCCCCGAGGGCTACCTTCGAGCTATACCAACCAACCCCCATCCCGCGGCCGAATAGTGGAACATGTCGGCGACGACGAGGACGAGGACGATTTGGAGGAAGGCTACAGCGATGACGAAGTGGACGACGACGATTATAGCGACGACGAGCCTCCCGAGGAATTCCACAACTCTCACGATCGTGACGTGGCTGATTTCTTGACGTTTGGCAACAGTCTGCAGGTCAAGGGTACGCAGCTCCTTGAATCACTACTCCGCAGATATGGTAACATGGAACTAGGCGGCATTCTCACCGTTGCGGATGACCTACTCAAGAATGACGGCAAGCGATTCATCGAAATGATGGAGCAGCTAGCGGAACGTCGCATGGCCCGGGAAGAGGACGCTCGCGAGCACTTTTCTCGCGGCGCCTATGGTCATCCTAACGGCTCATACTCCAATCCTCATAATCACCCTCCTCCTGAAGACGATGAATATGACGACGACGAGGATGAGGAGGAAGATTATGACGACAGTCAAGATGAGGAGTATGAGGATGAAGAGGTATACTCAAACCCCTCTATAATGCCGTCCCAGTCACATACTGAGTGTTGCTGCCAGGACCAAATGACGGAGGAGCAACGAATGGAAGAAGGCCGCCGCATGTTCCAGATATTTGCTGCACGAATGTTTGAGCAACGCGTTCTCTCAGCATACAAGGAAAAGGTAGCCAAGGAACGCCAGCAGAAACTGCTGGAAGAGTTGGAAGAGGAGAGCCGACAAGTCGACCAACAGAAGGCGAAAAAAGCTAAGAACGCCCAGAAGAAGAAGGACAAGGCAGCTCAGAAGAAGCAGGCCTTGGCCGAGGAGAAGGCGCGCAAGGAAGCCGAAAAGGCTGCCCAAGACGCCGCTCGACTGGACGCTGAGAAGCAACGGGCCGCTGAACAGAGACAGAAAGCTGAGGAGAAGCGGAAGCAGAAAGATGCCCAGAAGAAGGCCGAAGAGGACGCTCGACTCCGGAAAGAAGCTGAACGGCAACGGCGACTTCAGGAGCAGAGAGACAAGCAGGCGGACCAAGAGCGCAAAGCTCGCGAAGCCAAGGAGCGGGAGAAGAAGTTCAAGGAGGAACAACGACAGAAGGACAAAGACGCTCGTGAGCAAAAGGAGCGTGAGGCTCAAGAGCGAAAGGATAAGCAAGATCGGGACAAGCGGGACAAGGAAGCCAGAGCCGCCAAGGCCCAGAAGGAGGTCCAGGCCGCCAAGGAGGCCAAGGAGAGAGCAAGAGAGGAGAAGGTTGCTGCCCTGAAGGCGGCGAGCCAGACACCTCAAGGCCAGCCTCTGCAACTGTCCAAGCGTGGTCAACAGCACCCCGTCTCGATCCCGACCATTCTACCTCAACATCCATCGAACCCCGTCAACTTCGCCTCGCCCAAGATACCCGTGGCAACACCCGTGATCCCCAAGGCACCGACGCCTATCCGACCGCGAACGACGTCTCAGCAACAGGAAGCTGGACAATCGAGTTCTTCGGCGTCGCAGTCAGCTTCGGCTACGAGTCAGAACCCATCACCGCATTCTGTAACACCAGCTCACATGAGCCCAGGGCCTATTGGCCAGCAGAGGAAGGGAAGTACTAGCACGACGGCAACTACCTCTCAGCATTCGCATTCATCCTCTCCACCGATGAGAAAATTGAAGCTGCTGCCCGGTCAGACACCGCCTTTCCAGATCCCCCCGTTGGTAATGCAGCCACCTCCAGGGCTCGCGCACCACCCTCCGCCGGGTTTCCCGAGCCGCATACCCCACGAACCCATCTTCCCTCCCGGTTTCAGACCTGGCCCGAGTATGATGATGCCCCCTCCCGGCATCAATGGTCCCACAGCTCGGGGGTTCCCCCCCGGGCCCTTGCCGCCACCCGGATTCTCGCAACCTGCTGGTGATCAGTTTGGAATGGCCGGTGGATTCCCGTTACCCAAGGACGGACCCCCACCGACCCATACGCGCCAGAGCTCTGGAGCTTTCGACGGTCTGTCCGGAACCTCGACGCAACCCATAGGACGACCTGCGCCTATCGGGCGGCCCGGAAGTGTTAACCATGGACGATCGTATGACGAGGACGACGAAACGACGCACCTGGGAAGTAGAGCGCTCCTCGAAGACGACGAGCTATTGGGTGCTGAGATCAACATGGGAAGCCTGCGCAACCAACCACCAGGACCACGAGCTGGCTTTCCGGCGAGTCCCTTTATGGATGCCGGTTTTTCCCTTGCACACAATCCGTGGGGGCCTCCAGCTGTAACTGCACACCCGTTTCCTCCTCCAGGCTTTAGCAATCCTGGATGGGGCGCGCCAAGCGTGCCTCCTGGATTCGGTATGGGATCTCCTATCCCCGCGCTGAGCTCTATTCGCCCACCCGCCCAACCACGCCATGTAACTGTTCGTCTCATGTTGTGTCAGGCCTGCAAGGAACTTGCCAACTCGGGCGACCCTGAGGGATTCATCGGACTCGCAGCTCTCAAGTCTCATATTGATGCTCTTACTGGTGATCAGGGCCTTACAGAACAAGACCTGCTGAATTTGTGCGACACCGAAGGGAGCCTTTCCAATGGAGGTGGCACCTTTGAAGTCAGGCGGGATGCTGGTGGCCCTGGAAAGCATACTGTGCGATGGGCGCCGGATCTTAGCGACATATACCCTCATTATCGAGCCGTTGGAGCTCCTGGCGAGATCGGTAGCCCATTGTCAGGACACGCATCCTTGCGAGGAATCTAGGGAGTTCCTAGCCAGGGGAGTGATCGAACCAGTAGCAACAGCCCTTCTGAGCGGAGGTCGATGTTTGACCATATGGGTAATTTCGGCAGCACCACACCCACCCGCCGATCGATGGCGCTTAGCGACCAGTACATCGGCACACCCAGGGACAAATTTTCCCTTTACGCGGCTGCCTCTAACGGGCGTGGGCCCAAGAACCTGTCCAAGGTGGACACCTGGGAGGGTTTCTTCGACAGTTGCAAAGGGAAGATGGGTGGACAGGATGGGCGGAGGTAGGAATAGGTCAGGACTGTGTACTCCAATGGGACACGGTGTGCCTCACGGCACACATGGTTGGCGAAGTCTACGAGCGACGGGATGAGAGAAGCGAAAGCGAACCAGCGTGTGAATTACCGCGGTCGTCACTGAAGGAATTATGTTCGAGTATCGGATAATAAGCATGAAATGGTCTTTAAAGGCCTGTGGAATGTGAAAGTGCACTTCTGTGGGACGAAGCAATTGCCGTGTTATGTTTGCTGTCTGTGATGTGTTGTGTATGTCGTGTGTGTCGTGGCAGGAACTGATCGAGGTTGAGATGGTCTTGTGTAGAACTGGTGAAATGCGAAATCCACAAGTTCAGGTCTGGTGCACAGGTCACAATGACGATATATGTGTTCTCGGTCATCCTTTGCTGACTTTGTTCTTCGTTATTGTAGTTGGCGGCATATCGCTGCACTTCAACCACAACAGAGACATACTCCCTAAATGTCGAGGGTAACATTGTATTCTTTTTGTATCTTGCTCTGAGAGTCCAAATAGGTCACCTAAACTCGGGTCAGTTGCGTAGCCCATCAAAGTAGATATATCTTCAATGCAGAGCAGCTTTTGCCGTGACCTTGCTTGTATGTCTCACACTGTTCGAACAGACACAAACACAGGCACACTTTGTTGGGTCCTCAGCTTGGACTATGGGATGTGCTCACTGTACCATCGCCGTACAAACACCCACCCAACCTTTGAGGAAAGACCAAATCGAGTCTTTGAAGATGCCAACCGGGAATTCCAAGAAGGCAAAGACGGAGCAGCGCACGAGCATAGAAACACATGGAGAAGGTGCAACGCAGACACATACACGTGATATCTATAACTCGAGACCTGCGACCTCTGATCTAAGATGCAAGTACAACCTCGGCCTTTATTCGACCGTCTTCGCAATGAATTCACTATTTTGCAGACTTCTAGTCATATTTATTTCCATTTGCTCCGAGTACTCAAACACATGTCCCTGGCCCTGACAATAAGGTATCAAAAACAAGTTGCTCATCACTCCGTGGCCCCAATGCGGCTCTCCTCCGAGGAGGGCTCAGGGTGGCGCCCAAGAGGCTACTCCCTCACGCGTTCCAGACGCCCCCCGGTGCGTCTTCCATGACCGGACCGGTCGTCCTAAGCACGGCCCTGGTCCTGGAAGGGGTTCGCGCCGCCGGCAGCGGAGCCGCCAGAGGCTTTGCGGAGGAGGGGAGTTCGCTGGGCGGCGCGCTGCTTCTTGGTGGCGGCGCGGGCCAGAGCGGTGGCCTCGGCCTTGGCGGCGAGGCGCTTCTGCTCCTTGCGGTCCTTGCAGCAGGCAAAGGTCAGGCCGGCGGCGCCGATGACGAGGGCTCCGGCGAAGACGAGGGCGACGACGATGCCGCCGACGTCCATTTTCTTGAGGTCCATGCAGATGTCGTTGTTCTGGGAATCGACGGTGCAGATGAGCGTGGGGTCGCAGGTGCTGGTGGTGATCTCGGTCGGGAAGCAAGTCACGGTCTTGGTGTGGTCGCCGCTGGTGGTCAAGGGGCACGAGCTGGTCGATGACTTGCCGGTGCTGAAGCAGTCGGTGCCGGAGTAGATCTTCCCGGTCTTGGAGGACTTGCCGGTGGCCGTGGCGTCGGCGGCGGTGGTGTCAGCGCGAATGAAGGCGTCAGCACGGGGGTAGGCGGCGGCACGGAAGCGCTTCTTCAGATCGCCGGACTGGGCCATCTCCTCGCAACGCTCCAGGGTGGCTTTCGCCTCAATGGCGGCGTCGGCGGGCGAGCAGCCGACGTTGGTGTAGCAGGTTCGGATGTCGCTCTCCTCGAAGGTCTGGAGCTGCGACAGGCAGTAGGCGAGGGCTCCCTGATGGCCGCAGTCGGCGAAGCTGGCCAGGTCCTCGTGGTTGTTGACGAGGCACTCGTGCTTGGCGGTGGCCAGGGCACTCCCGGCGAAGAGGACGACGGATGAGACGCGCATGATGGCGGGTTTGTGATGGTTTGGATCTGGAGAGGAGGTGGGAGGATGTACGGCGTTTCGTATCGAATGGCAGACTCGAGGATGATGGACGAGAGTATCGAGGGTGAGTGGCTCCGTTGTCCAGCGACGCCCCGCAAAAGTCCCGGTTTCGAAGTCGATTAGCTGGCTGAGTGGATGGATTACAGGCTCATTCCCTTCCAGCAGGCACGAGAGTTGAGGGAGTCGACGGGAGGGTATTCGGCGACACGACGAGACGAAGGAAAAGAGAAGAAATTGGCGGATGAAGAAGGATGGGCGAGGGTTAGGGGAGAGGAGAGGAGAGGAGGATTGCGAGAAGGAGGCGGGATACGAAGGACGAAGACTGGGAAGACTGGGGTGGCAGGGGGAGTGAGGCGGCGCTCGGGAGAAATGTGGGAGCCACGGTGATTAAAAAAAAAGGAGACGGATGGTCGCTATTTTTCGGCACCCTGAACTAGTCTGACCAGCCAGTCTGCACCTCTCTACACGTCTCCAGTCGAGCGTCCAGCCTCCAGTCACAAGTCAGCCTGGGCGGGTACGGATACATGGGGGTCCGCAGCAAGGGTGTTTGGATTCTTATGGGAGCTGCTAATTATGTACGAAGTACGGAGTATGGCGGCGACTTGGTAAGGCTGTGCTGGCTGTGTTGGCGGTGCCGGCGCGCTGCGAGCAGTTAGTGCTGTTAGTACTGCTCCAGTTGCGGCGGGCGACATTGGGCTAGGGAACAGCGAGTCTCCAGGGCTTCAGGGAGGGCGGTGGCGGCTGGGGCTGGGCCGGGCTGATGACAGGGGCGATCCCTAAGAGCTAGAGAGAGCACTACGGCGACGGCACGTAGAGTGCGAGGTACCGGGTACTCGCTCCAGCTCTTGGTGCGCATGACGGGCGGCGATGCTGATTTGCTCTGCTGGGCATTGGCGTGGTGCGGCTGCAGGTGCTGATGCTGATGGTGGCATTTGGCTGTTGAACCTTGAGCTTCTGCGGAGGGAGGGAGTGAGTGTGACACCGCGAGCAAGCAACCCGCCAGTAGCCAGCCAAAGTTGAGCGAATCTACGGATACGTGAACAGAGACGCGGGGCCACAACGAAAAGGGGACGGCAAGCAATACCATGGCCGCTGAGCTGTGAAAGGAGCACTGTGGACTGTGTGGCGGCATGTTTCGAGAGCATCGACGTTAATCCATATGCAGCCCACACACATAAGCCCAAGCCCACCCCAAGTGGCTGAGGCCGCACTTCAGCTGGAGACGCTCTAATGAGGAGAGGGAGTTGGCACGTTGCACGTCGCACTGGCCCACCTGCTTTGTGCTCTTCCTCCTGTGCTCCTGTGCTGTGGCATGAGGTATGTACTGTGTACCTGCGGGGATGCTTGCTGACGGCAGCTTTTCTGGCGCGGAGGGGACGAGATGCCGAAAAGGCGGAAGCAGCCAGCGTGGAAATAGACTGGCGCTGACATGAGATGGAGACGCCGGAGTTGGACGTGAGGCTCATCTGTGGGCTCCTCGTCCCGTAGGTGATGATGGCGTTGGTCCCCGAGCGGAGGAGGGTCTGCAGACTGTGATTGTAGGTGGTAAATAGGTAACCATATGCATCATAATCGCCGTCTTGCCGTCATTGTACCAGCATCGGTCTGGATTGGGTCCGTCCGAGTCGCTCAGCATTGTCCTGTCCTGCACATCGTCAACGGGGGCCAGAGAGGCTGGGCCAAGCAAGATCCCTTTAATCTGGCCGCCATATTGGCATGCATGGTGGCTGTGCCATCGGCCGTGCAGCAGCCGTCAATTACAGCACCCTGTCCCCTAACCGTCCACCCAAAATAAGCATTGGCGGCGTCCTTTTTCAGGGTTCTGTCTGTCCACGAAGGCATGTGGAAAAGCCCGGTCGGTTTCCTGCACGCATTCATAAAAGAACAGAGTTCACACCTCGGAGCGAGCCGATTTTATCCGGGAGGGCTTCCTGTCCCCCGCGCATGGAAACAAGTTCAGGGGTCGTGCAGTGGGAGTGGGCTTGGCCAGTGCGAGCTGCCTTGGTGGTGGACGAACCGCCAGCTGGCAGCGGATGTATCCATGCCGACGAATGGGTGCACGAACAGTTGCGTTGCGTTGCGTGATTGTGCGATCTGGACTAAATTGGTAATTTTATCTTCTTGTCGTTGTCGTCGTGTTGTTGGGAAACTTTGTTCCACCGGTTTCGATGCCATGAGTCCATGACGGCCACAGCCGGATCTGGGGAATCCATGTGTGTCGACGTCATCGCCGCCTGTCGCCCAAGCCTCAGTCGTATAAAAGCACCCGACGAAATCCTGCAACGCAACAATCGATCCACCGTTCGAGTTGCATTCTCAACCCAGCATATCACTTACGAAACAACTGCAAGAACAGAACCTTGTCTTTAATTTTATTCCCAGAAACAATCAACGCTCCCGTCGTCGCCGCCATGCCTCTCGTCGTCCCTGGAATAAACTCGACACCCGGTAATAAGACCGAGGAGTGGCAGAACAAGCTCGTTGGCAAGAAGTTGGGTGACGATGCTTCCACCGAGACGGTATGTCACTTTCCTTTTCTCTAGCGGTGATTGCTACGAGAGCTGGGAGTCTTGTGCGGTCCATCACTGCAATGAATCGCTGAGACGACGACCATGAGGCACGACCAGATCGCTTCAGGGTAGCATGACGTGATGGGACGGGAGCTAACAAGCATCAACTTAGGTCTTCTGCAAAAGGGATCTTCCCAAGGAGACGCGTATCATCGAGCCGGGGATGATGGTTACCAAGGACTTCAACGAGAACAGGCTCAATGTGCATCTGACAGAGGATGGCACCGTGTCGCACGTCGTCCACGGCTAGAGCGGGTTGTGTGCTACCACGGCGTGAGTGCTCCCTAAGAGAAGAGCCACCGCCGGGGTGGACTGTACGATTGATGGGATTAAGAGATACATGGCCTAGGGCAAAGAATGAATGATGCATGATTTCCAGGATTGATTTCTCTCTTGTCCTTTTGCTCAGCTGTTGAACGTTGAACATGACAATTCGTGATGCCCACCAAGACCCCGCCGTATTGCATCTCGCGACTTACCCCGCCACGGCCGACCGCGGGGCAGTCGTCGACTTTTGCCCGACCGTGGATCAGCAAAACAGTCCACCCCACCACGAGCCGGACAACCACGGCGACGACCATCACGAATTCTTCGCTCGAGCTTCACACTTTCCACCGCTCGATTCCTGTTCTACGGCCGCCATTCGTTTGACCACCGTCCGCTGCAGCCCAGTCCAACCGCCATCATGTTCAAGAAAGAGTCCGTCTTTGCCTCCCGCTCCCGCACTTAACCCTCACCCCCCGTTCTCGCCCTCGCCCCCCCGCTAACCCGCTCCGCTTGCGCAACCGACAGGATGCAGAGCTCCCCGAAGCAGAAGCTCAAGTCGTCGGTGCAGCGCTCCCTGCGCTCGGCGCTGCTCGCCACGTACCCGCTCCTGACGCCGCACATCGACGAGATCCTGCCCAAGAAGGCGTCGCTCGCCAGCATGAAGCTGCCCGACCGCAACACGCTGTACGTGCTCGACACGGTGCCGCTGTTCTTCCAGCACGACACCACCGACATCATCCCGCATCTGCGCCTGGTGCACCGCTTCCCCCAGGCCTTCCCCACCATCCGCATCGACCGCGGCGCCATCCGCTTCGTGCTGTCGGGCGCCACGCTCATGGCCCCGGGCCTGACGAGCAAGGGCGGCCGCCTGCCGGCCGAGGGCGCCGCCAAGACCCTCGAGGAGGGCAAGGAGATGGACCAGCACGTCGACGCCGAGGGCCGCTGGAGCCGCGAGCTGCTCAAGGGCGAGCCCGTCGTCGTCATGGCCGAGGGCAAGGAGGAGGCCTGCGCCGTGGGCTTGCTGGTCGCGGGCACCGACGAGGTCAAGGCGAAGGGCAAGGGTCCCGTGATTGAGGAGGCGCACTTTTTGGGCGACGGCATGTGGAATCTGAACACCGATTAGAAAAGGGTTATGGGAATAGGCTCGCATTTGTATATGTTGGGTGGGAGGGAATAGATGTCTTGATACCAAATACACAATCGTCACGATCATGAGGCAATGGTAGTTTTTCGACCTCTGGAAAAGGGAGAGAAATATCTATATAATCACTTCGCCTGCCAATCATATTTTCAAGTATTATTGTCATTGCCGACCCTGCTCGATCCTTAGACCCAACCCTCGTTATGCGAGCTAAGACTGCCAAGACCCAAGCACCCGAGCATGGGGATATGATCTGTATTCCGCAAGAGTAGTACTCAGTAATCCGATTAACTGAAGAAAGCAGAATATTAATTTGATCTTCGTAAATGGGTACCGAAACGTCCTGGTCTTGGGAAAACTGAGCGAACCCAGCGCGTGTTACCTCGTCCCTTCGAAGCGTGACCTTCCACCAGGTCCTCCGTGTTATAAGTATTCGCCGCAGAGGTATGGCGACAAAGACCTAATCCTCAACGTAAGAGTCCTAATTATTCAGTACACAATGCCCGAATCTTAAACCTTGGTCACTAATTGGTTCATCTGTCCAAATGTTTCGGCGATGGGCGAGTCCTTGATCATTCTGGTATCCTTTCCCAAAAAAGTCACCACCACATGTGGGTTTTCGCTATGACCGCACAGGCAAAACTGTCACATCCCGTAGTGTCGGGGATGGATTTTCGAGGGAAGAACTGCTTTTTCTCTAGCCGTCCTTGACTTGCTCGAGTACAATTTGTTGCCCAATCCATCGTGCAGAAGTAGCCACCAAAATCTTCTGGAGGGAGACAGCTCGAAGATGTTTGCACTTGCTATTTATATAACGTGGTAAAGTGCAAATTTCACATCGGAAACCAGTATTTTGGGGCGCATTCCCTTTCTGAAAATGTTAAATTCAGATCGAACTCGATTAGATCGAATCGACGGTGTACAATCGGTCTCCAGTGGTTGGCTCAGTCTGAGCTCACTTATGTTCTATGCCATAAGACATCTCTACTCCAAGATTGAGTAGATGCAGCGGTAAAAGAAAAGAACCGGCATGTTTTGTTTGCGGCATCTTTAACGTAAAATCTCATGGCATCAAACTTTCAGGCGAAGCAAAAACAGGCTGAGTTGGCACAAGATGGACTGTCTTCGACTGGCAAAATGATCAGTATTTCCATTGACGAAATAGAATTGAGGCGCATGGCAACTACGGCGTAGTTGATGCTCATCTGTCTACTTAGTTCCAGGGATAAATGCTGGAGAGAATGGACGTCTCCGTACAAAATCCGCAATGGTCACGATCATGAGGCAATACCACGTTTCCGACCTCCCTAAAATTAGGGAGGGAGTCTTTTTTTTTTTTGTATTTATGCCCAACACAGTGGTATAGGTAGCAGTGAGGGCAAGGGTCAAGTTCATACAGAAGATTCCGCCATCCCACCCAATTAATCCCACCCAAACCACTTCGGTTTCTCCGTGTGCCCAGTCACAAAACAAAACTACCATAGACCAGCAGTTATCGACCGTACCCAAGTCCGAGGCTTGTACAAGCCGACCAAAACCATGAGCGACACTCCAGAACCCGACAAGCAGTCCAACAGGAGTCTATGGCCCATCTTGGCGTCTAAGTCGATTCATGACGAGGGGACAGAAATGCAAATTTCATCTGGGTTACTGTTAGTTCATTGCTTGGCCTATTTGAAAGGATTGTGATGGGGATGTGCTACCTTTTTTTATGGCGTTTTCGTTTTCAACTTTTTTTTGATCGCCTTTTGTGGCGGGACTGTTTGTATTTTTGGTGTTCGTGGCGATGAAGCCAGCTTGGTGCGTTGCAAAGAGCGCGGGGAGCCAAGAAAGGGCTGTTTGCGTTGATTAGATGGCGTTCTATTGCGATGGCGGGAAACCGACATACCCAATCTGAGAGGTCTCATTGCTTGAGGCGGTGGTCTCGTTGAAGAGAACTGGTGCAAAAAAAAACAACAACAATAAAGCACTGCTCTCGTCAGCTTAGTCTTAGTTTATTTAGTCTTAAGCCTTGGGTCGTAAGTAACATACCTTGAGTGGAGAGTTTGTGTCACGTTGATGTGAGACGCGCCGGTCAGATGAAGTTAGGCGGGCCAGGAGGGTCCTCTACAGCAGTGTCATCATCGTCGTCGAGATCCTCCTCGGTGGCATTGGTCTCTTCGACAGGTGGCTGTACAATGATGGCGGGAGGTGGGACATTGCGGGCGGCTTCGGTGGCGGGGCGTTCAGGACCGTTTGCAACGTTCGCTTGTGGGTACATGAAATCGAGAAAGTACTTGTCCTTGGCAATCCACGGCATGTCCAGGTATCCCGTACGGCGGAAGAAGCCTCTCCAGCAGCTGCTGAAGGTGTGGGACGGCGCAGGAGCACGCTCCTAGCGGTTCTCGATCGCCGATTTGAAGCTCGACCGGACGTTCTGGGTGAGAGCGGGCCAGTAGTTGTGATGGACTGTGTGGACGTATAGGATGATGAGATCGCCAGTGTCGATGTTGATGTGCCTGGCCAATCGAGGACTTGCGTCCAGGAGTTTCCAGGACTGGTAGATCTCCGCGGACCGGAACTTGAAGTACTCTTGTCCGAGTCTAGTAGCCACCCCCGCAGCCCAAGGATTGTGGAACATGATTTTCTGGCAGATGTACCGGGAGATGGAGAGTGAGAGACTGGCCATCTCTTGCTTCATGTCAAAGTCCACCGCCATGACAAGCGTCTGGATCAGGAGTGGAAGGTTGAGGCCACTCTCGATCCCTGAAAACCCACCGACGTTGACGACTGACTCAAGTAAGACAGCAAAGACATCAGGATCGAGTATCGATAGCCGACTTCGGAATTCAATGGAGGTGGTGAGGGGTTGCCAGTTGGGGTAGGGGGCCATCAACGCAACTGGGATATGGAATTGACGTCCTCCGATTGTGACAACCTGGACGTTATTCGAGCTGTGAATATGGGTTAGAGAGTAGACAAATTAAGGAGAGCGAGGGAGTCCTGAACTTGCCTTTGGGTCCAATTACCGTTGATGACACGGCGGTTTCCGTTGGGGAATGAATCCTAGCGAATCAAAGTTAGTAATGTCGACTTCGCGACCACTCAACAACTGAAACCACTTACAGCGCCAGGGAGGTCAAAACAGCGAGGAACGCGTGGCTGGTTGCCGGGAGAGTTGAAGTTGGGGATAGGAGGCACCGGAGGAACCGCGTCAGGACGAGAGGGACCGGGCGGCGCAGCGTGAGAGGAGGACTCGCGCCGTCGACGAGGAATATCAAGAGGAGGGCGAGGGTCACGCGGGCCTCTAGGAGGAGCTCCAGGCCTGAACTCGCCCTCTTCCGTGGTCCGCCCGAAGTTGGGGGAATCCAGGGATCCTCGCCGACGTGGTCTTTGGGGGATGTCAACGGGGCTCGACGGGGCCTCACGGGGGCCGTTGACTCCATGACGGCTCCGTCCTTGGTTAGGGGAGCCTCCAGAACGGTGGCGTTGAGCAGCGGGCTCAGGGACAGCAGGTTCAGGAACAGCAGGCCTGGCTCGAGGGGATGTGTCCTCAAGATTGACTAGGGAGAGCCCCCCACGGCCGAGCTGAGGCTCGACATGGGCACCTCTGTTGCGAGAGATGCCCATGTGCTCCATGATCCGAGTAAATCGCCCAGGAGAATCTGGAGGATGCCCCATCTAGAGAAGAGGTCTTAGCCATAGGAGAGAAAATGTGGAAGAGTGAGAGTGAGAGGGTGGGTGAGAGAGGGTGAGGCCAACGGGTGCTGGGTTCTCGTGCTGAAGCCGAGTTGAGACGAAAGGAGCAGAGTGAAGAGAACAGAAAGACGAGTGATCAAGACAGAGAAAGCTAGAGATGATGTTTTTCTCGAGGAGAGGAAATGGAAGATTAAATACCTTGAGAAGAGGCTCCCAGCACAACGTATTGTACGCAGGCCAAACCGAAGGAAGGGCAACGACACTTCCGCGAGTGTAAACGAGAAGATACAAAAGAGAAAAAGTGAAGAGACCAAAACAAACAAGAGATGAAAGCTCTCTATGGTTGCGTTGATATCGCAGTGACCCTTAATCAAGGCAGAAGAACCGAGGTTCTCACACCGGACGAGAGAGTGAAGAAGAAGAGAACAGAAAAGAAATGGTGGGAACGGGGGATTTTGCTTTTTAAACAAGCGAATGTGAGGGCTTTTCGCCATGTCAGTGAATCATCCGGCTCTGATCAACGCGGTGACAGCTGCCAAGCGTCAGTTAGGGCCGGAATAAGAGGGGGCCGGAGTGTTGGGGGGGGACTGGTTGGGAGGGTCATGTGAGGACTCGGGCGTTGGGAGCGAGGTGAGCGGAGGGGAGGAGAGAAAACAAGGGGACTGGTGGGATTCTTGAGCTGGGAGGGATCTAATCATGTTGATATTTTGAGCCCCAGTACCTCTGTTTAAGTCTGAAGCTATTAGACGAGTTTACTTACTGCTCTCTATTGATCTCTCCCAGCCTGTGATTCTTGTGCCACTCCAGGGATCCCCAGCCTTATACTCCCCAGGAACTCCTACCAGATTTCAGGATGACCGAATGTCGTATCTCGTTGATTATATCCCCGTAACTCCGATATCCCGTGCAAGGAAGCTCTAGTCAGCCGTCTAACGTTCTCTCCTTGACCCCCTCCACCCATCCCATCCATTTATCATCATCTCGTAGTATCGGTGCGAACGAGTCTCGTATTGTTCTACTTGGGGAGGTCGGGGGATATTATCGTGCGTATTCGTCGAGGAATAGTATCGTGCGTATTCGTCAAGGCATGCTGCTTCGGCTGCAGTAGAAACGGCAAGGTAACTTAAGTCCTGTGATGTTTGGCCAGTTAGCAAACGAGTGTCAGAAGCAAGCATCGAAAGAAACCACTGTACCGTCTTGATTTGGGGCTCAGAGACTCTTCTCCTTCTCAGCTGCCTTGGCTGCCTTCTTTTTCTTCTGCTCCACGTAGCCAGCGTGGCTGATCTCCATGGCGGCCCTGCCGATCGCATCTTGATGCCTCGTGATGAAATCGACAACGTCCTCCGAGATGTAAAAGCCATCCTGGTCTTTCAAACTGCGCTCAGGCAATACGCCGTACCGGCCGTCATCTTCCAGGATGACTCGCTTGAGGGCCTTGACGAGGCAGGACCGGTAGAGAATCGCACGCTCGTCAGCGGGATCGGCTTCAGGAATCGAGCCCTTGATGACCTGCGTCCAAATCACTTCCCTTTGCCTCTCCAGCAGGAATTCCTGACGGCGAGCCTTGAACTCATCCTCGACGTGGAACCAATCGAAGGCTTCCTGTGTGACCTGCTCTCGCGTCGTCGGGTTGACAAGGAAGCGGCCCTCTTGGCGACACCGAGGTTTGAAGTCCTCAACCCACTTCCGAAAGCCCGGTCGCTGGTTCATTCGTTTCCGATCGTTGGCCTTGAGCTTCTTTCGGTCCTGCTCGAGCTCCGTGCCTGCACTGTTCTTCTCTGAGTCCAGGGGACTGACCCAGAACAACCTGCAGCGAGCGACGTACTCGTACATGCCGTCGAGGTCGTCAAATGGCTCAGACCAGAACTCTTCGATCGGGAGGCCAAGGAACTGAAGAATTTCGGCCGGGTCGCTGGACAGAAAGACTTTGGCTCGTCTGCGGTTGAAGGCTTCGATCTCGGGAATCCGAAGCCAGAGAGAGCACTCGTCGACACTCAAACCGTAGGGGCGAATCGTAGTTCCGAGAAGGTTCCAAACGTCGCCGTGGGCGTGTTTGAAGAGCATCCACTGGAAGTATTCCAAGGTATCGCAAACCCGGACGTCTACTTGAATGAATCGTTCTTGGTCTTGGTCTTGGTCTTGGTCCTCTTGTTGCTGGTCGGCTTGGGTTACCTGTAGGAAGCGAGTTAGCTTTGAGTTTGACAGGAGATGTCGAGGATGACTTACGGCGTCTGTTTGATTTTCAAGAGACACGTCGGACGGCCAAGGTAAAGCGAGATGGCCAGAGACATCCTTTCCCTTGTCTACAATCGTCTCAGTCGCTTTGAGGGCGTCGGCGATTGCGTCGAAAGCCTCCTGTTTGCCCGCCGATGGGTTCAATGGCCACGCCAGGAGGATGTCGACGTCGCCAAAGTCCTTCTTTCCAGGCCCATCGATGGGGGACGCAACACAGAGGTAATGTTCTCTCAGGATTGCATGACAGCGATCTTTGACGGCTGTGTAAACGTGCTTGGGCATCCGGGGGGTGTACAGCGGATTGCTTCGGCCGGTGGCAAACGCAGACCCGCCCATGACGGCGACGGATAGATGGTGAAACAATATTAAAGCAATGTACCGACGGAACGAGACGCGTGATTGCGGGACTGATGCAGGGGGCCTGCTGTACTAGGTGGATTGATGCAGGAACCCGAAGGTGATTTGCGTCGTGTGATTGTAGATGCGAGGTTTCTTTGACACGAGAGCAATCCGGCAGCTTGGTTCTTGGAGAGAGAGCTTTAGGGACGAGAAAAGAAGTACCAATGGCACATAATAACGGCAAACCCGTTGCTCGACGTTTCTCTCGGCGTGACTGTGACTGAGGCTTTGCTGTCGAGGATGGTGAGTCAAGTGGGAGGCTAGGGAGAGCGCACGGTTTGTAGCGCCTGGGAGGCCTAATGCTTCCGCAAGGCAGATTTGGAGGCCCACGGATCCCAGCGCCCAACCACATCCTTGCATCTACTCTCCCATCGAATCGACAGGTGTGTCAGCATGAAGCCTTCTCCACGATAGCGGCAGAGAGATCCCGAAGCGTTTTCTTCATCAGGATGATACTTTCTGTCTCCCACTAGATGGAGAGAAAAGAGCTGTGATGGTAAGTCGAGAACAGGCCACCCTCCCAGGGACTCCTCCCATTGCGTCCTGCATCTAACCGTTCAGGCAAGGACAGAAATCCATCCCGAAGCGAGCTGAAGGAGCTAGAAATATACATGCATTTTACTAGCGAACCACTCTAGACCGTCGAATGGATGTCGACCCCTCTCTCACGAAGAGCTGATTTATTCGTAGGCCGAGGAATTCACCCCGAAGGAGTTGGAAATAATCCGAGTTCAGCAAGAAATGCTACCCCCGATCCGGTACAAGATGAGCGATCTGACAGGCGCTGTGACGAATGACCAACGAACTGCTCAGGGTCACATAGCCAGGGATTACCCCGGAGGCCCTCATCAGCGAAAGCTTGGTCTCTTTCTGTCTCCCTGATTGTTCGGACATATGGCAAGGATGCCCTGGACAGCGGCCGCCGAACGATGGAAGCTGACTTGTTACAGTCTCTACAACGACGCAGGGAGCGAGTGACCGTTTGTGGCTTTTCTATGCAAGTGGAAAGCGATCGGGATTCCTCAGAACACCCTTTTCGGTCATGTTGAAGCGTTTGTTGGCCCCCAATTGCCTCGTGTCTTGGATCAAGCCTGCCGAAGGACTAATGATCATGTTTTACAGTGTCAAACAACGTCAAATTATCGCTCCGGGAATTGAATTCGATACCCATAATGACCCATCCACCTCTAGACGAATTTGTTTCGAAGGATTCGATGAATGACAGCACACGAGTCCTTGCCAAGCTTAAAAACTGTTGCCACATCGACCCCGAGGACAACCTTTCGCCCATAAGACCAACATCCTCCAGCTCTTCGTCTAGCACAGTCAACACCACCTTGGAGTTGGAGACCCCCCATCACCGAACTGACATCGCGCTATTATACTTTAAGTTCAAAAGCAGAGGATGACGAAAGACGAGGCGGTGCTCGCCTAGACATTCACCAACACAACCGTGGCTTGGGTGAGGCTGAATACAGCCACAATTTGGGTCGGTTAAGAGTCGAATCCTGATGTAAAGTAATTGCTGAGATTTTGGGTCGGCCGAAATAGAACAGGCTGAAGAAGATGGCGAGGTAGAGTAGTGTGGTCTCGACCCATTCTCACTGGACTAACTTGCAAAGCTGACGACCGTATTATCCGGTCAGATGCAGTGTCAGACGCCACAGCCAGAGACAGAACAGCCTTGTGTCAGATTATGCAGTTCGGAAGTAACGGTTCCGAGGCTGGGAGGAATAGCGCCCGTGTATTACCACTCATGGCCGCCAACGTCAGGACAGACCAGTAAGCTCAGCATTGATCATCCGAATGCTTGTTGCATCCTTTGACAGAGACATTCGTACAGGTATAGGGTCCTTGATTTGGCAAATCACCTCCTTTCGGAAACGGAAGTTGCAATTTGGCGCTGGTAATAGGCTACTGAGCTTGGTATCAGGAGCATGATGCATGGATGGTGATCCAGTCCGCCTCTGCCCAATCTTACGCAGTTCCAATCCTGTGCAGCCCCAATCTCTGTGGCTCAGCTGGTATCAAAAGGCACCCTCTCAGGAATTTCGTTTGATTAACCCACGACACTTGTTTTCTTACAAAGGCAAAGGTCTGCTGAATCCATCTTTTGCATTTCCCTTGGACATTCGGTACGTGCGCTCGCTGTCAGTGAGGCTCCGATCCTAACATCTTCTCCCCAGCTACGACCACCTCATCGAATCCTCGATCTTCTTTCAAATTCGTTACATTACCGCACATCGTCATGAATCAAATCCCCCGACAAACAGCCGTGGCATGGTCAGCGCACGAGGAACCGAAAGCTGCGCTCACGACCGCACCACCAAATGCCCCGTATTTCGAAGCCGGACCACATAACGGGCTCGCCGTTCGCCAAAACTCGAACGAAACATGCGGTTACTACACACTACCGGGAACAGGTAATCACCTTGCTTTCTTATACGCGCTTCGCCAGCGCGGCCAGAGGAATGGCTGGCTGACGGGAATCACCCAACTCCTAGATGGCTGGGATCCTTGGGTCTGTGGTGCTGGAGACAGTTGTAGAACAATTGGTACACACTTCGGATGCCTACAAACCATATACACTACATGCTACGAGAAGACACACGCGGCTTGTACGTCGGGCTCTGCGCTAGATCCTCGGATTATGTGTTGGTATGCGACCTTATTCTCGACTCTTTGGAGTATTAGCTAACGTAACCTACCAACTACACAGTATTGGTGACGAATTTCCAGAGTGTATAACCGGCATCAAGACTGAGGGTAACGAAGATGACCTGACAGCCTACCTCTGTGGAAGGGGCTTTTCTACAGGAGAGCTGATTGTCTACGACACGCCGGTCGAGACGCATACGAACATAATGACGAAAAGCGGGATCACGACGACAGTCGAGTGGGAGACGACTCTATCTACCCACCCAAGCGGGACCGGTGGAGGATCCTTTCAGACCGAAGCGTCGGATTCCGATTCTGGCTCCCATACTCCAGTCGGAGCCATCATCGGCGGCGTCATTGCCGGACTAGCATTAATCGCCTTCTTGGGATTTGGCTTTTGGTTCGTTCGTTTCCAGAAGCGAAATGCCGCTGCTAGTGCCGAGAGAGAGGCAGCACAAATAGCACAAATAGCACAGACAGTGCAGGCGAGTCATAACCCGGTGCAATACCATGGTCAGCCTCAGTTTTCACCACCAGGCTATTACCCAGTGGCACAGGGAAGTCCTCCACCAGGCGGCGACCATCGCATCTACCAAGATGGAACGATCGTAGCTCAGTATTCACCGGCGAAGCCCGAAATTTCACCGCGCCCTCCTTCTGAGTTGCCCGACGATAATGCTAGGCGTCCAGGCATGCCTGTTGAGTTGCAATGAGTGGGATGGTTGATCCGGGACTTTAAGGGACTACTAAGGAGTTGCTGAGGGCTTGCATATTTAGAATAGTTGTTTTTATGAAGTTTCATTAGTCCCTGAGGGGATAGGTATTGAAGCATTGGAATACTCCGCCGAGGAAGGCATTGTCAGCTGTAGAGGATGAAGCTGCTAAGGCCCCCAATATGGTGACGGTACTGCAGCATGTCAGCCACTTCCAGTACTACGTGGGGGGGAGAAGGCGTGAGGAATAAAGTGTAAGAATAAGGAAATCTCTATGTACGACCTTTCAGCTGCAGTGGAGGACAATGAGGCTTCTAATGCGCGGAGGCTTGGTGAAATGAAGGAGGGAATTGGAGAAGCTGGCTGGTTCGGTGCTGCGAGCCTCTGATGCAGAACAACCATAGCCACACCTTAAACCTGAATAAGAGATTTTCTGTCATATGTGTTCCGAATTCAAGCCGTGTGGCTCGCTCAAAGGGAGAAGATGGTGGTCCAAAATGCAGGGGTGATGGGCATCACAAGGTTCTGACGTCGGCCGCCCAAGCAGGAATGACGATGGAGGGTCAATTTGACTAGATGAGTAGACTTCTAAACCGCATTGTATCATACTAATAAGAACGAAAATACGTCAGCACTACTCTCTCATCTTCTGACTGCACCGGCATTCCGGCACAACTCCGTTGCTGTCATAATCCCAGTTCCGGAGACCAGTTAATACATACGACCATAGCTCTTAGAAAATACGGGATCCCGTCCGCTCTCCCTTAGTCAAGCTGAGAAGCGGTGAATTAGTACTCGGGTCGGTGACGACCGGGGAATCCTCACTGTTGTATGTTTTTTGGTCGTGGATCCGATTTTTAGAGTGGATCCCTTAGCCTGGACTCCAGAGACCAGAAGCTAGGTATCGTGGAATCTGAACTTTGCTCAAGTGTGGTTCGGAACACTTGAAGATGTGAGACAGCTATTCAACCTCTGATTATATCCTAGGAGCTTCCTTTTTTGTTATTATTAGCCTATAGGAGGGACAAGGTGTCGATCGGTCGACGGTAGATTTACGTCATACACCAGATGAAAATGCGTTGTCTTTGGGTCATTGAGGCTGTGGCATAGGGAAACCAACGACTAAGCCAGCCGATTTCAGTTTAAAACTACGCTTAGATCTTCTGTAATCTGTCTCTTTGAACCAGGACATCGGGGTGTGTAAACAGGAGCGATGTGAAGCTCTATGCATTCGCAAATTGTTTGCAACTAGCGGTGTGCAGGATTACCCCAGAGGGCGTCAAGCTATCCGGGTCTATTGCTGATAACTATTGGCACAGGATTTTTGCCGAATATATGTGTCTTGCTTTAATGGCGACTGGATTTCTTGTAGTGCGAGACTATCAGTTGTAGTTTGAGGTATCCAGACTAAATGGATAAAAGGAGTGGCTGGTTCACTTGTGGTAGCTAACTCATATCTCTCCCCTCAAGCTGAAGGTGAATCGTCGTCGAAGTGCATACTGATATCCTCACAAAGTTGTCTTGTCTAGGTGTGTGCTGATCTCTTCGACTAGCTGCAGCAATAAGAATCACAGACCCTACCAAGTTTGAGTCTGCAGGAAATCTTGATGTGATAGGAGAAGATAATAACCAAAAAAAAACATACAACAGCGAGGATTCCCCGGTCGTCACCGACCCGAGTACTAATTCGCCGCTTCTCAGCTTGACTAAGGGAGAGCGGACGGGATCCCGTATTTTCTAAGAGCTATGGTCGTATGTGTTGGAGTTGGTGGTGTTGGCGCTGAAGTCGGCTTGCGATTCTCCGGTGGATGAGCCCGATTTTCCAGGTTTTCAAATACACCGGCGAATTGGTTTGTTGGAGCAATAAAAAATCACCTGGATTTTTCGGCTGGGGCAGATTTCTCCTACAGTAAGGGATGAGCACATTCTCGCAATTGGATATCGCGAATGCCAGGCTCTCAAAAGAACTTGGCTCAAACCCCCTATGCAGACTGGTGGGAGGCAAGTTTCCGAAAATTCACAGAAGTCAGATAGAAGACAAGAGCAAGGGAAGCGCGCTAGCCAAAGTATTGGTTTGCTTTCAAGGTACGTACTAAACATGGATATCAACACCCTTGTGAACCCTCTGACAGCCCTTCTGCTAGCTTCCTGGTTCTGTGCCCAATGCGTTGCTCGTTTAGCTCAGGGTATGGCAATTAGCTTACTGGAACTCAGCACATTTGGACACGCATTATGCGCTATATTGATGTACATCTTATGGTGGCACAAGCCGCTAGACGTCTAAGAACTACGAAAAATCCCTCTTGAAGATGACATCAAACCCTACGTCGCCGCCATGTGTACGGCTGGTGAGCTCGACCACCGTGGTCCAGAACTCAACCGTTTTCGTGAAGATGAATTTGTGCTCTCCCCGGAGCCCCATTTCGAGTTCCGCACAAGGCCTAGCGACTCCAGTCCCGCTCAGATTATAATAGATGATCGAGATGATGAAATTTTCGACTTTGAAGGGTGAGTATTTATCGTTTTGGCGTTTCTATAACTAGAAAACTGATATTTATCACCACAGTCCAGGCGCCCTAACTCTATTTGTTTTTCGAGATGCAAATCCAATTGACAGCGAGTACTGGGTAAGCAAAGTAGAGATCAATGGAACTAGGCAAGATCCCACGGCAGGATACATCTTCAGCCAAAACGCCTCAACATGTCTAGTTGGAGGCAGTACTCAAACGAACTTGAGGCCCTATCGAGACCGGGGCTATCCATCAAACTCACAAGTCACAATATTTCCCGTTGGACAATGGCACTCCAGGTATTGAGTGATAAATCCTTATCGACCTTTCACGGCACTGTTGCAGGCCGCGTTCGGAACTTTCCGAGGCTTGAAGGTGGTCGGGTGGTAGCTATCGGCTTGGGCATATCTGGATTTCTATATGGGGGACTGTACTGTCTTGCCTGGAACGCACCCTTCGCCACCGAGAATGACAGGATCCTGTGGAGGTTGTCGAGTGTGACGATAACGTCAACCCCAGCCCTGGTCCTGATTGTATCTGTTTGGGAAATATGGTGGCCGTCTTGGCGTGGCGATCCTTTTCTGCCAATAAATGATACATGGTTACATCGTATTATGGAAGAGCTGGCACAAAAGACGAGCAACTGGGCTTTCAGGTCGGCGATAACGGCGGTCTATATCTTGATGTCTTTTGTTGTTACTTTGCTGGAGTTATCCTTTGAAGTTTTCATGATTGGGTTAATGGCATCCTACTGCGCGGCCAGAGCTTGCTTGGTTGTGGAATCTTTCAAGAGCCTCACCAGTCTCCCAGATTCAGCGTATATGGTGCCCTTGTGGTCACAGTACGTACCGCACATTGGCTGAAGAAGTTACCTAGGGCTGAGTATGGGCTGTGTTTCTTAGTTTACTGCCGTAAATATTTATATTTCCCGATCTACACCTATGGAGTGTATGGCTAAAACCCAATAGCCGTACTTACACACTTGTCATCAATTCGATGTATCGGCCCTGGCGCTTCTTGAAGGTTATAAAGATAAGGCCGAGCAGCTCGAAGGCGTTGTGTAAGACCAGTATCAGGCTGACCTTTTGCGCATCGGTTAGTTTACGAATCCACAGGGTGGCGCAAGAACATGGCGAGGCCGCCTACAATAACTGTGACGGCTTCGGCAGTGTCATCCATGTAGCCCTTCGGGCAGGGTCGTCATAACTGAAGGTTCGCAGCGTCATTGTTTTGAGCGTGGAGGCGCACGCCTCTTATGTAGCGGCCAGTGCCTAGCAAGAAAGGCGCCTTAAGAAATAAAGCTGGTGGGGAGAGAGGTTGTGGTGGAGGGGACGTCGAGCATGTTAAGGAATGAAAAGCAGGAATCATTTATATAGTTTTAATAAAGTAATTCTGCAACTAGGACAGGAATGAGCAAGAGATCTTCTGAATAGGAAATAATAATACAAGAAACCTGCTAATCAGTTGCCTCAGAGCGGCTTGTATGTAATACCCGTGTTAAACCTAAGCACGGCTAGTACGGCAGAATATTGAGAGTAATACCCATCTGCGGAAGACAGCTTTTTGCATCCAGTGGATGATGTCCTTTCCGAGGTGTCTGATCACTTGTATTCCGTTGCCCTGGGATATAGCTCCCCGATTTGTTACAAAGGAGAAAAATACCCAGCCTAAGAATCAGTTAGCGTTCTGTTATAAATCTAGAGTACTGCGAGGGCATTGTGATGCACCCCATCGTCTCCGGTGCTGCTGAGCTTCCCAGCTCCAGGCTATCCAGTAGTCGCGATTCGTTTCCAAATCGATTCACATCCAAGCGCTACATAAGCGCATTCACAAAATTCCGGCAGTTTTCTGTTGGAGTAGTATTCTGTATGCCGGCAAACAAGGTGGGGGGAATTTAGGATCAGTTGATGAAACTGTTTAGCCATTAGACGCGGAAGATATTATATGAGGCACCATGGCGGCGGAGACTCGCATTATCATGCGATTAAGGAATTATGCGACGAAGATGTGTCAGACATGCAGTTATCATGAGCTTCAAGGACAGAGACGAGGGAGATGTGCCAGACCTTTGTTTTAGTGCCGCGCTGCCACCTAAGCCTTGATAAGGATCGTCTTTTTGTTTGACTTGCTGGAACATGCAAGTGGAAATTGACGACGCCGGAGAAGAAAGGCGAGCCAGAGGACAGGTTTGTAAAGTCTTCAATAACTTGCAATTAGCCATTGAACCGGAGTGAAGATTTCGATATTGCGAGACGAAGTGTTCGAAGTAAGTGGTATTTCCTGTGGAGAACTAAGCGGAGGCGGAATTGTTTCTTGAGATGATCTTCCTTCAACTGAATCCGGGAAAAGATAGGAGGAATGATAATACCCCACGCTAAATCCTGTATGCTCCATGATTTTAGATCTTGCATTGGTTGTAGGCGTTCGAAGCACTTCCGTAATCTCTCCGCATACCTTCATGGCCAAAATGTCTGATTCGAGAACAATGAGGGCGAATCATATTCGCCTGTGGATACGCAATTCTCACAGTGTCTAGTAAACGACCGGCTGGCTTCGTTATGTCAATAGCTGGAGGAAATTGACTCTGAGGGGTAGAAGTATTAGTCAAGTAAACATGGGATACAGGAGAGAGTGTGATAATTATTGCATCCACTATTCAAGCTAAAGTTTCGCAAGGTGTTCTTCTATTATATTGATATCCGCAATATTTCGATGAACGTGTACGCTATAGCGATTCAATTTTGCAGATCAAGGCTCAGACGCGCAGTGTACGGGGGAGGATAGATTTGCGAGAGGGCGGGAATGGACTCGAATGTGTCCAGCAAACAAAGTCAGTTAGGTCGGTCAGCTGCTTGCCATGAACCAAAAATATGATCGCCAACAGGTATTAAATTCGCTTTTTGTGATAAAAATAACATATCGTTTGGCTATTGGACAAGCTGTCGCGATAATATCGAAGACCTGGTATATCACTGAAGCTGAAACAGGAATGGAGAGAAAATAATAAGATGCATCCGCGCTCTCTGAAGAAACGGGCTGCGGAGCCATATACCATCAATTGAGTATCAAACTCATGCACGTTTGTGTTTGTTTGGACGCCGGGTAAGGAGCAAAAGCTGACGTGCAGACGACGTCGGGGTGAATTCTGGAGACCATTATGAGAATGAAGACGAAGGCGTGGTCAAACGAACAGCGTTGAGTTTGGAATTATTTTTACTGATGAACCTCGGCAAGTGAATCACGTTGGAGTCGAGACTTTGGCCCAACGGTGCGCTAGGCATGGGTCATTTGGGACTTGATCCAGGACGGGAATCTTTGGGCCGATGGCTTCGAGAGCGTGACTCTCGCGTGTGGTATGGGGGTCTTGCGACCCTTATTATTTCTGATTATATTGTAATGCAGCTTATTGGCATTTTAGGCCTTGGGGGCGCAATTATTCCAGCGTCGATGGCGAGGATGTGTGCTGAAGACGAGCTGCGCGCGTCATGTTGTTGCTCCAACCCACCCACCTTCTGTAAATGCTTCTAATGAGCACACACGCCCTACAGGATGCAGACCAAGAAACTAGATCCCCGCATCTATTGAAAGACGGATCCTCGCTTGGATTTCCAGTCTGGGCAGCTGGGGAATGGGCAGCGGCACAGTGGAATTGCGCCGGGACGGACGGCAGGGGAACGACAGGGGAACGACAACACAGCAGAGATCTCGTAGCCGCGCTCAGCTCCGCGTGTTGCACCGCATGATAGCTGAAGGCTGACGACGCGGTTATGGAATTGACGGGGCCGGAAGAGCTGCCTCTTCGGACTTGCAAAGGCGGTGGTTAGCAGGGGCCTCGGCCGGTCAAGTCGATCTTGGATGCGCCATTCATCTTGGAGGATGGACGCCCGATTGAAGGTGGCAGGGTTCCCCTCTCCCCCTGATCCTGATCTGTCGGCCGCGTCCACTGTGGCCTGTACCTTTAGTGCATGTGAGTGTGAGAAAGCCAGCCACCTGAAGCCACGATCGGGACGACAGGTCGATAGCCTCACATCTGGGGGAACAAGGTGCTGAAAGCTACAGAAACACCACGACCTTGCCAAGCGGGGACCAGCGCATCCTCGCCTACTCCAATAGCCCCGCTCGCCCCGGACGGCCCATCTGCTTCGCGTTTGCGGGGAACGCCTTCGGTGATGCAACTAGACCGTCGCGGGCAATGCGCCGGCCATGGGTGCCCCGGACATGATGGAGACGGTCGCTCATCCCATCATGTCGTCCGAGATTTGTTGCTTCGTTGGTCCGTAGCGCCCATGTCCATTCCCATGTCAATTCCCATGTGCTCCGCGTCGTCATGTCGCCAAGAGCAAACCTCGTAAAAGCTCCGGGCGCCCCGCGGCCGAGCAGCAGCGATCACTTTTAATTAATGGGTGGCCCGCCTTTTCCATCGCTCGTCGCATCGTCTCTCCAGTCTTGATTGCAGTTCCTCGCCAAGTCACAGTTCGGCCTCACGTCAAGATGCGTCCCTCTGCGCTCCCCATCGCGCTGCTCGCCGCGGGCGCCGCCGCCGCTGAAACCTCCAGCTCGAACTGCACCAGCGGCCTGTACATCGTCGTCGCGCGTGGCACCGGCGAGCGCAACGGTACCGGCGCCTTCGGCACCATCGCCGACGACATCGCCGAAAAGGTCGACGACTCCTTCATCGAGGCGCTGGACTACCCGGCCACGTTTACGGATCCCCTCTACACCGAGTCGGAGAAGGACGGCGTGCAGGAGATGCAGGAGGTCATCCTCAACTACCACGAGGCCTGCCCCAAGGCCAAGTTCGCCGTCCTCGGCTACTCCCAGGGCGGCCAGGTTGCCAGCGATGCGTTCTGCGGCGGAGCGGGTGGCGGCTTCTCGGAGCTCGCTGCGCTGCCGTCCGACTTTGTCACGGAATTCTGTGAGTCGCAACACCAAGAGTTCATCCCGAGGATGCCGAATTGAGTCGCTGATTGGAACCGCGCAGTCGCTGCCATTGTCCTCTTCGGAGACCCCAGCCACGTGGCCAACACTACGTTCGACCGGGGAACGAGCATCAAGGACGGTGTATGTTGTGCTCCCGACTGTGTGACTGTCCAAAGGCTAACCAAACGCCCAGGTTTTCGCCCGCGATAACGTGACGTTCTGCGAGGAGCACTACGGCTCTATTCTCCGGTCCTTCTGTGACACCGGTGACGTCTACTGTGACGCGGGCAGCGACTCGGACGTACACGGCTCGTACTTCGCCACGTATGCCAAGGACGTCGTCGACTTTGTCGTCGATAACTATGACAAGTTAGATAAGAGCTCTGCGACCAGTACCAGCACCGCGACCCCGGCCTCGTCTACCGCTACATCCGCGTCATCCGCAACCTCCGCGTCCTCCGCATCCTCCGCCACCTCCTCCTCCGCCGCAACCACGTCGGCTCCCAGCGATCAAGGCAACGCCGCTTCTGCGCTGGCGCCTGGCTTGGCTTTCGCGGTAGCCGTCCCCCTGGTGTTGGCTGCGTTGGAAATGGTGCTGTAGAAGGATTTAATAACGGACATGACGACTATGATGGATGAGCTCAAGCAGGAGGAGAAGCATGTGCCATTGATTCCCTACGTCCAAACAAGGTTCTCGTTAAACATTTTAGATATTTACTAGGATATAGGATATAAAATTCCTCGCTTTCGCACTCTGCGTCAGCCCTTGCATCCTGCATGTAGCATCTTGATTTCTGAAACGGACACTTTCGTCGCAAATTTCAGCCCAAGTCGGAGAGACGGAGAGACCATGAAACATCATGGGCGTGAAGAACAACCGGGAATAAGATAGCTATGGAATAAATGAAAGGGGGACATTTGCGACTGGGATATTCATCACCCTTAAAGTGAATTAGAAGCAACGAATTATAAAATAAATACAATATCATGAGATAATAAAAAGATAATAAAATGAATACAGGACATAATAGTCTCCGTAATCACCCCGACTCCTTACTTAAAAGGCTAGTTAAGTTATATGTTGCTCTTAATAGTTGAGTTCTTAAAAGCCCGCTGGATCTGCCTCCGTCTCACACCAACATTACCCCCGTCAAAGAGAGGGAGGCATAGTGCGTCGTTCATCAACTCTCCGAACCCCAGCTCATTATTATACGACGACCTATTCAAACCCATTAGCTTATTGCGTCTTCCAGGAGAGGTCACGGAGGAATGGCACTTACACTCCAACAGCGTTCATCGCTTCCACGACAGCCTGGACTGCATTATCGGAGCAAAACACTTTGGCTTCGTATGCGAGTTCTGCGCCGTCGGGTGTTTGACCTAGGGCACAGCTTGCCCTCCACGTCAACGCTCTGCTGGCATCCAATCGCATTTTAATGGATATAAGCAGGTCTGCCACACTCTGCCTCTCCAGAATGGGCACCTTGCCGCCGCGCCTCTCTGTCCTGCAAAAGGCCAATGTGAGCTCGAAGCACCGCCGCATAACGCCAACGGACATGGCCCCAACGATGACGGCGGACGTGGTGAAGGCGTCCTCTGCAATTTCCACCCCGTACCCTATAAGCATATTTCCCATTGGTACGCGAAGGCCCTGGAAGCGGACGTATGGGCCGGACACGGCCTGGTGACCGACTGTGGATGGATGCGAGATGACTTGGTAGCTGGAGTCATCGTTTGCAGCAATGTCTGCACGACTAACGAGGATGATTGCGATTCGGGACTCCTCTACGAGTCGACATGTGACGCATTGCAATTCAGCGCCACGGTCATCCCAGCCAGCGCAATTTGTTGCCCACATCTGTGGTTGTCAGTAATTAATTATTTATGGGTGAATTTGAATGGGGTGGAAAAAGTGAAAGAAATAACTAGAACCAGTCCAGAGAACTAACCTTGTCTCCAGATATTACCAATGTTTCCCCATCCCTCCTCGCCGTTGTCTGTAAACCAACCCCATCGCCGCCAAGTTCCGTAAAGTTCGCTGTACCTCCAGGTTCAGAATGTACCAAACTGGCCAACGGCGATCCTTCTCCAAGAAACGGCGCCAAGAACTGCTTGCGCTGCGCTTCAGTACCGGCCAAGATCAACGGCGTCAAGCCGAGGCCCGTTGCCAAGATGGTCAGCGAAACGCTGCAATCCACAGCGTACAGCTCCTCGACACACAAGACGGCATCAATAAGTGCACCGCCTGTGCCGCCCTGGGCGGCTGGGATCTGGGACTTGATGAGCCCAGCGGCGACGGCCTTTTCGTAAAGTGGCTGTGTTGCCCGGAACTTTGCAGAAGGGGTCAATTTGTCGGCGTAGACGGCGCGAGCAGTGGTTAGGTGCTGAGTTGCAAACTGGGCGGCGGCGTCGCGGATGGCCTGTTGAGCCGGGGAGAGATTGAAGTCAACCATTGTCTTGTTGGTTTAATACGTTGTAGTGGAAAGATGATGTAAGGTTTGAATGTCCTTGTTGGTTCTTTCTTACGGTGAACATGCATTATATACTTGAATGGCTGACATACATATGCAGCCTTCTCAACACGGCCAGCCTATCGGAGGTGCAGATTGCGTACTAGTTGTAGGTATTGACTGCCATCACGATCATAGAAGGGATGGGAGCTCACATCCAGCTAGCTCATAGTTCTGGTACTCAAATAAGCAAGGAGACAGATAAGTGAGTAAATCCTGATTTGCTAAAGATCAAAGAAGATCCATCGCCGCTGGATTATCTCTAGGCTCCGCGGAGATACTTGATACGCTATCCTGCAGGCTGGTCCAGCTAGCCAGATACGGCTTCCGAGTTCCGTCTTCAAGGTAACAATATTCCGATTCCGAATCACCTGTGACACGGCTACATCTGATTCAATTGAGATATAACTTATCTCAACTACACGCGGCCCAACGGTGTTTCCCCCCACTTTCTACACTCAAGACCAGATCCTAATACTCGGGTGCCAGAATCGCCCGAACAGCACATGCATCGCTACGTATCGCCTTGGATTGACTTCTACTTTTTATTATTTACTCGCTATTGACGTGAGAAAACTGTAGGTGGGGCATATCGGTCATGAAAGTCTTCGGACTACAATGATCGGATTCTCTCCTTCTCCCGTGCTGTCAGGGTCTATGGCACACCTCTGAGGTAAAGGCACTCTCTCCAGAGGATAGCCGAATGAGTTCCGATCTGTGGGCTAAAATAGTCCCAAAGCTTAAACACCTGGGCTATCTGCCTCCTACAGGTACCTTTCCAGAGACCCTAGACCACGAGTGCACCATGTCCCAACTTAACATCAGTTTGCTGGCAGCGAGACGCGCTATACATTGCCAAAGTCCCATTCTGGCACCTGAAAATAAGGGAATGTCATCTTCCTCGAATCACTCAGCAGCATAGATTGATAAAGTAATAAAGGCACAACGAACAAGATACCTGTACTGTACCTAAGTTGGTAGGAATCCATGATGCTCCGGTCAGCATATTGTGCGGTGTATCATCGTGACTTCCAGTTTGTCAGCAACATAACTACGGGGATGCAATCAGCCATCGGGTTTCTACTCAACATATAAATGAGACCTGAATAGTTGCAAAAGTTCTCAATTTCCCTTCGTCTGTGTAAAAAAAAGAACTCAAGGTGAAAGTGAAAGTCAAATTTCTAACGCCGGTCTTGCCTCACGAAATTCCTGGAAATGATGCAGCGGGAGAGATCGTAGTCATTGGTGATAAGGTCAAGACATTGGTGCTTGGAGATCGAGTTGCCCCGATCACTGACACGGAGAATATCACTGGGCGAGAGTTGACAAGATCTTGGTTGGTAGCCGATGAGGATGGGGTCCTGGCGGATTACTTGGTCTTTAATGAGACTAAATTTTTCAAGCTCCTAGGTTATCTATATTGGCTATACGCAAACATAATTCCTTGTGCCGGTGTGACTGCATGGGCTGCACTTAAGGGTACCCGTATTGGCCAAACTGTGTTGATTCAAGGTGAGCTTACCATGGCCAAAGATAGTGTCGCGTACTCACGATTTCCAAGTACTGGCGGTGTGAGAATGTTTGCGCTCAAGCTGGCCCGACTCACAAGTCTCAAGGTGATTTTTAACCTCTTCTAGCGAAGAAAAACTCATGAAGATGAAGGAGCGCTTTCCACCCCCACCCCTTCTGACTGTTAACTATTCTCCGAATCCCGAATGACACGAAAAATGCTCAAGCTTACTGAGGGCGTCGGCGTTGATCTAGTTGTCGAAGTCGGAGGCAACTCTTTGCTGATAAATAGCATGAAGTGTACACGTCGTGGAGGGACTATCAGTCAATAGGCTATCTCAGTAAGGGCGATAGTGCGGAGTTAGACTATCTTCTTTCTGTCATCATCGATAGGAGAGTAGTCTTGAGGTGAGTGCATACTACATTACTCGCGACTAGGGGGCTAACTTTCTATCAAAGGTAGCAACGCTGGGTCAAAGCAGGATATGGATGACCTTTGTGTCGCTTTGTCCGCCAATCAAGCGGAACTTAGCGATATTATAGACTCGTTATACCCATTCGAGCAAGCTGAGGAGGCCATCGAGTACATCTGGCAAGGTAACAAGTTGAGAAGATTGTTCTCCAATTATAGTTGGATTTGCGAGATGCATTGCATTGGTGACAGCCCTCGAGAGGATTCGCGATCAAATTACGGACGTGAGTTTTGTGTTTGTATCAATTTTCAATTTGTCTATTTGTATCAATTTGTCTACTCATTACGGCACCTTCTGTTTAAGGCATTCAAGTACTTCGGTCTATACTTGATCATCAACTCCCTGATCAGATTTTGTCTGCCTGATCTTGTTCTTCAAACCCCTCATCCACCCTGACAAAGTTCCAAATCCAAGTGTCCACCTCTTGATACGGGCTGTGTAGATGAAGAGGTATACAAGGAAGCAGTTGAATACAACATACACAACCATGTACCCAAGACAGGGCCACTTGTCGCCGGCATGTATGTTCAGGGTCTTCATGTACTCCGCGCCATCGTTGTAAGGGCAGTATCCGCAGTTAGACGTCGCATTAGGGTCTTGGAGATATCCTGCCTTGGCGATGTTTTCGACGAAAGAGCTTGCATACTCTGCGCAACTAAGGCCAGGCGGCGGGTCGAAATGCGCAAACTCGGGTTCGCTGCATGCCACTGATACAAGAGGCAATATAGTAGAGAGTAAACCTCTGCTAAGCCACGTCGCCGGGTTGATGTAGTACAGCCAATACTTCCAAAAACCCGGTAGTGCTGAGTATGGTACAAAGACACCATTGACAAGGGCAGTGATGCAGAAGAAGAACGGTAGAATCTAAGAAATACCAGTCAGTATGTGGCGTAATCGATCCAGGACTCAAAGCCAACTCACATTCGAAATCGATGCGTACTTCGGTCCAAACGAAGCGATCCACTGACCCCAACTAGCCATGAATAGAGACCATAGAATGGTCATCAAGTACACATATCCTGAGACTGAAGCAGTCACGGGAAGGCCAGTCGGGAAATACCACAGTAGAAAGTATAGTGTGCCAGAAACGATGGACATCGGGATCTCCGTCAAAACATTGGCTGTGCAAAAGGCGACCCAGCCATAGGTACAGCTTGGTAGCTCGCGATCCTCCCAGAGATCTCGGTTGCGGAAGAAATAGATAACGACGCTGTTAACTACCGAGGGTGGGACGAAGAAAGGATAGATGATGGCAGTAAACATGCGGTTCTGTAGAGAGGCGACGTCTTTTCCCAGGTTCCAGAAGGTCTAGTTCTTGTTAGAGATGAGTTCTTCCATCAAAGGGTGCTGGTAACTCACAAAGCCACTGATGATACCCATTGTTACATGGATGAAGAGGCGACCGTATACGTAATGTGGCTCACGCCAATGCTTAATAAAAGTTCTCTTGGTGAGCAACACGCATTGATACCACGTTGAAGCCGCAAATTTGGTTGGCTTCTTGTCGGATGTGACAATGTTTCTCTTTTCAGCCGCGATGCTGTCAATTTCGTCATCAATCGCCTTGGCCTCATTACTCTTCCGCCACTCTTCGTTCCAGTCAACCGAAACTCCCTGGTCATTGACTCCCGGTCTCGATGCGGTTTCGAGGATGAACTCAGCCACATTTTGGTTAGGGGAACAGTGAAATCCACGGGCAGCAAAGTAGTCGATAACAATGGAGCCGTTTTCCCCAACTGGGCCGAAGTAGAAGGTCTTTCCTCCGCGATTGAGGGCGAGAATCATGTCAAACTGCTCAATTAGGTCAGATGAGGGTTGGTGAATGGTGCAAATGATGGCTTGTCCTGCGTCACAGAGTTTGCGGAGGAATCGAACAATGGAGTAGGCGGATTGACTGTCGAGGCCAGAAGTTGGTTCGTCCAGAAAAAGGAGCAACGAGGGTTTTGCGGCTTCGATAGGTTAGCAATAGTCTCTTAGTTTACGGGCATCAAGGTGATAACATACCGAGCTCAACACCAATCGTCACACGTTTGCGCTGCTCGACAGTTAGGGATGATATAAGAGCGTGCTCCAGGTCGTTCAACTCGAGAAGGTGCATAATGCGGTCGACATAGGCGATTTTCTCACTGCGAGGAACGTGACTTTCCTGACGCAATAGGGCTGAGAACTCCAACGCTTCACGGATTGTAGACGAGCCTTCGTGAATGTCTCGCTGTTCGCAGAAGCCTGTCCCCCGCTGAAACTCTTCGCCAAGGGGACGTCCATTAACGAGCATGTCTCCGGATATAACGCCCACGGTTTGTCTTTGGGCGAGGGTATTCAATAGAGTGGTTTTGCCAGCACCAGAGGTTCCCATCAGCGCCACCATTTTCCCCGGTTTGGCGTACCCGGAAACACTGTTCAGCAGCTGCAGTTGACCGGAGCCGTAGGGGACTGTGTAGTTGATGTTTTTGAACGTGAAGACGCTCTTTCCATCACCAATCTCTTCGAACGTATCGTCGGTCTCGGTTTGGGTCTGTTCGTCTGGGTTTGTTTTTTTCGGGGGCTTCGCGAAGACGGTTGACTGGGAGCTGGAGTCTGCGAGTCTGATCTTCTCAACCGCCACCACGTTGAGGATGAGGAAGAAGACGGTGAAGGCGATGACAATGCCGAAATTGCGCCAAAGATTTGACCGAAGGCTTCGAGTTGTCAGTCAGCTACGGAAGCTTTTGGTAATTGGGATTGGGCTTACAAGTTAAATGAGACCTTGAGGTAAGAAAGACCATCAACTTGGGTGCTGCCAGCAGCGGCTCCTGGCAGACTGCAACCTTGATATCCGGTCTGCGCATCTGGACCGCGGGGAACCAAGTTTCCTTCGCTGCAGGACATTTCGAGACCATTGAATTCGTTTGTTTGCAATGCCTCAAATCCATAGGAAACGGGGTTGATGTAAGTGAACCAACCAAACCATGGAACATCGCTCAGGAGCGTGCTTCTTGGGATGACGTAACCAGTGAAGATGAACATGATGTTCATGACTATTTAACATATTAGCTCCGTCTCGAAATGCGTTGAAGTCTGAGGGTACTCACAAACACCGACAAAGCGGATTGCATCATCTACAGTGCTCGAGAATGCCGCGAACATGCGGAACATGGTCGTAAGGGAGAAGGACACGACGTATACGAATAGCGTGAAGATGAAAAACTTGCTGACGTCGACGTCAAACCGTGCCAGGAAATAGAACGGAATGGCCAACGAGACGACCATGACAAACAAGATGGGCAAGTCTAGAATCGCTCTAGCCAAGACAATAGCCGACGGACGACAGAAAGCAAACTCTCGCTGTCTCTGCAATGTCACTCGACCAACAATCGCCGGCATCAACTCAGCGAACTGGAGCCAGCCAACAAACGCAATAGCGAAGAAGGCCATGCTCGACTTGGAAAAGGCAGAGGAGGTAGCGCTCGAATCAATGTCGATGAAGTGGGATCCGACGATGATGGAAATGCTGAGGATGATGAACAGTCTGGTGTAGAATGAGCTGCGCTCGTGGTAGAATAGCCAGATTTGACGGTGGAGACAGGCGAGGACCTGGCGCGGATAGGAAATCGTGAAAGAGGAGGATTTCGTGACATGCTTGGACTTGGATTGTTGGACAGTTTCATGGAACGTCCTGTGCTTTTCGTTTTCGATGCCTCGGCCGTCGCCCTCGCATCCTTGGGCGTCAGCAAGGAGTCTCTGGTAGTGAGAGCTCTGTCGGAATGCTTGTGCAAGCTCCTCGGGTGTCTTTGGTGTCGTCTCCTCCCGCCCAGGTTGGAAGCGTCGCGCGTTCTTGTCCGAAATGGAAGTCAAGAAGTCTGCTGTAGTTCTGTCATAGTGTCAATGTTGCAGTCCATCAGATCTACTGGGAATCGTCCTTACTGTCTGTGAGGGCACTGGTATCCCAGGTCCTCAAAATACTTCTTCGCTTCGTCGGCGGGTCCTTGGAATAGCATGTGTCCGGCGTCAATGACCAGGACTTTATCCATCAGTTCGTATATCGACTCTCCAGCTTGGTACAGAGTCACCAGGGTTGTCCTTTGGCTGACATCCGTGAAGACACGGAGGGCCTTGGCGAAACTCAGAGCTGTGCTTGCATCGAGACCGCGGGTCGAGTTATCCCAACAAACTACCGACGCTCGTGTAGCCAAAGTCTCAGCCAAGCTGACTCGTTTCCTCTCTCCACCAGAGACGCCACGAATGTGTTCATCGCCCACAAGCGTCTGTCTCGTGTGCTCGATTCCAAACATTTGCAGAAAGGCATCTAAAACCACGGGAATCGTCCACTCATCCTTCTTCCGCGTCTTGTTTTTCAGCGCGAACCAGAGCGTTTGCCAAACTGTCAGTGAAGGAAAATGCCGATCGTCTTCCTCGCAGTAGACAACTTCGCCTCTGAAGTGGCGTTTTTGGTCGTCGGCCGAAATGGCCCCGTAGTACACTTCGCCTTCCACGGCGACGTACTCGTCACGATGATTGGCAATTGTCTTGAGAAACGTCGAGCATCCAGATCCGGGCCGGCCCAAAACGAGCATGATCTCGCCGTGTTGAACAGTGCCGGTAAAGTCGTGGAGAAGATTGACCGTGGGACCTTTGTTGAGCTTCATTCCGGGGATCTTGTCGCGGACGAAAGTCCATAGATCCGGCCCGAAGGTGTTGAGAATGGCTCGGGGGAGTGTCTTGACGGCTGCTGTAGAAGACTCAGCACCCCGAACGGTGAGGTTCTTGAAGGAAACGCCGAGCCTTTTCGCCGGATCTCCGTTGGGTGTCCTGGCATCAATGATGCCTTTTCGAAGGAATTCGGGGAGATCAAACTCGTCGTTAGACCAACGTGTCGAACCACTGGCAGCATCGTCTCGGGGGGCTTCTGCTTTCGAAAGGCGTGATTTTGTCGTTAATTGTCGTCCAAGCTCATGGAATTCCTCAATGGCATCCGACACGACAACATCACCTTGAGGATTTTCTCCCCAAAGGCCGTGGCCTGGCTGAACAGCGGAGTCTGCCATCGCGGATACCGTAACCGAGGGGGTGTAATCCTGTCTAGTCACGGTTGGCGAGTGAAATTCACTTCAGAAAGTTCTGACGGGCGGCCGTTAAAAGAACCAGTCTCACCGAGCCCGGTCGGCTGGGTGGTAAGGCTCTGATCTAGGACGAACAAGTCGATTACAAATGCGTGCAGTGCTTAGTCTTGATAAAACAATTTTGGGATGACAAACTCAAGATGAAAAACTCCACAGCCAAGAGCCAAGAGGAGTCACAGGAGCCACTCTTCAAAGATGCATTGAACTACGGAGTAGGAAATTTGTGGGTTGTCCCTTATCCCATGGCATGGGCTGGTTGAGGCAGAGCGGGGAGATTCCAGCCACCAACAACATCGGGAATAACCCCGAAAACTCCATGGGGTAAAGGAGGCATCATTCTCCACACTGTGCATTGTGAGTGTTGCTGGCGTATAGAAAACCCTGAGTGCGGAATCCATGTTCCGACTATTGCGCGGCTCCTCACCGATCTAAGCGGCGAAGATATCCACATGGCTCGGCAAATATTTTCTCATTTTGTATTATGCTCCGTAATGACGGCTTAAGTCCGGGTTTTTGCAACGCCACCAAGGCAGGCCAGGCGGGGTCACTAAGGGGAACAACCCTTGGAAGTGTCTCTATGTCCACGCGAACTGGGTTATATTCGGCGATCCGGACGGTAGATTCTCGGCAGTCTAGAAACTCACGATGCTTGTCATTCAGCTCGGATTCCCTCTTGTGGTGCGGCTGCACTTACCACAACGAGATACTCCGCACACGAGCCAGACTAAACCAGCCTCGTTGGGCTCCTGTGCAGTCAATCACACCCAACCCCTATCACGTTGCCAGATTGAAGACGCGCAATTGGATGGCACTGTGCATTCGAGGCCTCACTCAATCCCAACAATCCATTCATTGACAGTGCTTCGTATCGGCAACAAGTTTCCTCTTTTGGTTGCAAAGCGAAAACGAAATATGCATTGCACTAATGAGCACACTAACGATTCAAGGCGGCGTCTAGGGTCATTATTCCTCCAAATTTGTTCGCTCCTCGAGCTTGCTTGATTTGATGTGATTGATAAAGCCCAGTTCCAGCAGGTCTGTCTTACATTCACAATCGCGACTGCATTTCCAGCCTCCCCTCAGTTTTTAAAACGATGGAACTTACAGAGTAGATACAAAGTACCAAAGTAGAATCCCACCATTCTGGTGATCCCTCCTGCACCCTGCTGACATGCCGCAAGGGGGTCCAGATGTCTGATTGCGCTTGACCTTTAGCGTCACCGTATCTTCGGCCCGCAACTCCGCGCTAGTGTTTCCCCTTCAGCAACACTAGGGGGATTCGATCCTTACTCTGCAAGCCGAACTTTGCCATTCACATCTTCAATCTGAAATGAGCTGGTTAATATCCAAGACACAGTCTGCTGGCTCTGTTTCGAATCTGCTGTCTATTAACTTACCCACAAGCGGGCGTACAACCGTAGCCTGAGCTTCAGAAATGAGAGTCGCCACTCATCCAGATCTGGCGGTGGCATATCATGGATTTAGCTGAGACCTTGATGTGTGACGGTTTCCAGAGGGAAGGCGACGTAGCAATCAACAGAATTGTTATCAACACTCAATATATACTATGCGCTGTCAATACTATTCCGAGTGAGCATGCATGCATCAACCAACGATCAAGTTGATGAGATACAGCCAGAAAATGGAGAGTCTCATGGACAGCGGTCAGCGTGCAACTGCCGAGCAAAATACGACGGTGCGGAGGGTTTGGGCCAAGTCCATTACTTAGTATCATTACTTGCCGAAGAGCCCCTGTAGGGATCTGATGGGGTCAAGTCAATGGGATGGTTGAGTGGACGTTGGCGGGTCATCATGTGGAGAGTAGATGTCGCAGCGGCAGCGTCCCGAAATAGCCGGGTGCAGGGTTGTTCACACCCTCGCATTGCTCGCCAGTCATGTCGAATAACTCCGCGACGATACCCCGGCGTTGTGACTCACCACTCAGTTGCACATGCCACGGAAATAAGCCGCGTAATCTAACTGCCCTGGCCCCTGGATTGACCTCTGAAGTTAGACTCGTTTTCTCCGGTGAAAGCAGCAGCAATGATAGATATCATTGCATTTAGTATTTGTTCATTCTTTCCATCTCACCAAATTGACCCTGTTTTTATGGACTAAAGCTAACCTATAAAAGGCTTAGATTTCCCAAATCATTAGGTATATAAAAGCCCAAAGGCAATAAGTAGGGGAAGGATTCAGGGCGTCGATACGGTAGACTGCTTGATCTTTTTCACTTGCACGGCACCATCCACCCAGATTCCCGCTTTCATCCCTGCCATGCCGGTTCACTCAACCTTATCATGGACCTCTATCGCAGGCCAGAAACTAAATATACCGAAAAGCATTGTGGAGACGCTTGGTGCGCTATGGCTCTGCCTGGGCTTCGCTGGTTGAGCAAGCTAACAAGCCATGGTTAGTTGGCACCACCGAAAGTGTCCATCAGTAAAATATATCAACGGTAGCGAGACCCCGGAGTTCATCCCGACCCCGGTGGGCAGCATCAACCAGGTTTCTAGCAACCGTGATTCTGCCTTGATTAAGTAGTCGATGGGACGCCTGGCCATTCCGCCAGAGTAATTAAGCGTTGGGTATGTAAAAATAGCTCTGCTATATATCTTGTTGTGCGTATTAGTGTCTCAGATAATTCGCCTTGCTCTAGGTGTCTATCTGTGGAATATTGAGCAGTCTCTAGCTGGATTCACTAAAATGTGATGACAGATCTGCGCATTCAGATTCTGGGAGATAGCAAAGCATTCCATATGTATAACTGATTTAGAAATAAAAATTAAGAGTGCCTCTAGTGTTTCACACCTTCTCGACATTTCATAATCCTTGTGCGACTTGTTCATGACCCCAGTATGGATCTGCTTGTTAACGAAGCCAGTGGGGGGATGTGAAGCGTCCTGAACGAAAAATGCTGAGATGATTGTGATGATGCCGAACGCGGAACTAGCCAAGGAGACGATTATGAAAGTGTCATGTAACCCAATTTTCGTACCCTCGCCGACTTCAGGAAGAATTGTATCATTCATGCCTGGGACACTGCCCAGAGCCGAGGCAGTTCCATTACCTATAGCCGTAGATAGACCCGGTAGACTGCTATCGGGGAGACCAGCTTTCGTAACAGCGGAGGTGATTTCGTGTGGCAAGAAGACCGCCAGCTTGTCAGTGAAGATGGAGACGCAAATGCTCACTGTTTTAAAAAGTCTCAGTACAGGTGATCCTCATCTTCCTGAAAGGGTCACTTGCAGGCGATGGTGCCAGTTACAGCTCGCATAGAAGCAAAGAGTCCCTGGGCAGCACGAATATCCTCGAGCGGAACAACCAAACCAGCAATGAGGATCGCGACGTCTTCGACCCAGCCAACACCGAAGCCACCCAGGATAGTAAGCTTATTTCCGTTAGTGGATTGTCTATCGAGGCCTCATGGATACTTATTATGATACCTAAGCTCTGATTGCTTTCGTCGACAAGAGACATCAGGGCTGAAAGGACTGCGAGGAAGACACTCGCAGTCGCCAACTGCCAATTGAGTCAGCCCACCGGCTTGAAAAAGGGCGAAACCATAATCTCACCTAGGGCCAAGCTGGCACCGGTTGTACTCTGAGGAGGTAGAGTTAACGCATAGTCTGGAGGTGGAAACATGATTCACATACCGACATCAGACCAATGATGCCATTGGCAGTGGTGAATAACACGGTAATCGTCATCGGCCAGAGCACGTTTAGACAGTAAAATACCATTTGGCCCACACAGCCGACAATAAGAACGGCAGCAAAGTTCTGGATCTTCAGCAGCTTAATGGACTTGAGAGGCTAAACCGGGGTCATGTACATTTCTGGTTTGGTGTTAGCGACAACGAGGGCCAAAGGGGATGTCGAGGCACACCATATTAGGCAAAAGCAATGAGCGTGACTCCTCCGACCACAATCGTCGAGATGACTTCAGCGCTCTTCCAAAGTTATGTTCCTTGTCCCCAAGCTTGGTCTAGGGTCAGCAAATTGTACAATCTTCACTAACAAAAGCAGCTGGGAAGCCTTGCTAAATCTAAGCAGAAGTAGGATAAGACCCGAGCAATAAAGCAGAAGCCCAAAGTAGTCGAGCTCCTTCAGCTGCTGCAGCTTGGTCTGCTCTTGGTTGATCATGTGGAAGTTTGGAAGGAAGTAACAAAGCGCTTACAACACGACCGAAAATCCCGAGAGAATGGCATTTAGCCAGTAGCACCACGTATACTCCGTTAGTCTCGCGACTTTCTTGGAGACTGAGTGCTGAAAACTGGCCTTCAACCGAGCTCCGTGTACTCTACAAGGGCCTGCCCAATGGCAGGGCCGAAGCCGAGAGTAGGGAAGATTCCGAGGGTAATGAGAGCTTGGCCGTAAATGCGGTACTTGTTCGGAACAATCTCCTGGATGGTAAGCATATAAAGCTGCTGCGCGCCGCCAGCGATGCCAGAAAGCACCGTTCCAGCTATCACAGTGTTGACCTTTTTCGCTCGCGCGCAAACGATGGAACCGACGACGGCGCAGAGCTGAGCACCGATCACGACGGACCGGCGGCCGATGATGTCGCCGAGACGGCCAATGTCAAGAGCAATAGCCGCTTACTAGAGTGAAGGTGAGAGCTACTAAGTAGATGTTGGGTGACGGACCTGGTGCCTAGGTTAGCGGTTCGGGCGTTGGAGGGCAGGTAGCGAGCGAGCGAGCCAATCTCGGCATCAATCACAGAGAGGACATTGATCTATTTGTCATTAGAATTACTACAGTTCAATAAGACAGCGGAATATTACTTGATCAAACTTACGGGCATGGAATAGCCAATGAAGAGGGTGTTTGCCGTCAAAACAATGGCGGTAAGGGTGCCCAGAAGTCGGAATGATCGCCAGCAGCCCGGGTCAATGCTCTGATGATTATTGTCTGCTGGGTTTTCCACATGGTTGGCTTGGATGTCGGCGGGATCTTCCTTCCCAACTGGTGACATGGCTGGAAACGAATCAGAGCAAGTGGACTAATGTGAGCAAGACTTGTAGAGATGGCCAAAGTGGAAGAAGCAGCTTGAGATTGTTTATTTCTACGGGAGAACACGGCCAGATAACTGTGATGACAATATAGCTATTTGGCAGAGCCGAGTCTGCCGAAAGGCAAGGATCCAAACCACGGCCAGTGAAAGCAGGAAATCGATTTCCTCATGTCCACTTCCTGATATGTCCTGGGGATTAGTGGAGACAGGTCTAGCCGTGGAGGATGTGTGGGGAAATGGAGGCGTGGAATCTGGGGAATGGCGTCGGATTGCATCTTCAGAGGCGGCTGTCATTGATGCCACCCACGTGCCAGTGTTGTATCATGTAGATAGGGCGATACGAGTCTAGACCGTCAGTAGTCGCACTACGGTCCTAAAGTTGTGTATCGTGTGCTACGTAGCTCAGGAGATCTAGCTCTTGTGGCGGGCTTGGACGCTGCTCACCCGTCAGCCCGACCTATTTTGCCGCTAAACTGGCTTCAATCTTCGGCTAAAGGTACACGGGCTGAAACTTGATCTCTGTTCATATTTCCTATTGCGGTATGCCGCGTGCGATGGACAAGAAGATTTAACTTCTCGTATCCAACTGTCGCACTAAATGGCCTCATATTATCCATCACAAATATGCTAGCGGAATGCTGAGTTTACCCCATCTATGCGGATCCATCATAGTAACACTACCACCTCATTGCCAACACAATCAAGTCACGAGCTGCAGTCATCACTCTAGAACCCCAGTTGTCACGTCGCATCCAGGTTCTGCTCTTCCGTGATGGTTACCCTAGACCTCCGTATGGAGGAGCACCGCTTGAACATGCAGGGCCCACCGTGGGTACCTGCTCTTGGGCGAGTTCCGATTGGACCGGGGCAAACGAGCGGTGAAACCCGCGCCGTGAAATTATGATCGTCGTGACCGGGAGCCCTGTTCCTTCCCCCTCGTGTCCATTTCCTGGCGGGCCGACTGAGCCTGCTTTCACACGCTTTCACACGCTTTCAACGCAGTCTTAATGAGACTTCTGAGCTGATTTCGAACATGTCAAGACCAGTCTGAATTGTTTCAAGATTGAAGCGCTCTGACCACGTCAATATGCGGTCGCTGCTTGTTCTGCTCGCGTGCGAGGCTTTCACGCTCGTTCCGAGTGTCTCAGCCCATCCTTACTCTACCGACATCAATCCGTCTCGTAAGCGCATTTGTTTCTCCCTGCCTAATCTGCCTTGCTAAGTGCTTCCAGCCCTAGGAAAAGGAAACGGGATCTGGAAAAGTGCCTACGACAAGGCGCAGACGCTAGTTGGCCAACTAACCTTAGAGGAGAAGGTAAACATTACTCGAGGTTTTTCCAGCGACCAAAATGTTTGCGCTGGAAATACGGGATCCATTCCTCGTCTAGGATGGCCTGGGATGTGCTTGCATGATGCGGGCAATGGCGTAAGAGCGACCGACTTTGTCAATTCATACCCCTCCGCAATCCACGCGGGTGCTGCTTGGGACAAGAACTTGACATACTTGAGGGGCTATTACATGGGAAAAGAATTCAAGACCAAGGGAGGTGGGTTCAAACGTTCTTGTCTTGGTGGTGATCAGCCTGAGTAACTGACATGTAACCCAGTGAACGTGTTGCTTGGACCCAACGCTGGTCCTCTTGGGAGATCACCCTTGGCCGGGCGCAATTGGGAGGGATTCTCAGTTGACCCATATCTCTCAGGGCAGTTGACTGCCGAGACTGTGAGAGGTCACCAAGATGCCGGCGTCATCGCGAACCTCAAGGTAAGCTATAAGCAGTTTCTGTGCACCAAGGCAGCTCGGGTGACCGGGTTGTTGGTTCTCATCTTTTCACCTCGACTAACCGCTGGTGTTTCTACCTAGCATTTCATCGGAAACGAGCAAGAAACCTACAGGCGTCCCTATTTCGGTGTCGAAGCCATATCATCGAATATTGACGATAAGACGTTGCATGAGTACTACCTCTGGCCCTTTGTGGACGGTATTAGAGCTGGAGCGGCTTCCGTCATGTGTTCGTACAACCGTATCAATAGCACCTACGGCTGTGAGAACGACAAGTTGATGAACCAAATCCTCAAGACCGAGCTATCTTTCTCCGGGTTCGTGCTCCTTGATTGGAACGCTCAGCACAACCTCCAGAGCGCCAATGCAGGGCTAGACATGGTGATGCCGCGTGGGGGTTCATGGGGAGATAACCTGACGGAGGCGGTACATAACCACACCATCAGTGAAGAGAGACTCACGGACATGGCAAGCAGGTGGGTGAAGTGTCCATGCCGACGATGTATTGTGACTGACGCGGGCTAGGATTCTCGCGGCGTGGTATCTCGTTGGCCAAGATGTGGACTTTCCAGTCCCAGGAGTGGGCATGCAGAACCTTACCCAGCCCCATGAAAAGGTTGATGCCCGTGTCCCTGCGTCGAAGCAGGTGATACTTGAAGGTGCAATCGCGGGGCATGTCCTTGTCAAGAATGAGAACGGGGCCTTGCCGTTCTCAGCCAAGCCGCAGATGCTCTCGGTATTCGGGTACGACGCCACGGTCCCCAAGACCAAGAACACCGACGTGCTGTTCCAGCTGGGGTACATGGCATCTCCCGAGATGGGACAGGCCACTCTTGGCACTGAGCAGCACTTCGACCAAGCTGCGCGGGGAGGCACAATAGTGAGCGGGGGCCGAGCCGCTGCCAATTCGCCCGCATATATCACCGACGTTAGTTCCAGCGTTCTGGATCGTTGAGATACGTACTGATACAAGACACAATAGCCACTCAGCGCCATTCAGCAGAGAGCTGTCAGGGATGACACGTGGGTCAACTGGGATCTTTCGTCCTTTGACCCGGACGTCAACGCCGCCAGCGATGCCTGCTTGGTATTCATCAATGCCATGGCCACCGAAGGCTGGGATCGGGACGGACTCCGGGACGACTACTCCGACGGCTTGGTTCTCAATGTGGCCTCAAAATGCGCTAACACCATAGTCGTTGTTCATGCTGCCGGTATCCGCTTAGTCGACCAATGGATCGAGCATCCCAACGTCTCCGCAGCGATCATCGCCCATGTTCCTGGTCAGGATAGTGGCACCGCACTCGTCCAACTGCTCTATGGAGAGGCTGGGTTCTCTGGAAAGCTGCCGTATACACTGGCAAAGAACGAAAGCGATTATTCCGTTTATGAGCCTTGTAAGAGGCGCGACGCTGACGATGTTGATCCGCAATGCGACTTTACCGAAGGGACGCATCTCGACTATCGCGCCTTTGATGCAGACGGGCTCACGCCGCGCTTTGAGTTTGGGTTCGGCCTGAGCTACACCACATTCGAGTACTCGGCCATGTCAATCAAGAAGGCCAAAGCCCCCGGCTCGGTCGAGGAGAGTCATAGTCTCTGGCGGCCATTTGCGACTGTCACAGCGACGATCAAGAACGTCGGCCCCCACTCTGGAGAAGAAGTCGCCCAACTCTACGTGGCGATCCCTGATAGCGCGCCCAAGCAACTGCGTGGCTTCGAAAAAGTAGCGCTGGGAAAGGGAGAGTCGGCCAGGGTCCAATTTGAGCTCTCTTATCGTGACTTGAGCGTCTGGGACGTTGTGTCTCAGCGATGGAACCTCCAGCCAGGTAATTACACGGTGCTTGTTGGCGCTAGCAGTCGCGATATACGACTATCAGACGGCTTCCGGGTTTCCGGAGCAAATGTTGCGCGATGGGTGATCCAGGCATGACACGGGAACACAGCGTGATGGACTGCTTGATATGGGTTGAATCCTGGCTCGCATCACTCCAATGAAACAAACCGTGATGCACATCGCGTGATGGAAAAGACTTTTAGAAACCGTCTGACGTCGACGGGGTATCCTGGGAGCGTTTTCATTACGACAGACAGACGCGATTCAGTCACGTTGAGCTGAAAAAGCAGTCGGGGGTTGTGAATGTCGGTTAATATAGGGGCATTGACGGCCGTCGCACGTGTGAGGCCGCTTAGCTCAATCCGATCTGCGACACGTTTCTTAGCCTGCAGGCTAGGCCACGTTTAGATTGCTAGGCTCGTAATTCACACGGAGCAGTCAGTTGCCGCGTGCTGGGCGGGAACGGGTGCATTACTCGCGTGGTGACTACCGAATCTTTAGCGGGAAATCTTGTCTAGCATGGACTTTGATGGAGAAGTAATTGTCGTATCCCGTCATTAGAGAATCAGCATGGACTAATTCCAGGCTAGTCTGAGATTGAGGCACTGCGTAGTCCGTGATGATCCTGGAAATCCGCGTGGTAACCATCACGTAGTGGCACACTACGTGGGAACTATCTTGGAGACGGTAGAATTAGAACCAGGCTAGAAATAAGGCGGCCTGATTAGCGTCGGAACGTGGCCGGCACAAGGGTGCAAGATCCAAAGAAGCAGCCGGGCTCATGGTGTTGGAGACGGCCCTCGACTGCAACCAATGATGATCCCAGACTGGTGGAGACAACACGCGAGAGTAATTCCATCATTTCGACCAGGGGCGAACGTGGCCGCCCGGGCATAGCGCTGACTTGTACACGTGGGATACGCGGAGCCGCAGCACGCGGAGCCGTTTGATGATAACGGCGAGATCGGTTTCCAGTTTGCAATCTTGAACCTTCTTACATAGTCCGCGAGTTGCCATCGTCGACACCAACGCACACTGTGGCGCCCGTTGTATACTGTTGATCTCTTGTGACTGTGACTGATCCCGTCTACAGAAGGAACAAGATATTCTTTTCTTTCTTCCCCGCTCCTGGATCAATGTCGCAGTTCGTCGTACGACTCGCCGAACCCGCCTCCTCCTCTCCAACAATGGTCGCCAACAGGATCAACCAGTCATCGTCTCGCTTGCTGAAGACGACTGACGATGACAGGCAACTCTCAAGGGTAAGTCTAAAGTCCATCATTTCCGACTCTTGCCGGCTTTTCCCCGCTCGCCGAGCCAGCGAATACGTCTCCAGATGTGCATTCTGCCCCCATTCTGTGATTGCTAACACGAACACCTCCAGGATCTGACTGATCTCTTTTCTACCCTTATTGTCAGCCTGCTGCCTCTTGAAGCCCGCCGCGTCCGGTTCTCAAAGGTGGAAAACACATTCCTCGCTGAAGATGCCACCCACAATCTCGGCAATCTGAAACTGCTACAGTCAAACACCATGCCTGATCCTACAGACCCATCCCGTACTGTTGTTTCCACCTCAACCACCATCTTTTCCATGAGCAGGACCATGGCGTGTAACCAGTGCCAGCGCTTTGTTGATGCTCACTACATCGAATCGGCGGATGGCAAGCATGAGCCCGATTTTCGCGTGAAGGGGGTGTGGAAGCTCACATCAAAAGGCATCACAATCCTGAACTGGTTTTGCGCAAAGAATGGCATCGAGCATGAGCAGGTCCAGGATTTGATTGGCTTCATTTCGAACCCCTTGATCATTTTGGAACGAGACACAGCGACAGACAAGCTCCTCCTCCATCAAGGTACTATCGAGGTCATCTTCCGTCGACTGATTGGGGGTGGTGGACGTGGAATGAAGGCGGGTGCGAATGACTACAAGAGCATCACTGGTACTGAGCGCAAGGTCAACGGACGGACGTATGTCGATACATACTCTGGCCAAAGTATCGCCGACTGGCTGCTGGATCATGCGACGACTATGGACTTGCGAGAAGCCGTCGATGTTGCATCTCTTTTCGTCCACTACGACATCATCCAACCGATTGTTCACGACCAAGTCTGCATGTCCCAGGATCCCAGATACAAGCTCTTCCAGCCAACTCAACAGGCGGTCTACACGCTCTCCCAGCATGGTCAGGATCTGGTCGAAAACAGCAGCTCGGGGCGCACCTCTTCGGAAGGAAATTCTCAACACAGCAAACACAGCACGACAGACTCCAACAGCCAGAGGCTCGAGAAGATCCTGGCGGACCCAACCCTCCGACTGCTGTTCCGGGAGGGCCTGCAAGAAACCCACTGCGAGGAGAACTTGGCGTTTTACCAAGAAGCCGAGGAATTCGTACGGCAGTGCAAGGCGGCTTCCGCCACGCAGACCCCGACGGACAAGGCCTCGATTGAAGTAGCCAAGGAGCTTTTGGCGCAGTCGTACATCATCTTCAATACCTTCCTCGCCCCTGGATCTCCACGAGAACTCAACCTCAACCACCTACTTCGCAAGACCCTGGCAGACCAAATGACCAGTGCCCAATCCCGGGATGCTACGATAGTCGACACACTCCAAGAAGTGACGGCTCTCTTCGAGAGTGCCCGGAATTCAGTGTTCAAGCTGATGGCGAGCGTGAGTCGAACGATTTAAGTAGCCATGCCAGTCAGTTGCTAACAAGTACCAGGACTCCGTACCAAAATTCATCAACAGTCCGAAAGCCGAATACCAACTGGCACAAGCCGGCGTACGATAACTATACAATTGCAAGTAAAATGGAGTGGAATAGAAAAGAAAGCCTGGGACATCTTTGCGAGGCAGTGCGTTGTGGTGGCTCGGGGCATGGCATTTTCCTTTAACGAAATACCCTTTGTAGATATACGCTCGCTCTCTATTACAGGACGGTGCATTGGGATATATAGCGGGTCGAATTACATTTTAACATCATCATCGGACACACTTGTCGGTAAGCCGTCTTCAATACCCCAAGGGGAAGGACGCAAACTACATTCTCTACGATTTACTAAGTGTGGACAGAGTCGGGATGATAGAAGGGTGGCATACCATTTGTACTTATAATTTTGAACATGCGCATGTTCTTTTCAGCTAGACGACTTTAGATATGTTTCATTGCGTATATCCTGCTCTAGGTCTGAAGACACTATGGCCTGACAATCGTATAGATTCTTCTTAATGTATTGGTGAACAGTGACCTTGTCAAAACTCTCACTGACGCTCGTTCACTACTTCGCCCCCATCTAGCTTAGTTTATCAGCAACAATTCCTTCCACAACGTGTAACTTGATACAAATTTTTCGTCCATTTATCCACTATCGTTGAAGCACATGGCTGGGCGGCGTGCCGGAGCTTGTGGGGTAAAGGACGGAGGCGTGTCTAGTTCAGGTATGGTCCAACTCCCCGGAAAATCATCATCTTGATGGTAATCGCCACAGGGAGGCCCTGGCCCCGTTCTACGCAATGCGGGGGAAGCAATAACCGTGGACATGGGTACATTCTGATTGCCGTGGCCCGCATATCGTGCTCCGCAAATTTGCTTTTTCCTCGATCGATTTCCGATGGCCTCTACGAAATATTATCTGGAGAATTGTAAATAGTACTAGTGCACACCTAACCTGAGATATGTTGCAGTTTGAGGAAGATATAATTCCAGTCTGTGTCTGTTTCCCTGGTATCGATCGATGAATACAAAATATTGCTGGCTATCATAGAGAGGAGATTATACAGCATAAGGTAAAATTGCTTGAAGAGGGTCATTTGGAGATACCCCCTGACTATTATCGGCAAAGAACTTGTTTCAACACCTGTTCAAGCCTTTGAGGAATATCAGAACTGGCGCTCCACGCACGCCATGCAACAAATCCATCCGGACGAACCAGTATCGCCCCTGTCGTCGAGATGCTGGCCGAAGACTCCCAGTAGCCCTTGGGTGTTATGAGCTCACAAGCGGGGCCAGCACGATACGCCGCTATGCTGACAACCAGGGAAGAGGCCACCTTCGGGGCAGCTTCGCACCACTCGTTGCCATCCGCTCCAGCAATTATCACGAAGCCTTTGCCTAGCACATCAAGCGTGGAGATCCGACGGTCTTCGAGCTGGACCCAGATATGCGGGACGCGAGTCCCGGCTTTTCCACAGAGCCCGAGGATCTGGTTTGGAGTTGGAATCAGCCGCATTGTTCTCCAGAACCAAGGCGTCGTATCCTCTGTCATGGTTGCTTGAGAAGTATAGATATAGCCATATCCAATGAGTCTCGGTATCCTGTACATCAAAGCCAAGATTGCCGAGGGATCCTTTCTCAGCGAGAGCAGGCCATGCTCATCGGATGCCTCGCCTGATTCCTCCGCAACAAGGCGCCCGATTGGAAGTCGCTCGGCGTCGTAAGTCGCCAGTAGTGAGGGTGTTGCTTGTCCACGTAGAACCGCCGCCAGCTTCCATGCCAGATTATGAGCATCTGCGATGCCAGTATTTGCACCCTGGCCGCCCCAGGGTGGCATCTGGTGGGCTGCATCACCAGCAAGAAATACACGCCCGTGTTGGAATTTTTCGGCGACCCGCACAGTTGGTTCCCAAGGGAGAATGCTCTTGATCTCAATCTCAAGATTGGGCAAACCAATGGCAATCTTGATTAATTCCCGACAGCGCTCGGGTGGGAAATCTTTAATTTCTTCATTTTTCTTGGGATCATAGGAAAGGTGGAACACCCATCGGTCATGGTTGTTGATGGACGCGAACAAGCCCCTTACTTCTGGTCGATTGACTAAACACAAGCTGAACTCGCGGCCTCGTACCAGCTCGCTCATATCGGCTTCAAATAGGATATTCAAGAGATATCCCAGTGAACCGGCACCCGTGGTTTGAACACCAAGCGTTTGCCGAATTGGGCTGCTAGCCCCATCAGCTGCGATCATGTACGCTGCATGAACGATAGATTCAACGTTGCTTGAGCGATCGCGTAGTGTTGCAGACACCCCATCGTCGTCTTGCTCAAAAGCTATGCATTCGACATTGAATCGTAGATCGCCTCCTTCATCCCGAGCCGCTGCAAGGAGGACCGGTTCAATCATGTCTTGGGTTACACGTGTTCCATCTACTGGGCCAACATCGATAAATGCCGCCCCCGGCAGTTTTCGCGGGTGTGAAGTTTCGTTGCGGGCATGACCCTCGATGACCTCGGCGAGGGAATGTCCTTGATACATGCCGGTGCTAGGAGAAAGAGACGCACCGGCTGCACGGACGGCCTCATCGATTCCGATTTCGCGGTAAAGCTCCATCGTGCGGCGGTTCACACCGCGAGCTCGTGGGTGAATGGAGGTGCCCGCATGGCGCTCCACCAATACAGATTCCATTCCATGGCTGGAGAGGAAAAGGGAAGCAGAGAGACCGACTATACCTCCTCCAACGATTAGAACTGGGACGTAGCATGTCGCCATGGCAGCGATTCGATCTAAGACAGGCTGTGAAAGATATAGATTGGAAGGGTCGAGTAAAGAGGTTTTATACAACATTCACAAGAGCAAGATGTAGTAAAATGTCAATTATATGTGATTACGCACTCCTTCGGTTGTTCCATTGTTAAAATCCGACGTCGTCAAAATCCGACAGTCAAAACCCGACCTTGTTAAAATGCGAAGCTGTTAAAACCCGACACCGTATCAATAAAATTGCGTAGAAGACTTCAGTTCACACAGTCCCTTTTCTTACATGGAATATTAGTATTGCAACATTTATCTTAGCATAGGCTAAAATAATTTCTAGCTGCTTTCATGATACGATCCAGGTGCTATGTCCAGAGCATGCAACACCAGAGTGGTCTAGCAGACCCAACCATCGTCAATGTTCTGCACAGTGCCAGTAATAAGACTTGAACCATCCGATAGCAACCATTCGATCAGGTTGGCTACCTCCTTTGACTGACTTTTCCTCCCTAGGGCGATATGACTCAGGTCCATCTCCTTGCCACGGATGTCAGCGGAAGCGCGAAACATTGGCGTCTCTACTGGCCCACTAGAAAGAAGTCGCATTAATAGCGGAGCCGAACCGGACAAAAGGAAATATACTTACGGGCAAAAGGCATTGCAGCGAATCTGCCGGGGTCCCAATTCCTTTGCTGCCGTCTTAGTCAAGCCCAGGATAGCGTGCTTTGAAGCCACATACGACGCATTACGAGGAATCCAATCAAGCCGGCCACGCCGGGGGCGTTGACGATAGACTCGACGTCGTTAAAGTGTGGATCTGTGCCCTGAGGCAGTTGAGAAGCCCCTTTTGGTTCACCCCCACGACGAAGTCCCAGTCCTCGTCATCAATGTCTTGAATAGCTGTCTTGTTGATGTACTTGCCGACCACACTGCGAGATTATCAGAGCCATCTAGTTTGCCAAATGTGTCCACGGTTGTCTTGATCCAGGCCTCGACTTGAACTCTTTGGCGCACATCGACCACTGTTCCGATGGCGGTGCCGCTGCTGTTATTGATGTCGAGTACGACTTGCATTAGCGCTTCCTCTTGGATGCCTGCTAGTGAAAGCTTGGCCCCTTTGGTGGCGAGCAGCTTGGCTGACTCGAGACCCATTCCGGAGGCGACCCCGGTGATGACAATGACTTTCTTATCCATGATGTGCGATAGGAGATATAGGAGATAAGTAAGAAGAAGGGAAGGGACCTCTGTGGCCACGTCTATTTCCGACCGGAGAATGAGAGGAGCATGGTTTTATCGGGTCATTTCCCATGGGCGTAAACGTAGATTCCCAACTACCGAGACGGTATTCGGGGCCAATCCGGATTTAAGACGAGCAGTACGTCTGAATGGCACATGCTGTCGGATACTAGAAAGATGTAGAGTAACATTCCCCGGCTGTTGTCTTCCTATAGATGTCATGCTAATCTATGAGTTCTAAAATCTACAATGATTTCAAATCAGTGCCGCCCATGGCACGTAGTGGGAGCGGTCAAACCGGATGTTTGCGCATAGTTCAAAGCAGGGACACAAAGGCATCTGAAAATTGAATTATTATGTTTTCCGTCTGTTTCAAAACGAAGAAGTCTTCAAGCCAACCCCTACTTCTAAATATTCACCACCCGTTGTCCAGTCTAATGTCGTTCATTCCAACCTCTGGTATTACACCGCCTCTTCATCGTTACCATTATCCGCCTGCGTTGTGGTCGTATAGCCCGTGCTCGCAAAGTTAGAGGTGGTATTGTGCTCCACCCCATCAACTATTTTGAATCGCTTTGCCCCAGCAATTGTGTGACTCACTTTATTAGCTTGTTCCTCCTGTTCCCAAGACAGGTGCGGCTTCTCTCTTCGAAGTCTCCGGCGCAGTGACATTGGCTTTCCTGGACCGTCCTTCGAACTTCTGAGGCCAATTGTCGACAACCCATTCGGCCCAGAATCGATTTCGTGTAGATCGAAATGATACGTCAGATCTGTGAGCCGTAGTTTGGCCTCCATATGCCATTTCTCACTGCCGGGACCTTCGACGGAGAGATCGAAAGGATTACCCCGAAGCAATCCCTTTTCGTTTTCGTCGATGTCGTCCGCCTGAAGAATGTTGCTCTGGCATGCCCAGGAGATGAGATCGGCGATGGAGATATAGTCTCGTGGGAGATGCCTAGAATATCCCGACTCCAACCCCTCGAAAGGTATCAATAGTACCAATATTGCCATCCATGCGATTATAGTAATGCTAAGGGGAAAAGAGAACAAGACGGAACTTTCGTCGCCACCAACCTGAATCGTGGTGCTTGCGCCGACGATGATTGGAAGAGCACGATGTATAATCGCCAGCAGGGATGACCTCGCAACCTTCCAGTGACCCCTCGTCATGGCTTCGTAAATGCCTATTATTTGGTGACAACATGTGTAGTCCAGGAGCAAGGTTTCATCTGCTTTCCCGCCGTTGTGCAGGTGGACAAATGGTTCGGTAGTTGCAGCGAAGAGTTTCATATTCTCCCAAAACTCCAGGAAATAAACCGCAATGGTTGTCAGGACGAACCCGAAAATGAGCTGCGCGATGTCGCTTGAGACAGGAGGGTTGATCTCGTACCCCGAGTCCTTGCTGCCGAAGATAAACACAGCTATATAGCCAGCCACGAATAAAACAGCACCGACTGTGTGCAAGATGATTGCTGGTTTCTGTGTAATGCTGGGCACAGAGTTGTAGCCAAGCTTGTCTAGCTTCTCAGTTGATACTTGGATTCGGTCAGCCTTTCTTCAACTGTAATTGTTTGGTCACGTACATTGAAGACAACTGTCTCCTCGTTCTTCGATGGAGCTTTGCGTATCTGCAAAACGGGTCAGCGTGATGGAGGGGTTGATTGCGACTCTAGCAAAAAACTTACCTGTGGGAACTTCGCCGAATCCGTACCACAAAGCGTTTCCACCACGACGCCAATATCCCAATCTCAGCTTCAAGGTTCCAAGAATATCGATCATCGATTTTCTGTCGGCAATGCAGCTACCTTCGAACTTGTTGAGAAAGTTGGAATGACGAAATAAGGCAAGGTGATCGGCGATGGTTACAATATCCCATCCCTCGCGCAACCCAGTTGACTGGCGGCAGTATAGATAGATGATGACAGCCAAAATGTATACCTCTATAAGTATGTATACGACGGAGACAGCATAGAGCGCCCAGTGGGTGACCTCGGCCGTGTCGCTACCATCCATACTGAGCAAAGAGGCCTTTAACCCTTGAACGCAGTAAGACAAGAACCTGTAGAAATGAGAGACGGCCAGTAGCCAGTTTCGAGTAGTCAGAGCATCCCAGACGTCCTGGAGGGGAATAAATCTCCGAAATATTGTATCTTTTGCGTAATCACCTTTGGGTTTCGCACAGCGCATGAAAGGCGTGATCCTGGAGAGGGTCGTGATAATAGACTCTAGGCTTGAGGAAGTAACTGTTCCTACGATGGTAGGTAGGAACTGGATGACGAAGTAGGCCCATCCTTTTTCGAGATGAAACGACTCCTTGAAGTATATTATAATCAACAAGCCAATGACTAGGCCATTGAAACATAACGTGCAAATCAAGAACCACAGGCGGAGAACCATGGGCCTAAACTGGAGGTTGTCGGGGCCTTTGTCTGGTTGCAGGAGTCGAGACCTGTCTGCGCCGTGTTAGCAAAAACAACAACACTACTATAACTGGAGTCATAACGGCTCACTCTCATCCTCCTCCTCCTCAGGAGCAGCATTTGTTGCTCTACTATGCGTGGCAGTTGAGCGCCTAGTATCGTCACTGTCGTGGAAGGCGGGATTTGGCGAAGGGCGGGCCAGAGATGCCGCCGGGTTGATTGCCGCGCCGTGACTTGCAGGGCTGTCAGTTTGAAAGAGGGTCATTTCCATTTTTTCTGTAGACTGTCGAAACTTTCAGGCATAGTCAGGTATGGAGCTGGCAAAATGTTGTCGTAAACACTCAGGGCATATGGGCAGCAGCCCGTTTTAATAACAGGACCGAGGCTGTATCGTAGCCAAGACAAACCCACGGAGTGCCCCAAATCTTACATCATAGTTATTCAGCTCCTTATCTATTTTGAACTTCTAAAACAGCCACGGGCGGATTTATGGCGCGGACTAAGGCACGTGGTGCCAGCCTGGTTTTTGTGGCCAGCCTGATGATGAAGTCCCTACTATGCAACCCACTCCAGCCCAGAGCGCTACATGCTGCATGCAGCGCCACAGGGCTTGAATACGAGGAAAAGGATTGATAACCCTGGCACGTTTTCACAGATTTGGGGGCGGTCTGAAAGCAGGCTTAGTAGAACGCTCACTCGTGACAAAATTACGCAACCGCCTCAAGGCCCTCTGCGTTTGCCACCTGTAAACCCCTGCATCCACCACCAGCGAGAAAGTGCATAGTCTCAGCCTGATTTTCTACTTGATTCCATTCGACTCCGCGATGGCGACCACGACAGGGGTGCTATCTCCCGAAAGCCTCTGAACAAAATGTGCATTACCAGCCTCCATCCTCCGTCCGAGCCTCAACCTAAGCTGCCCAAAGTCACTCTTGCACGTTCCAATTCTAGGGCTTGGTTTTTTGAAAGGAAGGTCCCAGGATGGACTGGCTGACCCTAAATCCAGCCCGTCAATACTAGAATCTACCATGTTAAGCCAAAGTTGACTAGTGATACGTAGAATTGCACATCATGTGTACAGGCGACTGCCGGCCCGACCAAAGTGCAAATAGTCCTAAATTTAACCTGGACTTCAGCTTTTGTTTCGGTTCTCAAGGCTCGGGATAAGATGCCGGAGCGGTGTGCCTCTTGTCTCTGCCGCAGCGCAAGGCTCTACCCCTCGTCAAATTAGCGGTACGAGGAGAGAGGGCCTCAAGCCCTCCAATGTCCCACCGCATACCCTGCATACAGGGGAGAATCTTAAGGCTATCTGGCAGTCAGATATGGGGGCGAAATTCCGGCTCAGCTGCTGAGGAGGGGATGTTTACGCGTATCAAACCACCATCCAACGCTGCTCTTCTGCCATGGAATATGCAAGGCAACCGGCGTTGACAACCATTCGTCGACATTGCATTCCCTAGGTAGTGGTCCCACTTGTGGAATTTTATTCACCATATACCCTTGCATTTAGGCGTAGTGCTGCCCTCATGCCACCAAATGTTCCAAACTGCGATGACCTGGCTTGGCTGGGCAAACTGGCATTGAGTCTGGAGTCACAGAATACTAATTTCGCCTGATATTGAGTGAGGGAGTGAGCAGAGGACACTAAGAACACACAACCCGCCCAGAAACAGAGCTGTGATGACTGCGATAGTGTTGTGTCGGAAGGGTCGGAAAGGGTCAGGTTTGGGGTCCGGATAAATCGGACAGCTGGGCAAAATAGATAGCGTTTCCAGCTGATACCGTTTGATCAAATAGACCTTCAATAGGTCCCCAAAGAATAGGTTAAAAGACTGTCAATTAAGAAAGATGAGATGCTAGAAGGATGATGCTTGTGTTCTTGGCTGGAAGGTCCTGTCCGAGACCTTCCCAATTTATGGCCCCAGTAGGTCTGGCTACCGGTCCTACCCGATGCAGCATTTCCTGTTGAAGGAACCCACCAATCCTAGCCCTAGTGGCTGCAAGCATCCGATCAGATGACCTTTATCCCTAAAGACCGGAAAGCCCCGACTCAATATCCTACTATAAAGTATAGTACGGTCCTTTTGGAGTGGCCAAAAGTAGGATCTCTTTCCAGTAGCTCACGTCTGCATTAATCTGAGCCCCTGAAGATGTCTTCCGGAAGTTGCCAACTTACCACCCGAAGGCCCAAACCATGGAAGTTCCTTCTCGGTGCCCACATCCAACATACTATCAGCATCGCCATGACTTAACGGATTACCTCAGGCATAGCCACAGTACCACCAATGATGAATTGCTTGCTGGAGGACTCGAGTACGACATCTATCATCAGCATTTGGGCTGGGCCCTCAATTGCATGTCCTAAACCCCGCAAATGTTATTGTCAGCGAAGTTGTTATGCGACTAGCCTTGCTCTCTGCATTGCATATAGATGAGGTAATTGGGATTGTGCGTGGTTTGAAGCAGCATACGCCGGCCGAATATTCGCTTCTGACATGGTGAGGGTCAGTTTGTTGGATGATTCGGTCTTTAGTAAGTCACTGACTGAAGAGGCTGCCGAAGGTCTGTCTTCTGTTCACAGCCCCCGGATCAATATCTGTGGCTCGCGATCTCCCTGCTTCTTTCAGTCAGTTGATTGTAGCCAGTATTAGACCTCCCAATGAGAGACTTTGGCTTGATACCCTACGCTGAATAAAGCGAGGTACATGCGGTGACCATAGGGTTCAAGAGACATGCGATGAGTTCCTGGGGCAGTTCACTCTTTGTATTCGGCAGGCGTTACAATCTCTGAGTATTAACGCAAATCAACATGATTATACACTGCCCCCGAGTGGTTGGATAAGGTGTATCGCTTTCACGTTAAGTCTCAGTGGATCCATCGAATCATCGGGTAGAAAGGGACCGTTGTCGCTTTTGAAGATATTATCGGTACATGCTGGACGTAGATGAGAAGTCAAGTTGGTGCAGCGATTTACCCCAGTGGTGAATTCCTCGGCCATGGAGTCATTTAGAATCTAAATCGGCCTTGAGTCTATCCGAATGAGGCCCTAAACCAATCATGTCGAGGCTTACGGGATGATCGCAGATTCGCAGTCTCCGAACTTGAGCGATCAGGTCCACCTCATTGGCCGTCGGTTAAACATTATCGCCTACCAGGTCGGGTATCCTGTCAGTTAGCCAGATATTTATCGGATGTTAGCTGAAAAACTAATTCTAAGCTTGTTAAGCATGCTAGGAAAGTTGGATTACGACGTTAAGTCGGCTCGATTTCTTGATAGCTCAGTTCCTCCGTCCCCGACCCGGGTCAGACCCCCACTTAGTTCCCAAATACACCAAGATCGATGGCTCGGAAATGGGACCGGCCCTTGTGGTCCTCTCTCCCCTGGATGCACTGCTCATACGGGGTCTGAAGCTCAATGGAAGCGCCCGGGCCCACAACCCGTTGGATGGGTTCTCATGCTTTCTGGGTTGGCCACAGGCATTCGTCTTGGCAAAATCATGGATCAGGTCAGCATATCTGCTTTCTCAGCTTCATCCACGACCGAGTAACGTTTTAATCCAGCTCCATAACGGCACACATACTATTCTTGGCACCATCACAGTGGTACTGATGATTCTCCAGCCCATCCATGGGCATATCGCAAGACACAGAATCAGACTTGATGGACCATTTGGTATGGGCGTGTTTTAACATTTCTCGGCATCATTACTGGCGGATTGGGTCTCAAGCTGGCCGGAAACACTACATCGGGGAACATAGCCTACGGTACTATTGGAGGACTCGTCAGTCTGGCATATATCGGGGCCATTACATACATCGAACTCAGCTCATTGCGGACTAAGATGAAGGCATCTGACACAGAAGGAGTTGAGTTTCAAAATGGCTCAAACTAGGATGCCGGACTCAAAGTACACGGAGCTTTGGCTGATGCGCCATGATGGAAATGCATGGAGGAAATTGGTAGCAACATTTGAGTCAAGAGAAAATTGCGCACGGTCCATATAAATCTAATTTGAGCATTGCTTTTTAAATAACAATGGCAATGCTCTATGCGAAGGGTAAAAATGCCGGTCTCTAATACACCAGGGCTTCTCAAAGCCCTCAAACAATTGTTCAATCTTCTAATGCAATGCAACCACCTAACACCCCACCGTACAACCTCCAAGGGAACATGCTAGAACACACTTTCACTTCCTCTCTTAGCTCAACTGGGAGCTAACACAGCCTCAGTTAGAACCGAGCTTGAATCCACCCCAGTTCAGGCGGCGGAACACTCCAGCGGAATCGTACGCCTCCCGAACATCCCGAAGCCTTCTGACATTCTCGAGAGGGAAGCCGGGGAAGGGGTCCTGGAATTCTCCGGCATCGCCCATGTAAAGGAATTCCGATGCAAGACCCAAGGCTTGGTTTTCCGCGTGCCAGTAGTCAACAAACGAGCGGGCCCAGTTCGTCATGCGCAAGTCGTCGGTTGCCTTGCCCCAACCAGTTGAGAGTTGCCACACTGTTCACAAATGTTAACCTTGCACTTCGGATTGTACTAAACAAGTCGGGGGGTCATAGTGTCTACTCCCGGTGCGAAATGATGTGGGCGTGGGGTATACTCACGAATGTATGGCTCGTCATCTAGGAGGCCCCAGGTATTTCCAACCCCGTTGTTCTTTGCAACAGATGCAGCGCTGGCGGGGAGAACATTCATAACGAAGGTAGGATAAAGTCCCTCGACATCACTGATATCTTCCACAGCCTTCTTCCATGCCTGATAGATCCGGTACAACTGGGGCCCATCGGGCTTCATGGTCTTGTGGGCGAATTGCACGCTATACTTCAGTTAGTAGGTGCCCAAAGTACGTAGGAGACATCCTTAGATGTAACTTGACTTACCGAAACATTCGCAGTGGGGACTCAAGTTGGTCATGCCATTCAATGGGAGGCACCACTCTGTTCACTGTCGCCACCGATGGAATGGCAGAGAAGTTGGCAAAGCTCGAGGGAGGGGATTCCGTTCCTTCCTGGACGCCCAATAGCGACGGGGAAATCTCTCCCGCCGTGACGTTATAGGTGATGCTGATCACTGAGCCCGCTGCAATATCAGGGCTTTGGTGGCTGGCGATGTTGGCGGTGGCTTTGATGAAGTCCTCCACAGTTGACTCGTTGAACTGCTGGAGGGTCGTGCTGATGAGTGGGATGGGAAGCGCCTTGATTGTGAACTTGGTGACGACTCCAAAGTTGCTGCCGCCACCTTTCAAGCCCCAGAATAGTTCGGGGTTCTCGGTCGAATTGGCCACGACTTGGGTTCCATTGCCAAGGACAACGTCATAGCTTAGGATGTTGTCCATGGTCATACCGTACTTGTTGATCAGATAGTGGAATCCGCCGATGAGGCTAAGTCCAGGAACACCAATGGTCTTGAGACGGCCGCCAATGCAATACAGGCCGTGCGGTGCAAGAGCTTGGTAGACATCAACCCACCGTGTTCCAGGGCCGACGTCAACACTTCCTTTATCGTCCGCCACCGTGATGTCTGTAAGCTCGCTCAGAGCCATCAAGACTCCACCGTCAATGTTGTTCGATCCTGGGAACTGAAATCTGTGTCAGCATTGTGCCTAAGTCACTCGGCTTCCCGGGGACTCTTACGTTCATGTGTCCTCCTCCCCTAACGGCAAACTGAGAACCGCAAGAGCTGAAAATCGACAATGCGTCTGCGACCTGGTCGGCGTCTTTCGGGAGGAAAATGCATTTCGGAGATAGGTAGGAGCGGATATCCCAGACGGCTGTTGCCTCGGTGGTGTAGTTGGTGGAGTTGGAAGCAAGCACCGAGGTGCCATACTCAGCAGAAAGCTTGGAACAGGCACAACTAGCGCCAGTTTCCAAACTGACGGTAGGTATCTGGTCATAGGATGCGAGCGCAGCGCCTGAGAGGGCGGCCAAAAAGATTGCTGAGAACATGGTGTAGTTGGCTGAATGTCCAAAGCAGTGATGAGTGAGGGTAATATTCGCCAAAAGAAGGGGAAACAGGAAATCTTTTAAGGCCGAATGTTTCTTAGCATGTAACCTCTCATGTCCATCCCAATTTATCAAATACGTCTAGCGGTCTAAGAGTCTATGACGAAAACCTCGGTGGCTCAGAATGGTTGCCACAGTGCTACGTGGCACGGAGCTCACTGCCGGCGTCTATTCCCTTTCGGTCTCGCATTGCACAGACATTTCGAAGAGATCTCCATCTTTTCATCCTACTACGTAGTAGTTTCTGGGGGGCAAGGGCCGACTTGGCAGCTGCCGGCGGCATTGTAGACGGCATTGCAAGCATGGGATCTGGATATGCATGCAAGATCTAGATCTATCTTTAGGCATCGATGCAAAATCGCCGAGCCGGAGAAAATTACGCCACCCGTGTCAGTACCGGAACTCAATGCGCTCAAGGCTAACAATGAATGACGACGGGTCCTTTCATCAGCCATCAAATGCATGTTGTGGGCTACCAGACGGAGTCCAAACAACTAATTTCGGGCCCATCAGGCTTGGAAAGTTTAAAGTCGATGTCGGTTTCGCGGTCGGTTTCGGTTTCGCTCTCTGTTCACCAACACCTTAATAGAAACAGGATAAATAATTCCTAGCCACCCCAACTTGATCCTATCGAGAACAGATCCTCATTCATTCATTTCCCTCAAACCCTTGCCTGACCTCTTTCGATATGGGCACGTTTTGATGGATCATGCACTTGGTGACCAGTCAGTTACCCCTACCCCAGAGCTACCTCAATGTAGGGTCCAATCTCCCCGGGAATTGACCTCAGCTGTCAAAGCACCGAAACATGGGAGTTTAAGATGGATTTATTTATTGGAACTTCTTGATCATTTTGTTATTTCTCAAATGCGACCAGTTGAGGCCATGATTGATTTTTCCAAAGGGTTGGCGATGGACTCGCAGACGTGGGGTCGCAAGCCTCCGCGTGCCAAAACCCCACGTCCGTGCTCTTGCCTACGATGGAAGACGGGGAAGCCGAAATCCATCCTTTCTCCATTTACCACACGTTCAGTCACGTGGATACTCCAAACGCCCTCAGCCTCGTTGTGATTTCACTGCCTACCAGACTCAGGCGTTCTGTGCAGCGACCGCGCCCACCTGAACGTGTTTCAGCCACGAGGCGCAGAGAGAGCGCCGCATGTCCCCAAAAGCAGACAAGCGCTCAGTGATAGGCGCCAATCAGCGGCCGGGTCTCCATCCGTGGCTGAGCAAATGACGTGCGCCAAGAAGGGCGATGCTGAGAATGTCGCATCACCGTGAATCGCGATAATTGCCATTCCCTCGTTGTTTGCTTGTATATAATCCCTGGCCAAGAGGACACGAACTCTGTGCATCATCAAATACCACAATATTCTACCAGTTTCATATCCAAACACAAACCCCCTCTTCGTGCATCTTCGTATACACACCTCGATCTTCTCCCATACCCACCTCAATCTTCTCCGCATTTCCTCAAGATCTACAACCCACGCAGCTTTACCGCTAAAACCTACGCTCATTCAAGATGGGGAGCTCGCATTCCAAATTAACGACACCTCCGCAGATGTCGGTACAAACTGCCAGCCGAGGGTTCCCTAAAAGCTTTCGGCTGTCATACAAGAAGGCCCTTTCCCTCAAGATGGTAGTCCATCTTAGCGAACCCGACTCAGAGCCTCTATTTGCCTTCAGCTCACCAGATTCGTTCATGCAAATGGCTTTGATGCACGACGGCCCCACCACCGATGCCCCGCCGCTGGCCGCCCTCACGCAGGAGGGGAAAATGGGCATGGACTTTGCCATTCATCTCCCACCGATGGCGAGCGCAGGCTTTGCGGGCGGAAAAGAAATACTGCGATACCACGGTTCCTTGAAGAAGGAAACGTTCTGGTTCGGCATGCAAGTCGGAGAGGGCAACGGCCGACACCTCGAGAAGTTTGAGTGGCGCCGCTCACATGGGAGCGAGGTCAAGAGCGTCGGGCAATCGGGCTGGGGCTGGAAACTGGTGCGACTGGGCGGTGGCACGGCCGGAGAAGGCGGCGAAGACGGCGCTTCTGACCGCGGAGATGGCTTCACCAAGGACGGCAAGGAGATTGTCGCCGTGTGGGCAGACGGCAAGGCCTTCAAAAGCATGACAAACATCGGCGAGTTCCAGTTCCGGGGCAGCGGAGCCACGGGAGAGCTTGGCACGCTCTGGAGTCTGATGGCCATCATGAGTTATGTCTGCATTTACGTCCACGTCTCGCGGCAAAATGCTGCCGTTGCGGCGGCGTAAGGTCCGGGGAGCGAAGGGTTGCATCCATACTGCATGTGTCATAATTAGCGTTTTAATTTGAAGGGTCCTTGGGCGATCATTTCGAGATTGAGCTTCCCCTGGTTTTTAGCGACGTCATCCTTGTCCTGTGCCACTTGGGAATCGTTAGATAAGAAAATACCCCGACCTTTTTTTTTATACGAGCCTTTTGTGACATGTCCAAACATGATCGTATGTTCGTCACTAGAGCAAGTAACCAACCCGAAATCCTTCCTGTTCGGCTCCCCGTCTTGAAAATTCGAGGTCCGCTACCTTGAGATTCCTCCTTTGATTCCATTACATATTGGCAAAGGCTTACCTGAGCGACGTCATCCTACACCGGTATTTTCCCGCCCCCTCGTCAGTGGAACATTATACCACCTGATCTCATAAGGCTGGGGTCAATTGCGCATAAGCGCGGTATTTTTTCTCAGCCAAGAGTCAGTCCCCCATGTGCCAGCTCGGTACCGTTACCAGTTACGGTCATCTCAGCCGATGAGGAAGCTCGGCGGATGATTAGCCTGATCCTTGGCGAATCATACAAAACGAGGCCATGGCCATCCTGCGCCTGAGCCGAAACACTGTAATTCGCCCCTAGCCCTGCATTGTTAAGAAATATATTTTCTTGGCGTCCACAATGCCCACGACTACAGCCTACTTTGGCGAGTTGGTGACGAACCTCGGGCCCCTGACGACGACCTTCACAGCTCCGGCCTCATGCGCAACGGTAACAGATCATTTTTATTATGGAAAGGATAGTTCTCTTGGGATCATCTACGGACAGCCGACCTGTGGATTCAAAGACTACGGCGATTGCATCCCATCTGGCTCCGCCTATGACTCGCTTGCCGCAAATATGTATAAGTCGGCAACTCAACCCTTCGTCCATTATTACTCACCCGGGATAGTCTGCCCTTCGGGTTGGACTACGGCTGGGACTCTTGCCCATGCAAGCGGAACCGGTCCTGTTACTGGATCTGGTGTCTTTACTCAGGATCCATATCCTTATCAGATTGATAACCTCCCCGCCATACAACTACCCGAGGCAAAGGTTTGGTCAGAGGTGTTGGCTGAATCCGAAACTCTTGCGTTCTGCTGCCCTAGGTACATGATCCTTTTTAGCGGTCAGGTGTTGCAAAACGAAACTAACTAATTCCCAGCGGGTACTCTGGCTTTATCAACGGAGCTTGTTGGTCATCAGTTGGACCACGCGAGGAGCTTGGCTACTCTTCAATCTGCATGATTTACTATCCACCGGAAGCTCTCGTCACTATTGAAACTCTCGACGGATCTACCTGGACACCTGCACTGATCTCGTTGACTCCAGTAACAAATGACTGGGAAACCGAGACAGGTGTATTGGACGCCACGACGGGAACCTATTATGATAACGACTTGCAAATCCACACCATGATTCCTGCGGTACCGCTTGTATACCAAGCCACTGATGTCGCCGCGGCGGAAACCAGTGACGCCGGTAATAGTACCGACAGTGATGACGATAGTGCAGCCCCGAGAACTTTGGCTGGGCCTGCATCCCTACAGCTGCTCACCGTTTTGGCGAGTATGCTTGCTGGGGCCGGGCTGTTGGCACTTTGGTAAAATAAGAACTTCAGGGTGTTTCTAAGACCCTTGAATAGAGGTGGCTATTGCAGCGTACACTCTGTATGCTCAGTAGTTTGTGCAGCTTTAATCTTTGTAAAATAGAATAATAATTTGTCAAGGAGCAAATTCAAATGGTATTGCTCAAAATACAATACCCAAAGTTTGTGACTCTACGTCAGGCTTTACCTCTTACGTTATACTACCGCGATAAATTGGCCCTGTTTTTATGGACTAAAGTTGAGCTATATAAGGCTTAGATTTCCTAAATCATTAGGTATAAGAAAGCCCGAAGGTAATAAATGGGGGAAAGATTTAGGGCCAATTTACTGAGTCGATACGGTACAAAGAGGCGGGACCAGTACGATGAATGGGGCACAGCTTGTAGCCGCTCTCTGACAGCCCATTGGATTAAATCTACCCATCTGCTGGAGGGAGGATTTTGCTGAGGCATACACAAAGTAGAGCACTACGCCTACATACGTATGCTCCCAGCCGCTCGGTCTCAGACGGAAACCTATGGTAGGCCGGTTGAGGACGGCATTTCTCACACATGCCGGCCTACCTAGTACAAAGAACTGACCCGGGATCTGGATAGCTTAAGGGCACATGACGGAAGATGTGGCACCTCTTGCACTGGAATTGGATTGAGGGGTTCAATTATACCCCGACTCACACAATAACTTAAAGGGCAATTAGATCATCCGGCACATCAATGCAAGATCCGCTCGAACCTCCACAATGTGGATGCTCACGGGATCGCACTTGCATTGAGCCCCCTCGATCGAGACGAGCCGATCGCCGATGACTGGCGACGGGAACCAAGACATTCTCTGCCGCTGTGGGGATTGACAGGGGATCGCCATCTTGCCAACGTATCGGGTTGACGGATTATATTGACCAGATGCAGTGCTCGGTCGCACAGCTCCCGCCACACCGTCAGAATGCGTTCCGGGAGAGACAATTCGGTCCGGGAAATGGGAAGTGCGAGCTGAGGTTGGGTACAAATAAAGACCGACCGGCTCACTCACTCACCCTCACTTTTGCTCTCCATCCATTTCCTGCATCATACATCTAAATTGACATCTACCCAGTCAACCTTACCAATCCTATACACCCTCACAGAATCATGTACGCCACCAGAGTTCTCAACCTGCTCGTAGCCCTCGCGGCAGCCGGCACAGTCGCTGCCGAGTGCTACGACGAGAAACCAGCCCTCCACTGCTACAACGGCCCTGACGACACCCACCAAGACCTCACGGTCGAGGACATCACCTACATCGGCGATGCTCTCCGCGCCTACGGCCGCGAGATTGAGGGAGGTCGCTACTTCACCATGACGGCCCAGCACGCTCCCGACTGCGCTGAGTGGGTGCTCTTCACCCAGGGCTCGGTTGTCGCCCTTGCCAAGCACATTGGGTCCGACAAGGACTCGTCAGTCCTCTTCGAGGATATCGCCAACACCATTGATGGCGGCCAGGAGCGCGACCAGGTCGGTCCCGCCCTTATTCAGTGCTTGGGAGCTGGAGGGTCAGCAGGCGTCATCGTCAACGCATCGGACGCGGGTTATAACACCAAGGAGTACCTCGACAAGGGCTACACTCCCCAGGGAATTCTGATTAAGCTTGTTACCACTGAAACGGATGAGCTGTAAGGGCGTGGTATCATTTGGGATAAGATAATACACGAGTAAGATTAGACAGATGAAATACGGCATTTGCAATTGAATCACAACGCAAGGTCTTGTTGAGTTCTCTGCCATTCCTTGACTACTTTAATCCAACTGCCCCAAGTGACTTCTTCCATGAGAAGTACTCGATGAAACCAATCCTCCGCCCAGTGTCCAAATCGACCACCTCTAAGCAGAGGAAAAGTCCTTGTAGCCCACACCCTTGACAAATGCCTGCTGCCACGGCCCCTGCGACTCTCCCTCGGCAAGCTCCACATAGAACTTCCCGTGGGCTTCTCCATCCACAGAAAACGCAGCCGACCCATCAGGCTTGCGCTCGTCCGCATAATAGAACCTGCATCAGTTAGTTTCGGCTATTCAATGATGCTGGACGATGCCACGTACTTGTATCCTCGGTCCTTGTATGCCGCCGCGGCTGACTGGATAATGTGCGCTGTCGCCGACTTGCCGACGCCCAAATCGAGGAGCGGGCCCATCACAGTGGTGTTCAGGATGTTGCCGGTGTAGATGAAGGTCTTGGATGCGGAGCTGGGGAGCTTCGCGAAGCCAATGGCAGCCTGCTGCGCCGCGACGAAGGCGCTGGTCGTGTTGATGTTGAGATCCCGAGTGAAGTCGGCCAGCCCAAGCGCGAGCGGGTCATTGGGAGGGTTTGGCGTCACGGCGGCGACTATCCAACTGATTTTAGTACCTGCTCTCGAGAGTTTTATGCAGTATCTCTTACCATTGTGGACGACAACGCTCGGGTGATCACCCAGCTCTGTCTTGACCTTCGAAAAGGCACTGATGACGGCGTTTGGATCCGACAAGTCACTGGCGATGTTGAGTTGATCAGGAGTGCTGTCTGCTTCCTTTAGCTTTCTCGAGACAAGAGCGGCCTTGTAGCCCTTCGCAACAAAGGCCCGAGCTACATTCTGGCCAATGTTGGGCCCAGCACCGAGGATGAGAACGATGGGAGCGACAGCAGACATGGTGATTATTTTGAGCTGGTGATGTTGACGATGTGATTCGAAAGTGGATAGAATTATTATACACTATCGCGACGGAATCGTCCCTATATACAAGGCTGAAGATTGCTCTTATTCTATATACTCTGGATACTCTGCAGACCTGCTGCACCGTTGATAATCAGAGGTCGAAAGGTAAGGCTGGAGTGGATTTGTAATCCCAAACCCGCGCGCAAGGTGTGGAATCATGGTGTCCCTCTACGGACAACCGCGTGTGCGATTATCAATCTCGGTGCAATCGGCGAGGATGAACAAACAAGATTGGCTAGATTCAAGGCGGGGTAGCAGTTGTGCCCGTGATGGCCAGTTACGGGAAGACGCTATGCATCACAAGAGTATACCCAGCCAAGACGTCATTTCAGCCTCATCGGTGTTTGTGTAGTTGTACCTGCTCCACGAGGGGTCACCATATGGGATTTTAGATCGCTGTATTGAGTAATGAGAACAGTCGTCTCAAGGTGCATTCGCGAGTTGACTATGCCGTTGCCCTCATCGTTGCCCTATACGTTGGGCTCTGCTGTTACCCTACACGGCTCTCTTTGTGAAGCACTCTGGGACGATGTAGTGGCCGTCGCGCGCGGTAACTCTGTAAAGTGGGACGGCACAGCGCGCGCGGCTGTGGATGGTTGCAGTGGGTCGCGATCGTCGCAGGGACAGGCTTACCACGATGTTGATCCTGTACCCAGCGAGAAGAGGGACGTCGTTTACTCAGACATCTTGGGTATAATTATTTTCTTAAATGATGCTAAATAGGGTTTCAATGACAATTAATGAGACTGTAGATTATGTGCCGCGTTATCCTTCGACTAGATCAATGAGTGTCATTTTACTCATGCAGGCCGCATCGACTGCCACCTCTCAGCTACAAGTTCCTTTTCCTCTGGGGTTCCGTTTCTGAAGTCAGCAATGCCCTGTCTCAGCCGGATCAACAAGATCTCAGCCTTCAGCTTCGTAAGGTGGCGCCGCGAAATTTCCTTCTCGATTCCCTTGAGCGTGTAGCCCGGCATTCCGAACATTGCTGTCATCATGTAAGCATCATGTCTGTCCTCATGTTTCCTATAACAGATGTGTTTCCTGCTCGGGAACACAATGGGAAAGGAGCAGACTTACCAGCGCCGACGTTGTAAAATAGCCCGACACCACCGTTCCATACGCCTTTGCCAAAGCCTTTCGCACCTTCGGCCTTGGCGCCCTTGTAAGGTTTGGTAACGATTCCACTGAACGCATCCCAGAGCCCAAAGACGAGCTCCTTTCCTGATGCCCGCAGGCCGCTCCCGAGGCCGGTGATCTCATCACGTCTTCGCACCTCACTCGCGTTCAAAGTGTAAGAGGGGTAATTGTGGAAGCCGTTGGCGACGTTGTAGAACATCGCAACGGGGGCCTTCAGACCCGCCTTGGCCACATCGGCTGTGAATCGCCCCGTGGCGCGTGCGATGTAAAAGGCCTGACCGTGTCGACCCTCCTCCTGGGCTTTCCAGCTGGCCTTTCGCTTCTCATGCCTTGTGGGTGCTCTTTTAAGTCTCTCAGCAGGACTGTCACCGGGGCGGAACGACTTGTGGGCCATTTTGTGGGCCAAGGTTTCCATGTCCGTCGGTGTAAGGAGACTTGGGTCAGGGGGATCCGTGGGGTTGCGAACCAGGGCTTGGACTGGTTTCGTCGAACCGGTAATGGTTTCCTGGTCAACATCTGTGCTCGCAGTTATAGTGGTCTGGTCCTCGTCCCTCTCTGACGAGAGCGGTGCAGATGTTGTTTCTTTTGACGGCTTGGGCTTTTTTGACCGAGGTCTGTTCCTCAAGCGGGACGAGTAAGTGATACCCGCCGTACCTAGTGTCGTCACGAAATTTGAAGCCGCAGCCACCACACCAATGATGGGGTGCTCGGCCCCTTCGTCGACATACCAGTGCTTGTGTCGTAGGGGTTTGACGTCTCCCGGTTCAAGGAAGCCCTTTGCGACGAGACACGCTAGGGCAAAACCGCTGAGATGCGCCCCAGTTGCCCTGTGGCGCCAGATAGCGAGCCTCTCAGGACACATGTCGCACCGGAATACATCCAAGCCCAATTGCTCCTGGAAATCACCGGCTGTCTCACCTGCCCCGTCCTCGTCGGCAATGCGATCCGCCATCTCCTGCACCTTGCCCTGAATCTCTGGCTTCAGAGCAAAGGCGATGCTGTCGGCCAGTGACTCTGCCGTCATTTCCTTGAAGGGGACCGGGGTCGGACCGCCGCCCGCCCGTGCGATCATCTGGCCCCAGAAGGGCTGGTCGCCGAAGAAAGGAACGACAACCGTGGGCCGGCCAGCTGCAATGCCGGCGGCTGTTGTACCGGCGCCGCCATGATGGACAACAGCGGAGACGCGTTGGAAGAGCCAGTCGTGCGGGCAATTGCCAATGAAGTACACGTCATCAGAGATATCATAATCATCGCTGCCGCCAACGCCACCCCAGCCCTTGGAGATGATGGCACGTACGCCAGACATTTCAACGGCATCGAGAATGAGTTGAGTTAGCGCAATTGGGTCGTCGACGACGATGGATCCGAATCCGATGTATATCGGAGGAGGTCCACTTTCCAAGAACTCGACCAAATCCGGAGGTGGAGTATAAGAATTGGCCAGAGACAGAAAAGAAAAGCCGGTGATGTTGATATGAGACCCCCAGTCAGCCGGTTTCGGTATCAAGGACTGAGACCAGAGATAGCTGTACGGGACACGAAGTCGGGGTAGCAGCTGATATCCCCACAAAGGGCTGATGGGATCGAGATGTAAGATTTGGGTGCGAAATTTGTTAATTATGTCACCCAGCCTGTACGAATATCACCGGTCAGCATCTAACTTGAACGTATGTGGGGGGTAGATAACAGACCCTTGCCATGTCAGCAGCTCCATCATCATGAAGGACAAATAGTTGGCGACGGCGGCATCTGCGTCGCCGTAGGTCATGGCAGCCAAGGGATGCGAGAACTTCTCGGTCGGCGACCAGGGCATGGTGAAGACCATGTGAAGCGGGATGCCCAACTTCTCGGCGCAATGGATGTGCGCCATCGACGGCGGATTGGCGAGGATAGCGTCGGCTATGAAGAGATCCTCTGTCGCCTCTACTTTAGCGGCTGTCACTCGTTCTCCCATGCCGTTTCCAGCCTCGAGGCAACTCCGCCAGCAGCCGTAGATGATGTCCCACATCTCTTTGCGTCGTTTCCCAACGTCGCCGGCCTTGACGCTTTCGCGGTTGGGCAGCAACCCGGGGTTCTTGACCATGTAGGCCATCAGCGCCTCGGGATCGCCGCCGATGCTGAAGAACTCGAGGCCCTGGGACTCGACAAAGTCCTTGAAGACGGGGTGCGTGCAGATGCGCACCCGATGGCCGTACGGCGGGCTGGAGAGCAGCTGCGCGATGGGGATGAAGGGCTGCACATCGCCTCGTGACCCGACGATATGGATGGCGATGTTCAATCGCGGGCTCAACGTTGGCTTTGGCGGTTCTGGGACAACGACGCTGCTGAATCTCCTCGGCTTGGGACGCTCCAAGGGCACCGCAAGCGATCCTTGAGCCCGCCTGCACCATGCTGCCAGCGATTCTGGGCTTTCGTGGAACTGGACGTTGACGCGACCATCGGCGCCGACATTACCGGAGGTGACATGCTTGGTGTCGGAATCGCCGATTGTGAGGTTGCCCAGTCCATTGGACTTGGTGCGACTGAGGTCCATGGTGAATGAGTGTGACGATCAATCGATGTGAGGATGAAGGTGGACGCGATGGAGCCACGACAGCAGACGTCAGTGAGGGAAGGTTAACTCCGAGGATCAGCGACGTGAGGAGAAACAGGAGGGCAGAAATGACTGGAAGTCGGGGATAAGCGCGCCATGCAGTGGTGAGATTGAGTGCGGAGGTGATGGTTTAAAACGTCACAGCGCAGTCGCGGTGGTGGGCGCCCAGCTCTGATGAAGCATCACCCGCTCTCGCAGCAAAATCGTCGTCGCGCCAGGTACCGCCAGACAAGCCAGCAGAAGTCGAGCGCCTTTTGAATACGATCGTATTGCGATCAGCGCGTCTGTCACCTGCGATTGAGGAATTCTCGTCGGGGAGATTTGAGTTTAATTAGGTCGAACCGACCCGGTGTCGTGGCGACGGATTCGGCCCTGGTATTCCTGCAGCTATCGCTTTCGCTTCCACCGGAGCGGACTTTTACTGGACCCGACCCTCCGCCATCAGAAGCGCATTTCTCGTCTTTCTCTCGTCTTTCTCGTCTTCCGACAAGGCCGACGGCACGGCGACAACATCGACATTACATCATTTATTCGCCGACCCGTCGCCATGGCCGAGGCATCATCACCACCACCCAGCAGCAGCGGCCCTGGCATCGTCGGCCGCGTGCGGGGCGCGTCCATCTCGCTCATCAATGCGAATCCGCAGCTGGGCATGTGGCAGGCCACCGGCACCGCAATCGCCCAAGCACCCAATTTGACCGAGCTGCGAGACGCCGGATCGGGCGGCGATAACATCACCTTCGATGCGCAGGGCCATTCCACGCGCACCGCCGCTCCCGACGAGGATGGCGAATTGACCCTCGTCAAGACAAACACGCGCCGCCCGACTTTTACCACGCCCAATTTCGACAAAGATGCCACCCAAGAGCCCATCGTGATCCAGGAGGTCGACGAGTCTGCGCCGGAAATCGCCACCACCAGCGATAATCAGGACCACGTCCCCTGGAATCTGCGCGAGAAGCATCAGCGTCTGCGCCAGCGCCGCCACAGCCTCTACGAGCATCACAAGGGCGATGCGAAGGAAAAATGGGGACCGACCATTTTAAACGGATTGAAGGCCTTTTGGAAGTTCTTCACCACTCCATCCGGCTTTCTCATAACCATTTATGGCTTGAATATTGTCGTATGTGCCCCATTGGCTGTATCTTATAAATCACTAACGTAACTTAGGCATGGGGTGTAAGTTCATCTTATCGAAGCTCGCACATTGTGACGTAGGGCGGAGGCACGCCACAGCCTTTCGCCCACATCAACATGTCAGTACTCATCCATCCAAACAGTGTCTAACAATGTTCTCTTCCTCAGGCCATGCTCTTCTTTTTGCTTCTTGAAGCTGCTCCCGCCATGAATCACCCAAGCGCGAGTGCTGACAACTCGCCTCGCAAGATTTGGATAGAAATCGACAGCCAGATCCTAAATGCCCTCTTCTGCGTCACGGGATTTGGCCTGGCGCCTTGGCGCTTCCGCGATCTTTATCGATTTGTGCGTGCCGTACATTTCAAGGACCGCTCTTGCATGGATGAGTTGGCCGCACAGAACAAATCCTGGTTCCGTCCACCAGCCTGGGCAAGGAAAGAAGCAGCACAAGAAGCCACAGAAGGGACAGAAATATCAAGACCGCCCATTGTCCGCTCCTCAACCTTCACTGGGAAGTGTGCGCCTCCTACCCCCCTCTGGAAGCTAGGGTTTACCATTTGGATGATGGTTTTGAATACCCTGATTCAGGTTGCTCTGTGCTACTATATGTGGGCTTATAACCGAATTGACAGACCTGTGAGTAAGAGTCGCTTGACAGACTCCCCATGGCAAATTCAGAGGCCGCTTACTGACATATATCAACTAGACCTGGGCCACAGGTACATTTATTGCCTTGGGCTGTGCCGTGGCAATGTTTGCGGGTATAATGTCATGGTGGGAGGGACGGAAGGTCAAGAAAATCGAGGGACCGCAGGTGAAGGTTGTTGCCGAAGAAGTATAGGAAAAGCAGGAAACTCGGAGAAGATGTCTATTCAATACCCGAAATTAAGGCTGCTTGAATATAAGCCAAACGTCCAGTCTTTGTAAATATGCAGTGACAAGTCTCTCCTGAGTTGTTTATATGCCAAGACGAGTGGCACATCACTGGCCAAAAATGATCCTTTAAACCTTCAGTTACCTGCCGCACAGATGATCTGCGACCGTGCTAAATCACTGGATTGGGTAGAGGCATGCACTGCTTGTGTCATATCAGGTCACTTGGTGTGGCTGCTTGGGCTGCCTCGCCCAGTTAGCTACGCCTTGCTGCCTGATGCGCCTTGCCCTTACTGCGCCACGCTGCCAATACTCAATCGTAGTCACCCCTCTGCGCATTTTATTTGTATTTTCCTCATGCTCAGAGTTTTACGGCTCGTGAACCCTTGCGCACATTCCTGGCTTTCCTTGCGATGGAGTTGCTCGGCGCGGTGGCCAGTGGTGTGACCCTCGCCGCGTTATTCAAGTACGCATTCGAAGCCTTGGACCTCATTCAACTCTACCAGACACAAGATGTGGACTTCAACAAGCTGCAGCTCCAGTTCCGGCTTGAAAAATGCCGGCTCTACAATTGGGGCATGGAAATGGGTCTGGCGAACAACTCGAGACCGAATCTTTTGAACGATTGGCATCACAAAGATGTTGTCACCGACTGCTTGCGACATATTGTGCGCTTACTGTCCGACGCCGAGAGCATTCACGACAAATACGGGTGTGTTGAAGTGACACCGTCAACAGAATTGCTCATCGAACGAGGGCCTCAGTATTCACGCAGCATCGCCGCAGTGTTTGATAACTTCAAGATTCAATCCTCGAGGTTCGAGAAGAGCCGAGCGACAGTACATCGAAAATCGAGATGGATCGTCCGGGACCGGAAGAAGTTCATCCTATTGATCGAGGAAGTCCGCAGCCTAATAGACAGTCTTCAGAACATCACAAACGAGTTATCCAGTACTGCAAGGCTGGAGGAGGCGCTCCGCTCCCGAATCGGCGGTATTCCAGACGTTGAAACACTTTTGATGATCGCCTCCGTCTGGAAGGAATCCCATCCTTGCATAGCCTCTACAGCGTCCACAAAGGCTGAGTCTCTCTCAATGAGCTCTGGGCAAAATATGGATATCTCAGAGTGGCAGTCTTTTATTGGTAGCGAAGATTCCGATGAAACGCTTGTTGGAAATCTAGAGGATCTCACCATAACGGAGCTGAAACACTCCGTTCTGCAGTCAAGGGAAGAAATTGCAAGCCTGAAAAAGATGATAGACGAGGGGGCGAAAAGAATGACTATTTTGGAGAGAGGAATTACTGAAGGACAGGTCTTAGTAATAAAGGAAGTTTTCAGAGAAATGAGGTTGCGGAAGTCCGTCACGGTCCAGACGCTGGGTTCGCTCCCTGGGATTATTATTATTGTAAGTGATGGAAATGACCTGACAGAGGCATAATTTCTCTTGGCTAACACAGTGCTAGACCCTTATTAGCTCTGATTTAGAGATGGTGTCAGTGTGGGGGTTGATTTATGCCAGCTGGTTCCCACTAATGGTATATGCGGCGGTCTGGTTTTCAGGGTATAGCTTTGCAAGACGCCGATGGAAGAGCGGAGGAAGGGCGTTGGAGCTTGCCACATGTTGAACTACAGCCGGATCCGCTGCATCCGACAAGTCAGAGTCTCTAAGAATCAGTAGTTTCTATTGTGGAAGCTTAGGGACTGTTAAGAGGTCAAGACCAGTGGCTTGTGTCACGTGTGACTAAGGTATTCCCTTGCCTTTATTAGCTGCGGGGCCGGCTTGTCTCCCAGACCACACTTTGACAGGACATCCTGCTCACCCGGGAGCTCACCCCGTTCACCCATATCGCGCGATTGGCCGAAAAGGGTGAGCAAACCGTATATTCTCATTGCAGTCTCCATCTACGTCTCTGCCTAGCCATGAATTTACTCCGAAAGGCAATAGATACAGCCGCCACTATTGGCCGAGTAGCGGACACATACACCACACGGCCACTCCGTCTCGTGTGCCCGGTTTGCAACAACCTTAGTCCGCATGGCCATTTCGAGAGTTCCGACAAGTCCCTTGGCTTCTTCGATAACTCAACTATAGAGCAGCGGCAAGCGGTACACTCTGGGGCGGTCTGGCTGTTTCTGGATGTCGAGGTCAAGAAGGTATTGAGAGCGGCAAAGGGATACGCCCGTTCTGTTCCATCTTGTCTATACTGCATCTTGCTGCTCAACACACTCAAGCACTACTTTCCAGAATGGTAAAGGGACCCTAGCACAACAAAATCAACAACTTTAGTCCATGGAAATAACCATACGTGTTCATAGGTTTTCCAATGATGTGGCCGAAGAGGACGAGGAAGTCTCCAGCTCCCAGTTTGATTATGGCCTAACCTCCGACGGCGAGACAGAAATATCCTTGCTGCTCGTTCAAGGCCAGCCTATTATAGTTCGAACATATGCTTGGTCTTCCCAAATGGGTTCTTACGTTTTCTCTTTTGAGATACAAGAGATGCAAGGTAAATTGTCCGAACAGCCAACGTATTGGTCATTTCTGAGAAACTAAGACTCCCTAGGACATACAGAGAACCCACATCGTCTTATGCCAAATTGTGGCAGTTTCACAGACCGTAGTACCCGATCTGATGATACGGAGGTTTGGGAATTCATTCATGGCCGTGTCCAAGAGTGCAATGATCAGCATGTCTCTTGTCAAGCATCCAAAGCACCAGGACCCCTCCCGAAGAGGTTATTAGATATTGGATCGGAGTCTGCCTCGCCCAGACTACATGAAACAAGCAATGGGCAAAAAGACGTCTATATTGCACTCAGTCACTGCTGGGGTCAAGATAACCCACTTCGGACCTTGACTAGTAACCTGGAACAAATGAAATCTGGAATCAACTTCGAGGATCTAAACGACATATTCAAGGATGCTATCACGACCACAAGAAATCTGGGTATCCGCTACATCTGGATAGACTCATTGTGCATCATTCAGGATATGTGGGAGGATTGGGACGAGCAAGCCTCGCAGATGGCTCACATATATGAGCGTGCCTACGCCACTATTGTGTCTGGATCCTCGCCTGGACCTAGCACGCCGTTCTTGAATGAAAGAGATGCATCCTGGCAAAGTTGGAGCCTGAGACTTGGCTCTGGTGATAATACGCATCAATTTCACATTCGTCGGAAGGTCTTGCCCGTCATCGAGATCGCTACCCGAGCTAGCTATGCATCTGCCGACTGGATTGAACGTGCCGCACAGAGCTCATCTCGTTCAGCCCTCAATTATATATGGGACGGTCATCTCTACACACGTGCCTGGTGCTTCCAGGAACAACTGTTGGCCAAGAGGTTGATCCATTTCGCCCCCGGAGCAATAATTTGGGAATGCCAGGTACACAGAGTAGTGGAAGCAGAAGAGCCCGTGCCGAAAGAGCTGGACGACACGACGGCAGATCCTCAAGCCAACACATCTCGCGCATCTAGGGAAGTTGATCATACGAAGGAATGGCACAACGATGTCACGAATTACAGTCGCCGAAACCTGACTTTCGCTACCGATCGCCTCGTTGCCCTTTCTGGAGTTGCAACATCTAGGGCTCGGAAGACAGGCGATCGCTATCTGGCAGGATTGTGGGAGTCTTCTTTATTCTGGGACTTGCTTTGGCACACAAGGCCAGGAATTGATATGCCCGTGCCTGAGCGATCCATCGCCCCTTCGTGGTCATGGGCAAGCGTCGGGGGGCCAGTCTTGTGGAATTCACATGCGCCGAGCAATATTATGGCTACCTACGCATCAGCCATACGTGCTGAGACCACACCCAAGTCTACCGTCAGTCCGTTCGGAGACGTTGACGATACTGCTTTCGTGGTAGTGCGAGGGCTTGCAGTCGAGGCCCGTATTACGATGGACGAGAAGATGGCCGAGTGTGGAGATGCTCGCATAGTCGGCAGTTGGGAGAAAGAAGGTTCGGGCCACTTCTTTCTTCCCGATGTCCGGTTATACGAGGCAGATGGCCTGCTCGAAGGTGGAGAGACTGTGAAAACATTCAGGGGGGCTGAGTCTGGAGAAGAGTATGATCGGTATGAAGGCACAGAGGAGGGGTATCTTTGCTATGACATGGAAGTAACGATTCTATGTTTTCTACGCACCAAGGCGTTAGACGTCGTTGGCTTGGTTCTTGGAAGATCGACCACGGTTCCGGGAGCATACGTCAGGCTCGCTCCGGTGTGGAAACTCCCCGCTTCATACGCAAAGAGGGGAGTAGAAAAAACGATCACTATTGTCTGATATCGTCTGAGTCAAGCCGAGGGCAATGCAGTCATGGGCCCATACTTGTCACGTTTGGTAGAGATGGCGCTAGACGTGAAGAAAAGAAATACATCAATTGGAGTTTGCTGCGGACCTGGTACGAATACCAGAGTACATTAAGACAACAGAAATCCTAGTCACAATCTTGTACTTGATCTCTGTGTCCAGCTCTCACAGTCGCAGATAGTTGTTTCATAAGCGAGCTACCCACCTGGAGCTCAGGAAGGGTCAATCATGTGCTGGCAGGTAACTTATATCGTGCAACTAACACGACTGAGACTATAATTAGTCATATGATAAACATCAATGGTCCTGAGATGGCTCATTTCTTTCTCCAGTTTAACGGGTGAACTTCAAGGTCGTGTTGGCAGTTGGTATTCCAATGCACTGCCATGGCCTCGATCACTCGCCCACGAAAGTGTATCGAGTTCGGAGGCCACCTGCCTGACAACTATAGGTCTTAATTTGGGCTCATTGGCTGCTAAATCTGCCTGACAGATGTGTCACTTCCACCGACGTCACATGTGCTAATACAATACGGCCTCAGCTGTGGGCTTAGCGTGTCGGTGTGATCCCCTCGTTATGCTGTATGACCAAGTCCCTCGTACCAGAAGAAGCCACGAAAAAATGGAGAATCAGGCGCCCAGTGAGGAGATTCTGCTGGGTGCTGGGGTCAGAGCCTGACTTTAAGCCCTACATGGGGGCCAAAACCTGGCTTTACGCTGTGGCGGTTAAGGGCAGTAGATAAGGGCGTGTTTCCCAAAGAGTCAAGACCGCCTTACGAGGCAGAAACAGGATCGGCGAATAACGGGAGGGCCCATGGAGTGATCAAATTGCATTATTGGACCAGGGATCACGCTGCAAGCGCCAACGGGGCGGAGCGTGTGGACGCCGGGCTGGGATATCCAGGCCAAGACATTGTGGCGTCCACGTGAAGCGACCCTCGGGATTACAATTCGAATCCCGCGATTCCTTTTCTATTTACCTTCCCCGCTCGATGTTCACCGGTTCCCTCCCACTCTGCGAACGCGATAACAACAATCCCCCACCACCGTCGCTCCTGCACGCTGACCTCACACGTAGCCAAATAGCCAGGACGAGATATTATCATCAAGTGTCTTTCAATCAATTCATCTCCAGAACGAGAATGTTCAGTACTCAGGACAGTCCTGTTGTCGTTCTTGACATGAAACACCATACCTTCACGTCACTGGATTTCACCAAGATCAAAGGTTAGAATCTTTCCACGTTCTATTAAGACAGCAAGACTCTGACCATTAATATTCGCAGACAAGCCGCACCAAATAGTCAAAATCCCCCGATGGAAGAACAGTGTCCCCGTCTATTTGCCCGGGCCAGCGAGTCAACAAGAGGAGTACGTCGCAACAGTCAATTTCCGTCACTTGGGGTTTGGATATAATGTCCAGCGAGCCCTCGGAGCCAACCAGCAGCTCTACGTTCTCACTGCATGAACATGATCATACTTGATCAGTGATGGGGACCTAATTTCTCTTTGCGTCGGCCCAAGAAACGATTGGCATTAGGCACTTTACAAAGAATTAGAATCGCTTCCTATAGTCTCAATAGATTGAACAATTGAATTTATGTATCACGGGTGGCCAAATTCTCCCATCATCGGATCGCCGAACCCCTTCATGATCTAGCACTGTTCAACTTCTTCCTCTAATTGTACATGCGGTGAGAAAGTAGCAGTGCCTAGTTGCCAAGCCGTAGGACTGACGGAAAACAGCCCCGGAATCCCCCCATGCGATATTCGATTCCGGTATCTCAGCCATGCTAATCATACAGCCTTTTGGATTGAGTAATTACACTTCCAAGCGATTGCACATTGCCCCTGCCTCCCCACCTTTCAACATGTGTGTTTGGGGGCCATTTAAGACACCCACACCGGTATATCATGGGGGCGCTTTTTCTTCCCGAGACCCAATCAGGGCTAAATAACGCACACACTGGTGGGAGTTCAGCTGGCACCTATTCCAAAAAAGTCGCCCCCTTCCCTGGAGCCCGTTCTGCCTGCGGCCGACCACCATCCTGGTTATTTATGGAGGGCTACATGTTTCGGAACCGGCACAGAGGTGCCACACGACGATAATTGTTCCCAAGGCATCCAATCACAGCTAAGAATAACAGAAAGCCGAAATGAGACACCTGACACAACAGAACGCCTGTGGCTTTTGACTAACCTGAACTGAACGAAATGGATGTGTGAGCTCGACAATGTCATTTTATTACAGGAACCGTTATTTGTGATAACGCGGACGTGTAATATGTGTATTCTGCCAAAGGGATAGAAAGAATCCCGGGAACTCAAATAGTTGTTTCTTTACTATGGTTCCTCTCTCCGCCATACATTGCCTACCGCCCTCTGAAACTCGCAGGCGATTAACAGGCTGTCTGGTTGCCACTCCCTCAAGCGCCACAGCGGCACATCTTACAGTGGACGAATTACGGCAGGTGTCAATCCAAGTTGGTTCATTGTCAGCATCAGGCTGCGGCGTGCGCGCCAAAATGCAGCCAAGGGGGCATGGCATGGAGGCCGCGCCCCAGCCTCGTTTTTCTTTTTGCGAACATAAGAAGGCTCTCGTCCAGTGGCGGACATGATTTTCTGCAATCTCTTTTTAATGGCCTCCACTCTCATCCTCCCTCGGGGCTTATTCACTTCTGGCCTTATTGGCAATCTTTGCTCAGTAGGGATTGTACCTCCCGTCACCTCCGGAGCACACCATTATCCATCGGCACCATGAACACCTTCTTGTCAGCTAATAGGTCTGCCAGTGGGGAGTCTCGTAGCCAAGAGTACCACAGTCAGCATTCTGATAACCAGGGCTCCGGTAGCGAGCTCACGCTTCCTGTTCCACTTCGGGGCTATGCAGATAATTCCGATGACGAAGGGGTGTGGGCGCGAAAAACTATTCTTTCTTTTGGTATGTTCAGGGTCCCTTAAAACTTCTTCACGGCCATTGTTAATCAATTTCATGCCATTTCCTCAGACGGTGGGGGCGTTCGAGGATTCTCAAGTCTATTGATCGTCAAGCGATTAATGACTAGAATCCGAGATATCGAGTCACACCATCTAGAAGGCCCAGTACACTCTAGTGTATCGTATCCATGGATGGGAAGTGATCTACGTGACGCAGCTGGAGTTGACGAGCCGCCAAATCTATCCGACCGCGTCGATGATTTTCTTCCTTGCCATTATTTCGATTACATGGTTGGAACTTCAACTGGAGGGTACGTAACGAAATCTTAAAACAAAACAGGAGCTAAAATTAAGATATAGGCTGGCTGCTATTATGTTAGGCAGATTACGCATGACAGTGGATGAGGCACTAGATCAATATGCGGAGTTTGGCAACAAAGTCTTTGGAAAGCCAAGATGGTTCCATGAGCGCTCTCTCCTCTGGTACCCTAGAGCCAAGTTCTCATGCCGTAAGACTCGGGATGCATTCAAGAGCGTCGTTTATAGAAGCATCGTGAGCCAGCGAGATAACATCCAAGACTACGAAGCTTCAGCTGCAGCGTCGGCTGAGCCATTCAAATACCGTGAAGATCGTACTCGGACGTAAGGAGCATTTTCCCATCCTTTTTCTCAAGACCCCGAGGGCTTTCCAACTAATTGGTGCTTATAGCATGGTCATGTCATTCTGTATTGACCGGGAGGCTGGCATTTCGTGTCCATACATGTGGAGGAGCTACGACCACCAGTTCGACCCAGAGACAAGAGATTCCAATCAATGGAACCCCCTAAATCCCGATTCCGCTCATACGGAGAAGATTTGGCAAGTTGCTCGCGCGACCTCTGCTGCACCAAGATATTTCGAATGTATCAAGATTGGGAAAAAGAAATTCTTGGACGGCGGTTTGTCTGCGAACAATCCCTCGTTGGCCGCACTAAGGGAAATCAAGTCGCAACATCAGAGTATCCCTGCTTTATTCCTAAGTGTGGGGACTGGAAAGAAGCGCGCCAACTGCAAGAGAGTTCATACACCAAGAGACGATATTGGAGAGGTACTTCGAGAATTCGGAAGGTCCGAGACAATCGACAATGTCAGGCGAAAACAATTCATCAAGAAATATCTCGAGATTGGACGTCATGCAAAGGATAATTTGATCGATACTGAAGGAGACAACGGTGTGAATGGGTGGCGATCACACGCCCAGGCTATGGGACTAAAGGAGACGTTCAGGCTCAACGTCGAAGATGATCTGTTCCAGGTTTCCCTCGATGATTGGCGCCCAGCAAATACAGGACAGACAACCCTCGAAAATATCAGAAACCAAACTGATGCCTACCTGCAAAAAGAATCTGTTATAAAGCACATTGATTCGATTGCACGTCAAGTTGTTGACATCCGGCGGGCCCGGGCGCATACAGAGCGATGGGAGTTATTTGCGGTGGACGTGGACTACTATTGTCGAGATGGAAAATGCGCGGTCGCAACCCACTACTCTTCTCGTGATAGGTTGAGGAACCATCTCGAAAAAAGCACCAAACATCGTGGGATGAGCCCTGAAGAAGTCGAAGCCTCACTCAATTCCGGTCGAGTAGTCAAAGTTCGAAAGCCCATCAACACAGGTATTTGAGAGGCACTTCGCTGTTGAACCACAAGGAACCCCCTGGTAGGGTTTTTATGGCATCTTCTTAGACTGGATAAGGCTATTAAGGGAGCGGAGAGTTAGCATGGAGAAAATAGTGTACGGATAGGCATTTCTTAGTAGTGTTCAAGTTGCGGATCAGAGGTTATGTCACCACCCCAAGGTTTCCATTTCCGACTACGATCACCTAAACTGATTTTTTACCCGCTACCTTCGTATTTTCCAAAAGTCATTTAATATGAAAGCTTAGACATGTTGCTAAAAGTGATCTAGACAGTGCGAGGTTGCTTAAGTCCAATACCACAAGGCGAATGGAGAACGTCTCGCCAATATCACCAATTTGAACGGGGGCGATAGATAATTTCCAAGTGCACGGAAAGAATTCCCCATGAAGTACAAGATAGAATTTCACAATTTGAAATGGTCCATTGCCTAGGCCCCAAGCCTGAGGCTTTGTTGAAAAGTCAGAATGGAGCCAAGAGCAAAGCCAAGAAAAAAGAAAAGCCTGGGTTTTCAAATGTTCCAATATCTCAATTGATGAACAATCTCCCCTGAATCGAACATTTTGTATCGATCCAGCGACAAAGCTGAAACCACATATTCTTAACTGCTCGAGATCTGGTTGATAAGGAATCTGGGAGCCGCAACCGCTGCATCATCCACGTAAAGAAAGTGGGCAGGCAGGATGAACAGTGTACCATAGCAAACAGCATCCGCTGCTTCACAGTAAACCTTGGTTCTGGACGTGGGGTAGTTGGGAATGCGGCCGAGGTTTTGGAGGTTTTTGGTGTATCCGAAGAGAACAGCACCCTTAACTTGGGCCTGGATTGTGGAGCTGAGCTCCGAAAGAGCGTTGCCTACCACAGCCGTACCTTGGCTATGAAATGTGTGAGCTAGGTGGTATATAATGGCAGAGGTGGTGCTTACCTATATCCACCTGTCACAACAGGGGTATTAGGACATTTGGTGTTAGCTAGGGTAAAGAGCCTCTTAGCTTCATTAATGGAGGCCTGGTTCGTTCCCTGAGGAAGGAAATTCGGGCTCAATGCACCAGTGTATGCGCCACCGACGCCCTGGATCCAGATTCCGTTGCCATACTTGTCTTCAAGAGCGCTCGCAAGAACAGGACCAGCACTTGTTCCCTATATAAGTCAATACGTGGAAATATCTCATGCATGACAAACTCCCGCTTCTTACCATGTTTCCTGCCTCAGTAGACCCGCGAGCGAAGATCAAGATAGCTTTAGGGCAAGCAGAAGAACTTCCGCTCTCCAGATCATTTCTGGAGCTCAGCTGACGTGCTTCGATCGAAACCGGCACTTCGCCTCTGGCGACTGGTGCGTTCTCATCCACTCTGACAGCAGGTAGACCAGCTGCAAGAGTAGCTGCGAAAGCGACGATACCAATGAACTTCATGTTGGAAAATTTGTGTTGGACAAAGAGTTCTTGACAGGAGAGATTGGCTCGGAAGCTGCAAAGACTGAGAGAGTGAAGAATGCTTGGTTTGATAGAGAATATGAATTTGTCTGTACGAGCAATTCTCTAGTATATATATTTCTTCGCAACTAAGAAACAACTCATATTATACTCAGATGGCATCGCCGCCGCTTTCCGTCCTGCAAAGTCTCTACATTCACGACTCTAGCGCCTGTAACCAACCAATCGCATCTTGTATTGAATTATGCCAAGATTAAGTGCTCATTTTAGTCAAGGTCATCTGCGACGAGATGATGCTCTCGTGAGCAGGCCTCTGGCAAGAGTGTGGCTCCAACACATCGTTTTCGCAAGAGAATATCGAAATAGGAAATTCTGCTTCAAACCTCCGTAGGCGTGTGTTGCGAACTTCAGCAGTACAATGCGGGGCAGAGAGGCTAGCATAAGGGGCTCGCCAAGATGCCTCGGTTCATTTCTTCAATTCATGACGCTAAACTTCTTCAAACTGCGGAGGATCATTTCAATCATCCCAACTTGAACATGCCACCTTCATGTATCCCCGCCAATTGCCTAGTGATGTGTCGCAGCTTAGTTAGTGACAGCGGGCGGCTGGCCGGATCCTGTGAAACTTCACTAGTAACAGCCAATGTAAGTTGACAATGACGTCGTATTTCAGGCAAGCTGTAGTGTACTGGCCCTTGGGATGCTGTAACCAGAGAATAGTACTTGCTTTACTCGTACTTCCCCGGTCGCCGGTGAATGTTTACTTTGTCCAAGCCAAGACTTGTAAATGCTCCTCCGGATGCACAATGAAGTAGAGTGGACAAATCAGACACACTAGTGCACACGTCGGAAGCCGAAATGCGGGGATGGCATCGATACGAGGAGCAAAAGATGCCTCGGCACTCGGCACCTTTTGTTGCTTTTGCACTAAACTTTCTTCTATACAAGCTTAAAGTAGAGTGGGACTAGAACTGCCAACTAGGTCTCTCAACCAAGGCGGTAGACCTCGCGGCCAAGGGAATTAACCGCCTACTGATTCTCGCAGGAGTCGTTGGAGTCTCCAGCTAGGCAGAAAGTGCTTCCTTGCCCACCAAGGAAGTAGATTGGTGACTCCGAAAGGAGGGGCTCGATGAGGACATTGAACTGAAATTCTTCCTCCAATCGATTCAAGTTCCAATACGGCTAAACGTCAAGGAGAGGCGAATCTATGTTTCCAAGCAGTCTTGGGCCGAGGTTCATAGCCGTCGATTACTAGTGATCCCTCCAAAGGCGTTTCACTTCGCTTGTGTCCTGTTTCTTCTTTCATCTCTTTTATTCTCACTAATATGACGAGCAAGTCATCAGGCTAGACTCCTCCCCCTCCCCTACAAAAAGTGCTCTCCAGTATCAAGAGATCTACCATTCCATGATGTTGTAACCTAAGGAGAGAATTCCCAAGTTTATTCAAGCTATTCGTTCTTCATTGAATTATGGAATAGCGGGGCTGGATCTCGCCGTCCAGAAAGCTAAGCAGGGTATGCAAGCAAGAAATCATCGGAAATCATAAGCCAGTAGTCGTCGTTCCCCTCACACTGCAGGATCCCGTGTGATAAACAATATTATAGAGAAAACTTATACTCTCAAATCTGTCCCGACAATTACCGAAGTTGGTCGCCTGCATGCGGGGCTTCTCAGGCCGTCAACGTACAAGCTGAGGTGGCCGTAATTTTCCTGGAAGACAATAAAGATTAAATGGCACCACAACCGGCACAGTTTTGAAATGTAACCTCTCCATGTCCAGGGCCTGCGGTCTGTGGCTTACAACCCTTCACGTGGGTGGGGTCATGGGAACCGGAGAGAGCCGTATCACGCGGCGATAGTGTTGCCTCAAGTATCCAATACTTCTTCACAACAAAATAAGGCTGGCGATATGGAAAAAATAGTAAGCCTCAACGTCACACTAAAGGGCCACCTGAGCCTCTGGTAGGGTAACACATCATATTAGTACCTCTAGTGCAAGAAGGGTCATCATGCATCAGCTAGAAATGAGGCGCGTCGATTGAAGCCTACAATTTGTCGCATTTTCATTCGTCTTGAAGACGTCAGAGGCGCTTAGAGGATAGATTCTAGACTCTTATTTTCTATGGCCTCATAGGACTAGATCAAGGATTTCACCTTTTCGTCCTTCAGCTCCGCAGCGAGCCGGAACCGCAGCTCCGTGTGGGGCCGGAGGGACCCGGAGGTTACCGCGCACCGCTCTCATTTTCACGATCGTCTTCATCTATAATGCTGGCCCCTAGACCATCGTTACATACGAAAAATTCAAAGGCCGTTTACTCTTCGGATCCTCATTTCCACCCCTTGATACAACACGACACAGTTTGTTGAATAACACAAACAGGAGGCTATGCGCTTATGGTTTCACTTTACGGCTTCAATTGCAGGCACGGCTGATATTTGTACCATTTCTTGGCATTATTAAACAGCCCTAGAACATGTTTGTGATGAGCGCCAAGTGATTATCTTCGGGCTTTACTTGTCTTATGCTTGCAGCTATGCACTGCCTCTGACAGATTGAAATGATGCTGTTCAGCTGTGACCTCTGCAAATGTCACACTCGCATGTTCTAGAAATAGACGCATGATGCATGTATTAAAGTGCACATGAATTGATAATTTAATAACCCAGCTGACCACCCACACGAACATGGTAGACGTCTGCCAGCTGATTAACTTGCGATACACCAGAGGCAATTGTGCCAGTAAGGCTGGATCCGGTCTTTCGGCTGAGAAGAATGACCATCAGAAATTCGGTATTCAAACTGGAAGGGACTTAAATACTAAAAATAACGTCGCTGCCTAATTTGTTTTGTTCCATTGCAACCATTTTCAACCCCACCGCAACCTAGTACCCTGTACTTGGTTCCGAATATCGCTCATGTTTGGTGACGGGTACCATTATCTAGCCCAAACCCATTTATTGGTTCGCTCTTTTCGTATTTAGTTTCAGCCTCAGAGTGCCAAGGCGCCAGCCTGCTTCTCAACGTTGACTTCTATTTGCTGCCTTCTCTTCCTGCGCGCATCAGCACACCCAGTTTTTGGTCAGCTGGGAAGCCGTTATCTTTAAAGAGCAAGGGTCTGTTGCATTTCTAGGCTTAGCTCGAGGGGAAAATCCTGCAGCAGACCCGCTAAGCACAAAGCGCTGGCGATATTCTGGGATTTGCTTGGGTTAATGGCGAGGTTTTGGCCCAGGTTTTAGCCCCCAATGCGCTAAGGAATCCTACCACCTTGAATGCAAGCATAGCACTCTTTAAAGCACGTCTGTCCAGCTACGCGGAGCTTGAGCATTCTGTCTTCATTTAAATCGTTTGCATTTAAATACCTCTGCCATTCAACATTCGCGGCTCGCATGTCTTTCGAAATGGAGACGCCCATATTGGGCCGGAAATCCAACACCACCATATCAGCCTCGGAGTATTCGCCACCAGTAAAACCAACTAAGGTTGTTCAGGGAAAATTAAGAGGGCTGTCGACTTCTATAGTCCATATTATACCCTTGATTTTGACCGGCCTCCTTCTCTATCTCAACTTTGCTGGTGTTTACTGGTTCCGAGTTGGCGGGATCGGCAGAGGCTTATTCCATGTATCACCAAGCGACATCATCAATTCACTCCAGCTCGCAGCAAAGCTGTACGAGCTCTTTGTCGTCGCATCCTTGGCAGCAATCACTCTCAAGGCTTATAAGAGGCGTCTTGTCGACAGTGGAATCCCATTCGGCCTGCTTTCTGGCCCATATCGGGTGGGAGATGTGATGTACATATTCAGCTCACGGTTTTGGAGCGGCTGGGGGTACGCCCGATGGTTAGCGGTCTTGCTCCTCTCCAACACGCTGCTTTCCATCCTCGTTGGACCGGCTTCTGCTATCCTCATCTTACCTGAGCTACGATGGTTCCGCCTTCCCAACCCATTCTCCAATGTCATTATGCCCATAATTCTGGAGACGCCCAACAGGTTATGGCCAACGATACTCAACGAAAGTCTTTGGGACGAAAGTGGACAGTGCCTCGACAAGGGCAGTTTCCTTCCCTTTTGCCCTGCAGCCGGGTTCGCTACCATCTATACCTGGGCTTCTGGATGGGCGTATACTGGAATGCCGAACAACATCACCTTTCAAGACCCTTCGGGAACTTCGAGGCGACGCCTGACCATGCTGAGTGACACCACATCGGGCACCTTGGTCACTAGCTTGACAGAGTTCGCCACCACGACTGTGGGCCAGTTTAAGAGCTATATCAAAACTGGAGATGTTGGGGCCATCTCTGACACGGAACAATACAAACTGGAACTCTCATCCGACACGCCCAGCTACCAGCCTCTTGTCAACGCCAAGTGCAATATCTGGAACCTTCAAGACTACAAAAGCGCCGCCGACGTCCCAGATATGATTTATCCGTCCAGTTCTCTGAATTGTTTCTCGGCCAGCAATGACGACTATTGCCCCCGTATGAGGAACCAGCTCCAGAACTGGGCTGCGACCGACACCCAGTGGCAAAACCAGACCGGTGTCTATTACGGATTTGATGTGATAGCGGATGACCCCGATCCTGACAAGGCAACTTTGTCTTCCTTGGTATTCTCGGCACGGCTGCCGTACTTGTACGGAGCCGAAGACTCCTTAGGTATGCGTGTCGCTACGTGTAGCTTCATGGCCCACTGGATGCCCTCCACCATGGTGGTCGATCCAGGCAACACTGATCTCGTTGAAACCAACATTACCAATCTGAGAATCTTCGGCGATGAAGATGACTGGAAGAAGGATCACCGAAAAGCCGTTGTCGGGCCTGTCATTCGCGTTAAATACTCTTGGTTACAATATCTCAGCCTTGGGGACCATGACAGCGAAGCTAGCAACTCAACAGCTAGCAATGACACCGCAGAGGTATTCCACAACGTTGGCTCGCTCTTCTACGCAATGCTGATGACATACACCAACGCCACTGGTGAGTGGTATTTCTTTGGCCCCGGAAGCTCCAGGGACGACACTTTTGGCTCAAATGGGGATGATACGGTGCGAGTCGTTATGGAGAAATTCACCGGTGCCATTGTCACCGATGCCATTGCTCGGATAGGAGCAGGGTCATTACCGGCACTGCTGCGACCTAGTGACTCAGGCAACGGCAGCATATTTGCGATTGATCTTGCTACCCGCCAAGGTCCAAGCAGAGGCGATTTCGAGGTCCTTCCTAATGGCACTAGAATTAATTCTAACGGCCAAGTAACCGAATTGAACATGTCGGCATCTAAGTATCTCGAGCAGACGAAGAGAGAGTACGCAACGCTCGATTTCGACGCAGAGAGATTTGGGTATGGATATGGACAACCAGGAGGTGCCATGACTTTTGCTTTCACCGTCATCTTCGCATACATTTTTATGTTGTTCCTATATTGGATTGTTGTCATGTGTCGAAGATCGAACACTGTTGCGGCATGGGGTGACTTGCAGGACTTGTTGGCGTTGGCGTGGAGCTCGCCTGCGCCGGCCGACTTGAAGGGACAAGGAGCCAAGGTCGCGGACAAAGAATTGTGGAAGGAGAGTGTTTCGGTCAGGGCCACGTCTTCGAGAAATGTCATGTTGGCGATGGAGGAGCAGCAACAAGGGTTGACCAGACTCAGGAGGAACGAGGGGTATTGGTGAAGTAGCGGAGCCACTATTAATACACCTGAGGTCAACGGGAACCGAGATGCGAGGATGGTTACAACATCATCCACCGCAGTATCAACAGAGTCTGTCTCCAAAATGAAGGTCCAATTCTCTATGTTTCAGAAACGAAGCTGTGTCTCAGAATCTGAATGCACTTGCCAACAGCGGCGGCGATACCAGTCGCCGTCCTATGTCCAAAGAGTCTTTGGTGAATTCTTTGTCGGCTTTTCAAGTCTACCACTACTTTCTCGGCCTTGCGCCGACGACCGATACAAGGAAAGGTCACCATTTTCAGCGACCTTTACGTATTATCTTCCGGCATTTTTAAATATAGTGCTCCAAATCTCAAAAGTACGCAAGAGATGAAGCCAATTTCATTCCTAATAATAACCATCCTTACAGCCACAATATTCCGATCTCAGACTCGGTGGGAATATGTAAACAAAGGTGTCACTGCCAAGCGCTATGTGCCACACAAGGTATGTTCCCGTGCATGTTTAGGTTCTCGATAACCTTCATCACAGCTAAAGATTCTGCCTGGCTGCTGAACCAGCAGAATTTGCCAGTTCCAGCCAGCAAGGTACAATGATCCACAAGCCCTGCACGATGATGAAAAAAGCCGAGCGGCCTCATCACATAACTGCATCCTTTCATGCGACACGATCCGAGCCAGAGGAGCTCCATCTCAAACAACATGGTCAGCCTCAAAACTTCTGCGCTAGGACTTGTCCATGCTGCATTTTTCCTCGTCGCCAGGTGCTCTGCCAAGGAATGCGTCTTGGACGAGTGCCTGGGCGGCGTGATGTCGAGAAATGTGAACTCGCGCGGTGCAGCAAGCCGAGACTGCATCTCTTTTTTCCAGCAAGGCGCCGAGACTACCACCACGACGATTATAACAACGAAGGAAATCGAGACACCGGTCACGGAAGTAATAGTTTACACGATTACGGATTCTATCATAAAGGAAACCTTCACCAAACACGACTATACGCATTCCACCACCGTGCCCGTAAAAACTCTTCCTCTTCAATTGACGACTACAATCACGGCTACAGAAACCACTACTACAACTCTCACAACGACATCAGTTTCATCGGTTATCGTGACCAGTTTTGTTGCGCCTCCTACAGAGGGGAAACTATACTACACAGCCCCGATTCCGACGTATGCCTCTGGTTGTTCAGGTCAGTACTGGGCTAAAACATGCGGCCGATTGATGGGCAGCTCCAGATTTCGACACCTTGCTAATACGGAATCCTACAGGCGTCGTTTCCGACTACTCCTCAGCATGTTCATGCATTGGCGCGACGGAGTCCCCTCTCATAACCGAAACGGAAATCTACACGATACAGTCCACGCCGACCGCCATGATAGAAACGACCAGAGAATTCGAACATATCACGACCAGAACCACCCGAACTAGATCAGACAGGGTTAAGAAAACATCATACTACACATCGTATGTCACTATAACATCGATCCGGGAACCGCTTTTAACAGCGATGACGACAACAACATTGACGAGCACTATTACGGAGACGTCAACGACGTTCGTTACTGGGCCTACCCAGTTTTGCAAGCTGAATCTCATCGCTCAAGGCGGAAATGTGGATGGACGCTTGGTATATATCGACCGCGACAGGGCCGTCCTGGCGCCGTTAGGCAGTGTCCTCAGGACGCTGTTCCAGTTTGACAGGGGCAGCAGACTCCGTCCTCTTGATGGCGGATCTGTTGGCAAGGTCATGCACCAAGTTGTGGTTTCACCTTTTATTGAACTACGGAGCGAGGAAGACGTTAAGTCTACCTTTCATTACAACACCATCTACTGCCAAGTCCATCCCGGTACCTTTGAAATAACCTGCCAGTCCCGCGAGAACACTCTCCATCCGTGGTATTTTTCCGAGGCCGACCAGACTGCAAATGGACCTTTCTTGTGGCTAAAGGCATTTCCTTCCAACGACATACCGATCAGGATTTTCGCGATTCCAGTCGGATGCATCACTTGAGGGGGAATAGGGGTCAGTTTGTAAATACACTTGCATACTTATAGCTCTACTGATGCTGGGATTCGGCCTATCAATACAGGGTTGGCGTATCTCTATGAACTTGTTTTAGTTGAATTTGGCCTCGACTGTTTAATGGAAACGGTTATTATTTCCCATGCTAGAATCAGCGGTGGCAGCAATACGAATGTTGTCAAGGACAAGGCCAAGTACAAAACTCACTTCACTATGGCTTTACACCACTCATATTGCTTGATACAACAGTAACATAAACGCTTTGCAATTTTTTATCCAAATGGTGCTTCTAAAGAGATATACAGCCTCACCAATGATTTCAGCCCGCTGACGGTCGTGGCAACAAATGCACTCAATTTACCCACGAGGCAAGGCATATTAAATCACATGAAGAAATCCGCTCGGATCCTCGTGCAAATCCAGCAATTGCAGATTCAAAAGTAAAGACAAGGGGGCACTTAAATGGAGGAAGGTCCCGATGTCTACTCTGTTCACAACGCGATGTTTGGGGGTTAAAAAGATACGTCTCTGGAACAGACACCTCATACAATAATTTTGCATGGTGATTGGATACAACACCAGCTGAATTTACGTAACATCAGGCTGCGCCAACCGCCTCGAAATGCGTCACAAAATCAGAGACAGTCTCTCAGCCTCGACACGAGAAAATGATAGAATACCGGGGTCGAGATTGGCGGTGGCGGTCCAAGAAGTCAGTGCACTTCTGCACTTTCAAGATTTCTCTTCTTTCACTCGGCCCAAACCCTGACGGCGTGACCCAGACTTTGATGCAGCCTGTTTCGGATCATGTGTGTGTGACTGGATGAGAGCTGCGTGCGTGTGCAACCGCCGGAGCTACGTGTGTGGCTGAGACGTGCTTACAGCTGAACTGATGGTGCAACGAGAAGAGACCACTCCGCTCCTGACAACATAACAAACTGGTCGGTTTTTTGGCCATTATAGCAGGCTAAGTTTCCCGACAGCTGGAGTGACATGTATGGAGCTAAGTTATTACATAGTCGTGAGTGTCGGTAGTGACAGCATTCCCAAGTTGCGCCAGGGATCCTCGGCGCCATCTAATGTCCAGCGTGGCGCCCCCTTTCGCCGTACCGAACGCCAAGACAGCTGAAAGAGAACAAGGCCTCAACAAAAAGGAAAAAAGGAAAAGGCGTATGTAGGAACCAGCTCGCTAACTAACCGCGCGCCTACTGGGTATCCGTAGCCAATCCGGGAGCGAGGCTGGCTCCTCCGGCTACGCATGTCTTAAGCGTGCAGACGCAGTAAGACTGCTAATTTCTCCTACGCGGAAGAAGCAATACGGGACGGAACGAACATGTACAGCATCACGTGGAAGGCTGCAGGGAAAGAATATTGTTCCTTCTCGGCATACACAAGAACGCCTGTTCCCTCGTTGTTCCGGGAGAAGCGGCTTCAATCACAATTACATCCTTCTTCGTCCTCACCACTCATACCAATGCGCACCCGTCGACCGCTACCAAAATGACCTCGCCGCGAACGAATCTCGGACCGCTCACGACCGAGTTTACATACCCAGCGAGCTGCACCGTTGTCGTCCAAGCATGCGAGAACTGTGGGTTTGGCTGGCAGGCTCAGACGTGTAGCGACAACATCCTCAACGACCAAGGCGTGCAGGACAACGCAAACTGCTGGCCGGACCGCACTAACTCATCAGTATATACAGAAGCGGCGCTGTACGGTTGGGGCTTCTACTCGCCGGGAATCTCATGTCCCGCGGGTTATGCTACGGGATGTGTCGCCACGGGAAGTGCAAAGGGGGGCTTTCCATTCCAGTTCTCAGTGCTAAAGCATGAAACAGTCGTTGGATGTTGCCCGACGTGAGTCCAAACCAATTGCTTCTTCCAGCCTGTTCCAGGACGTGTCTCATTCATGTGTAGGGGTTTCCAATGCAAATACAATCCGGGATATGACCCAGCCCAGACTTGCTATAGCGTTGCAACCACTGGATCCTTCGCAACAGTTCAGTGCAGTGCGGGCAAGAGCAACGGGTTCAGCTATCTCGAACTGCCTATGACCTATACGGAGACATTCTCTAGCGAAGTGGCAACCTCAACTCTCCGCGCCGTAACAATCTTCGCACCACTATTCCAGCTCAATTTCCAATCGACCGACATCACCACGAGATCCACGCCGACTTCGGATACAGCCAGCGGGCTCTCGGCGCAGACAGTTGCAGCTAGCACTTCTGCCACTTCGCACGCGGATGGCGAATCGTTCACAAATAGCGGGTTGTCGATAGGTGCCAAGGCCGGAATCGGTGCGGCAGCAGGTGTTGTCTTCGTCGCCATCATCGCAGCAGCGGTGTTCCTTTTTCTCAGGAAACGAAGGACAATCCGCACTCCTCTCCCCGAACCGCCAAAGGACGAGCTATCGCCGGATATTATTTCGCCTGTCGAGCTCTACGATCATGCGAACCCACATACACTCAGGCCTGAGCTGCCGTAAGTATTCGGCTGTCCGATCGGGGAGAGAGGCTATGGATTGGTGAAGGAACGACACTCTGAATGCCTCAACTTGAACTACTGGCACAAGCCATCAGATGGACTTGGGCAGGATGGCTAATGAACATTTCATGGGCCAATCATCTTGTCCCCGCGGGTTCCAGTACGAGGTACAGCATGGAGCATGGAGCATCACTTATCAGCATATTATCAATTTCCTTGTTCTCATCTTCAGACAGACCTTCACTTGTCGTTCTTTGGATCAGGTTGCAGCTTGTATGGGTCACTAGTGTTAAATTCATGTATTTCTGGCCGCATTTTTGTTACAAATATCCTCCTCGCTACGAGAGTCAAGTTAGAAATATTCATGAGGCTTTGCGTACTGACATTACGATCCGCCTACTTCATAAAGTGACAAGAAATCCCCAGACGCCCTGCAACTGACCTTGACCCTAGAGCTGCGTCCCCAAGTTCACATGCACCGCCTTGGACTGCGTGTATGCATCCAGTGCATACTGGCCCAGCTCGCGTCCGATGCCCGAGGACTTGTACCCACCAAAGGGGATGCCAAAGTGCGAGTCGCCCGATGAGTTGATCCACACCATGCCGGCCTGCAGCTTGCGCGCGACTTTGTGCGCCTTGGAGATCTTCTCTGTGAAGAGCGCAGCCGCGAGGCCGTACGACGTGTCGTTGGCCTTGGCGATGGCCTCGGCCTCGGTGCTGAATTTGGCAATGGCCACGACGGGCCCAAAGATTTCCTCTTGGACGATCTTCATTTCCTCGGTTGTCTGTGTCGCAGGTTAGCTGATGTTGACCCAACACCAACACAGGTTGTGCATACATCAGCGAAAACAGTCGGCTCAATGAAAAGACCCTCAGAACCGTGCTTCGAACCGCCGTGCAGGAGGCGCGCTCCAGCAGCCTTTCCCTCGTCGATGTACGACAAAATCTTGTCGTATTGGACTTGGGAGATTTGAGGACCTTGCCAGGTCTCGCTGCTGAAAGGGTCGCCGACCTTTGCGTTTTCCTTTGTGATTTCGACGAATCGCTTGAGGAAATCCTCGTAGACAGCCTCGTGGACGTAGATTCGGGATGTAGAAGTGCAGACCTAGAAGGCTCGTCTAAGTAAGTAGTTCCTCGTTGAGAGGATTCGAGACCTACCTGGCCCTGGTTGTACATGATGCCGGAATGGCACCACTTGGCGGCCTGATCGAGATCCGCATCCTCAAACACGATACTTGGGCTCTTGCCACCACACTCAAGCGTGATGTTCTTGAGATTGTTGGCCGCGGCCTTCATGATAGCCCTGCCAGTGTTGGTGCTGCCCGTAAAGGCGATCTTGTCTACGCCCATATGCCCGGCGAGAGCCTTGCCGGAGACGGAGCCGATGCCGGGGATGATGTTCACGACGCCCGGCGGGATGCCGGCCTCGATGACAAGCTTGCCGAAGTAGAGAGCCGACAGCGGGGTCTGCTCAGCGGGCTTGAGGACAACTGTATTTCCGCAGGCGAGGGCTGGCGCGACTTTCCAGGCGAGCATCATGAAGGGGAAATTCCTGTGGTGATGTCAGAACTTCGGTCGTCTTCGGCGGATCTCGCCAGCGCCGCAAGAGTCTATCCAACGAGACGTACCAGGGAATAATCTGACCGCAGACTCCGAGAGGCTCCTGCAGCACATATGCCAGCTTGGCTGGCGACGTCTCAATCGTGCGGCCGGTGATCTTGTCAGCAGCACCGGCGTAGTACCGGAAGACGTTGTAGGACTCATCGAGATCACCCTCGAGAGCGTCGGTATATGTCTAGAAACCACCAGAAAGCATCATCAGCATTGTATAACACTCATGTGAGAACTCGACATACCTTGCCATTATCGAATGCATCAATGCTGGCGAGAAGCTTCCGATCGCGGTCGATCAGCTCCGAAAGCTTGTACAAGAAGGCCCCTCGATCAACAGCCGCAAGCTCCGACCATTCTCCCTCGAAAGCCCGACGAGCAGCTGCCACAGCCTTATCGACATCTTCCTCGGAGGCGCCTGGCAGAGTAATGACCTCCTCGTTCGTCCTGCGATTTCAGCCCGTCTTAGCAGTGCTCTGTCAAGGGAGATAAGAATGGCTATCGAACGTACGCGGGGTTGATGACGACGAACTTCTCGCCAGCAGCGGGCACGAACTCGTTGTCGATGAAGAGCCCCGTGGGCTGGCTGTACTTGAGCCCGTTGGGCAACGAAATTTCGACTGGAGACGCCATAGTGAATTCGAGTGAATGCTGTTCAGCAGAATGAACGCGGAAGGGTTGAGAAGAATGACTACCGCTCGGAAGTATTCTTAAATCGCCCATTAAAGCTGCGATAACGCATGCTGACGTATTGCGCTATCAGCCATGTGCCGCCAAAGGCGGGGTGCAGCCGATCTAAACCGAATTATGCGTGCTACATGAGGAATGATGCGAGGGGACACAAGCTACAGCTTGATCCAATGGGAGAGTGTGGGCTCTGATTGACGATGGAGATGGCGAGAAGCGGCCTTTGCGATGTCAGTGTATGGGACTGATGCTCGTCAAAATAAAAGCCCGTAGACATAAGCAACAGCTCCTGAAATCAAGTCCTTACTAGTCAAGCTATAGAAATACTTTGATGACCTGCGCAAGCAGCTCAATACAGACCACCAAAGCTCCCATACACAATTTTATCCCATCTCCTTCTCTCAACGACATACCACACCCTCCACCAGTGAGCTAACAACATCTCATCTCCTACGCCACCTCATAAACCGGCGACTTCTGTCGCCCCAAGCTCGAGATCGTCTGCACGTGAAACCCATTCAACTAAGAAGTAGGGTTGGCAGGATTGACGGGTCTCGAATCAGTCTCAGTGAACACCATGCTCGGGTTGCCTTGCGCCTCAGCTGCGGCTTGCTGGAGTCTCTGGGCCTGGGCAGCGAGTGCCTCTGCAGGATAGAGGTTCATCGCAGGGGTGGCTGCCTCTGGTGTCATCTGGTGTCGTGGCAGCGGGGAGTAGCTGTTGGACTGCCAGAATTGCTCAAGTTGCTCAAGTTGATCCTGTGGAACGGCGACCAACATCTGGGGCCGATGGGCGGTGCATCCAGCACTGTGATGGGCAAACGCGGCGGAAGTCATATCTCCGTTGAATGGATTGCTCGCGTGGAAGTTGAACTGATCACCAGGGTTGGTTTCGACCGCGGGAGTGATGATTCTGAAGCCACCGCCAGCCTGTGCGACGCCCTGCGGCGGGAACTGGTGAACCTGTTGCCCGGGGTCTGCTAAAGCCCATTGTCCGAAATCCGCAACGTGCGCGGCGTGGGCATCATGGGTGCCGGGATTGGAAGCTACTCCGGTGAACGCCTCGCCTGCGCTGCCTTCAACCCTCGTACCGACAGATCCCCCACGAGGCCGACGGATCCATCCTTGATCCGGCTCCGGGGTCACCCCCCTACGGTACAGCCCCTCTTCAACATGAGGGAGCGGTATGGGGTTCGACTCGCCTTCCACCTCTGTGACACCCTGTGGCGGGGGCTGTTGAACATGCTGCGCGGGACTGGAAGCCGGCGGCGTGTAGAACGGCTTCTTCTCGTCAAGGGCAGCCTGAGTGACGGGCGTAGAATCGACCTCGGTGAAGGTAGTTCCCATGCTTCCCGGGGCCTCTGCGATGCCTTGCTGGTGGGAGTTCTGGACCGGGCTTGGAGTCGACTGCACGTAGAACGGCTTCTTCTCGTCGAAGCCAGTGCCGGCGACGGGCTTCAACTCGACTGAGGTCAAGACCTTTCCTGCGCCTTCAACTTCTGCCAGGATCACTTGGGGGCCCACGGGGCTCCGTCTGTCATCACCGCCACGGTCTCTGGGTTTTCTATCGGGGAGTACCATTCCAGCCGGTATTCTGGCCGTCGCCCCTGGTGGTAGCGGCCCGCTCCGGCGTCGGAAATAGCAGCCCCAGCAAACAGCACAAAATATAATAAGTGCCGTGCCGCCGACCAAAGTACCAACAATAATCCCTACAGGGGGTTTCCTGCGGCCGGAGCTTGCCTCTGAAGTTGTCGTCTGGCTGGAGCTTGAGGCGGTGCTGGTACTGTCGCTGCCGCTGCTCGCCGTGGCACTTGAGCCGCTGGCGCGCGGGTTCGTGGCATTCAGAGTGTAGATCTTGGCACCGTTCGTGCAGCAGCTGGAGCCGCTCGACGGGCAGCAGTACTTGTTTTCACCGCACTTCTCGACCGCGAGCCAGTTGTCGGGATCTTCTTTGAGAGTGTCAGTGGGCATCAACACCTGTACGGGAGGCCACAACTTACCATCCATGCACACCTCCGGACAGCCGGACCAGTCTTTGTTCGCGCAGGCAGCACGGTAGTAGTCGTACTTGTTGGGGACCTTGCACAGCCCGTTCTCCAAGCAGACGTCTCCCTCGCCAAAGTAGCAGCAGGTCGAAAAGGTCGTGACCGAGCTGCCGCATGGCTGGTAGTCGTAGTCGTCCGCCTTGTTGCCGTCCGGGTAGTAGCAGCTTGAGGCAAAGGCGGACGTGGCGAGCGCCACAAGGAGGACCCAGGTGCGCATAATTTCGAGTAGTGTCTCGATTGAAGTCTTAGTCAAGAGAGGTGAAGAAGAGAGGTTGGTTCTGGGCTAGGCCGGCAGATTCAAATGTAGTGCAGTCTCTAAGGAATGAACAAGCAGGCAAGTGATGGAGAACCACGAGATTTTAAGGAAGAATGACACAAACGATCAAGAAACGAGAGACGGCGAGAACAAGAGGCCTAGATATGGGCATTCCCAACGAGCTGAATACCGGTGGCTTGGTTGGTGGCGTTGAGCCGGTCTAGGCCTTCAACTTGACAAATTGGGATTGTCCTACGAGACAACTACCAAGCGCCAAATAGACGAGAGACTAGGGCCAACACAATGCAGGTTTGTCGCCAATCAGGTTGCTCCGGAGCAAGAAACTGGAGTGTTAATGTCCATCAGTGCTGCAGGATGGTGACTGGAAGGTAGATCAACTGACAAATCACTTACAAAAAGCAACGAATATTGGCCGCCTATCAAATAGTCCAGGACTCGGACACCACCACCACCACCACCATAAACAGCACTTGGCGACCCGGCAGCTTGGTAGCGAGGTGGCCTTGCTGTCCCTAGTGTACTTGTTGCGTCTGGACCGTCTGCTGCTGCTGCTGCTCCTGCTGCTGCTCCTGCTGCTGCTCCTGCTGCTGCTCCTGCTGTTGCTGCATGCCCATGTCGGCGTGTAAGTTGATGCGGATCAAACGACACAATAAACGCTGTATCAACGCTGTAAAAAGTCTCAACACTCCCAGCGCACATAAGCTTCAAAGAGAGAATGAACGACGACTGCGGGAGGAGGGAACTCACAGCCGACGGACCAACATGACGGCGCGCCAGAGACGGCCAAGAATGCGACATGTCATACATCCCACAGCCGAGCGCCATCCGCCACCGTCTCTATCTCGCCGACAGCAAGCCACGCAGCCAGGCAAGCCGCCCGAAGCGGAACACGGCTCAGCTAGCAGCATCCTCTCGCACTCGTGATTCGGCATTGTGCAAAACTAGGTTGCCTGCCCAGCCGCAGGTCTCTCTGTCGGCGTCGCCCAGCCGCGGTCTGGGCCTGGCCTTGGGCGAATGGATCGTCCGCTACTTGAGACAGGGCTGGATTAGAAACCCCCACCGCTGTTTGCCAAGGGTTGGTTTGCGCTTTGGGGGGGGGGGGGAAGGCGTGTCACTTTTCAGTCGCGGATGGTGGTTGTGAATGCGAGAAGAGAGAGCAAAGGATCGCCGATGGCCAAGCAAGGGGGAACGGGCGAGTGGCCTTCCGTGCAGCGCCTCTATTGTAACTGGTCGTTGTCTATCTGTTTCACTATTGTTCTGCGTAAGCGTCATGCAGCCAGGACAGCTCTCATGCCGCCATCTCATGCACCTCCTCCCTGCGTTTAACATGGACCGGCCGGGAATCCGCCTCGGCGATGACCTGGCCCGGCCCGGCATCTAGCTCCGCGATCCATTTCAGCCTCGCCTTCTTCATCCTCCGCGCCTCTCTCCGCCGCTCAGCGTGCCGTGGCGAGTCTCCCTCCGCCTCGGCAACCACATGGTCCGGCCCAGCGTCCAGTTCCACCGGCCGATTCGGCTTCGGCCTTTTCCTCTTCGGCCTCCTTACCTCCTTGATTTCACTCAGCTCCGAGCCGGATACTGACTTGGAGCCTGACGCGGTAAGACCAGCCAATGCCGCCTTTTTCCTCCTCTGCCGCAGGAAAGCCCACAGTCCGATTCCCACCACTCCCAGAACGCCGCCGACAACGCCAACCGCGACAAGTCCCACGGGCGTGGAACTCGACTTGTCAACGGACGACCTTTTGGCGGGTTTGGCAATTGCCATTGCATCCGTAGACTTGCTATTCGGTACGTCGGCCGTCTCGGTCACCGGGGAGGTTGCTATAGCGGTCGTCGATGTGCTGGGGGCCATGGAGGACCTCGTTGAAGGCCGCTCTTCGAGGCTAAATCGATCGGTGCCGTCTTCACAACAGTTTCCCTCCCGCTCGACATTGCAGCAATATCCATCGGTCGTGCATTGTTTAACTTGGACCCATCCATCGCTTGATGCTATGAAGAGTTGGTCAGCGTAGTCCTCGTCCTATCTTCCCAAGACCACCTGATATCCCACCACCAGAACTCCTTCCGTAAGCCCAACCAGGACAGAACTCACTCGTAGGACAAATCTCTGCACAACCCTCCCAATCCTCGTTGTTACAGGCCCCTCGATAGTCGTAATGCCCCGGGTATGTGCACAGTCCGTTGGGCAGGCACTCCTCGCCGTCACTGAACACGCAGCACGTCGAAAACGTCGTGTTGACTCCGCCGCAGGGCTCATACTCCCGCTCAGTCGCCTCGCTTCCGTCGGGGTAGTAGCATCGAGCCGTCGTCAGGGCAGTCAGGTTGGCGATGGCCAACAGGCTGTGCAGCATATTGAAGAGGCCTGTTGATGGTGATGCGGCCGAAGTGCGTCGCCAGCCCACATTCTGCGACGTCCAGAAAACGTAGCCCAGAGCATTGAGAATGAGGGACTACAGAAGAATGCAGAATGGGCCCAGCCATCCCTAAACCAAAGCATGATGTCGGCTAATCGCGTAAATGAGACTGATGTCTTAGCACAGCGCTCCCCAACCCCAGGACACTAAGGCGACCGGACGATATTGATTGATGATCTAAGCACTAACCAGGGCTCCCGTCGCTCTGCCTGCTTCCAGGGCTAAGATATGCCCGGATTTGGGAATTAGCTGACAGCACCTTGTCCCTTTCTGGGGATTGCCAGGGGCTAAAAACGGTGGAAAATATCCGTGATGCGGAGGATATATTGCCTGACAAAAGCTTGGCTTGTCATTGCAAGGCATTTGCACCACGGCAACCCGCTTAGTGTATCAAAAAGACAAGACAAATACGTCATTGATCTAGAGTCAATAATTAAGTCACCAGTTTTTGGCATTGTATTCACATGGGCAGCAACACCAGCTGAAAGCCACAGCCACAAGTCCACATGGTTCACTCCTCGGAAATTTGAGATCGCGCCCGCCCCTCTTCTTTTCCGCCCCCAATCCATCCCTACATGGCCCAACCTCTGTAAAAGCATAACGAGGCTCTTGGACGCAGGGGAATGCAAGGGGTAGCAGAAACCTCCTTGACGGTGTGTGAAGTTCCTTTTCATTGACGGGATTCATGACCTTCGCCCACATCTCTTCGGATCACAGATTCACCTGAGAATAAACAACAGTGTCGTGGATTTATGCACAAGGACATTCATTTTGATCCTAGAATCATGCACTGCATTCATTGCGTGCTATATACAACACGGGTTCATTGATACCCGGAAATGTGATGACCTTTCTGTCTCGTGGTTGGGGCTTCTGTTCCACCTCTTCCTGCAGACATGGGACGAAACATCACAGCAAGCCTCGAACCCGTTGTCCTCCGCACGGATTAACCAAGTTAATGCGATCCAGTCTCCAATTTTTGTGCATCTCGATTTTTATGCCCAAATCCGCTCCCCCCGGCAAGCACCTAAACTCCGCATGGTGATGAATGAAGAGGTAAAAAAAAAACATGGAAATCCAGAAATGACTTGATATCAGACAAAAAAGTGCCTGGAACTTGAGTCACAGGTGAAATTTAGCCGTGGAGACCGCCAGTACGCTCACGCATCAGCGCGCGTCGCTTCTTATCCTTGACTGTGAGAGGAGTTAGCATTCATACACATTATATTCTTGTTGCAATATCATTACGTACCTCCATCATAGACGAGGAACTCGTGCAGGGCGGATCCGGCGGGCACCATGGGCAGCACGGGAACCTTCTTGTCGGTCATAACCTCAAGGAGGGCAGGGCCGTCAGTGTTGATCAGCCACTTCAGAGCGTCAACAACCTCCTCGGGCTTGGAAATGCGGCGGCACTGCACGTGCATGGCATCGGCGAGCTTCATGAAGTCGGGGTTGGCTTGGTGGGTGTGGGCATATCGGTCCTCGTAGAAGAGGTTTTGCCACTGGGTCACCATACCCTGCTCCTCGTTGTTGAGGACAATCACCTTGACACCAATGTTGAACTGGGCTGCGGCGGAGAGCTCAGTCAGGGTCATGTTGAAGGAGGCATCACCATCAATATCGATAACGAGGGCATCAGGCTGGGCGACCTTGGCGCCAATGGCGGCGGGCAGACCGAAGCCCATAGTACCCAGACCACCAGAGGTGATCATGGATCGGGGGTGCCTCCATCGGAAGTGCTGAGCAGTCCACATTTGGTGCTGGCCGACACCGGTGGCGATGTAGGTCTCGCTCTTGCGGTCAGCGGTCAGGTTGCTCAGCTCCTCGATCAGGGTCTGGGGCTTGATGAGGCCGGGGCGCTCAGGATCAGCGTGCTCGTAGTCGGACAGGGGCCACTTGGCCTTCCACTCCTTGATCTTGCCGAACCACTCCTTTCGGCTGTCCATAGAGCGGGGCTCGAGGTAAGGCAAGAGGTGCTTTATGTTGGTCGCAACATCGCCCTCAATAGCCTCGGTGGCCTGTACAACCTTGTTGATGTTCTTGGGCATAATCTCGAAGTGGACGATACCACCACGGCCCTCAGCAGCAGCAGCCTTGGCGGCAGGAGCGAACTTGGCAATAGCGCCAGTTACACGATCATCGAAACGAGCACCCAGGGCAATAATAAGATCGGCCTCCTGCATGGCCATGTTGGCGTAGGCAGCGCCGTGCATGCCGAGCATGTGCAGGGACTTCTCGTCAAGCTCGTCAAAGCCACCGAGACCCTGGAGGGTAGTGGTGACGGGAATGGAGCACTTGTCAGCAAGCTCCTTGAGGAGCTGGGTGCCGCCCTCAGAGAGGATCACACCCTGGCCGGCATAGATGACGGGCTTCTTAGCGATGTTGACGAGCTCGGCTACACGCTTAATGGAAGAAGTAAGCTGCTTCTTGGTAATCTCCATGGCGGCGCGGGAAGCGGCACTTGGGAGAGAAGGTAGGGCAGTCTCGGTAGGAATGGCTCGTCGCAGAATACCAGCAGTAACATCCTTGGGAAGATCAACAAGGACAGGGCCGGGTCGTCCGCTGGTGGCGATCTCGAAAGCCTCGTTAATACGCTGGGGGAGCTCGGCCACGTTCCTAACCATGACATTCCACTTAGTGCAAGCACGGGAGATTCCAATGACATCGGCCTCCTGGAACGCGTCGCTACCAATAGCGGAGGTGACGACCTGACCGCAGAAGACAACCATAGGGGTTCCGTCGGAGAGGGCATCCTGCAGAGGCGTGATGACGTTGGTAGCACCGGGGCCGGAGGTGACGAGGACGACGCCAGGCTTGCCGGAAGCGCGGGCATAGCCCTCAGCCATGTGACCGGCACCCTGCTCATGGCGGGGGAGGATGAAGTCGAAGTGTTTTGAGTTGTAGATGGCATCGAAGACGGGGAGAATGGCACCGCCGGGATATCCGACTGTGACTCATGTTAGTGACTACCACAAGTAGTCAATGGCAATTGAACGTACAAACGTGTTTTACGCCCTGTCGGAGCATCATCTCGTGGAAGATTTCACCACCGGTCTTGCCAATGAATCTGTGTCACCGTGGTCAGAGTTGGTCCTAGTAGTCTTGCGATGGGATGCATACGACTCATCCATGTCACTCCTCCGGGGGTTAACGAGGGGCTGGACATGGCTCTGGTTCTTGTCGGCGTTGAAAGCAGGGCTGGGGATATCGCGTGCCGGGCTGCTACTAGACAGAGTGTCAGTTTGATTGTATTCTTGTGTGTTTTTGGTTTTGCGGTTGCATTCGGGCAGTCAAGCCTGTAAATTCGAGACTGGTGTTTTGAGGTGGAACCCGAGGGGTAGTGGCCAGCCAGTGGGAGGTTTTGGGATTGGGGAAATGGTGCGACTTACGAAGCAGCAGTGGTCGTCTGATTCCGCTTGGCGGCGGTGATCTTCTTGGGAGCCTGGACAGCGGCGGCGGCAGTGGTGGTGGTGAAGGCGCGCGCCTGGGCGACAGCCCTGATGGCGCGGGTGGCCTGGCGAGTTCGGAGCATCGCGGAGGTGGAGGAGCTGGGGGCGTGGTGGGAGGTGGGCGGTGACGGTCAGTGGGCAGACGAACCAGAGAGCCGGGGGCTCTGAGGAAGGCGGCGAGGGAGGAACGGTGGGAAGTGAGGCCGCGCGGGAGCACTCAATTGGAGTCGAAGCACAGTAAATGGGCGATCTGGAGATGGTGACGGAGGCAAAAAAGAGTCAAAAGCCAGTCGCTGGTCTAAAGGGCGTGCCGGGGAAAAAAATATCACAAGCGGTCGGGCGGCCGGTGGCCGGGGTGGAACCGGCGCTCGTGTGGGGTAAGACCACGAGAGCGAAGCTGGGTGACTCCTTCCCAGGGCTTCTCAGGGTCGTTCTGGGCGCTGTCTGTGACTCTCTGAGGCGCTGCACGGGCCATGCCAAACAGGGACCAACCCAAACAGGAGCGATTGGTGGAGTCAGACCAATCAGCGCGCTTGCGTATGGCCGATATCGCCACTAGCACGAACGCTTGGATTGGCTGGAAGCTGTCCATTGCGTTGCGTGTGTGTCGCTCTGGCCGAGGGAACCACCAAGCGAAGGGACATTGACGGGATTAACGGGCATTCAGCATCCGCGAGTCATCCTGGGCAGGAGCAATTGAATCCCGTCGGTATCCCGGAGCCGACTCCCCGTTCTCGGGTGCACACCGTTTCTGCGCCCTGGAGCTTTCCGTCTCTTTGCAGCGGGACGCTGAGACACATGCGACACGGGATGTGGCGGGCGGGCGGGGAAACCTACGGTACCTCCGAGCTAGGCTTATTTGTCTGAGGTGAGCGGCTCCATTCCGGTGGAACAGCCAAAGCGATTCGCAGGCGGCATCGGCATTCTCTACGGAGCAATTCCCATAATACATACCAGGCTTTTTCCACTGGGTAAATGCAATGTAGCTGTATTACCAGGGATGCGATTGGCCATAACCACTATCATGCTCCATGCTCCGTACTCTCCATACACGTGCAGTCAGTCATGTTCCAAGTTACTTGTCTAATTATGACTGCCCGATTTGTCCCACTTGAAATGAAATGATGGAGAAATCTGCGTCGCTAATCTTATCAGCAGCAACACGATACAGTACAATAGTCCACATCTTAAATCTAACTCCGTCCTTTGCCCCCAATCATGTGAGGATAAACCACTGCGTTCCGGCTTCGGCATCACTTCTAGCTCCGTGCAAGCTCATCATCTTCACATGTTGATGCTGATCACTAGAAACATTTGACATATGACGTTCATTCAGTTTCGTATCTCATCCCTATCCAACCCCTATTCATCCTCCCATCCTCCCGGCATCGGGCCTGGCATCAGTCTCTCTTCATTCGCCAACACCCACCAAAACTCCCCAGCATATTCCTCGACACAAGGGTCATATTCAAATATCCAATCTTCTGGGCGAGGCCCATACTCTGCCCACACAATGTACGGGCCCATAGATGCCGGATAGAGACTTCCATCGGGAAACTCCAAGTCCGTTTCCATGGCACCCACAGCCAGAAACTCGTCTTCCAATTCTCCATACGCCTCCAGATCAACGCCCGCCTCCATTAAGTCTTCGAGCCACATCCGTACCGCAGTTCGAAAACAACGCCCAGTAATGTGCATATTATAGTCTTCATCGCGCCAAATCCATCCACACATTCCCCACATACATAAAATGTATGAACTCATCCCACCCGCCATCACCTGCACAGTTTCCCCCCCAGAAGCTCCAGTGAGCAACCACCTCGCCAGAGCCCTCATATTGTCGCTCCATTCTGGACCAGCACCAGCCATTGTCATATGAATCGCTCTAGAGAAATATTGATATCCGAACGAACAACTCATTGCGACTGAGGGCTGCTGTGCCCGAAATTGTGCTGGTGACACAAGATCTTGGCTAGTCAATATGTCCAGAAGTAGTCCCGGGTCAATATGCTCCCAGCTAAATATCTTGAAACCGGATATTGGCGCAATTTGGTCAAAATTTGGGAGGCTTCCAAATTGTTCTCGACAAGTAGAGCCTCGAGGACGCGTTTCCACCTTCAGCGAAGAAAAGCGACTGTACCTCGTCCTCAAACCCGCCATTCTCCGCGAGAAACCGGTTAAAATCCAGCACATCCGTAAGACTGATGTTGACATCGCCTCGGATGTATTGATGGAAAACAATCGAATTTTCTGCTCTTTGCTCAAATTTAAGGCCGTTGTGGACTAACCACATGCATAGGTCAATTTGGGGGGTGAACAATGCATACTAGAGATGCCGTCAATACATGAACATGTCGAACATACTGAAAGGTAGGAAGAGCTTACATCAAGCAAGGTATCTCCATCCGGATCACGGTCGTACAAAGAGCCTTCTTTCTTCGCAATGGCTGCCAGTAGTCCGTCAGTATCTCCAACTATTGCATAGTCAAATACGATGCTATCAAATGGACGAGTACACCATGGCGTGAGCTGAATCTTCCATCCATCATAGGATCTGTAGGCCTGGAAATCCCATGCTTTCTGGGCTAGCCACCATGGAAGTTGAAGTCTCGCTTGATAAACTGGTAGATGGTCAGCAGGTTCATCAAGACCAAATTGGCAAGTGGGTGGCTGACCTTGTGACGTGACTGACCCCGAATCCCCATCACAGGCTTCAGCTACTTCGTAAGCAAGTCTCGGTAGGAAACCCGGGTTCTGGTGAGGGAGTCTCCTGGTTTTGCGCGACGGGAATCTGGTTTGAGAGGCCCGACTCCTAACCTGCTGCCTTGCACAGGATTCCCCTTCTTGAACTGGACGGTGAGCCCCTTCAACATCTGCTTCGTCTTCGACAACCTGCACCCGGGATTCATTCGCCTCACGCGACTGAGCCTGTATCGCCTGGAACTCGGATACAATCATCGATGGCTGAGCTCTCGTCAAAGCACTGTAACTTCTTAGTAAGGTTCCATACACTCAGGTAGACTGCTTTGAGATCCTCATACTCACAACAAGTATGTCTGCTGTGACATAGCAAGCAGCTGCAGCGCAGACCCGAGACGCTCGTGATATTCTTGAACCACGGCTTTCTTAAGCGTCACCTTAAATTTGGCTGTCGTTCTCCTTCCTTTCTTTGCCCCGGTAACTTGTGACTGCATATCCTCAACCAACTCCTCCAGATCCGAAACAACCTTGCGGCAATTCTCCAAGCTGCGTCTCGCTGTACGGTCATTCCGTACCATATTCCGCGTCTGCTGGAATTCATATTCCATGTCCTCGAGCACCGGTGTTAGCATGTCGAGGTGCTGCATCTGCCTCTTGATGCTCTCGGGGACATATTGGACCTCGTCCCATAGCTGCTTGAGCTTGATCGCGCTGGAGCCCAACTTGCCAGCCGTCTCAATGACGGTGATGACGCTAGACACGATTCCGAGAACCTCGGCCATTTCGAGGGCGCGCGCAATGGGGGGAAAGAAATTCAAGGTTCTTGTTTGATGCGTTTGATGATGTCGATGCCAGATTCACGGGTAAGGCTCGCAAAGTGTTGTCAGCAGTCACGAGAGAGGAAAACGCCCAATGAGGCTGAGGGCTGCATTATGCATGCACCATCACTGTGCCTCACGTTCAGCCCCATCAGGCTGTGAGCTGTCGTTACCAATTATCGATTGCATACGTACCAAATAATGTACGCCTATGTTCTGTCGGTACATTCAGTTGTGAGTTAGTTTAAGGTTTTACTCAATATTATCAGATAGATCAAAGACATACAGTAATTGCGAACAATAGAGCACATTTAGCACTACACTCCGTACCAGAAGTTACCGTAACACATAGAGTAAGGGTCCGCACATCTACAAGTTCAGTCACGTCGGGAGGAAAAGGAAACAAGTGGCGAATATAGACCTGGCATGGCAGAATGCAAGGCGTACATCCCCAACTTATCAATACACACCACTCTGCAGCCAAATATCTCCTCAAGACCTTCACATATCACATCACACTTTGAACAAACGTTTAATCTCCAAGTTCTTTCATTAATACCTTCCTACTACAAGCACTTATATAAACGCGCCAACACACCCTCACCCTTCCTTCCCTTCCCTCCTCTCATCTCATTTGCCAACTGGCACACAGGGGTATCTGCCAGGTCCAGGTATTTATCCCGCTCTTTTCCCCCACGACGCAGCAAAACAAAACAGGTGAGCCCAATTGGAAATCCCGCCCCGCCTCCATGACTTTCTTTCAACACCGTGGTATCTCAAAACATGTGTAAAAATAAAAAATAAAAAATGCGGGCAACCGATACACACACACAAACAAGATCGGGAAAATGCAAGAGACAAGTCCAAGAAAAGATGTGTAGACGTCGTCGCGGAACTCGACGCAGAAAAAAACAGATGGACAAAGAAAAAGTAGAGTGGTCTCGTCAATGGAGAGAAGAGGATGGGTATCCCGTCATCAGGTGTTTTCCTCCTCCTCCCCGAGGTAGGTAGGTAAAGGTATTAGTACAGCGTGTAACCCGCCCCGATAGAAGCCAGTATAAAAAATGTCATGATAAGAAACGCTTTTCTTCCGGTGTTGCCTTAGAGTCTAATGTCCGTGTCGTCGAGGTAAAAGGTCGTTGGTGAACCAAGATGCTGCATCTGAGCCTGGTGGTGGTGCATGTACCCCTGAGGGTTCGAGGTGAAGCCGTGAGCCGGGTGGCCCATCCGCATCGGCAGGTCGTAACCCACAGGCACGGAGGTGGGGATCATCTCGGCGGCGTACATGGCGGGCACCGGGGGCACGGCCTCGGTGTCGGAGGCCGGGCTTCCGTAGATGCTAGTGTTCTTCTTCTTCGGTCGGAGGTTCTCAAGACTGAGACGCTTCCCCCAGGATCCGGGTCGCTTAGAGGGAATCGGAGTTGCGGGTCGGACGGAAGAGGTGTTCGGGGTCATGTAGACGTTGGTCATAATTTCGTCTTGCTGGTGGTACTGCGGTATAGGGCTCATGTTGCCCCATTGTTGTTGGGGAAGTTCCTGTCCGGGGAGGATGTAGGTCATGGTGGCGTCGGCAAAGGTGTTCATCTGGTCGGGCGCGAACTTGGGCGCACCCACGGGCCATACCGTCTCGTCGGGGATGGGGAAGGGAGTACCAGGGTGAGGTCCGGATGTCAGATCGTCCTGGATCATGGGCTCAGGGAGGCCATCCACGGGAGTACTAGGGCGAGTCTCCTGCTTGATCCGTCGGGCAGGGAGGTTGTTGGGTTGAGGGGTTTGCGGTTGCTGTTGCTTGTGAATGCTGGGTGCGGGAGTGCTCGCGCTGATGCTTGAAGAGTCCGACTTTGGCTGCTGCGACCCTTCAGAGTGACCCACGGTGTCCATCAAGCACTCGGATCGGACGGGCAAGGGGAACTGGAGGTCGATCTCGCTAGGAGGCGGTGTGTTGGCGTTGGTGAAGGGCGAAGTACCGAGGATGAAGGCGAGGCGGACGAGGGTTGAGATATCATCGCCGAGGTGTCTGGCCTCGAGCATGCGCTTGAGGTCACCAGACGATCGCGGCCTCCAACTCAATTGCGTCCTCCTCTCCTTGGGCCAGATGCACGTCTTCCAGATGGACTTGACCTTGGATTGGCGCATCAGGTTGTGCAACTGCACCTTGTACTCCCAGTTGTTAACGTCAAAGCCATCCTCAAAGTGCTTGGCAATGTGCTCAAAGTACTTGTCACGGCTAGCCATTGCCTGTTCGTTGTTCTGGGCCTCGAAGACACGGTCCTTGCAGTTGGCGAAGCCACAAGCAAAGACAACCTGGGGGCAAAGATCCGTCTTGGCCGAGCTGTTGGGCAACGCATCCATGCGGTGCGTCTCCTTGGCGTGGGTGCTGTAGGCTCGCTCAGTAGCAAAAGAGAGGTGGCAGCCCTTGGTCTTGCAGATCCAGATCGTATCGACGCCGTGGAAGTTGTACAGATGCTTCTTGAAATCACTCTTGCGGCCAAAGCCCACGGGGTTGTTGTCCAGGTAGCACATGGGGCATTGGTACTTCTTGGAAGTCGGTGTGACATGTCGGGGAGATGGGTTAGAAGTGACATCGCATGAGGGAAGCGGTGATTGCATGAGCGCGGGTGAGTCGAGCCAAGTACGGTCGGGGATCTTTCCAACATCACCCTCATGGATCGAAGGGACGTCGGCGTTGGCGTCTTGCCAGGTGGACTGAGTGCGTATCGACGCGGCATCAGAGCGGCCATGAGAAGCCTCGGAACTGCTCCAGGTGAGAGAGGGTGCACTGGTGTTGCTGAGAAGAGTGGTGGCCGAGAAGGTAGAGGCACGGGCTGTCGTGTGTGAGTTGATGTGTCTCTACGCCCGGTCAATGAAGGGAAACTTACATGGCGTACCGACACCGCTCAGGGCGCAGACGAGACTGGAGACGCCATAGCGACGGACGAGTCCCAGCAGGACTTGCTGGTCATCGTCGGACAAAGGCCTCACGGCCTGGTCGTCTTGAACAGGGAAGGGAAACATGACGCTGGTGTGCTCACCGCTCGTGTCGCTTGACAGGGCGATGATGCGCGCTCAGCGCTGGGAGGGAATGCGGCAGCGGAGTCGACGACGGCAGTCGAGGCGAAGCCGTGTAGAAGCCGTGTACGGTGTCACAAGTCGAGTGCTGTGGCGGTTGACGATAAGACTCGCATGGACGTTCCTGAACGGAGCAAGAAAGCAGCTGGACGCTGGTTCACAGTCAAAGTCGATTCAGTGTCGTGGCGGAATGCAGCGTTGAAGTCGTCGGGTTGGTGAATGAGCGTTGTCGCGATGAGTTGACGGAGGGCCGGGACGGTTGCCTGGAAAAGCTGGCCGGGAAGGGTTCGAAATGGTCAGGGGCCTCAGGTGGTGTGGGTATTAAGGAGAGGAGATCGCCAGCCCGCGACAATTAGGAGAGCGAGGTGAGAGGTTGAGTCGAAAGGCGTTGCCTGGGTCGAAGATCGGGAGTGCTGGAGGTTGTGGTGTAGTGTAGACGCAGGAAGCGAGGCGGGAGTACGGGAGGGCGGGAGGAGACAGAAACAGAGCAGGGCAGAGACAAGAGAGGGGCGAGGGGCGCAGTCGAGCAGCAAAAGACGAAGCAGAAGCCTTCTAGAAGGCTTCGAAGAATGCTGGTCTCCCCGTGAGACATTATAACGGGCTTGCCGGAGCACATCGCACTCAGTCGGCCCACGTTGGCCCTCGACCCCCTGACTAGCTCGCCGTCTAGTCGCCCTCGTCGCTCAAGGGGCCCCGGTCCAAGGCCAACGCCGTTTCAGGAACGTCATTTGCAGAAGCCTTTTGCCCTTTTCCTCTCTCACACACACTCCCAAGGGCCAGAGCCCAGGGCGCTGGTGAAACCCGCCCTTCCTGCTCGCAAAGAGGAAGGTCCCCAACTCCCCCCCAGGTCCCGCGGTGCCATGGGAGGGCGAGTGAGGCCGAGGGGGTGGCCCTCGCATGCATCCCCAGATGGCGTGCCCAAAGGGGCCGTGGCGGCCACCACGACACCACGACGCATCTGGATGAAGGTTTTGGCTTGGGGGCTCAGGTTACACGCAGCCCGCAAGGAATCCCCTTGGACGTGTGGGCGCCGGTGTGTGATGGGCACCCAGCGCTGTGAGCCTACGCATCCAACGCATCCCTCGATAGGTCGTACCGTAAGGTAGTTAGTTCAGTAGCACAGGAGCACGTAGCACCGAAGCACCGTAGTACCGAAGCACCGTAGCACTGCACACTCGTCCACCGGGCAGTTCGCTCCTCAGTAGCGTGCTTGGTCCCTCGCCGGGCCTGTCCAGGCGTGGTGGCGGATGGGGACGGACAAGCCCTGACTATTGACTCCCTGGGGCCTGGCCGCCTGGGCAAGCCATCATGACCGATTGATTGAGTGAGTGGCCAAGCCTCCGGCCCCTGGCCCCTGTCTCGAGCGTGATGAGCGCCCGCAAATTGAATTGGCCCAGCCTGCGTAGCCTGCGTCGCCTGCATAGCCTGCGTCGCCCGCGCCCACGGCGTCCCATCCGCTGCGTCCCCTGCAGCGCCAGCATGCGAGGCCGCGACAGTGTGAGCGATTGCTGACCCAGCCCGTGTGCTGCCGCGTGCTGCCGCGTGCTGCCGTGTGCTGCCGTGGAACTCGTGGTGCAGAGCCTTCTGCCGTCCTTCTAGAAGACAGCAGCCATGGCTGAGAACTAGCACATTGTTTGTCCTCGGGATCATGGAGAATGGGATCCGTGGCGAACCGTGCTGATGCGCCGAGAGTGTCTTGTCGCCCCCGTCGCGCGCGGGTGCGGACCGTTCAGTGAGGATTGCTCCCCCGAAGATGGCATTCCGATGGATGGCTCTTGCGGGAAGCCACCACAGCTAATTGATGACGGCGCTCCAGTGCCAACAGGAGCGCCTCCATTCTCGAGATGCAGACCGGCTGGCGACGGTCGAACTGTAGAAACACATCAATGCCGGATCTAGTGCTGTTTCCTCCAGGCCAACGCTCCTCCTTGTGCTGTTGCTTCTGAACCTCCCACCGCCCTCGCATGCTGTCCAATCCAGTGCATCCGTCGACTCGGTTCTGCCGAGCACCGGTCCTCCCACCGGACCCCCAAGTGTAGATTGCGCTGACCAAATCGAAACGGGCCAAAACCAAAAGGCGCACGACTACGGAGTACGGAGTCCTAGGGATGTACTGTGGTACAGCGTGTGTACGAGCGTCCCCACCAAGTTCACCCACTGTGCCACCACTCTCACCTCCCCGTTCTCCACGACTCGGCCAGCCAGTCACCGAGTCGTTCAGTCACCCGCGGGGCCACTGCAGTGCAGCATCATCCAGTGATCCACTGGCCCCCATGGCCGAAACGAGAGCGAGAATAAAGAATGGATGGACCACTGCCCGCGATGGAGCAGATGGAGCAGGAGGATGCAGAACCAGCCTGGGCACACACATAACTTACGTATGTACGTATTACAGTAGTACTGCGTACAGTAACTAGCAAGCACACGACCCGCAACACGCAGCACCACCAGGGCACATGCACCCAAAAACTACGACACACGGGGGCTAGCTTCTGCGCAGGTCAGGCTGGACGCGGGCCACCAGACAACCCTGTTTCAGCGGGAAATGACGCTGGGCCAATCTCTGGTCGCTGCTGCAGCGCCGTGCGAATAGAACCGACGAGGGCCCCAAGCAGAAGAGGGTCGAGAGAGGGTCGAAAAGGGCTGGTTGAATGGTCCATTGGGGCCTGGCAAACTGGGCGGGGGGCGTTGCCGAGACCTTGGGTGCGGAGCTGAGCGGCCGCGGTGATTGGCTCAGCGCGGCCGTCATACCACGAATGCAAATGCCTTCCTAAATGGAGTTGGCCCTTGGCTGGACGGGAACCTAACTCTGTAGTCGTCGGCGACTCCAGTGGTGTTTTTTTCACTCATCAGGCGTCCTCGTGTGGTTTCGGCCGGCCCTCTTTTTTGCGCAAAGTGGCACGCTGCGGGCTGTGGGTGTGCGGGTACGCGAATGGATTTGTTGCGTCAAAGTGGTTCCCCTGGCGTGGCGCCGAGCTGCGTGAGTGTGTATTTTTGTACGTACAAACTACCTAACCTGCCTTACGCCAGCCAGGACGAATCGATACGGGCGATGGTAGCGTTGGACTCATGTTGGTCCCGTCTCAGCTGGAGTTGGCCGGGTGGAGTCGTTGCTGGGTGCTTGATTGATTGACAATGGATCTTCTGGCGACTAGTCCCGCCGCCCACAGCCAAGCCCGTCATCATTTATTTCCAGTTGCTGCACCGCGTGCGCCGTATCCGTACCCCGTAACGAAGGCGGGCGAGAGCCGTTGGCATTGGCGTTGACGTTGGCGTCAGTGTTGGTGGATGTTGGTGTTACTTACAGGCCACAAGGCCACAGGTTAGTGTGTTAGTCTGCTCCTGGCCCTGGTCTTAGTGCGGCCATCGGGCACCCGTGACCCTGAGCAAAGAGAAAAAAAGATTTGACGGGCTGCATCACAAATTTGCTAATCGAGACAAGTCCAGAACTCGGCGTGGAAGAAGCAAAGTTTCGCCGCCTGCTGCTGTGTCTCAGGCTCTGTCTGGTCTCTCAGGCAGGGGACACGGAGCCCACCAAAGTGGACAGCTTCTATTTTTTGTTCGACAGCGGCTTCGGCGCAAAAAGAAAGGAATGGAGCAGCAGCAGCAACAGCAGCCCCATCCGCAACAAAGCAAAAACCAAAAGGGGACAAATTTTTTTTTCTTTTACAGATCTCCGATTACCCTTACCTGAACGACCAGGGGAAGCGAATGATCCCAGTACGCGACGTGGAATTGCATCTCGTTTCCTTCATTTGGATCCTCTTTTTTCAGGTCTTTTACGTCGGTTGCTTCGCTTCTTTCTTCCACTTCGGACTGCTCTTTGTCATGCTAACCCGGTGACGGTGGAACTGCTAACTACTTGCTGCGTGGCTGCGGCTGCGGCTGCTGGCCATCCTTTCGGATCCGATGGGGGGGGCTGCTGGTTATTATTACTATTATTGCTTTTTTGCTTTTTGTTCTGGAATTTTTCTTCAGCTGCTTGCGAAGGCGGGGTGGATCTGGCTGTTACAGATTGACGGAAACGTTCTTGTGCGTTGGGTGGCGTGCTGATGCTGATGATGATGCTGATGTCGAATGATAATGCTGGCATGTACTTGGTCAAAAGCGACAGATCTCGCCCGCACATCTCTGCTTGCGGCGTCTGACACGTATCAGGCCAAATCGAGCCGATCCTTGATGAACCGGGCATGCATAGCTGCATTCCATCCATGGCTCTCTCTCGTTCATCACACCCTTCCATTGCTCGCTGGACCACAACCCGCATGGCAATGATAGCTAAACCAAAACTCCCTCCCAGCGCAACACGAACAGACGCGCTTTGATTTGCCTCAGCCGGGCGACGAGGGATCTCCCCCTTGCTCGTTCTACGTCCTCTGTGCCCCCTTGCCCTTGCTGACTACCTACTCTGTCAGTCATGTCATTGCGCCTTACCAAGTCCAACCTTGCCTCCCGTTCCTCTCGCTCGGCGCTTTGCTCTTCCTCTGCTACGGCCGGGACCCCGGTCCTGCTTCTTCCCTTTCTTCCCCACCTTTTTTCCCGCCCGGGTCCTGTGGTTCCGATTTGCTGGCGAGCCCTTGACTTGCCCGGTGGAAGGATGTCCTTCCCTGGCTTGTCCCTGTTCGCGTCGTGTCCTGTCTGTCTGTCGCTCAGACAAAAACCCTCTTCCGAGTTCTGAGTTCTGAGTTCTTCGCTGCCAGGGCTCGCACCGACCCGTCTTACGCACTCTAGCAGAGTCATGGTGCGCGTAGTCATCAGTAAGACCGAACTTGGCCGTCCACTCACACGCTCGCAGCCACGTCCCCGCGAGTCTACTGCAAACATGACATCTGCCTCCGTCGATGCCTCCGTCTTGGTCGCACCCTCACGTCGCACAGTCGCAGAGTCGCACAGGTGCATCACGTAGGATTCGTCTGTGAAATATGTCCCGCAGATCCCATTTACCGGACGGGCGCCTTGCTTGTCACACCCACGGCCACATGGCACCTCCGTTCCACACCAGCCCTCTCCTCTCTCTCCCAACTCAACTCAACTCGCTGACTCACTCACCTTGAAATCGAAAGAAACTCGAGCCAACTCAAACGCATTCACACACGCAACACCCACATCCCATACTTCAAACTCCCTAACGCCTAAAACGCCGATCCCCCAGGTCCATGCCCAAGCCCCCGGACCGCATGGCCCAACCCATCCCGGCCCAACCCAACCGCAACCGCCAGAACCACAAACCAAAAACAGCAATGCCTCACACTTGGTCGGGCTTCGACGCCCGTTCCACGTGCAACTCCGTCCTCCGTGTCCTCCGCTGCCCCCGAACGTCAGCTTAGAGTTCGCTGGATCGTCGCGTCGTTGATATCATCTCGGCCTCTTTTTCGTTTTTGCTTTCGCTCTTTGAGGCCTGTGTCCCTGTCTCCTCCGTCTTCTCCCTGTATGCACCCCAACTAGCCCGTTTCCATTGTTGCTTCGGTTTTTTCACTTTTCACTTTTCGCTTTTTTACTTCCTGTTTGCCTCGTAGTCTGCCTACCACGTACGGATATCCGGAGTAGTATCTATTTGTATGCCCTTGCTTGATTGATTGCTTGCCGTCGTTCCATAATACGGGGCGTTCCTCATAATACCCCCAGATATAGTCAACCCGCCCCTCTTCTTGTCTCTTATCCCCCCCTGGTTCGCCTCGAGCACCCTTGTCCCCAAAAGACACACAGACACACACGCACGCACTCGTTCAGCTCAATGTTTGTGCCGGCGTCGACGAGAGAGAACGAGGTACTTCGTAGTTACAGTCAGGAAAGTATTTAGCATTCAACGCTCAGAGTCGCCCCTCCGACTCCAACCGTGTCACACTGTCGCAGTGTCGCCATGTCGCAGTTGGTTCAGGGGTCCTTTGATCAAGCGCTCCACGTGGATGACAAGCAGGTTCCCCTTGGAGCTCGTGTCATCCCCCTGCCTCATCGCCATCCTCCATGCGGATCCTGTTCAATCCTGCCTGCTTACGCCGCACCCATCCTACCGGTGACCATGGAGACACATGTACTACTCCGTATTGTTGTACAACCGAAGACAGGCATCGAGACATCAGCACAGACGACAACTGGCATTCTCACAGCCATAAACAGGCATTGCACATAGCACATAATTAGCAAGCTAACCATAGCAAACACGGCCCCCTCAACCGAAATCAGGCCTGGCGTAACATCCGCCTCATCCTCCCTCCAACTACTTACTGCCCGTCCTCCGACTCCCCCAGTCCCCCAGTCCCCCCTCGCAAAAACCCTCGGCTTCTTCCCAATCTAGCGACCTAGCGTCTACTATAAATCCTTCTTATCGCCAATCCAACCCTGACTAGGGAGGGGGCCACGTGAAGAGCGCCTCTCTTTCTCGCCGACCACCCTCCGCCCACCCACAATCGCGACACGCTCCGGATAATGCTGCCCCCGCCTCGAGGGGATTGGTGGCCTCCCTCCCGCTCGCCCCAAGCCTACGATGCTAGACCTGTTTTGGTTTGTGCCTGTATCAGTGATGTGATCGACTTGATAACTTATTTACTCCTCTCGTTTTTTTGTTCCCTGGCACGCGCGCCGCTCACACTCAGCTTCCAACCCGAATCATTCGTCCCGCCCCGGCAGAATCAACGTAATAAATTGCTCTGTACCGTCCAACGTGCTGTCGATCATACTTCCCCATCCCTGCTGTAGATAAAATAAATCCCAGATCATCCATCAATATCTCGCCTGCACAAACTACCTCTCCAGGGGAGCCCTTCTCCTCGCCAGGGGTCTACCTAGAGACCCGCCTCACCCCAAGGCCTCGACCGCCCTCAACCCAGCAACATGCCCCAACCTGCGTCCCAAAACCAGGCCATTTTTTTATTCCCTCGCAAGTAATCGCCTCCCCAGGACGAAAGCCACAATTATTCTAGCTAGCCTATACCTTATCAACTGCATCTCTATGCCAAGCCATTGGTCCCCGCGGCGTAGCCTGGCAATTCTCCGCCCCAATCCAACCAACGTCAGCTCACTAGAGGTCATTGTTGAGTAAACCCCTTGCCTAGAACCAACATCTGTCATTAGCCAATGCTCTCTAAGCATGGTGAGATAGCGCCATCGCAGAATATTAGTGATCAATTAATATTAGTGTCAGCAAGCTTCATGGCCTAAGTTTGCATCGCTCAAGTCATGTTGAGCCCCCTACCCTATATTCTTACTCGCAGACATCGGCCCGTTCCAACCTGATTTCATCTAGAACTATATCCGCGCGTTTTAGACTCTAGTCCGTCTGCAGTTGTCTCACCTTGACGAACCAGTTCACGAATATTGCTTTTTATAGATTCACATCGACAAATCGAACGATACTGAGCGTTGAGAGAAAACCACAAATCTCTTGTCTTCAAATCCGGGGGTATCAAATCCTACCACTAACTACACGCCACTCTTCCTCTCCAGTAGCTCCATATTCACGCCACTTATAGTGCTCCCCTGATGTATCCGCGAGATGCTCCCTCAAGCGTTCACCATTTTCTTTCACGCCCAGCCAGACCCATCGATATCATAAATGCCACAAACTTGCTCCTTTGCCCTGACCTTGAAGTGCACATCGCTCCAGATGATTCTCATCTCCGTCCCAATACATGTATAATAGGAAATGTCCAATGAGTGTATGTCGTGTTTCCATGCTGTTCATGGTGGTGGTATGTAAAGAAATACGCGGTTGGCTCGTCCTGGCCATGTCTTGATGTCGATTGTTGGTGACATTGCTCCGAAGAGAACGTCGCCTTAGGAGGTGGTGGTAAAGTCTATCGTTGAGAAGTAATACAAGTCGTTGAAACAAACGTAGTCCGGCGTTGGCCGTTTCATATACGTTGATGTGCCATAGGTGGTCGTCCGATTAGTATGCGTGGGCAGAGTCATATGAAAAGCCCATGTGTTGTTCCATAGGCGTTCCCGGCGTTATGCATGAGTTGTCGGGAGCAGGGCTTGGGATACCCCCGGCGCCGTACGGAGCCGAAAAGGCCTGCTCCTGCATATACCCGGCATCCATCATATCGGAATCGCCCATCTCAATGTCCTGCTCAGGGTTGCTGCTCGCCATGGACCGGAGGCTTCGGAGGTCCTCGGCGATGATGCCACCGGTGGATTGGGACATCATGGCATACTGCTGCTGCTGCTGCCGTGGGTCGAACATGGGTGCTGTGGGCATATTGGGGTATCGAAATTGAGGTGCCATTGTGCCTTGGGTTGCAACGTTGGTGGGGACGGCGTGTCGCGGAGGACGGGCAGAACGTCCGGCACGAACAGGTCCCGGCCGAGGGACAAACACCCGGCGCTGTGTTGCCATATATGCGGCCAGGTTGGGGTTAGCGCCCCGAGATATACGGAACTGATACTGATCGGGGTCCGGAGCCGGGGCCGAGGGCGGGAGCGGCGGTGCCCGGGACTTGTGTCCTGGAATCGGCTGGCGACATTCGTCCTTGATAGGGGTGATGAAGTCCTCGCGGTACTTTTGGATTGTGGAGGGTTCTGAGCCGAGGGCAATGGCGTACTGGACCAGAAGTTGCAAGTCACCCAGATGCCTCGTCTCCAGTCGTTTCCTCATGATTCCACTGGACTGGGGATGCCACTGCAGACGATTTCTCTCTTCATCATGCCACGACGAGTTGGCCCACGCATTCACCAACCCTGCCTGCCTCAACAAGTTGCGTATCCGAGCCGAGTAACTCCACTCTCCACTGTTGTTTCCTTCATCAAAGTGCTTCACAACATGGCCAACAAACTCCTTGAACGTGGAGTCGGCGTCGTCGTCGCTCGGGGATTCAAATACCGAGTTGCAGTTTTCGAAGCCACATGCGAATATGGTTTGAGGGCAAAGGTTGACCTTGGCATCATCTAAAGCCATGCGCGAGCCACCATGAGCCTGTTTGAGATGGGTCTTGTAGGCCGTCTGCCAGTCAAAGACCATAGTGCAGCCCCGATGACGACAGAACCACTGCGCATTCATATTATGGAAGTCTTCAATATGACGCTTGAGATCATTTTTGCGGGTGCACGTCTTCTGGATGTCCTCTTCGGCACAGAACCCGCAGGTAAAGGAGCCCTTTTGTTTGGGAGTATTCGACGCAGTGGTGGAATCGCCACAGGTGGTTATCGATGAGGCATCATCGTCCCGTATCGACGACTTGGTCGACGCTGCAGATGATTGGGACTTGCGGCCAAGAAGCTTGGCAGTTCGAGCCGAGACATTGGAGATGATGCTGCCGGTGACGGACGAGGTGTCGGAGGAGAAGGTGCGTATACTCGCAGCGTCAAAGATGCTGGCGGCGTCCTCGGACTTGACTGATGAGAGGGTGCTGGATGTGATGGCCGATGCTCCGTCGTGGTCTAGAGAAGTAGAGGGTTAATGACAACACATCCAGCTTTGACCATAAATAGACAGCTAGGGGTATGGATTCCTGATGCCCTCGATTCAATCCAAACCAACCAACAACGGGGCGGGCATGCCATCACGGAGAAAGTACTTACGGGCAATGGCCGGTGAAGTGGCCTCCTCGTCCATCAGTTGGGCTATGCCATCACGGCCATAGCGCCTCATCAGATGGCGAAGCAGTTGCCGGTCAAGGGAGTCGTCCTGATGCGACATGTCCGACTGCTGCGACATGCCGTCGGACTCGGCCCACGGATCCGGAGCCATGTTTGGGAGGGGGACGTGACTGTAAGAGTGGTGGAGCCCAGGAAAGCGTTACCCCAAGTCGATCCTGGGAAGGGCAAAGGTTATTGCGATGCCAGATCTTTCGCGTGCCGTGGTTTAGGCTGAATGGCGAGCGAGGGAGGAATGGTTGACGGCTTGAAGACGGCGGGGAGTATGGTGGCGGTGGGATGTGAGTGTGAGTGAGAGCCAAGGAGTGTGTGAGCGGAGGCGATAGGTTGGGTTGGTGATGGCTGTGGAATGGTGGTGGGTGGAGTTTTCAACCGGCCAAGAGAGGAAAGGAAGGAAAGGAAGGAAAGGAAAAGAGGGAAAAAGGAAAGAAAGATGAAGAGAGGCGGCGCGAGAGAGTCGAAATAGACAAGAGAGCACTGTCAGAACGAGGCCCAGGCCAGATGAGGCGAAGCGCTGCAGAGTGTGTGCGTGGGAGGGCCGTCAGAAGTCAGAAGTCAGAAGTCAGAAGTCAGAGCGACCCCCGAGAGCACAGAAAGGCACAGAGGCGTGGACTTTGGCGTTGGGGGCGTTGGCGTTGGATTTGGATCGCAAGTGACAAGCCGGAACAGGAACAGGACGGCAACAGGGGTGGTTGATAGCGGCGAACGTGGGCGAGCCCAGAGATAGCGGTACGCGACGCGAGAGGACACTCTGGGGTAATAGATACGAGCGACATCCACCAAGGATGACCCAGGGCGTGTCCAAGGGTGTCCAGGGTGTCCAAGGATGTTTAAGGGTGCCAAGGGCGTTTGAGTGGTTGTCCCAGGATCCAAGGATGGGTACCAGGTAGTCTGCGTGGGCGCGCAAGGAGAGGGAGAGCCGGACAAGGGGTAGCACGTAGGACGGTAGATAGCCGGCCGGGGGTGCGCTGAAGAGCCTTGTAGCAGTGAGTGGGCGAATGTCGTAGAGTGACAGTGGTCTTCGGTAGGTATCCGGGACGGGAGGGTACCTAGCACGAAATACCGTGATGCACTGACAGCAACCTTTGACACTTTTGTAAGTGTAATGGATCTGTGCGAAGACGACGGACGACGGACGACGGACAAGGCCGGGTTGGTTGGACTGCGTACGTGGAGCAAGTTGCGACGCCGAGAGCTGTGTGGACGAACGAACTGGCTATCCTGCCCTGGCCAGGCCTGCACTGACCTGCACTGACCTGCACCAACAGCGCAGGTTGGTTGCCCCGTCCGTGATAAACAGACGGAGCAGAAGGGGTCCCTGGAGGCCTGGAGGCCTGGAGGTGGATATCCACGGGGCCTTGAATGCTTTGGGCCTTTGCCTTGGGGAATTGGGCAGGAGCAAAAGCGAATGGAGCGCGATGTGACGGATGGTGAGGCTCGGTAGATGGAGAAGGGAATGAATGGGGATGGAGATGGAGAAGCAGAATGGAGCAATGGAGACCCAAGCGGAGTCGAGTGGAGGCGACGAACGGACTGCACCGAGATAGAGATACCGCTATGGAGACAGGATGGAGACACCTGGAGCTAATGATTAGGTACCAGCAGCCGGAGTAGCACCAGCACCGGGGCCAGCATTTGGCACCAAGCCAGCACCAGCTTGTGGAGAAGATCCGAACGATGACGGGATTGAATGTGTCGTTCGTCCCGGCCTTGGTGGTCTGCTTTGATTTGGGGGCGCCGAGTATCCAGCGCCGAGTACCATGTACTTTGGCTGTGCCTGAAGCCTGAAAGTGGCTTGCGTCTGACACGGGGGGGCCGGATGGAAGAGGTTCTAGGAGCAATAATACGGCGAGGTGGAACTTGGATGGAGAGGATGGCGCTCAACAGCGAGTGAGTCGAATCCAGCGGCCAGCCAATCAATCAGTCGTGCAGTGTGAATCCGGACAAAGTGTTGATGAAGGCGGAGAGAGCCCAGGTCAGATCGGGCAACAGGGCGGGCTGTGCTTCCTGGAGACAAGAAGGCGGAGAGGTGGACCTGTACTGTAGCCTGGAGAAGGTACCCGTGGGCTGCTGTGGTAATCCACTGTCGAGGTTATTGGCAGCCGTCCCCACCACTAAACTTCCACTGGATGACGCCGACTGGGTGCACTGTAACCCCTGTTGTCAACGTCCACCAGGGGTCCAGGCTTGATCTGGGTTTTACTGCAATTGGAACTGCAACATTTGAGGGATGATTTCAGAGAATGAATGAGTGAATGGGTGTGTTGCCAAGGGAAGAATGGATCAGCATGTACACGTAATTTAGAGAGTCAAAATAGACAACGCAGTCAACTAGGGCTCTGATTCACTCTCCTGCATACCATCCGGTTCGGTGCATCCCGCGTTCCACCATGTACATATTCATTCACCCATCCATCCATCCGCCGCCACCGACTCAGGCTGTGGCACTGCGAATTAATGCGACGTCCAACCTCGGGGAATTTTCCAGCCATTTCTGTCTCATCCAGGTTCAGAGTCGAGAGTCACAGTCGAGAGATCCAGGGCTGGATAGCAAAATATCTGTCAACCGGCGATCCCGGACCGGGGTACTCTCACTCATCGACAAGTGAGCGTTGAGGCAGTGAGCACGCGCATCTGAGCCCTGTTGCAGGCTATCTACTATGGAGTTGCTCCAACGATATTACCGTTACCTACAAGGTTCACTCACAGCGTGACACAAGAAAAACAACCCCTGCCTCCAAAAGCAAAGAGAGGCACGGAGAAAATAAAAAGAGAGCCCTATCTTGGCTCGTTGGAAGACCGGAATGTGGCATCTCTCCCGGGCAGGATCCGGCCCTAGACCTCTGGCCATTCCCAATATTTGGGGCTCACAGTGGGCACAGTGGGACGCGGTGGGACCCAGGGCCCAGCCGTGCCCCCGGAGCCAGGCCCAAGCTTCGCCCCGGAGGAGGAAGAGGATAGCGGAGGGCGAGAGGGCAGCGTGCTTAGGTGAAAGCATCTCGTGATGCGATCTGGGCCAAGGATCACGGACCATGGACCCACGATCCTTGGTCTGGAGCCGTCCAGGACGTGGTGGGCGGGCCTGGGGAAAGTCAGTTTAGTGCATGGGCCAAGGCTTAGATTGGGAGCCGCGCGCAAGTGGGAGGTCGAAGAGAGAGGGAGCGTGTGAGTGAGTGAATGAGTGAGTGAGTGAGCAAGAAGCGGCGCGGCACAGCGGGTAGCCAGCTCGAAAGCTGAGGTGAGGCTTGGGGTTTCGCGGGTGGTTTTGTGTGACGGACGGCGTCCAAGCCACTGTGTAGTACGTACAAGTGAGTGGTATGGGAGGACCATCTGATCGATCCATATCTGGAGGTACACAGGAATCCGTGGGGGTCCCGGCTCGCAACTGAGCACAGGGGGCAGATCTCATTCAGGGATTGATGGTTGATCTCTGGATAAGACGATGGTTTCATTTCTGGGTTCAATTGCATCGTGGGAGAGAGCCACCGAGCGAGAGAAAAGCCCGTTCGCATCCCAGACTTCCCCGGACCGCCGAGAAACCCTGGTCCAGCTGCGAGCATCTCTCTGTCCCTCGGCACAGTGGAGTTGGGTCGCAGCAGTGTGTCGGCATCGACTGCGGCTGATGCCACCCGGGGAGGATTTTGTACATGATACATGGCGCCCAGCGCGTCCAGCGCCAGCGTAGACGCATTGCACAACGTGCTGACTTGCATTCTCATTCTTACAGGCTGTCCGGTGGCTGCAGCAATTGGAACAAAGAGGCCGCAGAAGAAGGCGGCCGGGCCACAGACACTGGCCGGAGAGACACACACCATCGTCAGCCCGAATGATAACAGAAGCCACCCCGGAGGGAATGCCACCCACCACGCCGGCCACAGCCCAAGCCGACCGCCCACAGAAGCAGAAAAAGAACCGAACGCAAGGGGGGTGTGCGGCAGCGCTGCAAGTTGATGCAGAGACGCAGGGCACGCAATGGCATGGGAATGGGGGAATGCATCTGGGCGTCCAGGGCTTCATTGGGTGGCGTCGGGGCTGTGGCCCAATCAGGCGCCATCCTAGACTCGCAAGCTAAGCCCACCCCGAAGCGCAGCCATGGGCCCCCCAAATCCACCCTCCTCGCATTAATCACCACGACGCCAAATCGTTGATAAGACGCCTCCCTCCCAGAGATATCGACGACGCCACCCATAATGGGATGTACGTACTCCGTACTGCGTGCCCTGATCTTCAACGGGTACCTCGCCAAAGCGTCCTTGCAATGTACTCTACCTCGCGCCAGGACACCGTACCCAGCAGCCGCGACAAGAGACGCCCGCCTCACCCACGAGCCATGGATCTCATCTGTTTCCAGCTTCTTTCACCCATCCGCCGCCAGGGGAAACCGCATCCCTTTTATCATCCTCGCGCCTAGCGCCTGAGACAACGCAGATACACATTTACACTCCAAAAGTCACAAGACGCACAGCAGCATGGCTCCTTATCATCAGGCTGCCCTTTTCCTCTCCGGCGCCCTGATTGGCCGCCCCGGCCGCCCGGCTCCCATTGTGAACCCTGCGTTATGCGGCTATGTTCCAAAGGGACTCGCTTTAATTCTTGCGCCATGTATCTCTGTCGTGATCTCCCCGTGGCACAGCTGCGAAGTGCAACTGTAATTCCGAAGCTATGACTTCCAGCGCTGACACATGGATGGGCCGCCATCGTGTAGTGGAGCGGTAGGCTGAAAGCCTGTCTCGCCGGCCTTGCCTTGCCCTCTCATGCTCTCATCCTACGAGCGCCGGCTTGGTTTGGCCTGGCCGGCCTGCAACCCTCTCACCGGATCTTGTTGGACCGGTGTGCACGCCAGAGCTTGTGACGCCGCGTGTGCTGCTGTTGGATCTTCTTAACCGTGGTGGTCCAATGGCGGTGTCGGGCACGACTCAGTCCCCGACGGCCATCGGGGGGGCACGAACCTACAGCGTAGCAGGTACGAGGCCGAGACTCTCGCCATCTGATCCGATTCTTCCGTGCCGTGCCGACTAGAGAAATCCGGGGAAGCGGAGCCGATTTACCTATCCCAGCGTGCGTTGTTGTGTGGAAGGGTGATGCCAAGGATGAGGTTTGGTTGGTGGCATGTCGGTGGATATCATGGTTGCAACAACATGCAGTTCCTATCTCTAACCTCACAACGACGCAATAACAGCAGATGGACTTGCAATATCATTAATTTTGCACCGGGGTTTGAGGTTGAGTTAGCCCGTCCTACCAGATCAGCTCACAACCCCTCGTTCGTTTATCGTTCAAACATGATCATCTTGGCTCAACCAATTACACCAAGATAGTCAAAGCTCCGGTTTCTCCCAATCCATTCCCATCCACCCCCAGATAGCTAACCATATTGTGCTGAACACACCAATCAAGCCTTCAAAAACTCGAGGAGATCCTTGTTGACCTCATCACAGCAAATGTTGGGCAGCGCATGAGGGCCTCCAGGGTAGACCTTCAGCGTACCCTGCGGCAGCACCTTTATCGCCTTGAGGGCCGACGACTGGATCGGGACAACCTGGTCGTCGTCGCCGTGGAGCAGCAGGACGGGAATGTCCATCTTCTTCAAGTCCTCATTCAGGTCCGTCTCGGAGAAGGCCTTGACGCAGTCATACACGTTCTTGAAGCCGGCCATCATGCCCTGCAGCCACCAGCTCTGCACAAGACCCTCGCTCTTGACGACGCCGGGGCGGTTGAAGCCGAAGAAGGGGCCGTTGGGCACGTCGAGGAAGAACTGCGCGCGGTCCTTGACCATGGCCTCGCGGAAGCTGTCGAAGACGCCAATGGGCAGGCCCTCCGGGTTGCTCTCGGTCTGCAGCATCAGCGGCGTGATGGCGCTGATGAGCACCGCCTTGCTGACCCTGCCGGTGCCGTACTTGCCCACGTAGCGCGCGACCTCGCCGCCGCCGGTCGAGTGGCCGACCATGGTGATGTTGCGGAGGTCCAGGTGCTCGATAAGCTGGTTCAGGTCGTCGGCGTACGTCGTCAGGTCGTTGCCCTCCCACGGCTGGCTGGAGCGCCCGTGGCCGCGGCGGTCGTGGGCGATGACGCGGTAGCCCTGGCTGGCGAGGAAGTATGCCTGGCTGTCCCAGTTGTCGGCATTGAGCGGCCACCCGTGTGAGAAGGTCACGGGCTGGCCCTCGGGGTTGCCCCAGACCTTGTACCAGATCTCGGTGCCATCTCTGAGAGTGAGGGTGGGCATGATGAATGGCGGCTTCGGAATTGAGCGTGTAAGTGCGGATGGCCTTTGATGAATTGCAAGTCAGCAATGAGTAAGTCGACGATATCAGTGAGTCTCAATGTCTCCAACCCCCGGCCTCGAGCCCCAGCTGGCCGTTATTATAACTCCATCGCGACGATGACTGATGGTAGTCGACTCTGACTGATGGTCGTTCAGCCTGACGTAATGCCCCAACATGGTGTTTTCGGCGACAGTGGCGACGGCTCTGACGGCTAAATGGTGGACTCTACGAGAAGAAAACAACCCGTCTGCGTCTCGACCACACCCTACGCCGGTAGCCGCATTAGAGCCTTGGAAGTGGCCATCCACCAGCGAGACTCCCGCCTGCTAAAGGCATTCTCATGGCGATATCATCATCGCTGTCTGGAGCTAAAGGCGCCTCTTTCTCAGCACTTAGCCAGGGTTCTCGTAGGCGAGGCCATTGCTATTGGCGCCCCACTCCGCATGGCCAAAATACAGTGAGCTAGAGCAATGACGTAGGCAACACCACTTGGCAAAGCCGGGCCGTTCAAACGAGAGTTGTCTGGAAAGGAAGCTCGAGTTGCAGCTTTCGCCTCAGGGCATCTTGGCGTAGGCGTCGTTGGAACCGATATCCGTAGACAGACCTAACATCCGTCTTGGCATCGCCATGGCCGCCTTAGCGGTGCCGACTCAGCCTGATCTCACCACGCCAGAGTCGACTTCACAAGACAATAATCCTCCTCCTCAGCTAGAGCAAAACGTCATCAACAAATCCCCATCGCCTCCCTTCAATCCCAATCCTTCCGCGGCGCAGCCTTACCGAACCATCCATCTCCCCCCACGGCCTAGCCAAGGAACAAAACGAATGACCTGCATATCCCTCACACCCCGACATCATCTCCGAGATATATGCGATTCCCGAACTGGCTCTCCGAACTGACTCCCCGCGTCAATGGGTGAATGTAGATATCCAACCCCAGACTCGTAGTACCACCACATGCGTAGATAGCCACTGACTAATTAGGTTTGGCTTCTCTGGGCCTTGCATTGTATAACCTCTCACGGATGTAGGACCGAGGCCAGATGAAACCTCTTGATAAGCTCATAAAGTCACCCCCAAGAGAGATTGGAATACACCCATTTCCTTTCTGTAGCTACTGCTCCCTTGATAAGGCCTAATCAACTTGCATACACGAACTCATGTGAACCAGTATTTGATTTAGAACTGTGCATGACCAGCCGACCCTCTACATCGACATCGCTCACACCTCAGAATACCTACCCTAGACTGCATATGGCAAACCGCCATAAACGTGACAATGCATGTCCCCTGAACGGTGCACGGTGATTAATCACATATCAAACAACCTCAAGTGTCCATCCAGTACTCTATACAAGACGTAACTTCTCAACAGATTACATGTTTGGCTGGTGTCTCACCGCGTATCTACCGCCATATCCGGCACAATGCTCCGATGCAACCCCCTTAGTTCACGCCATCCTGGACGTAGTATACCGCACTGCCCGTGGCTGGCCGACTCACCACGACCGCCCCGGCCTCTTGCTCGGCCGTCAACTCCCGCTTGGCAAAGTACTCCTTCTCCAGCGCCTCCGTGACTGCCGCCACCCGGTCCGCCGGCACCAGGTGCACGCTGCAGCCGCCCCATCCGGCGCCGGTGACCCGAGCGCCGTACGCCCCGGCCGCTCGCGAGATGGCGCAGATCTGGTCCAGCTCCGGGCAGCTGCACTCGTAGAGGTCGCGGCATGACGTTTGCGTCTCGTTGAGAAGCTCGCCGAGCTGTTTGTTGAAGGCCGTCGTATCCGTCGCACCAGTGTGGACGGGCCGCTCAAGGAGGGCCATGAAGCTGAGCACGCGGAGGGCTTCGGAGAAGACGTGGACGGCACGCTGGCGGAGCTTGAACCGCTCGGCACGAACGGGCAGCTTGGACATGAAGCGGGCCTCGAGCTCTGGGATAGTGATGTTGAGCGCCTTGGCCACTTCCTCGCGCGTGTATCCTTCCTCCTGTGTCAGCGTCTCCTTGGTGATGGCCAGCAGCTTCTGGAGCTCCTCCTCCATGGATAGGCTCTTAGCAGCAGCGTCGCCCGAGCCGCTCTGGTTGCGGAAGAAGGCGTTGTGGAAGCCCTGCAGACTGACACCCAGGGGTCCAGCATCCTCGGGCAGCTCGACGCCCGCCGGGTTGAGGACGGCATTGAGGTAGGCCGCCGCCATGCTGCACTCGACCACGCGCAGGTTGTAGTGGATAGGGCCAGTCACCTGCTTGTTGGAGGTGACGAAGGACTGGACGATGACGAAGCATAGCTCCGGCGTCGTGGGAGGGAACTTGACGGGGCGCGCAGAGAGCTCCGGGCTGAACGAGACGAAGAGGGCGGCGCCTTGCTCCGAGAAGACTGAGGCAGACTGGTCCATGCTATATCAAGAGTGAGCAACGGGGAAATGGGTTGGAAGTTGGGGATGGACAATGACATACCCGCCCGAGTTGACGCCTACGGCACGCTCGCTCACGATGGCAAGCTCAGTCAACTCCTTCTTGTCCACCGCCTTGTTGCCATTTGCGACCATGACGGCGAGCGAACTCGCGCTCACGACGGCAGCGCTGGAGCTCAGTCCTCCACCGACGGGCACGTTGCCATCCACAAGCAGCTCCATGTCGACGGGTCGGAAGCCCTGGCCATGCTGCTTCCTCAGCAGGTTCAGCACGCCGCGCAGACCGCTCTTGAAGTAGTTGGTCCACTCGAACTTGGTCGCGTCAATCTCGACCTCCCCGTCGATGGGCAGCTCGAACTCCTTGGCGGCAAACTTGTCGTCCTCGACGTTGGCGATGCGGATGCGGAACGTCTTGGCATCCGGCGCCGCAGGCTTGGCGGCGACGGCGAGCAGCGCGTCGGCGGTGATGGCCATGGGCAGCACCGAGTACAGTGAGTAGTCAATGTGCTCGCCGATGATGTTGACGCGGCCGGGCGAGCGCGCGACGAAGCTGGCCGGGTGGCCGTAGAGGGCCTCGAACTTGGTGACGAGGTTGTTCCATCGCGGAGCCTCGGCGACGAGGGCGTCGGCGGGATAGATGTCGCTGAGGGCGCTGGCGATGGGGACTGGGCCGGACATTTTGGTCACGGGTGAGGGAAACGGCCAAGATGCCTTTTGGAGCTTCTAAAATGCAGAGGGAACTGGATCCAGGCGGGTTTGCGGCCTTGTCGCAAAGCACGAGATCTGGTGATGTGATGATGCCCCGCGGTGACCCCTCGTGTTGTAGAGGATGACGTCGCTTCTCTGAGAAGCAGAATGCAGTTTCCACGGTCTGAGCAGTACACAGTCAATGCCTCTCGTCTTGCCAAAGCCAAAAGTCCTGTAGATGAAGAGATGCAAAGAGCGCAAGTTGGTCGTCCCACCAGCACGATGAAGAAAAAGGCGTTCCGCCGTGGAGTGACCCTCACCTGTCGGCTTCGCGGGCCAGCTCCAACGGCCAGTTCCCCCGCCATGTTTTTAGTTATGCGCTGGCTAAATGGGGGAACTCTCCATATCCCCACCTATCGGCGGTTTGTCCGGCTTTACCGGCCGGAGCGCGTGCCCCTTTGCCATGGCTGGGCGCGATCCCACTCGTAGCATTGCGCCTCGCCGGCTCGGTGGACTGACGGCGTCGAAACGAGTGTTTGCGTGACGGTGTGCGTGATCGAATGAGGCCTGGGTTTGATCTGTTGTTGGGCTGTTGGGAGTTTCCATCGCACGGTTGCGGGTTGCGCTTCGGGGGTCCCGCTAATTCGGGGTTCTGAGGCCCGGATTTCGACACACTTGCACGGAGCTTCCGTGGAGCTGAGGAGATGTGTTGTTTGTCAATGGAGAGTAACCGGAACTGCAGAGCCTTCAAGCTCGTATACTTATCAAAGCTCGCAATGTCAGACTTTTACGTTGGAGCCAGGCTGTCAGGGCCGCAGTACTGAATTCACTTCAGCCTCCGTCGGTCCTTGATCCCCCGAGCAGTCTTTGTGCCCCACGGCCAATCAACCGAGCAGAAATAGGCGCTGGTCTAACCACAAGGGGAATCCTACAGGAACAAAGCGACGACCTGCTGAATGAATGGTGAGAATAACGGCGACTAAGAATGGAGTTGGCCAAGGTGAAGCTTGCCGGCTGCCAGCTGCCAGCTGGTTGCCGTCGCGCCGTCCAGGCTGCCAACAGCTGTCAGGGAGTTGAGTCAAACCGATCATGACCAAAGACTGGTGCTTGCTCAAAACACACGACTGGATTATTTCAACTCAAAACACATTCATTCACTACCAACGTTCTCTATCCAACCTACCTCTTGCCGCTGGCCGAGTCCAAAACGCGCATCATGGGTTACCCAGTAAGGGACCTCCAACCCGGGACTCTGTACCTGACCATTTCCACCTCCCACACGCCGGAGCGCGACACGGGCAACGTCCACGACTACCACTCATACCCCCCTAACACCCTCGACCCGACCATCTACGAGACATCGTGCGCCCAGGGATACGGCAACGAAGAGTTCCAGTGGGGGCTCTACTGGCACCGCGGCCTCGGCGATGGGACGTGGTTCATGCTCCACCGCTTGCTCTTCATCCCGCCTGGCGGAATCCCCGGCGTCACACATCCAATGTACATCCTCGACCAGCAGGAAATGTCACAGTCTCCGCGGCTTTTCGCCCACGTTATCGGTCTCGTTCGCGTTCTCCGGGTCCCAGAAGCACTCGCTACCGACCTGACATCCTACCTCAACTGGCTGGCGCCACAGGCCGCCATGCAGGCCCACCGCAGTTTTATGTGGGCGTCGTCGGTATATCTTCGAACGCGACGGCACGTGGCCAAGATGCAAGGAGCAGTTGACCGCGGGGCGGAGGGCTTCGACATCACGGTGTTATTGTACGAGGCGCTCAACTTTGCGTACGGAGAGGTTTGGTACGGGCTGTCTCGACAGTTGCCTCGGCCGATCATGGCATCGGATGCTGGGCTCGCGATGGTCTCCGGAGAGGACAGAGAGTCGGACCGGGATCGAGGGAAGGACGCATCGTTAGTTGCGGTCAATTGAGCGTGCTCAGATCCACGAGACCATTGGTTGAGTTGAGGGCCAATGCAGGCGTCGGAATCCTGTTATCAGTTGGCCAGACAGAAAAGCCATGGCAAAGGATGTAAGAAAGGAGTCGAATATGCAAGGTAAGTCTCGACGCCTAACGCCCTCATTCTTTCTCACCTTTGGGCTGGGATGGTAACAATATCACAGGTACTGTAACCTCGCGTATTGCAACACGTCGCACAATCACGCTCAATCGCGACTGGCGAAACGCGCAGGATAATTGGAGGGATTGATGCGGTACTGTCGAGTAGAAATAGAAGTGCAACATGGATGGAAACGGGCCATCATGTCATGAGCAAGATTGCGCGGGATAGAGGGTGTTACAGAGGGAAGAGAGCTGGGATTACGTGAGAGCCGGATCACTGCAAATGTACGTCATCGGAATGTCCTTTTGAAACCCCGCCAATAGCAACCCCTCCAACTCCCCTCGCTGGTCAGTTTAGTATTGTCTGTGCTTGCGATGATCGAAAAGCCCCGCCAAGGCCCTGTCGATGTGTGTCTCAGGGCCAGGATGCTACTGTCTGGGTCTTGGCCTCTTAGACGAAAGCAGTAATGAAAAAATTAATCGACGTCAATAGGCGAAGGCCGTCTACCTTGCAACCGAGCTTCTGTAGCTTTGAATATCAGAGCTGCAATCGTAAAGTGTTTGCCCTGACTGAGAATATGCCCAGCTGCACAAATGGGATGTCCACAGGTGCCTTTTGATGCCGTGCTCACCGCATAACCGGAATAGATGTGCCGTGCCCTTCGAGGCCCTTGTTTGATGAAACCATGGCGTTGGGGACGTCGGTGGGAGGGTTTGACTAAGCCTCTATGATCAAATCAGCGTCTCAATACAGGTGACAGACCGGGGAGTTTGACTTGCGCTTGGCGGAGGTACATCCAATCGACGATGGGGCTCAACGCCATTCGCTTGGGCCGCGCGGAAACGTCCAAGAGCCAAAGGCGAGGCTACGGTCCAGACGGGGCCCAGACGGGGCCCTCATATGTGCTCTAGGTACCTCACTCCCGAGCTGAGGCACGGTTTTGAGCATGTTCATGAGGCAGCTTCCCTGTCTGAGTGCTGGGTTCCCGTCCTGGGCGGCCGCATAGTGCTAAATACACCAGCCGAGGTAAGGTCAGTGAATGGAGACAAAGCGGAACGCGGCGAGCCCTGAAGAAGTGGAGAGTGACGGGAGTTGAATGGGGCACTCCGAGCGTGAGCTAATGCCGGAGCGGTTCTCGCCCACGCAAGGTACCTCAGGTTTGTTAGGTAGGTAGGTCTTGCCACCTGCCTGCCACCTGCCACCTGCCACCTGCCACCTGCTTGCCTCCTCTCCTCACAGTAGGTATAAAAGTCGAACACCGTCCCAGTGTCACATTCCAATCCTGCTTCTCCACCTCTCATCATCGCAAGCTCTCACAAATTCCACACAACAAAAACCACCAACTCCAACCAAAATCCCTTTCAAAACCCATCATCATGTCTGGCTGTGGATGTGCTTCCTCTGGCTCTTGCGGCTGCGGCCCTAGCTGCACCTGCGCTGGCTGCCCTGTAAGTTATGGTTTCCCCCGGACTCTCACCCAAGCCAGGTCTGGCTTGGTTTATGGAGATGCTGTGGATGACGAACGCTAACGACTGCCAATCAAGCACAAATAAGCTACCCACCCCATGGACGACGAGAACCTTGAGGACCTCGAGGAGTAACGATTTGGGGATGGCGTGGACAAGTTTGAAGTCGACTGGAGGGAGTCGGGCAAGGCATGGATCCACTCGTTTTGTGCCGGGAATGGGATAATCAGAGACTCGCCAGAATGACAATATTCAGATACTGGTAGATCAACAAGAGTCCTCATAGCACATCCTCACCTCTGCATGCTTTGTAACTGTCTATGTGAAGTGATGTTGATGATTGGAGATGTTTCATATAGTCTTAGATGCCCACCAGTATCCAACATCCCAGCACATCCCAGCACATCCCAGCTAGACACTTGGGGATTGACATTCCCCCCCCCCCAGCAACACCCTCTCCATCAATATAATGATCTACTTATTCCCAACGATGTGGCCCAGCAGGGAAAAAAGCCAGGACAGGACTCAATCCCGTGTCATACCGCTCCTCCCTTACAGCCAACCTCATCCCGGTCTCCCGGTCTTCGCCACTGTGCTTCTCGTTCGCCTCCTCCACGTCTTCCACGTCCTCTACGTCCACAGCAGTCCACTTCCTCTCATGTATCCTCCCTCGGTGGTATGCGACCAACATAGCCTCCCGCAGTAGTCTCCCACAGTATAGCATGGCAGCTAGCATCGATATGGCAAAACTCGCCTGGGCAACGTGACAGAAACCCCGAGTCCCTGCCCAGCCATCTGCACACCCGCGCGTGAGGTACCAGGGGTGCGCACTCGGGTGTTTCGGGTCGGAGAAGTCCCCTGATGCCTGGCCGGCGAGGCTGATGATCCAAAGGAACGCAAGAAGCATGTCGTACAGGATGGTGGCATAACGGGGGAGGTAGTCGAGATGGGCCATGGTGCCGCGAGCGAGGAAGATTACGAAGCTGAGAATGGCGATGGCAAGATTTGAGTCTGTCAACCTGGACTCGTAAACAAGTCAGCGAATGTTTTTGGCATTCCGGGATGGCCGTTTGGCGACAGTTGTCTTTCAGTTACTTACCTCTGCGACCAGATCAACGGAATCTCGGGCGGCTCGAGATGGTTGGCATAGAAGTAGATGCGTTGTTGAGGATTCGAGTTCCATCCTTCTACGCCCCCATTCCCCCACAGTTTTGACCTGAAGCGATCCGGATACGCAAGACCAAAGAGCACAACTGCGGTCGTGGCGATGATCAACTCAAGGCCCAGAAGGACGATGGAGAGCTTGGTCGGACGGGCCATCGTGATGCAAGGGCGGTGTCTCTTTAGACGGCGACGAGGCGAGTCTGAGGAACATGGCTGCGAGCATTGGGCGTTTATTACTGCCATGAGAAATACTTGATGTACGATGTGATGAGCGCTGTGGTGCGTGACCGACGAGGCCAGGCAGGTGAAACTTGCTCATACTCCCGCACAGGGGCCGTATGGGTACTCTCCGGTACTTGGCGGATAAACGATCACTTTAGTAATATGTGAGTCCGATGGATATCGAAAGAAGGTCCTGTCGGGGGCGGTTGGGAATTTTTATCGTGCAACGGTATCACCGGTCGAGATGGGGCCCTTGGGTGGCGATGTTGGAGAGGAGGCGTTGGAGGAAACGCGGCGTCGAGGCGCTTCGGGACTGAACTTTGTCTCAGACATAGGGTCTCACTGGGCGAGAGGCGCCTCGAAGAATAAAAGATGAATTTGATGAGCAAATTCACACTTATGGACTATTCTTGGCATGGTGGCACAGTACCTCCGTCAGGGAGTGGAACAGCGACCGTTCTTGATTCCGGCATGTCAACCACCAACTCTTGGGAGACTCATCCCATGTGGCAGTGTTAAGCACTCGGTATATCTATTATACTAACTATTTGTTAAGAGCATGGGATCCGCTCTGTGACATCCATGTCGGACGAGGAGGTGCGTGCTGTCCCGTGTGGATTAAGATGGGAGTTCGCTCCCGTGCATAAACTCTGAGCACAGAGGTCCTTGCACGACATGGGAAGGGAGATCATATGATGTTTGTAACCTGGCCAGCGGGAAGAGGAAACTTTTACTTGTGAGGTCTTTAGTATTGTTTGCTCGGTCAATTTTGTTCCATCTGGAGGATTTTCTTGTACATGAGGTTGTGAGACTACTTGAAGACTAGGATGTAGGTTGTTTGGGTGACAAGTTGTGCGAATAGAGAAGCTATTCGACCGGATGACGTATCGAGCACCGATGAAGAGTATTCAACCGTCGTCTTATTCACGAATTTCTCGCCTGAGCTGCACCATTCTTGAATGTTGTTTGTTTCTTGACGAACTCGCTTGTCGCTGTGGAACTGTCAGCCCCCCTACTCTGATTGGCTGGCCGCCTCCATCCGAATCTGGATGATGATGTAACCCCCTCCACTCGGAAGAAGCAAGCCGCATCTGGAGCTGATGGCTCACGAGCAGAAGTTGAGCCAGCGGCTTTGGCTGAGCTTTACCCGAACATCAGCGCTGACACCAACCAACCACCGCCTGGCCGCCTCAGCCAAGCAAACGCGCGCGTATCTTTTTCTTCGTCTGCAGCATTTGATTATTGCTTCTTGATTCACGTCCTTGTCGTCTTTACGATGCAATGAGATAGCCTTGCCCGCCCGACCCAACCCGACCCTGCCGTTTCCGATCGCCATCGCCGTCGCCCAGAGATTCCGGGCCGCACGCGACACACACGCTCTTACAATGGCGCCCAACACCAACAACTTGGATACCGCCGACCGCTCCGCCGCGCCGCAGAGCCTCGAAGTCGACACCCCGCGCCGATGCTTCATCTGCCTGACCGATGAGGAGCCCTCCGACCCGCCGTCGTCGTGGGTCGACCCGTGTCCCTGCACGCTCGAGGCTCACCAGGACTGCATGCTCTCGTGGGTCACCGACTGCGAGCGCTCCAACAAGCCGCTGCAGTGCCCCGTGTGCAAGTCGCAGATCCGCCTCGAGGGCCCCTGGGATCCCCTCGTCGCCCTGACCGATGTCGTCTCCTCCAAGTTTACCCGCGCGAGCCCGTTCATGCTGTTGACGTCGGTCACTATGGGCGTCCAGTTCAGCCTGCAGATGTACGGTGCCTGCGCCATGTGGGCCTTTGCTGGACGGGAGTCGTTGGTGCAGTTCATGTTGGGTCCGGAGCTGAATGTGGGTGGCCAGAACTCGAGGATCATGAGGATGGCAAGCGAGAGACTGGGCAACGCGCTGATTCTCATGAACGTGGGTCCGGCTTTGCTCCTAGGACAGTTGACTCCGTGGTTGGGCAACAAGATCTTCCTCCCTACTGCTTCATTGGTATGTTCCACTATTGTTGCCACGAGCGCCATCTGACATGTCTTTCTAGTACGGCGTCTACCGTGTCATGCACGATGATCAATTCCTAGCCTGGCCTCCTTCGCCCCAGATGGCCATGACCATGTTCCCTTACCTCCGTTCAGCATACCTCAACTTCTGGCGGGAGTTTGTATTCCCCTACGAGGTCAACCTCAACCGACAGATGCAGGGTCTACCCGCGCTGGAGCCCCGGCCGAACGAGGAACCGGCTAACAACCAGCGGGCTGCCCAGCGGAACGAAAACGGCGGCGTTCTGGGCTTCCTGAATAACCTCCTGGATGCGCTCGAGCCCGACGACGACGACGAGGGTGGGGGTGATGCAGCGGGGCAGCTGAGAATTGCCCACGAGGAGGGTAACGATGCGGAGGGGAACTTGGTCGTTGATATCGTCATCGAGGAGGTTGTCGACATTGTTGAGGAAGATGTTAATGAGTTTTCTGATGATGAACAAGATGGAATCGAAGGCGGCTGGGGTCGACGGGTAGACCAGCCCCCGGTACAAGCTGCTCCAGAGGTAGGACGAGAGCCGGCCGCCGCACCGGCAGAACCCCCTGCGGACCTCCCTGCGCAGCACAACGAACACGAAGCTCCGCAAGCGCCTCCGGCACGCCGGCCTGGCCTCGGAACCATTCTCTCCGGCGTGTCCAACGCCATCGTCAGCGCCCTGATCCTACCGGGAATCTCGTACGTAATGGGCGAGCTGCTCCGGCTGGCAATGCCCAGGTCGTGGACCACGATGCCTAGGAATCCGTGGTTCCGCACCGTGGGCATCATCCGACCGGGCCTGTTCCAGCAGCAGTGGGGACGCAGCTTGGTGGGCGGGTGCTTGTGGGTGGTGATGAAGGACGTGGTGCGGCTGTACACCAAGTACCGCAAGGTGGCGGCCATGGGGAAGCGGAGGGTGAAGAATGTAGAGAGGCATCGGAGGGGCAAGTGAGAAAGACGCCCGAACAGATAGCGGCCCTGTGGGAAGCCTTGGTTTACGAGCTGGCGAAGCATTAGACGGAGTTTAGGGGGGTTGCAGAATTACTGTACAGGAAAGGAAAGGACAGGAAAGGGATAACGAGGGGATCGCATAGGACTAGCGAGACACCAGAAATTCAACTCGAATTATTTATAGGTATTTGTTTTGATATGTTTTTGGATAGATTGAAGGTGTAGTATGTGCCAAGCTGGTAGGAAGATGGTCTGGCTAGGAACCTGGAGACCCAAGGGTTCTTTGTAACCGGAAATGAGTTCCCAGCTCCAACCTTGCAAGCTGCCCGCCATATGATACCTAGCTATATAATCTCGTCAACGGCTCTTGACCTACCTACCTCCATCATCCTGCATCAACTTGTCTCTCCAATCACTACCTGATATATCAACGGTACCTACATAACGGTTAAGTGCTGCACACACCGGTTTGTTAGATATCCATCTGCCCCAAACTCCTCCCCCACATCTGCGCCTGTGCCCCACGTGGAATCTTCCAGCCCAAGGCCGAATCTCTTTCCAACATCTGGCCCGTGCGGCTGGCTTTGCTTGCTACCTGCTCTCTCACCGCGGGGCTCTGCTTTCTTCTTGTCTCTCCCGCCCGCCGACGACCCTCGTATCCTCCACACCCCGCCAACCCTCCAAACCCGTTCCGTATCCCAACCCGCCCAGCAACAGGTTCTGCCCGCCATGGTAAGTAATAATTCTTTTATACACATTCTCGCTTGGTATTCTCGTATGCGTGGAACGTACGGGCTGTGCATGCCGTGCGCATCATGATTCATGGATGAGTGGCTGATCGTGTCCCCTCATGGCTTCACCAGGCGTCCTCCCAATCCTCCAAGCAGCGCCTCGCGCTCGCCATCTGCGACTTCCTCGCCACGTCGTCGACCGACGGCACCCTGACGGCCGACGACAAGGACTCCATCGACGTCGCCATCAACTGCATCGCCGAGTCCTTCAAGGTCGACCCCGCCGACAAGCCCGCCGTCCAGGCCGCCATCGGCTCCCAGAACCTGCTGCAGGTCTACTCCGTCTACGAGAAGCTCAAGTTGTCAAACTCGTCCGCCGCCGCCGCTGACAAGCCCGCCGAGGCCGCCGACAAGCCCGTCTCCGAGGAGGACAAGAAGGCTGCCGATGCCCTCAAGAGCAAGGGTAACGCCGCCATGGCCCAGAAGGACTACACCCTCGCCATCAACCTGTACACCCAGGCCCTCGGCCTCAACCCCCTCAACGCCGTCTTCCTCTCCAACCGTGCCGCCGCCCACTCCGCCGCAAAGGACCACGCTTCGGCCAAGACTGATGCCGAGGCCGCTGTCACCATCGACCCGGCCTACACCAAGGCCTGGTCCCGCCTCGGCCTTGCCCGCTTCGCTCTCGGCGACGCCAAGGGCGCCATGGACGCCTACGCTCAAGGAATTGAGCACGAGGGCCACGGAGGCTCTGACGCCATGAAGAAGGGCTTCGAGACGGCCAAGCGCCGTGTCGATGAGATGAACATCGACGAGGACTCTCTGCCTCGCTCCTCCCCCGGCCTGAACGTCGGTGCTAGTGCCGGTGCCGGCGCCCCTGGAGGCATGCCCGACTTCGGTAGCCTGGCTTCCATGCTCGGCGGTGGCGGCGGCGGCGGCGGCGGTGGCATGCCTGACCTGGGCGCTATCATGAACAACCCCATGTTCGCCAGCATGGCCCAGAACCTCATGAGCAACCCCGATATGATGAACAACCTGATGAGCAACCCCCGCCTGCGCGAGATGGCCGATAGCTTCTCCAGCGGTGGCGGCATGCCCGACCTTAACAGCCTCATGGCCGACCCCAACATTGCCGATATGTAAGTTCATTGTTTTACCTTGCCCTAGTTTCGTTTGCGTCTCACCACAGCTCACTCACACAATCCTCCAGGGCCCGAAACATGATGGGAGGTGCTCCTGGCGGCCCCGGCGCGCCCCCGGGTGGTACTGGCGGCGCTGGCGGTGCTGGACAGTAAAGGTAACGGATGGGTAGGACAGTGTAGACAATACCACTATGACCGCGTAACGATTGGATCTAAGAGACAACGCGACACGACGTATGTATAAATGGGACAGTGCAGCAGCTGCGAATATCCCGGGATTCTTTTAATAGAAACTGCAAAAGCTCGCCTTGATCAATCCACCTTTACTGCTCCGGTCGTCCATCCATCCTTCACCCATACCAAGTAACCTAATAGTTAGTGTACAACTCCAGCAACCGGCCGTCCATATGATTGGAACCCATCCATGCATCCTTTTATCTAGCCATGATATTAAGTCATAACAACCCCACAAGACACCGTTGACTCTTTTCACTGTACCGGAAATGCTGATTCCTCCCTTTTTGTTTTCATGATAACCGTTCGTCCGCATGTGCTCCTCATGGTTGCCCAAGGTATATGAGAATGTATGTCGTAATGTCATGTTGCCTCAAAATGGAAAATGGAATAATACTCAAGTTGAATTGGTTGGTGTTACGCCGCCTCGATTGTTTCCTCGACCACGTCGCCCGCGGTACCAATATCCTTTTCCTCGCTTGCTACCTCGACTTGCACGTCGTGTGTTCATCTTCCCAGATTCGGCACTGTCGGGAGGACGCTCGTTCTCATCGCCGATGATTCTCTTGCCCTTATCGCCAGGGCTGTTCTCTGATTCTTCTTCCACATCGTTGATGCTCCCCATACTGACTGGGAGGGATTTGGTACTGATGCTCCGGAAAGAAGATTGGTTCTTGCGACCGCGGACGACTTCAGTTGGGGGTGAAGGGACCACAGTAGGTCTGATGTTGCTTGGTCCATCAATGGTATTTGTAGAAACTGGTTGCAAAGCAGTGGAGATTTGGCGAAGCTCATTAAGTCTGGGAATCTGCGAGCGGGGATTGAGATTGACCTTCATAGGAGGAGCTGAAGCGTGACGATGGGCCTGGATAAAGTTAGGATATATTGCACAAACGTCACTAGGCACAATTACCAGAATTGTTGGCTCTTCCAAAACGACTGGGAGAGCTCCTTGTTCCGCCTCTGGTTCCTCCGAGTCCTGAGAGGGCTCGCTTTTGGATTGCACCCGTCGAGAATAACAAGGGTGCTTCAGCTCGACAGGGTTTAGTTGAGCGACGTCATGCTCAGGCTCTCTGGTCTTTGACGGGTCCTAGGCGCCATTGACCTCATCTTCTATAGTTAGTGGCTGACTTGACGTTTATCTACCTCTTGGTGCACCATACCGTTCGCCGACTTGCTCTCCCCACTCCCCCCATCACGATTGCGGCGGGTTCTCCTCAGAGCACGATCAACCGCCGCCGTAAAGGCTTTCTGTCTTTCCTGTTTAGTAAGGCTCGTCACTACCGATCTCGGGTTGTTTTGTTTGTCGCTAGGTTGGGTTGAAGTGGCGGTCGTAGTGTTCATTGGTTGTGGTCCTAATCCTTCGTTATCTTGAGCCGCAACCTCGTCAGACCATCGCTGGCTCGTTTGTGGCGTAGTAATGGCCGTGGTTTTGGTTTTGGCGATTGAGTCGTCCGAGGCCGTCGAAATCTCCGTGGTTGTCTCCGGTTTGATCTTGGTAGGCGAACGCGGCGTGAACGTCGGGGCAACGGGATTCAAGCGGGATCCCTGCAACCAGAGGTTAGAATCGCCAAAGACTAGTTCGCTTTGGCAGAGTCTACCTCTTGGGTGCGCTTTGGCGTTGACGCCGCTCCTTCTTCGTCGACCTTTTGCTGTGAAGATTCTCCCACGTCATTCTGCTCGGGTCCTCCTTCGTCCTTCGCGGATGGTACCGGTTTCACCTTCGAAAGCTCGGTTCTGGTCTGCTCCGAGGATAAGTCATTAACAAATCCTGCCTGGCCAGCCGATGCTTCCGTGGTTTTGTCGTCGTCGTTGGGTCTAATAAACACCTGTTTCGACCACAAATCGGCATATCTCCCTCCCGAAACGATCAGCTCGTCGTGGTTGCCTTGTTCAAGGATCTCTCCGTTCTCCACCACAATGATTCGATCTGCGTTCATGATAGTTGAGAGGCGATGACTGTTTTGTTAGTTTCTGGGCTCGTGATGGGGCTTGTAGGGAACTCACGCAACGATGAAGGTGGTTCGTCCTTCACACAATCTCTTAAAGGACACCTGTATCTGTTGCTCGGTGTCTGTATCAACTGAGCTTGTCGCCTCATCCAACAAGACGATGTCAGGCTTCTTGAGCATTGCTCGAGCAATCGCGATGCGCTGCAATTCACCACCGGAGAGTTTTCTGCGTACATCAGTATGGGGTTCTCAAAAGCATGATTAGGCAAACACTCACACTCCACGTTCCCCAACCCGAGTCTTGTAACCTAATTGGTATTAGTTCACTGTTTGCTAAGAGGATGGGAGGAGAACTTGCCGTGAGTAAAGCCCTTGATCTTATCATGAATACATGCTGCTTTACACGCATCAAACACATCTTCGTCGCTCGCGGTGATCCTCCCATATCGCACGTTGTTCATGATTGTGTCATCAAACAGGATTGGATTCTGTGGGACGACTCCGATTCGATCACGTAGGCTGCTAGAGGTTAGCGAGAGTCAATAGGATCATACATATATTACAAACCTGAACAGGTCGACATCTCGGATGTCCTGCCCATCGATACGGATAGAGCCATCAGCAACGTCGTAGAAGCGATCCAAGAGCTTTATGAGGGTCGATTTTCCTGCACCAGTCGCCCCAACAAAGGCAACCGTCTGCCCAGCCGGCACATGAAAGCTGACATCTTTGATAATGCCCTTCTGCTTGTCATAGCTGAAGCTGACGCCATCAAACTCCACTTCGCCGGCGACAAACTTGAGTGGACGTGCCCCTTTCTGGTTCTCGACCGATGGCTTGGTGCGCATGATGTCCAAGAGCCGTTCGGCATCGATGAAATCATCACTGATATTCTTGCCCAGTTTCGCGAAGAATTGGAGCGGGGAAGTCAATTGAGCCCAGTACATCAACAACATTGCAAATTGACCAGCTGTGGCATGCCCAACTCGGATGCGGTAGACGGCCAGGAAGGCGCTCGCCAGGAGACCCGAAGTAAGAACGAGGGTTTGGAATCCAATCGAGATGTACCATCCCAGGACGTATTGTTGCTCTCTAAGCCAACGGTTTGTGACGGCGTTGGCGTGTCGATTATCTTCGTAGCCAATCTGATTGAATGCACTGACAGTCTGCCATCCGAGGAACCCAGATTGTCGGACATAGTGTTCCTCGTACAGGGCGTTGACGCGGTTTCGACTGGCAGCCTTGGAATTTGCCACGAGTCGACTGGCAATGAGAAGAAAAAAGATGCCTGTTGCGACAGTAATCAATCCTTCGTAGGGTCCAAATGTGATTGAGAGGTAGACAACAGCCACACCCATGTCGATCAACATCGGAACAGCGTACAGAAAGACGTTCTCAATAACGTTTGAAACAGCGCTTCCTCCATAAATCGCCATCATCATGTCGGATGAACTCTTGGAGTCGTGGAAGTCGGCGGAGAGATGCATCATGTGGGAATACGCGGCTCGTGTGAGCGCGTCATGTGAGTAGTATTTGACAGGGACCCAAAGCCACTGACGGACAAGCTCAATGCCTGATTCGGAGGCTGCTAAGCGAAGAGCCGCGAAAATGATGACAGATACCCATGGGTTGCTGGTGTTGTCGCCGCTCAAGCTGTCCATGATGATACCAGTCTGGCGGGGGATGAGCAAATGAAGGGCGTTTGATGCTAGGAGGCAGACGCAAACTGCGGCGGCGCGAACTTGAAGGCCAACGTTCCCAACGGGCCAGACATATGGAAAGAGTATCTAAAACGATTGGGTTAGCAATGCACATGGGAAACGAGGTGTACAACCCCCGAGGCTGGTCAAATGTAAAGCAAGCAGGAAATCGTACCTTGAACCCCTTCGCATATTCAATCCAATTTCCGCCCTCCTCGAGACGCTTCTTCATGGCCTCTTTAGCCTCCCTCTCGCGTCGCTCCCAGTTGTATTCTGGGGCCTCTTCAGTGGATTCCTCTTCGGCCTGGAGTGTCGACCCATACCCAGACTCCTGGCTATTTTGAGACTGACCGGCCGAACTTCCAGGGCAAGTGGTCGTATCTTTGGGCAAGAGGGATTGGCGTTCTTCGTCTGTTCCCACCTTGTCCGTTGCGGGAAAAGAGTAAAGTCCGGCGAGAATGAGGAAAATCAGGCAGCGGGTGGAAACCAAGGCCATGTCGATAATGTCGAAGGAGTGAAACGCGACGAAAACATCGTCAAAGGCAGACAGGGAAATGATGATGATTTCGAAGACAAAGCCGAGCAGCCAGGACCCCACGAAGGGATACGAGGTCGCTTTTTCGTCATCACTGTGCTGACTGACCAGGATACCAAAAACCAGAATGCACGACAAGTGGCTGATGATAATGTCATCTTCCGTGGGCCACACTCGCGTCAAAAGCGCTTGTGTACCGATGACACCCAGCTGGCCCGCAAACGTCAAGATGGAGAGGGCAGAAAGCACCCAGACTGTTCTCTGGCTGGGGCGGTTTTTCTTGCACTCAACGTCCTTCTTTCCCGTCTGGGCGTTGCAGACAGAGACGAGGGAGGCAACAAGAAAGTAGAGGAAGATGACCGCAGGGTATGCATAGTGCAGCACCACCAATGTGGCCTGAAGTGGTGAGACCATGGTCATGACGAACGGATGGAAATCGACGCGATTGACCAGAATAGGCAGGGGTTGGTTGAAGTGGCGAGAGTTCGATGTGAGGTGAAGCGATGTTGAAGGGGATGCCGTGCTCCCGAGATGTTGACCAAGCTATCGGCTTACTGAGAGCAGGGAACTGATGGTCCGCGTTGAAAGGGACGAAGAAGATGGAGGGAGTTTGGTTGAGGGAATTGTCGAGTTTCAACCCGGGTGAGGGAAAGAAGAAAAGGGATCCGTCTTGGTGCCGGGCCGTGATTGTTTGCCAGTCGTGCCCGCCGCAAGCACAGCGATGCGGGAACGGGCGTGAATGGCTTTGTCACCGATGAAAATCGGTGAAGGTCCAAACAGGGAAGTCACGACAGGGCGGGTGAAACCCCAGAGAGAGCTGGGGGGGAGCTGCGCCTGCCGTTATCAGTCCTTGCGCCTGCCCTTGCGCGGAAGAGGCTGGTTCCTTCCTCACGGGCCGAGGATGTCGTCTCCCGTTTGTTGGTTGTTGAGGAAGGCCCAAACAATGGCGAGGCGGGGGACGCACAATATTTCTTCTCCGGTTCAGTGTTGAGATGAAGTTTGGAGTCCCTTGCCACCCACTCAATCCGGATCGCCCGGGCTGCCTTTCTGACGGGGGGAGAGAAGAGTTTGCTGGTTTGGAGATGTGAACCACAGGTGATGGTGGTGACGGTTGATTGCTGACTCGGGTCGCTCGAAACGCTAACACCCGCTGCAGCGTAGTTGAAACAATCCTGCAAGTTTCCCTCTCTTGTTCACTTCCTCTTTTTGGTCCCAACCAGACGACTTCAACGGTGCAACACGAGATGATAGCAAAGAATTGCGACCTTCATCAATGTCCAACGGCCAAATGTAGCTTCTACCTCAGCCACACCATGCCCGGCGATAGCCAATGATCGCCGATTTTGCTCAAATCCCCGATGGTGGTGTGTCGATCAACGTGACGCTCAATGGGCAGTGGTGCTGACACTGGTAAGCTGGTCGTACGTGCTGGATTTGGTGTCGAATGCCCTTTGAATCCACCGCCTGCAGCAATTGCCTGTCGTCGAGATTCTAACGGCAATGAAGAAAAGTCAACCAGGGCGGGACTGTCCAGCTTGAAATACGACTTGGCCGGGACAAGAAAGTTTGGCGTGGGCCGTGGGTGACACTTCTCGAAGCCAGGACAAGGGTCACGTCGTGCGAAGCGATACCCACTCGAGCCTGGTCGCGGGCTGAGGTGCGCGTCCAAGGGCTGATTGGATTGCATCGGTCGGTGTACCAAGGCCTTGGATCGCTTCTCCGGAACCCCTGGCGAAATCTGGCCGACAGCGTCTCATAACGTCAACCGCTAGTGCTGTGGCATCCCCGACGCCATGCTGCAGGCGACCGGACCCGGACCCGTGGTGGATTGCATGCCTGAGAAAAGAGCGTCCTTCCAGCGCAAATGTTCAAACTCTTGACCGGTCCGTCTGCGTTGTTACTTCGAAGGACGAAGGGCAGCACGTTGCGTGTCCCATTGTCCGCATCCGGATCCGCCAATGTTGACCAAGTGGATGTTGGCGGGCCGGATCAGTTGATCATCGCCACTTTGGACAGCATGACTTTGCTCCCCAACCGCGCTTCTTCTGCCGGAAGCATGCCACTCAACCCATGTGTCAGTCACGTCGTACAAAGCCCGCGTTATGACCATCCAACGGGCGTCCGTCTGTCCGGAAAAAATAATGCAAGGAAGAAAAAGCAATGGGTCCGCGAGACAAGTAGCATTGACAGCATGGATAACCTGGTCTTGCTAGGCATGAAAGAGAGAAGAGAAGCTCAATCTGTTACCCAATGGCTAGCAATCCGACACGACAACCTCATCTTGTGGTCTGAGTGACGTGGGCATTCTCAGTTTCGTCACAACTCGCGATTCGTTTCGCCTGGCTAGTGCCACTGTCTGATAGGTTACTGGAGGCGTCCAAGAGCCGTTTTAATAGCGTCAGGCTGCTTCCGTGTCCACGCGACCGAAGCCCTGCAAGCCCAACGCGTCTAGACGGCAAAGACCCATCTGTCGCTTGCATTCACCGACTTTCGTACACAGACCTGTCATTATATGGCCCAAGACAACAGGGAGCGGTGAATGTCAGCATCCACCGCCAAGTTTAGAATGCTACAGCCATGATTGTTTTCGCGTCGCTTGCATTCTCCTTGCAGGCAGCACGAGAGTCCACAGCAGGGGGCGGGTGGGATCTGGTTTCACCCCACACTCCCACGATCTGCATGCCACGGAACGGTCCACTCGTTCACCTCAAGGAACACAGCTGCCATTCGTTCTTCAACCCAACCCATGGATACTGGTAGCCCAAATTGTTGGGGGTTTCCCATCGCAGTTTTGGACAAGGAGAAAACGATCTTGCCACGGTGGATTTCACGCCTTTATTCTGAGAGCTCCGCATCGGTCCTGTCAACCATCCGCCAACTTCGAAAGCCCAACCTAAATTAATGCCCGATCCCTCAATACAAACTTCGATCCCAGGCCTCGCTTGTGGTTCCTACAAGTGGGTCATTGGTTCACACACTGACCACACTCAAATCGGTGAATCTCTTATCTCGAGATTGTTTGCCCCAAGTTCCTCAAGCCAATATAGGAATCGCTCAAAGCATCGGCCTCTCTAGGCACAGCTCACCCCGTAATTTGAGCTCCCCTGCTGGCTAATGCCTGGTAGTCGGAAGTACCGGGTTTAGCCACATCGCGAAACGACATGAAGGGTTGACACCACGGGATAGGGCCATGCATCAACTCACAACGTCACTGACGACTTTTTGCAATTTGGTCCATGAAACTCCATGTCAGCCTATTTGCACTAAGCTGTCACATGCTTCTCAAGGCTTGATATGGTCTGAGATTATGAATTGAATATCATTTAATTCGGCTCCTCATCAAACCCACTCCGCGAAACCCCCTTATGTACAAGACGATCACCTCCGATAATTGAAAGCGCCGGCGACTGCTCGTCAGTTCTAATATACATCACACAACCAGGATCCAAAAGAAGCACACAGCCCTAGAGGCAAGATCAACGTTATTTTTTCCCACCAAATTTTGTGTTCTCGCCATTTTTATCGACCAAGCATCACTATGGGTGATATCACTGAAATCCCCATTGTGATTCCCAGACCATTCCAACCACTGGCTGGAGCTGTGGCCCCGAGCTAGCAAATACTCCTTGGTCGCATCGGGACAAGGAAGGTATATCTGACATGGATTGGCTCGAGAGCATTGGAGGTTCTTTTTGGAACGGCTCCAACACCATGTCAAACATATCATCTTCGACCTCCGACGACCTCGAGCCTTGCTGGAAAGGATCAGTCCATGTTGGTGGACCGCTTTCCATCTCGGGTGTTCGTATGCTTAGCGAATCGGTTCCACTTGTTCCGCTGCCGCTTGAGCCCCGATGGTATGAAGGGGTGGGTCTGTCCGTAGGGAGTTGGAAGGCTGAAGAGCAAGACAAGAGGCCGTCGACGGACTTTCTCGCTTCGTTTGCGATGTATTTTTGAATGAGGACGCAGTTGCAATCGGTGTGCCGCAGGAGCTGGGTCTTCAGATGGTAGATTTCGGCAGTCAGTTGGTCGAAGGATGTTGAAAGGTATCGGTTCTGATCCTCCATGGCCTGCTCCCTAGAGGCGAGTGCTGATGCTTCATCCCGTTTACGCAGGCGACACTTTGTAGCAGCGACCCGATTGCGTTCGAGGATGCGCCTTCGCCGGGGATCTTTTGGAAGCTCTTCGTCCTCATCGCTCTCCTCCTTTTGAGTGCGGCGTGCCCTTGTTGACTCTTTAGGTTCGGCTTTAGCTTTCCGGCCACGCTTTCTTGGTTTCGGTGCATCAGGAACGGATGCCGAGGCACTGGATGCTGACACGGTTGAAGTTGCTTGGGATTTCCGTCGGTTTTGGGATCGGGTGGGCGGTTTCTGTTCGTGTTCTACGGTCGGTAAAACTGACTGGGCAGGTTCATGATCCTCGGGGATCTTCGCTGCCATAACGTATTGAGGCGGGGGCGGCGGAAAGCCAAGACCAACCTCTGTCGGGATTGGGGAAGTGCCGAGTGCTTCGTCAAAGAATGAGGCATCGGCCACTTGGTTCATCGCTTGTTGATATACCATGTTGCCTCGAGATGCGGGGGAAGATGTGTTGATGCGGTATGGTGGAGGAGGGGTCATCAGGCATCCCCCTCCTGGTGTCGAGGTGATCCCATCGAAGCATTGGCCAAACGAAAGTTCTCCCGGTGCCATCGGAGGCCAAGCATGGACGAAGGCTGCCATCGGAAATATAGGTCCACGGATAGCTGTTGTTGATGTTGGATATTCGATTTACGTTGTCTGCCGGTTGGGGTGGGCAGGCGATGACGGGGTTGACTGGTTGGAGGTCGGTTTGCCAATGAAGACGGCACGCTGGGCTGTATTGCTTTTCGATACTGTCTATTCCTTGCCTAACAGCAGTGGGGGGTGAGACAGTTGTGTCTGGATCAGGCAGAACTGGGAGGCGGTTGGGAAGAGGAGGAAGTCTGGGTGAGTGGGTTTGACGTGTTTATATGAGTGGGCCACTGGGGGAACCGACAAGCAGCAATTCACAGCCGAGATTTGAAGGAGGGGAATTTAAAAGTATCAAGTGGGCGTGGGAAGATCGAGGGCGATGGGACACTCAAATATGCATGGCATCTCACAAGCCACCAACTGCCAAGGTCGGAATGCGACACACCAGGCTTGAGCTACGAGAGCTTTGCCACACCAGACCAGGACGGGGACAGCACACCTGGCTGCAACCCACGGTAGTACGCCAGGAGGGGGGAATAGACTTTCTCCATCAGAAGCTCGAGGTTCAGACATGTTTCTGCAAGGCGATGGGGTCAGCAAGCCAGCGAGTCTGAGTTCATGGAGTTCCGATTGGGCCACCTTAGCGGAAGTGGTCCGGTTGGCATCCCTCATTGCACTGTCGAGACTCCGACGCCCCGATGCCAGCTCGAGCACCCGTGCTTTGTTGATGGCAACGGATGGTAACGGCATCTCAAACGAGGGGACCAAGCCGCTGTCGCTGCCGCAATGTCCCCTTGCCCTTGCGCTGCGAGCGGCCTTATCGGGCACAAAGAGGAGCTACAGTCTGATGGGGCCGCGCGGGGCGAGCGGAGGGGAACCACACGGTGCCAACGTGGAGGCCGACAGGGCGGACCCTGGATCCTTGTGGCGTGAACTCCAATGAACTGGGGCATTGGAAACTGGGAACTGCGAGCTGGGGGGGGGCGAGCGAGGTGTGTGCCATCTATGATTACCATCCCCAGGGCCGGGGGCAGTGGCGTTTACATTTGCCTCCTCCTGGACAATACCATGGCAGCTGTTGCCCCCTCCAGGACAAGTGTGCGGACATGGTTTTCACGGACCTTGGGCTAATGAACCTCAATATTTTGCAGCTCTTAGGTTTGACGCCTTGCTATCCCAAACGGGGTCTTGGGCGACGCTTTCTCGTGATTCAACGTGGCAATCGCCGTTGTGGCGACAGAACGAGGCTATGGTTCGAACCCAGGCTCCAGGAACACAAGACAACGGGGAACTCCGTCCGCTGGGTACGAGATTTGTGCAAGACGGATTTCAATGCTCGAGGATCGATCTAGACTCGGGAAATGTGCCGCCAGAGAGTTGAACAATGGGCTGATACTGAACTCAATCGCACTAGTCACTATCACCCGGAAACAGCATCTTGCATCGCTTGGACGTCCACAGTGGCTCCCTCCCTGACCCCAGCAGCTCTCGGCCGAAGCGTTGCGCTCCGTCGTCGTATGGGGCATCGGGGAGAAAGCTTAGCTGCTGAGACGACTGGCACCTTGGGTGGAGAGAAGAGGCGACGAGGTTGCTACCACCCGATCTCCGTGCGCTGTAACTGGCTGGGGCCGCGCACTATTAGCTCCGATCTAGCTGGCAAGGAGCTGCTGTACTCGATCCAAATTCGGAACTATCTCAGAAGCTAAGTCGGATGCCGGCTGGCGCAGGCGCACAGCCCTCGAGTCTCAGCCGACGTCGAGCGTGGACAATTGGGACGAACTCGACCAGCTACTCTTAACGCGCGTCTGGGAAAGCGGGGGCTCATCCTTCATCTCTCAAGATGCTCTGTTTGTGGGTGGTGTGGTTCATGGATTTGGGGCCCGGGCTGGGCCATGATATGATGGTATCAGCATATTGGAGAGAGCTACCGACATGATCGCTTCGGTTCGCGAATGACGGAGAGATTCCGAAGCTGATGTCATGGCAGAATGATGTTACAAAAAGGCGAGCAGTCACAATCCAAGAATTGCATGATCTCGGATTGACCACTCAGGCCACAGATCTTAGATGCCGAGAAGCAGGGAAATCGATGCAGCTCATCGCAAACGAACCGGGATGGAGGGTACACAGGAACTCGCCGACGCCCAGCGCTGCATTTCCAGCCCACAATACGCCACCCACTGTCGCTTCGGTATAGCCGCGAAGCCAGCTCGTGAAAGCGACAAGAAGTGGCTTTCCAGTCATATGCTGAAAGCTCAAAAATAAGCAGACATGGCTTTTTTGGCGCTTTGTGGTCCAGACCATCCATCTGGATGCTGACACCAAAACCAAGGTTCAGCCGAGTTCCCTGCCTGGCGGGTGGCCGTTTCGCCTCCACCCTCGCTCGACTCTGGCCCTACCGAGGTCACCTACCAGGGGCCTGTAACAGGCATCGCGGATCCCGAGAGGGTCGCAGGGAAAAGAAACCTGCGAGCCCGGGTGTGCTCTGAAGATGCAGCATGGTTGGGTGGTGGTGTGGTGGTATGAGCGCCGGGAAAACAGAGCCTTGCAGGATCGAGACAGCTCGAGACAGCTCGCGACAGCTCACCAAAGCACTAACAATCTTTTGGCGTCGCGGATCAGATGGGAAATGGTTCAGTGGAGGGAGATGGGCCGTTCTCAACCGTTGCGAGGCATACCGGGCACGATCCATTGGCCGATGTGACCGTCAAGCTTTTCCTTAGCTGATGACGAGGAGATTGATTGAGGCTCTCGAGATGTGCCGATCCTTCCTAGGGCCAACAGGCCAACTAGGCCAAGACATTCACCCGTTGCAGATCCGGAGGAGAATAAATCGCTGCTCTGCGTGCTAGCTGCTAATCCCAGGGCCAAGTGCCTTTGTGTTTGCCCTCCACAGCTCCACAGTTCCCACTCCTCCCACGATGGAGGCTAGTTGGAGCCAGCTACGTTCCATTGGGGATGGCGACGTTGGAGAATACTGGGCCTTTTCTCCGCAGCCAGCGTACAGCGACAGGAGCCACCGACGCCGACGCATCGGAGGGCGCCGCCAAAATCGAGGCTGGATCATGGATGCTCCCCCAAGCCTCTCAAGCGACGCCCTGGCCCCCCAGCCAAGACACGTTGTCTGTCATGGTTCCTCAGAGTTTTTCGACAACGCGCGAGCGGACGAGTCCATACCACAAAGAACGAACGAACGAACGCCTACACATGGCCAGCTGGGGCTGGACTCGTAAGCCCGCATGACGACCCCGCTCAGCAATGCGACGTTAATATGGTGTTGACGGGGAAGCGATCCGCCACGGATCTAAGGGTTTGCCTCACCCCTGCCCGCTGAAGCTATTCTCAATCCAGGCCGTTGCTTTGCTGGTGCGCTGGGACTTGCCACCAGGGGCAGTAGGCCCGATGCCAAGAACCCCAAGATACTGTACGCTCGTTCGCTCGGCCCCGATCCCTCCGGACCAGGACAGCTTTCGCAAGCTTCGCAAGCTTCGCAACTTTGGCCGAAATAATAAGCTCGCCAAGTGCTAATAGTCGCAAGTGTGAGGTGCCCTAGTCTTTGTTCGGTTCCCAGTCGAGTGGTGAAGGCGGGTGATGACCTCTTGGCCCGAGACCAAAACCGGCAGCGTCTAAGTCGATGGCGTGCTCTTTGTAAGGCAGGTGGATGGATGGATGGATGGGTGCTCTGGTAATTGTTTTTCTTTTTTTCAGCCCGCCAGACGTTCAGCCCGCGAGACATTCAGCCCGTGAGACGTCGTCCTCTTCGCTGCCAGTAGCCCGTAAGCTTACTGCCTCTTTCCTTTCAGCCACGGGCATCCAAAGGCGGCCACGAGGTAACTTTGAAACTATTTGAACACAACTTGCATGCTAAGCCAACCATGCCGGTAACGGCTGCTCGAGAACAGCCTCTGCAGCCACGCACGAATCCTCCGTCGACGAGATCCATCGGCAGTGGACCTTGGGATGACCCCATTTCTGCCCTACCAATCTGTCCTCGCACAGCGGCGGCCGCGTCCGGGGTTGCGTCGTACAAGCACGGGGATTGGCGCGCGGCTGTTGCCCTTCACAGCAAGGTTTAGACCATGTTGACCAGCGCCCGCTCAGACAATCTGGCACCAGCGCACCACGCAGCTTCTGCCTGTTGTGTGCTGTGTGTTGTCTTGTTGTCCTGGCACCGCGCTATCTTGGCTTGTCTTGTTCTTGTCCGACCCACTGGCCCTGGGCGTGGCTGTACAGTTTTGGCGCAGGCTTGGGTGACACAAAGGGTCTCGTCAGTGGTGTGCTCGTAAGACATGACTCCACAATATCGGATCGATCATGGTGGCTTCGTGCATTACACGCGGGTAATAACATCCTAGATCTGTCAGATCTCCTGGTCTGGGTGGTTGTCAAACCGAGGGCGTGTGTGGGAATCCGAATCAAGGGCGGCTTTAGTTCGATGGCACGCGTTTGATGGAGGTCTCATGGCCTCATCTAGTGGTGGCCAACATGTCTGATATGCGACGCAGCGTCAAGTGTTTCTGCATACGGGACATGTTGAAGAAACAATCTGATCCGGGATTAACATTTTGCAAGACATGAAACCGCCCATGCCGCTAACAAATCTCACAACATGAATGCCCCTGAAGCATTTCGCCAGGTTCATTAACCATCAAGTTTTCCGGAGGGTTGCTCCGCCTAGCGGGAAGCCACCCCAAACCGCGCGGAGCAGCCACTTTCAATCCTTCATCTGCGATTCCGCATCATTGATTCCGCGAGAGTTTTTTCTTCATCTCAAGTCCCTTCTCCCTCGGCCCCCGTGGCTTGGCTGCACGGGTATCATCGGAGCGTCTCCTCCATCTCGGTTTCCCTTTCCCTCTTGGACGGGCCCCCCTCACCTCTCATCGTGCTGTTCTGCCTCTTCCGGGGCGAGTTCCCGGGCTCCTCGTCTTGCGGGGCCGTCGCGGCGACGGCCTGATCTCCGTGGTTTGCGTTTCAAACCCACATGACAAGCCCGAGCTGCGCAGACTAAAGGATAAAGGAGCGACAGGCGCTTTGGCCCCTGGGGTTACACGGCCCTGCATTTCCTGCCCGGTAGCTCTGCCGCGTGTGGAGACGGAGTGATTCGACTAGGTGCTCTGCAGCTTGCTCTGGTGCTCTGCAGCTTGCGAGCTTAGGGCTACGTCGATGTGATATCTTGCTGTGACTCTGCTCCTCGTTCCCCTCTTGTGGCCGCGCATATCTAGGCCTTCTTGGCGATGTCACCTCGTAATCCGTCTTCACCGGTGACTCTAGGGGCTCGGCTGTGTCCATCGGTGAACCTTGGCGCAGTTCGCACCATGGTAACAATATGCGGATTTGTGACCTTGTAGGTACTGTCTGGGAAACGAGCGTTCCGGTGACGCCATTCAATACCCCGGAGTCCCTTCGGCTTTTTGTCATCAGGAAGCTCCATGATCGCCATATCATCAATCTCGCGAGGGGTAACTCCAGATCTGCAGACTCCGGCAGACTCTCTCCATGTTTCAGCAGGCTTGAGATCCTCGGGCTCCGAGAGAGGACACTAGTACTGTCACTGGCAGAAGGTAGCCCAATTGTTATCGTCGAATCTGTCACTGCGAACCCCATCCCTCCCCACTCACTGTCTTGTTCCCGAGCGCTGTGTGGGTGGTATTTTCCCTTTCGTTATCACAAGATATGGGATTACTTCTCTCTTTCCCCTCGGCCAGGTCCGAAAGATAGGTCAAGGCCCGGAGATGATGAACGACTCGGCATGAGAAGCGGCCGCGTCTTGTTCGAGGCAAATCACGAGATAACGCGAGGTTTTATCAGCGACACCACTTTTTACGCAGGCCTGCAGTACCTTCAACGAGCTGGTCGAAACAGCCAACCTTTGCGTAATGAGACTCGGAAACATTAGTAATTTGTTGCTCTCGCCTCCACTTCCAACGAGTGGCGCTGTCACGCGGCTCCACGTTGCCCAGCAAATCGCTTTGCGCGATCCAAGAACGACAAGTTGTGCCGGGTGGTGCGTGATATTGTGATAACCGAGAACACCCGTCGCCCAGAGCCCACCAGTTCTCTAAGCATCTGGTTCGATCGGCAATCGTTTACCTGGCCTTCCTTATATCTGCTTCTGAGTGGTAGACATTAGCAGGATCGAGGATCCAACCTAATCTGAAATGGGATTCAATCCATTTCACTTCGCCATCATCGACCAGTGGCTTCACTATGGCCTGTAGTTCTTCTGGCATCTTGCAGCTGGGTCCTGGCCGTGGTGGTAATGCAAGAACGAAATGCCTGAACTCGCTTGACTTGGTCGGCGACATGTAGGGTAATGGATCGCACTTGAAGCGTCTGGGTGAGCAGTTGAGACGATTCCCATTCATAGCAAACACCTTGACGGCGGTAAGAACTTGACCGCCCATTCATGAACGATCTAAAGTTGGAGGCATAACTTGGACGATGCTGAATATTGAGAGAAACAAGGAAACGAGGATTAGGGTTGTTGGGGATGAACATGGGAGAGTTGAAGCTGTTCATGATGGCAAAAGGGTCTATAACTGGTCTTTGATTATTTATTTGTTCGCGACTTCGGATTGTATGTATTTAATAGACTGTTCATCAAATCATATCTATGTTACACCGCTATATTATGTCTCATATAGATCATAAAACCATCTTAATACAATATTCACGGTAATACTATGTGATAATGCTACTCTGAAAATGTCATGACTCGCGACCAGGGACACCAAAATTGGGGTATAACAGTCCAGATTTATGTCATATCTCCAGTTGAAAAGCGACCTGGATCCACCCACCAAGCAGTCTACAAACTTAAGCCCGTCTGTCTTATCATACATACCAGCCCCAGGCGCCAATCCTGAGCTCCACTTGCTTGCAATCAACGTCATAAAGATCATATTTTTCACTTGAGACCAGGACTGCCTACAAAGATCTCTGTCAAAGTTTATAGTGGATGATCCAGGTGTTTGGGTCCAATACCGCTCGTTTAAACACCCAGTCAAACAAACTTAAACCAGGGGTTCAAGGGGATATGACTGCCGCAACTACTGATTCGAGCGTTTCATTCTATGCTTGGGTTTCTCGACTAACTGAAACATTGGCCCTTCATCATGATCTCATCCCAAATATGGCTGGAATAACCAGTAATTTGAATAATCCACCTGTCCGTTATTAGGCTTAATTGCAAACATCAAGTTTCCGGGCCTCGGCCTCAAACTCTCAGTACTTGGCTCCCTGGCCCGTTGAGACTGGTTTATCACACTTACTTGTCACTTACGGACTCTTAGGCAGATCAAAGAGCTTTGAATGCTCTCATCGTTTCAGGCGCCATGTTTTTGAGTTGCTCTCTTTATCCACGAATGCATATTCAATTTACCGTGGTACTTACTTTCCGAATTAAACTAGACTCTTCTTGTTCTCTCCCATCAACAGCAACCACTCGGTTGTAAATTCCCAAGCTTTGTTTAACGAGTACGTACTAATATTCGACGCCGTGGATCGATTCTCTCACACATTTGTTCATATGAGTAGCTTAATTTCTCCGTCATTGAAAGCATCGTGGGATTCTGCTTTCCAGGATACATCTTCAACTTGACTATATATAGCGTTTCTCCTAAAATAAACGATTTGGAATAAATTACAACTACCCAAATATCTATTAAAAATCTGCGTGGGCTTATGCCACGTCATTGATTTATGTTCATTTCATTTTATAACGTACTCGGCCTTTTAACCTAACCACAGCAATTGGTGCCAGTATCAGAAAGATAAACCCATAATCTCCTAAAATCTTCCGATTACTGGTTTGCACCACTGGATAAAAGAAACTCCAGTTGTTGAGTTGAATATGCAGTAAGATCGCTGCGGCATTTATTCATGGGGCCGCATATAGATCGTCATCAATAAGCTCTTTCAACGACAAAGACTTGGAACCTCAAGTCTCATCATGCTTTGTGACATACGTCGCGGTATCTTCGAGCATCGACATGGAGGAGACCTTGGAGAAGCCATAGCGCATGCATTTGAAACGATGCTGCAGGAAATTGGCGTTGGCAGCGCACCAGCAGATGCGGCTCCAGAGCCACGTCAAGAATTGCAAGCATTTGTCCAACACCGGTCAGCACAGAGCTTGCAGAACGCTGCACTTCAGGGTTGCTACATTCGCAGCTATACATGGAATCGAATGGAATCCCAGGCGCAGCAGAAGCTTCTCGATTTAGATGGTCCCGCCATGAGCGGCGACTCTCCCCGGGATTACCTCACGTCGTGCATTCTGTATGACATGCCTTTGGCCAGATGATGGGAATTAAAGAGGAAGATTTCGTGAAGTTACAGGCATGTGGGCTATTATTCTTGACGACAAAGCAATGGGGACACTAGGATTTGGGACTTCGGATATGGCGTTTTTTGCTTTGATGCCATCGGACGGTAAGGCCCGTCCTTGTACATTGATTATAAAACGAGGGGGAAATATTATGTGAGAGTGTGGCTGATGATACCTAGAAGCACAGCAGTTAGATATGACTGGCAAGCTTTCCCTCTCCACCGATTCGGAAGAATCTTTCTCTTTCGCGACCAAACGGTTCAAAGATTGCCTCCAGAACCATGAGAAGTGCAAAAGATGGGGCGAGTCTGGCTGGCTGCCCTCACGGCTTATGTGCCTTGATGGTATTGAAGAACATCAAACCGTGCGTCTTGTCTTATCCAAGGACATAACACCTGAGCCTTATGTCTCATTGAGTCACTTTTGGGGTTCAACCCAGTGCCTCAGCTTGACCAAATCGAACTTCGATACATTTCGCCACGACATTCAAATGTGACAATTGCCAAAAGTTTTCAGGGATAGCTTCTATGTTTCACTCAAACTAGAGGCTCGATACATTTGGATCGACTCATTGTGCATCATTCAGGACGACTCCGACGACTGGCTGAACGAAGCGTCTCAAATGGACGAGGTCTACACGAAGTCGCTTTGCAACATCTGCGCCACGGGGTTTGAGGATTCTTCACATAGCCTGTATGTTTCACGTGATCCTATATCATTTTGAACTTGTGACGTCGACATACCGTGGCTGGATGGAGGTAGAAGCTGTCGGGTCTGGGACAAGTGGCTTTGGATGAGACAGGTGCTCGAAGCACCTCTGAACAAACGTGCCTAGGTTGTTCAGGAGTATTTACTGGCCCTACGATATTTGCACTTTGGCACTAACCAGATATTCTGGGAGTGTGTCCAACTCAGTGCTGCAGAACAGTACCTTTCCTCAGGACAATGCGATTGCTTTTTCCGGTATCATGAAGTAAATTGAGGCTTTGCTGGCAGATGAATACATTGTAGGACTGTGGAGGAACGACATCGAATGCCATCTACTCTGGTACACGAACTATTCCCGCCAATCCGAAGGGACTCCATCCGTGCGCCTAGAGAAGTACCGAGCTCCTTCGTTCTCATGGATGTCCGTCGATGCACGAATAAATTTGGACTGTGCCACAAAGACAGAGGACTTGCTCGTTCAAGTTTTGTCTGTTGGTATCATGCAGACGCACAGTCTTATTACGGCTGGCTCCTTGCGTATAAAATGCAACATACGGCCTTTGAAACTTACACGATACGAAACAAATACTGGTCCAGTATGGCGCTTTGACTATTGGTCCCGTGTTGATTCCGGCGATTTTGAATGGCTTCCCTCAGACATGGGCCACATGTTGATGGATGTCGACGGTGACTATGGAGGGACCTTCTATGGCATGCCTGGAAGGTCAAGGTGGGAGAAAACTACTTGGGGGGTCTCACCTTACGAGAGACGGGCAATTGGGTCGGTGAATTTGCACGAGTAGGCTTCTTTCTCGGTTTCGGAGAGGAAAGAGAGCAGCTTGTTACGCACAATGATGACGAGGATACCTACCCCTGAGAAAGATACGACGTTGAGGAGAAGAGACATGTCACAACAATACTTTGATATCTGCGCGCGATTTGCTCTAGCAGCCTGGACCTAGTCTAATGTGATTGGACTACAGGGACAGTTTGATATCTCTAAAGCTCAGCATAAGAAACCAGTGCTGGAGAAAATCTAACTCCTAAGTATACCAAGTGCAGTTCTACGACAGTCTCCCGGGCTCCGCCAACTCAAGGTTATGCTACGACATGTATAACTCTACATATGAAATAGACATCAATTTTGTCGATGGCAACCAGCATTGTGTGTTCGAATCACTCACACCGATAAGGCGTTCAATACACACACTTCGGTTGAAACTTCGTTCTTCGAAATTGGAGGTAATAGAAAACGTTGCAAACTCTTATTCGTTGAGTACGAGTCCAAATATCCCCAATAATTTATCAAACCTGACAATGGTAAGAATTATGGCTTTGCCCCGTCAACGCTGGATCTTTTCTACCAGGCAATTCTGGACGACTTCTCACGAAGCCCAATAGCTGCTTCCGAGATGAGTCTTTTTGATTTTGGAGTTGCAGACAATGTCAGCGACACGTCAGCTGCTCCTTGCCAACCTACCGAATATTTCTCGCACCACAAGCTGTTGTGTCTTGGCCTAGGCTGATGTCTCAGCCAAAACCCCCTCATCCACGTTGCTGATGACGAGCAGCACAGTGAACGAGTGGGGACTGGGAAACCTCGCTTGCGATTGTGCGCGGTGGTTGGGTCACCCCTGCTACACCTCCTCTTGCTGTTGCATCATGTCGTAACAATTCCAGCCCTGGCTGATCGGGTACCAAAGTAATGGGTCTGTGGTGGTTGCCTCTGCCTGCGATCTGATCCTACATATGCATGTAGACGCTGGCCCCAGGTAGATACTTTGCTGCGCCTTAACCGAGCCCTTTATTTCGACCGCCATTGGCGCATACTTGTTGCCACCTATGATAGTACAAAAAGTTGAATGTGATATGTGAGTAGCATGCTATTATCGCCGATGTACGTATTTCGTACTGGATGTTTGCGTTGTGCTGTTCATCGAGAGGGTCAAGAGCATCGGGCTCAAGTAGCTGTAGCGACCAAGATTGCCAACTAAGAGTATGCAAATAATGGAGTCAAAGAACCACAACCCAACAATGCCATGCCCTTCTCTTGCGATGGACGGGTGTGTCGTTACTTTTTCCACCTCTCAATTCTCTCTGTATCGTATTGAATCTTGTAGTGCTTTCGGGACCTGTGACGCCCCCTACTGCCCGTCACATGTTGATATCACCGTGACGTAAATTCGGACTCCTGTGCTGTCCCGGCTTGATAGATTGGCTGATAGGTGGACACCATCGAGTATCATTGCCAGACATGGTCCATTGATACGGTACGGATACACTTGCACTTTCTTGTTGTCTCTTTCTTCGATGCCTACATTTCTCCATTGTGTCCCGGCCCTGTCGACTCATGTACTGTCTCCGAACTGGCCCCGTTGTGGTGGATGCATTCTGGCGGTACCTTCTTGATTCAGGCACCAGACGGCTTATGATGCATCATGACACCCTCCGGCCGGGGGGCATTGCTCGATTTGGGCAGGGATGCAAGCCGAGACTCCCAGGCCAACCAGAAGCAGGGTTAGCTTCTAGCGCGAGACATCCCACGACACCTCCTGACTATCCCCGACCGGACAGACTTGCCTGTGGACGATGAGGCTAACGATGGCTGCCACGATGGGCAAATTTGTCCCGGCACTAAGGATGCGAGGCGTGTCTTAGGTGGGACCCGGGGTTCTCTGACAACCCTCCCTCACGTGGAAGATTTCTTTTGCACTTCCAAAGATGGTCATGACGGGCGAAGACTGGGCCTCGTCAACATCGCAACGGCCGTTTGTTGAAGAAACAGGCATCTCACGGACCCTCAACCGGCAATTGTCAAACCCCCGGACCTTCCCCTCTCCATGAATCCTAACGCGGAGACGTGCTAAAACGTGGGGGGTGGTTGGTCTCACGACCCTCTGTCGGCTCCGTCCCGTCTATCACGCGGCGGTTCAGCATGGATCGAAAATGGGGACGCTCTCTCCACGTAGTAAGCGAAGCCCACGATGCAGCAGGCCGGCTGGAGCCAGAATGCGTCCTTTGTTTTCTCGTGGTCCCTGAATATTGGCGCTAGAGAAGACAGCTTGACAGCTGGTGTGGATGTTCTTTTACAGTCCCTGCGCAGGTCTATTGTTTAGCCACCTGGAGACCTCGTGATTAACAAGACATTATTCTCGGCAAACAGCCCGGGCCGGAAAAGAGTAGGCAGATGAGATGGGAATTGTTCTATACGGACTCCTACTCTATGCCGGGCCCGGCGGACTGGTATCCGGCTGATGTCGCCGGGCGAAGACAGCAGACTGCAGTCAGCAGGGAACATGGGATGAATGCCCAGGTCGCATATGCAGTGCCGGATCTCGAATGCTCCTTCGTGTGGCTCGCCAATATCCGCGAAACAATTACCAAGCTGTCAGGATCTGGCAAGATGCGGGAGATGAGGCGGCCGAATGATCCAATATTTCCCCAGGTCAGCATCCTGGATATCCCCAGCCTCATGTTAGCGCCGCCGGCCGGTTTTGGGCGGGCCTGGCCGTGATGCGTACGTGACCGGAGTGATGGAGGTTTGCTTTACTTTTTCCGCCGCATCTCGTACCTGACCTGTCGAGTAAGAATCCCCGAGTCGCCGAAGAGGGCCCTAAAGAGGATCCTGCTGGGGGACAAGCTGGCATCGCCAAGTCAGGTCCGGAGAGCCCGTGGCGATGACGGCGTAGGGATACGATGGTCGACCCGCCGTCGCCGAGCTCGTTCTTGTTTCTCCTTCTCCCCGCGTGACGTAGAATTGGGACAAGGTCAGGGCGGCCCCGGCGAATCGAGGTCGATCTAATCCAACGTGGGATTTGGTGGGTGCATGAGCGCGCAGCAGGGCACATGGAGGCAACATCAGCGTGCATCTGCCGGCCCCGCATTCTCCACAGAATGAACCATGATGCTATTCTAGTTTGGTGGACCTGTATCCGAAAGAGGAGGCAGCCGGCGGCGCTAGAAATATCGAGTTAGAGCCAGCGAAGAGTTAGCGGATTTCACGAAGCGTAGACGAGTTCCATCAACCTTCTCCGGCGGCCCTAACCTGCTTCGTCCGTCTTGGGAGAGAAATCCTTTCCGATGGAGGCCATCCGCTCACCAGATCTCCACCACGGGGAGACACCGTCAACCACATCGAGACCAATTGCTGTGAGAAACCAGCGTGTAACCGTTGTTAGCAGGACGGAGATTGGCCATGGCTCAAATCGATCGTGCGGGGAGAAGATGGAGAGTTCATCCAGGGCCGGGTAGACGAGAAAACTTGGGGCGGCTCGAATCGAATACATAAGGACGGCTTCCAGACGACATCAACAGGTCTTTTGTCTCTCAAGCTCATCATCACTCGAAGCACAAGCAATCCACTGCCTACCTCTTCTGCTTCATCTCCAACCTCCATCTACCTTCTTCACACACAAACACAAAAGTCTTCGACTTACACACACTTCACAATGGCTCCCGCTGCTGTCATTGAGATCACCGACAAGACCGGTGCCGAGCTCGAGGCCATGTCTGACGAGATCGACGAGGTCAACGCCGCCAAGTACGACTCCAAGTCCAAGTTCGACGAGGAGAAGGACAAGGCCGCCTTCCGCAACTACGAGGACGCCAACGACCGCGTCAAGAACTTCTACCGCGAGCAGCACTACAAGCAGACCGTCACCTACAACCTGCAGGCCCGCAACCGCTTCTACAGCTCCACCCGCCCTCGCCCCGAGATGTCCATCTGGGAGGCCATGGAGAAGCTCAACACCCTGATCGACGAGTCTGACCCCGATACCTCCCTCTCCCAGATCCAGCACCTTCTCCAGTCCGCCGAGGCCATCCGCCGCGATGGCAAGCCCCGCTGGATGCAGTTGACTGGTCTCATCCACGACCTTGGCAAGCTCATGGTCTTCTTCCCTGAGCTCGGCACCCAGGGCCAGTGGGACGTCGTCGGCGACACCTTCGCTGTCGGCTGCGCTTTCTCTGACCGCTGCGTCTACCCTAACACCTTCGCCGAGGGCAACCCCGATGCCACCAACCCCGACTACAACACCAAGTACGGCATCTACTCTCCCAACTGCGGTCTCGACAACGTCATGCTCAGCTGGGGCCACGACGAGTACCTCTACCACGTCGTCAAGGACCAGTCCTCTCTCCCCGACGAGGCCCTGGCCATGATCCGCTACCACTCCTTCTACCCCTGGCACCGCGAGGGCGCTTACCGCCACCTCATGTGCGACAAGGACTGGGAGATGATGAAGGCTGTCCAGGCTTTCAACCCCTACGACCTGTACAGCAAGAGCGACGGTGTCCCCGATGCCGAGAAGCTCAAGCCCTATTACATGGAGCTTATTGACGAGTTCTTCCCCAAGCGGGTCATCAAGTGGTAGACGATTAGATTTGACAAGATGAAGCGAATAAAGCATGGGTTGCAATTGAGGCCAGGGAATCAAAAGGCCAGGATGGGATAAATGAATTTGAGCGATATGAATCAATAGAAATACAAATGTTTATGGACAAACCATCACTGCCACTCTTGAATCGATTCTTCGTTTGCGACTGTAGAAACACTGACAGGGGATGCAGCTGGTTGTCGATTAGTCTCCAAGAACTCCGCGATCCAACTATAAGCCTAGTATTTGTCGACAAAACAAAATAAATTAACTACAAGCAAGACCTTAATATTCGTAAATATCTCTATGAGGATATCCTATTCCTGTTGCGCTAGGGTTTGGAGGAAAACTAATTGCATCTAACTTTACCTTGAGAATTGTGAGACGCTACCTCTGTTTGTGTTCAATAATTCTTGGATGCTTCTACCGAGCATGATTCCTCTACACTAAATCCTTAACTCATGTATCCAACGACATAATCAGAATTTCTCACAGGACGAAAAATACTCAACTCGTAGACGCTGGCTGAGTTGTGTCTGATCAAGTCCAGATTCGTTCCCTTGCCTCCACCAACCACAAGGGCGCTCGCTGGGTTGGGAATCTTTTAGTGGAGATACTGGGCGATAAGGTGATAAGAAAAAGTTGCAAGAAATTTTGTGCCAGTTTATCCGAGAAGCTCAAATCTAGTCCTGATATAGCTAGTGTCGGTCCAGGCAACCAATCATAGGATGTTCCGAGCGCAAGCTGCCCCTCAGTCGGCTTGGAAATTTGGCGGCAGCGCATCAGAGGTCGGCAGTCTGTGATGTTGCTGAGAAACCCATCACCTCCCGACCGACCAGACTCGACTCTTGGGCATTCTTCACCCCAAATCTTCAAAATGGTGGCCGGAAAGCGAAAGCGCGATCAAGGCGACGAGCCCCCCAAGTCAACTGAGGTTGTTAAGTCCGACACAGCCAAGAAATCCGCCGAACCCGAGGAAGAGACTTCCTTCGTTGATCTCGGCTTGGATCCCCGATTGCTGCAGGCCATTGCCCAGCAGAAGTTCGCCAAACCGACCCTCGTCCAGCGCAAGGCCATTCCGCTCGCACTCAACGGCCAGGATGTGCTAGCCAAGGCCGACTGTGGCTCGGGCAAGACGGCTGCCTATGTCCTTCCTCTGCTGTCCAGCATTCTCAAGCGCAAGACCGTACGTCAATCTTCAGTCTCAAGCTCGAGTTTTCTTCCATCTTGCTAACCCAAACGCCAGACCGACTCCTCCGCTTTCACGGCCGCCCTCATCCTCGTCCCTACCCGCGAGCTTGCCGACCAGGTCTTCAAGGCCATCGAACAATTCTCCTCTTTTTGCGCAAAGGACATCCGAACCGCAAAGTTGACCGACAAGGTCTCCAGCGCCGTCCAGCGAGCTCTCCTCTCCAACTCTCCCGATATTGTCATCTCGACTCCTGCCACGGCATGGCACAACCTCAACTCCTCTGCCCTCTCACTCGAGAAGCTGACGCATCTGGTGTTGGATGAGGCCGACCTGGTCCTGTCATATGGTTACAATGAGGATCTGGAGAACCTCTCCCGGTCGATCCCCAAGGGCGTCCAAGTGATGATGATGAGCGCGACATTGACAGACGAGGTGGACACACTAAAGGGCATCTTCCGTCGGGACCCGACTCTGCTGGATCTTAAAGAGAAGGAGGCTGAGGGCGAGGGTATCACTCAGTTCGTCGCCAAGTATGTTCACGATCTCCTGCTGTCATTTTCCGCACATTCAACTAACAGACCTATAGGTGTGGTGAGGACGAGAAATTTCTTCTGGCCTACGTCATCTTTAAGCTCAAGTTGATCAAGGGCAAGTGCATCATCTTCGTTAGCGATATCGACCGATGTTACCGATTGAAGCTCTTCTTCGAGCAGTTCGGAATCAGGAGCTGTATCTTGAACTCAGAATTGCCCCTCAACTCACGAGTGCATGTCGTGGAGGAGTTCAACCGGAATGTGTACGACATTATCATCGCCGCGGACGAGAAGCACGCAATGCTAGGAGATAAGGAGGAGGTCGAGGAGGAGGATGAAGCTGAGGAGACGAAAGAAGACGCCAAGAACCCCGAAGATGGCGAGGACGATACTGCTGAGAAGGAGACCCCACGCCCGAAGAAGAAGTCAAAGCCTTCCAAGGCCGACAAGGAGTACGGCGTATCACGAGGTATGAACCGCCCCTCCCAACTAAGCCCCTCGATGTCTCGAGTCTCTGTCTATATTCTGCTTGGAAGCAATCTTTACGAGGAGACAATTGCTAACAATGGATTTCGTAGGTGTCGATTTCAAGAAGGTGTCAGCAGTCATCAACTTTGATCTTCCCACCACTGCTTCATCGTACACACATCGGATAGGAAGGACTGCGCGAGCTGGTCAGACCGGCATGGCCCTGTCTTTTGTTGTTCCCAAGGAACTCTACCGAAAGCACATGCCCACGTCAACGGCGACCTCGGAGAAGGATGAGAAGGTCATGGCCAAGATTGTGCGACAGCAAGCGAAGCGAGGCAAGGAGGTGAAGCCTTACAACTTCAATATGAAGCAGGTTGACCCCTTCCGCTACCGAATGAACGACGCCCTGCGTGCCGTCACCAAGGTTTCCATCCGAGAGGCCCGAACGAGAGAGCTTAGGCAAGAACTGCTCAAGAGTGAAAAGCTTAAGCGGTGAGTGATTCTTCAGCACTCCCAATCTGGTAACCCATTCTAACTTGTAATGTTTAGATACTTCGAGGAGAACCCTACTGAGTTGAGTCATCTGCGTCACGACGGAGAGCTCAGGACGGCGAGACAGCAGGCCCATCTCAAGCACATCCCCGAGTACCTGTTGCCCAAGGATGGTAAGCAGGCGTTAGAGGCAGATGTGGGCTTCGTGCCTTTGAGGAAAGACCGCAAGGGGAAGGGACACAGGAAGGGCAAGGGATTCAAGGTGGGCGCCAGGAAACGGGATCCGCTCAAGACGTTTAAGGCGAGGCGGAAGACAAAATAGACGATTCAAATAGGACAGCGTTTTGGGATTCATCGTGTGCGAGATACCTCGAGGAATTAAGAAATGAGCGGGTTTCCTTTTTTGCAAGCTATTGTTGTCTTCATTCAAGCCGTGACCTACTAGCCGTTGTTTCATAGACCAAATTACCAGCACCTCGAAAACTGATGCTGTCAACGGACTTATTGCCCACATTCCACCCGTGTCATCTCAACGTAATATACGTCCCTCCGCCTCGCAGACGAAGCACTTTCACAACATCATTTACGATTCTACTCCACATCATGCCATAGACTTTCTTGACCTCACATAATCTATCTTTGTGACGCCAGTTTAGTCACACATACACGTCGCCCGAAACAACGGGTGTAGGCGGCCGAGCTGGTGGGACCCCGACGGTTGGGCTACCGGCTGGCTCCCGGGGATAGATGTGTTGTCGGTGGGTGGTATTTAATTCGGCGTGATTGCTGATATCGCGGGTTATTATGATGGGATGCAGAAGGGGTGTTGTGAAGGTATAAAGAGAGATGATGGTGCTGGACGTGTTGTAAAGGGATAATTATTACGGCTTCAACATCACTTACACGGATACGGAGAACTGAGAGCATCGTTCCTCCACCCGTGGACCTCATCAATTCTACTATTTCAGCCATGGCTCCTCCAGCCTAGATTCATCTGCGTCAGTTAGGCAAGGATGGCCTGGAGATTCCCACCATCGGATTCGGCCTGATGAGTATGAGTGTCGGCTACGGCTCACCAGAGTCCGTCCTCCCTTGCCTCTCCTCCCAGCCCTAACTCACCAAATTGTATGCTGGCATGTCCTGACAGCTCTGATGAAGAGCGCCTCAAGCTCCTCGACGGCCGACATCTACGGCGACTCTGAGGGCGTGGTAGACAAGTGGTTCAAGCTGCACCATGAGCGCCGAGACGATATCTCCCTCGCCACTAAGTTTGGCCTAAAGGTCGAAGGGGCCGGCATCCTGGCGGACCCGTCACCTGAGCATTGCCGTGAGAGCATTGAGCGCAGCCCGAAGCGGTTGAATGTAGATTGTGTCGACCTGTACTACATGCATCGTGCCGAGGAGAAGGTTGCTATTGAGAGGACGGTGGAGATGAAACAGATGAGTAAGTACTTGCCCCGGTGTAACCCAAACAAATAGACGGATTACTCAACATCATGGGAGGGGGAGGGGGGCAAGGCCAAGTACCTAGACCTCTTAGAGGTCTCCTCAGCTACTCTTGGGCGGGCCAACGCCGTCCACACCTATCCTCTGTCCAAGTAGAGTACAACCCCTGGACACTCGACATGGAAGACCCATCGGGCACCAACCTGCTGGACACCTGCGTCGAGCTCGGCGTGTTCATCTTCGCTTACGCGCTACTGGGATGCGGCATCCTGACGGGTCGGTTCCGATCCGTCGACGACTTTGAGGAGGGTGACGCCCGGCGTGGTATAACCCACTTCCAGGGCGACAGCTACAAGAAGAACCTCGTCGTCGTGGAGAAGTGCAACGAGTTGGCCGAGCGCAAGGGGTGCACGTCCTGGTTCTGGCGTGGCTAGTGGCGCAGAACAAGCGCATATTTGTGATCCCTGGGGCCCAGAAGATCAAGTATCTGGAAAAGAACGTAGGTGCGTCGGCTGTGACGTTGACCAAGGAGGAGCAGCAGGAGTTGAGGAAGCTAGTGCTGGAGGCTAGGGTCGACAGTAAGCAAGAGTTTGGACTTTGTGGACACTGTCCCTCAGGAGAGGCAATAGTGTGAAGCTGTAATCAAAGCACTCTGATTTACTCGGGGGTGAATGACTAGTCTCAGGAATGCTGCATCAAGCATGTAAGTTGTATGTAATTGACATGCAGGTTGTATAAGCGATCGAGTGTCAATCAAGCAAGGTCCATCCGAAATAGCTTCCCCTGCCACATAGTGTTGTTCCTTGAGGGAATCTCAAAGCTGTCAACAGGCTTGAACCCCATGTCTTCGTAATATCTGGCCACGGTCAGAAGAGGATACAATCTTGGCTACGTGTACTTTGACTCACCCAACCAACCTACCAGTCCCTCCCGTCCAGCAGTCAACCCAAATAGTATTCTTCCCATGTTCTATAGCATATTGTTTGACCTCGTTTACTAGCGCCACTCCCACTCCCTTGCGTCTCTGATCGACTCGATAGTCCGCAACGAGGACATCTAAGAAGACAAAACTGCCGGCCTCGTTTGCGGCAGCGACGTGGGGCTGCAGGTTCTTCGGGGATAAGATATGCGAAGCAAAGTGGTCGTCTCGAAGCTTGACGGCTCCAACCGAAACATACGTCTTTCCCAGCTCATCCACTCGCCGGGCCAGTCCGTCGCCCAGGGTCCCGGTAGCGTCGTCTTCGATTTCGGCGATGAGGATCCTCACCCGCTCACCGTGGCCAGTGTCTCGGAAGTTCTCCGACTGCGCAACGGCATCGCGAATCGCCTGGCCAAAGCCGGGGTTTCTCGAGAACAGCTCCGAGCCCCATTGGCCCGCGTTTCCAGCGGCGGTGAGGTGAGGGATTGTCGAGTCGAATGCGTCGATGATGAACTGAGCATCGTGGGATGATGCAGCAGCGTCGCGAATATAGAACGGGCCCGGCATTCTTTCGGGATCCTCTCCTGCAACGAAACCCTGCGGCTTATCGTTTGTAGTCGGTCGGAGAGGCGGCTCAACGGCTCGAGGTCAGGTCAGCATCCTCACTGCGTGCCACCACGCACTGTAACGCTAGTAGGGGTGGCCCTCGCTGTGAATCCCACGTTTTGGGATGGAGACGAGCAGCGTCAAAACACCGCCGAAATGTCGGATGGTTTGGTATCCCCAGATTTACCAGAATCTGGATAACCTTTCAAGATCCAAACGGGGTAGATATCGGCCCGGATCTGAACGAACCTCTGAAATCTGGTACCGGACCACCAAGCCAGCTTCGATTCACGGCGCGAAGGCGGCGAAACTCACCTTGAACCCCCACTCGTGTTAGAGAGGGGATCCCTACACCTTGAGAGGGAGCGTGCATGCATAAGTTATCCGGTTGCCTACCGGCACATTCAAATAAGAAGCCCACTCGGTTGGACGTGTGATGATAGCTTTTGCATCTTTCTCCTGAATCGCCCCACGCATCGTGCTCCGAGTCCGGTTGGTGCGCAACTGCAAAACGACTTAACTAGTGAGAGGGACGTTGCAGTGGCCATTTAACCCTGAAGAAATCAGGATGCAGAGCAATGAAGCGATGCAAAGAGATGGAGAGTCGATTCACTCCCCACTCATCCTGGTGATGGTGTTGATACAGCCTGGTCCTTGAACTGGCTCGCTCTTGTACCTCACAGCAACGAAATGGGCGCTAATGTACGATGGCGGCGTTATCCCAAGCCCGAAGAACAAATGGACGCCCGCTCCCGATAAGACCCTGATTTTAGCAACGGGAGCCCAAACCAAAAGAGAAAAGAAAAAAAGATGTGATGGCGGCTCACGACGGGAACTCGCAGATTTCTCGGACAATGTCTCTAGGGAACCCATGACACATTTCCCACGAACGGAGCGTTTCGCGCGGTAAAGGTTGCCAAACATGGCCAAAAGTGTCCCCAGGAGCCGTCTTATGCATAACAAATGACGGCACCTGGGCGAGTTGTTCATCGATTGCAACGATTGGCACACGAGGAAGTGCCGAGCTATTTGGCGCTTGATCAAGGCAAGCGTCCGGAATCTTCCTTCGGTGTGATAGCTATGGGAAGGTTTCCCCAGGCTAGTTGATTTAGCTGAATGCCCAGCGATCAAAACTCAAATGTAGAGGCGCCGCCCTACTTGCATTGGTCGATAGTGCGTGCTTCGTCATTCTCATGAAAGGGTTGCTAGTACACGCTGCTTGCATGGTCACTAGCCTCACAACACTGGACGTATAAATGCCATCTCGTCACTGGCAACTACGAGGCTTCCAAAGCTCGCCGGGGTTGGTTGGGCACCACAAGGGACAACTAAGCATACACCGTCGCTTGACGGAGACTTTCCAGCATCTCAGAGCCGTGCGAGTCACCAACCCCATGAAATGGGATCGGATCCATTCCTCGTAAGACTGGACCCCATATCAGTCGAGAGCAATAGATCCATCTGTGATATGCGAAGAAACCATACGCACAAGCGTGGGTCGGCGGTGAAGCACGGCGAGTCAGCCACGAACATGGTGATCCATGGGGGGCCGAAGGTCGGGGGCGCCTGGCCGGCGCTTTGGGTGCCGGGTGGAGCGCCCTTCTACACCTAATTGAAACGGCTGATTGCGCACACCTCGGTTTGTTGAGAGGGAGGGGTGCTAACACCTATCAAGAACCGACAAATCAACTTCATCGGCATGTCGACTCGGCCATTCATTGGATTGTCTGTGGCTCGACAGGCCAAGAGTTGGGCTGGTGATCAAGGACCGGGCACCTTGATGGGTTAACCCGGACGCCGCGTCGTGCCAGCTCGCGTCTCCCTGGACAATCCGTGGCCATAAATATTGGTCGTGGTGTCGCCACATGCCGACTTTGTCGGTTTCCTTGGCTTCTTGTCCAATCTGCTTGCCTCTGACGTGAGGTTTCTCTTGAATGGAAGAACTATCTCTGACGTGAGATACCCATTGCCACGCACTAACAACGAAACCATCAACAACACCAAATCGAAACATATCAACGTAATCAACAATAAAAGCAGCCAACCCGGCCGGAAAAAGCGCTTGCTCTTGGAAGCCTCAAGCAGCCGCATCGTCACCTCATTTACCTTCATCGCCATGACTGAAGAACATCCCTCCTTCATGCGGATCCCGGCAGAGATCCGCATGATGATATATAAACACCTGCTGGACAATGGCGCCAGCAATAAGATCTCGATTCGGAATAAGTCAAGGTGGGAGTACCAGGCAAACGACCCCAAGAGTCTCCGCTCTCATTATCACATCATGGAGCGATCCTTTGCGAAGATGTCATTTCAAACGACATATTGCGCCGATAGCGACTGCGATCGATCAATGCATACCGCGATTATGCAAATCAACAAAAAGGTCAGGGAAGAGACATCTCAGTACCTATATGGAAGACACTCGTTTCATTTTGGCGAGGATATCGAGGCAGTGGTGCCATTTCTTGATGACAAGATGCCCCAGACTCGAGACTTGGTCAAAGAGTTGAGTCTATACAAGCGCAGCCCGACCAACACCGGCGAGCCGGATTCTTTGGACTGGGCTTCCGTGTGTCGCTTCCTGGGAAACTCAGCAGGACTGGATAAATTGACGCTCGTCATTGAGGGCGGCCGGCCGAGAGTGCCGTGGGACGGGCCGCAAAGCCTGACAGTTTCCGACTTCCGCCTTTTGTATTCGACACGCCACGAGAGCTTGGAGTGGGCAAGAGAGCTCGCGTCAGTGAAGACCATTGGAGAGGTGGAAATCGTGCCCGACATTCATTACCTGCCGGATCCACAGTCGAACATGATGCTAGTTTTAGCAGCATTTTCAGCGTCAATTGAGACGTCATTGGTGGATTTCCTTCGAGACGATCTCGGAATTCCCGCGCGGGTTGGAAAAGGCACATACTGTGGCACTGGGGCGTTTGGACGAAAAAATTGTCATCGAGGGAGCTGCATAACGAGCTGAACGGTTGGACCTGAGACCTTGCGCTGGATTTGTTTCTTCGGTTTCGGGTTTAGAATTAGGGGCATCGGTACTAGCGTTTCTTGACAAGGGTTCATGAATGAACGAATGGATGATATGGAAGAGAGAGAAATCATTATCCATTCAGGTTATCAATCGCCGTGCGTCTGTGAGTGCTTGGCACCGAGAAGATGTAGAGTATTGGAGCTTCTCTCTCTTCCAGACCTCTCGCTTCCTTCCCTTGGTGCCCTTCCAGAAGCCCACGGGCAGGCAGGCGTTCATCCCAATCCCAGGCAGCACGAAACGGCCTTCACGTGACGTTGCATCACCGGCGTTGAAGTGTCGCTAATTAGAAGGTGGCCTGGGCAAGCTCCTGCCGCCTAAAAACGGTGCCAAGTAGTGCGCTGCCAAGTGCTGCTACCTTACGACAGCGCTGTTCCGAAGTTGGAACTGGACCCATTATCTCAGCCTCCCCCATTACCTACGCACTATCGTCACCCTGCGCCTCGTCTGCGCGCATCCCTCTCTCGAACGACAGCACCCGGCGCCTCCGCGACAACACCCCGATTCCGCCCATCGTCACCATCATCGCCGATTGCCATCGTCGCATGTCGACTTCTCAATAGGAGCCTGGCTCTTCCCAACCTGTCCCAAGCTACCCCGCTACAATAGCCCATAGCTTGACAAGATGGCCACGCCAGCTCCTCCGGAAGACCAGGCCCGCCTGCTCGAGGATGCCTTAGTCGCGGTTCGCCAGCAGACCTCGCTCATGCGCAAATGCCTCGATACGCCCGGCAAGCTCATGGACGCCCTCAAGTGCTGGTAAGTCGACCACGAACCTTCTCCTATCCACTCCCGCAGCGCCAGCCACCCAGACTGACATCATGACCCCTTCCGCAATACAGCTCGACACTTGTCTCGGAGCTTCGCACAAGCAGTCTTGGCCCGAAACAGTACTACGAGCTGTACATGGCCGTCTTCGACGCCCTGCGCTACCTGTCTGTCCACCTCCGCGAGAACCACCCGGTCAATCACCTCGCCGACCTCTACGAACTAGTCCAGTATGCTGGCAACATCATCCCACGACTGTACCTCATGATTACCGTGGGTACTGCCTACATGTCCGTCGCGGATGCCCCTGTCAAAGAGCTCATGAAAGATATGATGGATATGAGCCGAGGTGTCCAACACCCCATTCGTGGCCTCTTCCTCCGATACTACATGTCTGGTCAAGCCAGAGACTACCTGCCGACTGGCGACGGCGATGGTCCCGAAGGCAACCTCAGCGATTCTATCAACTTTGTCCTCACCAACTTTGTCGAGATGAACAAGCTATGGGTTCGATTGCAACACCAGGGCCACTCGAGAGAAAGGGAGCAGCGCGTGCGGGAACGAAAAGAGCTACAGCTGCTCGTTGGAAGCAACATTGTGCGCCTAAGTCAGCTGGTCGATCTTGAGACATACAAGTCCGGTATTTTGGCGCCGCTCTTAGAGCAGGTTGTGCAATGCCGAGATGTCCTCGCCCAGGAATACCTCCTTGAGGTCATTACCCAGGTCTTTCCCGACGAATTCCACCTCCACACTCTGGACCAATTCCTAGGTGCTGTTTCACGACTCAACCCACATGTCAATGTCAAGTCTATCGTCATTGGATTGATGGACCGCTTGTCTGAATACGCCGAACGGGATGGCGCCAACGACAAGGACGGAGACAAGGCCAAGGTCGAGGCTGACGCTTTGGCGCAATTGCTAGAAAAGGTCAAGTTGCAAAAGGAGACCCCCCCGAAAGCCGCGCCTTCGGAATCAGAACCCAGCGATGCCGTAACAGACAAGCCTGTGGATGCCAATGCGGATGTCGCCGATGCGACTGACGAGCCGTCCGAGGCTGAAGGCCAAAGCGAAGGTGACGCCAAGGCCGAGTCCGAGTCCGGAGCCGAAAGCGGCGTCGATGATGGAAGCACCCTTGCTGGAGATGCCCCCTCAATTGCTGAGACGGAGACGACTGCCGTCAACGGTGGACAGGGTCCAATCACGGAGAACGTCCAGCTCTACGAGGTGTTCTTTGCGCAGGTCAAGAACTTGGTCGAGGCGCAGCACCTCCCTGTGCCGGACATCATCGCACTGCTGGTGTCGCTGTGCAATCTTGCGCTCAACATCTACCCCGACAGACTCGACTTCGTGGACCAGATCCTAGCTTATGCGACAACCAAGGTTCAGGAGAACATCAACAATGCGGACCTCCACTCTCCTCCTGCCCAGCAGAGCTTGCTGGCGCTGCTACAGGCTCCCATCAACCGCTATGTTTCGCTCTTTACCGCACTCTCTCTCCCTACATACGTCCCCTTGTTTCAAACGCAGTCGTATCCCACCCGACGAGCTGTGGCTGGTGGCGTCGCCCGTGCCCTTCTCGAACACCAAACTAAGGTCTCGACGACGGAACAGCTCGAGAATGTACTCGAGGTGCTAAAGGTTCTCATCAAGGAGGGGACCCAGACCCCTCAAGGATACCCCGGAGTTGCCCAGAGGCGGGCGGTGGAGACGGACGAAACGATGGAGGAGCAAGGATGGCTTGCACGAATTGTGCACCTGCTGCAAGCTGAGGATAACGACACTCAGTTCAAACTGCTCCAGATGACACGGAAGGCATACTCGGATGGCAACGAACGCATCCGCACAACTACGCCACCTCTCATGACGGCATGCATGAAACTGGCTAAGAAGTTTAAGCAGCGGGAACACTACGACGACAACTGGGAAACGCAGAGCAATGCGTTATTCAAATTTATGCACTCAGCATTGAGTACACTGTACACACGGGTCAATGGAGCTGGTGCTGCCGAGATGGCGTTACGTTTGTTCTGTGCCGCGGGACAGACGGCCGACATGACCGGCTTTGAGGAGGTCGCCTATGAGTTCTTCGCCCAGGCCTTTACCGTCTACGAGGAGGCCGTGTCCGACTCAAAGGCGCAGTTCCAGGCCGTCTGCGTGATTGCAACAGCGCTTCACCAGACTCGAAACTTTGGCAAGGAGAATTACGATACTCTCATCACCAAGTGCGCTCAGCACGGAAGCAAGCTCCTGCGCAAGCCGGACCAGTGTCGGGCCGTGTATCTGGCCAGCCACCTGTGGTGGGCCACGCCCAGCACCCCCAATGGAGAGTCCGAGGAGACCGAGGTATGTGAGACATTTTGGATTAGAAGAATTGAGCTAACATGATGCAGCTTTATCGTGATGGTAAGCGGGTGTTGGAGTGCTTACAACGGGCTCTTCGTGTTGCCGACTCGTGCATGGAGACGGCAGCATCAATTGAACTCTTTGTGGAGATTCTTGATCGCTACGTGTACTACTTTGACCAGCAGAATGAATCGGTAAGCTTGCTCGAGGATGGAGCCCTTGTTAGTTACGGCTGCTAACATCACTTTAGGTGACCACCAAGTACCTCAATGGCCTAATTGAGCTGATTCATTCCAACCTGGCGGGTAACCAGCAAGACTCCGCATCAGTCGAGAGCAGCCGAAAACACTTCCATCAGACTTTGGACAACATCAAGAGCCGACAATACGAGGGTGTTGTACTGTATCCCAACTGAGTTATCTCAGGAGCAAGGGTGTATGTGGACAGTGCATGTTGAGCAGGGGTGAGTTGGCGGATAGATAATTGTTTGACCTGCAATTGGGTTGAAAGGGGACGGTTCGTTGCAGGTAGTTGTATATATGTATACTTGATCCCGAAAATTGAGTGGCATGTCCAGCGTTAGAGGCACTTTTCATGATTGTGTCGGATCCTCGATGAGGGAACCTAATGTTTGAATCTACTGCGTTTTCGTTGTGCGAGTCACAGTTGCCAAAGCCCACGTTTAGGTTTCAAGCTCATTCTTTTCCAACTGCCTGGATTCCGTCTAACCTTTGCGCCCTCCAGCCATTCTAACCTATATGGTTATTGTCTACGTAGCAAGGTTATTACCTACAGGCATAAGGCTATTAACTTCAGGCAGCAAGGTTGGAGACAGAAGGGTTAAATTGAAGCTTGAGGCAAAGGGCAATTAGACCACTTCATTTTCATCTGGCGTCCTCTCTTTGAAACGAACTTAAATGGTGAGAAACTTTTAGTGATCGCAACCCAGCTTCTTGGTGCCCCGAAGCGTTGGAAGACTCTATTTCTTCCCCTCTCGTCCCCATTGACCCCTACCCAACTTGGACAAGGGGCCTCCTTTTATCGCGGCGTTTGTGGGGTAACGCAAGTGTGGCGCGTCGGCTACGAGGGTCGCATTGGGAGGGACCGCCCCATCCCCACAGGCGGGAAGTCAGGAGATAAGGTGCATACATACGTACTCTACTGCGTAGGTCTGCAGCGCGAACTGTAGGACGGGAAAGCGGCCATGGTGGACGTCTCTCTGAAAGACGGGGGTGAACTAGACGGTAAATTCGCCAATCAACGATCCAAAGCAAACCTGCAACATGATATGCCTCGGTTACGGGGAGGCGCCAAGTTGTGATACATATCTAATACGAAGCTCATGTCCGCACTGGCTCTCGTGCTGCCAAGCGCGGCATACGGATTAACTAACTGCCCCAACAGGGGGGCAGCCAAGACACCCGGACGATACGCGGGCGCCCTCCCTGAGTCCCTAACGAACCTCCATCGCCAGCCCAACTTTACTAAGGTTATAGTGGGCTTGGGGCACGTTAGCACTTGGCACCTACCTACCGAGTCCGAGTCCGTTACGTTACGTGGACATTCTACTTCGCCTCTCAATCATCCCCAGTCCTGGTCGCAGTCCACAATCGCATCTTTTCTCTGCACCCTTTGCTCCGTTTTGCACCTTTTGTCTCGCGGCGGATGATGCAAGTCCTGCACCGGCTTCCTGTCTCTCCTTCCTGACGCTCCTTTTGCCTTGCTGCTGCTGCGCTTCCATCCTCCCCCTCTCTCTTTGATCGTCGTACAACGCCTATCACGACAAAGCCACGGCCTGTATGGCCGCCCATCACATCTCTCCCCTGCTACATCCACATTCGTATCTGAATCCAACTTGCCCCGTCTATCCGAGAGACTTGAGAGCGCTCCCGCTCGATCCCCCGAGGAACCGCCTCCACAGGATTCAACATGCCTTCCGAGAAGGCTCCCTTCTACGACCCCATACCTCCGACCTACGATGAGGCCCTAGCCAGCAGCAGCCGATACGACCCCGACGACTGGGAACCGACCCCGAGATCCCCCACCGGCGAGCGAAATGCCCCCGAGGGCGAATCGCAGTCTCTCCTCCGCAACCCGGGCGGTGCGGCGGGCTCTTCCCGGAGAACCGATGGCTACCGGGCGCCAACCGTCGAGACGGACGACGAGGACAGTCTGTGGGATAACGATAGCGATTCCGACGATGAGACGGCTCAGGTGCGGCGTGAGGTCCAGGAGATGGAGATTGAGGAGCCCGATCACTCCCGCGGCTCACGCTGGGGGAAGCGGATGGGCTTCCTTTCTCTGCCCCAGTGGAAATGGTCCTGGAGGCCCAGGTTACCTCGACTGCGAATCCAGCTCCCCTCGCGACCAGACGCGGCCGCCGCAGATGCTACCGAAGATACCGAGGCCGACGCGGCCGCCGACACCGAAACGACGACCAGGTCAAGGCGGTGCTGGCCCAAGATTGACAGGACCACAGCCATCATAATGGGCGTCCGTGCCTTCGCCATCTTGATTGTTCTAGGCTTCGTGTATCTACTCTTCGCCAGCGATCTCTTTGGCAGTTTGTCGGACCGCATAGGAGGCGGTTATCGCTTCAACCCCGAAGACTTGCGTGTGCACGTGCAGCAGAGCGTTGATCCTAGGCGGTTGCGCGCTTCTGTCCAGCACTTCTCGAGCTACGCCCACATCGCCGGTACTGAGGGCGACTACGCGACTGCCATGGATGTCGAGAGCATGTTTAGCAGGGCTGGCCTTGACGAGGTGATGCTAGATGAGTACAAAGTGTACCTCAATTACCCGCGCAAGGACGGCCGCGCCGTACAGATTATGGACAGCAAAGACGACAAGAAGGCCATCTGGTCCGCCAAGTTGGAGGAAGAGGAGGTTGGAGGTGAGACGGCGGGCCGACAGACGTATGCCTTCCATGGTCACTCCAAGTCGGGCGACGTCAAGGGACCCCTGATTTATGCAAACTACGGGTCGCGAGAGGAATTCCAGTTGCTCAAGGACCAGGGCGTCAATACCAAGGGGGCCATCGCACTGGTACGATACTATGGCACCCAGGGTGACCGCGCCCTGAAAGTGAAGGCTGCCGAGCTGGCTGGCTTTGCCGGGTGCATCATATACAGCGACCCGGCCGACGACGGCTTTCTCAAGGGAGACGTTGCGCCAAAGGGGCCGTGGATGCCCGGCGACGGTGTCCAAAGAGGCGCCGTCAGTTTAATGAGCTGGGTAGTCGGCGATGTCCTGACCCCGGGCTGGGAAAGCAAGGAGGGACAGCCGCGGATGAAGCCAGCTGAAAGCCCCGGTCTCGTGGGCATTCCGAGTCTCCCTCTCGCCTGGAGAGACGCTCAGATCCTACTGCAGCATCTCAAGGGGCACGGAAAGAAGGTGCCTGATGGGTGGACGGGCGGCGTCCCTGACGTTGACGAGTGGTGGACGGGTGACGAGTCATCACCTATTGTCCGCCTAAAGAACGAGCAGGACGAGATTAACCAGCAGCCCATCTGGAACGTGTACGGCAAGATTGTCGGCATGGAGCAGAGGTCCAAGTCCATCATCATCGGTAACCATCGCGACGCTTGGGCATTCGGCGCCACGGATCCCCACTCAGGCACTGCTGTCCTGATTGAAATGGCTCGGATCTTTGGCGACCTTCTACAGCGGGGTTGGAGGCCGTTGAGAACCATTGAGTTTATGTCCTGGGACGCCGAGGAGTACAATCTGATTGGCTCCACCGAATATGTCGAGAACAATCTCGAGTCTCTGCGCGATAACGCATACGCCTACATCAACCTCGACGTGGCTGTGGCCGGCAGCAGCTTCCGTGCAGCGGGGTCCCCCGTGTTCAAGAAGTCGGTCCTCCACGCCCTCGGCCGGGTTATGGATCCCGTCAGCAACGCGACCCTGAGGGAACTCTGGGATGGCCGGAAAGCCGAGCTTGATGGGCTCGGCGCAGGCAGTGACTACGTAGCCTTCCAGGACATTGCAGGCACCAGCTCGTTGGACCTCACGTTTGAGGGAAGCGGGCACCCGTACCACTCGAGCTATGACAAGTTTGAGCTGATGGAGGAGTATATCGATCCTGGATTCGTGTACCACGATCTCATGGCGCAGGTGGTTGGGTTGCTCATCCTCGATTTGGCAGACCGGGCCGTCCTCCCCTTCGACGTGTCGTCATATGGCGATCGCCTTGAGAGGTGGGTCAACGATCTTGAGAACTGGGTCAAGAGCAAGACCAGTAAAAGGGACGGCAAATCGGGCAAAACTGGCAAGACAGAGATTTCGTTCAAGGAGCTGAAGGATGCCGTTTCACTGGTCCAGCACAACGCGGAAGAGTTTGAAAAATGGGAGATGTACTGGGACCGCGTCGTTCTCTCCAACGGAGGCTGGGAGGCCAACGACATTGGTGCGGACCGGCTCGAGTATAACAACAAGATGGCATACTTTGAGACGTCATTACTCGACCTAGAACTAGGTGGTGGCGTAAGTTGCTCTCGATCCCCAGCCAAGAAACATCGACTAACAATCTCTAGGTCCCCAACCGGACACAGTTCAAGCACGTGGTCTTTGGGCCGCAGCTCTGGTCCGGATACGATGAGGCATTCTTCCCCGCCATCCGCGACACTGTCGAGGCGGGAGATTGGACCGCTGCGCAGAAGATCATAGCCAAGACGGCGGCGATTATCCGCAAAGCGGCGACGGTCCTAGAGATGTGATGCGAATGTATGATTTTCCCGAGACCGGCGCCAGAGCGGAGTTGGAGTCTCCTTGTTTTTGCCTGGGCTCCTCCCTAGCCCCTCTCACACATGCCCTCAAGACGGCACAGCATTTTTCTTTATTTTCCTCTACATCTTCTTCCCACCTTGTATGTGGATCGGGTTTGCGTGGCTACACGCGTGTATAGGAGGCATTGCATGGAGTTTGGTTCGCGCGTGGGCTGTGCTTTTGGGTATCCAGCGTAGCGCCCAAGGACAGCTGCCCCCCCTTTTGGTCAGGGCCATGGAAAGGGTTATTTGCTTTCTTAGTTTCTACAAGTAATGATAGAAAGATGAAGGGGACGCAATGTGATTTGATTGTCGAGTCTATGGCAAGTTACAAGCAAACAGTTCATTATAATTGAAGTAAGGAGCATACAGTAATTGTGGAATCCAACCCTGAGCAATTTCATACCATCCCTAACCCTTTTCCTGTCCATAACACCAGGGCCCGGAAGCGACTTAGTAGCCTCTCCGAGGTGATGCACTTTCACCGAAACAATATTGAGTATTCTTCAATAAGGTAAACAATTTCAAAGGATGAGGTCCATATATGTGATATCATCAGGCAATAGATGTCATAGTTGGTATCTTTATCGACTACTCTCCCTCTGGAGTCTTCACAGTTGTTTGTCCTAGCCATTCCTATAAAGCTGTTCGATCATCCATCCATCAAGCTTTCTTGGTAGCCTCGAAGTCGGCCACGGACACCAGGCGTCCCACAACCTCGTACTTCTCGAGGAACCTCTCCTCCCAGCCCTGCAGGGCCTCCATCTGGTCGTTGTCCAGGCCCTCGAGCTTATCCAGAGGCCCGTCAAGGTCCTCCGTCAACATGTCCTCGTCGAAGCTGCCGCAGGCGAGGCCGCGGCTGGCGTCACGGCCGGCAAAGTTGGAGTAGGGGCCGCCGGGGCCGTAGAAGTTGCGGCCGCGGGAGACGTCGAAGATGCGGCCGCGGACGGCGAGGTACACGGGGCTGTCGTCCTTGCCCGAGTAGGGGAGCAGCGTGTGGGGCGTGTAGGTGCGGAAGACGGTCGCGGGGGCGTCGCGGGGGAGCGTGGGCGGCGGGGACGGGCGGAGTAGGGCGTAGCAGGTGTAGAGGACGGCGGAGAGGAGGATGAGGTTGAGAGGCGAGACGAGGGATGAGCTGTCGCACTGTTAGTCCGGGGTGCTGTGACGACAAGATGAAGGTGAAGGCGACAGAGAAGAGGGTACATACGTGTCAAAGCCTCGGGCGGCGTCGGCCATCTGACGTTCAACGTGGTCCATTGCTAACGAGTGCGATGTGTCTGCGGAGCGAGGAGGCCGGAGGAGAGAAGAGCGAAGGCCGGAAGAAGTGAAGAGAAGACGGTCGAAGCTGGAAGCCAGGCGCTGCAAGCTGGAGGGCGGAACAGCAGGCGGCGGCGCAAACGGGCCAGGTGCAAGAGCAAGTCCCGAAGCGTACGGTGCGCGAAGTTGAGTTGAGGTGGATTATTCGGCGTAGCTTGCAACTGCGAACTTGGAGGAAGGGTTGCAATCCTCCGACGTGGCCGAGATAGATGTTGGGTTAAAGGTGTCGGGTTCCACCCCACTTGCGCGACAGCGACACAGTAGCTCTCCCACCAGTTTCTGGGGGACAGCTGCGGATGACCGACTACGTAACCAAGAGAGAGCATTGCAGTTCGCACGCACCTATTGCGATTTGCACGTATATGACACACTCGAACGTGAATAGCTTGGTAGATACTAATAAGCCAAACAATACCCTTGTACGTATTTATTTTTCCATCTTCTGTATCTTCTCGGATGGCCAAATACCCCTCTCTCGCTCCCTTGAAGCACAACGTCTACATGCTCACACAGCTGTCCGCAAGTCGGCCCAAACGTCAGTTTATGAACATGATGCCTCCAGCAAACGGGTGTCTCTCCTGCGTGCGAATGGCAATACGTGTACGTGAGAATAGCTATTAACCCGCAGTTCGCCTGCCTCGGCCGGAAGTGCGAGTTCTGAGAGGCCGCGGCGGAATTCGGAGAAGCCCCGGCATTGTCGACCCGGCCATTCCGCAATTGAGACGCCGCAGCCATCAGCGGGTTGCGTTAAAAGGAAGGCGATGGAATTGGATCGTCTGGTCCGACGCAATCGCATCGCAATTGTCGCAAGTCCCTCTTGTGAAACCCTGGTCTTTCATGCCCATATTCAATCTCGGGACTTGTCGCCGTCGTATTCGTGTGTACTGTGCCGGGGCTCGTCACGTCCAATCAGTCCCGTTCAAATCGCAAGCATCAGCTGATGGTCGCAGCGCTGCATCCTAGTAAACGGCATATCTCTCAGGTACTTAACTACGATGTGAGATCCAATTGTTACTATGACGTGGTATTTCCCTACGTCCCCAGTCGAATTGGAGAGCATCTTGAAGTGAATGTTGAGGTCAACAAGGTCTCGGGTACGTCCCAATTGGGTAGGAGATCCCCAGTTAGGAAAGTTCGTGGGCGGCGATACTTCAGTGACACCATCAGATGGCACAACCTTGATGCTCGCATACATGAAAATGCTGTCAATAAAGTGGGCGGCTGGTTCCCAATGGTCCCTGATAATATACTACGTAGTAGAACACGACTCATCACCAAAAAAAAGAAGATCCAAATTGTCCCCGCTTCCACGGAGCAAAAGGATAATTGATGCGACTCGCGCACCGTTGAATCACTTGGAGATTGAGGGAATTGAACCCCCGACCTTTTGTAGTCACTATAGTCGACTAGACAATGCAAAACAAATGTCATACCACTAGACCAAATCCCCTAGTTGATAAATATCGTGTCCCTGTAGTTGATTATACTCGTTCCAGGATGTGGGCGTGTTGTGGGGCGGGAGGATTGCATCCGAAGCCCACCCTTGACAGTGTTGCCTAGTTGCGGAATAGTGGTGTGGGAACCCAGGCTATTACATTGTCCAATGGACGGCCCACCTCGTCCCTCATTGACATTGTTGCGGCGTCGTTACAGACGATCATCTTAGACTTGCTCTGGGTGATGGGCACGGCGGGGCGAGGCCTTGTCTAAGGCTCTCTAGCTACAATTTAAGTAGCGACAGTTGCATACATGAAGTTCCCAGGTTGCCGCTCGCCACACAGTGATAGCAACGCATTGGAATCCCTCTCAAGCCATGATGCCTACCTCTTTCATCTCACCTTAGTCCTAGATCAGAGAGCATCGTTCATTCTCCTGCATCTCCGACACAAAATTGATCAACACTCTTCCCAGATCACCTCTGGCAGATGGAGTACGAGAGCATGCATTCATCATACCCATTGGTCGGCCGAACTAATGCCAATTCAGATCCTCCACCACACTTTGGCCGGGTGGGTCCGAGTCCGAGGGCCGGGTCTGAGTGACGGCCGAAAGTGGAGACACGGCTCCGGCCACTGCTGGCTCAAACCAGCCCGCCGCGATTGACATGACCATTTTCTATTTATCCCACCTAAATTAAGTGCCCTATTAAATTAGATACATGATACTGGGGTTATGTTTTATTATAAATTCTCTTGTCATAAGAGATCTTGGCGCCCACGGACGAAAGTTCATGGTCAGGGCATTGTAGCAGTAGTGACAATCCGCCAGGTCGTCGTTGGCTTCCAAAGTGTTTACCAAAAGGACAGGCAGAAAAGTCTTATTTACGTCAAGGGCCTAGCCTACCAAGAGTCCTTGTACTTCTTAGGCTACCTCCTCCTACCTAGACTCACGCTCTCTTGTGATCCATTCACAGTGCACGGCAGACCCATACAACAGCACCCACTTCAACAGTCATGTGAGGCATCCACGAGTGCCACGGAAATACAAGAGTTTCAGCAACTGGTCAACTGACAACCAAATCATCCAGGCGAATGCTATCAAGGCCAACCAAGGAATCAACCCCGCCAAGATCCAATACCAATCCCCTGCTAGCCTCAGGCGCCGTGAGTCAACGGCGAGGACTCAGCCACCACGGCGCTAAAACAATGCCTCCACAAGGCTGACAAGGCAGCCACTGAACACTGCATGCATAATTCACGGTGTATATAGAACCGTGATTTCTTCCGACTTTCATGACTGCAACCGTAAACCCTGAATATTTGGGAATCCGGAACAAAAATTGAGAAAATGTCAGATTCATCGTCACCTGAGCCGCTCTACTTCTGGCGAGAAACGGACAGTGAGACAGGATGGCTGTCACAGTGGTACGATTGTCCGTTCAAGGACGACGAGGATCCCAAGAAGACATACAAGACGGCTGAGCAGTAAGTTCAGGTAGAAGGGCTGACGTATGTTGATTGAATCTCTGAGCTCATCCAACTCCTTCAGCTACATGATGCATCACAAGGCTCTCCTGTTCAACGATCCCGCGGTCGCCCTCCAGGTTCTCCGTGCCGACCACCCGCGTAAGGTCAAGGCGCTTGGCCGCAAGGTCAAAGGCTTTGACAATGAGGTCTGGGACAAGAACCGGCGCGACATCGTCCGCCGGGGCAACATCCTCAAGTTCACCCAAGCCGTGTCGGAGCAGGGCTTTCACAAGAGCACCACTCCCAAGGGCAAGGGCACAAAGCGCAAGCTGCTGCCCATTGAGGGATCTCTGAAAGCCATGCTGCTGGCAACGGGTGATCGCGCGATCGTGGAAGCAAGCCCGTACGATTCCATCTGGGGAATCGGGTTTACAGCAGCGAATGCTGAGACGGCCAAGGAGTCTTGGGGGCTGAATCTGCTGGGGCTGGAGCTGATGGAGGTAAGGAAGATCTTGCGGGAGCAGGATGAAGAGAAGGAAAAGGATGGAAAATCCGTGGATGGTGATGAGCCGGCAAGGAAGAAGACAAAGAGCGAGGAGCAAGATGTAGAGAAGGTTGAGAAGGAGGGTGAGGAGGACAACTAGAAGCGGATGAGCGATTGCGAGACAAAGCATGAGGCATGGTCATCTCCTTGTATAAGAGTCAGAGTCAAACTAGAATAAATCAACAACATCTTTTATCTTGAAGACCATCTCATCGTATATCGGTCAACACAGTTCCTTGTTCAAAATAGAATGGCATCCCCTTGCTGGCTTTGCGATCCACGTTCTCATTGGCCTCCTTTGACCATTATCATGAATTTTCACGCTCAAGGGTATTTATGGTATAGTCTCATATTGAAATAGGACATATCATCATTCGGCATTAAATGTCGTGAGGTCAGATTTAGGGATTCCTTATCTGAATGTCTATGCCTTCAACCCCAACCATGCATGTTCCCCCCCATCTCTCATCCCATCGCATCCCCTATACAGAGGTAAATCGTACATACAAAGCCTCGGTTTCCCCTTCGAGGCAAGCAGAGCGGCGTGTTGTTTTCCTTTTGGTGATATGCAGCCCAAAACCCCATCCTCCCCTATATAAATTGTTTTTTCGTCATGTCGAGAGCCCTGGTATCTTCCACATGATTGGTCGTACTGTACATTTATTAACACATGTTGGCCAAACCCTGCCGCAGGTCGACCGCGCTCCGTCTTTTTATATCCAACAAAACATTCCCCGCCATGACGCCGGATGTGAGCGCGCTGAGATCAGTACCAGTCTCGGCCGCTCTTCTGCATCTCAATCAGACGCCATCCCCGAGTCTCAGGGTTGTTGACGTCCTCGGGCACCCGGGTGATGCCGATGGCGTATGTTACTAGCTGCACCTTGTCCTCCATGCCTGCTGCAAGCTGGTTGGTCTTGGCGTTGCGGTAGACATGCACCTCCTGGGTGCGGCAAGTGATGATGAAGACGGGCACCTCACCGGGATCCAGCATACGAGCCCGGAGGATGTCGACGTTCCTGATGTCCAGGATACGTCCATCCGACTTCATACCGGCCTGGAGGTACTGCTTGGTCAAGGCCTCGTAGACGGAGTACTGGGCGGCCGATAGCCACAGCTTCAGCGTTTCCGTCTCACCCTTGACGTAGGCATCCAGAACCTCGGGGAGGATATACTCCCGGAGCTCTTGCAGGAAGGGCTCAACCTGGAAGGCGGGGTCCATCGATCGGAACTTCTTAATGACCATGGCAGTCTCGTTCTCAGCGAAAAATCCGCCAATTCGGTCGGTGATGCTTCGAGCGGTTGATACGAGAGGGTTTTCCGACTCCTCGTACTTGCCCTTCATGCTGAAGATGCCCTGGACGAACGAGCTGGTATCGCGGAAGTCTCTCCACGCCTCCTTCCAAGCGGCATCCTTGTGGAGCGTTACGTTGGTGCCGGCTCTGTTGAACATTAGCAGGTATTCCCGGGAGACAAGAAATTGCAAAACTTACTCAGGGTCCTCCTGCATGACCTCCCCACCCTCCGCACCGCGCTGCTTATTCAGAGCCTCTCTTCGCTTACGGCGCTCCTCCTTCTCGACCCAACCACCGTATCGTGAAGAGCTGCCATCATCGATGACATCCTTCACGTTCTTGTAAGCCTCAGTCTGGCGGATGGGCTGGGTGGCCTTGTCCACGGCGTCGCCGGTGACGTTGGCGGCCTTGCGCACACCCTTAACAACCGAGGTATCCCAGGTCCAGGCGGCACCCTTGCCAATGGCGCCGGCAGTCGTCTTGACGGCCCCGCCGACGGTGTCGGTGATGGCACCAGTGGACTTCTCGTAGGCTTCACGAGCACGTCGAACTGACTCGCTTTCGGAGAATTGGTGGGCGGCAGCGCCAATCTGCTTGGTCGACTCGTTCCACTCTTGCGACTTTTGGAACTCAGTGTTCATAGTCTCCATGAACACCTGCCAAGGAGTCTTGTCGCCATGAGGAGGGGGGGGGGGAAGATCTTCCTTCTTCTTCTCCTGCTTGCCCTCATCCTCGCCGTCCTTACCATCCTTCTGCTCTTTGCCCTCCTTGTCACCGTTCTCGCCCTCTTCGGTCTTCTTGGACTCGGTCTCCTGGGGCTTGGCCTCGGATTCGCTTTCGGCAGCCGTTTTGTCCTTCGTCCCTGGTGGGGTCTGCTCCGTCTTCGGCTTCTCGTCTTGAGCGAGCTGGCTAGAGACGTGGAAGAGGCGAGATTGAACGCCAGGAGTAAAGTGAAGTTCGGATGGGAGGAAGGAGGACCTCAAAGGCGAGCGAATTGCGCCAGAGAGAATTGAGCCCTGTGGCCGGGCACCATCGCGGCTAGCATTCTGGGAGAGTTGAGAAGCTAATCGTCGGTACGCAGGGGATCTGCCGGCCGAGCTCAGATGGACGGACGCCCGAGACAGGGCGTTTTCGGAGTGCGCCGCCTTTCTCGTAAGGGAATTCATGATTGCAACAACACGAAGAGCCCTCCACAGAACGGGATTGATCGTGGATTAAAGGGCGATGGAGAAAAGATATGTGGAAGGACGTAGAATACGCGGGAGGAAATTTTGGTTCTGCGATCTCGGTTGCGGGCGGAAAGGAAGGCGGCGTGCCGGCAAAGCCTCGGCAGAATTGGGTGGCGCCGGAGGTTCATCCCGTCTATGCAAAAATCGGAGTGCTAGATCCCTTCAAGATCGCCAACCCCGACGGTGATGTGTACAAGATGAGCCGCCCATTGACGAGTCGCCTCGCGGCGCAATCGCTCTTCCGAAGCCCCCGAACCACTTCGAATGCGCTGAAATGCCCCTTCCAAGCGGCCCGACCGCTGTCGCACACCAGCGCCCGCCGGGCGGATGATTTCCCTCCTCCTCCTCCACGAGCTCCCCGAACCAGAGTGGCACGACCCAGCTCGACCTCGCTCCTCGAGAACATCTACGGCACCGCACAGCCGCCGTCTGCAGCCCAGCCAGCTCAACCCAATGCGATGTCGAACCTGTCCCAGAGCCTCGTCTTCAAGACGCTCGGCAAGTCCAGCCTCGACTCAGGCCTGCTCGGTGCCAGCGGTCCCCGGACGGTGCAAGCCAAGGAGGACGACATGGAGCCATTCCACTTCCACATCTACTCGCACAAGCACAACACCCACATCACCTGCACGAAGCCAAACCGCGAACCCATCATCTCCCTATCCTGCGGCAACATCGGCTTCCGCAAGTCCCGCCGGGGCACCTTCGATTCGGCCTACTCATTGACCAAGTACGTCCTGGAGCGATTGATCCATACCGGATGGCCCATGAAGATTTCGCGACTAGAAGTGGTGATGCGAGGTTTCGGCCAGGGACGAGAGGCGGCGCTCAAAGTGCTGATGAGCCCCGAGGGCAAGGTGCTGCGTGACAAGATTGTCCGTGTGGCCGACTCGACAAGAATCAAGTTTGCCGGAACCAGAAGCGAGAAGCCGAGACGTCTGTAATCTCGAACTGGTTGACGATGTGCGGGGATTACTGTGGAATAGAAATCCGATGTACTATACTCTGTACGAATGTACCATACAAATAAAAACAGACCCCAAATCCGTTTGCCTCGGAATTGTTTGAAAGAATGACTCGCTCCTAATCCAGAACCCTTGGTATCGTGTGGACCGGTTTCAAAAGGAGCGCCCGGCTCCAAACCCCAGACGCCTGTAAAGTAAAGACAGTAATGCACCCGAAACCCGATAGGAAACTAAGGATCCGTCGTCTAGTGCCGAGGAGCTCTCTCAGCCGCAGGAAGTTGGCGTCCCGCAGCGTCTCTCAGGGCTTGTTTCCCTTTCCCGTTACCCCCGCGCCTTCTTTCCTCCTCGCTATCCCAATTTCCGTCTTCGCTTCCATCGTGGCTATCCATCAAGAGGTGCGAACTGGAGTGGCGAAGCATGCGAGATCGCTCGTCGGAGTCGTCATAGTCGCCAAGCAGCTCGCCGTCGGCGCCATCGTACTCAGGAGGCTCGATCCACTCTCGGGGGACAACACAAGGCAATGCGACTCCGATGCTGGCAGCACGGTTCAGCCAAGCAGGACCGGGTTGGCCCGTGAGCTTCATGCAGAGGTAAGATGTAAAGTGGTTGCAGTTCTTAGTGAGGAGGTTGTAGGAAGTTCCGGGGAACTGGTCCGAGGCGGATTTGAGCGCAGCTGCTATCTCTTCGTCGGTGGCGAGAGTGAAGCCGTGGAGGATCTCGCAGCGAAATGTACCTCCGGGAGGTTCGGTTTTTGGCTTGGTCCAGTACACCCCGGTCGTGCCGCGATTCTCGTGACCACCGTAAGCATATTCTTTGTCTCCGATGACGACGCCGGTGTGAAGGAGCGAAGCACCGACTGTCCACAAGATCGACGAGAGTCGGCCGGGCTGTCAATGGCACAAGGGTCAGCATAAGACCAGTGAGGCAGTTAAGCGCTGCGCCGCAGGGAGAGGTTTACGCACAGGGAGGAGGTCGTAGACATGGATGGTGATTTCAGTCTTCTGTAGAGACAGCGTAGACCGATGTCTGTTGATAGACGAGCTCTTGCTCTTCCGAGGCATGGTGGCGGCGTGAGTGGTGGTGGGCGTCAGTCGATGTCAGTATCGCCAAAGGCTGCGATCGATGCGATGCGATAGTGCGACGTCAGTGTCTCGTAAGGCCGGACTTGGACGCTTGTGAAGCGGGGCTGTGAAGCAGGATTCAAGCTTGGACAGGAGACGAGGATGAGTGTGATTTAATGGAATATCATTACAGTACCACAAAGAAGAAGGAGGTGATGGTACAATAGGGATACACAAGGGAAAAGGGAGAAGGAAGCAGTACAGATGCGGAGAGGCTACAGTTGTGCCTGATTCAAAGCCGCGCCTCAAACACCCCGGACCATCACTTGATGCGAGCGTGCGACGAGCGAACCGCCTTCGGAAATGCACAACAGGAAGAGTGGTGGGAGTGGGCTGTGTTGCGTCAGCCAATGACGTTGTTGTTGCTCCCACAACCGGATTCCCAGCCGGAACAATGTTCATTCGGCCTCCGACATTGGGCGCACGAGCCCCAACCTCGCCAAACTGTCGAGGTGGGGGTGTCAAATTCTCATCTCATCTCACTTTTCTACAAAGCTCTCCCCGTCGCAAAGAGAAATCTTTTTTCCTCCTCTCTCTTCTTCTCCCAGGCGCTTCTCTAGACACGAAGCCGTCCCAGGCGATTGAGGTTGGCTGCTGCCAACCCCTCCTTCATCACGAAGCCCTTCGCCTCGTCCTCCCTCTTCGCTTCTCTCTCTCTCTTTACCCCTCGCGCAGCTAGCTCTGCAGCTCTTGGATTCACTCCAACTTCCTCGCGTCTAGTCGTCTTCGTTCCCCGTCGCGGCTACGCGAAATCAAGAAAGATGCCTCCCAAGAAGCAGGTTGTCGAGGAGAAGATCCCACTGGGCCGGCCCGGTAACAACTTGAAGAGTGGTATTGTACGTGGCCTTCGTCCAGTTCATGGTCGTCCTATTTTTGTCAGTTTTCCAAGCTAATCCCTCACAGGTCGGTCTTGCAAACGTCGGCAAATCCACTCTGTTCCAGGCCATCACCAAGTCCAACCTTGGTAACCCAGCTGTATGAAGCCCCCTCGCCTCGCCGCCCTAGATTCGGGGTGCTGACAGCTTCAAGAACTTCCCCTATGCCACCATCGACCCTGAGGAAGCCCGTGTCATCGTTCCCGATGACCGGTTCGACTGGCTCGTCGAGAAGTACAAGCCCAAGTCGGTCGTCCCGGCCAACTTGACCGTCTACGATATTGCCGGTCTCACACGTGGTTCATCCACTGGTGCTGGTCTCGGAAACGCCTTCTTGTCCCACATTCGCGCTGTCGACGCCATCTTCCAAGTCGTCCGAAGCTTCGACGATGCAGAGATTATCCACATTGAGGGTGACGTGAACCCCACCCGAGATCTGGATATCATCAGCGAGGAGCTCCGACTCAAGGACATTGAGTTCGTTGAGAAGGCCCTCGAGAACCAGAAGAAGAAGACCCGCATGGGTGGTCAAAGTCTGGAGCTGAAGAAGGCCCGTCAAGAGCAGGATACGATCGAGAAGATCCTTGCCTGGCTCAACGATGGCAAGGACATCCGCAAGGGTGTCTGGGGACCCAAGGAAGTAAGTAAACACTTTTTTTTTTTACCACGTTGCACATCTTTTGCATCCAACACTTGCTTTACATGATGACAAAAGGCCAATCGGCCTGAATCTTAACCCAGCTCGTCGATTGCCTCACATATACAACGCAAGAGGCATTGTGAGAAAAAAAACCCATTCTGATAGCATCTTACTCTCTCATTTATACTTGGATCATCGTTTTGTGGTACATCCGCTGACTTTGCTCTTTCAGATCGAGGTTATCAACCCTCTGATGCTCCTCACGGCCAAGCCCGTTGTCTACCTCGTCAACTTGTCTGAAAAGGACTTTATCCGCAAGAAGAACAAGCATCTTCCCAAGATTGCCGAGTGGGTCAACGAGCATGCCAAGGGCGATCCCATCATCCCCATCTCAGTCTCTTACGAGTCTCGACTCACTCAGTTCGAGACTGAGGCTGAGGCCAAGGAGGAGATGAAGACTGTTGGGGCCGACTCTGTTCTGCCCAAGGTCATCACCCAGATGCGCAAGACTCTGCAGCTGGGCAGCTTCTTCACCGTTGGCCCCGATGAGGTCCGCCAGTGGACCATCCGTACTGGCACAAAGGCCCCCCAGGCCGCCGGTGTTATCCACACTGATTTCGAGAAGACCTTTATTCAGGCTCTCGTTTTCGCCTACAAAACCCTGCACGAGATGGGTGATGAGGCCGAGGTCAAGGCCAAGGGCAAGGTCATGACCAAGGGCAAGGAGTACGTCGTAGAAGACGGTGACATCCTGCACATCAAAGCCGGTGCTGCCAAGAGCTAAGGAGTGAATATCTCACCCTGCCTTGGTATGAGTAAATAGTCAAAAAGTTAAATGTGATGACGTGACGAAGTAAATTCCGTCAACACCCACCATTATCCCTCATGCCTTCTCAATACATGTGAAACTTGTGTGTCCATCTGAGAGAAGAGGTGCTGGTCCCCACTATCCTGCTTGCGCATTGGTGCATTAGACCTGGGTCAGTGTGCAAAGGACCCCTTGGAGATCAGGCATGATCCGTTGTGCTTTTCGTTTTTGTTTTCATGCATCCTTTGTTGTCTCTTTCTGAATACCACCAAGGTAGAGGCACACCGTTCGCCAAGTCAAATTACCCTTCCAACGATAGGTCTTACGACTGAGGTCAGAATACATAGACAAGGAGTGAAGGTTCCGTTGCTGGTTTATGTTTGAGGACAAGAACATACGGGAGCTTTTCGCTGCTCTCATCTCGAGTTCCTGTGGTGTAAACTGGTGTCGGTCTCGGTTCATGAACATGCTCAGGGTCATTCACTGTACAAAATTGGCCGCAAACTAGCATGTTTTCGTCCCATGCTCAACGCCCTAGGGAAACAGCGTCTTTCAAACCAAGCATTAACGCTATGCAAGTGCCCCTCATGTAAACTTTCCTCAGCACTCAACTTGGTGTTCCCAGTTGTACTCTCGTTGTTTAGCGACAACATATTGTTCATGGAGAATGACCTCTTGCTTCTCAAAATCGGCGTTTCAGGCCTGTCAATCTAATTATTTAAACGTTACATCTCCCATGTGTAGCTTCATTTCCTCCCTCTCTTCTCATTCCTTCTGATTGCACACTCTGTGGTTCAATATGACTACGACTTCATACAAGAAGAATGCGGCATACATTGCGTACACCAGGGGAAATTTACGACCAGACGTGATCCTCCCTCCGTTGGCGAGAAACAATGTGTGTTATTATAATCACTTTCGTACCAGCTTCTAACCCTTTTACAGGACGGCCTCATTTTCCTAGCTCCAGGAGAGGTCTACTGTCGATTCCGGTTTCAAAACGGAACCATATGTCCAATTGTAAGTATTTGCCAGCCAGGACAAGTCTATGCCACGTTGAAGCTAAAGGTATCGCTAGAATTGGCGTTTCCCGACCTATCATGCCCTGCACGATCACTATAGTCAGGCACACGGATTGGAACTCGAGCGTCTCAAGTCTGGTGCACTGCCAGCCGATACTCGACGAGATGTTGAGCGTAAGGGCCTCTCCTGAATCGACCAGTATTATTATGGGTGGGCACTGAATTAGAGCTAGACTGGTACAAAGCTCTCATGGGGAACGTCGTGACTGTTTGGACACCTCGCAGTGCTCACGTCCGTGGGCACTCGCCTCCGCCCGTTTCGAGGCCCGACTTGGTAAGTATCAGGTCACCTCTTTTCTGGCTTGCTCTATGTTGATTCTAATACTTTAAATATAGGATGGCATTTAATCTACTGCATCATCAATCTCATTTGGTAACAAAAACGACGGTGATAAAGGGATAAGTGCGAGCAATTGAGGCACAACTCGTGAGGCCAAGAGAATTTGCCTAAAAGATCACGAAAGGCGAAATGTGGGCATCAATCTCGTTCACCTCGAATAGAGACCTTACAAGAGGACAACAAAGACAGAGAACACAAGTGCAAGCAATTCCCAATTGCAGTTATGATTTACATGGATTGGTTTATTGACGTATAAATGTGCCCACCTACCCTACAGCCAACTGTGTCTTAGTGCCGTTCGGTTGACGTAGTAATTCCTACGCGAATTCAAGTACCATGCTCCTCCGCTGGGCCTAGACTAGACTAGGACTCGACAGCTTGGCGGTAAATGTTTCACAACAAGTCAATCACTCCATTGATGTGACTGACTCCATTCCCAGTTTGAAGCGGTTCTTTGGTCTGAGTGCGCGTGTGCTATTTCATACGTAGTATTGCTTGCCCCGGGCTATCCCCACAACCCCCAAGCTTCGCCATCTCATCCAGGAATCAGCCGCAAAGCGGAGTTGTAGATTGCTTCGCCCGCGTTCCTCGTGGACGAACGATTCCCAACAAAGGTGGCTGAAGAACCACGCGTTTGGCAGCCCGCAACATGTGATAGTGGACAAGGACCAGGCCGGAATCAGCCGGACTAACAAAATCCCGGTTGGCTTGTGTAGACGCTCTAATTAGCCGTGAGCGGCGTTGGCGGCGGCCGAGGCGGTACGTACCGGCAGGACCACCTTCCAGGGGCACGCCCGTGATCCTAGCGCAAGGTTCCTAGGCCGATCCGAGCAGCGCCTTGACAGTTGTGGATGAGGTCAGCTCTTCTCAACACCATCGCCAAATACGGTTCAACCCCATCGTTATCGCGCCTCCTAATCAAGCCTACCGTCCTCACGAACTCGACCTCGCCCGCACGCGACCGCCGCGCCCGACATCTCTCCCTTCCGCTCTGAAACCGCTGCCGTCATCATCCCACGCCTCCGCAATGAACCAGGGTTGAACCAACTCACTCCGCGCCAACCCCATCACCAAGCTCGCCAACTCCATTGCTTCTCCCTGCATGTATCCACAGCCCGGTCCATCCATCAGCGCCCTTCGCCCGCCCTCCGCGACCTACAATCCGCGATCCTGACTTTTTGCGGCCTCCAGGAGCCGACCCAGCCTTGACACCGGCCGCCCCCAAGTCGAATGAATGCAACCTCTAAACCCCTACCTGGCCGCCTTCTTCAAGAGCTCCCTCCCTGCCCAGTGCACCCCGGTCCATCACCATATTCTGCTGGTGCCCTCAACGGATGTTCTCCTCTCCTACCGCGAGACCGAGAGCGGCACTGCCCCCGGGGAGGTCATCGCATCCGAGGACTTCCTCGCCAGCCATGTGCTCAAGATCCCCAGCCCGGCCGGTGTCGCGGGCGGCAAGGACGGCAACCAGAACCTGCGCGAGGTGAGGGGCAAGGCGAAACAATTCTCTACCCTCAATGGAAAGAGTGTTGTCATTAAGGACTCGTTTGTCTACAGTAACAAAGGTGCGCGCTCTCTTAACTTAGCTCTAGCACTCGTCTTGCCATATCCCCTTTTGCTTACTCTCTGCACTAGGCTTTAAAACGCTTGCTCAAGCCCAGCTCCTCAACGATACTACCTGGTACCCTGACGTCTTCGAACCACGACAATGGCTTCTTTACTTTATATCGAGACCCCTGGTGGGTACCTGGGAGGAGGTCAAGATCATCCCCGCCATCTTCGTCCCCGGTGTACGGAAGCGCAGGATCGCCGAGCAGAAGCAAGGCCCGAATGGCGAGTCCAACGAAAATGCGGCCCCACGAAAAAAGGACATCAAGAGCTTTCACGACTTGCTCAACAGTTTCCCGATGATCGCTCGGCAGATGCAACCTGGCCTTGAGAAATTGTTCCTTGAGTTTACCAATATCTTCCACAAACCACTCCCTCCGCCTCCATCCGCCGCCCACATCCCCGATCCTGAACCAGATGGACCCTTTACGAGTGCCATGAAAAAAGCTCGGTCTAGCAACATGCCGGCTAGGCCGGGAGAGGATGGGGTTGGTAGGTTACCGGTGACGGAGAACTTCTATGCCGAGGATGACGAGGATATCATGAGGGCCTCGCTCGAAACCGCCGTCACCGCCGCTATCGATTTATTCCAGGGTGTGGACAAACAACAGCTGTCGTTGCTGGGTGCCACAACCGATTTGACTGGACCTCTTGTCGAAAAACTGATTGAGCGTTATGTAACCGAGAATGTTCACCACATGCTCTTCCCGCGGCTCAACGCGCTCAAGCGACCATACGATCTGGAACTTGAAGCTAAGATTAAGAAGATGCAATTTGTCGACATTTCTCAACTGGGAATTGCCATTGATGGCGGATCCAAGGCCAAGCATGATCTTATTATCCAATTGAGCTCGGCTGTGGAGGAGTTTAAGAGAATTTCCGCGGCAACATGCCCCCAGGTCATGCTGGATCTGCTGCTCTCCACCATCAAGATTGTCTCCCAGTTAACGGACACATCCAAGTCACAGACGGTGCCTGCAGATGCTTCTGCAGAAAAACCAATCATGACTGTTAACGCCGATACCCTGGTCTCATTCCTTCTCTACGTGGTTATCCGATCGCAGGTCAAGCAGCTTCAAGCCCGACTCATCTATGTCCGAAACTTTATATTCATTGACGACGTCGACAGCGGTGAGTTGGGATATGCGCTGAGTACTTTTGAGGCTGTATTGGCCTATCTTGTGCTTGATTCAGCTGGCCTGCGCCGTGCTAGTAGGAGGAACAAAGCGCTCTGGGATGCGGCCAAGGGCGAGAGCCTTGATGATCTGAAGAAAATCATGGAGCCGGATGCGAGTGCTGCGGACGATGAGGATGATTTGTCAGAATCGCCCACATCTAGCCGGCGAGCGTCCATGGCTAGGAATCTGCCGAGTGGCACTTCGAGAAGGCCTTCGCTAGCATTGACACTGTCTGAGCGATTCTCTCACGGATCAGGCCTGAGTCATGTGTTCCCCTTCCAAACGAATGGCAATGCCGAGACGCCTGATTTCCATCTTCCTATTCGAAGAATTAAGAAGGTAGCAATGGACACTCGGAGCCTCTCGGAAGGGTCTGAGATCTCGTTTCACTCGCGCACTGGAAGTGTCGGGACTATTGGCAGTGCTCTAGAAGGCGACATCTCAGTTGAAAGGCTGTCCCAAACCAACAACTCCTTCGGAGAATCGGTTCTCATGATGGCAGTTCAAGGAGAACGACTAGAAGCTCTGAAGTACCTCCTCTCGCTCTCAGAATATTTCCCTGCCCGCGTCATTCTTGATGATATGAACTGCGAAGACACAACCTTACTGAGTGCTGCTATCCAGCTGGGCAACACGGAGCTTACGGATACCATTCTGGAATTTGTTGTGTCCAACGCGACACTCGCGCAATTGACGGAATACCTGTCGCATCAAGATATCTGGGGTCGCAGCGTTGGCCACTACCTTTTTCATGCACCGAACTTGATCAACAAAATCGGCCGACTAGTGCCCTGGAGGCAACGGGACAAGAATGGCCAGACCCCTCTATTCGCCTTGTGTCGGTCGTATGACCATGGCCACTACTGCGAAATGGTTGAGGCTGGTCTAAGTGCAGCTATGGTAGCCCAGCACGATGGACACGCTCTGCACCTTGACGAACATATTGACGCAAAGGGGAACACGCTACTACACATCATTAACGATGCGAGCCTTGCGCTTAGGATCCTGCAGTTCTGCGACGTGGATGTGAATGCAACAAACGAAAAGAGGTTCACGGCGTTGATGGTGGCTAGCAAGTATGGCAGATACGACATGGTGCGGTCACTCTTTGCAGACCCGCGTGTGGACGTGTCAGCCAAAGAGGTCCGGGGCCTTACGGCAGTTGAGCTGGCCAAGGACGATGACGTGCGGAACAAGATTGACGATCTCGCTCTGTTCAGTATGCCTCCTGGACGCGACGCCCGCATCACTGGGGTGGTGAGGGCCTTCTTTGTGGAGGACGCGACGGTGCGATTAGTCCTCAAGTCGGCAGCACCCACGGACCACGATAGCTACACGGTTACGACTAGTCGACGATCACTTTCCGACTTTGAGCACCTGCCCACCCTACTTGCGCTAGAGAACCCAGCATCGTGGATTCCCTCAATGTCAGATGTGCGATCGCCGTTCCAGATACCGTCGAAGCCATCAAGGGCGATCCTACGGGATATGCAGACCCGAGCCGACTGGTTCCTGAAGATCATGCTCATGCACCCCACATTTGCGACACACGAGATGTTGTGGGAGTTCTTCCTGGTACCAGAGCTGCAGCTGGAAACGATGGAGCAGCGGACGTTGCTCAAGGCTGAGACGCGGGTAGAGAAGGTGAGGGACGAATACGAGCCAGTGGAAGATGTAAGGGAGGTGGAGCAGTTTGTAAACCACGCCCGGGAGATGATTCGAAGTGTCAACTACTCGACCAAGAGCGCCGCGAGACGATCCAATAACCTGGGACTCGTAGTAGCAGGTAAGCATCCGAGCTGCACAATGGTTCGATGACGCCGAATTGCTAACTAAAGTGATTAGACATGTACGACTCGTCGGTTTTGCTGCACCGAGCAGTGTCCACGCTCCCCTTCCTCCCCCCACAACACGTGGATGCGTTTGAGATGTATGTCAGGGCCATCATGCCAACACAGTCAAATGCACAGGGGACCCTTCACGCTACATTCCTAGCTCTCCAATCAACGGTCCAGGCTCTGTTGGCCTCGTTGTCTCGGCCGCCCGCCATCATATCACAAATGAGAGCAGCAAAGCGAGAGGCGGACAGAAATTATAGCACCATGAACCGGTCGAGATGGCCACTAGGACTCTTGGATGACACTCGGCAGCGACTCTACGACGAAAAGGAGGAACGTGCGCGCAAGTCGCGAGAAGAGGCAGCGAACCTGGCAAGAGAGCTGCGATACACACAGCAGACGGTGGCAGGGGAACTAGCAGGGTGGCAGGACCTGCATGAAAAAATGGGCCGACGGGCGATTCGAGAATTCGCCCGGGGAATGGTGGTTCAAGAACGGATGAAACTAGAGGGTATGTTGCGAAGCCTGAGAAAAGTGAGGGCAGGCAATGAGGAGCGTGAGGTGGACTTGTCAGGCAACGGGGTCACACCGTCAGGTCCCTCTTCGCCCAGAAAACGCGGGATGACAGAAGCTGAGCTGGCAGCAATGGACGAGACGGCGGGCGGTGGCGAGGATGGGTAATTGGCGAGTCGAGGCAGCTCGGTGGTGAGTGTGGACACATGATGCATCCATCGAGAGAGCCATGGTCAGACGGAACCAAGCCAGTTGAAACACCATGCCAGACGTGTGGGATGAAGTATACGGAGACTCGTCCATGAGTGGCGCGGGGATGGCGTGGGATGGTGTGGGTGAGCTATGGATGAGGCGGATATTGTTGGCCTGTATGCGGCCGTTGATGCGGCCGTTCGTCACCCGGACCCAGGGTTGGACATGCAGATTCTAGTGGTGGATGGGTGCTGGGTTGGTGATGGATGGGAGGATGGATCGACGGATACCCTGTGGATTTGTGTCAGCGTCTGGAGCTTTAAGGGGTTTGCAGTTTGAGATTCAAGGATTCAAGGGCAAGGCAGGACGTCCTTGGGAGGCTTCGTCCTCTTGTCCCCCATGTTTGTTAGACTATTACTGGGATAGGTAGATCTTCTGGAGTACCAAAGGCCTACGGTGTGCCTGCATAGACATGGCCAGGCGGGATCAGCGACCGCATACACGCACAACTCTTTTCTCTGTTTGTTCATTCACCCATAGTGTTAATATCTGGTGATTTCTCGGGATATAGAGTTTTGCATCATAGTACACTTTTCCGTAGGCATGATGAGAATAAACTCTTGTGTAGAAAGAACCATGACAATGCTGCTTTTAGGTAGGGCTATGGGAGTAATCCTGATTTCTCAGTGTTTGTGGCTCACTTAGTCCTATGTACGCCGATGGTTCCCGTGACGTGGGTTAGTTACAGCCCATACTGATGGTTCTCCTTGCCGGTTTCTGTTCTGATGATTGGAAATATCACAGAAGGAACAGCAAACGCTCGATGAGGTGACAGACAACGTGGAAATGCCAAGATCACGGCCACACTGGCATTGCCCAACTTAAGTTTACCCTTCTGAGCCGGTTACTTCGTTTATAATCCCAGAAGACCATAAGTGGGACCACGGGCATGTGTGCTTTACTTGCTAAAACTCCAGTAATGGCTATTTTAGTACTTGGGGAATACACTAATGATTTGAGTGTACAGGTACTTATTTATTTAATCCTTTACAAAGAATTTAAAGTATTGATACTCTAGTCTGCATTGTCCGACGCCATGAATGCACACATTTGATGCTCATGGATGTGCCGAAAGCGGCAGCATTAGGTCATTTTGGTTCATTCCCTTCGTGGAACTATTGGTGGACACGGAATTCCACGGAGCTTTGAGGGTTTTGTGTGCAGGAGTTGCGATGACCCGACTGCGTGACGGACGCTGTTGATGATGTGGCTATGCAGATGTTGGCGTCAGAGAACCAGGGAGGAGAGTCCAGACTTTTTTTCTCCTGCATGCGACCAAGTCTTGTGTCGACAAGGGACGCAAGATGCTGGGGCACCTGAGTGGACAGGACTCAAGAAGACAGTCAACACAGACTTGTGACACGGAGTCTCGCTCAGATTGAGCATGAAAAAACGACGTTTACAATGGATCGAGTGGCTTGAGTGAGTCAGACGAGTTGAGGCTAAGACTAGTTGAGAACAGGGCGAACAAGTCTTGGATAGGAAGTGGGCAAGTTGAAACGAAACCAGCACAAGAAACGGGCAGGGCAAACGGAGTGGGAAACGGGCGAGAACTGCCAGCAAAGCTGAGGTGGTGTCGTGGACAGGGATAAGGCCTGGTTAGGTGGAGGAGGGTGGAGAGGGTGGTGGAAAGGGTGGTGGAAAGGGTGGAGAGAGTGGAGAGAAACAAGACAAGGTGTTGAATTGTGGACGCATGGAAGCGTGGAAGCGTGGGAAACATGCAGATGCCGCGAGCCAGTCGTTGCGCACCAAGACACGGAGTGACACGGGCGCCGCAAGCCAGCGACGCGGAAGCGGACGGATATGTGGAGACGCGGAGGCTCATCGGCCGTGCGCGCAGCCGATTGGCCCGACGCCCTTTTGACGTGGCGGGCTCGAGCGTTACACCCTGGCGCGTGCCCGGCAGCGAATCAGAGGGTCGGGCCGGGGGAGCGCAGCGAGGATGGGCTGGCCGTTACGCGCTGAACGAATGGGAAACAAGGAAGAGGGGGAGGAAGAGGGCGAGGAAGAGAGTACGAGAGACGAACACACGAACACACGAACACACGGGGGCGGCTGTGCAAAGCCATCAAAGGGACTGGGAGACTGCGAGAGCCGCAGAGGCCGACAGTCTTTAGGCCCAGAAACCGGATGGTAGTGGGCCGACGATAATCTCTGTAGCCGCTGCGTTTGGGGCAGCGAGTGGTGCGACGGACGGACAAAGGAAGCGACACGGCGGGTGGCGGGTTTAATATAATTACAATGAACATGAGAGCTTTGTCTCGTCTGGTCTCACCTCGTCTCGTCTCATCTTGGCTCGTAAGCGCCCGTCGCATTAGACGCCTGGGCGGTTAGGTTTTGGTCCGGGGCGGCCAGCTAACAGCCCAGGGGCTGGGGTGTCGGGGGCCTTTGGTCCGCTGCTCTTCTCGTGAGGCGGGAAATTGGGCAATGCTTGGCGTCATGGCGCTTAGGTGAGGTGAGGTGAGGGCATACGGACAGCCGACAGGTGCACCGCAGCGCAGCGCATTGCAGTTTGCAGTGCAGACCAAGTGCAGTAGGTGAAGCAAAAGCGGTGGGGGAAGGGGACTGGCGTAGACCCTGAAAGCGAGTGATGCTGGGGACGAACCGGTCCCAGAGACGGGGATCTGGCGACGAGAAAATCGACACGCTCTGGTTTGTCGGATTTTCATCGTTTGCGGTTCACGTCGTTCGCGATCCCTCACCACCAACAACCGCGTCGCTGCTCGGTCGGTCGAGCAACCTTCACCGTGACCGTGTCGTGGGAATTGTTAGTGGCAATTTTCTAGACTAGGCAGAGAAGACCCCCGACCGGACCCCGGCAGCCTGCATTGCCGTCATGTATCTAAAAATGAGTCATAGGCGCCGGGCCATTCAGCGACCAGCCCTGTGCATCAATCGGCTCAAGCCCAGAAGCTCTCGCGAGCTTGTCAGACATGGGGACAGAACTAGGGTATGGTACGTACCGTGTGGGAGACACGCGCAGGGGGAGTCCGCACTGGCCACCTCCCGCGCTTAGGGTGCAGGCGAGCGTACAGTGTGGATTTTCGGTCGGCGAATGGCAAGCCGAATCGGGCAAGCAGTCGGAGGCAGAGGCCTCAACAACCACGGCGATCCACTTGCAAATCGCAACCTCCACATCCACATCATCCGCATCCACATCTACAACCACAGTCAAGCAGCCACCATGTAATTCAACTACGCTAGACTCGCGCGCGTGCGGGTACGTACATACATGCCCACCGCAATGCTGCAATGCAGACCGACCGACGGGACTTCGTACATACACGGCGGGACGCTACGTGACGTGGAGAAAGCTTGCCCACGCGCGCGTGTTTCTACACGTCGTTTCAGAATCGCCTCTTGCGCTCTCGCCGTCCCGTCGCAACATGGGCCCCGACCCGCCAGTGGGCTGAGTGGCCCATCTCCAAGCCATCCCTGGGACACGGCCATCGCCAATCCTTTCTCTTGGCTGAGGAGGATAAGAAGACGGCCTCTCGCCCCCCGGCCTGCTCTCTTCTTGTTCATCGTCAGCCTGTCCTTTTTCAGTCATCCCATCTTTCTCCGGGGCAAACCAACCGCCTTTTCTTTTATTATTATCGACTGCTTTATTTGTTTGTCAAGACTGGGTCTGGCATATCGCATCTGGCCTCTTTCTCCCGTCTCATCGAGCCCTGTCCTAGCACTTGATCCAGAGGAAGACGTTGTGTCTTCACAAAGAGCTTCACAGCCCACCCCCAACCAACAGCAACAGAACAGCTTTGGTTGTGTTTACTCCCATTATTGTTCCACTATCATCACCGCAGGAGCTGGTCTCTTGCATCACCCTTGTCACGCGCAACTACACCACATCCACTTAATAACAAACCCCCAGACACCATCACCATGTCTACGTAAGTTGTTCCCCATCTTCCACTTACACAACCACATGGCTAACAATAATGCAGTCTGGCAGTCGACATGCCCTTCGACTTCACCTTTCCGTCGGCATCTATTGAGCGACCCAGCCCTCCTCCCATCATGAGCTCATTGCCCTTTGACCCTGCAATCCTTGAGATGGCCTACAGCCATGCCGCTGGTCACATCTCCGGTCATTCGCGCTCCTCTTCCAAGGCCTCAATCTACTCAACCGTCTCCGCCGAGTCCACTGCCGACTCACTCTGCTCTCGCCTTACCACTCCTCCTCGTGCCTCTCCTCCCGTCCGCCATCATGGACCCATCCTCCTCCCCAAGATCCGCTCTCAGGACCAGAACATTGACGCCACTCCTTGCAACTACCGCATGACCACCCCCCCGGCTCCCCGACCTTCTCGTCATGTCCGCAGCTACACCAGCCCTGATTCTCTCACTGGTCTCTCCTACCACTCTCCCGCTCCAGTTGCCAGCGTCCACCTGTCCTTCTCTAGTGAGCCCGAGGAGATGCCCGGGTCTCTGCTTGCCTCTCCTGCCGCCTTTGTCCGTGAGAACTCGGTTCCCTCTCACGCGCGCCGTGCCTCCAGCTGCAATCTCGATGTCTCTACCATTGACCGATATGGATACCCAACCTATCGCCAGATGCCCTCCTACGTCCCCGTCGCCGCTCCTCAGCCCGACTATGGCTTCCAGGTTTCCAACAGCTACAGCCCGCGTGCTCCTTCGCCCCTGAGCCTGGCTGCCACCCCGGATCCCACTCCTTGCACCACGCTCCTCAACTTCCTCACCGCGTCCAACCCAGCTGCCTCTCTGGTACGCACCATCTCATTCCCTCTCCGTGATGCCACCACGAAGCACTTTTGGTGGGACGTCCGCAACATCCGCTCGTGGTCCTCGTTCAACGCCGCCTCGGTCCTTGCTCTTCCCGGTGCCTCGGCCCTCCTGACCACTCCCGTGGCTGCGCCCCTTCTCACCCAGCCGGGCTTCGCCTCCCGCCATCCCGAGACCGAGGCCGCTCTCCACTCCATCTACGCCTCGTACTACCTCCCCAAGCTCAACTCGGCTCTGGCACTCTCCTCCAACCGCCCTCTGCAGCTCTCCGTGCCCCCCAAGACCTCGGGCATGAACGACCTCCTCTTCGTTGCTAACGCTGCCGGCGAGTCTACCACCGCCGCTGCCATGTTCGGTGGTAAGCCCACGGCCCGCGTCGTCGGCCTCGTCCGCAGTTTCGACCGCTTCAACACTGGCATGCGCGTCGAGGGCAACATCAAGCGTGTTGAGTACCTCCGTGGCCTCTCCGCCATCCACCACGCCATGCGCGAGCACGGCTGCCGCTATGGCTTCATCCTCACTGAGATCGAGCTGGTTCTCGTCCGCTGCGGCACTGAGGCCACCCCCTTTTTCGGCAACCTGGATGTCACCTCCATTCAACTCGCTGCCTCCGCTCCCGAGGGTGATGCTTCCACTCAGCACACTTCCACCCCCCTGACCGCCTGTCTCGCCCTCTGGGGTCTCTGCCAGCTGGCTGGTGATGAGACACTCGCCGGCAACCCGCTCTGGCGCGCTGACATTGGAGCTCCCGCTGAGGGCACCCGCCGCAAGGCCCAGCCCCGCGACTCGTGGATGCCCCAGCCCCAGCTCGCTGAGAAGCGCGAGGCCAAGCGAAGCCGCGGCTGGGTTTGGCCCGAGGATGCCATTGGCCGCAAGGAGCTCGGCAAGCGCGGTGTGCGATACGGCGGTATCTAATTTGATTTCTATCTCATCTCTACGTTTTTGTTTGTGAATAGCGACTGGTCACGACGCATGAATGACGGGGCCGTCTTGATGATTGGCGCCCACAATGTTTAGATGAAAAGGAACACGACGGCAATGACTTGGCTTGACTGAAATCTACTGTAATTCTCTTTTTTATTAATAACATGCAATATGGAAAAGGTCAAATGGACCATGGCAAGATAGAAACCGAATAAAAAGTTCAAAATGTACTTAACTTATTTCACTTGCCCTTCAACTTGACAAACCATTCGAAGTGAGAATCCATTAGTGAAGTAATAAAAATGAAATAAAATAAAATAAATACATAAAATAAGCACCATGCTTTATGGTAGTATTTATTCACCACCCATGATAAAGACGACAAGGGAGACGAAAGGGAAGTATCTCGACATCAAGACGCATGTCTGAATATGCGCTCCAGATGTTTCAGACACGATAGACAAAGAGGAGAATATTATGATATAAAATAAACACCACATTAGGGCTTATAAAGTTCATGTAATACTTATGAGCGATTATTTTTCTATACAGTTTTCTTTGGTAAGGACGACACAATCGTGCTTTTGGAACCACTCAAACCTCTGTTGCATTTGATCGAGTTTGATCGACATCGTCTCCCCATCTTCGCCTTCACACCCTTGAAGTTGTCGAGTGATCACCTTCGTACATGTGTCTTGATCGCCAACGACAAAGAGAACGTCTGTCTGTCATCTGGTGGCGACATTCAACCTCTGTGCACCTCCTGTGAAGCGTGGCCCGGTCTCGGCATTCACGCAAAGAACAAGGACGACGATGTGAGCCTCGTCGCCCAGAAGGACTCAACTGTGTGACATTCCACGCCTGGATATCGAGGTATGTCTTCACCATGTGCGCAAGATTTGTTTTTGTTGTACATCGTGAGGAGAGTGAACAATCCAGGGTTAAGAGAAAGATTCTGAACGAAGTTCCAAATCAAGGTCAGTGCCAATTTGTTCTGCTTGGGGTTATATAAATATGCCGAAGACGGCGACGACTACGATGGGTCCTTGTAGTGAGGGAGCTTGGACTTCATCAAGCGTCGCCAACTGATAATCCTCTCAGACTAGATCCAAAATGTTAGTAAATATTCATGCTAGTGATGGAAGGATTACGAGGAGCTTACAAAGGTGGTGGGTATAGTCAAACAGGCATAGCACTCGCTAAGGAACCTCATGTCGCCCTGCATAGGCTTGGTTGGAATAAGAGCACACTTGAAGTCTTTGGCTGCAATCTCTCTGATGTTTTGAAGCAACCAAAAGCAGTGGTAGGTTGGGCAATCCGAGGTACGCAGCCATCTCCAAGTAAGAATCCCACTTGACGGTGCGCTGAAAATAGGCCCTCATTCTGTCTGGGAGCTACTTTGCGTAGCGCTTCATGTCCCACGAAAGGCTATTTTGGAAGGTGATTAATTTGTAACATTGACGATTTCGGGGGAAGAACTCACTTATGATAGCCGTAGCCGGACCAGCGAGGAGGAGCAGCCACATTGTTGATGTGATCCATTTCAGCTTGCCCTCCGGGGAGGATAATGGTAAACTTCCAATGTGCCAGAAATTCGGAGAGGGAACAGGTGTCAAGAATAATGGCGTCCTTGTTGGTCCAGGCATCGATATCATCATCAATACTGGCGAATGGCTTCCGAAACTCTTCGGCGAAAACACCAACCTCATCATCCGTCAGGTGAAGGTTGACGCCCAGCATGGGGTTGTCCTTGACGAGGATCTTAGTCCCAGGGAACAGATCATCACCGACGAAGGTTAGACTTTCCCCGTCGAGCAACAACCTCACTGGATGTGGCAGGGAGTGGAATGTCCTGGTCTTTAAAATATGTTAGCATAGGAACAGACCAGCAAAGTACTGTTCTCACAGTAGGGGTATCAAGTTCCGAGCGAAACTGGTATGTAATATACTCCTCGTATATGCGCCACTATCGACGCCCCAAGTTGGAGTGCGTATTCCACTTTTGGTCTGATCAGTTAGCGTGACAGAAAGCGACAGAAACTGAACGAGATTTGTACCTACGTACAACCAAAAATCTTCTCGTATGCGAATAACAATACTATAGACGAAGACACGCCTATTTAGTGAGTGCATGTATCGTTCTCGACATGGAATTCTTCTTCTATTTCCTAGGCAACTGAGAGAGGGAGAGAGACACCATCCTGCTTAACATGCAATCAACTGATGTTTTTTTACCGTTTGCTTCAACAGTTATTACTGAGTCGCTTCTTCTACATCGATGGCTTATTCTTTCATTTCCGATTCTCCACGGCGTCCTCTGATTCCCCTGCCGAAAGCGCCTCGTCAAAAGTGCTAGAATCCGTTACTGCTTCTTACTGAATTTCCCTGGTGGGCTCTTCGCAGTGACCAATGAGTCTCGTGTTTCTAGTGAGAGATGGGGAGCTGCTCGGATAGTTCTCGGTCGGTACCGTCCTGGCCAGTTGGTGGAAGCTGGGATGTCGAGCTCTCCGACCTTCTGGGAAGCATACATCACTCAAATGAATAGTGAGTTAAATTAGGTAGATAAGTGTATGAAAATTATGTTTAGCTTGAACTCTCACATGGTCCTCATTAGCTTAAATTTGAACATGTCTGAATCCTCTAAAGAGAAGGCGAAAGACGAATTATCCTATATCTACAAGACCGAGGATTACAGAGGCACGATTCTTTTATAAGTTCTGCCCCATGAAATAATTAGCAACGCCGCCATCAGGTCATAATGAAGGCTAAGAGACGAGTTACTGTATGCGGGTAGTGATATAGAGCTCAAGCTGGCCTTTCTGTCTCCCGCTTACGCCGGCTGGTCTAGCAACGGATCAGGATACGCGATCCTGTCGGGTCAAATTCCTCAATCACCCAATATGTAGCGACTCAGTCACAGTATATAGCGAGAGGAACAAATGCAGTGAACTCATACAATGGCTAGTCGTCCGAAAGGTGGGTATCTAGCAGCAAGTGTGTGCGAAGCTGGCTCCTCACAGTGGTGGAGGCGGGGTCGCGAGTTCAGTATGGGCCAGCATGCGCACGAGAGAGATGCACGAACTAGGTGCAGCCCACGCCCAAGAGAATGGAGAGGTTTTTTTCAGTCAGTAATTTCAGTAGCGGAATGGGAGTCAACCTGGGCTAAGGAAAAAGAGCACTGCAATTTGCACACACAAGTACACGCTTCAATCCTAAAGACAATTATCAGCAATAAATCTAAGGTAACAGTTTAAGACATACCATTTTTTTAATAATATTTAGTCTTAGTATTTATCCCCTGATAATAATTATTATTGAGTTTATTGAGTTAGATACGAGAGCACGGGAAAAGAGGAACAATGTCAGCATGTAGGGACCGACATGCGTCTCCTCAACTTGTCCACTTTATGGTCCGCCACAGAAGACCATTTTCTGAGCCCTAACCAGACCTGGTCTCTGGGTTTGAATCATTATTAAAAAGTAACATCAGGGCCTAATTATTATCCCAATACACTCATCCATGTGTTCATCCATCAAGAGCAACATGCCCGCTTATAACGACTGCAAGAGCTTCTTCCAAAAGGTCGTCTGCCCCGGTACCTCGCCCCTGTTTACCGACCCCTTGGAATCCAAATCCGTTCTCCTACCACTATCAAGGTCGATCGACCAGCTACGCTTGATCGGGTCGCTACTTCCCCAATACAGCTTGCATGCCACATAGATGATTCCGAATAGGGGAATGAGGATGTAGGCGTCGACAAAGGTACCCGCGTCGAACGGCGACAGCGTCGTCCATCCCTGAATAAAAGCCAAGAAAATGCAGGCGCCGAGACCGAAATATGTGAGGCCAGGGTACCAGAGAGCCTTGTATGGCAGCTCACTAATGTTTCGGCCCTGGGCCACCCAGGCGCGTCGGAAGCGGATGTGGATGAGGCTGATGCTGCCCCAAACAAGGAATGTACTAACGCCAGAGAGGTTGACAATATAGCTGTAGGCTTTGGAAGCGCCGGTGGATACGTTCATCATGGATATGGCGCCGACAGCGTTGGTAAGGAGGATTGCCCAGACGGGAACGCCCCTACTGTTAGTCCAGCCAAGAATCTTGGGAGCCTTGCCGGACTGGGCCATGTACAAAACAGTCCGCGAACCGATGTAGATGGAGGAGTTGATGGCGGATAAGCAAGTGATGAGGATGAAGGAGTTGATAAGGTGAACACCTGGAAGCAATTAGTTTATGTTTTTGGGTTGCAAATCCCGGTTTACTCACCTCCTTCCCATCCAGCAGTCTGGATGGCGATAGTCATTGGGCTCTTCAGTGCCTTAGACTCTCCGTTCACGAGTCCATCGGCATTCGCGGGACAGGTAAGGCCAAAGAAGAAAGCGGACCCCATGTAGACGAAGATAATACGCCAGAAGACCTGGCGAATGGCCTGGGGAATAGCAACTCCGGGGTTTCTCGTCTCGGAAGCAGCAATGGCAATCGACTCAACGCCAGAGTAAAATGTCGAGCAGAAGACAAATACGGTGGCGACGCCGCGGAAGCCATTGCCGTTGAAGGCTCCAGGATCTCTCCAGTAAGTAAACCCAAGCGGTTCGCCCTGACCAACGAGACCTCCCGCAGCATAGACGATGGAGAAGATGAAATAGGCGGTCAGTCCCACGAGTTTAATGAGGGCCAGCCAAAACTCGGCCTCACCAAACGCCTCAATGCCGAGGAGTTGAAAGCCCATAAACACCGTCCAGAAGATCAAGAAATATCCCCACAGAGGCACGACGGGGCCCCAGTAAGTCATGATGCTGCATATAACATTATATTCGTTCGCTAACACAGTTGCCCACACGAGGACTTCCCATCAGACTGTCAGTGATGTTCATCTAGGACTTCAGATTGGAAAAACCGCACAGTAGTTAAAACCAACACCAACGGCGAAGGCCTTGTCAACGAGACGATCACTAAGTTGTATGAAGCTCCCTCCACCGGGGTAGAGTGTCGTCACCTCGCCTAAAGACTGCATGATTGAAAACGCGATGATTCCTGTACCAAAATCAGTTTCTGCTCATGGTTTGAGGTGCCATCATGACATCTCACGAGTCACACGTTTCTGAATCACGGCGCCTTTTCCCAACACGGTTCATTTCTTTACACAGGAACATACCAATTACTCCAAACCCTATGAGCAAGGAGGCTGGGCCACCGTTGTTAAGCGCGCCACCCGCGCCAACAAGTAAACCGGGCCCGATAATACCAGCAAGGGCCATCATGGACAAATGGCGATTCTTGAGACCTCTCTTGACGCCGGAATCCGGGTCGACGGAGCTGTCATCGCTTGAATCCAGGTGAGGCGACCCGGACTCGTAGCCGGCGAGGCCATCTTCGCCCGCGACGAGCTGGGGATCTTTGTTGCCAGACATGGGCGCTGGGGGTCGATGTTACTGATAGGGATCCAAGCGGGCGAGAAAGAGGCGCCGAGATAAGTGAAAGACAGAAACAGCTGAGCGACAGGCAGGACTAGCAGGCGCCTATATAAAAATGTTCGAGCTGTATGGGATTGAAGAAGAAAAAAAACCCAGATAGACTTGCGGTACGTTGGACGGCTGGGATAGCAATGGCATCACCGACTCCGCCTGACTAACGCAACCTGGAGCAAACGCTACAAAGCCAAGGATCGACCCCTCCTCGTCCCCCATATATTGCCCGAGTTTGCCTAGGTCTGTCTGCTCTGAACCAACACCCCAACGGCTCGCAGGGGTTGTGGATGAGATATTTGTGACTGTGGACCAGTCAGCGCCAGTGGCACAGCGAACGGGACGGATGTGGATGGGCGATATGTGGATGGATGTTTCGTGCTAATTAGCTGCAGTCTACTGCGTACTGTATTAGTCTTGGAATTAGCCGACTGGATGAATACGGTGGCAAGTCCCTCTCATTCTCTGATATTGGTCCCTTGGCTTTTCGGGATGAACACCCCCACACAGTAGCCACATTCACAATAGCACACGACAGATCGGATCGCCTTGCATGTGGCTTTCTTCCCCAGCCATTGGATTGCCTTGCTAGAAAACAGCGCCGGGATTGCCCAGCTGGAGAGCGCCATAGCCGCCGCCGATCACGACATCGCCGACCTGGGACGAAAAGGTTCGCAAACAGCCACAGAGTGGGGGGGGGCTTCTAGCGGAAGACATGGCTACATCGCTGTGGATTCGCTGGAGAGCGGCGGGTTCTGAGACACCACCATCTTTTTCAAGGCCAGGCTCAGCTACGCTTAGTGAATCTGAGACGGGAATGGACAAGCCTGGCCAAGAGGCTGGGGAAATCGTCCGACGACGAGATACTATTTGGTCATGGTTTGCTGATAGAATCAATTATGCCATCCTCCCCCAGATGGCGAGAGTCAGTGCGAAAGTCAATGGCGATGGCGATATTGGTCACGGTTTGCGTGTGCGCTGTGGCATCCAATGAGACATCTGTACCGACCACCCGCACCGTCTTCATTTTCTCTCGGCCCGAGTCCATTGACAATCCGCGTTGGCGAGAATCACGAGTGAAGGTATTTGAAGGTGCTCCCTGATACCCGCATACGACGCCCTTCTTCGCAGCCCAGACCGCCCTGCGCAATCTCGACTCCCCCGCCGAGTCCTCTCTCATCCCGGGCCATCGGCGCTTTCTTTCACCCATCTGCCCGCGGGGCCGGTCCGCCGATGGCCCTTGATCCTATTTAAGGCTCAGCAGGCTGCAGCTGGCAGGAACCAATCCTGATGCGTGAAACCGTCTCGGCAGGCCATGCTAATTTACGAGGCTAGCTACCCGCTGTGGAGGGTTCACACCCACCATCCATCATAACCCTCAGAGTAAGACACTGCAAATCGATGGGCCCATGAGAAATCCTTTATATATCAAGTCTTCGTTTATGATGTATTGATCGAAATTTGGTCAATCGCTTAGGTCATAGTGGCTGAGAAGACGGGATTATTTCCACCCCATGACACACGTTGCATCTCCCGTATTTCATTGTTCGCCATAACGCTATTCGCCCTGTCCCCACGCCCATCGCCACGGCATTTCATATCTCGACGTTTCCGAGAACCTCTTCAAAGATCTCCAGATTCCCTTCATTCCTCTTGTCAAACACCGCAAACCACACCTCCTCCCACCAACCGCCCTGGAACTCGGCTTCCTTCAGCACTTCCAGCCAGCAGTTGGCCACCTCCTTCGGGGGGTTCCTAAACGCTCCACACCCCAGCGCACCCAGCACGAGCAATCCGTGGTCCCGCTGCGCCGCCATTCTCAGACACAGCCGCATCTTGGTCTTGGTGAGCTCTCGATCCGAGGGCCGCGAGTAAACGAGCTTTTCGACAGTGCCGCCTGGTGTGTCGAACGTAATCCTGTCCACAGGTGGAGTGCGTAGTGCGGCGATGCTCAGCACGCTCACAACGGGAAGGTCCACTGGGCTGATGTCTGGCACAAGGAGCTTGTGGCCGGAGTCCTGGTCGGAACGGATTACGACCACGTCTGGAGTGTAGATTCCCATGCGCTGTTTCCAAGGATAATATCGTCGGTGCAGGGACAGGTAGAGCGAGCTGCGGTAGCAGAGGGCCTCTTCCTGAGCACGCGCACCTTTCAACCATCCTCCACCAGGGCTAACATTGCTGGCCATGTTCAACACGGCGACCCGGCCAGATGCCGGGGTTTTAGAGGCCGCGAGCGAGATGGCGGCGTTGAAACTGTCATCGTTGACAATCTTGATGGCGGTCCTTCCCGAGGGTGTCCGCTTGGGGCAATCCGCGGCCTTGAGCGGCGGAAGGGCATCGTAATAAAGGACTTCGGACCTACTGGCGTGAATGTTGGGCAAGTCCTGGAGGATGTCGGGGAGAACGGTGCGTGTCTCCTTGGCCACGGCTGCGAGTTCGGCCCCGCGTCTATAGCTGCCCTTGTGTCGGCCGCGTGACGATTGCGGATATTGGGACTGTTGTGAGGTAGCTGGTGCAGCTGCAGATGACGATTCCGCGCCAGCTGCTGAAGACTGCACTGGCTGAGAGGGTCTGGACGAGGGTTTCTTAGAGAGCCAAGTATCCAGTGTTCCCTGGCCAGATGAAGATGCCATGCTGAGTTTGGGTCCGTATTTTCGTGTACCTTTGAAATTCACGCAAATCCAGAGAGATGAACAATGTCGGTTGGTTTATTGAGCGGTTTGTCTCTCTTTTTTGGAGTTTGGCGTACCGTTTGATGTTGTGAGAGAGAGCGCGGGCGTGAGCCAACTTGAGCAGGCACCAGCAGCGCATCAGTCACGCCGGTGGCCTGGAACAGGCTAGTCACGGCCCGTTCCTCCTTCAGCTGCGGTTTCAACCGCCACGAGCTGCACAAACTCCCCAAAAACGAAAGAAATAGGAACCTCGTGCTCATACGGACTTAAAATACACATGACTTAATCATCATTTAGCTATTGTACATCTTTTTCCATATCCAGTGAAGGGGTATCTCCAAATCACTACGAGCGTGGTAGTACAGTTTATACATAGTTCTGAGAGAGACGAACACATGCCAACACATGTGATTGCATCCCTTCTCCATCTTATCAAGACGCTGCTCATGCAGGAGTCTTGATTGCACCCTCCGGAACTGCCTCCTCGGCCTCAAATTTCCTCGGGATAAGCCCCTCGGCCATGTCAATAGCGCCTTTCATGTCATTCTTGTTAAACAAGAAGAGTCCTTGAATCGCCGCCGTGCTCGTGTTCCTGTTCGATGGCTTTCCGTCAGGTCCCTCGCCAAATAGGCCGAGCTCGTCGAGCCGGACAAGGAAGCGCTCTCGGCCAGAATGGTCCACATCCACATCCCCGTAGAAGCGATCCCACATCTGCCCAGCTTGGAATCGAGTCGCCTCTCCAATACGGAGCATCAGGTCCACTCTACCGGGCCTAATCAGTGCGGGGTCAAGACGGTCAATATGGTTCGTAGTCAGGAACGCAATGCGCTCTTCTCCGGCAGCAACTCCATCAAGGGCGTTCAAAAGACCTGAGAAGGTCACTGTCGCACCGTTATATCCGTCAGAATCCCGTTGTCGTCGGTTGACAAATGCGGCGTCCGCGTCCTCTAGGAGCAGCAGACTCCTCTTGGGCAGCTTGGTCAACAGGTAGGCCAACTTGTCATCCGTCATCCCCATCTCACTGAGATTGATCATGGCAACACTAAAGTCCAGCTCTCCGGCCAACGCCTGGATGAAGGATGTCTTTCCACTGCCAGGGGGTCCGAACAGTAGGTATCCTCTCCGGTACGGAATTCCTCGGTCGACATACCACTGCTGGCGATCCATAAAGTCCTTCACGTCGTTCACGACTGACTCCTTGACACCTTCATCCAGAACCACAGAAGCCAGAGGCCGCTTCTTTCTGGGGTCGCCAAGAGGCACCCAATCCATTCCCCGAGCCGAGTATACCACCGTCTTGCCCTCGTTCGCCTTGGCTGCCAGCTTGTGCGCCTCGCTGAAGACGTTCTCGAAGACGTGTCGGTGCGCCCAGAGGGTCGTCATCTGGAGAATCTCGTGGGGCTCGCCCGTATTCATGTTGGCCGTGTTGTGTTTTTCTCGGTTAACGGAAATGTATGCGCTCCCGAATTTGACAATGTGTCGTCCATAGCCTGGTTGCAGGAAGAAATGCGCATGCGCCGGTCCGCTGGTGCCCGGTGTTCGCGACGCGGTCGTCGTTATTACTGACAGGTTGTGGATTCGAGTTAGGCGCGAGGCAATGAAGCCTGGGTTCTCGCGGGGCTGTGACAGCCAGGCGAGAATCCATGGGTAGGCAGGATCCTGCTTGCTGATTTCGACATTGACAAGTAGGCGACGACGGGCCGCTCCGAGGGTAGCTATCGCGCCTTTCCGAGCGAAAGCTGCGACTGCACCGAGGGAGGCGAGGCCAATGCCACCCGCAAAGAGCGGGTTTTCGAATAGGGCATTGATATTTAGCAACGACGCTGAGGCTGATTCAGTCGACATGCCTGTACTTGGAGAGCTGTCGAGAGAAGTAGAATTTGAGTGTGGCTGTCGAGATCGAAATCTGGATTGATGACTAATCGGGCTACAAGAAATCGAATATCGGGAGTGCTGGTTGCAAGGAATGTACCGCGACTCACGGGGTAGGATAATTTGGCTCTATCGTATATCGATATTCATGATGGATTTGATAGTGAAATATCAATATTTCGGATATCTCGATCGGTCGTGTGGCATGAAAGTGTTCAAGGGAGAGAAAGGCACACACAATATTGGCTGAAGACGATTGGGAGTTCAGCTAATAATACGAGTTCGAGACTGACGTCAAATTGACCATGAATATGTTGATCAACCATTTCAAGCATGAAGTGGCTGGAAACGATTTATACGGTAAAACAGATAGTGGTTCGTAGGATATCCTCATGATAATCGAGCTGAGCTCTAGGGTAGGAGTGAGTCAAAAGAACGCTTAGCGCCTTGAGAAGTAGGAGCATTATAGAAATAATAAAAATGCAGGAAAGGTGCATTATAAAAGCTCTTTATGCCATGGGAATAGTGAAATGTAAATAAAATTGCTAGCGAAATTGTCTTATAGTCGATGTTTCCAATTATATATACCTGGCGACTAATAGAGGTGCAATGAGTATTACAGTTGCGAATCACCTACTTAGCCGAGGGCACCAATGTAGACAGCACCGACAAAAAGAAGGCAACGAATGAGTTGGTTGGCATGAAATGCAAACGATCAAAAAAAAAACCGGATGGCGTGGTGAGACTTGAATGCTCCCGGCAGGGCTTGAACCTGCGACCCTCGCATTACCAACACTGGCAATTGAAGTATTAGTACGATGCTCTAACCAACTGAGCTACGGAAGCCAACCGATTTTGTTGAGGATCAGGTCTGTAATTTGGATATATGAACTTCTGTGAATCGGGTGGTTCGTGGGGGCAGATAAGTGAGGGCTTAAGGGCCGAGGGAGTGGGGGAGTGGGTTGGGGGTTGAGCACATGGGAACTGACAGGTGTGGAGGGGCTTCGGAACTCTTCTTACACAGTAGAGCGGGGTCAATGGACTACGGGTCATGGTGGGGTTTGCATTTCGTAAGGCCTACGTATTGGAGACATCTAATGGTCGGCGGAAGGGACGTAACTGGTAGCTTAGATGACTTAATGAATGACAGTGAAGTTGACGACGCTGGCCATGCGAGTGGCGATTAGACGAGACAGATGTACGAGATTCGTCAGGAAGTTTCACCGACAGATGGGGAATCAGGTCATGGCAATCTGGATGCTCTGGGCAGATATCGTACTGTTTCCCGGGGGTAGGCATCGGTGAAGACCACATGTCAATCCGGGACTCCATCAGTCCGTGAGTCCGTCAACCAGCGACGAGACAAGGGCCATTGGCAGAGCTTCCATTGCCCGATTTCCCGGCTGATTTATCTGGTTCGTTTTTCTGCAATCCCTCTCCCCGGGCATTCTTCCCCTGGGACCTGGACCATACTCCCGGGGATCGTTGCCCGACACCGGGTCTGGCCCGGGACGCGGACCCCATGCCCGCCACGCCCGCCGGACATGGTTGAGCGTGAGGTGAGACTCAACGCCCAGAGACGGGTGGAAGGGGAGGGATAACCTTGCAGCCAGCACGACTGCAACTGCGGCATATCGAGATTCCACCGGCACTGCACATGCGTTAGCCCGGCGGTTGGCCCTCTCAGCCTTCGACGGTTCGTCGACACTGTCGCCGCTTGGCCTTTGGGGGAGGACCAAGCCGGTGCGGAATCCCACCCGGCACCACACCGTCACGACGCCGCCAGCCAACCGTGGCAATCACGGTGTCAAATGGATGCGGGGGAGATGGGGACCATGGGGTCACACGAGAACAGAGGTCAGCGAGTTGCCAGCGGCGGCGAGTGATGGCTCCCGATCAACGCCCTGAAAGGACCTTCCCGTCCCGCATGTTTCCGTCCAGCGCCCCCGAGGCGTTGCCCGCGTCGGCTACAGTAGGAAGAGGGCTCGGCAATGAGGCATCATATAAGTCCGCCCAAGCCCCCTTCCCCTCGGCCAGAAGGTTGGCCTCTGTTTTTAGTGAATTGAGTCTTTAACTCAAGCCTGTCTCGCTTTCTGCTTGCAAATATATCCCTCCATCCTCCACCCTCCTCTCCACCACCTCCACCCAACCCGCCTGTCGCTTGTCGTCCACCATCGCGGCTCGGAGATCTCTTCGTGTAAGTCGAGCCACCGTCATTCTGAAAACCCTGCAAAAACAACTTCGTCCAATGCAATTGCCCTGCCCCATTGGAGCCTCCCGACCCCCTACCCCCACTATACCACCGAGAAGGAACCCTCAGTTCGACGCCAGGGAGCTCCGCTAGCTCGAGTGAGCCACCGGTCGCCGGCCGCCACGCCAGAGCCACAGAGCTGGAGCTGGTGCACATGTGTATGCATGCGTGTGCTGGTTCGTGTGCTCGTGCTCGTGCTTTCCCTGCTGCAAAGCATTGGGCATGAAGCTGGGCCGATGTCGCGGTACCACGGCGCTGTGGTGAGAGGCCAAGGTGTGAAAATGAGCGAGGCCGAAGCACCGGGGAGCTGCGGGATGGCTGCCGGAGACGATGCTCTGAGCTGTCTTCTGGGCTGAGGTGTGCGGTGAGCCTGCTAGCCCCCCTTTGGCTGCTTGGATGCATGGCTTGCTTGGCCGCTTTGCTGCTCCTGATTGCGAAGCTCGCCTCACTTTACTCACCTGTTGCTGTCATGACCAGCAAGTCTCAGCCCATGGCCGAGCTAGCCACAGCCATCCCACGGCCAAGGGGGGCTGGTCTCCAGCAGTACCCGGTGGTGTGCATCCTCGCCAATCGAGACAAGGTGTTTGCAAATGAAATTGGCCATCGCAAGCTGCGAGATGAGAGATCCGCCCTCTCTTATCATGCATGGCCTGGGTTTCACCGAACGGCAGGGAACCTCAGGTCACCTTGGCTCACCTCACCACACCTCGCCTCATGCTGGCGGGAGCAATGGCCAACAACCAGCCAACGCTCCCACTGGATGATCCCATTGTGTACCCTGCCCTGAGCCCTGTCCTAGCCCTGCCCCGAGCACTGGCTTTATTCCCTCCTCGTACTTGCGTCCTGGCGTTTGTTGGCTGTTGTTTACCCCTCCCCCTTCCCATCATCGAAATCTCCCTTGCCTTATCGATAAGCGTCGCTCGTCCAGAAAACCCCGCGCCGCGCCCCTCCCACCGTCATCGTTTGCCCCCCCATCCAACTGACAATCTCCTTTTGCTCAACAGATTCTTCTCCTCCTCCCATTTATTTCCTCGACCTGCCCGAGTTGACCTCAGTCTCGATCGACCGAATTCTACTTCTCTCCCAACAACCAATAATCCTCAACTACAACCGATAATCCTCAACTACAACCGCAATCATGGGTGCTACCGATGTTCTGACCCGCAAGTCCGGCGTTATCGTTGGCGATGATGTCCTGCACCTGTTCGAGTACGCTCGCGAGAAGCAGTTCGCTATCCCCGCCATTGTACGTTGGACACCCAAACACACGATGGAATCAACATGATATTCTCAGGATAGCCACTGACAGATAACACTAAAGAACGTCACCTCCTCCTCTACCGTCGTTGCTTCCCTCGAGGCTGCCCGCGACGCCAAGTCCCCCCTCATCCTCCAGTTCTCCCAGGGTGGTGCCGCCTACTTCGCTGGCAAGGTGTGTAACATTTCTATTCTAGCATGTTGAGTTGACACCCCTGACGTCGTATTTTCACAGGGTGTGAGCAACACCGACCAGGCTGCTTCCGTCGCCGGTGCCGTTGCTGCCGCTCACTACATCCGCTCCATCGCTCCCACCTACGGCGTCCCCGTCGTCCTCCACACCGACCACTGCGCCAAGAAGCTTCTTCCCTGGCTCGATGGCATGCTCGATGCCGATGAGGCCTACTTCAAGGCCAACGGCGAGCCCCTGTTCAGCTCCCACATGATTGATCTCTCCGAGGAGTCCGTCGAGTGGAACGTCGAGACCACCGCCGCCTACCTCAAGCGCGCTGCCCCCATGAAGCAGTGGCTCGAGATGGAGATCGGTATCACCGGTGGTGAGGAGGACGGTGTCAACAACGAGGATGTTGACAACGCCTCCCTCTACACCCAGCCTGAGGACATCCTCAACATCTACCAGACCCTGTCCGCCATCTCCCCCTACTTCTCCATCGCCGCTGGCTTTGGCAACGTCCACGGTGTCTACAAGCCCGGCAACGTCAAGCTGCACCCTGAGCTCCTCGGCAAGCACCAGGCCCACGTCAAGGCTGCCATTGGCTCTGCCCTCGACAAGCCCGTCTTCTTCGTCTTCCACGGCGGCTCTGGCTCTTCCAAGGAGGAGTACTCCGAGGCCATCAGCCACGGTGTCGTCAAGGTCAACATGGACACTGACATGCAGTTCGCCTACTGCGCTGGTATCCGAGACTACATGGTCAACAAGAAGGACTACGTCACTACCCTCGTCGGCAACCCCGATGGCGAGGACAAGCCCAACAAGAAGTTCTTCGACGTAAGTTTCCCCACGTTTGTGTGTTTTTGTATTCGACGGCATCTGATACTAACTCCTGTCTAGCCCCGTGTCTGGGTCCGTGAGGGTGAGAAGACCATGACTGCCCGTGTCGCCGTGGCTCTCAAGGACTTCAACACCGCCGGAACTATTTAAAATGTTTCAACATTCCGGCCTGTAGTAATATCCCCAGACTGGCGACATCATCGTGCATGACTTGAGTGGAGGGGAACTTGGTGAGGTGGAAACGCTCTCCCAAGGTTGGATTCGCGGTAGCCGAAAGACACCCCCCCTTCGGAAAATTGCAGTCCTAATCAATAGCGGGAGTTGAGTGAAATAAGTAAAACCCGAAAAAAGAGAAAAAGATGATGTACACACAATGCTCCCCTGATGACCCGTCGTTTCCATGTGTTCTATGATGTACATGTGCTTATTGCTACATGTGAAATGAAGGTTGGGGATACACTTCACAATAGGCTCTATTGGTTTTAAAGTCTAGACATGTGAGTAATAATATACTTGTCCTTCTGATTATCTTACAACTACTTCGCCATTTTACGTCGTTTATGTCGTAAAGAAAGGCGAAAAGAAAGGGAGAGAAGCCGACCGCTATATATTGTAAGCTATCCCTCCCTTTGTTTTAAAGCTCCTGTGCTCCCTCGCTCTCTGTTCTTTCCAAGGCCTGTCTTTTCCGGTCCCATCATGACTCCTAGTTTCCTTTGGCTGGAACTACCAACCCAGGAGCTCCTTTTCGATCTTCGTTACATCGTCGCTACTCAACTCTGTGGCTGCCTGCTTCCCGGCTTTGGTCTTGTCAAACCGCCAAAGACCACCAGTCTTGTCCGCATCGCCATCAACGGGTACGCCAACGACCTTGCCAAGCTGCTCGAGGACGCTGTCTGTGCCCTCTACAGCGGTGAAGTACTGACGATCCCAAGAGCGCTCCTCAGAGCGCTCCTTGGTGCGCATCTCACGTTGGGCTTGCTCAATCTTAGTCTTTTCGATTGAGGTGACGTCCATGTCGCCATCCTGAATAGCCTTGGCGACTCGTGCCCAAGCGCGGCGTGACTCAAGAGGGTGCTGCTTCTCGACGGGGGCAACCTCAAGCTCGGTCTGCGCAGTAGCGACAGCATCGTAAGTGGCAACGAGGGTGGACTTGGAGTTTGATTTGACGGGGCCCTCATAGATCTCAAAGGCCTTGTTCCACTGGCCGGTGACGTTATAGAGCACTTCCTTGTCCTTTCCGGAGGGGGTGACGGTGGCGGTCACGCTGTTCTTCTTGCCGGAGAGCCATCCCTTGCCGCTGTAGTCGATCTTTGCGGTGTAGCCGCTGGAGGAGGCGATGTAGCTGGTGCCGTCAAGCTCAACAAAAGGGGATCCGAAGATGAGACCCTCAATGTGAAGAGAGGGTAGTGTGATGAGGTAGGATTCGATTTCGCGGTCGGGGAGGGGCACACGGAGGACGGCGTGACCAATCTGCTTGATGATAATGGTGCTCTTGAAAGTGGCCTTCTGGGCGTTATATCCCTCGAGTTCGACGCCAGTCTTTTCGTTGCGGACGCAGTAGGCAGTGGCAGGCGGGTGGTGGCTGACCTGCTCAGAGACGAGGGTAGTAGTGCCAGCGTCATCGGACCAAGTGCCAAGGAACAGTTCGCCGAGGAAGGGGTTGAGAGGCTTCTTCTCGTTACCGTACTGCTCGCTGCGGCTGGCGTACTGGTGCTTAAGGGTGGAGAGGAACCACTTGAGGACGAGCATGGTGCGCTTCGCCGGGTCCGCCTCGGCGACGGGGGCGGTCAGAACGGGAGGGTGGGTGGCCCAGTAGGCGGAGAACTCGGTGAGGGACTGGGACGAGAGAATGAAGGGAGGCGCGGTGAGGGATGAGAGGTCGCCATTGAAGGAGGCAATGGACTAGGAGAGACAAGTCAGCCATGGTGAGTCCCTCGCGGAGACGACATCTTGTGGAAAGGAGAGGGTGTCAGACCTTCACAAATGCGGTCCAGCTGCTGCTGTTGGCCTGGGCAGGCGTGACGGTTCCGGAGGACGACATGGTTATGGATGAGCGATGCGATGCGGGAGAGGGAGATGAAGAGTGAGAGAGGAAAAGGAGGAAGAGGGGGAAGATTGTCGACGTTGATCGTGTGCGTATTGTAGCTTGTACGTAGCGCGCTCTGCGAATCGATCTGCGTTGGGGGGGAATTGACGAGGGACCCGATTGCGGGGTTCCAGTGGAAAAGGGCTGGCAGGGAGGTGTGAGACGGCTGGACGCTGAGAGCAGGCGGGGCAGATTTTGTTGCTGGTGACAGGGGAAGAAAGTATGCGACCGGAATCACCAAGGAGGAAATCGAGATGAAGCAATCATCAAATAAGTTTGTCCAGAAAGACGCAAAGGGAGATGATGCGACGGCTGGGCGTTGGTTTCCCTGGTCGCAAATCGCCTCTCACCTGGCAACCACGAGAAATTACGTCAGTACTGTTTAAGGTCTGGAGGTACGGGTACGGATACGGTTGAGGGTGGCCAAGGCTCATGATGAATTGAGATTGGACAGAAGATGCGCCGCCCCAACAAGCAATTAAAAAGTTCACAGCCACCCACTCACCAGGGATGCGCATCACATCACGTCACTTTCTGTACATCGGAACGACAAGCCGCGCGCCGCCAAAAAGCAAATCACGTTGCACAGGACGATCCGTCGCAGGCTCCTAGAGCTTCGTCTGGCTTGATTCAGCGGCTCTTGTCCGTCTGGAAATTGGGAATCTTATCCCCCAGACCACGCTATCAAAAGCTACTTCCTCGTTATTACACGTGCTGCACCCGTCGAATCAGGACACCCACGCGACAGGCTACCGGGATAGGACGCTCAGGTACTGGTCTTTTTTGGTGGGGTACCCGCGTGCTGCCTGCTGGGCCTGGCTCACGTAGTACGTAGTCCGTGGGTGTAGTGCTGCTCTTAGATGAGACCGCCATGAGCTTGTGCCATGAGATTCAAAGTCTAGCCTACACCAATATATCTCCCAGGGAAGTAGATGCCGCTCTTACTGCCAACCGGGGTAGAGATTGAGGCACTGTCGACATGTCACGATGTAGGCGTCAACGATGCTTCATCTTCGATCAAAGTTTGGTATCTTTTTGGTAGCAAATAGAATTACGCAGTAGAGTACAGTACAGCACATTCATTCATTCATTCATTCATAAAGTCCCCCAAAACACCATCCATCCATCCGTTCATCAGTTGTACTTCCACTTCTCAATCAGGTCGGCTACCTTGGTTAAACCCCGCTGCAGGGCGATCCCCGCTGGTGTGCCTTGTCGATATACTCCCCCGCCGTCCCTCTCCTCCCACGCATCGTACACGGCACTCGCGTGGAACTGTCGCGCGCCTTTCTCGAGAAGAACCCGTACGCTCCCAACGTGCCCGCGTAGTGCCGCATAGTGCAGAGCCGTCGCCCCCTGGTCGTTGCGGTGGTTGACGTTGACTCCTTGCTGGACCAGGTACTTGAGCGTCGCCTGGTTTGCCGATGCCTCGAAGAGAACCGTGTCGCCGTGAGTCGTCAGGGTCTGCGCATCGGCCCCCAGTCGCAGAAGCAGCTGCACAGTCGAGAGATGTCCATGAGAGGCGGCCACGGTGAGCGGCGTGCGGCCCGGGAAGACGGTGCTTTCTAGATGCGCGCCACAAGATACAAGGCGAAGCAGGATATCATCCCGTCCGTGTTGCGCCGCCACGTGAATTGGAGTCGTTTGGGGCTCAGGCACCTGGTACTCTTCATCGCTCATACTGTCTCGGCTCACCGTCAATGACGGCATGCGGGTGCCGATGTTGAGCAGCGCGTTGACTAGCTTCAGGTCGCCGGCTTTGACGGCGTGGGAAAGCACACTCATGCCGTCTGGTCCGATGCGCTCTGTGTCGGCACCGAGCTTGATCAACCGCCGGGCGCTGTCGCCGTTCGCCAGCTTCGCGGCCACCAACAGCGGCGTCTCGCAAGCCCTGTCCAGCGGGTCTACTGGAGCACCCGAAGAGGCGAGGAGCTGTAGGATGTGAGGCTTGTCCTTGTGCGCGGCCATGTGCATCGCCGAGTATCCGGACTGGCTTGGGCATGCGGATGGATCCGCCCCGTGGGCCAAAAGATACCGGATCGTTTCGTCGTGCCCTGTCGACGCCGCGGCCAGGAGTGGTGTGTTGCCGTTACGGCTCGGCAGGTTCGGGTCCGCTCCGCTATCGATGAGATTTGCTGTGATGGCAGTGCATTGAGTGCTGATGGCCATTGTCAACGGCGTGTGCTCACGTAACACTCTGTCCACCTTGGCTCCTCGAGATATTAACAACTGGGCGAACTCGTGGTTTCGCATCGAGATAGCCAAATGGAGCGCCGTCCTCCCGTCTGGTTGCCGCACTTCCATGTCTGCGCCGGCTTGAATAAGTTTTGTAGCTAAATTCCATCGGCTGTGGAGGATGGCGATATGCAGTGGTGTCTGTCCCTTGTCATCGTCGACGAGGTTGAGGTTGGCCCCCGCATTGATCAGAACGATCATAGTCTCGTCGTCGAGAACGTCCGACGCGGCGGAATGATGGAGCGCACAGCGGCCGTCATTGTCGATGGCATCGATCTTGGCCCCGAGATGCATAGCAAGGGTTGCAAACTGCTCCGAGAACCCACACTTGATGCCTCGCATCAAGGCCGTCTCCCCATCTGTGGTCGGCTCGTCGACGTCTGCCCCGGCGACGGCGAGAAATGCGGCGATCAGTAAATGTTTCTGGTCAAAAGCCCGGTGTAGCGGCGACAGCATCGATCCGGGTAGCAAGATATTTGGGTCGGCTCTGTCTAGTAGGATTTTGAAGACGGCTTCCTCGTCGGTCCTTTCGATGGCCTGATGTAATTGTTGCGCCACCTCTGGTGTCCGTTTGTAGACTACGCCCGACGGCGGAACGAGCGTGTCGAGGAGCACCTGGATTTCAGCAGAATCACTTACTCTGGGGAGAAAGCGACTCCGCTGGTTCGGTGTAGTGAAGCGCCTGCCAAGCTCCCTCAGGGCCTCATCCACGCCAGCGTCAGGCTCAATAACGCGACGCCTGCTGCTGACATCGTCTCCAAAGTTGTATTCAGATCTATGCCAATGAGTTAGCTCTGCATCTGAAAAATGCGCCAAGCCCGGTTACCTTGTAACAGTGTTGAGAAGAGTGTGTAAGGATGCTTGGTGAGTGCGCATTCGGCCCAAAGAAGTCTTCAAGGCTGCCTCGTTCCAAACAATAATGAGGTGGGGTTCGGCGAGGTCGATGCCACTATCTCGGTCCTGCGCCTTAATGCGCTTGACAGCTCCTCTCAGTTCGTGGACATCTCTTGAGACGGAGTAGATGTATTCGTTATTGGAGGCCCGGACAGCCTCGGTATCGCCGTCAGTTGCTTTGCTGAGGTCGTTGACCCTGCTGAGGGCATCTGTTATCGCTCGGCATTCCCTAGAGAGAGCAGCCAGGGTGACTGGCCCGGTGTTTAGGGAATTGGCGATGCTGGAGCAGTCCTCTGCGACCTGGGCGCAAGTCGCGATTAAATCCTGTAGGGTTTCCTCCGCGATGCGACTCTGGATGAGATCCATGCCGGAGACGAAGATTTGAGAGCAAATTGAAGTGAGGAGGTTCGTCGCGACGGGCGACTCGTTTGCGCGCTGCTGGTAGTGTATGGGGGGTGTATGCGCAGAGCGACAGAACCCTTACATTATCCTACGCGTGCAGCCCAACTGCGTCAAAGGATAGAAGATGTAGCAGCTGATGAGGCCGGCGCTCTTTTTCCTTGTAACACTCGTCTCACCCGAGGAAAATCCAGGAGAAACTGGAGGATTTTAGCATCCGGGTTGGTCAAGATACATCATGAGTATTAGCGTGACTGTGGGATGCTGGGCCGCCAACATAGCGCCGCTAGCGCAGGGCAGCCACATCAACGTCGCCCAACCATTTAGTCGTCACAGATCAGCAGCTAGAACGGCCTGGAATCGGTAGCTGTGCGGCGCACAATGGTGCGCAAATGTGTGCTAAGTATGTGCTAACTACCGCAAACGAAGTCCCCTATTGCGACGGGGAGCTCAACGCCCTCCTAAATTGACCGGTGATGGTGCCTTGGTGCCCGTTTTGCCCCTGGTGGCGTTGGCGCCTGCGAATGAGTCGCAGGCCAGCTTGATGTCTCGTATTTATCGTCTTTGTGCCTGGAGATGTCTCGTGTACCGTAGGCTGAGTTCCGCACAATCGCAAGCAGTGGCAGACACCACTTGGGGCCTTTTAACCTCGTCCACTCGGCCGCTTGTCGATAGAGTGTGAGGCGGCATGCCGCTGCATGGGCCGACCACAGACCCCTGGACACCGTGGTGAGGTTCGCTGTGGCGGTTGCAGAACCGGAGGCACCCAGTTGTAGGACGTATGAGCGCGGCGGGAGTGCGCCCAACTGCCTAGGTGGCTTCTGGGTTTCTCAACCTCTTGTGGTGAAACCAGAACAGTGATGTTATCATGACAAACCGGCCAAAGGACTGTTGATCCCAGCCATCTCAAACACTGTCTTCGACACGATTCCACAGATTGTGCGACCCGTCCTGGATATGCAGTGACAATTGATGGCTTGGCCAAGTGGGATAGTGTGACCTTGTTGCATGATGGTGGTTGCTATGAGGGAGCACACCGTAGTGCTGGACCGGATGACCAGGGTTAATGCCGCGGGACCATCCACCACCCTGGGATGGATCATCATGGGTGACAAGGATTTGTTCTGGCTTCGGAAGGCGGAGCCTCATTTTACCCGGATCCAGGTGAGCGGTACGTCACCGAAGCTCGCCGCCGCATCTGGATAGTCATCAAACGATTCATTCGACCTGCTACTTCGCACTTCCGGCGCTTTCTCGTTTCACATTGATGCACTAACTAACGCCCAACAACACTTATTGACTCGAGAGCCATTCATATTCATCCTGGCTGGAATAATCTGGAAGGGCTCGGCAGAGCACTCCACAGGGCAGACGGCTCAGCTGCGACCGGATACCATGGCAGTGCCATCGTCCCAGCCCAGCTTGTCCCCGCACTTTTGTTTCTCGCCCGGCACTCTTCGAGGTGAGCAAGCAGAGCATAGTGCTGCTCATGCACGGTCCCCATTGACTCGATCCCAGACTTCTTGCGACTCTCGAGGGCGTCAATCGACGACTCTATTGCCCAGAACCTCAACGCGCTGGTGACACCGTCTCGGTCCGGCTTCGATCCCTCATCCACCTCCCAACGCGCCGCGAGACCGACCTCCCGACGAATAGACGGCCAGGCATGCTTTGATTTTAAGGACAAAGTCCTGTTTCCATCTTGGCAGACGCGGACCGAAGTGTTGAACTACTGCGCCCTTGTCGCAGCGAGTCCCGATCCGGACGACCCGAGCCGGACGTTGAGAGAGTTGGAGAGCCAAAAGGACCGTGAAAGGGTCGTTGATGAACGTTTGGATCCATACTCTGGCCGATTCTTCCCTCGAGAAGCACGAACCGAAAGACTGGCATCACTTGTTCGACAAGAGAGGGGTGTTGAGAGCATCGTACGACATCGAACCTGGGCAGTGATCAACGAACGGTGCGGCGACTCTACCGACACCTGGGAGGACGCTGTGAAGATTTGGAATAAGGACAAAGATCCAGAGAGGCCCGTCTAGACCGATAGGCTGGCGAGAGACTCGTATCCGGATTCAGCAAGGATTCCAGGCGACATCGCGACACTGGTGGAGGGCCGCCAGAGACGATATTTGTACAACATGAATCACGACGAGATGAATTGTAGGATAATGTACTCACCTCCACAAGAGATGTAATCATATAAATTACTATTATGTATATACCTTGAATGAGAATCATACAGCAAAAGATGGACCCAATTTGGCTATTTAAGCAAGTCGAGATTGGTGGAAGATTAGTAGGAGATGCGCAGGCAGATCAATCGCTGGACTTGTCAATGAAAACGGTCGATGAGTTGCCTAATGATAACCGTGGATTAACTCAAATCTGTGAACACAGCCGTTAACTGATCCTTTGCGAGATTCATCATCGTTGACGCTTCGCTGCCAGCACCGACGACAAGGCGATGCCTGTCGGGGCTCAACGGCGTAACTACCCCGCCAATTCCGAAAGTAGCCCACAACCTCCCACCAAACCAGCCCACCACCGTTGGAGCCCCGAGAATCTGCCGATGCTGCAGGAATTGCTGTCCACTTTCACAAGCACTACTTCGCCGAAACAATTGCCTTGGGCTGTAAACACCAGAAGTTCGCAGTCTCTTGGTTGAGGAAGCCAACCCTTTGTCCTTCATTCTCCTTCGCCTTCCTCCAACAGCGAGGTCTAGTCGATCAACCGGGCCGAAGCTCCCCTTGACCTGACCCGCACACCTCCACCACCCCTCCCTCCCACTCTGCTTCCGACAGGCGTGTGGCCACCCAACGGCTTGTCATCGCTACCTCTACACGCCGACACTGCACACTCTGGCGTTTTCCGGATACAAACCGACCCCCCCGAGAACCGCATCTCCCGTGTCCATCTCAGCCACCGCCATCCACGATGCCGCAGCCACTCGCCTCGAAAGAGGCGGCCCTCTTCCGCTCCGTCATCCGCAGTTATGAGGACAAGCAATACAAGAGAGGACTCAAGTCCGCAGAGCTCATCCTCAAGAAGAACCCCAAGCATGGTGACACCACTGCCATGAAGGCTCTGATCTTGAATGCTCAGGGCAAGACTGAGGAGGCTTTTGCTCTTGGCAAGGTTGCTCTGACAATGGACATGAAGTCGCACATTTGCTGGCACGTGTATGGCTTGCTGTACCGGGCGAACAAGAACTTCGAGGAGGCAATCAAGGCATACAAGTTTGCTCTGCGACTCGAGCCTGAGTCGGCACAGATCCAGCGCGATCTTGCTACCCTGCAAGTTCAAATGCGTGACTATCAAGGCTACATCCAGAGCCGGACAGCCATGCTCCAGGCACGACCACAGCTGCGCCAGAGCTGGACCGCCCTCGCCATCGCTCACCACATTTCTGGCAACCCACATGAGGCTGAGAACGTCTTGACAACTTACGAGGGCACGATGAAGGGCACACCCTCTCGCAGCGACTTTGAACACTCGGAAGCCGTCATGTACAAGAACTCGCTCATTGGCGAGCAAGGGGATTATGAGCGAGCCCTGGAACACTTGAACTCTGCGGCTAAGTATAACCTCGACCGGTTGGCTGTTATGGAGGCTCGGGCCGAGTATCTCTCCAAGTTGGGTAGGAATGAGGAGGCAGCAACAGCATACAGGGCACTGATCGACCGTAACTCGGACTACGCCTCGTACTACGACAAGCTTCTCGAGGTTCTTGATATCCCCGAGGGAGATCTCAAGGCCCGAAAGGCGATCTACGACGAGTATGCAGACAAGTACCCCCGATGTGACGCTGCAAGGAGGTTGCCCCTGGACTTCCTGACAGGTGAGTTGCGCCATTTCACTGTTGACCAGGTGGTCTGACCCAACTACAGGTGACGAGTTCGAGGAAGCTGCCGAGTCATACCTGACACTCATGTTCAACAAGGGCGTTCCCTCAACATTCGCTAACTTGAAGCATCTTTACTCCGACTCATTCAAGAAGGAAACGCTAGCCGAGTTGGCCGAGGAGTATTTAGAGTCTCAAGATGCCGATACCTCGAGCAAGGACAAGGGAGAGGCAGCAGCGCTTTACTACCTGGCACAGCATCACAACTATTCTTTGAGTCGGGATTTGGCCAAGGCGATGGAGTACGTCGACAAAGCCATCGAGAAAGATCCTAAGAGCGTCGACTTCCACATGACCAAGGCCCGGATTCTGAAGCACAGTGGAAATGTGAAAGAGGCTTCTGAGATGATGGACCGTGCTAGGAAACTGGATCTCAAGGACCGATATATCAACACCAAGGCCGCTAAATATCAACTTCGCAATGACGAGAACGATAAGGCCCTGAAGACGGTGGGCCTCTTCACCCGTGCCGAGACCGTTGGAGGACCATTTGCAGACCTTTTGGATATGCAATGTATTTGGTATCTGACTGAGGATGGTGAGTCATATGCGCGACAGGGCAACCTGGGTCTCGCGCTCAAGCGATTCCTCGCCGTGTCCAACATTTTTGATGTTTGGCATGAGGATCAGTTCGATTTCCACAGTTTCTCTTTAAGGAAGGGACAGATTCGAGCCTACATTGATATGGTCCGATGGCAGGACCACGTTCGTGATCACCCGTTCTTCTCGCGAGCTGCCCTTGATGCTATCGACATCTACCTGAAGCTGGCGGACAAGCCGTCAGCGAATGGAGTCAACGGAGCGGAGAGTGGTGATGCTGAGGATGCTCTTGCCAAGAAGAAGGCAGCCAAGAAGGCAAAGAAGGAATTGCAGCGTCTAGAGCGGGAGGCTCTCGAGAAGCAGGCCAAGCAGGATCCCAATAAGGCTAGCAAGGATGGAGAAGCGACGAAGACAGACGAAGACCCTCTGGGCTTGAAGCTGGCTGCCACGAGCGATCCCCTTGGAGAGGCGATGAAGCTCCTCAGCCACCTGCTTCAGTTTAGTCCCAAGATCCTTCAGGCCCAGCTCACCGGCTTTGAGGTTTACATGCGCCGCAGTAAGTCAAGTTGCTTTGCTCTACATGATTAGTCGCTAACCAAGCCTCACTTATAGAGAAGTACGTTCTTGCGCTTCGCTGCCTCAATGCTGCGCTGGCTCTTGATGCCACGTCGCCCAAGGCGCTGGAGCAGTCCGCTGAGTTCAGCAAGCTTCTGAGCACGGCATCCGATATCTCACCGAAGGTCCTGGAGGTGCTAAAGGCCGAGTTCAAGTCTAACTAGCCGTTAACGGATTGAGTCTTTGGTTAGACTGAAGATTAAGAGCTGGGAGTCTTCGCAGGTGGAGACGTTTCAAGAAGGCCGCTTCGGGAAGTGGCTTGAGTGAGAGACTGCCACAATGGAGTGGGCATCATGATAGGGGTGGCAGATGAATATAAAACAGTGCAGTATATCACCAGATGACGAGAAGAGGCTGGACGAGGTTGGACAGGGAGAGCCAGAGTGCATGCATGTAGAGGTGCGGGTTCTAGACAGGGTGGCAAGCTGGCGCATGAATTTCCCTGAGAGGACGTGATTTGGAGTTTTGGGGCGTGTGAAAAAGTCCAACACCCTTTAGAACAAAAGCGCATTTTTTTTATTGAAGAGAGAAGAGTACAAGTATGTGAAGAGACCTCTTGTTGATGGGTATATGGCTACCTACGCAATGGGGTTGCGTCGATACTCTCCAGTGCAGCAAAACCACGGCCTCCTGACAGGGCCGTCGGAAGGGACGGACATTGAATACCCCCGCAAGATAAGACAGAAGGGAGAAAATATGACGGTAATTCCACCGGTACCTATATTCTGGTAAGCTGTCGCAACTCGGCACGGGCACCGTCCCCAAATCAGGTGCTGGGACGGAGCGCAACCACCAACTTGTCCGTGATTGACAGGTGATAGGAACCAAAGGTGGTCCGCGGAAGCCCGAGCGAGCTACTCACAGCAGCCCGTCCCTTAGCGACCACTGACGAGCCCTGGCGATTTGGCTGCTAGCCCACCCCCAGTGCCCTGTCGGTGCCTATTTAGGGGATCTAATCTCGGAACCGCGCCCCGCGGACATCACCCAACCTGCAGCAGTCCTGCACTTGCTAAGCAGAAACCCTTGTCGCCGCGGCTGTCAGCGATAAACGGCTCCAAACCTCACCTCTCTCTTCACTTCTCTCCTCTTGCTTGTGAACCTCCCCTCTTTAGGTGTTTCCCCGTGGGCAACTTTCTTCTCCGCTTCGTCGCTTCTGACCGCCAGGGCCACTCGTTCGCCCCCCTAGCGTCTGATAGCAGCCACTTGTTTTGTCTCAACGCGCTCTCCGATTCTCGCCGGAGACCCGTCGTCGCGTAGACGCAGCTTGCGAACCTTGGCGCCGAGCTTACCTCAGCTTCATACCACCCCCCCAACTACCCCAGCTACCTACCCCAAGCACCTTCAAATATCTGTGGCAGCTGCCCACTTCCCCAGGACCGAGATCGTCGTCGGAAACTTTGCTTGAACCATCCCACCCGAAACTGCCATGGCGAGCGACTCGACGACCATGGATGACGGAGTCGGCATGCGACTGGCGCTCGAGGGCAAGAAGACGCTGACCATTGGCACTGACAACCTGGAACTGCATGGTACGGCAGCCCCGGAGAGTGAACCTCAAAGGGAAAGCGGTTTCTAACAATGATGAGCAGATCCTGTTGCACAGAAATCTGGCCGAACTTCATGCGCACCTCTTTCTTTTGGTGGTAAGATGACCTTCCGCAAACCTCGACTTTTATATGCTCGAGGTTCTGTACGAATACCACCCAGCTCATCCATCTCCAGGGTCCGGAAAGAAGTTAATTCCCCTCTACAACGTCCTTTGGGCCGATGTCTCCAACAATCGCATCACAGTCGACTTTGCACTGCATGCCTCCAAAACCGTCATCAAGCCGGACAAGTGGTCTATCCCCCTGGCCCCCATAGACAGCGAGTCCCCCAACGATCCCTCTGCTGAGACTTTCATCTCTACTCTTCTGGCTAGAGCATATGGAGAAGCGATCCCTCGCAAGCGTGCCTATGTATTGGTGAACCCCAACTCTGGTCCAGGGGGTGCTGTGCGGCTGTGGGAAAACGAGGTGAAGCCGCTCTTTCAAGCGGCTAGGATGGAACTCGATGTGGTGATGCTTACTCGCGGAGGCGAAGCTACCGAGCTGGCAGAGAAGGCCGACCTGACCAAGTACGACACTATCATGGCGTGCTCAGGAGACGGAACCCCGTACGAAATCTTCAACGGATTAGGCAAACGCCCTGACGCTGGCCATGCTCTTGCCTCCATGGCAGTCAGTCACATTCCTTGCGGCTCTGGAAACGCCTTCTCGTGCAACTTGTATGGTTCCCATCGCGCCTCCTTTGCGGCGCTGGCCATCATCAAAAGCATCGTGACCCCAATCGATCTCGTTTCGGTCACACAGGGAAACAACCGTATGCTCTCGTTCCTCTCCCAGACCCTCGGACTGATTGCTGAGAGCGATCTTGGCACGGAACACCTTCGGTGGATGGGGAGCACCCGGTTTGAGTACGGAGTTATAACACGCATGTTCAAGAAAACATGTTATCCCTGTGACTTGGCCGTCAAGGTCGAGATTGAGGAAAAGTCAGAAGTCAAGGCTCACTACAAACACCATGCCAGTAACACGAGTCTCGCGAATCTGGCCAAGAAAGTCGAGACTACCGAGTCTGGTTTGCCGGAACTAAAGTACGGAACAGTCCAAGACCCTCTACCAGAGGGATGGAAGCTTGTTCCGTATGATAAGATTGGTACCTTTTATGCTGGCAATGTAAGTTTCTCCAGAGAAGCCTTTCGCTTTCAACAGACTTATAATCTTTGACAGATGGCTTACATGTCCCCCGATGCCAACTTCTTCTCCGCCTCGCTCATCTCGGATGGCTGCATGGACCTCGTCACTATTGATGGCGACCTGCCGCCACTGACTGCCCTCCAAGTCCTTTTGGATGTCGAGTCGGGCAAGTTCTTCGACAACCCACATGTCACTTACAAGAAGATTAGCGCGTACCGGATTATTCCCCGCGACCAGGATGATGGCTACATCAGCGTTGATGGCGAGAGGATTCCGTTTGGGCCAATCCAGGCCGAGATCCACCAGGGGCTAGGTCGAGTTCTCTCCAAGACTGGAAAATACGAGGCCGAAGGGCCCATCAACTGGGACAAGGTCACCGTGGCGGATCGGATTCATGCCTGAAGACGGAACGTATTGGCCTTGAGGTGCTGCACTCAGCATGGCTCGACAGGATGGGGGGTTGAAGATACAACAAAAAGGGGATGCTGAAGTATTTGTGGAGGTGGAGAGACGATGATACCCCGTGAGAAGAGGATTAGTGTGCGTATCTTCGATATTAATGACTGGGCCTGGAACTGGAATATACGCTACTTAGGTAGTGAAAGGGTGACTCTTGGGATTGGATCTCTGTTATCCTGACGCTTATTTTACTGATGCGTGGAACACTCTGTGAAGGGACTTCCTTGTGATGTATTTGCTGCAAAGCTGATAGTTGGGCGGGTTGCAATTGCTTGTAGAGGTGAAAGCGGTGCCTTGTTATGGTGAGTTGATGGGCAAGGACGGATGGAGGAAGATGGCGGGGCACACGGGCCTGTGGAGCTGTCATGGCTGCTGCCGATTGTTACCCCACCATGACAACCTCCATCAACGTCTAACGTCCAACGACTATTCCTATCCCACATCGCCCACGCACCGCCAGCCGCCACAAACTCCAAAGCGAATGCGATTTGGTTCCCCCCGGGGCATGTAACCATAGCACAATGCCTAGCAAAGGTGGAAGGGCTCCGTCGGGCCCTTGGGGGAGGCTCAAGCCTGTCGAACAGGATCCGTTGCAGAGCATCGGCCTCCCTTCCAAGGGCGACACCAGGTACGCACGCGCCGTCAATATGGCTCTCTAGGTTGATGCGGGATCTGGGGCCGGTCAGGGAACTTGATTGACAAGTAATGTTAGGCTGCTCGACTTTAAGACGCAGGAAAAGTACTACACTAAGATCATGGAGCGGTACATGACCTTCTGCACGGATGCGGGCGAGCGCGACGAACTGCTGCGGAGGTTCTCGTCGCTTGAGATCAGCGCACTTGATACATCTTCAGCCACTGCTTCAGGTGGACCTTCGTCTTCAGCGCTCCAGGACCCCGATAACACCAAGGCACTCTCGGACGTGATGATGGCACTGCGAAAACTTAGGGAGGGTATCGTGGCCTCAAAACGCGCCGACGACTTTTCTATCCAGGCATACCTCTTTTGCATCCGCCTCTCCGTCCTGGTCAAGCACCCAGAGTCATACCACCCGGCCATCCTGCACCTGCTCCGCCACATCAAGCCTCTCCACCCTATGACGTCCATCGAAGTACAGGAAGTCGTGGGCTATCTGATCTTGGACACGGCCTGTCGGCGCAGGGAGCTAGCGGACGCCTTTTCCATCAGGCACGAGTTCCAGATCAAGGACAGCAAGCTAGATACAGCACTACACGCACTCACGCACGACAACTATATCCTGTTTCAACGGGTTAAGAAGGATGTCGACAGACACCGCGCCAAACTGCTAGAATGGGCCGACGGTGACATCCGGCTGCATACCCTCAAGTGTTTCGGCAGGGCGTATCTGGGAGTTGATCTGGGTTTTTTGGAGATGGCTACGGATGCCAAATGGAAGGACCTGAAGGAAAATGATGGTGTTGGATGGGAGCTGGATGAGGAGAGAGTGGTGATTCGAAGGATCAAGGTGCGGTAAGCGTGTTGTTTGAAAGTGTATTGATACCCAGCGGATTAGATTGGGAGCGGGAGTTGCAGTTATAGAGAGCAGTCTGCATTTCACGTGCAGATATAGGTTAACAAATGGGCGTTTGCAACTAGAGTTCCTGGAGGCATTGCAGGCTCCGCGGCTGGTTGAATAGTGATCAGCAAACCTTTGAACCCAGCGCCACAATTAAGTTGACCGCAGTGGAATATTTAGCACCAGTTGGGTGATTGCTTCTTTGCGGTTTTGTGCTCGGAAGAATTCCTTGAGCGGCCATGCTCGGAGAAATAGAATCGAGAAGAAGACTGCCGCATCCACTTGCTCTTCTTTCGATGCTAGGCGGCCACCAGGTGCACCTGCTTCCGGCTCTCAGCAACACACCTCCTTCGCCAACACTTTGCAACAAAGAACCGCCAGCGCATGATAACATGGCCCCCCCTAAGAAGAAAACCCGCAGCTCTCGAGTTCCGCCCCAAGACGAGCAACTGGCTCAGTCCCTGCTTCTGTCCGATCACCGTACCGCTTGGCTCGTCAAGTACGCGTCCTTCCTCCGCTTTCTCCACCCTCTCCTGCACGTCAGCTCGCACCTTGTGTTTGAAGATCGGACTGGCTAACCTGTGGGTTTGTGTGCTAGTGATAACCAGGTTGTCGAGCTCAAGACTCGAGGGGAAACCTTCAAGGTTTCCAAGAGCGTCCTCACAAGGCATTCGGAATACTTCGAGGGCTGCTTCACTGGACAGTTCCTGGAGGCCAACAAAGGGGTGGTCCAGTTTGACGACGATGTCGACCCGCGATACTTGGCACTCTACATCGGCCTCGCCTACAGTCACTCGTCCATCGTCCCCCATACACCACCCCCTCCCGCCGAGAGCCCCGAGTCTTCGGCACCTAAGGCGCCGCTCCGGGACTTTATCGAGGTCTACAAGCTGTGCGACCGGTTCCTCAGCCCCACCATGGCGTCCTTCATCGAGAAGTGCATCAAGACGGCCATCGGCGACGGGCACCGGGCGCTGTTCCGCACCGAGGCCGACGAAACCATCCAGAAGGCGCTGATGCGAGACTTTGCTGACGCGTACGAGGCGCTGGAAACGGGCCACGCCGAGCAGAGCGATCTGTGCAATTTGATGATCACGTACTTCTGCGACGGCGTGAGCTTCGAGGCATGGATCTCGTGCATGGATGAGATTATGGACCGGCCGCGGTTCATCGGCCATGTGTCGCGCGGGTTTGCGTCCAAGTTGGCCGCGTTGCAGGGGGCGAGGCTGAAGCGGAAGGAGTTGAAGGGGCCCTGAGAGCTTTCGTGAAGCACGGCGGGTTGGCTGTGGCTGAAGAGAGAGTTACGACATATCATTGCGCCTCCTATGGGACTGCAAGCACGGAGTTATTTTGCTAGCGACTTTCACAGACGGGTCTGGAGTTTGGAAGTAGCATTTCGGTTCATCAACTCAATGGGTGGTATGGTGTTAGCTTTGATGAGGATGAGCATGGCTGGGGGAGGGGGAGGGGGGTTTCTTTACATTAACCGCGTATTGAGGCTGCTTTTCCATGGCTCCAAGCAATCTATATTCTACCAGTCCTCGTGTTCCGGGGTGATTCTATGACGGACCGTTAATGTCACGTTGGACAACTAGCTCCTTGCTCGTCGGAATTGAAGTTCCTATCGGCGACATGGTTTAGGAGGCCGAGCGGCTCGGCTTTTCGGAATAGTTTGAGACGAAGTTTTCCCAGCCATTCTGGAGTAGACCCTTTGATAGAACGTGGGGAGGCTGGCCAACAGGACTTTCTAGTGATTGGTCTTTTCTTTAACACGCCGGCCCGAGCTACATGTGTGTCAACGGACGTCCGGGGTTCACCAGGGGATAGGTTGAGCACCAAGTAGGCCCATTCAACTGTGTATTTAAAACTATGGAGTGAATTGCAAGCTGTTACACTTACAACTTGCACAATGCCCATCTATTCTACCTGGGCCAAATCTGAGATTTTCATCTCGACAAACCTGGACAATAAATGCACCCGCCGGCTTTGCAGCCAGCTAATAGTAGAACAACAGTTCCCAACCACCTCGACGACTGTCGGGGACACCTTCCAAAGTAGCGGAACATGGGTTCCGTCTGTGGACTTCAATCACCGCGAGAGTGTCACGTGTGCCTTGAATCCCTGGGATTTCGGGTCCAGCACCGGCTATGTGTGACGGTGTGGGTCCCGTTGGCGTCGGGATGGAGAGCGGATCCCAGGATTCCGGACATAGACCTCGGTCTACGCCATGGCCTTTGACGGAGCAAGACGGAGCACGAGAGCATAGCCGCCTGAATGAGACAGGGTCGGGTGAGAGAAGACCCGGAAGAAGTCGTCAAGGTCCACGTCGTGTGCAGAAACAAAGGAAATGGTCATGGCTCTGACTTGAGGCATCGTGTGTCGATTCGTCAATAGTAGGTCGATGCTGTCGGCCTCAGTGCCGTCGGTGCCGATGATGCCAATGTCGATGCTCAAGTCCCATCGCCAGTTGTGAAGTAGCCGTCATGTTGCGCCAAAAACAACAAACCAACATTCGTAATGTGGTATCCTAACGCCGTGGTTCCATGCAAGTATGGTGCCAATGCCATCGTTGATATCGCTGCAAGAGATTGCCATCTCTGTAACTTCCGGTGATGTGTCGCCGCTAGTGCTTCCAGGGGAAAGTGTTCCTTCAGGACCTCGTGTCGCCTTTTTTTTTTGTCGTTTTTTGTTGCTTTATTTGGATTTTGCTTCATTTATCGCTTCTCGTAGAATTCGATGGCCTTCTCCAGCTCGTCGAGGCTGGATCGGTCACCGTACATGTCCATGAGCATCTCGTTGCGCTGCTTGCGAGTGGCAGCCTCGCGCTCCATGTATTCCATCTGGGCCCGGCGTCGGTTCTGGGCCATGTCAAGATATGTCTTGACACCGTAGCCGACGACGACGACAGCCGCTACGGACTTGACCCTATTTTGAATAGTGGTTAGATTCTGCTTCAGATCGTTTTTAGAAAGACTGTACTCACCAGCCTGGGCGCATTCTCCTTTGGGGACGAAGATGGGGGACGATGTTGGGGTGGATTCGGGCGGCAGTGGAGAAGGGTTGACGAGGAACGCGCATCATGGTGATGGTGTCGGGAGGAAAAGTGTCGGTCGAGATTGACGGATTTTGGGGGTTCAAGGGCGGATCCAGATAGATTGGGCAAGTAGCTAGTAAGGCAGTATTGTACCGTATTACCAAACAGGTTGAATCGTCGGGGGAGCTGCCGCGGTTATAAGTTGAGCACACAGCCGACAGCGCCGGATGGTTCCAGGTTGGTCCGGGTGATCGAACCACTGGGCGGCGCTGGGCGACGATGCCTGGGCGCTGGGGGCGCTGAGGGAGCGTGTGGGGCGGGAGTGCGAGTGCGCGAAGATCCCAGGGCCACTTTTCCCAGCTGCAGGCGTGCACCGGCGTTGCAGCACGGCACAGCACCCCTTGGAAGCTGGGGATTTGGCAGTGGTGTGGGGAGCTCTCCCGGTGTGGCACGATTTGGATTTTGGGTGTGGAGTAGTCGGACGTGGACAGACGCGGGTGCAAAGGTGGGTTGCACGCAGGCGGATGCCGACGGCGGGGGTAGCCATCTTTGGTACCGCAGTTGAGTACCTACTCACCGTCTACTGTACCACAACTCACACAGGGACATACACGGGTTTCTCAGCGGCCTACCTGCTAACCTCCGGGTACCTCATTAATTAAGTTCGTTCGCCTTTAGTCTGAGGTGTTTGCGGCACACACCCGCACCGTACTCTGGAACTCAGTGGTCCAGTCCCCCTCGTCCCCAAAATACAGGACAGACAAACACGGCCCCTTCATTCCCTTTCTCGCCCGGCTGTTCTCGGCGTCCCTGAGCGACAACAGGCCACAGGTGGGCGCGGCAGGTACATACCATGGGTGGGGCGCGTGTGTGGCCTGCCATCTCACCACCATGACCTCACCTGAGCGGTCCTCCCTCTGAGAGTGGGCAGTTGCCCCAAACGCTCGCAGTTACCAGAGAGCCACACACGATCATCTGGCCAGCAGTCCCAGCACCGGCAAGCATAACCAAGCAGGGGAAAGCCCGACTTTGAGGCAGGAGTGAGGGTCACTTGGGCCTGCTCCCCCGGACTTTGTGGCGCCACCACCACCCATTCCAACACCAGTACCGTCACGCTCCACAAGGGTACGTACCGCCTTTCTACTGCCGCTAGGTCCACTCACCTTCTCGCTGCAACACAAATAACTATTACGAACCCGGTCAACAAATGAAACTGCAATATGGGTTGTCTCTGTACCTCTTAAACGGACAGCATGCACTTGAGCACACACACACTCGCACTCACACACTCTCGCTCGGTCACTTTCCGTTTCCCCCCCGCATTCTTCTCCCCACCTTTTCGCATTTGGTCTGACTTGTTCCCAGACATACAGACGCCAGGATGTCGCACACAAGTCCATAACCCGTCCTGGTCGCTGTGGCCTACTCCCGGTGCACACCAACATGAGACACCAACAACATGCGACTTTCTACCAGGAAACGCAACCTCGCCACCAATTGCATCTGGCATCTGGCATCTGCCCTGCCTGCCCCTGCTTTGGAATCTCGATTTCTCGGCTTCGGCAATTGCTCATCAACGGACGGACGGAGATATTGATGGCGCAACTTGGTCATCGGTGAAGCTACTGGAGAGCGACGGCGAGTGAGCCATCACATACATTGATCTGCTTCGAAGTGCCAAGCACACGCCAAGTGTGGATGCTATCTCAGTCTTCTCTTTTTCTGCCGCCTCTGGCCACAGTCTGCAAGGCCTCATCGCCCATTCTCAGCCACAAGGGACAAGTTCCTAGATCTAGGTAGGACTAGACTCCACGTCCCCAGACCAGACTCCACGATTCACACGAGGATCCTACCAGCCGTGTCCCACATGGTGTATTTTGTCGGAATGGGGTCCGGGCCTTTACCTTGAAGTCCTCAACTATAGTATTCGGCTTCTTCTCCCGGCCTGCAGACAGATTCCCAGGACCTACACCGACTCGGACCCTCGGCTTTCTGATCACCGCTTCAACCTGTCTGATGTTGTGCTGATCCCACCACCAATGCCGCTCAGCACACATGCGACTCAGTTGCTGTGCATGCCATTCGTCGCTGATATTTCCCCACGTCTCGACCCTACTTACCGCCGCCACATCAAGCCTCTCCACACTTGCTACCAGCTCAGCTCGGCCGACTCCAAGCTCGCCGACGTAACTCCTTGCAGATATCCGAGGTGCATCGCTTGTTGCGTTGCGTCTGACGTCGGACGTAACCCCAACCCAGGTATCGCAAACCTGCCGTCAAGCTAGGCATGGGTTCACATGGCCTTCGCCTCACCTATCGCGGTTCGTCCTATTCTCCCCAGAGTCGCTTCAATGTGCCTGTTTTATCTGCCTAAGCCTGCCTTTCTAATTCATAGTGACCAACGTGACCCCCACCGGGGTTCCTAGCCATCCATGCGGGGAGTTCCGTCACCCGGGCCGGACGTGACACCATGTACATTCCGGGCCAATCTTGGGCGGCCCGGTTCAGTCTTCTGTCGGTTACCTGACACCTAAAACATGCCTGCGGGCGTCAGTTCTAGGCAATGAGCATCCATACACATGTTCCAGTCCATCCCGGAAGTGATACTTCAAGGCGGTTGGTCGCCCAGCTCAAGCAGAATCGGAAAGTGACCGAGTGAAGGCCTTCCGGCGTGGAAATTTGGCAACATGCTGGCTCCCCTTTGTCCCCCATGTCTATAGCCATCGAACTTGCCGTGTCATAAACTTACCGCCGGTGGAAGTCCATTGCCGAAATATGGCCATCACATATGTGGCCGGAATCCTTGACCAGACATTGAAGCGGCGGTCAAGAAGTGCATACTCGTTTCCCCAACCGACAAAGGAAACTATTTATCGCGGCCAGTCGCGAGAGCCTCGGTCACATTCGGTCTTAAATTCCTCGTGTATTCTTCTTTCCGTCAGCAAAACTGAGCTATAGGAGTCACATCTGAATGTTTGTGCTGTGACGATGAAGTTGGCCATGGTAGTGATAGAACAGGAACACTGCCATTAGTATAGCCACAACAACCATATGTGCACCGAATTTGGAGGCTACACGATATACTTCTTCTACAAATTCCAGATCTCCTTCGTCGATATACTTGCAGCTACTGCCGCTTTCCTGGTTGACTTATAAGCTGGCAAGCAATTGGGTGGGGCGGGACGGGCCGTAGCCCTTTGATGCTTATCCGTCTCTGTCCAGTCCCTCCTCGCCTCCGCCCCAAGTTGGATGCCTCCCAACGGCTCAGTCTTCTCTCGCTTCGAAGCTTAGCGCTATAGTAACGCAGTAACCAAGCCGTTTCAGTATATTTGACCCAGGCGAATTCCCTGTGAATGCCTCCCAAAAATCATCAGCCGCAGAGGCTGAGCATGGCTGCTCATGGGGCTGAGTGGCTGGGCAGCAAGACTAGGCAGGGGCCACTTTTGGCCACTTGCACGCACAGTCATGTAAGCCAATGTAGATCCAAAGAGGTGTTGCCTAGTATAACTCACGGAGGAGGTCCATCTGTGATCTTAACGTAGCATCAATAGATTTATTTATATGGTGACAAGTCGTCCATACGCCCAATCTTCTTCCTATTCGCTCAATCTACTAACCAGTTTAATCATGGCCGATTACGACTACTCTCCATTGGCGCCATCCCACATCCGATTGATCAAGGTGACTATCGACAGCGAAGATGAGCTTCAGACCAGCATCGAACACACCAACCTCGATCCCGAAGACCCCATCACCTACTCAACCCTATCTTACGTCTGGGGAGACACCTCCAACACCGTCCAATTACCTTGTGGTGGCAAGACTATCAGGATCACCACGACGCTAAATGAGGCCCTACGACAAGTCGCCAAATTTAACCCCAACAAACTACTCTGGGTTGATCAGATTTGTATCAACCAGCATAATCTTCCTGAGCGCTCAGAGCAGGTTAAACTTATGAACACAATCTATGAAAGTATGCTCGCCAGGTCCCCCAGCTGTACAAACGCGCCTAGTTTCCACCTTTAACAATTCACCAGAGGCAGAGACAGTCATCGCGTGGTTGGGGCCAGCGACTCCCTCGACCCCAAAAGCCATCGACATGATTTCGCGGGTTTCTGCTGTGGCCATGCCCACATTGACAGACATGTTCCGCATAGAGGAGTATCCCGATGACTGGGAAGGCCTTGAAAAGTACGAGGAGATCTCCGTAGAAGAGTCTCAGAGGCTGGGGGTTTCGTTCAACGACGAGGAGGCATGGGGCGCCTTTGCCGATTTCTTCGATAGGCCATGGTTCCAACGCATCTGGATCGTCCAGGAGATTCTGCCAGCTCGCAAAGCTATCATGCTTTGTGGTGCGCAGAGCGTCGAGTGGAAACTCCTACAGGCTGCGGCGCGTTGGTACCATTACAAGGCCGCTGCCATATCTAGTCGACATCGACGCAGCGTCAATGGCGTTGATCTTACAGTCGCCATGAATTTGCCATGGGTTTCTCGCTACGGCTCCGAGTTCCTCCCGGAACTCCTCGGTCAAAAGACACGGGCGGTCTTCAAATGGCCTCTTCGGCGACTACTCGAACAGTTTCGGCCGCGTCTGGCGACTGAAGCAAAGGACAAGGTCTACGCTCTCCTTGGTGTCAGTGACTTAGGAATCAGTTACTCTTCGGACATTGTCAATTTTACAGTCGACTATTCTCAGGAACTGAAAGAGGTGTTTGCCCTTGTCACGAAAGCCATGATATGTAACGGCGATGTGGGACAGGATGACCTAGACGTCATAATGACAGCGCGCCGTCACAACAATGAGCCAGGATGGCCGACTTGGGTGCCAGACTGGAGGATGGAGAATGGGTACGGATGTGAATGGGGTGTCGGCCATCCTCTTCCAGCCAGCCAGGATACTAACTGGAGCCATCAAAACGGCCGGCATCAGGTTTTTGACACCGGAAGCCCTTACACTCTTGGTGTCGAAGGTGTCATCTTGGGGCGAGCAACTTACGTCAGTCAGCATCACCACCTAACGCCAATGCTTCTGGAAGGGGGACTCTTCGAGTGTCATAAGGCGTGTATTTCTACACTCATGTCTTACCCTACAGGTGAGAATGTGGAAGAAGCCTTCGCTCTCACTGTGATGGCTGGAAAACTTCCTGACGACATTACCAAAAACAACATGAGTCTTGAGACTTACGCGAAGAACCACCTCGAGTGGGCCAGGATCATCCTCTTGCCCCAAGACACCGAAGAACAACGCGAGACCCGCCGGCAGGAATCGAAGGAGCTCTTCAAGCTTGGATTCAAAAACGGGTGGATGCAAAGACTCCTCGAGGCCTATTGCGAGCGGCGGTTTTACATGACTGACACGGGATACATGGGACTCGGGAACCACAACATGAAGAACGGGGACATTATTGCTGTTCTATTCGGGCTGAAGGTCCCTTGTGTGCTGCGACCTCGGGGCGATAATCCCAATGATGGCTATGAGTTTATAGGGTAAGTCAACGCTCAGCTGTGAAACCTCAGAATCAGCTCTGGTTAGCTAACGATTGGAATAATAGCGAGGCTTATTGTCATGGGATGATGAGCGGAGAGGTGCTTGAAACCCTGGAGAGAAGCGAAGCGGGAGTTATTTCTGGAGGCCAGCGGTTCGTTTTGTATTAATGTAGGAGTATTCTGTGCTGAGATGTTAGACCCCACAACATTGTATTATCCTAAGATGGTATATATCAAAATCATACCCGTAAACATCCCCCCCCCCCCCCCCCCCCGTGTTTCCTTCCCCGTGCTTCAAACAAGAATTAATGGCGAGAGGGCCAGATATTATGGCTAGTTCTCTAAGCTCTTGACGCTTGACCCAAAAGTGCATACTGTATCTTGATAACTATTTCCTTCGAACGCCGTGAGCTCCACAACTACATGTGGGAAGGTTATGACTGGATAACTAGCTCCCCGTATTGACCACCCTGGGCTATCTAACCAAGGTCTTCTCCTATTTTTGCAAGCTCTGGCGAATTGGGTTGCGCTTGTCATCAGATCTGCCGACTCCTCCAAGATATCCCACTGTTTCAAGTACCACGTCTTCCGTCTCGTCAAGTTGCGCTCGGGTTACAAAGTTTGCTCCATCACCATCGTCTTGCGGCTCCACAACAGGATACTTCTCCAGCCAATCCTCCCAGACAAGATCCCAACGCCGACCAACAACCAACAACTCGGGCTTCATGCACTCATCGAAGCACATCACCAAGTAATTGAAGAGCATTGCGGTTAGGAACTCGGCGACGTCTTCGCTAGAGCGTATTGACCACTCAGCGGACCGGCATGTCTCATGGCGGCGCCAAACCTCGGCCCGGATGAGAAATTGAACGGCCAAGTCACTTAACAGCCACTTTTTGTGGTCCCTTATTTCTTCATGACCCATGTATTGGTGAACAGCCTCGATGGTTTGTGCTGTTTTGTCCCCGAACATCAAATCATGGAAAATCGGTCGAGCTTTGATGAGCTCTGCCTGGATATCCCCATCAGAGAGCCGAGAAAGACCGCGGTCGCAAAATAGAGTAAAGTTCCAGAGTGCCACCTTGATGGGCGGAGAGTCGACAAATGACATTATGGCGTGGCGCTTCCGTGCCTTGGTTGAGGGGTCGGAACATTCTGGGAAGATCTTTTCCACCACTGCATTCACAAAGTTCTTGTAGTAGTCTTTGACAAGAAGACCATGCTTACTCCGTTCTTGATCAACATAATGCTTCATGGGATTCTCGAACATCAAATTGTCCAGTATGCAAGACGGATTGCCGCACCATGTTTGGCACGGATTCGGCCTGCCCTGAGAAATTTGCCTCTCCAGCAGCTGGCGCTGGGTAAGTTTTCTGCGGCGGAGGGTGCGTTGTGCTTGTAGGTTCCATCGTTTTGGTTGAGGTTCCCACTTGTGAGGGTATCGTAAGAGGCTGCTGAAAAAGATTTGTTGGCTGTCGTAGGCGAAAGAGCCCTCCTGTTCTTTGGAACCAGATTTCGTCGGTACCTCCTTGGTGACTACAGATCGTACCTCTGGTCTTCCAAAGTTTTTATCTGAATATATCTTTTCCGATAGGAGAGATTTGGTCGCTTCTGACACGATGCTGCACGTTTGTGACGCCATACTCAGGATGCCGAGGCGTATGTCAAGTGGTGCAAAAAATGGGTAGAAAAAGAGGCAAGTAGGATGGATGTAATGAGTGTGCCCATGGATTGACCGCACCTTATACTTAATCAGAGATATCGACATCATGTTTGGTTTCTTCAGTGGCGCTCTGCTAACGAAGAAGAACAAAGAGGCAAAGAAACAGTGTCTTAGAGCAACCTAGATCTGTAGACTCTGTGTAGCTCCAGAGCTGAACAATGGCGCTGTAATGTGACACAAAGGGTTCCTGGCAGGTAAGTGTTTAACTGTGGTCGGATCGGTCCGGTGAGATAAGTACACAGTCACGACTGGTTCATTGGTGACGGTTTGCCAAGTCAGGAGACGGCAGGACGAAATGACAACAGGAAGATCACCAAAGAAACTTTCTACACTTTTTGCTACCACACAAACACCTCGTCATGTGGTCTACACGACCCTCCGGCTCCTCGCCCTCATAGGCAACACCATCTACATAGTCAAACGTCAGCTCCTCGCCCTTGGGGATCTCCTTGATGGCAAACAAGGCCAGGTCGTGGATGTGCTTATCAGCGTGGTCGCCTACGCGCGCAAAGATGCGCATGTTTGGGTCACAAGAGTGATTAATAAAGCGAGTTGGGCCGGACATAAATTCGCCGTCAACTTCCAAAGGTGGCCCTTTCAGACGAGGATCGAGGGAATCGGGGTCGGTGAACTTGTCGAGAGCAAAGAGGTAGACGTCTTTCCTCTCAGAAATCGCCGAGGCGGAGCGGCGACGGTCTGCCTCGGTGGAGGTGATGATCTCGCCGACGTATCGGTCGACAAACTGTCCTTTTTTAATAGGGACGGGACACCGCACGCCTAGGCGAAGTAGAGAACCAGTTAGCCATCTTCAGTCGTAATGCAGGGGTGGCAGCGGGAATAGACGCACCCCATCCTCGATCGGTGGTTCGGAAGATCTGGAGCGGGATATTACGGCCGCGCTCTACAACGCGGTTGGGACAGTCGATGCTGCAGGCACAGCCCTGGTGGCATTCGTAGATGGGCACCTTTGAGTTGTGGAACTGGGAGCGCAATAGGCCAGCCTTTGAGCCACGGGCGTGGTAGGCGTATGCCTTTTTGGACAGGTTCGACTCGTCTACATCCATTCCGTCGTCTTCATAATAATCGTCTTCAAGGTCGGCAAGGCAGAGGCAGCCTGTATACTGGCAGTCGCTATCATGGCTGCAGGCACAGCCGCTGCGGAAACTAACTTCGGCGGGTTTGACGCCTTGACCAAGGGCATTGTTGTCAATGAACCGGAAACTGTCTGGGATGGTCCGGGAGTCAACCTCATTGACGACGGTGATTGGGTTGGTTTGGTGAGTGGGAAAAGAGCGGATCTGGCACCAGTGACAGTTGGACTCTTCATCTTCTCGGTCCTGGGGCACATTAGCAAAAGGTCCCTGAGGCCGGTGGCAGAGTGCAGCAAGGCACACAAGGTTGACGTACTCCCTTTCCGTGATGGAAGAAGTGCTGCTCTGTGGCCTGCTCCATGATTTTGATTTTCGGGGCTTGCTGGGAGAGATGCGGGTCGTGTATGAAGCTGGTGACGCGGGGAGGTTTGGTTAACCCCTCCGAACTCGAAAACAAATCATGTGAAAGGCGGCTGAATCTGAGGTCTCGTTCTTCCAATCTATGGCTGGAGACATTGAACTTTGCTTCGTTTGGTCTGAGATAGGTGTGTAGAGGCAAGGTGAGGCGAGGTGAGAGGCGAGAGGTGAGGTGAGGCGACGCGACGTGCTGGTGGTGGGACAATAGAGCAGTGAGCAAGCTGAGAGACCATAGACCTTAGACATTCGAGGCCGCTAAAGGCCAAGCTATTCCCTTCCGGGCAGTAAAAAAAAATCGAAAACTTGAAAATGTGGGGATAAGAATTTAATGCCGAGTTATATAGAGTTTCTTTTAAATATTAAACTTAAAATAATTATTATAAAATAAAATATTTTTTATATAATAAATAAAAAATAACATACTTAATAAGCAAGTATCTCAGACAAGTAAGTGTCTCAAAAATCCCTCAACCTTCATCATTACCATTTAATCAATTAATTCCCAACCACCCAGTATATCACAGTCTAATTATAAAGCTAGAATGCTTCTTGCTCTTCATGCCCTTCAAAATAACCCGAGTTTAAGTCTTCGGGGCGCCGCAAGCATATATACAGTCTCCTGGAAGACCCTTGGCCGCCGGCAGAAGGGCATCCAATCTCGACGCGATACTATCTAGAAATCACGTCGGCTATCTAATCTAGAGGAACAGATCCTTATTTATTTTATTCTCGACTTAGATTTGCGAGGATTTCCCTTCTGGCTATATAGTGTTAAAGATATGGCTGATTAATTGCTTGCTAATTGCAATGTGCTATTAGTTGGTATGTGTTAGGCTTATAATTTTGTTAAGCGGTATCTAGATTTTAAGATGTGTTTCTTTTGTAAATATAACTACTAGAGAGCTAAATATAAAGATTTAATTATTATTTGTAATTGGTTTTGGCTTATAGCGAATATAATTGCAAAGTATAATATTTAATTAAATGATATCTATAATTTTAATAAGACTGGCTTTTTTATGGGTATGATTATAAGTAGAATAGTTATTATAGGTATAAAAAGGCATTTAAAGTTAAAATTAGTATAGCTTGGAAATTGGGAATGGATTATAGTTATTTAAGTAATTAATATAAAAGGCTAGGCAATCTAGCTATTTATTATTAATATAGGTTAATATTATCTTGCTAACTGGTATTGAGAAAGCAACCTTCTAGATGATTGGGCTATTATAATAACTTAAAATAGTTAGATTAATAATAAGATTGGTCTTGAGTGGCTTAAGTATTTTAATTAGTATATAATTAATTGATTAATTAGTTTTTATTATCTTTTAATTCTTAATAACTATGAAAGTTACTACTCTATTGAATTTAAGAGATATTATAAGAAAAAAAAGATTATCTGGCTTTATATGCTATCTCATTCCTCTTATCTACTCCAGCCCCTTAATATTGGATACTTTAGCATACTAAAAAAGGCTTATAGTTAAGAAATAGAATATCTAATTAGATGTTCTATAACTTATATTTTAAAGACTGAGTTCTTTCCGGCCTTCTATGCTATATATAAGGCTACTATAATAGAAAGAAATATTAGGGGGGCTTTTAAAGGAGCTGGTTTTGTTCCTCTTGACCTAGAAACTGTAATCTCAAAGCTTGATATTTAGCTACGGACGCTAATGCCAGTTAAGGAGGCAGCTAAGCCGTCGACCCCTTGGACTTTAAGAACCCCAAAGATTATAATTAAGGCCGGATCTCAGTTTAAATACCTTAAAAGGCGGATTAGAAGGTATTAAAGTAGCTCTCCAGAGTTAATTTTAGAGGCTCTACAGTCTCTTACAAAGGGAATAAAAGTAATTATATATCGAATTGCCTTATTAACTGCTGAGAATAAAGACCTTCAAGAGGTGAATGAGATACTAAGCCGGCGCCGGAGGGCAAAAAGGACTAGATTATAGAGAAGAGGGGTTATGACGGTAGAAGAAGGAAGGCAAGCAATTGATCAAATGGATGTGGATGCGCAGGTAGTGGCCGAATCGTCGAGGAGTGGTGGTCGAGGAAGGTCGGTCGGACCAGGTATTTAGCGCTGTGGTGTATGCGGCAAGCCCGGCCATAATGCAAGGACCTGTTAGGTAGTGATTGAGACATCTGGGGAAGAGTATAGTAAGTAGTTTTAATTGATCAAATGGTTTGTGGTGTTTTTATTACGATTTCTATTTTAAGAGTTGGGATTTTTGAGATACTTACTTATTTGAGATACTTACTTATTAAGTACGTTATATATTTTATAAATATAAAAATCTTTTATTTCTAGATATTATTTTAAAAAGTTACTTTTTAAAAATTATAAAAAAACAGCTATAGCAGCTTTAAAAAGCTATTTATAGCAGGTTATAAAAAGGCTAAACTTATCTCTGTTATAACTAGTAATAAAAGATATACTCAGTATAGCCAGGCTTATTATACACGCTGGAAGTACCTCTGAGGTTTAAGATATAAGATCCAAGGTCTAAGGTCTGGGGTTTAAAGTCTCTGGGGATCAGGCCTAATAAGCTACAACAGCAGCCAAGGTGAGAGAGTAGGTGGAGTGTGTGTGGTGTCGGAGCATGTGCCAGCGCTGAGACATGGTTGGCGGGGTACGAAGTGGGAGTAGGCGCCATGACGGGCTCTCACCTCGGTGAGCGAACGACGACCTTTCAACCGTGATTCACTCGGACGTGAGTAAGAATAATAAATGGCGGCACAAGATGAGAGAAGGTAGCGGGCTATGGCACAAGTTGGCAAGGGATGGCATAAAATATATCACAGGCGATGCGTACTTCGTATGTAGCAGATACCACCTAAGTCACTACGTGCATACGACTCCTCCGTACGTACTTCTATGATGATGGTATGATTGGATGCTTGCGCGTCCAGCGCATCAGAGTGACTAGCGGAGAGCTATTTCTAGCACCGACGACCTACCTTATCTTTACATATGTATTCGTATTGCCTTGCCCGTAGGTCTACCCAGAATAAACGCCAGGGAGGGCGAGAGGTAGAAATATAGGTAGAAGAATTGACAGTCTGGAGATGATGGCGCGACGTGTTGGATTGTGTTGGATCGTCTTGGATGTGGATGAAGGCATGGTCCAGGCTCAAATTGATCATGCACAGTTCTGAAAGAAGGGAACTAGAGGAGGCGACCCAACCAAAAGCCGACGACCCCGCCACGACTGCCACCACGACTCCCACCACGAACCACGAGCGGCTTGCCACCAACCACCACGACACCATGACCACGTCCTCTGCATCCATCCATGCGATGGCCCATGACCAAGCCTTCCTCCTTCCTACCTTCCTACCTACTTACTTACCTACTTAAAGGACAAAAAAACCTTGGCGCGCCTCAACTCTGTTGGCCGTTTCCGGGCCCATACCAAGGCTAAATCCAATTATCCAACTTCATACTTACTTGCATGGAGAATTGGATGATTGATAATAGCGTTTCGCACAGGCCAAAGTTCAAACGTTGCGTGGCTCCCTTGTTGGTGGCTCTCTCTTTCTCTCACCTGCTTCTGCCCCTCGCCCACGCCCACGCCCACGCCAACGCCAACGCCAACGCTCTTTCCCACCCAGTCCCGCGCTGGCTCTTGCGCCTCCCCCTGTTCCTATCCCCATCCCTCCCAATCCCAGTCCAATCCGGCCCCAGCTCAGTTCCAGCCCAGACCCTGTAGAACGAGTCCCTTCGCTGCGACTGATTCAGGTAGTCGGCACCAATCTGCGACTTCCCAACTCCTCTCTTCAACATCATCTGCATCGTTGTTAACCTCCGCATCTTTGCCTCCTACCTCCTACTTCCGCATTTCCCTTTTTCCACCCACTTCTCCGTCGCAATCATTCTTCCCTCCGTCACTTTCTCACGACTCTTGCGATATCAGCAACCCAGCAGTTCAGTGGCCCAGCGGCCCAGCGACTCAGCGACCTAGCAATTCAGGTCCGCGATGGCCAGACTCTAGACTCAGTTGGCAGCTATATCCTTGTTGTCGCCCTCGTCCACATCGACCCGCCGCGCAACCTCACCCACGCCCCCCCCCGAAAGATCCCCAACCTACTGCATTCTAAAAATGGTGTGATTCAAACCGCCCCTCTCTCCTCCTCCTCTCCTTCAACTGCTAATGCGCTTACCAACAGGGCTGCTGCTTCTCTCGCTCCTCAGGGCCTAACTCGCCCTACCCAGGCGGTGCCCCCAACGCTTCCTCGCGCGCCATCAATCCTCCCCCGCTGTCCCTCCCCGAACCCGCCCAAGGCGACCATCCTCGAGGCGCCTCGAGGCGTCGCCGCCGCGAGCAGCGGCCCCTAGACCAGCACATCGACAAACCCCTCCGCCGTCACGAATGGTCCTCCCGCGATCGGCAATGGACCAAGCGTGACATCGCCACTGAGCGTGCTGACTTCTTCGACACCAGGGTCACCGGTCGCCCCGAAGTTTGGCAGACTATCCATGCCGCCCTCCAAGTCCTCTGGGAAACTGTCGACCAAGACGCCCAGGATGTCAACTCCAGCGGCCTCGCCACCGCCCAGATGATCCTCTCCGCCGCCGAAATCTCACTCCCCACGGGCAATCTCGTCAATGGTGTCTACGATGCCCTCGGCAACTACTACCAGCTTCCCGAGTGGGTCGTCTCAGACCCCCAGAACCTCATCCAGGAGCCCGATGCCTCCGCAAAGACCGACATCTCCACCGCTGGCGACGACACTACCGCCGAAGACGATATGACCGATGACGACGACGAGATTGAGGGCAGGAAACGAGAGAAGGGCAAGGAAGTCATCGATGTGCGTGAGATGGTGTCTCTGCGAGCCAGACTCAGCGAAAATGGCCAAGACATCAAACTCAGCATCTCAGAGTCAGAGACGGTCAAGAGTGTTGCGAGGAAGATTGCCCAACACGCCGAAGTAAGTAATTTCCCACAATCCTCACCATATCATACCTGCTATGCGCGCACAGTCACCCAACACTCTCTGTCTGTCAATGACACGAAGCTGACATGCTCTCAAGCTCGCTTCGTCAAAGAGGATCCGGATAGCGTATATGGGAAAGATGCTTAAGGAGAATTCATCCCTCGCTGCGCAGGGATGGCAGACTGGCCATGTTGTCAACGCCCTCGTCTTCAACCGCTAATCTCGCTCTGCATCTCTCTTTCTTCGTTAACCCACCACCTATACCCACGTGGATCCCCTTCGAAAGGCGACCACCTCTGATCACGACCGTTCTCAGTGTATAGTCGCTTGTTACATCGACGTACACCCTCTGCATCTGCGGCATCTGCATTCATGTTGAACCCTCTGATTACGACTTTTGCTTGATCATGTCTGGATAATACCCCTTGTTTCTCGTCTTTCCCATCTTGTTCATGATGTTTTTGCGGAGTTAATTGGATCTGATATCAGCGCTGCTCGTTTTCTTACACGTATTCCCTCCCCTCTAGGTGCAGATATTGATTTGGACGTCTTCACCCTTCACACTATACCTTACATCACATCTCACATATCCATCATAGCCATCGTCACATTGGCCGAATTTAATCATAGATTCAATCATAGAGGGCCAAACCTCGTCCTCCACCCTCAGGCACACACCACTCATGACAGCCAATTCGGCTCGAACCACATGTCGTTGTCTGAAATCATTGTCTACCTAAACCTGCTACATTTGACTCTACCGAGGGACCTTTCGCATAGCCTTTTGGTGGGAAAACACCCATTAACATGCTCCACCCCTGACTCCGCTCCAATCATCGTCGTGACTCTTGCCGTGCACCAGCACGCCTTCTTTAAACGGTTCAGGTACTCATGCCATCTTGATGACCCTCCATCCTTAAGCCGTCGACCCAATCTTGTTCAGGCCCTTCAATGAGCCCAGGCTGAGTGCCAGGCCCTGGGATCGACTTCTTATCCGGACAAAACCGGTAATTGGCCCGTCTTCGCCCTCCTTCTCAATACTGAGGTTGGCAAGTGCATCCTCACCTATATGACAGTTAGCAAACAAGTCTCGGTTCAGATCCACCGTATATGATGCAGCTTACCAAACACACTGCGGGCATAGAGATTGGCACTCAGAAACTGGCAGTCGCCCTTGAGGCTGGCCTCTGGTGTCAGACAGTTCATATTTGTACACGCCATAAGTTGCTCAAGGAAGTCCCGCAGCGATGTTGCCTTGGAGTTGATGTTGACCTTGTTCTCCCACTCGAATTCGGTCCACATGGTACGGAATTGTGTCTCTGTGCAGGTGGCTGGCTGGATGTAGTCCATAATGTCCACGTGCAGGTCGTTGAGAATGACAACATTGGTGTCAGTAGAGTGGGCCCCGTCATAGACAACATTGCCGAAGATGACGCCAGTGTCTGTCGACGAGACCTTGATTGTGCATTGCACATTATGGAAGTCGTGAGGGCCAAGGTTCTGAGTCGTAGGTCGCTCAACAACCTTGAGATCGCCCAAAGTCGCAAACTCAACCGACAGGTTCTGGAGCGTGTCCGTCGTTTGGTTAACGAGAAGGACATCGAGGACGATATCGAATTGGTGGACCTTGACGTATGCCTCAGCATAGACGGGGTCAGAGAAGCCAGTCAGTTGGACCACGCGGCTGAGCTTGGAAGACAAATCCTCAGCATTCGACTCGCCGCCGGTTGCCCGTTCAAGATCCATCTCAATCTCATCTAAACCGTCACCGGCGTTCTTCTTGGATAGTTGGCGGATCTGGACGACATCGTCAACCTGCACGGCAGTCTTTGCCTTCTCGACAGCCTCCTTGGCAGCCCGCTTCTTCTCCTCGACTTGGACCATAGCGCGGAAAGCCTTCCGAGTATCTTCCAGCCAGACGGTCTCAAGTTCTTTCTTCTCCTCGAACTCCGCGAGTGATCGCACACAAGACATGATGCGATCCACAGAGTCCTCGTCAATAGGGGCCTTGACGAAGTGCGACTGTCCAACACGGATGATGGAGATCATGATGAGCATGGCCTCGGCCCTCAGAGCGTTGGTTCGTGCCTTGTCAGATGAGATCTCGGAGTGGCGCATCACGAGCTTGACGAGGGTCGATGACAGAACGGTGGCAAGATAGTAGTCACCATCGAGGATGAGTTGACGCAGGGGGGGTTTCTGGGCAGCCTTCACGGCTTCTAGCTTAGCGGCGGCGGAAGATTGGCTGGTGAGAGCCGTCTCAGTAGCGTAAGTGCCATCGGCAAGAACCTTGCGCGAGCCAGTTGGCGCTGCTGTCTTTGAGTTGCCATTGACATGATCCTCGGGTTTGTCCTCATCGTCATGAGAGTCCAACAGGCGCTGTTCCGAGGCCAGAATAGGCATCTCGCCCAGGCTGGCACGTATCCTCTTCCAAGCATCCCGAATATCCTTCTCTTCAAGCGAGTACTCACCGATGATCCACATGATCCCCCGGTAAACCTTGCCAGCTCGAACCTCGCCCAATGTGGATACGAGGCGTCCGATGATGGTAGTTCGGAGGTTGGGGAATTTCTCCACAACCTCCTTGACGAAGTTGATCACATCAACAGCGGAGGCATTGTTGAAGTCAGCAATGAAGTCCATAAGAAGTTCCACCACACTGGCGGCAACCTCGGAGAACTTGATGGCGCACTGATGGATGGAGTGAATAAGGAGGGACCGGTACTCGGCGTTCTTCTCATACTCTTGGTCAACTGTCTTGGAGAGTTCCTTCTTGAGCAGAAGCACGACTTCCTCGACATTCTTGCTGGTAACCATCTCAAGGGCAATGACGAGAGCCTTTCTCCGGACGTCGATATCGGTGCTAGAGAGCACCCGCAGAATCTCCATGGTCAAATCGTCCAAGACGCCATCGTTCTTCTTGCGCAGCTGATCGACTCGATCAAGCACAATCAGCTTAACGTTGTTGTCTGCCTCCTTAATGCTGAGCTCGATAAACTTCGCGGCGGCGGCCTTGACGGCAACAGGGTTGTTTGTCAGAGCTGTGAGTGATGAAGCAGCCTCGTAAACGACGGTCGAAACGCCAGCCTCTAGCAAGTCGAAGATTAACCTCAGGTAGCGTGCCTATCATCTTGGTTAGTTAACGTCCCGCGTTGACTCCTGCACAGCGAACCGACCTTATTCTGAGAGTTTTGGACAGCATCCTTGCGGATGAACTCCAGTTCAACAAGCTGCAGAAGTTCCTCTGCATTAGGAATACCCTCGAAGACAGAGCTAAGATAAAGAAGAGCAGCGTCGTGGTCGATGCTGGCCAAGGCAGCGAATGCATTCCTCTTGCAGGTAGCATCCGTCTCCCCGTCCAAGAATGTAGAAATGAGTTCTGAGGCATCGGGGATCAGGGTGGGCGAGTGCAAGTAAATCGAAGAGACGGCGAAGACGGCGTTCTTTCGGACGTAAGCGTGTCGGTGCTCGAGGCAGGATCGGGCCGATGATAGGAGGGGCTCGATCAACTCAGCCTCCCTCAACTTGCAAAGGAAGCGCAGGGTATTTCCTCGGATGTACTCGTTGGGGTGCTGGAGGTCATTCCGGATGCCATTGCTGCGTAAGGAAGGTCAGCGAGGTGGGACGAGGCGCATTGTGGTGGAGGGACCCGTACCAAACCAGAATCATCTCCTGCTTCAACTTGCCGGTGCTGTCGAGCTTGGGGCAGATCTCATAGTAGAAGTATAGGAGCTTCTTGAGAGGCTTGTACTTTGAGGGCATAACGAATCGAATGATGTGCATGAGCAGAGAGGGCATGGGATCTCCGTTGAGCATAATGGTCAAGATGCGCTTCATGGTCTCGACCTTGGTCTCATCGGTGCCCTTCTCCAACTGCGTGCGCAGGTCGGAGACGGTGGGGACGTCGGCAGCATTGTCCTGGTGGACAAGACTGTAGGCGCTCTCGAGAAAGCCGGACATGGTGGGCAGGATCGCCGGCGGTTGGCCGTGGGTGGTGTTGGTGGAGGATGTTGTAGATGGGACGTGGCTCAAAGGAGACGAGAGGTGGAAGTGGGATCGGGGGTAGTCGACTCGGCGGTGGGGAGGCTCAGGGGCTTATAGTGCTTGGAGCTCTCCAGCTGTAGGAGACGAGACAATTTGGAAATTCCGCCAGTGCCATCCGTTGAGTGTCGCAGCGCGCAATCGCCGGCCAAGATTGCCAGTGTCCCCGAGGTTGTTCTGGACCAGCTCTCTTGAAAATCGTCAGCTACAGGAAGATCTATCTGTCCTGCCAGCGGGACGTCGAACAGGTGGCACTAAGCGAGCAGGCGGCCGATGCAATCACGTGAGGCCAGCACGGCCACAGACACGGCCACAGGGCGAGGAACGCGGTGAGAGCTTACTGTACGCTGAAAGGTGCAACGAACCGAATGCCCCGCCTTGGCTGGTCCGTGCGCCTTGGCTCTCACCTTGCTGTCCCGCATTCTTCAGCCTCGCCGACGGCGGGCTTTGAGGATTTGTCGGCTTGGTTTGTTTGGCATACTCGACGACCTTTGCAGAGCTCGATACGTACGACACGTACGCGCAACCGCCGACATGTCTGCCACAAATGAACCTTTCTATCTCCGGTACTAGTATGGCGCCCACCGTTCCGTCCCGTTGTCACCTTTCCCCCACCAGACTCGATGCTAAAACCCGTCCTCGAACAGCTCTGGCCATATGGGTCGCTTCGGCCATGAATTCCTCGGTGCGAACCCCAACATCCGGCCATCCAGTTGCTATCGCGGCAATCCACTTACTCATCCCATGGTCAGAATTCGACTTCCGCGTCGTTGGTGACGGCCGCAGCGCCGTGGCGCGATACGCGAACAATTCGAATTACCGAAACGATAGTTTGATTCGAAAAGAGAGTACGACAAGATCCTGGGTTCACAGAGTGCCATTTACTGACAGGGAGGCATAGTGTGCGTCAGCTCTGTGGTGGTAGACGAGATCAAGCGCATCATCAAGGCAAGCGAAATCACAAAGTACGCCGGATTACTCCCCATGCTCTCGCGCAACCCTTCCTAACTATGAGCAGGGAAGACGACTCCAAGTGGCCACAAAAGAACAAGGACGGCCGGCAAGAGCTGGAGATTCGGGTTGGGAATGATCACATTTCCTTCGAGGTCGGTAACGCCCGGTTAAGTGTAAACGGGGATACTGACAGTGTCGACAGACCGCCAAGATTGGCTCGTTGGTCGATGTGACGGAGTCGGCCGACCCAGAAGGCCTACGAGTTTTCTACTACCTTGTCCAGGATCTCAAGGCGCTGGTGTTTAGCCTGATCGCACTTCACTTCAAGATCAAGCCCATCTAAATGCAGGGCTGGCAAGGTTGGTTGGGGATGGTGGCGTTGAGGATGGATGATCGATACCCTGTCCTGGCCATGAGAGGAGGGCAGACAGAGCCTTGGGGAGGAGATGTGAGGAGTCAAGGTGTGTGCGCCAAGCTATGACAGCCCATGACATGGCTGGCAAAGAACGGTGTGCAAAGGCCTCTTCGGATTGCATACATATATACCTACACATGGCTACCTCTAACTAGGTAGGCCATACACATTTGTATGCGCACCGCCAAGACGAGAACCCCAAGGAGAACAAGAAGGAGAAAGCGTCTATCTGGGCATCCAGAGAATGACAGGGTCGCAAGAACCACCCGACAAAAGTTATGAATGGCGTGCGTGGAACGTTGGAAGATTGTCGCATGGGAGTCATGGATGTTATTAGCCATGGTACGACAGGAGTTGATAGGGATGGGATGCCAATCGATCGCATGGACAACTCAAGGTCGGACCACACACATTTTTCTCAACTGGCCCAACTCACACAGCACACCCAACGCACACAGGCGTGCTCACGCACGTACGCACACATGACTGGCCGCCCGCGAAGTCGGTCAACCGTAGCGCCAGGGGCGCTGTCTGGTCGCATCTGGGGCGGGCTGCGCTGCGCTGACATGTGGCGGAGTTTCCGTGTCCCTACCTCCCTCCCTACGTAACGCGTCCGTACTCATCCGTAACATTGTCTGATTCTAGATCATGCCAACCTGGAACCGCACGGAAATGGCGTCGGGTCGGAACATGGGGAGGACTGGCGCGAGATGGCTCCCGGCGGGTTCCCTCCCCCATGTTGGCTTGCCCAATTCGTCCCAGTGGGGGCCGCTGAGCGCACTGGGCTGGCAGCGCTGAGAAGACCGCTCAGAGAGGGTCCCGTCACTGAGACGCAAGTTCCCGCTGGCCCGCATTTGCACTGTTACTTCTGTACTTGTTCCGGGGAGAACGACGCACGCTTCCAGAGCTTCTCCATAAAGGTCGGCAAGGTACCTCGAGTTCAGCGGCCCATGCCGCAAGGATGGCAGTACCCCCTACCCCTGCGGTCCAGTCCACATCTTCATCCCCCCATCCATCCCTACCAGATAGGTACCCACGCTGCATTCGGCCGCTAGCAAATCAGGGCATTTGGTGCACCTCCCAGGTCTCTCAGGTCTCCCAGGTCTCCCCATGAAAACCCAGCAGCCCATCATCACCGACTTGACCCTTTTCGCCATCGACCCATTTGCGATTTGGCCTTCTTGCTGTCTTGCTTTCTCACTTCCTCGCTCTGTACTATTATTCCTATTTCCCTTCACATTCAACACCAGTAATGGGCACTCGTCTTGCTTCCTAAAGGCCGGTTAATGCGCCTGGGGCCCTTGTTAGCCATAACCCCATGTTCCTCCTGTCCCGAGATCGCCACCGGTGGTGAATCCCAGTCGCCTCTCCCTCAGCGACCTCGACGAGCGCTCAACGGCCGGCCGCCATCCACGCTTCGATCACCTTAACCCTTCTCGAGGGGAAACGAGGACGACGCCCCGTCTCTTTCGTCCTTGATATATCCATTACATCCATATTCTGTCGTCGGGTCCAGACTCTCGACTACAAACCACCCAGAATGCCGACTCCAGCTTCCAATCCACCCCCCGACCCGTCGTCGCCACGGTCCTACAGCTTCTCGACCTGTCCCGACGACGCCCAACATCCCACCTGGCAATCTCACGAGGCCGTCCAAGACCATGACGACATGGGCGTCCAACCTGTGCCTTCCGGCACGATAGCTGGCACCTCTCCTCCTGTCGGCGACGCGCCTCCTCCCCTCGAGGGTCCAGCACCCGATGATGCCATCATGGATGAGGGTCGGACATCTGAAGATCCATCATCACGGTCAACCACCATGTCGCCCGGGCCCCAGTCCACCGCTACCGCCGTCACATCCCCCGCTCCCAGCGGAGCAGAGGCCGACTTGGTCAAAAGTCGAGACGCCGAGATCGGCAACCAGCTGAGCCGTCAACCGTCAACCAGCATCCAACAAGCTCCCGAGTCCGAGTCGCTGCCGCGTGCGGCCACGAGGAGAAGGGCCTCGCCCAGCCACGAATGGGAATCAGTCGATGTCGACGCGCAAGAAGATGAGCTCTGGTCTCCGTCAATGGGACCCGACTACTCCAACATGCGGGTACGCACATAGCCATCGAGTCCCCTAGTATAACGCAACTACTAATAGCAGCAGGTCATCCCCTCCTCGCCATCGTCGTACCTACGTTCTGGCAGCAAATTCCATGGCACCCAGCAATCGGAAAGACAGGTGTATGACGTCCAGGTCGAGATCAAGCACGTGGACATGCGCGAGTCCTTTCTCTGTGGATACCTGCGCATCCAAGGTCGCCCCATCCACGCCGATTCTCCGAATCCTCAGCGCTAACGTCCCATGCAGGACTCACCGAAGACCATCCGACCCTCACAACGTACTTTGAAGGCGAGATCATCGGAACCAAGTACAGCTTCTTTACCGAACATGACAACTGGGGGGCGAACAGTAAGGTGGACCTGAGCCATTGGGCCAAGTTCCCTGCTTTCCGTCCCTTCCAGAAACAGGCACGAAAGGGCCCCATCACCATTCGGGACGGCGCTCAGAGGGAACACATATTCATGAGGTGGAAGGAACACTTCTTAGTTCCCGACCATCGAGTACGCACCATAACGGGTGCGAGCTTCGAGGGCTTCTACTACATATGCTTCAACCAGGTCAAGGGAGAAGTTAGCGGCATATACTTTCACTCTAAGAGTGAAAAGTGAGTTCTTTGGCCCGTATTCATCAGGTGACTGCAGGTTAACTCCCCTTTCAGGTTCCAGCAATTGGAGCTGAAGCATGTGCCCGATCGGGGCTGCTTCGCCGCAACCGAATTCCGGTGAATGCCCGGCGTCCCCTATTCTCGGCACGCGCTCAAGTTTGCGAGTGACGGGAAACCAGCGACAACAGTTTATTCGATCCAACTTGGCCGGGCTCAGTCGGAAAGGTATTGACACACACACAAGCACACACATACGCACACACACACACACGCACCACACATAGATAGGAGGCGGGATGGGAATGACCCCTTATGATGACGTCCTAGTGCACGCGAATGGTGATTTATGAAGTCGCGATTATCGGATATTATTTTATATGCGGAGCACGGGAATATTTGATGGACAAAGGGTGGCCTTCCTGTATATGCGTTTTATTCGTCAACCTCAAACTTGTTGAAATATCCACGTCGAAATGGATTGAGCTCGTCTGCCGTTGTCCCATCCGTCGCAAGCTTCTTCCGGGTCGCATAGTCCTCGAGTGTAGACGGGGACACCTGCACATCAGGTATGCGACGATAGGTTATCAATCTCCTCGACCCTGCGCATATTAGCATTCCAGGTGATAGGTAAGGGAGTGACTGGAAAGCCGAGGCTTACACTTATTGAATGGCTGAACACAGATGGCAACAATCTCCAGGCAAGGATGGGTGGGCACTGGAATCTCTAGCTCCTCGTCGTTGGCCGTTGGAGTCCAAAATGACAACCTCCCACCGTCGACCAAGGTCTCGGAGGCAAATACCAGAATGTCATCAAGCATAGCTAGAAAGCTATAGGGCTTCTTGGGTGGGACGTAATCCGGGTCACTATCCTCGTCAGTGCATAGAACCATGTTAGGGGTTACTGATGGAATACCGACTTTCCCTTCGTCCTGCCTGCCTCGATCAGCCAAGGGGTCTTCTCGGGATCCTTGCAACCCAGCACTCTCAGTCCTTCCCTGACTCCGTACGGAGGGTCGGAAACGATTCCGTCCCACCATCGGCGTTTCCTCATCGGAGTATGGGTCAAGTCGGCGGAAAACACATCACCTAGGCATCCACCCAAGCCATACTGCTCGAAGTTTCCTTGTAAGCTCTTCTTTCCGCCTTCGCCTCGCATGCTGCGGCCGTCAATGTCACTTCCCCATGCCAAAGCTCCGAACTGTGCGCATGCGACGGGGAATGAGCCTGTTCCAACAAAGGGATCGTAAAAGAGCTTCCCAGGGGCCGCAAGGGCGATGTTGGCAGTTACCAAGGCGAGCTCTGAGTCCATGCTCGTGGTGGAGATGTATTCTCGCTTCTTCAAATCCAGCTTCTGGATAAGGTCTCGCGATGAGCTCGCCAGGTATCGACCCAAGTGGATTTCTGTGGGGTCTGGGATTCCAAGAGGAACACTGTTGTGCGGCCATTGCTCAAAAATGGTGAAAGTCTCATCTGGGTTGGACATCTTAATAGGACCATCAAAGCCCAGGAACCGAAACGAGTTAATGAGTTCAAGCCTCTTGGTATTAGAGCGGGTTCCCTGATATGGCTCCACGGCAAACTTGAAGGATGCCATCTTGTATTGCGCCCAGAGGTGTGGTGTCCCTTGCTTCACGGCTGCGTGTACTTCATCGAGCGTCGTTCCGGTACCCCATAACTCATGAATAGACTGGGCCAGGATGGATCTCTGGATAAGTCGCTCAGCCGCATCGACTGAGGGCAGTTGTACAATACAAAATGGGGACTATTGGAGCGTGAGACTTGGGGGGACTGTGTGTCATGTGCGCATACGTACATCAAGGCTATAATTCAGAACTTTTAAGTCCACGTCCTGGACGATGGCGAGGGCCTCGATCTCGGCGAGCCGAAAAGACTCATGGACCTGTGCAAACCTGATGAGGAAATGCATGTTGTGCGACTCCTCACCACTGATGGTTGATTTGAAAAGCGCACGTTCAACCTAATTCAGAAAGTGAAGGTGGGGGAGGGGCAGCAATCAACCTCGAAATGGCAGCTCCACTGGTTGGGAAAAGTTGCTCCTAACGCTCCTCATGTGACCAGAACAACCCTTGTCAAAGAGAATCGGAGAGCGATGGCAAATTTACTCTCCATTAAGGTTGTGGATGGCAGTCGCAAGTTTTCGGGATTCGGGTGGATGCAGGTACAAACCCTCGTCCCCGAACTCTTGGGTCGTGTGTGTAAAAATATTCGCCGATGAAACCCCGGCTGCAAGCACTGTCGATTTTCTAGGCGGTCCCCCGAACGACAACTACCTACCTAAACTAACTACTACCTACGCATTGCCCATCCACACACCGTCCTTTGAACCACTCAAGCATAAAATATTAGTCATTCCCTCTCGATCATCTTCCGCCCGAGTCGATTCCTCCTTGAAGCATCCATAACATGTTTCCAGTGGCAACCCCGTCAATATATCAGGCGCCAAAATGTTTTGTCACATACGGCACCATGGGTTATGTCGACACCAAACAGGCACCTCATAAGGGCAAGCCTTGGATGGCCATCAAATCGCAAGATTTTATACACAAGGTTAGGCGGCATCAATCTAAGTTCCAACCTATCAAGCTAATTTAAATGCAGGTAGACTTGATCATACCCGTAGAGGCTTATGACTCGGTGCAACAGGTCATTGAGACGCGCCAGTCGCCCCAGTATTCTAAGGTCACCATGACACTGGGTGATATCTTCGAGGGAGAATTCTTTACCGAGTACATCAAGAAAGGTGCCTAGATCCAAGCCCAGTCCTAGTATGGGGAGGCACTTGCTGAACTAGTGGGTAGGGAATGTCCTTATGCTCTCCGAGGGTACCACGACGACGGGCAGCCTCTTCACGTTACACCAAGGTATGGCCTGAAGCAAAGCTACTCATTCCCGGAAATTGATGAAAGTAAAATAGGTACCCTGACCATGTACCTTGAGAAGGAGACCTATGAACGATCTGGGCTTGTGGGCAAGCCGTATGGCGCGAAGGGCGGAAGAGGTTTAAGACCTCGTTGGGGTTGGTCACCAAGAGTCTGGTCATTATATCTTGCTAATTACCAACTGCAGTCGTTTCATTCGACCTCAGAAGCCCAACGATGGTACGCGGGAAGAGGGGTTTCGATCGTTTGATCTATGCTTGCAAGAATGTCCTGAATCAACCGACAAATTGGCTTTTCTGCAACGTTACGGAATTGAGTAAGTCCTATTTTCCCCACGAGACACTCAGCTCCTCAATTCTGTTCTAATATCATCAAGTACCTTCCCCGGACCCCTTACAGAGATATTTTCCCACCTCCTTCACCTCTTCACCAGGAATCACTCGAGATATCTGCGCGCTTCAGGGGCCACTGGACATTCCCTCTGAGATCCTTGCTGATGCCGACCGATCCGCCTTTGAGGAAGCGGCAACCGAGTGCTATGAGTGGCTGTCGCTTATTCGGCTTGGAAGCCCCCGCGTGGAACCTCGGGACAACATCGATCCCTATCTTTCGAAATATCGGGTGCCGGGAGATGCCGAGGGGGATGTGACTGTGTGCAAACTGAGTTGGCAGGGGCTCATTTCTTCCAGTTGGCTGCACAAGTTACTTGTTGATACTATTGCTGCTTGTCCGTCGGTGGCATGGTTCTCTTTGAGTGCAACTTGCTTTTCAAGGAGCGTTCCCGGCAGTGGTAACGAGGTCATGATTCTTCGACCTCCAGTAACCGGGACCAAGTACCTCATGTGGGAAACAAAGGTTTCAGAGTGAGAACTTATTCTTGCTTTGATCGCACACTTCTTTCATCGCCAAGCCCTTGTCCCGTTAAGGCTTCCTCGACTAGTTTACGCAGATCTGCCTGGCCCTGGGGTGTGTTGAAATCGTCTCGCTGAGCCAACTCCTCAATACGCCTCCGGAATTCCGGGTCGGCCTCGCCAAGAAAATCTTGGACCTCATCCATAGTACCGATGGTTACGGGCATGCCCTCTGGAGGGGGGGGTATCTCTTCGGTGAAGATGGCCGCGGCAGTAGCGTCGAGGTTGTCTACTTTTTTAGCCTCAATCTTGGCGAGGTAGGCAGCAATTGCTGGAAAATCGCCCTCGGCCTCAATCTTCTCTCTGGCCGTCAATCCTTCCGCCCCTCTGTGGTTAATGTTGGCTCCGAGTTCCTCAACCAGGGCTTGGGCAGCAGCCTCGGTCTCAACCACGAACAAAGCGGTCTCGTCATCCTCGTCCCTGAGGTCTACGTCGACGTGAAATTCGCGAACCAGGGCTCTGAGGAGGTCTAGATGGTTGTAACTCGCAGCGGCGTGTACGAGGGAGTAACCATGCTCGTCTTGCATCGCGGCCAGCGCCGGATTTTCTCGAAGGAGGGGCAGCAAGGCGGGGTTGTTGTCGGCTGCCAGAAGATACGGATTGGGAGGAGGCGCCATTGTCGGAGGACTTGTATAAATCGGTGGTGCGTGACTATTGGAATGGTCCCTGGAAGCCGATTTCGATGAAGTTAGATTGGAATCAGCAGGTTGGACATGTGTTGTTGTCGACAATGTTGTGAGTAGAGTATTTTTTGGGGGTCAGGGACAACAAAGCTCTGGTTGTGGGTGCTTAGGTAGGTAGGTAGGTAGAGTTGCTGTGTACAGGTAGGTAGGTACTAACACAACCTGCCGGCATCCACCAAACCAAACGTACGTAGGTAGGTACTCATACCCATCCATAAGGTTAGTACCAATAAGGTACCCAGCCTCGGATCCATTAACGTCCCGCATGCCAAAGCCCCACCAACATTTCGGAAAGTGAGCCTTTGCGAGGACGCGGACGTCTATGATAAGTGTTACTGCCTCTGACGGCTTAATGCTTCCCATCTTTCCAGGGTTTGGGCTTGGCCCTCAGCTGTAGGGCCCGCCACATGCGTAATCAATCAGACCCTTGACACACTACATGAAATAAGAAGCCCAGTCCCACCCTGCCCCCAATCAATCGATCAATGACTCAACATCGTCTAATCCTAGATACATCACAGGGTAGCACTTTCTAGCCTCAAGGTACTGCCTCGATTACTAGGTAGGTACAGAGCCCGGTCTATCTAGGTACTCGGTCGGGGAGCGGTCAACTAGGTAGGTACCTACTTAGATCTGCTGGCTAATTTCCTCGATCTGACTCATGCGGCGTCAGGTTGATAGCTCACAAGGCAGGGTAGTGGAGTGGTTGGCGTAGGTGCCTCACTGAGGCGGTGCATCAAGGCAGTTTCCAATACCCCATTGCAGAGCGTTTACAGGGTACCCACACCTACCTGCTCGCACTCACATCCAGGCGATATCAAACACGCTTCCTGTGACGCAGAGTGCGCTGCCTTGGGTCCAAGATATTTTATATATTGGCCGGTCGCTCTGTGAACGAATTCCCTTGTATCCCGCCCCCTTCTTAACTACCTACAGAAGACCACTCCTCGCCTGTCCACGCCAGTAGGTTCCCCAAGAATCAGGTTAGCAAGGCAGGCACGACGAACCCCTCTCAAACCAGTCCGTCTTCCCACTTCAACGAGTCAGGAACGCACCATCCCCGTGAACGCATATTTCCCGCGAGAGAAGGCGTTCTGGTCGTGTTAAGGGCTACCAAGGTACGAAAGGAGTTGGCGGCCCGGTGTCAAACAACGGAAGACCCAGGGCGTGCATGTCTGCCTACTACCACTCGTATTGTCGCCCACTTCTCACACTCCCCAACAGATACACCTGCAAACGAACCACGCACAATATTCGGTACTTCAGCACCATGGCTGCACCTTACATCGCCCAGGATGTCCGGGAGGTCTCCCAGATGTTGGCTGGGCTGGACCTTGCCCGGAAGGAGAAACGCCGCGGTAGCTTCGCGGTCAAGAAGACAACTTTCGATGTCAAGGGGTCTCGGGACGGCATTCAGGTCGAATCGTGGCGGATGCAGGACTGGGACTACAAGAGACGTGACCTCCCTACCTACGCTCGCGGCCTTTTCACCACCAAGACGAGGAGAAACGAGCCCGAGATTGCTGTCAGAGGTTACGACAAGTTTTTCAACACCGACGAGGTCCATGAAACTAAGTGGTCGAACATTCTGACCAGGACCCAGGGTCCCTACGAGTTAACTCTGAAGGAGAATGGATGCATCATTTTCATTGCCGGTCTGGAGGATGACACTCTCATTGTTTGCAGCAAGCATTCTACCGGAGACCGCAGTGACATCCAGACCAGCCATGCTAGCGCTGGTGAGCTACGCATCGAGAAGCAGCTGGCCGCTGTGGGAAAGACCAAGGCCGACCTAGCACGAGAGCTCCGAAAGAGGAACGTCACTGCCGTCGCCGAACTTTGTGACGATGCCTTCGAGGAACACATCTTGGCCTACACCCCCGATAAAGCGGGCCTATACCTCCATGGTATTAACCTCAACCTGCCGGAGTTTGCAACTTACCCCAGCGCTTTTGTTCAGGAGTTTGCCGACGAGTGGGGGTTCATCAAGACTGGCCTCATGGTGATGGACGACATTAATGAGGTAAAGGCCTTCCTCGAAGAGGCAGCCCAGACTGGTGCCCATGATGGCCGAGATGTCGAGGGGTTTGTCATCCGCTGTAAGATGAGCCACGATCCCGACGCAGCCCCGTACCGCGATTGGTTCTTCAAGTACAAGTTCGAAGAGCCATACCTCATGTATCGTCAGTGGCGAGAGTGCACCAAGGCTCTGATTTCCGGAAAGCAGCCCAAGTTCAAAAAACACATCAGCATTACTGAAGAATACTTGTTGTACGCCCGCAAGCGCCTCGCATCCGACCCTAAACTAGCCAAGGAGTACAACCTCAACCACGGCATCATCTCTCTACGCGATGACTTTTTGAAGTTCAAGAACCTCAAGGGTGCCGACGCTGCGAACATGGACGACCTCGATCCCTTGGTCATGCCAGAGGTCACCAATGATGTTATCCTCTGTCCGATCGCTACCATTGGCTGTGGCAAGACGACCATTGCGTTAGCCCTGACGCACCTCTTCGGATGGGGCCACATCCAAAATGACAACATCTCGGGCAAAGCTCGACCCCCTCGGTTTACCGCGGCGGTTCTGGATCAGCTCAAGGACCACGCAGCCGTGCTCGCGGATCGTAACAACGCTCAGAGACATGAGCGAAAGCAAATCATCACCGATGTTAAGCTACAGCACACCACTGCCAAGCTTGTCTGCCTGAATTTTAAGCATGACGAGGGGTCGATTGACGAAATCCGACGCATCACTCAAGAAAGGGTGGTCGAGCGTGGCGATAACCACCAAACTATACACGCTGCATCTGACAAAGCCAAGTTCATTGGCGTCATGGAAGGATTTATCAACCGATTTGAGCCCTGTAATCCATATGCTCGCCCAGACGACGGCTTTGACGTGGTTATCGATCTGAACCCAACGGTGGGAAGCCGTCAAAACCTCGAAACCGTCATCACAGAGTTGAACAAAATATTCCCCAATTTGGTCAAGGAGATCCCTGGGCCCGAGCAACTTGATGGTGCGATAGAAGCGGCCCTTGGCTATAAGCCCGACTTCAGACAGGATATCCCGAACAGGGGCAAGAAGGCCGAGTCAAATAAGCAACAAAACAAAGGACATGAACAGTCCCAGAAGACGACGAAGGCGGCGCAGTTGGAATATATGTCCGTTTCTGTCAACGCTTCCGAGCTCAACGCGCTGCTTGAGGAGGCCTTCAAAGAAGAGAGGCCTGAGACTTCTCGGTTTTACATGCAAATGAAGCAAACACGTCGTGTACAGCCGAAATTCCACGTCACATTGATGCATCGTGCATCTTGCCGTGAACATCCTGAGCTATGGAAGCGGTACTCTACTTTGCATTGTGAAGCAGAGGCGACCGGCATCACAAATGCGAAACTTGGAGACTGCGATGTTTTACTGGAACGGGTGAGGATCCCCACAACTCCTTGGCTATGATCGTGCTGACATTTCATAGATTGTATTCGATGATCGGGTCATGGCTATTGTTGTCCGACTTGTAGACGAAGATGGAAATTGGGAATGCACGAACCGAGTGGCGCATATCACCATTGGAACCAGGGACAGCTCAGTAAAGCCTAGGGAAAGCAACGACTTGCTGGCGAGATGGTTGGAGATGGGCAGCGCTGCCGAGACGAACATTGGTGAGGTCGTGTTTGAAAATAAACCTACGCTGAAGGGTACGGTCCACGGGGTGTCATCCAGGTAGGCGAGACCTGAAGATGGAAGCACCCACGTGCATTCAGTAAGGGACGCTCAACGTCTCGAACGGCTATCAGGACATTCTTGGTTGTAGAAACAGAGAGAATGACATGGGACGGGAACCAACTCCCTGCTGTGAAGAACGGCGACAACCCCTTGTATGAACGACGAGTGATTTTTAACGAAACACAATCAAGTTAAACATGAAAAGAGCGAGGGGAGTATGCACGGTATCAAACGAGGGAAATCGGACAGTTTCTATTAAAGGTAACGATCTCTTGTAGTCAGCTCTGAGTGGTATCGTACATCTATGACTCGAAAGGGGGTATTACGGCTGCGAATAAAATAGAGAAATGCACGATACAAGACTGTCCATGGTCTATTGCGGGTCACTCATCGTCAAGAAATCGAGTTGCTAAGCTCCCAAAAAAGGGCACCTCGAATCTATACAATGATTAGCACTAGGCTCATTGCAACGGAATTCGTTTGAGCACACACCTGTCCAGGATCTCGGCATCTCGATACGCTCTTAGTGTGAGGACAGCGATTAGAGCCAGATCGCCGAGGAAAAAGACCCAGCTCAGGAAAGTTGACCATGCAAAGATGAGGTGGAAGACCATGATGGCCGTAAATAAGAGGGCTGACTGCCATGCGTGGAACCTAGTTCATAGAGATTAGTATCATGCGTGGGAAACAGAGATCACAGGAGGGACTGCGAGGGCAAGGAGATGGTTTGCACCACTTTTCTTGCGACATAGGCGGAGCATGGTATCGTAAAACGAGATCATAAACATACCTCACATAGTCACTATTCCTCTCTAATATCAACAAGACAATTGCGCCTAGAGGTGGAAATGCCAGGTAAGCTAGGCAGGCCTCATAGTCAAGTCGCATGCCCAGACTCGTATCGAACTCGCTAACTTCGGCAGCGGGATATGCGCCGGGCATGGTGCTTGAGGCTCCAAATGCCCTTGTATCTGCCCCAGCACCCCAAACGCCACCCTGGCCGTCAAAGCCGCCCCATCCTCGCTGTGGCTGGGGGTGTTGTAGAGGCGGAGGAGATGCGACGGGTTCAAAGGATCGCCTGGCGTCGTACGAGTGTCGTGGGGAGGCGTACTCGGGGGATGCCACGCGGCCATGCTCCGGTGGGGAGGACTGGTAGGGTGCAAAGTCCATGGTTATGATGGAATCGGAATGATTGGCTTCGACTATCCGGAAGGGGGCATGCCCAGGCCTCCTTGCTCAATAGCTATAGGGGGGTGCCGAGGAACAGGCGTCGTGTATTTTGGGGGTATACCGCTCTTGTGTGGTGCGAGGATGCTTGCTGGCCAGGAGCTGAGTATGTCTGAATGTGTGGGAGCAGTCGTCCGAGAGGAACAGGATGTTGTTGGCTTCGCAAACTCAGTAGTGAATTGCGACTATATATACAGCTTCGCAGATGATGAGATGTCGGGACCCAGAAGGGTAGGGAGAACCCAAGGGATGGTGATGGGTCGAGCGGAATAGCGTCGGATGGGTTGTTCAAGTTCGCGTTGATGATGGCAATCCCGCCTTGATTGTGGAGGAGGCGCGACAGCTTGGCACCAAGCTTTGTCCTTCATGGAAGCCCCTGGCGCCACACGTAAGCACCTTCCTATTTCCTTCGACGCTCACTGAGGACCCTAATTTTGGCGCTGCAGGCGGCCACTACGGCCACTACACACTACGGCCACTACGGAGATGGCGGGGAGCTCAGCTATTGGTGGCAGATCCCTCCCCTAAGTCCATCACCCAAGATCAAAAGGTACCGAGGATCCGACTCACATCCTAGCAGGTGCTGGCAAGGACATTCGTCTAGGCCTGAAAGTTGGCACGACGGAACTGCCTCAGCGGGGAGAGCTTCGGTATGGTAGTGCATGACTCCGCGTTAAATGGCGCTGCTTGGCCTCCTATGCTGTTCGTACATGTACACATACAATGTCCCTTGGGCGGGCAACCTATCGATACACCCAACGTAACGTCACAAGCCTCAAGTCTACTGTTCCTCCTTCTGCTCACCAAGCTGCCCTTTGTTCTCTTCTTCCAGCTGCGTCTTTCGACCTTCGAGGGCCAGCCACAAGCTCTTGCTCCCACCTTCAAGGGCGGTGGTGATGCCCAGACCAGCACCTTGAAGGATTCCGACAAGTTGTGCCCGCAAACCATCCATGCCTCCCTGGATACCACCAACCCAGTTGACGCCAGCCTTATCAAAGATCTTGTTCTCGATCCGGCCGCCTACAAGTAGAAGCTTGGCCAGTCCATTCTGACAGATAGGGTCGTGGAAGCCGGGGCTCTTCTTCCTCGTCGGCGCCGGGAACTGCCCGGGAACAGGGGCGAGCACACTCAGTGCCGCGGAAACATGGGCGGGGGAGACGGCGGGTAGCACCAGTGCAGCCAGTGGGCCAACCAAGAGCGGCTCGATCTGGGCGAAGGACGAGTCTACAGGGACATCGGCGTTCTTGACGGCCTCGTACGCTGCTTCCGATAGATCATGGATAACAGGTCCACGGGCTGTCCGCGGGGTCTTGGCTGACGCCGCGGCGACCGCTGGGTTGTAAAACTCGACAATCTTCATGGCCACGCTTAACATGTTGGTCCTGAGAACTTGTAACTGCACCAATGGGGTGATATCGAGTGGTTCGGCACCTGGGGCGGCATTGGGTGAGGGGACTTCCAGCAAAGCCTTCTTCAGCTCTCGTCGTACAGCGGCCCACTCAATGGCCGTCAGGTTGCTGTGCTGGAAGAAGAGAATCAAGGGAGTGGTACGGAGCAGTGACGTGTAGGTTCGGATCATCTGACTCTTTCTCGTTTCGACCGGTCGAGCGCTAGGAGGCTTCGTCGGGGGGGTGTATTCGATGGGGGCTCGGGTACCAGCGGAAACAGCGGCAGACTGTTTCCCGGAGGTTGAGATGCTGCGAAGCGCGAGAGCCCATGATTTTTGCGGCAAACCCGATTCCCTGCGCAATTGGCGCAGACAGGGCGAAGTTATTCGGGGTATTCGAGGCGCCATTTTTTCTAACCCTCCAGAAAAACCACGATCAGTTGCCAATTTTATCACAATGAGCGTTCAACTTACGTAGTTTGTGGGGTGGTTGCCAACTTGTCCTCACGCCGTCGTCAAAAATTCCGTGAGGTCTTCGCGACCCTGCCCATGATGGAAGATCGCTGTATTGGCCCGTGCGCCCGGAACAAACCACCGCCGTCCCCCGGCGCCTACGTACTGGGTCGCTGCCGAGCTGTAGCCAGCCAGGCTGATTACGCGGGACCTGACTGCCTACCTCGAAGCTTCGCCCTCCACTGCACAAACACCAAACAGCCTCGATCGCCTCCGCCCACACTCTCCCTTCTCCCACCATCGTCTCCCGAAAGCCCATCGCTGCTGTTTCTCATACATTCGGTGGTCCATTCTGCACCCTCCATACCATCACCGTCCGCCGCCCATTCCACCATGTCGACTCTCGAAGAGCTCGATGACCTCGATCGCAGAGAGAAGGAAGACAAGAAGCAAAATGGTGGTGACGACAAGGACCAGAAGAAGGGCGCCGATGGCGATGCCGAGATGAAGGATGCTGAAGAGGACGACGATGACATTCTTGATGACGAGATCCTGGGGCTTAGCACACAGGATATCCAAACCCGGAAACGGCTGCTCGAGAATGATTCCCGAATCATGAAGAGCGAGTTGTCACGATTATCACATGAAAAGGCCGCCATGGGCGAAAAGATCAAGGAGAACCTGGACAAGATTGCCAACAACAGGTGGGTTTTCTCTCCTCTCGACTGACGCGGGGATGTCGCCTCTAACCCAGGCTCTAGGCAACTTCCGTACCTAGTAGGAAACGTCGTTGAGCTGCTCGACCTCGACCCCACCGCCGAGTCGTCCGAGGAGGGCGCCAATATCGATCTAGATGCGACTCGAGTAGGCAAATCCGCCGTCATCAAGACCTCTACTCGTCAAACGATCTTCCTCCCTCTCATCGGTCTGGTAGATGCCGACAAACTCAAGCCTGCCGACTTGATCGGTGTCAACAAAGATTCGTACCTTATCCTCGACACGCTACCTGCCGAGTATGACAGCCGTGTCAAAGCAATGGAGGTTGATGAGAAACCGACGGAGCAGTACACGGATGTGGGTGGGTTGGACAAGCAGATTGAGGAACTAGTTGAGGCCATCGTTTGGCCCATGAAGGAAGCTGAGCGATTCAAGAAGATTGGCATCAAGGCACCCAAGGGTACGTTGAATGGATCGGCCCATGAAACAAGGTTGAGCTGACACAAAATCCAGGTGCCCTCATGTATGGCCCTCCTGGTACTGGCAAGACCCTCCTGGCAAGGGCCTGTGCGGCTCAGACAGATGCCACGTTCCTGAAGCTGGCAGGGCCCCAACTTGTTCAGATGTTTATTGGTGACGGCGCGAAGCTTGTGCGAGACTGTTTCGCGCTAGCCAAGGAGAAGGCGCCAGCGATTATCTTCATTGATGAATTGGATGCTGTGGGTACGAAGCGCTTCGACAGCGAGAAGAGTGGCGACCGAGAAGTGCAGCGGACCATGCTGGAGCTTCTGAATCAACTTGACGGATTTGCATCTGATGACCGAATCAAGGTTTTGGCCGCTACAAACCGTGTCGATGTGCTTGATCCTGCTCTCCTGCGATCTGGTCGATTGGACCGCAAGATCGAGTTCCCGCTGCCCAACGAGGAGGCGCGAGCTCAGATTCTCAAGATTCACTCCCGCAAGATGAAGGTCGACCCCGGAGTTAACTGGAGCGAGCTAGCCCGAAGCACCGACGAGTTTGGTGGTGCTATGTTGAAGGCTGTGTGTGTGGAGGCGGGTATGATTGCTCTGCGATCGGGCAAGAACAAAATTGGTCACGAGCACTATGTCGACGCCATTGCCGAAGTGCAGGCCAAGAAGAAGGACGTGAGTGATGAACTTGCTGACATCATGCCTGGGACTGATTCGCTAACTGAGACATGCAGACTGTCAACTTCTACGCTTAATTTCAGGGATGGCCGGACACCAGGGTCCCAGAACATGACCAGGACAGTGCTTCCGAGGACCGGGTCTTGGCGTAGAATAGAAGAAAGGACGATATACATAGATCAATGTAACACTATTGAGGGCATGATTCCTCTCCCGATTGCACACTTGAGATGGGCAATTAGCCTTGAGGCTTACGAACATTACGGACGACTACCAATCAGTCCTAGCCAAGTAAGGTAACAAAGCACTCATGCAATTAGCCACAGGATTCCAATAGCTGTTTATTGGCTTTAGAGACAACGGGGATTTCGTCGGAGCTAATTGTATCGTCCACCTGGTCGTTAAGAGATGTGTCCCTCTCGTCCGGTGTGTGAGGTAGTGGAGGGTGGACATGCCTATCGTCCCTTAAAATGTGCGAGGGCTCAAGTGCAGCACTCCAAGGATGCTCAGCTAGTTAAAGAGGAACAGCTGAAAGGGCCATCAATTCTTGGCGATACAAAGATCTACCTTAGACAGCTCTGAATCACAGGGTGGCTGCCATCGCCACAGGTTCCCCAGTCACATCCAGGGGTCTTGGGGGGGCAAGGTACAACCACGGGCGTTGCACATGTAAAGGTATAGGTAGGTACCTACCAATTCACTGGGGAGGTGGTTTCGAGGTGGTTAGCTTGTTAGGTCAGCATGTCTTCCTGTTTAGGTATTAAGCTTGATCACCCTAGTCATGCATAGACGACGTCATCATGGCGTCCCCTGGTTGGCTCCCATGTCTCGAGCACCTCGCGATGATGCTGTCACCAATTACTGATGACGACGGTGACGATGGGGATAATGAGACGGGCTCCGCTTGTGGCTGGTCGACCTGTCTCAACGAGGACACCTTCCAATGTCAAGCTTGCTGCTGGCTGAATATGCAAGAGTATGGCGTAATGGGGACTGGAAAAACAGCAAGCTTCAGCCACGGCCACCACCACGGTATAATGATGCAGTGACGTTATTGATTTTCCGCCGTGGCTTACTCCCTGACTGCTTTTCTTGAATCTCACTTCCCCTCCAACCATGGCACATTTTAATTCCTTCATCTCACTTTAACTTCTCCCGCTCTGATCGACAAAACGCCCGTCGTCCCAACCTTCCTGGCATTACCCATCTCCCAACTCACACCTGACATTTTGGCCTCATTTTTGTCACCGAAGCACTGGAGCACCACAACACGCCACTACACTCCCCCTATTCCCACATCTAGCTCGCAGCAGTCTGTGCGGCTCCACGATGAGGTTCCTCAACGTCGTTTGGGGCGTCGCCGTGTCCACCAACTGCGTCGCCGCCAGCACTTGGTTCCCCGGTTCCAAGGCTTGTAAGGATACTTAGAATCCGAGATGCATTTCACTACGGTATGCTAACAATGGCCCCAGTATATAACAAATGGCATGAGACGGAGCTGGAGCGTTGGCTCTCCGACCACGACATCCCATACCCCACCCCAGCCGATCGCAAGGAACTGGAAACGCTGGTCGGGAAGAGCTGGAATGACTACGTCGTCGCTCCCTACAGTAGCTGGGACACGGCAGACTTGAGTGCCTACCTTCAGGCCAAAGGTAAGGAAACCCGCGATGATGCGGCCGCCACGAGAGACAATCTAGTTTCCCAAGTCAAGGACAACTGGTACGAGACAGAGGAAAATGCCTACCAAGCGTGGGCCAGTGTCAAGGACTGGATCTTGGACACGTGGACTGAGAGCCAGCTCAAGAGCTTTTGTGATAAGCACAGCATTCCAGGTAAGTGTACTCCCTCGAAGCCAGATTGCTCCGAGCTTGGCCTCACCATAATAACGATCTATACAGTTCCTCAACCTCGACACCGTGACACACTCCTCCAAAAGGCTCGATCCAGTTATGAAACCATCGCCAACAAGGCCGGCCAGGCATCTTCCTATCCTGGAAACTGGCTATACGAAACCTGGTCCGAGTCTGATCTCAAAAGTTGGCTCGATACTCAGGGTTTCCCAGTGCCTCAGCCAACCACTCGCGACAAGCTAATCGCCTCGGTCCGCCGTAACTCGCGACTCGCTTATCTCAAGGCACAGGACCAAGCTGCCAGCGCAACGGCCAGCGCCCAAGCCGCCTACGCAACGCTCACTGACATGATCATTGATGCCTGGGGCGAGTCTCAGCTCAAGGAATTCTGCGACAAGAACGGCATCTCGGTCCCCCAGGGAACCAAGGCCAGCGAGCTACGTGCCTTGGTTCGGAAGAATCGGGCCGCGATCCTTGGTGATACTGTTTCTGGGCGAGCCTCTGCGGCCTTCGGCGCTGCCACCTCGAATGCGCAGAACCAGTATGCCAGGGCGACCGATAGCGCCTCCCTTGCTGCCCAGGATGCTTTCAACCAGGTGGTTTCCGCGTGGTCTGATACCAGACTCAAGGCATATCTAGATGCTCGGGGCATACCTGTCCCCCAAGGTTCTAAGAAGAACGAGCTCGAGGCCCTCGTCCGCAAGCACTCCCACCTAGCCGCCAGCGGGTGGAGTGCGTGGACCTTTGATGACTTCAGCTATGACAACTTGAAGAAGTTCCTCGTTGAAAATGGAGATGCTATCGCGAAGAAGATCGCTGAGAAGAAGGATTCTAGTCGCGATGAGCTTGTCAGTGCCGCGCAGTCTGCTTACACTTCAGCATCCACTGCCGGAGGTTCCGATTACGCCTCGGCCACCAGTTATATTGCATCCGTCACAGCAAGCGCTAAGAAGAATGCATTCGACGCATGGTCTGAATCGGAACTCAAAGCCTATCTTGACAGTTACGGCATCCCGGTTCCCCAGGGGTCTAAGTTGGAGGAGCTCAAGGCTCAGGCTCGGAAGGAGTCCACTTACTTTAAATATGGCACCTCGTCGACGGGTGGGACGATATTCGCTCAAATCGGAGAGACAGCCCGAAATGGGTGGAACTGGATTTCCCACCAGTTCAGCCTGGGCAGTGATGCTGCCCAGCAGAAGCTTGCCGAGGCCGAAGAAGAAGCTCGGGTGAAGGCGAAGCATGTCAGGGAGGAGCTATAAGAGCGTTTTCCTTGCCCCATCCGGGTCTTGCTGAAGTAGTCAGCGATGATCCAACATGAAGAACCTCCCGTCGGTCGAACCAAAAAAATTGCTGTCACAATCGGAAGGGGGGCAAATGAGTTAACATTCGCTATTTGTTGATGTGTCGTATTATCATTAGTTCTTATGAAGTCAAGTGATTAATACTCCCTTGGGTATCATGGTTACGATAGTTGTGTATAATCTGCATCGCTTCAGTCAGTGTTACTGCAAAACGATTTAATCCTACATGTAGGGTTGAGAATAAAGGAGGAACCCTCGTACGATCATGATATAAGAGGCTCTTCGCCATAGGACCCGCAATGTATCCTGTGACATATTTTTCTAGATTGATCCTAACGCCGTATACTACCGTGAAGCTCGACCACGCTCCAGTCACCGCCCCTTTTAACATCGATCCAGATATACAATCGGTTCATTATGCCCACAGTCTGCAAGTTCCATCCGCACCGGCACTTATGCACCAAGGTTGCTTGGGGTGCCAGTCGACATCGAGGACTCCCAGCTTGTTGACAACCTTGTGGCCTCTCAGCATCTTAACCGGAACAATGGTGGCGTTCTCCATCAAGTCGCTGACCACCTTGCCGTGGAAAATCTGAAGCGTTCCATCATCACTGGCATCTGCAAAGAGTGGTAGGCTTCGGTGATACTTCACAGCCCTGATGGCCTCTGCGTGGAATCGCATCGTCTTATATGGTCGGGACGAGAGGTCGAGGTCGTGCCATAGTAGTCTTCGATCGTAGGAGCCCACGATCAAATTGTCACCACCAGGATGCACGTCAAAGGACGAAATCCAGCGGGCACCAGGCTGGATGGCCTTCACAAGTTCCTGCCTCTGCAGATCGTAGCATCGAATCATGCGTTGAGTAGCAACGAAGAAAAGAGGTCTAGACGGGTGGAACTGGGCCGTCTGAGCCAGGCCAGGCAAACGCCGGAAGGGAATTTGGCTCAAGTGCTTGGACAAAGTGTGAATGGCAACCGAGCTTCTCTGCCCGGTGGGTGAGACAGTGGAAAGGAAATCGCCACGTCTGTGCCAGGTGATCACTTTGATGACAGACCTGACGGTGGCCTTCAAAAGGACACCGGCATCCTCCAGCTTGGTTCCTGGCCTTGCCCATTTCGCGGGAGGCTCCTTCTTGGGACCACCAGCCGTTGCAGGCTGTGTGCCGTTCGTCGCATACCCGAAACCAGCATCAAGGGCTTCGCGGCTCGCCTTCTCGGCGGCGTCGCTAGCAAAGGAGGGAATCATGAAAAAGAGATCCTCGCCCGCCGCTGCGGCTAGAATGAAGGTCTCTTTGTTGGGGCGCCATCGTACCATATTCACAGGCTCTTCGCTGCTAAGTTTGACCATCCATTCCTGATGGCCATTAAGCCCCCAAACGCGGACGGTCCCATCATCACCTCCAGAAGCCACCCACTCCCCATCAGGACTGAACGCCACACTTCGAACACGGCCGTCGTGACCGCGGAATATTGTCTGACCCAGTGTAGGGAATGGCTTGAGATCTTCCGGGCGGGGCAGTTTGGGCAAAAGTGAGTTGGGGTCGATGTTGAGTCGATTCTTTCGCACTCGGGGGGCGAGGTACAGATCCAAGCATCTCTCGAATCGCTCCTTGACAAACTCACCATAGCCAGGCACCTTGCGGAGAGAATCAAACTTGGCGGGAAGATATTCCTTCTCCCGTTCCTCTGGGTCCATATTGTTCCAGGCCTCCTTCTCCTCCTCCGTCGGCAGGTACTCAGGTGGGGGGTTATAGCTCAGGTCGTAGCCAGGAGGGGCAAGTTTGGGCGCCGGAATGTTCATGACATGCGGGTCTTGAGGCTCCTCGTTGGCCCAGACGTCATAGTAAGTTTCTTCTTTCTCCTCCTCCTCTCGCTGCCGTTCCTCTGCGGGCTTGTACGGTAATATCCTTCCTTCCTTGATCGCGCGGACCATCTTCGCTACTCGTTTGGCCTCGTGTTTGGAAGGGACGAATCGCCGCTTGGGCTCCGGCGCCGCACTGAGGGGCATTTTCTCCTCAATGCTGGTGAAGTATGGCACCATGTCCTAATAAGGAGTCAGTGTTATTGTCCGTTAGACCGGATCTTGGGACGCGACTTACTGGGTATGGATCATAGCCTTCCTCTGGGACCTCGCCCATCTGGAGGCGACGGAGGAGCTCCAATTCATCTTGACTCAGGTTCAAGGGCTTTCCGGTCTCCGGGTCGGTCAAGCCAGTCCATCCCTTCGGAACCTCGATGCTGTCCAAGAGGGCATCCAGAGCTTCACCGGTGGCTGGGCGCATGATTTTCTTGCCATTGATATCATAGCCAATGTGCGGGTACGAGTCGTAAAAAGACAGGGGGATGTTTCCGATAGTGTTGACCGGGCCTTGGGCATCCGAGTCATCGCTGTCGTAGACGGGATCTACCTCGGCATACTCGTATCGCTCCTGACCGTTGGCGTCTTTGACAATTCGATAATTAGGGCCTTCACTGTCGCTATTGAGGCCTTGGTTGCCCCAATTCCGGTCGCCCTTCTCCGACAAGCCGTCTTGGCTGTGTGCATCATCTGCATCATCGTCATCGTCATCCTCGTCCTCAGCGGAGTCATCGGCGACATCATCCTCTAGGTCGCTGTTCTCAGGTCCAGATTCATCATCACTCTGGGACAAGACTCCGTCGAGCTCGATATCCGCAAGGTCATCTTCCAAGGCGATCGCCTCCGAAAGGCCTTTCCGTTTGCGAGAGGGCATGAGGGGCGCCATTGAAGTTGAGTACGAGGAGAAGTTGCGCCGACAGGTAATAGCAACACCACTGCCACTGGGAACAAGTCTTTTTTTTTTCCTTCGCACTTGGAAGAAAAAAAGACTGGACCCCACGATTCTGCCGCGCTTGGTGTAAAGGCGGTGAGCATAGTGGGGTAAGGAGTGGGGAGTAAGTAGCTAGTGTAATAGAGCCAACAGTCCACCTGGAGTTTAATACGGTATATAAGGCCTGTACTAGCTAGGCTATCCCTACTTATAGCGTTAAGTCAGCTTGAAAAATAAATAGTATACTTTTTCCTTCTTCTAATTAAGAAGGAACTTTAAATTCTAAGTATCTTTTAATATAAAATATTATTATTTTCTTAATTAATTAATTATTAAATATTATAATTTTATTATTATAAAAAATTATAATTTAATAATATATTAATATTTAAAGTAATTTCTAAGTAATTTTAGTTTTCTTAGAATATTTATAGAAAAATATTACTAGATTTCTAGCTATTATAAAATATACTTTAAATTTAATATTAATTTATATTTTATATAAATTCTTTTTGTTTTTTTTATATTTTATTAAAAATATAATAGTATTTTCTTTTTTTAATATTTTATTTCTTTTTTTAAAAAAAAGAATTTAAATTTATTTTATATTTATAGTATATAATTATTTAATTAATAATTTAATTTTTTATAAATAAAAATTTTTACTTTATTTTATATTATAAGAAATTTATTTTATAATTAAATTAAATAAATTTATTAATTATAAATTTAAATAGTTTTTAAATAAATTAAATATATAATTTATATTATTATATAATATAATTTATATTATTATATAATATAATTTATATTATTATATAATATAATTTATATTATTATATAATATAATTTATATTATTATATAATATAATTTATATTATTATATAATATAAATAGAATACTATTATAATTTATAAAAGTATAAAAAAATTATATATAAATAAATATATAGCTAGATAAATATAAAAGATACTATAAAAATTATATTAAAATTAAAACTTATAAACTTTAATTATACTAGCTTTCTACTCTATTTAGTTTTTTTATAATCTTACTTAATATTATTAGATAAATTAAAGTTATATAGTAATTTTAAATAGTAAGAATAAATAATAAAAGCTATACCCAGTACTAGAAGAAATAATAGCTAAATAATAAGGTTATTGCCTACTAGTCTCTGCCTAAAGCTTCTATTTAACCCCTCTAACTTCAACCCTATTATCTATAGTTAACAACCTTACTATCTGCAGTTAATAACCTTAAGATAGTAATCTTATTCTAAGTAAAGAGATATAAGGGAGACATCTCCTATTATTAAGGAGCTAACTTCCCTTCTAATACTCATTCCTTATCCCATAACAACTAACTTTAAATATAGCAAATTTTATTTGAAGAGCCCTTACTACTGGTAACCTATTATATCTATAATACGCGACGAATCTAGACGATTTTTTCCCCACCCATACACGTGACTACCCGCCGCTTTTAATTAGGGCTGCTCAGTTGCATGCTATATTTGCTCACCCTAGCTCTACCAACCATCTATTAGAAGGATATCTATACCACAGGAACTGAAAACCGCTTCGGCTCTAAATATAGGTATAATATAGGGTATATAAAAATGGCTTTTTATAATAGTCTAAAATAGCTGTCTTATGTTCTTATTTAGTGGTAGTGCTTAATCTTCTTTTATATATTTAAACTCCTTCTTTTTTCTTTTTATTACTTTTTCTATTTCTTTTTATAGTTATTTTTCTTACTACTATTATATTTATTTAATATTTTATCTATTTAGTTATAAACTATAGAGATTATATTATAATTTATAAAATATAGTAATAATATTATAGTATAGACTGAATAAAAAGAGTTTACTAAATATATCTTAAGTATTGTAACAGGCAGTTGGGAATGCTTGAGCTAGCTGGTTGCTAGCAGGGATGTCTCTAGAGTGGTCTGGATCAGGTTAAAAGGGAAGGAAGGGATCTGTTTGGAGGAGAGACTATCGAATTTGAATTCTTTAGAAATTCCTGGGAGAAGTTAGAGAGTCCGTAAGGGCTCGAGGCAGCTGGGGATTTCATTAATTTATTGCCTTCATTTTTGAGAGATTTATTTGAACCTTCTTGCCGTCACTACGTTCCCTGTCTAACCTCTGTCTTCAACCTCCCTCAGATATCGGGCTGCCGCAGGCCCAATTGATGCCTTGCCAGCGAACTCTCCTGCGACTGACCCGATATTCTATCTCATGAGATGCTTCCCTATCAGGAGACATAAGCCTCAGATTGTTCCGACCTCAAACGCGTAATCTGGTGCAGCTTCGGGCTGACCGGCCAAGACGCCTGTGCGACGACTCTCTGTGCATTTCCCCTAGGGTAAGTTAATGAGTTGGGTGTTGTTTCCGTCCCTTTCTGCTGCTAAAGTACTAGTGCTGCAGATTATATCGAAGTAATCGCATGGCTTGGGCGGGGAGTCGGGGTCGATGGTGGATATAAGATTTTGTAGAATCGTCAGCGAGGATAAGCCGCAGACTCCGCCGCCGTCGAGGGCAAGTAGGCGACTGTCATTGTCGGGCATGGTGCTGCGGTGAGCAGTCCAGCGTTAGTAAACTTGGCGTGGCAGAAAGGCAGAATGATCTCTGTCGTGCTTGTAGTTGTCCGAAGCTTAGCTGGAGAGTTATCACCAGCATCTGGTATGGAGGACCCAGGCGATGGCTATGGGCTGAGAACTACCGTTGAGGCAACGCGGTGTTGCCGCACGTGGGCCTACCCTCTATCTATTGGCCTAAGAGAGTGAGTGGGAGGGGAACCTTAGAGACCCAGCCAACGCCTGCCAGGCTCTGAGTGGAATTTTAGCCACGTGGCTGAGGTCGTGGCAGAAGCTGGTGAAAGCTGGTGAACCGCGTCGCGTCTTACGAGACGGATGTCCTTGGGCGCCAGTAAAGGTTCAAGCTTTGGTTTGCGGGGCAGGTACATCGACCAAGAGGACAATAGTGGACGTCAGGTATGCAAAAACAGACTAGAAGCTAGTTGTTTATGTATGCTGCTTCGTCCAAACGGATGTCTGGTGTTCGATCTGACGCATGCGTTTAAAAACAGACACCTTGTGCTCTCTGTTCGAGCTTGAACTCCGGGCTGCTATGTAGCAGTTATGGTGGTGGACACAATTATCATGACCCTCCTTGTGTCGAGATCTGCAGACTACCGCTATTATGGCTATTCTTAGATTTCAGCTGGTTATCTTGTCAGCACACTCTTGTGATGCCGAACACTTCGTGCTGATTGGTAGCCAGGACGAGTCCAGGGCCGAGCGACCCGTCCCGTGCCCCCTAATCCGGGACAGGCCTTGACGATGGCACTTCGCGCGCCACACTCCAGTCGCTCACGGAGCAGTGAGCGACCCAACGCGTCCACGACGCGCTATGCCCCACAGCGCTAGGAGCCTGCTGACTGCGGACATCGACGGGAGCAAGCGCCTTCAAAGAACAGATTCTTGCGCTCATTTTCGCTATCAGCCGTTGCCTCTCTCCCAACATAGCGATGTACTGTGTCGGGCCAATCATTGCACAATTGCGCTCATTTTCGCTATCAGCCGTTGCCTCTCTCCCAGCATAGCGATGTACCGTGTCGGGCCAATCATTACAAAATACACGAAAGCACTTCTGCCTCCTCGGCGGAAGTCTAAGCCGCAACTCAGCCACACTGCAGCCTCGTTGGGTACCCACCTTAGTACCGTTGCTAGATCCCCTCCCTCATCATCTCGGGCTGTTAAAGCGCGAACTAGACTCCCTCGAAACTACTTCCCCGACCATCAGTATGTTATCGCGTGCCATGGCCGATGCTGTGGGCCTCGCTGCAAGCGTCATCGCAATCATCAACCTGTCCGCCAAAGTCGCCGTCCTCTGCCTCCAGTACTCCACCGCTGTCGGGAACGCTAGGGCCGACATCACACGCCTCCGAAGCCGGTTGGACGACCTAGGCACAATCCTCCAGGGTGTTCAGCATCTTCTTGATAACCAGAATAATCAAGCGCTCGCGACTTCGCGAAAACTGGTCGACTCTGTTAATAGCTGCACATCAGAGCTGGTCCAGTTGCAGAGCAGGCTGGATCCGGGCAAGGCCCGTAAGGCGATGCGCCATTTCGGACTTCATGCCCTCAAGTGGCCTTTTAATAGCAAGGAGGTCAGCGATATCGTCTTTAACCTAGAACGCTATAAACAGACTATCACTTTAGGTCTGCAAATCGACTAAATATAAGTCAGCAAACCGTCTGGATATTTTAAGCACAATAGACCAGGCTGACGGCATCGTCCTTATAGTACGCTTCTCCTCGACATTAGGCAGAGAATCAAAGGCATCTCGCTCCAACCCAAAAAGGATACATCAATAGCTCACAAGCCCTACTTCAGCCTACCATTCGAACGCAATCCTGACTTCGTCGACCGACCCGACATTATGGTATGGATAAAGAAGCAATATACAGGCCCCGTTTGTTATATGGCCCTTATAGGCATAGGCGGATTTGGGTATGAGCTGGAGTGGCTAACAAGCTTATACAAGACTATTATCATACTGACTGGTCGTAGTAAATCGCAGGTCGCTATTCAATTTGCACATCATATCCGCGATATATCACCGCAAACCAGTATTTTCTGGGTACACGCAAGTTTGAAGCCAAGGTTTGAAGAGGCATACCAGTCTATTGCGGATAATTTACGGCTACCTAGGCGAAACGATCCCAGCGTCGACATACTTGGGTTAGTTCGCGACTGGCTGCAGAGAGAGGAAGCTGGCCCGTGGTTAATGGTCTTGGATAATGTTGACGACGTTAACCTCTTCTACCCCAGCTCCAGCGCCGGAAGAGATAGGGCAGTATACTATCCAGCGGATAAGAACCCTACTGCACTGAGCGTGTAGCAGCTACTTGCAGTCTTCCTACTGAAACGCCGCAATGGAATTATCCTCGTTACATCACGCAGCATAGACGCCGCTAAGAAGCTAATAGGAAGCCATAAGGCTGTCTATAGAATCTCAGCTATAGATAACGCCCAAGCCCTTCAGCTTTTTCACAACAAGCTACAGAGAGACTCTAATAAGACTGCTGCTGCTGATCTTCTTCGTACTCTGGATTATATCCCATTGGCTATTACCCAAGCGGCGGCATATATTAACCGTTGCGCCCCCTGCATATCAGTAAAGACATACCTAGACGCCTTCCAGGAAAGTGATAAAAAGAAGGGCAGCCTCCTTAATAGCGATACGGGGGATCTTCGACGGGATAAGACTGTCTCTAACTCCGTGGTTACGACGTGGCAAGTTACCTTTGAATAGATACGCCGCGAGAGACCATCCGCAGCCAACCTGCTCTCACTTATAAGCTTCTTCAATCCGCAAGGCATCCCCGAGTTTGTACTCTACAACTATAAGGGCAATCTAATGGAGAATGCAGACGGGCTTAAGGACGACGAGGATAATGACGAATTTGAGGATGATCTAGATGTCCTCCGCGGCTACTTACTTGTATCTGTAACAGCAAAGAGGGATATGTGTGAGATATATACCCTAGTGCAGTTTTGCACTTGTATCTGGCTATCCATAGTTGACAATACAGACTGATGGAAAAAAATATTTTTATGGGCTATATTAACACACTTCCCAGACGGTACATTCAAGACCTAGTCTATCTATTAGATATTACTGCCACATATTAAGTTAATAGTAGAGGAGGAGCCGCTAGAGAAGGACCTAGAGCAGTGGGCCTATTTATTGACGAATTGTGCATGGTACTTAGTCACTACAGGGAGCTATAAAGCAGCAGAGAAGCTGAGCGAAAGAGCAGTCAAAACGAGGGCCAATGTGCTAGGAGAGGAGCATCCCGACATGCTGAATAGCATGGCCAACCTGGCGGCGATGTATAGCAACCAAGGGCGATGGATGGATGCAGAAGAGTTAGAGGTGCGAGTGATAGAGACAAGAAAGACAGTGCTGGGAGAGGAGCATCCCTATACGCTGGCCAGTATGGGCAACCTGGCGGCAATATTCAGGAACCAAGGGCGATAGAAGGAGGCAGAAGAGTTAGAGGTGCAATTAATAGAGACGATGAAGATAGTACTGGGAGAGGAGTATCCCCGTATACTGAGCAGTATAGCCAGCCTGGCGGCAACATACTGGAACCAAGGGCGATGGAAGGAGGCAGAAGAGCTACAGGTGCGAGTGATGGAGATAATGAAGACAGTACTGGGAGAGGAGCATCCCGATACGCTGAGCAGTATGGCTAATCTAGCGTCAACATATAGGAACCAGGGGCGATGGATGGATGCAGAAAAGTTAGAGGTGCGAGTGATGGAGATAAGGAAGATAGTGCTAGGAGAGGAGCATCCCTATACGCTGACCAGCATAGGCAACCTAGCGGCAACATTTAGGAACCAAGGGCGATGGAAGGAGGCGGAAGAGTTAGAGGTGCAATTGATGGAGACGATGAAGATAGTGCTGGGAGAGGAGCATCCCGATACACTAAGCAGTATGGCTAACCTGGGGGCGACATACTGGAATCAAGGGCGATGGAAGGAGGCGGAAGAGCTACAGGTGCGAGTAATGGAGATGATGAAGATAATGCTGGGAGAGGAGCATCCCCATACGCTGAGCAGTATGGCCAGCCTGGCGGCGACGTATAGCAACCAAGGGCGATAGAAGGAGGCAGAAGAGCTACAGGTGCGAGTGATGGAGACGACGAAGACAGTACTGGGAGAGGAGCATCCCCATATGCTGAGCAGCATGGCCAACCTAGCCGTTACCTGGAAACACCAAGGCCGCACTGGAGATGCTCTAGCTCTAATGCGAAACTGCGTTGCCTTACAAGGGCGAGTGCTTGGTATAGACCATCCGGCCGCAGCATCCTCGTCGGCAACTCTGGCTAAATGGGAGGGAGTGAGCAACCTATCACAGGGAAGGAGCAATCTGGAATGACGAACATGAAGGGGTACTGCATTCTAGTCCAAGCCACACTCAGCCATCCAGGGTCAGCGGCCTGGCTTGATTGTTCCTACTTCCTCATTAACTTAGTATGAAGGCGCACATAAAGGAGTCCATCATTCCGTCCCGGAAACATCTGCGTAAACTAGCCCCCTTTCCTCCTTCAGCCCAAAAGCCATCCTCCACGGCCTTGATACGCCTTCTATAACTTCAGAGGCAATAGGTGTCACCGGCCAAGAGCTAGCGGTCGCTAGTGCGCTATAATTTGACCTCTTTCAGGGCTCATGGGATGAGGGAAGTACTTAGTGTACTTATCCTAGCATTAATTGGTTCACTGGATATCGTTGCTTTTTCTTGGGACAAAACTTTTGAAATGGTCCTCCGTATATATTCTTTAGCGGATGTTCTTTAGTGTGGCATAGAAACTTTAGCGTGGAAACTTTGGCATGGAAACTTTAGCGTGGAAACTTTAGTGAGGTTCTTTAGTAAGCGATGAAAGAATAGCTTCTCAGCTCGATTTCAGAGAGATGCTACATCAGTAGGGAGACAGAATGCTCAATTTCAATGTCTTTACAGCTATCGTAGCACTATATCAAGGCCTGGTTGTTTCTATAATTAGCTCAATTGCCACACTTGCGTTATGACTGCTATTCAGCCGTTCCTTTATAATATAATGTTTGTCATTGTATCCAATACCAGCTCGTTATAGCCAATACATATAAGAATTCTATCCGAAGGCGATATAATACAGGCAGTAAATCCCAAGGAATCGAGCAGGTTTTTAATACTGCGTATTGGTATTAAATATAATAACAATTATCTTCCTTCTGCCTGTTGGAAATAGACTCTCTAACAGATTGGCCTTGTTAAGAGGGGCAGGTCTCCGCAATAGCGACGCAATCTGACACCCCTTGGTCTCAAGTTTAATTCGTGGGCGAGCCATCTAAACTAAAGAAATACTTAGTCCCGCGTAGGTACGATCGAGCCACGACGGTGAGCTTGTCTGTATTCTGGACAACCCGCGTGGTAGTATTGGAGGGTTGCGAGTCGGTGAGCACTCGACTCATTAATGGCTGGAGTCGTCTGTTTGACCGATTGGTATAGGGGCGGGCGGAACGATGACGGTGATGGCGCCGAACGCAACCGATGGCGGAAGCACGTGACTGGCCTCGAGATAGCGGGGTCGTTTCGAAGATGCCCAGCGCCTCAGGGAGGGTTTTCAGTCCCGAAATGAACTGCAACACTTGCTGATCATCGCGAATTTGCGTCGCGCGCGTCTGCGGCGACTCCTGCGTTATGCGGAGACGGTAGGGCTCCCTTGTGGATGTGTTTGACTTTGGTCCACTAGGACGTGATAATGGGATGTCTGAACGGGTGGGATGATGTTACCAGCTTCGTTGCTACCCGACATCTGAAGGGTGGAGGAATCGATGTCCAGAGACGATGTAGGTGCAGAAGCGATAGGTTGGGTCCTTAGCTGGGCATGACCAGAATTCAGGAGAGTTCTGAGCCTTGCACCAGTTTGTGCTGCCATGGCTATAATAGCCTGGTGATCAGTATTTATTGTGCGTTGGCCAGTGTACTGTCAAGGCGAGCTGTTGAAAAGTCAATAATAGAGAATATGCCGCCGTTGCGATTTAAACAGCCTTCCTTGATTATAGACCTGTCATTGTGCCGCTCGCTGGACTCATGATTGAAATCGGACCAAATAGACCGCAATTTCCCATCGCCTAATTTATGCTGTAATTCTGTAATGCAACTTTCCTTTTGTAGCTAGAAGACCGATTATACGGACCAACAACCAACAACCAACAACCAACAAACAGCACCAGAGCCGGCCATCATGCAAGCTGATCATCGCATCCCACTCAGATTCTTATATATTTAAGCCGGAATCTCCGGCACGATCGCCGTGACAGTGGTCCTGACAGCGGTCCCATACAAATTGGCCGCGCGCGCAACGACGAGGAGTGTTCCTCTATCTCAGGTTATGTCTCGCGACCAGGGTGCGTTCGGAGAGGGAAAAACCAAAAGCAGCTCGAGGCCGCAATCGATGAAACCCCAACCAACCAGGCTTGAACGTGTCTACGATGGAAATTGGAAGAAAATAACAGGTCACCGAGAGAGGAAAAGAGCCGTTTCCCTGCTAAGCTGGGCGGCATTTGCTGTATGACCCCTAACGGCTTGCGAGATAACCGAAGCTGTGCTCAATGACGACGACTGTGGTGATCTCCAAGCTGATTTTCGAGCTGCTTCCAAGCTTACCTCGTCACATACAAGGCCACCAACATTCCCCCAACCGCCCTCGGTTGTCTGTATCCTGGTTGCAGGGTCAGTGTGGCGATGGTTGGGTCAAGCAGGCTTTCTCGGTTGGTTGGTCTCCATCTGAATTCGTAGCGATGTGCTCGTAAGACAAGCTCTTGACGAGTGAGCCCAGCAGCTTGGCCGGTCTTGTCTCCTGGGTGCCAAGAATAGTCGCTGTGCATACAGATTCACAGCCCTGAATCCGTCGGGATACCAGGTGACTACCTTAGCATCGGCCGCGTCTTCCAGACGGAAGGCGTATCCAGGCCAAGATAGGCGTCCTCGGTTGGTTGGCTTCAATCTGCCTTTGCTCCTGAAGCCGTGTCCCTGGTGGTGGAAACTGTGTGAGGTTCTCCTGAGTGAGAACCACTGCAACTACAATCATCCTCACTATGAGTGCCTTTCGATCAAGATGGCAAGCTGTATTTGTGACTGTTGAACGTTAGCAATAAGGTAGGGTATTCCCTCGGTATATATATACTGTTACTGCTCAATTAGGTGGGCTGTGTTTGGTTATAAGGCGCTTCTCGCAATGGGTATATTAGTATGTTATATAGAAGAGTGACAGTGGAGGAGGCAGATGCATTAATTTGTTTTGATTGCAGTTGCTGTAATTCCTAGACACAGTATATATTAGGCACAGTCAGACGGGAGAGAAGCCCTGGGCTGCAGCCGACAACTAATCTTAAGGCGAGCTCGCATGCCTCGTGCGAGTCTACGTAGTAGGGTCTGATTTTGCTAATAGCTAAGCTATATTTTAGTTGAAATAAAAAGACTGTAAAAGAATGGTGATATTGGTGTTGTAAAAGGTCAGGTATCTGAATCGTATTGCGGGGGACGATGGTATATGGCGTTGGCTTGGGTATCTCCTTAGAATCCGGGTTATAGTGGCTAAGATGCAATTCCAAAACGGAGGCGGAGTGGGACAGTAACGGTCTGGGAACTTGGGTTATCTTGCACTCCGTCATATCAGCACCTTTCGCGTTGGTATATCTACAAATACCTCTAGTACCTCAATCCGCCTTCTTGCTCTCAGGGAATATAAGAAACTGCGCGCCGATGCATTACGTCGCATCCCATACCACAATTGTTAAGACTGCCACATTCACGGCCCAGCCTCAACTTCCAGAATCTCTATCTGTTTCCAGGGTGATATAGGTGGCTAGTGTATATAGACTTTCTTGGTGCTAGGGGTGCGAAGTAATATGTGGAAATGCGGCTTGTTCTCCGCCCTCTATTGACTTCTATCTGTATCCATCACGCCTTAAGCGTTGCGTTACGTTGTCTTTGGGTTTTACCAAAGAAGCAAGGTTGGAGGGAATCTACGTCAGAACTGACCACCATGAACTGCGCTGATGCCTGCTTACCGAGCGGGAGAGCTAATGCTGGCGGGGCTCACCTGGCTCCCCCGGGTCGCATAATTGGCTGGAGCGTTAGAGCAAAATGTATATTTTCCCTCTATGCTTAAAGTAAAGCAGGGTTTGGGTGGGCGTTAAGAGTGTTTTTCCAGCCCGCTTTATCTTGTTATCTGTCCAATATCAATCGGCTAGCAGCTATAACAGCTATAATAGTTACTTGAGTGATGGTTTTGTGGCTGATATTGCAAGTTGATTGGAAACTGATAATCCAGGGCTGATACAGCTAAGGCAGTAGAGAATCTTCTCCTACTTTTGGGCTGCCTGTATATAATTGCTGCCTGATATATGCTGCTACGACGGTTAGGCGTGAAAGGCGGGCAAAGTCCCAGCTCCAAACAGCCATGCATACTCTTCAATCCTCTTAACTGCTATCCGCTGCAAATATCCCCCTAATGCGAATTGCTCCCTTGCGCACTAATATAGCAGACCTATTATCTGTCGCTAGAAGTGCTGTTGGCGTTATATTGCTAGGTATTATAGTTACTTAGGGATTATTTAACTACTATATAGTATTTTAAGACTAGAAATATAATATTGCCTATATAACTAAGAAGCTCTTTTATCTTCTTAAGTTACTTAAAAGTTTATATTAACTTAAATAATACTAATCCTAAGCTAATAATTATATACTACTTATAAAGATAGAGTTTTATATAGAAGATTATAAGAAGCTTATTTTAGATTTTAAGGTAGAGTTAAATAAATTTAATTAAGCTTTCTATTAAGGTATTATAGTAGGATTTTATACTACTAGCTGCTATATTATATATCCCTTTTAATAAAGTATACTATAAAAGCTAAATAAGAATATTAATAACTTTATATTCTATTTATTTTTAGTAATATAATTACTATAATAGAGTAATATTTATAGAATATAAAATAATATTAAGAATATTAAAGTATTACTTAATTTAATAAAAGCTATTTAAATTTCTTTAAATATTAAAAAATAGCTTAATATAAGAATCTTAATTTAATTAACTAACTTAGTAGGTATAAGAGTTAGTAGCTAAGAGCTATAACTAGATAAGAAATAGAACTTAAAGGTAAAAAGAGTAATAATATTAAACTTTAACTTAATAAGTTTCTTAAAATAGTAACTTATTAGCTATTATATATTTCTATATCTTAAGCTCTAGATAGATTATCTTAAAGCTATAAAATTAGAGGTTTAAGTAGATACCTACTAAGTTAGCTAATTAGGCTAAGATTCTTATAATTATTTTCCCTCTTAAAAGCTTAGTCTTTTAGATTTTATAAATACTATAGTCTATAAATAATACTATACTATATATATTTAGCTATTATTATATTTAGCTATTAATTCTTATATATTTCTTTTTTAAAATCTATTTATATTTTACTTATAGTTAGTTATTAATTTACTTATTATTTATTAGAAAGATACTAGCTATAAATAGCTATTTTATTAGCTATAAAAAGATTTTACTATATAAATTTTTAATTTTTTTTAATATTTTTTTAAATTAGATTATAATATCTAATAATTTTTATTTTATTTTTATAGCTTTTAGAAATAGTTTTTTTTTAAATTTCTATTTTTTTTTTCTAATATTTTTTATTATAACTTTTTTACTAAATTTTTATATAATTTTATAGGCTTTTTTTTTATATATACTAATAGCTTTTTAAATTAATATAAAAATAAAGTATTTTACTTTTTATACTTTTAAAATAAATATTAATATTTTAAGCTTATTTATAGTTATATTTTACTAATTATTTATTATATTTTATATAAATATAATAAGATAAAATATAATATAGTAAGTTATTTTTATTATTTTCTTATTAAATATTTTACTAATTTTCTTAAATCTTTAAGAAGCTTTATTATATTATAATTTAGTATTAAAACTTTTTAATATAGTCTAGTAAATAATCTAATATTTTTATTAATCTTAAATCTAACTTAAATAATTTTAGTTATTAGTAAATATTTTAAGCTATATATACTTATAGAAATATATAGTAATTAACTATTAAATTTATTATTAAATCTTTAAGTAGTATTTTAAATATAATAATTTAAGTTTAGAAGTTAATTTCTCTTAGAAAAGTTATTACTATTTAGTATCTTATTACTATAAGTTTTTATCTATTATATTTCTATTAGATTTTTACTAATAATTTATAGATTAAGAAGTTATCTAATTATATTAAAGTAGTTACTTATTTTTTTATTATTTAGTTTATTTACTTATATAATAACTTTATAGCTAGTAATTTAATAATAATTCTCTACTAGTTATTTATAAGAGTTAGAGTAGTATACCTAATCTTATAAAAGACTCCTCTAGCTATAAGGCTAAAAAGATTAATTAATTCAAGTAAAGCTATATTACTTAATTATGCTATATATCTATTAATAAGGTATATAAAAGCTCTCCAAGCCCTAGCCGAATCCCTTATATTATTTTATATTTTTAAGATTTCTAACTTTAATATTACTAATAAGAATAATTTATATATTTTTATAAGCTTATACTTTTCTAGGCTATATAAAATTTTTAATAATAATACTAAATATATTATTTCTATAGTAATTATATATTATAAGAGAATTAAGCTATCTTAATATAGAGTTTTAAATTATACTT